CCATAACACTAACCATAACAATAAACAAAACCCTAAATTTCTATAGATAGGACGCTTCTTTCTTAATACTTAGATTTTAAAGCGAAGTAAAAGCATTATAGTCTTTTCTAGCCTATACCGAGGTAAACAATAACTAGAAGCGAGGTAGTGTAACGTAGAAGAGTAGTGTATCGTTATTATCGTATTGTTCTACCCGAGCCGTCGCCTTCTTTAGGAGGATCCATCGAACGCTATCATCTAGACTGCCTCAAGTCGCTCCACCCGCGGGCAGGCACATGCCATCTACGGGTTCTGCTTCTGGATGTCCGACTCAGCACCCCTCTGCAACGTCTTGCCCTGATCATGCTGTGCCTCCGCCCTGGCCTGCGCGTCCTTGTCTCCGGTGGCACCCGCGACCATGCCGCCAACAGTACCCTGCACGCGGTCGCCTACGCCCTTGCCCAAGTCACTCAGCTGTCCCTGCGCCTCTTGAGCCTGGCCTTCAGCATTCTGCTGCTGTCCCTCCTTCTTCATCCCTTCGGCGCCGATCAGGTTGCCGACGGTCTCCTTGCCCGAGCCAACGGTCTGGTTCCAGCTCCCAGCTTGACGGTTCTGGTCGTTGGCTGCGACGCCAGAGGAGGAAACGGACATGCCGCCGATAGTGCCGCCGGTGTGAGAAAGGGTGTCTTTGGCGTCGGCTTCGGCCTTGCGGTCTTCGGCTTGGGACTGCGGATGGTCAGTGGTGGTGGTACGACTGAGGGTTGAGGCAGAACGCATACCTTGTCAGCCTGATTGCCCGTCGCGGAGCCGAGCATGCTCTGGGCTGCGCCCTTGGCCTGTATGAGAGTCAGCATCTGTCGCAAGAAGTTTGCTTGTGCCTGTTCGCACTCACGCTGTCGACGTAGCTTTGCAGCGTGGAAGTCTCCTTGTCGCTCATCTTTGCTGAGATTGTTGGTTGTGTGGTGGTGGATGTGGATTGGGTGAGTGCAGTTGTGTTTGGTCGTATGGTTGAAGAAAGAAAGAAGTCTTGTAGAACTCGTAGACAAGGCGGCGCGTTGAGTTGCCCCACCAGCCCACTTCAGTTTCTGAGACACTGATCATGTGACATACGTCATACCTCACGAAAACGGCCGCAATCGCGTGACCTCCTCACGCGAAGCGATTCCCACTGGCTTTCGGCGTGGGTGAATGACACGGTGGTTGCTGGGACGCGTACTGACACTGTGGACGAGAGGCTGGCCATACCGCTTCCTAGATTGATGCTTCGCTGTCTGTTCTCGAGCGCTAAGGCGTGTGTACGGCATCCACTTCGGAAGCCGTTCTAAGTGACGAGAGGCAGTCCTCACGCAAGTCCAGCGATCATCCTTGTATGCACGTACTGAACCGATCAATCTCATCCTTCACAGGATCAAAGCACCGGCTGCCAGTTCCCCATGCACGCTTCCTCTCGCCAGAAATCTCAAGATCCTCCATTAGCCTTCTTGAATACTAGGAGTCTCCTTGCCTTGAAGGAGAGGTGACTGGAGAAGTGATGATAGTTCAAACATAGGACTGGTCGTCTACTCGGAGAAGCTCTTGTCAATCGTACAGCAGCTGCGAACTAATACATATCAGCGGTGCAGCCCACGCAGATCGTTGCTGATACTCATACTTGCACGCCGCTGAGCTCTGATGGCATATCTGTCGTTGTTCACCACGTCCATACCGCTTCAGGTATGAGCCTGGATCAATCTCCCACGGCCTCACTTCTTCTCACCCTCCGTGCTCTCACCACCGCTCGACTCCGACTTGACCTCCTTGCTGTACACTTCCTCGCCCATCTTCCGAATCTCCTTCGCCCTGTCTTGTACCAAGCTCCGGATCTTCTCAATGTTGTCGGGTCTCAGGCCAGTGTTGATGATGTCCTGCACTTGCTTCCATGTCTCGTCCACTTGCTGCTTAGCCTTCGGTCCGTACTTCTCTCCAAGTTGCTTCAGCTGATCCGTTGAGCCGCCGAGCTTCTGCTTGAGCTCTGGGTGGTTGTTGAGGATGTCTTCTGCAGCGTCACCGCCGAGGCTGAAGAGGCGCTCGAGGTGCTTCGACAAGACGCTCCAAACCTGGCCGGCAGCCTCCAAGTTCATCCCTTGCTTCGATACATCCCTGAGTTCACCATATGCCTCACTGACAATCTTGTCGACCTCATCACCATGCTTTTGCTTGACCGATTCGAGATCTTTGAAGGCGGCATCGACGTACTGTCTTGCTCCGGGGATGAACGAGGCGTACTTCTGCGCGGCCTCTTTGAGTGTTTGCAGCGCTTGATTTGCATCGGGTGTCTGCTCCTCAAATTTGACCTTGAGCGAGTCGGTGGCGGAGTCGGCGTAGCTCTTGTACTGCTGTGCTGCTTGGATCGTGCTCTTTGCTCCGGAGAAGTGGTAATAGCTGTACATGATCGCTGTTGCAGTGAACCCTCCGACGACGCCGCCAGCAAGACCGCCAATGCCGCCCGGTGATTGTGTAGCAGCACCCCCAGCATCTTGAGAGGCGAATCGGACGTTGCGGCTGACCACACCGCTGCGGGGGCGAAGAGCACGTTGCCCTTGGGCGAGAATCCTCATGCGGAACATACTGGGTGCTGGCGGGGCGGCGGTTGTTACGTGGGACGGTGGGTAGACTTCCTGGTGGTAGTGGAAATGTATCGGGCAGGAGAGTTAGGCGGAATGGAGAGGGGCGGTGCGTCAGTGAAGAAGCCCAGGCCTGGGAAGCTGGGAAGGGCAGCAACAAAGCGATGGACAATGACGTTCGAAGCGATCATAGGTGTTAAGCTTTGTGGGGTAGTCAGGAACGCGCTCTACGGGACGAGCCGCGAGCATGTGAAAGTGAAAGTGAATTTGTCTTTCGGTTTTCTTCACAACTACATCTCCCCATTCCTGGTCCATCATGACTGCTCACTTCCCAATAGCACCATCGGAGAACTTAGCGCCACTCGTGTCATGAATCGCGTTTGGCACGACCTTCTCGACCTTTTCAGGGAGCCCCTCCTGAAGAGTCTGGGGTACCTTGGAGTCACCCGTGGCGTGGCTGACCTTGCCTGTGTACGAATATGTGGTTAGCCTGGCTGCCATCATTGGACCGCATACTGTATGGTGGCGATGTACCTGTCTGAGGATTGGCTCCGGTGTCGTGGGCTGCATCAGGCACCTTGTGCTCGACTGATTCGGGCACCTTCATTCAGACGTCAGTAGCAATTCGAAGGACTCATCTGGTGGTAGTGCTCGACGGACCTTCTCCTGGACACCTTGGGGTAGCTTGGAGTTGACAGCGTGGCTGGCACCTAGGGACAGTCAGCGTATGTTCGAGCGGAAGTTATCCCGGGCATGAAGCCTACCTTGTCCCTTTTCGTTCTGCATGATCGCGGTGCTGGTTTGCTCTCTGCTCAGGTGCTCTGTAGAATGCAATTGTTGTTGAAGAGATACGACTCAAGAATGTTTAACGACTGTCTTGTTATATAGGTGTTCCTCCATCGCACACAGCCAGGCTTGATGTGTCGATGACGCTCACTTCGAGCGTCTTGCGACTGCGCCTTCGCTGTATGCAGCGTACATCTTGCGAAATCAACACATATCGCTCGATTTATCGGCCGCAACAACGCCTGTCGCCTGGATAGCATCGCCATGGCATGATGTTGGTGGCGAGCAGTTGATCGTGCTTTGAATCGGATGAACCTGCGACCCGACAGCTTCCGCACCATCGCTGCGGAACAGGAATACCATTGAGATCCGTTCCCAGGGCTCAACTGCAAGATAGATGTAGTTTTCATTAATCTATGCTCTGCATCTCTAGCATTACGGAAGCATTCAATTCTGGGCAGCTCGGAGTGATTGCGGCGACTACCTTCCCAATTGCATTACACTCATCTCGGTTGGTATAAACTCATTTCGTCAGAACACTGCTTCGAGGTCAGGCTGTATGCCAGGCCCCCCGACGGCCCCGTAAATTCCTCATTCTCGACTTCAGTCGCCGCCGAGATCATTATCAATGTTGTGGTCACTCTCAATTCGATCCAGCCTCCAAGAGATGTGGTCGTTGCTCATGGTCTCGTCAAACAGATGGCCGCTGTTTCTGCCAGCTTGCTTCCTGATCGTCTCTTCGCAGCATTTCTGTCATCCCGGTCAATCTTGATGAGGTCTCCACGAGCAAGTATGGGCAAGGACCGTCCATCCAATGCCACTTTTCGACGTCCGACATTGCAACGCTTTCTCGTCTTCAACGACCCATTCCCAACGGTTTCCGCTGGCTCCTTCATGGTGAAGAGCTCAGCCCATGATCGTCTGCCAGCCCATCTCATGCACAACTTCCAACCAGTGCGCACTCTGATCGCCATTATCCAGCCTCTGCCATACCTCTTTGATGATGTCCACCATCTGAAGTAACGGACGTTGAGGATACTTCCTCGACAGTACGAGCATTCTCGCCTCGACGAGATAGCGTGACTGTATGATCTCGTTGTGTTGCGCTGATATGGTATCACTCGGTGTCAAGCTAGAGTCTGGAAAGCGTAGCTGGCTCCCGGAGATGATAAGCAGGAGCGGCATGAGTCGACAGCCGCCCGATGTGATTGGGATTGGTTTTATGAGGTTCAAAATGTGCACTGCCATGGCAACTCGCCATACCTCATGGGTGTCAGCATATGCAGACTGGGACTCTTGTGCCATGGCGCCGAGTGGATCGAAAATGCTGGCGTCGGCACCAAGTCTAGCCTCCAACAGGTTCGGGAAGAGAGTATAGATCTCGAGAAGACCAGCGAACCGATAGGCGTCCGCGAGAGCAACCAAATCAGCCTTTGGTGTCTTGAGATCGTTATAGTCAGATATCTCATCATCCGCAGGCAGCTCGATGTCAATTAAGAAGCACTCAAGAGCATTAGCCCACTGGCCTTCGGAAGTAGATGAACTCGGACTTGCGGTGGCGGGGGACCGTAATGCTGAACCACGACCTCGTCGCCTTCGCATTACCCGCCCAATTTCTGCCACGGCAAAATGGACTTCCGCGACCACTCCAGTCCAAGGATGGACCTGCGCTGGCGATGCCACATCCGGCCTCTCCGGAGTCGGCAGAAGAAGCCTGCCTGATAAGGGTGCCAATGGGACCGGGTCGATGAAGCTCGCCAGCATCTCCCAGTACATCAACGCATGCTCGAAGAAGCCATCATGGATACCAGCTTGCCCCGCCGTGCCCTCCGGTCTGCTCTGGACTCCTTGCAAGCGGCGCTGCATAAGATCTCTTGCAATCAGCAGATATTGCATTCCAAGGTTCGAAGCTTGGTGCCATGCTGACGATAGGCCGAGCAGCAGTAATGTCAAGAGGATCGTGTCACTAGAGACCTTGCCAATCCGGAAAGACTGCAGATCTCGCTGTAGGTATTTCCAGGCTTGAGATCGCTTCTCCAGCCCGAGAGGAGCCAGATATGGATAGTAGTTGGCCAGGTGCCCGATTGCGGTGCTCTGGATGGTGAGATATAAGGCAGCCGAGTTCGTCCAGGTCTGCTCAACAACGCTGCGGAAAGGGTTTGCGGCCGAGTCAAAGCACGCGAAAGTAGAGCATACGTTTTCGAAGTAGTAGTCGACGAATGACTCGTCTGTGAGTCCAATGACTTGGCCGGGCCGTGATAGACGATAGTACGTCTGTAGCAGGCTGCTCTTACTACCAGGTAACGTCGATTCTGCCCGGTGGAGGGTCTCAGCTGGTCTTGCATCCTGCACATCATCCGCTGTCTGGTCTTCGTGATAGTCCCGGTCATGAGGATAAGGCATCGGAAGAGTGTCGTTACGGAAACCGTTGCGTGCACCATGCATGTTCGCATTTCCCATCGAGGCGTCATCTCCAAGGTGTGAGCCGTAGGTCATCATCTCTTGATTTGAGTACTGCATATCCAGCTCCAGAAGTAGGCTATCAGAAAGACCCAAGTCTTCGTAGCTGCACCCGTCCAGGTCAGGCCATAGCGGGTCTACAGTCATGTCACCGACAGCGTCGCTCGACCGTAGCCCACCGCCCGATCCTTGTGAGGCCATTTGGTCTGGCGCTGGGGACGTCTGGAACGTTGCATTGAGTCCTTGGCCCGTAGATGAAGGTTGTGGTCCTGAAGCACTACCTGGTGCAGAAGCACTTCCGGTCCGGCGTCGTTTGCGTAATGACCCATCACCGGCAAACTCATGCTTGCTGGACCATCTGAGTTCTTTGGCATATACACACTCCAGTGAGAACGTCTGACAAGCAGTGCATTTTGGCTTCGCCTCGTCGCATTTGATCTGATCGCCTACTTAGTGATTGCCTTTCTCGAGCTCACCGAGACCTCTTACATGTCTGGCTTTGCATCTTTGGCAGCCCGAACGAGATCTAGACGAGTTTAGATTGCGCTTCATGGGGGTTGCATGCTACAAGATGGTCCACTAAGGCGTCAGCACAAGATGATGTCGTCCACGGGGCCGCTGCTGAAGGTCGGGAAGAACTCGGAAGGATTTTCGAGCAGACGTCGATGGCAGCTCACTTCGCCGAGCCATGCCTATTCGAGATTGCGCGTCCGCCGTCCAACTAATCAAGGTATATCGTGTCCACAGCTTACTCCTACACACTGGAAGCACGACTTGATTTGTCGTACATGGCGAGGCCTACGTATACCAAGACACGCCTTGGAGTCACCAAAGCAAGCCACGGCCGTTTGTCATTGTCGACGTGATTGATAATGTAGCACACCAAGGAGCAAGATAAAAGCCAGCAGAATCGTCCATTTCAATACATTCCCAACACAACAACACCCAACCAATCTTCGACAGTCTCAGCTTCCAGTACTCTTCAACCAACAAGCCCGCCAAGCAGATTACCGAGCTCATGGCCTTCCAAGCATCAAGCACAGCAGACTTCGAATCATCCTTCCCAGCCCCAAAAGCATCGTGGTCAGACACCGAGGCCGCGAACAGCACCTACCTCTTCCACGGCGTCGACGACACACCAGGGAAGAAAGCATTCTTCATCCACCTCGAAGCCAAGCCGGGCAAGGAGGAGCAAGTGGCCAGCTTCCTACGCGATATCAACGACGGCGTCAACCAGGAGCCGGGGACTGGGCCGTGGTTTGGGAATCGATTCTCCAAATCCACGTTCTGTATCTTTGAAGCGTTTCCGGACGCTGAGGCTCGCCATGCTCACGTCGTCGGTCCGGGAGGGCAGAACTTCCTGAGGCTGGATTACTTGAGGGATGCGCTGGCTTCGCCGGCTCAGATCTACATGCTTGATGTATTGCATGGCAAGTTTGGAACGATGTTTGGCGAGAAGATTGCTCCTGTGTCGTCGTGATGGGAGTCGAGAAAGTAGTAGAAACTGATAGATGATGGGCAATGAATGCAAGTTGGATTTGAATCCGCAGCCACAGCTCAGTGCTGCAGTTCCGTCTCTCTTTCGATGGTTGGCTGTTCTCACATAACCGCTGCTGGGTCACTTATATACCGATGCCGTTCGACGTTGCCACATCTGGATCTGGGTAGTAAAAAGATGCAATGGCTATCACCACGTACACAATCTAGAAAGTCTGTCAGCTTGCCATTGTCTGGACGGAGGGCATCAAAGAATCGTAACGTACCACCAACAGCGCTCCCTCCAACCAGTTTGACTCCTGGTCACGGAGGAAGTTGCCGACCACGAGTATGGACAGTACCAATAACCCGATCATGAAGATCTCGAAGTTAAGATCCATCGGCTTGCCAATCAGCCAGCCCACGATCACCACCAGGGGTGCGTTGAAGAGAGCTGTCTGGATTGAAGGGCCAAGACAATGGTAGAGAGCAACGTTCATGACGCCATCCCAGGCTTCGTCGATGGCTGTCAAATGTTCCGCAGCTTTCTCAACCAGCGGAAGTAGGATAAGACCAAGGAACTGGTCGGGCACTCCAGCTTCGACAACGTCCTCGATCTGGTCCACCAGAATGATAAGCAGGAGGACAACGAGGGCGATGGCAATAGTGATGGCCAGCAGACACTCCGTCATTGTGAGCTTCTGCTTCTTCATGTCTTCTTCGTGGTCCAGATCTCCGTGTTCGTCGGCTTCAATCACTTCATCGAAGATGGAGTGTGCGCTTGTACAGCAGTAGACGAGGTAGAGAAAAAATGCGACGATCAGCACAATCGAAGTCATCTGACTGATCCTAAGGATGTCATGTTGTAGCTTGCCAGAGGTAAGCTTGTCAGAGGCTGCCTGCACCGTCTCGGACTTGAGAGCCGAGTAGAAAGCACTTGGAATGAGCAGGCCAAAGGCAGCAACGAGCAGAAGACCATTGCCGACCTCGGAAACGATGGCGTGAAACTTCTGGTTGGACTTGTGCTGTCTGATGCCGCCCATGAAAAAGCACAGGCCTAGGCATAAGAGCAGGTTCGTGAGAATGGATCCAAGAATTGCCGCTTGAATGATCGGAATCATGTTCCCTTCGTCCCCATTGCCCTCTTCTTCTTTGTGCTTTACGATGAGGACCACAAACAGTACAATCTCCACGATGGACCCAAAGGTCGTCTCAATCAAGATGCCGGCGACCTTGGGGAGCTTGCGCGCGAATTCCTGGCCGGCAAAGCCGAGAAGATTGGCTGCGGGTACCATTGCGATGTAGCTGGCGACAAAGATCCCGATGTGGGCGTTGGTGGCGAAGTACAAAATGACGGCCACGAGAGCCGCAGGCCATAGGACGTTGACATATTTCGAGACATTGCTAGAAGACCTCCAGCAAACGGCGAAGAAGTGTCGTGGGTGGAAGCCAGAGCGGCCGCTCTCTCCTTCGTGGGCTTGAGAACACAGTCAGCGGAGTGCCTTTTAGAAGGTCGTTATTGCAGCCTTGCTATCTCTGCGTACCTATGCCATCGGTGAGAGTGTGAGTGCCATGATGTTGTAAGAGCGGCGAAGATTCACCCGCTTGATGCGAGTTGCTGCCATGATGAGACACCATTGTCGGCAACGATGCTTCTGTTACAACACAGCAACGACGTGCAATACGCTTCGGAGCTTGATGGCAGATCGTAGGGAACAAACAGAACCTGGAAGGAAGAGGAGTTGCAAAGTTGGAGTCGTGGTCTGGACTTGTCGGTGGCTTTAAACTTCCATGGCGCCCAGACCCGACCACTTTCCAATGTGAGCAGGATTTTGCTACACATCGCGAAGTACGGTTGGAGGCGACGACGCACAGTCACTGATGGGGACGGAGGAGGCGGGCGAGCGAGAATTGGTAGATAGAGGGATATAGTTAAAGGGATGTGGTCTGCATTGCGAGCTACAACTACCTCCTACCATCTATACGAACAGCATGCACAGCACGATCTCCCGAGCAGTGGACCAGTCTGCGCGATACTAGCAACGTCATGCTCCGCCGCCGCAGGCTTCCAACATCATGACACGATTGGGAGCATGATGTGGTCGATCGATGCGTCTCCCGGTGTCAGGGCGTAGTTGGCAATCGTCTAATGCTGTCGGCATGCCTCCTTATCGGACGGAGTCCTTGATGCGAGCTCGAACGTTCCGTTGCGGCGGTGTTGCTTCTCATCATCCAGCCGTGGCGCACCATGTTTTGGATCAGTGATGAAGAGTCGTGTTCGACAGATGCGAGCCATGGCGGGCTGCTTCCACTAAGGCGCGCTTTCATTGTTTCCCCGTTTCCCCGTCGATGGTGGTGAATCACAGGCGCTGCCTGGAACAACGTTGCCTCCCTCAGTCCTACCCACCCGTACCTACGTTCGCACCTCCTCGATATCCACCCACCTGACTTGCAAAGCTCGTTGAGATGCTCCTCGCATCCTCATCGTCGCCCAGTGTAGTCCTGTTGACCGGACCTCTGCCTGCACCGATCGGCGGTTGCTGCACGCTTTGCTGCTGCGCCTCAACGTACCTGCGGAGCTTGTCGCTTTGACTCAGGCTGGCCTGTTTGTTGAGATCGTTGATCGAGAGGCCGGCAAGGCTGACGCCGCCCTGGCCCGGGATGCCGTTGCGAGTCGTGGAGGTGAGATCGGTGACCTCGGAGGCTGCAACGCTCTCGCCGGCGACAGATTGAGGGCCTGGCGCCGGGGCACGAGGAGCGGATCCGCCGCGAGCATTAGGAGGCAGAGTTGGCCAGGTGTCCTGGAAGCTCTGGAACATTGGTGGGTACGCCGGCTGCTGGGCTGGGGCGAGCGGAGCGCCGCCGCCACCTCCAAGTGTAGAGGAGTGAATTGAACTGACGTCGTCGGGAATGTAGCCCGCAACGCTTTGGCCTTCACCATTTCTGCTTCCACCGTTCATGCCTCGTGGTGGTCCAGCCGCCATCTGTCCGCCGGCGGCGTTGTTCATGCCCATTTGGAAGCGCTGTGGGCCGCGATAAGCGACCTTCGGACGGCCGAACTGCAGCAAGCTGGTTTGCAGGTTCGTCAATGGTCCTTCGACCAAGCAGCCGCGCTCCTTGAAGTGCAGCAGCAGAAAGTGCCACAACGGATGCTTCGCCAGGACTTTGGGGTTCCCAAGAATGACCAGCCCATAGCGAGCACGAGTAAGAGCCACGTTGAGACGGCGCGGGTCTGACAAGAAACCGATGCCTTGGTGCTCGTTTGAACGGACACAGGACAGCACGATAAAGTCCTTCTCACGACCCTGGAAAGCGTCCACGCTGGCCACTTCGATCTCGCGGTACAGATCTTTCTTAAAGCTGCCCGAATTGGCCATGTTCTGTACGACATAACTGCGTTGGCCCTCGTACGGAGTGATGATACCAATCTCGCCGGGCTGGACACCAGCTTTGAAGAAGCGTGTGACAATCTTCTCCACGTTGCCGGCCTCCGTGCGATTGAGGTAGGACGTTCCGCTGGCGCTGATCTCTTCGTTGCCGAGATTCGACCAAAACATCATCGGACGCTCTCCACCTGGACCACCTCCACCAGCGGGCCATGGGAAGTCGACTTCACGACGGATGCGCTGTTGCATCGTTACGCCGTTCTGTAGCGAGCCTTCGTAGAACATGTTGGATGGGAACTCGGACAGGGCCGGGTGCATGCGATATTGGACTTGCAGGCGTACTGGTACCACGCCGAGGATGACGAGGCGCTCGAAGAGGGACTGATTGAGCCCAGCCTTCGCAGCGCGCTTGGACATGACGACGGGCCCGAGCTGCTGGTGATCTCCGACCAAAACAACTTGCTTGCAGCCTAGTACAAGCGGGATCAAGCACTCTGGCTCGGCCGACTGTGTGCTCTCGTCGATCAGCACAGTCCTGAATTTCAGCTTCGCCAATCTCGGATCTCCAGCGCCAACACAGGTCGTGCAGATGACATCCGCATTCGTCAGGATCTCGCGTTCGGCCGCACGTGTCAGAGTCTTGAACTTCTTCTCGTCCTGGCTCGACAGCTCGCCCAACTCTGCCTTCAGTTGCATCAGCTTCGCAAGTTCCGGGTTGGTGTCGTTCATGCCAACTTGACGATGGAGACTGAGAAAGCCGACTGAGCTTTCAACATCCTCCCGAGACTTGGCTGTCACACGCACGACTTTGAGCTTGGTCAAGTGGATGCGCTCGCAAAGCTGATCGACCGCAACGTTGGAAGGGGCGCAAACCAAGACCTGGCCCTGGTTCATTTTAGCGAGGTGGTGGATGATCGTAGCTGAGGTGACCGTCTTTCCGGTCCCGGGTGGACCCTGGATGAGCGAGAGCGGCTTCTGAAGGACAGACTTGACAGCATTGATCTGCGAGCCGTTGAGCTCGGGCAAGCCTGGCACCGAAAACTTTCGAGGCAGCTGGGTCTTCATGGGAGCAGCAGCGACTTCGTGGCCCAACAGGCGATGGAAGATGTAACCGGAGACAGACATCTCATCGAGCGCGAAAGTCTTCATGGCAAACTGCATGCGATCGAAGCTGGTAGCCTTCCAAACATAGTCGGCCGTGAAGTTGTGGGTGCACTCGGTGGGTACGCTGCCGCCGCCCTTTCCTCCTTCTCCACTGGTTCCTCGTCCGCGCAGTTCAAGCGTAACCTCGTCGCTTTGGTTGTTCGGGATCTTGATGACGTAACCCACGCCGTCCCAATGTGGTCGAAGTTCGCCGACGTAGCGCAGGCGCATCTCGTCTCCGACTGCAAGCTTGACGTCGCCAAGTTCGAGTTTTGGCAATGTGAAGGAAGCAAGGTGCTTGTTGTTCAAGCCAAAGTCCCAGCGAACGATGAGATTGTCCTGTGATTGCGCTTCCTTGAGCTTGCGATCGTAGTCGGCCTCAATCTTGACGAGCGGTCCGAAGACATTCTGGTACTGGTAGGCGTCATCGTAGCGGAGTAAGACCGGGTTTGGATCGTCGTCCAGTGTGCCAGCACTTAAGCCCTTCTCGAGATCCTGGATGGTGGCGCTGCTGTTGTCCTTCCACATCTCTTCCAGCTTTGCAAGAACCTGCGGGCTGAGGTGACGCGCGCGCATTTGCTCTTGATCTGTTGGACTATTGACGAGCCACGGCAAGAACGAGCGATCGGTGATGAGTGGTTCCCATTTTGAGGTGTCCCAGTTCATGTCCTTGCCACTGCCACCCATGCTCGCACAAGGCTGCCTGCACAGCAGCACGACCACCGTATCCGACTTGGCAGGGATGAAACCGAGCAGGAAGACGTTCTTCGTGCCACAGTTGTAGCATTCCAGCGTGGTGTCGCCGAGGGGAGAGGCAGGGTGTAGCTGGACCTCCTTGTGCCGTGCGCGTACGAGATGGTTGATGATGTGGCTGGTGCTGGTGTTGCCTCGTGCGGAGCAGAACCATTTCGAGCAAGCCAGACACTTGACCACGGAGCCCTCGTTGTGGATGCCGCAGTAGGCACAGGCGTGCGCTGGCAGCTCGATGTCCTCCTCTTGCCCGGCGTTGTCGCCCTTGCCCGCCTGCGCACCGTTGACAGCATGCGAGGCCACGCTCTCTACATCGTCGTCGTCGTAGGCCTCGGTCTCGTCATCGTCACCCACTCTCCTCCTGCGCGGGCCACCGTTCAGGTTGCCACGGCCATATTCGCTGTCCAGCGCACTTTCGCCGGCGTCCAGCGTGCTGAGGTCGTCGCCCTCGTTATTGATGGCGGATGCAGAGTCGCCGACGAGGTGATTGCCGACGTTGGTAAAGGTTCCTTCCATCATCTTGGCGGAGTATGAGTGTGTTCGTCCGCCGCTCCGGCCAGCCTGGTTGATGGCAGTGCTGCTTGAGCCGGGTGGGCGAGTTGGTGGGCGGCCAGAGGCCTCCGATGTTGCTGATTCCTCGCGACACCCGGTCCCGAGAGTCCAGCCAGGTGTGAGTATCGTTGTCAAGGTCACTGACCTGCGCGTGTGGTGAAGCACGAGAGAATGGAAGTCGCAGCGAGAAGCGTCGGCCTTCAGGCTGCCCTTCCGCGAAGTCTTGGCAATATCAAATGGCCCGTGCGGCCGGAATTTCTCTGCTCTCCAACGACACACTCCACCTCCCAGAACATACACCATCACGTGCAAGATGTTGCGGCGACAGGCGAGACAGCGGCGCGACTACATCTACCGGCGTGCGCTCACCCTCCGTGACGCTGAGACTGCAGAGAAGCGGTCCAAACTGAAGCAGTCGCTCGCCACCGGCAAACCTCTGGACCCCAGCATCGCCAACGACAAGCAGCTGCGCAAAGACTATGCTTACGACGAGAGCCGAGCCGACCGGACGACCGAGGAAGAACTGGACCTGGATGATGAGTACAGCTACCTGTCAGGAGTCGTGGACCCGCGGGTGCTGGTGACGACTTCACGAGACCCGAGCTCGAGGTTGGGCAGTTTCGCGAAAGAAATCAGATTGCTACTTCCCACGTCCATCAGACTGAATCGAGGCAATCTCATTCTACCAAACTTGGTTTCGAGCGCAAAGTCTTCCGGCCTTTCCGACGTCATCCTCGTGCATGAGCATAGAGGCACCCCAACAGCGCTCACGGTATCGCACTTCCCACACGGACCTACGGCGAGCTTCTCCTTGCACAACGTGGTGCTTCGGCATGACATTCCCAACGCCTCTCGTGGCACGGTATCAGAGTCTTATCCTCACCTGGTCTTCGAAGGCTTCACTACACCTCTCGGTCGCCGTGTCGTGAAGATTCTGCAGCACCTGTTCCCTCCACGCGAAGGTGGCACGAAGCTTGGCAGCCGCATCGTCACATTCAAGAACATCGAAGACGCCATCGAGGTACGGCACCACGTCTTCGTCAAGACCGGGTACGAGAGCGTAGAGCTGGCGGAGGTGGGCCCCAGGATGACCATGCGGCTGTTTGAGATTCGACAAGGCACGGCGGAGAACAAGGATGGAGATGTCGAATGGAGTCTCAATCAGTATACCAGGACCAGCCGCAAGAAGGATTATCTGTGAAGCTTGAAAGCTTTCATCACGTCCAGCAGGAAAGGATTGAATTGGCCGCACTGTGTACACTCAACAGCCCGCGACTCTTGCGAATATGACGAGCACCCACAGCGGACTCTCTTGCTAGATTGTCCGGCCACCAACACCGAGCGCCAGAAGCGTGATCTCGCCCAACCGAGGGAATTGAGGGCCACCTTCTCCTTCCTGAGTGGCTCTCGGGATGGCACAGTGCGGTGCTTCATTATTACGTGCGACACGCTGTGCCCAAGGCACGACATTTCCAACGAGAACTCTGCCGCAGGCCGCTGGTACCAGCCCTCTTGGGATGCCATGGCGTCCGCCGAAGCCCCAGACCCGAACACAGATGGAGCGCAAAGCGCTGTTGTTTGAGGACGTCAATTGGGATTATCCGAAGACCACGACGCAGTCGAGCGTGGACATGTTTCAGCTTCTTTGTGACGTATGGCTACATAGAACGTAGCGACGCAACGAACGAGAGACACTGCTTGTTTATGTGCAGACTTCGCCAAATTGAGTTCCTCTCGAATGCGGCAAGCATAGATTTCTCCGGCGACCAGCGTCAGAAGCGCCCCTAACAACAGACTCTTGTACAGATTACCGCTATTCTGCGGAACCGAACGCTGAGACCTTCCAAGCGAGTGTGACCGTTATTGCCACCAGAGCCACGCCGATAGTGAAGTTCCTCACCGCGCCCAGCATCCATGCCCGTGTCTCCCTGTCAACTCTATCGTGGAAGCCAGCAGCAAGGTTAACATGGGGAAATGGCTCCGCTGGCACATCCTTTCCCAAAAAGCTACAAAGCGGCTCCCAGCCTTCTTCGACGCTCCACTCCAACAACCTGCCTTCCTCTCTGACCAAACCCTTCACCATGGCGCAATGCTCCCGATAAACCCATTTTCCGTTGCCCATGATCCCCAAGTCGAGACTCTGTCCCATGCACCGGAACAACCCTGGGAACACAATGCGCTGGCCAGTCGTCCAGGCCCAGAAAAAGTCCTTTTGGAACCACGACGCAAGATACAGCACCCAGCTGTGCTCGGTGGCGACAATGTTCTTCTCTATCGAGGCATGCCAGCTTTCGAGATTAGAGCGCTTGTTGATGATCACTTTGGCCTCAGGGTAGGCCTTGATGATCTCGGCGGCGAATGCGGAAGCAGGAACGTCGCAGACGGCCACAGCGTGTCCAAGAAGAGCGTCGAACTCCGCTGCCGTGATTTCGCAGTCTCCACCGCTGTCTGCAGTGCCGAGAAACTTCCTTCGTGCGAGTTTGGCCCAGCCGCGCATGTTATGGGCCTCCTCGAAGAAGACGTCCCAGCCATGGTATGTATGTTCGTAGCCCAGTTTGAGTAGAGCGTGTTGAAGGGATTCGGTCGCTGATCGTGGTGGCCCAACGCAGATGACTTGCATTGGCCGGTCTTTGGGCCGGACTCGCGGTCTGGGCGGTTGGTAGTAGACGTAGTCTTCGAGAAAGAGCCAGAGGCGAGTGTTGTATAACGCCATGTGGGTTGGGTTGGATACGTGGTCGGACCGTGTTGGAAGCTACGGGACTGTCAAGGTGCTTTGCACAACTGTGGATTCTCACGATGCGAACGGCATGCTGGAAGTGGCGGCATGTTGTCTGTTAAGTGATTGCGGGCGTTGCGGCTGAGATGCCTCTGCTGCTGCTGCTGCTGCTGCTGCTGCTGAGCGAGAACGAGAGCGACTGGAGGGCCCAAGGATGCACATCGTCGACTAGGAAGTAACAGCCGCGCTTCAGCCTTCGCTTTCTTGCCTCAATGAACGTCGTTATACGACGCCTTACCCCAATGTCGTCCGAGTACTGAAGGGCCATAGGGACCTGCCCATCTCAAGCCTTCGTGCTGACAATGGCTAGGAGGTTGTGGCGGTTGCGGTCTTAATGTGCTTTCAAGAAGGCGATAGGAACATAAACGACAATACGACATTACGGTGGTTATACTGAAAAGCCTAACAATCCAACACTGCATGAATCCGTCATCCCCAGACCACACGACTGCGTGTGCTGCTTTCCGCGCTGCCAGGCTGAGCCTTCGGACTGTTCGCGCCCAAGTCTCCTGCCGCCCACCCTTCCCCCGAGTCCGCTTTACTGCCACTGCTCGACGGCAACGACTCCTTGCTCGACCGCCGCCCCCTGCCGGCCACTCCATTCTTGATCGAAACATCGTAAAGGCTGTCACTCGTCATTCTCTTCATCCCTCGGTCGGTACGATATCCGCCCAAGCTGCCATCCGCCCGGTGTTGCCCATGGATTGTCCTGAAACCGTCAGCCTGCGACCCAGGGCTGCGGACGTTGGGATACGGGCTGTTCGGGCTCCGAGGAGACATTGCAGGACTGCCAAATGTCCCTGTTGATGCCACTGGCGGGCTACCAACAGGGCTTCCCACTGGGCTGCCCACGAGCTTTCGTTCGGGTACTACTGTGCCATTGAGTGGGCCCTGGTTCCCGTTCTGTGAGCCAGACGCACCAGCAGTTCGTGGGAAATAGTCTCCAGGCGTGTTTGCATTGGGCTCCAATGGCGTGGATGCCGAGCGATTCGCAGGACCCATGTTCTTGGTTCTGGTCGCAGCCGCTTGCACAGACGCCATCGTGTCTTCTAGCTGTCGAACACTGTCTTGCAGGGCCTGGTTCTCTTCCTGCAGAGCCTTTCTCTCCTGCCGTTCCTTCTCCGAAGTCTCAATTGCTGCCTTTGCGTAGTTGCTGGCAGAGGCCAGCTCTTTCGCGAGGTTCGCGAGCTGATCTTGCAACACACTGATTTGACGCTGCAACTCATCTCGCTGCTGCTTCTCAGACTCAGAACGATTGATCGCAGCCTGCTTTTCCTCCTCGACCATCACCAGCGCGGCTCGCTTTTCTTCTTCCAAGAGAGCATATCCTTGGTGCTTCCTCAGCCCGGCGTTGGTCTGTTTTTCTTCCTCCAGCTCCTCCTTGAAACGTGAGATTGTGTCATTAGCAAGCTCAGTCTGCCCTTTGGATGCTTCTAGCTGTCGCCAGAGCTCATCCCGCTCCGTTTGCATTGCTTTCACCAGCTGCGCCCGAGATTCGTAAGTCCTGCCCTTCAAGGCAGTGTCATCCATGAGCCGCTTCTGCTCATGCTGCTGGGACTCAATCTGCTTGTTTGCAATGTCCACCTCGTCTCTCGCCTCCGACACCATGGCGTTCAGGCGTTCAATCTCCAACTCCCGGCCTTTCAATTCGCCGATGGTGTCCGCGAGGTCCCTTTTCGCAGTCTTGAGCTCTGAGAAGCCATTCTGCCGGTAGTCTTCAATCGTCGCAGTCATCTTGTCAGCCAGAACGTGAGCGCACTCCGGATGTAGCCCTTCGGCAGCGACGTGAACCGCCAATCCGCGCTGAGGACTTCGGTACGTAACATCCGCGCCGTGGCTCAACAACACCTCGATGCAGGATTTGTCGCCTCGCAGTGCCGCCATGATCAAAGGAGTATCTCCTGCCAAATCTCGGGCGTTGATGTCGGCTCCCTTTTGTACCAGGACCGCGACGCACTCGGAAGTCATGTGCTTCGCTGCATTGATTAAAGGTGTGGACTGGTCCTCGCCACCGGTCACGTCAACCTTGATGCCGGGTGCCTTGAGAAGCAGATCCAGTATCTCGGACTGCGGTCTTTGAGTCGCTGCTGTGATTGGGTTCATCAGTGTGCCGCCTCCGAGATTAGGGTCAACGCCATGGTCCAACAGAAGCTCCACCACGCGTACCCTGTTGTTCTCACACGCAACCTGCAATGCGGTTCCGGAGAAGAAGCCAAGTTCATCGTTGTCCGGGACCTTTCTGTTGGGAAGAGCGCCGTGCTTGAGCAGTTCTTCCACAACCTCCGTAAAGCCCTCGCGGCTACTGAGCACAAGTGCGTAGTCTTGATCGCCGTCGACTTCGACATTTTTGTCAAGTAAAGCCTTCACCAAAGCTACGTTGCCTGTACTGGCAGCTGCGTTCAGTGCGTTGGAGTACTCGGTGGCGGACCGTACATCCGAAGAGTCTGTGGGTAGTGATTCCGGCTTTGCAGCTGAAGCATTTGGGTTCGCACCACAAGTACCGAGCAGCCAAGCGACCGTACTGTCCTTCTTCAACACCGTGGCTTGGTACAGAGAGAAGTCACAGACATCTTGCGCAACAGACTGATCGGTGAAGTTCCAGATCTTCTCAAGTACGTCAATCCGCTCTTGTTGGGCAGTAGCGGCCATCCAGAAAGCATCGTTGAGCCGGACGTCTCTCTTGTTGCCATGGGCTGTACCTTTGGCCGCGAATTCCAATAGTTCGTTCGCACAGCTCCAATGTTTCTCCGAAGCAGCTTTGACAATCGCACGCTCAAGGGTGTTGAACGTGTACACGTGAGGGAAGCGGAGAAGGGTCTTCAAATTCTCCAGGCGGCCATTGTAGGACGCGGCGACCAGTGCGGAGTCCAGGAGCTTGATGTTCTGCAGCCACTTGCTCTTCCCGGTCTCCAGAATGTCCCGGAAAAGAGTGGGTTCCGACATACGTGCGGCAAGCTCCAGTGGTGCAACACACTTGGTGTAGTCGAGATCGAAGCGAACATCCTGATCCATGATGAGCTTCACAGCGTCTACCGTTCCGGACAGGATGGCAGCGTTGATGACAGGGCCAAGCTCGTCACTTGATGCGTTGACGCTGGCATTCCTCCCAAGGAGCAGTCTGATGACAGAGCAGTTGCCGTGTTTCGCAGCAAGGTGGAGGGCGGTACCTGCTTCACCTTCTCCCGCTTCAATGTCAGCACCAGCACGTTCCAAGGTATCAACTACCTGTGTCCGGTTGTTCAGCGCAGCGACGTGCATCTGCAGAACAGTTAGCAGACAATCCTGTTCGATCGCGTAGGCTTTTACGTACTGCTGTCAAACCCTTGTCACTGGTCCAAGCCAGGGACGATGGGCCGTTCCAGTCCACGATGAAGCTGACGAGCTCTGTCGCACCGATGCCAGCAGCGATGTGGAGCGCCGACATGCCCTTGGTATTGAGTCCTTTTAATGATGCGGTGTCCACCGCCTGGAAGTCCTTCAACCAGGCATTTCGTAGCCACGATGTTTGGCCCCAGAAGTCCGGGTCGTCTTCGTGGAGTAACTGCGCGACGTCGGGAAAGCCTTCGCCCAGATGCCGGAAGAGGTATTTTACAGGATAAGAGCAACTCAAGGTCGAGACTTGCGAAGCATAAGTTTGGTTGCCGTCAGCTTCCTCGTCGTCAGCTGTCAGATCGAGAACTTTGGCATCCTCGTCGATGCGCGCGGTGACTGTCTTGGATGGAGACCGCATAAGCCCTGCAGCGACCTCTGCCAGTCGTCCTTTTGGCTTTCTGGTTCGGTACAGTGTTTTAATGTACTCGAAGCATCGCACGGCAACAACACCATGATGATACCTCTTGGATGAGCTCGAACAATCAGACTGCGGGTAAAAGATCGTACGCAGTCGTTCCTCGAACGTGGAGTCGGCCCATACGACCTTTCCCTTCTTGTCTGCTTCTCCCATGACAACAAGCGGTGCACATTTGCGTATCAGCTCAGCAAGCCGTTGATGATCATCGATCTTTGTGAGAACGGCCAGGTCGGCCAAAGTCGGTGGCTCATAGGCGATGGTGAGAGCTTGCATGAGGTCCTCCACGTCGTCTTTGGCATCCTGGGATTGGTGCAGAGTCTGCATACGGTCAGTGAGAGTTCGTTTGTTATGCATCTCATGTAAAAACCAACCGCTTCCCACGCATTATCCACAAGTTGGGGCAGCTTCATCGTCTGACGGGATCGCAACCATCTTGTAAGGGTAGATCCACTGCTGGCAGGCATCGCTTGGAGCAAGATGCAGAGAATGTCAATCCACTTGTCTTCCTCGCCTTGGCTCTCAATCGAATGGCGGACGGTATATGCGAGATCTGGGCTGTAGTTCTTGTTCGACTGTAGCTGCAAGACTGCCTCCTTCGCATGTCTTTGGCGGGCATCCTTGAGCTTGGCACCGTATTCACGGTCGTTGTCGAGATCAATGACTGCAATGCTGCTCGAGGTCAAGTATCGACGGAGGGAAGTGTCGTTGCGGCTCGTAATTAGCCACTTTGCCTTGCGAGCAGCGAGCGGTTGTTTCTCGGTGGATACCGCATGCTCATTCAGTCTCGAGAAGAAGGCATTCGTGGACCCACCAGGCTCAAGGAGGTGGGTATTATTGACTGCCAGAAATATGGTATTGACAGCTGGATCGTCGATCATGTCTTGAAGACATTTCCAGAGATTGTCAACGGTCGTGGTGGCTTTGGCTCCCGACGCTTCTAGCCCGTTGTCTTCAAGCTCATGCTGGCGAGGAGTTGTGCTGGGTGCGAAGTATCGAGCAGGCACATGAGCCAGGCTTTCTCCGGCTGGAGTATTGAGTAGTTGCGTAATGAGGCTTTTCAATACGCCCTCAGAGGTACAATAACCGGAAGCCGGCTCACAGAGAAAGAAGGCCAGAAAGTTCCCGCTTTGGCCCACGGTACCGTCACTGCCGTTGTGGTCTCCGAGATGCGAGTGGGTTATTCCTTGGATGGCCGCGAGTGTTGCATTCGTCTTGCCCACACCGGCACCTCCACGGAGTAATAGATGAGACGGACCGCCTCCATCGCCGCTGCCAGTCAACCACTTTTGGTAGACACTCTCTGCAGTCAGCCAGCTATTGATCGTCCGCCCTCCCACCTGGGTACGAAACTTAGTGAGCATCTCAATACCCTCGCCAGCGAGTGACTGTCGGACGAGGTGGATGATTTTTGGTGACAAGTTCTGACCGGAAGACAAAGCTCGCTTCCTGGCGGTGATTTTTGCAGTTCCCACCATTCTCTCAAGTGCTCGTTTGATCGGACCGAACTTCAAGTCCTGGATGCTGTCGAACTTGATCAGATTCGTGTGGTTATCAGCCATGCTGATCTCTTGCGATCCTTTGAGGACAGCAGACTCCTTGTCTACGAAATGCTGCACAACGTGTCAGTGAGTCCACGCCGTCTTTAATGCGGCCGTACTGACTGTGCCAGTATTGGAGAGCATGCTGCCAAAGTTTACGAGCGCACGTGCGCTTGCTTTCACAGCAGCGTTTCCTTTCAGGATGCCTGGGAAGCTTCCAGCGATCTTCTCGGAGTACGAGATGCTTGTGGGTACCTGTTCCCAAACGCAGGTAATGTCGGTCGGAGGCGAGAGCTTCAGGGTAACGTCGATGAAGTCGTCGGTGACCTCGTCCAAAACGTCGTTCGTCTCGCTTTTCATGAACGACAGAAGTGCCTCGTATGCCTCATTGCCGAAGACGGAGCTGTAGAGTAAGGCAATCTTTGCCATGTCGGACCCGCGGAAGGGCGCGCCGAAGAAGATACAGCCGACCGTACAGTTGATGATTGGTTGAAGTTCTCGATGCGGCCTTGCGATGCAGAAAGCCTGAGCTCATTAGCACATGTATACGTCCCCGCAATGCCGCCGTACCTTTGCAATGACAACTCCACCCATACTGTGGCCAAGAAGTATGAGTGGCCGAGTGCTTTCGGTTGCTCCCTGCGAATGGTCAGTATGACTTCAGCAAAACTCGATTCTGCAGCACGTGCACACACCTTTCGTTTCGCCTGCAAATCTTCCAACAACCAACCGCAAATACTCTTCATGGTTGCTCTGACCTTGTACCGCCCTTGCCATGCTGAAGCGTACTGGTAGACCTACAAGCGAGGAGGTCAGAAGTGGTCTTGGGCACGGTGTCATTCCGCTAATTGATGGTGTACCATGATGCGACTCTTTGGGAAGACAGATGCCAGTCCATCTGGATCTCGGAGCCAGTTGAAGCCGCCATTCTTTTGCGGAGCACGAGGAGGTGCACCTTCGGCCTCGAGCGCATCTGTTGCAGAGCTGGAGTGTGGTTTCTTGTCCGTATTGCGCGTCCAGCATTCCACAGGATCCGTTCCCAAGCCTGGAACCGCAAGTATACTGAGGAGATTAGCTCATTGCAGTATTAATGTTCACGGACGGTGGGAAAAGCTCACTCAACATCAGGGTACTCGTGCTGATGGAAGATTGTGATGCCCTGGCCAGGCGTTCGACGAATCTTTTTCTCTTCATATTCCACGGACATGATGGCGGTCGTGGGACTTTTGGCCCACTTGGTAGATCTGATGAAGTTTGAGCTGTTGGCATGTAGATGGACGAACAGACCGACCAGCGCAAGTCCAAGTCTCTGAGGACGGTCAAATCAGCACACCGAGGAAGTTGGGGACAGCCACAACGTAGCCTCGTCTGTTGCTCTCCCTAGTCGTCAGCACGCTTTAGGCGTAGTCAGAGAGCAGAACCGTTGATAGTCACTGCAGCCGCACTTAATGAGCAATCTCTTGGATGCAGCTCACCCGCTCTAAGCAGCTTCGTCCAGCTGGATGGCCAGTCCGAGACGATGGCCTGGAGATCGGCATCGAGGAGGACCATGTCAAACGAGGCTCGCCAGGCACGCTCTGGATTGTGTCTGTCAAAGTCCATTTCCGCTCATGCGCATCCAGGACCCGCAGGACCAGAACGCACGCAGCCTCGCATCCCGAGCGCGATCGGCGCACAGCATGACACGTGCTCGCCAGCCACGGCTCGAAAGGGAACACAGCTACTCAGCTCCATCGAGCGAAAAGCCATGCTCGCTTGGAGTCGTCCAGCCTTGCAGCACCCAGGTCCAGAAGCTCGTCGGTTAGTGCTGTACCCGCCGTGCGCAGCCTCGTCAGTCCCAGCAGACACCCGTCACGAGGCTGCGAGCATCGTGGACGACTTAGGGCTGTTTCCTGAATGGGGTTCTGGTCCAGATCTCGCTCGAGGAGCACAGGGAGGACGTGTTGGTTGAATTACAGTAGCCTCCTGATCGACAACCGAGCCGTCTCCCGCCCGTTGATCGAGCTTGATGCGGGAGGCTAAAATGGCGTTGCAGTAGCGTACCGGGGGAGTGAAGAGTCTCGCCGCAGCCTCGTTGCCTTCTTTTCATGCATCCTGCAGGTGCTCGGGAACTGAGGCATTTGAACCGAACGAGCCAGATGATGGACGTGTCACACCCCTCGCCCAGATGCATCGGGACAATCTCGCGCCATTACCAAGCGGGCGTCAGGGGAAGCTAGCCCTGCCGCAGTTTGTGCAAAGTGCGAATTGTCGGCTGTGGCAGGTCGACTAGTGAGCAGTATGTATGCCTTGAGCGATGGAGGGCTTCAAGCACAACTCCCAAGACCGGCATGGCGACCGGATCAACAGCCGCCCCAGGACCCATCGACGCTGGAGTCCTACCCGCCGCACATCGTTTGTGGGGGACTGGAAAAGACAAAGGCGGTTTCGTGCTGGTACTGCCTTCGAAACACCTGGAGTCCTTTCTGGAGTCGGATCTGTGCACAAAGCGAATCAACAACATCTCATCTTACCTCTGGGCAGTAGGCCGTCCACATCTACCGCGATCGCTGAGCACTCAAGGTGTGCTCGAACGTAAGATCGTACCGACAAACGATGCTTCGCTTCATCTCGTATGGACACCTGGACGGATCTACGTCAAAGCACTGCCAGACTACATATGTTCAACGCACTTCTACGAACACCACCTCCGTCCATCACCCCATTATCGTCAAGCACTTGGCCTTCTGTACTCGTACATAGCGCTGGTACCAACTCTTTTGGACTTCAAACTTGCCAAAGACGCCGGCCTGTTTCGCGAAGACTACGAATGGACTGACTGGCAAACCCTGGTCAGCAACACCTTGGAAGATTACCCGGGCGACACCATTCACAACCACATCCCACCCCGCTACAAATACGGAGAGTTGCGACTTGGACGACTGAACAAGATCTATCGTCTGATCCGCGGCGAATGGTTGTATGGTTACTCAAGTCTCTTTGGCGCTCAGACCTACGGAGGCTTCATATCAGAGCACACTGTCGCCATCACAACCACGACCGTCTACCTTGTCGTCGTCTTGTCGGCCATGCAACTGGGAATGGCAACGTCAGCGAACGCGTTGATCGGTGACTCGACCTTCCGAAGGGCATGCTACGGCTTCGCGATCTTCGCCATCCTCTCGCCCGTCATAACAGCCGGGCTGGTGGTGATAGTTGCTTGCTTCCTGTTCTTTGTCAATTGGTTCCGAACGAGACGTCATGGCCAGCAGGTCAACAAGGCAAGAGCGGCTCCAGCCAGCCCGTAGCGTAGTTGCATCTGTTGTTAGAATGAGGCCGACGATGGGGTAGGACAGGAAGACATAGTATGGACAGAAATGTTAATCAATCAATTTGCCCAAACTGCACTACAGAAATCTGTCTTCCCACCGTTGATAACACCTTCCGGTGAAACTGTTCCATCGTTCACTGCAACGCCATCTCCGACGGTGATACCACTCCATACTACCCGGCTGCCTTGACCGTCTTTGCAGCGACAAGCACCCGTCGATCCTGCATACGATGAGACTCTGTCGCATCCCCCTCAGAGTCTCTCACCAGCGCTGGAGATACAACGAGCGTTCTGCCATAGCCGCCTTCTCCGCTCGACCAGTCAAAAACGTACGATGAAGACTGCGTGAAAAGCAGTGTTCCTGCATCGCTGGCTTGGAGAAGGATTTTGTGCAGACTCAGGCTCGCCTTGCTCTTCCTGGAAATTTCCCACGGCGACAACGCTTCTGTCAACCTCTGAACTGCAATCTCGATCTTGGAGTTGAGCTGGCTCCTGGATGCATCATGGGTCCTCGGCTCTTGTGCGAGGAAGCCTGTCAGCTTGCGCCATTGAGAAAATGCTTGCGTAAATCCTGTTGCTGTTGGTCAGTACGCAATCGTAGAAAAGCTTGCTTAACAGGCCTACCTCGCTGCCCTCGGCTCCGGGTGCCGTCGACAGACCCGTCCCTCTCCATATGCCATTGATTCATCTCGGGGATTGCGGTGAGCTCCGCCGGTAAGAGTGATTCAGCTGCCGCTGATCTTCCAGATATCCTATGGACGACCCAGCGGACTAATACAGCCTCAAGAAGTACTGCGGCATCGCTGGACTGCATCAGCGTCCAGGGAAGGCTGTCTGACGAGACCCTCTTGACGCCCTCAATATCTCCTTGTGAGATTAACCCCGGCTTTGCTTCGTAGAAACCTTCGACGTGGGTCTGAATTTGGTTGAAAACTGATTCCAATGCTGAGCTGATTGCACCGTCGCCTTTGTCTTGTGGTATGTGTTTGGTCCAATCGGTCACGCCGGACAGCGTGGTGGCAACTCTTGGCCCTTTGTCGTTCGAGAAATGCCTTGCGCCGTTGCTTCCAGTGCTGGACTGATCCTCTTCGGCCTGCGATGGCGTGGGCTTTGCCTTTCGCCGTCGCAAGCACATGAAAATCAGAGCGCACAACACCAGGCCAGCAAAGAATGCGCCCACGATGCCTCCAGCGAGAGCACCTGGCGGAATTCCGTCGGCGTCTTGAGATGGGTCATCTGTTGATGGTGGAGTGTGTACGGAAGAGCGTGAGGAGGTGGAAGCGCTGATCGACAGCGCACTTGATGCTGCCGGTGAGCCAGGACTCGACGATGGCCCACCAGTTGCCACTGCTGGTGGCGAGGTCTGCCCTGTCTCGAATGCCTGTTGCAGTTGGTCGAACAATAGACCCACAGTCACCTTTCTGGGAAGGTGGTTTGTATATGGGATGTATAAGGTGACTGATTCTCCCAAAGTGACGCTGTCATATGCTGTGAGCGTCGCAACTGCCGTATTCCCAGCAGTTGCGCTCAAGACGTAAACCGTCCCACCGGATCCAGTGCCCAGTTTCTCCGAAGGAATCGATAGTGCATCGATCAATGTGGTCGCATCCACTACTGTCGACGTCGAGACCGAGAAGGGAAGATATAGAGCAAATCCGTTATCTTTAACTACTGATGGAGTACCACGCGGAACATCCACAGGTGTGGGGCTGGGGTCGGCGAGATATTTGAGATACGGCGACGAGCTCGGGGGGCAGAAGATTGTAGTTGGACCATTATATGTCGAGGCTGATGTTGAGCTCGAGGGCGTCGAGAGTGTACCCACCATGTTTGAAAGGAAGATTTTCCAATGGTGCTGAGGATTGCGGCGACGAGATTTGGTGGGCAAGTCTGAAATGAGGCCGGCCACAGAAAAGAGATGTGCAACAACGTCAAGAGGTCAGGATCTGGGAGGGCTGGAGCAAGAACGGTGGCTCCGACGACAACCAAGGGCAGTTCGCTCCTACGACTTCTGAATGCCAATCAACAACAGAGATCTGTAGGACGTGACAAGGCTGCGCTAAACCCGTGCAGCATGCGGGCAGTGATTTCGTGGGTTCGTTTAGCATGGGTGCGATGGTCAGGTGTGAGTAAGGTCTGCGACTTGTCAAAGCTTCTGTACGTTCCTGCAACAGCTGCAGGATCGGCACACAAGCGGCATGGTACTGACCGGTGAAGAGAACGGCCAATACAGTAAAAACGTTTGTGCAAGAAGCCAAATGGTGCATGCAATGCTGTATGATCAGCCATTGAACATGCACCGATCGACATAGTGCAGCAAGGCTGAGACATATGCAGACGCCACTAGTCATGCACTCTCGCGTCCTGCGGCTCGTGGAGGCTTGCAGGCAATATTCCACAGCCTTGCCGGGCCCATGGCTCGATCTGGCGTTGCATGTTGGTCTTGCATGGAGGAGCCCGGAGCGATGCGCTTCCGCAATCACGCAGCCTCGCCCACCCTCCTTCGAATGGATCGATCGAAAGCCCCCCGGGTGGTTTGGAAATCTGCTCGTACCGCAATCTCCTGTTGTTGCTTCTATTCAACCGAGCTCTTGTCGGAACCTCTTTGCTCAGCGTCAAGGGAGTCTATCGACCTTACAAAAGCTGTGCACTTTGCTGCTGTTCATTGCGGCTCACTCCACAGATTTCAGCGTAAATTGCTTCTTGCAACAGCGGCATCCGAAGGGACTGCTGAACACACAGTTTGTTCCATGGCGACCGGTCGCAGGCCTGACATCGTGGTTGGCATAGACATTGGCCAGACATGCTCGGTGCGTGCCAATGGCATGGCGCACAGAACCACCTACTGACAACAAGTACGAACAGGGCGTCGCATACTCCATTGGCCCGGATTGGAGCGACCCGCGTACGCTCAACCGGTGGCCAGGTGCACATGGGACAGTACGAGAGGACAAAGTGGCCACCAGAGTCGGGTATAGCAAAGCCAGCGGCGACTTAGCAACCTGGGGCTTCCTGTCCGTCTTTGACGACGAGGCCACCGTGGTCCATGACTTTTTCAAACTCACTCTGGATGCTGATTACGAGGACGATCGAGGCTTCAGCTGCCAGGATGCACGGAAGTGGTATTGCGATTACCTTAGGTGCCTGCACCGGGAGATTGAGGCTTTCTTCGATGCTGCGGTACCCAATTGGCGGGCGCTTCATGTCGAGTACAGTTTCAGCACCCCGACGACATGGAGGAATCCGGCCATGATTGACAGCATGCAGAGACTGATGGAGTCCGCGGGTTTTGCGTGCCGCGGCCAGAGCGTACGGATGGCGCTGACTGAAGCCGAAGCCGCAGCTATTGAAGCTTCCACCACCAAATACAACATGGGTGACATCTTCCTGATCTGCGACGTGAGTGAACAGTCTGTAGTGCTTGAGCAACGCTGACAGAACGGAAGGCCGGTGGAGGTACCACAGATGTAAATCTTCTGAGAGTGAAGTCCACCGATCGGAAGATCGAGCTCGAGCCTCTGGACCAAGTTGAAGGTGTGGCAGTGGGGTCCACGCTCATCGACTTCATGATGGCACAGCACATTGTCCAGCGCCTTGAGTCGATCAGCGAGCATCTCGACGGCGACCCGTACGTCCTGGCTGAGGCGATGGTGAATGGGCGGTTCCAGACTATCAAGCAATCGTTTCCCATGCCACTCGTCGATCAATTCTGGCTTCCTGTCGAAGGTCTCGCGGGAGCGCAGAGCTTTCCCGAGTTGGGCATCAAGGGTTCAAAGTGAGTACAAGTGAGGGAAGAACCATACTCACCTCCGGCCCTGAGAGATGGCTTTGCGAAACAGTACTGAGCTTACCTTCTTCGCTTCCGCAGGATGGTCATCGACCGCTCCGTCTTGACCGAGATCTTCGACATACAGATCGAACGCATCTTCGCCCTCATGGACGGCAGACTCTTGACGCTGCAAGAGGAGTTTCCAGCCGAGAAGGTCTCCTACATCATCTTGTCCGGAGGACTTGGAAGCTCGCCCTACCTTTTCGAGCAGATCCAGAGGCGGTACGAGATGAATGTAGGCTTCAGGTCAAGCAACACTGCGTCCATACGGACAATGAAGGTTCTTCAGCCGTGAGTATATTCCCAAGACCACGGAGCCGCTTCGTCTGACCTGTCACAGGCAACTCGCTGTCGTGCGTGGACTCGTGAAGGAGCGGACCCAACAGCTCGGCGTCGATTCGTCCAGAGGGCAGGAAGTATTCACCACCAGACGCTGTCGCAACAGTTACGGTGTCCTGGTTCGACATCCGTACAATGAAGCAGAACACAAGGGACTGCCGACGGTGACTAATGCCAACAACAAGCGTCCATACGTTGTGGATATTGTAGAGTGAGTTTTTCCATCCAGACTTGTGGGCCATGCTGATGCGGGATGTTGTAAGGTGGTTCATCAAGCAAGGACAGGAAGTCAGCGTCAGCGAAGGCGTGCACCGGCAGTACACCAGCACATTGGCGGACGGCGAACAGTTACAGCCGAGACAGGCTCGCATCGTCATGTCCACCTTACCACCGAACAGACTGCCTCGCCGGCTGCCCGACGGTGGTTGCCAGGAAGTGGCAAAGGTCAACTTCACCCTAACGCAGAATGAGATGAGGTTGAAGAACCGGCAGGTCTGGAAGCTGAAGAAGAAATACTGGCTGGCCGAGTTCATCTTCGCTGTGAAACTCGGTCCGGCAGACCTAAGATTCGAGATACTCGGAAAGGATGGCGTCTTGACTACGGGTCAGAACAGCCTCCAGGCCGAGTTCATGGATCCGTTGGAGCACAAATCGGCCAAGACTCCGCTGAGGCCAGAGTTTGTAGCGGTGTACGCTCCCACTCGCCAGTGAGGATGCGCGACATCCTTCCAGTGTGCACGGCTTCTTGCTTGACTGTACCACCCTCGCTAGAGCACTTTTGGTCCTCGCCGCGAAAAGGCGAGCCCGACATCGTTCGCCAAACGCACATGTACTGGATGCCTGGAAGGCGTAGACTTGGGACATGATGTGGAGTATGGAGTCGTGAGTCACTGCGAGGCTTGGTTGGGTGCTTGGTGTCAAGGCAATAGCAGTATAATAATGCTTCGGGCTCCTCTCGTGTGGATCAAATACTGCCAGCTCTTCACACCACTCGTCCATACTCTTGCTCGACACTGTGTGTCTTGCCATCTTCGATACCGTGTACAACTAGCATGCGAAGCGCTGTCGTTGCCTCCCGCCTTATGTTCAGAGAGGGTAAGAGTGTCGACGTCCACTGCCTCAAAGTCCACTGGCACCCAAAAGCTTAGCGTGACGCTAGCTTACAACGGGGTTTCTCAAAGTGACTACGCCTCAAGCGAGCTTCATGTTGCCAACAAGATGGACGTCGACCGCGCCGCTGCAGCTCTACAGCCAGCCTTCTTGGACAACGAAGCCTTTGGCATACAATTCTGGCACCCACCCCGTCCATCCAGCGAGTCCCATCAACGCTGCCGCCTGCCGCACATCGAAAGCGGTTCGCAACGTGAGGAGCCCTTCGAACTCAGCCTGTACGCAACTCACGGCCATCCCTCAATTTCTCCACGAGATCAACGTTGGTCACAAAGGCGCGTCCGAAGACGATTGCCACATCCTTCGCGCGGTGAGTCTCGTCGACGGCCTCTCTAGCGCTGTCCGGCGTGAAGCCACCGGCGAGCATCAACGGAGAAGTGTCCGCCCACGTATCGATGAACGGGTCCAGGGATTCTGCAGCTTCAACATCGACCCTCCCGGCAATGCGTGACTCGACAAGATGTAGGTACGCAAGCTTGAGCTCTTTCAGTCCTCCCAGCAGATTGTTGAACTGTGCCGTAGCGTTGTTCATCCCCATTGAATTGTAAGTGCTCCACGGCGTGATCCTGAAGCCCACCCTCTCACTCCCGACAGCCGCACATACAGCCTTCGCAATCTCAATGCCAAACCGTGAGCGATTCTCGATGCTGCCTCCCCATTGATCGGTGCGTCGATTTGCAACGTCCTGCGTGAATTGATCAATGAGCGAGCCGTTACCGCCATGCAACTCGACACCATCGAATCCCGCCTCTTCAACCGCCACCCGCGCCGCAGTTGCATAGTCCCGGACGTAGTGCCAGATCTCGTCTTCGGTCAGAGGCCGAGGTACCGCGCCGCCTTCCTCTGGCACTGCAGAGCTGCTCACCACATCCCCCGTGCCATCTCTCCGCTTACACTCAGGGTCTGCGGAACGTCCCAATGCCCAGAGTTGCAGGAACATGAAGCTGCCAGTTTTGTGAACAGCACCGACGACAGCGTTCCATGCCGCAATCTGATCTCGGCTCCAGATTCCAGCTCGGGGCTCAGGAGTGCCGCTGGCCCCTGGGGAGATGAAAGTGGCCTCGCCGATGATGAGAGTGCCTGGTGTGCGCGCGCGGGAGGCGTAGTAGTCGACTGCGTCCGGACTGAGGATGTTGTTTTCATCGGCTAGGACGCTGGCGAGCGGTCCCATTATGATGCGCGAGGAGAGTTTGATGGGTCCAATGCGCAGGGGCGCGAAGAGTTTGCTGGTTAGGGAAGACATGGTGGAAGGGTGGATGCTCTTGCGGAGGTGTTCTTACAATGACTCGGAATGGAGGATAGGTAGTTGTTCACTCAGCTTGTACTGTGGCGAGAACAACAGGCTCTCGTTCTTGAGCGGAGACATGAGCATTTGATGATGGTAGATGGAGATGACGCCATCCTTGGTGGTGAGGTTAGTGTCTCTACGTACATGTAGGTTGTCGTGATCGAAGAACATGGTAGTTATGCAGACTCACGAGCAGGGCGGCATGAGGCTTCCCGCCATACTCCATATGAAGAGCCTCTTACCTCTCCTCTGACGGGATACTTTGCTAGGTACATGTAGTGTTGGAAGAGGAGGAGAGACATCGGCAACGGCGTCGGGTAAAGCCAAAGGCATCGGAATGGACGCCGGCAAAACATGGACCGACCGTTCCTTCGACCTCGACGCACCATTATTCATCACCGCCTGCCCTCCCCCTCCTCCTTCACCAATGTCGCGGGAGTCAACATGGACCAACATGTCCTGGGCAGGCATTCACCCATGAACATGTCGCACCTCGAGCACCTCTACCCGCGACGCTGACGGCTGCCCACTCTGCTCTGCTTAACGCCGCCCGACGGCTTACACACTCCCTCGACATTCGTACCGCAGCTCTCGAGCCGCTACCAGTTTTCACCGCCGGACCACGTCCCACAACATGGACAAAGGCTCCTCGTCCACGCCGGGCACGCCCACCATCAACGGCCGCAACGCCATGGCCGACGCCCTGTCCCGCTCGCGAACGCCCATCCGCCGCGACTCCTTCGATCGACCCAACAACACCTTCCCCACCGTCGATGCCACCAGCGCCCCGAGACGCTTCTCCACTGGCGCCTCTGCCATCCCCATGCCCACAGCCCAGGTCGTACTGGCGCAAGCCGAGGCGCAGCTCGACTGGGAGGAGCGCAACGAGTCTCGTTCAATGACGCCACGGGATCACAAGGACCCCCTCGATGCCCTGGCTAGATTCGACGAGCTTTCTCGCCTGCCGACCGCTGTACGCTTGACACAGTTGACCAGGAACTCGCCCTGCTTTTTCCACAAGAGATTCGGTGACGCCGTGGATATTGATAAAGTGTTGGAAGAGATCCGTGGAGACGACCAGCTCAGTCACAGCAGACTGATGCAAACCGCGGCAATGGTGCGGGAGGTGGGCAAGAAGTTGCAGCGAAAACCTTTGAGGAGGGCGGCGAAGAATGTTATGATCATCACCAAGGCAAGGGACAACACGCTGGTTACGTTGACGAGGGAGCTCACACAATGGCTGATGGAGACACCGAGATACGGCAAGGACACGGGTGTGAATGTATGGGTCGACCAGAAGCTGAAGAACAGCAAGCGGTTTGATATCGAAGGACTGTACGCGCACAACGATCGATTCGAACACCAGCTACGCTTCTGGTCGCCTGCCCTCTGCTTGGAGAAGCCGGAGATGTTCGATCTGGTAGTCACGCTAGGCGGCGACGGCACTGTCCTCTTCACCTCCTGGCTGTTCCAGCGCGTTGTCCCGCCTGTACTGGCCTTCTCTCTGGGCTCGCTCGGCTTCCTCACCAACTTCGACTTTGAGAACTACAAGGAGCAGCTCAACCATGTCATGGGTGATGCCGGCATGCGCGTCAACATGCGCATGCGCTTTACATGTACGGTCTACCGCTCCGCCGCATCATCCTACACCTCTGCAGCCTCTTCCACCAGCATCAGCACCACAACCTCCCAGTCCGGCCTCGAGAACGGCGCAGCCTCCAACCCTGACACAAACGCCAAGATCGAAGGCGAGACTCACGAAGTGCTCAACGAGCTCGTCATCGACCGCGGCCCTAGCAGCTACATCTCCTCCCTCGACCTGTACGCAAATGATAGCCTACTCACCCGCATCTCCGCCGACGGCATCATCCTGTCCACGCCAACCGGCAGTACTGCATATTCGCTTTCAGCGGGCGGCTCGCTCGTACACCCGGACATCCCCGCCATCCTTCTCACGCCTATCTGCCCTCACACCCTCTCCTTCCGACCTATGCTGCTAAACGACGACATGGCGCTCAAAGTCGCCATCCCCTCCACTGGCCGCGGCGGGGCGTTCGTCAGCTTTGATGGGAAAGGCCGCGTGGAGCTTGGACGAGGGGACGAAGTGGTGGTACGAGCATCTCAATACCCCTTTCCGACCGTCATGGGCCAGCCGCTGGAGTGGTTCGATAGTATCAGCCGCACCCTCCGCTGGAACACGCGCGCAGCGGAGCAGAAGGGGTGGGCTGGCGGTGCCGCAGGACATGGAGAGGGCGATGGAGCAGATATGGTGGGCGAGGAGAGGGAGAAGGAGAATGAATTCGACATCGATTTTGACGAGGAGGAAGAGAAGTTTGAGAATGCCATGAGGCCGCGGACGAACACGGCGAATGGCGTGGATGGAGCGCGAGGGAGTGGGTATGGGGACAGTGGGTATGGAGGAGCGAGTACGTTTTCCGAGCCGGCGGGAGGTGGGCATGCGAAGAGAGGGTGGAGGTAGGGCGAGGCTCACACTGCATCACCGTCATGAATGATTCCTGGGACCTTTCGAGTCCCTTTTTGCGTTGGAGCTACGGTGTATGGGGCAGTCTGGGATGGTTGCCCGGTTGTTGGCTACTTTTGGATTGGAGGAAGAACAGCAGGGCTTTACGAAGTAGACGCTACAATTAGATATGAGCATGGTACTGTACCACGTCACCTGCACCAATCAATGCAACGCTACTTCACCTTCATCCTGCCGCGTATCGCAGACATTTCCATGCAATTTACAAATCCGCTCGACACTTTCACATGCAAATACCTCCACTACCTGCCCTACGTCGAAGCGCAACACGTGGGTATCTATCTTGGTACACAGTTGAAAGGCTTATCAGGCGTGTTGGGCCTCCCAACGCGGCGGCGAATTCGTGTCAGATCCGACGATGCACCGTCCACCTTCCAACTTTTTCCATTTCTCCATCGACGAGACCAGATTGGAAAATCCATCGATATCGCCATCCGGCTGCTCCGCTATCTCTGCTATCTTCGATTGCTCTGGTCGGGCGAGTCTGGCTTCTGGATTTGAAGGGCATGAATTGTGGGTTTCTTGAGTCTGCTGCTAACTTCTGCTGGTTCGAGTTCTACAGTGGGTCGACGATGACTGCTTCCCTTGCGCACGTATTGCGTGTCTTGTCTTGTTGATGGATGGCTCTTGCTCTTCCCAATCGTACCTTACTCACCTCCCTGACGCTGCTTCTAGACCTGCGTCTTGTCTCTGCTTGCAGTAGGTCGTGTCTCTGTCTCTCCTCAGCAGCATCCTCACGCTTGGCCTTTGTTATCTCTGCGCTCTTGGCTGGCATCAGATACATTCTCCACAGCAGCATCCTCCCTTTCTATTTCTCTTCACAAGCATCTGCAGGGTGGGTTCCGTGGCGCAAAGTTTCGAGCTATCGACGTCGGTGGCCATCCGTCCGCATCCCACCAGGTACCAACGTACCACCTCTAAGCTCACCTCACATTACCGAGCATACCATAACCACTGGACAAGAAGATTCTCTCGACGACGAATACACAAATACAGCAATAATACTAATTCCCACGTCTGGCCCTCTTCTATCTGGACATTCCTGCACACTCCAACATTCCTCGGGCCCGGAGAGCTGGATACCTCACCTCGACCCGTCCAAATCCGGCACATTGTTACCAACAACCTCTTTGTTCGAGACACTGCATGGGATCGTGTACCCCGCGTTAGAGGATTGCAGACATGAGCGGCCGAGAGAATCTCTCGCCACCATGGGATGGGAACTCTCCAGCAATGTCCGAGAACGTATCACCACAGAGTGGAGAGGCGTCCAACTCGAATGTTTCGCCACAGAACGGCGTCACGTCGAGCTCTGGAAATAGCCAACCCGGCAGTGCTGGGGCAGCACGGCCAAGGGAGAAGAAGCGGGTTGGATGGAGTGGACCAGACTCTGCAGAAAGAAGCCGCCGGGTGAGCTGGATGAATGCGGAGGGGGAGGAAGAGGCACCTCCCATATCCGTGACCACATATGATCCACCTTCCGATGACTTTGGCATCGCGCACTCTAGAAGCGACAGCGAGGATCTGCTGAGCCCATCCAAATCCCATCTTCCAGCATTGTCGCCGCAGCAAACGCAGGAACTTCATCAAGTGCTCGGTCAGACCCTGGGTGTTCCCGAATCACCACGACCTCCGCCGCCGCCAATCACACGTGCTTCGAAGCCTCGTCCGGCGATCAGAAGGGCCGTGTCTACTCCGCCGGAACATTCTAGCTCGCCGGAAGATGATCTGGACCAGCACACCGATGACGGTCAGCGAGCACATCGCCAGGCACGGATGCGGGAGGCCTTTGAGCGAGGTAAGCGATTGGAGCATGCTGAGCGATCAGCACCTACCTCCAGGCACACTTCGCCGCAGCGCCACGGGCGAAGGGACGATGACATAGAAATGGAATCTTGGCAGCCCAAGGACGAGCATTCCGAGGAGGAAGACGATGACGATGCGGGGCTGGAGATGCCAGCGTTGAAGCGGCAGAAACCAATCGAGCACTACGAAGCGCACAATTTGGTCCGGCGACACACACGGGCTCAGCGGCCGCCCTCAGGACATGGCAGCGATACACCACCTCCTGCTTACCGGTCAGGTGTCGTCACGCCCACCGAACTCGAACCGGAAGACTATCGGCCTGCTCCAAGAGAGTACCGTGGCGGCATCCTTGGATCGCTGCTCAAGCTCTACAATGAGCCACAAGAGCGTAGCAGTAGTCATGGACGGAGCCACAGCCGGACAAGATCAGGATGGTTCCATAGTGCGGACAATACTCCAAACACCAGTACCACGCCTACACCACAACACTCTCCTCCCGCCTCTGGATCAGTCACTCCGACTGGCGGCAGCGGTAGTCCCAAGAACTGGTTCCGGAAGCACAATAACCACTCCAGTACATCGTTGGCTCAACTGGTCGGGAACTCTGCATCGCTCGGCTCGCCAGTTGTGTCTGGACTGGGCGAGCAGGTGACACGACGACTGAAGGAGCAGAAGCATGCCGCGAAACAAGCCGCCAAACGGCCGGGAATGGGCGTGAAGACCCACAGCTCCAATGCTCTCGCTGCTTTGAACCGCGTTGCCCGTGGCCAGAAGCTGGAGGAGGAAATTCGAATTACCGTCCACATCGCCGAAACGATTGCGCGTCAGCGGTATCTGATGCGTCTATGTAGAGCATTGATGCAGTATGGAGCGCCCACACATCGCTTGGAGGAGTACATGCGGATGAGCGCCCGGGTGTTGGAGATTGACGCCCAGTTTCTCTACATTCCTGGCTCGATGATCATGTCGTTCGACGATCCTGCTACGCACACCACCGAGGTCAAGCTGGTACGGGTAGCACAGGGGCTGGATCTGGGCAAGCTTAGGGATGTTCACGAGACGTACAAGGATGTGGTGCACGACAAGATTGGGGTGGAGGAGGCAACAAACCGCCTCAAGGAGATCATGAACCGAAAGGACAAACACAGTCGTTGGCTGCGAATACCCGTCTATGGCTTCGCAGCTGTATGCGTCGGACCGTTCGCCTTCCAAGCACGCCTCATCGACCTACCGATCGCATTCATTCTGGGCTGCATCCTCGGGTTTCTCCAACTCATCGTCTCGCCAGCCTCAGACCTCTACGCCAACGTCTTCGAGATCGTCGCGACGGTCATCACTTCCTTCCTCTCCCGAGCTTTTGGCAGCATCCCCTCCCAAGACGGCGGCTATATCTTCTGCTTCTCCGCCCTCGCCCAATCCTCCATCGCTCTGATTCTACCCGGCTACATAGTCCTGTGTGCCTCGCTAGAACTGCAGAGCAAATCCATCGTCGCCGGCAGCATCCGCATGGTCTACGCCGTCATCTACACCCTCTTCCTCGGCTACGGCATCACCATCGGCACCGCCATCTACGGCATCATCGACGGCAACGCCAGCTCGCAGACCGAATGCACCAATCCCATCCCGGGCCACTGGATCTTCTTCTTCGTCCCCGGCTTCACCCTCTGCCTCATCATCATCAACCAGGCGAAATGGAAGCAGGCGCCCGTCATGCTCGTCATCGCCTTCGCCGGCTACCTCGTCAACTACTTCTCCGCCAAACGCTTCGCCGGCAACACCCAGGTCAGCAACACCCTCGGCGCGCTGGCGATCGGCGTCATGAGCAACCTCTACTCCCGCATAGGTAGCCGGGTGGAAAACATGGCTCTGGACGTCTGGGAAGACGTGCTACGCCCCCACTGGAAGCGCTTCCGCAAGGTCGTCTTCGGCGTGCACGGCAGGAAGAAGAGCGCCAAGAGCCTCGAAGACGGCACAGCAAAGAGCGGCGACAATGAGTCCATGTTCAAGCGGCAGACTCGCAGGGTAGGCTACAGCCTCGCAGCTGCAGCGATGCTGCCCGCCGTCTTCGTGCAGGTGCCTAGTGGGCTGGCGGTTAACGGCTCGCTGGTTTCGGGCATTGCGTCGGCGAACCAGATCGTGGGCAATGCGACGAATGGGACGCAGGTGCTGAACAGCTCGACGATTGCCGTGGGCTCGGATTCGCCGTTGAACAGCCTGGCGTTCAATGTGAGTTATTCGGTGATTCAGGTGGCGATTGGGATTACGGTCGGCTTGTTCTTGAGCGCGATTGTGGTGTATCCGTTTGGGAAGCGGAGGAGTGGGCTGTTTAGCTTGTGAGGGGGTGGGCGTAGGATAGGAAGATCGAGAAGCTCATCGCCGACAGGTGGTCGTGTACTGTCGCTGGCCCACGGTTCCGTTACCCATTCGTGAAGCAATGCTTGATGCACTAGATTGATGCCAGGTGGGACTTCAAGCCAATTATTCCTTGTTAATCACAGTGAGATGTTCTTGGACCCAATGCCGCATTCTGCTGACTTTATAAAGAGCGACTAAAATGAGTTGCACGACCACATCTCCTAACCCGATACCTTTCCTTCCTCAATATGATGGTAGTTCAAGAGGCCCGACGTGTTGACCGCTCAAGGCCTGGGGGCGAAAGAACGACATTGCGACTGCTCGAAATGTCTACTTCATTGGCCTCGCAGCAGATCGAAGGTACTTCCCTGAGTAAGTTGGTGCTCGTTGTTGAGCAACAGAATGGATTTCGGACTGCTGACTTTGCGGAGGTGATCGAAAACGAATGATCAAGAGTTTCAGGGATGGGTCGCATATGAGAGAGTTGGTGACGCCGTCAAAGTTGTTCTTTGGAAGTCAGTTGGCGTTCGGTCCCTCCAGCTGATCTCCACAGCGGCAAGGCTGCAGGAAGGAAGGCAGCGGGCTGTTCGGTCCGCAGGCGTTGCGGCACAGGATTGAGCAGGGGTATGAAACCCTTTCCGGTGCACCTTGGTATAATACTACCTTGCTCCAAAGTCTGTGACTATTCTGTACTGAGTACGATGATAACTCTCATGCAGAGACGCTCGATGGTGTTCTAAGTTCATAATAACACAACACCGAAAGCAAATGCTCCGCGTTCCTTCAGAGTCCGTTGCAATCGTAGTCCCTTCAATGCATGGCCAAAGCGAGGCGGTTCATCATGCAGCTGCAAGCCACTAAAGGCATGCGAAAGCGCCTGACTGGGGTATGGCCAATTGGAAGCACTGCCCTCAGCAGGTATGCATGCTCCTTGTGCGACCTAGAGCGCTTCGACGTCTCTCTAGATTGGTGACAAGCCATGAGTTCGCGATATCGCTTCGAGATCCATGCATTGTATAGGAACATGTCAGCCGTGTACAGTGTACATAGGGTCTCGTTAGTTCTTTTCGACCGTCACGACGGTCACGGCTCTTCGCTTCTAATACAGACGCAGTCAAGAACCGTTATTCATTATGTTCTTCCTCACGTTCTCGTGTGTCCTGACCTTTGGCTCCCTTGCGAACGGCTACACAATATTCGACACCGACTGCACCCTCCCTAACTCCACGACCAATTACGTCTTAGGTCCCAGCACCCGCGGAACACTGGACATCATCTGGTCCTGTTTCGGGGTGTTCATCGCCTGCATCTACTCCATCCTGCATTTCAAGATCCCTCGACGGGCGGAAGGTCGTTCGGCCCACGAACAATGGACGCAAAGGATCGGCTCCTCGGCGGTATTTCTGAGCTTTATGGCCCTGATATGGCCAGAGTGGATATACACTCTTTGTGCGGGCGAATGGTTGGATGCTCGCAGGCAGCTCCGGCTCCTGCACCGCAATGTACCGGCTACAAAGACGGATTGGACCTTGCCGCACATGTTTTTTGCGAACATGGGAGGCTTCGTTCTGCTTCACAGGCAACCTGTGACAAAGGATGACGTAAAGTTGGCGCAGGCCGAAAACGAAACAAGCGTTGAGCGCTCATCAGCTGCTGGTTCCATATCCAGTCATGTTAGCCATTCGCCGGCTACGAGAACAGAAACGCCGGATCCAAGCGATATTGCACAAGAGGACATAGAGTCCCAAGCTGTAGGTGGTGCAGGAGTCACGGGTGAAACCGAGATCACAGCCAGCGTCCAAGTTGTACGCAGCATTAAGTTGGATGCGGAGAAGGCACCTACCGAGACAGGCATTCGGCCTACAGAAGCGTCGCCTGAAAGAGGACAAAACGTTCTCTCGTCAGTCGGCCGAGCATCAGTTCTTGGTTCTGTAACTCTATCGGAAGGTCCTCCTTGCGAAGAAAAGCAGGACAGTGACGGCACCGAGGCTCAAGGCTTTGGCCTGCCGTCCCAAGGAGCGCTGCGCTTCCACCTGACTGCTGCAGTCGTACGGCAGGCCATCGGAGAAGGGGTACTACCACCGACTGGCCCTCCCCTTCATGATATTGAAGACCGGTCGAAGTCCGACACGCTGGCAAAGTCCCTCGTCTGCGTACAGCTGGCCAGTTTCCTATTGAGCGTCGTTTCCAGATTGTTCAAGCACCTTCCGATTGCGCCGATAGAGATCGAAGCTACCGCGTTCGCCATCTGCTCGATCTTGATATACCCGTTTTTATTCCGCAGACCAAAGAATGTCCGGACACCGATTGTGCTTGGAACCTACCAGACTATCCCAACTAGGATTTTGCAACTGAAATTTCAGCACCAGAAAGCGCCAGCACACGAGAACGGCGAGCCGCTGTTCGTCCTGATTGACGGCGCGGAAAAGGACTTCCCAGGATGTCCGCCTCCCGACTTGTCCCTGCCCGCTCTACGGAGGGAGGATACCATCGTCGTGTGCCTTTCCTTCGTAGCACTCAGTTTTGCTTTCGGCGCAATTCATATTGCCGGCTGGAACCTCGAGCTGCCGACCAAAGCTGACAGATGGCTATGGCGTATTGCAGCCCTCGTTGTTACTACCGGCCCAACGGTGTCTGCGGGTGGTTTGGTCCTGATTGACATGGCCAAGGTCAGACATGCTCCACGCTTCATAAAGCACTTGCTTCTGGTGTTTGGGCTGGCAGGCTGGGCCTACACCATGGGCAGGTTCATATTCCTTGTTGAGATCTTCAGGACACTGGCCTACCTCAGCCCTTCGACGTATGACACTCCGAACTGGACGTCCAGCATCCCTCTTGTCAGCTGATGGCATCCGTGAATTCTGGGTCCAAAGATAGTCAAACGCAGAGAGGATCACCTTCAATACCATCGGCTTGCGCGGGAGATGCGGTTCGGAGGAGAAGTTTTTGGAAATGTTTTCTGGTGATGCCGGCCTGCCGGTGCTCCCGGATCGGCATTACCACCAATACAAAAGTTGGCTGATCATGATGAAATGCAGGTGTAAGGCTGTGGCTGAGACAATCATGAGCCACATCTGATTGGTTTTGGCAGGAGCGATCTTCAGTGCCTGTGGCGTCGCATGTCTCCACCGCAGCAGCACAGCCGCGGAGCCTTGTCGCCGCCGTCAGGCCCTCAGATGGAAGAGATGGCTTGATGGATGTGATGGGACAATCTCGCTTTGCCGCAGGTGAGGTTAACACATGTCATGACCAATTGGCGAGAACAGGGAACGCCAAAGCGAGCAATGCCAGACGCGCTCCCCAATCCGTGCTTAGTAGATTCGTAACTGCCAAGGCATAGGCAGGATGACGTCGGAGCTTTTCCGGCTTGAAACGCGTGTTTATAAAGCGCTGGGTTTGCGCCCTGCTTCTTATCAACCACAACAGAACACCTTCAACCAACAGCCATCAACAGTATCTCTATATCAAACAAGACCACTCCAACCACTACACTCCAAGCTCAGACAATCATGCCTGCCACCCTCAGGTGAGTCTCGCCAATGTCCGGATGCGCGCGGCTTTCACGCGCAAGTGAACCACAGCACTGTACTGATGAATCAACAGCGACGCCTTCAAGATCCTCTTCGCCATCTTCATACCCCCGGTCGGTGTCTTCCTCGAGCGCGGATGTGGAGCGGATCTTTTGATCAATATCCTGCTCACGATTCTGGGCTACATTCCCGGCATCATCCACGCCCTGTACGTTCACCACTCCTACCCTTCAAAGCGCACCAGCTGACGCGAACATAGTTATATCATCTTCAAATACTAGACGACGCGAAGCATGGGAGTGAAGCGCGGAGCATGATGCTGTTCTTGCGATAGGAATATCCAGCGATACCCAGAGATTCTTTTGAATGCGTTTTTGGTCAGCGCGAAGCGGCGATGACGAGCGCCGGGCGGAATGATGTTGGAGTTGTAATGTGTGTATGATAGCAATGGACATTTTTTCCAATCACATTTGCTCGATGCTTATGTTTGATTTACTCATCACTCGTAAACACCCCACGAGGTGCATGTGTATCCGTGTATGCCTCAAAACAGCGTTGACACAGTCACTCATTACCGGAGTCCCTTCGCAGCGAGGCTCTTCATCTTAGGGCTTTTCGTCTCCACTCTCTTCACTTCAAAACTCCTCACCGCAACACCTTCTCCGCAAACTTCGGCAGGATGAACGCCGCCTCATGAACCTCCTTCGAATAGTACTTGAACTGCTTGTCCTCCTCATCCCGACTCCACGCCCTCGACGGCTTCTTGACATCGAGCTTGGGATCCTTACCGCACACCATGAAGCCCATCTGTCCGCTGGGATAGGTGGGTATGCTCGTCCAGGCGTACTCGGCGACGGGGAATATGGACTTGCAGGCTTTGCGGAGGGGCAGGATCCAGTCCATGTGCAGCCATGGGTTTTCGCCTAATCATCCCGTTAGTCCTCATGACTCCGCCAGTCTTAGTGGTTTTGTATCTTACCCTGTGTTGTGATCATGCCACCCTCCTTCAGCGAATTGTTCAACAATTCAAAATACGACGCCTGGAACAAGCTCTCCGCTGGCCCGTCCGGATCACTGCTGTCCGTGATAATCACATCGTACTCATCCGTATGCTGCTTCAGATACTCAAACCCGTCGCCCACATGCACCTTGACCTTTGGATGCTGAAACCCCACGCTCATACCCGGCAGGAACTTCTTGCTCAACCGTATCACCGCCTCATCAATATCCACCAACGTCGCCTCTTCCACGCAATCGTGCTTGACAATTTCCCGCAACACACCTCCATCACCGCCCCCGATCACGAGCACGCGCTGCGGGTTGGGATGCGCGAACATCGCCAGGTGCGTGATCATCTCCTGGTAGCTGAACTCGTCGCGCTCGGTGCATTGGATGACGTTGTCGAGCACGAGCACCATGCCGTAGTCGGAGGACTCGAAGATGAGCACATCTTGGTATTTGGACTTTTCGTGGTGGAGGATCTGGTTGACCTTGAGTGTCATAGCCTGCCCGGGCCACATGTGCGAGATCTCGCGGAACCAGCCGTCGACGATGGTTGGGTGTGTGATTTCGGCCATGGTGTTGTTATGCGTGAGTATGGTCGTTGGTATAGAGTCTTTGTAGAAGTTGCTATGGTCTATCACAAGCTTCTGAAACTTTTTGTTTCTCAATCTGGCAGGAACAGATGCCCCACCATGTGGCAGACGTCGTGGCGTTCACTTGGCATGACTGGCAGCTTGTGCCTTCACATGCCGTCACGTTAAACGCACGTCCATCCCGTCCATCCCTCATTCATCTCAGGTCCAGAGGGGTTGCAACGAGCACGGCTTCTCACCATGTGTACGACCGCAAAGGGTTGGGTAGCGGGACATTGCTCATGCCAACATACTCTGAAATACGACGAACATCTGGCGACGAGAGCCAACTGAGAGATCGTCCCTGAATGCCATCGTCTAGCTTGTTCTCGCGCTCGACTGTACTTCAAAAGAACGCAGACGGCTTAGAGGGTTCGATCAAGGTAAACAAGAATTCTATTATACAACTTTATATATACATTCAAGACCCGCCCCAACCTGCACTCGCCGTGCTTGCTCCTATCATACAACTTCCATACACTCAAGACCCGCTCCAACTTGTACTCGCCGTGCTCGCAGGAGCGGAGTATCTCGGACTCGGGCTCTCGAGCCTCAAGTACCGCAAGAGTGGTGTGCCCATGGGAGGATCCAGGGGAGTCAACGGCCGCGAAATGTTTGCGGCGAGGTGGGCGGCAGTTAGTTCAAGTGGCTTTGCAGCCATCTGTCGGGTCCGCGAAAGGTAACGTGGGCTCTGCTGCTTGCCGATCCAGAGCATTTGTTCATGCTCGCGAAGGTAGCGACCTTCCGAAAAGCTGTTGAGGACGTTGGCGCGACCCATCATACCGAGCTGCCGGCGCTTTTCCGATTTCTCGTACATCCGATCCGTGATGGCCTGCACCTCATCCGGCGTGGGATGGAGGGAAAGCTTTGGGACCTGGAAACCCGGATCGTCGCCGGCGTACTTGCTCCACTCACCCAGGAGGCCGAGAACCTCGACTTGGGCTTTGGCCAAAGAATGGGCATCGTTTGGTGCGATGACTGCACTGAACTTCTTCCAGGTCACAGGATCCGTAACGACTCGAAAGGACGCGCCGACGTCCGTACACACGACAGGTACGCCAGTCAGAGCAGCCTCGCCCATAGCCAGTGGCAGTCCTTCTGAGATGGACGAGTTGAGGAAAAGCCAGGACTCTTCAAGCACTTTGGAAGGGCTCCCCAGGCCGCGTAAAGTAACGTGGTCACGGAGACCCTTGGATGCAAGAATCTCCTTGCACTCCACAGAGTAAGCCGGCGCCTTCTCCATATCGCCGTAGATGTCCAGCTGATAGTCCTTGAATCCCCATTCGTGGACGATGATGTCGGCAGCAAGGATGGCGTTCTTGATGTCCTTGACGAAGCGGACGTGAGACAGCATGGTGACTGTTGGCTTGGTCGTCTTGATCTTCTCGATCGGCTTGAACTTCTCCATGTCGCAGATGCCGTTGACAACTGGGTCGATCTTGCGCGCGAAAGCTCGGCGATGCTGCAGCTTGCCTTCCTGTGTGCCATGCTCGATCTCCCATCCAGGGTTGAAGAAGTCCGCGCAGGGGAGAACGACATCGGCATAGTGGAGGATGAGGACGGATGTCATTTGAGAGAGTTGCATCAGCGAAGAGCAGACAAACGGCGAATCGAATGACATCGCCGAGGAGAGGAAGACGGTTACTTCTCTCCAACTGATGCAGTGGTCCCAAACGTGGAGCGAGCAATTCCGACGCAGCTTGCACAGGACCCCGTACGAAGCGCCGGCAAAATGGTGGGAAGCCTGGAAGACGTCCGGGATGCGCTCGGGAACCGGGAGAGAAAAGATGAACAGATAACGATGCCACATGTCCAGTGCGGTATCCAGATGCAGCAAAGTCGGTTGTTCAGCCTCCAGCCATTGGGACAGAGGTCGAGCGTTTGTCACATCTTCACTCAGCCAAAGCTCACGCCATCGCTGCTTGACAGCGTCGCTAGTCCACACCCGGCTCCAGTGACGGTCGGTGGCGAAGTACGAGTTCAGGTCGAGCAATGCTTGCGACGCTTCTTCGACGTGAGAGCTGTCGAACTTGATGGCCCTCGCGCATTTGACCAGACTTGCCAGAATTGGGAAGAAGTTTGTGCGGATGTCAGCATCACTGACATTCTGCAGTCGTTGCTGTACAGCAGAGTCACGATAATCCTGGAAGACGCCGTGGGTTGGTGTCAGAAAGTCCATGCCCCACAGTGGCAGCACGGACAGCGACTGAACGTTTTTCTCGATCTGGAATTTAGGAATTCCGAAGTCGTTGGCGTTCTCGGCGACCACATGCCAGCGGATGGTCTGCAGATTGTTGACCAGATCGCGGCGGCAGGCCGAAACACCACCACCCTCGTTGGGCCAAGTTCCCGTATCATGGGCCAAGACATGGAGAACATCGTCCGCGTCCCGAATCTGGGTCTCATGTCGGCGTGTGTTGATTTTCGAATCACCGCCCTGCCCAAAGTTGACCAAGTCGCTGTATTTGTATGCCAGTGAGCACCATGAACTAATGTCGGGGTCAATGTCAGATCTCGCCATGACAGCATCAGCGTTGCGCTCCAAGTATTCCTTGCCGGAGGACAAGAAGCCAAAGTCGCGACGAAGCCAGTACGGTCGCAGGGCCTGTTCGGAGCGCAACTGCTCCTCGTCTAGCCATCGCACGGTGACCCCGTCGAGGTCTTTGCCCTGCTTCCAAGATCTCCAAAGATGTGTGCGGGCCATGGGTGTCGAGACCGGCCAACGTTTTCTGTTGGAGAGAAGGACCCGTGACGCAACGCTGCTTCCAGCAGACCTGAAAAGGAACAGCGGATTCTCGTTCAGAAAGTTGCACTCGGTCGGCTTTTTCAGGACGCCAAACCAGTCGTGCAAGATCATGAGAGGCGTATCGACAGCCTGGCCATTCAAAGTGGTGTCGATGGTTGGGTGGGAGCGATGATCGTACGTCCACTGGCTCCGGTACGCCTTCTCGCCTTCAACGAACGTAGCATCGGTGACTTTCGTGTACGGAAGCCATGTCTCGAGACGTTCAGCGTGCTCAAGAGGAGGAAAGCACCACGACACGGCCATCTTGATGTGCGCAAGCTCGAAATGTCCGCGGAGAAGCTCGTCGTCGAACCTGGCGTTTTTGCGGTATGAGAAATGAAACTTGACCAGATTGCCATCTTTCAAGTAGGACCCGGATGAGATATGGCCGCGCTCGTCGTACTGGACGACTTCGCCTTCGCGGTTACCCTTCACGCAATGCCTTTGGATGGGGATTCGGCTTCCCATTTGCTCGGGATACTCGTACTTAAAGACATTCGAGATGGCTTCTTTCGTGTACTCTTCCTTTTTGCGCAAGAGAAGCCCTGGTCCATACTGGTTGACTGATATGAGCTTAGTCTGATTCTCCGGCTGCGTGGCGTGTTGGCCAGAGTACAGACTGAATTCGACCGGTCCGTTGCGCTGCGAAGTGAAGACCGATGCTCCGGATGGGGTTTGGAAGAACCCAGTGAACGATCCGAGCATGCCTTCCATAGTCAGCCGGTTCTTGCCCATCTTTACAACGGTTCCTCGCATCTCTTTGTGCAGCGATAGCACCTTTGCCCGACCATAGAAGAGATACCACGGGATGATGAAGCACTGAAGTGCCCGACAGATCTGCCAGAGACTGATCAAGAGGCTCTTGGCAACTACCCGGAAAACGACGTTCTGCCCATCCAAAGCGTAGTCGATTTCTCTCTGAAGATCTGGATCGGCGACGGAAGCCACAACAAAGAACTTGACAGCAAATCGCAGGCCTTGTATCGTTCGGACGAGAGGCCGGGCAAGTTTCAAGTGCAGTGGTTGTTTTGAACTGTCCCAAAGGCGGGATTGTGAGGCCCCGGGCAGCTTTTGGTAGTCCGACATGTCTGCAAGTCCTTGGCTCCCCAAATCTGCTTGCAGATCGCGGGCGCACTCTTGAGTCAGAAGTGCGAGGTGAGCTCCAAGATTGCACCGGGCTATGTGTTGCTCGACGTGGGACTCATCTGAATGTGCTGTGGCTCCTGTCAGGTTCAGAGCAGGACGCGTGCGGCTTTGTTGGCGGATCCACTGCAATTGGCTCGAGTCCACCGGACAGCGCTCTCTGCAGCATCTTTTCAGAAGGAAAGATCTGGTGGACCTGGAGAGGAGGTCCCATTCAAGATCAGCGTCGAGGCCAAGTAGAAGATAGCAGAGGAATGCTCGGTCCCCGGTCCTGATGACTCTGGCCCTTTCAGCTGATGACCACTCCAGGTGATGTCTCAGACCCCAAGGAACAGAAGCACCGACTGCGACCTCTGGGGTAACAATCAGTTCGGCAAGCACAGATTGATCGTAAGAGAAGCCAAGTTTGGCTTGACTGGTGGCCTGCATGACGGCCTCGGCAATAATTTGGCTATTTTTGCCGATATCGACCATTCTTTTCTGTGGGTGGCTGGATTCATGTCCAACAAAGACGATAACGTGCAAGGTGGATCCGCGGTTCCGGCTGATGGTGGTAAGAAGAGGGTCTTGGTCAAATACCAGGCTTGCTGGTACAAGCTCGACAACAACCTTTCCGTCTTTCCATAGCCGCGATGCCGTCTCTGCAACCTGTGCGGCTTGCGGGAAGGCTGCTTGAAAGGCAGTCGACTTTGGAATCGTGTTGCACGTAGAAAGGATGCGCAGAGCCTCGACGCCAGGCGCAACAGAAGGAACGACGTCGAACCGCTCCTCCTCGGGAACTGTGAGCGCTTTGTTGAAGATGTTAGAGAGCGTTCTCTGGGAAAGCTCAGGACTGGCCCACAACGAGCCTGAGTAGTAGAAGGTGGCGTCTTCATCTTTCTCGGTATGGTGGTCTCCATTTCTTCGGCGGAAGCGCGGCAGCCTGATCTTCGCGGTCCACATGGAAAGCAGAGCGGTGGTCCATGTGGCAGCAGCTAGTCCTATGACGCCGCTGAACTCCAGCTCAGTACAGCTGCGAAGCACCAAGCCTGTCACCAGACCAACGATGGCACCGGTAACAAGATCGTCGATAGCCAAGGCGCCAGTATAAACACGGTTGTACTGGTACCATAGCAGCCCTGAGTATGCCCCGACATAGGCGAGGAACATAATGATCGCCTTCTCATCGCCTTCGAATGTCCAAAGAAGGGCAGTCATAAGCGCAATGCCCCACACGTGCATGAAAAAGAAGCTGCCAAAGTTCGACCAATAGACTTTGCGCCTCGCTTTGATGTCGATGACAGCGACCTCTCGGAGGGTTTCCAACGAGTCGATTTTCGTGGACGTTCTCTTGTTTGCGATAGGCCAGAGCGGAGTCGCGACAGCGTCCAGGCATACGGCGGCAATGAGATAGTAGGACAGACCAAAGCCAACCGAAAGCCGGTACCTGGAGCTATCGGCAGCGGAGAGACCAACAAGCGCACCGCCGGTGAGGAGAGCAACCCATTTATCCATGAGCGCGACGACGAAGTATAAAACACCGCACCTGAGGCACCCAACACATTAGCAATAGCTCCGGCACGACTTGAGACATGCGCACCGTGTACTTACCACACTTCCGGTCCGCTTTCGCGCCAGTGAATGAATGCGTTGTGCAGCTTCAAGCCCTTCTGCATATCTTTCAAAGTATCGACAGCTGCCTTCACTTGCAAGTTCCACGTTGGGCTGTATGGGTACGGCATCTTCGTGCGGGAATACTTGCAGTACCAGTCCATGAGGAGTAAAGTGGCATCATGTCCCCGAGCCACGGTCCGAACGAAGTCGTCCGTTGTTGATCTCGTCCACGGGCGGCGGCTGCGCTCCTTCGTAACTTCTGCCATCAAGGCGGTTCGGGGGAGTGGCGTGGATGCCAAATCCGTCTGTCCCAAATCAGAGGGCATCTTCTCCTTCCCGGTAGTAGATTTGCCTTGGAACCAATGCACGAGCTCAGTGTCACTGACAATAGGCACATTGCTGTACCATGAGTGCCATTGTGCGAAGACGCTGCGGGAAGCATAGATCAAGGTAGCCAGGAACCCGCACAGAACAATGGGGTAGACGATAATGTCGTGTCCGGCAAAGGTGGTGGCAATAGGTGAGATGAGCAGAAGTGGAATACACTTCACCACAGCCGATCGTCCAGATTGGAAAGCGAAGTCCGGAAATTGATAGACAGCGAGCGTGGCCAGCATCGTCAGATATGTCGACAGCGCAAAAAAGTAGAAGAAGAAGATGAAGCCAGCGTAGAAACCTTTGATGCAGCCGAGGACGATGAGCGCTCCAACCCCAACGATGAGACCTATGGCCAGACCGGCGATTAGTCGGGTGAGGACGAACATGTTCATCGCAGGAAACGACATGCAGTGCAGGTAGTAGCTTCCACCATGGCCCACCCATGTACCTATTCCACCCACAAGGAGAAGGCCGACCATGAGACCCGCAGTCGCCATAGTCTTCTCGACTTCTCCCATGAAGGTGCTCAAGTACAGCCCTCGTCCGACCAGTGTGAGCAGAAGAATGTCCACAAGCGCCGGGACAGCGAAGATGCCGAGGAATGTAAGACGGTAATGGACTGGCAGTGCCGCTTTTCCCGACGCCGCATTTGGATCTTCGTCGGTGTTCATGGAAGCGTAGGCGGTCGGAAGCTCGGTGGCTTGGTCATCCCGTCGTGGCGGTTGGTTCTCGCGGTAGTAGGTCCAGTATCGTGCGGCGAGAACTCTACCGACAGCTTCGGGAGTCATGTCGAGATAGGCCTCGCATTGAGCGCCCAGAGCGAACATTTCGGCGAAGCAAGCTGCTTGGTCCGGGTGCGAGTTCGGGAGGGGGTTACGGTCGAGAATCTCGAGATATATCTCGTGAACGGCAAGCTTTCGAAAGGCGGAGAACACTGAAAGGGCGAGAATATCGACACGGGCATCGATCTGGCCTTTCTGGACGACCTGCTGCAGCACTTTCGCAATTTGGTCGAGGTGGTGCACCTCGTTCTTCATCAGGATGATGGGTAGCCTGGCGTCGAAGTCTCCAAAGACGGAGAGTGCAGCTTCATCGGAGGGCACTGCAGCTGCTCCTTGGTCACGCAGCCATTCCAGCCGCGCTCTGACAACCTCCTCCGCGGAGACATTCCCGTGAAGATATTCCTCTGTGCTCAGGTGTCTTGATTGAGCGAGTGAAGGCACATCGATGAGCTGAGTCTCGCAACTAGCTGCAATACGTGCTTCGAGGCTATCACTATTGTAGTGGAAAGGGCCCTTTAGACGTTGGAGAAGAAGGAGACTCTCAGCTGGGGTGAGCTTCTCAACATCTTGTACTAGCCTCTGTGGCAAGCACTCATTTTCGGCTTGAAGGCCGGTGTGCAGCGCGAGGGCGCACTCCGCTTGGAAGCAAGCACGGCGAGAGAATTCCCGGCTGGAAAGGAAAGTGTGAAGCAGTGTACTGGTTCGATCGGGAGTCTTTGCCGAAAGAAAGATGTCCTTGTACTGGCCGGTGTCGTTACCGTCAAACAGACCCCAGAATTGGTTGTCCGAACCATTGTGAAAACCAGAGTGCAGACCAACGTATACCCGTATTTGGGCATGCTTCTCTTCGCCTTCGCCATGAGTTTCAAGTAAGTCCAAAAGTTCTCCAAGGGCCGACTTAAGCGGGTCTGTTTGGGAGCAAGAACGATACAGGACTCGCAGCGACTGTGCCATGCTTTGAAGTTCTTCGTACTCTACTTGCTGGAGCATGTTGAGGTCGCGCAATCGTCGTTGGCCTTCGACAAGGCCGTCAAAATCCGCGCTGGTGCATTGCAGACCAAGCTGGAAACAACCCAAGCCTGTAAAGCTTTCACCAGCCGCCGATGACGAGAGCACGTCACGCTGCCGCAGAGGGTGTTCCGACGGCCAGTCGAAGTCGCCGGCGATGTTTGCATGGTTATTGGCTCGAGAAACCGTGCTTTGAGGCAGCAGCTCTGGTTGCAAATGTTTCGACAGCCCTGGCATGACACCCTCCAGGCTCTGGAAAGCCTCTGCACACTCAGATGGGCGCTGGGATATACGTCGATTGGTCCTCCACGCCTCATGCACTGCCATGACCTCATTTGTTTTCAACCACATGAGAGCACCCAAAGGCTCGGAGGAGTACGTCTTCTCCACTGCAACATCAGAATCGGTCAAAGCAGCGCGCGGACCAATCCAGCTCAGAGCGGAGTTGTAACGAGACCAGTTGAAACTCCGCTTGAGCACGGAATGGGAGAGCTCGACGCCATTGTGCAAAGTTTCCAGCATCATGAACGTGGACTTGCCCAGCCAGGCGTGCTTGGCAAAAGCCCGCTGAGCTCTTCGCATCTCAGTCATTTGGAAATAGTTGCACGGTTCTCCGTTGGGAAGGATGGTGACGTTGTGGCAGACCAGCCCATCTACGAGTTCCAGTTGAATCTGAAGACTTTCGTCTTCTGTGAGGTAATTGGGCGGGGCCAGTTCGAGATACACAGACACATTGAGCCGTTTCAGGTTTCGGAGAAGGGGATTGAGCCTGACCGGCGGAAGCTGCAGTTGCCAGTTGGCCAACAGCACACCAGAAAAGGGTGACGACGGCTCCGATCTCCGTTTGAAATCCGTCGTCAATCGCCGAATGAGTTCCGAGAGTAGTTTCTCGGCATCTGCTGGCTTTGAAGTGCCTCGAACACAGTCGAGCTCAGAGACATCCAGACGGCCAACTACGTGAGCGGACGTGGACTCGGCGGCCGCCTCCACAACTCCAGGCTGATAGGGGTCCAGCACAACCAGGTCCCACTGAGAGAGCAACTTGGTCTGGTTCGGGTTGCGGAATTCCCATGGTGGATTTCCAAAGCTGCCAAAGTATGCGCCGAATGATGTGGGAGGCTTCGACAGCGGCCGACCTTGTGGGAGCAGGCTACGAATGTCTTCCGGCAGGCTCGCCAGAAAGTCCACCAAGGCTGATGGAGGAACCTTGGCCTGCTCGTCTCTCCGTCTCTTTTGGTACTCGCGAAATCTGCGGAACAGGAGAAAGATGATGTGCGAGGCACCAAGGATGATGCAGACTAGAACAACGATGGCAGCAGTCTACATTGGGTCCTATGTGGTTAGCCAAGGTCCTGGTCAGATGCAGTCTTCGACTCATTACTGACCAAGTTCCACCAATGCTCCGTCATAGCCTGCCAGCCTATGGCCTCAAGACCTAGGCTGTTCGCCATGCTGCAGGTAGTGTGAATCCAAGATTAATGGGCTAGCAAGGAAAAGACATCAAGGAAAAGCCGTTGGACAGAGGTCGTAGAGTGAAGGGTTGGAAAACAGAATAAACGGGAAACAAGAAGTTGCAGAAGGCCGGAACGGTTGAACATGAGATTCAAACCGCGCCCCCGTGGATGAGCCTAGGTGTGGTTTGCATGCATGGTAGCAGTCCCTACCGGGTAGGCAGTTATTTGCCTCCACACCCGTCTTGAGCCGTGCCAATGCAGAAGCTGCAGGTAGAACTAGTCGTCCACGGTGCTGAAACTCACGGCCGTTGCTCAGGCCTCTCTTTGCCTCTTGCCCTCTGCGTCACCCTGCAGCTGCTCCGTCTGCTCACGGGAGTCATGACCCTCGCCTGCTCCGCCGCCAGGCCCCGCCACGAAGGAGGTGGAACAGCGGGCGTTGAAGGCTTGGGACGCCGCCTGCTGTCCAGCTGGTTTGGGTTTTCCACACAGAGTCCAGCTCAGATCGTGACGCAAGTATTTGCATTGTCGTTGAAGCGGATAGCGTAGTGAGCCGGCTGCCCGGTACCTGGGACCTGGACTCGTGCAAAAGCCAAAAATATAGTGCGCTTTGTGCCGTGCCTGATCGACTTCTAGATCTTGACCGCGCTTGGCAAGAAGGGTTGAATTTTCCCAATGTCGTAACCAGGCGGCTGGAGGTGCATAGATACATGGTCTATCCCATGAAGTGAAAAGTCTGTTTACAGCTCTCGAAAGCATTGACCACCACTGATCACATGATCATCCCATCAACACAGTACTCATCTTGGTATCGACTCCTTTCTCACTCCCATCAGGAAGGCAGGGGCGGCACGTGGTGACATACGGCAGCCATGCGAGACTCTTTGTTCGGGCCTTAGACATCGATGGAAGCACCTCAGGAAGTCCTGCGACGAGCCCAGCGGCGACGCAAGAGATGTTGCATCTCGACTGCTGTCGCAGCTGCGACGGTTGTTCTTCTCGCGATCGTCATACCGTGTGCACTGCTACTTTCGGACATACAGCCCGGACCAACCCAGCCAGCAGCCATATTGCTTCCTCTTTACATCTATCCATCGCGTAATGCGTGGGAACCGTTGTTCAATGCGTATGGAATCCACAAGCCGACTGCCCATGTGACATCCGTTAACGGTTCATCGCAGGGTCTCTACAAATCAGGAGGTCAATTTCACCGTGATTGTCAACCCTGACAGCGGTCCGGGGCAGTCGGCAGGCCCTGGGAACGACTACGTCTCTGCCATCAGCAGGCTGACGGCGGCTCCGAACGTTCAAACAGTGGGATACGTTCGGACTGGCTACGGTACAAGGGACATCGATACAGTACTACGCGATGTCGACATATACTCCCGTTGGAGCCAGCTGGCCAACGGTCTGGCCGTGAGCGGCATCTTCTTCGACGAAGCCCCGCACGACTACTCTCAGCAAAAGCAACAGTACATGGCTACGGCCAACCAAGCCGTCAAAGAATCGACTGGCATCCGAGAACCCAGGCTGGTAAGCGTCAAGAAACACAGTGCCATGTGCCTAGCCATAACTTATTGATGAGCGTGCAGATCATTCACAACCCGGGCACAATCCCGGATGCCACACTAGACGTCGACAGCACCGATGTGACGGTAGTGTTCGAGAATTCTTTCCAAGAATTTGAGCGCAAGAAGGAGGCTCTGCGCGCATTGTCAGGCGATCGACCCGATTATAGTGTGATGGTTCACTCCGTGCCAACAGGAGAGAGCATAGGCAAGCTGTTGCGAGATATGAGTCGGGAAGCGAAGTACATGTTTTTGACGACCGCGGACGAAGGCTACTATGACCACTTCAGCAGCAGTTGGGCCACATTCGTAGACCTTATGCGCTCGTGAAGCAGTCTGTAGAAGGATAGAATGTGCGGAGGGTTGGTTGCAGTGACTACAGATGGATTACATCCTGTAGATACATGTACTTGTACCTGCTCATGTGGACTGTAATAACTTCCTTGTTCTCCACAAAAGCAGCCCTTTTTCGTGGCCGCGTGAGGGGAAAATAACGTTTCTCGCTGTCCAAGTTATTGATGAATCTGATCCATGGATGCTGTGCTGCGCCACAGCGTGGACTGCCGGTTCTCCTCAACTTCTGGTTTCGCATTTTTGTGAAGATCGGAACCAGTTGTACAATCATCGCATGGCGAATATTTTCACCCGACTTATTCCCGGCAAAGGCCACAACAGTGTACCGCAAGGCGGGACAAGAAGCACTGTTGTGGTCCCGCTGTACATATATCCGTTGAGCGAAGAAACATATGCGCCTCTGTACGCAGCGTAAGCATCATACACCGTCACTTGCGATGCTTCAGCATCAAACAGGGTCACAACTAATCATTCAGTCCTTCCATCAGCATCCGCTCGCACCCCGAACTGAGGTTTCTAGTCATCCTAAATCCCAACTCCGGCCCCGGTGCGCCGCCCTGGTGGCCAGATCCCGGCTACGTGCGTGAAATCCCGCGTTTGAATGCACATGCCAATGTCACCACGCTCGGATATGTTCGCATTGACTACTGCAAACGCTCGCAGGGGGACGTCGTGGACGACATACGAGCGTATGGACGGTGGGCAGCGGACGAGCAGCACCCGGGAACTCTGGTCCGCGGTATCTTCTTCGACGAGACGCCAAATCACTACACCGGCCAGGCGGCCAGGTACTTGGAGGAGATCAGCCGCGAAGTACGCACGGCGACGGGAATTGATGTCCCTCGTCTTGTAAGTGGTTTCACCACATCTTGATGCAACGGCATCACCCTGGCAGATAAAAGATGCCAACAAATACAGTATGCTTATTGACTGACCATGCAGGTAATGCACAACCCGGGCACATCACCCGACCAAAGGCTCACGTCTTTATCCAAGCCGGACGTCACGGCGGTGTGCGAGGAAAGTCTGGAGAAATACCGCAGCTACACCGTCCAACAGCAAACCTCGCTAAGAGCCTTGCCTCGCACCCAACGCTGCATAATCATGCACACGGTGCCACAGTCGCAGATTCCGACATTGGTCCGCGAGCTTAGCCGCGAAGCTGCCTACTTGTTCATTACCGAGTTGGGAACGGGTGTCTACTACCAGAAATGGGGATCTGGGTGGGAGGGTTTTGTTCGTTCCATGGCGCAGCTGGGCGCATGACTCTGCTGAGGGATGAATGTGTACTTTCTAAGCATTTCTGGTCCACACACAATTTACTGAGCCGTGTTTCTGCCGCAGCAGACCCCTGAACATATTGAGCCAACCCCTGTTTCGTTCCGGAGGGTACCACTGCGAAGTCATTCATGGTACGTACTTCGATCGCTGCACAAGCGCTCGGTCATTTCGATCTACACGTGGATTCCGAACCGTCTTGAAGCCCCTTAGACAACTAAACATTTTTATTCATTGATACTTCTCGCAACGAAAGCGGTCTAGCAATGTATTTTTCAATGTTCTAAGAACGTCACACAAGACTGTGAACTAGTGTTACATGTGGCCCCTTTATGCCATGCAAAAACAACGCCTTTTGTTCATGCCTTCCCCCCCCCCCCCCCCCAATTCAAAACCTATTACGTCAATCGTCTTCAATGGTATCGTTGTGCAGAGCCTGAGCGACAAAGCCACTGCTGTGTAGGGTTACAGCGGCCTCTAGCATTGGGTGGCTGAGGGTTTGGAGGCGAGATCGGCGTGACCCAGAGTGAGTGCATTCCAGCAATCGCGAGCGCAGTCGTCGACCGTCCGTGTTGCTCGCCATCCAAGTTCCCGCTCCGCTCGTGTAGTTGCAGCAACGCAAGAACCGACGTCGCCCTCTCGTCTTGGGCCGAGCACAGCGGGGACCGGCTTGTGTGCGGCTGCCTCGAAGCTTGCGATCACCTCAGCCACAGTCATGCCATTGCCGGTTCCAAGATTGTAGGCTCGGAAAGCGTCTTTCCGGTCTGGCGACGAGGCCGCCCGAAGTGCTGCAATGTGTCCTTGGGCAAGATCCACAACATGGATGAAATCTCGCACTGCGGTGCCATCACGGGTGTCCCAGTCACTGCCGAAGACATTGAGCTGCTCTTGCTTGCCCTGCATAACAGAGGCAACGACAGGAAAGAGGTTGGTCGGCTTTTGTCGCGGGTCTTCCCGGATCAGCCCCGATGAGTGGCATCCAACGGGGTTGAAGTAACGCAAGGCGGTGATTCTCATGGATGGATCGGCTTTAGCCAGGTCGGCGAGGATGGCTTCAGCGAAGTACTTCGATCGACCGTATGGACAGGTGAGACCCAGGGCGCCGTTGAGTCGCAAGCCGTCGGTTCCATCGTCTTCCACTGACGGCTCGTCAAAGTGTACCAGATCGTGTTCAAGCAGAGGTTTTCCAAGATTAGATCGAGCGCCGTATACTGTTGCTGATGACGAGAAGACAAACTCCTTGATGTTATATTCTCCCATCAGGATCAAGAGATCGACAAGGCCGGACACATTGTTGCGGTAGTACGCCAGCGGGTTTTCAATGGACTCGGAGACAGATTTGAACGCCGCGAAGTGGATCATGGCTGAGATGGACGACCCGACCGCTGTGTAGTCGGCAAGAAGCTGTCGCATTTCGGGACTTCTGTAATCGAGTTTTGCCAGGCGGAGTGTTGGCATCGGCTTTCGTTGGGCCAGTAGGTACTTCGTGGCCAGTAACCTGATGCGAGACAGCACATCCTCGTACGAGTTGCTGAGGTTGTCAACGACGATGACATTGTAGCCTTCTTGGAGCAACTCCAACGTTGTGTGGGAGCCTATGTAGCCCAGGCCCCCAAGAACCATAACATAGCTTCGAGGGACACTGTCGACCAGGTTGTAATGCGGTTCCACGGGCTCTGGTGTGTGCGCTGCTGACCGGTCGGGTGTGGTTGCTGCAGACTCGAGGGCCAGGGAGAGCGTGGAAGTCGAGGGGAACGAACGTAGAGAAGACATGATGAGCGGGTGTGAAAGGCTGGTGCAAAGAAAAGTAGGTGCTGTAGGCAGTTGGAAGCAGCAACAAGCAGATGGGTACACTCACGATGCTGGGCGGAAGGTCGGCTTCATAACAACCTCCAACAGCACTGCAAACCATGCATCGAGATCCTGTGTAGAATCCCACAACGGTGAATGCCAGGAGCGAGGTCCACGCCACAGATGCTGGGCCACCGGCCTAGAGCGTAGTCCCGGTGTGTCCGCGATCATGGCGAGACGTTAGGCCAGAGATCCTACGGACCTACCTGAGCGGGCCCAAGAAGGAAACTGGAATTGCAATACGCCCAACCCGGCCTGAATGAGCCCTGACTCGGCAGCAGAGTCGTACAGTCCAGCATGCTACTAGCGAACGAGTCGTACTAGCACGCAGGGCAGACTTGGCCGCACAGGAGGAGACGCCGGTGATTACAATTCATTCGGTAGTTTTCACTCAAACCAGAGCGCGCTGTACCCAATCCATGGCCAAGCACAGAGTCCACACGTGGTTGAAACTGCCGCGCTGTGTCGGGTCGTGTCATCGGCCAAAGCCTATCGGCAATCCACGAGAGAGCATTGCCTCAAGTTCCCCATCGCAAACGTAAAAGCGTTGCGCAAGTCGATTGAACAAAATGCTCCAGAGTGGACGGGATGCTCCACGGTGGAGCGAGGCAGCGGAGATGCCACGAGAAAGGGCTGAGCAGAGTCAGATGCCATCAGCCACAGCGAGAAAAAAGCCATCGTCCCAGCGGTATAAGCTTTGAAGATGCGGTCGCATAGGCTGAGTCGACTCTATCTAGTCGACGGAAGGGACGAGTTGATTTGGAGAGAATGACCAACAACGTGGAACGAACAAGGCAGGTTGAATTATGCATCACCCTAAGCAATTAGACGGAGGCGATTATCCAGGCCGGCGGCGCAAGTGGCGTGTGGCAATGACTCGTGGGCACCGGACCTACCGCCTACAGATCCGTGCAAATTGGCGCCAACTTCTCAGCATTCCCTTATACATGGCCCACGTGCGTTGCTGTAGGGAGAATCCCGGCCGACCCGTGAACTTTGCCATTCTCCTGGGCCGCGGTATTACGTCATTGCTGAGCCGCTGCCGCTGCTACCACCACGCCTAGATCGATCGGTTGACCACGTTGGCCAAGCACGCCCACCGCACCCAGCACCACCGCTCATGCAAGCGCTGAGCCCACGTTCAATCCTTGTTGGTACACCAAGCGCTAGCCCCTACTGATGCAGCTTCCACTCTCCACCTATGAGGCATGACCCTCGCCATGAATGGAAGTTCCCATCTTTGCGATCTCGGTCTCCAGCTTGGCGATGGACTTCTTCTGATACTCGGTGGATCTCGACACAAGCTTAACGTAGATGGCGTATTGGGCGACCTCGGCTTCTAGGAGTATTTTGAGGGCGCTTCCTTTCGGGCGTGGCAGAGGAAAAATTCAGGTAGCTGTACCTTGCTTCGGTGACGACTCCTCTTACCCAGAAAAGGCTCGAGTCAGCGAGAGGCACGTTACAGAATGTGAGGATCTCAGTATACTACGGACGGGCCTGTCCTTGTGACGAAGGGTCCAACGAGTACCATGGCACGTAGCCCGACGGTTTTTCTGGCCAGCTCGGTGTGAAGAAAGTTGGAGAAGGCGAGATGAACTTACCAAGTTCGCTGCACATGGTAAACATTCTCCAGCGAAGTATCGCGCCCAGAGCCATACTTTTTTAAGCGGACTGAAACACAACGGCACGCTTGACCTCGGTGTTGCTGTGTCTCTGTCATGATCATGTGACGTGGTCGGTGCTTTGAAGGGATGAACAGACTTTTCACCTGCTCATTAGATAGGCTATGTATGCATCTTCTGCCTACGGTTACAACAGATGTCAGGACTATCGACACCCTCTACGACAGCCATATAGATAACATCCACATTGTACGTCCCTTGTTCGATAAACAAAAGCAGCGGAAGGTCTTCGTTCCATCAAACGATACAGTACCCATCCCGCTGCCTTTTGCCAGATATTTGCCGGTGCGGATGACTCCTATCGATGATACAGGTCTCTTCCGCTCATGACCACCTCAATGGTCAGAAACGTGAGACTGACGTTGACTTGAATCTATCAGTGCGGTGATAGCGAAGCCGAGTCACGAAGCAGTGTAGCCATGGCAGCACCAGCTCAGAAGACCGACACGTCGAAGTGGTACAGCCCAGATCCTCCAGATATCAAGCCTGATGCCAAAGAGGTGCTCGAGAAGTACAGTAAGGTGCCGCCCGAGGATATTGAGGCTCATGTGTCACGCATTGTAGGTTCCATTCCAACACTTCTGCTTACAGCACTCAACTCACCTCCTGCTCAGCGAGATAAAGCGTGGGCGATCTTCCCATACCCATGTATTGGGCAATGGCGCTTTCTCGACCTCGCGATCAGCCAGCATAGCCACTACCAGGAGGTCCTCAATCGCATGCGCACCGGAGAGCAAGTCTACCTTGACCTGGGATGCGCCTTCGCCCAAGACATCCGCCGCCTGGTCGCAGACGGTGTCGACAGCAGCCAATGCTACGGCGCAGACCTACGATTGGACTTCATCGACCTTGGCTATGATCTGTTCCGCGACAAAGACTCACTGAACAGCAAATTCATCGAAGCTGACATCTTCGACCCTGACAGCCCGCTGAAGCAGCTTGATGGCGAAATCGACATCATTGGTGCTTCCTCTTTCTTCCATCTCTTCAGCTGGGAAGAACAGAAGTCCGCCGCACATCAGGTTCTCAAGCTAATGAAGCCTCGAGGCGGAAGTCTTCTGGTCGGTCGCCAGGTTGGAGCTCGAGAGCCCGCCGAGAAAGCTCGCGGGGTGCAGATTGGCGCTGGGAGTAGGTTCCGCCACAACCTCGAAAGCTGGCAGAAGTTCTGGAAAGAGGTCGGAGATGAAGCTGGAGTTCAACTACAGGTGGATGGTACGGACAAAGATATTCCAGATGCTTACAAGAACATTCTCACTTTCGGAGATCTTGTGCTGGAGTTTGCGGTCAGGAGACTGTAATTGGAGCGCACGCCTACTGACGGGTCTGATGTTGCGCTTGCAGCTGTTACTGCTAAACGAGAACAATACTGAGCCTCCTGGCTGCTGTTTTCTGGTTGCGGAGGCTGAACTGTTGACTTTGCATGGAATGCTTGCACTTTCTCCCGTTCAACAAAGGCATCTCCAACTCCACGTTGAAGAACAATACTAAGTAACATCCACCTTTTGCGTCAGCATCACCGCTTTCAACATCAACGGCGCCGAAGACAACGAAATGGCGCAAAACAATAGTAAGGCGAACATGGCATATAACGATCAACTTTCTTCTTTCCAGAAGAACTCACCGATCTTCAACCGCACGTCGAAGTTTTCGTTTCATCCACCATGAAGTTCCTCATCACTCTCCTAGGCCTGTTGGCCGTCATGCTGGCGTTTGCCGATGCAAAGCCCAAGTACAGTGCAGCTGACCGGGCGTACTCTTGCAGGACCCAGCACCGTAAGTACAGCCGAGAGAACCCCGTTTACGACGTCAAGGAACACTCTCGCTAACTCTTATCTTTGTTCAGACGGGTTCTACAAAGCCATCACCAAGTTCTGCAACAACGACGGCATCGTCATTTCCAGTGGGTATGGCGACCAAGGCAAGAACAACAACGGGCATCTCGTCCAAATCACCGGGAACTGCTTTCCCGCGCAATGGGTACCCAAGGGGATCTGTCAGTGGCAGTTCTACACCATGTGTGCCACGTCGAACAAAGGTGGCGCGAAGCGTAAGAGGTTTGGGCACGGCAAGTGCCAACATTGGAGTTTGTTCAAATTCCAATAGATGACCTGGAGGATTGGAGAGGGGATTGTGTCCGTGGAGGATGGGGAGTGGGCGAGACCATTTTGGGTAGATCACGTACTGAAGTAATGACATCTCGATCGCTTCGCATTTCGCATTTCGCTACGCTACGCATTCAAATGTCTCAAACCCGTCAATCAGGTGAACGCCTTTACTGCAAGTTCCTCTCATTGACCAGCGTAATCCTGTACCGCGGCTTGCCAGCCTCAAAGTCCTGAATTGCCTGGTTCGCCTTGTCCATCGGATACGTGTTAATCCAAGGCTTGACTTTCTTCTCCGCAGCTAGCTTGAGCATCTCTTCGATCTGCCATGGAGGGCCGATCAAGCTTCCGCCCATCTTAATGCCCTTCAGCACGAATGCGAAAGCATACATGTCGGGAAGTTTGTCCTCTGGTGCGCCGACCTGGATGAACGTCCCCTTGACTTTCAAAAGTGTCAGATAGTCACCCAGCGGCATCTTCGGCGATGAGACCGTGCAGACGATGAGGTCGAGGCTCCGTGCATGTTTGTTGGCCCAGTCTTCATCATCGTCGGTGGCGATATACTCGTCCGCTCCCAACTTAAGGACGTCGTCCCGCTTGTTGTTCTTCCTGCTGATGCCCACCACTTTATCCGCTCCGAGTGCTTTCGCAAACAGCACGCCGAAGTGACCGAGCCCGCCAACACCGACGATTCCAACCTTCATGCCAGGACCGCAACCGTTGTTCTTCAGAGGCGAGTAAACGGTAATACCACCGCAGAGCATTGGAGCGGCATCCTCACTCGCCAGCTGGTCTGGGATCTTCATGACGAAGTGCGAGTGACAGCGGTGGTAATTGGCGTATCCTCCGTACGAAGTCCCTCCTTGCGGGTACTTGGCAGCATACGTGCCCACCATGTGCTGGCAGTGCTGCTCAAGACCTGCAGCACACTCGTAGCAGTCCGGCTTCAGACACGAAGCATTCTGCGCACCCACTCCAACTCGGTCACCGACCTTGATACCCTTCTCCGCCTTGCTGCCAACCCGGACAGCCTTTCCAACGATCTCATGGCCGACGCAACATGGGTATGGTGTTGGTCCCCATCCTGACCGGAGTGTGTGCATGTCACTGCCGCAAATGCCGCAGTGAGTGATTTGAATATCCACGTCGGTCTCCTCGAACTTCTTAACATCTGGGAACTCCTGCCAAACCATCTGACCTTTGGCGGAGTCTGGGTTAGTGCCCATCCATCCTTCGAACTTGTAGTCCTGGCTCTCCGGTGCGACCATGTTGGGCGAGTCCTGTGGTTTGCTGAATTGGAAGTTTGATTGAGGTGATGAAAGTTGGAGAAGTCTCGATGGCCAAAGGAAAGGGAGATACGAGAGGACTCAATATATATACATCGCCGCCACGAGACTTGAGAAATCATACACTTACGGCATCATCACTGCGCAAACGGGTACACAGTCGGCTTGTCGTTGGCTTTCGTACATATGCGTGCTCAAGTCCGCTATCGCCGTTGTCAATAACGGTTCAGCGTGACGAAAAGACGCAAGATCCACCTTTACAAGCCAATGCCACCCGTCGTAGGGCAGATGGCTCCGAATGGTAGACAGGTTGAGGATGTATAGACTCCCGGGTGGGTCAGATGCAAGGGACGAGATTGCCACCGGCTGATAAAGCATTGTCGGAGATCTGTCCACGCAGGCTATGGGAAGAGATGGTGGCCGGGTGCACTGTGTGTGGATGTTGGACGGCGAGGAAGGATCATGTTGGTGTGATTGACTTCTCCATTGTGATGTCATCGATACAAGAATTTTCGGAAGCGGGCGCGGACGCGGTGCGGATGCGGGCTTGGGAAAAGAACGAACGATCTCCGATCTCTATGTTGTAAGGAGAAGCATTTTTGACCGCTTGTCGATGAGTTGACATTGGCCTGGCGTGTTTTCCAACCTTCTCAATCTCATGGCTTTGACTCTCCATTTGCTGCAGCCTCTTTCGGCGTATGATCCTTTTTCTTGAAGAATCTGCTGGTGTCGCCCATGGGAAAGCTGAAGAACAACGACTCCTGGCACATGAGATTGCCCAGGGTATAGTATCCCAGCATCCCGGAAGCAAAAGCAAATGCACCTGCTGCAGTCCCGACAGCGCTCGCCGTAGCTGCTTTACCGTCGGCGATGAGGAAGTACTGCGCGGCGACCAGCGTGAACGCCATCTGCACCGTGAAGAAGATGCCAATGTACACGAGGTTGAGCGGGAGCGAGCCGAGCAGGAAAAAGATGTTGAGCACCGCCCACACTTCACCATGGTCAGCATGCAGACATTGTGTTGATGAAGGAGAGGAAGACTCACTCAAGACGAAGAATCCAACTGCGTTGTTGTACTCTGGACTTGAAGCTCCGCCATCATAGCTCGCCGCAACCCCAAGGAATGGCGTGATGGTGAAGCCAAACCCAGCATAGAAGAAGCCGAAGGCAGACAAGACCGTGTAAGCGTAGATGTTGCCGAGTACGATCTCCCACTGCGCTGTCACCACCATGCCGATGCCCGCCACGCCGAAGAAGTCCCCAATAAAGGCGTTGGTTACGCCGACACCACGGAAGCCCATGAGTGCAACGGAAGCCCATGAGTGCAACGGAAGCCCATGAGTGCCAGACTCAGAGTCGTCAGGGTTGTCGCGAAGGCTCCTATGGCGAGTGCGGTTGGACTGCCGAGCTGTGCCTTCAAGGTGATGGGGACTGGGATGTACTGTAGGCCTCCTGGTGATACGGTGCCATTTGCGCTGGCAGTCTTACCGGCTGCGAGCTTCTCGTAGAAGTCATTGTTCGTGACGACGTTCCTCACGTCTTCTAGCTGCTCAATTCGGTTCTCTAGGTGACGAATGTGATTGAGGTGGTGTGCTTCCGCCATTTTCAAGTAATAGACCGAGATACGAGTAGCTTCTACCTACCAGAATGTGCTTCAGCAAAAGTATCCATAGAGTCGGGACGGCTGATCTTATGACCCTCTTCACAATGCATCGTTCTGCGGGACGACTCAATTGCGTGCTGCAGACTCTCAAAATCGCCGACGTATAGCCATCCCTACTCGCGCAGGCATTGCGCGAGCGATGCGAGTATTCGGCGCAAATATCTGGGATACGCAAGCGTTAGCTTCGATGGTGTGATTTTTGCGGTGGATCTGCGAAGAGAAGAGCATTGTGGAGGTTGAAGAAGAGCAAATGGATTTCCTAGCGCTCGAATCCGAGCCTGCTCCATTTCGTGACTGCTCAGCAGTTCGCACGCTCTCGGCACGTAGTTTAGACAGACCCTGCTCACGTATTCTCCTCGAATCGCCATTGATATGTTCCCTTCTTCCCGTAAACCGCGTGGTATCCTTGAGTATTCATGCCTCCCTGAAGTCTCCTCTTCCAACTTCAAAGAACCGCCGCAAGCTTCCCACGCTTCCACGGCTCCCATGATGGCTCTACTTCCTCCCTCGCCCTCATGCACCCCTTCATCAATTTGCCGCGCTTCTTGACAGGCTCGTCCACTTCAGGTCCCACGACGCCGAGCTCGCGCAATTTCGCCTTGACCTTCTTAATATTCGCCTTCAGCTGTTCGCGAGTGTACTCTTCGTACATGTGCTGAGAGTCGCCTTCGAACATCGACTCCGTGGTGGAGAGTTCGTTGATGTCCATAGTAGCTACGGTCGTCACAGATGCCCCGGTTATCACAGCGCCTCCGGTTGCTCCAGCCGTTCCATCATTTCCATTGACAAGCCCGTCCTCGCCTTCGGTGACCAGCGCAGTCTCCTCTACCGGCCCTCCTTCAACCTCGGCCTCGGGCTTCTCATCGCTAGCGGCTTTCACTTGGTGTTCGTCTGCCAGAACCTTGATCGCCAGCTCGTCGTCTCCATCTCCGCCCTTGTCAGCGGCCTCGCTGTCTCCGCCCTTGGAAGCATCGATCTTCACTCCTATCTGGAGAAAGTTAGTACAAGAGCCCGGATAGAGAGCCATGCGACCCACCCAATTGACTCCGGTGAGCAGTGTGAGCTGTGTCTGGATGTTTGCGATGCCTGCGTGCAGCTCCGACTCGTCCCAGTCCCAGTACGTGCGCGCCATGGTGAAGTGAGGGTGCTTTGGCTGATATCATGTGGGTGGCGTCGCGCGGTAGTATTGGTACGATGCTGCCGTGGAAGTATTGTAGTAGATTGTGGTATATCCTGGTGATTGAGTAGTAGGTGAAAAGAAGATAAGATATGAGATGTCGAGGTCGAATGAACAATGCGAATGAGCGAGCAATTGTCGATGTGAAGTTAAGACCGACCTCACCTCACGAGACCTCACCTCATATGCATACGGGTTCCCACTTGATCACACCAGCTCCGGCGAAATTACCTATTCATGAAGTTCTGTGGGTTCATATTGATTACGCCTACTGCCGCACCGGCTTCGCCATCTTACAGTCTCGAGCACACTGACTGGACTTTCGATGCATGACCACGAGAGACATCAAATCCGGACGCTTACATTCCCTGGACGTAGGACTGGCCTGTCGTTGTGCCTGGAAATTGATGGCATAAGTCCATGTTGTCCATTTGCGTTCAGGCCGTGGGCCATGTGCCGCCAACAGTCGAAGAATCACTCATGGCATATCCAGGAAATTGTTGCAAGACTCGGAGGCCGCCGTCTTGACGACTGGAGCTTGATCAACAAGACCGTGATAGTAAGCCCCGTTCTACGAGAGAAGTGGAAGGTAGCGAGAGGAATGTGATGAAAGAAGGTGGAGGTGGAGGTGGAAGTGGAAGCGACCGTCTTTGGAGAACGGTGAGCACAGACCTCTTCGCTACAGGGCGACAACACGACCAGCTTTGTCTCTTGAGTGAGTGCAATCGCGAAATACAATGTACACTCATCTTCTACGTGTATGCCTTCGACTATACTCGGAGAGCGCATATTGTGCAGATGGTAAGGAGACAAGATCACGATCTGCTCTCACGGAGGAAGGAAAGCCAATGTGCATAGCCTCAACGGCAGGATCAAGTAACTTGCTGCCTTGCTGTTCTACGCCATCATATCTTCTTCTGACACATATCACGTAACACTCACGAGGGCAGAACTCTGATCACGAGTCGAATCGCAACACCAACGCCACACCATCCACCACACAATGGACCACCCGCCTACATACGCCGCAGCAGCTGGCCCTCCCAAACGCTCGATTCAAGACTTGCGAGCTCAGATCATCGCCCATGGCACAGTCATCAGACCCGAGCACGACAACCAATACGGGTCAGAAGACCATATCGAGGTGATCGTGGCAGAGACACCCGCACACACTTCCGCCCAGCAGGCGTCGCGCACTCCCAACTTCAATGGGAAGCAATCCACCGCTATGAAAAGTGACGGCACGCTCGACTTCCAGCTTCGAAAGCAGGAAAATGCGGCTTCGGCTTCGGCTTCGGCTTCGACTGCTGTGGAGAGCAAGCATTATGCTGTTCTGATCAAGAGGAGTGGTGGCACTAAGATTCGTATCATCCTCAAGGGCGCGCTCAAGGACACCGTGGAAGAAGCACTGGAATGGATGCTGGAGCAGACAGAGAAGATCATGCACGACATGATTATCATGAACTCGAAGCAGGACACTGTGGATGAGTGTGTGGTAATGTGAGCTGCATTGAGACCCTCAACGACCGCTTCGTTACCTCTTTCCTCCGACCGTCCCTCACTTCGGCGGGTTCATCGTGCAAAAGCAGTACCTCGCAATCTTTCAGTCTTAACCAGCTTTCTGCATGACGAACAGTTCCTGGTTTGCTTCCTTGCTGGTCTGTCCGGTGGCGTTGATCTTCTGGGTGCCTTTGGACGAGGTTCGAGCGAATGCCCACTCATCGGATGCTACGACCACTTCTTCGATGTTGAACTCGACGTCCAGGGCGAGCATCTCGAATCATTCCTTGTACCATTCCGCTATGGCTTCACGACCAATCTGTGTCTGGGAGTGCTGGGCCATGGTGATGCCATCTTTGGCGTACAAAAGGACGATGGAGGCTGCATCGGAAGTCGACGATGCCGTCACGATAGGCGTTCAGGGTGGCTCGGATGGCTTTGTCGGCGGAGGACACTGATGTATGTCAAGTTCTGCTAGGGGGCCGTGGCAGTCATTGCTTACTGTTGACTTTCGAGCAATCGTACTCTTGAAAGAAGTGATATCAGGATCTGACTCTACAAGCTACGAAAGGAAGCTGGACTCTATGTGATGAATCAAGTGGGCATCTTCAGCTGCGCGCCCCTGCTGTTTTTATGCTACCGATGGCCGCATACAACGCTTCCGCCAGAGACATCATTTCTTGTGGCCAATGTACTGCCGGCAGCAGCTTTTCTACAGTTTCGGCATTCGAGGCGAACAAGTGGCGGAGCAATGGCGTCGTTCGTGCCGTCTAACGGGCTAGTCCAGCAAGTTCATACCTGTAGATGTTCTCTCCCCTGGCCTTCATCGTATGTTTGAAGTCGAACGATTGGTCCAAGGCTTTGGTCAGCCCTGACTAAACGTGTCGACTGTGGAGGAGTACAGCGAAGGCGTGGGGGCGTCATCAGGCGGCCACACGAACCCGAGCCGCAAAAGTTAGGTGAGGTTTCCTTTGATTACCTTCGTTTGCTTTGATATCGCTTGCAGTGCGCCAGCTTTTGGGATTGAGCAGCTAAGTATGCTCAGATACCTCATGCATTAATTCCGGTCGTACCAATAGACAACAGCCTATAGGGTGATTTCAGAGTGGAGGGTGCGCCCTCGCGGATTGCTTTCATAATCCCGTCTTATGGCGCAATGAGCTAGGCCGAAGAAGGAAGTAGATTCCAAATGGATCAGACAAAGGCGCGCATATAAGATGTGGGCTATGACCCAGCGCGATGCAAGCAACTACCTCGACATCCCAGATGCCTCCAATGGACTCACTCACCAAACTGTGGACGTTCTGTCCTTCGTCCGGCCAGATCTCGCTGCCGACCATCCCAACTTCAGCTTCGACAGGACCGAAAACTGTACGGCCGGCTCCGAAGAAGTAGAAAACATGCGCATTTGGAGGAAACGAAAACGTTCCGGATAGATGAAAACCAGACTCATACGACTTCCCTCGTCACCAACCCAGCGCGAAGCAGCAATCCGATGCAGCATCCCAGAGCCACGAAACGTCCAATCCCGAGGCCGGTGGAAGTCCCTGATCCGCATGGATGTGCTGTCGTGGATGACCTTGAGATGGCTGCGTTGACAAGGTCGGAGGGCACGTCACCTCGAGGGATGAGATGGGAGTGTTTAGAGCGCTTGTACCCGCGTCGAGGAGAGAGGTGCTTTGGGACAGACCGATATGACGGATCTGAGAACAGTATGGAGCCATCTCGGATGTCTGAGCAAAGCTGTCATGACTGGAGTGAAGTAGAAACCCGATGGCTTCGCTACTAGCTTGCATGTGAAAATGAGCCCGCGCTCCTGCACGCTCAAAATGACTGCTTTGTGTTGCGTTCCAGTAGAATTTGAATAGTACTGTTCGCGGAACGCCATCAGCGTAGGTGCTGTGCGGTAGGATGACCATTGTCAAAGTCAGCAATAGGAAGTTTCCAACATCTTCACCTGTTCACATCTGAGACAGCCTGATCGCGGCCGAGCTCCGAAAGCTTATCGTGTTATCGATCAGCCAACCAACCTCTGAAGATCTCACCACTGTCACCAACATCGAGAGCCCAACCCATCACAGCAACTACCCATCGCCAACATGCCTTCAGCGACCCCCATATCTGACGCGGAGCTCCCAGTTAACCCTCCCGATCTGTCGAAGAAGCTGCCCAAACTAACACCACGCCGACCACAACCCGAACAACGAGCATCGAATCCGCCTGTTCCTACGCCGCAACTACCCAGTCCTCCACAGCTTTCCGGCCACAAGTACTACCCACCGAGTCGACGGATCCTGTCTGAACACGACCACCAGCTGTTCCTTGCCTCGCCAACGCACGACCTGATCGTCAGCTTCGTCTTCCACCTGTCCGACTCAGTTCGCAACACCACCATATCGCAGGTCAGAGACTCGCCAGCTGCGCAAGACCCAGCGATCACCGCGCTCCTCGCCATCTTAGACGAAGCAGAGGCTGCACTTAAAGCATGTCCACCGCTTGACACGGGCTCTCGCTTTGGTAATCCGGCCTTCCGTGACTTCCTCTGCAGAGTCAACGACAATGTACCGGCGTGGCACAAGAAGCTGGGACTCATAAACGAGGAGGCACAGGCTGAGGTGTCTGCCTATCTTGCCAACAGCTTTGGGAATGGGTCAAGGATTGACTATGGCTCAGGGCACGAGCTCAACTTCATCCTATGGCTCTTGTGCCTTAGACAATCTTCCCTGCTGAAGGACAGCACGTTCCCGGCTCTCACCCTGATCGTATTTCCTCGGTATCTCCGTCTCATGCGCGACGTGCAGAGTACCTACTACCTCGAACCGGCAGGCTCACACGGCGTCTGGGGTCTGGATGACTACCAATTCTTACCGTTCCTCTTCGGTGCCAGCCAACTGCTGAACCACAAGCACATTCGACCACTCAGTATTCACAACGAACTGACTGTCGAAGAGTGCAAGAAGGACTACCTCTACCTCGACCAGATCGCATGGGTGAACAGTACCAAGACGGTGCAGGGTCTGCGCTGGCACAGTCCAATGCTGGACGACATATCGTCCTCCAAGAACTGGACAAAGATTGAAGGCGGTATGCGGCGCATGTTCCTGGCAGAGGTTCTGGGCAAGCTGCCGGTTGCTCAACACTTCTTGTTTGGCAGCTTATTACCTGCTTCAGAGGACATGAGCAAGGATGCTGAGAGCTGGGTTGGCGAAGGCGATGTGGGCGAAGTCGAGGTCACTGTCGACGGGATGAAGCATACGCACAGTGCGAATAGCTGGGGTGACTGCTGCGGGATCAAAGTACCCAGCGCAGTTGGTGCAAGGCTGGAAGCGCGGAAGCATGGTGATGCAGGGGAATTGAGACGAGTACCGTTCGATTAGCGGTATGTATCAAATCTACTCGATACCCTGCCGGAACAGTTATCTACTCCCAGCGGTGCCCTGGGGAGCGGAAGGCTACATGTGAGCTTTCCCATTACCTGAGTAACCGACTGCCGTGCTCGCGACGCTCCCTCTGACAGCATCGCTGCCTTCTGCAAAGGCATCTTCGACCTTATCGACAACGCCCCGCCGAACGCCATCTAGCTCCTTTTGCAGAGCCTTGAGCTCCTTCTTGTACTCCTTCTTTTGCTCCTTGTGCTTGGCGACCTTATCCTCCAGCTCGACGGCTTTCGCTTGTGCCTGGTTCTGGCTCGGACCGTTCTGCGCATGCGGGTAGTTGGCGACCTGGTCCTCCCTCGCCTCCTCGTACAGCCTCTCCAGCCGGTCCCGCTCCTGAATTGGATGCGGTCGCTCTCCTTCTCCCCATTCGAGGAAATCAATGGTCGCAAATACTCGCTCGGAAGCCTCGATGGCCTTGACGACTTCTCGGTACTGGTCTCGAGCCCTCCTGAAGCGGACAGGCATGCCTTGTCCAGTGAGCCATGCGAGGACTCCTGCAACTACGGTGTTGATCGCGCCCAGCACTGTGAGGGCAGTGTTGGAAGAACGCTCGCCTGCCGCGAGAGCGGTAAGGGTCGCGGCGACCAGAATCTGAAGCAAGTACAAGCTCACGATGAGGTAATTCGAGACCGAATACATCACGCGATTCTTCATATCCTGGCTCAGAGCGCGATCGTAAAGTCCCCGGTTGCGGAAGCGCTCCTCCGCTGCTTTGGACGGCCGAAGGATGTCGCGCCAGACACTTGCTGGTGGCTTTTGGCGATCGACGAGTCCACCGCCACCGTACTTGGTGAAATGGATGCCCACGAGGGTCTGGAAGACCTTGAGCTCCGATCGTCCATAGCGTCGGTGGTGCTCTGAGAACTCGCTCGCGAGTCGGTCTTGCTCTTCCTCCTGTTTGCGGATTTGTTCGCGCTTCGCGTCCGCTGATTCGCCTCGTCTGAAATGGAAGCGACCGGACTCTAGGTCTTCGTGGTCTTTCTCTGACATTTGTGGCATGGCTGTGAGCAGATGGAAAGAAGAAGTACTCGAAAGTTGATTCTGAGAAGGAAAAGAGCACTTGGGGTGGCGTGTTCATATACTCCTCCATCGTTTCATTCAAAAGGAAAAACGGCATTGTGGATGTTGGCGATCAACATGACCTCCGCATCACCGTGATAAGCTGTATTGTCCAAAGCTGGTGTAGACGTTCAGACGATGCCAACGGTCGTGCATACTACATCACGCTATATGTAGCTTCAACCACTCATATCTCATATCCGAGCCCCGGCGTGCACTCTTCATACTAGGAAAGACCAACGATCTGCGCATGGTCAATGTCACCATGATCGGGAATCGCATATCTGACATGGCATCTCACCGTGTCGAGATCTTGTTGATCCGGGTATATGGTGCGAATGGTGGGCTTGCTTTTGCTTTACCGTTCGCCCGACGTCCTGACCATTATGAGACTTCATCTCATTGGTCGAGTGGTTCGTCTCGATCTTGTGAACCGATCGAAGGTGGTAGAGAACGGGCAGTGAGTGTGGTATGCTTGGCGCATTGGTGGTTCCCAAAGGGGTAGTGCTCCGCGGCGGCACCCCCGAGCTCCGTTTGCTTGCGCGAGAACAAGACTGTGAAAGCCAGATGTACACCATGGATGGCGATGTCCAGCGACGAACCTGTTCACGATGACACCAACGACAGCAAGCAGACACCAGCAAAGCCTTCGGAGCCAGCGGCGAGGTCGAACAGAGGCTACAGCATCTTCACGGTTCCTGCACCGCTGAAGCGCATCTTCGACCGTTTCCCACTGGTGACTTACGCTGAAAACGATGCGCCGTTGCGAGCACCAACGGCTAGAGATACGCACGGGTTACACATTTTCACGACAGCAAGCGACGCACGCAATGGACGGCCAAGCTTCAATCCGGCTTGCTTGAAGTGGCAGGTAGGAGCCATATCGTCCTTGCTGGCACGGCCTTGACTGACTGGCTTGTACTTCAGACCTTCTTGAAGATTGCTGGAGCGCCTTTTCACGCGGTTGCTTCGTCGAATCATGCCTCCCCATCCGGGTCGCTGCCATTCCTCCTCCCCACTGCAGCAGACCAAGCCACCACACCAGCTCCAATCCCGAGCAGCAAGCTGAGGAGATGGGTGAATGCGCAGAGTGGAGCCAACAAGAGTCAGGAGCCGTTGGACGTTCGTGGAGACGCATACCCTTCGCTGCTTGAGGACGGCGTAAGGAAAGCATGGGTATGCTTCAACCCTTCCGCTAAACAATATACGAGTGCTGACAACTTGAGCAGCTCTACCAGCTCTACATCAACCCAGCCAACGCTGCGCTCGTCGACCGCCTCTACGTCTCACCATGCTCGTCGAATATATTCGTTCGAATGACCACCTCCCATCAGCTTCAGCAGGCAGCTCAACACGAGCTCTCAAAGGCATCTGCATCGAATACGATACACGAGGCAGATGTGCTGCAAGAAGCTGCGGCCTCCTTCGAGGCTCTGTCGACTTTGCTTGACAGCGACGAGTGGTTCTTCGGTCGAGACGGTCCCGGCCTGTTCGATGCCAGCGTGTTCGCATACACCCATCTCATACTGGATTCGGATATGCAATGGCAAGACAATGCTCTCAGCGATGCTTTGATGGACCACGGCAACCTCGTGAAGCACCGAGATAGGATGGTTGAAATGTACTACTAGCTGATTCAATGCATAGCGACGGCGTCGGGAAGGTCTGGACCTAGGTGAGGTTATGCAGCTCCATATCATACTCATCAATTTCCATCAAACTTGAGAACCGACCAATCGACTGTCGAGCTTCAAGGTACATGGCTCGCAAATCTGGTTGTGGCGTCAATGATTGTGCAACCATCTTCATGACTCACAGTCATTGCGGAGATGAAATTGGAAGCTTAAACTAAGGCGGGCTGTACAAGAATGTCGACTAAGGTATAGATTTTCGCGATGCAATACAATACTCACTGGCGACCTCAACAATGACTCAGCCATCGTCTGCAGATATGACCTTCGACAGCTCGCTCGTGGATGTCCAACGATCGTTCTCCTCCACAGATACCAACACTACCAGCTCGACTGGGAAAGAAAATATGCCGCCATCAGATCACTCGGATCCTGTTTCAGCACCTACCTCACAGTTCAAGGACGTCTCCACGGATGAACTGTACTCGGAATGGGCTGCGACGTACGATACGGACGGCAATATCCTGCAGTTCATCGATGACTTACAGATGACTGACCTCTTGGAGCAATTCGTTTCACTGTGCTGTGCGCAAGACCTGGATTCCAACGATTACCGGCTTGATATACTGGACTTAGGATGCGGTACTGGTCGCAACACGCTCAAGCTCTTACAAACACCTTGGCCTACCGATCGCGATGTCAACGTCCACGGCTGGGACGGGAGTCAGGCCATGCTGGACCTCGCCCGGACGAAATGCGCCAACGCAGTCTCGTCATCCGCGAGTACCAAGATGGTCATGGAGTTTGCTGCTGTCGACATCTCGAACCCCGAAAACGTCCCAAAGCAGTACGACGACCTCTTCAATGGCCTGATCTCAACGCTTGTACTCGAGCACATCGAGATTGAGACCTTCTTCGCCATCGTAGCTCGGCTTCTCAAACCTGGCGCTCACGCTCTCATCACAAACATGCACTCCGACATGGGCAGACTCTCACGTGCAGGGTATAAGGCAGCGACAGGTGAGCGGTATAGAGCTACTTCGTACATCTACACGCCTCAGGAGACTGTTGAGGCTGCGGCGGCTGCTGGACTGGATCTCGTGGGTGAGATTGACGAGGTCGCGGTGGATGGGAGGATGATTGACGGCGGCGTCCTGGACAATGGTGTGCGTGTTGAGAAGGGTGGGGTCAGGGAGGGAGCGAGGAAGTGGGTTGGGACGAAGGTGTGGTATGGCATGATGTTGAGGAAGAGATGAGGCCGGTTCGCGACGGGTGCATCGTGACGCCATTTTGAAGACGATTGTTCAGCGCACATGTCGACCAGGACTCGTCTCCTCCAAAACGTGAAGACGGCAAATATGTTACATATGCACATGTAAAAGTACTATCAAAAAGCTGAAAGGACACCGAGAAGCAAATGGACCAACTATCGTACATTTCAAAGCCATCACTCGCAATCACCACCTCGCCCTTATGCCTCGACACCCTGCGGCGCTTGTGCCGAATGCATCTTCCGTATGATACACTCCCGATCACTAACCCATCTGCCATCCGACGGCCTCCGATACTCCCGCACATGGACCCGTCGTTCCCATTCGGAGAATCCAGGCGGACTCGCTTGGGTAGGTGATGTAGCTGAGCGTGGACGGAATGGGTCCGCAGGCGCTGATGGTGCTGAAGGGCGAGCTGAAGACGGAGAGGAAGAAGTCGCTCGACTCTTCTGTCCGGTCGTTGCGATCTGTTGGTTCTGCGCAGCTGATCCGGCCTGCGTGGTTCCATGGGCTTGTGACGTTCGGCGTGAGACTTTAGTCCCAGGCCCATCACTATCTTTCGGAACAGTCGTTGCCCGGCTCCTCGAAGCCACCGCGGTCGTAGGACGAGCACTCGTAGCTCGAGACTTGAAAGACGACCTCGACGGACCCGCTCCGCCATACCCGTACTCATCCCCAGTGACGGTCGCTCGACGGCGTGAAGCCCGCGTGCTTTGCTGCGTTGCCGTGCGATCATCCACGCCATATCCCTCGCTCGTGGCACTATCATGGCGTCGCAGCGGTCGTCGAGACTTTGGCCTTGAGTAGGCGGTGCTCTCCCGCACGCTTCGCCCGCCTTGATTCAGGGCGTTCACGTTTGTCTCGGTCAAGGGCACGCCATCAGTCACGGCAGTCCCGTCCTGAGAGCTGTACCTCGACCGGAGAGGCGGGCGCCGGGTTGATGCTCTGGTGGAGATGGTACTGTATTGCCGTCCCTTCGTTGGAGCACGAGACTGGATCTTGGAGATGCTGTCGGATGGAGCGACCGATGGGGCACGGAAGGCGATGCCAGTCTTTCTGTCGTCTTCGTCCACTTGTGTTCGAGATTTGGTGGAGCGGGGGACGTTTGACTGCCATGCTGGTGCATCGTTGGTGGTAATCTCGTCTCTCCAGGAGGACCTCGATTGATAAGCTGTCCCGGATGCGTGTGAGATGCCTGGGGCTGGCCGAGACGCCGGGTTCTCGGAGGTCCTGCGTGTTCGTGCGGACATGGCGGTAACGGTAGATATCTTCTGTGCTTGAATGTCTTGCTCTGTCTTTCTTCTTGGAATGATGAAAGAAGTCCGAGACTCTTACCGTCCGTACCTACACTATATCACAATCGCGGACCATGGGAAACGCCCACCTTACATACCCGGCCGCATCGTCGACACCGCCAGACCTGCGCCAGGTCGTCATATTGCGTTCTGCGGCTCCTCGAACTAATGCAGGCGCATCCTTGTCCGAGAATCGGAATCCGCCAATTTGCTCGATGCCCTGCGTTAGAGGCGCTTGGAGGAGCGGAAGAAGCTTTTGACAGGAGCCAGCGCAGCCTACAAGGACGTGGGAGGATGCATAGCGTCATTACTGTTTACGGTAGTCAAGTGATTCGTTCTTTGTTACTGCCAATCCGAGTTCGGATATATAGGTGGTGTTGCTGCCCAACTGCGGGATGCTATGCACTATGCAATTGAATGCAGCGAAACATCGGGCAACGTCTTATCTATCTGCGTTTACGTACTTTCGCGGGCGAACGACGGTTCGACGGGCCTCCAACGGTCCGAGCAGCGCGCCAGCCGGATGCTGGCTGCTCCCAGTACTCCAATGGTTCCTCCGGTCATCCAGCCCAATAACTCGGCTTCCCGCTGAGGCGTTCTTTTGCGTGACTTAAGGCCAGCTCCCCCTTGGGATAAACACTCCTCCTTGGGACAGCTCAAACAAGCATGGCCAATACAGCGCCTATAAGCCTGCAAGCCCGAGAACTCTTCGTCCAATTCCTACCTGTCCGCAAACTGATCCTGCAACCGGCCAACCCAGCCCAGCCCAGCCCTGGCTTTCGCTGGTAGTGGCCGCTCGCTGCTCGTTCTAGGCGGACTGCTTCGGGATCCACCTTGCGGCTTTTGTGGTCACGAGTCGATTCCGTTGTCCTCTCGATCGAAGTCAGATCGTCAGCGTTCACGGTGATTTTTTGCAGATCGGACAGCAGGCGAGTGCTTTCTCCTCGGCGGATGCTGTACGCCTGCATGTGGTCTCGACTCCAGTGGCGGAGGGGCCCACTGTCATCACTCACACCGTCGCTCAAGTAGTCGTGGCGATCAAGTCTGCTCAACCCAACCGCTTCACACCTCAAATTTCTCCGCCCAATGCTTGACGACCGCCTCACCCTCCTCAAACCCGGCCTTCTTCGTCCTGACCACAATGGCTGCGTGAGTATGACGGTGCTTCTGGATATGTACCGGATACTTCTTGATGCCCAACGAGTCCAAGCTATCGATCATGTCGAATTGCTCCTCCTCAAGCGCCAAGATTGGGAAGTCGGAGTCCTCCTTCCGGCTCTGCTTCCTAGCGAGCTTCTGCTCCTCGTCCAATGATTCGGTGCTGGAAGTCGCTGGAGTCTGCGGCTCCGGAGGTGGGGTGGGCAGGAAGTCTTTGTCGTCTGTGTCAGTAAGTCGCTCGTAGACGCGATCCTGAACTGCTTGTGCTTCTTCCAGCAGTGGTATGCGGTAGCGTCCGAGACTGATACCTGCCTGCCCAGCTTCGTGGAGCTTGACCCGCTGCGCAGACTTGTACGACTGGTAGACAGAGTTGACCAGGAAGGTAGGTACGCCGATTGGCAGAATCAGGAACATCACGGCGTAGAATGGCAGATTTGTGCGGGCGCCTTGAGATAGCATGCTGAGTCGTTGAGAGTAAGTGAGATCCTGTATCTTCGGTTTCCGAGGCGAGACTGGGTGTGAAGGATCCAGGATGACCGGCTCATCCTGACCAGGCAGGTAGTTCAGATCTATCTTTTCAAGGTCCACGAATGGGTCTGTCCTGCTGATGTTCGCCGTGAAGTATGGCACACTCCGGTCGTTGATCGTGTTCGCATATAGCGACTTGTTCTTGAACATCCGCAGTCCCTTGATGAAGATACTCTTCTGATCCGACATGACCGCAAGCAAAGGTCTGCCGCTGTCTCGGAATTGGTCCATCATGAACATCTGCTGCCCGGAAGTGCTCAGAGTGCGCGAGCCCAGGTTGTTCCAGATATACGCGCCGTAGCCGCGCTTTGGTGTGCGCACGCCTAGATGCGGCGTCGCGAACGTGGTGAAGTTGACCGGCTCGATGTCGTTGAACAGCCCATTCTTGTACAGCAGACCAATGGCGTATCGTGACACAAGCCCACCCAACGAGTATCCAATCATGCTGATCCGCTTGATCTTCGAGCCAGCCTGCTCCAGCTCCTTGATCTTCTGCTCGATCTCGTTCGCAATGCGCTCGCCTCCCACTTCCACACCATCGTACGTCCAGCCATCTGCATTGCTCTTCGCAGCGAGTATGTGTAGGCGGTCTTCCGGATGCTGTGCTTGTAGTGTGTCTCGCAGATAGTTGAGGTGATTGGGGTTGCCCCATAGCCCATGTACCAGGACGCAGAGGTGTTCTGCGGTGGAGGCGGGAAGGGAGGCCATTGTTGGTTGGAAGTCGGGGAGTCGTCGCAAGGTGTGAATGACAATGGAAGAGTCAATGGGAGGTGCACACCTACATATAGTCCTTTGAACACGGGCGTAAGTCGAGTGGCTTTAATATTACATCCGCGCCATGATGATGTCGTGGAAGCGTGTTCCTGCGCCATGCGGACCTTCAATCGTCCGGACGAGCCGCATTGCGCACTTTGGGCAGTTTTAGTCGACCGTAGAGCCGGAGTCTCGACCTCACTTCACTCCTGTGCCGTTCGTCTTCAGCACCACCACGGATAACATCTATCCGGCCTGCAGCCGTTGCTCTCACATCGCTCTGGCAGCAGCACATGCAGCTTCTGGGCCACAACTCAACCCATGCTGGTCAGCGGCGCCGCATTGAGTAAGGCAAACATCAGCTCTTTGTTTGCGGCAGCTGCAGTAGGGTTCACTGTGCTTTTCAGCAATCTGCAGTGATACAGGACCCGACCTCCATCACTCTCTGCTATACTACCTATATGAGTCTGGAACTCATTCGTAGACAACAGTATACGAGCAGTACTCGGCCGCCCTAACTTCGGACTGCATCGGATTGCCACCGACACTGCCCTTCTTCACTCACCAACATGATCTGAGAAACAGCCATATAAGCTAGACCAGAGCCACAGACCAGCTCTGCCATTATGGTCTTCTCGACAACTACCCTGTTCAGGGGCATAGCTTGTCCATCGAGCAAGCAGTGTGGGTTGACGAACTGCATCTTCTCTCACGACTCAGCTGCTACATCGACCTTGGATGCGAAGGACAACGCGGCTGCTAACACTACGACTACGTCAGCGCCAGAACACAATTCTTCTCAAGAGCCGCCTACTAAACGGAGGAAGGTGACATATGAGAACGGAGCTGCCAAACCTCTCAGCAGAGCCGACTTGATCCGCTCAGAACTGGCAGAGGTCAGATCTAGTGAAGCCAAGGCAAGTGTCCCGAGTCACATGCACTCGACTCTTTTTGACATTCACTTTTAGTCGACCAAGCAGCCGCCAAGCCTGTCAAAGTCCGTGTCACCTCCGCCTACAAACGTGAGCCTCACGTCACGCTCTCGAGGTCTCGCGACAACAAACAAAGATCCACTTCAAAATGGTGTGGCTGGCGTTCAACCTCCGCCTTCCAAAATCCAACTCGGATCGCATGAAACCCTCAATCCGCGGCTTATCGCAAACGACCCCGTAGGACACAGCAAGCGATCTTTGTTCCTGAAGCACTTGCATGGCGAGCTGGCGAAGCTGAACTCCGTGGTCGCCAAAGCGGAAGGTTTGGAGCCCAAGCATCTTCTTCACCTTAGCGACTCGGAGATCATCAAGATCGCTCTCGACGACGAGGAGAAGGCGGCGCGGGAGTCTTCCATGCTGTATCCGAACATCATCAAGCAGCGCATCTCCTTCTACCGCAAGATGACTCTCGAGCAGTGGTTGCAACATCTCAAAACGACCTTCATCACCGAAACGCCTAAGCAGAAGACAGAGAGAGAAGCCAAGCCGCTTGATACTGGCTTGACACCAGAGCAAGAAGGCCTGATAATCAACCACGTCATTGCAAACCAAGCCGAGCTCGTCAAATATGGCTACATACCCACTCCACCGACAGAGGCCGAAGCAGCAGAAGCTGCTGCAGCAGTGGAAGCCAGCAAGAACTTCGAGGTCTGCGATCGCTGTGGCGCCAGGTTCCAAATGTTTCCCGAGCGCAACGACGAGGGGCAGCTGACGTCAAATGGCACCTGCAAATATCATCCGAGAAGGAAGATCGTGCCGCAAAGGACGAAAGGCGACGTGGCCAGCGGTATGACCAAAGAAGCATATCACCCCTGTTGCAATGGCGTTGTGGGCTCACCAGGCTGCACTGAAAATTCGGATCACGTGTTCAAGACAAACAGTCCTGCTAGAATGGCTGCCGTACTGCCCTTCATCACCACGCCCGAGAATGACCAACCGAAGACTGACAAGAATGGGCGGCGGCTGAAAGGCGTCACCTTCGATTGTGAGATGGGCTACACGACCTTCGGGCTCGAGCTCATTCGCCTCACCGCAGTCTCCTGGCCTGCTGGAGATCAGCTGCTCGACATTCTAGTGCGGCCACTCGGCACGGTCATTGACTTCAACAGCCGCTTCTCTGGTGTGTGGCCCGAAAGCTTCGCGAATGCACAACCTTACGGCGAAAATGAATCCACTTCCTCCAACGGCTTCACTACAAAAGACGCGACTACCTCTCCGCTCCCGATCGTAGGCAGCCCGCAACGCGCACGCGAGCTTCTCTGCCAATACCTCACCCCGAAAACGCCACTCATCGGACATGCGATTGACAACGATCTCAACACCGTCCGCCTCTGCCACCCAACAATCGTCGACACCATCGTCCTCTTCCCGCACCCGAGAGGCCTGCCGTTGCGCTTCGGTCTCAAGATGCTCACCAACAGGCACCTTGGTCGCACGATCCAGAACGGCGGAGACCAAGGTCACGACTCGCTCGAAGATGCGCAGGCGACAGGAGATTTGGTCAGGCATAGCATCGGCGAGAAGTGGAAGCTGCTGTCAGCACAAGGATGGAGAATGGGCCAAGACTGCCTCATCCCGCCACCATCTCGAGATGATCTTCCGCCATCAAAGTCGAGCGAGGAGTTTGCGCAGCGGTTATTCGATGAGGCGTTAGAGCGTGGGAGTGGTGCGAAGAAGCGGAAAAAGAGGGGTTCGGGTGATGATAACGCCGAGGATGGCAACAGTGGAATTGGTGTGGGGGCTTTCTTGAAGAGGGATGCGTAGACTTTGTTCTTCGACGAAGGTAAAGAGGATGAAGCTGATTGAGGGCATAAGGGTGGTTTACGAAGGCGAGAAGCGGCATACAGCTCCAATGAAAATCCCTGCAAACTTCAAGAAACCATCGCCATCCATCTTTCTACATTTACATGTAACGCCACTCCGTCTCTGAAGAGGTCACTCTGTTCTGTGTCTTGCTTCGACCTCACATATGGAATCTCAAGCTCACAACACCCGAGGCCCGATGTCGCATCAATACTTCAAAGCAACAAACACGTCTCTTGGAGAACATGCGGAGAACATGCAGTGCATCACATACCATTCCTCAACACCAAAGACAATAGAAAAATCCAACGAATTGTCCTAATATTGTCCTACTAAAACATAGCAAGAAGAAGCCATGTCACAAAACCTCTGGCCCGAATACCGCGACAAAATCGCCGGCGGCTGGAAATGCATCACCTACGAAATGTTCGACGGCGCCGGTCCCGACCGTAAACTCATCGCCAAACCGCACGGCGACGACCCCTTAGGTAGAGTCCTGATAAGTCGCAACGGCTACCTCTCCGCGCACATCGCGCGTCGAGATCGCATGGGCCCTTTACCATCCGGCAAAGCGTGGCAAATGGGCGAAGACAGGGAGGTAGCGCATGTCGGGCGCGGGCTGAGTATGTATTGCGGGTATTTGCAGGTGTTCAAGGATGATGAGGGATTGTTCTGGGAGACGACGGTGGAGGTGTGCAGTGACCCGAATAGGATTGGGGGGAAGGAGGTGAGGCGGATTGAGTATTGGGAGGAGGGTGGGAAGGCGTACATGGTGTTGCAGCCGAAGCAGGATATGATTACTGAAGTGAGTTGATCGATCGAATGTAGGGCAGAGAGTGCTGACGGGTTTGCAGGATGGAAAGAGGACGAGAGCGATCATCAAGTGGGAGAAATTCGAGTGAAAGCGATGATCGTAGCAACATCAAGCCACATTTTATGAACACTGACCTACTGATGGTATCAGCAACTCGAAATCTGACAGTTTTGCGCAATATTTGTATGCGAACCGTTCGTGGCGTTCGAAGGCAACGCTCAAGCGGCAAGGTTGTGCGTCCTTCTCGTTTCACGAAGCGCCTGCCCATTGGACGCCTTCTAAGCGAGGCGACGACACTGCCTTCAACAACACCAGGTCGCGAGTCATTCATGCAGCCACGAAACATGTCAACGACTTCCCGGAAACCCATTCGGACGGTGGCTTGCTGTGCCTTAGGTCTGGCGTTGTTCAGAGCTCGCGTACAACCACTTCGAACTGCTTGACTGATATCTTGCGCAACGGTTTTGCGCGAAGAGCGGCTCAGAGACAGGGCCCAGCATACGATTGATGGCGCATGGATGCAATGCAGTAGGGCCTTCAGGTCCGCATACTGAAGTGAACATTGTGAGTACAACATAAGTACTCTCCTCTCCGTTTCCTTTCGTCCTCCTATCGTATGCTCGTTTGTTCGTCTTATTCCTACATTAGCTCTGCTTGCGCTCTGTGGCCCTCCCGACATCTTAACTCACGACTAGCCGGTCTACAATGGCGTCGAGACTGGACGTCAGCATGGATCAGATCCGCCTGAGAATTTTGTCAAAGGACAGCTCGTTGTGCTCCATCCAGGACGTCTGCCAGTGGATTTCGGCGGATGGCTCGCATTGTCTTAAACAGAAAAACACACTCTCGGAAGACAAGGCTCGAGAGATTCGCTCGTTCTGGAACACTAGCACCCCATCGGAATTGAGCAGCCTCGCCGCAAGCATGTGCGAGGATGTCTTTTGCGCCGAGCATGCAGCAACCGCGAAACTGTATTGTCCAGAGTCCAGCAAGAGGATCAATGACGACGATGCTCCCGCGGCAGAAAGCCAAGGTTCAGGCACGGAAGTTGCGGTGCCAGAAGAGGTACAGCTCTTGTATTTTGGAGACGACGGTACGATCCATAGCAACTATGTGTCAACCTCCACCCTTCCACAGCATGAGAAACCCATATTCGACCAAACCGGACGAGTAGCGACTCTACCCTCTGTCGCGAGGAAGCAGACTGACGATCGCGGGTGCCTTGCCGAATTTTCGGGGGAGGACGAGACCAGTGGCTCCAACAACGAGGATGCTGGCCTTGTTGGTAGATGCACGCTGCAGAACGGAAGAGCAGAAGATGGCGATGAAGGGAATGTCCACCACGCAGACCGATGTTATAAGAGAAACAACATCGGATCCGACGCATCTGTCGATGCCGATGTGCAAGTGAACGAAGACAAATTCTCCACGCCGAAGCCAAGGGCACACAAGGCCGATCTGGACCCGGACTCCGCAAGCATTCCGCACACTCGGCCAACCTTGAGTCCGTACGCCAGAACAGCATCAGAGACCGCGGCGATTCACCCTATGTGGGATTATGAGGTCGAAGCCAACGAAGGTTGCCTGTCGAGAAAGTTTGAGGAAGACCTTCAGCTGAACGAGGTTGGAGCCCACGGAAAGCCGAGGAAAATTCCATATGGCTTCGTGTACGCAGTTCGAGATCCTGAGCTGCAATGGATCAAGGTTGGCCAGACATTCGATCCCAATCTATTCAAGCGACTTGGAGGAATCAAGAATACTTGCAAGCCAGGCCCGAGTGATGGATCTCTGAATCTGAAGATCTTAGGTGGCACCGGCAACACCGCCATGGTCGAATACAAACGCCTCGAGCAGATCGTCCACCAGGCTCTGAAGCCTTACAACGTGACGTTCCGTTGCCGATGTAAGGGAGGCACAACGCACGAGGAGTGGTTCAAAATTCCAGGCCAGGTGGCATTGGACACAATCCATTTCTGGCAGCGAGTGATGCTGCAGAACCCATACTGTATACCTGCAATCCCGCATCCTGTAACGTATCCACTTGGCGAGATTTGGGTGGAAAGGTTGAACATGCGGGTGAAGCCAGGCCCCGACGAGCAGCACACCGATCATGAGACAAGGTTGAGGCGTTGGAAGCAGACTCTATTCCCGGACGCGCCGACGACAGACGGCTTGGAGAGTAAGGTCCCGGTGTCGACTGTGCACCAACTGCCACAGCGTCCTAAGTTCACGGGACGGTCGAGACAACTCTCATCCAATGTAGCTGTGGAGTTCAAAGGCCCCTCTTCGCCAGAGACACCCAGCAGAAAACCACGAGCAGCCAGCGCACAGCCTCAGCTCGAGTCACTGGAAGAGAATGTTCTTACAGCTGACAATACAGAGCCAATGATCAACAAACTGTTGAAGCCAGCGGAAATGGGCCAGTCCGGGAACCCATCGGAGAAGCAATGTGCCGAAAATGTGACGGCATCATCCGCACAGTACACCTCAGAAGGAGTGCTTCAGAGCACCCAAGCGTCTGACTGCCAGACCAAGCGCAGCGTTCCGTTCGCCGTGCCAGCGCCGAAGTCAGAGCCATGTCCTACGTCAGCAGACGCGAGTGACTCGTGCTCGTCGCAGCCAGCTAGATCACTACCGGGAGAGAAACGCCAGGAGGAGACTTCGACTCAGCTAATCAGGCAGGTCTCGAAACTGCTGCAGTCCGTGAAGCAGGAGATGCCTCCATGGATCTGGGATGACGTGGTCCGCTTCCGCTGGCAGCTGGCGTTCGCTTTCACTTTTGGCGTATTCACTCCCTATGTGCCAGCAGGGCTAGCATTTGTAACCTGGTGCGTGTTCCTGCCGCTCTTCGTGGGCGAGCTCAGGTCGTGGTCGGTGATGGAGGGTGTCTCTGTATGAGTAGTATCTACCTTAGGCGTACGGATATCCGGGAACTGATTGTGCATGGTTTCAATCGTGAGCCTGATCCATCATCACCGTCAGGACCAATCCGTTGAGCATCAAGATCATATGCTAGTGAACACGTTTGCCATGTATCGTGTCGCTGCTTCAGACAAAGAGCAGACGATGTCCTCTTAAAGCCGAGCTTTCGTACGAGCCGCATTACCTAGCGCCCGCCACTTATCAATCTAATCGACAAACATCATCTCTCCAACGTCGCAGCCGACATTGCACTCATCATCATACAACCGCACACTCTCCAACAATGTCACACCTAGGACCGACGGTAGCCCGCAATGCGCTGCGAACATGCAGTCGCAGGGCAGCAACTACATCCACATCCTTCGCTGCACAAGCTCCACGAGCATGCATCGCCACCCATGGCCGGAGGACGTACGTATCAGAGACCAGCCCGAAGAACGCTACGGTCAACGTCGAACGGACAATGCAGCAAGACCAGCAAGCTTTCATTCGAGAGACAGGCATCGCACCAAAAGATACCCAGGTTCCAGCGGCAGGAATGGGCGGCGAAGCAGCCATGAGCCCTTCGGCCGGTATTCTGAAGCAAGCGACCGTCATGGATGAAGGCACACGACCCATCTACCTCGACATGCAAGCCACCACACCCACAGACCCCCGAGTGCTTGACGCCATGCTACCTTTCTTGACCGGCCTTTACGGCAATCCGCACTCACGCACACACGCCTACGGCTGGGAGACGGACAAAGAGGTTGAGCGAGCGCGGGAGCACATCGCCAACCTCATCGGCGCCGACCCCAAGGAGATTATCTTCACGAGTGGCGCAACAGAGAGCAACAACATGAGCATCAAAGGCGTGGCGCGGTTCTTCAAGAAGGGCGGGAAGAAGAACCACATCATCACATGTCAGACGGAGCACAAGTGCGTGCTGGACAGCTGCCGGCATCTGCAAGAGGAGGGCTTCGAGGTCACGTACCTGCCGGTTCAGAATAACGGATTGGTGAGCATGGAGGAGTTGGAAAAGGCCATCCGGCCTGAGACATGCTTGGTGTCCATCATGACGGTGAACAACGAGATCGGGGTCGTGCAGCCCGTTGAAGAGATCGGCAAGCTGTGCCGCAGCAAGAAGATTTACTACCACACCGATGCTGCGCAAGCTGTTGGCAAGATCCCACTGGACGTGAACAAGATGAACATCGACCTCATGTCGATCTCTGCCCACAAGATCTACGGACCGAAGGGCATTGGTGCTTGCTACGTGCGGAGGCGACCGAGGGTTAGAATCGACCCCATCATCTCTGGTGGTGGACAGGAGCGAGGACTGCGATCTGGAACACTTGCGCCGCCGCTCATCATTGGCTTTGGTGAGGCGGCGCGGATATGCAAAGAGGAGATGGAGGTAAGCTTTTCTTCACAGTTCCTGTCGACTCCTCCTACCCTCGAATGATTATACGCTTTACACATGCATGGCTTGCTTAGTCGGCGCCTTGACCGGCGCATCTGCCTGCTGATCGCAGCACCCTTACTGACTTTTCACTACCATCCCAAACTCGCCAGCACTAAAGTCTAGCGCAGACGCTAACAGCTCTCAACAGTACGACACCGCCCGCATCAAGTCCCTCTCCAGCAAGCTGTCCAAAGCCCTCCTCTCCATGGAACACACCTCCCTTAACGGCGACCCCTCTGCCCACTATCCCGGCTGCGTCAACGTCTCCTTCGCTTACGTCGAAGGCGAGTCTCTCCTCATGGCGCTCAAGGATATCGCCCTCTCCTCCGGCTCCGCCTGCACGAGTGCCTCACTGGAGCCATCTTACGTCCTGCGAGCGCTCGGCAACAGCGACGAGAGCGCGCACTCCAGCATTCGATTCGGCATTGGACGCTTCACGACGGATGACGAGATCAACTACGTGCTCAAGGCGGTGCAGGAGCGAGTGACATTCTTGCGGGAGCTGAGTCCGTTGTGGGAGCTGGTGCAGGAGGGTGTGGATTTGAATACCATTGAGTGGTCGCAGCACTGATGGATGCAAGCAAAGAGATTTTTGGGTTTGTATGTAGGTATCATTCGCGCATGATGGCGCCGGCGCTGATGACACGGCCGCTGTACATTTACCAGCTTCAACTTTGAACCTCTTCTCACATATGCTGCTACTTCTCAGGCGGCCATGTCATGTGGGTACCTTATCACTGGAAGCTGGTCTTCAGCACATGTCGCTTGCGGTCATACAGATCGAAGATCATTTCTCCGAAGAGGCCATTGACCCATGCGAACCTGTTCGTACGGTCAGTGAAAGGGCCACAGGATGACACAAACGGCGACTGCTTACCAAGAGCGAGTATAAGAAGCCTGATCAGTAGCCAGAATCGACTCATGCACAAGACCTGCCAATCCAAGCATCAGCATCCCCCTATCTCAACAAGCGGCAGCATCAAACTCACCCGTCCCATTAGTACTCCCAACCAACATCCCCAAACACCCAACAATCTCCTCATCATCCTCACTCGTCAAAATCTGCATAATCACGCCCATCGGCCAACTCCATCCCGGTCCAATATGCGGACTCCCTGTCCCGTTGATCACAGGCCCGTGCATCCAGTACGGGTTCCTCGTGCTTAGAGCCTTGCGGCGGGTCTTTTGGTACGTTGCATCTTCCCGGTCGAGGTAGCCCAAGTATGGTGCTGATAGGAGGGATGGCACGCCCGCGTCGTCCATGGAGTTTATGCTGCCGAAACCGTCGATTTCGAAGGCAAACACGCCCGAGGAGATGGCGTGGGCTTGGATCCCGTCCCGAATCAGGCGGGCGCGGCGTTGCATTTTCTTTACAAGGGCAGGGTGGCCGCCGATGGCTTGCACGATGGGCAGCGCGGCTTCGAGGTTGGCGGCGAGCATCATGTTCCCCGGCACGAAGAGCTGGTACGTACATGCGTCGTCTGAAGGGCGGAACGTCGATCGCACGAGGCCGGTGTCGCCGTCGATGGGCTCGCCGTAGGCGTTGTTGCTTAGAGTCTCGGTGGCGCGGTCGGTGAAAGCCGAGTAAGTGTACGGCGCTTCCACCACAGAGCCGTTGGGGTAGTATGTGGGGTATGTCTGTTCTTCGACGAGGTCCATGCCGGTTTTGACAGCGTCGATCCAGCGGTATTGGGAGAAGAAGTCTGCGTCGCCGGTTTTCTTGTAGTAGTCGGCAGAGAGCTGGAGGAAGGAGGCAATGGAGTCGACCTCGTATTTGCATTGCCAGACTTTGTCGTAGTTGGGCTTGGGGGTTACTGTCACTTCGGCGTTTTGTTCGGTGTTGTTTTCGGGTTTGACGCCGGATTCTTTTGGGGGCTGGAAGGCGTTGCAGTAGGGGAACTCCAGGATGTAGCGAGTTTGGAGGTTGATTAAGCCGCGGAAGACGGATGCCAGTGAGTCGGGCGAAGATGATGGTTCAGTAAGGAAGCGGAGATATGAGTGCAGCTGCGAGGTAGAGTCGCGGATCCACATGGCGTTGCTGCAAGATGGTTAGCATGAGTCTTTCATCAACAGACAGGCAGCATCATACATGTCTCCGGTAATCACGAACGAGAGCTCCTCATCAGAATCCGCAGCCTTCCCACGCCACTTCACCGTCGTGTCGAGAGTGTTGGGGTAGCTGTTCTCAAACATTCGGTAGAGATCCGGGTCGGCAATCACATCCTTCATCATCTCGATGCCGTCCTCGACATCTTGGTTGACATACGTCCTGCAGTGTGGCGGAGGCCGTTGGTATGGCAAGCGGTACTTGCCGCTTGAGTACGGCGCATGGCCGACCTCAGCGTATTCGGTGTAGTCTTTGGGGCAGGATCCATTGTTCTGTCTTCCCTGTATGCGGGATGAGGTGCTACCGCCGGTTGTGCTGAGACATTGGACCGTGGCTGCCCACAGAAGTGCAGCACCAGTTGATTTGAGAATCATTGCGAAAGGTTTCAGCTGCCCAATTCATAGGAATCACACCGACCTACCTTTCGTACTTGCACCTCTCGAGCTGTTCTCTTGTAGCATCTCTCGAGTCAGTGAAGTGCACGATGTTACATCGAAGCCTCGCACTCGCTCACAACCCCAGAGATCACCGTCCTTCAAAGAGCGGGGAAACATCGTCGACCTCGTGGAGGACCCGATGCAGTTTATGCGATGGAGAACTGAGGAATTTTGTCCCTTTTGGGTTTTGCGTTGGAGAAGAGAAGGAGAGACCTGGAGGTGATGACATGCAGCCTGGGCGCTACGGTTAGCTAGGTCTCGCTTCACACTCCGGCAGTGGAGCACTTCTTGCCTTACTGTCTACATGTAGACTCAAAGGACATCTTCTACGTGTAGCTATGGCGAACAAATTAAAGCATGCCAGGTTGTTTTGCTGCAGCCACTGCGAACCTCGAGAATGCGTCGCATCCCTCAGCTGTGGACAGGTGAAGTACGGGTTTGTGCCGAGAAGCCTCCTATTCGCATCGTCCTCGGTGTCCAATATGAAGAGGGAAGCGCGATCGGTGTCTGGATGAAGCAGATCAACAGGCAGACGTTGATGGCGGTCACCTCATGTAGACGCCGCAGTGGTGTGACTCCGCATCAAGCTCATCTCAGCAGGCACAGGCACGCCGGCTGTCCTCACCCCAGACATACTTTCGCGAAGCAGAGGTGAAGCGCTCTTCCCCTCGTGGTGTTTCGGCGACGTTGGAAAACCGCCCCATCCAGGTATCCCCATTGCCATGCCATGCTCATGTGAAGTTCTCGCCGATGACTTTGAATGTTCCCAACTCTTGATACTCTTCTCCAGGCCCCTCTGCTGCTGTCAGCAGAAGGCGCAAACTGATGAAAAGGAGGTCTTTCTTCGTAAGAAAGTGATGATGGGTTACAAAAATTCCCTGCCGATCCGAAGACCAACAGGAGTGGTCAGTTGATAGTTTTCAACTAGCAAAAACGCTACCTCGGACGAATCCTCACTGGTAAGCGTACTGCCCGTGCACTTGGAATGAGGAGAAAAGGAAGAGGTTGGTCAAGGGGACGAGGAAGAATAAATACTGTCGACGGCCGTGCTGAGAAGTACCACCGTGACGGTGAGTACATCACTTGGTGTCACGCAGACAAGTCGTGGTCATCAAAACTTCTGGCTGGACTCCGGTGACGAACCTGGGCGCGGTGAACGACTTCGTAGCACGAAGGGAGTGTCGGTGAGTCCTACCGAGTGTTTGTGTCTCTCAATTTTCGTCGTTCTGTGTCGTGCAAAGACATATGGGCGCAAGTTCGTGACTCAATTTCGTGTGACAGAGGTTCGGGTGACGTGAAGTGAGGTCGGGGAAACCGACCAGAGAAGAAGTTCGGCCCGGCCGCACCCCACATCGACTTGGACGACCACGCATCCCAAGTGCGTGTGAGGCAGCTGTGTTGAAGGTGGACATTGAACGACTGGATGCATTGACTGCTGCGACAACGAAGCTACCCACCTTGTCGCCGGCCAGTCGCCTTTCCAAATAGCCCAGCATGGCGGAAACGCCCATAGGTACACCACCTACCGCACCACACAATCCAATGTCCGCTGACGAGTCGCAACAGTCCTCGATGGAGGCACTGGCTTCCTCAAGGCCGGATATGCTGGCACTGTAAGCATCTCATCCACACCAACCACCGTCTGAAGTGGTCTGACCATGCGACTTCTTCCAGAACTTCCCCGACCACCAATACCCCTCTATCGTCGGCCGCCCCATCCTGCGAGCAGAAGAACAAGCAGTCGAAGGCGTCAAGCTGAAGGACATCATGTGCGGCGACGAGGCAGCAGCCGCGCGATCAATGCTGCAGATCACATATCCCGTAAGCCACTCTCCAGCCTTCAGGCCTCCCTGGGCATTTGAATTGATCAGATATGAACATAGATGGAAAACGGCATAATAAAACGCTGGGACGACATGCAACACCTCTGGGACTACACCTTCTACGAAAAAATGCACCTCGACCCCTCGGGCCGCAAAATCCTCCTCACCGAACCCCCCATGAACCCCCTCGCGAACCGCAAGCAAATGGTCGAGCTCATGTTCGAGCGCTACAACTTCGGCGGCGTCTACGTCGCCATTCAAGCCGTGCTCGCCCTCTACGCCCAAGGCCTGAGCTCAGGCGTGGTAGTCGACTCGGGAGACGGCGTGACGCACATTGTGCCCGTCTACGAATCCACCGTCCTCAACCACCTCACGCGCCGCTTAGACGTCGCCGGCCGCGACGTAACCCGCAACCTCATCTCCCTCCTTCTCCGCCGCGGGTACGCTCTCAACAGAACAGCAGACTTCGAAACCGTGCGCGCGATCAAGGAGAAACTCTGCTACGTCTCCTACGACCTGTCCCTCGACCAACGGCTCTCCGAAGACACCACCACGCTCGTCGAATCCTACACCCTCCCCGACGGCCGCGTCATAAGACTCGGCAGCGAACGATTCGAAGCGCCCGAATGTCTCTTCCAACCGCATTTAGTAGACGTCGAACAGCCCGGCATCGCCGAGTTCCTCTTCAACACCATCCAAGCCGCGGACGTCGACATCCGCTCCTCCCTCTACCGCGCTATCGTGCTGTCGGGCGGGAGCTCCATGTACCCCGGCCTCCCATCCCGGATGGAAAAGGAGATCAAGCAGCTCTGGCTGACGAAAGTGCTAAAGGGGGATCCGGAACGACTAGAGAAGTTCAAAGTACGGATTGAAGATCCGCCCAGGAGGCGACATATGGTTTTCTTGGGCGGGGCGGTGTTGGCGAATATCATGGCCGAGAGGGAGGGGATGTGGGTGACGAAGGCGGAGTGGGAGGAGCAGGGGGCCAGGGCGTTGGAGAAGCTGGGGCAGAGGTGATCGCAAACTTCCAGCTAGAAACCGAGCTGTGGAAATGAAGCAATGTGGTTGTGGCAACATGTATAGATGTCGAACTCCACAAATGCGACCGGAATGACATGAGTTCGACGTTGAGCGAACAGCAAGCACTACGCAGAAAGTATGAGTTTCAGTATTTTCATTCGGAGCTGCAGAACTGGCGCTTCGCGTGGACGGTGAGCTATCTATTCATGCACGGCGACAACACAAGGCTTTCGGACCACCCGGGCGTACAGCTGCTGCTGCGTTGCCCCTCATCATGCCGTGCAGCTAGATTCAGTGTGAGGTGGTCGGCAATCACCACCTTCGTCATGCCAGACAGCCCTCGCATGTGTAGCTCAGCCGTCGAGCCAATCTTGGGTATCATCTCTTATCATTCATCGTAGTTGTTCCGCGTCCATCCTCCCCTCAACCCTCCATTCCATCCCCCTCCACCACGTTCCGCGCATTCTTCATAATCTGCTTCAGCATCTTCTCCACATGATCCCAGTCCTCGGTATCAAGCTTCGTCGGCTCCACACCAAAGTGATTGCAGATGCTCATCAAATTCTGCCAGCTCTTCTTGTCGTGCACGAAGCTTAGCGCGGCGCCAGTTCGACCAAACCGCCCCGTACGCCCGATGCGGTGGAGGTAGGTCTCGAAGTCGGGTTTGCCGCCGGCCGTCTCGGGGATGTCGTAGTTGATGACCATGGTGACGGTCTGGACGTCGATGCCGCGGGCGAGGACGTTGGTGGTGATGAGGACTTTGGCCTCGCCAGACCGAAACCTGTTGAAGACTTCATCACGATCGCCGCCCTCCAACGCACCGGTGAGAGAAGCGACTGCGTGGCCTTCTGCTGTCATACGCCTCTCGATCTCTGCTGCAGTGGTACGGCGATGCACAAAGATGATGCTGGATGCGATGGTCATCAGGCCGTAGAACTTTACGAGCGCATTGTACTTGGCTTCGTCCGAGTCGCAGTCCAGGTACATCTGCTTGATGCCCTTGACGGTCAGCTTCTCGACCTCGAGAGTGAGCTGATTGGCGTTCGGCGCGAAGACGCCGGCAAAGTCGAGCACTTCAGGTGGGAAGGTGGCAGAGAAGAGCACTGTCTGGACGTCGCGTGGCAGCAATGCCTTCACCCGCTTGCACTGATCACCCATGCCCTGCAGATCCAGCATGTTGTCTGCCTCGTCGAGCGTGAGGATCTTGATGCCCTTACCGTCAAGCTGGCGCCTCTTGATCATGTCCATGGTGGTGCCGGGAGTGCCGACGATGACCTGGCCCCTGTACTGCTGTCCGCGCATGGCTGGGTTGGGGATGGCCTCGGTGACCTTGAGGCCTGCCTCTTGTAGGAAGGCACCCATGATGGAGCAGACGTTGGAGATCTGCTTGGCAAGCTCGCGGGTGGGAGCCAGGACGAGCGCTTGTGGCTGGTCGGTGTTGAGGTCGATGCGTGAGAGGATGTTGAGGACGAAAGCGGCAGTCTTGCCGGTGCCGGACTGCGACTGGCCGATCAGGTTGCGTGGAGGGTTCATGAGGAGGAGGGGTAGGGCGCGCTCTTGAATCTTGGAAGGCTTGTGGAAGCTCATGACGGAGAGGCCTTGGATGAGTTCCTGACGCCTAAGAGGATTAGCACGTATCCAGCACGCGTGAGTGAGGTCAGGCGTACAGATTGAGCTCATCGAACGACTTTGCTGAGAATAGCGGGTTGTGTGGGTCTGCTTGGAGGTCGGCCAGCTTCACGTTGACGTCGAACTCGGGCTCTTGCAGGGAGCTGCCGCCGATATAGATGTTCTAAGAATTGTCAGTAATGGCTTGTGTGTGGAAGAGGCTGCTGTTCGTACCGCGCCATCCACCTGAGCGTCACCGAGAGAGCTCTTCTCCTTCTCGCCGTCCTTGGGCTCCATCCCAGCGGACTTCTTCGAGTCGTCGATGGGCGTCGTCACTTCATCCGCCCAGTTGAACTTTGTGGGATTGCTGCTGTCGCCGTTGGAGGATGATTTGCCGTCAGCGGGGAATGTAAGGCGATCGGCGAAGGATTTGCTGAGGTTGCTGTCACTCGCTGGCGGCTCCGACGCGGTGGGCTTGTTGTCGGACGACATGCTGTGCTATGGTGCTGCTTTGCTGCACGAAAGGTGCGTGGTACCCGCTCGTCACTGCGTGAGTGAAAGTGACGCGCCCAGTCCAGATGAATGATGGCAGTGACTGGCTTCAAGTATGAATGGGCGTGCTTGTGTTTCGTGAGGAGAATGGAGCAGTGAAGTTGGCGGTCGAGTGTTGATATGTTTTTTGGAGGGGTCTCGAGGTCCAAGGCAGGAACGATCTGCGCCTTCCCGCCGCTTGCAGCTAGCGCCGGCTCGGACCTTCGATGTCTTGACCTCACGGAAAGGTTCCGAAACGCCGAAGGACGACACAGATTCGATCAAGCAATACCTGTACAGAACCAGTCTACGAAGAGAAAAGAAACCAAGTGGATTTGTCGCGGTACAGTCCGGCTGTATCTTAAGCGCTCATTTGCTATTGTCCATAAGCTGTGATCTCAAGGGCCTCACCTACCAAACAGACGAGTCTTGGTGTGGAAGTGGGAGCGAAATATCTTCATGTAGAAGGCCAGCGAGAGCAACGAGTTGAAGCAGGTCTCTGTCACACGCCAGAAGAAGCAAACCAGAACATGGCACACACAGCCGACTCCGATGGCGAAGATGCCGCTCTTGGAATCTTCGATGCACCAGAGGGCTTCTATGAGCCAGAAAAGCAGTCTACCACTGTCAATCACACCACACTGGCAGGCCAGGAGCTGACGCTTCGTCTTGTCGGACATAGTCCGTTATGGGTAGGTGTGTCGAACTCTCTTACCATCTCCACTGGCCATCTTCCAGCCAATTCATGCTTTTCACCACTGCCGCAAAGATCCCGCCAGAAACATTGCTTCTTCTTTCGTGCCATTGCATACGCGATCGAATCTGTTCCCACCTCTTCGTTTTCTTCTCTCCCCTAACAATCTCAACCAACAGGGCCACTACATCTGGCAAGCCGCCCTAACCATCTCAACCTACCTCGAGACCCACGCCTCCACGCTCCTCCACAACAAGACCGTTCTCGAACTAGGCGCCGCAGCCGGCCTACCCAGCATCATCGCCGCTCTCAACGGAGCAAAATGCGTCGTCGCGACCGACTACCCGGACCAAGACCTCGTGGACATCCTACGGCACAACCTCGTCTCCAACTGTGCTAGCCAGGATAGAGTCCGGGTTGACGGCTATCTCTGGGGCGCCGACATCTCGCGCCTCCTCTCGTACCTCCCGGACAAGAGCAATAGTACGGCTGCGGAGCATGGATTCGACGTCCTAATCCTAGCAGATCTCCTCTTCAACCACTCCGAGCACCAGAAACTCCTCTCCACTATCCTGCAGACCCTCCGCAAACCCTCTTCCAACTCTACAAGCGGCACAGCCCTCGTCTTCTTCTCCCCCTACCGCCCACACCTGCTAGAAGCAGATATGGCGTTCTTCCCGCTCGCCGAAGCGGGCGGGTTGAAAGTGGAGAAACTGCTCGAGACGAAGATGGAAAAGGTGATGTTTCCGGAAGACAGAGGGGATGAGGAGGTGCGGAGGACGGTATTTGGGTTTGCTCTTACGTGGGCCGAGTGACCGGATGAGGAAGTGAAGGGGATGAGAGACGGAGCAGCGGTAGAGTGTCGTAGGAGGAGTCGTACGTGCATTCGTGAAAACGCTATGCCAAACACCAACACGACTTGCAAGCCGTCCTTATGCACAAACGCGCCTCTTGGCCCAGGTATCCAATACTCCCCGCCACCAAAACCCCAACTTCCATCATCATAAAAATCCATCAAACATCCCTCACCCACCCCGCCGGAACGACCCCCTTCCCCGCCTTCCCCTCAACCTCACACCACCCGTCCCCCTGATCCGCCAACACCAGCACCAACTTCTCCCCGGCCTGCATAGCCGTTTCCCCAGGTCCTGTGGGGTCGTACGTATACAGCGCCTCCACATGCTTGAGCGTCTTCTTCGCTCCTCTCCTCGGCGCTACCGCGGGGCCTTGTTTCTTCACTGGCGGGGGTTTGCTGCCGGTGTCGGAGCCGGCTAGTGAGGTCGTGGAGGCTGATGCTGTGGACATTGGACGCGGTGGGAGGGTGGTGGAGGACGAAGGGGTGGAGTTGATTTCGGCGTAGGAGGCGGGGACGAGGCCGGAGGTGGCAGAGGAAGAGGGTTGGATCTTAATCCATCCGCTTCCGTCGTCGGGTTCGAGAAGGGTGAAGGTTACGTTATCACCGACAGAGATCTCGCCTGAGGCGTTGGCGGTGTAGGCGTAGAGCATTTTGCCCGAGGGTTGGTCGTCGCTGTCGCCGTTGGAGGCGGGACTGCCGACGAATGCCGCGGGTGGTGGAGCGACCATGCGGTGGGAGCGGATGGAAGGTTTAGCCGTCGGAGCAGCAGCAGCAGGAGGCTCCTCGGCGGCCATGGATGAGCGGTTCGTCATGCCCGACACACTACGTTGGGCTGAGGCGGCGTAGCCGGAGGAGAGGGTGTTCATACTACCCATCGTGTCCGACCGCTGTAGACCCGGAGGTGAAGTGCCGCCACCTGCTCCATTCGTGCCGTCTGTGGAATCTGGCGCTGTTGATCTGGCTTGCGCGGCAGCTTGTCGCTCCGTCTTGACCTTCTTTCGCTCTTCTTTGTTCAGCTCACCAGGACAGTCGGCAGGGACTTTGAGCTCGCATTTGGTGTGGCAGGTGAAGCCGCATAGTTCGCAGCTCAGGCCTTTGGCACTGAGACCCCATATTCGGTCGCCACAGAGGTCACAATTCGTGGGAATCTTGAAGGTCTGGTTCTTGAAGGTGTGGTTGATCGCACCGACCGAAACGTCACCCACATTGGCGGTGATGGTGCTGACTTCTACCTCCGCGGTCGTCTTCCGTCGCTCGGCTTCATGAAGCAAGTCCTGATTGTAGAACTGTGAGCGAACGACTTCGATCTCATCCCGCTTGTCTTTGCCATCTCGTATCGCCTGCCGTACTTTCTTTGCGCCTTCCACCTCTCGCCGCCGCGCATCGCATTCCGTTCTTAGAGCGCCCAAAGACCCTTTCGACTTAGTTAGGATGTTCATCAGGAATGTCTTGCTCGCCGGGTCGGACGCCATAGCTTCGTCATCCAGCCAGACAGGCGAAGGTTCGAAGCCAAAGTCGGGTGGATCCTGCCATTGAACAGCATTATGTCGAACAAACATCATGCTGTCGAGTACTGGGTTGTTTCGTGGTATCTCAGAGCTGAGGTGTTGTAACAGTTGCGTCGAGTTGGTCATGGCCTCGTTCTCTATCGCAGCCGCACGACTCCATATCCCATTCAGAGTCGACGTCTTGCTCTCCGACAGCCCTTGTAGTGAGTCCAGCAGGTCTGGCACGTATTCGTGATAATACCGCTCCTTCTGCTTGTTCGTGACATTGATAGTTATGAGGTAGGTATTCTTGACATTCCGCATCTCGCCCATCTGCTGCTGATACACTCCCTGCGCCTTGGACTTGTTGTAGTCGAAACTGCTCTCCGTCTTCTTGCGCCGGTTCTCCACCTCCTGGCATGAGCTATCGTATTTGCCCTTCGCCTTCTTCAAATCCCCATAAGTCCCATCGCGCTCCTTCTCCAGCTTGGCCGCATATTCGGCGTGCTGTTTCCGCAACTCCTCATATCGATGTGCCAGGTTCTTTACAGGTTCCGCCAGGTTATTGATGAGCGCATTCGCATATTTGTCATGCTCTGCCGCCCTCCCTTCCAGCGTCGTCAACTGCACACCCCAAGTCGTCATGCTCGCGCTCTCCAGACTACCCGGCGTGACCGTTGGTGTGTCTCCGACCGACACACTGCTGCTCCGCTTGGCCTTCTTCTCATAGTACTTCTTCGCCAAAGCGCTGAGCTTCTGGGAGTACTCCTTCTCGATCGCACTGCGTTCGCGGTAGAACTGCTGGATCTCGTCGAGCCATTGCACGCCGGTGGAGATCCAGTTGTTGGTCGCTTTGAAGCCATCGAACAGCTCGGCGCCGAAGTGAGGCTGGATGTCGACTTCTGCCATGGTTGTTCGCAGTCGCTATACATCAACAGCGATTCCGAGAGACGGGTGGTATGTATGCAACCCGACAACGGTCGTATATGTATTTAGCCTGGGCGCAGCCGCAGCACTCGAGGGAAGTGGAGTTGCCTTTGGAGGTGGGGCAAGTCGCTCCGAGACGCCGAAGGTCCGAGCCGGGGCTAGCTGAACATGCATCTAGGATCGACACCATCACATTTGATATGAACCACATCGTTTTGGACGTGCTACATGCTGATGGTGGATCCGTTTACTGTGTCGAGTGTCAAGCACACATGTCCCTATCACTTGCCAAGCGGCTGGTCTACAACTTGCTCAACCTCAAGCTACAAGTCTTAGGCGCCACAACAGAAATGTCATCGTACTCCATCTCCGGCCTGGGCCCCGTGTACTTCACCCCGTCCTTCTCCAGCATCAACTCATACTGCGTGAGCATCTTCGCCATGATGAGCTTCATGTTGTTGACGGCGAAGAAGCGGCCCGGACACGCCTGGTCCCCCAGCCCAAAACCCAGGGAGTCTATGGTCGACATGCCCACGACCATTGAACTCTCAGAGTCCTTGTGCTCAGTGCGCATGCGGCGGTAGCGATGTCCATCAAAGGTGTTGGGCGCGGAAAAGATGGTGGGATTGGTGGCAATGACGGCGGAGGGACCGCTTGGCATGCAGAAAGGGGGCAGCGTTGTGGGCGCGCATTTGAAAGTGTGAGGTTGCGTGCAGATGCGGTCCGGTGGCACTGCGAGAGGAGAGAGGTAGTAGTCAGCTTCTAGGTCGTCTGGGCGTCGTCAAGGGAAACGGAAATGAAGGTAGCTGTGGTACAGGTACAGGCCTCCGGTTTACAAACTTCATTTCCCGAGCCAGACGTTTTCACTGCCGTTGTTGTCCTTGTAGTAGTACGTAGTAAGGAGTATGCTACCAGCGACATTCTGCTTTCACCTGATCCCACCCTCCTCTGCCGCGGCATACAGTTCTTGCGCTTCGCGGCTGGCAAAAGTGTCCTTGCTTCTCGGAACGTTGCGCTGCTGGCGAGGAAAAGGGTTTGTTCGAATTAGGACGACACCCGAGCCTCCGCAGTCTGCCCAGGAGGACTACTCGTCCAGAGAATGGAGCAGGGCTGTTCCACACGACAACGGATCGCTGCAGCCAACGTCCAAAGGTGATGTTCAGCCCAGCGACCAATTTGCTGGCTTCCACGGCTTGGACACACTGGAACCGCTTTCGACTTCACTGCTCCCGCAAGACCTCTTCTTCACGGATTGGGCCACGCATGATTCTACGCTGTTTTGAACACACATCTCACTGAGAGCCTAACTCAAATACCCTCCAAGCGGCTCAATGCCTCGTCATCTTCAGGTATTGAACAACGTTGGCGAATGTGGAGCTTGTTTCGACTGCAACGCAGTGTCTGCAGGTGCTGAGGAGCGTGCGAACGTCTTTCGGTCTTGCAGCGAGACAGTGAATCCGTTGACGATGCTGAGTGAAGTATGCATCAAGGTGGCGGACAGCGAGAGCGAGGATGACCGATCACATGTGCAGCGCAGCAAGTGGATGGAGCACTCAGTGCCAGTGCGGCGGAGGAAGGCGGCCCAAAGGTCCAGAGTCCAGGTAAAGGCGGTTCAAGCGTTGTGATCAGCGCCGATAGTAACGCAAGCAAGGCATCCATGAGCCAGACCTCGACAGCCGACCCATCAGAAAAGACAAAATCAAACGATGCGCAAGATTTGCAGCCGACCACATTAGCTCCAACAACAAGTCATGCCGAGCCCGATGCCTGGCATATGATGACCTTTCAATCCTGCGTCACGATCCTTACTGCAGCTCGAGAGGTAAGCTGATCATCGAAGACTAACCCTCGCTGTAAATGAGCGTGACAGCCATTGATCAAATAAACCATCCCATACAGTGTCCGTTGCAACGGTCTTTCCCTCTGAGGTATGGCTGACATTCCATTCCTCCTAGTGAATTAAAAATTTCTGCGCCATTCGTAATCCATCCTTCGTGTACATTGTACTCGTTATCTCATGCATCGAGTTCCAACGTTTCAGAGCTATTCGTCCCTGTCCCACGTACGTGAAAGTTCCGGTATTCCGGGCCCTTAATACAAGCACCGCAGGGAAGCTCACCGCTCTCATAGCATACTGATCGGAAGGTCCTACTAAAATATCTCCGGCAACGACTCGCGACATAAGGTTGCGGCAGTCTTCCAGGAGCAACGCAAATCCTAGGCTAGGGCCTCTGGTTATGCTTTTAGCTCCTCGGTTGACTGCTATGGGATATAAATCGCTTTCCCCAAAACGAAGCCTTCCCACCTTGACAAGTGTATAACCTTCCACAAGCAGTTGACCGTGGACGTCAACTTCCGCAAGTTTGACCTTGAAAGGCACGTATGCTACCGCGCCTTTTCTTTGCCAGGACAGTGACAATCACTTCAGAGCTGATTGGAAACCGCGAGTTTGGCTCCCGCCGTTTCGGGGAGCGATGCTTGTATGACCGCCAATCGCAGCACCAACTTGGAAGGCCTAGGTCGTTGTCTGCCCCTTCAACCGGTATGTGCTCTGACAAGAAGTCTAAGTGTCCGTCACGAGCGATAATGTACTTTGTTAGCCCCTGAAAGACAGCGCTTATTGTCTTTGAATAGTCGATCTCCATGCTTAGGTTCTGGTCTCTCGTTTTTTGGCTGTCCTGGTCACCAGGCGCACTTGTCCGACAGGTCGTTGTCCCAAGCAAGCCATACACGCGATCTCGCGGATCAGTGGCTATGAGCGTGGTCGCTGAGCTTAGAACGCACTCGGGGTTGCTCAGATGATTCTGGGTGTGTACGTCTGAGTAGCAGTGGCATGGGTCCTTCTCTGTCGTGCAACCGGAGAGTCTGCTATATTCTAGGAAATAATGCACGCTGGCATCGTATGTTCGCATGTTCACAAGAACGTGACAACCCTTTTTGGTCCTTTCTGACAGTGCCTCCAAGGCCACGAAACTGATCGGTAAAGCGTCGTGAAGCTGTTTGGCGCCTTGTTTGTAGCAGTCGAACGAGAAAGATGAGTTTCCGCACCTGACTGGAATATCTTTCGACGCCATCACTTCCTGTTGTACTCACACTCGTCGAATCCAAGGCCGGGTATAAATATCTGCAAGGCCAGCAAACAGGCCACGCTGGTACTGTTCACCCTGTCTTTCAGGGAGCAGTGGCCGATTCAGATGTGCTATCGCAAGCCCCGTGTGCTCACCTGCGTCTCCAAGATACACCATGGTCGACTTTGCTCTCCCATAAATCGTGAACATCTTCTGCACTTGTGAGTTCTTCTCCGTGTCGTCGTTTTGATTAATGCAGAGTGCGTCCACCCAGACGTAGCAGCTCTCACCTGGCAACCGGAACGCCCCCAAAGCACCTCGTAGCATCGGTGTGATAGCGACGTTGTTCTCGCCGATGCGTATCGTCTCGGTCAAATCAGGTAGATCATGCGGGCCCCAGGTGTAGGACAAGGCGCGGAAGTCGACCTGTTCTTGAAGAGTGTGCAAGACGACACCGTCTCTGTCGGCGAAGAGGTCTGCTGTCACAAGCTCGCCTCTCAACTCGTCATCTTCGTGGCCGGGATGGAGATTGAGCACTCGTATTTGCCAGTCCTTGATTGGGTTATAGGCAGAAGCAGCCATTTTGCCAGTATCTCAGCGTAACCTTGTTTCGTGCGCGACTCATTCAACGCGGAGGACGTGGATAATAAACACGTTCGTCTAGCAAGGCTGAGCTCTACGCTGCGCCGCCTACCTGCATCGCTTACCTGCCGATATGCGTGAATGCCTGATCTCTGGCCTTGAAGGAGGCGTCATGTTCTCCAATGAGGCAGGCTTTGCGTCCTGAGCCGCGCTGGTTGGGAGTAGTCTCTAATGATACAGCTCCGCGAAGTGAAGTCCAGAACCTTGTGGGCCAGGGACAAGACGAAGCCGAATGTGGCAAAGATCGTCCCAGCACCGAATTTAGCAAGTGCCTTTCAAGACGACACTTCCTCTCCTCGACAAACGAGAATTCTGATACACACTCAATGGCGGAAGAAATATTGCTGCGATGACAATGCCATCACTCAGGATGACCCGGGACGTTACAAAGATGTCAAGAGGGACCGGCAGTAACGAAAGCGGCGTCTAATCCTCTCCTACATTAGCTACCCGAATACTTGCTCAGTCACGTGCGGCGGGCGCCAGCGTCAGCGATGGTTCGCTTCTTCACCTTTGAACTTTCACAGACCGAGCCGACGTGAAGGATCTCTTGGAGGGACGTGTTGGTCACGCATAGCGGTGATCCAGAGGCTCTGGGACTCAAGCTGATCACATTCGCAACTCGCCATATCTCTCACAACGACAAACCCACGGATGGCTCCGGAGGGAGATTTCCGAGCCCAGCCTGATACCACATCATGCCGCCTACCGCCACAATGGACCAGGAGAAGCCTTTCAAGACCATTGAGGTGACAGATTCTCGGACTGGACAGGTCTGCAAAGTCGCCTGCATGTCATGTATTCGTGGACATCGAACGACTTCATGCGGCATACCAGTCTGCAGGACTAAAGTCTTCTGGACAGTGAAGCGGCCAGGTCGACCCTCGAACTCTTGCACATGCCGATTTGGTGCTTCGGGACGGTGTCAATGTGTGGTGGCGAAGTCTGCGTGTCCTCACAAGCCGAAGAAGGGAGAAAAGAGATCTGTGGACTGCCGGTGTGATGAACAGGGCCGCTACTGTTGCTTACTGGAACCCGAACACTGGGATGCACTTTGCGCCATGCAAAAGCCAAAGGTCGACTTCTTCACAAACAGAGAGGCACTAGACGCACGGCATACCTCACCTCCTTCAGCGAGCTTCCCACCGACACCGTCATACTCTGCTGGCACGCCACAAACGGTGGCCAGTGTACCCAGTACGCCCACCCCGACCAATGGCCTTCAATTCGTTCATACCACCGGCGAGCACTTCGAGAGCCCATCACCCGCCAGGACAGTCCCTCGCTTCGGCATGATGGGCCTTGGCGCGCCTCTGGGAGACAATCATGTCGGCCAGGACGTTCTCACTTGGGACGGCCAAAGCCCACAAGCACCGCTCGAACACCAATCTTGCACCGGCTTCAAACAACCGGACTCCGCTCCACCACAGACACCCATGTCGCTCGCCCCACCAAACCAATCATACCCCTACATCCCACCACCAGACCCCTACTTCCAGCCACCCGACTTTCAACCCCCCGACTTCGCACCCCCAACCCAATCCCTCTCCCAACTCACCCTCCCCTCCCACCCCGACCCCAACCCCTCCACCCTCGACTTTGACAAAATGATGGCCGACTACTTCTCCTACCAGTTCCCCTCCGCCATCTGCCAGAACTGCGGCATGAACGGCTGCACCTGCCGCAACTGCCCGGCCGTGATGCAGAGTTTCGAGTCCGGCAGCTGGGCGCAGTGTTGTTCGCGCAAGCACGTGAAGTATGCTGCGCAAATCCCCATGACAGGCACGGCGGCACCGGCGGGGTCCGTGGAGGTGGGGCAAGGGCAGGGTGGTGGCGAGATGCAGGGGGCGGTCGATCCGGCTTCGACGACGCAGAATATGCAAGTGGATGAGTTGGGGATGATGGAGGGGACGGAGCCGATGGATTTGAGCGAGTTTCTGCTGGATGATTTGCAAGAGCAGCCGCCGAGTGGTGGGTGCTGTTGCGGGGACTGAAGAGCAGGGAGGCGTTGATAGCTTACGATTGATATGAGCTATGGCTGGACGCCATGCATGCCTTTGACGGAGAGGAAAGAGACTTGCAGGTCTGGCTCCGGAAACTCGCTACAGCACAGCCTACGCGGCGAACGCATGAAGCAGCAAGTCTAGATGATGGTCAACGCCGTGCAGGACCACCAGTGCGATGCTATACAGCCATCCCAAATGGTTGGGCTGGAAGCCGGGAAGCTCAAACGAGCAGTTCACCAGAGGGCTGCCGCAGATGCAGATATGAGCGGTGAAGTAGAGGTATGGAAACGATTTCGACCGCTAAAAAGCTCTTCACTATTAAAAAATCCCCCTCTTTTCCCATCCACGGGAACGCCGTGAACACGAACTGTACACAAACACAGCTTCCCCGTGCCGTCTGTCATTACAGGGTCAACGACCGCACTCCCACCGCCTCATCGCCTCGCCCCCCTCACTCTTCGTCCCCCTCCCCCACCCACCCCTCCTCACCACCTGGATATCCAAGCACCATCTAAGCCGCCCCCGCATTCCCACCACCACCACCACCACCACCACCACCACCACCACCGCCAGATTGCAGCCCGAAATACAACCCCAGGACCAGCGCCAGGATACACACAATCGCCACGCAAATGCCCAGACACCACCACTTCAACTTCCGCGCGTTCCTCGCACTCTTAATGCCCTTGTCCAACTGCACGTTGCCCGCCTCGGTGTCCTTTTTCACGTTTTCCGTTTGGACTTCTGTCTGTTGAATCGGCTCTTCTTGCAGCACGACTTGCGTCGCCAGGTCTTCCATCAGCGCGTTGAGCTCGGTGATGGTGCGTTCGATTTTCTGGATGTCGTTGTGGCGGGCGCGGACGGCGCCGAGGACGGTGTTGGCGGTGGCGCTGCGGTTGGATTTGAGCTGTTCATTCATTCATCATTAGCAAAACGCCGGAGGAGATGGTTGAATAGGATGAGCGCAAGCATACCGCAGTCTGAAACACGCCCTCGTTCCCCCAATCCGCATCCGCGGCCTCCTGCACCTCCGCATCGCTGGCCTCCGGGTTCACGATCCGGTACTGCCGCACAATCTGCTCGCGATACCGCTTCTCGTAGCTGGCCTCCTCCTGCCGGTACTCCTGCAGCTGCTTCTGGAAACTCCGCTTCAGCTGGTCGATCTGCGTGTCCTTGACGGGGTTGCCTTTACTCCGCGCCGCGTCCGCCTCGAGGAACTTAATCTGGTCTTTGATACTGGTATTCAGGACCTGCGTCTGCGAGACGATGGCTTCGAGCTGCGCGGACCCGCCGGTGTCGGTCGAGGAGAGGGCGCGCTGGTGCGTGGAGGCGATCTGCGAGACGTGCGTCGTGAGGGTGCGGATGTCGGCTTTGACAGCTTCGACGCGCGAGAGGAAGTCTGGGTTCGACATTACGCTGGGCGCGGCGGAGACGTATTGGACGTTGTCGGAGTGGGGCATGGGTGGGGCGGCGGAGGAGTCGTGGGGTGGTTGTTGTTGAGGTTGGGGTTGGCTGTATTGCGATTGCGCGGAGTAGTTGGACTGTTGGTGCTGGGGCGCGGAGGGGTATTGTTGCTGTGTATGTTGTCAGAACCTGGACTTCCTCTCGATCCTCTTCTTGTGTTGTCTCACCTGTCCATAGTCCCCACCACCATACGGGTTCCCCCCATTGCCGCCGTAGGGATTAGATCCATACCCGCCCTGCTGCGCGTCTCCGCCATACGGGTTCCCGCCGTAGTTAGAGTACTGGTTATAAGATGCCATTGCTGTTTAACGTTCCTCCCGCGCGCTCGATGCGCTTTCTAGATCCTCGCAGTCGGCGGTGATGCGTAAATGGTATACGGGTCGAAGTCGGACGGAATGCGAAGCGAAGCGATGCGATGCGCCGGGGTGCTGAGTGAGAAAAGAGCAAAAGGCGGCAGCCACCGGATGACGACGTGGGAGCTTGCGATCGCCTCAACGCCCGTCTGCACTGCGCCTCTGCTGCTACGACTTCCAAAATCCAATGCTGTTCAAATTCTGTTGATGTCGACGTCTCGAGGGGAGAGTGACGGCAAATGGAAGGCTTCTGTTGTAGTACCAAGCTTGACGAAGATGAAGCTGTCTCAGGGAAGAATGCTTCGAGCCGCTCCTCCTCCACTCCCCGCCCGCCCTCTGCTTACTCCGCCACCGCCCCCATGATTACAACGACGACGACCTTTACCCGAGCATCTTGGCATGTCTTACATCGTCTTCTCAAGGACCATCATCAATCAAGGCCGGCCGCGAAGATGGCTAACCGATACAGACGTCAAACACAACGGCTACCTGCACGCTCACCAGACACAGATCCTGCGGTGCGAGAGAGCACTATCTGCACCACAACCATCGATGAGGTGATACACAGGTAAATTATCTGTCTTATAGTCTCCTAGACCTGCGATCCTCGCTCACCCCTCCACACCGCCTCCACAAACGCAGTGTTCGAGTTCTCCGCCATACTCACCCCCTTATACTCAAACCCCTCCCCAGCTCGCAGAACAATATCCCTCCACTCCTCCTCCTCCCTCGGGCAATGGTTGATCAGAGAATACGCCGCGACATCAGACTCCCGGAACCTCCTCTCCTGCCAGCTGGGACAAGTCCCAGGATTCGGCACCATGGGATCCTGGATCAGCACCACCGCTCCTAGCTTGAGGGCCGGTATCAGGGCTTTGAGGAAGTCCACGCATTGCTCGTTGTTCTTCTCCATTAGTACGCGCCGGATGAAATACACCGCGGCGTCCTTAATCGGCTGCTCGCGGAAAATATCATGCTCCATGTACCTCACCCTTTCTTTCAGCGTGGCGTCCAAGGAGGCATGTTCGATCACTTCCTGCCGATCCTGGACGATGAAATCCAGCAGCGGGAAAGCTTTGGCTAGCTCTTTACTCACCGTTCCCACGCCGCCTCCCATATCGACCACCGTAGCTTGCCCGAGCGCCGCCCAGTCGTACCCCTCAACGACATGCTCGACCGAGAAACTCCGGTCGTTGGACATGGCGCCCATAGCTCGATCGTAACGCCCGAGCTTCACCGGGTCCTGATCCAACGTCTCCTGCAACGTCCGTCCATGCGCTAACCTACTTGACATGAGCAAACACCAGATGAGAAACAAAAGCAAGTGCATACCAAAACCCCGTCCTCTCCCACCCAGCCCCCTGAGGCCACTTCTCCACCGCCTCCCCCACCCTCGCACACGCAGGCCAGACTTCATCGCACATCGTGCGCACGTAATCGCGCATCGCCCCGTCTTGCGCGAGGACGAGGGAGGCTTGCGAGTGCGCTATTAGGCCGGGGGAGGGCTCGTGGAAGATGCGGTGGGTGATTGCGTGGCGGAGGAGGCGGCGGAGGAGGGGGGTGGGGAGGGAGGTTTGGGCTGCTAGGTGATCGTAGGACACACTGCAGTCTTCCTCGTTGCCGGTTGGGATGGGAACGAGCGAGGCGATGTTGTGGCGGACGATTATGTGGCGACTAATCAGATTCGACGGCTTTCACCCCCCACTATCAGCTCACCATACCCCAAAAAAAACCCTATCCCCTAACCAGGTAGAAGCAAGTAAAGTAGTACATACCGCCTGCCCAACCAAAATCTCCCTAGGCGTCATTAGCAACTCCTGCATCTCCATCAAATTCTCCAGCGCAGCGGCCCGAGTGTCGTCGATGCCATTGTAATCAATCGGACTGACTGCGCCATCGAACGAGGGATCGGGTTGGGAGGTTGCTATGAGGTGGGATTGGAGGGAGTGGATTTTGGTTTGGAGGAGGGAGAGGAGGTGGAGGAGGCGTGGTTGTTGTTTTTGTTGGTCAGATCGGCTGGTTGGGGGTTTGGTTTGGTCCATTTTCTGATCTTAGGTAGTGTTCTTTGGGTAGAAGGGATGCTAAGTCAGTCAGAGCAGGTTCATGTATGTATGTATATCCTACCTTTGTGTCTTGTATTGATCGTCGTCCAGCTGACCAAGACGAAGCAGAAGGATCTCAGCCCCAAGCCCGACTGAGGAAGGAGAACGAAAGCAGCTTTACCTGCGAGTGTGCGCATTCGCGTTATGCCGTCGATAGATACTACATCTAGATGCTTAGATGCTATATTGCAACTTCTCAGGGTCTTGCGAGGTTCCCTCTATGCCAATATCCAATATGGCCGATGATTCCTCCATATGCTGTTCAAAACGAGATAAGGTTCTTCCAACGCCAACGCTACCATATATCCTCCCTTCCCGAATACCCATGCTTGTACGCCTTCCAAAAAGATGCCAGAAACGCACAACGATGCCCCTCCAACACACAGTCACCTCTCATCCTCCTACTTCTCTGGACTTTGGGTCTAAAGCCCCACATCCCCCAAATCCCTCGTCAAACACGCCATCTGCGCCCTCTTCGCCGCCTCCGCCACGAGATTGAAATCCTTCAAAAACGGCGCCGTCTCCGGCGTCCCGCCCCCATCCCCCCTCTGCCCAAGATACGACCCTTGCTGCCCCTGCGGTATCCTCTGCTGCTGCTGCTGCTGTTGCTGCCCCGGATGTGAAGTCGGAGCATGCGAGCCGAAATACGCCGCTGGTTGCTGCGCGGACGGTGATGGTAAGGGTGCGGATGCGAAGCCGGGTTGTTGGGTTTGCAGCATGTTGGGTGCTTGTTGTGAGGAGGGGTTGAAGGCTGATATGGAGGAAATGCTGGCCGAGGACTGGAAGACGGAGGAGGGTTGCGAGACGGGAGCGGATTGCGGCATGGCGTGTGGGTAGGGCGGGCGTTGGTTCTGGGCTGCTCGACGTTGGGAGCGGGTTTCCATTGCTGCTAGGACGGAAGTTGTGTGGTTGGAATGAGGGAGTGTTTGTCCAGCCTCGCCGGTGAGGCCTAGCTGATAGCTGCCCAGTACTTGGTCGTAGGTACTCCCCGGAAAATTGTATCGCGATGACGCTGCAGTTACTGCCGATCGCGTTGTTGTTCTTTGTCAAGCTTTCGGTAGATGGTGATCGGACGGACTGGTTTCCTGATTGGAGGTCTGTTTGGACTGTCTCCAGTGTGTTGAAGGAAACGACAGATAACGGAGTCGAACAGTCACGATAGCAACGTAGCAGCAAGGAGGCAGGCTCGCCTGGGTGTAACGTAAAAGTGCAGGCAAAAGCAGGCGGCGACGCCGAGGTACAGATGGAAATAAAGCGCCTGGAACCTTTGCCAGATCGGTCGATAGGTTTGTGGAGGACCAACGGGCAGGCAGGCTGATGACATGCGAAGGAATGCCACGGCCGCAGTCCAAGGCTGTCCTTCTTCCTCCAAATCACCCGCCGGCGCCTCTAGACGGTCTGTCGGCAGAATGTAGCTCGAGAGATATGCCGACAATTCTGACGAGCCGTCGACGCCCTTTTGGCTGTTTCCGGGACGAAGATCCGCTGCAAGAGGTACGCGTCGTCGATCAAAATCAATCAGTTATCGATGTAGCTGGTTAGAGTAGGCGTGGGGTGCAGATGGAGTTGTTCATCATCAGTCGTGCATTTGGAGAAGTTGATGAACATGGCGAATCGTCGGCAACGGAAGAATTAGGAAGGCGTGACCCCCACTCTCCACCCCGCGAAATCTCACTCCCACGTGCCGTCTTCTGGAGCCGAGCGACTTCGCGACTTCCTTCGAATTTCCACCGGCTTTCCTAACACGGCTTCTGCCCCGGCTCGCCTCGTCATCAACCTCACTTCTTCCAACCACTCACGCCAAGCATACCATCATGCCCGTACGTCGTATCTCGATCTCACATCATTTAAGAATTCAGACTAACGCGGAATGACAGCTCATCCTCCTCTCAGGTTACCCGTCCAGTGGCAAAACATACCGCAGCAAACAGGTATTGGAGTTCTTCACCCGGAAAATCTCCGAGGCGGACGACCCGAAGATCAAGCGGCTCAAACTCCACCATATCGACGACCAAGGCCTGGGACTTTCGCGGGACGTATATGCTACCGCTCGAGCGGAGAAGGATGCGCGGGCGACACTGTCGTCGGCCATCAAGCGTGAGCTGGGAAGGGATGCGATAGTTGTTGCTGATGGCATGAACTACATTAAGGGCTTCCGGTATCAGCTGTACTGCGAGGCAAAGGCTGTGCAGACCCCGAGCTGTGTTGTTCACGTTGGTACGCCGGCAGACAAGTGTCGGGAGCTGAACGATGCTGCGCTGAGGGATGGGACTGGTGGCTACGAACCTGAGATCTTCGACAATCTGGTCTTCCGGTATGAAGAGCCTAATGGCATGACTCGATGGGACTCGCCGCTCTTCACAATAACTTACGAAGATGCTGAACCACCATGTGAAGCCATCTGGGAAGCCATGGTCGGCTCGGAAGGAAAAGCAAAGGTCGTCCGACCAAACGCCGCAACCGTGCTCAAGCCCGCATCTGAGCAGAACTACCTCTACGAGCTCGACAAGACGACTTCCGAAATCATCTCAGTGATTACCACATGGCAGCAAGACCATCCAGGTGAAGGTGGCGATGAGATCACTGTCCCTGCTGCCGAGAAGAAGATACTGCTGCCGCTGACCGCTCCTTCGCTGCCGCAGCTGCAGAGACTGAGGAGGCAGTTCACTACGCTGAACAGACAACACAGTCTGAGTAAGAGTAGGTTGAGGGAGCTGTTCATTGACTATCTGAATGATGCCTTCCAAAGCTAGCCGCGCCACGACATATATCTCTGTGGTCTGTCGGTAGCAACGACAGCTCAAGACAGAATAGTCATTCGACCATCCGAAGACGGGGCAAATTCCACCGATGCCCCCGGCGGTCAGTCTAGCACAGCGTCGACGCTCATACGACCCGCTGCCGTCCTGGCATAGGTAATTGCCTTCCACGCCTCCATCGCTTTTGCCAGATGATGGTCCTTGCCATAACAGACCACCAGCATGTCAACCACAGCGATACAATGCCTGCAGCTTGCCTCCAAATCGCGTTCCCGCAGGATCAAATACAGCTCATGATGCCTGATCCGTGAGCGGTGTCAGCACTCGCTACACCATATCAAGACTAGGAATCGGAATTCTTACGCTTCGGACTTGCTCAACCCTTCTACTCCTTCCTCCGTCATCAATGCCAACCTCTGTTCGAGCAGCTCAATGCGCCTGGTCACCTTCAACTCCTCGGCCTCGGGTCCTTCGGGCTCGCTCGCGCTCTCCTTGACGAACGTAAGGTCCAGAAAATACAGCTTGTGCCGCCTGCTGGCGCTCACGGGCTCGTAATCGGTCCATCCAAGTTTCGCCACGCCCTCCTTGGGACCGCACGCTTTACACCTGCACTTAAAACTGAATTTCTTCATCAAGTCGTTGTTCCTCCCAACCGGATGAACCAGCACCGGCACATACGCGATGGTGATCTCTTCGCCCATGTCGATCTCCCGCAGCGCGCGCACATGAAGCCGCCACTCATCCGTCATTATTGCGCTGCAATCAAACATCGCAAACGCATTCGGCGTGCACGAATGATTGAACCGCGCCGCATCCACAAAGACCGCGCGCTTCGGCTTCTCCAGCTGCTCCCTTGGTGCCGCCAAGTTCTGCTCAACGAAAGCGTTCTGCTCGAATTTGCCGTACACCAGAATATGCTCCCGGTCCATCTTCTGCGTCGTCGGGTATTTATGCGTATACTGCTCTGCCTGCTGGTCGAAATGCTTGTGATGCACCAGACAGTCATACATCCTCCGCTGTTCGTACGGCAAGCGGTCGAAGTCGCGGAATAGCTTCTCGTACCGCTCCAAACTGATCTGGGGTGAGATCCCGCCGTTGGTGTGCAGGGGACCGTCGTCGCCGGCGTAGCAGAGGATGGGCTTGTCCGACATTATGAGCTCGCCGCGGATGACGTGCTCGGTGGCGAGGACGTCGAGGCCGTTGGGGGGTGTGGGTTCGACGAGAAATTTGGTCCGGGGGTAGGGAGCCATGGTAGCAAGTCTTGGTCGGTCGAGGTTGAGAGTTGAGAAGAGGGCTGCGACTCCCCGAGAGGTGGGTATATATATGAATCCATATGTGAGTATATAATGAATGAAGACCGGGGTGTCCATACTGAACGAGTCACCAGTCACGCATCGAGGACTCGGATTCATTCACCATAATGCCGCACCCATCCATGGCTGCAGTCAAGGAGCGCTCCTGTGCCCTCGGTGGCGGTCAACCAGACAAGCGCACATTCACCACGACCAGCGCATCTTCCAGCGCAGCGCAGCTCTTATATCCCCATGCAATGGAGCAGGCTGCTAGGAGGTACGCTGGTGGGCAAACATGTACCACCCACCGCTGCGAACGGGCGGGACATGTCACTGACTGACACGGTTAGATGTAGTGGAGCACTTGTGTCTACGCGGGGAGATGTTTGCTACTTCGCTGTAGTCAATCCACTCAGCGCTGCTTGTAGGAGCTGTCCGGCCTTCGGCGGAGAAGAGAAATCCGAGTCATTCCCATCTTCAGTCGTGCTCCCAGGCAAAAATGTCAGCACTCTTAGGCTCGTGCACAACTTCTCCGCCCTCAGCTCGATGAACTTCGTATACACAGGTCGCCAGAAGCGTTCGTCGAAGATCTCCAGCAGATACCTTAGAAGCAGGACCGGAAGTTTGCTCTTGGAAGACTCAGCAGGGAATTGGACGATGCGCCGTCACGAATGTGATCCTGTCGGCAGTCAATAGTATGTCAAATCGTAGGATAGTGCATATCTCAGACACAGGGTGCCCATGTGACCCGTCGACGATGTTGTATCACTGCGATGTCCCTCTGAAGAGACTACTGTCGCGATTTGGAGGATGTTGTGACACAGCAGCGTGAATGACTAAATGCGAGTACATGGATTCGTCTGCCAGTACCAACCTGGCTCACCCAGCCTAGTCCGCCTCCATCTCCTCCCCATCACCAGCCGCACCTCCCTTAATGCCTGCCCTAAGCTCGGCGTTCCGGCGCTTCTCCTCCCACTTCCTCGCAAAGGCATGTCTGGGTCCAAAGCAAAGCCTGGCGATCCGCGCCGTCTCTCTGATCTGCTCGAGAGCAGATTCATTGTCGTCTTGCTCCTCGTACAGCTTGGCGAGCTGTTCGTGACTGCGATATTGGTTAGTAAGACGGATCTGCTGCCAGAAATAGGCCAGTGTGTGGAAGGATATGTACCTACACCGCGCCCTTCTCCCAGCCCAAGAGTCCTTCCTCCTCCATGAGCTCGATGATGTCCCAACAAGTCTTCCGCTGCTTGTGTGCGGGCGGCTCTGTCCTCTCAAAATCCATGATCTCCAGCTGATTCCGCCTATAAGCACTCTCGTTCGCAAAGTTGGTATGTCTGTCACAAGCCTTACATCTGCACTCGAAGCCGAACTGGTCCATGGGAAGCTGCCGCCTCGTGGCTGGCTTTTTCAGCAATGGGATGTAGGGGATGAAGATCTCAGTCCTGATGGGAATTTCAGTCAAGGCGCGGATTTCCAGTTTGTTGGTCCTCTTGATGTATGTGAAACAAGCATTCGGTGTGCAGGAGTGGTTGAAGCGAGCAGCGTCGATGAAAATGCCTTTCATCGTCCAATCCTTCGCATCCTCGAACTCAAAGGCGTTTTCGTGGAAGATGGCTACCACTCTGCCGCCAGATCCTGTGTTCTGGAGGGGAAACAGCGCTTTGCCGTCCTCGTCGCAAGCAGTGGAGAGCTCTACAATGTAGTCGGGAAAGTGCTCCGATGACTTGGCTGGCGGCAGATCCCAGTAGCGGTCCCTGTTGGTTCTATCGAACTTCAGGAATTCCTCGAAGATGGCCACGGATGTTATTGGTCTGCCTTCATGCTGATCAAGGGCGAATTCTGGAGTAGCGGTCATGATAAGCTCGCCTGGGTTGAGTGTCCTGTGGGCGAAGACACCCTTGCCCACGTCGACAGGGTCCTCGACTTCCTGGACGGTCCATAACTTAGTCTTCTTTGTAGATTTTGGACTGGAGGAAGACGTGTTGACGCAGGTCTTGTAGATTTGGTATGCTGAGGCCGTCGAGTACATGCATGGCAGTTCTTGCAGGCGGCATTGAAGTTTGCTAAAGGGTGCTCATCGTGGAGCAATTGTAGCAAGCCGTAGCACAAGCATTGCCGACGCCAGTGAATGCAACGCCTTGTAGTTGCGAAGAACCATGGAATCTCGTCCATCATTACTCCAGAACCTGTTCGTGTCGTGTTGACAGGCTGTAGCACGATCAAGATCATGAGTTTCCTCTCAAAGCATTCGCGCACCCTCTGCAGCACGTAACCTGCGCCTCTTTGCGGTGGTTGGCAAGCATCTCCGTAATCACAATCTCCGTACGATCGAGCATCCACTCCAGAGCCTCCTCAACGGTATTCTGAGGCTCGCCGAGAATAATGACCTCTGTCCCGGTGCTACGAGTGTCCATACTCTTGCTCACAAGCGCAGCATAGTGCTTGCCTGCCACGCGGCTCCCAGCATTGCTATCAGACGGTCTTCGTTCAGAAGGCGGCGTTTGATCTCCTGGCGAAGGAGAAGAGTCTCTGATTCGGATCGTCACGTTAGAAGTCGTGCTTATGAAGCTTCGTGGGCCTGTGGTGGGTGTAGGCCCTCGTGTCTTCCCGGTTACAAGCTCTATTGCGCCAGTCTTGACGTGTGGTCTCATCATAGACGCGTTGGCGAGTATGAGCTGGCGAGTGTCTTTGACGGTACGCTTGAGCGCTGTAGGTGGTGCTAGAATGGTTTCTGTGTACGCCGGAGGGTCTGCGCCGGCAGTAGAGTTGGAGCTGTCCATGTTGGTATGCAGCGATGTCGAAAGGGCTGCAGAAGATGCTTCAAGGCTGAGTGCAATGGGTGTCTTGAAGGCTTATAAAGGATGCTCTAGATGTAGTCGTTCGTGCTGCACCGCCTCATCCGCGGGGCCAATGTTCAATGCGAACGCGCATCAACCAACTGAGTTGAAGTTGTTACAGGCCATCCATACGACGAACAAGGAACATCTTGTGCCAATGACAATCCGCAGGCTGAGAATATATAGGTGCGGTTGACTATGGCGTGAGGTCAAACCCAGCTCAGGCCTGAGGCTCGGCTGACTTTGACCACACCCATCAGCTGGACTCCTTCCTCTTCGTTACCACGATCATCTCAATATCCATTTGACGGGCCGGTCAACGCATTATTGGATCCAATGTGGAGTGGTCTGCACCAAAAAGTACGACATACTAGCCCTCTGTGGGAGGGTGCTGGCCGCCGTTGGATCATGAAAATATGCTTGGTTGCAACCGCGTTTCGACAAGCACCGCAAGCAATGGACGATCATATCACCTTCTCGATGGGGAAGGTCGACTTCTACAATCAGACTGCCAATGCCATCACTGCTTATCAGAGGAGCTTGGCCGAGATCAACAAGACGATGTCAGGATCACCCACACGCAGTGCCGCATTGCCGCCGAGCTTCCTGCTCGAAGAGGAAGTTCATTCAAGTTCGTCCTCAAGTACTCGATACCTATTGGTGAAGACCCAGACTCTGGAGGGGAGGACCATGGCTTCGGCAACTTCATGTACTGTGTCTCCCTCCGAGGACGATCGCCACCGTGATAATGGTACAGCATGAGAGATACGTCTCTCCGGATAAGCAATTGATCAGGTAAGGCTATAAGTACATATATGTTGTCGATCTCACAATACTTTCTCCTTGCCCTCATCTTCCATATCTCCCCAATCATGAGTCTCGCGTATGGAGCCACCGGCACGTCTGCCATTGCCCAAGAGAACGAGGTCTCGCTCATCAAAGAGCTTGAGAAGGACGGCAGTGATGGCGAGAGGTCCATGAGCGAGCCTGAGGGTGTCGCTGAGAAGGGAAAGGTTTTTGAAGTCGCGGACCGTGAGACGCACTCCGAAGATGGCATCGAGATGCTCTCGCATGAAGTGCAATTCCCAATCGACCCAACCGCGCAAGAGGAAACACACCAACTCACCTTTCGAGCTGTGTTCGTGGGATGTGTTCTTGGTGGTGTAATAGCCGCGTCAAAGTAAGCATTTGCGGACGACGGAGCAGTTGCTATGCTAATGGTCCAATAGTGTATACCTGGGCCTCAAAACTGGCTGGACCTTCTCTGCCAGTCTCTTCGGCTCGATCTTTGGCTTTGCGATCCTCAAGCCAATGTCTCGAGCGCTCCCTGACCGCCTGGGAGGAGGCTACTTCGGGCCCAAGGAGAACGTCTGCTGTCAATCAGCTGCAACGGCAGCTGGCTCACTAGGCCTGCTGTTCACCAGTGGGTTCCCAGCCGCCTACCAATTGGGGTTATTGTCCACGCCGAAAGAAGACTTTGGCAAGCTTGTCACGTTCACCCTAGCTTGCGCCTACTACGGCATGTTCTTCGCGATCCCACTTCGAAAGCTGTACATCTTGAAGCAGAAGCTGGCATTCCCAAGCGCGGTCGCTGCTGGGTTCACCATCAGAAGCATGCATGCAGGCAAGAACGCAGAAGCCAACGCGAGGAAGAAGGTCTGGGCGTTGACTACAGCCTTCTGTATCGCGATCACTTGGCGATGCGTCAGTGAGTACGCTCCAGGAATCCTGTGGGATTGGCACTGGGGCTGGACGCTGTACACCTTGGGCTGGCAGCAGGCGATACGTGTTGAGAACTGGCACTGGGTTCTCGAGTGGACACCTGCATTCATCGCAGTCGGCTTTCTGGCAGGACGCAATGCTTCCTACTCTGTCTTTGGTGGAGCAGTGGTCGCTTGGGGTGTCATTGGCCCCACTCTTGTGTCCATGGGCGCTGCTTTCGGCGAAGGCGTGTCTCCGGAATATCCAGGCTACATGAACTACATGAACATGGTTCTGGAAGATCCTGTCAACAGGCCGTCTCCGAGATACTGGCTGATCTGGCCTGGAACAATGATGCTGCTCGCAGGTGCGTTCGCCGAGCTCGCCGCTCAGTACAAGTCCATCTACGCATCCATGGTACAGCTCTTCGGACCGCTGCTCCAGAAAGTCTTCCGACGCAACAAAGAGGCAAACGAGGATTATCTGATCGAGGAGCCGTGCACGCGTGAGGAGCTGGTTCCAACATGGATGTGGGGTGGCGGCATTGGTATGTCTCCCCGTGCCTCGATCATTTTGCATCGGCTGACCACCTGACAGTCTTGAGCATCATCTTCACCTGCTTGATCATGGGTCTCCAGTTCAAGCAGAACGTCGGCGTCACCATTCTGGCAATTGTTTTCGCTTTCATCTTCAGCTTCATTGGTGCCGAGAGCGCGGGAAGAACAAACATCAACCCCGTCACATCCATCGGTAACGCCTCCCAGCTCGTCATCGGAGGCACAACATCGGGCCATGGCAGTATCCAGAGCCAGCAACTTCTCAATCTCACGGGCGGCATGCTTGCGCTAGGAGCCGCAGAACAGGCCACCGACATGATCCAGGATCTCAAAACCACCCACCTTCTACGGGCAGCTCCGCGGGTACAGTTCTATGCGCAATGCTGCGGCGCCATCGTCTCAGTCTTCATGTCCGTGGCGATGTACGTTCTCTTCTCCGAGGCGTACCCCTGCATCAACGACCTGGCTCTGTCGGACAACTGCACCTTCCCAGCCCCAGACGTCGGAGCGTGGCGAGCGATTGCCGTCGCAGTGACGAGCAGTTCCCTTCCGGTCCCATCGAGCTCGGCGTACTTCTCGCTCGCGCTGTTGATCTACGCCTTCGTGCAGACGTTCGTCAAGTACCGCTTCATCCCGGCGAAGTACCACTGCTACGTGCCGAACTTGGTGGCGATGGGTATTTCGTTCATCCTCAACACTACGGCATATCCCAACGCAATGGCGATTGGCGCGACTGTTGCTTGGATATGGCAGCGAGGCTGGCCGGCTGGGTTTGGGATGTTCGGCTACGCGGTGGCCGCCGGGATGATAGCTGGAGAGGGGTTGGGAGGCATTGTCGGCGCTATTCTTGAGATTGCTGGTGTGGCGGGGAGTTATAAGGGGACGGCTATTGGGTGTCCTGCTCTGACTTACTGTGGTTGAGTGGCTGGTCAGACTCGCAAGGGGTTGAGTCTTGGTAGGCACGGATGACTTGTGACAACTATACACTATAGATCACGGATGAGAACGATGCTCAACGAACACTTTCCAGGCTATCGTCAATAGCAGTCAGTTCAAGATCCTGTCAATAAGTCTGTTCAACGCAGGTCTTTGGAACTCCAACTTCCATGCACCAAGGAAGAGTAGACTCTGCCTCCCATAGTTCTACATACATTGCCGACTGCCGAATCGCCGATTTTCCACCAGAACCCGTTGTACCCGGATAGGAAGGTACCACTTTTTTCTCGCCTCTCGGCCATCAAGTCCTATCTCGGCGAAGAAAGTGCTGAGAAGGTTACATGAGACTGGTGAAACCACTTTGACGGTGAGAACGTTGCAAGAAATGCATTGTCTGTCCTATCCCGACGTCTTGCAGCTTCATACATTCTCACACTCGTTATCACGCTCATGAGGGCCGAGCAAGAGCAAGCAGAATCTTCGTCTGCTTCGGCGACTTCCAAAACCGCATCCGAGACCTCACCATTACTACCAAAGAAGGCCGATACGAAGAGGAAAACACGACCATGGCCGAAATCAGTAGTATACCGCGTGCTGATCGCAGCATTCCTCATGTCCCTCTCCTTCGGCGTCACCCAAGTCCCGCTTATCTACGTCTTTGGAGTCATGACTTGCGATGAGTACTATCGACACCATCCAATGCCACCACTTGGGACGCCAGCATACAATAACCGATGCAAGATCCATTCCATCGAAGCCAGCACCGCTCGCTCGGTCGCTCTAATGGGTAGCGGGACTACGCTGTTCGGTGTGGCGAATCTGTTTATTACAGGCTGGACGATCAAGGCTTGGGGAATTAAACGAGCGTTGCTTATTACGATTTTTTGGCCTGCTGTTAGACTTCTCATTCAGAATGTTGGAGTGGCCATGGGGGCTGGGATGGGCATTCTTATCACCCAGTTAAGCCAGATTATAACAATCGTTGGAGGACCGGCGGGATATCTGCTGGCGCTGAATAGTTTTGCGACTGAGGTTGTGTTGCCTGCTGAGCGGACGGCGACGATTGGGAGATTGACTGGGTGTGCGATGTAAGTGTTCCTTCTACGCCATTTTGTTGATGTCCAGATATTGATGGTTTCAGGTTTGGAACAGCACTAGGCTACCTTGCAGGAGGCCTCTTAAGTGACTGGCTCGGCATCATTGCACCATTCAGAATCACACTTGTGCTCTTCTGCCTCTCCACAGCGTATGGCTACCTATTCCTGCCATACGTCCCACTCAGCGACGAAGTGGAACAGAAAGCGTCGAAGAGCATCGCAGCGTTCTTTGCTCCGCTCAAAATGTTCACCCCAAGGAAGTGGATGCTGCCAAACGGTGTCGTGCAAAGAGAGTATGGAGTCCTTTTGCTGGGTATAGGAGCCTTCATGGCCGTCTTTGCCACAGGATATATCCCAGTGCTGCTCCAGATGTACGCCACAGATGTGTTTGGGTATAGCGCTTCGGACAACAGCAAGCTGATCAGTCTCAACTTTGTGATTCGGGCGACGTTCTTGACGTTCGCGTTCCCAGCAATCATCAATACCGGGCGAAAGTGGCTGGACAAGCGACAAGGAAAAATACGAAAGCAGAGCGGCGGAGAAGGAGGAACTGACAAAGAAGAGGATGGACTACCGACAAATCCAGACCGGCTGGCTCCTGCTGCAATGCCTACGGGAGAAGCCAACGCGAACGAGCCAGACGAACCACTGCGGCGCACATCAACCGCTCAAAGCAGCAAGAAGGAAGAAAACGAGTCATACGCCTTCGATCTCCTGTACACCCGCTGGAGTCTCATCCTCGACGGCGTACTCACAGCTCTCGCAACCTTCACCAGCCAAGGCTGGCAGATGTACATCGTGGCCGTCGTGATCCCGTTCGCCGCCGGCACTGGTTCAGCTGCGAAAGGCACCATGTTGCAGATGTGCACTCCGGAGCAGCGGACGGATGCTTTGAGTGCAATATCTTTGCTTGAGATGGTGGCGAGACTGAGCACGACGAGTCTGTTTGGTTTGGTTTTCAGCGGGTTCGCAGAGCTGGGGAAGCCGAATTTGACGTTTGCTGTGAATGGTGGAGTGGCTGTGGTTGGGTTTGTTGTGTTGCTGTTTGCGAGATTCCCTCCTGATGGTGCGGTGAGGTATACGAAGGAGGATGAGGAGGGTGAACATGGTTGACACTTCGAAGGGACAGCTTCGTGTTGAGACATGGGCAAACAAAGCGGCATTCTGGTAGTTGGAAAGGCACAAGAATTCTCTAGCCAAAAAGACAGTGGAACGCCAAATGACGGCTGGGACTGGACGTCACCCTCTACTGGCTAAGGGGACCGACTCCCAGGGAACAGAGTTTGGTGAATCAGCTAGAAAGCCCTCAGAGCTTTGAAGCCTGAGCAACCCGGCAGCATGGCGGCCGGTGAAGCTGTCGGACGGCCTGAAAATTCGAACGCATATGCTGACGAATGGACGAGTGAAGTTTACTCCTCCGGCTTCTGGCCATATACGAAGTACCTGGTCACCGAGTCAGCCCGATTCAACACGCAAAACGTCCATACTCACGCCCAGATATACGAGTAAAGCTTCTTATCTCGAAAGCTATTACGCATTCCAGCACAGAACACCTCAACTTGCTCGGGCGTGAACTGAGAGAAGTAAGCTTGACTTCTCAACACGAATGACGCATGGGCAGGACATACCCCTAGATGGTTCGTGAACCGCCGTGAGCAGAAGTCTGCGATACCAATATCGAGTCGCAGTTGATTCCACTGGCCAACTATCCCGTGCAACTTCAAGTCAGTACGAATAGGAGAGTGGCCTTGTGGTCGAAGGGTTAATCTAGAGGCAAATGACTCACTTTTACGCTGGTGCTCGTCCTTCGACCACCCGCCAACGAGCCACGGAATCCGATACTCTGTCACGTTGATAAAGCCTGCTTCTTCCATGCGGCCTTTGATCTTGTCTCCAATGTCGAATCGCATTCCCGATTTGATGCCCGCGTCGTACATGGTCGTGTTCCACTGGACATAAGGGCTGTCTTCGCCAAATTCGACGTGGTCTGAAAGGAAGAACAAGCCGGGCTCGTGCTGCTCGAACCAACCACCAGGCTTTATTGCCCTGCGCGAGGTCAAGTCAGGCGACAGGGAACGACGTCCTAACGAGATAAGACTCACCTGAAGGCTCTTCGATATAGAGCTGGCCAGTCCGGACACGTTCCCAAGAGCTCTCGGGCGTGCACCAAGTCAAACTTATTCTCATCCAGCCACTCAACGTTGAAGTCGTCAATCTCGAAGAAAGCATTTGGAGGAACCCAGCCTGGCTGTATAGGAGATACATCTGTGCCTGTCACTTCTGCTTGCGGGAACTGCTCTGCGACTTCTATGACCCAGATACCTTTCAGAGGTCAGCATCAGCACTGGTGTCTCTCACTGAGTTGCAGATGGTGGCACCTACCCGTCCCAGTCCCGACATCGAGAATCTTTACCGGGTCCTTAACAGGCGAGAGAAAGAAGTCGCCTTTCAATGATAATGTCCATAGATGATGGCTAAGATCCTGCTGGTCTTGTGCTTTCTCGTCATTAGGCCCCCAATGCTCCGTCGATCCGTAGGAGTGATATGTCCTCCCGTTCTCCTCCCGATACTTGGTGATAGCCGACTTGAGAGAGGTAGTCTCGGTCCCGCCTACTGATGGAGCATAAGTAGAGTCGACTTGATCAACTGCCCCTTCATTCACTGGTCCAACAAAGTCCGGCGCTGCCTCGCCTTCCGCTGCTGGAGCTGCGGGCTGTTCCTGAACATCTGACATTGTGATAGATTCGAAAAGTGAGAAGCGGCGGGCCGGAAGAGTCGTGACAGGGCTGACACATCCTACCAGTTATATCTCGTCAACTGGGCGGCCTAGAGTCCGGGCTTGCATTGCCGGCATGCGGTGTCATTCAGATCATCTCTTCTCCCGCCTGTCACCTCGTCTCGCCTAGCCGCCGCAAGCAGAGTCCACAACCTCATCAACAGTAACCGGCATATGCCAAGTGGAGCCGGTTAAAACTGTTGTCGTCTCAAGCAGGCGGCCCGATGCCCGCGAGCCGGACGCCATCACCTGCATCCTCCTCCTTGTCAAGCAGCTTCGCCTCGGCCAGTAGAGGACAACACACACCTACTACTGCAGCACGGTGGCGCCAACGGTAGCTATAGTGGCTGCGAGATGCCGAAGGAGGCAGCTGCTGTGCCGAGATGGGTATCGCTCGCGAGAAGCGACCACGTAGATGGCGATAGCACGTATCATGATGAGTATACTCGGCTTTCCTTTTCTAATGTAATCACGCTTTTCACCTCGACTTCTATCAGCCCCCACGATCCTCAGCTTACATAGCATGGCGACCAAGGACGCTCCCAGAGTTCTGGTTATTGGAGGAGGTAAGTGAGCAAAACCACCAATCACCAACACCATCACAACACCGCTGATTCTTATCCTCCACTCCAGGCTCGGCCGGTCTGCTCACCGCACATGCCTTGCAGATGGTTTGTCTTGTTACCCGAACACCGACACTGTGGTTCAGTCACACGTAGCTCACTTCCTTCTGCCAGCAAGGCGCGCATGTGACTGTCTTCGAGCGGGATGCGGCGCTCGATGCCCGCGAGAGGGACTGGGACTTTGGCATCTAGTGCGTTCAATCACTTCTTGAATGGGCAGCAAACCCTTTTTGGGACCTCGCTAATGTCTGAAACACCTTTAGCTGGGCGCAAGTACCGTTGGTATGCAGACTTGAGAAGCCGGGTGCTATGGAAATGCTGATGACCGAGCGAAGCACGAATGCCTGCCAGAGGAGCTACAGAAGACCATCGAGTCATGCCAGGTCGACGATCACCGAGCGGGTGAGGATGAGACGATGCCCATCTACAATTGCAAGACCGAGGAGTTGATGATCAGGCTGCCCATTCCGTACAACATCCGGCTGAAGCGGAGGAAGTTCATACGCCATATCACGCAAGGCCTGGATGTCAAGGTAAACATTCTTCAGATTCGCCACTCTTCTGGTCTAACTCCTCTGCAGTACAGCAAAAAGATCAAGGAAGTATCTTCAGACGGCAAGAAAGCGACAGCAGTTTTCGAGGACGGTACTTCCGAGACCGGAGACCTTCTGATCGGTGCAGATGGAGGGCGCTCGGTCGTTCGCGACTACCTTGTTGGCTCCTCCCAGTCTGCCTTAGCTGATACACCGATTGTGTCGACTTTCGCGATCGCTCAGCTGCCGGCCGAAGCTGTTGAGAAGTTTCGTCATTTCGGCAACCGTATGGCTATCGCTTTCCATCCAAATGGCTACTTCACGTGGGTAGGCAGTAAGTCAGCCTCCCAAACGAGCTACAAGAGAGATGCTAAGACCGCCAGAACACGATGCACACGAGAGCACCACGCCTCCAGGGGAGTGGAAGTTCATGGTCGCTCAAACGTGGAGACCAGAAGACCCCAACTATGATCCTCAGACGATGCAGCGAGAGAAGGCTCTAGCGGATGCCAAACGCAGAGCCAAGGAATTTGGTCCTACGTTGAGTGAGATCTGGCAGTCGATTCCTGACAATACGACCTGCTGGCACAGCCGTCTGACTGACTGGAAGCCTGATGAGCTGTGGGACAACCGCAATGGCACTATCACGCTGGCGGGCGATAGTGCACATTCGATGACTTTCCGTAAGGTGGCTTACTATCACCACGAGATGTTGCGCTAACCAGTGTCCAGATCGCGGCCAAGGCCTGAACAACGCCATCCACGATGCTGCTTCCATCGCCCGCTCGGTACGAGAGTATGGCTTCACCCCAGATGCGATCAAGGCCTATGAGGCAGAGATGATACCGCGCGGTCGTGAGGCGGTCAATGGTTCGCGTGCCAACACCATCGCCATTCACGATTGGGATTCGTTGTTGGACTCGCCGTTGTTCAAGATGGGGTTGAAGGCGAAGTGAAGTGTCGGTTGAAGCAGTCGGAGGGCGATTTGGTGATGCTCTGTTTGGCATTGAGCTGAGTACCCAACCTCCGCCATTGCTACACCTCCATTCACTTGCATAGCTCAAGTAAGTTGTATCCAGTTCTCCATGACGTTCTTCTTCGCTCGAAACACTCCATGCCACCGCCTCACTTACTGCAGGCCTCCTGGAAACCCACCGAAACGTGAAGTTGCCTTACGAACGACGTCACTTCACCAAACAATCACGAACACAACTCAACAGCGACTTAGCACCTTTTTCCCAACATTCGCACTCTTAACACTGATCTGAACAACAAGTCCGCTACACCAACATGGCGACGCCCTCAGCGGCGCACGCTGTTCTCTTCAACGACGACCTCTTCAACATCATCCTTGAGCATACCCATCGCCGCGACATTCCGATGTCAGGCTCTGCCATAGTGCCTTCAACTCCACCGCATCGCCGCACCTCTTCCGGACGTTGCTCGTCAGCTCGCGCAAGCGTCACCTCAGACGGTACAAATTCGTGGCTGGTCATGAGGCCTTCAGTAGAGGAGTGCGAGAGCTCGTCTGGGAGGCTCACGCCTACGGCAATGGTGATATCTACGAAAAGAAATACCTCGAAATGGCACCAGCGGTGAGTCTGCTATACTCGCTGTATAAGCAACTTCGATCTGCAAAACATGTCGATCACACACCGTATGTTCCTGCCCAGAGCGTGACCTTACCGTCACAGGCCCGGGCAATCTCGACGGGCAAGGACGAGGATACCTTGTTGGAGCACCGAGCCAACATCGTCCTCTTGATTGATGAGTTGGGACTCGCTTTAGCAAGGCTCAAAGGACTGAATCATATTACCATCACTTTCTGGCATGGTGGCGAGCACGGCCAGAGGGCCTTCTTTAACAAGTAATGAGTCTCTAACCTTCGCATTCGCATTTCAGTGACTGATAGCGCCTTTAGGGTTCCGCTTGTGAAAATATCGCCCAAAATGCCACCGCCTGTGGCTTCTCTCTTCAAAAAGGGTGTCTTATTCAAACGGCAGAACCAGGCCTTCGATGCTCTCATGCAGGCTCTGCGCAACACCGATCTCAAGATCAAAGCCTTCACGATCGCGCCTGGAGGCGACGTGTCGCTGCCTTCCGCCCTCACTATATGTGGTCCGGTGGAGTTTCCACGAATGCTGATCGACTTCTCCACGATGGATCATACCGGTATTGATCTTCTTGCAGGCCCGTTGGAACATCTCACGAGCTTACGGCTCGACCTCAGCGAGAAAGGAGTCGCCACTTCTAGCCGGATGGCGCTACATAGGCGCCTTGGGATTGGGAACAACAATGGTCCAGGATTGCCGGGGCTCCTCCAGCGACTTTCGGCACTCAAGTCCATCGACATCCGTATAGCTCCAAGTGTGTCGGAAAACGACGACCGATGGGAATGTATCTTCCCTCATCGCCTAACGCGACGTCTTTGGGACCACCACATTCTCGCAGCTGCCCCCTCTCAGCCTGCGATCATTTTGGCTGCAGCCAGAAGAGCTTTGTGACTTCCTACTTCGCGAACAAGACTGCCTGACACACCTCACGCTCTCCGATATCAATCTGGGTGGCCTGTAAGCCTGCGTCATTACGCAAGACAGATACTCAACGTCGCCGTTGCTGGTTGTCAGGCAGTGGTACACTTATGAGACTTTCAGGGATCCCGGCCTAACGGAGTGGAAGCTAGTCGCACAGACATGCCAGCTCTTACCGAAACTCCAAGGCATGAGGATCGATCGGCCTTCCTCGTCTACACAGCATGACATGCTCTCAATGATCGATGTGGCGGATCTGGAAGAAGAGGAAATGAACGGAAGAGTGAATGTGCTGGCTGACGATCGAGGAGCGTGGGAGCTTCTGGAGAAGATGGTACGAATGAAGCAGCGGTCCAGACAAACGGGATGAGGAGAGGAAGGCTGTCACTACATGGAGCGTTCAGTGGCCGTGATAGTACGGGCGGAGGGTGGGGCAATCTGAAGAAGATGTTCAGCTGAGCTGCCGTAAGAAGGAGAAGGGAGGAGTACTTTTGGAGAGGGACGAGTTCAGGAGTCAGCGCTGCGCACATCACTGGAGAATGATGTGGCGTGCAGACACAACTCCCTCTTTGATATTGACCTTAGGCGTGAGGCCCTGCTCGATCTCATGGCGAGCTTTTTCGGGCGTGTCAGTGAGTACAACTCTTCTTCTATGAGTGTTCCTCTTGACACTGTCAAACTTCACATTTCTGCATTCACTTCCAAAACTTCACCTTGCTGCATTCACGTCCAAATATTCACCTTGCTGCATTCACTCGTTCCTCTTCCAGAACCTCGTGGAATCAACAATAGAAGGTGAACCTACAAAGGCTTCCTTCACCCACCTATACGACACCCAAGTCCCACCACCCGATGACCCGACGGAACACACACAGACAACGACATCATCGCACCGGCAGAACAACAGAATGGCGAAGCTCTCTCCAGCGCAAGAGGTCCTAGGCAACTCCGATTTGATGGCCATCGTCCTCGAGCACGTGCCTAGGCTCGAGATCACCAACCTACGCCTTTGCAACAGGGCGCTGCATACGATGGCGTCACCGTCACTGTTTCGCACTTTGATCATCAGCACACGCGAAGACCACCTCCGACGCTTGAAGTTTGTAGCGGGACACGCGGAGTTCAGCAAAAGAGTACGGGTAGTCGTATGGGAGACTGCAACGTACGGCTTTGACGGGGAGTGGATGGACGGACGCGCACACTACCAAGATAATGAACTGATTTGCTCTATCTACTACCTGCTTTCTATCGAAAGGACATCGAACCCCGATCTGGAGACTTTTCCAGACCAAGGCGCCAGGATCATCGAAGCCCGCTACCGCTCGACGAGCAACCATGAGAACGCGGTATGGACGAAAGAGGGCACGGAGGGGCTGATATTCGACCTCACAACAGCCTTCAGAGATGACCTTTTGGTCCGGCGGTGAAGGTGGTGACAGAGCGTTCTTTGACCCGTAAGCAGTTCGATGGCACTTTGACAGGGGCTGAGACCGAGACTGACATGCATTCTTCGCAGAAACATCATCGTCGGCCACCCCAGGATCATGCCTCCGCCACATCTCTCGCTGTACCAGGGAATGGAAGCATTTCTGTGTGAGCGGCAGAACCTGGCTACCTGCAGCAACACCAAATCTCTTGCACGGTCAGGTTGCAGTATCAAGGACTTCACTGTCACGCCTGGCTACAACGTACAGATTCCAGTCGGCAACGCTATGAAGCAGTCGATGGCATGTGCAGGCATGCCCAGGAATTCGTGGACCGTTTCGGGCCCGGAACAGGATACAGAGCGACAAACAGTCTGATGGAGGACGTTTCGGTAGCCTTTGGGAATCTGAGAAGGCTACACCTCGACCTGTGGGAGAATGGAGTGAACGCCTATAGTTCCAAAGCACTTCTCCCACGTATCTAGCAGGGACAGATCACCAGGCTCCTTCACGAGCTCGCCCGACTGGAAGATTTCTATATTAAAGTCGCACCTTCGCGTCCGGTGATCGATTTCGGCGGAGCTCCTGCCTATGCCGAAACCACCATTATCTCGCTAAAGGACGTCTTCGGCGACATCATATTGCAAAATTTGCGTACGCTATGCATGGACTCGTTCTGGGATGAGCCAGAAGAGCTCTGCGAGTTCCTCCTGCGCCACCAGAACACCCTCGTGGAGCTAAGTCTTTCGGACATCAACCTAGGCGGCACCCTGGCTTTCCATTACGAAGGGCACAACAACATTGTCTTCGTGGAGGAGCGGTCATCCAATAGGTCGCCATCATTGGTGGAATGGACACAAGTCGCCCAAACTTGCCAGGCGTTAGTCGGACTCGAGGGTTTGGCGAGAACTCCACCTTCCGTCAATCCAGAGAGGAACCCGCTGTCCATGTTCGATGCCGTGGAATCGGTGGAGCTGGGGAAGAATGGGCGGGACAACGTGCTGTGGGAGGGTGGAGCGTGGGAGATCCTTGCGAACATGATGTCGCGAGAAGCGGCTGGCAAGGCCAGCGCTCTGCCGTGCTGAGCGTCGACGAGGTTGGATGACGACACCGGAAGAAGGAAAACGTGTTGCCGTCTTGGAGCGCCAGCCTCAAACGGTCAATGAGCAACATGCTCTGATAGAAGCCAGTGGCAAATCCTCCCGACAGCAGTTCAACGAGATTCACATGAAAGCAGTAGCCATTCAGCAGCGACACGCGGACCTGGGCACCGGGAAGGCTAGAGTCCCGCCAAACCGAGCGTTGATGAGAATGGAGGAGGACTGCATCGCAGGGGGGCTCGAGACATGGACTCTTCTCGAGGCCCACAAGGGCAAGGGGCAGCATTAGCGTACATTCGTATGCACAAAAACATGAAGACAGGAACATGTCGCGCTCGTAGGCCACGCAGGTCCAGATATCGACCGACACTCTGCTGCTTCAGTACTTCTGTTAATACATTCACATCCAGCCCACACGCTCACCCGCACCATGTGCGCACTCCAGACCCGCCTTGGGCCTGCCCTACCACAGACTCCGCTGGTCTATCTTCAGAAATAAAGACTCGTTCCCATCGCAGCCGTCATCCATAGCTTCGTCTCAAATCGCAGCCGAAAGACCCAGGGGTGTTCCGTGCTGAGCGCCGATAGAGGTCGAAGAACAACGTCGTAGCAATAAGACCAAAGCACAGCTTCGTACCCACTCATCTATCTACATCTAACATCCATCGTCATAACCCAACCCACTTCCTTCAAATCCCCATCCCAATCCCACCCGTCCCAACCACCTCCCTAACAGGACTCCCCTCAACACTACTACACCTACTACTCCCGTACCCACTATCCCTTCCCCCGCCCTCAAACCCCCATCCCCCAACCTTCTTCGCAACGGCAAGACACCCCTCCACCACCCTCGCGCACTCTCGCCTCCCCAGCCCCGCTGCGCGACCCGCGGACGTGCCGACCCAGATCCGCAGATTGGCGGCGAGGTCTTCGAGGCCGTGTTTCGCGTGCAGCGGGAGCAGGGCTTTGGTGTTGGTGAGAGAGGTGAGGAGGCGCGTGGTGGCGATCGCGGTGAGGAGGGTGAAAGATGCAGGCGGGAGGTGGAGGGTTGCGATAGCGTCGAGAGCGCGGGTTTGTGAAGTGGCGGATGCGCCCGGGAGGAGGAGGGTGTGGAGTTTGGCCAGCGTGAGGGCGGTGCGGATGTCCGGGGTCGCGGGGATGTGGCTGACGAGGTTCATTTCGTTGGAGGTTGACGGGAGTGAAGGGAGAGAGTCAAGGGCGGCGAGGGTGTTGGCGACCCGATTGCTGTTGGAGAGGACGGCTTTGGCGGCGAGGGCGCGGGCGAGGGTGGCGGAGGCGGGAGGGGCGATGGAGACGGCGAGGGCGATGTAGTATTCGGTGTCGAGAAAAGAGGTGGTGGGTGCGACGGAGTCGATGAGGGTGTCGTCGACAGTCATGTTGGCGTACCATGCCGCAACCGCATCCAAGGGCGACCGGATAGCGTGGTCTTCAATCACAACATCCCGCGCCATGTTCGAGACGGTGCGGTAGGCGCTCGGTTTGTTCCAGGCCAAGTTCCACGCACGCTGAATCATCTCGTCGCTGAGCACTTCGTCGCAGTCGAGCTCCAGAAGGCTTGCGAGATGATCCGGTAGCACCTCGACATCGTCATCGGCGCCTTCGAATGGACGACCTTGAGCCTTGGCCTGCAACAACTCCTTCTGCTGCCTACGAGCAGTGTCCCAGTAGAAGCGTCCAACCTTCTCGGTGAACTGCTTGAAGCAGACCATGTTCCCATAGCCAGCATTCGCAACCTCCCAGAAGAACACGCGGAAGTGCACGGCCTTCTGCATGAGTCTGGTCGGGCTATCGGGTAGCGTACCACTCTCCATCAGCGTGAGCAGCAAGCGGTAGTAGCTGACCTCCTGGTCGCCTCCGGCCAGCTGAGCATCAATAGCGATGTCCCATGCTTTGATGCGGGCGGTCTCGTCCTCCTTGTTGGCGCCGGTGAGACTGTTGTATGCATCGGTCCCAACGAGTCGGCGAACAGACAAGCTGATCATCTTTGCAGTGACGGCAACGACTTCGAGCAAGAAGTGCTTCGGCACCCAGACAGTCTGGATGGCGGTGAGCCATGCTTTGCGGCGGACTTCGATTGGTGATGCCAGTGAAGGCGCATGAGGTAGGCGCACAGAGATCGAGCGACTCTTCTGCTTCCGACGTGGCGAGAGGGATAGCAAGGGTGCCAGGATGTAGGCCAGTGCACCAATGACCAGCACCATCTTAAGCAGCGGCACAGCAGCCTGCCGCGAGAACGCCGCAGCAGAAGATGGCGAGATCTCAGTATCCAGTCCTCGTTTGAACAAACCAGGCACTGGGAAGGCACCAAGACTGCGCGAACCAGAGTTGTCCTGTTCGCTGTAGCCCTCCATGACCATAAGCCCGGCCATCGTGCCCAGCATGACCTTACTCATCACCCCACCACCTCGTCCGTTGACGTACTGCGGCTGGTTCTGAGCGTCGACCGGGGGATTAGGCGGTCTGTTGTAGTTCGGCTGAGCCTGCTGTTGCATGTACTGCTGCCTCACGACCTGCTGACCGAAGCCATTTTGCTCTTGCGGCACGTTGAGGAAGGCTGCGCCGTTCTGCGACGACGAAGACATCTCCCTCGATCTGCCGTTCATGCTCTGTGGACTCATGCTCAAGCTCGCCTGACGGTCTCTGTTCTTGCCCATCGTGGCTTCAAGAGCAGCCAGACGCGCCTTCAATGTAGCCATCTCGTCCACAATCGTCTTGTTGCGCTTCTCCAGATGCTTGATATACTCTGTCGCCTTGCCCATGACAGTAGCCTTGTTCAGCTTATGCGCTGGCGTGAGTCCTTCCAAGTCCGCTTCGTTGTTCTCACCACGGTTCGCCTTGCCCACAGCACGCAGGCTGGGCACACTGTTCCTCAGCTCCACGATCTTGTCATTCAAGTTGTTTCGATATCGCTTCTCGATCACATTGTGCGATGTCTTTTTGATAGGATTGCCATCTGCGTCCTTCTCCGAGCTCTCCTCGTCTTGATCCTTCGCGAGCTGGACTTCAGCCTTCCGCTTCCTCCCACCACGCTTCTTCGGCGGAGGTGGAGCATCCGGTGAGTTCGAAGATATGCTCGTACGCGCATGGTCGGACGACCCCGGGCTATGGTGAAGACTGGGCGCGGTAGACGGCGCGGTGCCAGCGGAGGGTAAGCCGTTCCACGTCTCAGCAGTGAGAGCTGATAAATCGAAGTTCTGACCGTCGTCGGCAAGAGGGAGAGCCCAGCCCGCAGCATTCGTATCCAGCTTCGGCATTCCTGAAGAAGGTTGTTCCATGTCCATCACAGGCTGAAAGTCCATGCTCGCAGTCCCGTCGTTGCCTGCTCCAAACAAGAACGGCTCATTCCCTCCCACATCCACTGCTCCAAAGTCGAACGTATCCTCTCCCATAACCATCGGAGGCGCCAACGTCTCACTGCCTTTTCCAAACAAACCAAGGTCTGCGGGCATGACCGAGTCCTGCAAAGGCGAGTCATTCTTGCTGGAGCCGGAATTGAACGAAGTGTCCTCGGGCGACGTATTGGTGTCGGCGTTGGAGTCCCATCTTAACCAATCCTCCCAGTCCTCATGGCTCTGCGGGTGGAACAGTTCCTGTCCAAACGTGTCATGCTGGATGGGGAACCCTCCCTGCCATCCTCCTTGATCCATTTCGTTGAGGTCGCCTCTTACAAAGCGGATGTTGCAATTGTGGCCAAAGTGGTCTCAAGAGTCTTAAAAGAAGTCAAAATTTCATGCCATAATCCCGTCCAAAGTCCAAGACGGTCCTGTTATGAACGTTGCCCACGTCTGCAGTGAGAGTGAGGGGCGGAGGGAATGGCGGTCACAGACCCTGAGATTCCATCGAACCACAATCTCGTTTCGTTTCGCGCAGCTGCTGCACAGCCACATGGAGAAGGTGCGACCCGAGCACGGAGGTGTGGCTTCCGATGGCGATCACTTTGCACATTGGACGAGACGACACTCGGGATGTTTCTATCCTAAATCAACCTGGTCGATATGAGCATCGCTTTCGAGGGTTTTAGAGTGCTGTGCCACTTGCTTCGAGAGCAAAGAGGATTGCATGCCAACCTCGCCTGGACTCTGAGACTCGCAGCCCGGCATCCACCCGCCGGATGTGATGACGACTGGCCAAGTAAGGTAAGCACGAAGGACAGCGAGTATCGAACCATTCGACCTGCAAATAGGCATGGAGTTTGAGAGATCCACTTCGACCAGCGAGGGGACGGCGACAAGATTGAAGCCGCTCTTCCGGTGCTTTGAGCTTGCATCTCCAAATGCTGGGTCAGTCTCCAGCGTAGCTCAACAAGCGACGTACCATGTTGTGTTTCTGTCGACTGTCGAATGTCGTTCTAGGGGACCCTGCAGGTGAGAGTGCTTGATATGGGTGATTGTGTGGTATTGCGAGCAGAGAAGAGTAAATGGCTATACTGCACCACAACGCCACTGCTATGCTGTTTCCTCCCGTGCACAAATACATGCAGCCACAAAGCTGCTATGCGAATAATTGTACAGCTGCCTTTTCGTGTCCCTCCTCCATCGTCTACCGCCCGATCCCCAGCAAGAAGTTCCCACCCTGTCCACCATTCCCCTTCCCACCCTCTCCCGCCCCACCACCGGGCAAGTAAGTGACGTTCGGGTTATTCGCCAACAACTGCGCAACATCCTTCTGCGTCTCAATCCGTCGGATCTGAATCAAACCATCACCACTCTTCGCCACTGCCTTGGAAATCACCTCCGCCGCCTCGCTCTCCCCCTCAGCGCGGATGACATTCGCCTGCCTCTCCTGCTCCGCTTTCTCAACAATGAACCGCGCCCTCTCGGCGTCTTGCTGCGCGATCTGCTTATCCTCTACAGCCTTCGTGAACTCCCGGCCGAACGTCATGTGCGTGATACTGACGTCCTCGAGCTGGATGTTAAACTCGGAAGCGCGCTTGAGCAGGTCGGCGCGGATGCGGTTGCTGACGGCTTCGCGCTGGGTGATGAGCTCGGCGGCGTCGAACTGGGCAACGATGGCTTTGAGGACTTCGTTGCCGATGGAGGGGAGCACGCGCTCGTCGTAGTCTTGGCCCAGGTTCTACATCCCATAATCAGTCAAAAGCTGCGCTGTGTTTGTGCGATGAAGCGATAGCGTACCTGATATATCTTCGGCAACATCCCGACCTCAGGCCGATGCAGCACCCTCAGCGTCAAGCTCACCATCTGCAAGTCCTTGCTCCCGGTCGTCGTGCTGATGTTCCTAGGCTTCGTGCGCACATCAAAAGTAATCGCCTTTTGCAGCCATGGTACCAGGAAGTGCGTTCCTTCGTTCACGACGTTCTCTGACACACCCCGTAGACGGTCGAAGATGACGGCGCGGGTGCCGCCTTTGACATCGTAGATGCTGGCGCTGGCGAAGGAGAAGGCGATGGCGGTGGGGATGGCGAAGCGGTAGACTTGGTTGAGCACTCTTGGGGCGCTCATCCTGGCGGGAATGTATGGGAGGGAGGGAGATGGAGTGGTTGCTGGTGGTGTTTCGAGGGAGATGTAGTCGCACTGGTCATAGAGGTAGCTCGAGCGCCAAGACAAGGCCAGGACGAGACTCCCGAAGCTTTGTCCGCGACTTCAGACCTCAGCAATCTTCAACGCCGTCAACTCCACGACTCCGCGCCATTGGACCCTCTTACAACATCTCGACCATAATCAGATACTTCGGCAATCGCTTGCGAACACGATGAGGCCCTCCCAGATCCTGCGCGCCGGCGGTGGTGAGAAGAAGCCTGGCCAGTAAGTGCCCCCAACACAACTCCTCGAACACGCAGCAGTGTCCCTTGAAATCACCACGATGAAGCCTTCACATCACTTTTGAGCATCCACTGACAATTACACCACAGGTACATCGGCCCCTGGGGCGCACTCGGTACACCCCCCATTCTCCTCCCCTGCCCATCCACCCCTTCTAACCCCACGAACCCGCAGGCTCCGCACCGCAAAAAGGCATCGTCTCCTACGCCCTGTCCCCGAACCGTCAATCCCCGCTCGCCGGCACCGTGAACGCGGCGATTTTCAACACTTTCCGGCGAACGCGCAACCAGATTCTGTTCTGGTCGATTCCGATGTTGGTAGCGTACGAGACTATGCAGTGGGCTATTGAACGGTGAGTGACACATATACATGTAGGAGACAAGGGATGGGTGAGGAGAAGCGGTGTTGTGGGAGAAGATACGGCGAGCAGGATGAGAAGGTAGAGTTTTGAGGATATGGCTAACAGGTGTGTGTAGGAATGAGTATCTGAACTCGAAGGAGGGACGGGCGGAGTTTGGGGAGTAGAGCAAAGATTGATCTTGAGCGTGAGATCAAGTGTAAATATGTGGTTGACGAGCGAAGGACGGGGTATAGAAGTGTATCACCAAGTCAATGAAGCGGTACAATTTTTCATTCCTGGGAGAGAATAGGTATCCCTCTGACTCTGTGTTGCCTGTCCTGCACGTCTGGAAGTGTGCACACTGATATGCGCGACCTAGTTCTCTGCCTTTTGGACGCTCATTCACTACTACTAAGCTATGCGTTACTTCCGCGATGCAGTTGAAGAGACAAAACACGAAAGATCGAAAGCAATGTGTAACAAGATAAGTATATTCGGACAGCTATACCAAAAGACTAGGACCAACCACCATCAGAGTCTTTGATTGCTAGGAACATCGAGCACGCATATTATCTGCAGTCCCATAAGATCTACGCGACCACGTCTCCACCGCGCAATGAACGACAATGGCATCCTACCCTCTTTGTTCGGCGAGGTGGGTAGACAACGGCACACTAACAATGGCGCACTCGGTCGTCTGATCGGCGAGACTCAATGGGACAACACATGTGCTTTGTTTGACGAGGTACAATGGCGATTGTCCGGCCGACGTACAATGAAGTCGAGGATCAGGCACACACCATAAATATACCCGTCTGGATCTACTGGTGCCTGTCAGAATCGGACATCACATCAACGAGAGCGCTACCACCTCTACAAAAGACAAACAAGCTCTTCACATACCCCAACAAGGACCCATCGGAAGAACAACTCCCAACCCAACAACCAACATGCCTCTCCATGCCCAAAACCCCATGAGGCACGAAACCTACTACCCAGGCAACCTCTCCGTCGACTTCTCCTCCCCCTCCAGCCGCCGCCGCTCCTCCCGCTACGAGCCCGGCGACTCCTCCCACCGCGCCCGCCGCGACTCCTCCCCCAACGCGGCCCGCTACTACGCCTCCCGCGACACCGGCTAACTCACCATGGACTACACGGGCGCCGACGGCTTCCGTAAAGCCTACTCGGGCCGCTACCGCTCCCACGACGACGGCGAGCGGCCGGAGCGCCGGCTTGAGCGCGACGAGAGCCGGCAGCGCGCAAGGACGGATGCGTGGCACCGCTATACCGACGGGGAGAATGCGCGGAACGACCCTTCGTCTCGGCGCCGGGGCGTCGCGGATCTCTACGACAACGACTATGAGGTTCAGCGGCGGTACTTTAGCCCTCGCCGCAACGGGCGGAGCCCCGTACGGAGAGAGTCCGTTCGTGCGCCATCGACTTCCCGGTATGATGAGGAGCGCCGGTCGGAGCGTCGGAGGGCAGAGTCGAGCGTGAGGCGGAGCGAGTCGCGGGAGCCATCGTATCGGCGACGGGACTCGACGACGCGAAGGACTTCCCCTGAGCGCCGGACAACAAGGACGAGAAGCCCCGTTCGTTCGTCGCGGAGGGCTTCGAGGTATGGTGGCGATTTCGAGTACCTGATCTAGGTGCTGATGTTCCCTTTGCGCGGTGAGCGTAAGCCAGCCTTGAAGGAGTGGTGAAGAAGGGTGGGTGGTGTTGAGGTAGTGATTTAGTGAAGCTCATCCGAACATACTTCTCTCACACATCGCTTTTTATTCTTTCCGTGTTTCGTCTCTTCGATTCCATCACGTGATCGACCCGTAGCTTGGTTACTTAGTAGTAATGGAGCTGTTGCGTTTTACATTTGACATTTTACATTCAGGTATCTCTATTTTCATCTCCGAGCGACAAGGTGAGATCCCTAACCACTGTTCGTCCCGTGGTTGTTTGTAAGGAATAATGAGATCGATCTCCCTGTCAGATGTGGCTTTATTGACTCCGAGATCCGGCCTCGGGGACCAAGCCGCGAAGCGAGAGATCCCGAGATATCGTGCAAGGATGACGACGATCACATGCTCCTAATCCTAGTAACCAGGCTGTGCTGCTCAGGTCACCGGAGCTGCACATCTTATTACAAAAAGCCTGCGACAAATGGACACATCTCCTCTTTGATAGTCCGACGGTATACTTTAGCATAACCTGGTTACCTACGGCTTTTGAAGCTCTCGCGACCTACAAGCTCGAACACATCTAGAGCTCGCTACCAGCAACTCCAAGACTCCGACTCCGACCTTGTATCTATGTACCTAACGGACCGACCCATAACCGCATGAGATGAGCAAAACGACCACGGCTGCAGGCCGCATCTACCTCAACGGCGTGGATGAAGAACAGGCGGATGGGAAGCTGAATTGGGATCTGAGTGCCTGGGAGCCGAAGAGTCTAACTGGGGTACCCCGGAGAGAACCATCGACGAGCTCGGCCAAGCTGGAGGGTGGTAGCTCTCGCACCGGCGAGCCTCCCCAACGGTCACCCGCGCGGTCTCCGGGGAGGCCGCCTGGAAAGGCTCCCAGCGGTTCGTTCGGCGAGACGGGCGAGAGTCGCAGTAGTCGGTTCGTGGAAGAGATGGCGACGGATATCAACGCTGCGTCCGCCCCTCCTCCCGCAGAATCGAGCACGGGGAGAAGGAGTAACAGCGTGGGCAGTAGTGTGCCGCCTGCGATGGTGAACCCGGCCACTGTACCTATTCGTACGAGCTCGAAGGGCATGAACGGGGAGGCGTCGACGAGTCCGAAGCAAAGCAAGAGTCCGAGGAAACATCGGAGTATGGCGAGTGTGCCGGAAGAACAGAGGAGAGGGTACCCGGAGGTGGATGAGCGGAATTGGTTGGCGCAGGGCAAGAATGGCGGTGGGAGGAATGGGAACGGGCATACGCCTACGACAAGCCAGTCGAATACACATGGCAGCTCGTCGGCGGCGATTGGGAGTGACAACATGTTAAGGGGGGTGGGTGCGGATCTGGTCTCAGGCATGTCTTCGGAATGGAGCACAGAAAAGGAGAATATCCTCAAAGGCCCCTTTGACTACCTCGAGTCGCATCCGGGGAAAGACATCCGCACGACGCTCATAGCCGCCTTTAACAACTGGCTGCAAGTCCCCTCCTCCTCCCTCCGCATCATCACCGGCGTGGTCACCATGCTGCACACCGCCTCCCTCCTCATCGACGACGTCGAAGACTCCGCGCAGCTCCGCCGGGGCGTGCCCGTCGCCCACCAGATCTTCGGCACTGCGCAAACAATCAACAGCGCCAACTACGTCTACTTCTGCGCCCTCCAAGAACTGCTCAAACTCAACAACCCCGAAGCCATCCGCATCTACACCGATGAGCTCCTCAACCTCCACCGCGGACAAGGCATGGACCTCTTCTGGCGCGACACCCTGACCTGCCCGTCCGAAGACGACTACCTCGAAATGGTCGGCAACAAAACCGGCGGCCTCTTCCGCCTCGCCATCAAACTCATGTGCGCCGAGTCCCCCACGCACAACTTCAACCCTTCCACCTCGCAAAACCAAAACCCCACGCCCACCGACTACATCCCGCTGGTAAACACCATCGGCCTCTTATTCCAGATCCTCGACGACTACCGCAACCTCTCCGACCCGGCCTATACGTCCAACAAAGGCCTGTGCGAAGACCTGACCGAGGGCAAATTCTCCTTCCCCATCATCCACGCCATCCGCGCCGACCCGCACAATTTGGTGCTGATCAACATCTTAAAGCAAAAAACGCAGGACGATGAGGTGAAGCGGTACGCCGTGAGTTATATGGAGCGCATGGGCAGTTTTGGGTATACGCGGAGGGTGCTGAGGGGGCTGACGAAGAAGGCGGTTGGGTTGGTGGAGGAGGTGGATGGTGGGAGGGGGTGTGGGGGCGGGATTGTGGAGGTGTTGGAGAGGATGAGGGTGGAGAGGAAGGAGGAGGTGGGGGGGAAGGATGGGGGAAGGAGGGAGGGGAGGGGTTCGTGATTCTAAGGGATGGAATGGCGTGGTGCATATGAGTGTTGGATATCCCCGTGGCTTGTTCGTAGCGGGAGCCGGCTTGGTCGCAGGCGCTGCTGGATGTGCTACGGAATTTTTGTAATACCCCATTACTTGTGTAGTGTAGTATATTCCGGGCCTATATGGCCCCTTATCGTTGTCAATACCACTGCGAGGTCTACGTTGAACATTTTCCTCTCGCCCTACATGTATGTACCTCGCAGATCCTCAATGACGTATCGCGGCTCTGCCATTGCCAAGAATACCTCGAATCTGCCCGCATTCGGGGCGATGCGACAACACAGATCCATATTCCGCCTTCTGTATGCTATGCCGCTCGCAACTTCATCGTATCGTGTTGACGATTAGAGTGAAGGGAGGATAGTGCATGGCAGACGGCTCCGCGCAGAACCGGCGGACGGAGCATCAGACCGGCCAAACTCTCCTACCGCTGCTAAGGTGGTTCTAGCTGGGCGCTCAGCCACGGCCTCCGTCATATCCGACGACCGTTGGTGGGAGGTTGCTGTTTCGCTGCCTCTACATCCACGCTGAGGGGAGCGGTATAGGCTTCTGTTGCGCATACTGTAGCCTTTTGGTTGCCTTCGGTTCAGCATCTAGACTCAGAGCAGACACTGCTTGACTACGACACCGCCAATATGAGTTGGAAGGGCTTCTCCAAGGGCGTGGGCCGGGTATGGCATACCACAATGCATGTGCATGGAAGGGTGGACAGTTGACGAGATGTATAGGCGCCCCAACAATTCAAGCAACGGTTCAACATGGGCGACATCACCAAAGACCCCATCTTCATCGACGCCGAACGCCGCTTCGCAGACCTCGAGAATGAAACGAAGAAGCTGCATGATGAGAGTACGAAATACTTCCAAGCCATTAACGGCATGCTGGACCACCAGATCGAGTTTGCCAAAGCGACGGAAGAGCTGTACAAGCCCATCTCCGGCCGGGCGAGTGATCCGAATTCGTATGTGGACGAGGTGGGGAATGCGGAAGGGATACGGGCGTGTGAGGAGTACCAGGTGATTGTGCAGGAGTTGAAAGCGAGTCTGGCGCCAGAGCTGGAGTTGATCCAGACGCGGATCGTACAACCAGCGGAAGAATTGATGGGCATCGTGAAGAACGTGCGGAAAATGATCACCAAACGCGACCACAAACAACTCGACTACGACGCCACGAAGAACAAGATGCAGAAACTGCAAGCCAAACCCGACAAGACCGCCAAAGACGAAAAAGCCATCTGGGAGACCGAGAACAAACTCGAAGAAACGACCTACGAATACAACGCCTTCAACGATCTCCTCAAAGAAGAACTGCTGCGCTTGTTCCAGCTGGAAAAGGAGTTTATTCTGCCCCTGTTCCAAAGCTTCTACTACATGCAGCTCAACGTCTTCTACACGCTCCACGACAAGATGCAGAATATCGACATCGGCTACTTCGACCTCACACTAGATATCGAGGACGCCTTTGAACGGAAGCGCGGCGATATCCAGCAGCAGGCCGAGAGCATCAGTATCGTCAAGTTCAAAACTACAGGGCAAAGGAAGCCGTTGAAGTTCCAGCAGAGGTTGGGGATTACGAACGGGCCGCCTGGACGCTCCAACTCCACCTCCTCCGCCGGCTCTTCCGTCCCCCCAAATCGTAGGATAACGCACGACTCCTACGACACCTCCTCCTCCTCCGCCGCCCCGCCCCCCTACGAAGCCAACGGCGACCTCGGCCGCTCCGCCAGCACCGGCAGCAACTGGACCTCGGCCGCCAAAGGCAAAGCGGCGCCTCCTCCCCCAAAGCCTAAACCAGGCAGGTTAAGCGCGAATCCGGCGGTGGAAACGGTGACGGCGCTGTATGATTACGAGGCGCAGGCGGAGGGGGACTTGAGTTTTAGCGCGGGCGATACGATTGAGGTTGTGTCAAGGACGGAGAATGCTAATGAGTGGTGGAATGGACGGGTGGGGGGGAGGAGTGGGCAGTTTCCCGGTGAGTCTCAACATTCCACCCCCTCAACTTGTAGGGTGTGGTGAAGGGGGCTAAAGGATGGTGTGCTAATGTAATTGGTGATAGGCAACTACGTGCAGCTGAACTCGTAGCGTGGGTCGAGGCTTGCGGGTGGGAGGAGGGGTGAGCGGTGGACTGCTTGAGTTTTGACGAAGGACTTGCAGCTGGCGCTCTGAGGGGTGGGTATATACGGTAGGGCGGCTGATTGATTGATTGGTTGATTGATTCATAACGTTGACTCACTTCAATGAATGGAATGGAGTGGCAGACAACAGGACAGGACAGGACAGGACGAGATTACAGAATAATGGCATTGACTATTAACTCCTTCCCCCCTATACCTACTCCCATCTCCTTTTCCATTTTCCGCTCTCTCCTCTCTCTCTCCTCACTTTCCAATTCCACTCACCCCTTCCCTTCCTCCCCTTCTCTCTCACTATTGTAAGTGGGAAGGCAGCTGTCTACAAGCACACCATCACCCCCGCAACAGCAGCCACAGCCCACCACACCTTCACCACCTTTCCAGACCCGGACGCGGAGCCAGTGGCCGGTGGGGCGTTGTAGGGGGTTGGGGGGTTGCCTGGTGCGTAAGGAGCTGGAGCCGAAGGCGCCGGGGCACCGGGAGTGTTGACTGCTGGTGGTGCCGGAGCGGGGGCGGGAGCACCTGGAACGGAGGGCGCGGGAGCTGGGGCGGGAGCTGGGGCGTAGGCGGTGTTGACTGCTGGCAGCGCTGGGGCGGGAGCAGCGGGGGTATTGCCTGCCGGAGGCGCTGGTGCTGGGGCCACAGGAGTGTTGACAGCAGGATACGTCTCCGCAGGCTTCGACGGCGCGCCGTAAGTCTTAGGTGTCTCGACGGCCGGCGGCTGCGCAGGGTACGTCTCAGCTGGCGGCGGGGCAGGCACGCCGGGAGTCTGGACGCTTGGTGGAGGGGCGGAGTAGTACGTCGTGGGGGTCTCGACGGCTGGAGGAGAAGGAGCGGGGTAGGTCATGTTGTTCGCTGGTGGGGCGGAGGGGACGGCGGGGTAGGTTTCCTTTGGCGGCATGGAGGGATAGGTCTCCTTGGGTGGTATGGAGGGATAGGTCTCCTTCGGTGGCATGGAGAAATAGTGCGTCTCCCACACCGGAGTCTTCTGCGAATACCCCGTCTGCATCCACACCGGCGTCGAGCAGTTGGTCTCGACCTCCACAACCGACGTCCCCATCGGCTGCGTCCAGACAGGAGTCTCGGACGTCACCCACACCGGCTCGGTCGACGTCGAGGTTGTGCAAGGCACCGTCTCGTACTCGGTCTTCGTCACCGGGGTCCAGACGGGCGGCATCGTCCACACCGGCGTCGCTGCAGCGGAAGTCGGGTACCAATAGCCCTCGGACTCCACACCGGTCGAGTACGTATGGCCCTTGTCGGTGCACGAAGCGCTGCTGCAAGCCGGGTACGTCCAGCTCGGGTGCTCATGATCCCAAGACTTGCTCATGCTCGTGGGGTGCGCACAGCCCATGTCCGAGCACGAGGAAGAGTCGCACGCCGGGTACGTCCAGCTCGGGTGCGCATGGCTCCAGGGCGTAGGGGTGGCGGTCGGCAGGCAGGAGGTGGGTGCCATGATGTGCGTGGAGCTGTTGGTGCATGCGACGGTGACGTAGACGGTGCTGCTGTAGGCGTTGGTCATGGGGACGGTGTGGTGGTAGTTGGGCTGCGTGGAGTAGGTGGCGGGGATGGAGATGTTGTAGTGGGAGAGGAAGGGCATGGGGGGGATGTCCATGGCGGCCATTTTGGGGGGTGGGAAAGCGAGTGTGTGAAGCGAGTGACTTGGTTCTTGAAGCGAATGAATGGGGAGAAAGGAAAGAGGAGGGCGCGAGGAGTGGGAGGGGTTTTTATACTGCTGTGGAAGGGTTGGTGAGGAGGACAATTTTCAAGAGGTGGGCGTGCGGTAAAGAACTTTCTTCGCGCTCGAATAGGAGCATGGAAGATATTCTTACCCTGGGACAGTGAGCGGATAGGGCTGGTAGCACCCAAAGAACACTGCAGAAAATATCTCCGCAAGAGGGGAAGAGTTGTTTCCGGTGGAGTAAAACGCTTACCGTGTGTAGGGTCGACGGCTGTGGAAGCTCCCATATGTGCTGACCACAAACTCTCTGGCTCAAACAGGCGAACCTTTGCTGGATGCCGTTGGTGACTTCGATCCAGTTTCTATTTCGGAAGCCAGCAAAGAATATTCTATCCGGTCATCTGCTCAACGCATGGCGGGTTCGTCTTGGTACTTCGGTCCATCAACAGTGGTCCTAGACGTCGGCCCGGCATAGCTTCACCACGGCAAGCCGACGTCGCCGAATCGTGGATCGCTGACGGGTAACCAGGTCACGAAGAAGCAAGTCTTGTGTGAGGAGGTTCTTGCATTCTGCCTTACCTTATTGACGTTCGCTCTGCTCCCTGTCCGCTCGGCGAGGGTCTTTGATGCTCTCTCCCTGGGCTGGGCGCAGACAAGGCAACAGTCGTCCACTGGAGTTTTTTTGGCTTTCCATAGGTTGGTGGATCATCGATGGGGGTTAATTTGCGGTGTTCTTTGCTGTACAATGGAGTAGTCTTGGGGTTGCCTGAACAGTCCTGGCTGTACGACGTTTTGGCCACACCGTCACACGAGAACGTATGCCACTGTCCAACATAGACTTGGAGTGAGGCCCCCAGCCCATCCAAAAGAATAGCAGTGCTTTCGATTCGTTCGTAGGACCTTGGGAGGGCGTAACGCAGCAGGCCAAGAAGGGCAAAACGAAAGCAAAAGTTTATCTGATCGATTGATACTGTTTAAGATGGATTAGCACACAGCTTCGTAGGAAGGAAAACTCGACTGCCCGTTACGTATGGCTCAGATTAAAGCATACTCGACCATGAGGGCATTCCTACGCCCCATGAAATCACAGTATACCTCGCCCCCCATCCCTAAGCCTTCTACAACAGCAAAAACCAATCTTCCTGAAAATTAAACGGGCCACAAGAAGGGCAAAAAGGGATTGACAAGAGAGGGATTCGAACCCTCGCGGGCAGAGCCCATGAGAATACTCTCGACTGGGTCGAGTAAGGAGAGGTCCTTGAGTCACACGCCATAACCACTCGGCCATCTTGCCCGGATCTACCCGATATTCCTTCAAACCGTATATGACAGGTGGTCTTGGTACTGGTAAGCTGTTTGCCACCGAAGCGGGCTGCAGGTCGAGGTAGCCCTGCAGGTGGTGGACAGGGGGGAGGTTTCAGCGGGACAGTTCTGGCGGGATGACAATCAGCTTCGCCCGCACGTCTTCCCTACAGCTCAAGGGCATTACCTGTCATCAACGACCATTGACAAGATGAATCGACAAACAACAACAGTCAGGCCTGAGTTACACTCCGAAGTCGCAAGGATGTCAACATCCAGACCCTTCCGTCCGCACTTGGGGACCAGCGGAGGACCGAGACCGCGAGGGAAAAGTGGAGTGATCGATTTCTCATCAATGTCTGTGATGTCTTCCTACAACAAGTCCACAATTCCCCATCATCATTTCGTTTGTATTCACTTGCCGTCTCTTACTAAGAGTCGTTGCGGTCATATTGCAGAACCATTTGCACGTGGCAAGAGCGTTGTCTTTGTCTTCAGCCGAACCTCAACTTCCAAGACTACTTCATCACATCAAGACCATTGCTTCTGTCTCAACGGCTTAGACACAGGTCTCACGTCTTGGTAATACAACTACACTCGGCCTGCAACGAATAACGGACCTTGATCTCTTCATCTGACGTACTTCCGCGACTAGCCGGTACACACTTTCCAAGAGATCACGCGACTACTTCACTTGCGAGTAAAGCCGGAACAGAATCGCGAGTCTGATCTACAGGATTCGGCATAGACCTCCACAACGAACAGAGAACGGCTGGGCTTGCAACGTTGCGGTAAGACCCTCTCAACGGTCTCCCACGTCGCAAGCCTGCGTCTGGCAGAAGCAGATATGCTTCCCATCCCCAACCCCGAGGACTACGACGTCTCCCTTGAGAATGGATTCCTGCCTACCACCCCACCGCTCGAGCGTCTTCCAGATTCCTACTATGAACCGTGGGAGCATGTGGTGAAAAATCTGCAGGGTCTGATATTGAGCAAGAGGTTACGAGAGGTGGTGGATCGGTTACCGGTACTGTCAACAGATCGATTGTTCGGCGAGGCGCAATGGCGGAGGGCATACAGTGCGCTCGGCTTCATCGCGCATGCATACATCTGGGGAGGTAACAAGCCTGCTGAGAGGGTACCACCACCGATCACCGTCCCATTCCGCAAGACCTGCGAGCATCTCGAACTACCAATGGTCGCCACATACTCTGGCCTCTGCCTGTGGAACTGGAAACCAATATTTGAGTCGGAACCAGTCGACACTCTAGCCAACCTCGACATCATCGACACCTTCACTGGCTCCCTCGATGAGAAATGGTTCTACCTCATCAGCGTAGCCATCGAAGCCAAGGGCGGACCTTTGGTCCCTCTAATGCTCCACGCCATCGAATCAGCCAACCACGGTAATCGAGCAGCCGTTACGCACTTCCTCCGCGCCTTCGCTGAGCGGTTAGACGATATTGGCACCACCCTCCTCCGCATGTACGACGACTGCGACCCCCACATCTTCTACAACCGCATCAGACCTTTCCTCGCCGGCAGCAAGAACATGAGCGATGCCGGACTGCCTAACGGCGTCGTCTTCGACGATGGCGGGCCGATGAACAAGCAACGCTACGTCCAGTTCAGCGGAGGCAGCAACGCTCAGTCCAGCATCATCCAATTCTTCGATCTGGTCTTGAGCGTCGACCACCGCCCTACCGGCGAGAAGAAGGCCGACGTCGACGAAAGGTCGGAAAAGCGCAAGCCCAAGAAGCCCGAGCCGAACTTCATCCACGAGATGCGGAAATACATGCCTGGCCCACACGCTCGCTTCCTCGAGAAGGTCGGCCAGGTGGCCAATATCCGCGACTTTGTCCAACGCCATAGCTACGACCGCGAGCTGAGCGTAGCGTTCGACGCTTCGCTGGCGATGCTCAGCGCTCTCAGGGACAAGCACATCCAGATGGTGAGCCGGTACATCATCGTGCAAAAGGCCGCGGCGAAAAAGCTCGAGGAGAGCAAACCCAAGGACGATAAGGCGCTCGCTCATCGCCCCAAGCGCGACTCTTCTTCCGCCGAAAAGCCAGAGGAGAACCGCAAACTCGTCGGCACAGGCGGATCGTCGCTTATCCCCTTCTTACGACAGGCGAGGAATGAGGTCGGGGAGGTGGCGACGGAGAGCTGGACGAGACGATTATTGAGCAAGCAGCGCGGTGGGAAGGGCGAGCCTCCGGGCGGTGAGCAGGAGAAGATGCAGGGCTTGTCGGCGGTGTGGAATGTCGATGAGACTTCGGGAGGGCTGTGTTTATATTGAGCGGTGGTTTCAAAGGATAAAAGTTAAGACACCCTCGCGGGTATGGGTTATGAGTGAATGATACATCTTCATGAACACTTAAGATCGCCAGTGTCAACCTCCGCTTTTTTAGTGCCTCCTCCCTGCTGACTGTGCTGTGATGCCTGCCGTGTGTCGGATGCATCGTGTGAGCTGCCAATTATCGGGACACGGACCACGTCTGCCTCGTCAATACAACAGGCGCAGTATTGCGGGACAGCACCAGGAAGTGGAAGAAAGTTCGCCATTTCGTCCTGTCACCTCACTGTCGCGAAGGTGAACATGGGTGGGCGTGGCGTCTGCATGCAGCCTTGTGCCGTTGACGACCGAAAGGGGAAGTAAAGAAAGACCAGAATGGCCCATCTTGAAGCTTTGAATAGTGGCATTGCTTCCTCGCAAGCCGTCACGTCGAGAATGATACCTTCTTGTCGACATAGCTCATAGCTCATATATCATGAACCCATCTACCCAGGCTTCGAACCCGCCCTCTCAGCAACCTTCCTCTCCACGACCCTAACCCACCTCCTCCGCCTCCAGTCCCCACGCTCCACCAACCCATTTCCCTCCTCCCACCCACTCTTAGGCACGAACTTCTCCTTGCCCTTTTTGCCTTTCGTCGGCGTAGCGGCAATGCTCTCCACAACATCCACAGGCAAATCGTAAACCCACCTCTCGCCCTCCGTCTCAATCTCGACACCAGTGATCATGCGCTGCTCCACCCACTCTCGAGAGCCAAGATCGAGCATCCATTTCTTGTCCTTCCACGCCCAGCCAGTAGGCGGCTGGACATCTTCGAAGAACTGCGTCCCCTTCGCTCTGGCGCCTGCGATGCGGAGGGGTGAGAGAGGGTCGTAGGGAGATGGGCTGAAGAGCCAGGATTCCCAGGTATCGCTGTAGAGGTGGTGCTTTTGGAGTTCAAAGATCTCGACTTGGCGTCTTTCGGGCGGTTCGTCGAGGATGATGTCGGCGTCGATCCAGGATTTTAGGAGGGCTGAGAGGTCATCGAGGCTCGTTCTCAATTGACTCAAGTTTCGGGTTGAAAGCAGAACTGGTCGAATGTTGGGATGGCCCATCAGTGTCGCCGTCCAGCCTGCGAGGAAGGCGATGTATCTCCACGGGATGAGCTGGCTGCCGATGAAGGCTGTGCAAGATATCGTGAAGAGGAAGAAGAACACCGTAGAGCTGATTTTCTCATCGCTGAAGTTCGTGTAAGGCGTAATGTATTCGTTAGCTGCATCGTGTAGGCGTGAGAAGTCTTCCATTGAGTTCTGCAGGTCGCGCATGTTGTGCATGAAGTCTTTACTGAGATCTGGTGCTGGCTTGACTCGTGAGGCAGGAGCGATTGCTGGACCAGTGTAGCTAGGCTCCAAGCGTGGGTCGTTCCTACTGACAGGATGGCGAGCCATGAATGAGGGGATCATGATGTAGAAAATAAGTCCAACGAGAGGCGCGACTGGTAGAAGGTGTGGGTTGAGCGATAGGAGTGACCAGACAGCTAGAAACGCTAGAGTAGCGGTCGGCTGCTTCCAAGTGAAAAGGTGTATGAGCCTGTTCTCCAGCACAAAGACAATACCAATGCGAGCGTTGAAGCGTCGGAAATTGGTTGTCATCATGGGGAGAGAGAAGGTCGGCCGGTCGACGTACTTCCTACTGCGGCGGTCCTTCTTCTTCGTACTTGTAGCATCGTCGTCGTCGTCTTCTAGCGCATCGCTTGGGATGGCGTACGACAGCATGCTGGCTACCATTCGGTCTCCCAACCCTTGCCGGACGGGCCCTGAGTACTGCGTCCCTATGGTGTCCTTGATCTTGTCCATGTTGCCCTTGAACTTGTCTCTCTTTCGAGCTTTCTGCTCTGGGTCGGACGATGACGGCGCATCAAGACCTTCCTCCTGGGAAGGTATCCTGAAGACCGGTATGGGGTCATCGCGGTTGGCGATGGTCGAGTCGGAGCGCTCGAGCGCATTGTCGCCGTCGTCCATTTTGTTGGGTTTTGGGCTCCGCCGCAGGAGCTATGCTAGCTGCTATCGCTGGAACATGGTGGTGTGATGTTGTGTATCGACCGTATTGAGTTGAGCAGCTCGCAGTGAGTGTCACATGCAATGCCAAGCCTCTAGCACCTCGGAGTTGACACTACCTATCGAACGTCTTCCCATCTCGCAACAGTGCAACTCAGAATTCAACGTCCCAAGGCAACGGTTTGGCCACATGTACTTCCTACGATGGACCTTCGAGGCTCAGGTGAGTACGAGGATAAGGCAAAGCTGTACTAATGCATCTCCAAGGCCCTCCACGGCACTGCCCCCCAAATCTACTACGATACGTGCCTCATTCTCTCCATCTCTGTTCTTCTTTCTCTCTCCCGCGTCTCTTGCCATCAGTCCAACATGTCTCCTCCAGAAGAAATCCACCACAGCTATCAATACACGCCACTGAAGCATCCCGAAGACATCCGGCTCCTGCACATCGACCGCTCGCGGAACCCAACCACTCCGCTCAGGTGCTATCTCGAGACTGTCTCGCTAGAAGCGCATCCATATTACACGACGCTATCGTACGCCTGGGGGCCAACTTACGCAAACGAATCGCATTTCACGCATACCATCTGGATCGATGGCCTTCTCGTCCCCGTGACAGAGAGCCTTCGTGGAGCGCTAGTGGCAGTAAGACGGCACTTCAACGCGGGTCAAACACCTCTTCCCATCTGGGCGGACGCTGTTTGCATTGACCAATCCAGCAACAGCGAGCGTACCGCTCAGGGCGCCGAGGTAACATGTGCCCACCACGATGAGGACGAGGACCCACATGCTCCTCTTCTTGGACGGCCTCTTGGTGACACTTTGACCAGTGAAGTTGACATACCCATTAAACACCCAAGGGTTAGAGACGTCTGTGGCATTGATCTGCCTACGCACAACGCTACGACAAGAGATCTCGAGACCTACCAGCTACGCTCTTCCGTGTTCGCGAGAATTGATCTTGAAGCCATTGCGGAGCGGCTACTCGCTTCGATGGGCACGAAACTTGGTGTAAAATTCCCACCAGGCGCAGATCCGAAGGACATTCATTTGCAAACACAGAAGAAAACATATCAACGAGACATCTGGATCGTATGAGAGGCTGCGATGGGTTGAACGACACTGTACTACTGCGGCCGGCGCAATGCTATTGCTGTCACGCTCTGTAGGGACACTGGGCGATCTTCATTCCCAACTTGCTGAAGAACGAAGACCGCGGGGACATGCCAATTACACTGCGACCCAACGAGCGCCTCCGCTGATAGAGTCCACGGGAAGGAAAACTAGACATGGCCAACATATACCGTCTGGCCCTCTAGCGGAGCCTCCTCCTGCTTCGCCGAGAGTCCTCTCCTGATCTTGTCGTAGTGCTCTCCATTGTAAAAATCATATGCCAGATTTAGCAAGAACACAACGTTCAACACCGAGTACAGCTAGTCGCTCACTGCCGCACCAAAGATCAGACGATAGCATGTCGTGCCCGGCTTCTGGATTTGCTTTGAATCCTTGCAGGAGAAAGCGCCTACGTTCGCCAGCGTCGCTGCAACAACACCAGGCACCAGCATTACCGTCTTCCAGCTGAACGAGATCATCCATAATCGATCTGCTCCGAGGTCGTAGTAAGACCGCCGCATCAGGAACCACACCGTCCATGCGGTCAACTTTGTTGCGAACAGGAACAGCAGACGCAAAGCAACGAGTGCGATGTGTAGATGGCTGTCCACATCGTCGCTGGCGAACACAAGCCAGATCAACAATGCTGTGCCGATCGATGTCTCTACGAGCTGAGCGCGGCGGAGCCAGTAGCCTACCAGGTGGTGGCGAGTGTAGTAGAAAGACCGCCCGGCTGATGAGAGAAAGAATACAGCGGTCAGGATCGACAGTGACTGATAGACGATCGGAGTGGTGGAGCCAACGCAGGAGATGAAGGGCCAAGCTGAGTACTGCGACGCTATCCTTTCTCGGTCCCCGATTGCTGGATCGTCGGGGAGGCGGAGGTAGAGCGTGAGGAAGAGGACGATGATGACCACTTCGAGAAGTAACGAAGTAATGGGTAGATAGCATCCTGCTTTGAGCATCTTCGAGAACGTGGGCCAGGTGGACGATTCGATCATGGTCTTCCAGGATGACCTTCGGCTCGTTGACTCAGGACTGTCCTCGACATCGTCTAGCTTTTTGTACTGCTTTCCACGAAACTGTGGAACCCAGGCATTCCTGGCGCGAAGGCTCCTCCATTTCATCGATTTGAACCATTTGGTAGCTCCAGTCTGGCAGTTTCTCGGCGTTGCATAGGGATGTTCATCTGATAGTTGCTCGTAGTGCTCCGACCGCCTCCAGGCTTCAAGCTTCTCGATCATCTCCATGCTAGCTCGTCCCAAGTTAACAGAAGATGTTATGAATAATCCGTAGGGCTCCGACAACACGTCAACCTTGGGAGCAAGAAGGGCATCTAGTGCAAGGATGGACGAAAAACGCAAGTCTTGCAGGAGATGATGTGTGTACCTACATCTCGGCGGAAACAGGACCGGATTTATTCCTGTCGGGGCTTGAGAGGATAGCACTCGCTTCAACGTCTTTTCTCAATACGATCTGCACAGCTGAGAAGCTCGCGAGGCTATACAACAGGCGGCTTTTGGCCCCAAACTGCACGCTTCCTTCCCAAACCGGAAGCCGTTCAAGTTCGCAGATTAGAACGCATGCTCGTAGGCCCCGCAGACGTAATGAGAACACTTGAAGGATGATGTGAGGCAGAACGAATGATGAGAATATACTTGTCTTTCTTCCAACACTGAGGACACAGGATACGGGTCTGCCAATATGTTGTGAGTGCGTTCTAACAGCAGACTGATACAGACATCCTGTCGGCGGCAGAAGTAGTTTACGAAAAGACCAGGAGGCAGTAATGCAAATCGTTGTCAGAGACGGCAGATTCGTGATATACCTTTGTACATTTTCCAGGAGTGAGCGTGAAGGAGATGAGGCTCAGTAGCCTTTCACCGCCTTGGCGGCAGAATTCTCGAGCTCGGGCCTCAATCGCAACCTCAAAGCTCCGAAAAAGTTCGAGACTCCAGCTCGTCGACCACACCGCACCTGTATACCACAATGGCGTCCGTCGAACCCGAAGCGCGCAAGGAGAGGAGGGACAAGAAAGACAAGAAAGACAAGAAGCGCAAGCACTCGGAGACTGTCGCTGACGCGGACGAGGTGGAAGTTGTCGCAGAGAAGAAAAAGAAGAAGGACAAGAAGCGGAAGTCGACTGATGGCGCGGACGCTGAGGCGGTGATGGTGGTGGATACGGATGGTGTCAAAGACGAGGACGACGACAAGAAGGTCGTTGCCAAGGTAGAGGAAGACGACAAGAAGGTCGTCGCGAAGATCGAGGATCCTCTCGCTGCGCTTGTGCCCTTCGCAAATCCACTGGCTGGAGAAAAGGATGGGAAGAAGGTTATGAAGAGTGTCAAGAAGGGTATGTACTAAGCAGCGGGACACCGGCGATTCGACCCATACTGATCGTTTTGCAGCGGCCAAGCATAAGCACATCACCCGCGGCGTCAAGGAGACCGTGAAAGCGATCCGGAAGTCGCCCATGTCCACCCCTGCAACCCTCGGCAGTGATGTCTTACCTCATGGCATTGTCATCATCGCAGCCGACATCTCGCCCATGGATGTCATAAGTCACATTCCTGTGCTTTGCGAAGATCACAACATCCCGTACATCTTCGTGCCAAACCGAGGAGAACTAGGCTCAGCAGGAAGCACGAAGCGGCCGACGAGCGTGGTCATGATCACTGAGGGTCTGCGAGGCGCAAAGAAGGATGCCGTCGACAAGGAGGGCGAGAAGGAGTTTCAGGAGACGTACAAGGAGCTGCATCGCACCGCGATGAAGCTGGGGCAGACGATCATGGTGTGAATGCCCCCACAACACCATGCGTCGGGAGCTAGTTGGGCGTTTGAGGCGTCTAGAAAGGCGACGGGATCAGATGGCATGTATCAAAGTGTTCACAATGATATGACGTCCAATTGCAGTATAGGACTATCCCAAGCTACCTACAGGTCAGATCTCCTACGTTCTAGCACCATCCAAATCACGCTCGCAGGCACATCCAAAGAATCCAGCACCATCACAGCGCAAGCAAAGCCCATCAACCCAAACGCTCCTCCGACCTACTTCTTCTCCGCCTTCTTCTCCGCCTTAGCATCAGCCCTCCTCTCCTTCTTCGTCTTCTCCGGCGCTGTAGTCTTCTTGCCCGCACCACTTGCAGCTGCCGGCATCGGACCCAGGTTCTTCGTCCCGGTCAGCACCTCATTCGCCGACTCCTCGAGCGGATAGCTCAGAACCGCCGAGCGACCCTCGTTCATGAGCTTCTCTACCTTCACGCCGGGCTTGCTGCCGCCCTTCTGCTCCTGCTCCAGCTTCTGTATCGTGCTCAACAACTTGTTGCGCTTCTCACGCTCGTTCAGGACTTGTAGCAGTGGGATCTCCGGACTCTCTGGCGCCTTGACACCACAAGCTTGTTCCACCTGAATTTCCAGCCTGTCCACATTACGAGTGAAAACCTCCTTCTGCTCAGGAGTCATGGATATCAGGGCGCCTTCGGCATGGGTGTCTGCGACAATATTCTTGACTTTCGCCATCACCCCCTCAACGAGCTTTGGGCTCCTGATCCAAGTGCCATCAGCTCTCTTCAAGGCCTGGATGGCAGAGAGGGTTGCGACAGATGCGTGAGCAAGGATCTCCTTGGTCGGAGGATACTCCAGGACGCAGCTAGGGTGGTGCTCCGACGCGGAAGCGGGACAGTTGCAATACCCTGCTATGAGGTTAGCTTGGTCTTGGATGTTATAAGGGTATAGGGGATGGACTACCTTGCTCCGGCCCTGCGTCTTGTCTAGCCTTGAATTTTTCAACCATATCTGGCGCCAGATTGCCTACCGTGCGAAGATGTTTCTCGATCACCTCCACACCAGACCCATTGGGTGGATTGGCCATTCTCTCACAAAGAGCTTCATATTGTGCCTTCTGCTCCGAGCTCATGGACTCGGTGACTTCGTCCGCTTTGGCGGCCGCCACAAGGGCCTTGATATTGTCAAGGCGGGCCAGAATTGCTTTCGGGTCCCAGCGCGTGTTGGGGTCGCTCTCTCGGATGGCTCGCATCTCCTGAAAAATCTTGAAGTCCGCGATCCTGAGGGTCGCACACACCGCTGCACTGGCAAGGACGCAGTGTGAGTCGTGCTTGTCACCAAGTGAGGCTGGGCAGCTGCAGTATGCTACTGGGAGATCAGCTGACTTTATGTGATGGATGAGGTGGATGGGTCAGATACCTTGCGTTGGCGGTGGGTCCTGGCTACCCTCCTGCATCCTTTTTGCCACATCTGCCGGCGGACCCGCTACTCTGGTGAGTTCGTACTCCAGATCATCAATACCAGACTTGTCCTTAGGATTCGCTATGCGGTCCCAGATGTCCTCGTACCTGGCCTTCTGCTCTGCATTCATGGACTGGGTAACTTTGTGCGCTTTGATTGACGTCGTGATCCTCCTAATCCTGCCGAGTGAGGCCTGCGCCTCTTCCCTGTCTTGAGGCTTCCTGGGATCGGTGTCTATGGCCTTGTCAATCTCGCTGACAATTGCGGCTACGGCAATATTGAGTATCCTTGCGACAGAGGGGATGATTAAAGGGCAATTGGGATGATGCTGCGAGGAAGGGCAGCCGCATCGGGCTGCTATGTTGTTAGGTCTATCTCTCCAAGATTGCAAGCGGGAAGGGGGCAACGTACCTCGTACTGGCACTCCCTCGTTGACGGTCATGGCCGCAAACGCCTCTTCCAATGCCGCCACCTGCTCGTCGTGTGGCCGGTGACCATGCGTGTTCATGACCTCCATCAGGTTCGCCAGCTTGTTCAGAGCCACTGCATTCAAACCCTTCTGCTCGAGGCTTGTCGACGAGTCTTCAGCGTTTGCGTGCTGATAATTCGCGATGATGCTCGTTATCATGCCAGCTTTCGCTGTGCGGGCATTCTCATCAAGAGGGTTGCCGTCTGCATCGTTCGGGTAGTCCTTGAGCTCGTGGAGGATGGCGCGGTGAGCGCGGCCGACGAGGTCTTCGTCAATGCTTCGGCCTAGGGGACAGCTGAGTAGGTGCTCTGGTCCAGTGCCGGGGCAGTTGCAGCTCGCTATAGTGACGTTAGCGCGATACAGTAAACCGTGAAGGGGGCAAGTTACGCTGTTGATCGGTCTCAGACTCCGTCTGCTCCGGGTCCGCCTGCGCCTGGAATGCTGCCCTCCTCATCGCCATCCGCTTCTTCGCCAGCTCAAGTTCCAGCGCCCAGGGATCCGGGACGGCGTCAGGAAGCAGATTCAGCGGATCAACAGCGCAAGGCTCCGCGAACTTGTTAACAGGCCAGTCGGTGCTGATGTACGCCTGCGGTATAAGCGCCTTCCCCCCTTTCTTGCTCCCGAAAATCAGATTATACTTGTCCACCAGCCTGACGCCGTCGCCCTCTTTCAGAAGATTCTTGATGGCCGCGCCAGTGGCGACGACGTGGTTCGGGCTGACTTCTTTGTACTCAACGAATTCGCCGGCGATTTCGTCGAAGATAGTCTGGAAGATCACACAAAGTTAGCGCTGTGTCTCACACCAGATCGAGTTTGAAAGTGGCACAACACGAACGTACCCAGAACGCCGCATCGCTCAGCTTCTTCACCCCCGGCTCGTCCCTCGCACACGTCGCCCTGTAGTACCGCAGTATGCTGTCCGCTTGTACAGACGCCTGGTCCGACTTCGCCAGCCACTCGCGCAGCAACAAATGCACTCGGTTCTTCGGAGGCACGTTCTGCGTTATCCTTACTTCTTCCACGTTGTGCCACGCATCGTCAGAGGACTGTGTGACCATCATCCACGGCATGTATTCGCTCTGCCACCAGGCTTTGGGGTTGTAGAGCGCCTTCCAAGTCACGCCCTGGACGAAGTCGAGGACCATGTCTTCATCTGGGTTCAGAGCACGGGTGCCGGGGAACTCGTAGAAGATGAGGGAGATGAGTTGTCGTAGGGTTGGAGACTCTGTCCAGCGGTGTTGATGTGGAGGAACGTTGTCGTGAGCATAGGAGGAGAAGAGGGCGAACAGGATGTCTGTCGGGTTTATCCAGGATTTTTCGTCGACCTCAAGGTATGTATCGATCCAGATGCTAATGTAGTCATCTGGGTCGAGCTCAAGAGCGTCCATGGTGCCGTGTTTGCTCATAATGTTCCGGGTGAAATGGCGGTATTTGTGCATGCTTTTAGCACTATTGGCAATACTTCGAGGCAGCGGACGCCCAACCTTGGAAGCGATGCTGGTATCGTCGGACTCATCGTCTTCATCAAAAGTGAAGCTGAGGGGGTCTTCATGACCGCTGAGCACAGTCTTGTTGCCGCCAGCGGAGAAGACAAAGGTAGAAGCAGTCGGTCCCTTCTTTACCGCAATCTGGGACGCAGGATGAAACAGCTCTTCTTCCAGGACCCCGTGCTCCCTCACATGATCATTGTATACTTTGACAGCAAGATCCACCTCGCGGCGGAGTGCAGCATCGTCTTGTGTGCTAGAGAGTAGTCAGAAAAGCCATCCACGGAGACAGGAAAAGTTCCTCGACTTACAGCTTGAGTAGAACCTCATTGCCGTTCTCAATCAACATGCCAGTGATCTTTCCAACGAGCTCTGGTTGCAGTGCAGCAATCTTGGGGTAGATAGCATTTCCCAGAATCTGCTTCTTCTGGAAGGGAAGGGCGATGATGTATTGATCCATATCGACACCAGGGTAAAGTGATTCGTTCTGCTCCCCATAGTGAGCAATAGCCGCGTTGGCGATGGCTTTCAATCGCTGGTTCTGGTCTGTCAGCTCCATCAGTTGCCTGACCTTCTCGAAGGCGGCGGCAGACAAGTCGCCGGCGTTGGTCAATCTTTGTTCGGGCTTCCACGTAGGCAGTGTTTCCAAGTCCCTGGACTCTGTGGCCTTTTGCTTCCCACTTCGCTTAGCCTGCTGAACGGCCGGATCGTTCTGGTCAATTTGGTTGGAGTCTTCCTCCTTGAGCTCCCGGAATTTCTGTAGGTTCCGCAAGGTCTCTTCCGCGATTCGACGTTTCTCCTCGTTAGAGTCCCTGTCTCCCACATCAGTCGTCACAGCAGCAGGGCGTGGTGCTTGCGACTGTGCAGACGATACAGCCGGAGCTCGCGTCGGAGTGGCCTTCTTCTTGCCATTGCGCTTGGTGTTTCGACTTGGCATGATGTCGTTCGAGGATGGGTGCTTGTGATTTTTGGGATGTTGCTTCTTACTCTTACAGATGTACTGTGGTGTAAGTGGTAGAAGGCTTGGTGTAGAGGAAAGAGAAAAGAAATATGCGCAGCTCCGGCGAAGAAGATATAGGACTCGCAAGCAGAACGCAAACAAGCAGACAGTTAATGATGGGACATTTGAGTCCTCCTGCTGACCGAGTGATGTTTGTAAGGAATGGAGCAAAGAACAAACCTCTATTGACTTGATGTCGAGTGGCCGCAAGTACTACTGTCGACGGCAGTAAGTCTGGATTCGAAGCGAGCACGGTATTTCCACAGGCTGTATTCACGGATGGCCAGGGGCGCGGAAGAACTCATGGGCCTGCGGGCTGCTGCAGTGTAAGGCAGCACAGCGCCGGTCGACGTCGTGCGGAGCATATGGCTTTTCGTTTCTGTTTATAGGTCAGTAGGCCAGCCCGCTGGGCGCAAGTAGTACGACCTCTTCGCCAAATTGTCGCAAGTTTCGTGGAATAGAATCTTGAAGCTTCAGACCATGCATACTCATCTACATGAACCTCTTCTCATCACCCTGTCCAGGCGTCACCGGCGACAAGATCCCGTCCGTCGCCACGGTACCTGACCGCTTCCCTCGCCGCATGTCCTTGACAAACTCCGTCAGCTGGAAACACCAGCCGCCTGCCACCAAGATGCCGCTGATGACGTTCACAAGCCGGACAAACAACTTCGGTATCGAGCTCCATTCCTCGGCAATGGTGAGTAAGATCGGCTCAATGTCAAACTTGACAAACACTCCGGGCACGTGGTTCTCCGGTACTGGATGACTCTGCTCTGTGACAGCGTACTGGTTGGTGAAGACGTGGTTCCTGCTGTAGCGGTGCGGATGCTGTTCTAAGCCGTCGGAGCCAGAGGACGGTGACTCGTGGTACTTGTCGATGCTGCGGAGGGATTTGGGGTCGGTGGTGTAGATGGTTGGGACCACGGAGAGGTAGTATTGATACTTGTAGAAATGTGACTCAGTGGTGGCAACGGTGCTATCCAGAGGGTTGATGAGTGATGGATAGAATGGGCCGAACGAGAGCTCGTTGACGTGGTGGGAGAAGTTGAAGCCTAGATAGTGGATCAGTGGGTGCTGCGTTTAGAGAGTAGGGAGTGCTTACTGGTGTGGTCTAGATGCTGCCCAAACTCCATGTAGCCATGTCCGCGAGCTGTAATGTGGAAGTCGCCCTGGACCTTGTTCGTATGCATAGTGCCGTATATCCTACAGCTGTCCGGCTCTGTTCGCCGTGGTAATTTAGGCGTCTTCGACCACTTCTTGCTACTCTTCGCCGCGCCCATATAGTCATGCACATCCTCTTCCCGATACTCGCCGAATCCAGGATAGCCACTCAGATCTAATCGTTCCTGTTTCGACGCGCCTAACTTGCCCTTCCCAGAGCCAACCCATTGACCCCATAATGTGCCGTCCCTCTTCAATGCTGTTCCCGCCAGTATTCGATCGCCTGAAGCGTCCTGCAGATTCACATGCAAGTCCTCGCACCGCATGGCAACCACCACATCCATGTTGATCTGCAAGTCATGTCCAACTCCCTGCTCGACAGAGAACGTGTGCGTTGTCTCGCCCACCCACCACCGCTTCAGCTCGCTCCACGTCAGGAACACGCTCGCGCATATTAAGAAGACAGTCCAGGCACTGCCGCTGCTCGTCTTCTCCGTGTAGCTGGGTTTGACTTTTGGAAATGCATCGAATGATTTTACCGCGCTGATGGCGGAGGCCGGATCGCTGCCGAAGTGGGACTCGTCGAGCCCCTTGTCCGCGAAGCCATTCATTGCTGGCAATAACGCAGCGGAGATGCTGCGGTTGGTGGAGGTTATCGGAGGAGCATTGGGCGGCGGTGGTGAGCACGAGGATATGTGCTTACAATGGAATCTAGACAACTTTCATCTGACATTGAGGCTGAAACGTGGATATGCAGGGTCAGCTGGTCTGTGCGCTCGAAGGTGCAAGCGGAAGACTTCACTCCCTCCGACTTCACTTCGCTTTCTGCGACCCTCTGGTATGGAACACGGGCCGCCACCATGCCATCCCAGAACGTGCTCCGGAATGCTGGGCTACCCTCAACCACTCCGTATCGCCAAACCCCTGGAACTGGTCGGGCCAGCTACTGTCAAAGCGGCGTTGAACAAAGGCTTCAACGAGCACAATGAACCAGAGTATCCGGACTCCTCACGGGACACGGCCTGGAAGAGTGAGGGCGTTCTCTTTTCCCGGAGAACTTTCTCGCCCCTCCCATTCCACGGAAGCAGCTGCTTCTCGAACGTGCTCTCTTGCCCAAGAATGGTGACGGCAAACCTTGAGATGGCCTTTGTACCGGTTTATATAAATTGTGGAGAAGCTGGTTTTCCATTCCCATGGCTTCATTCTATATCATTCGGACGAATTTTCGTATACAGTGCCAGGAAGGCCCTGCTTCGAGCGTGATCGCGTGCGTTAGTCCTAGGAACTGCTGGCGGGCGACCAATGCAGGCCAGGTGGGACGCCAGATGCAGCTATACTCCCCTTCAGAAAGGTGACTTCGTCCGGCTGTCCTGCACTGCAGTGTTGCTGCAAGCATGGTATGTGCAAACAAAGGGTGGTGCCCATCTCTGCTAATCACGAGCCAGACAAACGACTCTCGGAGTTCATTGAGTCCATGAATCCTGAGCATCAAGCTCGCTCAACGACCCAAGCCCTCATGGCTGAGATGGCGTATAGATATCGTGGACTCCGCATCGGCACCAGCCGCTCCCGCCCTGCTTGGTCGGACGCGTGGAGTGGTTTGACATGTGAATTTTTTACTAGGCACCCCGCACGGATCACCTCCTTTCCCCCGTCTGTTTCAACACCCTGTGTCAACAGTTCTCCTTCCGCTCTCTTTCCAGAAATCACTCTTGTACGCAGTCAAGGCGCAACCAGCGCACAGTCATGGCCATGGGTCCAACGCATCATCCAGTGCAGTAGCAGGTCGCTATCAGGCGTACAAAACGGGAACGCAGAACATTGCCGACTGGCTTGTCGCCGCTGCAAGCCGTTGTTGCGATCTCACCACCATTATTGCATCCCGCGAGAGCAGCACATCTAAGGCTGCGAAGAAGACGCAAGGAGGCCTTGTAGACGTGGCCCTGTGTAGTCAAGATCTTGTCGGGCTGGCTGAGGCCATTGCTGACAGCGCCGACCAAGTCAGGATTCCGCTACGCGTCCTGACCAACCTGAACACTGTCATCGGAGCACGACAGGAGTTCGCCAACTGGCACTCTTCACGAAAAGATGCCAGCGAGTTCAGGAAGGAGAACGATGGCCATGTTTACTTCATCAAGGTAGGTGAAAAACTTGGCATTTGACGATGACACGAGCTAACGGGTCCTCCAGGTACTCCAGCGCGTTCACGACATCTTGAAGGGGGCGCGTAGCAAGCCGCCGGCTGGCGCAGCAGCTTCAGTGAGGAGCGCCAGTCCCGAGCCAGTCCATCTCCAGGCCACCAGTCAGTAGGACGTCCTTAGCGACCTTCTCGCATCCCTACATGTCGAGGAGCCAGATGCATCTCCGTTCAGTACGAACTCCTTGAAATCCTTCCACCTGAACGCTGCTTCGTTAAAGCTAGACGAGCAGCAAGAAACCAGCGCGTTTGAGCTGTGGTGCTTCCTGCAAGACCTCAACGACGTGCGTCAGGATGTTCGGGCGAGATCAGCTTCCTCATCGCCAGTGCCATCACCGACACGGCTTTTGGTCTACTCAGATGTGCAGATGCAGAGTTCTCAGCGACCAGCTCTCTTGAACATGTCCTGGCTGCCGCCCACCTCTACAGATGTCTTCGCGCAATGGGTGTCATGAATGACGACTGGCATGACATGGAAATAGCGATGGCATCCTTTGGCTGTCACCCGCCCTTATTCCCAAGGCCCCCTTCAGCGACGCTCAGCAATACTGCGGCATTCCGGCAGTACAATATCAATCTAGGGTTACCGCCAGATGGGTTTCCTAAGGGAGACGACAGAGAAATGGCTGCTACGAAAGTGATGCGGAACCGCATTCGCAAGATTCACGTCGTTTCGCCGCTTCTCAGGACCCTCAGCGACAGAGGTATCTGGCAAAACTTAGGACTTGCTCGTACTAAGAGCAAGGCAGTACAGATCGCGCTGTATCAAATGACCGCATCGGCACAGCACGACCAAAGCATCGCCTCAAACCCCAAAGGTGCCTCAGAGAAAGCCAACTTCACCCCATCGCAACTTTTGGCGACCTTCAGGAAGACTTTGATCGCTGACGAGCCGATGTTGAACTTTGATCTCATTAGCTTTGCCGAAAGCTGCGGCTCGCTTCTGTCAACGCTGGCGGCATCATTGCACAGCAACTTCGGGATTGGAAATGATCCTAGTGACTACTGGAACAATACGGACATGGTCTTGTCGCTCTTGCAGTGCCACGCAAACAGTCCGCTTATTCAGTTCGCCGCGTCTGCTATTAGGAACCATCTAAGTCACTCTAGCGACAAGTTCTTGAAGCCAGCCAACGAGCATTCAAGCGGCAAGATCCCGGCACACCTTGGTCCCAGCATCCCCCTCAAGCCACATCACGGCAGCAAGGAGCGGGTCAAGATGTCATCCATGCTTGACCGTTCAGGCGCCGGCTACGAGTTCTCCGGCAAGACAATTGCTGCATACCATCCGGGCGTTGTCGCAGAGCAGCCGAAACCAGTCGACGGATTCAGCGCTCCTCCGGCAGTGGGCACTGAGACGGATCAAGAGGCTTTTCAGCACGGTGCAAGGCTCGTGTACTTTGGCGCTGCGCTGCCGGTGTGCATTCTAAAGGCACAGAACCAGAAGGAGAAGGGTATGCTGGGTCCAGAGCTGTGCTGAGGAGGGATCGTGCTGGTCACGGAGGCTCCCGAGTATGATGGGACGATTGGACAGAGATGTGCTGGAAATAGAAGTAGGCTGGTCTGTTTGTTTTTGAGATACCCACATCGCGTTGGAATTGGAGATTTAGAGGTACAAGGGAGAACTGGAGCGAGAGCACGACTGGCAAGTATGGACAGATTGATAGAGCATTACCCTCGCAGCAGAACGTATATGTCTCCCCATCCCAATTACTTTCACAGCCGCTTGGAGAAAGATCATAGCAAAATGCTCATGCCGACATCTCGGCCCAAGCCCTCACCTCCACTTTGACCGGAAATAAGACTCCACGTGGTGACGCTCGGGAATACATCTCAGTACGTACTTCAACTCAACAACATATCAAGACGATTGCCGGCAATTGCCACTGAGGTCAAGTAATCTAGCTTTCCTTCTTTCTTTTCCAATCTTCAACCAGACCAGAAAGAGTACATCACCACACTATGACTACAACAAACGGCGCCAACGGCCACACCAACGGTAACACAGAGATACCCGCAACCAAGATCCTCGCCAACTTCGTCTCGTCCGCCTCGACCAACCAACTAACCCCAGCCCTCCGCGAGAAAGCCAAGGAAGTAGTAATTGACTACATCGGCGTCGTCGTCGGCGCAATCGACAATGCCACTTCAACCGAACCAATCTACAACGCCATCCTCGCTCTGCAAGGTCAGGGTACCAAAGGACCATGTACCGTCCTGGCGAAGGGAGAGCCGCATATGCTGCCCCAGTATGCCGCACTCTTGAACTCAGCGTTCGGCCACTCCCTAGACTTCGACGACACGCATGCGCCTGGCACACTGCATGCGGGTGTTACGTCCATTTCGGCTGCAATGACGCAGGCAGAGCTGCAGGCGGAGAAGGCGAGTAGTGAGGACTTCATGCTCGCTGTCTCCGTGGCCTACGAAGTGACTTGTCGAATTGGCCGGGAGTTGGGCTTCTTCTCCTACGATCGTGGATTCCACAACACCAGCATCGCCGGCATCTTCGGCGCCGTATCCGCCATAGCCGTGCTCAAGAAACTCTCCCCCCAAGTAATCGAAGACGCCTTCGGCCTCGCCGGTAGCAAATCAGCAGGCTCAATGCAATACCTCGACAACGGCTCCTGGAACAAACGCCTGCACCCGGGCTTCGCCGTCCACGACGCCTTCATGTGCGTCTCCCTAGCCGAAGCCGGGGTCGTGGGCGCCACGAAAATCATCGAAGGCAAAATGGGTTTCCTGCAGGCTTACAGCCCGAACCCCAACCCGGACCTCCATCGTCTCACAGCAAACCTTGGGAAGGAATGGATCTGGGAAGGCTCGTCGCTGAAACCATACCCAGCGTGCCGCATGACCCACGGCTTCATCGAGCTCTGCGGTAACATTGCCGAGAGGCACGGAGGCAAAGTCTCAGCTGCCGACGTCAAGCACATCACCCTCACCACATCCCCATCCTGTTTCAAACTCGTCGGCGATCCGACACCAAATAAGATCCACCCGGAAAACCAAATCGACGGCCAGTTCTCCGCATACTTCCAAGCGGCCAACGCGCTGACCTACGGCTCCTCAACGGGGATGAAAGCCTACCAGCGCCTGCAAGATGCAGACATCAACGCCCTCTGCGACAAAATCTCCGTGGAGCGGGATAGCAGCATGCACTCTTTCCAAGCACGGATGCGGATCGAGTGGTCCGATGGGAAGACGGATGATTTCAAGCAGGACTTCCCGCTTGGAGAGGTGGAGCATTCATTCACGAGGGATAAGGTGGATGAGAAGTTTTTGAGTCTTGCGGTGCCGGTGTATGGGAAGGGGAGAGCGGGGGAGATTATTCGGGCGGTGGATGGGTTGGAGGGGAGGAGGGTGGAGGATTTGCTTGTGCTGTTAAGGTGAGGTGGGGAGTTGTAGATAGGGACGAAATACTGGAATGGTGTTCGTACCTGCGGCGAGCATGTCTTCTTGAACTTGCGAATAGAAGCATGAGAGGAGTGATGTGTCCATTCAGCTTCGTCTGCATGCCGGAGAGCCGTTCGTCGGAAGCGAGGCTCAGGAGTCTTCTCCAAGACGCACACACTTCCGAGAAGGCATTGGTCAGCCGTGCAAGAGTCGACTGCGTCTTACAGAAGACGCTGCTTCAAGCCATACATCCTCTCGACCGCACGAGCAGCAGCACGCAAGACGTGATGTGCCCATATCGTTCCACTATGCACGCTCGAGAAGGCCTCATCTGAGTCTACTGTCAAGCAGCCTTCTCGGATAGGTGGACAAGTCGAAGACATTTTAAAATGCTGCAGAGTAATCTATTGTGTCTCGGGGAAGAAGCTTAGCTGGATGTAAGCACTCTTCCCGAACACACGGAGGAGGCTGCAGAGGAAGCGACGCATACATGTCCTCTCGCCAGGGTGCTCGAGAAGCGCTCGTCTGATTTGAAGGATTAGTAGGCTTCTCGAAGACGCGAAATAGCTGAAGTGGTTTTGAACGGTCGCATAGCGGCGTGGCATTGCATCAGAGAAGAAGCTATCCAGCGCTTCCCCTCCCATCCTTTCCCCAAAACAGAACGCCCGCAAAATGCACCCTACCTCCCATAACACCCCAAGCCCCTCCAGAGAGCACCGCCCACCCTAATCAGCACAAGCCCAGTCAATCATATCCAGCGCAAACGCCCCTCCCTCCGCAACCAACTCTCGAAACTCCTTCTCCCTCCGCAGCCCCCGAATAGCCCCCCCTGCATAACTCGCCACAGCCTCGCGCAGCGCATCGGATCGCGGAGAATGGTGCTCCGGCGTGTTTTTGTGGACGTATCAGATCAGCGTGACGAGCTCGGGGGCGACGAGGATGCGCCAGCTCAGGGCGCCGTTGAGGGCGGTGGCGGTTTTGTGCATGAGGTCCGGGATGTCGAAGCGTTCGGCGAAGATGTAGAGGTTGGCCTGGGAGGGGGTTAGCGGGGTTCTCCGGCGCCGAGACGGGGGGAGAAATGTATCAGAGCGCGGCATGGTGTGCGATGCTGTCTTGGAGAAGGGGGCGACTTACGTGGCTCATGACGGCGGGAAGGTACTCCAGCTGCTCGTCGTTCGGGTGTTTGATGAATTCTGAACTGGCCTTAAATGGGCCGGTGGTGATGATGTTTGCTCGCTTCTCGCGCTTCCGCTGCTTCGCCTGGCGGTTGGAGTACGACTTGGACTCGTCGCTTTCGTACCATTGGTATTCGCTCTTGTAGCAGGCCCATTCGCATTCTCCCAAGACCTTGCCATGTTTGCAGACGTCTGCTGGTGCCGTTATAGTATTCGTCGCATCATCTTGGGAGGTTTGGCTCTGGTCGAGTACGCCAATAACATCTTCTGACGAGGCTGCGTTAGGCTTGATGCTGGGCTCGTTCTCGTCGCCATGTTGCTCCGATTCGGCTACATCGGGAGCAGGCCGGGTTGGCAGCGCTGGGTTGTAGTCGCCTCTGTAGAGCCACTCCACGAAGCGGGTGAAGGTGGCCTTGTCGACGTCTTGGAGGACGACCTGCAGTACCGGCAGCGATTAGCAAGTTTCTCCGAAAAGGAGGCAGGCTAAGAACATCACAGCACGCCACATAGCGCTTGATGCTGTCTCGGAGAGCGTACGAAGCCCTGCTGCGATTCTCTCATGCCGCCCTCGATCATCGCTTTCAGCGGCAACGAGCATTGCGTCACGAGCTCGCTGTGCACGTTGAACGGCGTGCCCTCGACGATAAAGCGGAATGGTGGGTTGATGAAGATGCTACGGAGACAGTCAGCGGGAACAAAACGGACAATTTAGGCTGACTGGTTACTTTTCGCTGTTGGTCGACAAGTTGCAGGTAATGGGCTGTAGACACAAGGATTAGTAGGTTCTCGAACTCCCCATCGTCTGCACAGCGCTTCGTGGCGCCCCAGAACGTCTGAAGCCGTCTCGGAGAAGCCGTCCAGGAGGTGCTGCGTTTCATAGCTGGTCGGCGCTCGTGTGCATTTGGCGGAAGATATTAGTTGCTGATCTGACATAGGTGGCCTCTTGCAGGCCTGCGTTCAGGTCTGTGCTGGATGTCTTGTTGAAGGCATGCCCAGCGTGTCTTGCTAAGAAAGGCTCCTCCGACATCGAGACAAGTAAAAAGCACCACGAAACGCTGCAGAGCGCTTGATCTTGCGTGCGAGACTTACCGTGGTGGAGATGTATGTGTGTCAGAGACAATGAGGATCTGCCAGAGTGACTGTCAGCAGCTGTTTACAGAGTTTACGCGTGATTGTGTGGCCAGCTGCGATGGCAATGGTTGTGTCTGTTCGAGAGAAAGTCGAAAGCCCAGAAGTTGTTCTTGAAGTCGCGATTTAGACTTTATCCAGAAAGCTTAGCTGTACGTCACGTGTTGCTTGTCACCCCACCTTGCCCACCTTCCCCAGATCGACAGCGGGCGAAATGTGGATGACACGGAGGCGCATCGCTCAGCCTCTTCTCTTCTCGTATTCCACCATCTTCCCGTCCCTGGTGAAGAATAGCCTGAAGACGAAGCGAGAAGGGAGGTTTGATGAAAACGTCGAACAAACACCAATGTAGACCTGCTTCCACGAGCCCCACGAGGCCAGGCGCATGCGACTCTGCGACAACGAATATAACACCTGATCGACTGCCTGGACTGCGGGCGCACACACTCCAGCAGCACAACAATCGTTCTAACCACCCACCATGCGCTTCCGAGCCCTCGTTACGGCCACCGCCGCCCTCCTCTCCTCCACCACCACCGCCATCGAGCTTAACATCCAGTCCGACGACTCGATCAAAAATGCCGCCTCCGAAATCGCCCATGACATGATGACCTGGTACATTGGCAACCAAACCGGCCAGACCCCAGGCATTCTCGTCCCCGTCGATGTATACTACTGGTGGCTGGCCGGCGCCATGATGGGCACGCTGATAGATTACTGGTACTACACCGGCGACGACAGCTACAACGACATCGTGACCGAAGCCATCCTATGGCAAGCCAGCGACACGCGCGACTTTATGCCGCCGAACCAGACGAAGACGGAGGGCAACGACGATCAAGCGTTCTGGGGCTTTACTGCAATGACCGCAGCGGAGTACAAGTTCCCGAATCCGCCCTCAGACCAGCCGCAGTGGCTGGAGTTGGCGCAGGGCACGTGGAATAGTCAGCAGTTGCGCTGGGATACGGGTTACTGTGGTGGAGGGCTGCGGTGGCAGATCTTTCCGTGGAATACAGGGTATGATTACAAGAATACGCCAAGCAACGCTGGTTTCATCAATTTGGGTGCTCGGTTGTATGCCTATACTGGTGAGTTCAATCCGTGCTTGAGACAAACACTCAAGCTTTTGTTTCGCGATGTTGGCGATTCTTGAAGGGTGGACCAGATGGGGTCTACAATTCACCTTGGCCGCGCCTTGTCATCCTTGGCTACCTCTTAGCATTCCTTGAATTACCCGACTGACACTTCTATTCATCAGACAACGAGACCTACGCCGAATGGACGGAAAAGGTCTGGGACTGGCTCGTCGAAACCGACCTCATCACCGACGAGACCAACCCGCCAGCTTGGCGCATCCTCGACGGCAGCTGGATCCGCGACAACTGCACCATCACGAGCCCCATCCAATGGAGCTACAACATCGGGATGCTGCTCAACGCCGCGGCCGTAATGTGGAACGCCACTGGAGACGCGAAGTGGGAGGAGCGCGTTAATGGGATCTGGAGCGCTACTGGAGTACGTACCATCCCTCCTCTACCTCACCGCTCATCTCCACCATCCCAACGCTAACACTTTGATTGCTCATCAGCCCTTCTTTCACGACCAAATCATGTTCGAAGCCGCCTGCGAAAAGCGCGGCAACTGCAACACGGATCAACTCTCCTTCAAAGCCTACCTCTCCCGCTTCCTCGCCGCCAGCACCAAATGGATGCCCCAGCTCTACGACTCCGTCTCCCCCTACCTCGCCGCCTCCGCCCAAGCTGCCGCGTCCCAATGCACGGGCACCATCGGCGGCCTCGTCGGTAGCGCCTGTGGCTTCGAGTGGTCCGAGGCGCCGACGTGGGACGGCACGTATGGGTTCGGCCAGCAGATGGATGCGCTGGAGGTGGTGTTGAGCCAGCTGATTCAGGGGGCGGATCATCCTGTTACGGCGAAGAAGGGCGGGATTTCCAAGGGGGATCCGTCGGCGGGGACGGGTGGGGACGGGACGGTGTCGAGTGTGCCAATGCGGGAGATTACGACGGGTGATAAGGCCGGCGCGGGGGTGTTGACGGCTGCGGTATTGGTTGCGTGGGTGGGGGGTGCTTGGTGGATGGTTTCGTAGTGGGATGGGAATGGGAACACGAATGGGATGATGAGAGGATTGGCACGATTTGACGATGATGGCGGTAATGTGTTATGAGGTTATGGGTATGAGTATTCATGTCTGGATTATGAACCGGGAAAAATAGCGACGGATTCGCTGTGGTGCTGATGCAGTATATAGCCATTCTCGAAAGGCTCACAAGAGCTTCTTGTTTGAACAACCTCTCTTCTTGCCCTTCGCTGGTTTCGTAGTATCGACGTCGTTCGCAGCCTCCATCTCGGCTCCTATCGTAAGGAGCGTGCTTCGACAGCGCATGCACTGTGAAACTCGGCAGAGAGGAAAGGAAGACGGCAGCCGAGGCGGTGTCGAAAACACAGGAAGCTGGGCATACAGCTGCTGGTGGGTCCCATGGCTCAACATTCGTTCCCTGGCCATTGACTCCATCAGTGACAAAGAGTGCAAGAGATCCTGCCAGAGCTGAAAAGTCCATCAGAGTTCAACCTGCCACAACCCACAAAGACGCCATACCTTTTGTTTCGCAACGTCATACCACCTGAATTTGCGGCGGAAGGAGACCGCTCGATCGCTTTCACCGGCATGCTGGTCACCTCGCAGGCAGTCATCTTCAGCGAGCTGTCCTCCCTCTGTGCAGTTGCTTATCTCGAAGATTGCCGTCGCGGGAAGCCATGAAGTCGGAGATCGCCCTCACCAATGCTTGGACCAAAGCTCGCTACGGCCCTCGGGGTGTGCACGAGCCTTTGAACTTGTCAGAGCAGACGTTCTTCGACGTCCTTTGTGCAGATCTTGGTATTGAGTGCCATCGCAAGCGAGGCACAAAGGCAATGCTAGGGCTCGATCGAATGGTGAGGGAGTGGTTCCAGCCATCCCGACCTTCCCATTATCGTGGGTTGGTTGATGAGTTCCTCAGCAATGCGTATCGTCGCGCAACTTATCAAGCTGCGACGCCGAATAAGGCGAGCAGATCCAAAGGCCTCACAGTAACAGAGGCGGAGGTCAATGGAGATGGATACCAGCTTACCAGCGCAGCCCATCTGTCATTGGATGGGATCTGGATTCAGCCTCAAGTAGCTGTAGCGCACTGTGCGTCGATAAATGCTCGCAAGGCGCTTGACGATTCTCCCAACCCATCGAAGCCTTGTTGTAGAATCTTTCGCCCGGCGAGCCCGTTCGCGAAGTCCAGGGCTTGTTTTGTTGTCCAACAGTACGGATCTCCGTCGTCTACTGGCCGGCCAATTAGGCTGAAAAGGATACCGGCAATGAATGTGTCGCCTGCGCCTATACCTCGTTAGCTTCCAAGATGACACTGCATGTTGTTAAGTCATAAAGTTTTACCAGTGGTGTCGACAATCGCTCGAACGTTGTTGATGTATGCCGGACTGTGCACAACGTCCCAGCCCTCTTTATTCTCTGCTGGGTTGAATGGTGGAAGAGGGAGGCGAAGACCCCAGGCTCCTAGCGCTCCCCACGTGCATACGAGAAATCCCTGGCCCGAACGGCGTGGGTCGTCATGTAACTCATGTTGCTGTAAGAGTTCTGCTTGTGCTTCAAGGCAGACTTTGGCATTTGTGTAGCCTTCTCCCTCCGCCCAATTTCTTGAGTAGAAGACTACATCGGCCTCATAGGCCAACGCTTGGAGACCTTCCCTGCCAGGCTTTTCCAGCTCCACCGATATGCGGCCGTTGAGGCGTGGCTCACTGCGGATGTACTGAATGCATTCCAGAGTGGTCTCGGGGACTCTGCCTTCGAAGTGAAACCACATGTCTTCAATATCGGCTCCGCTGTCCATCCTCGTGCGGTGCTCTAGAAGTTTGCCACAGGCCATGTGGAATTCGTCGAAAGTCATCTCTGGTAGAGGGTTGTGGTTGACAATAGTTCTTGTTGAGTCCGTCTCACTTGCGATGATGTAGGACGACACAGGCTCCATCTGGTCCTCGCGGTAGATGCAGAAATCTAAATCAGCGCGGTCAAGTGAAGAGCGAATGAACTCCGTGTTGGTGCATGTCTTCGCTGGAAGAACTGAGATCAATGCACAGTCGATGTAGGCAGGCCGCCCATCCTGTACCTCAGAATCGACGTCCGGGTATGCACCGTCGTTCTCGTCTTGACGTACAAGCTGCTGCAGGACTTCCAGTGTGTTGGGAGCATTGCCGCCTCGTCGCTTCTGGAGTGAAGTAGCCCGCAGTTTTGAGTCTTCTGCTGGAAAGTGCGGCACTGTCAGGATGGTGTCGATGGCACAAGCGCCCACCCCCACCAGCAGCGTAGCACATGGCATAGTTCCAGCTTTCTTTCGATAGAGGATGAAGGAGAGAATGGATGGAGTCGAGTTGAAGCGGTGGAGACTCCGTTGGCTTGGCACTCAAAAGCCTTGTTCCAGGAGGTGAGTTGCTCTTGCGTTGATCGAGCACAGGTATCTTGATATTCTCCCGAGTCATGTGAAGCTCTGTGAGGTGAGATGGCAAGGTACACTTTGGAAGAAATTTACAAGGCGCATGAGGTGGCTTCAAGGCCGTCTCAAGTGGTATGTGCAATATCCACAACATACACCCAAGTATTCTGAGTTCTACAGCATGTCGTTAGAAATCCTCCGGGAAGTTCCTTCTGATAGCTGTAATAACCTCCCCAGGACCATTGGAGAACATGATCTTGATGCCAGGTCGAGCCTGCACGGCATTATTGACCAATTTCTCGAACAACTCAGTATGCTCTGTTCGGGATCGTCAGCTCCCAAGTCTCCCATCAGCACAACAGCATCTGCAGACCTTTGTGCCCCCGAAGTCCGAAGCCAACATTGAAGCCAACAGCCTCATGACTTTTGAGTGCCTCTGTGAACCGCTTCATCGTATCCTCTGGGTCTTGAGGGTTTGCATCGACAGCAATAACGTCGAATCCTGCATCGTTTGCTTTCTGAATACTCTCTGCCAGCATTGCCTTGACTTTGCTCTGAGCGTCTGCGCCGAAATGCTTCAGCGCATTGGCATCGCTGCCGGCGTACTGTCCCAGTCCAGAGGAGATAATCGTTTTGCGAGGAGCAGCCATATTGTCTCACCCGATCAATGATGTCATGGGTGAGCAGTATCTGAAGCATGAGTTGGGCAAGTCATGGTTGAAATAGGCATGCGGCATCTGCTTACTCATGACCGCAGCGATCAGACTTCAAGATGAACAGTGCTACCTTACAACAACATTCTGGCCCCCCGATACATCGACGTGTAGTCATCATCCATGATCTCGAAACAACCGGATATCGGCAAGCCTCATCAACCCACAGACGCCTACCGCCGCCTTCATTGCAGGTCGGACACGGGACGACCTCACTGCTGAGGACGGCACAGCAGACAACATCTTGTACAGGAATGAGCTTCCTTTTCGGACCTGCGGAGGTAGCAAGCCTCTCAGCGCAAGAGAACCCTTTGCGGTCTCATACGTCCGCGTCCGGTACGATGTACATATGCCAATTGCCTGAGGATGGCTTACAGCTGTGCCCAACGCAGCCCACGCTGCTGGCTCGCCAGCGCGCGTGCGCGCAGATGTGATAGCGCTAAAGTCCTGCTGTGTAACATAGCTTCGTGTCACAGTCCCGGACGAAAGACGGTTCTGTATTGCTGCTTCTTCTTTCGATTTCCTCACCGCTGTCTTTCGAACCCAGGAGACGCTTTCGTCTTTCTCACTGTCATACTCGCTTCCTTTCCAACCTCATAGTACGCTATTGTTTGAAACCCTTGGACCAGCTGAACAGAAGAATCCTTCCACGCAATGGCTCCAACATACGTCGAGTAAGAACTATCCTCTAATTCCTTCAGTCCCATCCACTGACACAACGAGCAGCTTGCTCAGCGGCCCAACCTTCACGTTTGAGGTTCAAGGCCAGAGCTTCACAGTACACCGCGGGTTCGTTGCAAAAGTCTCGAAGCCACTTGAGGCGGTGATGGAGAACGGGATGCAAGAGTCTGAAAACGGTATGGCGCCCCTGAAGGATGTCGACAAAGCCACTTTTGGTCGCTTCATGGAGTTTGCCTACACTGGAGACTACCAACCTGCGCATGCCGTGGCTGTGAGCCGAGCGGAGACTGAGTTTGATAGTGTGAATGGCAAGCACGAAGACATGGTCGAGCCGGGAACGGGTGACACCAATCGTTCCGAGAATGTGCCTGTTGAGGAGGTCGCCTTCGAGGAGGCGCCTTTCGAGGAGAGTGGTCCTTCAGAGCACAACCGAGATATCGATGCCGCTTTGTTCGGCCTCTTGAGGAACAGGAGTATGGTGAGGAAGGTCAAGAAGGCATCGAGCATGCATTACGATCAACGCACAGGAACGCTGTCTATCATGAAAGCCAAGCGAGCCGCCCGCTCAACTGAAGACATGGTCACCAACTCTCGTCTCCCAACAAGCTCTGCGTTCGTTCTCGGCGATTACTGCACCGCGGAATACGATTGCCTCCCAATCTTCTTGAGCCATGCTCAGCTCTATATCTTCGCCGACTACTATGCTGTCTTCTCTCTCAAAAGCCTTGCCGCACGCCGACTCGAAGAAGCGCTTTCGGTGCGCGAGGAGCGCGCGCTTTCTTTGACGGATGTCGTGGCTCTGACCAAATTCGTTTACGACAATACGCCGGAAAAGGAGGAAGGACTAGATGAGCTGAGGCTCGTGGTGACCGAATTCGCAGCCAAGAACGTAACTGCACTGCGTCATGCGGATAGGTTCGATGACGAGCCAAGATGGAACCGCAGCGACAGTCTGATCGACTTGCGTGTCAACCTATATCGAATCAAGACATCGACTAACCTCCTGTCGAGTGCCCACACGACCTCCGACCGACTCGGCCGTACCAGAGGACTGGCAATTCGACACGAACATGTTTCTCTATGTCACCAACATGCCTGGGCGGCGCCCATTTGTCTGCTGGAACAGATCTCATCCCCTGGTCTTGAGCATTTCAAACATATTTCTTTGAACAGTTCATCCTTGTGTCGAGCAACATAATGGTCTGCAGCCGTCGGATCTCGAGGCAGCAATCTCCCGCACAGTATTGGTCTCGGACTCAAGCCGTGGCTGGCCACTCGAGCCACTCTTTATCTAAACACATTCATCAGACTTCCATATGCCTATCAATAAACACAGGTATCATCTCAGCCCACCGCTTGAGTCCCATCCGACACGCCAGGAAAAAGTCAGAGTTGCGCTCAAGACAGCTCTGGTCCAGCCCAGGTGTACTTCCGGCAACTCATGTCTCGGTCAGTCAGGAGCTTGGCAGCAGCTTCCACTCTCCTCATATAAGCTCGCATACTCTTCATCCTTCCTTCACTTCTCTTTCATCGGCTCTCATCATCTTTCCTCTCCCGGGCTTTCAAATACTCAGAGCATTTATTGTTTGCTCTGCGGCCTACCAACTCGTAGACCCCTCCTACTACGGCTTCGGCGGCACCCGACACTCACACGGCGAGGGCATCTGAAGTCATCACGGAGTCTCAGATCAGTTACAAAGAGTAAGTAGTCATATCGTGTTATCAGACAATGCGGTAATGGACACTGGCTGGCATCAACCAGCTTGTTTTGCGGCCCGACCATCGACTTTCTTGTCGAAGACGAACGCTTCACGGTCTCCCGCGCTCTCGTCATTCAGAATTCAATGCGCCTAACTCGTCTCATCGGAATTGCAAACGAAGGTGTGGTGGATGTCTCGAACATCAGCAGGGCGACATTCCTCCGCTTCGTGCAGTACATCCTTTGGCAACGCAAGTACGGAAGGAACATGCTGGGGATGCTGTATTACTACGGACGATTCAGGCACCACAACAAAATGCACTTCTCTTCTCCCCAACACGTACATTGAAGAACTTCCTCCGGCGCACTTCACTGCATCCACCTTCACTGAAACGTTTCTCTAGGAAATCTGCGCTGCTGCGGTCATCGTACGCGGGCGAGCTCTGCGCACTAATTGATATTGCATGGAACAAGCCTATGAGCATTCCGCAGATCAGGAGTGGCGGCACATTTCCATATTGATGCTTTAGCTCCCATCGCCCCTATTGTGTGGGCTGAGACTCCGTTGCGCAGGGCTCCACGTCTGCAAGATCCTAAAGCTAATGGGAAGACAAGCAGGTTCCGACGTTCATCTTACCCCATCCCAGCAATGTTATGACAAGACAGTTTCGGCACACCGCGCAAAGCTCGCTTCCTGTTCGAATTGCTAATCACATTCTGATCCAGCGCCCACCACCATACGTCGAAGAATGCTTGCTCGACTTCCCATCCGCTCTCATATGCCGGGTCTCCGCCGTCCACACGCACACCACCATCCTCCATATCATACACCAGTCTCATGAGAGAGCTCTCACTCCCATCGCTCGGATGTCTTGGCCATAAATCAGAAGGGAGACTGTACATATTCACCAGCCTCGTCCGGACGGCGGGCCAAGGCAGGATGTCTATGATCGGATGATGAGCCATGGTGAGCTGAGCAGTGGTTGGCTGGAGGTTCTTGGGTAATGTTGAGATCAAGCTTGAGTAGTCCGAGGATAGGAAGACACTTTGAGCCCGGAGTCCAGCGAAGAGCAGATGTGCAGACCGAATCTGCCCAGCGATCTGGTAGGCGGCTCGAAGGAGGTCTAATTCTGGTACTGCAAGGTTGAAGTCGTCTGCGAAGCTGGTGTTCTGCGTGTCGTCCGACTGTAAGAAGGAGGTCAAGCTTGAGGCGACATCGATGGACGTCCAAGACAAATCGTCAAAGAAGTTGACGACGTTCGTGGCTCCGATAGTGCCCTCGGGTGTCCATGTTGAGCCGTTTGTGTAGGGCATCGCGATTTCATTCGAGGCAGTCGACTCTGCGCCCTCCGGAGATGCGGTCGTTCGACTGCTGTCACAAATCAAACCTACAATGTCTTCGATCAACGGTTGGTCCGTCGCCGTCTTGTTGGAGGTCTTCGAAACGTTTCTTTCCAGAGCTGCTTGTCTTTCTCGTCTCCGACGACCTAGTAATGTCAGAATCAATGACTTCGGTTCTGTTCAGCGGTCTTACGATATCGTCTTTGTGCGAGTATGTTCAGCACTCTTTTGCGCTCTGCTGCGATTGTTGGTAAAACGACATCTCGTGCTTGATGAGCTTCTGCTGGTATATCGAAGGAGTCTGCTTCGCTGTCCATGGTTGTAAACGTACTTCGAAGACCGGGACGTTGGACAAGAGGGAAGAAGGCCCAACTCAGCCCCTCTCTTGAGGTACTTGTATGCGGTACCATAACGTTATGCCTGCACCGATCTAAACCACTTGAAGAACGATCAGGCGACTCGCTGCTGTGTTGGCCTGAGGCAGGAGCGTCCGACTGGACTGAAATGAAATGGAAGTTGCGTTCGGTTGCACTCCATTCCATTCTCTCCAGTCCAGGACTCGAGAACCTTTCGGGACGAATTCAACACGTAAGAGGCCTGATGGCCGCCTCTTGACTGGTATCGTTGACTTCTCACTCCATTCTCGCCGTTTTCTTACTTCTTCTCTTTCCTTCCACACCACCTTACCGCCGTCCGCTAAAACTGCCTTCATTCCATCAAACTTGTCTGAATCTCATCTATTCCTCCGCCTGCCCTTATCTATTACAATCTACGCACTGTACCATTCCCGCAATGTCTACCGAAGACCAGAGGCGCCAACTCCACGGCCAGCAGATTCACTTCATCGTTCTGGCAGCAGCAACAACGCTCCACACCTACATGGCAAAGAACGCATCCGACCAAGACACCAGTTCCGACTCTTCCGACTCGGACTCACCGTCAAACCGCGCTTCGCAGCGGAAAGGCATACCGATAAGAGGCAAGGTTGCAAGAGTTGCTAAGCGACGCTCCGCTCGCGCACGAGCGGCCAGAGAGGTTGATGAGCAGCTCCACAAGCTCGCGGATGCCCTCAACGAGTGCAACAGACGGCTGGTAGAAGAGTCGCGGCCGCCCATTGTGCGAGCTTCTGAGGTCATCTGGAGCAGTAGATTTGACGAGATTAGTGAGGATGACAGGGCAAAAGTGGTTGTTAGATGGGCTGACAGAGAGAGCGACGCCGATGTTTTCGCCATGCTTACTAGAGACCCGCAACGGTCGATGATTGAGCAGTGGGTTTGTGAGTATGATGGGACTACTGGATAGGCCAAGTCTGGTTGAGGAGCAAGGGGTCGGTACCGTTGATCGTGGGCTTGCGATCAAGCGCAGTGGGCGACAGGATCAAGTGCAAATGAAGAGGCTGCTCCTGCTCACGTTGGCTGCATTCGTTGTGTGTATGCTATGGTATACATAGTAGCTACGCCGAGTCTTGCCAACACCTCACCTCTGCGAGATCGGACGTAACAATGTCGATCAATCCTAGAACTCTTTAAGCTCTGTGAGTCCATCCCGTCACATTCATCAACAGCAACAACGCGCGATGTCACCAAGCCGAACCGACGTCCCACCGCCAACAACAGGCAAAGCGACCCGCGAACAATGCCGCGACGGCATCTGGAACTCCCTAACCGCTGCCATTGCCCAAGGCCATCTGCAGGCCAACCTCATCATCCTTCCTTCGAGATATGCCAACGACTTCACCTTGCTGTGCAAGCGGAACACCGTACCATGCCCACTGCTCGCATCTTCCATCAAACCAGGGGACTTCAACAACTTCCGGTCCCACATCCCGGGAGTCTCAGATGAGCAGATAGCCGAAGGCATAGATATACGCACCGACGCTCCGGCCTACAACGTCTACCACCACGGGAAGCTCACAAAACACGCTGTTGGGTCTGTCGAGCAGTACTGGGACTCCAACGATCACGTAGCCTTCCTCATCGGCTGCTCATACAGCTTCGAGGATGCCTTGGCGACGGCTGGTCTAAAACCCGCGCACTTCTTCCATGGCAGGAGTGTGTCGATGTATCGCACTTCCATCCCGTTATGCCCTGCTGGCGTCTTCACGGGCTCGACGTATGTGGTCTCCATGCGGATGTACCGGGCAAGCGAGATCGAGAGGGTGAGAGAGGTCACCAGGCCGTATGTTGCTACACACGGTGAGCCGGTGGCGTGGGGCTGGGATGGAATGAGACGGATCGGCGTGCAGAATCTTGACAGCGTCGATTGGGGTGAGCGTCCCTATGACGCTGCTGGCCGGCCAATTGTCCAAGCAGAGGAGGAAGCGAAAGAGGACGGGTTGGTGCCCGTGTTCTGGGGTTGTGGTGTGACGCCTCAAGAATCTGTAATGAGGGCCAAGATACCGGGAACTGTAATCGGACATGCTCCTGGCCATATGGTTGTGCTGGATGTAAGGGAAGATGATGTGCTTGGGAAGACAAACTAGCAGGTATCTCATGTTATAGTCCGTTACTTTATTCATCAGCACTGCTGCACGAACTTCAACAGGGCCTCTGCACCTTTGTCTCGCTGAACATCATTCTGCAGGTGATGTCCAGCCCCATCCACCATGACCAGTCGAACACCAGCATCGCTCTCCATCCTGACGCCCTCGATTGATTCATCAGCAGCCACCACTTTGACTTTCTCTTCCGCTTGCTCTCTTACCAGAACCTCCCGGTACTCCGCCACTTGCTTTTTACACATTCCCAAATCCATCAGTACATCCTGACTCCCAACCATCACACAAATGCTGTCCTTGCGAACACTGCTCTGGCACCCAGAAACGTTCCTCACAATCTTCTCCACGTCTAGCCACTCCGGCCTACCGCAGCACCACGCCCAAAAGCTGCCCATCATGCCCATCGGCCATCCCATCGTCTCGTAACCCGGCATCCACTTCCTGAACTCGGCGATTGCCGAGCGAGGAAACGAGCTCCCAAAGAACGCCCCATGGACCAGTCGATCCGAGCTGAGAGGTGAAGTCGGATGCTGGAGATGAAAGATGTTGCGGAGAAGGAACCAGGGATCGTGGCGGGCCCAATTGGCATAAACAGGTCTGGAGACTGGTCAGTATCACCTACAGCCTTGCCACGGGAAAGCAAGACCCACAAAGCACCAAAATGCGGCACTGAATCAACCAAACACAACGCCCTGCACTTGATAATCCCGTTGAGCAAGGCAAACTGCACCAACCCACCCCCGCTCGAATGCCCCACCACCACCACCTCCCCCTCCCGTCCCGCCTTCCTCTCCCTCTCCACCGCAAAACCCAAGCACGAGCCCAAATCACTAACCACATCCTCCAAATTCGTCCCATACACCATCCTTGCATACTCAACCCCGTAACTCGCGCCATGGTTCCGGACGCTAAAAGCGTACATTGTTCCGCCGTAGCCGGTGGAGTGGAGGTAAGAGAGCCAGTCGAGCCAGACGCATGCGCTGCCGTAGCCGCCGTGGGCGAAGAAGAGGGCGGGAGCGGTTGGGGAGGCGTGGGCGAGTTGGGAGATGAGGAGTTCGAGGTCGCCGAGGGGTGTGGGTACGGAGGTGCGGGTGGTGTGGGAGGGGAGGGGGCGGTGGTGGGGGTGGGGGTGCCAGTGGAGGGTGGGGAGGGACGAGATGGCTTCCATGGGAGAGCGGTCTTGCTAGGTTTTGGACAGACGGAGCTTGGGGGTATGTTCGGGATTTTAGGTGTGGAATCTGATATGGATTGTTTTAAAGGCGCGGTCATGAGAAGATATACTTGCTTTACTCACCGTCGTGAGATATCTTTACACTCGTTGCTACGGTGAATTATTGCGAGACCAAGTCGAGATGTCAGACCACTGCTGTAGCATTCCGTAGCTACCAGCCACCTAAAGCGGAAGCTGTATGCCTCTGTGGCGTGCCAATATCTTGGCCTGCAACAGTAACACCGCTTGAAAGTCAGCCGTCTGACACTCTGTCATTCACAGCAGAATCGTACATCTCGTGCCCCGGAACAGTCGTCTAGCTCAGCGGAGCAACAGCAGTCCCATAAGGCACCGCCGGCACACTCGTAACATCCACATACGCCTGCAACCGCCCCTCCTTATCCTCCCCCATCCTCTGCGCCCAAACTCCCATATCCTTCTTAAAAGCTTCCACGTTCTCCGTGCTACTCAAATCAACCGGCTCATTGTCATTCCCAATCTGCTGCATGTGCGTTCCAGCAGCGATCAGTTGAATCCCGAAGTCGTTCTCGTCGAACTGCATCTTGATCGCTCCCTTAACTTTGCCGGATAAGATGTCCTTTGGCAGGCGAGGTTCCTGGCATGCTGGACGCGCGATGCCGATGCCGTCGACGGTCTGGAGAGACTCGATCATTGCGCCTACCGTCTTGAACCCGCCGGTGACGTAGACTTTCGTCTTCGACAGGGCGGGAGCGATCATTTCGGCAAAGGTCATGAAGAAGGCTTCGCGTCGCTTCGTGCTTTCGCGTTCAATGAGGTCGTAGTCGAAGGCGAGTTTTTGGTAGGTGCCGCCGCTCAGCTCGACGAAATCAAAGCCGTTGGTCTCTAGGATGCTGCAGATCTCGCGTGCCTCATCGGTCTGGAGGCCGGCTTCTTGGAACTCGACGCTGTTGAGCTTGATGCTGACGCTGAATCCAGGTTTGGTGCGGCGGCGGATCTCGTTGGCGACTTCGATGATGATGCGGGAGCGGTTCTCGAGGGAGCCGCCGTATTTGTCGGTCCGCTGGTTGGTGGTGGGAGAGATGAATTGGGCTAGGAGGTAGCCGTGGGCTATGTCGAACATCAGTATACAAATTCTGCTTCGGCGGATTGGTAAACATACCTCCGTGCAGCTCAACACCGTCAAAGCCTGCTTTCTCCAAGTACTCCGCGGCATGGGCAAAACCATCAATCACCCCATCAATGTCTTCCTGTGATCAGAAAACCCATTAGCTCCGCGTCTCATTACAACGGTCACGATTCAAACATACCTGACTAGCCTCCCTCGGCTTCGCAAACGTCATTCCCATCATCTCCCCCTCCAACTGCACCGCACTGGCACTAATCGGATTCTTCTGAATCCGATCACTGACCTGTCGACCCGGATGGCTGACCTGCGCGACGAGCAGAGCACCGCCACCCTTCTTCGTCTCGGTGGCCAACGCCTTAAACCGCTCGAACCGCTCGCCTTCGAAGGGAGCGTCACGGGGGACGATGGGGTTGCCTGCGGCTTCGAGGTGCTCGGGGTCGATCATTACGTTGCCGGTTAGGATGACGCCGTAGTTCTGTGGGAGTTGTTAGCATTTCTCCTGGACAAATTTTCCGCACTTCCACAAAAGGGCCACTGGCGAAGGTGTGGCGAAAACGATGTATTCTTTTGAAGAGGATATTGTACTCACCCCCTCTCCCCACCGCCTATAGAGATTAATCAACTCCCTCGACGGAACACCCCTCGACTTGACATCAGTAGGCGACCAAGACGATATCCGTTCAGTCATTGCACCCTTGAGGAAGCGATTCGGGGTCGTCCGGCCACTGAACTCGAACTTCAGCGGCTGACCCAATGGGCTCGCATCGGCTTCTGTCGAAGGCCATCTTGCTGATGGTGCCATGATATCAAATGAAGCTATGAAACGGTATGGGATAGATGTAGGAGCAGGGGTACTGAGAAAAGGCGAAGAAGTCAACGAGTTCTTCTTAAGCAAGGTTTGAGATATAGCCTTTCGAAACAACAGATCTCGCAAGTGCGCTTAGAAATCGACATCACCTACCTTCCTGCCTACCGCATTATTCAGCGAGGTTTGCCGTGGTGGATATATGACCTTCTAGCGTCCTTTCAACCCAAGTATGACCTCCTAGCGGGTCTTCGCTGAACGCTAGAAGGTCATATTGCAGCTTCACAGGTAGCCGAGGTCCTCAATGATCAGAGTTTGGGAGCGGCGTTCGGAGCAAATTGTCGTCGTGACGGCCGCATATCAGTTTTGTGAAGTGTGATGTGCCGAGTGTACGGGGTGTTTGTGTGGCGATGGAGGAGTAAGTCAGCGTGATGCGAGGCTGAAAATTGCCTTGCATTTGCATTGGATTCGGGAGCGGCCTAAACGGGAGCTGCGATCGGCTTTTCTGGCCCCAATGACCGGAATGACAATGTCAGAAAGTAGGGATATATGTCAGAAAGTAGGTACATACAAACAGGTGTAGCTTTGCGAGTGCTAGATGGATTGCACACGTCGAGCATCCAGCTAAACGGTCCCGCCTAGCATCTAACCGATCAAGGATGAAAGACGAGTCGCGGAGAATGAACAGCAGCGATTGACAGGGCAAAGAGTACCTTCGTAGCTTCCGTCAAACGAATTTCTTCTACTATTCGAGTCTCGAAGGTACCACTGATATCTTCAACACCCCGACCTTCCTGGTGAAGTCTTCTTACAAGAGACGAGAATCCAGCTCCACGCTCCACAGCACAGTGCTGCCTCCACAAACACCACGCAATGCTTCCCGTATGCACACTCCCAAGTCCCTTATTCACACACATCCTATATCATACACATCCCACCATCCTCGTCTTACAATCTCTCCAATCTACCGTCCCATACCCGGACCAGCGCCCTGCGCCGCCGCAGCGTTCTGCTCCTGGAACCGCTCTCCTATCCTCTCCGAACTCTTGAAGAACTTGTCCACGCAGCGCATCACGCAGCCCTCTTCCTTGCCTAGGAGGCTCTTGGAGGTGAAGTCGGTGACGCAGTCGTTGAAGCAGCGTTGAACGAGGTTGGAGTAGGTCTGATGGATGATTAGTATTGGCTCGAGGAAAATGTCCCAAAGGGTTGAGCGTACATTCATAAAATCCTTCATCTGCTTCTTCTCCATGCGGCTTTGGAGCTCGCGCTGCTCGGCCTGGCTAAGTCTGCGCTGGCATTAGCTCGAGTCCTTGTTCGTGCGGTCGTGTGACTTGCTGGTCCATTCCGCTCATGTTGGCGGTGTTGCGGTTGGAGTGGTTGCGCGACTGATCTGATCTTCGATTCAAGAGCTCGTGATGACGAGGCTGTTTCAGAGATGCAGGATGATCTTAGCGGGAGGTTGTTATACACAGGGTAGTAGCTATCCCAAACAAGACCTTGAGATCGAACTGAGGCTCTCGAGAACTTCGGTTCGCTCGGCTAGGCCCGACGGGAGCCCGCCGCTACCTCCTAGCGTGATGTCCTGTTCCTGCTAGAAAATACATTTGTGCAACAACACCATCCTTGGCCTCGAATATGCAATACAACAGCACGTGAACGATTGATCTTCCCTCCTACACCACCTTACTTGAGCCACGTCGTAGCACGTCATCCGCCAGTTCGTGCAGGAAGTGAGATGATAGTCATATGTAGCCAAATATAGACCCTGGCTCTACTGCGTGACCGAGTTGCGGGCGAAGGTGGTGTGGACAAAGCCCTGAAACGCAGCCTTAACACCCGCCCCGAAACGGCCGCATGCAGTCTCGTGGTCTTGATTGACATCATGTCCGCCTGTCACATGTAGGACGTGGTAGTGTGGTAGAAGAGATACTGTATAGCAAGAGTGGGCAGCACGAAGCGAAGAAAGTAAATTGGCCAGCGCCTCGCCTCATTGCGCGCCAAGGCCAAAAGGAGCTCTGGGAGATCAGCGCTGGTCCTGCCGGTCGCAAGCACACCACTCCACCACTCCACCTCCTCCCCCCCGTCCCACTGCCTCAGCCCGCGCACATCGTTGCCCTTCCCAGCCTTTCGCAGCAGCAGCTCCATCGCCCGGAGTCACGGGACAGTGCAGAGTGCAGGTGGCAGCCACACGTCCAAACCCTGTCGCGACGGGAGAAAGACGCCTCGAACGCCTCGAACTCTCTCCTCTGTCCACCCCGACTTCACCTCTCTCCGAGGCTCAACAGCAGTATTAACAACCGCCTCTTACCCGTACACAGCACAAGTCGCGTCGCACCGTCCGGGGAGGTTTATTTGCTTAGGCCTTCGATCCTTTGCCTGGCGCTGCACTTGCCCTCACCCAACGCCAACACAGCACGTCAGTCAGGCGTTAGCTCGCTGCGCATTCCGAACCTCAAGGGCAGACGACAAGTAACGGTGTTGCACGAGCGCCGCTGGATGGTGTAGCAGCATGGCGCACGTGAGCGCTCCGACCGCCCAGGCTGCTCATGCCGGCCCCAGAAGCGCTGCACCACCACCGCAACCACCGCCGTCGCAGCAGCAGCAGCAGCCTCCGCAGAGTGAACGGTCAGAACAGAAGAGAAATCTGGCGACATGGTGGAACCAGTTTAAGAGGAGTGATAAGAAGCCGCAGGAGCAACCAGGTGCGTAGACGTTTTCGTGTTACGGGGTGTGTGGGCACCGCATGCGCTGGCCGTCAGGTCGCATGTATTGGTCACGAGCGAGCCTCGAGGCGGCGCCATTGGCAGCACAACGCTTCCGGTGTGATGCTGTGTACTCGGCGCTTCCGTCTCACTTCCGCGCGGTCGTCAATCATCGTAACAACTCTGACCTTTTAATCAGCAGCACCGCAAGGCATCTTCGGCGTGCCCTTGCAGGATAGTATCCGGTATGCGAACGTCGCCATCAGCCTGTTCAACGACGCGGGAGAGAGCTACATCTACGGTTATGTGCCGATTGTGGTGGCGAAGTGTGGTGTGTTCTTGAAGGAGAAGGGTATGTTGGACTGCAGAGCTGGTCGTATACATGTCAGGACTAACTATTTCCACAGCCACGGACGTCGAAGGCATCTTTCGACTGGCTGGGAGCGAGAAGCGCATCAAGGAGCTCAAAGTCTCATTCGACTCTCCAGACCGGTATGGCAAGGGCCTGGACTGGACTGGGTATACCGTCCATGATGCCGCCAACATCCTCCGGAGATACTTCAACCAGCTTCCCGAGCCGATAATACCGCTCGACTTCTACAACCGCTTCCGGGAGCCTCTGCGAAATCACCAAGCGCAAGCTGTGGGAGAACTGGAGGCGCAAAGTCCGAGCGTGGGCCACTTCGACCACAATGCTGCCATCAGACGGTTTCAAGGTCTCATCACCGAGCTACCGCCACTCAACCGGCAGCTTCTGCTCTACATCCTGGATTTGCTGGCGGTCTTTGCGAGCAAGTCGGACCTCAACAAAATGACGACTGCAAACTTGTCAGCAATCTTCCAGCCAGGCATACTGAGCCATCCTCAACACGACATGGCACCGCCAGAGTATCGGCTGAGTCAGGACGTGCTCATCTTCCTGATCGAGAACCAGGACAGCTTCCTCATAGGAATGCAGGGTACAGCTGCGGATCCTGAGACGGTCAGAGAAGTGCAAAGCGGCAGCCCAGCGAAGCCTCCCGGAACTCCCACCACTCCCGGCAGGTCCAAGACTATCGTCGGGCGGACAGCGTCAAATGCAAGTGCTGGAGCCGAGAGCGTGGGCAAGTTTGGTAGCATCAGGCGGAATGTCTCACTATCCAGCAGCAAGCGAAGCAAACGCTCGGACGGCGGACCCACGATTGTGGCTGGTCTCATCACAGACCCTGCGACGCCTAGCAGTGGCGTACATCGAAGTAACACTGTGCCGTCACGAAGAGGCGGGAGCAATACTGCTTCTCCTCGCTTCCCGCAGAAGAACTCGGATCCTGCGACGCCCAGTCCCAGCAATACTTCCGCGGTCAATGTCGAGGCCAGCAAACAGCGACAAGAGTCACTGCAGAGCACACCTGTTGTTGGTATTGCGCCGCAGTTCCCAGCAGCACCTCATGTCACATCTGCCTCGTCAAGCGAGGCCACCACACCTTTGGCACGCATAGGGAGCGACACTTCATCTGCTGTGGGTCGCGACTATCAGACACCCAAGAAAGATACTACGCCGCTTCTTTCACCTCCTCCAGGTGGTGAGCGCAAGACAGAGCGTTCACTGTCTGGCACACCTTCAACAACCTCAGGTCGAGCACTTCTGGATATCTTCAAGCAGTCGCCAGGTAGCGATGATGGCAGGAAGCCGAACAAGCTGCAAAAGAAACGCATCCCAGGTTCGGCTTTGTCAAGCGCACAGTCATCGAACCAGTCTTTGCCACACGATGGAGCAAGCGATGCTCCTCAGAGGTCACCAGTCATTTCGAACTTCCCACCGGCGGCTTTCGTCATGGCTGAAGGAAGAAGTGAGGATGCATCGGCGCAGGTCACGCCAACTGGTACTTCGCTTCAACCACAACAGGAGACACCACGAAAAATTTCTGGGGAGAACGCCCTGCGACCTTCCGTCTCGCCAGCTCATTCTTTCCACTCAACAGCAGAGTCAGACGCGGACATGGTCGGCGACGACCTGCCGCAGGAACAAGTTCAGCAGCCAGAGAAGGAGAAGAAGAGGCATCGATGGAGGTTCTCAAGGACGCAGAACAAGCTGGATTCAACACCTCAAGGCTCGCCGAATCCACTCGGCACAATGACCGCTCAAGATCAAACGACCTCGCGGTCTACCATCGGCAGCAGCGGCGCAGCACCAAGGGGAAGCTTCCAAGATCCGACTCCTGTCAGAACGACACCTTCCGACCCATCCTCGGGCACACCGTTTGGCAGCCCGCCAATGCAGCCGCAGTCGGACACGGGGGTCTTCTCCGACTCGGAGCGTGAGAAGAGGAGCGGGCCGATTTCCTGGTTCCGCAAGCATCTAAAGGACGGCGGGAAGGAGAAGGAATATGAGAAACGTGCGCGCACCCCGGAAAGGAGGACGGGTAGCAAGCAAGATCTGGGTGTGATGAACGAGCCGCTGCCTGGGCGGGGCAAGTCGCTTGAGCAGCAGAGGGTTGGTTCGGGAACGGGAGCGGGGTTTGCGGCAGGAGCTCAGCAACAGCAGCAGCAGCAGCAACCGCAGATGCAGACGAGTGCTGGTGGGAGTCCGCATGCTGTTACTGCCGCGCAGGCTGCGCTTGGACATGCCGGTGGATCGACAACAAGGAGTGTGAGGAGTCCGAGTTATGGGGCTACTTCGGCGGCTAGTGCTGCTGCTGCTTCGCCTGCGGTGGCGCAACCCGCGCCTACGAGCGCACCTGCGATGACACCGCAGCCGACGACGAATACGACGGCGCCGCAATCAAGTGATGCTGCCGCCCCAGCGCCAACAGGAGTGCCAACGGCAACGGTGGGGGAGAACATGACTACTTCCGAAAATCCGAGCGTCCCGGAGAGAGCAGCAGAGGCAGCACCACCACCAGCCGTGCCCATGGCCTCTACAACCGGACAACACGAAGAAGTCGCCCAGACGGGGCAGGAGAGCAGCAAGAATGAAGAAGGAGGAGGGCAGTCGGAGCTTCCGCTACGGTAATGCACAGCGGTCGTGCAGCGAGCGGTCTGAACGGACGAGACGGTCTGAACAAAGGGGAGGGAGAGGGATGTGGAGGGACGTGGAGGGAGAGGAAAGCAGCATACACTTCACCGGTGGCAATAGTATGTATGTACATGCGCGTGCGCGTCGCCAGCCAGCGCGCTGGCATTTGGATGATGAGCGAAGAGAAACGTGAGAGGAGGGGAGGGGAGGGGAGAGAGTGGGTTTTACTTTAGTCTTGTAATATTCTGTTTTCACACTTTTGCTAGGGCTTTACATTACTTCTCATACTCCGAGCTCGACAAGCAAGAGACAGTGAAAGCGGCCAACCGGGTTTAGTTGGCTGGCTTCTCCAACTTGAGATTGCCGCCAAAATGGCCACAACATTCTCGTCAATGAGCTGTCAATGTTTGTGAGAAGGTCCCTTGTAGGTACGCTGCTCGGCTCGCTCTGATCTAGTGGGCCGCTTTCATCACCGTCGAGAGCTTGCTCGAGTATCGACTTGATGTGCACCGCATCCATCGCCTCGTACCTCGATTGTTCTAGCCTACATGTAATGATGATGGGGATGCTGCGCCTCGCTCACCTATAGCCAGCCAGTTGTGCTATTATAGCCTGTAGTGAGGAGTATGGGTTAATGTCGCTCGGTGTACCACAAGCAGCTATAGGACAGGGACCGGGGTGGCGGCTCCGCGGTTCTCGCAACGCTGCTTGGCTGGGCCGGAGCGAGACCCAGAGCCGCGTTCTTCTCGGCGGGTCAGCTAGGAATAGAAGTTTAGGTCCACCTTCAACGCTTCTGCACGCCGCGGAAGCCTGATCTCCCAAGCACCGGAGCTCTCCTCTGCTACACCTAACCGAGCACGTCTAGCAAGCAAAAGAGCACATCGTCCCGTCTTCTGGCAGTAGAGCAGAGATTTTGGTTGTGCGTAATGAACGACAGCGAAAGGATGAAGAAAGCGCCGCCTATTCGGGATCTACGGCAAGGAATGCACGGGATTTTCGCTGGGCACTGTGGGCAGGGAATTTGAGAATGACGGATTGGCTGAGACGCACGGGACTAGATGGGGACTGAGGGTCGTCGTCACTGGCGGAGACCAGAGAGGGAGACGGGGGTTGTTTCAGCACGTGCGTCGAGTATAGGCGGTTCTGATGGGGGATGTGGTTGATATGTGCGCTTGAGAGATCTGGTATTAGGGAATCCGGGGTGGTGTTGAATGACATTGCTGTGGTATTGGTGACACGTCGGCAATGGGTGTTGAAGATAGTATGGTGAGGTGGTTATAGTATTGGGAAAAGGCCAGACGATCATCAGCGGCGACTCGGGTGGTATTCACAGAACACACAAGCTTCTCCTTCTCCACCCTCACATCCGTTGATCCCAGCAGCCTGGCCCTGGTCGCCTCTTCGTCTTGTCTTCCTAGGACCCATTACCGTTCTACCGACTACATCCATACTTCTCTCTCGTTCTTCTCTGCACATACCAATCACCCAATTGCATTGCCGTTCAGCGTTACGCTCGTTCATCACGTCTTGGGTATCTCGGATTTGCTTTTGGATTTGGAGAGGGACTGCGAGATATAGGGCCAGCCACGAAAACGGCGGGTGGCTGACTGCACGAGCATTGTTAACGGATTATCCTACCTCTGGTGCGTGACGTGGAAGTTTGGGGGCAGCATCTGTCTGACACCTCGATCTGCCTCTCAACTATCCTCTTCAAGACAGCGCTGATGAGACGATAGAATAATCCCCCATTTTGGGATACCACCACCCACCATGCCCACCCTCCGCTCCCTCCTCCTCCTCGCCCTCCCCATCACCACCCTCTGCGCACCGCACCACCAACCCGACCGCGAAGAAGACGACCTCTCCCTCGACGAAATCGTCAACCTGCTGCCCAAAGAATCCCTCGACTCGGCCCTCCACAACAACCTCGCGCCCAAATACCGCGACGGCGTCTTCGAGCACGGCAAGAAGGCCATCGAGGCCGTGTCGCAGCATGATCCCGAGTTGGCGACAAGACTGGTGGATGCCGCGCTGCATGAGCAGATTGAACGGAGGGATTTGAGGAAGAGGCAGAATTCGAATGGGACGGAGAGTACGACACAGGATTCCGGGTCGGAGACTACGACGAGGGATTCGGGTGAGGATACCACGACGCAGGAGCCTTCTGAGAGTACGACGGTGGTGGAGAGTTCGGAGCCGACGACTGAGCCGACGACGAGGGAGCCGACGACGGTGGTGGTTACGACAAGCAGTGAGGTTGTGGCGCCGAGTACGACGAGGGATGTGGTCATTACTACTACGGAAAGCAGTACTGTTGGTAAGTGGATGTCTTTTTCGTGGAGTTGAGATGATGTCGACGTCTTGAATAAGGGATTTGAGGAAGTGGCTCTGCGAAGGGCTATTGACTACTAATTTCGAACGATGACTGATACATCTTATGCTCGCGTTGGTGCGCGCCACGAAGACATGACCTGAAGCTAACGAGAGTATAGCAGTGACCTCAGACAACGGTGGTGGCGCGACAAGTACTCCTGACAGTGGAAGCCAAACTACCAGCGACAATAATGACAATGGCAGCGGCACTACAAGCAATGATAATAATGGCAGCGGCAGTGCTACGACGAGCAACGACAACAATGGCGGCGGCTCGACAGCAGACAGTGGGAACAACAATAATAATGGCGGCGGCGGCTCGACAGCAGACAGCGGGAATAATAACAACAACGGCGGCGGCTCGACGGCAGATAGCGGGAACAACAATAATAATGGCGGCGGCTCAACAGCAGACAGCGGGAATAATAACAACAACAACAACGGCGGCGGAAGCTCTGAAACGCAGACCGGCGTCATCATCCCCATCACCCAAACCACCACCGACGACTCCGGCGACACGATAACGCGAACGACTTCCGCCTTCCAAGGCTCCGCGCCAACGAGCACCGTCATCCCCGTCACCACCACAAACGCGCAGGGCAACGAAGTCACGACTTCCACCACTGTCCCAGCCGCTCTCGTCACAACAACAAACGGCCGCGGCGAAACCATCACCTCCGCCTCGCCTCTCCAAACCGTAGCAGTCGCCCACGGCACCATCGTCGGCGGCAGCAATGGAAATAACAACGGAAACGGCAATGGAAATGGCGGAGGAGACGACGACTCCGACACCGATTCCTACACCACGACCGACCAATTCGGCAACTCCGTCGTCCTCTCCGGCACCCGCGGCGGCCAAGTCGTCACCACCACCGACTCCCGCGGCCGCACGGTGGTAATGACCTACCACCCGGGCGGCGGCGCGGTGAGCCGTCTGATTGTGAAAACCACCAATCTCCCCGGCGGCGGCCGCTCGACTATCACCTCTTTCGCCGCTGTGGGCGCGCCGACGCAAGGCTCGGACAACGAATCCGAGAAGACGGGGAATAAGGGCTTGCAGAGCGGGGCGTCGCATTCGACGAACGGGCGGTGGATAGGGGAGGTTGCGGCGTTGGTTGGTGGGGCGGTGGGAGTTGCTGCTGTTTTACTCTGATGAGGGGAGGTGTGTGTGATGGGGCTGGGAAGGGAAGGGAAGGGATGTATATCTGTACATGTGTTGATGATGTTATGGCCGCTCCTTTGCTTAGTCGACGAATATGTGGGAAATGCATATGGGCGGTTGGGTGGGAAAATGGAGTGGGTGCATATGGGGTGGGCGCATTTAGTTTAATCGACAGACAGAATTGAAATGACATTAACTACATGTACCTACCTGCAATCGTGTACGGTTTGTTTAAGTGTGAGGCAGCGTACGATCGTCATCTTAATCCAAGCGTACGTGAGACATCCATGTATCTTGAGGTACCTTATGCAACTAGAAAACTCCATGTTATTGCCAGAAGTGATATGAACGCCAATGCCAATGCCAAGGGACGATGTTGTCAGCCAAGTGAACGAAGAAGGCGCGGGTGAAACCTGCTTCACCGAGTGGCAGTGACTGGTACAGGTATGCTTGCCACTTCATAGCCACACCATCGGCATCAAAACCGCATCATCTTCAAACGTCGTGAAACTGAAGCAGAAAAACACACATCTACTTCCACTTCGAAACGCAAACCTCGACACCTTACTTCGTTGACACGAGAGAACAGCTACGGGGACAAGAAAGACCGACATCAACATCAACCCATCGACAACCCATCGACATCTCATCAAAACCAACTCACAACAACCGCAAAGCATAAAGGACCACCATGCCTTTCCTCTACCACAAGCGCATCGGGGGTAAACACGCCAGTAAGCCCCTCCTCACCCTCTTCCCCTCTCCTCCCGCTCCCCTCTCCCCCTTCCTCTCCCTCGCCCTCCTCTCCTTGGCTTCCCATGCACGTATGCTGATATTTATGTTGGAAAAAAGGCACAGGCGTAACAGCCGACCGCCACGGCGTGCGCCGCTCGCCGTGGAGGTTTAGTCTGGGCAGGTTTAGCTGCTTCAAGTAGGGTCGGGGGGTATGTACGCCGTCATCTCCATCTACCCAAATCTGGACGTTGGTGCTGACGGGAAGGTGCGTGTAGCCGCGAAGACCGAGACCCGTGAGGAGGCCAAGGAGGGTGAGGAACGTCATTGTGAGGGTGTGATGAGGTGTTGTGAGGGTTTGAAGTTCTGCAATCGCGGCATGCCGAGGGTGAACCTGGGAGCTGGTTGATGAAGGATGGGCAGCGATGGCGTTTGGGACCTAGTAGCGGATTTCTTGCTCTGGGAGAGGGGGGGAGATATCTATCTTTTAATCGATTGTCGCAATGTTTACATCCGCCTTCCCTACTGTCTACAGAGCCTCACTGTCGGGAAAATCTCAATGTTTTGGGGTCACTTACGCACGGCTCTGAAAAACACAGCTCACGTGTTGGCTCGGAGAAGACTCGACCTCCTACTGGCCTGCTCGTGTTCTCACAACTGCCTATTCTGGCGATGCCGCTAGCGGAGTGCTTAACCCCGGCGTCCGACCTCAGCCTTGTCGAGCAGTACAGCGACCGTTGACATGCTCGATACTACTCCTCAGCTATGGCATACAGCTCCCAATGGCTCGCAAAACAGTGTCGGAGATATGGCGTACCTCCCCGATCAGCAGCAGCATGAAGCGTGTATATAAGACGAGCCATGCAGCCCCCATGGATCAAAGCATCTGCTCGATGAGCTTCTTATTCATTCAACCACCAAAGCCCTCGACATGACCTCCAGAACCATCCTCGTGACCGGCAGCAACAAAGGCATAGGCCTTGGCATAGGCCTTGGCATCATCCAAGCCATCGCCGTCCGCTCCAACAGCACCACCCTCATCCTCACCTCTCGTTCCAAGACCAAGGCCGAAGAAGCCATAGCCGACCTGCAAGCCAAAGGCTTCACGAACCCTTTCTATGCCGTTGAAATAGATATCACGGACGACGCCAGTATCCAAGCAGCCGTCGCGGAAGTCGAGCAGAAGTTCGGACGGCTGGATGGTCGGTCCAGCGCCGTTTCCCCTTTGCCAGAGCCAGGCTGACGGCGTCCCAGTCCTGATAAACAACGCAGGCATCGCCCTCCGCGAACGGGCCTCCCTATTATCCGACCCCTCCGCCCTCCGCGCAGCCTGGTCCACGAACCTCGAAACGAACGTCACTTCGATCCGCGTCGCAACCGCTTGCTTCCTGCCGTTACTCCGTCAATCAGCAAGTCCGCGCGTGATCAACGTCTCCTCTGCCCGCGGGTCCTTCGTACGTCTCTTCTCCCCTATTCCTTCGCGAACCGCCAACTAACCCATCGTACAGAGCCGCGCCCTAGCAACCAAGGAGACAACACATCCCAGTCCGCCCTACTCAACCTCCAAAGCCGCGCTCAATTTCCTCACTCTCCTCCTCTCGCGACAGCATCCGGACGTGGCGTTCTACGCCGTCAGCCCGGGACATTGCAAAACAGCTCTGAACGGCTTCATCGGGAAGAAAGATCCGGTGGACGGCGGGAAAGCGGCAGCTGAGCTGGCGGTGGCGGAGGAGGGTACGTATACGACAGGAACCTTTTGGGAGGACGAGGGGAGCGGGATGGTCGAGGTGGGTTGGTGAGTGTGGGAGTGTATTAAGGTTTGGCGAGGGTCATGTGATGGGTTGTCTCGGGTGATGGTGTACCTGCGACGAAATGTCTCGCATGTGACAGCCTGCATGACCAGTCCATCAGACTCGAGGCAAAGTCAATCTTTGCATCTCCTAAAACACGAGAAAGAACAAGTACTCACCTGCCGCCGTCACTCATTCTGAACCCGTGCAATCACTACGCATCCACCATGCTTTCTTCCTATCCCGTCTTTCCTCCTCGCTCGTCTTCGCGTCTATCTCATCCTCCGTGTCACCACTCACGATCTCGTCAACCCGACACAACGCGAAAATGTCGCCGACAAACACCACCAACTTCCCCCACCCCTCCCAGCCCGACGCAAATGTTCGCCACGTCCACTTCTCCGATACATACAACCCATCCTCGCTCTCCCTACGCCTAACACTCGGTCCAAAGGACCATCCAACAATGGTCGTGCGCATCAGCATCTATTTCGAGAGCGGTCGAATGCCAAGGATTAAGATCCGGACGAAGAAGCCGAAGGAAAAGCGGAAGAGGAGAAGAAGCAGAGACGGTGACGGGAGAGATGCTTGAGCAGACGCAAGAAAGGGAGGAGAGCAGGAAAAACATTGTTAGCGGTCCTTGGATATCGTTAACGCGGCGGCATACCTTCGCCTCCAGTCCGCTTTCGAAACGCCACACCAAACGCCAGCGCTGCCCGGCATACATCTTCAACCACACACCAACACCATTCCAACGCCAGATCCCCAATCGGAGGGCCGAACATGCACGCTCATCTCCCAGTAACACCATCCGTCCTCCCATCCGCACCCGCCTCCGCCTCCTCACCCTTCCCCGGGTTCAAATAATCCGCTCTCTCCGCCTCCTCATACTCCCTCACCAGCTCCCCCACCACCTCCCTCGCCTCATCAAACTCCCCCAAACCATCGCGGAAAGGCTCTTCCCGTTTATACTGCTCAAGAAAAGCGTTCCGCTTCCGCAATCGCTCGTACTGGAAAATGGTGCGTTTGAAGAGCGTGGCGATGCCGGTGTGGTTCGCCAACATGAGGCCGGAGACCCGCGGTGGGGTGCGAGAGGAGTAGGGCGGGTGGAGGTAGGGGGATGTGCGGGTGAGGGCAACTTGGATGGATGCGGGGCCCCAGGGGATGAAGTTTGCGAGGTTGCGTTCGCGGATCCGGAGGAGGGATTTGTGGACCTATTCATTCACATTAGTGGGTAAAGGATGACGAGATGGGGATGGACGATTACGTCTGTAGGGTCAGCTTCGCCCATGATGATGTTGAGAATCGAGATATAGCAGCTCGTTTTGCTTGGCTTCGTAGACACCATCTGGTTCTTCGGCTGTAGTAATCTTCTCATCACGTCCAGGACAGTTGTCTTGCGCACGGTTTTCGCCGCCTCGACATTGTCTCCCGTAAAAGGCGTATAGCTCGTCTGCAGGAAGTGACAACGCGGCGTGGGGATGAGGCTGGCCACAATGCCGACCAAGTCATTGTGCATGTATCCCGGATATCGCAATGTATTGGTGGACGCGGACATCACAGTACTAACAAGGCGGTTCGTTTGCTGGAAGGACGGTTCTTGAATGTGAAGGGTATCGGCCGCCATGCGGGCAAGGGCGCCGTTGTCGAGAACGACCACGGAGTCGGCATTTTGTGTCAGTCGTCGAAGCGCAAGTAGGGAGTTGTAGGGATGCACCACCACGTTTCCAGCGTTCTGCGAGTCTTCGAAGACGGAGTATGTCTGTATCAGCTTCTTCGGGAAGCGGTCGTTGAGCCGCTCCAGGAAGAAAGATCCGAGTCCAGAGCCAGTACCGCCAGAAATTGAATGGAGCAGCATGAAGCCCTGCCTCTGTACATCAGCTTCTCTCCTCTTTCCTACCTTCATGAATAGGATTCTTACCTCCAAACTATCACTTCCATCCGCCTCCCGCTCAATCATATCCAACACCTCCTCCTCCACCTGCCCGCCCATCGCATACCCGGCCGCCCAATTATTCCCCGCCCCCGTCCCGCCCTTGTGCACATAGAAGTTCTCCGGATTGTAGATATTTTTGTACGGCCCTGACTTAATTCCATCTAACACCCGCGGTTCGAGGTCTAGAAGGATGGCGCGCGGGATGTAGCGCGTGTCGTCGGACTGGTAGAAGAAGACGTCTTTGCGGTCGCCGCCTTCTGTCGCGAAGGGCTCGAGGTGGCCGTCGCTATTGATGCCATGTTCGAGGCAGAGCTGTTGCCAGAATTGGGAGCCGACTGGGGTGGATTAGTATGGTATGTAGGAGGGGGTGGGGGGGTGTGTACCGCTGTTGCCGCATTGGCCGGCTTGGAGGGTGATGATCTCTCTGGAGGATTGTTAGTATGAGTGTCATGGCTGAGACGTATCGTTACTAACCGCGGCATCTTCACGAGTGGCTCAAGACATGTGTGGTGTGGTCAATCAAAAGAGCATGTGGTTGAAGTCGCGGGGTGACGCGAGGTGGGGTCCGTCCCACGCGCAAGTCTCGCGACGGCAGAGTATGAAGCACATTTTCACATGATCGAAATACCTTCGGGACTCCTACCCATCGCTAGGATGGGAACGTGGTAGTACCTTACGCCAATAAGAGGCCATAGTCGAACGCGATGAGGTATCAGATTGCTTCGCGAGAAGCTGACTCCGCGAGGAAGCCATGTGCCAGCATCTATCTGCCATCAATCTTCTAATCCTTCCAGCCTCACTCATCACTTCTTTCTCGCCCCCTGGAAGTCTTCCTACTCCCGCCTCTCAATCAACGCCCTGCTTGCCACCGGTCTGAACATCCTCCGGTACAGCCATGCCATGACGCTCACCCAAAGATACACCCTCATGATATCCAAATACCCCAGGGCTCCAACCGGCATCCAGTTTTCTGGGGTCGTCTCATCGAACCGTTCGCAAACATCCAGAAACTTGGCGACATCATCCGTGATAACCCCATCAAGCTGCCGTCGTATACACCACTCCATCTTCGTCCTCTCGTTGACCGTCCATGCATACACCTCCCACCCTTCCTTTCTGGCGTCACGCAAAAACCGTCTCCCTCCAGGTGCGATAAGCATCGGCAACAGCATGTTAAAGCTCACATTCGGGATCTCCAGGAAATGCCGCGCATACGACACCGAGAAGCCGATATTGCTGACTGGGAATCCAGGACAATGCTCAAGAGCAAGCGGCAAGAATTTTGCGGCCCAAATCCCCATCACGATCCTCTCCTCCCACCTCTTCCCACCCTGCGCAGGCGGGACAGCCGCGATCGTCGACCCGAGTAATCGCATAATCTGCTCCGCCGAATTGCTCAGCTTAATATCCAACATCACCCACACCTCCTCCAAACCGGGCTGCGCCAAGTACTCCAACAAGTCCTGCAACCGCGCCATCGCCTCCCCTTCCGTCCTGATCCCAGCTTTCGCCTTCGCTTTATCCCCCTGTCCACCACCCACCGTCCGCATCTTGCTTATCTCGTCCCAGGTGCAGTCTTTGATCTTGCGATCAACGCCGAAGCATCGCTTTAAGCTGGGATCGTGGCTCAGGACCACTACCTCATCTTTCGTCACATGCACGTCCGTTTCTAGCGCGTGCGCGCCGGTGGATATGGCGCCTCGGAACGCGCGCATGCTGTTCTCGGCGTATTTGGCGCGGTAGCCGCGGTGGGCGATGCATTGTGGTCGGCGGCGCTTTTGGGCGTCCAAGCGGTAGCGGGTGAAAGTTGCTTGTGGAAAGTCTCTCAATGGTGGAACTGTGGTGGGTGCCTGGAGCTCTTCGACACCGGGTTGGGTAAGCATGGGAGGGGCATTGAGGGCGCTGGGGATGCGATGGAGGAGGTCGTCGCCGCTGCCTGCTGCCGGGGAGGGGTGGTCCGGGGACATCTTGCGAGCGCTGAAGCTGCGCGCAGAGGTGCTGATGGCGCGGTGGAAGTGTTGTCGCGACCGGACTGGGGCTGCTGCGGCGCGGCTGAGAATGCAGCGGGGTAGAATGGTCGCGGTAGAGTGGAGGAGAATGTTAGACGGAATGGAGGAAGTGAAAGGTGGTAAAGACGGAAAAAGCAAGCAAGGAGCGGCAGACCTCATGCAATACCTACCGTCGGCAGCGGTCAGTCGACCTCCTCCCTTCGGTCCATGGTGTGCGGTCTAGGGAGTTTTAAGCTCCAACCGGATCGTGCTATCTCCGAGCAACACGCCAGTCCTGATGCATCCTAACAGCCAGCAAAGGATGGGGTGCTGATGTTTTAGCGGCGTCAAGCTTCGCCATAACGGGGAGTTGGAGCATGTCTGCAGCGGCCGAAGTCGAGATGAGGACTGTTTTGGACGTACAAAGGATGGGTGTTGGTGGTGTTGCTCAACATGAGGGGCAGCGACCCGGGAGATCGGCCGGTGATCCGCTTCAAGCCTCGCTTGGCGCGTTATGGTTGTTCTGAACGTTGTTTTTAGCGTCGTCTATTAAATGACGGGCAGGAAGGTCTGGGCAACACCGTCGACTCTTCGCGACACAACATCATCGGCGTCTTGAATGCGAGCGGAGAGCGTGTCGACGGAGAAGGACAGAAAAATGTTAAAGAGAGGTCGACCAAGACTGGCTATCCCAAAATACCCCCTTGGCAGGGGCGAGCCAAGTGCCATACGTAAGTGATGAGCTCAACATCTATGCATCTAAATACTTCTCCATTTTCTTCTCCATCTCTTCCTTCTCGCTCCATCTTCAATCCTCCATCAACATTATCATCATGCGCTCCTTCACACCCCTCCTCGCCCTTGCGGCCACTGCCTCCGCCATCCAGCAAGGCTTCAACTACGGTGCCACGAACGCCGATGGCTCGTGCCGCAAGTACGAGGACTTCCACCGCATGTACACTCGTGCACAGGGTCTCGCTGAGCCTGGCTTCACCTCCGCACGCCTCTACACTTCCGTTCAGTGCGGCTCTCAGAATGCACCCATCGAGGCCATCAAGGCCGCTCTCGACACCAACACCAACCTGCTGCTTGGTGTTTGGGCTTCCGCGGGACAAGACACCGTCAACCAGGAGGTTGCAGCTTTGAAGCAGGCGGTCAACAACTGGGGCCCGCAGATGAAGCAGAAGGTCGTCGGCATCTCTGTTGGAAGCGAGGACTTGTACCGCAGCTCGCCCCAGGGCGTGGCGAACAACGCGGGTGTGGGCGCCGATGCTGCCGCTGTTGTGAAATACATCAAGCAGGTTCGACAGGCGATGAAGGGCACCGCGTTGGAAGGTGTCAGGATCGGACACGTGGACACTTGGACCGCGTGGGAGTTGCCTGAGAACGTTCCTGTGAGTACCATTACCGCCTCACAGAGCAAGTCGAAACAGTGCTAATGCTTTAGTTTTAGGTCGTCAACGCAGTCGACTGGCTCGGCCACAACAGCTTCCCTTACTTCGAGACCACCAAGAACAACCCCATCGGCCAAGGCAAGAACCTCTTCAACGAAGGCCTCTCCCACACGGAGAGCGCCGCCAAAGGCAAGCCCGTCTGGGTCACCGAGACCGGCTGGCCATCCCGCGGACCCAAGTCCAACGCCGCAGTCGCCTCGACCAGGAACCAGCAGAAGTACTGGCGCCAGGTCGGCTGCAGCTTGTTCGGCAGGCGCAACGTGTGGTGGTACACGCTCTACGACTCCAACTCGGCGCAGACAGAGCTGTCGTTTTCGCTTGTTAACGGAGACACTGCGACCAAGTTCCCGCTTGATTGCCCGTAGACTCTTCGATTCTACTGGAGAATTTTTGAGGTGGTATCTTATGCATAGCTAAGGCTGCATTGGAATTGACAGAATATCGGAGTCAACGGGGTGGTGGTTGTACATTGTGGGAGAGACCAAAAAAGTTATAGACGAAGAATAGAAAGATCTGTAATCTACATAACGACCCGACCACGGCTTACGCTCCTTCCACCACACCTCCCTTCCCGTTCACTCCATCCGCTGCCTCAACCGCTCCTCCGTCGTCTTGAACAACTTCGGCAAGCCCGTGTCCTCGAAGTCCTTCCCATTCGCAACCATCTCCACCACCCCCTTCGCCGTCAACCAAATAAACGCGTTCCCACCCCCGTTAAACCCCGCCAAAATCCACTGCCTCCCCTCCTTCCCCGGCACCTCCCCCACGTGCGCGAGCCCATCAGGCGTATACCCCTGGATCCCCGTCCACACCCTTTCCACCCCCGCCCCGCTCTCCTCCCAGCCTTTGAAGTGTCGCTGCATCAGGCTGTCGAAATGCGGGCGCGCTTCGGAGAGCTGCGTGCTGTCGTCGAAGTTGTCGTACCATTTCGACAACGAATTGCTGTAAGTCCAATTTCCGCCGCCGACGACGATGGAGCCGTCGGGGCGGGGATTGAGGTAGTCGACGCGGGATTTGCTGGTGGGTGAAGGACGGGCGTAGTTGATGTTGTAGGTGTGACTTAGATGCGGCGAGATCAGGTTCGAGGGTACGAGGTGGGAAGCGGTTCCGCGGACGGGGGTGATGGTTTCGTGGTAGGAGGGGCAGATGCCGGCGGTGTAGGCGTTGGTGGCGAAGATGAGTTTTTTGGCTTTTAGCGTGCCGCGGGGGGTGTGGATGATGCTGGCGCTGGGGTGGCGAGGGGAGGTGGAGTCGACGCTGGTGACAGGGGTATTGGTTTGGAGGTTCACTGCTTTGCGCTCGACGAGGCGGGCGAGGATCTGGGAGACGAATTTGTAGGGCCAGAGGGAGCAGATTGGGACGCTCAGGGCGAGTTTGGCGCCTTTAATTGATGTGACCTACCCTGTCAGGTCCGCTGAGCAGTGACGGGGATGGGAGGCTTACCTGCTCGATGTTCTTGCCCTCGATCATATCGACATCCCTCGTCCACCTCGCTCCCGCCTTGAGGTTGGCCAGGAAGTCCTTCTTCGCCTTCTCAGCTTCGTCCTCGTCAATGTAAACATCGTAGCTTCGTCGGAGTTCGAACTCGCAGTCCAGATTCTCCGTCTCAACGGCGTCCTTCAAGGCGTAGTTCTGAGCCATGACGAGATCGCGCACTTCCATGGCTAGCTCTGTACCGAACTTCTCGATGAGCCCATGCACTGTCGCTGTCTTCATCTTGACGTGGCCCTACAAATATCCTCAGCAACAGAAGTTCGGTACTTTCGAGGAAGGAAGGTCACTCACTCCATTCCGCCCAGTAGCACCCTCACACACTCGTCTCGCCTCCAGCATAACGATTGACGGTCTCTCCTTACCATCATGTAGCTTGTCCAAATGATAAGCCGTCGCAACGCCAGAGAAACCAGCGCCAATGATCGCAATGTCGCATTCTTCCGGTAGCTCTTCTGTCGAGCGATGGTCATCAATCGGGTGCAGTTCTGTTCGCCAGTACGGCACAGTCGCATCATATACCGGCTTGATCTGTGATCTTCGGAGTACGCCGCCGGCAGCGTCAACGTCTGTTATGTTTCTCATATCGATTGATGCGCCAAGAGGTTGATTGAGAAGAAATACGACTGGGAAAGCTTTTTGATGTTTGGTCTTGTTGGGTTGAGTTGGGAGGATGCGATAACCGCTTCGAGATCAGCAAGCGATTATGCAGAATCGGAACAACGACATGCCGATCAGCGGCAGGCATCAGGAATTGCTTCCAGGGCTCGCTGCTGGTCTCATGAAGGTCGTTGTCGTAGGAATCGGATTGGTATAGGGTGAGGGCTTCCGGGCTTGTCAACGAAAAGTAAAAGACCCACAGAAGATAGGCGTAGATTGTTCAAGACTGGATAGGACAAGATGAGCCTGGCGGCGAGACTGTTGTGATGCCGGCACGAAGACCAGAAGTTGAGTCTACTCGGTCAATTGGCCACATCTCAGTCCCAAGATATCCCAAGCATGATACCAGCTCCAGCAGCCATAGCCAAATACTGCATCGCCGTCGCCCGCAGCTCCTTCATCTTGTTCGGCCCTGTCTCCAGCATTTCTGGTATCACGCCAACTGTGCCCACATACAAGAAAGTTCCAGCTGTAAATGGCAGCAGTAGATCTCCCCAGTTGAGGCTGGTGCCTGCCAAACCCATGCCTTTGCCCACAACCTCCGCTCCGCCGCCACCGTACTCTTGCACGACGATGCCAATGATCGTGCCTAGGACTGCGCCAAGAGCGGTGACGAACTGCAAGCCCATGGCGACTTTCTTGCTCATCCCTCCCTGGATTAGCAACGCGAAGTCGCCAACTTCGTGTGGGATCTCATGACAGAAAACGGCAAGGGTTGTCGTTGCGCCGATTGTCGGAGATGCGTAGAACGACGAAGAGAGCGCCAAGCCGTCGGTGATGTTGTGCGTAAAGTCTGCCAGAATATTGAGGTACGCTGAAAGCTTGACCTCCTTCGGCTTCTCCGACGGCGGTGGCACTGTCGAGGCCACGTCCTTCGTAGCTTGCTTCCGCTGTCGTATCTCACCATCCGTGCTGGCCGACGAGCCCGTTGCGGCTGCTTTTTCAGAGCCAACAGCTTGCCCGTTCGACGACGCATCATCGTGTGAGTGTGTATGTCCCGCACCACCAGTCGCAATCCTCAAACCCTTGTCCATCCCTACGAATGTCACAAAGCCCACCATGATCGCTACTCCCAGCAGCAAGTTCTTATTCGGCTCTACCAGCACAGCTCTGACTTCGCCTTCGGGTACCTCGCCGAGGAAGATCTCGGGCATGAGGTGGAAGAACACGTCTCCTAATAAGCCGCCCACGGCGAACGCGACCATGATGATCAAACTGCTTGGGTCGACGTCGGTTGGGACGAGTGCGAGCAGAAAATTCGGTGGGCCAGAGATGTAGAGACATCCCATAAGGGAGTTGTACGCTGGCGAAGCGAAGGGGAACAGCAGCTTGAATGACTGGCTGAGCAGGGAGGGAGTGGTGCTGCTGTGCGATTGCTTGTGGACGTGCAAGGCCTGTATGATTGGGCATTGCTGGCCGGTCGTTAGTACTTTCTTTTCTTCATAGCACGTTGTGGTGTAGTCTTACTTGTAGTTCATCCTCGATCTCCTGCGTGCTCAATGATCCTATGTCGACCGCTGCGTTGTTGATCTTGGCATGGTCTTGAGCATACGCAAGACATATCAATGATAGCAGTATGGCGACCGGCGCCAGTTTGAGCAGTCTTGGAGCCATGTTTGTAGTGTTAACACCGATCACATGCTCAGGAGGTGTTGTTTTCACGTGAAGTCAGCTGGACCATGTACTCGGCTGACTTTCTCCTTTGGGCCGTACCTGCATCTCTCGAACAGAAATATTCCCGACCTCATCTCTGTCCATCACTCAAACCACAACGTCAAAATGGGTCGCGAACTACAAAAGCGCAAAAACCGCTCTTCGACACCCAGAGTGCGGAAGAAGCCCAAATCGAAGAAGAAGATCCTCTCCAACCACATCATCGCTGAGAACTGGGATCAATCTCTGACCTTGACGCAAAACTACCAGCGGATAGGCCTCACGGAGAAGCTGAACAAGCGAACCGGCGGCGTGGAGAGGAAGCCAGGGGAGGAGAAGCACGATGACCCGCTGAGTATTGAGGGGAAGCGGAGGAAGGCGAATGAAGTGCTAGATGTCCGGGAGGCGAAAATTCAGCGGGATCCGAGGACCGGCGCTATCCTGAGCATTCTGGATGATGGAGAGGAGAAGCGACCGAACCCGCTGAACGATCCACTGAATGATCTGGACTCCGAGTCGGACGACGACATGGAGGAAAGTTTTGATCAGCACGGGAGTGTCTATCCGACTGCTTCACAGAACGGCACTCAACCAAAGACCGATGTTGTGGCGAGATTGGAAGACGAAGCCAGTAGGCCTGCACCCAAGTACCAGCGGAAGCAGAGTGAGGGCGAGATAGCCTTCATTGAGGAACTGGTGCGGAAGCACGGAGATGATTATGGCGCCATGGCCCGCGACATGAAGGTCAACTACATGCAGCGCAGTGAAGGCGACCTGAAGAAGAGGGTGAAGAAGTGGAGGGAGAGAGGAGGAAAGGTCTGATGCTTGCTCCGGTCAGGCTGTACACCTTTTCGAGTTGCGTAAGATCAATACCTCGAGGCTCATCCATGCACAATGACCGCAAAGAAGGAGATACATGTGGCTACATAGCTACCTGATGGTCTAACTGCTGGGAAAGTGCAAAAGTATTCCGCACCACTACTACAGCACGCCCATTGGAGTCAACGCATCACGATGGACTTCGCCTCACCTCTTCTTCTCAAGACGGCTCTCACGATAGTTTCCCCATTGGTCTTCACCACCAACCACCATGTCCTCGTCCAATTCGACGCGGAGCTGAGCGTGCAGGCTTCTGCCCAGTGCTGGTCTGGGTAGATCCTGCTTCTTCCGCTGCCGCCGGAGAGGGTACTGTTTGTCAAGACGCTGGGCCGCGCGGAGCGTTGGGCCGTGGACCAGAGTTCAGCAGCCTTAGTCTACTCTTTGTCGGGTTCCTGTACGTTACAGCACCCGACAATTCGCCACCATTTCGGTTGTCATCCTCGGAGTGACTGGCCGTAGTCTCCATACGCTGGCCAAACATGTCTTCGATAGGAGAATCAGACAGATACGGCGGATACGATGGTCGGTCTTCCTGTCTGTTACTCCTAGACTTACCGAACCCATAATGGTCTGCTCCCGACGACTTCGCTTCTTCAAACATATACCCTTCTCTCCAAGGCTCTTCACCGAGGTCCTCGAGGATGGCCCTATCGGTGTCCTCAAAGTCATCTTTTACTGAGGTGCTGCGTCCGAATGCTGTCCGGTGACTCCGGTCATCTTCGCTCCAACTACCGAGCTCGAAGTCCTCTTCCATCGGAGTGCTGCGTTCGAATGCTGTCCGGTCGTCTTCACTCCAACTAACAAGCTCTTCGGCTTCCTTTGACCGAGGCACCATCTTGTAGTACTGAAGTCTACAGGCACCCATGTCATGACCAAGTTTCTCCGAGATGGACTTCCACACTTCACCACGGATCCACCGTAGCTCGATCAACAGTTGCTTCTCATTTGCGGTCCAGCGTCCTACTACCACATCCCCCTTGGTCTCCAGAAACAAAGGCTGCGCATCAACCGCGATGCTTCTCCAGGGCGGGTACAACCGTTGGAATTGGTCCCAGATCCAGTTCAACGTTTTATCACTCCTGTCAAGGCGCCCCACGAAATTGAATTGTCGATAGAAAAAGGACGGCCGGGACTCGTAGGGTATTGGGCCTTCAAACTCATGCCACCCGTACAATCTAAGACTCCTAACATTTGGAAGACGGTCTGGCTGCAGATCGCCAGCTGTGGAAGGCGTGTACCACCACAGCCTCCAGATCAATGGTATCTTGGGGGCAGGGCAGAATGGCCAGAGCGATTGAACAGGATCGTTGGTCCACAATACGCTGTCCTCATTCGCGGGCTGCAACGCTTGGTCTCGGACGCACATCTCTCGATTTGACTCGGTCCTTATCGGCTGCGGTTCGACATCACAAAGCGTTAGAGTTTCTTGCTGCTGCTGAGGAGCAGGCCTAGGTGATGTCGGGTCCGAATGTGCTGGGTACGACATGCTGAAGTGATGGCTGTCGTTTCGATTTGTGAGACCGTCGATGGCCTTGCTGATGGTGAAATGCTGGGTGTATATGAGAGCTGGCTACCCAAAACTATTGACGGTCTGTCTGTGCAGAGGCCCTCGACGGTATTCAATACTCCATTGTTCTACCTGTCATGTTTGAGCACGCCTCGAGTCAGTACTCTGACATAAGGACCAGAAAGCAATGTGCGCAAACAAAATCTGCTTGCTGCACCCAGTGCACACGATGAGGCCTCTGGCGTATGCATGAGGCGTTCTCGAATGAGTCTGCCGTGCGTTGTGCTGGGGATGCCGCTCAAACCAGGCTCAAGGGTGAATGTGTTGGCATGCTATGGCAGTACATATGTCGTGATGGCACTGCAGACAATGCTTAGTCTCATCTAATGCAGGACTGGTTGAACAATAAGAACACAGTACCTCACTCAAGTTCGAGTATGTCTACCATAGCTACTTAGGATGAACCGCGTACGCAGAGAACTTGTCCTCATGACACCACGCAGCGCCAGAAGATCTGCCACCATGGCGTGCACGAATGAAGCTTACCGACTCCATGTACTCAGGGAGGGCTGATAGCTCTACTTGAGCCCTGGGTCTAAGTTCACTTTCGCCGCTTCTGCCTGTCGCCCTTCGCTTGAGCCTGTTGCCTTTCGCTGGAGGCTGAGCGCTTTGTGGTGACAACTGCGATGCTGCAAGACCGGCGGTCGTTCGTGGCATCGACCTGTCGCTCCGAGTTGTGGGTTTGTCGAGAGGGGAGGAGACCTGCTGCGCCGTAACATGCGCCCTGCCTTGCGACGGAGAAGTTGGCAGTGGATATCGACCCTCGCCGGTAGGGGGCAAGTCATCAGCAGCACGCATACTTCTGCTGTCTCGAAAATTGCTGCTTGATGGTGGGTATATCTGCTCAAGGAGTAGCGGGTCGATTTGGTGGCAGTGAGCGTGGAGTTCCATCAAATGAAGCGCGCAGACTCTGTTCCTGCTCGTAGAGGCTCCTTTGCGATGGCATTTCGCTGGTTGTAGTCAGACTGCGGAACAGCGCACCGGTGGCAGCGACACTGTCCTCCTGCTCCTGGTTCTCGTCAAGGTCCTGTGGTTGGCGTTGATCAGAACTTTGATTGCCCAACATCGAAGACGCTTCCTCTCGTTTCTTCATCTCGAGGAATCTCTGTTTCAGAGCCTTGCGTTTATCCACGGGGAATCGTTTGTGGAGACCACCCCATTCTGATTGCTTCTTGTTTTTGGAATAGCGACTGGCGCCTAGTGCTTCGGCGCCAGCAGCATGGATCTGGCGCAGAACCATTTCCGGCCGCTGGAGATGGGTTGCAATATCTCCAAAAGACCATCTCTTCTTTAAAAGCTCATCCACAGCAACATACAGTTCAAAGTCAGCATCGTCCGAGATCAAAGAGCGGCGCCTAGAGCGAGCGCGCACAATGCTGCTCTCTGATCGATCCATCTCCGAAATCTGAGCAACAGACAGCCCCCGGCGGTCAAGACTGTCGAGTGTGTCGTATTCTTCTGTTGACCATTTCCCATAGTTGGGAACCTCGCTCGTTTTCCGAGACTCTCGTGTGACATACTCCCGTGGGGCAGCTACGAGCTCACGCAAGGCTGCGGCGTCGGGGATCACTGGCTTTTTGAAAAAGCTCCCTCGCAAATTGTTGGGGTCGTTACGCGCGAGCTGTGTCTGATCGGGGCCAGCAGCGAGTGGAGCCTGCACAGCTGGATCAACCAATGTCTGAGCGTAGTTGCTGTGGCAAGCGCTGTTCCCATTCTCAAATCCATCGTTTGGCATTGCAGGAGAGGTAAGATCAACTACTTCTGCCGGCGCTCGTTCGGATGTGTTGTGAGGTTGAGTGTAATAGCTGCTCCTCTGGCCGCCTCTCCTTTCATGTGAGTGCGAGTCGGAACGGCTCTTTCCCCCATGGTCAAAGCCATGATTTAGTACTGCAGGAGGGGTAAGATCAATCACCTCTGCCGGGACCTGTCTATCTTGGTCATTCCGCTGAGTGTAGAAGCTGCTTCCGCGGCCACTAAGGAGTGCCTGTGAACCAGAATTGACTGTTGGTGGTGGTGGTGTTTTGTGCTCGATTGTGCGAGTGTGTCATGACTCCATCATGCCATAGAGATACGGAATGGCTGTCAAAGCGAGGGTATCTCAGCCAACAGCCGCCCGCGGAATAGGGCCACCAACTGGTCGCCTATGATACCATGATACGGGATCGCCGCATCGCCGCATCGGCGCTGTAGCGCTGTAGCCGCGCTCTGAATACATATGTCCGCGAATATGCGACTTTAATTGTTGGAATGAAAGCTGCAAAGGTAGAAGTGAAGAGAGTGCGGAAGTAGATGGAATTCTTGGCTGGGACCTGGGACCTACGCCAACAATCGCAGCCACGGCTACATCCGTCTCATGGAATGTAAGATACAGGAGGATCCCAACTTGACAAAGAGAGTGAAAAAAAAGATATTCTCCTACCGCGGGACGCACACAGACCTCGGAAAGTTACCTGCATACCTTAATGCCCGCTGTCGCCACTATGGGACGAAAGTGCACGGACCGAATGCCTGGTAAACCCACGCATCTGACGGGACAAACATATGCAAGGCCACTGGCTTACTGGTCACGCGCTAGCTCCTTGCCCTTGCGGTTTTGAGATATCACCGTAGGTAGTGCCGCTTGTACTCCTGTCCGTTCTAGGTACAGTCCCAGTAATAGGGTTTCTCGAGTCTGAAGACGCCTGGCATGGTCTCCGGGCATTTCCGCCGCCGCGTGGAAATGTGAGATGTCCTCTAGATGCTCGGTTATGATCGTGCGACTCGTCCGACACCGGTGCGGCTCCAGGCAGCTCGGGACTTTCGTCAAGGTCTTCTAATACCTGCTGAAGTGACGGAAGCCCACCTTCGGCGGTAGCAGCTCCTGGGAAAGGAGCGGAAGCAATGGCATACTGTGATTGAGTCGGAAATGAGGCCCGGTGCAGCGCTCGTAGGTTTCCAACACGGAGCATGCCAGGCTGGAGTGGCTCGTCGGAAAGTGGTGGTAGAGTGATGCGACCGTTTTGCTGTTGGAAGGCATATTGAGTCTGGCTAGAGTCTTCGCTATGCTGGCCATTGGCTGAGTACGACGAACGTCCTAGCGGAGTCGGGTGCTCGAGCAGTCCAGATTGAGTTACTAATCGGCTGTCCACTTGCAGTCGGCCAGGGGCATGACACACCGGCCGAGCACTCAATGATGATTGCGCTGGCGCCAAAGGCGACTCGTGGAGCTGATTCGTGAAAGATGGGGATAAAGTCACCTTTTTATTCACCCCCTTGGTTATGTAGCGCCATCTGTTGTATAGCTGTGCCGTGTCTCGTGGGGTTGGTAGCTTCGCGTTTATATCCCTGGTAATGACGTCAGGATTGTCGGCTTTCATGCGCACGAGGGTGGCCTCTTCGGTCGACGAAAAATTGCTTGGAATCCCCATATAGGATGAAGGGCGCCCTGTATCAACCGTTCCCACATTGCGCGCATCAGCTGCTCTCCAGCCAAGGTATCTATCTTGGAACGCTCTCCACTTTTGGGCGAACGTGTTGCTGTTGGTTGTAGACAGGCCATACAAAGCCAATTGGCGTAACCAATAGCACATCCAGGGCTCGTATGCCAACGGTGTGTCTAGATCGTCCCATTCATGCCGGTTCTGCACCGTTAAGTATCTCATGGAACGCTCACCACCCTCAGGAGGCGCTTGGTGGTACCAGTCGATCCATTCGCGGGGAACAGGGTTTGGACAAAGCATCAGCGGACCTGACCATGCTTCATCGTGACAGTCTCTTGGCTGAAACGACAGGATAGGCGGCGCACTCTGCTCTGGCCAGTGAGGGATATACTTGTCAAGCCTTGGTACTTCTTCTAGCCACCTCAACATTGGCTTTGGCGTTGCAGTATTAGAACTGCTGGTGTTCGGCCACAACATGGTGGTTGTAGCATTGTCACGAGGAGACGTCAGCCGTTGAGCGCAGCAGACGTGATTTTCGTGGTGTTCGATGCTGTGCTCCAGATTGACTAGGTCGAACGTTCGCTGTGTGTCGGACCTGTCGGTGTCGCAGGCTCGGCAAGTCTGTCTAAAAGGTTCTGAGATTGGGATGTGCCTCAGGATGCCAAATAAAGGTTGGCACTCGTACGAATACCGCTGTCCCCCAGCAGCAAGGATGTCTTCGAGCTGCCGGCAGTTGGGACATGTGTTGAAAAAGGTCCAGCACATAGTCTTGAACCGAAGGCTAATTGGCGTATGGCCTTCAAAATCGGCTCGCCTCGTTGTGAGCAGTGTTCGTCAAGTAGTTGAAGTGCTTTGTAGGAGATACGCTGGAGTCTCGATCGATCTGAAGGCTTAATGTTGACCAGTTTGTTTCCCAAAGCGATTTCTCCGGCTGCTTCTATAGGTATCGCAATTGCTTGCTAGAGCTTGATGACTGGCGATTTACTCACTCGACCGGGGTGATTGGGATATTATGTTCTGCTTCCTGTCGCGTGGAACAAACATGTCAGCTACATGGTGCCCACCGCTGATGGCATGGTTCACAAGACCTATCTGGCCATGAATCAGTAAACAGCGCCTCTATCCCGCAATCGCTATCATATGTGCTGTCGCAGACTGTGAAGGCCAGGAGGCCGCATTGGTGGAATGAGGCGTTGACATGTTGCTGATCCCACTGACTCTCGCACGGGTCCCTTTTGAGCAAGTAAGACCACCCATGACTTGAGAACTGTCGCCCTGATGCTTTGCAACCTTTGGATCGCAAGGAAGGGTCTCGATCAGGATTGCACCTGATGAGCCATGTAGATATGGATAGAGCATTGATGGATGAGAGTCTGATAGAGAAGGGCTGAAGTTGTGAAAGCAAAGTACATGTACAGGTCAAATGGATTACGTAAGCCTTCAACATCAACTCGAGCAATAAGATATGAACATTGATTGCAGCTAAGTACCATGGAGAGCTTTAGCAATTACGAGTCTACCGTGAACCTTGGTACACTGGTCCGTCATTCGAGTTCTGCGTTCAATCAAGAATTCACTACAAGGTGATGTGCCGACTGTGCACGCCAGCAAGGGAAATAAGGTACAAGTACTGTCAAAGTTGTCCATATGTTCCCAGCAAGACTATCTCGCTTAGTGCAAAGCAACCAAATTCAAGGATTCGGGGATGCATTGACTCAAAGGTCGCGAGCTGGCTCCTTGCCCTTGCCCTCATAAGACAATAGACCCTCGCCGTCAGAGAGCGAGGTTGTGCCAGTCCCATGCTCTCCCGAGCGCTCACGGTGCGTAGCCGGTATCCCGGAACCCTGGTGTATCGTGGAAGGCTCTGGTTCTTGGACAATGTCACTCCATTCAAACGGTGGCATCCGAGGGGGTGGTTCCTTCCGATAGGGGATGCCTTTCGTTAGCGTTTCGTATTTCCTGTAAAGCTGCGATGCGCCGTAGCCTTCCAGGATACTGACAAACGTTCTCTTTGGGTCTTGTGATCTGACACGAAGAAGTCGTGCTTCTTCCTTATGAGTGAATGTCGTTCCATATCTGTAACGAGACCGGCGCGTCTCTACTGCACCCGAACTGTCTGCATCCAGAGCTCTCCACCCAGGATATAGATACTGGAATGCCCTCCATTTCCTTGCCGCCATTGCGTCATACTCTTCGCTGAGTCCAAAGTGAGATACTTGACGCAACCAGTAGCACATCCAAGGTTCATATGGAAGTGGAGCGTGCAGCGTGTCCCACTGTTGTTGGTCTTGAATGGCATAATATCTCTTGAGAGGACCATCATCGTCTGAACATGGGAGGAAGGACCAATCAACCCACTGGGAAGGAAGAGGTCGTGGGCACAAAGGCTGAGCTAGCCACGCATTACTGGACTGGTCATGGGATGCGAAAGGCGATGGGGGTGAAGCTGTCTGCTCTGGCCAGTGTGGTATATGCCTGTCAAGATTGGCTATCTGTCGTAGCCATCGTAGCTCTGGCTGTCCATGCTCGTCTCGAGGCCAGAAGATAGGAGTGGTCCCAATCTGGGCCTTCCAAGCTGCAGATTCGTTGATGCTGGTGTCAATCTCCTTGCTGGATAACGGTCTTTGCCCTCGTCCTTGATCGCACTTAAGGCACAGCTGTCGCGCAGCTTTCGTGACCGGGATCACCTGGGCTCCAGAACAAGATAATTGGCAACACATGCTATACGGACGTGGGTGCCCTTCGAAACTCGTGTACGGGTCCTCACCTCCACACTCCCAACACTCATTGACAATTGTCCAGCACATCGATGTTCAATAGAAATCAATTGGATGATCGCAGGAGCTGCAGTAGAGTTTCCGTGGCACGGAAAGTGAAGTGCAAGTTTTTGAGTCGTAAGGTTTGGAACTGCAGTCACATTGAGCCTGTTGTTGCGTGGGCACTTTTCGCGGGTGTCTCTGGGAAATATCGAGCAGAGCAGCAGATTCTTGACGCCAATGCTTATACACGCTCCAGTGGCGTTTGCTGCTGGACAACAACAAGAAGAAATGACACATACAATCAAGCCTCTTGCCGTGAATGGTAACCGTATGGCTATGTAATATCTGAATCATACCCAAGGCCAACTCAGCCACTGCCACAGCGTTCAATGAGAGAAAGAGACTCACAACACCCTCATCCCCCTCAGCAAGCAAACGGCGCCGCAATCTCCCCATTCGCATACGCCTCCACTATCGACCGCACCGTCACATACATGCCCGCCACACATATGAAAGCCCCCGCCACCACTGTAAAAGCCGCCAGCGCTGTCTGGAACCACTTCCGCTTCCACGTCCGGACGCCATTTTCGTAGTGGTAGCTGTCGTGCAGCCAGAACATGCCCGCGATGCCGTAGGTGAACCAGGCTGCGAAGAGGGATGCGGCGATGCCGATGAGGTAGTTGAAGATGGGTACGCCGACGGCAAGCACGAATGCGGCGCCGTTGAAGATGATCACCAGGATCGACCAAGTGCCCCAACCGACCAGCGTGTGCGAGTGCAAGTGCTTAGAGTTGCGGAAGATGCGGACGAAGCAGAGCTTGCTCGCGGTATGCGCGTACAAAGCTCCGGCGATCCAGAAGTTGAACAGCGCAGCGCCAAAAGCCGCCTTCTGCCAGAGCGGTGTCAGGGATATGAAGGAAGGACTTCCAACAGTGTTGCCGATGAAGGCGTACGTCACAGCCGCAAAGACGACGTAGTAAGTGGTAGCGAAGCCTTGCAACGTGTAAGCAGCCTTCATGGCGTCCTGCGGTTTGCGCATTTCCGACACCATCACGAAGAACATGAAGTGTCCAGCGTAGGCGAAGACTGGATTGGTGATTGAAATAAATGCGTCGAAGAAGGTTGTTGATTGCACAATGCTGATTTCGTGGTTGGGCGTGGGATGTAGGCCGGCGCCCACCATACCGACAATGCCAGCCACGAGGATGGAGATGCAGGATGCGAGGCTGAACCAGCTCATATGGTCGAGAGTTCGGGGGAAGCTCATAGCCAACGTGAAGAGTGCGTAGATGCCTGGATCACGTCAGCACAAATACAACGTACGAGTGCAGGGTTGGCTGCGTACCAACACCCAACATGGGACAGACGCTGTTATTGCTCAAAGCACTGATAGCAATCTGCCCAGCCAACAACTGCCCTCCGGTGGCGAAGACGGCGAAGACAACCGTTCCAAAGGCTAGCACTTCTCGGCCAATAGGACCGAACAAGATCTTCCCAGCGTCTCCCTGAGCGCGGATTAGCACGTTTTCGACGCCCGAGAAATAGCTGCCCTTCCACCGGTCCATGCTTACCATGTTGTGCACCTCGGGATGCTGCATCTTGAACTTGACCAGTAGCCAAGACGTATACGTCGCAAAAACACCCAGAAAGATGATCAAGATGAGACCAGGGACGATGCCAACGACCGCGAGCGATGAAGGCAGAGAGAGCATGCCGTTGGACACAATCTCCGCGATCATCAGCACGGATACCATTGGCCAGCCGAGTGTTTTGTATTTGATCTGCAATGGTTGTGAGCATGGTTTCGACCGCAGATATGAGGCCGGCGTACATCGTGACCCTCCTCATGTCCAAAGACATCTCGGTCATCGTAGCCTCCTGGCCTTCCACTGCTGGTGTTCAGATTCACGACACCATCGCTGGCACCGCTGCCGTATCCATGACCATCTTCCTGGCTATACTCGCCATAGCGGTACTTCTCCGCCATATTGCTCTATGTCTGACGTACAATGGCCGCTTTATTCCCGCTTTCACAAGATAGGGCTCGAGGAAAGCTGCGACTTGAATTACAGCGAAGAGAAAAACGAGGTCAAGAAGACTGCGACCATGAGACAGATATACCTTACCGTCCACGTGCCATCATAGATAAGCGATCGATCTCGCCCTGGCCGCCGGCCTGCCATTGCCCTTCGCGTCGCGTGGCCGGACGAGGAGGTGGAGTTGGGAGAGAATTTTGCCTAGCCCAAAGAGGAAGGTGGATAGAGTTGAGCCCGTGCACTCGGTACCAGGCCCTTGGCGCCGAAGGCAATGAGAAGTGATTGCTCAATAGTTCGACAAGCGGTGGCAGCTGGGATCGTGGTAGTGGCAGGGGCCGGCGGGCATTCTCCGTTATCAAAGTTGTGGGCGGAATAGGTAAAGAGTACGAAGGCCAGATGCATTAGGTAACATTTATGAGACGTTCACAGCGCTCAAACATGCTACTTATTATCGACACACCACCGCGACGAAGTCTCCTAGCAACAATCGCAGATGATTCAACATGGTATCTCTTGCAGAACGCTCTCGACCACCCAAAACGCCGCCCGGTATCCTAAGTTATCTCGCACACCTTCAATGCTGCCATGCCCTCTGCTCAGGTGCTGAATCCGCATCTCACAGCGCATACAGCACATGATGCCTTGCGATTCCTATTGCCCCAACATTTTAGACCTCCAAGACTCGCACTCCAAGCTCACTTGGGCGGCAGCTTGACGTTGTTGCTCAACCAAGCCAGACCTTCGAAAATGCCTTCGCCGGTCGTCGCGCAACTGGGCTCGACTTTCCAGATATGGTTCTTCGCGATCTCGTTCAGGCGGAGCTCTTCGGAGACTTGCTGTGGTTTGAGCGCTGCGTTTCATCCCATTAGCACCTTGGCCTTTGTCCCGCAGCCACGAAGCTCCTGAGAGTTGACCTACCGCTGGCAAGATCCTGCTTGTTCGCAAACACCAATAGCAGCGCATCTTTCATTTCCCGATTCTCAATGATCGTCTTCAGCTCTTCCCGCGCCTCCTTCAGCCGATCCGGGTCGTTGCTGTCCACTACGAAGATCAACCCCTGTGTGCCGGAGAAGTAGTGCCGCCATAGCGGCCTGATCTTGTCCTGTCCGCCGACGTCCCAGACATTGAACTTGGTGTTCTTATATGTTACCGTCTCAACGTTGAAGCCGACAGTCGGGATGGTGGTGACGTCGGAGTCGAGCTTGAGCTTGTAGAGGATCGCTGAAGGCACGGGTCAGTACAGTGCCACAACAGCGCATGTTGGTTGATAGGATGTCGTACTAGTCTTGCCCGCCGCATCGAGTCCCAGCATCAGTAACCGCATCTCCTTCGATCCGAAGATCTTGCTCATGATCTTTGAGATGTTCCCGCCCATCGTGGCTGTTGTCTACGATCCGCCCGTAGCGCGCTGTTGCTGTGCTATTCCAATGTTGCGAGCCTGATCGTGCTCCTGATCTCAATACCTCGTCCAATCGTTGCTCCTGTGTTGTGGTGTTCGCGAACCAGTTCCGCTCGTCGTTGCCGGATACTTCGTTGCAGCGCGCGATTCTCGAATTTTCTCTGGAAGATGAAGGACTCGCAAGACTCAGGAGGAATCTCTCCTGCAATTCGTACGGCGCAAGCACCCCACACTGCGACAGTGGAAATGGTGTTGATATGCACCCCTTGAAATTTGCCGCCGTCCGAGCTCGCCTTGCAGGCGCGAGCGCTTCTGCAGGGACCCGCTGGCTGCCGCCCGGCTCAGACCGAGATGAAGCTTTGCCCGATTCGGTGCGATGAAGTGAAGTTGATATGGCTCAATCACGTGACAATCGAGACACGGTATTCGAAGTGCTGAAGATGGAGAAATTGCGAGGAACACCGCGAGCTCTTAGTGTAGTATCAATTGATTAAGTACAAGCAAAGCCTCCCTAATCCGCGATGGTCGTCGCCAAACACCCATTGTGCTGGCGTGCAAAAAAGTAACCAACAAAACGTTTGAATCTTCCGCTCGAACCCCCGACCTTCTCCATGCCAGATTGACAAAAGAATAAACCCGCACTACTCATTGTGGGGATGGAGGTCGAAATGGTAGTGAAGGCGTCCCTACACTATCAAGTCAACTTCTACGTCCATAGAGTGGCAAGACAGCTTATTCCCCATCCCCGATTGAACCAGTGGCTCGGTTTTGTTGGCGCGGCATGAGACCACCTCGGTGACCTCCCACATGCTGACATAGCTTTTTGTTCTGCAATAGATCCTTTTCCTCCGGACGCCGGCGTTCAGCCGAAGAGGGGGGACCCTTAGGACTCGTCAGAACCGGTCGTCGATTCCCTTCTTTCTTTCTTCCTCCTTTCTTTTTGAGTTGACATCCCACCACCACTGATTCGCTCCATCCCTGCCTTCCTTCTTGATGTCCTCCTCGGTTTCATCCCACGGCTTCGGCGACAGGATGTAATGGACATTCTTCACCCTGTCATCCCGCCATATCGCATCATGCACACCCTTCCACCGCATTGTCTTGAGCGCGTTGTAAATGTACGGCAGCGCCACCCACCTTCCGTGGAAGACATCTCCCAGCAGACTCTGGTCAGAGAAGTCGTAGCTTCCTGTCTTCTCGTCCGACAGCGCAGAGACAATCTTCTCGTACACCGGGGTGGAAGGCACAACGACCTGCAAGCCTCCGTTCGGCATCGTGATTCCCAGGTCCGGCGGTGCGCCTTCCACCTGCGCCTGCTCTGGTTTGTCATGCTGCGCGGTGAAAGCACAGTTCTTCGGTATCCAATCTTTCGGATAATGCGGTTTATTGAGAGGATTGCACAGACATGCATGGCTCGCGGCAAACACTCTCTTCCCTTCCCCCTTCTCCTCTACTGAATCCAACGGGATGTCCATCAGCTCGTCCATATTCTGTAAGCACAGCATATCGCTATCCAGCTGTACCACCCGCTCATACTCCATCAGACTGAACGGCGTAAGCTTACTCCAACAGTCATAGAACCGCGGATCGTTCGTGAAGTCTTTATGTGTCGACGGTAGGAGATACGGGATGCGCTTGCGTGGGATCCTCCGCCTGTCGAGCGCTTCGATGCCTTCAGACGGGAAGCTGTCGGTGTACAGCGCGACGAGCGGGTACTTCGAGCCGGCGTATTTCAGGGAAGCATCGAGGGTGAGGAGACCTGAGAGGTAGGCTGTGTTCGTTATGAGGGTTGTCCAGACCTTGGGACTGTCAACCGCTCGCTCTGGGTTGGGGTTGACCTGGGAAGCCGTTCCATCTGATGTCGAGTTCGCCATATTTTCGTTTACGTGGAGGGTCAGGTATGGGATGCTCTTCTTCAGCGACCTGAAAAGGCCACAGCAGCTGATTACCTACATTGTGTAATCCAAAGGACAACCGACCTGGGTAATAGCGAAGCTAGCATTCGTGCGCGTGAAATCCTATTCACTAGCGGCAGATGTAGCACGTCACCTCGGCTCTAAAGTGAATGCATGAGGCGCACCAGGCGAGTAGATCTTCACTATCTCCGACTACGATCTCACATACATAGTGCTACCGCCCGGTCGGACATTTTCGACTGCAGTACGATGCGTGGAGAAAGACCCTTCATCAATATCTCATGTCTGTATCGTCGGTGAAGGATGTCACATCCTTACCGAAGCCGGCGGCAAGCATCCAGCAGAATGAAGCTGTGAGAGAACCATCGAAGGGCGGTGGGAACTACAAGGGTTTCGTAGCAGGAGTCTTCTCCGGTATCGCGAAGTTATCCGTTGGGTGAGATATACCCCAAGTCCTACCAAAGACCACCAATGTTGATAAGATACAGCCACCCCTTTGACACAATAAAAGTCCGCCTCCAAACCAGCTCCAAAACCCAGTTCTCCGGCCCCATCGACTGCGTCCTCCAGACTCTACGCAAAGAAGGCGTCAATGGCATCTACAAAGGCGCCACTCCACCCCTCCTCGGCTGGATGTGTATGGACTCCGTGATGCTGGGCTCCCTGACCCTCTACCGCCGTCTGCTCAACGAGCACGTCTTCCAACCTCTCCGCGCTCGGCCTTCGCACCCTGCTGTGTACCTCCCGGATGCGGAGCGGAAGAAACTCCCAGCTGTTGGCCACGGTATCGCGGGAATGTTTGCTGGTTGGACTGTCTCTTTAATCGCGGCGCCGGTCGAGCATGTGAAAGCGAGGTTGCAGATCCAGTATGCTTCTGATAAGACTAAGCGGTTGTACTCGGGCCCGGTGGACTGCACGCGCAAATTGCTCAAGGGGCATGGGGTAGTAGGCCTATGGCACGGATTGAGCGCTACGTTATTGTTCCGGACGTTCTTCTTCTGCTGGTGGGGCAGCTACGATGTTCTGACCAGGCAGTTGCAGGAGAGGACCAATCTCAGCACTCCGGCGGTGAACTTCTGGGCTGGAGGTTTGAGTGCGCAGGTCTTCTGGATCACGAGTTACCCGTCTGATGTGGTGAAGCAGCGGATCATGACTGATCCATTGGGGCCGGAGAGGAAGTATGCGAGATGGCGGGATGCGGCGAAGAGTGTGTATCGGGATGGAGGGTGGAAGGGTTACTGGAGAGGGTTCGTGCCGTGCTTTTTGCGTGCATTTCCTGCGAATGCGATGGCGCTGGTGGCGTTTGAGGGTGTGATGAGGGCTTTGAACTGAGTACTACTGCTCATAGTTCTTGGAGTTTAGAATAGTTCTTGGAGTTGAATTTGGGCATTGCTGATAGATTTGTAGACCTAGACATTATTTCCACTCAAGTACTGGTTACAGTTGCCAGACTATCCCTTCACTGCAATGCCAGGCTTCGCAATGCACCGCCCTTCAAGAATTGTGAAATCATGCCACCCGAAGCGCCGTCGCTGTCCCAATACCCTGCTCTCAGATGTATTCATGTACACCAGTCTAAACACCCTGCCCACCCATCTGTATCCCCCCAGTGAACCTCCTAACTCCCTTCTGCATAAGCGCCTTCCTCCGCTTCCGCGACGGAATCACATCAATCATCGGAAACAGCGGAGAAGAATAAAATTCATCGGCGAAGTTGTTCGCAAACTGTGACAGTCCCAAACTAGTGCCGAGTGGGCCAAGGAAACCATCTGACTCCGAAGAGTACATTTGTTGGTCCTGCGGATAGGGTTGCGAGTGTGGATGTGGCTGCGGTTGTGGTGGCGGGTGGAAGGCGAGGGTGTTGGCTATGCTGGCGTGGTAGGATGCCGGGGGCTGCGTGAAGGGTAGCATGAAGCCGCGCGGCTGCTGTTGGCCGAGATGATGTGAAGCGTGAAATTGCTCCGGAGAAAGCCATGGGTTGTGGTATGGCTGTTGTTGTGGAGTTCCGAAGGGTGGGGTTGGAAGAGACACTGCTCGCGCAGCATTGTGTTCGGATGCTGCAGTGCTCGTTGGCAGCACCATGAGCATGTCCTGTGGCGGACTTTCGCAAAACTGCTGGCTGTCGTGCCGTGGAGGTAGGGCTGGAGGAAGTTCTGCTCCAATCTGGCGGGACACTTCGTTCAGAATTGGATAGTGGTGAGCGGAGGTGGCGATGTGAAGTTGATCGCTCTGGCCTGGCTCATAGGAGGGCTCGAATGTAGGCTCTTCGTTCATGAGGTTTGTCTTTGGGCTGACTTGCTCGTCGTCCAGAGTTTGTACGATGTGTGATCCGTCAAGCCCAGGAAGCGCCGATTTCCTGTCCGACACAGGGCTCAAGATGGTGTATGCGGCATCGGCGTTCATGGTACCCATTCTGCGGAGATGCCGGAGCATGACGAGGTAATATTGCTTCACATCGCTAGCTTCGTATTGGCGCTGAGCGATGGCAAGTAGTGGTCGAAAGATGTCGGATGGTATTTCTGGGGCGTCCTGGTAGGATGGCGGCGGTGCTGATCCACTTTCCATGGTGGGAGACTCTGTGCCGTCAAAGAGATTTTTGGGGTATTGAGCGCCCGCTATTCCAATACGCGAGAGTAGTCAGTATGGGTACGCTTAGCGAGTGACAATGTGTGCGAGTGATAGCGAACGGCAGCACGTTGAAAGAGCGGAGGCAATAGAAGTATGAAATAAGGTAGAATGAGATTGTGCGCCGATGCAGCGTCTTTATCCTCCCGCAGCATGCACGCTTATTTCGAGACTCTGAGCATGATGAAAGCCATTGTACCTGCAGATGTCGTCCGTCGTCACCTCAGCCAGCACTTGACCTGCCAATTGTGAGTCCTTCGAAGCTGTTCCTGCATGGAATCAAGAAAGGCGATCTATTTCCAGACCTGTGAGGTAGAGTATAGCTTTGGAGAGGATGGAAGAAGAAATGTAAAGGCCCAAGATACCTACGCCTGTCCTACATGCCTGCCAATGGCGATGGAAGAAGCCGCACTAGCGTGGTCAAGAGTGGGTGGAGGACATGGTATGTGGCGAGCTTGCATAGCTTCCACGGCGCCCAGCATGCTCGACAGGAGTGGTAGCGAGGCAAGCGAAGGACGGGTGAGGTTGAAATGGAGTGCTGTGTAAGCGCTAGAGCGAGTGCAGCTGGCATTCGGCCTGCTCGGTCGGCAGTCCACGGGATCCAAGTCCGCCGAGAGATAGAAGAACTGTTCTTGTCCTCGAAGGATTTGGCGTAGCTTTCATACACCCGACGGGGGACACCTCGCGCCGTGTCTACTGATAGCAGGCAAGCAAAGCGGGACTCGCAGAGGTCCAGAAGCTCGCCACCCCCGAATAGCGCCGCCATCTGCACGCTCATGCGGGGTCATCAAGTGGCTTCCACGTGATGGCGATAGCAGACGACTGAGTAACGGCGGTGAGTAATAGCCTACCTGAAAGACGAAATGCGAAGAGCCTCAGGTCGCGCTCAGGTAAGCCATTAGTCGTCCTTTGCGCGTGCCCTGATTCGAGTGGTCAGTGTCCTGGATTTGACACCAAACAGCAGGTGGTCTTTGATGTCCAGGCAAACCCTCGCGTCGTTGAGATGTCTTCGGCAGCTTTTGTTCCGGACGCTTAAGACAGCTGTTGATGAAGGTCGACGCGGTGCGAAAAGAGACGTTAAGAGCCTTGTGGCATCCTTAGCTGCATCGTCCGTATGTGCAGCTGCTGATCTAATTTGGGCGCGAGCTTCGATCTTGGGCTGCATCGACATGAAAGAGTCGATATCACAGTCGAGTGTCCAGCACGATCCGAAGCCGCGGTATCATTAGCACGAACCGATTTGTGGTCTAAGGACAGCAAACGAAGTCGGGTGGAGATGGCAGCAGGACGACAGTGAGAGGGAGAAGGAGGTGGAGCAAGAGAGTGTTCTCGAGATGCATCCGACGCACGCGTGATCAGAAGCTCACTTTGCAGTCTTCCCGGGCCTCGCCTCTTTCCATCCGCCACCAATCGCCTCCATCTCATAGGACATCACACGGCATCATCTCAACTCAAGTCTGGCACAATGGTCAGACAGGTCGCCTTTCGCGCGAGCGAAGGTAAGCTGATGGATTATACCTTCTTTCCTACATCACCCCAATCAAACACCACCTATTCATCAGTCCATGCAGCACTTCAATGCGCGCGCTCTCTTCAAAAGTCACTCAATGTCTCGCAAAAGTCGTTCCTCCTGTCTCTCCAACTCCCTTGGCTCGCTGCGTACTCTACATTCTGGTACCTTGACTGAAACCCCTCATTCTCCGTACTTGACACCTGTCACGCACGCGGTAGACAGTGCAAGAGTACTGCTGTCTCTGGCGCTGGCGTACAGACTAGTATCTTGACCAACACAGAAGAAGACGGAGACGAGATGCTACCACCACCGGAAAGTCGGCGCCCCGTGAACCCGTACCTTCGAGTACACTGGCGGCCTTCCATCAACGCTCTGCTTGCCAGCTGGAACGTGCTGCGTCGGCTGCCTGCGATCTCTCCAGGTCATGAGGAGCCTACACAAATAACGTCGTCAGGCTATCTCCTGTTTCCAGATGAGCTCCACCACATGGTCGGAGAGTATCTCGATCCTGCCGACAGGAGATGCCTGGTGCAGACCTGCACAGAACTCAGAAATGCAGAACTCAGAAATGCTAGCCGTATCAGCGAGAAGAGCATGTTTGGAAGGCCCCTAGACCCAATCTCCTCTCACAAACTTCGCAGGCGCCTGGATCGAGATGACTTCCCCATGCTTTGCTCGCTCGAGCTGACGGATCATCCGGACGAAAACATGCTCGCTTGCAACTTCTGCCTATCTCTCCATCACCGCCGGCGCTTCTCTCGCGACCAAAGAAACGCGCTTCCGTGGGAGGGGGACTGTCTGGCCAGCACACCGAAGCACCTGATCTGTGGCAAGTACCATGCCTCTGCTTACGAACTACGGGCTATCCTCGACGGACTCATCTCTCCCGAAACCAACCTCGCCGCTCCAAGTGTGCAGATACATCACACTCCACAACAAGAGCGCGACGCGGCTTTTCTCACGGAGAGCCCCGGAACCGCATTTTCCAGCCTCGTAGAACCTGCAGTGCAACCTGAAGACCTATCTCCCGGGTCCACAGCATTCGAACTCTCGCCCGAGGGCCTCGTCTTCACACACCGGTTTTCCTCACATAACTACATGTTCGAGCGGCGTCGTGCGCAGCACAGGAAGCACCTCTCCACGCCTATCTGTGCCCATCACACCTACAGCAGCGCAAAAGAGAAACTGGACCTGGATTGGACTAGACAGGAGCCCGTGATCGCTGTGGCAAATTGTGACAAGGAGGGATGCCGGACCTGGTGGGAGTGGAAAGACGACCCGAAGGAAAATTCGGACGAGGACGAAGCGGAAGCAGTGGATGACGGCGAAGTGTACGATTGTTTGACGGTTAAGAGGCATGCGGGGTGGGTGGAACAGGCTTATTTGCCGTCTCTTGATGAAGGCACCTGGGGCGGGCTTGCGAAAGAGACGGTGGAGAAGAGGGAGTAGGAAGAGAAGACGAGGGAGAGGGAGGAAAAGAGGAGGGAGAGCGAGGAAGAGAGGACGGTCTTTCATGGTGAGATTGAGCGAGAGGTTCAGCTGTGGGACGGCGCTGACAGCGTGGCGTCATTCGATGAGGACAAATGAAGATCCTTGAATTTCTGGCGCGGAGTGAGATGGGACGCAACGAGGTCGGCAGGTTGGTGGCCCAGTAGCCAGCACCTTAGCACAAGCTGAGCAGGACTTAGTACAGTGGTAGTTAACCCTACGTGTGAATCTTCTGCTGCCTCCTTCGCACGTCTCATTGACCATTCCCCAGACGTTCCTGTTCGCCGCCTAAAGAAGCAGGGTACTCATGGCGCATCATCCACAACACATTATCACCCCTTCACTTCCACTTCACTTCCCCTTCCCGAACAAAGCCTCGCGCGTATCATACGTATACTCCAAATCCAGATGCCAATAATTCGCCGTCGTCGGCTCACAAACCTTCCACGCCTCATCCAACACCGCCACCACCTCCTCCGGCAACGGGCCCTTCTCCAAATCCGCCATATTCTGCTTCAACTGCTCCTCGCTCGAGACTCCAATGATCACCCCGTCGTTTCCCCCATCCTTGATATTCAATGCCGAGTGGTGCGTGAGCCAGCGGAACGCGGTCTCGAGCAGCGTGAGGTTATGCTTTTGCACGACGGGCTCGATCATGGCCAGGGCATCGAAGGTGGCGTCCTTGAAGTAGCGTTTGCGGTAGTTGGCGGCGACTTTGGGGTTGCCGGCGTCGGAGAATCGGCCGCCGTCGTCTGGAGTCTGGTCGGCGGATTTGTATTTGCCGCTGAAGATGCCGCCGGCGATGGGGTTGTAGATCTAGTCATATCAGCTAAACGACGTCGAATGAACAGACGGGATGGAAGGACAGGCGTACCACAACGTCGATACCGTAGCGACGACAGACCGGGATGAGCTCCTGCTCTAGGGAGCGCGTGATGGCGTTGTACATTCCTTGGTAGATCGTCGGTCGTACCCAGTTGTTGTATTTGCAATGCATCACCACCTCTGCCACCTCGAACGCCGTGAAGTTCGACAGACCGAGCTGCACGAACTTGCCCTTCTTGTGTAATTCATCCAGCTTCTTGAGCGGCTCAGTAAACGGCAGACTCCTGTCAGCAGCATGAAGGTAGAAGATGTCCACACAGTCCGTCCCAAGCTCCGAAAGACTCTTGTTGAAGCTCTCCTCCAGCTTCTCGGCGGAGTGCTGGCCGGGCGTATTGGGGTAGCATTTTGTTGCGATGCTGAAGCCCTTTTTCGAGTACTCGGCGGACCTGGTCCACGACTCTTGTTTACCCCCGATGTAGTTCCTGGCGCTGTCGAGTTCGGTGTGGCCAGCTTCAAGGAAGGTCGAGAGGACGGAGTTATAGGTGTCGAGGGAGGTGATGCGGGCGCCGGCTGCAGGGTCGGGCCTGGGTGGGTATCAGTCAGTCCCGAACGTCCAACGGCTAGGCTGTTGAAGAGCTTAACTCACCCAAAGGTCATCGTCCCCAAGATTACCCTGGGCTTGCCCGTTGAGGTTAAGAGAGGCATGGTTGCTAATGTTCTTCTCGGGTTGCAGAAGGTCTGTGATGAGGAAAAGAGGATGGGTCTTTGGTTCGCGATCCAACGATTGCTAAGAGATCTTGACGTTCGACAGACTGGAAGCATGGAGGAGGAGGAGGAGAGGAAGAGACAACAACAACCTGCCTATTCAAGCGAAGCTGTTGATTTCATCATTGCCCGCCATCGGAGAGTAGATCATGCAAGGAAGCTGCGGCTGCTGTTCGATGTCCACGACAGACATAGCTTTCCTAGTTGTACCATTATTAGACGCAAACACGGTCAACAGTCTGGACCTAAGCGCCCAGTACGAGATGCTCCAGCGCGAACGAGAGTTGAGATGGAAGCTTGAAATGCGAAGAGATGTTGTTTGACCATCTTCAGGCATCAAGGCAACGAGCCCGCTCTCCCTCCCTTAGAGGCTACAACATTCTTTCTCGCTATTCAACACAATACCAGGACCGCGACTGGGACCCAACGGACAAGCTGAACAGTAGTACCGCAACAAGGCTTCTCCCAGCATAATGCCCACGGCCATGTCAGGAGGCAGCATCCCAGAGGCATTCGCCATGAAACGCCAGACCGCCTACTCACCCTTCCAGAAATTGCCCGCAGAAATGCTGGAACTCATTCTGGACTACATGGGACTGGCCGCGCACGTAGAACTGAGTGTATACAACTTCCACCAATTTTTGTGGTGGACTCGGGACCGTGTCCCCGATCTCAAGCCTCTTCGTCTGGCGATCCGGGAGTACACTTACCTTCCGCGTCTGTTGTCACGATTCTTCCATACAATCTGGCTTGACGATTCCGCAAAGCGCCTCGAAACCCTCTGTACAACGAACGTGTCCCATATGAGCCCGTACTTTCGGCGAGTAGTATTCGACACAGACAGGGATGGTATCGTTGCCGCTGATGGATTGAACCCAAACCCCCTTCGGGTCGCCTTCACCAATATCCTCCGCAAGATGCCAAAGGTCGATACGTTCTACATCAGAACTTCTCAGAAGGCTACGTTTCATGCTATCATTTGGAGCCTGAGCGCCGCCAGCAACAGGATCTCGCATCTGTATCTGGAGACCCATACCGAGAGCTCTTCCGAATGGGCTTCCCACGGCACGTTCGACTGGCTGGCACTTTTGAGTTTGCAGACCCTTGTTTTCTGCCCTCAGCGTCTTGAGGATCTGCGAGACGTAGAAGAATTTTTCGATCGTGACTTTGCAGAACGAAGAGGAAGCTCCATCAACGACTTCCTCAATCGATGCTCACAGAGCCTCCGCTTCTTGGGCATCAGAAACGTTAGATCCGGGTATGACTTCACATGGCCGCCGTCTATAAATCCGCTTCACAGCCTCCCGGAGTTGCAAAAGATCTACATCGACGCCTCCATTCGGCTGCATTTGGAGCAATTTGCAACATGCATACGCGACTGTCCCACCCTTGTGGCGATCGAATGAAATCCAAGATTACCATGGCTGGTTGTGGCGCCCAATCTGGGATGCAATTCGCGAGCATCCCAACCGGATGCAGGTCGACTTTCGAGAGGTCTACATCGGCGACGGCATGCCGCCCCTCACCATAAGACATCATACCGGAGAACAGGGTCGATACAAACACCACAAGGATGCTCATATGAATCTCCAATACAGCTTGGCGATGTACCTGTCCGGGTTGGGAGAGTGGAACAGGAGTCTCCGGCTGTGGTTCGATTCGGATCTAACGGAGAGTGACGAGGAGTATATGCTCACGGGTGGTGATAGTGAGAGCGACGGAAATGGGGAAGACGATGCGACTGAGGACGTTGACGGACCAAGCCAAGACGGCGATCGCGATCTGGAGTAGATGGATGCGCAATCACCAGATGCGCCTAATGCGAGAACGGGACAGCGGTTAACTGAGGGCTACGCTGGGTCAAACGACGAGATCTGAACGACATCCAGTTGTCGGTGTGAAACAGTATGCAAGGATGAGCCTGACTTGGGAGGTAGTCAACACGGCTCTCTGGAGCACCAATGTGGCATGGGCTCTCCCAGGGCCTCCAGGACTACCGTGGTATTCGGCTGACGGGTGACGGCAGTATCAACTCGCCTCGGAACGAACTTACCTCTTCGAACGGGCTGCCGGCACTTGACCATGACACCGATGTTCTTTCTGCTCTTGCGACGAAGAGATAGCAAACCGCTACGTGCGTACATGATCCACCCGTAGCTAGACCTTTACCGATCGAGAACAGTGTTTCAAGGTGTACCTTCCGGCAGACAACGGCAACCCCGACGCCTTCATCCTTGCCAAACCCCAGCCACCGATAATTGATCAGCAAGTATGGAATCAACCTCTACGTCTACTACGAGGACCCATATCTCCGCACAAATGTTGGCAAGTACCGTATCGTCAAGCTGTGCGGTCGCTGACAGTCATTCGCAGAACGGTAACGAGAATCACTTACCAGACTCCGCGGACCTGCCGGCCGATGGTTCTGTTCCAACTTTTTTTTCTACTGCATCAAGACTGATCGCTACTCGGTCGAGCACAAGTGCGAGCCACCTACCAAATGCCAGGAGTCGTACGATGTTTGGAATCACATCGACTTCGAGTAGGAAGTCTTCCTGAATACAAGAGTGGTGGAACCATTTGCTTTATGGGTGTGCTCTGAAGGAGGGATCGCTGTCGTCACTAAAATCAATTATGGCGCCTCGAAGCAGGTTTTGAAAGACGTGTGAGCGTGAGATGTGAGGCTAGCCGTCGATCATAGTTCTGCGGTTTCGCCTCGTGGTTGCAACGACGCAGCGATATGCAAAAGGAGTGTTGAATAGTACCTCTCTTTGCAGCAACGTGCTGGATGAGCTCAGCGATGTTTTATTGGTGGCTTGCGACTGATGCGGTTTCTCAGAAAACTAATAAATCGACACGCCCAGCCGCGAAGGATTGAGCAGCTCCAGGCATCACCGCTTGCAGCCTTACATCTCACCGCCAGGATGTCCCGTTTCCGCGTACATAAAAGACCACTCCACTCGAATGGTCACAAAGTAATACAACGAAACACCGAACTATGCTCGACCACTCCTCTCAGGTGCCGGGAGGTGCTGTCAAAATGCTCCAAACAGTGAAGACTCTCGGACCTTCTGCAGTAACCACCCCGATGGCCTCTCCTTTCAGCAGACTGCCGGAGGAAATGCTTGTGCTCATACTGGACGAGCTCCATACCGCCAAAGACACCGAGCGTGAACGTGATGCGGAAAGTCGACCAATCAGGTAGTCTAAGACCCAACAGTCACCACCGCTCTACAATATACTGATGGCCGGCAGTACCGACGGAACCGAATTCGACAGCTTCAAGAATTTGCGATCAGCATGCCGCGAGTACACCTACCTACCACGACTGCTTTCTCGCCTATTCAGATGCATCCGATTATTCCCTCTGCCGCAGCACATGGAGCTGCAAGACATCACGTGCCCCGATTTATCCGTACTTCGACCCTACGTCCGACGAGTCACCTTCAACTCACGGCCAACGCGGGAGAATGACGATGTCACTGGTTTAGAGAGCATGTTTACGAACATCCTCAGTCGACTGCCAAACGCGGGCGAAGTCTTCATTGCCGTCGGAAGTGAGCTGCTGTTCCGTACCATCCTTTCGAGTCTCGGCAGGTCGGGAACCATGATCACGGATCTCGACTTCCACTATTACATGGAAGGTCTTTTCGATTGGACGACCGATGACCTGCTCGACAACCTCGATCTATCCGCCTTGCGCAGTCTCAAATTTGGCGCGGACGTCTGGCTGAACTATAGTGAACTCAGCCGTCGAGTAAGCCGTATTCCAGATGACACCAACAGAGCTTTGAACCGGCTCCTCAAATGCTGCTCCAGCACCATAAAGAGCCTTTCATTTGGCAATGGATTGTTGCTCGGCTGGCCACACCCAATTGACCCACCACCGATCTTACCCAGCCTACAGTCTCTCAATATGATCCGGAATGCCAAATCGCTGCAGATGGAATACTTTGCAACTTACTTACGCTCGTCTTGTCCGGCCCTCACACTGCTCGTGCTCGACGCCGGGGTGAATGATAGAGAGGAATATCGTTACGTCTGGGACGCTGTCCGAGACCATACAAGCCGCATGACAGTTCGTTGCATGAGGCATCCACAGGATAAGAATGGTGGAGACGACTGGCACACGGTCTTCAGTCATTTCACTGGGGATGTGAGCAGACAGGGTGAGATCGTAGGTGATCCATATGGCGATGCGCTCGTCGGTTTGAAAGAATATCTCTCTGGGGTTCGCGAGTGGAATGAGAGGGTAGAGGGATGGTTGCACGCACTTTGACGACATGCTGAGAGAAGCACATCATGGAAGCTGCTTGCACGGTGACGAAGGGACTGCTTAGGAGAAACATCAAGAGTTCACTTATTAATGTGCACATGGAGGTTGCAGACAGTTGCTTGCGTCGGTCTCCATGGCTGCTGAGCAACGAGAGCCTGGATCAGTGTGCTTGCTCCAGTAAAGGACGCTGCGACCCCTAGCATCTTGCTCATGTTGTCTTGTTCTCCACTGCTATCGTCTTGTCTTGTATTGTTGGAGCGGCATAGTCAGGCACCAAGGCCAATACCTATTTCGAGCATCCACGCGGCGGTGTTCCGCCGAAGATGAACCCTGTCAAACGCCCCGTCATTCGCCGACAGGCACATGCACAACTTCTCTCTGCAGATGGTAGTTATCACGCAAGACCACGCTACACCACTAACTCCCTAATCTGCCCCATTTCGCTGCGCAAGGGCCCCGCCATCACCAGCACCTCATCGCATGTCACTACTCACCCGATAACGAACCGCATGCATGCCTAGAACCCCCTCCTCCCACCCCTCGTCCGCCATCCCTCTCACGTCCGTCCCGTCTGCCTCGGGCAGTGCTGGAGCACCTTCAACACGCCCAGCGGCGCTACAACCGCCTGATCAGCTATCCCCGACCAACTCCGCACGCGGATCCAGCAGCGACCTCGTGCACCTAAGCAAGGAGACATCGCGGCAGGGGACCCCTTTCAGCGACCTCCCCGACCCAGACACCTACCAGCACAGCACGAGGGACCGATCACACGGAGAGAGGGAATCAGGCGAAGAGTCCAGTTCTTTTGATCTAGCTTCCGACCCCAACAACGATATGCCTTCAGACCTCCGACCATCCCTCGAAATGGAGCACAAAAGCACACATCACCAGCCGCTGCTGTCGGGCAACAAGGCGCGGCAGTCTTACGATTCGGAGGCGAGACCTGGGTTTTCGTCTTCGAGGAGAGGGAGCAGGTTTCATGAAACAGATCCGCAGGCAGAAGCTGCGAAGGCGACGCGGAAGAGATATACGTATGCGGGAGCGTTTTTGCTGGTGAGCTTGGTGAGCTTTGCGATACAGACGGAGACGGCGGTGTATGTGCAGCATAATCTGCATTGGAATAAGGCGTATTGCATGCTGTGAGTCCGCATCCTGAGATGGTCCTTGGAGACGGGACATTGTGCTGACATATGATCACAGCTACTTCACCCACGGCTCCTGGTCGGTCCTCTACCCAATATCCCTCCTCGCTCTCCGATTACAGAAATGGCAACAGCCTTGGCCGCAGTTTTGGCGGCGACATGTAACGATGCTCCGGCAGACGGCACAGATGGTCGAGCACCGCACCCTCCACGTCCCACCTCATCTCCAAAAGAAGTCTCCAGTGCCTTACTTCCTCTACACGACCGCATACGTCACATGTGCCTTGACTGTCGCAGGCGGCAGCTGGTATGTCGCGGTCAATCTCACCACGGCTTCCGACTTGACGGCTATCTACAACTGCTCCGCCTTCTTCGCTTATGCCTTCGCGGTGCCGATGCTGCATGAGCGAGTGATGTGGAGCAAGATTGTCGCCGTCGGAGTGGCAATCTTGGGCGTGCTGATCGTAGCATACGGCGACCAAGGCGGCAGCGCGAAGCACGGCAGCAAATCTGGCGGTGGAGCCGGCGGACCAGATGCACCGGACGACAGCGAAGCGAACAACCGCTTCGCCGGGAACCTCGTCATCGGCGTGGGAAGTGTGCTGTACGGATTCTACGAAGTGCTGTACAAGAAAGTCGCCTGCCCTCCTGACGGCACTGCGCCAGGCCGCGGCGTGGTCTTTGCGAACCTCTTCGGCACGCTCATCGGCGTCTTCACCCTCAGCGTCCTCTGGATCCCACTTCCAATCCTCCACATCATGGGCTGGGAAACCTTTGAGCTGCCTCGCGGTGAAGCAGCCTGGATGCTGCTGATCTCCGTCTTCGCGAACGCAACCTTCTCCGGCTCTTTCCTGGTCCTGATCTCGCTCACCAGTCCGGTGCTGAGCAGCGTGGCAGCGCTTCTGACGATCTTCCTTGTCGCGTTATGTGACGAGATGCTACCACCGCCACTGTACAATCCCATCACCGCGGCGGCTATGGTCGGAGGGCTCATGATCATCTTTGCTTTCTTGCTGCTCAGTTGGTCGACGTATAGGGAGATGCAGGAGGAGAGTGAGAAGCATGCTGATGAGCGGGTGGAGGGGAGTGACGAGGACTTATAATGTGGTGCGTGGAGGATAGATCTGGGTTTGGCGTGGCGTTCGGTGGGGGTTACGCATTGGGAGGATGTCTGCATGTGCAGCATGCATGGGTGTTGGTACTGGCCGCTTCGCTAGATATGGGTGGCTATGTTGGAATGCTGTAGAACTAGTAGCTCGCACGCAAGTTCAGCATATGCTCATGCTATTCCAAGATGAAGTCTCCTGTGAATCGGTTTTGCTCGATTCATGGACAAGACCGAGATTCCGGCGAGGCGGGAGGGCACGGGAAGCCGATGCGTCCCGCAACCTACCACATTACAACTTGTTCGCAACTTCATCTCCTCATCCATCTTATCTATTCCTCACATCAGGCTTCTCGGTAAAAGCACGCTTATGGCGATACGCTCAAGATGTGCGTGCGGCACCCCAGGCGCGAGTGTTGCATCTCGCTTCTCCAGCAGGGACCTTCGGCGCTTCGGGACATGTCCTGGTCACCAGCATCCCACCCCGAGGGCCCTCTGGCCGGCGAGAGGACTATCGGCGCGACGCTCGTTTCCCCGTGAATCTGATGCCATCTCTGCTCTCACCTCCTCTCGGAAGCTAAGTATATCTCATAATGCAGGCAAGGCGCTCGCTCAAGCGGCAGCAGGCGCTTGCATCCTTGCGAGCTGAGGCGAGCCATTCATAGACTACATGTAGTCGCCTCAGTCCCATGTACACACTACATGCACCTGGAGTGTCATATGTTGTTCATCTACAAGAGCACGACGGCAAGTCATGTCTCGTTCGATTGGTTTTTGCTTTGCTTCTGATGTATGGCCAACTCTATCCTCCTCTCGCGATCCCCTCAGCACAAGACCTTCTCAGCGACAGCAAATGTGTACGCACCTCTCAATGACGCCAAAACAGGAATCCGCGTACTCGAACTTCAACCGGGACAATGGCACGAGGAGCTTCGAGGGACTCTTCGGATCGTATCTCTGAAGACGAACCCTCTCTACGAGGCTCTATCATACACCTGGGGAGCCCAAACACAGAGCGGACCACGAGAGCCTAGTCGAGGTGGCCGCACTCTCATCAACGACAATCTGTACTATGCTCTCCGACGCTTACGCTGGCGAGCCGCTGTCCGGACATTGTGGATCGATGCTTTGTGCATTAATCAGCAGAATGACGATGAGAAGGGTCACCAGGTTGCGATCATGGGCAAGATCTACAGACTTGCTACTACGGTGTTCGTTTGGCTTGGCGAATACCCCAATGCTCAAGCCAAAGACGAGCGCGACACACTTACGCCGCACTGGGGCCGATTCTCTCGCTTGAATTCCCGGGGGAAGAAGTTCGCTGAGCTTCTCGACTCGACACTTCAGCATGCACAACCGAAATGGCACGATAGGGCATGGATCGTCCAGGAGTTTGTGCTGGCTCGAAGAGCGATCTTCTGCTTTGGCCCAATCAGCTTTCCGTTCGACAAGCTGTACTTGCAAGATCTTACCGAGCGGCTGCCACGACAGATGGATCACCTACTCGCTTTCTTCTACCGGATCTCCGACATGGTCAAGCTTGAGATTGGGATCAGGAATAATGGGGTCCAGAGCATTCACGACGTCGTGCTCTACACCAGCACAGCATCCTGCAAGAATCCCTCAGACAAGGTCTACAGCGTCCTCAGTCTGATCGATCCGAAAGAAGCTTCGATGATGCCGGTCGACTACCGCCTGTCTCCGGTACAGGTCTTTGCTCGAGCAACGTATGCGGCCATCGTAGTGCAAAGAACCTTCGCCATTCTTGAGCTCATCGGCTTCAAGAACACTTCCGTCCACCGGCAGTCATCTTGGACAGTTGACTTCACCTCCGAACAAGACTCCATGGACGGACAGCTGCACATCTATCTCAAGCAAGGCATCGACTGGTCCGCTGAGCGCTACAGCATTCACCAGTGCGTTTCACTGAGCGCGGACGCTCGATACTTGACAGTCACAGGCTACACTCTAAGCAAGATCGGCAGCGTCCTGCCATTACCGAACGCAAGCCTGAATGCTTCCGGCGACACAGCTGTGCAGTTTGCTGCTCATTTGAGTAGCCTTCTGCAATCCACCTTCCATCACCACTACTCCACCTCAGCTCACATTCCCGACGCTAGAAGCGTCCTCACCAAAGATAACTTCCTCGTCGGCGGCAGCAAGACACAGATCCTCACCATCATGAACGCCGCCCTCGCCATCTGGGAGGGCCTTACCAACCCTTCTTCACAACGCACGCCGTACTGGCAACTCAGTCGCAACCAAAAATACGCCCAAGAAACTTCAGCTGCTGGCGGCGAGCCGGGTTTCGTGCTCAGCTACGCCAAATTCGTCAGCGGTGGTGCGATGGTGTTTGCGCTGAGCGGTGGGCTGATTGGGGTGGCGCCTGCGACTGTTGAGCCTGGGGACCGTGTGGTACTGGTAATTGGAAGTCGACTGCCAGTGGTACTGAGGAGGGCTGCCGGGGGCTACTGGGTGTTTAGGGGGTTTGTTTGGGTGCATGGACTGGTGGGTGGAGGGTTCATGGAGCAGATCATGAGAGGAAGGGTTGGGGAGGAGAGGTTTTTGCTGTGCTAGAATGTACTGGTTGGCGATTGTTGGTTCAGGTGCGCGCCAATCATGAATCCAGGTGTGGTCAGCAACGTCAGTCAAGCTCTTCGACAGAACATACTTCGCAGCCGGACTCGTGCACTTTGCGGCTGTTGGGATCGAACTGACTATCTTCTACAGAGAAACTATCTTTACACATTTGCATAGCAGGATCGACTCTCAGCGCTTCCTGCACCGACCGCTGAAATTTGCGCCTTACAGACCGGCGCCCACAGCAACCCAGTGGGCCACTTAACAATAACCTCGGACTAGTCTTGGAAAATCACCGCCGACTGGAGATCCATATATCACCACTGCCGTCTCGAAAAGCTCGAGTACAAGCTGGATCCACGGTGTGAAGGTGGTCCCAAAGGTTTGATGCTACCCTCAGGTTGCTTGTAGCTCATGACCCATAAACTTACGAAAGAGGTCCTCCATGAGGCTACCACCTATGTTTCGAGTGTCATGTCGATCACGATTCGCAAAATTGTACAGGTTCTGCCGAGCCTCGTTCAGGTAGTAGGTCTGTAGCCCAGCGCGCCGTTTGTCGTCCAAGATCTTCAATTGTGGGTCCGCCATTTCTTCGCGACCTTGGAGCTGACGAAGAAACTCGACAGCGGCGTTCACGGGAGCTTCTGCGACGGTAATCTCCCCGTACTTAACGACCTTGGTGTCTGTGATTGTCGCCACGTCTGGAACTTCGGATGTGAGCTGGTCGTTGTCTCCTGTGAGCACGGTCAAGATCCGTGCCTACTCTCTCCTGAGGGTTGACGGGGCCAGAAGAAAGGCAGCTCGGCAGGTCGGTGTCAACATTTCATGATGCCGTGCCACTTCGTACGCTTGGTCAACCAGCGGGAAATCGTGATCTGTGTCGCGCGGCCCATGAGCTCGCTGGTACACCAAGTCGCACAGTCGTCTGTGTCGCTGGATCAATCGCTTCAGGTCAGCCTCACGGCGCTCATGGTTCAAGTCCAGATCGAATGGTAGCCACTCCGCATATGTCGAGGAGTCTTTCCTGGTCATTGCGACTGCGCAAAAAGGGTAGCGGCCATCGAACGATTGGATGGTGACATGCTTGTCCCATTCTTGAATGGCCTGTTTATACCATTACGGGTAGTACATCGGATTGAGCTTCCAGTGGCAATAGTCGTACTGCGGAGAGCGGATGTCGGAAATGTAGCAAAACGCAGCGACATTGAACAGTCGCACAGCCTGCTGGTGGCCTAGTGGCCCAATGAGCGTGTCGTCGTTCAATCTTGGTAGGCAAGCTGAATTGCTGAGTGCTGTACTAAACTACCATTCGTTCCACCTGCGGCGGTGCGCTGCCTTGTAGATTGTTGCCATTTCTCTGGCGAGGTCCTCACGATAGACATCGTACCAGTCTTCTGGAAGGTTGCTGACAGTAAGACCTCGAGCCATGCCTGTAGCAAACGAGGCTAAGGTATGCCTCGCAACACTAAGTTCTTGATTTGAGATCGGAAGTGCTTGTGTAGGTACTCCAAGAATGATAGGTAGTATGTGGCGTTTGAGGTGAATAGACCCTTTCGGATAGCAGTACGTTGAGTAGGCGTAGACAAAAACAATGAAGCGGATGTAAATGTGAATAAGGGCAGAGTCATAATTACCTTTGTACTTTGCGGACCAGATCTCGAGACACGATTGGCAGCATACCTGAGCCACCAACCGATCTAGGTTGAAACAACTGCACAAACAGGTCCGCTGCAGGCTCTTGTCACCTTCGGTGCTACACAAAATATTAGGCTTAAGAAAATTTCCGAAGAATCGATTCACATCTGTTTGGAGTCTCTTACGTCTTCCAGTATGAGTAAGGTCCGTAGCCAACACCACGTACACATGCACTCCACCGCCTGCGGCAGGCCACATGAAGTGCTGAAACACCAGGCGGAAGGCCAGTAACGTCTCGAAGCATCTCCAACCCCAAGACCTTCCAAAGTACACCTCCACATCCAACTATCGTCATCACGCACTGAAGCGTAGACTCGCCTTTCAAAGCACTGAAGTGTCTTCAGCTGTTATGATCGAAGCACCCGATACTGTGTTCAGGCCATTCAAATGATCGCAGTCATTCATCCACCTGATCAATGGAGAAGAAGGGCCAGCCAGCTTCTCGAGCTCTGAGTCTGAAGTGCAAGAGTCTTGAAGCGCTGCATAGCTCGTTGTGAATCCGACTCGTCTCGCAGAGGCCTGTTGACTGTTAACATGAAGGGTTAGAGTAGAATGGCCAGCAAATCTCTCCATCTCCAGATCGATGTGAAAGAGTCTCAGAACGCAGCAGAGCCGACTGTTGCTGTCTCGGAATACCAGGCCATGCCCCGGTAGAGAAGTATGCATCCCGACCCTCAGGCTGAACTCGGAAAGCTGCGTGGTGCTTGCAGCTTGAGGGTGTTTCGGACAGCCCGCCCTCACTAGCAATGGTTGTCAGGTGTCTCGAACATGTGTAGAAGGTTGGAAAGGCTGCAGAAAGATCTAGAGTCCATTGATTTTTGTACGCACCCCAGAGAACCCTCAGACTCAAGAGGTTCACAAGTACGCTCCACCAGTCCCACGGCAAGGAAAAGAGGATGCAGCTGGCGCGGATTGTTCAAGCCAGCAGTAGTTCGGAAGCATGCTTACCATCATCTGCAAGGCTCTACGCGCCCAAAGCCACTGGCCCAAAGTGTTCAGGAGACCTCACCTCATAGCTCCCAAAAAGACATATAGCAGCACAAGTCCCCGCCAATCGCCCTCGTCAAAACAACGTCCCAAAAGACAGTCCAAAAAGTTCACGCTGCGTAGCAGGCTACATCTTCTCCCCGACCGTCCCGAGCTTACCCGGGCAGCCGGGGACATGTTAGGGGCTTGTCCGCAGTCGCCTTCCCGACCTGCATGCAACAGCGGGCGTCTCTGCGGACTCTTTGCGCCCAGCCGGAAGCCCCACCCCTTACGGCTGCAGTTTGCGCCCAGGGGATGAAACATCCCCAGACGTCTGCAGTGTTCGCCAAGGGCAAACTCCCTGCTGCCCCATGCGCACCAGGCCTGGACATGTCGTGGTCCCCTACCCTTCTCGCTTATAGCTTGAGGATGGGGGAGTGGAACGATCCTTTGTGGCTGGTTTTTGTTTGGTGGGGCCGACGGAACGTGGCTTGGGAGAAGGGATTTTGAAGATGGAATATGTAGTAGAGCGGTATACTTAGCTTGTTCCTGAAATTGGAGAGCGCTGGAATGAGGTGAAGTCGAGCAGCCGGTGAAGTGATGCCGAAGGCGTTTTACTCACAAAACGCCACTCGCTCATTCAAGTTCCTGTGTTCTCCCCTTGCGATTGCGTCAAGCGAAGCCACAAACAACGTCCCAAAGGGAGTCCAAAAAGTTGACGCTGCGTAGCAGGCTACATCTTCTCCCCGGTCATCCGAGCGTACTCGGGCCGCCGGAGACATGTTCTCCGTCCGCGACCGCCTTCCCGACCTGCATATAGCAGCGGGCGTCATTGCGGACGGTTTGCATGCAGCCAGAAGTCCATGCTGCGGAGAACGCAGTGGCGAGCCAGCATCGACTTCCGGCTGCAATGCGAGTGTCCAGGCCTGGACTTATTGTGGTCCCCCATCCTTTCGGCCTGTAGCTTGAGGATGGGGGAGTGGAAACGCCGGGATGAACCCGGGAATGTGTGAACCTGCTCGGGACTGTTGCCCGAGTGGTTTGTTTGATTGGGCCGGCGGAACGTGGCTTGAGAGAACAATTTTGGAAAGGGGATGATATTAGGATGTGGTAGTACTTAGCTTGTGCCTGGTACTGCGGAGCGGTGGAATGGAGGAATGCTCCGTTGCCAGTGAAGTGATGTCGAGCATCTACAACACCTCGACCTCACTCAGCACTTTTTCTTCGTTTAAGTAGTATCCGCACGCCAGCACCATGTTCAAGCCACGCATTTTCACACATCACTCCACAACATCACAGATTGACCGCCGACACAGCCGACAACCGCATCCGCCCCCTCCTCAAACACCACGCCCATACCGCATCCACCACCACGACATCCCCAAAACTAAACACCAAACTCCCCCCAAACACAATCGAATGATACGTCCAAGCATCCTCCGGCGTGATTCCAACTCGACTCACCACCACCGCCCACGGCAGCACCCAGAGCAGATTACTCACCAGCGACTGGTACAGATACCAGCGCGGTCGGCTCGCTAGGAGGATAGTCGCGAGTTGTGTGGACAAGGCGTAGAAGATGTAGCACCAGTCGATCGTCTTCCACATTTTCTCCGTGATGAGCGCGACGTCCGCGGAGCCGGAGATGAAGAGGGCGAAGCGGCGCGCGCCGTAGAAGGAGAGGAAGAGGCAGATCGGGACTTCGACTGCGAGAGCGATCAAGCAGGACCGCAGCGCTGGGTTGGTGATGGTGCGGAGGTGTTTCCAGGTGGCGGTTGGGCGGCGGACAGTTGGGCCGACGGTTCGTCGCCAGGCGCCCCATTCGTGCCCGACGAAGGCGAGGGAGGTGGCTTCCAGGGCTTGCACAGGGACCATGACGAGGCCCCAGCGGATGGTGTTGAAGACGCCCCAGGCGGTGGCGTAGGCGGAGCCCATGGCGACGATGCCGCTGACGAGCCAGAGGTAGAGGCCGTTGCGGATGGCGGATTCGGTGAAGGTGTATGCGCCTGGTTTGGCGAGGATGATGAGGCCGGGCAGTGAGGGCTTTGCTTTGTCCTCTGCATGACGTTGCAGTGAGTGGTGGCTTTGGCGTTTGTTCGTCCAGATGAAGTAGGCCAGGCCAGCGAAGGAGGCTGTCAATCCGCAAGCCAGTTGTGTTGCCGCCTGGGTATTTACCGTCGGCGTGATGCCAGGCACGTGAAATTTGGAGATGACGATCATATCCAGAATGATATTGACGGCAAGCTTGACAGAGCTGATGATCAGCGGCACATCGGGCTTGTCCAGGGCTCGAGTGGCGGCTGCAACAGCAGTCTCAATGGCAGACGACAGCGCTGAGAACGCAGACAGCCGGACGTAGGTGAGCGATGCCTGCCGGACTTCCACTGGCACGAAGGCGTTCGCGAACTGTTGTGCAGCCGCTGCAAACACAATCGACACGACGAGACCGAGCGCCGCCTGGAAAAGGATCAGAGTGTAAGATAGACCCAGCCGCTGGGCCATGGTCCGATTCGCCTTATCGCCGATGATGTTCCATGGTGCTCGCGGAAGTCTTTCATTCAGCACCTCCGAGACGGTGCCAATGTAAGTGTAAGCATCAGTCGTTACGACCATGGAAGGATCAATGTTCGCTACCCAAAGCTTGCTCAAAGTCCCGTAGAGGGCGGGTAAGATGAAAGCGCCGATGTTGAAGAGGAGGCTACCGCAGTAGGTTGAGCGGCTCCATGGCTTGACGTTCTTGCTCTCGTCCGATGCATTCTCATGGATTGCGTCGTCCTCGCCGGTAGTGGTCGTGTCAATCTCCGTATCGTCCTTTGGAAGCATCGTGTAAAGGCGCCGCTGTGCCGCATGGCGACAAACGAGGAGCAGCTGCCCCAACATAAGTAGTCTGAGGTGGCATTGCCGCTGATGCAGGTAGATGCAGTAGAGCTCAACGTCTGGCAGTACAAGATAAGGTACAGGGAGAGGGAGGGGTGAGGTGAGGTACTGGGTTGTTTCTGCGAGTGCACGGAGGGTGCAGCCGGCTAGGCTGGATTGAGACGAAATAGACGAGCTAATTTGACATTCACTCCAGGGCGTGACGCTTCATCCTCCCTACCTTTACCTCACCAAAAGACATGTCCGTGTTACAATCCCTTTTATGGTAGAGATATACTGAAGATTAGAGGGTCTTGGTCAACAGTGACGAGCCGAGGAGACCATACAGCTAACCAAGAGGCGAGGAAGATAATGACCCAGCCAGAGGCCCAACAGTAGGTAATTGTTTCACCGAGTCCTGTACCTATTCCTGTACCGATGACAACTCCGCCACGACCACGGAAAAGGCGTTTCGTGAGCGAGAAGACAATTGGTATTGTTCGGCGGGAACAGGGAACAAAAGAACCACCATGGCGAAGCGTCAAGACGAGCTCCGCTGCTACCCTGTTGATGAGAAGCATGTTGACATGGCACCACAGCCTCCTACAACCTCACCATACCCATCACCACTGTCTGGTATCTCTCCAACCTCGCAGATCAGTAAGTGGAATGAGTCCTCATCAACGCTTCTTTGATCAATGACAAGATCAATTTCACCCTCGCTTTATTACATCGTCGGTACTCGACTCTTTGTCTTCGAAGTAATCTACCCATACCTTCATATCAAGACAATCGAGTGCGCTCGCCCATGCTCTCCTCTGTATCTCATAGAGTTTCCTTGGTCCTATAGTCTCAATGGCAGTCACACGCAGCAACAGCTCCTCATCTTCCTTGCCGGACGCCCCTCCCCTTCCCCGCAAGAGGAAAGCAACACAAGAAGTGACTGACGATGACACGATCGTCGTCAAACGTCCCCGGAGGAACAACTCACCAGTCGCACCACCCCAAAACCCCTCTTCATCATCAACCCCCACCCCCGACCCACAATGGCTCACCACCACCCTCCACGAATTCCACTCCCTCCCCAAACTGCCCCCCTCAACCACCCGCCACACCCTCGTCGAACAAGCCAAAACCTACCTCCGCCTCTTTCAACCCCCCCATCCCCTCCCACGACGTCCACTTCTTCCCCTCCCCCACCTCCGCCCGGGCCTTCCTGTCCTCGGCCCCTGTAATCGACGTCCCCGTCTTCGCCGCCAATAGCGCAAACTACAGCATGCTCGACCCCGATTCACAGGAGCAAAGGCCTATTGAGCAGATCTTCGACATCCTCACCTCTTTCCCCTCCGACGCGCTCGAGTACGTCGATGAATCCCTCCCCGCTCCGCGGCGGAACCAGCGTGCGACCATGGCGCAGATGGCGCAGCGCTTCGCCCGCACACACACGGAGCCGATGGGTGTGCGGTTCCCGTTGAACTTCCCGGACATCCCGACGCGCGCGCCCGACAACGGCGTGCCGTCCTTCCTCTCCTCCACGAGCTGCACGCTTCTACAGGACCTGCTGCGTGCACAGCTAGACGTCGACGAGGCACGCATCTGCACCTGCGCAGCTCCGCCTCCTCCAAGATGCGGCCACGCGATCTCGAAGCGGCAGTTCGCGGCGCTGACGACGGCGTGGATCTACTGGCAGGGCGGCACGACGATGTTGTCCGAAGCCGGAACCGTGACAGCGCCGCATTGGGACCAATACGGCCTCTCCACCTGGATCAGCTGTCTCGAAGGGGAAATCGGCCTCGCATGGCTCGTGCGTCCGAAGAACCCGGAAGAACACATGCGGTGGTTGAGCGACCCGGGGAGGCCGACCGCGCGCTGGGCGTTCAAGGTGCTGCGGCCCGGGGACGCGCTGTACATGCCTTCCGGCACCGTGCACTTTGTCTTCCGGCGGCCGAGCGGGGGCCAGACGTTGGGGTATTCTGAGCATCTGGTGCGGAGGCGGCATTTGGTGGGGTGGTTGAGGGTGGTGGGGTTGACGCTTGGGAGGGAGGATGTGGATCTGGAGGGGTATGGGTTGGTGCTGCCGCCGCTGATGCGGCAGGTGAGGGTGTTGGTGAAGGCGGTCAAGGCGCAGGGGTTGGAGGAGATGTATGGGGGGAAGGAGAGGTTGGGGGAGGCGTTGAAGCTGGTTGGGCAGGTGGAAAAGGCCATCAAGAGTGTTTTTGGTAAGTGAAGGTAAGTGTGTGTGATCGTTGAGTTTGTTCTGGTCCTTTTTCGCTCGACTGTGTCATGGGATGTCCTTTGTCACTGATAGGGTCGATCTCTCCTTTTCAGCGTCATGGCGGAGTCTGCCCTCGCATTTCCTTCACGCGATCAGCTTGGCTTAGCTCCTCCATGATCTTGTCCCAGCAACCGGCTTCACATCCTTCGTCCACGCCCAAGGTGGCGAGACTTCTCTCTTCCGTGACTTCTTCGTCGCACTGTTCGAACGTTGGACAGGTATCAGTGAGGCAGTCGTCTTCGCATCCACATCGTTACTCCGTCCCGTCGTCGCCCCTACAAACGAGTTCGCTGAATCATTCCTATACGAAACGCAAACGCTCAGTACCCATCCCCCTCACTATCCACACGCCCAAGAGCGGGAAGTACTTAGTATAAGAACAGGAGCGCGCCTACTTCTCCGTCAGAACAAACCGCCGCTCCACCGGCCGCGGCACTTCATCGTCTTCAAACTTCAACTTGACCTCCTCCCCCGGCCCGCCGCGCCACGCCTCCACCACCTCCGCGCGGTAGAACGTCGTCGTGTCCGGGTACTGCGCCAGCACGTTCCGGCCCTTGGCGAGTTCAGGGAGTCCGGAGTTCTGCGGCGGGATTTGGATCAACTGGCTCACGCTCGCGCGCTGCGGGGGTGGAGGCTCGCCTTGCGTATCGGCGTCTTGGACTTCGTAGCGGCGCTGCTTGCCCTCCCCTATCACGGCGGTGACACGGCAGAGTATGCCCTCGCCCTCCGTGGCGTCAGGGCCGGTGGGGATGATGTGCGAGTGCCGGCAGAAGACAACTTCGCCTTTGGTCAGGACGAGGCGGTTGGTGGTGCGGCTACTACCGCCGAGGCTGGTTTTGCTGCCGGCAACGGCGCCGGTGGAGGAGGCGATGCCGTCGGTGCTGCTGGCGACGCTTTCGGCGCCGTCTTCGAGTTTGACGGACGCTTCGCGGGTGGCGGAGACGGAGGCGGCGCGGGAGGGTTGGTTCTTAGAGAGGCGGGAGCCGGGGTTGAGGTGGATTTTGGGGCTGGGGGCGGCGGGGGTGTCGAGGTCCATGTCGTCGGGGGCGAGGGAGGTGGTGATGGTGGATGCGGAAGTGGGTTTGCCGGAGGCGGTTCGCTTGTTGGGACGGCTGAGCTTGCTGCTTGCGTTGCGTTGGGGTGGTGGGTTGGTGGGGAGGCTTTGGGCGGCGGAGGACTCGCTGGTTTCGCGGAGGGCGGCGAGGACTTTGATGCTGTCGAGGAGGTTCATGCCCTCGGGGTTGCCTTGGACGATGTTTTGAATTTCTTCGGAGAGCTTGATCTTTTCGCGGTAGAGCTTCTCGAGGCCTGCATTCTATTAGCTCAAGATTTTGACGGTGCTGCACAGTTTGGTCGAAAGGAGTTTTGTCTGGGACACTGACGTTCATCCAGAGCAGTGGAAGGGGGCTTGTCGGAGGCGACTGCTTGTGCTTGCTGGTCCTCAACCTCGATGATCTCATAGCCAAGTTCATTTGAGCGGGCCTGTGACACTGATTAGCAGGTATAAATTCTGTAGCGAGGTTGTGCGCAGTGCTGCGGTATGACCGTGGGAAAGAGATTGGGGGCTGCACACGGGGCTCAAACAGGGGAGGGGCTGTTGTTGGGTATATATCTCGTGGACGAAGATAAGAGCATCATCTCACACGCAATGGTCTGGTACATACCTCCTGCCGAGCGACATCCCTCGACTTCTCCTTGATGTTCTCCCACAGGCGCCTCATCTGGTCATCGTCGTCGTTGCTGACATTGCCTCTAGCACGGTTCCGGACCGACATGACTGCACCTGTTACTGAATATCAACAATGGTCCTCTACATGTATCATGGCGGACAAGGCGTAGGTTGGCAGTTGGCGGACAAGAAGAACGAAAATGGCTTTGAGCATGACATTGAGGTCTGTGGCCATTGGAGGTGGCGCTTTACCCCAGTCGGGATCTGCGCGGCCCTCGGCAGTGGAGCGGGCCGACGAACCCTGAGCTAGAGACTGAAGCTTGTGTGACGTTGTGCCGACTTCGAGATTGTTTGAGGACGAGTGTGTCCAGCATTGAACAATTGACAACCTGTCTGCGATCAAGTTGATTCATATACGCCGACACCCTTCACATCACTCCTTGAACGTCAGACAATCTCGGAGATCCTTCACCATGCAAGTGCCTTTGCTGCGTCTACAGTGCGGTCAGTCCATCAACCTCCGAGCCGGAAGTGAAGCCATTGACGATGTATAGGTTGCAATAGCTATGAGTGGGGTGAGTGATCCTATACCTTGCATCGTTCTCCGGGAAATCATAAAGCACCATACAGTGCTATGAATCTGTGTGACCTTTACTCGAAATTCGAGAACTGACACCCTCGCTCAGGCAAGGTGGGAAAGGACTCGGCCGCAGCACGATTCGCAGCGGCTACCAATCTCCAAATCGAAGAGGAGAAGCCGTACGCCGAGGTCAGTCGCCACGTGACCATGAGATTACTCTCGACTGACGAGAAGACAGCTGTGGATGGGCACCCACCCCTCGAACCCCTCCAAAGATCTCACGACCGGCCGCACCCTCCTCGACCTCGTGCAAGACAACAAGGCCCTAATGTCCACGTCAATAGCCAAGAAGTACAACGACAAGCTCCCCTTCCTGTTCAAGGTTCTCTCAATCAACAAGGCCCTCTCAATACAAGCACACCCCAACAAGCAGCTCGCGGAGACTTTGCACGCTCGAGATGGCAAGAACTACCCGGACGACAACCACAAGCCAGAGATGACTATCGCTATCACGCCGTTCGACGGGCTCTGTGGTTTCCGGCCTCTCAACGAAATCACACACTTCTTACAGACCGTCCCGAGTTTGAGAGAGCTCGTCGGCGCGGAGAAGGCGGAGGAATTCGAACAGACGGTACAGGGGCAGGAGACCAGCGAGGATAAGAGCAAGATGGAATCGAACAAAAAGGCGCTACAAACAGCCTTCACAGCCCTTATGGAGTCGAAATCAGAAGACATCGAGCGCTTAGCCCCCAAGCTCATCCAACAAGCCAAAGACGAAGGCAGCACGTTCGCCGGCTCCGGCGGCCCTTCCAACTCCGGTCAAGAACTGGCAGACCTGATGCAGCGCCTCAACGGCCAATTCCCAAGCGACATCGGGCTCTTCGTCACCTTCTTCCTCAACTACGTCAAGCTCGAGGTCGGGGAAGCGATGTTCCTAAAAGCAGACGATATCCACGCTTACCTCTCCGGCGGTACTCACCCCACTTACCCCCCCTCAATCTTTTTCACTAACGAATTCATCACAGACATAATCGAATGCATGGCCTCCTCCGACAACGTCGTCCGCGCCGGCTTCACCCCGAAATTCAAAGACGTCCCCACCCTCACCTCCATGCTCACCTACAGCTATGCCCCCATCGCCGAGCAGAAAATGTCGCCCACACCGTACCCGTACGTCAAACTTAATTCCACAGCTTTCCAATCCAATTCTGCGTGTACGCTGTACGACCCGCCGATCGAGGAGTTTTCGGTGGTGAAAGCGGAGTTGAATAGCGAGGGCGCGAAGGCGACTTTTGGAGCGCTGGAGGGGCCGAGTGTTGTGCTCTGTACGCAGGGGAAGGGGAGGGTGAGTGTGGGGCCGAAGGTGGAGGAACTGAGAGAAGGGTGGGTTTACTTTGTTGGGGCGACGGCGGAGTTGGTGGTGGAGAGTACGGGAGGGCAGCCGCTGGTTTTGTTCAAGGCTTTCTGCGAGATTGAGGAGGAGGTGGGGAATGGGGTTAATGGGAAGATGTGAGGCATGAGTTATGATGATGTGGCATGGCATGGAACAAGCGGCCGTGATGAGATAGACGGCTTCTCGGTTATGAAGGTATGATCAAAAAGCATTTCTCAAAGCTCAGGTGCTGCTACAGTGATCTCGGGTCCAGGAGACGTTGGGTTTGGACGACGCCAGTCCCTCTCAAGAATGAGCGCAGGTAACTTGCAATGACAGTTGGCAGCAAAGCAGCACGAAGATCGTTTAGATTGCAGAGAAGGGCACTTGCACAGCTTGGAAAGAGGGTAATCATTCATTGTCAACAAGAATCTTGAGGCCGATGGCGTTTTGATCATGTTTGAAAGTCGGTCGTCATTGCACCTTACGACGGCCGGCGAGCAGCCCATCGCAGCTGCGTCAGATACTCTAGGAAGGCACAACACCGGGTAAGCCAGCACTTCTTGCTTCCGCTTCTTTGTTGACTGACATGTTCTCATCCTCAGCACATCTATTCAGTCTCTCACTCCAAGCACGCTCAGCATCAACTTCAACTAATCCGCAGCTTTAACCAGAATAGAACAGCAAAGCAGCAACTCACGAATCACCGGCAGCAGCGCCTTCAGCGCCATCAAGTGCTCGTCTGTATGCAGTCGGCCAAAGTCGCCGCATTGTCTCTGCGCAAGCGGATGCACTACAGACTGCCTCAACCTCGCAACACTTACCGTAGTATCCTCGGCTCTCACTACATTAGCACCCCTTCACTCGCTTCACGAACCGCTACCCTCACAGCCCGAGCCATCATACCATGGCCCCAAAACCCTTACAAGGCCCTGCGAGTAACGCACCCAAACGCAAGTTCGACGACGACACCAACAAGCACACGCCCCAGCCCGTCTCCGACACTACCCCTCAGCAACCTCCAACCGGCTCCGAGAACCAAACCCCTGGCCTGGGCCTACAGACCCCAAGCGAGACCACCGCAGAGCAACCATCGCCTGTAGAGCCACGTCAAGACTCCGCCGGCGCAACGACCCCGAGACACCAATCCATTGCTCCCTAGGCGGGTGCAATGGGCGTCCAATGGGCCGGACAACAACAGAACCAGAACCAGAACCTTACACCCGCTGAGCGAGTCCGTGAGCATGGACCGGGCACCAGCACGTTCACCCGCCAGGATCTCCGGCAGCAGCAGGAGCAGCTGAACCGGCAGTTGGCTCTCAACACGCAGATCCCCAACGTCACCCATGAGGCCGGGCATGGCTCGTCTTCGGACTCCTCGTCGACGGGCACGGTCGTGCTGGCTTCAATGACCGACGCCGAGCGCGCACAGCTAGCTCGGGAACGGCCCCGGCCGCACCCCCAGACTACTGTGACGAGGCGGTCGTCGCTGCAGGGTGAGGTGAGAAGAGCGGGAAGGGAGAGGTCGGTCAGTTTTGGGGGGACGAGGGTGAAGCGGATTGGGTCAATTGGGCAGGAGAGGGCGCCGGTGGATGATAGTGAGAGCTCTGGGGAGAGGTCGCCTGGGGAGGTGGATGATGAGGTCGGGACGGATGATGGACGGGAACCTGGAATACTGGAACGGCTGATGACCTGGACTTTCATGCTGGTTATGGCTCCCAGGCAAACACTCTCTGCGGCCGCAGCGGAGGTGCTGATGATTGTGCTTACCGTGGCCATTCGGATCAACAGCGTGAACTCGCGAGACATAGACGCTTGGATTCCCACCATTCAAGGCTTCTTGGGAGCCTTGCTGGTCCTCAATTTCTACCTGCTGTCGTTCCTCGGAATGATCGCCATGGCTTGGATCCTACAAGAGCTCCCCGTTCATATCGCAAGATTTGAGGCGAGAGCTGTTGCGCTCTTTCGATTCGTCGCGGCGGTTGTGTTGCTCCCATTTGTTCTTGCACACACGGTTCTGGGGATTCATTGGAACATCGCCCTCCTGGCTGTGCGCATCTTCCGTCGGATTGGGGGAGACCGGGAACCGGAACGACCCCAACCCAACGGCCACCCTATCCCTCTGAATCATCGCAGGCATCGCCATCCACCGCTCTTGGGTTCACCGGCCAACCAGCCGTACCTCGATGCTCATGCGGCCAACCCAGCCCCCGATGTGGATGACGGTAACGAGTCTGATCCGGACCTACCCAATCCAGAGGATGACACGAGGTTCCAAAGTCTGCTTCGGAGGGCTTTTCCGTGGGCACACAGGGCCTGGCTGTCTGGGCTCGATCACCTGACAATGCTGCAAGCTAATTCGCGACCTGCTCCGGCTGCAAGCAGACCACGCAGCGAAGCAGACGCCGTGAGGGACGCAGCGCATGCCCGTATGATGCGAGCCCGGGCCGCGTGGCAGGATGAGATGGCCTCTGGAGCATTGCCGTCCGATACTCCAGTGGACGATCAGGACCAAGTCACTACGGAAGACGATGGACGCCGTGGACGCACGGAGAGCACTCTATCATTCTCTCAAGCGGACGAGGAACAAGATGGAGAGGAGGCCGAGAAGTATGAAGACGACGAGCCATTGCTGAAGGTGCATCGAGATCGTTCGCCTCCTCAGCCACCGCCGCCGTCGGGTGGTGGTGGGATCTGCTACTCGCTGGACTTTGGGTCTTTGGACTTGAGGCTTGCGTCGCTGCCGGCACGTCCGGGGACGGCACATGGTGAGGATGAAGATGGCATCTCGCCCGGGACGAGGGGGAAGAGTGAGCGGCCACCGGGAATTCCAAACCGTGGCCTTTCTGATGACGAGGCAGGTCCTTCTGCTGTGTCCAGCTCAGGTGCACTTGGGCGCGGACTCACTACACCGCACGGCACCAGTGCGGACGATGTGTCTACTCAGGCGCTGTATTCTCACCCGGTGAGCCCCGGTCCGGTGACGAGGAACGAAGACAAGCCTCCAGGCTCTCAGTCCTCCTCCAACACCGCTTCCGTCAACGGCGAGAGCGCCAGCAATAGCCCGGACGAAGAGGGTGGCTGCCTGCCTTGCACCCTCTCTCCGCTGAAACTCCCGTACCGACTTCCATACCAACGTCGTCCATCGAACACCGGTCCAGAACAAGCCCTGCAGCGATACAAATCGGTGCAGCCCAAGAGAACACCTGGAAGCCAGCATCCCGCAAACCATGCGCCGTCTTCCCAAGAAACGTCGTCCACCTGGTCAGCGAAGCGCTTCTTCACAGCTTTACGCAGCTCTCTAGACGACTTCTCCGAGTGCATGCCTTGTGCGCCATCGCCCGTCGTTCGGCGGGAGGAAGCTGAGCCTGAGCGGGAGGAGGCTGCTGAGCCCGAGAGGCCTCGTCTTGTACCACCGACTGCCCAGCTTCGAGAGAATCCCGGTACTGGCAGAGTGAGATTCCAACCTCAGCCGCTGCTTCCGCCGCTGGAGCTACCCAGTGTGGGGGGCGGGAACGACGTTCTCGTTCTCGACTCTGCGATGCCGTGGAAGGGCAAGGGAAGGGAGGTCGATTTGCCTGCTGCTCAGCGGATGAAGTCGACGTTTGGGTCTGGACTGGATATCGACCGGGAGTACCCTTTCTCCGACTTCGACGGCGAGTGGCAGCGACCTCGCCCTGCGCCACCCGCTGCTCGGCGAAGAATGCCTCTACCCGGTACCCGATCCAATATCGACTGCGAGTACACTTCTCCTTCAGAGGCTGAAGCTGGCCAAACTCCTCGCACCGCAGCATCGCAAGCAACGCCATCGACCGACAAAGGCAATCTCCCCCTCAAGGAGAACCTGAGCCCCCAGAGCTCGACCACTGTGCCAGCAAGGAGGTCAGAGAGAGACGGCACGTTCGCGAAGGATACGCTTGCGCGCTTTGGTATTTTTGCGGCTGGGGTGCCTGAGGAGCCGAATCCGCTGCGTTTTCTCCAAAAGGGGCCGGTGATCTCGCTGCAGCGGATTTTGGGGGAGGCGGTTAGATCTTGTGATGGGTTTCCTGGGGTGACCACCTTCAGTGTTGCTGAGTCAGCTCATGGTGCTGCTGAGTCGGATGTTCTTGACCGAGCGGACTTCGTTCAGGATCCAGCCTCCAGCAGGTCGGTCGCTGATGACATCACTGAAGCCTCGCCCAGCGATGTCGTACAGAGACAAAAGAATGCTACAGCACTGCCTGAGCTCGGAAGCGAAGCTGGCGACCTGGACGAGCAGCTTGACGATCAAGTTTGGAGTGCCTTCGCACTCGGAGGAGTCAGAGGCAGGAGCGCCAGCGTCAATCAATTCCAAGCTCTGGCTAACAGCGATGTTATGCCGGACGAGGGAAAGGAGTTGAGCGACGTGGAAGAGACCCCAAGGAAACGCTGGCTGCGCAAAGGTCAAGGAAAGAAGGCACGTCGTCCTGACCCGCAGAATTACACCCAGGCCGATGATCTATCTTGGGCACCGATCGACGGCACACGAGAGCCTGCGGATCTTGATGCAATCAGAGTCCAGGAAATGGTCGTTGGTCAAAACGGACGTTCTCTGCCGGCAAACGAGAACCAGCTACCACAAGCACATGGTCCACAGGCTCGCAGCGAGATGCCTACGTTCCAGGAATACGCTGCCGCGAGACAAGATTCGACGCAGCAGCCTGCGTCCCAGCTGGTCGTTGAGAAAGCGACGCCAACCAAAGACCAAAAGGTTGGTCGCAAGACGCTGATCCTCAAGCTGCAGCTCTTCGAGCTGCAAGAACCGCCACCGGAGCGCAGACAGTTTGCGTCTTACGCCCTGGCAGCAACCGAAGCCTGGGTTCCTACGCAGAAAGACGGATTTGACCGCGCGAGCGCCCAGCCGGACAACGAATCGGTATCCACCTCCGCGAGCCAGCGCGATAGAATTCGACCAACCCGGAATCACGGGGGCTAGCAGCCCTTTCAGCCCAAGTCGACCGCCACGGTGATGGGTGTTGATGCCGCCCAGGGCGTGTTCGGGCACATGAGTCCTGGGCAGGCGGTCTCGCCGACTCGTCATGGTGGCTCCTTACGATCTCTAAAGTCCCTGTCGACGCACGTGTCTTCCAGGTCGGTGGTGCCAGGTGGCGAGGATCCTTTCGTCGACAGGACAGATGACAGCGGCCGCTCCGGTGCTGATGAGAAGAAAGCATCGCTGCTTTGGTCGCCTTCGCAGGCTCGGCGGGAGACGGTGCACACGGAGACCGAGAACACCTTCGGCCTTTGGGACAGCAACTTGCGACAGGAGAGGCATGGTGATGCGCTTCCGCCCAGCGGTACGGTCGAAAGGACGCCAGACTCGCCTCCTCCATCACCGAGCACCCCAGGAACATCTGACGGAGAAAAAGTGACACCCAGAGAAAACACACCTCCCTCCGGTCCACATCAGCACATCACGAACCTGGAACGAAACACCCCTGTCCTCGAGGCCAGGCGAGGGAGGGCTGCTGATAATGGCCAATTCCCGAGATCAGTGCGGCGACACTGTCCAGCTGGACGGGACAGGGGCACGAAGGCGAGGTGGTGGTAGTGAATGGTCGTGTGGACGATGACGTGGTGTTCGAGTGACTGATGGTAGTGCAAACATTCGATGGATGACTGGGTGGAACAAACACAATCGTTCGTGGCACAAGGGATGAGGTACAAGTACCGGGTCGTAGAATGTGTGGTGTTACTTTCTTTTCTGTATGATACCATTCTTTAGTGCAGAGTACTCAGACTTGACATCCAACTCACTATCAGCTTTGCCAATCGAGATAACTTGCCTTCTACACCGCCACTGTCCATTGGGGCTTCAGCACCACCAGTTCTGAAGGCCTGAGAGGTATCTCGACACGTCCAAAGGTGGGCACAACCTCTTGCGTACCGTTACCACCAAGTACGAGATTGCTGACTGGTAGTAGACAGCCCCAATCAAAACCAGCTACACCACTTACCAACCCCGGCATCTACCCGTACGCACAGCAGCATGTCCGAGCTACCCAAGGGCTCGTCTCCACGCATGGTTCGCGCAAAAGTGAGCCTGCACCAGCGTAAGCCATCACCCACAGGCAACCAAAGCAGCTCTTGAGAGTCTTCGCGATCCAGGACGTCTCGCTTCACAGAAGTCTTCGGGGGTCCAGACCAGCAGGACGAGGAGCGCGGTAAACTCGTCAAAGCTCCCGAGGAGCCTCATCTGAGATCACCATCCAGGATGAGCAACCGCAACTCGAAGGAAGAGGTGGATGAAGTGGTGTCCAGATTCACCGAAGCCTTCCCCAGTTTCGAGCAGGACCTTGCGGAGCGGACCAGATTGGCAGAGTGCGAGGGCGAAGGCGACGATCGCAGCAGTACTGCCGGTAGCAGTGATGACAGCGCTGCTACGCTCCAGGCTGGGGAGTGGGCTGAAGACACGCCCTCAGCTCTCACTCAGCCGCCTTGGGACTTTCAGATCCCGGACTTGTCAGGACCAGACGCCGAAGAAACCCCTATCATGCCGACCAGTCTTCGGCCGTGATGAGCTTGGGAAGTCGGTGGGGCCCAGTGGCGCTATCCCAGCTACTGGCGAAACCTCCGAGGAGCGTTGCCTGCGTCTCTTCAAGTGGGAGCAATGGAATTACTTCTGCCGGATGCTGAATGAGTGTCGATGGCACCGCCGGCGGGGAAAGGGCCTGGATGAAGCTGCGGATGCTGCGGTGCTGCAGCACGCGACGCCGGAGGATTACTTGTACCAAGCGTACTTGCCTGAGAATTTTGAGAAGCGGCAGCGGATGATCAAACGGATCAAGAAGGATGATATGAAGTGGTTGGAGGAGAGGCGTGATTGGTTTAATGTCAACAGTCGGCAGAGGTGGGCGATGTTGATTTGTGGGGGTATGATGAACGACAGACCTAGAATTAGGGAAGGGTTCTTTGATGTCCAGTATGTGATCGAGGAGCACAACGTCACCGATCGTCGTGGTAAGTGGTGTATGAAGCTCACGTTCGATCCGGCTTCAGCTACTCTTGATCGGAGCAGCAAATTGACATGACTATGCTGACCGACTCCATGCAGAAGTCTCCCGGCAAGATCGCGCCTTCACTCTCCTTGACAGACTGTTCCCGGAGGAGAAAGCACATGCTTATAGGCTTTTCACAGAAGGCGCTGAAGACAAAGCGCTGGTGGATGCCTTGGAACGGCGGAAGGCTGAGTGTATTCCTCCTAGCAGAAGCGCGTTTCGTCAACGTGAGTCTGCTATCCAAGTGCCAGCTGCGGAAACGAAGACGGTTAAGGCGAAGTCACCTCCTACGGACCAAGGTAGCTCAGCGGACCAGCCTCCATCTTCGGGGCCGTCCAAGGACAAGGGCAAAGCGCCGGAAGGGTCCTGATGCAGTCTATGGCCAGCATCTGAATCGTGATCTGTCTAATGCATAATGTTGTGCAGTTTGTGATATCTTATGGAGGTGGAGTTGGGGTTGGAGTTATATGCGAGCAGTGACAAGCCGAACACGTGATGACATAAGCTAGCCTTATTGGGAGGCTCCCCGCTGGCGGCCGACCTCACCTCCATCTACCACCAAGCAAATAACGCGATCTACCACTGCAGCATTCCGACACCCCACGATGGCACAGAATGGTCTTACCAACGGCACTGCAGCCATGTACGGCGGCGGTCCGAACGTTGTGCTCTCTTCGCCGGGCTACCATTCGGACATGCAGATCCTCATGGACAACATGGAGAAGCTCTCTGGCACTCTGCAGCGGAATCGACAAGAGTGGTCACAGGTACAGGAGGGTTTGGAAAGGGTAGGGCGGTTACAAGTAGGCTCTCACTGTCCTGGCGGAGGTTTTTGATTTCTGATCTTGTGTTGACTTCTTGCTTCCTTCCATAGGGCAGATTAGCCAGAGATGGCCAGCTGCCGCTTGTCAATGGCGATATATCTTGTACGTAGCTGTATCTCTCGATATGCGTCTCTCAGACACCTTCCCATGTGATCATGCTCCAATCAGCAGCAGCCGCTAACAACGAATGTAGCCCACGAAGAAACAGCCGACGAGTCGCCGAATGTCCTCCAGCTCCAGAACGAGCTAGCAAACTCATATCACAGGCTCAACGACCTTCGAGAGAGCTTCACGCAACTCCAGGCAGTCCACGAAGAATACTCCAAAGGCCTCGAAGCGGCAACACAAATGGCCCAGGACTTCCAGGAGAAGGAGCAGAAGTACATCCAATCCGTCCACGAAGACTACTCGGCACAGCTACTCCAGGCGCGAAACGAAACTATGCAGGCACAACTCACGCACCAAGCATGGCAAGCGAGGCTGCAAACGCTGGACGAGACGGTGAAAGCGGCGTATAAGGCGCGGGAAGAAGAGGGACAGCCGTATCGGAGGAGAATCGCGGCGTTAAAGGAGGAGAATAGGATTTTGAGGGCCAAGGCGGGCTGGGATCCACCTCCGGATAGTGAAGACGAGGACTGGGATGATGAGGGTATATTGGACGTCGAGGGCAAGGGACGCGGGAGCCAAGGGAGTCACGGCGCGGAGCGGGGCGACCGGATGCCGAATTTGGTGCAAGGGCTGGCTGGGTGATTGCTGCTTGCAGATAGGGTCAAGTCTTCACTGAGATATGCAGGTACATTATGCGGGCTGCTGAACTCGTTTGCCACCGCGAAACATGGCATTTTCTTTGGCTGCAGCTGGCGACCAAACTGTCTCACCAGGTATGTCGGCTCTTCTGCAGTTCTTTCCACTTTCGATTGTTGCCTTTCGTTCGCAGTGTGCTTGCCCGATTCGGACGCCCGCAGAATTGTCCTGTGCCGCGCATGTCTCGGTCAGAGTGCGCAGGACACACGATGCAAGTTCTAAGGCTCTTCGCAGCAAATGAGAACTCTGAAAGAACTCTTGTTCGCGGCTGCGCTTGATCCACTGAAAGGTCCACTTTGCTCTGCTGGCATTGGCTGCCTGCCGCATCTGTCTCGAAGGCGGGCGCGGGTTGTGAGACCTTGCAAGCTTGCTAGCCACGCACACGATTGTGCTACGCAAACATTGACCACAACCATCCTGGCGTCCTGCATACGAGATGATAGATATAAGCTGGTGCCTCTGGTCTATTGTACAAACCAGAACACCAACATCGGAACACCTCATCCGAACCATCTCATCAATACAACCACCAATCCATCCAGACCGAAACGACCGAACCGACCGAACGAACGACGACCGAAGCGAACGACCCATCGACAACAACCAGCATGGGCCCCAAGAAGAAGCAGAAGGCCAATTGCCTTCGCTGCCCTTTTGAGGACAACTTCATCAACAATCACGGCATCGACCTGCCAGGTCTCCACCGCTGCCAACACGAAGTCACAGTCGATAGAGTCGGCTCGCTCGACAACCTCCGGCCCGGCTTCAAGAAAGGCGACGGCACGCACAACTTCTCTGCCGACGATAAGGAGGCGGCTGTCACCTATCTGACTGGCATCAAAGATGCGGTAGCGGGCGGAACGGGCAAGGACAAGGTGGCTACGACAAAGGCTGATTTGGAGGCTGCGGCGAAGGTGGCGTTTCCGGTTAATACACCTGCTGAGCTTGCGCAGGAGGCAAAGAGGGAGGCTGCACTGAAGGCGGCAGTGCAGAAGGCTGATGAGAGCAAGCTTATTGAGATGGGTGCAAGGATGCTCCTCTCCCCGACGGCTCGTGAATTTACTTCGCCAACGCCCGATGTCTCACAGCCTGTTGTCACTGCTGCTGACAATAACGCCATCCCGGATGCAAACACCTCAGAGTTCCGCGCCGACATGGCCGCTGGTGAGCTTGTGTCTACCCCTCCGGTCACCTCTGCTCAACCACAAGATGATACTCCCGCGCCGGCGCCAGCACCATCTACAACTGCAATCCTTCCGGACCAGCCTCTGACCACCGACGCATCCGCACCTCCAAAGGTACTTGCTCCATTGCGGGACCTGAAATGGCCTGACCACACCTCCAGCACTTCTCAATCCTCAAGCTGGGCAACAGTGGACAGCTTCATCAAGATGTTCTCGCAGGATCTTGCCCAGATTGAGAACAACAAGGAGCAGGCTAGCAGAGGTGTTCCATCTGACCGCTGTAGACAGCTCACTGGCAGTGAGCTCGAAGAAGCTGGACAGAAGATGATCGGCAAATATGGACTTCGCACCAGCTTCGTCAAGTCCACTGGAAAGGTGGAAGCCAACTTCCTCTCCATGAAGTCTCCGAAGCGCATCTATGTCTACGACGTGACAATGTATCGTCCGGGCTTGCACCAGGGTCAGCGCAGTGTCGTCAAGAAGCAGTGGGATATGATTCAGATCTTCAACGAGCGACTTCGCCAGACCAATCCAGACAGCCAAGCGCTGCGTGCGAATGTCGCGTACTGGGTCACGGATGGCTCCATGATCTGGTCCACTCGTCCCATCTTCAATGAGTCCGAGACTGAACCATTCGCCTACCAACATGGGCCATTGCCATCGCCTCAGCTCACTTATCGCAACGAATGCGGCCGGGCTCTCACTATCGAGACTGTCAACTTCAAATACCGTCAAGCGATCGACCTCTCGAAACCGATGCATGAGATCTTCTTCGACCACACCTCGATCAGGTTCAGGGACAGTGAGCCGAACATCCTGGTGAAAGGTCTCAATGCCTTCTTCTCCAGGAACGTTCGTCATCAGCTAAGGCATCCTTCCATGCCACAGGCGAACGACTTCATTTGTGTTGGCGCCAACGAGTCCTACCCCGGAGGCACTGGCCCAAAAGCCAGCCAACCGCTGGACAACAGACAGATGATATGCGCCAAGCATGGATTCTCACTGTCAATTCGTCCTGGTGTGCAGAGTATGTATGTCAATCTCAGCAATGCTACCACGCCGTTCTTCGAAGAGGCCATTACTGTTCAAGCCTTCTATGACGCCGGAGTCAGAGCCGGGTCCACAGCTGGTGAATTGAGGAACTGTCTGAAGGGTCTGAAGGTCAAGATCACGCACACCGTCAATCAGGCTCAGGTATTCCCGGCCAATCGTCCTGAGCTCATGATAAGGTTCATCAAAGAGGTGTCGGTTCCAGTGCACCAGGAGAAGCGTATCAGTCCTACCTGGCATCCAGTCACCAACGTTGGTGCATGGTACGACCGGAACTCAGTACACCGACAGCACGCAGAGTTCCCAAATCCTCACTTGGTGTTGACCAAGGATGATTATGCAGTCAACGTCGGCAAGGATGCCAGAGATCATCCAGCTGAGACTGAATGGTACCCTGCGAAGGGTCTGGAGATCGTGGCATGGCAACCATTCCGCGGTCGTATCTCGCCCAGGCAGACCGAGCAGATGATCAAAGTCGCACAAGTCTTGCCTGATGCGCACAAAAAGAAGCTGATCGGGAACTTCCCCGATGACCCAGCCAGCGCCCTTGCTCACTTTGCTTTCAACTCACACACGGCGCCTGCTCAAGCTGGTCTTCAGGATGCTGATATGTCAGCTGGCCAGCAGTTCATTGACATGCCAGCTCGCTGGATTGAAAGGATCTGGTTGTCCTACAACCAGTTCAAATTCCTGCCTCCGCAACAACAGACCCAACAAGGTCCACAGCGTGGTCCGCCTCGCCCTCGTCAACCGCCACGTGTGACCCTGCCCCTTGCCGTCGCCAATGCCTCCTGGAACTAGCAGGGTGTTGGTTTCGTGCAGCCTGGCGAGTTGAAGCACCTCTACATCATCAATGTTGGCCGCTTCCCCGCCAATGCTCCGCCTCGTCTGTTGTTTGAGCAGCTTCACGGGCATGGTCTCATGGGCCAGCCCAGCAATAACCCAGCAGACGACTTCACGTATCGTCACTGCCGCAACAACGACTTCATGTGGGATGACAGCAACGGATGGGAACTCCAGTTTGCCGAAGATTTGCACAATTTTGTCGGCAACAAGAAGGAAGCCACGAAGAAGGATCCGATCGTAGTTGTGATCTTGGATAGGAAGGATCAAGATGTGTACGCACATGTGAAGCGGGTCGCAGATCTTGAGCTGGGCATTCCCACCACTTGTGTTGTGAATCAGACCTGGAATCGTGGTGGTGCACAGCTGTGGTCCAACATCGCGATGAAGATCAATCTCAGGCTGAAAGGTGTCAACCATGCTCCTGCTGGGGACGCACTTGACGACCTCAAGAATCCAGCCAAGCAAGCCAACACCATTGTGCTTGGAGCAGATGTCACTCATCCCGGCAACGGCAGCACTGCAGGCACTCCATCAATCGCTGCTGTCGTCGGCAGTGTTGACGATCGATTCTGCGTCTATCCAGGATCTGTTCGCCTTCAGCGGAGCAAGAAGGAGGACATCGTGGACCTTGTCGTTATGGTGAAGGAGCGCTTGCGAGCCCAAGCGAGCAAGCATGGCAATCAGCTTCCGAGGAATGTTCTGTTCTACCGCGACGGTGTCAGTGAGTCTCAATACGACATTCTCCGTCGTCGTGAGATGCCACAGGTTCAGCTCGCGATGAACACGGCGCAAAGGGAGCTGAACGGCCTTGGCCCTGACCCTAAGCAGCCAGGCCTTGCCTCACCATCCGCTGACAACGGACCTGCTCCAAAGACTCTCAGTGAAGCTGAGAGGGATACCAAGGCCCGGAAGCAGAAGCGGGCGGAAGAGGATGCTGCAGCGTTGGTTGAGAACTATGTGAACAACGTGCCGTTCAAGATGACTTTTGTTGTGGTTGGGAAGCGGCACAACACTCGCTTCTACCCTGTGCAGAACGGAATGACTGGTAAGGGCGGCAACGTGCCTACTGGTCTTGTGGTCGACCAAGTCATCACCCACCCCTTCCACATGGACTTCTACCTGCAGTCTCACGAGCCCATCATTGGGACAGGTCGTTCAGCTCACTACTTCCCTCTGCGCAACGATATGGGTTTATCAGCAGAGAAGCTCCAGAACATCACCAACACCTTCTGCTATGTCTACGCCAAAGCCACCAGAGGCGTCTCGTACTGTGCTCCCGCCTACTACGCCGACCGTCTTTGCGATCGTGCCAGAGCGTACCTTCGCCACAAGCTGCTCGGCAGACCCGAGTGGCCGTATCCCAGCCGTACATATCTCGACCGCGCCAACGAGACCTGGACCAACTTCCTGGATCGCATCAAGACCTACACTGACACTGACACGATGCACTGGAACATGCATCATCTCACTCGCCCCAATCCGTGGCATGCGAACTTTGACGACACCATGTTCTACCTCTGAGCCTCACTTTGGCTCGGCCTGTCCTTACTGCAATACATTGCGCATGCGTCCCGCCTGTACGACACTGACTGCACATTTCCACTCTCTCCGGCCGCCAACAACGACTTTCACGACTTCACGGCCTTTGACTGCACATCGCCACTCTTCACGGCCGTCACGAAATATTTCTACGACTTTACGGCCTCCGCATTGCTGCTTCTGATGACCCCCCGCGCGTTTTTGTTCCTGCTCTATGACTTCACGGCTTTTTTGCTTGCTTCTGACGACTTTACGGCCTCCTTGCTTGCTTCGAACGACTTCACGGCCTTTGCGCTCTTGCTTTTACGACTTCACGACCTCTCCATTCCTACTCCTGACGACTTCACGGCCTTTTTGCTCATGGTCTGCGCTCACATCTGCAAAGCAACGACACTGCTTGATTCACTGCATCTTGTACAGTATATGGGCATTGCTCCCATCACCCACACTCATTCACCAACAACTGTGCTGGGAGACAGACAATCTGACAGCATTTCAACATAGCATACCACAAACAATGTCTACCCAATCTGTCTTGTCTTCCTTCCTTTCGCTGATCTTATGCTGTCGTCTCCACGTGACATCCGTGCTTGGGCGCATTGCGCTCCCAGTCCTTCTCTCAACTTCTGCCATTTCATCTCTTCCTCCCTCCATCACCACCCCCACCACGTGAGCACGACGCACCAGCGATGCTTCCAACAATGCCGTCCTCCTGCATCTGCCGAACAACCCTCAGAGGGTCCGCAGTGGGGTCGCTGCATGGCACCCCACCTGACCTCATCGGCCTAGACAGCATGATCCTGCGCCATTGAACCAGACGAAAGCATTGGCGAGCACATCGGTACGGTAGTATTTACCCAGAGGTAAGAGTAATTTCCTTGATTCCTGTAGCAAAACAATCTCTCTTCCCATCAAGGTAGACCAACAGACCACTTCCCTTCCTACATTCACTCCACCATGTCTTCAGCTCCCAGAAACCCTCCATTCCGCGCAGAGCACCTGGGCTCGCTCCTACGCCCTTCCAAGCTCCTGAACAAACGCCATGCTATCCAGCAGAAGAAGGAAGGTGAAGATGGCCTCCGCCCACTCGAAGACGAATGCATCAACGAGACTGTCAAGATGCAGGCAGACTGTGGTTTCAAAGCCATCAGCGACGGAGAATACCGCCGGCACATGTTCTGGGGCACCTTCTTCCCTACTCTCAACGGGATGAAAGAGATCTTCGGTCCTGAAGCAAGCATCTTCCGCGAGTACGTGCCAGACATTGCGGCTTTCTTGGAGGAAGAGAAGGTACCTGGCGAGAGCGTGATTTGCGATGGGAAGATCAGCCACACTGGCAAGAGCTCGTATATTGGGCAGTATGAGTACCTCAAGAGTATCACGCCGAAAGAGCAGCATGGACAGATCAAGATGACGCTTGCGGCGCCGAACTGGTATCATCTGAGGTACAAGGATGGCAAGGCGTACCCTAAGGACGTCTATTCGAACGATGACGAGTACTTTGCGGACATTGCGAAGGCCTATCGGACTGAGCTGCAGATTCTGTATGATGCTGGGCTGAGGAATGCGCAGGTCGACGACCCTAATCTTGCCTGTAAGTCCTGCTCACCTGAAGAAAAGGTATTCTGGCTGACCACTTCACGCAGACTTCTGCTCGGAAAAGATGATCGAAGGCTGGAAGAAAGACCCAGCCAACACCCGCACCATCGACGAGCTCTTTGACGCCTACATCGACTTCTACAACGACTGCTTCAAAGCCCCAAAGGACATGCATATCGGTATCCATCTCTGCAGGGGCAACTTCGTCAATTCCCGCCACTTCTCTGAAGGCGGCTACGACCGCATAGCCACGAAGCTGTTCAACAAGCTCAACGTCTCGACCTACTACCTGGAGTACGACACTTCGCGAGCCGGAGGGTTCGAACCGCTCAAGGAGCTGCCGAAGAACAAGAACGTCATTCTGGGAGTCATCACGAGCAAATTCCCGGAGATGGAGGATAAGGAGGAGATGAAGAAGAGGATCTGGCAGGCGGCTGGCATCGTGGCGGAAGGGACCGGTGAGAGCAAAGAGGAGGCAGTGAAGAGGCTGGGTGTGAGTCCGCAGTGTGGGTTTGCTAGCCATGAGGATGGCAATCTGCTGGGATGGGATGATATGGTGAACAAGCTGAAGTTGGTCAGGAGTATTGCGGACGATATCTGGCCAGGCGAGCCATGATCTCCTGGGAGAGTCGTGCGCAGGAGGAGGATTTGAGATGCTACTCAACGTAGGTCTCCAGTGAGGAAAGAAGATGACGTATGGCAGTATCTGGCACTTTACCAAAAGCAGTGGGGATTGAGAATATCGAGAAGCTTTCCCAAAGACAAGAACTTACTGATACTGCTATGGTCTCGTTGACATACAGATCGTACAGATGGCCGGACGAATGTTGTTCCGCCTTTCTTAATTCGGCGAGGAAACTCTTTTTGTCGACCTTACCCACTCCTGAACATCCGCAAACGACAACAAGGTAGGCTTGGACTACTCGAATTCTTTGTAGGCTTCATGAAGTGATCCCTCCAGTTCGTGTGCGTTTCGACTAATTGTAAGCTCATCTCGACCGCTGCTTTCCCTCACACTCATCCACCATTCCCTCGTCAAAAACAGTCCATCGTCTTATTGATCCATTACCATGGCCGGCGGCAAAAGGAAGAGCCAGAAATGTAATCAGCAGCAATCACAACAGACTTCGCGATTCTTCACTATAGCAGGAGAGCTACGCAACAAGATCTATGGGTATGTCGCTTCTGACATCAACACTGTGACGGTACGAGGCGACAGAGCCTTGTACGCTCCACCATTAAGTCTGGTCTGCCGTCAGATCAGAGACGAGTACGAGGGTATCTACGAAGCTGCAGCCCTCAACGACCCCACCACCTACCACATTCACAGTTCCAATTTCGTCTGCAAAGGTGCAGTCATCGAGCAGCCCGGGCAGAAGCAGAGGCGTGGGCTCAGACTGATCCCGCCAATACTAATTGAAAACAGTCAGCGTCCCATCATCCACCATGTACACCTTGCGAACATGTTTGACAAGCATCGAGCTGAGATGCGACAAGTCATCGAAGGCACGTTTCTAGAGCCCAGTGGCATCTCGCATCTTCCTCGACCAATGCCGCATAGGGTCGTTGTGCAATGGGAACACGAAGAGCTTTGACGTCGACTACCTCAGAAAGATTATAGGGAAGCTGGTTTGGTACTACAATGTCATTCGCTCCCCAAGATATACACACGCTTGGATGCGTGCGAAGAAGGCGCTCAACGACTCGATGGAGCATTGTAAAGCTGAGAAGCTGAAGATCCTCAAAGAGCGCAAACGCCGCCGAGTGGAAAAGTCAAAAGCTCAAAAGAAAGCCAAAAGATCGTCTACAAGGCGATGAAGCGTCAGAAGAGGGTTCAGCTGGTCTGATCGAACCAACGACATCATAGTTCCATCAGCGCTCAGTATATCCACCATCAACCACCATGGCAGATCCAGTAACGAACGAGCTTCTCCCTCCGCAAAGGAAGATTACCGCATCCGCAACTTCACCTGGCTGACCTGCTCGACCCATCGGTGTCCAGTTGGCCACCCTCTCATCGAATGCTTTCGAAATCACTTCGTTCTGCCTTGTCATTGGAGTGTCCATATATCCAGGACAGACAGCGTTGAATCTCAGCCCTTTGGCAGCATAGTCCTCTGACATCGTCTTGGTCAGGCCAATGACTGCGTGCTTGCTTGCGGTGTAAGCAGTGCTCAGCCCGATGCCGGTGAGGCCTGCTACCGATGCGAAGTTGACCTGGAAAGATGGTCAGCTTCTCGACTGTGCAGGAAAGTCGAAAACAGTTCAAGCGACGGCATGGCTAGCGAACCTGTCGTCAAGAAGCCTGCTCCGGACCGTCATTCAACTTACAATCGATCCCCTCCCAAGCTCTCTCCCATCAATCGACGACTTCAGCGGACTCTGCTCAAGCATGGTCTTCGCGACAGCCCTCATCACGAAGAAGGTCCCATCAAGATTCACAGCCAACACTTTGCTTTAACGACAGTCAGCAGCTACATTCAACAGTCTGGACGAACACGCACCGATAATCCTTTGTCTCAGCAAACGCACCACCGCCTTCATGCTTGAACGCAATGCCCGCAGCATTCACAGCATAATCAATCCGGCCGAAGCTCTCCTTGACGGACTCAACGGCCTTCATCACTGCCTCTTCATCCGAGACGTCGAGAGCGTGAGTGACGATCTTGAAGTTCTTGTTGTTCGATAGCGGTTGGACCTCTGACTTCACTTTCTCGAGGGCGTCGGCGTTGAGGTCGAGAAGGGCTGCACCGGCTGCACCGTCTTGGGCGAACTTCTTTGCTGTCTCTTTGCCCATGCCGCTAGCGGCTCCGGTTATCAAGGCGAAGCCTGGTACGTCCATGGTTGCGGATGGGTTGATCGATTGAGTTAATAGCAGGAGGGTTCTGTACGCTTCGACTATGGCTTCTGAAGGTCACAAGGCTGAAGAACTCTGGTTTATATGCCTAGCTACTTGTCCTATGTACCGAGCAATGAGGAGGTGGAGGAGATGGAGGAGTGAGGAGAGCTCCCGAGGTCATCAAGACCTCACTTCATCAATGCTCGAGCTGTTCAGAACATGCAGAAGGACGATGTATACTTGTCACGTTCATGTTCAAATACTTGCATCGATCGATTGCTGAGCATGACACGTATTGAAAAACATCATGTCATTCCAATGCATCGCTCCACCTGAACACAGCGCTATTCTCTACCTGATTTCATAGGCGTGCTTCGTCGGACCAGAGCCCCCTCCCATAATCACAGTCACAACACCACCAAGCTTCTTCACCACTGGATACAGCTTCTCTTTTCTCTCAGAAGAACCTTCCGCAAGCTTGAACGTTTGGAGCACGACAGCATTCGTCCTGGGATGATGCAAACCAAAACAAACCCAGAGCATCTCCATCTCCCGAACTTTGTTTGAGAAAGCTGCTTCAATCCAGTCCTTGCGAACGCTTTCCGAGCTGTTGTACAACCCTCCTGCAGACATGACGTGGTACCTCAGCTGAAAGCTGCGGTAGGAGTGGTTAGCGAACAGCAAGCTCGAAACGAAGATTAGGAAACTTACACATCTGCGGCCCTCTGACACGGCATCCGGCCTTCCTGCGAACGCTGCTCAACACCATTCAGGAAGTCGTACGAAGTCCCGTCAATCGACCCAAGTCGACCACCTCGCGACATCTCCAAAGCACGCTGGTCACTCACAAGCTCCATCCCTTCGGCGTCGTTCTTGAAATGCTCAGCTCGAAAGGCGTAAGCTCCCGTAACTCAGTCGACCGCTTGACGAACGACTCTTCCCCGTCCAGCCCCACGGTGCCCTGCATCTCGCACACTTCGCAGACACAGGTGAACCCGAAATCCGCGTGACGTTGGGCTCGAGGCTGGAACTGGTCAATGTAGGAGACTGTGATCTCGTCCTTCCGCTCGTGGCTGATCTCACGCACTGCACGGAGCACCACCTGCTGGCGTTCGGTGCTCCAGTGCATTACGGCGTTTGGCAAGCAGGAGTGGTTGATCAGGGCGAACTGGCGGAAGAGGCGAAGCGTTGACGCCTCTGCGTTTGGTGGAAAGGCGTAGGCATACCGCCAGAACGTACCTACTACTGCGTTTGTCATCTCCGGCGACGGTGGGACGTTAGCAGTGCCATCGAGAAACTCCTTCAAAGCCGTGGAGACCTGGGGATAGTGCTTTTGGACGAGATTTCGGAAGAAGATCTTGTCCCCTCACTTCAGATTGATCACATCGTCAAAGAGTTGCTCGAGGAGACTGCCGCGTTCAGGGCTGTTTTCAGGACTGTTGAGGTCCCACCCTTGCACTTCCAATCTTGGATTTTCGGAATGGAACTCTCGGCCAGCCTTTATGACACCTTTGGCGAGCTTGAGGCCTGTACCGTGGACAATGCTCTTCGGGTGCCCTGGTTGATCGAAAGGTGGCACGACCTTAGCCATGGCGAGAGAAATGGGGCGTTTGATATACTTGGTGCTATCAGTAGACGCGCTCGATATTTGTATTTCAAAAGTGTAGCAAAGACCTTTCATACACATGAGTAACACAATTCGCTTGCTGCATGTCTCAGACAAAGAGGACAGACCATTGCAAACATCTGCAACTTGCGAAGAGACGCGACCACTGCCTGCTCGTTCGTGACGTGCTATCAGTCGAACAACGAAGGACTGAGCCCCAACTTGGTCGCCATGGCGCTGTCCTGAGTCTCCCCGACATGGTTCAGAACCATGTCCACCATGTTGCTCGACTTTGTATCGGGGTCCTGAAGTAGCTGATCGATCAGCACCATCGTCTTCGTCTTTAGAACATGGTCGTCCAGATGATCGCATTGAGCACTCGCAATGTCTCCAATCTGAAATGAAGTGCGTCTTTCAAGGATTTATCACGTTCGTCGCCCTCCGGCTCAAGAAGAGCTTTGGTCGTGAACAGCGCTGCAGCGGTATCGCATCTGTTCAGGGCACATGTAAGCAAGAGATCTGCTTGGTCTTGATGTGTAGTCAGGGAGGACTTAAGCAAGGAAGCGTTCAGGACTGGGAGCTTTCATCACTTCTTCTTCTTCTGCCGCCTTTCGAGCGCATGTCCTGACCCTCTTGATCGTCTCCTCACGACCATGTACAAAGTCTTTCGTATCTGCCTCAGCGACTTCGAAGACCTGTTCCTGCTTGACTTTGCAGGCCTCGCGGAATCGCGTGACCTCCTTCAGCCAGCCGCCGACTCGCTTGTATATGTTGTTGCTTTGTCTGAGCCACTGACCTTCAAGCGGGCACTCCTCACACCCGCACACAAAACCCAGCCTGCGGTGCCTCTCTTCTCGAACCCGCCAGATGTTGCAGTAAGAGATTGTGAGCTCCTCGCCTTTTCCAATCTCCCTTGTTGAACTGAGGTAAACCTCTTTCTTGTCCTGATCCTGCGTCGCTACCACGTTCGGCAGACACGAATGGTTCAGCAGGCTCGCGTCCTTAGAGACATGGACAAAGCCGTTCCACCGCAACTCCGGTGGCGGGAAGATACCACGCTTCATGACCTTTGCCACAGACTTTTCACCCCATGAGCCCTCGCCTTGTCGTTCTTTGAATTGGCTTCGCATGTAGGCTAGCTGATCTGATGGCATCACGCCGGCTGGATTCCGGGCCATGATGCAGACGATCTCGTTCAGCTTAGTATCATCGAATTCTGCGATCGTGTCACAAATCCCTGACAGGGGTGGTCTTTTGGTGGTGTCGCGGCGCCATTGGATGAACAAGAGCGAAGGGAAGGTGGCGATGAGCTCACCGACTGCGAATGGTCGATTGGCGAAAAGACCATTGCCATGGAGGTGGGAATCACTAATGTAGTATGCGGCTGGTCGTTCTACGTCAGCAGCGACAGCGGTGTCGGTGGTGTTGGCATTGGAGTGGTCGTCGGGTGTGTAGTATGCATCGTAAGTGTCGGCTTCTGCGTTGACATCAGATGCATCGGCGGTAGACTGGTCGTCTGGAGTGAAGAAAGGGGAGGAGCCGGATTCGTCAGAAGCAGTGACCGGACTGGTAGATCTGGGGGTCTCGTTAGGGTCGGCGCCCAATCTCTGGGACTTGTGGTCTGCCATGGCAGGAAAATATCCATCTTGCGAGCTTTGAGTGACAGGTCATATGTAGAGAGAGGTTGGCGAAGGCAACCGTCGTCCCACCCAGCCTGGAAGACTGTAGAATGAACGTGAAACGAGAGCTAGGCGCAGCTGTGCAGCCACGTTAACAAACTTTTGATAATTAGTGCAACTGTATAATCGGTCCAAACCTGGGTATCACGAGCCATGTCCAAAAACCGCTTACTAGAATATAAACGCTCACATAACCACACAAAGCCCGCAGCACTTGCTCTCCTTCTTTTCCTCGGGTTCTTGATGCTCCATCTGCTGTTGTGGCCGGTGATGCTGCTGTTGGCCACCGTACTGCATCGGGCTCTGCTGCTGTGCACCGGGGTACCCGCCTGCCGCCTGACCATACTGCGGGGTTTTTCCCATGGGGTACGCAGTCTCGTAGTGCGGCTTGCCATACTCTGCATGCTGCGGCTGGTGTTGCTGTTGATAGTCGTACCCGCCTGGCGCGTGGCCAGCGCCCTTCAAATCGATAAACATGCGTCCCTCGTTCTCCTCGGTGTGGTACTGGAGATGTAGTTCACGGCACACTTGCTCCACGCGTGGTTTGATCTTCTGAATATGATCCGTGCTGTGGTTGCCCTTGCCCACGATCACATGAAGATGGCTCTGGTTGGTCTGCTGCGCATACCGGATGCGCTGCTCCAGAATCTCCTCCGCTTCTTCAACGTACTGGCCATGAAGGTCAATGGTATCGCCCTGAACCTTGCCAACAGCATTGTTTTCCCGGAAGATGTATTCAGAGGCCTGTTTGTTGTACACGTCGGCCGCCGACGCGTGCCTCTTGCCTTCCTGGCTTATGTTGTGTGCTTCCTCTCCGTCACCGCGCTGGTATGCCGCCTGCGACCTCCTCGCGCAATCATGGTACTTGTCTTGCTCCTTGCGAGCTAAGTCGCGTAAACGATCGTATTCCTGTTCGGCATTGGAGGAAGGGCCGTGGTTGAAGGCTGGGAGCTTCGGTCAGTGCTCCGGCCGGCTTATGTGCATGTGAAGGACCTACCCGAGCCGCCGAGACGTGTACCAACGGAAGGCATACTGTCGAGATATGAACGAAAGGATATCACTTCATGGGCAATGTTGATACGTATTGTTGTTGCTCTCAAGAAACAGGGAACCGGAGGCGCCTTTCGCACGTGCTCGCGTACTAGCGCACCCAATCAGGAAGTAGCCGAAACCTTGTACGCCTTCGTCAGTGCTGGTTCACATCCAGTACTTGAGCAAGCCTTCAACGACCTGACGTCTACCACCAACATCTTCTTGCAGACTGGGCACACCAACATTAGAGACTGACCGTAGCGGCGCCACCAACGTGGGCAGTTATTGAAGCATGGCCGACATCAATGCTCTCCCCCCAGAGCTACTGGACCACATCGCCGGCTTCTGTGACCATGCAACGCTGAAGAGTCTCCGTCGCGTGTGTAAGTCAAGCAGGGATGCCGCCACGCCCGGCGTGTTCGAACACTTCTACATGGCCATGTTCGATCACTGCCTAGAGAACCTTTGCTCCATCTCCAAATCGCCCCTCGCCAAGCACGTAAAGGCATTCACCTTCTACACCGATGTACTCCCAGACTGGACAGGCGAGATTCCTTCGAGCCCCGATGATCTTGACTGGCCGGTTGCCATAGACTTCCGTCCGGAGATAGCAAGATCTCAAATCGCCGCCCAAACACCGGCAAGACAGCCCAGTTCAGTCGTAGACGTGTATCGACAAGTCGACTACGACAGTCTTCCACGCCACAACTTCAGCGATGAGGAACTCAAGCAGGGCTGGCGAGAATTTGAGAAGTTGCGTGAGCAACAGTCAACCTGGCGTAAATCAGAGCAACCGAGCATGCGCTTCAAGGAGTATTTCGCGATGCTTCCAAACGTCACTGAAGTGCATGTCACGACTTGTCTATCCTTTCCTTTCTTCTCCTCGGGAGCGAGACCAGCGAGGGAACTTCCACTCTGGTCAGCACTTCGACGCCGTATGCTGGTCGGGCCGGACGATTGGACGGACGAGTACGAGTACCCCGACAATCGCTCAAAACTCTGCGGACAAGGATTCTCGTGCATGCTGGAGGCAATTGGCTTCCGGGCCTCATTCGCTGGCACTCGACATGTTACCAAGTTACATGCTCATGCAACTCACTACGGTTCATTGCAGTTTTGCGCAAGAAACAGAGCATACCCTTGTTCCAAACCCTGGCCTGCGACATTCGAGTGCATGCGGCAGGGCTTCGAGAATCTCACAGCTATCGAGTTCACTTCGGCATGCACCACGTACCTTACACCAGGAGATGAGGACGAGGCGATCGAAGAAATATTCGGGATGCTGTGCGCTGCAACGAAGCTGAAGAGCCTGAAGCTCGTCTACGAAAGCACAGTCGTCGGCAGCGAGCGAGACTACAATTGCTTCGGACGTCGCCTCCAAAAACATCCGCCGTGGCCGCCTATCGAAAGCTTGGAGCTTAGTGTCACTTTCATGCCTTACTGGGATCTACTGCCGGTGTTGCAAACACTTGCGCCTACTCTACGCAGCTTGAAGCTGCGCGATACAGACATCGTGGACATCAGACCGCTCGTCGCACAGATCCCGAAGATTCTGGACTTGCAACACGCATACTTGGAATGCATTTGGCATTGGTGCGACGTGTCCGAGGAAACCAATTGCTTGTTCATGGAAGGGACAGATGTTGGTCTTCCCTACGAGCGGTCTGTGAAGCGGTACTTGACCCGCAAGATTGACAAGATGCCGGACCTGAAGCTTTGCAGTTGTGAAGAGCCATACGAGGCGCAGGAGGAGAGCCCCGAGTGAGCTTTTGAGCGGATGCGCATCCTTCTGGAGCTCCAGACGGACCAAGCAAATCGCACTCCAGCTTCTAGTCTCTGCGTGGACAGTCTTTCACCCATGTTGGTAGCCACCAGCGCGTGCTTCATCAGTCTGGGAAGAGCTCATCCACAGAGCGAGTCTTCAAGTGCTGCGAAACCAAGGCTTAGCGGCTCGGGAACATCATTGATTCATGTCACTGTGCATATATGCTGAATTATCACCACTGAATAACCACCTCCTTCATACGCTTTTCAAAGCGTAACAACATTTCCAACCCACGACATCGATCAGAGCCGCGTCTTCATCCAACTCTCCACCACCACAGTACCCTCACCCTTCTCCTTGTACCCGAGCAGCTTGTCGATGATGAAGTCCTCATGCGCTGCGCCTGGCTGCACCACGTACTCCACCCGCGGATGTGCCTGCTGGAGCTTCTTGGTCGATGCCTCAATACTGTCAATCAGCACTTCGCCGCCACCGCCCCAGACCAAGATGTCTTTGACCTTGCTGTCAAGGCCCTTGAACCACTCAGGATTGACGAGGATAGTCTGGTTGTAGTTATCGATCTTGCTAGAGCCTGAAACGTAGCTCGTCAGTACAACAACCATGGGCAAGAAGCGGGAAGGTGCTGACCAAGGAAGAGGGAGGACCAGCGGTTTGCAGCAGCCGGAGTAACCATATCACTGCTCTGGTTACGTCTGACACTGTCGTCGTCGGTGGCGAACTTTGTCCAAGGCGAAATCAAAACAGCGCCCGCGAGTGGCGAGGTAAGGTTGATCTTGCTCGTGACGGCTGGGTGAGGATGGAGGAGGTGGGAAAGCAACATCAGGGCCATGTTACCTCCTGCTGAGTCTCCTGAAACGAAGATCTTGAGACGTCAGCTTCAGCATCAGCAGCTAGGTTTGTCTGGCTTACATCTCCTGGCTGCTTCTTCTGCGTCTCAAGCAGCCACTCCAACGACTCAGCAGCTTCCTTTAGCTGGGTCGGGTACTGCCCATGCGGAGCCAGCGTATACGATAGCACAACGATACTAATTTCCTGCGTCTTGGACAACTCCTGCTGCAGTTCATACAACCACTGCATGTGTCCGGCGGAAGCAGCCAACACATACCCACCTCCATGGAAGTACAGCAAAACTTTACTTGCAGCCTTCCCACCAATCCAGTGGACCTTCAGACTGCTACCGAGGACATCAGTATCGGGCTGGAAGCCTTGCTTCTTGGCCAGCGTAAGATATTCCGCTTCGGTGGTGCTGTTCATCCATTGCTCGGCGCCCTCGCTGATGTTGGAGAGGTTGGTCCGGAGGGCCGCGAAGATCACGTCTTTGAAGGCGGTGTTGGCTTTGGCTCCGCCGGTGAATGAGCGGGTTAGGAGGCGAAGAATAGCAGACCCGATTGAAGCGGCTGCTACCGGGATGAGGAGGAGTTTGTCGGTCGTGGTGGGTTGGTATTGGGACGCCATGACGAGGACTGCGCGAGGTGACTAGAGGTTGCCAGCGGGAGGGAAATGCTCTGATATTATTCTTCTGCTTGGAAAGGTCCTTTGCCGAGCGCTTACAGTGTTCCGTATTAGAATAGCACGATGAGCGGGACGATTTGTAAAGTCCACTGCGGCCTAACAAGTCCTCAAACCGATCCCGCCGCTGCCGGAAAAAATGCAGTGCCTCAAATGATTTGTGTTGATGTGATGGTATCGACTCTCCCCCTAAACTCCGTCGAAACGGTAAGGTAGATGAAGGATGAAAGCAAGCAGCTCGAGCTCTGAGCTCTTCAGCCGGTCTCGCTGGCCTCGGCACGTTCGACTCAGCTAGAACTAGAACTACTTGGCCTTGCATGTGACACTCGCACTAACCACCTCGCCTTCTACATTGGCACGTCAGCGACGCAATCTGGAACATACTGCATCGAAAGAGAACCAAGAACCATTGTTATACTGATTCAACGGTCTCACCACCGAAACTTTTGGATATGGACAGACTACCGGAGGAGATTCTACTCCATATCTTTGGCTTCCTGGACTCAACGCCACCCTCGGAGCTAAAGGCACGACAAGAGCCCACTCTGCACCTCACAAGCTCTCCAGAGGCTCCTTTGAAGAGAGCCTGCTGCGTGTCGAAACTCTGGCGCAGGGTCGGTCTGCCGCTGCTCTTCTCGTGCACGCGGTTGCAGCTCGAGTGCGATGTCCCACCTGGCGCGACCGGCTCGTGCTGGGTGTGCGGATTGCCAGCCAACGAAGAGGGTCTGGAGTCTGAAGACGTCGAGAAACTTCACCGCGAGCTGGCCAAAACCGCTTGTGGGCCTCTCGTGAAATGCGAGGATCCCATCGTTGAGTACCAAGTGCCATACCGTCTGATCACCTACAAGGAGTTGCACAAAACCATATCGCCAGAGCAGATGATGGCTATATGTGCGCTTATGTTCTATCATCAGCTACTGGATATGCTTGCTTTCCTCGAGCGGGCAAACCTTGCGAAGGAGGTACAAAGTTTCGTGTTGCTACGAGGCAAGATGCCATCAGAGCAAATGGACAGACTCTTCACTCAACTCAAATCAGGGTGGCGCCATCTCGGTGCAGCAATGTTCTGGCGACAACTGTTCTCTGTGATGGACCCAAACAGAGTCGCTATAGTTGCGCCGCCGCGGGATCTTGGTTTCTGGACCAAGACCGTGGTGAGCGCTCTACATGTGAGTTGTAGTCCATGAAGGGCCCGAATGGTATGGTTTGCTGACAATGGCATATTTTCAGGAGTGGGCATTCCCAGACATGCACTTCCACTCGTTGGAGCTTCGAAGAGACACTGCCCGAATTTCGTCTGTCGCCTCACAGTTGCCGCAAGACAACTCCGCGGGATCATCTCGTGCAGTATTTCCCGCCGATATTGCCAAAGGCATACTCACGATCAAACCGTGGACACACCTCGCTTTGAACGAAGGCTCGTTCTTAAAGGCCTACGGAACCTACGAGTATTTTGAACGGGGCCCGCCAACACTCATCTATTCCATCACGGACCTGTTCGCACACCATGCAGTCGTGTTGGGTTCAGTGCGTTCCTTCACGTACACTGGAATATTCCCATTTGCCAACCACGCGAGATTTACCAGGATCTTGCCGCATGTCGAAGAGCTCGACTGCCGCTTCGCTCCCGACCCAGACTCCGGCATCTTGGACGACAAGGATCGGGTTGGGAAAGCTGAATTGCAGGACTGCTGGCAAGAGCTGTTTACAGCACATCACGAGCTCTGCTCGTTACTGCAGACCGGTCGCCTGGAGTACCCCCGTTTGAAGAAGTTCGTCTGTGGAGATGCACGCATTACTGGCATCCAGGCAGAGCTGGAGCATCTGTTCACGCCCTTGTGTCTGCCGGTATGCTCACACGGTCAGATTCTGCCAATATTCAAGACAATGCTGAACTTTATTCTTAACAGGAATGGGCAGAGATGGAGCCTGGTGTGTTCCACAGACTTATCAGTCCTCCCAGTCTGAGCCCTGAACAGTGATTAGCTATTAAGCTATTACCCGGGCTTCTTGTATCATTGATGCCTTTTGAAGATGTTCTTGCAAGGTGAGACAGACTGGCTGATTTGGAGATATTTCAGCCCCTGGAGCTGAGAGGCGAAGAGGTCATCTTTCATTCTCCGCGCTCAAGAGATCATTACGGCCATACGCAGCTACACATCAAAACGGTATTTGGCAGAGAACAGTGGATCTAGTTTCCTTGGATCCAACCGGCTCTCAACCGGATGGTCTTGATTTGGCTGTCGGCCGCTTCCAGCTGATGTTGTTTGAACTCTTGCCGCCAATCGTAGGTATATACTGGATTGCAGACAGCGCAATAACGACATGCTGCTGCCATAAGTCCCAGCGACTCTCCTGATGAGATACTGTTGCCCCGCATTCGGAGTTCGGGACGATTGACGTATTCGTGAGTTGGAGAAAGCACAGTTTCTTAAGACCATACATTTCACAACGGTGCATCATATCGTAATCAAATCCCTCTCGAAGGCACTCGAACGCCACCCAAGCATCAGCTATGACTTCCCTCTCAACCAAACTCGCGGCCCGCGAGAGCGCAGGCAATCCAATCCAAGTCGGCATCATCGGAGCAGGCAAATTCGGTTCCATGTTCATCTCGCAGGCACATCGAACTCCTGGCCTACGGTTAGCAGCAATCGCAGACCTGTCGAAGGATCGGGCGTTGACAGCATTGCGCCGGACCGGCTATCCTCAAGATCGTTTCGATGACACTGCGTCCGTCTCAGTTGCGGATGGATTGAAGGCTGGCAAGACGACCATTACCATGGACTCAACTGAGTTGATTGCCGCGCCTGGGATTGATGTAATACTTGAGGTTACCGGGAGCCCTGCTGCTGGAATCAAGCATGCTCTACTCGTTCGTTTCGAAAATGGACTGAACATTGGACTACGATCAGTGCTAACCTGTAACAGTGCTGCGAGCACAAGAAGCATATCGTGATGATCAATGTTGAAGCCGATGTGTTAGCCGGTCCGCTGTTGGCTAAGAAAGCGGAAGAAGCTGGAATTGTATACTCAATGGCTTACGGCGACCAGCCAGCATTGATGTCAGTCGTGTCAACACGCAAAGACCTGACTGTCTTCTCGGCATGACCTGAGCACAAGTGCTGATCCTATTACTTCTGTAGTTCTGAACTGGTGGACTGGGCGAGAACCGCGGGCTTGTAAGTACGCCCGTCTTCGACAGGAATTCCTGCTGATGTGGAGTGCAGTGACGTTGTTTGTGCCGGGAAGGGCACCAAGCATCTACCGCGATATCATCAATCAACGCCAAGTACTGTATGGGGCGATTATGGCTTCACCAAAGAGCAGACTGAAAGCCCGGATTTCGACATGAATCCTCAGATGTTCAACTCATTCCTTGATGGTACCAAGTCTGCTCTAGAAATGGCGGCGGTAGCAAACGGGTGCGATCTGAGTCCTCCGTCGAACGGCTTAGAGTTCCCACCTTGCGGAGCTCACGATCTACCTACAGTACTGAGGCCGCGGGAAGACGGTGGCCACCTCGAGGAGAAAGGCACGGTCGAAGTGGTCTCCTCGTTGGAGGTGGACGGACGACAAGTGCAGAATGACATCCGCTTTGGTGTGTTCGTTGTGTTTGAAGGTAGGCATCGAAATCAAACGAGTGCGTGGAATCTGTGACTGACCGTTCCGCAGCACCCGGCCAGTATCAGAAAGACTGCTTCAAGCAGTACGGCATGCAGACGGACTCCACTGGCAAGTACGCAGTGCAGTACAAGCCATACCATCTTATCGGCCTGGAGCTCGGCTACTCCATCGCATCAATCATGTGCCGCGGCGAGCCCACAGGTCAAACGAAGACCTGGGCCGGCGATGTTGTCGCCACTGCAAAGCGAGATCTCACGGCTGGCGAGAAGCTAGACGGTGAAGGCGGATTCATGGTGTATGGCAAGTTGATGCCGGCGCAAAAATCGATGGAGATCGAAGGCTTGCCTATAGGTCTGGCTCATGGGCTAGTGCTGAAGAACGATATCAAGCAAGGGCAGGGATTGAGTTGGCGGGATGTTGAGTATAGTGAGAAGACGCAGGCGGTAGCGGTGAGGAAGGAGATGGAAACGATGTTTAGACAAGAGTTTGGGATGGGTGAGGTGCGTGCGAATGGGACGACGTAGGAGTGCTGGTGTCTGTGACGTACGGCCAATCTTCAAAGACAGTGCTACGACAGAGGCTTCGGACCTTCTGCACACCCTGGATCCCAGTGTCAGGCTGAGCACTGTTCGGGTCGCTGGTTCTTGGAATCGCATTAGATGGCCGCAAGCAAATTGAGTCGACCATCAGCAATATACGCAAACCGAGATGGGAGGAGGTGTGGATATTGTTATTGAACAGAGCATAGCTAAGAACGTACTCTTCAGACGAGCGTGGGAGCAGGTAGTTGCTACCTAACTAACCTCACATTACGACGCAATCTGCCCTGGGTGGCTGCCTCTTAGCGTTAGGGTCCTTCCCTTGATCGTCATCCTTCTGCTTCTCTTCCTTTGCATCTTCCTCCTTCTTTGCCTCCCCCTTCCTACGTGCCGCCTCCTTCGCTTTGGCCTTTTCCATCGTAGATCTGGCAGCTCGCAGAGATTTGGAAAGACGTTTCTCTCCTCGGTCGCTCAGCCGGTCCTGCTCATCGTTCAACGCATGCAACATATCGTAGAAAGCTGCATTAAACCAATGCATGTTCGCTGCGGCCCTTGCCCAACCCGGCTCGGCAGCCCTGAGCATGTCCGTGAATCTAGAAACATTGAAAGTCGTGGGATCGTAACGGATCTCGAAGCGGAAGATGGGGAAAAGGTTCCTGTCACGGGGCCCTGGACGTGAAGGAACGAGCCGAGGGCAAGCTGTTATAAGGCGCATGAGCTCCTCGATCTGTCTGAAGGCGTCGTTTGGGTTAGGGGCCAAGTGGACCCGTAGTATGTGTGTGCGTGCGGACGCACTACCTATACCAAAAGCTGAGCTTTGCTCATCTGCGGTCTGGCCATTAACCGCCGGAGGAGCCTGAAGGCTGTCCAGCATTGTGGCAAAGGTTTCCAGGTTTCTGCCAACATGAACAGTAACTTCTTGGGCCAGTGCTCGTGCATTTGCGAGATAGTACTGTCCGAACTCCTCTCTGATACCGGCAGAGGCTTCCCCGAGTGTCGGTATGAGAATGGAGCCATCCGCTCTGCAGTGCAGTCCCTCGTTAATGGTGATCTCCCTGTATATCTCATCTCGCAATTCTTGAGGAAGCGCATCGAACAGGGAGGGAAGAGGAGGTGGCGCCATGGCAATCTGCAGCTTGTGTCCCAGGTCGAACTTGGTAGAGCTGAGTTGCTTGTCCGAATGTCCAGCAAGGTCTTCCCGGCAGTCTGTCGCTTCGGTGTTATCAGACAAGAATGAGCCGGGCCCTTGCGAAGGTACAGGTAGGGGATGCATCACACGGAGACGTGGATATTCTTTGTTCTTGGAAGAAAGAAAAACCAGTACCCTCGACTTGCCTTCCGCAAGCAGCATAGCCTTGACTGTCATATTGGCTTTCGCCTGGAATCCATTCCTACGTACAGCATCGATCGGAAAGCACCTGAGAGATGGCGACACAAACACAATGATAGGGCTGGTCCGTGGTGGTAACATGTGGCTGCACAAATTGTGCGAGTTCCTTCTACTTTCTTTGACAGCAAGCCTGGTAGAACACTCGTTTGTGGCAGCCAGCATATGCGATTACTAGCAAGTGCCCACTGCGTTCCAGAGTAAGCGGTCGCGCTTCAAGCTCTGAATAAGTATAGACAGCAAGGGATGTATGAAGTTGGAAGGACAGTTTTGATACACGATTTGTCTAGACAACTGAATGCCGTGAAAAGGGGAAGAGAAACGCTTCAAAGCATCAGCCATAAGAAACAGAACTCACTTACATGACACTGCAGCTCCCTTTGCGGTCTCCATACTTCCTGTCATGCTTCCGCCTCCTCGTCTGCTCCGCCCTTCTGTCGTCTCGCTTCTTGTGTGCCATGGCTCGAGTTACGCGGCGAGAAAGTGGCTTGGGTCGACTTGGCCAGTTGGGAACGGTCGAAACGTCTGGAATTCGTCTTCGCTCCATTCTCAACGCAAACCAGATGCCCTCGGGGCTGTTCCACAGAAAGTGAGCCTTTCGAGAGCCCATGTTGATGTAGTGGCGCCAGCGGTGTAGCTCCTGAAAGACTTGGTCGACTTTCACAGCTGCTGGATTGTACCTGACCTCGGTTCGAAAGAGTGGCCAGGCCATGAGTGCCCCAGGACTGAAAAGTTCTGGTCTTCCCGCCAACAGATGAACAAGCGTCTTGACAAATTCTACATGCTCATGGATGTCGTCTGGTAAATGCACTCGCAGCACAAGCCGAAGTCCAGCTACGGTTGTGTCTCTGAAGAAGAGCGGCATCCCGGGTGTTTGTGGAGTGTTGGTGCCATCCAGGAAGCGTGGGAGCAGTTGGGCAAAGTTGTTCAGGTCTCTAACGTGGACGACCGCATCCGTGGCCAGCCTCCTTGCATTGGCGCGGTAGTAGCTAAAGAACTCTTGCCGGACGAGTGCGTTAGTGCTAGCGAATGGGGGTGTTCTGAATGTACCATCGTCGTCGACATGAAGTATCTCATCGCGTGTGACCTGTTCGTACATCATGTTGCGCGCTTCTCCGGGAATCTTGTCGAACATTCCGCTGATCTCAGGCGCGGGCGCCATGGTGAAGTCGACTGGGGCTCGAGGGATGTCGTGTGTTGGATCCGGTGCTCTTTTTGTCTTATGTCTGGTCGTGATCGATACTGCTCTTGCTTTAGGTCTTCGGTCGGTTCTGGAGGACATCAACCCAGCTTGGGCGAACAGTACCGATATATGTTGTCCCGACAGCCTCCGACAAGAAAGGGCTATGTTTGGTTTGTCAATGGACTTTCAAAGAGCATTGTCACATTGAAGTGGTATTTCCTTTGTGTACCGAGCCAACGCAGGCCAGAAAGGCGCGAGTCGTAAGGCCAGGACATGCTCAATTGGCTGGCTCATAGCCGTCTGGACTATGGGAGGTACAATAAGGGAATACAACCATTTCGACCTCCAGACATATTTCTCGAGAGCGTAGGCTTAGTTCGTACCATCCTGTCTCCCACGAACCCAAGATTCGAGAAGCCTATAGGTAGTCACGCATGTCGAAATACCTTTGGGTGTTCCTTTTTCTGTGTCAACTCATCAAGACGGGACGGGAAGCTGAGAAGTCCGCTGTGATCCAAGCCTTGGCAGTCACGTGATGTCGTGATCCTTCCGAGAATACAACACATCTTCCGTAGATTCCACGCATTGCTCCACCTGCCTAGCAACGCCATCGACCGGCTCGATTCACAAATGCTGTCAAGACACATGTGAGCGGCAGACGCATTAATTGTTTCCAGTTTCGATCGGTAAGGAGCCTGACCATCGTGCCAAAAGCTTCGCGGACCACTGATGCACTTCCATCGAGCACCCGATCCCCAGCGGCAGCCAACACAGCAGACCACCTTCCCCCATACCGGAGGCTAGATGAAGACCGCTAATCAAGTGAGACTTCTCATTTTCTCTATTCACGGCCGAACCACCCTTTCAGACGTGTGCCAGTCGGTTCAGCAGGGCTTGATTACTTCTACGTCCCTGGGGCTCACGTCTTCGCGCTCTCGAATTCTTACCTACTCTGGACCTCTTCACTGTCAATAACGTGGTCCCTCCGCTCGTCCGCCCCTGATGGCTCGGTTGCAGCGCTGTCCCGTGAGAGACGGCGGAGCTTCTGTCACTGATCCTTAGCAGCGAAGAGAGCTTGCGGTCTTGCGAGCTTTTCTCGTGCAGCCTCGTAGCGTGAAGCGCACACAATTGCACACGCACCTTGGCCATGAGGCGCATATAGCGGCGTCCAGTGGCGCCCAGCCTGAGAGCTACCTAGCTGGCGCGTGTTCGATCGCTGGGAGCGTAGTGAACATCCTCTACGAGCGGTGCGATACTGCAGCCAATTCGGGCTCTTGTCGTCGAGAGACTCTCGCTGCAGTTCCGTCGTAACTCCTCTTCTATGCGGTCTCGGTCAATGCAGTGCTCTGCTGCTAGCAAGACGCCTGGTATGCACGAGTACTCATTTGCGGCGCCATAGAAGCGCTACCAGAGAATCAAGCTGCACTGCAGCTGCAATGGCTGACATCGGGGTCAACTAGGGGTGCGCTCTGGAGTCTCGAGAAGGGACAAGCTCTCCTGCTGCCAGAATTCGCTCGCTGAAGAACAGAGTAAGGAACCCAACGTGGCATCCAGCGGAGAACTTCGGGTTAGACCTAATCACAAGCAAGTACACCTCGACTTCATTGGCTGGGTTCAGCGCTAGCTTGCCTTCAAGGCAAGGCTGGATCGACATCGAATAAGCACGTTCGGCAGCTAAATGCTTGAGCTGTCTGCACTTCGAATGCTTCCCCACCTCAGCCTTGCGGCGTGGGGTACTACCTCGTCCGGACACTGGTGTACTTACTTGTCAACTGAAGTGATACACCGACCGGCCTTCCACGCGCGAGCAATGGATACTTGTCTTGCTGGTCCCTTTCACGGCGCCATTCTTTACAGAGCGTATGTTGGAACACGGATTCTTTCCAGGTCATCCCACAGCGGTGACACCCACTCGAACTTCCGAAGAACCGTCGGCGGCAGATTGCATCTCAGCCTCGTCACCCTCCGTGTCTTCTACTCGTCCAGCCGCCCTAGTCCTCAAGCGATGAGGCGTTTCTGAAGTCACCTCCACCCATGCGGCACCCGCCAATCGCGACTCGGCATCCAACGAGACTCGCAGTGTACAAGACACAATCTGCACATCCTGCCTGCATGCACGCGCCACGAGCAGCTGAATGGGGCCCACGCCGGCGGTTGTCAGTACACAGAGCTTCTTGAGGTTTGTTACTCCCATTCGAAAATTCCGATAGCTTCCCATTCCCCACACCACAAGCGTCGTCCCTCTCCAGTCAACCTTTTCTACATTTCCAAACATCACTTCTTTGGGTTCTATGCCTCTCTGGAGTTCCCTACCTACTCATCTTCCCTTAGGTGTTCTTCTACACAATGGTCGCGGATCCATTCACTGCCATTGGCACTACTGCGGCAGTCTTCGAACTCGGAAAAGTAGCGTGGAAACTTGGTAGTACTTTGGTGAAGCTGTACCAGGATACCAAATGTGTCGATGGTACGGTAGAGAAGCTTGCTGGTGAAGTAAAGTCTCTTGGAAACGAATGCGACCTGGTCCACGCCGAGCTGGAGGAAGTAGTGAAAGGGACTGAGAATGGAGAAGGCTCTTCCTACGATCTGGACGGTCGGTTGTGGAAGTGTCTGGGCACGAAGGTGCAGGAATGCACAGAGGCAGTTCAAGAGCTCAGCGCCATAGTCGATGACATTGCAGACAGGGCATCGGGCTTCATAGGCCAAGCACAGCGTCAGATGAGGTTGAACAAAAATCGAGAGATTCTCGAAAAGATCAGACAAAGGATTCGGACACACACGGATGGTTTACGCACGACGCTTTTGGTCGTCAACATGTCGGTGATATCTATATGCCGCTTCCATAGTAACTCTGACTGACAATTTATAGAAAGGTTGCACATCTTGCCCCGGGGTATGCCAACAGAGAGCTCTCGCAAAAGTTAGACGCTCTACAAGACATGGTCGACTCGCTGCAGCGGTCGATGGAGAGCGCGCCCCGGACGTCAAGGTCAGATACCGACGCAACGCTGGTACAATGCGCCCGCGAGGTCATCACGCAAGGCTCGACCATGTACGAGGCGAGCCTGGCTGCACCATCAATTCTCGGAGGCCAAGGAGCAGCCAACAGCAACGTTCGCGTTGCACAGTGGGTTGGCGCGATAGACGCTCTTCGCCGCGAAAACCCAATCCCAGAACTGTCGGATACTCGATCAACTCTGCCCTCTGTGTTCTCTGGAGATGGAGGGTACAGGAGTCTGACGGACGCTACTTCGGCGCAGCACGAGATGGTCGAGCGTGACACTGACGACAACTTGCTGGACCCAGATTCAGACGATGATCTGGCCCTGGACCTTGCAAAAGCCGCACTGCATACCAGTGCCGAAGCGTTCGAGACTTCAGCATGGCTCGAAGCCGACTTGCTCCTGCAAGAGACCCTCAGCCTACTGCAGCAGCTACCAAAGGGACAGCGCGGTTTCTGTGACACATTCGACTTGCAGTACAAGCTTGCGGTGTGCGCCTACCACACACAAAAGCCAGCGGACGCTGAGGGAGCGCTCACAAGCTTGTTGCAGCAGATACCCGAAACGGACAAGCAACGTCGCCTTGTTTGTGAGATTGCGCATCTCTTATCGCTTCTGTACATCCGTATGGATCAGGTCAAACGTGCAAAAGCTTCCTGCGAAAAGGCGTTACAGGCACGAAGGCGACTACTGGGCAAAGAGGATGATGCCACACTCTCGTCCATCGGTGTTATGGTTCGCATCTACCAGCTACTCCAGAGCCACACGCTTGCTAAGGTGTACCTTACCATGATCCCGGAGGCTCGCAAGTCCGACATCCTCCGCAGTGTTGATGATTCGCTTGGTCCGGATCTCGATCCCTTCGACGATGCTTCGTTGCTGGCCCGGTCGCATTCACGGCATTCGAAACGAAACGCATCTTTAGAACGGTTCAGTAGCCTTAGCTCATCCCGCACAAGCTGCGACGCTGCCTTCGGCATCGGGGATAGCGAAGCATCGCCTTCAACACTGGCGCCGAGTCTGCCTGCACTGAAAGATCTGGGATCGGCAAACGCGCAGGATGATGCACTCACTGGGAACTCCTTGCCTTTGAGCGACCTTAGCCTCGACGCCCAAAGTCGCACGGGAGCATCAGAATCCAATGTGACCGAGTCAGACGAAGCTATGGAAGATCCGTTCATTTCCAAATCCGACACATTATCTGCACACAGCCATTCCGGCTCGCAAGCAGCCAAGGACGAGCCTCCCTTGGGTCTAAGTCGAAAGGAGATACTCAGCGGACTTATGCTTAAGCCCAAGACTGCCCTGGACAAAGCCATATGCTATGAGTCGAAAGAACAAGTCACCGCGCTGATACACACTCATCCTAAGCCGTCGTCAGGTTTGCGTAGGATATTCAAGTCCAGTCCGTCGCCGTTACACTACGCCGCACTCTTCGGGGAGGTTGATGCTGCTCGGCAAATCCTGGAGCTCGGGACCAGACTCATGGAGGTTACTACGCATGCGATGATCTTTTACACCTTGGGCTCGCCATTCCACTGGGCTGTCTTATCCAGGCAAGCCGCTGTGGTGGATTTGTTCCTCACCAAGAGGCCAGAAGTGCTCCACACTCTCGCCATGTGCCCCGATATGTCGAGCGACATGTACAAATGGTGGTGCAGTTGTACCATTTCGGAGACAGAACAATCGCACGGAAGCCATATCCCCGAGGAATTCATTGCAATGTGTAAAGTCCTCTTGAAACATGGCTGGCGGGTGAACCAAGGAATTGCTTCTTCGTCGTGGACTCTCCTTCACTATGCGACGTTTCTTGGGTATGAATATGATCCGCACGGCATGATTGCATCATTTCTGTGCGAGAGAGGAGCAGATCCTATGCTGGCGGCGAGAGATGGTAACACGCCATTCGGCATTGCTAAACGAAAGTCGAACCACAATTTGGTGCAGGTCTTTGAGGACCACATCAAATCGAAGAAATAGAATTGCGTTCTTATCATGATTCGCTCAGGATGTTCTTGTCATGATTTTCTTGAGGATTTATCTGTGGAGGATCTATCAGCAGGGCGGAGAGCTCATTGTAATGACCGGAAGACGATTGGTGTGGTTTTCTACTTCCATATCTTTAACAGCATCGCGATTGAAGAGATTCCATGCGACGGAGTTCAGGTATTGACGGTGCAATCAATTGTCAGCAGAACGAAGTCAACAACATGGCCACCTCACTTACTTCTCTTTGAGCCCTCAGCACCTTCGTCATCCTTCCTCTGGTCCTTCCTGCTTTCATCAGCCGTCGATCGCTTCGGCTTTGCATCAGGCTTCGCGGGACGTAGGCGCAATATCGGTGGAGGCGTCCGTGATGAACCGGTTCGTCCAAGCACAGCCTCTCGAATGCCTTCGTAAACTGCCCTTGCTTGACGGTCAAGGGGCTCGTTCAAGCTAGCAGATGCCACAACAGATGGGACCATCCCTGACAGCCGCTCCAAGAAGGCCCATTGGTCGAAGCTTTCTGGATCAAAGTCAATCTCGATATCGTAGGGGGGATAGCCCTGCTCAGCAGTGGCGATTGCAAGGTTTCTGATCCAGTGCATAAGACTGTTGATGTTGTTGTCCAGAGTGACTCGCAGCACGAACCGCCGAAGCCGCGAGACTGGCCGTCTGAGGTAGAGCGGAAGGTTCAGACGTCCTGTGTCTTCGAAATTGTGAGAGTCGACGACCACGACTTGAGCGTGCTTGTTCGCGTGCTTCCTATAGAAGGCCGCAAACTCTTGGTATACCTGGCGGCAAGCACCTGCAAGAGGAGGTACTCGCATGGGAGCGCCGGCAATAGGGATGTGCATCTCTTCTTCCTGCATCATGAAGATATAGATTGCGTTTCCAGTCTCCGCCGGAAGGTTGAGGAACCTAGAAGAAGCAATCAGCGGAGTTTGTGATGCCATAGGAGCGGAGCGAGGGGTTTGTTCTCGAGGCTGAGGTTCTGCGTCCTGCGCAGATGGATGTCGTGATGCAAGCTTATTGGAATGAGGGACTGAGCAGAAGACAGTATTTGCAGTGTGATCGCAGAGGTCGGTGAACAAAGACTTGAACAAAGTCTTGTAATATAGTAATCAAGACAAGCCATTGACGTGTTCTTTGACCATGCACAAGGGACCAGAAATAGCCCTTCAGTTGGCGGGATCGAGATCCAAAGCGTAGTCGGGCTGTATGCAGACGAAGAGCTGTGGTGGTATACTATTGACACTGCGGTCAATGCTGTTATTTCTTTGAGCGATGCTATTAGTAGGTTTCACACTTCTACGCCAGCGGAGTATGTATAAAGTTACCAAAGCGTATCGCCAGCTCGATGCGCTGTCCATCAATAGTCGAGACCCAGGAAATGCATTCTGGTCCCCGATCTTACGCCACCTTCCGTCGCTTCGATGGACTTTGTACCGGCAAGTCTATCCCCGCAAGTCTCTTGCCCGGCGATTGACTTTGCTTCGTGTTGTCCTCGGGCACCACCAGCTCGTCGCTACGCTTGAAAGCATCAGCGAAAGCCCTCTGAAGCTCCCTACCAGCATTCATCCACTCACCATGGCAAGTGAAGTCTCCGTTCACATCATCCTCAAAGCCCAGTCTTGCCACCAGCTTCTGGCACTTGGCGACATCGAAGGAGTCCGAGTCGTAATGGAACTCGACCTTGGTTGCACTAGCGGTAGCTGACGCATGGACGTAGAAGGCGGGAAGAACTCGTTGGAACAGGCGGAGCTCGTCGAGGTGAGCGTCGAACGTATTGTCGATGTAAAGGCGAAAGACTATCGTCCGCTCAATGTCCTGAACCCCTGCAGGGAGTGAGTTCAACATTGCGATTAGTGTCGTCTATACTCGATTGATTGCACCGCAACTGGTAAGGAAGTCAGTCAGGTAGACTTTGAGGATGGGTGTATGTTTCAGCGCATCGTCGTAATATACCATTCTGAACTCTGTCCGAGTGTCTTTAGACACCTGCGCCAGGGGGTGTACTAGTATCCTGCCGTCGGCACTGATTGCAACCACTTCAGGGTCTCTGGCGAGCGTGTTCCGGATCTTATTGCGCATCTCGGCGGGGAGGTTCTCCAGCTCCAGGGGCGCGTCGGGAACGGTGAAAGTCACCATAGTGTCTTGATGTAGCTTGCCGCGACCGTCTCGAGCCTGTCGATTACGGTCTCGCTTTGGAGGCTTCCGATATCCTCGCGTATCTGTGATTATGTGTAATGTGGTGCAAACGGAGTGACAGACTTGCAACGAGGGGGACGATAGACTCATTTCACGGGAGTATGGTAGAAACAAAGAAGTGTTGAAGTTGAATGCCATTGTCAGGCCACTGAACAAAGCCAACCAGTTTTGGTGGCCGTGTTCTGTTCGAATACGATACAGCATCAAATGTACAGAGTCTCTGGATAGCTTTCTGGACTTTCGAAGGCGTTTCACTATGGAGAGCTGGACGGGAAAACGCCTTGCCAAAACTCAAGGTGCCGCATTTCTCTAGCTACCTGTCAGCAGCATCACATATTCCGATTCCATCCTCTGCAAGCTTCCTAATTCCTCTCTTACCCTTACCCCATCACTCACAAATCCTTCTCCGGCCCTTCGTAGCGGACGAACGCTTCAGCAAAAGCAGCACGAAGAATGCGTCCAGCAAGTACCGCTTGGCCTTCGTGCGTGAGCCACGGCCCGTAATGCCGGAACCCCAGCCTTTCGAGCAGCTCCTGGCAGTAGTTAGTGTCGAAACTCTCACGGTCCCAGCGGATCTCGACCTTCAGAGTGTCCTGCAGCTGATGTTCGAGCATTGGCATGAGGCTGCAGAACTTGCGGAGCTGCACATCAGAGTCGAAAGGATTGGTGAGCCAGATTCGAATGACGGTCGTTCGGTTGACGTTTGATGCTGGGGTTGGAAGAGAGTGCACAATGGCCTCGAGGCTGATCGGCGGCTGGATAGACGTCTCGGAGGTGATTGCTGAGATAGTCTTCGCAGAGCGTACCGCTTCGAAAGCCACCAAAGGAGACGGCGATCGGTAGACGAAGTTGCGCAGGTGGACCTTGACCGTCGGAGTGTGGGTGAGTACACCCGCGTACCACAAGGGGTGGAACTCTTTTTGTACCTCCTTTGAGGTCTGCGATAGCGGGTGCTGAAATAGCCTTCCATCTGCGTTGACCGAGACATCTTCTTGGCTTGAAACGATGATGTCGTAGAGCTGGTTACGAAGTTCTCCTGGAAGGCGGCCCAGTGCCCCGAGCGGAGTCAGTTTCGAGTTGTTGCTCGAGGGTTCCATCTCGTTGTCGTTGTGCTGCCATGGGAAGTGTAGGGCACCGACCAGTCGTTCTCAGCTGACGCCGGTTTGGAGCTCTTCTTGCCTGCAGAGCTTGAGGAGTCGGATGTGGTGATAAGACTGAGGGAGTTGCGAAACGCCCCATAAGCATCTCGAGACCTGGTGTCGAGGCAAGCGTCGGCGACACACATTGACGTGGGCGAATCGCATTGTCCTGGCGTGGTCGAGAACAAAGAAACAAAGCATTGCGGATGCGACACGACACCGAAAAGCTGCTTAGCCTTCCACAGTATAGAGAAGATTGTACGCGATTATCTGCATTTAATAGGTCAGCCAGATTCACATGTAGTGCCCGTCCACTTACGTGTCCTGATGTTTTCGAGACGTTCTGCGAGCACTGCTTGCTTCTCAAAATGCAAGTTAAGATTAGAGAGAAAGATTAGTAGCATGATGGTCGAAGACTCAGGCTGGTAGAAACATATGACAGCAGCAACGAGGACAAATCGAACAGGAAGAAGAGAGGTCAACCCAGCGTCTTTGCTGCTGTCTCAGACAGGTTCAGAACTTGCCCTTGACTGTTTCAATGCCTTGCTGAGACAGCTCCACATTTCTCGGGTGTGTTATCTCGGCGTTATGCAAAACGAGCAGAGTCTTCTGTGCTGTTAGGAAGCCACTGACTGACTCTTCAGCGAATCCTTGAGACTTCGCGTCGGTGATGCTCCGCCAATATATGCCCGTTGACCAGCGTGCCAGATGCGAAGTCCCGTGCTGCAGCGTGAGGCAATGAAGAGATGTGGCTATGCTCGAGAAGTGCCAGTGAGATGTTGCTCGCTGTGCCCATTGCTGTGCACATTGATCGTCGCGGCCGAGGAATCCGCGAAATCATGGTCACAGTCTGCAGGCATCGTACAGCTTCTGCCGCATCCTGGAGTAGTCCATGTGAAGTGATGGGCAAACGTAGCGAGGATGGCCAGGGGGTTTCCTTCCCCGTATGCCTACCCGTGCGCTTGCTTTGTCAAGGTCGGCATTGCTGATCGGGTGCACTGCGATAGTCAGACGTGAACGTATAAAGAACCACGTTCCGCTAATATCCAGACAAAACTGCTCGAGAGTGGAGTCGCGGTGCAAGGTCCCTGGCGTTAATGACACGCGAACAAGTACCGGTGTTCTTTGCTTGATGCCTTGCCTGGAGATGGTGTACTTAAGATCGCCATATTTGTCATATACTTCGTAGTCACCGATGTCAGCGCCGTTGAGTTCGGCGTTGTGACTGACAATTTGCTTAGAGATGGTGTCGTCGATGTTGTCGATGTCAGCGATGTCGAAGTCGACGACGTGAACGACAATCCGTTTTGCCTTCTTCACAGCGGACTCCGTCCACATCGGTCCGAACTCGTTACGCAGCTGAACAGACGTTTGCATCAAAGCGTGCCTCAGTGGGACGCCTTTGCTGTTCAGGTGGACGTCCTCTAGTTCCGCCACAACGAGCTCGTACACGGAATTGCGTAATTCTGCTGGTAGCTCCAGGAATTTTGATGGGCCTGGTGGATGAATACCGGTTCTGGGGCTCGCCATGTTTTACGACTGAAGCGGCGAGTGCTGGATCATGCTGGGGATTTTGTTAAAGAAGACGAGCGCTCTCTATGGGATGAGTTAACGACGGCGCGACGAGCTGGTGCGGAGCCACCGACACCGCATAGCTGCTGAACGCGTATCGTGCTTCGTACACCCCCACTTATAGAGCACACAGCACAACTGCCAGCTATACGATGGCGAGGTCCAGTACAACGTAAAGCTGGAGTGTTGAGACAGGAAAGAGTACTGACGTGTTGAAGGTGAAGTCGATATGGCCTTGGCAATTTCCCCGCGGAGGTGCTTGGACGTTCCTCAATGGCTGACCTTCAAGAAGCCACCTCTCCACGACGAGCCTCCCCATCCCCGCCTGATACACCACAATGGACCCCTTCTCCTCCGACGGCGAGCTTGTCCACATCCACACCGCCTTCACGCAATCCCAACACTCCACCGTGCTCTCCGACTTCGACCCTTCCTCTTTCTCCGCCAGCAACAGACTCCCCGTCCAGGTCCTCCAATATCGCGCCCAATGCGCCCTCGGACAGAACGACGATGTGATCAGCAGCATCAGCGATGCAGACGCGAAGAGTACTCCTGATTTGGCGGCGGTGAGGGTATACGCAAGCTATCTGCAATCTGTCGCGCAGGGGAGCGGTGGGGAGGATGCGGTTGCTGAGGCGGAGAGGTTGGCGAGTGGGCAGGGTGACAATTTGACGGTGCAATTACTGGTGGGAACGGTGCTTGCACGGTCGGAAAGACAGGATGCTGCGCTGGCTCTCTTGTCGCGACATCAAGGGAGTTTGGACGCTGTGGCCTTGATCATTCAGATACATCTTGCTCAGAACAGGTCCGATCTGGCAGTCAAGGAGGCGAAGTCTGCCAGGTCATTCGCGCAGGATGCTCTTCTGGTCAACTTGGCGGAGTCCTGGATCGGCATGCGCAAGGGTGGAGAGGAGTATCAAAAAGCGTTCTACGTCTTCGAAGAGCTGGCACAGTCACCGAGCAGTGCTAGCGCGGCGAGCTTGGTCAGCCAGGCGGTCAGCGAGCTGCATATGGGACGGGTGGAGGAGGCGGAGACCGCTTTGAATTCTGCCTTGGGCATGGAGCCGGACAACACCGCGGCGTTGGCGAACAAGCTGGTGCTGGACACAATTTTAGGACGGGACGCTGGCGAGGCGCGAAAGAAGTTGGAAAGCACTGATGCGCAGAACGAGATGCTGGAAGACTTCAAGGCGAAGAGGGAGGCTTTCCGGACGGCAATGGGGAAATACTCGCCCAAGTTTGAGCCTTGATATATTCGTAGTTGCAGTGTCCGCGGCCGTACTGCATAGCAGGAGCATGAGCGCATGAGACCATGACATATATCCTCAGAAACATCATGCTGTCGTTCACGTCATGAAGCAGTTCTCATCATCCCATCATGAGATCCCCTAAAACCTCAACTTCGGCCCAACAAACACAAACAGAAAACAAGCCACCCACAGCCCAAAAATCATCCCATACAGCTTTATCCTCCCCCACCACCCCTGCCCCTCACTCATCCGTCTCAGTGCCCCCATCTTCCGCTCCGCCGCTTCCATGCCCAGCGCACTCTTGTCCAGCCCTCCCGCCGCCCGCTTCAGCACATCCTTCTCCCCCTCCAACGCGGAGCTGAAGTTCAGCGAACTCTCCTTCAACGACCGCGCTAGCGACAACAGCCCCGTCGTAAGGTTCTCCTGCTCAGTCCGGTTGTGCGACAACAGCGTCTCTGACTGTGATAATGAGGGATCGGGCGGTTGTTGCGGCCGCCCAGCGAAGAGCTGTTCTCGCGCCGTCGAAGTCGCTGCGTCGCGATTGTCGGCGGCGCTGGGAGGTTTTCGCGCGCGGAGCTCGGACTGTAGTGTCGAGGCTAGTTGAGCGTGGGCTGCGGTCGCTTCGCCGCCGGCGCCGGTGGTTTCGAGGCCGTCTTGGTAGTCTGAGTGGGCGGGGGCGTAGGAGGGGAGGGGTTGGTCGGAATCGGAGTCTTCGCTTGGGATGTCGCCGTTGGGCTGGTCGTTTGCTGTTTCCTCTCCGTCTTCTATGGGGTCGTCTTCGCCGTCATCGTCGTCCTCTTCTTCGTCTCCGAGCTGGTTGAGCTCGTCTAATCGCGAGTTTAACCGCTTGATCACTTCGCGCTTCTCCAAGAGCTCTTGCTGTACTCTCTGCCTTTCTGACTGTACTCTTATCGTACTGGCCTGCTTCTCCAAGGTCAAAAGCGTTGTGCGCGCGTGCTCGACATTGGTCGAGACTTTATTGCGTTCGTATGGCGAGCTACGCAGCCTGTGGAGTTGTTCGTCGGATGGTGAGAGGAGGGTGCGGTCTAGGCGGAAAAGTAGGCGATTGAGAGACACGGTTGAGGTGTGGTCCATCGCGGGTGGAAGTACATGTAGTTAGTTGTTTATATGCTATTTGCATCACTCAAGCACTTCTAAGAGACTGGACCACTGAAGCATGTGCAAGTTGTTGTTCCACCGAAAGAGGCAGTTGTGGGCTTTGAGTTTACGGCACGGCGCAGGGCCGTGCCGGCAAGGCCCGAGCATAAGTCTTGTCAGGAACGTTAGCACTTCGCTTCGTCCTAACATTACTACCATCTACAACCCGACGTCAAAAGCCATTGAGGAGGCTACAAAAGACCATGCCTTTCCCTCTGGACCCTCCAAGAACCGCTAAGTCTACACGGGCACGCAATCGACTTTTTCGCCATTCTCGTCAAGAACCTGCTTATCTCAACACCCCAGCTCGGCGGCAGAGGCCTCGTACACCTCCCACTCATCGAGATTGACACTTTCTTCGCCATCATGCTCATCATCTGCCTCCACTGCCTGGGGGATTCCCAACCGGTTGCTTCTGCCCCACATCTTCGTTCCCTACATTTGACGACCTCCGACCATGGGCAAAAACGTCGCTTTCCTTCCAGACCCAAGCAGATCGGCCGCATTCTCCAACATACCTGAAGGACCTTGGCAGATCAATCTCGGCTTATAGCCAGCCTCCACGCCATTGACTGTGAGGTAAAGCTTCTTGGCCAATTGCTCGAGCTTGAGTGCTGCTTGTGCATGCCCTTTCGAAGTGGGCGCTCGTGACGCTTCGATTCTGACTGCCAGACCAAGCAAGCGAACTGCATCTCGAGTGACTGTGGCATGCTTGGACGCCTTCAGGACAACGCCGTCTGACCCGATCCTGGCTTCCAAGTAGCCCAGCGACTTGAAGTAGTCGCATATGGCCACCAGCGCCTTGTCGTCCATGCCTCTGTTGTAGTAAGTATTGGCGATCCATTGCTGAGGGAAGTGCAAAGCCTTTTGACAGCCTCTCAGCATGGACATTCCATCTGAGAGTGAGGGACGACACTTACGTATTTCGGAAGTCCGATGTAGCGCTTCGCAGGGTAAGTGGCCTTGAATGCGACAACGTGCTGGATCTTCTGGGCTTGAACGGCATCAAACTCCGCTTCGGATACGTCGTCGTCATTTGTGCCTTCCGGCATTTGCAGCACGGACCGAACTTCTCCACCAAGCCGTTCACGACTCTTTCGCAGAGCTTCTCCGTCAAGACCTTCAGCGGAGCACAGTGGGCATTGGCAGTCAAACCTCCATATCGATTTCATGTTTTGCCTTCGCTCCTCATACTCACCGTGCGAACAGTATCCCAGCGTGAGCTCTTCACCTCTTGCGATGTCTCCAACAGCTCGAACGAGGATCAGGTCCCCGAGGAACACTCTGTTAGCGTTCGGGACACATGAGTGGTTGAGGTACGATGTGTGACACCAGATTCCGTGGGTCGCACGATTGTCATCGTGGGCCTCACAAACACCAAACTCATCGCTCTTACGCACATGAGAAGGCCGGGCCATGCCAAAGGCATTCCTCGCCACGATGTCATGGATTTGGAACGTGTCGACGACGACGTTTCCGTCGACTTCCAGCTTCGAGGTTCCCAGGCCGGCATGACCACTGTGCAGCGAGGTGACCTGCTTGAGAAGTGAAGGATTGTCCGAAAGCTTCTTGACCACACTGCGCCAAAGCTCAATGTTGGACACGAAAGCATCGTCTGCCCGCACATCCCATTTGGTGAACAGGGTAGAGTTGCCCTCATCTGAGAAGACCGCGCTGAAGGCCTTCTCACACAGTATCAGACCGCCTTGGCTTGATGTCCTCGGTTGCAAAGAGCCCTCTGCCACGCCCTTGGTCGCTCTGCTTCACCTCCGTCTTCTTGGTGTGATCAGCAACGTCAACCCTTGGCTGCGCGTTGGAGAGGTTCCGCACGATGCGTTCAAAGTCGTCGTGTCCTGAACTCTGCTCTGCAAGACGACTTTGGACACGAGCCATCATCTTGGTTGCCTCTGCATCATGCGGGCACAGCTCGAGCAGGCTTTGAAAGTGCGACTGTGCTTGAGAGAACCGACGAAGCTGGTAGTTTGCAAACCCGGCACGGAACCAAGCTTTGACGTCGAGCTTCTTGGCCTGATCATGAGAGTTGGACAGCATGGCGGAGAGAGCATCTTCCTCTGCGGCGTCGAAGCGAGACAGATGGATGTTTGTCTGAGCACGATTCCGGAGAATGTCGCAGCGAAGCGCGAAGTCGTTGGGATCGACAGCATCGAAGGCTCTCGTGTAAAGTTTCAACGACTGGTGGTACTCGCCACGCTTGAAGTGTTCGTTGCCCTGATTCTTCAACGCCAGCGCAGTCCCGGTCTTTGACGCATGGAGGCAATCGATTTGTCGGAGAGCCGTCGGCACTATGGAATTGTCCAAGTCCACAAGTACGATGTCGCATGGATGTTCGACGATGACGACACCAAGCTTCTCCTCCTCGAAGGAGTAATAAGGCTCCTTGACCACGATTGCCTGGTCCTTTGGCAAGAGTGTGTCGTTGTTCAGCCCTTGGCAACCCATTGTGAGCTTCACGACGTCTGCGATCCCGGAATCATCCACGATTACGGCTGCCACACTCGTCTTCGTAAAGATCCAGTCCATCGTTCGACGGACTAAGAGGAACTTGCCGCGGTGGTGCGTTTCAGTCTTCAACTCGGCCAGCGCGATCTTCTGGACGTCAGTATACTTCCGTCACATGAGATGTAGGATTTGCCTACCTTCTCCAGCTGTGATACTGGCTCGGTACACGGCAGGTATGGCTTCCCGATCACAACAACGTCGGTGCCTGGTGGCTGGTGCACCTGCATTTGCTGCTCAGCATGTCGAATGCCCGCTTCATGCCGCTCGGCCAGTATGCGTGGCTCTTTGAGCATGTACGGGAGACCGCGGTTCGACTCTGCGAACTGCAAGAGCTCCTTCACTTTATCAAGGTCTTTCGGATTGGTGAAAACCCCATAAGCGGTCATCCGCTCTAGCCTGCGAAGAAGATCCATGTTGCGGGTTGTCGAAGAGGTGGAGGTGAACGAAGTTAAACGTTCTGCAGAGCGGTTAGCAGCGAGCAAAAAGACGATTCCTCATCCGCTGGAAAAATGAGGTGATTCCGATTGTATGTCGAGAAGGAGAAGGAAGTACAGGTGTGCGAGATGTGGTTGGCAAGCATCCGTCTTTGTGTCTGGCCGCCCGATTGTACATCTCAGCATTGCATGGCCCAGCCCTCGCGATGCTGCATCTTAACCCCAACGGCCAGTCGGTGTACAGTAGCCAGAGACTGCAGCGGAGACGTGATATGCCGCCTCATGCAGGATTCTGTACCGTTCCATCCGACGTATCGGTTTGGGCCAGAAGAGCAGCAAGAATGCCGCTGCCCATCCCAACAATCCATGACACCGGGTACTGCACGAGCACGTCGTGGGTCCAGGCTGTGAGAGCTGTCCCAGAAGTACCGACGATGAGGTTCATCCGGGAGGCGCTTATGTGGGAGATTAGAGGAGTGATCTGTCACATTTTCGACTTCAGGACACTGGAACACTGATAATGGTTCCGTGAATGCAGTGCTACTCTGCTACTCAATCTATACCGACAACTCATATATCCCTGAATCAAATCTCGAGCATGCTGCCCAAAATACAACATCTTAATCATTGATGTTACGGATACTTTACAAGCCTGTTAGAAAAGATTTCGTACGCTGCAAGCCGCCGAAGACCGAGCCAACGTCAATGATTTTCATCCATCGCGAGAGACGGGTCATACTCTACAATTGGCAGTTGTGGTTTGTGTTTAGCATCGATGGGTCAAAGGGTTCTCTGAGACACGATCACACTGCATGTGGCGTTTCGACACCTTTTGCTTTCTTGCATGATTTTCGAAACACCTGCTAATCCTTTTAGCCTTCGGTGCTTTAGCAATGCCCTCAATGGCGTACTTGAGGAGTTGGCTTCTTTGTTGTCATACATCAATAAAAGACTTCCAGCGTGACCGATCAGACAATGGCCGCCACAAGGCCATTGATGAGATAAGGGGACGCCCCAACAATGCCTTTGCATTGTGTTGACTGTCGAACGTATGTTAATATCCTTTTGTTTCTCGGGTATCTAGAAGCAAACAATCTACCACACTCATCACACCTACCAACGCATGTTCCATACAACATCAAATAACACCACAAGCAACTCATCCGTCAACATGACCACATCACCACAAGCACAGACCCCCGTCGTGCAGAACAGCAGGCTGCTGTCACTCCCGCTCGAGCTGAGGCATATCATCTACGCCCAGATGATTCAGAACGAAGGCGTACACGTCGATCTCTCTTCGCCGGGCATTTCCAGGCTCCTAGCCAACCAAGGAACGCGACTTGACGCAACTCCGAGAACGTTGCACCCTCCTCGTGCGGCACTCATCTGTCGGGCGATCTGGGACGAGTTCCAGGAGTTCATGAAGACCAAGCCAGCCCTCGCTGCGGTGAGTTATGTCTTTCACATCAGGAACTTCGAGCTCGACGTGATGGACATCCCTCAAGAGGTTAACGTGCGGAACAGCAGAGTCATCTTCCGGATCTTGATTGATGAGATCGATGAGACACGTGCTATACCGCTGCTGCAGAGTCTCATCGGGAAGGCGGCCTTTTTTCGACAGCGCGGGCACTCCGATGTTCGGTTCGCAGTCCACCTGGGCGGCTTAATACTCGACATGGACCGCCTGAAGCAAATTTTGCTGAAGGTCAGGCTTCTCTTGAGGGAAGACAAAAAGCAGGCTGGCATGGAGGATGTGAAGTTTTTGGGGACCATGCTGACACGATTCGAGAGAGCATTGATGGAGGCGATGAGGCGGGAATGGGTGGAGCGCCAGGAGAACGAGGGAGAGACCAGGAAGGCTGAAGGCAAGACCAGAGCGTTTTTTGCGTCCTTGCCGTTCTGCAAACAGATGAGTGAGCGCCCCATCTAGTAAGTCCGAACGTATAGTTAATGTTTAATGCCATCGGTTCTCCGAAACATATTCTCAATCATCATTTCCATCTCGTAACAAAGATCATGCCGTCTTGATGTCCAGATACGTAGCCACCTTTTCAACTCTGCTGAAGACTTCCTCGTCCTTCAGGAGGACTCTGCCCTTCCCTGCCCTCGCTAATCCGGTACCACGCAGTCGCCATCTTGCGATGCATATCCGGGTTGACAGGATCGCCTTTGACCGGACTCCCCGTATTCGCAATCGACCGCAAGAACTCCAACGTCAACTGTCCGCGGTCGTTCATACGATACAGCCGCCGGAGCTCCGTCATACACTCGCTGTCCAGATTGCCGGAAGCTGCACAGTAATGAGCCACAATGCCCAATGGAAAACTTGCAATCGATGCTCCCCAGTATCGGGCGCTGTCTTCGAAGTAATGGTGCGCGTGCGAAGCGATGCACATAGCCATGGGGTATGGATTCATCCAGGGTGGTATTTCGGGGAGTCCAGATCGGGTGCCTTGAGCAGCGTATGTGAGGGTTCGGTGTATGATCCTTGTGGTGGAGTAGAGGATGAGGCAGGTGACCCAGCACTGGGTGATGCAATTAAACAGGCCGTAACCGTGTTTCATGCAAATATCGGCAATCGTGGTATTGCTTGTGCTTGCCGGCGTTGGTGATACTGCCGCAGACTCTCGCAACACCTTGTGCTGCCATTCGTTCAGTTGTTCACCCATGTTTATGCATCGATAGAGCAGGTTCTGGCCTGCCGTGAAGGCCTCGAACCTTGCGAAGGCGGTTTGGCAGGCAGCAAGCCGTCCGTTGAGATTGTCTTGCTCTGCTAGAAGTTCCGGTAGAGTAAGCATGATGTCGACCAGTTCGTCGTGCAAGCTCTTTGGAGATGTCTCGAAAGGTGTAGTGTGCCTGTGTAAGAACCTGTCAGCAACGTCAAGGACAGAATTAAGTAGATACCACGAGACCGACCACACTGGGTTTGTAAACTCGCTGGGCTTCCTCCGTGTGATGCTCGAGGTGGCAGTCATGATCCGTATGTCCTTGAAGAGCACGTGGCCATGATCGGTGCTGTGCCTAGCAGGGCCGCGCATCTCAATGAGACTCTGTGTGCCGTCGATATGGCTATGCCAGTCGAAGCCCTGAGTCGACACTTCGGGTGTATCCTTGACCCGGAAATTCTCGTACCTGTACCTTATTAGCTCGAAGCTGTCAGTCCTTCGTCCAATGGGCACATACAGAGCCAGAATCTTGCAACATGCAAGTATCTCATCACTCCGCGCTTTGTTGACATCTTGCAATGCTCTGCTCGTCTCTCTGATGGCGACTGAGTACAACCTCGTGCTCTCCCTCACAAGGCTCTGATCGGATTTTGCCCGCCCAATGATGGTGAACGCAACCGCATTGAGCGCCATCCTGGCAGTAGCATCCTTCGCAGCCATGTCCATCACGGCGCCCATCCAAGGCACGATTCGCACATTGCCAACGAAGACTGTGCTTGGGTCTTCCTGTGGCAAGAAATGCGTCCAAAACTGGCCAGCCCATTGTGTCTCCCATGCCGTCCGGCTTAATGAACGCTGAGAGGGTCCCTGTGGAGGTGTGACGCGCTGGAGTTCTGTCGTTGCCTGAACTGCAGATGTCGCGCTCGAAGCCCGCGAGGACTCTGCGGGTGGTACCTTATGCCCGACAAACGTCCAACGCTTGTCGTCGTAGGTGCAGTCATATCCCAAGTGTGCACATCGAGCACAGGTCGGCCGCACGAGATCGCAGCCCTTCTTCTTCCGGCGGCAGTTTCTGCAGCCACGAGAGGAAGGCACGCCAACCATGAGGTTGAATGTAAGGCTGGAGCTTGTGTTGTGGGGCTTTCCAGAATGTCAGTGTAACACGATGCAGTCACTTGGGTTAGTTGTGAATAGAGTTAATCGCAGGTAGTTGCCGAAACGGTCTTTGTATATGACCACTGCCGTCAAGGCTCAGGAGGAGCTTCTGCCTTATACTCCATGGCTTCTTTCGAGACCATCCCAATGTGCCAACCAGGGGGAATGGAGATCCACGGGAAAGCATAGCCTGGTTTGGGCGTCGTCCGGAGCAGATCTGATCTCCGAAGATTCCAAAACGATCTCAGGCTGGGCTTGGAACATGCCATCAGCGGGAAGACTGAAGCACCCGACCGAACTCCAGTGCCTTCCCGCCAATCCTGCGGTGTCAAAGCCTAATCGTCCGGGCCGAGAATCCATCTTTTCGGCCGGTCTGGAGAGGCTGGAGCAGCGGGAAGGTTATGGGCATGGAGCCGGGAGGCAGAGGCGTTGCGGGTGATCGCAGCAGACAAGAGATGGTAGGATGGATCGGTGGATCAGGAGGATGGAAGGATGAATAAGCTTGTATGAGGACATCGGAAGGGCTCCGTGGATGCAAAGCCTCGATGTTTAATTTTGGGTGGCTTTTAACGGCCGAACGAAGGATTCGCGGAGCGTGACTTGAGATCAAGTGCACCGCCATTTGCCGGAACACTTTGAAGCATCTTGCGGCCGATATGTAAGGTGAAGCTCAGTATAGATATAGCGCTTGCTGATGGTATCTCGCATTGAGAGCGACCTTGCTGCATACCCTTACGAAGACGTACATGCCGTAGTAGCTACATTGAAGCACTTTCTTGTAGCCACCCGAGCCACCTCCAACCCAAGCGCCACGCTAATTTCTGCAAAATATACATGATCCGTCCGGCGAATACTTCCCGTCTGAGAGTATTCACCGTGTTCCGCACTGCACACGCAACTCCTAGCAACGTAAGTGCACAGCCGCTGTCCATCCTCCTTCCTCGCCCCAGCTACGGAAGCACGTATTCCTCATCCTCAAGATCCAGCTCCCCCGAAATCATGGCGTGAGTGATGAGGTCTTTGTTGAACACCGTGCAGCTGAACTGGCTCTGCAGACGACCAACATCAGCGTCGTTGGTAGGCTTGGTTCCGAAGCATAGCGTCTCGTTACTCCCGATCATCTGGCCGAAGTCTTTCGAACTGCCCTTGCGCACATCGCTCGCGCCAGCTTCAGTGCAGAGGTCCACGATGTCCTGCCATCTAGGGCCGTAAACCTTCTCTGCGAGAGTAGTCGTGAAGAACAGATTCTTACCGTAGAACAGCTTCCTGCGATCCTTCGCAGGAATCCCGATCTTCTCGTGTACGTAGTCCTGAGGATCCAGCAGCTGGCCGCGCGTCTTCGAATCTTGCAGCCAGTCTTCCGTGACCACGAGCTTGCCTAACGCAAGTGAGCGCAGCACTTTGGCAGTCTTGATATTGTCATCTTTGACAACACAGACGAAGTTGGTACGCCTCGTCTTGACGTCGTCGATGATCTCGACGCCGTGCTCCTTGAACCACTTCCCGAGAGACTTCCGAAGCTTGCTCTCGTGGCTGAGGAGGACCTTGGGAGCCTTGCCTGACAAGATTGCGGAGGTCGCAGTGCTGGTTGGTGTTTCTGAAGTAGGCGATACAACGACTTGTGGCGAGATGGGCCGCTTCTTGCCTCGAGACTGAGGCTCGTTGGGCTCGACCGGTGAGCTGTTGACGGTAAATTGACGGCTAGGTCTTGAGAGTTTGCCTCTGGTGGAACGGGTGGCTGGCTTCTCGTCTTCCGCAGCTTCATCGCTCTTCTTGGGTGTGTCATCCGTTGGAGCGATCTTCCGCTTCTTCGTAGCAACAATCACTTCATCGCCATCATCGTCTTCTTCGGCATCATCGAAAAGTTCAGCTTCAAGCTTGCGCTTCTGAGATCGTTCCGCAGTTTGGACGAACACCTCTACGGGCTGCAAGGGATCCGATGTGCCCATGTTGAGTTGCTCACCGTCGTCGTCATCGTCTTGACCTTCCTCGTCGGCGTCGACAAGATAAACCTGCTCATCAGCGGTGCCGTCCATGGTAGCCAAGAAAATCTTCGCGCGATCTTCTGACGGCTGCCGAGGTGAGAGTTCTGCGCTGTGGTTTTCGTCGTCGGTCCCATCCACTTCGCGCTTCTGCGGCGACTCTTCGTCGTCAAGCTCTGATCCGTAGTCGGACGTACCAGGGACTTCCTTACGGCGAACTACTTGAGAGGCTCTGCTTGTAATTGAGACTTTCGCTCGCACAGAGGGGCTGTCAGGGGGTGGTTCATCCTGGAGCGTGCGTTGCGCGTCATTGGTGAGCTCGTCCTGCGCTGTCGAGAAGGGTTCATTGTCGCCAGCGTCAGTGTTCGCAAGACTTGGTGCCTCCAAAGTCTTAGCGTTGGGAGTCTCCTTGATGGCAGCCACTGCAGGCCGTGATGTAGCAGGAGTGATCTCTGTGACCGGCGTCGCGACGGACTTGAACTCGTCCAGATCTTCTTCTTCATCAGAGTCCGTCACTTCGCCGCCATCAATTTCCTCAGCGTTTGACGACTTCACCTGGACATCATCCCGGCTTGTTGCCGATGGGAAAGGCAATGCTTGGGGGAGAGCGCCGTTCTCCTGAATCACATCATCTGGCAGGGTTGCAGACACGCTAGGCATCTCTATCACAACGCGAAGCTTGAGACCTTGTCCTTCGAAGTTGACAACATCATCGTCTCTCAGGTGGACGTAATGATGTTCATGGCCTTTGCTTCGCGGCACGACGATTCTATCAGGATTGTACCTCCGCGCAAAGCCAGATCCGATGGGCAGCTCGATGTAGACCTTTTCGACCAGCGGCTCCAAGACGAGGCTAAGATTGGAGTAGTAGCCTGTGAAATATTTCAGTGAACATCCGGGGTGGCGAGCGGTACTGAAACGGAGCCCTTACTGATCTGTGCGAGCAACAAGTCGCCTTGGTCATGGTCGTAGATGTTGCGGACGTCGGTCAAGCGAAAGTCCAAAGATCCATCTTGCTTGTAGATGACGCGAGTGTAAGTGACGTCCTCGCCGTTGGCGATGGTGTGCTGGATTGTGACGCCGGGTGGTGAGGATCCTCCGCAGCTCAGCATACACTTCAGGTACACTAGCGCTGCCATGGTGGCGTGTACGGAATGAGCGTGGTATGTTGTCGCATGACAGGTCGAGGAAAGGTGGTTGATGTAAAGACGAGAGGTGAAGAAACGAGGTGAGCACGACACGCACCTGCTCAAAAATCGCCAAAGTTACGCGACTGCTTCCAACCTTAATTCAAGACGATGCACGTGATTACCGCGACACTGATGACAAAGACATCGATACCTCACAATATCCAACTATCTTCAACTACATATTCGCCCTCTCCTTCCTCTTCGACCTAAACCCGCTCTGCGTACTCCCGCCATCCAACTCAATCACATTCCCAGTCATATGCGCCGCCCCCATCGAACTCAAGAATAACACCACACCAGCAAAGTCCTCCGGCTTGCCCACCCTACCAGACGGCTGCCCAGAGACCAAGGTATCCATCGCACTCTCGAACCCATACGCCGTCATCCGGCTCGGAAAGACACCAGGACAGATCACGTTCACCGTCACATGCTCCGGCATGAGCTTGCTCGCTTGCATCTTCGTCAAGTGAATGCAAGCAGCCTTGCTTGGGCCATAGGAGAACGTCCCGTGGCCTGGAGCAGAGAGACCGCCTTCAGAGCCAGTTGTGACATCCGTAGTCTGGACGCCCGCCATGGAGGCGATGTTGATAACGCGGGAGGGGTTGCCGGCTGAGGCGCCCTTCTTGAGCTCAGCGTCCAGGCCGACGGTGGTATAGAACATGGCCTTGACGTTAAGAGCGTAGATCTTGTCCCAGCCGGACTCCGGAAAGTCATCGTATGCGCCGCCCCTGGTCGTCGTCAATACAGGACTTGTGGAGGAGGACAATACCAAGACTTACCACGTCGCCCCGGAGTTGTTCAACAGCACGGTCAAGCGGTCAGTCTTCTGCTTAACCTTCTTGCACAAGTCAAGACAGCCGGCCTTATCCTTCAAATCCGCAGTCACATAGTCGCACCTGCCAGGTCCAAGCTGGTTAAGACGGTCCGCGGTCTTCTTCAGCTCTGATTCCTTTCGGCTGGCGATGATGACTTTGGCGCCGTTCTGCACGAACGCCTGTGCTGCCATCTCACCCAGTCCGGTGGCACCTCCTGTCACAAGGCAAACATGGTCCTTGAAGCTGAAGATGTTCGAGACGCTAAGGTTGGCGCTGGAGGAGGCGTGCGCCATCTTGTGCTGCTAAATTGTCTTTTCCAAGGTCCAAAGGGATAAATTTCAATAGGACGAAACTCCGATGATGATTTAGTCAAGCCTTGGACTATTTAGAAGGGCACCTTGTTGATGAAATAGTTGAAGGAAAGACACTCGTCCTCGGCGAGAACATCTCAAGACGCGACAAGATGCCGAGGCAGGAGCGCCTGATGGCGAGCGGGGACTGTATGCGAACGCCTTCCTACGCCAGACACACAGTACATACCTTACCTTGCATACACATGGAACCGTGAGCCCAACAATGAGGCGAGACACTCACAATCAAGACCCACGAGAAGAAATAAAACTAGTGAAAGCAGTAATCTCTCTTCAACCGGAACCTCAAAGGCCCATCTCATTCATTCTCAACCTCAAATAGTAGATCCTACACACCCCCATCCACCCAGCATCCAACATAACATGTCATCAAAATATCCCCTCCTTAGTCAAGAACCAGTCTCAAGTCAGCGGGCCAAGGTCAACCCTCACGCGGGGACCGAAAAGTCGTTTCTTCCCTGCCAAAAGGGTGCATACACATCCATCCACAAAATGCCAGCTATAGTTACAAGAGTACAACCCAACAGAACAAAAAGAAAAGCGAGCGTGCCGGCCGCAAAGCTGATAGTGTCCGGGCCGTTGGTCGTGAAGAACGACTAGTGGTAAAAGCCGAAAAAGTGTGCATACAACAGTACAACAGCCGCTCCGTGCCAATGTGGGTATAATTTCGAAAAAGAGTCAAAACGCCGACGGGAAGATTCCAGGTTGTTTCGTTGCGTCGTTGTTGTTCATGATGATGGATGAAGCACCGGTTTCGAGGAGGTGCTTCGGGAGGTGTCTTTTATGTATATGGAGGTTTGAGGGGGAGCTGGTGTCATCGAATCGAGTCGCGATCGGTGCTGGAGGTCCTACTAAGCACCCCCGCGTACCCGTCTTGCTGCCGCTCGTCGAGACGCCGTTGGCTCGAATTCCGGCCGAAGACGCGGCGGCCCCATGAGCGCTCAGAGCGCGGTGGGTCGGGTCGTGGTTCTGGACGAGGTGAGGGCATGGGATCTGCGACGAAGCCGTTGCTGGTGCCGTCGTGCTGCAGCGGCAGTGGAGCTTCTTTTGTGATTTTGACGAACAGCTTGGCATCGCGGAACTGCTCGCCGTGTGCGGTGAAGAGGGGGAGGTGGCGGTAGCCCTGCTGGAGGCTGTCGAGTTTGGCGGTGAAGGTGCCGAGGAAGGCGCGGTCGCTGCCGGTTGAGTGGCCATCGGACGAATTCCATACGGTCCAGCGAACGAAGATGAGGCTTGGGGTTCTTGTTCCCACGGCCATCGTGACGGGCGAGTTCCATATTGGATCGAAGCCGTTGCCCTCTGATATCTTCGTCCGTCTGCGCACAGGGGAGCTGATGCCAGAGAAGCCGTCCGCCGAAGAGGCATCGAAGCCTCCATGACCTTTCGCGATGCCGCGTGCTTTGTCTTCTGCGCAGTACATCTCCATCTCGATGTACGGGTTCATTGTGGTATGGCCGCTCTGTGGCCGTGGTCGTGGAAGCCTCTGAGCAGACTTGATGTCGACTGTGAATCTGATGAACACCTTCCCCTTCTTGTCCCTCTTCTCCAACGCGGATGGTAGCGTGTCCGCGATTGGTAAATGCTTGGCAGGACGAAGCTCTTCCGGCTTCAGAACGTAGCCGACCCTGTCAGAGCCAGAAGCGAACATGGCCTCGTTGATCTGCTGGTGCACATCATAGGTCTGCCAGTTGAGCGCGACCATTTGGACGCCACGGCGCCATGGATCCATAGGGTCAAAGTTTCCAGAGGTGATTCGCTTCGCACTCGGGTACACTCGCATGAGATGGCGTAGGTTGTGTAGCTCCAGCAACGACTTCGTGCCACTGCTCTTGGTGCAGAGACTGTCGAAGGTGTTTTCGGAAAACGAGAAGATGTGGTTGAACGTCTTGGCCTCCGGCGCCTGAAATCCACCGTACTTGATGCCTTGCACGTAGACTCCAAGCCTCCCAAGCTCGGGTACAATCTTACTGGACTTCGGCTTGCGAGGTTTCTCGGACGCTGATGTGAGGACATCGTCGCTATCGTCGGATGAAGTGCTGGGTGGTGTGTAGGCTGATCCCGACGCAATCGAGCCTCGTGGGGTGCCAACCTGGCTGACGGTGGTGTCAAGGGGGCTCATGGTGGGCGGACTCATGACTGGTGGAGTGGCCGTGATGGGATACTTCTCCAGCGAAGACGTTCGTGTGAAAGCAGATCCCAAGCTGCGGGCGCGGCTACGACCGTTGGGCATTTCTGGTTGCAGCGAAGCAGGCTCGGCTTCTTCTGCCACTTTGACCTTGACGAGTATCCGGTTCTTCAGCTCATCCGGTGATGGCAGAGTCAGTGCGTCATTCGTCAGCGGCTCCTCGACGAGCGCTCCTTTCCAGTACTTGAGCATGATGTCGACCATGGCCCTCTGCTGCTCCGGGTTGCAGTGCACCTCCAAAGACACGATGAGTGGGTAGCTCGATGAGTGGAAAGCGTACTTCCCGATGGTGGAGACACAGTCTTCGAAAGGCACTTTGGTCGACATGGTCCTTCCATGAGTAACCGTAGGTCGTCCACCCTCACCATCCCAGCAGTCAATCTCGATGCATCGGCACCCTTTGATCAATGCAGCTATGTAGCCTTCTACGCTTGATGCACCTGCAACCTGGCGGCCAAGGAGGTAGGTGTTGTGCGAGCTCGAGATGAAGTACTCATTCAGCGGCCGGTTCAGTGTTGGTTCGGCTTTGCTTCCAGGCACAGGCGAGTTGTAGCTCGAGGTCAAGAAGTTCTGGAACCCTTGCATGTTCATCGTCCTCTCTCCCGGTACGGGGACGGCATCTGGCAAAGACGACTTGCTCGGCGCCACGCGTGAAAACCGTTCGAACACCCCTTCCCAATGCGCGCGTTCTTTTTCGACATTGATCTTCTGATCATTCGACAAGAAGGCGAGAAAATCATCAAGCCGCACATCGTTGTCGGTGCCACAACTGATGTTGGTGAAGAGGTTCTGGATGTCCTTACGCTCCTTAAAGGAGTTGACGAAGTCCATGTATTGCGTGTAGTTCAGCGAGCCGGTGTTGCGGCTGTCCGAGCGCATAAAGTGCGTTTTCACCGCGGAATTGCTGCAGTTGATCTCAAGTCGGGCGCATAACCATGTCGCGTCCTCGAGTGTGAAGCAGTCTTCGCCAGTGGGGCCCTGTCGATTCGGCCGGGTCATGGTCTTTGTCCATGCGATGGCCATGCCTCGCTCGCTTTTCTCGGGCGAGGAAGTCAGGGCGCTCATGATCTCCGTCCGCTCTCTCGTGACGTTGCCTAGTGCCTCCGTCCAATAGTCGACGATCATCTTGGAATCCATGATGAGATGCATGGTTTTGATCGTTCGTCCTTTGGATCGTTCCGGTGGCTCGTATACGATCGTCACCCAACGGCTCTCATGCTCGTCCGGAATCTTAGCATCGTCTCGTGCATTCCTCGATTCAGCGCCGACACGGACATCACGGACATCGTCAATGAAGAAGGATTTGGATGGGTTGGTCGAATGCCAACATACTCGTGCCGAGTTTGGATCAAGCCAAATCCTAATCCGTTTCTTCTTGTTCTTGTTCGAATGTTTGGTCACCCACGTGCCTGCGCGGAGAATGGCAGAGACCGCTGGTGCCACCCGGTTCTCGGAGCCAGCTGAAGCATTGCTTGGGCGTCCTATGCTAATACCCAGGCCATTTGGCGGTTCTCGGGGCGGGATGGTGTAAGGCTCCTCTACTTTCTCCTCAGTGGTGTTGTCCAGTTCAAGATCTGACATGTCTTGTCCCACTTCGGACGTTGTGTTGCTGTCGCTACGTCTCCTGACAAGCACGGGACCGGCGCTCTGATCTCGCATGCGGAGTGAATGTTGATGTGAAGTTCGCCGCCGCAGCCTGTCGTGCGCACCCCTCGATATTCTCCTGATCAACCCTGGGCTCCTACTCGCACTGATCGCCTCGGCCATCGCTCCTCCTGCAACGCTTCGATTGTGTGGAGATGGTGATCGATCGGACCATGCGCGGTGTGGGACTGCGGAAGCGACACCGTTCAACGATGGCGAAGAATATGGTTGCGGTGAACCAGTTCGTTCGCGAGAGTCCGATATGGGGATCGATTTCGCTTTGATCGGGTGGAAAGGGCGTGACGGACTGGCGTGTCGCGACGAAGTCGTCGCACTCGAGGCCGCGGAGGCCGGGGTTACTGTCATCGCAACTGATGTATCGATGGTTGTTGACACGCCTGGAGTTTGTGGAGAGCTCGGAGTTGTAGTCGAGCGACCTGGTCTTGAGGAGACATCTTGTGTTGCTTCTCGTGGTATAGGCGGATTGGACGGAAGGTTCATTGCCAATCTTGTATGGAATCGGAAGAGCGTCTAGTTGGTCTCGTGCTGCGCATGCATGATGAACCGCTTCGAGTTGCTCCAATGGCAGGATTGTCGCACCACTGTGGCTTGCTCAGAGGAGGGCGAGTGGGAAGGCAACCTTGTGTAACGGAGCTGTCGCGCCCGCCTGCTGGGTCGCGAGGTATCTGCCTCGCCGGGCTCTCGGCAAATCGGATTGTAACTGGCTCTTGCAGTTGGTTTGATTATGTTATGCGCGCCGCGACAAGCTGGGTCGAACCTGCCGTCCCCAGTTGCTGATGTAGTAAGTACTCTTTCTCTGCGTCGACGATCGCGAGTCGTGGCCCCAATCAAGCTCTCTCTGTCGGCGGACTGCAAAGGCTGCGCCCAGCGTGTTCGTGCAGGCGACAAATCAGTATTGGGTAAGCTGCAGGTGTGGAAGGACCGGGGGGAACAGCGCAGCGTGGGGTTTGCAGGAAGGAGCGTGATCGTGGTAGCGGTGGGTTTGGTAAGAATAGTTGTCTCGCTGGTGGTTGAACAGTGACAAGGAATGACTACGGTGAGGTATGGCGGTCGTGTGAGTGGACGGACGGACTGACAAGCGCAAGGAGAAGAGCCGACGTCGCGATAGGAAAAAAAGTCTCTCCTCGTGTCCCTGAGCAGCCGTGGCAGCAAGGCCCGGTTTGGGGGTAGCCTGCAGATCATGCAACGGTTAGGAACTTTGACAGCACACAACGCAGCAATTTCGGTTTCGACAGGCATGAAGCGATGACTCGATGCCGCCTCCTTCGAACGAATGACTTGCAGCCAGCAGCGCTCCATTCCCACCGTCTTGGGACAGCACCCGTGCTTCACCGCGCGCAGATTGCGAGATGCGAGATGCGACGTTTCGAACATACGTCACGGTTTTAGGTCAATTTTAGAACCTTGGAACATTCCTGCACTTCGGGACCGTTGCGAGGCTGGCGTTGAAACCTTCCTGTCCAGCACCTCGACAGGTCGGACACGCGGCAGCGCATGTCGTCGTCGTCGTTCTGGTCTCGTAAGCAGATACACCAATGGATGGCGCGACCGGTCACGAGGCTTCCCGCGTTGGTTGCGAGCTGCATGCGCAAAACAAGGCAGGCCGCAGGAGACATGATGGAGCTCTCGCATGAGCTGCTGCAGACACGGCGCGGACGGCGTGGGCGGGTAGGGTTCTCTCCTTTCGCACCGTTGGAAGCCGGAGGCATCCGCACTTGGCGCCAGGTTCTCCTTGAAAGGCCTCCCGCCCCCTTCATGCCCAACGATACTCCGCGCGTCATTGACTGCGAATTGCGGCACAAATTCATCCTAGCAAGCTGATACCCAAAGGGACAAGCTGCTGTCGTATCAGAGCTGCTCGTGGGCAGGTCTCCAGTCACAGCAACCCCTCCAACAGAGACCAAACATGGGGGCCAATCCTGCACCTGCACTAATCTCATCTACCGACCGGCAGCAGGTAGGCGAGGGTCGAGATTGCGCCATGCTGGCCACGATTCCAGCAGAATGGAATGCGCACGGGGCTGTTGTGCGACCATTCTTCAGCCCTTTCGAGCGCTTTCCGTCGCAGATGTTGCTATACTTGCTTCACCGTCCGTTGATACTGAAGATGTGGGGTGTCGCATTTCGTTGGTCTCAGAATACGACCTGATACTTCATCCTTCGTCTCGTCCGCTTTTGGGATGGGCCTGCTGGACAGCTCGAAAGCGAAGTGCAGCGCCGCGGCCAGCTTACACCGCCTGTTTCGTCGTATCGGAATGCGCGGAACACGAGCGACCAGTAGATGTGGTCAATTGAATGTTGAAGTCCTAATTCGACAGCAGTGGTGGGAGGTACTTGATCGTGACAAGGACTTGGTCGGTTTGAAGTTGTCAACCGTACGGCTGCTCACTCTACCATCTTATCCTTCTCAAGATGAGAGTGATATTGCATTGTAAGGTCAATAGAAGTCGTGAATATCATAAGATGATGTTAATCTTTACTATTCTGTAGACCTAAGGAAGGCACACGGACCTCCTCCAATTCAGACCTCACGTCTTCGCTACGGCTTGCCCACATGTCAAAGCAAAGGACTTCCAGTACCAGCATCGACATTGCTGGTATCCCACTGAAGGACACAATGACCACGTCAGACCACCAGCTCCAAGCTCGCATGCATGGAGCCTTCATGGAAGCCTTCCTTCGCGTCGTACGACAGCCCACATGCTGTGTAACAGAAGGTACATCTGATACAGCACACTCCATCCAAACAGGCATTGCCGCAACATGATCAACATCGCAGCTCGTGCTCGGCCTCCGCCGCATCCTACTATGTCCGCCCCTGCGCATCCAGCAACGGCCTTGGAAGTGACCGCGCAGCAAACACAGCCTCAAACGCCGCCATGAATCCTACAAGTGGGTCAGCAGGCTACATCACAACTCGTTCATATCAACTCACTTAACAGCAATCCTTCCTGGCCCCTCTTCGCAGCAGCGCATAGCCCGAACGGCCGGGCATTGACGTCGCTATATTTGACCGTGCCGAGCGGCATGCACGCAATCGGGCAGCCTGCAGATTCATGCACGTCAGCTCTGCAGAGGGAAACGCACCCCACGACTTCAGCAGCGGGGTGAGGTCCGCGGCTGATTTTGGCGGTGATGCGATTACGAACCTATAGCTGTCGTGTACATGCACAGCGGACTATCAGCGAGAGCGACGACGATGTCTACGTCTTTGAATAGCCGGCCCAGGCCGTTCTCGCCCCGCGCTCGCAGTTCGGCTAGCATTGCTGCGCATTCTTCTTCGGTGGTGCTGTTTGCTTGGAGGTCATGCAGCTCGGATTGCGATGGGTGTTCTGGAACAATATCAGCCCTCAAGCTCTTCCGTTCAGGCGACCTCACACTGTTTTTACCGGACGGAAGGCACAGCGAAGCGTTTCGCTCGTTGAAGTCGATAATATCGCCGATGGAGCGTACCTCACAGTCCTCGAGCTCGTCTAGAAACGCTTGCAACGTTTTATTGCGCAGTTGGTGGACTGTTTCGGATCAGTACACATAACGAAGGAGATGGAGCTACACCACTTACAAGCTATCCCGTAAAAAGGACTCTTGCCATCTATGGTGAAGGCTTCCCATGCTGATGGTAGGTCTACATTTTCTTGCACCTCTGCACCGTTCTCCCTGATCGTCTTGATTGCGGTCGAGTACGCTTTCTCCTGTAGGTAAATAAGTCGTTGCCGCATCGAGAAGTCAAGTGTATTCTCCCACCATCTGCCTTCTCGTATCACGTGGCCAGTTGCAGATGTCATCCGGCAGTCGCCACTCCTTCACATTGCAAAAGCCGACACGAACACCGTCAAACCCTCCCTCAATACTAAAAGGCTCAGACCTCTGCATCAGCGCCGCAGTCAGCATACTCAAGTCCTCCACGCTCTTCGCCATTCCACCGATGAAGTCAATACAATCAGTATAATGAAACACTCCCTCAACATCAACCACATCCAGCCCGCACTTCAACGCATACAAGCCCGCTCGATTAGCAGGCGTGATCAGACTCCCACAGCACTCAGACCCCACACTCAACGGCGCAAAGCCAGCTGCAACAGCTGCCGCCGAACCAGACGAGCTGCCACCAATCGAAGAATGCCCAAGTAATTTATCGCTCGGATCCAGTCCGCCAAAGATATAAGGCGACTGCGTCTCCCCCCCCATCGGCGACCAGCCTGGCGTGATGCCTTTGTACTTCAGCCCACAGAATTCTGTCAAATTCGTTGTCCCAAGAATGATAAGCCCAGAGTCGATCAGATGCCGGATGACAGGAGCAGTCCGCTTCGCCTTCGCCGACCGGAAACACGGCGCACCTGCTGTTGTCGGCAGATCTAAGTCTCGCGTGAGGAAGAGGTCTTTGATCACGATCGGGATGCCGTGGAGCGGGCCTCGGAGAGCAGAGTTTTGGCGTTCAGCGTCCAGTTTGCGGGCTAGGGCGAGGAGCTTTTCGCGTGGAGCTACGCTGATCATGGCGTTGAGGTGGAGACCCTGGTGATTGTGCGCTTCGATCTGGTCGAGGTAGGCTGATATGAGCGCGACGGATGTTGTGGCGCCCGTGTGGAGGAGATGTCGCGCTTCTGAGGCAGTCAAGGTGAGCAGGTCGGGTCCTGTGGACGTGGCCATTGTCTGCTGGTTGATCAAACGTTTGCAGCGTCAGCAACGCGTCGTTTTGCTTCGAAGACAGTCGACTTTGGACCTTGGGGAGCTTGGCCGTCTGTCACGGTCCAGTACTTCTTTGTCAAATATCCTTAGCCGCAGGCGCCCGAGTCCGCGCACGCAAAGTCTTGGCGGGCTGCTCTCATGTGCGGCGACACTTCATTCAAGGCATTCTCATAGCCAGAGATTAGTAGTAGAAACTCAATACCAGAATTGGTCCGACGGGCTGTCAAGACAGCTTCGCTCATTTATCACAGCATTCGCTAAACGTGCAACCAGCCGTGTGGCCTTAATATTGTCAGCAAGACCATTCTCTCGCAGAAAACGTAGACGAGGCAGATACTCACTCAATAACATGCATCTCGTCAACAAGACACATCTTCCCAGCTTCACTGTGCCCTTCTCTCTCCCATGTTCCCACTTCTCTCGCCACCTTCCGACTCACCACCTCACCCCAGGTAACCCACCTCCTCAACCTATTCTCCCACAACCCCACAGCAACTCTCATCAACCCGATCCAAGTATCTCCGCCCGCAGGGTGCACGGCATCATAATTCATCTGGCATAAACCCTTGAAGACGTCCCAGTCAAGTTTGAACTTTGCTTTCTCCGGCTTGTGCAGGTCGGCGTGGCAGTAGCCGACTCGTACGTTTGGGTTGATCCAGACGCCCAAGGAGGATGAGAGTGGGTTGTCGGCATGTATGAGGCAGCATTCTGAGCCCTCGATGTGGTGGGCTGCGAGCGTGTCTGGGACCCCGCGGAAGCGCAGCCGAGTGGTGGGGCTGTAGAAAGGGCTGGCTGGCATTGCTACGATGCCTGCGGGAGGAACGGTGGTGTCAGGTTACAGCTAGATAGAAGTGGCGAGGATGAACTTACCGTTCCAGCAGCTTCGTACAGGAACTGGGTCGTTCACCATGGCCGCGTCTCTCGAAGCAGCAGAGCGAAAGAAAGGCCAAGTCTGCATCAAAGCCGGATACCCTTCGCTGTCTCGCAAAGCAAAGGTGTCGTAAAAGGCCGGCGGCGACTCAAAGTCCAGCGAGCAGGCTGCTGCATACTTCCCATCCTTTGTCTGAAGCAGGTTCAGCACATCGTCCGCAGAGAAGACGACGTCGTTCAAGAATAGCACCCTGTCGAACTTCTCTCCCTTCTTACCCAGCTCTACCAGCGGTTCGAGCGCCTTATTCCGCAGCTGGGCCAGATAGTGGATCCTTCTCAAAGCATAGTCGCCTTGATGGATGTCAAACTTCTCAAACCCAGTCTGCTGTATCTTGATCCAGCCCTCCTGAGGCGTGGTCGGCCGTGCTTTGACGATGTCCTCATGGCTCGTCTCATCTAGCACAAATTTAGTCCGGACGCCAAGTTCATCTAACTCGCGATGCAAGTCCCGGAGAGCGTCTTTGGTGCCGTCGTATGAACCGTTCTCGTAGATGGAGATGAAGACGTTCGATATGCCAAGAGCGTGGACCACGTCGCGGATTTGGTTGATGAGGTGAGTGCGGAGGATGATCTCGTTGTTCCAGGGCAGGCCGGCTATGAAGACCTTCTCCGTAGATGCACGTCTTGGGGCAAGGGGCTCGTTGGCGCTCAAGTTGCGGTGGATATACGAAGCTTCCAAGAGGGTCCAGACGATGAAGATGAGAATGGCTACGCGGAGGATGCGGGATCTTAGGAGGTGGCGAGAAGGTCGGAAGAGCATTACGGCAGGTCTTCGAGTCTCTCCATGAGCAGTATACAGAAGTCAGTGTCGGCTTTGGCTGGGGACTGCAGTAATGATATGGACTGATGGTGTGTGTCAAGAAAGTCCGGAAGGGGTGCAATCGTAATATTGGAAGCGGCCTGCCGGCGTCTCCTTAGATGTCCGGGTGGTCGGTATGGCGGTCCGGGTACTATGTGCCCCGTCCTTTCAAATGGCTTCTACAGTAGGAGACGTGGTAAAAATTGGAATGTCTTGAGTGGATAAGTATCGCACTTGTACTGGTCGAGAGGTGAGGTCAAAGCGCTCGATCTCACCCTGTCCTTGTGCTCCTCCAACAACTCCTCGCCTTCCATATCCTTACACTGCCTAATGTACGCCAGACGATTGTACGTTAGACACACATAGCACAAGAGGTAAGTTCGGGTCTGCCACATTATGCCGTGTGCAGTCAATGCAGCGAGGCAGTCAAGCACGGGTCAGGAAAGCCCAACGTCATGTCGAGAGCTCTCGAGGTCTTTCCGCTGCGTGCCGTATCCTACAATGGCTTGAGACTCCGTACGCGATCCACGATTGAACTGGAAATATGCCAACTGCTGTGGTGACGGGAGCGAATAGCGGCATAGGGAATGCTTTTGCACAAATACTGATCAGCGAAGTACGTACTATTCCTCCCTTTAAACAAACCGTAGACGTCGTCTGACCGTTACTACTCCAGGGCTACGATGTCCACGCAGCAGACATCGAGATTGGCGCCGCCCTCCAGTCGCTACAATGCCGCCTCCATAAGCTCGACGTCAGCTCGCCCGACTCCATATCAGCCTTCGCTGCGCAACTCCAAGACAAACCAATCGATGTTCTTCTCAATGTGGCAGGCGTAATGGCGCCGCGAGAACAAGACGCAATGGACACAGTCAACATCAACGTTCTGGAGAAGATTTTTGCTGTCAATACCTACGGACCATTACTGCTCACGCAATCACTCCTGCCCAATTTACTGGCTTCTCCTGGCAGTGCGGTGGGCATTGTGAGCAGTCGGGTTGGCAGCATTGGGGATAATTCTACAGGTGGGACCTATGCATACCGGGCGAGCAAGGCTGCGGTGAACTCCATTGGGAAGAGCATGGCTATGGAGCTGAGGGACAAGGGCGTCACAGTGTCATTGCTACATCCGGGATTCGTGATCTCGAACTTGAACACTGGATCTGAGCCGCATCCCGAGAGTGTGATGCCGGACGAGGCTGCAGGGAAGCTATGGAAAGTCATGAGCAGCAAGGGTATTGAAGACACTGGCAAGTTCTGGCATCGAGAGGGCTTCGAACTGCCGTGGTGATGTTGGACGAAGTAGGCATGAATGAGTATGCCTGCCCGTGCGTTCGAGCTGGCTGTTATGCCGCCCTCGCGGCTGAGACGGGACGGATTGAAGCTGTCACGACGCCGTTGGTTTGTACTGCAAGTAACGTACTATAATGAACAGCCTGTATACCCAATATCCCATCCGAATACTCCGTACCTACACGTGTTCATGGCTTGGTGTGCATTGGCAGCTGATCGTTGTATCGTTGTACTCGCGAAATTCACTTGGCGCCGACCAACTTGGCTTCCAGGTTTCTCCCGTCTTCCCCAAGAACCCAATCCTTCATTGACTTCCACACCCGCATCCATCACACCCCCAAGCCTAGATATCTAGCCAAGCTCAGCAGAGAGCTAGGCAAAGGTAGGTGGTCTCGGCCATTCTATTGATCTCTTGTGTGTCCGCGTCATGTTGTTTGTTATATGTGAACGTCTCCCGCTTGCAATGGCTTAAGGTAAAGCGGCGATGGAGGGCCCAATCAATGTCGCGCGAGAACAGTATGAGCCCTTGAGCGAAGAGGAGATCAACGCATTCTTCGACGACCTTGACACGGACAAAGATGGCTCGATCACGTTTGAGGAGCTAGAAGCGAAGCTCCATCATGTGCACAAAGAGCTGGCGCCTGATCCGAAGAAGCACCACCTCATCCACCCAGCGAGAAGGGATCTAGAAAAGGGCAAAGGACACAGCGGCGATGGTCTGCACGACTTCCTGTGTAGCCTACTGCCGGAATGCCAGTCCAGCATTAACAGGACAGACTTTGTCGAACGCGTAAAGACTTGGAAAGTTCCAAGCCAGAAGCAGACGGACAGCAAAGAGCAAGATGACAAAGACACTGCTGAGGAGCGCCGTATGCCATGGAGAAGACGGATAAGAGCATACTGGACTGTCCATGGCCCGGTATATTGCTTTATGGCCTTCGTGGTCGCACTCCAAATCGCCTTTGGCGTCTGGCAGATGGTCATGTACATCCAGAATCCGGTGGCTCGAGCAGCGTTTGGCTGGGGCGTTATTGTGGCCAAAGTCGCTGCTGGTGTACTTTTTCCGACGCTGTTCTTCATGTTGTTGAGCATGAGCAGGCACTTCTCGACCTTTCTGAGGAGGAGCTACATCATCAGCCGCTTCATCAACTGGGACTTGAGCCAGGCGTTTCACATCCGGATGAGTCTCTGTGGCCTGTTCTTCGCCAGCTTGCATGCGATCGGGCATTTGACCGGGACATTCTTGACTGGGTCGCGTGCTGGGCGACAGGACGCTGTTGCGACGGCTCTGGGCCCAGGTGCAGTGCCACGGCCTTATACGGCATACGTATCTAGCTTGCCTGGCTGGACTGGACTCACAGCGCTCGGGCTGTTCTGGGTAATCAGTCTGATGAGCGTGCCCTTCATTCGGACCAAGAGCTACGAGCTGTTCCAGCTGGCGCATCTTCTCATGTTCCCAATGATTGGTTTACTTTGTGCTCATGGGACCGCTGCGCTCTTGCAGACACCTATGCTCGGGTACTGGCTAGCGTTCCCAGCATTGTTGGTCTTGTTCGAAAGGTCCTGGCGGTTAATTAAGGGCTTCATGAGCATACCAGCAAGAGGGAGAATTCTAGACAGCGATACGGTAGAGATTACCTGTAAACACCCGCAGGGCAAGGACTGGCACTATTCCGCTGGGCAGTACGTCCTCCTGCAAGTGCCCAAGATCTCATGGTTCCAGTGGCACCCCTTTACCATCTCATCCTGCCGTGGCAACATCCTGAAAGTCCACATCAAACTTGACGGCGATTGGACGAACAAGCTGGCAGAAGTTCTACCAACGGACGAGGACTTCCGAGTAGGCATAGACGGTCCTTTCGGCGCCCCGGCGCAACGCTTCTACGACTACGACTACTCTATAATCGTCGGCGGCGGTATCGGCATCACACCCTTCTCCGCCATCCTAACAAACCTCGAAGAGAGCTTCCTCACCGAACGCGACCCATGGGCAGAACGCAGACGCTCCCGCTCCCTCTCTCGGCCCAGCTCCCGCCGAAGCAGCAAGGTCGCCTCCGACAGCGAGCCCGAGCAAATGTCGGCGTCCCAACTCCCACGCCACGGCAATCCCGACCGCCGCGTCGACTTCCACTGGACCGTCAGAGAAAAGAACCAACTCCTCTGGTTCTCCGACCTCCTCAATCGGGCCATCGACGGCGTCTACCCCCTCGCCAAAAACGGCAACCTCGAGCTCAACATCAACACCCACATCACCGCCAAGCGGAAGAACATCAGCACACACATCTTCCGGTACTTGCTAGATTCGTACCGTACGCCTGCGGCCCCTTACTCGGCTCTGACGGGGCTGAAGCAGCCTTCGCATTTCGGACGGCCGGATTTCGATGCGGTTTTGGAGAGGCATTTTTTGGAGCTGGTGGAGAATGGGGTTAGGGAGAAGAAGATTGGGGTTTTCGTAGGTGTTCCTTCGTGGATCTGTTTTGCGCACGTGCTGATGATGGTGGTGTAGTACTGTGGAACGCCTATCGTAGGCGAGATCCTATCGGACAAGTGTCACATGTTGACGGCAAAGGCGAGGGCGATGGGGCTCAGGATTCGATACGACTTCTTGATCGAGGTGTTTGGATAGTAGTACGAGGAGCGGTGGAGGAACGGTGGAGTGATGCCAAGTACATCTGCTCTGCGTGCAAGGCAACCTGGAACTGCCGCTTGAGGCAAGCCGGACAAGAAGCCGTGAGCATTGTTGGCTCGACAAGTCGCCTGGGTGTGCCGGCCACGTGATCGTCGACGTGCAGGACTCCTTCGCGTCGTATGTGGAGCCGACGAGAATGAGCAGGAAGTAGATGTGGGACGGTTGAGCGGACGTGAAACCGAAGTGCTCCATCATTTTCGGCAGAGCCGTGAGGATCAAGAGGTGAGAGAAGGCGCGGCGAAGAATCTACCGTTGAGATGATTCTAGGAGACGCTTCTATCTGTCTGCTATATCCCATCATCAACAAGTCCGTCCATCAGACCAGGCCGTATGTCTCATCGAAGTCGCTCTTCTATCATCTATGCGACTCTTATCTCGTTTCTGCTTTGGCCCCATAGGCCAGTGGTATCTGTTAATGATATATTCCTCCCATTGCGCCTTCGAAATGCAAAACGCCGCCCATCAAAATGTTGTGCACAAATTTTCGGTAGTAAAGAAAGAGGTTGAAGGTGACCATCACTCAGCGAGCTCCATCGGATTCTCCCTGATGATCGGAGGAGGGCTCATGAGGGCGTCGTCGACAGCGGAGCCGCTAAGCTTGTGAGTCGTGAGGTCCAAATCGTTCTTGAAGGCCTTCTTCCGCTCGCGTTCGATGCCATGGTTCACCGCGTCAAGCACATTGTCGACGGTCGCCTTGGGGGTGAACTTGGGCTTGGTGCCTTCTTGGAACACGCCAGTGCGGACGAGGATGGAGTACCAGGTGTTCTCTGACTCCTTGTTGAACTCGTTGGTGCCTCGGATGTCCGACTCGGGCGTGTCGCCAACGAAGTAGACCGTCTCCGGGGGTGCGTCGATGCCGTGGGTGTCCTTGCGCCATTGCTGCAGGAGCCGTGTGGCGAACTGGAAGGTGCCGACTTGAGGTTTGCCGAACGCGGTGGTTTGCAGCTCCTTGCCGGTGACAGCCTTGTACATAGCTTCGAGGGAGAGGCGGAGGGCACCCATACCCAGACGTGTTAAGTCATGGGAAGCGGACCAGATCACGTCGTTGTGCGAGAAGAAGACGGGTGGGCCCTCGTCAAAGGTCTCCGAGCGGCTGCCAAGATATCCTCCCTTCGACATGAGCAGGTCCAGAATGATCTGCTGGTCGCCGGCCCAGTCCCGGCTATCCGCGAAGACGAAGATGGCTTCGATCTTCACTTCAGCGTAGTTGCGAATCCGGGAGTTCTCGTGCTCCTCCTTCGTGAGCTTCCGGAAAGGCGTGGTGTCTGGGTTGTCCTTGATGATGTCTCCAGGCGTAACCACATCCTTGAACCCGTAGCCTTCTGCGACCTGCCGGCACTTCTCGCCCTCTCCTCCTACAACCAAGACAGTGTTGTACTTCTCCGCCATCTCTCGCATTGGTGTGTGACCGCAGATGAACTGGCCGGGAGACACCTCCATCTCAAGTTGCTTGCTCAGTTGAATACACCGCTCTTGCTCGGTCTTGCCGCCGCCGTTGGTTACGAAGATGTAGGGACTGGCAAATCTGTCAGCACCATTTCGCGACGGCTGGTTCAGCAACCACTTACATCTTGATACCGTAAGGATTCTGGCCATTCAGCACCTTCATCGCCTCGACAGCCTCAGGAATAGGCCTCCCGCCCCGAATCAAGACCCCATCGATATCGAAAGCGTAAGCGTATTTGTCGGTTGTGGTGGTCTCCTTGGGCGATCCAGGAGTCGAAGTAGGCGAAGAATAGTTCTCCAGCTCATGCCTTGCAAGCTCCATGGCCGCCGCAGTCTCATGGGCGTTGCTCGATGCCATAAGATGCTGTGGAGGCACCACCACGGTGGGCGACCGGTGGTCGAGAGAGGTTTGTGTGGCATCCTGGGAGCTGAGCCGCCGCAGTGTCCTGCTTGGACGCGGGACGAGTAAAGACGTTGAAGACATGGTCGTGCCGGACGGTGGCATATAGCGAAGAGAAAGAAAGGAACACTCGTCGTTCGGGAGAGAGAGGCGCACGCAGGGACAAGTTGAACCGTGGGGATGTACAAGTCAGGGTGGGTACATGGCACGTCTTATAAACACTCGGGGAGACGGACATACCTCACCACTTACATTTCTAACCGCGTTACTTCGTCGGTTGCCTCAGTGGCTTCAGCAGGCAAATGCTCGATCCCTACGGACTCGATGAGTGTGAGTGTGGATACAGCCGCCCCACCAGAAATTCCCTAACGCTGGCTCACCAGTGGTCCGTATCTTATCGTCCGACCGAGCACAAAGCCGACTGCAAGCTTACTCGGACTGGTGAGCGTCGTCTAGGTTGGCGTTCGGACCATGAGAAGTAAGAAGAGAAAGATCCTTCCAGTCAACGAATCAAACAAAGGCGGCCATGGCTCCTCAGAAGCTTCCGCCGTCATTCGTTTGGGTTGCCGTTGTCGTCCGAAAGGTCCCTCATCCAACCAAGAGGACGAGCTGCAGGCGACTCCCCACTACATGAAATGACGCACTGTGAATCGGCCGGTCCAGCGCATATATTATTCACACCTCGTGTTTCGTTGGAGTACAGAGTCTCTGTCAGATCATGATTTTCAGGTACGACAGGAGCGTCTACCTAGGCAACCGATCGTTCCTGCGTGCAAAAGGCCTTGAACGTATTGCCGACTACGAGAAATTCGGTGGTGGCCAAAAAACCTAGAGTCGGCAGTTTTTCGATTTTGCAATTTTGCCTCCACAGGCCACGTGAGGCACGTGCAAAAATAGCGCCGACGACAATTAACTTCTCGCTCACCAGCCTAGGTTCTTCTTGCATCTGATAATTGAATGACCATGCACGGCGTTCCGCACAAGGCCAGCTCATCGACCTCGTGTGCTAAGGCTGCGTTTTCACATGTCAAATTGGCTTCCTTCGCATTCCCTAGCCGCCGTTTCATCGCGCCACTAGCAATGCAAGAAGTGCCGCCTTGAGCTGAGGAGCAGACGGCACGACGGCACCATGTGGCATGGAGGATGTGAGCAACACCACCCCCCGCGCGCATGGCGCAGCCCCAGGCTAGACCATGCCCTTGTGGTGCATACAGCGTCATCGTCTTATCTTCGAAGCTTGCTCCGCGGTGCTTGCTTGCTTAATCGGAGGTCTAGGTCGTCGCTGGCTGGTCGGTATTGCGTCCTGCAGCCCATTCGAAGGTACGCCATTGCAACCACAGCACAATGTGAGGTGCATTGCGGCGTGTGAGACGTCACCATGCGCTTGCCTGGGTATATGCTGTGCTTGCTTATTGCGCGATTTCTAGCAAGCTGCTTTGGTGATGGTTGAAGAGCATGGTATCGCAGCCGGCCAGAGGATGCATACGTCCCGCTGGGTGTGCGTCGCCGGGAGTACGGGCAGGGAGGCCGTTGCATCGTGAGACAATTGTCCTGTGGTGTGGACCATGTTGTGCATGTGAAGGTCGCAGTTGCCTCGTGCAATCCGAGGTAGGTCACGTGGTTGGCTCTATTTCGACCTCACGTCTTCTCTCGCACCATCAAAGAACGTTGTGACAAGAAAACTGTTCGATTTGTATATGCCTCGCCGTGGGTCACGATGGACTGGACTGGAGGGACCAGGAAACGCTTCGCCGCCGGCCGCAATAACGCAACCATACAAAAGCAAAAGGCGCACTTTGCAAAAGCACGCGCCGCGTTACACGCTACACCGAACTCGCAGCGCAGCTTCAGACCAATCTTCGAACGCGAGATAACGTTATCGACTGGGCTTAAAGCTGTGGAACATAGTCCTACGTTGCGCAGCCTAAACAATACCCCTGAGCTTCGGGAGCATGGAAAGCACCGCGATACCAGAGGCCATGGCTCTGCCCATACTCCATCCACTGCACAACATCACAACTCTGGTCATGCCGCGCGCTCGGAAGGTTTTCGACGGCCTGCCGGCAGGCCTATCCGCAGCCTGGCGGCCGTCCGCTCACGCACCTCGAGCCGACTTGCGCCAGACGTTGCCGCCCGTCGGGATCAAGCGCCTGGAGCGATACGGACTGAGGGTAGGACGGATGAGGAGACGCTACTTCTCGTACGTCGAAGACAGCTGCTGCGTCGGCCGGACTGGCTTGGCCTGTCCATGAAGCGCCATGCGGACGTTTCGTACGCATCTTCAATCGACAATGAACATGTTGGGAAGCGCAGGAAGGTCAAAAGATCAGCTCTGCGTAACGCTATTACAGCCACGAACTCTCAAGATCTGCTACTGCCACAGCGCGAAGTTGTTCGAGAGGACATGATGAGCGGAGCACTCCCGTCTGGTCACATCGAAGTGAAGATTGGCACGGATGCGTTTGCAACCCACACCCAGCCTTCGTGCCGATCACAAACCCCTGGACACACCAGTATGAGACAGCCATCTACAGACGTGGCGCTACTCTCGGAGGAATCGATGCTTCTTGAGGACGATGGCGGCATGTGGGAGGGCCTAACCGTTTTGACGAGCGTACCGTTCAACAATACGTCGCCCGAAGTACAAACCATGGTTGCTGAAACTTCACCCATGAGTGAAATGCTGGAATACCTGCAACATGTCCCTCAGGACGCCATCATGCAGGGTACACTAGGCCCGGCCAGGATGTACGAGAATGAAGATGACAAGGAGCGGGAGCTGGGTGTAACGGTTCCAGGATCCGCGTTCTCTGTGATACCAGAATCTACAGACGAAAACGTCGTTGTGCCGACATTCGGTCGGCGATCAGCGGGAGAAACCTTCGAACCAAGTCGAGCGAGCATCCGTGCGTCTGAAGCAGGTACAGAATTTGTAGATGATCGTGTGCAGCCCGTCGAACAGGACGAAGAGAAGTGGAGACGGCTTGCGGGCATTAAATGTCATGCTGGGTCCAGCCATACATCGATGGCGGCAGTGGGGTCGTCGAGCCAACATCTGACCGCTTCTGATCACAGTGCAAAAGAACGAGTGGTGCTTGAGCCGGTCAGGGATGATGCACCACAGCCGTCCTGGTCTACTCCCAGAGGTGCCGGGACACAAGCCTCTATACTTCACCAAAGGCAAGCGGTCGTTGATAGCTGGGCTGGCTCACCGAGCCATGCTCCGCCAGGCTCACCTTCTGCCTCCCTTCAGCAGATCATGCAACTTGCCGAACAGCCAGTGATACGGAGTAAGCCCCAAGAAGAAGTGAGGGATGATGATGCGCTATGGAAGTCCTTCATTATCGGCAGTCAGAGCAGTTCAGTTGAGTCGTCACCGAGAGTCGTTCCGAATGCCATGCAGGTGTACCGTGAGGGGAGTATGGAGCTGTGTGGCCCGCCATCACCTTCCGCCGCAATCAGTGGCTTTGGGACGTCTGACCATTCGACGACGGGCGATACCGGTGGCCTCGATGTAGCATCGACAACCGCTCCTGCCACCAAAACTTCGTCCCCTGCACGGCAAAATCGCCGGCGTCGACGCTCTCGACTCAGTGCAGTCTTAGACGACTTGTCAATGACGCGGGACCTCTCCTTCGAGAACGATGACATCGAAGATAATCACCACGAATTAGCTGAACCTCTGCGACCAGGCAACATTCATGCTGGAGCAGCAAACGTACTGAATCCCAAACGCTTCAGAAAGCCGCAGAGGCCGCCTCCCTCCGTGCCAGTGAGGCCAGCGATACGCCGCACTAAGCGGAATGCAACGAGGTCGGACGTTACGAGGGCGAGGTCTGTGTACGACTTGGTAGATAGCGATGGGAGGAGTATCACTTGAAGGAGTGGCACGTGATTGATATGGGCACCACAGCACTGCATGTAACTTTGAGCAGCCTTCTCTGGCGGGTATCAGTCATTAGCTGTACTATCATCAGCAATTTTCGCAAATAATGCTTTCACACGTTTCGAGACGTAGCGGAACCTTCCCCACGTAGGATTCATCTCTTTATCGACGAAGGATCACGAACGTCCTAACGAATCCTTCAGGATGATGAGGCGGCTGCTATGAACAGGCCAGTATTTGAGTGGGAAAGAAAACTCCTCGCTCACCCTCTCGACTGAACCATCTACACCTTTTCGTCCGCGCAAAAATGTGGTTCTTCAACTTGTCAGCGGTCTCGTTCAGTTCTACACTTCTCTCCGCCATCGCCGTAGCAGCTCCCTCCGATCCCCCCAAGCCCTCCAAGCCCTCGACTGAAACACCAGCCAAGCCAGATTTCCCGGTGACCGCCTGGCTCCACGAAAACGACGACTGCTCCAAACAAATAGCCTACGTCCACCCTCTTCTCCACGCGCCTGCTGTCTGCATGCCCATCCCTGGCACCAACAGCTTCAGCGCCGGGACGAACGGGCCAAACTGCACTCTCACGTACTACGGGACCGGTTTCTGCTTCAACGAACTGGGAAGTGTTGAGGTTGGGCCGAACAGTATGTTCTACCAGTCAGACTGTGTGTTTCTGTGCTTACTTGTTCACAGCGCCCGATTGCCATGCCGTGCCGTACTCCTTGAGCTATACGCTCAAATGTGGTTGATCGTTGCTGGCGCGCCAGAGTGGCCACGTACAGGCTCGGCCAACTGGACGATCTGGTGCACGACTGACAGCAGAGCGCGAGCGGCGAGTTGGTCGAGGACATGAAGCGACAAGATCAGCGCATTCGGATTGCGATCCGTTACCTTCCCGCCGTCAATGTACATAGGAAGTCACTAAGAGGATTAACCGTCGAAGTTCTCTAACGTTTCCTCGTCGTCGACGTGCTGAGTTGTGCTCGCATCTGAATTTCTAGAAATAAAAATCATCATTTCCAACGTCGCCCGCGGTCTTGATATTGGTGCTGAGCGCCTTCAGCGCAGCGTTCCTTGATGCAATCGACGGACTCAGTTACAGCTGCTGCCACGTGAGACGGGACGGTAGTAAGAATGGCCATTGACCAGACAACACCAGTCATACATACTGATAAGTCAATATTGTGATCGAGGAAGCAACACGGAAGGGATATGAGCCCAAGTTTTGTTGCAATCCTGTACATTTGTTTGTGACTCATTGCCTAACGCCTCGCTAATCTGTCAATCAAAAGCACCAGCGGACCAAGCAATCTTCCATACATGTACCCAATCAAACCTTCCTGGAGAATCTCGAAAGGAACCCGCTCTTGCCTTCCTTCTCAACCACCTCTCCATCGACGACCGCAAAGCGCTTGAACTTCCGTGGTGGAACACCAGCAGCGTAGAGCTTCTCGAGGTCGGTGTAGGTCCGATTCTTCGTCTCAGGCTGGAAGAAGTACAGCCCGGCCATGATGAAGAGTTCGGCGCCGACGAACAGGAACATCACACGGCCGCCCCAGTTGAGCTGATCGGGGTTGATGAAGAACGGGAAGACTGAGCTCAGCATGAGAGCGGTAAGCTGCTGGCAGACCAGAACCAGAGATATCGTTTTCGGCCTGGTCGCTTGCGAGGATGACTCTTGAGCCACCGCCCAGCCGTAGCAGCCCACGGTGGATGTGTAGAGCATGCTCCAGGTGATCATGAAAGCGAGAAGGGCCATGTTGGCGGCGTTGTTGGTGGTGGAAGCCATGCTCGTGCCGGCGATGATGACAGACCAGAACATGAGGATGGTACCGCCACCGATCAGACCCTTCCTGCGCGGGATGACGTCCGAGAGACACACAGCGACCAAGTTGGACAGGAACTGCAGAGTTGACGAGATTGCCGTGAGTCCGAAAGGGTCGCTTTGGCCGATGAGCTCGAAGTAGTAGGTCTGGTAGGTGTTGGCAAAGTAGCCACCGGAGAAGTTCTGACTTTGAAGTCCCAGAACAGCAACGAATGTTCGTGAGCGATGCTCCTTGGAGAAGATGGCGCGCCAGCTGGTTTGGCTGATCTTCGAGTTCTCTTCGTCTTCGGTCTGCTTCAGCTCATGCTTGATCTTCTCAATCCGGACTTCAATATCAGTGTCGGAGCCAAATAGCTTGAGAGCAGCCTTGCGCGCGTCAGCCTCACGACCCTTCTTCATGTACCAGACGGGAGATTCCGGGAAGAATGGCAACCCGATGAGGTACAGCGCTGGGACGACGAAGGTCATGCAGAAGGCCAGCCTAAAGGACCAGACTCCATGAATGTGCGAGGCGCCGTAGCCAGTCAAGGAGGACATGAAGAAGCCGAGGACAATGACGACGTTGGTGAGCGAAGAGGCGGTGCTTCGAAGTGCTGCCGGTGCGTTCTCAGTAACGTAAAGCGGTGGAGTAGCGGTGCTGAGTCCAATGCTGACACCGAGGAGGAGCTTCGAGACGAACAGAACTGGCAGGTCGGGAGCGAAGACGAGGGCCTGGTCTTTGTTAGCAGAGTCATGTGCAGGCCATGATGAGCAGACTCACGAAGGAGGAAGCCAAGCTGAGGATGACAGCTGTGTACAGCAAGAACTTGCGGCCCAGCATATCGGCGAACTGGCCAGCTGCGTAGCCGCCGAAGACTTGACCGATCGTACTGGCGGCGTTCCACAGTGATTGCCATAAGGCTGGGATGACAAATTGGTCGCCCTTTGCATAGTAATGCCCGTAGTACTCTCTGAACTCAGGGAAAGCTGCGGAAGGGTTAGCCCATGCCTGTGTAGATTGGGACGATCCGAGCAGACTTACCAATCGCCACACCACTGAGACCGTTGTCGAAACCCCAGCCAAACACCAGGAGCATCGTGTACAACGTCCAAATGCAGAAGCGTTTGTCTGCCTTGATGGCCGCCCATAGCTTGCGATACTGCTCCTTAGCAGAAAGATCGGTGACCTGGCGGACTTCTTCCTGAACAGAAGCTCGTCGTGCCTCTGCCGTCGAAGAAGACATCGTGTCGGTCTCGACGTGGACGGCTTTCTCGTTCTCAGCCGCGCCCTCGACGGACTGTATGGAAGACTTGCGATCCATTGCGATGGATGGTGTTGATGAAGGAAGATCGGAGACTGTGTGAATGTGATGACCTGGTTTGGTGGTGATGGACGATCAGGAATTGATGGTCAGACCCATCATACTTAAGTGTTTGTGCCATGGGGATCTCCCCATACGTCCCCCGAAGTCGTTGGTAGATGGAGATCGAGAGCGCGTGGCGATGGAGGTTTGTCGGTCGTTGACTCGTCGAAACCTTCCACTTCGCGTTAGAGGTCTGCGGACACCCTTCGGCGATACACTTGAAGAGGCAGTAGTGGCTGCTCATCTTCCCGCCAGCCATCTTGCTTCACCGAAGCGGCCTCTGATGCTTCTTGTCCCTGCAGTTCCCCCAGGCTCTGGGCCGGCGGTATTAGCAGTCTGCCGCGTTCGACGGCATCTGATGGGTATACATGTAAGTTGCATCTCTTCAGTCCTTCTTGACCCCAATCGGTCCTTCTTCTTCGCTCTTCCGCACAATGGCATCTCTTCACGACTCGAGATCATCATCTCCTGCTCTCTCTCCTATATCGACTCCCCCATCGAGCCCTCCGGAGCTTGACACGACATCCACAGTTGATGACAAGTTGACGCCGTCGAGCACGACCGACTACGCAAGATGGCGGCCGTCGTTTCACCTCATGCCGGAGTCTGGCTGGATGAACGACCCATGCGCGCCTGGCTATGATCCTAGCACTGGCAACTACTTGGTGTCCTTCCAATGGAACCCGAAAGGCCCAGACTGGGGCGAGATATGTTGGGGCACAGCCATCTCTAAAGATATGTGTAACTGGACGCTGCTGGAGAAGCCAACACTTTGCCCTGATACTCGCTACGATGGTGAGGGCGTGTTCACTGGCTGTCTTATTCCAACTTGCGAGGACGAAGGCGGTGAGGAACTCACAGTAGCATATACGTCTGTGAGCCACTTGCCAATACACCACACGCTTCCGCACGTGCGTGGCTCCGAAAGCCTTAGTCTGGCCAGATCTGTCGACGGTGGCAAGACGTGGAGTAAGCTCGCGGCCAACCCCACCATGCCATCAGAACCTATAGAGCTGGATGTTACTGGCTGGCGCGATCCTTTTGTCTCCCGCTGGCCGAGCATGGCACGAACATTGAATCTCGACAGCGACAAGACTCTGTTCGGCATCATCTCCGGTGGCATCAGAGATTTGACGCCCTGCACATTCGTCTATGCGATTGATGCGAGCGATCTCACGAACTGGCGATACATAGGACCGCTGGTCGACGTCGGCTTGAACAAACGACTCTCGCGTTGGTCTGGTGACCTGGGCCTGAATTGGGAGGTCACGAATTTCATGACCCTACATGACAACAGCTTACCCTCAATGTCACGAGACTTTCTGGTAATGGGTACGGAAGGGTGCCTACCAGCAGAGCGTTCAGGTGAAGATAATAGGACTGTCGCCTCGTCGCTTCCGCGCCCAGAGCGAGGCCAGCTCTGGATGTCCGGCACTCTACGAAAGAACAGCCTCTCCACAGCGCCAGTAGAGATGACCTACGACTTCGGCGGCCATCTCGACCATGGATGCCTGTACGCCGCGAACTCGTTCCACGACCCTCAATCTCAGAAGCAAGTAGTTTGGGGCTGGATCCCGGAGGACGACCTCTGCGACGACCTTCGGCACAGACAGGGCTGGAGCGGCATGTTGTCTCTACCTCGAGAGCTGCGACTGCAGACCATTCGGCATGTCGTGCATGCTTCAGCATCGCACTTGGTTGATCTCACGAGCTTCGAGAAGGAGCAGGATGAGTTTGGGACGTACACACTGGGAACGCTTGGGAGCGAACCACTAAGCACGGTGCAGCGTGCATTAAGAGAAGCTGACGGCGTGACAACTGCACATCTTACAAGTAAAGCATTGTACGAGGAAGGGCGCTTTGCTTCTTTCACCACGAATGACATTCTTACGACTCGCTGGGAGCTTCGTTGTTCGATACGCTTGTCCAGCAGTTGCAGAGCCACGGGCTTCACGATAGGGCACTCAGCAGATTTCACCAAAGCAACGACCCTCACCTTCGAGCCTGCGAAAGAGACAATCACGATCAACAGGCCGTCGTTCTCACGTCCGGAGCTCGTCAACAGCTCGCCCGAAGTAGCGCCCCATACGCTCTTCACCACCAGAATTCCGGCGAGTGGACGAGAGGAGACAGAGACGCTGGACATTCAGGTTTGGAGGGACAACTCGGTCATGGAGGTGTTTGTCAATGGGAGGACAGCCATCAGCACGCGACTTTACGCTGCTGAAGAGACATACGGCATCCGCTTCTTTGCTGAAGATGGGACAGTAGACGATCGGTCGGCGTTGGTGGATGCAACGCTTTGGGATGGGATTGGAACGTCGATCGTCCAGGGGTAGACAACGGGACTTCGTCCAGTCGAAATTGAACAGGAATGAATGCAAGTGGTTGAGACTGGAAGGAGTTGTCGACCGGTGCAATCCATACCGCATCTCTTGGCATCCGGTGGTTTTCGTCCGGAGCCTTGCTAGACGTGCGGCATCGAAGCACCGCAAGCTCCTACACATTCAGTGGAAACAACAACAATCTCTCTAATCTTACCGCACGTTCATGATGCCTATCAGGGTCAGCATATTCACTATGGCTTATATAGTATTCGATCGACTGCATTCCATGATGAACAGCAACTTTCTCACATTGTCAAGCTTCCGATCATGCCATCTCTACCCTGGAAGAAGTCCCGATCGTCCACCTTGACCGAGAAACAATCAAAAGACGTCGTTGACCACCACGATCAACCGACCGACAACAAAGACACCACCACCCCCTCCGACGCACCCTCCTCTCCCTCAGAAACCACCCGCCCAACGGGCCTCCGCCTCATCCTCCTCTTCCTCTCCCTATCCCTAGCCGTCCTCCTCTGCGCCCTCGACGGCACCATAATCGCCACCGCCATCCCAACCATCACCGCCCACTTCGACAGCCTCGACGACTACTCCTGGTACAACTCCGCCTTCCTCCTGACCACATGCGCCTTCCAACTCCCCTTCGGACGGGCCTACAGTCTCGTATCGACTAAGTGGACTTTCGTGTTCGCGATTGTGGTGTTTGAGGTCGGGTCGGCTATTTCTGGTGCGGCGCCGACGAGTCTGGCGCTGATTGTGGGGAGGGCGGTGCAGGGGTTGGGGTGTAGTGGGATTTTTGGGGGGGCGTTTGTTATTATTGCTGAGACGACGCCTTTGGACAAGAGGGCGTTGTTTAATGGGTTTCTTGGTGGTATGTTCGGGATCGCGTCGGTGGTAGGGCCGTTGATGGGGGGAGCGTTGACTGATAGGGTCTCGTGGCGGTGGTGCTTTTACAGTAGGTCTCGAACCTCGCAGGACCTCTGATGCTATTGACGATGCTGACGATGAACAATAGTAAATCTACCCTTAGGAGCAGTGACGCTCTTCGTCGTCGCCCTCTTCCTCCCTCCAATCGGCAACGCCAAAGGACCTATCAAAAAGGACGGCCAAACCTGGTTCCAAGTCTTGCTTCGATTCGATCCCATTGGAACACTGATCCTCGTTCCATCAATCATCTCCCTTCTTCTCGCGCTGCAATGGGGTGGCATTACATACGCCTGGAGCGATCCAGTCATGATCGGCCTTCTGGTCTGCTTTGGGGTGAGCATCCTGATGTGGGTAGCTGTGCAGTGGTGGATGGGCGACGACGCCACGATCCCTGGCAAGGTCATCAAGCAGCGTACTGTCATCTTTGCCTCCGGATACATGCTTTTCGGAGCGGCGGCATTCATGGTCGCTGTGTACTACCTCCCGGTCTGGTAAGGTTTCTTGCTGCTCTTTGTTCGTAAAAGCAGATCGCTAATCTGTATTGTCATTGCAGGTTCCAAGCCATCAAAGGAGCATCGGCAGTCCAGTCCGGCATCAACAGCCTCGCGCTCATCCTCGCAGTCGTGATCGCCTCGATCGCGGCCGGCGGTGCCGTGGTGCTCATTGGATACTACGTCCCCTTCCTTCTGCTCGGGACTATCTGCATGTCCGTTGGCGCTGGTCTACTCATGACTCTCACACCGAGTTCTGGCAAAGGAGCCTGGATCGGATATCAAATCCTGTTCGGCGCCGGCATTGGCATGAGTCTCGAGCAATGCAGTATTGCCGTCCAGACCGTATTGCCGGAGCATCTGGTGGCTTCGGGAACTAGCCTGGCAGTGTTCGCTCGGTCATTCGGCGGCAGCATCTCTATCGCCATTGCAGAAAACGTGTTCCAGCAAGAGCTGCGCGAACGGTTGGCCAACACAGTACCCGGGCTGAACCTGGAAGTGATCAGTGGGAGCGGTGCGACAGATTTGGTTGCTGATGTGACGAAGGCGACGGATGGCAATCAGCGGATCGTTGACGAGGTCCTGAGGGAATACAGCGGCGCTTTGACGCAGACATTCCTTGTTGCTGTTGTGTTGAGCGCCTTGACTGGGCTGTTCGCGCTTGGTGTAGAATGGAAAAGCGTGAAGAAGGATAAGAAGAACAAGAAGGAGGGCGAGGATGATAGCAAGGCTGACGATGAGGCAGACGCTGGCCAGAAAACAGATGATGAGAAGAAGGGGGATGCTGAAGAGTGAGGAGAAGCTAGCGAGGACAACGATAGAACGGATGAGATGTAGGGCTTACCGGACACTGTCGAGGTGGCGGCGTGGCAGATATACTTGTAACAAAGGAGATCGTCTTTCGCTCAACGTATATATCACCCTCGCCTGGACTGTGTCAAGAACGCATGTTCCGCCAGAGAACTCTCGGCACGATACCGTAAAGTCGAGATACGTACGAATGCGCAATACAGCCCTCCAATGTGTACCATGGTGGTATGCACTCATATCTTCACCATGCTCAAAGTGAACGCCGGAGAGAATGGATGGAGATGGCGTGATCTTGATGAGTGTAAGGAGTAGTGTAAAGTTGGAGAGCATGTGAAGAGAGATCGACAGGTACAAGCGTCATGGACAGCCAACGCTCAAACAATTTGAGACAATCAGTTAACGAAGAGCGCACGAAGAACATACATAGCTAATACCTAACAACCTCGTAAAAGGTGTAACTGATTCCGTCCGTTCCTTCGAATTTCGGCGTAGAGACAATTCCAACAATGTCCACCCAAACCCTCCTCCGCACCCTAACAGCCCTCACCACCATCAACCTAGCCCTCTCAGGTGCCCACCTCCCTCCCCACAACCACCTCCCCTTTCCATCGCCAATCCCTACTAACCCTCCCCAGGCACAATCCACTACAACACGAATTCCAAACTAGAGCGCAACCACGAAGAAGCCGAAGCCCGCGCAGACGAAATCGAAGGCACGCTGCGCGGGCACATCGGCCTGATCGAGGAGAGTCTGGAGCGGCTGGAGGGGAAGGGGGGTGGGGGGTGGGGGCAGGGGATGGGGCAGAAGACGGAGGAGATGTACTCGAGTAGAGGGAGGGATGGGAAATAGGAAGAAGCTGTGGTGGCGAAATCTGAAGCTGTTTGTATGTGTTCTATAGAAGCTGGGAAAAACGGTCCAACGCTGTCGTGGTATCTTTATTGTTTCTTCGAGCAGAAGATGCCGACCGGGTAGGCTACAGTCATTAGGAGGACTGAGAGGCTGACCATCCTGTGAAATCGTTAGCTCGTCCTCCTCCATCACCAACATCGTATTGGAAGACTTACGCAGAATCCAGTATCAAAAACGCCACCTCATCCTGCATCCGCGGACTGCCCCAACCCCCAGACATCTCGGGAATCCTGTAAATACACCTGATGAAAATCGCCATAAACGCCCCCGCCAGCGCAAAACAGCTAAACTTGAACCACGCCCTGCCGCCCTTGACATCCCTCGTGCTCGGCCCCTGGTCCACATCCCCCATCGTCTTCCTCCGCCGCGACTTCAGACTCCGCCACCCGAAATCCGCGGCCAGACAGATACACACAAACATCGTCGCCACCTGGAACGCAATCCCGGCCACAATCACATGGTTTCCGACATCGATCAGGGCGGTGTTATTCGAGGCCGCGATCCCCCCGCCGACGGCTTGCAGGATGATGGAAAAGAAGTCGCAGCTCACGAAGATCCAGGGGTAGAGACGTGGTTTGAGCCGGGAGTTTTCTGGCCCGAGGAAGTTGACGAGGTGTTTGAGGGTCAGGTAGAGACCGGCGGCGAGGAAGGAGGGCGCGATGACGATGCAGATGATTTGGATCTTGAAGCCGTTGCTGTCCCAGGCGTTGTAGTGCAGCATGATGCGGCCGCCGTAGCCGACGGCTTCGAGGGCGGAGCCGAAGGAGATGGCTATGGCGAAGCTGGGGCTTGTCAGTATTGACTTCCTATGCCATGCAATGGCGATGCTGGGTGGGAGATTGGTTGTACGTACCCCCGAATCTTATACTTCAACCCAGCAACCGCCTGCACGACCGCGCACGCGGCGAAGATGACGAGGAACAGCACATCCGCCGCCAGATTGGGCGCGTAGCCGTACGTTGTCGCTTCGACGGGGCATTGCGGCGACACTTCTGTGCAGAGTTCGTATGCTCGCTGTGGCATCTTGAAGCAAATATTACCCTCTCAATCCCAATCCTGAATCGTAGCCGTGGAAGAGAAGATGAAAGGTCGCAAGCAAGCAGCAGCTCTCCGAGTTCTAGACGCATGGACTCGAATCCTTATTAAAGTCATCATCGCTTGGATAATAGTGAGATGCACCGGCCCACGGCGTGGCGAGCAAGGGAGGGATGGCATGCGAGTGGACATGCCAATCTCGCGCTTGTGCTCTTTCCAGTTTAGCAAGCCTTCCAAGATCCTTCTAAAATGTTCTAAACGATGGCTCGCTTAGACGGCCGGGACGTCGCTGTTCCGTCCTGCAACGGCTTTTCTGCAACGGCTTTTTCGGGGAGAAACGTCTAACGAACGCCTTGGGGGTGCTGTATGAGGAAGATGGGCACGACGGGCTTACGGTGTGTTGATGAGATTCGCGGGGGTTTCTGTGGTTGATTCGCAGGATTGAGTGGTTGCAGCGCAGAACATCGACGACAGGCGGCAGTGAGCGTGAGACGAGCGGGAGAGGACTGGCATTGCGATGCCGTAGACCGTCTACTTCTACCACGACAGCGTAGTTTCGCAGGATATACCACTAACGCATGTCCATTACCGGGACGAAGACTATGCCTTGATACGGTGCTCTAACAATCCCCAAAAGGCCGTATGACACTTGTCAGACTCCTCGATCGCCATCTTTCTTCAAGATGCGATTCATCTCAGCGGCCGCGGAAGGACCAGCTTGCTTTCCACATATCCTTTTCGCCACAGCTCTCCCACACGCGGTTGGCGTTGACGTTGGCGGTCTTGCTTGCGTGAGGGGTGGGTGGGCTGCTTCTTCATGAACGTCTTTGAGTGTTATGATTATGTCGCCACCGATGTGACGGTTTCTGTGGGCGTGGACACAATCGGCGTCACCTCAGTCCGGCGTCGTTTTAGTCCGGCGGTTGGAGCATGCGCTTGTCCCTGAGCAGCATATCGACAGGCTCCGTCTTCATCGGGCCGGAAGTTGTTCACGCTGGTAGTCTCGTTCATCTCCACCCAGTGTCGACATTGGTGCTGTCAGTCAAAAGCAGAACTCTCAAACCCTCCACCCCAGCGCCAATCCCACATATCATCCCTTCATCCCCCACACCCAAACCCATCCCTTCACAGCCCCTCCAAATCCGGCATGACCCCCACCTCCCCCATCTCCCCCCCATCAAACAACCCCTGCAACCCCCAATCCCACCCCTCCACCCCCACATCCCCAAACCCGTACCAGTCCAAAGCACTATTAAACTCCACCTGCCTCTGCTCCAGCACCGCCACATCCACGAAAGTCCTCCGGTAATTGAGATACCATTCCCGCATCCTTGGACTCGCCCAAAGGACTCTGGAGGCGCCGCAGCGCTCGTCGGCGGCTGAGACGATTTCCTGTAGGCGGATGAGGGGAGGGAGGTAAGCGTCTATGCGCAGCGACTCCGGGTCGAGGAAAGCGCCGAAAGTGTTTCCCGGCGCGGAGGTGGCGATGTAGAGGCGCATGAGCAGGTACTGCGCGTACGCAACCCTCGAATGCACGAGGATGGCGGGCAGCGTGATGACGGTGGTGGTGTCGAAGGAGAGGAAGATGTCGAGGAGGGAGTGTGCGGCGTCTCGTAAGCTGGTGAGGGAGGCGATGTGGGAGGGTGTGACGAGGGGCATGGGGAAGTCGGTGACGGAGAGGCGTTCGGCGAGGTAAGGGGCCGTGAAGGAGCGCTTGTTGGTCGGGGTGTGCAGGACGGGTTCGTGGAGTTGGAGCGTGATGATGTGGCGCCAGAAGGTGGCGAAGGGGCCGGAGAGGTCGGGGAGGACCTGGGATTCGAAGTCGAGTGCTGCGCTTTGGAGTGCGAGACGGGTGGGTTGGACGGCGGGGTCGGAGACGCCTATGGCAGGGGTCTCGGCGTCGTAGCAGCCGGACTCCGAGGCGATGCGCTCGGTGAGCTTCTCCGCTTTGACGATGTGGCAGATGAGGCGCGTGCCTTCGCCGCCTTCTTTCCAGTAGTCGAGCATCTGCAGCGAGGACTCGTCGTGTTCGTCCCAGCGCAGGGAGTCCGGGGTGCGCATGAAGAGGCAGAGGGAGGTGGAGAGGATGCGGCAGACGAGCCAGTTGCGCCAGGCGGACTCGTTGTCGATGTCGCGGTGCGTGGAGTGCCAGTTGTTCTTCCCTTGAATTCCACGAATGGGACCGCCGAGGCCGAGTTCGGCGGCCATGTCGGAGGCGAGCTTCACGAGGTCGAAGATGGAGAAGTAGCCGCCGTAGGCGTGGTTCTTCGGGGCGCGGAACCAGAGGTAGATGATCTGGATGGCCTGCAGGATGGTGGTGGATTTCTGGTCGCCCTCGACGACGACTTTGGAGAGGATGTCGAACATGAGCTTCGCGACGTCTTCCTGGAGGTCGAGGTGCAGGACGGCGGAGCAGGAGGCGTAGAGGATGGCGATGAGGAGCATGGGGCGTTCGGCGCGCATGGAAGCGAAGTCCTTTTTGCCCCTGATGGGAACCAGGGGGAAACGAGGGAACATCTCTACGGTGTAGCGGTCGAGGAGTTTGCTCTGGGTGGCTTGCGGGATGATGGCGTCGAGGCGGGTGAACCAGTCTTCGGGGTTGGTGGTCAGTTCGTCTTCTCGCTCGGGGATGCCCTCTTCCAGTTTGCGTTTCTTGGGTCCTGCATTTCGGGGAGGAATAGAATTGGGTGAGCTCTCATTTGCGCTACTCCTGTCCCCGCCAGATTCGGGGGATGGTAAGTTGATGTTTTGAGATTCGAGCAGCCTCCTCAACTGCTCAACCTCTGCCTCAAGCTCCGCAACACGGTCCTTCTGCCGTTTGGGGGGAGTGACTTTGCACTCCTTGTCCAGACGAACGCATCGCTGGCACGGTCCCGTCCCGCCGACCTTGCCAAGCTCGCATTTGATCTTGATGGAGTGGCAGTTGTCGCAGGCGCGCGGGCGTTGGGCTGGAGGGGGCATGTTGGGTGGGGGAGAGGGTTGCACGCATCCGCTCCGCAACGATTAGGCAGGCTGCCGGGGAATAATAGGTTTTTGATAGAGACAGAGGGGGGAAATACACAGCCATGATCCAGCAAGCAACGTACAGGAAGCACTGACCCGCATTTTCGACGCTTTCCTACCTTGGGCCGTTGGATCGAGTCGACAAGAGCTCGAGCACGATGGGGATGGTCTTCCATCGTTCAGCGTTATAGACGGTGTTTGTCGGGCTGGTGGGAGTAGGAGGCAGGCAGTTTATATACATGATCTTGTGCAGCGTGCACTGTGCATCGGCCGGCGTTGCTGCACCGGACGCCCATGCACAATGGACGACCAGATTGAGGTGAACGAGCAGAGGCAAACACGTGCCGGCAGTTGAAGAGTCGAGCGAGAACCCCTCCATCGGGATCGACGGCGGCAGAAGGCACGATGGCGTGCGAGATCTTGCGAGAGCTTCAACACCACGGCAGTCTTGCCTCTCTGCCTTCCCATTCATCACGCTCCTCGGAGCACTTCCATCTCGTCGAACGACTTTTGACTGCTGACGTCGGGGAGTGCGTGACCGGCGAGCAATGGCGAGACCGTCTGGGCCCATCACGTGAAACGACCTCGAACCTCACCTCGAGATCAAGCTCTCTCTTCCATCTACCGCTGCCAAGCCGAGGCAAGGTCAGGCACATTCGTCCCAAGGCAATTGAAGACACCAACTCTCTTGTCGACAACGACAACGACGACGGAGAGACTGGACCATTCATTGTCTTCTCCCCATCGGAACCTAACATCGACCACGAATCCGGGCTTGGCAGCCTCGTTCTTGCATACCGCTCCACCCTGCATTGGCCCTACTAATCTTCCTTCCTTTCTTTCACTTCTGCTCCCACTCTATTGTATATACTCGACGATGCCACGGCCACACATCCCACACCACCTCTCTCTCCAACGCATCAAGAACCCCAACCCCAACAACCACAACAGCTCTGCCCCCAACCCGGCATCCGTTCCTTCAACACCGCCAGCACACAGCAGGAACCAAAGCCCGACCCGAAGTAGCAATGTAGCTGGTCCGACGTCCGCAGATGGAGCAGGGAGGGGCGGAGACCACAAGGGCATGGGCTTAGTCCTGCGGGTTCAGGTACAGAAGGCTCGCAATCTGGCCCCCAAGGACAAAAGTGGTACATCCGACCCCTACCTCATCTTGACGCTGGGAGAGTCAAAGGAGGCTACGAGTGTGGTCTCCAAGACGCTCAATCCCGAATGGAACCAGACCTTCGAGTTTCCAGTCACGACCGCCGACTCTGCACTGTTGGAAGTCATATGCTGGGACAAGGACCGCTTCAAGAAGGACTACATGGGTGATTTCGATGTCGTGCTGGAAGACGTCTTTCAGAACAGTCGGACGAGTCCTGAGCCTAGGTGGTTCAAGCTCGAGTCGAGGCGAGCTGGGAGGCGGAAGAAGAAGAGCGCGGAGGTGACGGGGGAGGTGCTGCTGAAGTTCACACTGTTCGATCCGGTGAACACTGCGGCGACGGAGCAGCAAATATTACAGAAGTTTTCGGGGGTTGTTGGCAGTGGAGGGGACGATGACGACGATGAGGATGACGACGAGTTGCTTAGCAGGCTTACCTCCCGGGAATTGGAGGATGTGGACGAAGAGGGCTCTGATGAAGAGGAGGACAAAGACTCGCCGGATGAGTCGGACTCTGGCATCAAGACTCCCGGAGACACAGTCGACGACAAGGCGCAGCGTCGGCGGGACAAGAAGATACGGAAGCTCAAGCGGAAGAACAAGTTGAAGGCATACGAGTTCAGCGGCATGTCGGACGTGGCGGGCGTGTTGTTCCTGGAGATCAATCGCATCACGGACCTGCCACCCGAGAAGAACAGTACCCGGACAACATTCGACATGGATCCGTTTGTCGTAACCTCGCTTGGCAAGAAAACGTACCGCACCCGAGTCGTCAACCACAACTTGAACCCCGTCTATGATGAAAAATTGGTCTTCCAGGTCCAGAAGCACGAGGCCCATTACCATCTCAGCTTTGCCGTCGTCGACCGCGACAAGTTCTCTGGCAACGACTTCGTCGGCACTGCCACCTTTCCAGTGGACAAGGTTGCCGAGCTGTCTCCCGAAGCCGACTCCGAGACTGGTTTATACAAGCTGCCGGACCCAGACACCGTCAGTGGAGACGACGTGATGCAAAGCCAGGACAACCTCAGCAAGCGGAAGAGGATGCGCTGGCCGTTGAGCAGGAGCTCCAGCCAAACCAACATGAGCCGGAACTCGAGCTCGAGCAACCTGCAGAAGCTGACGCGAACTACTAGCAGTAACTCGCTGAAGGGCGACCAGCTTTCGCCGGGAGGTGGAGGCGAAAGCCGGCCGATGCGTCCTGGTGTCCGCCGGATGGAGAGCGAGAATGATGTTTCTGACCAGCTCACCTCGCCGTCGTCTCAGCAGCAGCGTCCGGGCCCCACGAGCGCGCCGAGTTATGGATTTCCGAAAGCTACTGCCAACAATGACGCCAAGAACGGTCCTAGCGCCAATGGTGGTGTTGGCCAGAGCGAAGATCGCGACATGTACCCCTACGAGATCCCGCTGGAGCTGAAGAACAAGCAGCGTTGGCAGGACAAGCACAACCCGGTGTTGTACATCCGGGCCAAATATCTTCCGTACAGGGCGCTACGACAGCAGTTCTGGAGAGCGATGCTCAAACAGTACGATGCTGATGAGTCTGGGAAGATTGATAAAGTAGAGTTGACGACTATGCTTGACACGCTTGGCAGCACTCTGCACAACTCGACTATCGATGGCTTCTTTGCACGCTGGGCTGATGAGAATGAGAAGAGCGGTATTGCAACTGGTGGCGACAAGGGCGGAGTCATGACTATGGATCAGGCTGTCATCTGCCTGGAAGAGCAACTTACCAAGTCGAACGAGACGCAAAGTCACATGCATCGACCGCACTGGGATCGCTCCGAGTCCGCGTGGAGTACTGCCAACCAAAGTAGTGGCTTGTTGACCCCAGGACGGCAACACAGCAGTCCCGACGAGTCTCCCGGCGGCGGGACACCGTATCTCGCACCCGCAGATCACGGCAAAGATCGCAGCCCCAACACACCTGGCTCCCTCCCGTCCAACTTCAACCCCAGCTCCACCTCCATCCCCGCCCTCGAAGTCAGCGACGTCTCCGACTCCGACGCCCGCAGCGCCCTCCAACCCCAAGACGGCGCCCCCAAGGGTCCCGACAAGACTCCCGCCGCACCCAACCTCTCCCCTCAACTCTCCCGCTCCGACTCCTGGGGCCAAGACAGCGAAGCCGACCTCGCCGACGAAGCCGGCCGCGAAGAGCACGTCGTCGAGATCGCCGAGTGCCCGATCTGCCACATGCCGCGCCTGAACGCCCGGGGCAAGCGCGGCAAGAACGGCAAGCGGAAGCGGCAGACCACCGACGCGGATATTATTACGCATATTGCCACGTGTGCGAGTAGCGATTGGCGGGCGGTGAATAATTTGGTCATGGCGGGATTTGTTACCAGTTCGCAGGCGCAAAGGAAATGGTGAGTATTACACCTATGGTTCGATGTGAGATGGGAGGTGGGAGACGGGGAGGGTATTGTACTGACAGGACGATGCAACGCAGGTACAGCAAAGTCGTCACCAAAATCTCCTACGGCGGCTACCGCCTCGGGGCCAACAGCGCCAACATCCTGGTCCAAGACCGCATCACCGGCATGATCAACGAAGAACGCATGTCCGTCTACGTGCGCATCGGCATCCGCTTGCTCTACAAGGGCTTGAAGAGCAACAGCATGGAAGGCAGACGAAGTAGGTCCTCTCTCAACGACGGCCCGACATCATCCCCGCACACGACGCCGCCGGGCACCCCGACGCTCCCGCCGCTCTCACGCACGCAGTCGGCGGCGTCACAGGCGCGCAGGATGGTGTACGGTGTTAGCCGACTTTCAACCTCGGCCGCGCACAGCGTGACCTCAGGTTGGATTGTTTGCCCCGTTCCTTCCACCTTTTGTACAGTGTCGCGACGATGCGCTTTGATGCGACTAACCTGAGGAACATTCGCTGACGTTTTCCCTCCCCATCTAGTCCGCAAGCTCCTCCGCTCCATGTCCGTCAAGCAGGGCAAGAAATACGACGACCCGGCCAGCGCCTCCCAGATCGCCGGCTTCATCAACTTCCACCAGCTCGACATGTCCGAGGTCCTCCTCCCCACCGAATCCTTCAAGACCTTTAACCAATTCTTCTACCGCAAGCTCAAGCCCGACGCCCGCCCCTGCTCCGCCCCGGAGAACCCGCACATCATCGTCTCCCCCGCCGACTGCCGCAGCGTCGTCTTCAACCGCCTGGAGGAAGCCCAGCGCATCTGGGTCAAGGGGCGGGAATTCAGCGTCGAGCGCCTGCTCGGCGACGCGTATCCGGACGACGCGAAGCGCTACAAAGGCGGCGCGCTGGGGATTATGCGGTTGGCGCCGCAGGACTACCATCGCTTCCACATCCCCGTTGACGGCGTGATGCGCGAGCCTAAATTGATCGAGGGCGAGTACTACACCGTGAACCCGATGGCGATCCGCAGCGCGCTCGATGTCTACGGGGAGAATATTAGAGTGTGTGTGCCCATTGACTCGGTAGCGCATGGAAGAGTTATGGTGATTTGTGTCGGGGCGATGATGGTGGGGTCTACCGTTATTACGAGGAAGAATGGGGAAGAGGTTAAAAGGGCGGAGGAGCTGGGGTATTTTAAATTTGGCGGCAGTACGTTGTTGTTGCTGTTCGAGCCGGGCGTGATGCGGTTTGATGAGGATTTGGTCGCGAATGCTGGGGGGGCGTTGGAGACGTTGGTGAGTCTTAATTCCTTTTCCCCTCCCCCCTACTACCTCTACATCACCTCGGATGGACGTGTGGGTGGGTTTTGAGCGCAGTGCTGATGGTTGGTGGCGATCTAGATCCGCGTCGGCATGTCCATCGGCCACTCGCCGCAGCAGGAACCGCACCGCCCGGATATGCAGAAGGCCAATCCGACGGCGGAGGAGAAGCAGGAGGCGAAGCGCCGGATTGAAGGGAGTCTGGCGCCGAGTAAGGGGGTGGATGCTATGGCTATGGGGGGGATTTGATGGTACTTCCCTGTGTTCCTGCGGAGTTTTTGGTGGGGTGGTGACCTAGAAGAGACGGGTTATGTGGCGCGCGAACGAACAGACGATAGATGATGGTGATGTTGATGATGATGATGTTGTATCCTGGAGAAACGAACGAATGAATGCATGCATACGGGATTGGCTCTCAACGACTTCCCGATACGAGACGAGACGAGCGGAGGGGAGGACCTGTTGCAATACTTGGAGGCATGACTGACTGATGGGTTTGGGGCGAGCATTGGGGGGTTCTTGTCTGTCTGGCATGTGTTTGGTTCAGGAGACCTGGGTAGGATATGTGTGGTTGAAAAAGTTGTTCTTATCGGCTGCTGGTCGATATGCGCCGGCTGTTCTATTGTGTCCCTGAGGGTTTTTGTTTTGTCCCTTGAGATTTCTGCTCGGAGTTGCATTTTCAGATGGTTGCCCTGCAGACGATTATGGTTCTAGGCAACCGTTACCGATTCACTCCCCCGTATCTTAAGGTTGTCGTCGCGAACCGCTGCCCTGCTGCCGCCAGCCCACGGTGCAGCTCGACCAATTACATAATTTCGCACTCTCCCACTTCACTATCAGCTTCCCCAGCCTGCGAGATAAGCCCGCATACTTCGTCCACCCATACACCAGCATGATGCCAATCACTCCCGGTGGGAAAAGCATCGGCTGACGGCGATAGGCATTTTGCATGAGAGGGATTGAAAAGGCGAGCGCCGCGCCCTTGAGCGTTCTGAGGTTGAGATGGATCTTCGATGCCCGCCGCTACTCTTGTGAATAAGAACAAGAAGAAGGGTGTGAGCGTGACCGAGAGAGCTTTGTTGAGCTTCGAGGAGGGAGAGAACTCCGCTTCTTCTGCTTCATCTTCATCTTCTTCGTCTGAGTGCCGTGACGAGGCGAGACGAGGTTTGGTGGTTTCTGAACTCGAGCCGTTGTTGTTTCGGAGCAAGACGACCCGCGAATCTGGGTGCTTCGAAGCGATCATGGAGAAGGTTAAGAATAGCAAGATGGCGTACTATGCGGACAAGTTGGCTGTGGAAAGCGAGCCGGGTCTTACGAACACTCAGGTACGTGGTCGTGTCCCATTGTAGACAGACGCTTGCTCACTGATATACTGTAGTTGATGCTCGCCAACTACGACCTCGCCCCCGTCGAGCCCGCGCGCCGCCAATGGCGCGGCCGCAACTTCGTCGCCTTCTGGATCGCCGACTCCTTCAACATCAACACCTGGATGATCGCGTCGGCCAGCATCCTCGACGGGCTGTCGTGGTGGCAGGCCTGGCTGTGCGTGTGGATCGGGTACGCGATCGCGGGCTGCTTCATCTGCCTCACCGGACGCATTGGCGCGACGTATCATATTTCGTTCCCTGTGGTGAACAGGGCGTCGTTTGGGATCTGGGGGAGTCTGTGGCCGGTGCTGAATCGGGCGGCGATGGCGTGTATCTGGTATGGGGTGCAGAGTTGGATTGGTGGGAACTGTGTGAGGTTGATGATTAGGGCGATCTGGCCTTCGTGGGATGATTATGAGACTGGGGGATCGAAGAATACTATGCCGGCATCTTCGGGGACGAATACGCGCGACTTTGTGTCGTTCTTCCTGTTTTGGGTCGGGTCGCTGCCGTTTTTGTGGTTCCCGGTGCATAAGTGAGTTGTCTTTCGATGCTGGTCATGGTCCGGTAGCTGACTGTCGATGTCTAGAATCCGCCACTTGTTCACCGTCAAGGCCTACGTTGTTCCGACCGCTGGCGTTGCATTCTTCATCTGGGCGATTGTGCGCGCCAATGGCATTGGGCCCATTGTCCATCAAGGAGCGAAAGCGGAAGGCAGTGAGCTGGCATGGGCCGTCATCAAAGGGTGCGTGACCTCCCAACGTGTCTCTGCATCACATACTGATCCTCCCCAGAATCATGAGCTCCATCGCCAACTTCGCAACCTTGATCGTCAACGACCCCGACTTTGCCCGTTTCGCCCGCCGGCCCAAGGACGCGCTCTGGTCCCAACTCTTGACCATCCCCTGCGGCTTTGCATTGACCAGCTTTATCGGCATCATCGTCTCTTCCAGCTCCACCGTCATCTTCGGCGACCCCATCTGGAATCCCCTCGACCTCCTCCAAGCATTCCTGGACGAGAAAAACGTCGGCGGCGCAACCCGCTTCGGCGTCTTCGTCATCGCGGCAGCCTTCGTCCTGGCCCAGCTCGGAACCAACATCGCCGCCAACAGCGTCTCCGCCGGCACGGACATGACCGCCCTCCTGCCGCGCTACCTCAACATCCGCCGTGGCTCGTACATCTGCGCTATCGTCGGCATAGTAATGTGTCCGTGGCACTTACTGGAGAGCAGCAACGACTTTACCACCTACCTCTCGGCCTACAGCGTCTTCCTGTCGTCGATTGCCGGCGTCATGATCTCGGATTACTACTTTGTGCGCAGAGGGTACCTGCAGACGCGCGATCTGTACTCGGCGCAGAAGACGGGGCCTTATTACTACACGTTCGGTATCCATTGGCGAGGCTACGTGGCGTACATCTGCGGCATCCTGATCAACGTCGTCGGGTTCGCTGGGGCGGTTGGGACGCCTGTGCCGATTGGAGCTACTTACAGTACGCCAACTTCCCTTTTCCTCACTGTATGCCTACAGCTAACGAGATACCAGTCTACAACCTCAATTTCTTCTGCGGCTTCATCGTGTCCTCGGGGATCTACTGGCTGCTCTGCAAATTCTTCCCTATCCCTGCTACGAGCGATGTGTGGCACGAGGTTGATGAAGACGCTACGGGGAGGAACAACAGTTTGGTCTATGGCGTTGACTCGTACGACTCGGAGTATGGGGTACCGCATGAGGATGTCAAGGGGACGCCGAAGTCGGATTGAGGGAGGCTGGTGTGATGAGGTTATGATTTTATGAATTCTTTTAAGCAAGAACAGCAATGCAACGCTGATGACGAATGGAAACCCTCAAATTTTCGCTTTTGTCTGACGACAAATGTTGTCAACCAAAACCCACGATGACCGCATTTCTTGCTCGTTGCACTGTGAACAACACCGAACGCTCCGTCACATCCTTGTCGTCTTCTACATGACATCTGCCGTCCTGTCCCTACTATCCGCCAGCCATTGCTCCAACTTCACCCCATCTCTGGGAGCAAGATACACCTGAAACGGCTTCGGCTGCGTCACCATACTCGTAGGAACCGCATTACATTCAATGGTATCCAGTTCCGGCCGCATGGTCGGAATGGTCGTGGGTTTGACACGGAAAGCAAGAATGAGGCGCGTGAAGATGGCGTATAGCTGGCGATTGGCGAGGTGGGCACCTATGCACATGCGCGTGCCAGCGCCGTAGGCAAAGTGCTGCGTCCCGCCACCGGTCTCGGATACACCGACGAAGCGGTCGGGCACGAAGTCCATGGGAGACTTGAAGTGTTTGGGGTCATGGTTTGCGGCCCACATGTTCTGAAGGGCGAGGTTAGAGTGATGGTTTGGGGTACGTCGGTGCAGACGACTTGCCATGAAGAAAGGGGTCCCGGCCGGGATCTCGGCGCCGTTGTAGTGGACTGGCTTGATGCTCTGACGGGTGAACGACATGTTGAGCGTCGACCAGTAGCGGAGAACTTCCTGCAGCAATGTCAGCTTGCTCTTCTAGCGCTATGAGGTGCAAACATGCCTTCACGAAGGATTGCATAAATTCTGACTTTTCTTCAAGCAGACACATCTCCCAAGGATCTTCTCCATCGTATGCACGCATGATGTCGGCGTAAGCACGTTCTTGAACTTCTTGGCCGTGTTCGGACGATAGATAAGCGATCGTCATGTTGATGTTGCCAGGTAGGGTGTCTAAACCAGCGGCCACCATAGTCAAAGCGACGGTCTTGAGCTCATCTAGACGGAGGGTAAGCGTTGTTCCGACTCTCACTAATGCCGTGAGTGCATACCTTGATTCAATCCAGCTTCAGGATCCTTGATCACATTGCCGGCGATGCACGGGTTATCTGTTCCCGCACGGATCCTCTCTTGCAGCTTTGAATAGAACTGGAGGATATAGCTGTCACGGCGGGCTCGGTACTCAATGGCGTTCTTCTTGTAGCCGGGGAAGAGTCGCAGTAAGGGTACGTAGTCTTGCCAACAGTGCGCCACGCCACGGAGGTTCCCCAGCTCTCGCTCGACAGCTACAACCTCCCAGAGTAGTTTGTCATTCACAGTCCCTTCGATCCGGAAACCGAACGCAAGTGTCAGACTAATGTTCAGCGAGAGGCGTTGGAAGTAGCCATTTGGATCCAAATCGCTTCCGCCACGCCCTACGTTCTCGAATAGCTCTGCAAACGCCCTGGTGATCTCGAGGTCGATCAGCGGCAGATAGCTTTGAGTCGCACGCCGATTGAGAGCTGTGGCAGCCGCTTTCCTGGCCTTTTTCACCGAGTCATTCCAGGGCGATGTGCCCAAGGTGAAGACGCCTTGAGTCTGTGAGACAACATTGTGAAATGTCCAGAAACGAGGGCGAGAGACGAGAGCTGCTTGATTGCCAATCCAAAGCTCTTTGACCGAATCGAAGTCGTTAGCATACACGATCCTCTACATACGTACCGTCGTCAGTACGGCTGAACACTGGGAAGAAGCGACAGGTGCATACACGATTTCCTAGACGGACTTGGAAGACAGGCCCAAACTGCTTGGCTAGACAGGCACAGTTTCGTGCATGGTGTTTTCCTAAGAGGAACAGGCTGCCGAACATCGGCACACCTGGGAGTTCAGGCAAGCCTTTGATCTTGGAAATATCTGTGCTGCAGAGAAGCCGACACGCCAGTGATCCCACAGCCAGAAAGACTGCAAAGATGAGGAAGCCCGACATGGTAGAATCGTCAAGGGCAGAAACGAAGACCATGATCTGTAGCCGCGTCGGGTTGCTGTCCTTCGAGCGACTGCCATCGCGGAAGGCAACGCCATTCCAGCGACGAGCCCTGCTTTGTATACTCCAGCCATGTCACGATGTAGCTCGTGGGGTAGTTGAGCGGGGATGCTCACCCAAAGACGGTACGTCGTGACTTTCGACAGCCGCATACAGATCTCCTTCCACTTTGGGTTCTGGAACCTTGGCTGGCCCTTCACACCACCTACCACCCAAGCTAATAGAGAAGGATCGAGATATCCATCTTGCCGATTATCTGCTCGCTTCAACAGTTCGGCATAAACGAGAAGTGGGCAGCCGATGAGACTGGCGATCTCCCACACAGTCTTCACGGAACCGCTATTCGCCAATAGCTGCAACATGGCTACACTCAGTTGACTCGTCCTCCTGTGTCCTCGTGAGCAAAGTGAAAGCATTCAGTCTAAAACTGATCCCTGCCACCACGTGCATCAAGGAGCTCATACTTTTGGCCTCCTCTGCTGCAGTGACATGGTGGCTCTTCTACACACCCACAGGCTCAGGCCGTCAATGCAGCGCTGTTATGATCGCTCGGACACCTCGTGCAGTCGCAGGCAGTTCTGCGAGTTTGGTAGCCATTGCTTCCAGCGTTCCGGGACTCACAGATGCTGGCATGGTGCCAAAATCATGTTGATGCAGATATATGCGAGGCGAAGCAGCGTGGTCGATGCAACTGAGAGCGGCGTGGTGCCGTCTATGGGTTTCACTGGAGCCTCATCTCACCTGTTGGCACCGTTTCAGCAAACTTTTCAGCTGCCAGGTGCTCTCGCTGCAAAGAGGACTGCGCTTACTGGATAGTCGAGCAGCCTGTTACAACGGCCAGATGCGTTGGGTGGCAGGGTAAATCAAACCTCGAGGAAGACAGACTTTCGGGATGAAACTTTGTTTCGGCGAAACCTGCTGTTCCAGGTCCTGCCGCCTTCGATATTTCTCCGAACACCGGCCGTCGTCAACACTGCCCTCCGAGCTGTTGTAATGACCGAGCTTCAGCCAGTTGATCAGAAGAGAGGTATATCAGTAAGCGGCGGACGGTTGGAGCGCCGCTTCGAACTGTGAGAGCATTCCACCTCGACAATCATTCGCTCACCCCAATTACACAATGCCTCATCGCGAAGAAGCCAGTGACAACACTCCCATCCAAAGCAAAATGGCTGGCAACAACCGGAAAACCGAAAAGACATGGTGGAAAGAAGCAGTCGTCTACCAAATCTACCCAGCCTCTTTCGCCGACAGCAACAACGACGGACTTGGAGACATACCCGGCATCGTCTCCAAAGTCCCCTACATCAAGTCCCTCGGCGTCGACACGATATGGCTCTCGCCCATCTTCGCCTCCCCACAACACGACATGGGCTACGACATCTCAGACTATCGCTCCATCCACGCTCCCTACGGGACCGTGGAAGACGTCCAGGGATTGATCGACGAGCTCCACGCGAATCAGATGCGGATACTGATGGATCTTGTCGTTAACCACACTAGTGACCAACATGCCTGGTTCCAGGAGTCGCGGTCTTCGAGGACGAATGCGAAGAGTGACTGGTACTTCTGGCGGGATCCGAAGGTCGATTCGAAGGGGAATCGAAATGAGCCGAATAATTGGAAGTCGATTTTCGGAGGCAGCGCATGGCACTTTGACGAGTCGAGAGGCCAGTACTACCTTGCGCTGTTCTTGCCGTCCCAGCCGGATCTTAATTGGCAAAGTGAGCAGATGCGGCAAGCAACGTACGATGACATGCGGTTTTGGCTGGATCGAGGTGTGGATGGCTTCAGAATAGACTCGATGAATCTGATGAGCAAGCATCCGGATCTGCCAGACGGGAAGGTGGTGGACGATGAGCCGTATCAGTCGGGGGCGGAGTTCTTTGCCTCAGGTCCCGCGATGCACGATTATATCCGAGAGATGCGGAGGGGGGTGTTCGACCACTATGATGCGATGACGGTGGGTGAGCTTGGTTTCACCAAGGATGAGTTCTCTGTGAGCCAGTATGTGGCCAAGGATCGCAAGGAACTTAATATGCTTTTTACTGGAGACATCGTTGACAGTGAGTTACTGTCTTCATGCAGTGTCGTTGTGGAGTGATTGCTAACGGAAGGCAGTGGACTTCGGGCCAGACGGGAAATACAGCCGAGACGATTTCCACCCCAGCAAGATCCGAAAGATCACCGACCTCTGGCAGACGGCAATGCCTAAGTTCGACGGCTGGAACACGGTGTACCTCGACAACCACGACAGCGGTAGATCCCTTAGCAGATACGCCTCCGACGCACCGCAACATCGAGCAACGGCGGCGAAGATGCTGGCCACATATCTCCTGACATTGAGTGGAACTCCCTTCATGCTCGCTGGACAAGAAATCGGCATGGCAAACCTCGGAAAGGAGTACGGACCAGATGCGTACATCGACGTCGAAGGCAAGAACCACTACAACGCCGTCCTGAAGGCTCGCGGTGGTGACGAGTCGCAGATGCAGGACGTGATGACGGAGTTGCAGCTCAAGGCCAGAGATCATGGAAGGTTGCCGATGCAGTGGGATGATTCCGCCAATGCAGGGTTTACTTCGGCGGATGCGAAGCCCTGGATGACCATCAACCAAGATTATGTGAAGTGGAACGTGGCGAGTCAACTTGATGATGGGGCGAGCGTGCTGTCGTATTGGAAACAGATGCTGGTGCTTCGGAAGCAGTACAACGACCTCCTCGTCTATGGGTCGTATGAGGCAGTACCGGAATCCACGACCGGAGAAGACGTCTTTGCTTATAAGCGATCGTCCGCGGAGACTGGTGAGAGCGCAGTCGTCTTCCTTAATTTCTCAGATCGGGCGCAGAGGATACCAGCGAGTAAATTCCGTGGCTACTCCGTGTTGTGCTCAAACCAAGGGAGCAGTGGTGTGGAAGACGATCACGTCTCTTTGGTACCTTTTGGTGCCGTGGTGTTGTATGACAGAAGAAGAGACTAGCATATTGATGAAGGGGAATTCACGATATGCTCCGCTCCAATGAGGACATTATCGGCCTGATTGGCTGCGTCCGCAGCGGCAAGACATGTCCAGAGAGCCAAACGAACTTGACACAGAATGTTTCATGTCGCCTTTAATCAACCGCCGTGGTAGGCATTGCCAGTAAGAGCATCAGCGAACTTGCCATTGAAAGGATGGTCGCCGCCTCGGAACGACTGAAGCAGTCCTTGAAGTCTGAACAGCAGATCTTGCGGCGTAACCTGACCAGCCTGCTCAGGATCGATCGTGATGGCGACCTGATCGGTCGGTCTTAGAGGGGTATTCAACGTGAGGTTTCCAGATGACGCCTGTGTAGCAGTAACGATTCCCGTAGCGACATCGTAGATCTTCTCAGCGAAGCCGACACCGTGAGCTTCCATTGACTCCAGAGGAAGCGCATCGCATGTTGCCAGTACGGCATGTGCGACATAACAGGCGAAATCATATTGCAGCTCTGGGTGATCGGACTCGTCTCGCAGCAATCCGTGAGACCAGCAAATGCTCCACAGTCGATTCAGCAACCAGAACTGCGTGATAGTGATATCTGCTCGCTGGCTGTCCATAAGTTCAGACAAAGGAAGAGGAGATATCGATGGCGCGAATGAGATGTTGCCAGTGAGGCAAGCTTCACGTATTCTTCTCTGCGCACGGAAAGTCTGCAATGCTCTTCGTCGATCGAAAGTCTCGCATACGCCGTCGCTGTACCTGCAGTAGCCGATCCAGCATTCGATCACGTTCTCGTCGATGGCATCGAAGCTTTCCATCAGGTAGAGAAGGCCGGTCATCGCTTTTGTGTCTGACTGGTCGGAGTAGATCAGCCGTGATAGGTATGTAGACGCATCCGTGGGATTGAAGTCCGCCATGAATCTTGCGCTGAGACCAGGTCGTCCGCGAAAGTCGATCGAATGTCGTTGCTGAAGTGCGTACGCTCGCTCAGTCACGGAAAGCACCAGGTAAGTTCGAAGCCAGCGTTCCCTTGCATCTGCTTGCAAGCTCTCGTATGATTGTGGCAGGTGGATTCCGAGTGAGTGCGCAAGGTCCACAGCCTCTCGCAAACGAAGCCGTGCGGCCTTGTGCTGACCGTTACCGAACAGACAAGCAAACAGGAAGAAGCTGGCCAGGATCATCTCGATGGAAGGTTGCTCGCCGAAGTCAGCTGCGACTCGCATCTTGACGCACTCTTCCATGAGCATACGAGCCTGCACCGAGCGTGAAGGATGGCTGGCACGCTCGTGGATTTGGATCGGCTGTGTCATGGCGAAAGCACACAACGCGAGTAGCATAGCGCCGTACTGTGGCTCGGAATGATGCTTCCGAGTAAGCATCTCACGGTACATCTCCGCTCGGTCAAGGATCGGTATCGTAGGATGTAGGCGTTTGAAGTAGACGTCGATCCATGGTAGCAGGGTTTCCTCGTTGATATGCGATGGCCAAACATCCACACTAGTCGTCAATGGCGGAAGCTCCTGCTGCAGCAGCGCGCCGAAAGGGTCCCAGGAGCTGGATGGCGAGTCCATCGGCAGGCTAGGGAAGACGAACTCGCTCATGCTGGGACTGCCGAGCGCCGGATCCAGCGGCGGTCCTGAAATGTTCGAGTACGCCGTGGTCGAAGTATTGATGCGTGGTAAAGGCTGCTCCAAATCCGGAGTTTGCGGTTGTTGCATCGAGAGTCCGTTCGGCCAGTTTGAGACCTCTGGAATTCCGTTGGTAGCATGCCCATACATCCCATCAACCGCATACGGCGAGGCCTGCAAACCATCCCTTCGCTCCCCACCAAAGCTCCCAGCCCGCTCATGATCAACAGACTTGCTCTGCGCCCTCCGAATCTCATCAATGCGCTTTCCAGCCGGCCCGCGCTTCTTCCGCGCCTTGTCGTAGGTGCAATCGAAACCCTTGTTGGCACAAACAAGACATGGTCTCTTCATGTCGCAGCGCACTTTGCGAGATTTGCACTGGTCGCACGCACGATCCGTGGTGGTCTTGGGTCGGCCGACCGTCTCGGCTGCTGTGTCGAGGATGGAGAACATGTTGAGCAGAACCAGGTGGCCACAGGGACAGCGCTCGCGACGGGAGTTGTCAGTGCAAAGCGCCGATGCAGCTCATGCTTTTGTACGATCGTTGCAGCATGGTGGGATTAAGTGGCAATGAGAAGTAGGACATTGAAGTGAGGTCGAGCTTGCCAAGTGATGATACTAGGGTTATCACGTGCTTTAGATTCTTAACTACATCCTCAAGCCATTTCTTCTCAAGTATACCACCCATGAATACATCAACCTCTCTCGCTCCCCTCAGCACATAGATTCACCCTTCCTCAGAACTCAGGCAAACCTAACTCTCTCTTCACTGGCGAGTGGCCTCTGACGGTACTTGGATTGCGGGACCACAGACCCGGCACGAGCCACACCGAAGGGCAGACACCAAGCCTTGCTCCTCCTCTTCTTGCTCCATTCAACCAAAACCGAACCGTAGGTGCCTGTATCTTGCACGGTTCTCCTGCAACGGGGAGCGTGGTGTTAGTCGTTGGCGTGGCAGTTTGCTCCGGTGGCTCGGGAGCCAAACAGTCATCCTTCCCTGACCCTTCCAGGTGTAACCAGTCGGAAGCCAGCCCCAGCGGTGAACACCGTCCATCCACCTGCAATCATCATTCAGACTCTCAGCCCATTCAATCCTCCTCCCCTCTCCCACGATCTCCACCCTCCCCATTCAACAGCGCCGACCGCTCCGGCGAAAACTCCGACCTCTTCTTAAAACTATCCAACTCACTCGAATCCTTATCCTCCTCCGACAAACTCTCAAACGCCGTATTCCTGCGCTTCCAATTCCGCGGCAGCGCCAAGCCCGTCCGCTTCTTATGCGCCAGTGCCACGTACGCTCCGATGCACGCGGAGGCGCTGACGATGGCCCCGACGATGAAAGCGACGATGGGATGGGCGAGCAGGGCGCCGATCCAGGAGGATGCGGGCTGTGCTTCGTGCAGTTGCTGGAGCGTCGGGACCGTGGCGAACACGGCCGCTTCGCCGATCTTTGACATAGATGCGTCCATGGCCTTGACGACAATGTAGCCGACGTAGCCGTCGATGAAGGCTGTGGTTTCGAAGCCGTCCCTCGGCACTTTCTTCAGCAGGTGTAGGTCTGTACCGCTCGGGTTCGCGGCAAAGATCTTCCAGCTGTGGACTTCGGTGGCGCCGTTCCAGCTCATGGAGACGATGGTGGTGATTTTGTTATCGATTGTTTGGACCGCCGTAGAGCGCACATCAGGTGGTTGAGCAGGCCGACCTACCCATGGGAGCTTGAAACTGCGGTAGTTGCGTACTCCGGCCTTGAAACGGGCTTCCATGATCATAGACCCATCGCCGGCGTGTTCAGTGTGCATTGCGCGGTCCCTCCAGCATATCCATGCGTGATCGGTTCCGGGGATGAATTGGAGATTGCCCTGGCCTTCCGCGTACTTGTGATCGGGGTGTTTGAATTCTTGAAGGACCTCCACAGTCATCGCCTTCGTATCAAGAGCAAGCAACAAGCCACGAGATGCGTCGTTAGTGGTTTGCGGAGTGCCGGGCCCGAAAGCATTGTCGAGGAAGGAGATCAGAGTGTGGGTGTCGTTGTAACCTTGTATCTTCGCAGCATGCTGGCCGGAGAAAACGAATGGCATTTCAAAATCCGACTTCCTGCCTCCCAAGCGCCAGATGATGGAGCCATCTTGAGCCGAAATCTTGTATACTGCGTTTGTCCGCCTGCCCGAAACAAGATAATCCCCGTCCGGGAACTTGTCGATAGAGTTGAGATGCAAAAAGTCCCATTCCCCGCCACTACATCGGTTGTCCACGGGGACTTTTGTGACGAAGCTCTCGTCTAGGCCAATCTTGCCGTACGAGTTCCAGCTGAAAGTCTGCTCCCATGTTTCTGTATCAAGTTCCACAAAGCCGTCGTACTGAGCGTGACATTCTCCATCATACCCAATCGCGGCGGAGTACTCCTTCGAGGCATGCTTAGGGACACGGGTGAGGTATAAAGCTGCCATGGCACGTCAGTGTCTCCCTCATCCTCCGCCGTCTGGAATGCTCACCTCTCGTCCCATTCTCCACCGTCAGAAACTCATGCATATTATGGCCCACCTCATCCAACTCCGGATCCTTCAGCCCAATCGACACGTTCGCAATATTTGTATACGTCTCATCCAAAACAGCAGCATAGCTGTAATGCGGCCTCAACAGCGTGAGCATCGGCTTGCCCCGAACCTCACTGACGCGGAAGTCAAAGCTGCTGAACCCATCGAACATGGGTGCGCCACTCCAGATCAGCTGCCCATCCTGATCGTAGATGTGCGGCGCATTCCACGCCTCACTCCCATCCTTCTGGTCGACCTCCTCGTAAGGCGCCACAAACCAGTATCCCGGGGCGACGGCCTCCTGATCGTAGACGGCGACCTCCCAGCGCGGAGCGTCCAGGTCAGGCCGCGTGACGAATGTCCAGAACTCTTCTTCGTGCTTGCTCTCGTCGAGGTGTACGACACGATGTTCCCATCTCTTGTCCTCCTTGCTTCTCGTCTGCCCGGAAGGGTTACCGGTGTGCGGGTCGGCTAAAGCATAATTGGAGCAGAATACGACAAGGCAGACGCAGAAGCACGGCAGGATGCGGGTCAACATGGCGGAGGAATGAAGATGCCTTGCAGCACGGGACCAAAGCTGTAAAATGTACGGAGAGAAGCAAAAGTACAAGTAGGTGTCTCGCTCTCACATCTTACATGAACTCGATTACGCCCTCGGCGCCACTCCGCTGGGCGAACTTAGAATAAGGGGACACAACCTAGAAGCTCAGGAGGCAACAAGTAATACCGGCCCTTATCCGTCGCCTCCGCGTTAGTTATTCATTGGCTTCGAATCAGCCCTTTCAACAAATCGACGCCATCTGCCAAAGTTATGTAGCCTCGTGTGCTCGTCGTGGGGAGACAAACTATCAGCCGCTTCTTGGCACTCTGATGAGTATACCATTCTAACCGTTCGTCGTGCTCCGAGCTCCATTTCGGAACGGCACACCACCACTGTACAGCCAACTTGAAGCACAACGAGCGGCAACCGTGGATGCACTACAGCACAGAACGCGTTTACGACATCGACATATCCGCGATAACATGGTGTCAAAGGCAGAAGATAGAACCGAGGAAGCAGGGTAGTAGGCAGCATCATTACATCCATTCTTACTCGTTCCACCGCCAACCGTATGCATGGCGTAGGATGAACGACGCAGCAAACACCACCATCGACCGTTACATATCCAGTACAACAACATATCTTCACAATAGCGTCTTGCCCTTCATCCTTCTGCCGTTACATCATCAAAGATTCTCTGTCCGTTCAACCAGTCTTCTCATACTGCTCTCCAACATCCTTGTCGGAGTCCGACTTGTCACCATCAGGCATGGCCTTCTCCGCACCATGCTCCTCGCCGTTGAGCAGAGCGTAGAGCCCAATGTCGCGCTCGATCTTCTCCTTGCGAGCCGCGTCTGCCTGGGCGAAGCCGACTTCACCGAAGAGCTCGTCCATTTCTTCGAGGGTACGGCCCTGGGTGGGTGTTAGCTTGTGTTGCGATCGTTGAAGGCTGGGGAAGGACGTACCTTGGTCTCGGGCACGTAGAAGTAGATGAAGGCGACGCCGACAGTGGTGACACAGCCGAAGAAGATCTGTGGGTACGTTAGAAACGGCGTGTGAAGAATCGATTCTTGAGAGTGGCTTACGAAGGCGCCGAACTGGGAGGCCTTGATGAACGGGGAGGTGGAGATGGCGACCGCGAACTGTGTGACGGGTTAGCCGCGGCGCGACATATGTTGGGCTTGCCTTTGCTTACATTGTTCAGCCAGTTCGAAGAGCCACCTAAGCCTCTGTTAGTATATGACTGCGACGAGTGAGGTTGGTGAAGGAAGCACTAACCGATGGAGACACCTTTGGCACGCATTCCGAGTGGGAAAACCTCACTGACGATGATCCATGCGACGGGACCCCAGGACTACATGAACCCATTAATATGTGCTCCGCGTGATACGGCAATCTCAACACTCACGTATCCAAAGTTGATGGCGTAGAACCACACAAACACGACGGCAACCCAGCCGGCGGCGGTGTGTGAGCCCCAGCTGTCCTGGAAGGCGCCTGTGATACCAGCGACGATAAAGTGGCACATTGCCTGCATGCGTTCGTTAGCGATTGTGAGCGAAGACGAGAAGACGGCGCGAAGCTTACCATGCCGAGGCCGCCAGTTATGAGAATGGTCTTGCGTCCGAAGCGGTCGACGTAGAGTACAGCGGGGATGGTGGCCAGAAACATGACAATACCCGTGACACCAGTTGCCAAAAGTGATTGGGTGTTGCCGACAAGACCAAAGCCCTTGAAGATGAAGGGTGCGTAGTAGAGGATCGCGTTGACTCCGTTCCACTGCTGGAAGACCATGGTGAAGACGGCAACGACGGTGCGCTTGAACAGCGACTTGTTGGTGATGAGGGAGGCGTAGTCGTTCTGTAAAGTAGGATCATGTCAGTAAGGTGAGGAGAATTGGAAGGTGTTGTTCGTCTTCACTTACGAGACCCATCATGATGGCGCTCTTGAAGCTGCCGTCCTGGTATTGCGGGAAGGCCTCTGCAAGACGCATGCGCTCGAACTCACGGAGAGCTTTGATCTCCAAGAACTCAATGCGAACTCTGATGTCGTCGGTTGTGGTGCTCCGGAGCCGTGCTATTGTGTCCAGGCACTCCTGTTCCCTCCCCTTGTTCATCAAATGACGTGGCGACTGTGGCATGAACAAGACCATGCCAGCTGCCAGGACTGTGCTGGGCAGCAGCTGGATGCAGATTGGGATCAACCAGGCGGCATCTGACTGGCTGTCGCCAGTGCCTCCGATGTAGTTCGTTCCGTAGCCGATCCAGTACGAGACCATGATCCCGAAGGTGATCGCGAGCTGCTGGAGAGCCACCAGGGCACCTCGTACTTCTGGCGGCGCGAGCTCAGCGTTGTAGAGGGGTACCAGCATACTGAAAGCTCCAACACCGATACCAGTGACAAAACGGCCAGCGATGACGTAATCCTTGTTGACTGTGCATGCCTGGACGATCACGCCGACAGTGAAGATAACACAAGCAACGACAACCGTCAGACGGCGGCCGAGCCAGTCAGCGAGGACACCATTCATCAGTGCTCCGATCCAGGCACCGAGTTCGAGAACGGACGTCAGCAAGCCCTGCTGAATGCCGGTGGCACCTTCGTAGTATGGGTTGATCTGCTGCAAGTCAGTCGACTGCCCGAATGGTCACTGATGGGAGTACATACGCGAGCGATGAAAGAATTCATAGTCAAGATCTGCCCGAACATGCCTTGGTTGTAGCCGTAGACAAACCCCCCGAGCGCCGCGAAGGTCGCGATCGCAGAGGTCTTGCCGTTGTAGATGATGCCTTTCAAACCCGGAGGGCCAGCGTATTGCTGACGTTTGGCCGAGAGGCCCATACCATCGCCCGTAGGTGCCATGTTGACTTTCCACTCGCTGGTGTGTGATGAAGACAAGATGGAACAATAAGAAGCAGACACAAGCTGATGGAGAGAGCGTAATCACGCTTAATAGTCGCTTTGGCGCCAAGGTCTACAATACCACATGGAATGGTCTGACAACGAATGAGAAGTAGTCTCTGCGCCGGCTCACGCCTGAATAGCATGAGCCGTTGTCGATGGAGTTGCTCAGTGGACCGGGTTGCCCACCGTGCGCGGAGGCAAGGTGCCGTGGTAGCCACGCGATGCCGGACAAGCCGCTGACGAGCGTGTGCCATGTGGAGCTTGTTCCTCGCTCTCCGCTGGAGAAAACGCGAGGGCGGGAACACTTCTGGAAGGCCTTCCGCGGATCACCCTCATAGCATCACGAGATCTACTCATTCTGCTCGACTTTAGCCGTCGTATTCATCCGGATACGCCTTGGCGGTAGCTTTTCCCGGGTTCTGGTTCTCACTCCTAGATCATCTCATGAACGTCGACAAGGATATGTCTCATCCCTCGGCACCTTAAAGATGGCAATATCTCTCAATAGGCTCGCCGCGGACTTGGTATAGACGGGAAGCAAGTCTCAACACTCCGTAACGCCGTTCTCTTCGTCATTCATCCATCGCCTCGAGCCAAGTTATCCGCTTGTCCTACTGGTCCGCACAACCTACCAGTATACTGAAAGGGTCAGCATCATTGCATATTCCAGCGGGCGACATGCCGGCCGTGTGGAAAGCACTATGGAGCCCACCTCAATCAAACTCAGGCCTCCGTGGGGCCAACTGCGGCTTCCTAGTCAATGATGCCTGATAGCCAAATTTAAAGGGAGACGATGGATTCTGCAGGCTCTTTTTCCCCGTCAAGAAGTGACATCGAAAGTGGCCTACGAAGCATACCTGTCAGCGTTGCCCAAAACCCTATTGCAAGCGAAGAGACCGCATCACTGTCGTCAGCAGACTGTCGTGGTTTTTGATGAGAAGATCCATCTCATGCCGCCCATGCCGAATCTAATGGCCCGCCTTCACTCTGGTGGCTTTCGTGGTCGCCATCCGTAATCTTGCCACCAAGTACTCCCTAGGCTCCGGTCGACGAACGAGCAGAGCATACCTGTCCTTCCAACCCTCCCCGAGTGGCTGCTCCGTAACCATCACACAAGTATCGCACCGCGCCCGCAACCTCTCGATAGCCTCAAACTCCCACCCGGAGAGCTTGTCGATGTCCTCTGCTTTGTCGAAGATCAGATACTTGCCTGCGTGCTTGGTGCCTGGAAGCTCAAACAGCCCGGACAAAAGGGGAGACGTCGGGAGGACAGGCACCTTGCTGGACTTTCCTGACTGGTAGTTGGCCACGTCTCCGAGGTATATGTCCATGTACCAGGCCTCCCACGCGACTTGGAGGTAAGAAGTGACGACTATACGGTGTTGCGACACTTCCTCCGCAGTGATGTGCCTTTGGTTGATCCACTTGAAGAGGATGGCTGGTTCGTTTGGCTGTTGAGGAAGCTTTAGTAAGTGGTTTCTCTGTGATATGCACTGGTTGTGAACTTACGAAATATGTCTTTACTGCTTCCATGCATCGTTGGGCCTTTTGTCGTCTCGTTACAATGATGATGGGACTGTCGGCTTCCTCCGAACATGCTTGGACGACGAGCAAGAGTTTGGCGAAGTTGCGCTTCGCTTGGTCTGCGAGAACCAAGCATCTCAACTTGCTCTCGCTTGCGTCGATGATGGCGACTGCGAGTCGGACTTCGTCGGCCGGAACAGCGGTGGAGTCTTCAGTGTTGTTCACTAAGTCGGATAGGTGAAGAGTGATCTGATCGGTCAGTCAGTAAGACCCTCGCCACTGAAGTTTATGGCCTTTTGATCGCTTACCCTCTCGTCATGAAGATCCTTTATGTGCGCAAGGATAGCTTCTCTGACTTCAGCCCGGACGAGCTGTCCTCGGTTCTTGCGAGTGTACAGGGATTCCTCGCATGGCTGGGTGTCCTCGCTTCCACTCATTCCGTCCGGGCTGTCCGAAATGCCGTCGTCGCTCGCTGGCGGCATGAGACGGTACCGTACGGTCGAAGCGCCGGCGAAGCCAATTCCCTTCTTCGTGAAAATGTCCTCGAAGACCTCTTGCCAGTACTCAGACGCGTCGAAGCCTACTGAGTTGTTCTTGAACTCCTCGGAGCGCTGCTCGAGGTCCTCCAAGTTTTTGCGTATCCGCTCAGTGACCCCGTCAATGTTTGGATACATATTTGTGGTCGGTACAGTGTAGAAGTTGTGGTGTTGAGGCGGAAGCTTTCACAGTGCAGAAGTAAGTGGCGACGGAAGCGCGTGACTCGGAGAGGCATATGAGCGAAGCGCACGAAAGAGGAAGGAGGGTATCTGCTACGCCACACTCACACGACCTTGGACAGCCCAACGCTGGGCTGTTTTCTCTAATCAGTTCTTTGGGGCTGACCACGCTTCTACACCACCTACACACACTGCCTCGATACAGATGACAACCTGTCTGCAGACCTTCCCTCGAACACGCAGAAGGCCCCTCGTCTGCCGACTCTGCCGACACCGCTGACACCAGCTGCAGCCTCTTCTGCTACCTACGCCATGAAGACGCTGCAGAGCAGGTCCAGTTTCAGCAGTACCTCGACGAGGACCAAGGCAGGGCGCAACGAACATCACAGTACTCCTCCTGCTCCACCACATCTGCCGACACCAACCTCCGCTACTTCAACAACACTGTCGGAGTGTTACATCGGGATACCACAGCACTACAACAGTAAAGCCTCTGCTACGCGCTCTCAGACCGACCAGCCCACTTCGCTACAGCACCACCACTAGCAGGTCGCCCAATCACCAGCAGGTCTATATGCGTGCTCCTGAATTCAACAACAAACCGGCTATGCAAAGGAAGACCGCCAGCACAAACAACGGCAAAGGCATAGCGAACATTTCGGATGACGATTCAAGCGATTCCTTCGGTCCTTTCGACCAGCCCACGTTTTCAGCGACTACGCCGAGCTTGGTGATATGCCGACGATATGTTGTACTACACCGTTCCCTCGGCGGCGAGACAAGGATGACCCGTGCTCGAAATTATCCCTCACGCAGTCCCTTGCTTTAACGATCGCACCTGACCGCCACCAACTCTTCGCCTCAAAACAACGACGCGTGCATCCTATCTTCGACCTCACAAATAAGGTACCAGCTTTTGGAACCACAATGAAGCGATCGCGATCCGAGTCTCCTAGATCGGTACGTCGGAAGTCTGCACGACTTGCTGCGCAGCCATTCTCTCGACAGCGTGTACTCCCCAGCATCAAACCTCAGTCAAACTACGAAGACCTCCAACTTCGCGAGCCGAGACTCTACTGCAACACTTGCAACCTCTACCAGCCTCTTGCACAAGGCCGCGCAGGTGACAGTGGCCCCCAAAATCGGGCGCACGCAATAGCTGAGGTCGTGCAAGAGATTGACGATCTGGTCGCTTCTACTAAGAAAAGGTTGCGGCGGAAGTATGCACAGTTTCAGACGCTCACGGAAAGATTCGTGGACTATGTGTCGACACGTAAATATATATACGAAGATGGAGATCTCCTCGGTTGGTCAACCATCACTGGCCGCTTAGACGTAGCTGACACTCACTCAAAGCCCTACCATACGAAAACCTGAAGTATACCTTGAAGGAAGTGTGCTACAACACATCTGATCCTGAACGCTATGCCGCTTATGTTATGCGAGCTATTACTGCTGCCGCGCAGTTACCACGCCCCAGAGATGAGAAGCACCCGAAGTGGAGCCCAACGGAGCCAGGCAAGGAGAAGGGAAACCTCCTCGACAAGTGTCTTGCGTTGATTGGCGTGGTGATCGACAATGATATGGCAAAAGAAGCTGTCCACGCCTTGGTTCTCTTGAAGGTCCATCTGCACGCAGGCAGCAAGAGAATGACCTATGGAGACCACGCGCCAGCCCATAAAGCACTTGATCGCATCATCTATGCCTTGATCGACGACAACAACGTCCCAAATGGTGCGCGGAGCTGTAATGATGTAAATGGGAAGCCGTTAACGTCCCCTCATCACGAACACAGGTGTACAGTTCTTATGCATGGTCTCGTGTGGCACTCTGGCCCAGCGCGACAGGGCTTGGGAGAGATGGACTTCGCCTCCGCAGCGCGACTGTTGAGGACCGCGTATCTCAAGCACGATTGCGGCCTGCCGCATACTTCGTGCGATGCCAGTCGAAGGCAGTGCTTCCATCAAAATTCACTCGACTTGCCGGAGTACCTTCACAAGCGCGCATGGTCAGAGGTGCGCTTTAACGTCTTCAGCACTGCCGGTACCCTTCTATCGGCCGAGCTGGCCAAGCACGTGTTCGAATACGCTCTTGTTGCAGAGGAGGTACCTTTCGTGCCGACAAACTTGAAAAGCACTACACAGAGCCAGCCAAACCGCGTTCGGAACGAGGAGGGTGTGGCAAGTGGTCGTGGAGGCTGAAGCCAGAGCTGAAGTGCTCACGCATTAACCATGTGCGATCTTACTTCGACGACGATGACTCGGACTGTGATCTTTGTTCATGAGCGGGTCGATTCACTGGGAATGGTGCGTTGGCTGTCCTGGCCCACCACGGTGCTGTGAGGTGTTCCAAACTCAACTGGCTACGAACGGCGAAGTCATACGGCGAAGAAGTTGGAAGAGCAAGACCGACCCATAGGCTTCAGGCTGGTATAACAAAGCGGTCGTTGACCTGACCGCGGCCTTTCATAAGCCTAGCATTTTGTCAGGTCGCTGTTCCGCACCACCATATGCATTCTGTCTGGAAGTAGGACTTTTTGGAGCAACGCTGTTCGCCATGTTACGCCTCTGTCCGGATTGAATCTTCGATCCAAGGAGAGGCTTGCAAGGTGGAGCGGACCAGAGATGGGAGCTGTTGAGATGGAGGAGGCCAAAATCGCCCGCCCGCCAGGAAAGTCGTCGTGCCGTGATAACAAAGGTCTGGTGGAAAACCATTCCACGTTCAGTCCACGCGGTGTGCTTCCGCCCTTCATCCCAGACAACCTTGCAGCCCGACTACAGTCGCCAATTTAATCGCGTCCAATCGCGTCCAATCGCGATGCGTCCTCCGTCTCAACTTCGGCCTTGCCTTACGCAGATTGTACCAGCCCGAAAAGCAGTACAATGAAGGACCGGAATCTCTCGAAGCAGGACGCAGGAAGTCTCTACGACTCGCAAAGCAATCTTCGCCTCAAATTCTGCTTCCAGATGTTGACATAGTAACGAGCGGCAAGGAATTACAACTACATCGAGCAGCAAACTCCTGTGACCTTTACGACCATTTTCGTCCTTTAGCACAAGGCAAAGCACGCAACAAGTACGTGCGACAGCCAGCACAAGCGATTGTAGCAACGGTTAATGAGGTCAACGACAATGTCGCTTCTGCCAGCCGGCAATTGAAGGAAAAGTATGCCCAACTGTCAGAATTGCTGAATCAATTTGTCGGGACAACGCTCTGCCAGGACGACTTCTACGAGAGCGGTGACCTGCTCGGTAAGTCTCCCTGCCATCTTCGTGTTCTGTGTCCGCGTCGGACGGACTGCTAACGTTAGTGTGTAGCCCTTCCCTTCGACGTTCTCGAATATGCGCTTGACAAGAGCGATTCTTGTTCCATCGACACGAAACGGTGTGCAGCATACGTTATGCGTATTATCCCGGCGGCAGCATAACCTCCTGCTCCCGAAGATGAGGCGGATCGCTGGTCCTCCACACGCGAAGAGACTAGAAAGAATACCTTTCTCGAGAAATGCCTTGAGCTCATTCGGAGAATGGACCCAGGAGGCAGCGACATGCTGAATGCTTTGGTCCTCTTGAAGACCTTGTTTCATACTGGATCTCCGTGAACTCCTGACAAAGAGATTGACAAGGCTCACGGCGTACTCAACAATCTCGTCAAAGCTATGATGTACGACTGCCTGGTACCCCCGGATTCCTGGAAATGCATCGGAGAACCGCACCGCAGAAATCACTGGAAGTATGGATGCACAATCGACATGGACGGTCTTCAATGGTGCTTAGGTCCAACCGATCGGCCTCACCTCCTCCGCTATCGCAACTTCGCATCGGCAGCTCGCCTGCTCAGAACAGCCTATCTCGAGCACAACTGCAATTCGCCACAGGATGATGAAGATGACGACGACTACGCACCAAGCTGGCGCCGCCAGCCGCCTGATTGTTTTCACCAGAGCTCTCGCGACATGCTGGAATTTCTTCAGAAGCGCGCATGGCCCGAGATTCGCTACAACGTCTTCAGTACCGCCGGCACCGTGCTCCCAGCTGAGCTGACCGAACACGTCTTTCAGTATGCCTTGAGCGCAGAAGAGCTGCCGCTGGAGCCGGACGCCTATCGGAAATACACCAAAGGGAAGGGTGACAGGAAAAGGATATGTTACAAGTTGAGACCAGGGTTGGAGTGCCATCGTATGGAGCACGAACCAAAATCCATGGCTTGGCGGAGCTTTTTCTCTGAGACGGACACCGATGAGTCGGAAGTTGATAGATGAGACGGTAAGAGTGCTCAAACTGCAACTCAGTAATGCTTTGGCGCCACACTCATCTTGTCCATACGCATACCACGTAGTTGCTTCCATCAGTTGTGCCTACGAGCGTAAACAGTCGCCACCCTCCCTCATACCTTCACCAACCCGTCCTTGATAGCCGCATCAAAGTCCACCAGCGCCACATTCACCATAATCGTCACCCCGAAATGCGCTGGCGTAGCTTCCCCTCCAAGCACGAGACCCTGAAACCACGGCATGTACATGCTGCTCTCCGGCGTCAAAGCATACGCCCAAAGCGGATCTTTGTCGTCCTTTCCCTGCTTCTCACGCGGAGCGATCTCTAGACCCATGATGTTGCGCACCAGCTCTCGAAGCTTCGTCTCGGTGATCTTGCCCAGCTCGTACAGCTTGAAGTAGTGGTTCACAGTCCTGCTCCTGGCCGCCGCAATCTTCGCCGGGTTCTTCTTCACCGCCTCAAGGCCTTCGTCCATGATTGCGTTCGGCAGGGCAGAGCCATGCGTCATAACCCGCTCGCCGTGGTGGTGGGCGTGCGGGTCCGTCTCGGCGCCTTCGCGCAGAGCGTGGCCTTTGCAACTCTTTTCGGGGCACAATTCCGGCTTCACCTTGGGATGATACACAGCCATGGCGCGACCGGAGAAGGCGTATTTGGTGTTGGAGTACTCGTACATCGTACTGAACATGTCGAGGCTGGCTTCGCGAGTCTCCAGATTAAGTTCGATGTTCGGACGCATGGCTTTCGGAATGCGGCCGCTGGATTGGTCGTAGGCTTGCTTGATGAAGAGCTTGCCGCTGTTGGCGACGTGAGCTTTGATGATGTTGGTCGCCTCGGCGACGGCAGGGATCGGTGTCGGAGACCTGAGGAGTTCGGAGACGAGGGTGAAATGGTCGCCGCTGATGGTGCTACTGTTGGAGATCGTCTTCAGCAGACGAGGACAGGTGACCATGAAGCTGGCGTAGTCGAAGTTCAGTTGCGGCTCGTCCGCCATGAAAGCCTTCTTGTAAGTCGCTAGGAGCTGAAGAGGTGTGAAACTCACACGGACCTGCGATCCGCGAGGAGCAGAGGGGCTATCCTTTGCTTGCGAAGCGGAAGCCGTCAGACTGTGCAGAACGACCTCGAGTGTCTTAATCTTGGAGTAACCCAGACCACTCTTCTTCCAGGCCTGTTGGCGGTCGCTGAGGCCGGAGAGTAGAGCAGACTTGATGGCAATCTTGCGCTCGTCTTTCAGTCCGACTTGCAAAGGTAAGCCCTTCTTAAAGGATTTGGAGCTGGCACCTTGGGTGGGAACGCCCATAGACATGACGTAATGAAGAACTGCTGCTTCGCCATCATATGGCTGACCGGGTTTTGGGAGCAGCGGTTGCTTTGTGTCGAACGCCGCCAATGCAAAGTCCATGTCTTGCCAGTCAGAGTCGAGCTTGCCCTGGGCACGGAGTGCTTTGTACAGATGAGCCATCGAGAGCACGTAGTAGCCGTGATTGGCGAGTTGGGTGCCGGCCTCGTGCATACCAATCTTGAGATCTCCAAGGATGGCGCCAGTATGAGCAGGGAGCGCACGTTCCATTGCAGAGGCCGAACACCCCAGTTCCTCTCGAATACGGGTGTGCTGCTTCGCCGGTAAGGCGTGAGCGCCCTCTGGTGCGATCCAGGTGGCCTCCTCGAAGCGATTGAAGGCTTTGGCCACCCATTCGAGTGTTGTCATAGCGTCACCAGCATCACTCATCGAGAAACCAGTTTCATCCCTCAGGGCGACAATGTCCGCTGCGACAGCTGTGTTTCTTGAAGGTGTCCAGCAGTACTTGGACACCGTGCGAGATGTGATCGCCGAGCAAATCGTAGACGTCAAGATAGATCTGGCACACAACGATCTGAGAAGATGGAAAGGTCAGTTGTGTCTCCTGCTTTCATGCAATGCCGCAGTGACCTACCGTCCACATTGGCATCTTGCCGTTCCTGTGGCAGTCCACAAGCCCTTGAACAAATTCGTCGATCACAATATGCTCGCAGGTCTGCGTGTGCGCGATGTCGTGTAACTGTGGAGCCAGCTTCCACAATACGCAGCAGAACTCGTAGAAGTGATGCAAACCAGATGACTCCAGCTCAGCGACATTCTTCTTCTCTTGCTTGCGAGCGCTAGCCGCGGTGCAGACCGCTCCAGCATCATTGTTGTAGCTGAGCAGGCAGAGAAAGGCGACAGGACAGAGGAGTTCGACGATGTTGAGCGATGGGTCGATCTTGCGTGGCTCGTCCGTGTTTCCCTTCGCCTCGGCAGGGCAAAGCCAGATGGCGTTCTCGCGGGTGAACCACACGAGGCCGAAGAAATGGACTATGTCCCTACAGGCTGTCGAGTGCTGTGAGCTCACTGCGGAGAACTCGGCATCGACACAGCGAACTATGAGAGGTCAGTAGAGCTTGAAACGTTGTGAGAGGCATAGACTTACGCAAGCCAAAAGCGGCATCGGTGACAGTGCTGGCGGTGAGAAAGCTGACTTTGCCTTGACTGTATTCCAGCCAGGTGTCTCGTACGTAACAGCGAACATCATACAGATCCCGGAGAAAGCATCATGTCGCAAAAGCAGAGTCATCATCTTCTGTCTCAAGCTTGAAACTGGTAGCGGTCGTTGTGGCAGATGGATACGGCGGCGGCGGTTCCTCGAATGCCTCTTCGTCGGTTGGGTCTTCGACTTGAAGAAGGCTGAAGAGGTTGCTGATGGCGTCGGCTGTTCCGTTAGTATCGTTGTCCGCCTTCTTCTTTTTCTTCGACTTCGATTGCGTGCTCATTCGATTGACGGTGGGCTTCGCCGTAGAGACAAGCTTAGCTCGAGCGGAGGTGAGCAGCTTGAGGATGCGCTTTAGGACCTAGAGTAGCACGGAAGACCATGGTCAGAGTCTGTAGAACCGATACGAGAGTTCGCTCTGGGTAGACATACCTCGATGAAGAAGCGGTGACTCTCGTTCTGCTTCTGAAGCTTGCCACCATCCTCAAGTGCCGCGTACCAATTCGCACATTGCTCGTGACCTGCAATCACATCCTCGAGAACGCCAATGACGGTGTCCGGAACGTCCAGTGGCGGGTCAGCGTCGGCGATGGCTTGCGCAAGCTTGAGCAAATCTTGCGTTTTCAGCTTGCGGTCTGCTTGACTACCAGATGATTTGCTCTTGGACGACTTTGCTGGCAATCCGCAATTGAGTGACTTGATGATGGCCTTAAGATCCGTGCACTTGCTGCCAGTGCTGACAAGGTAGTCCACGAGCTTCTTGGTCCCAGATTTGTACGTCTTGTACCTCCCCAACATCGATTTGCTCGCGGATTTGTCGACGCTGTGAGTGCTGTGAGAGCACGGCATGGTCTTGTACGGTGCGATCAAGGCTCGTAGGTGGGGAAAAAGGCCGTGTGGTGGTGCCGTACAACTCTTGGTGCGAAGGTAAGAAAGTAGGTTGGTGAAAAGCTGGAAAGCAGTCAACGTAAAAGAACCACAGGTGAACAGTTCCGCGCTAGCGTGAAGTGACGTCGAGCACATGAAACAGCAAGCAAACGGGACAGAAGAGCGATCACTCGACACAAGTCTTTCGCCCAGGAACAGCCCTGAGAATACCGGTTGACGGCACTGCACCTACACAGCTTTGTCTGTGCCATTCACACGATCATACCATCCACGAACATGATTTAGATGTTGTACGTTGATTTTGCTGCTGCCATCTCGATCAGGAGAACTGACAGATCAGAAACCGGAGAAATAGTGGATGCTTCTGCAGGTATCCGTCCGCAGGAGAAACAGCACCCTCCCCCGCCAGTGGTTTCTGACACCTTGGTATGGAGACGCTTCACCAGGTGACAAGGTAAATGCTGTATCTCAAAGGCTGTCATCGTGAAAGATATACTGATGTGAAAGTATGGGAGACCGAGAGAGTGAATAGCTGATGAAGTGAAGTCCAACATTTCCCCTGCCAAGCCATATCCACTAGCGTACCGGCCGCCCGGATCCCATTCGCATGCCTGTCAATTCACTTCCCTTTCCATTCTTGCCCCGATCTCGTCAGAGGGACACTTTCAGACTTGTCAAACTTTGGTTCTGCTCATAGACCGCTCAGCGTTTCGAACATGGACCTCTCTGACCTGGACTTCAACGACCCAGACGCCGTCATGCGAGCAATGGGCGGCGGAGCTGGAACAAATCTCCCTGTGCCGACGTCTCTTTCGCCCCAGCAAGTACGACGGGAGGCGAGAGATCGGTCAAAGCAGATCTTCGCAGACTGGTACCAGCTGCGGGCCATCCTGGACCGGCATGCTCCAGCCATACACAAACGATGGGGAAAGAAGACGAAGAACCAGCGCAAGGAGATCCTGCTGGCAGTATGGCCCAACATGGCCGCCACTCATCGACCCGACTTCGCTGCGTTCAGGAAGGAAAATGAAAGGCAACGTGCTGCAGGCACGAAATTCAGAGACGCTTACATGTGGCCGTACATCAATCTCGAGGATCTGTCGAAACCACGGACTCTACTCTTATTTCTTGAATCTCGGTCAAGGAAAACACCTGACGTCTTCGCTGCGGCGGGCGAAGACGCCGCTCACTTGGGTATGGTCACCCAAGCTGTGGTTCCAGGATTTCTCAACGAGTACACCATGATGTTCACCGGCCGTACAACTCCGCAAACCTACGGCGAGCTCATCGCGTGGGAAGACAACGACAAAGCGTTCGACTGGCTGATGTCTCAGAGAGGCATGCATCCTGGACAAGGTCTGCTTCTCCTAGAGATGCAGCAGCGTACCCTGCATTTTCTGGTCGGCTGCTGTGAGCGGATCATGCACGATATCCCGCCAGAAGATTTGGGAGGTGAACAGCACACCATCCAAGCGCAGCCTGCCCTACCCAAAGAGATGGTAAATGGCTTCGACTCTCGCGCAGTCATGGCCGCAGAAGCACCTTACCGTGTGCCAGCAGGCATGGATCTGGCCCGGCTCGAGTCGCTTTTCACCGCAAGAGCCACTGCCGCTGAAGACCACATCTGGGCACTTCGTGAAGATCCAGGGTACTTTGCGGAGGCCCTCTTTGAGCTTAAAGAGCATCGTCAAGAGCTCATTAGGCACCCAGACGGCTCGGAGCATCCGCTCTTCAAGTTCAAGCGCGAGGAGATACTGTGGAGCCGTGTCATTGGGAGTGTGGTGACTTCTGCTTATCTGAGTTTAGAGGTATGGCATGAGCTGTTGCTCCAGGTCAAGGACCTTCGAAGGCTGCAGACGAAGCACGAAACCAACATAGCCATTGATCTTGATCTACCAGAAGAGTACCTCTATGCTCTTCTAAAGTTTCAACACTATCTCGGCCAGGGGTCCAAAGGCGTACTTGGCCAACTCAAATACGCTACTTGTGCTTCTCCGTCGTTCCGTCCTTGGTTCGTGCGTGCACCGAATGGGGACCCAACATACACCAAGATGCAGGTGGGAACGAAACCGAACCTGCAGCTGCGCAAGATCGAGGGCGAACTACTGTGGCTCATGAGAGTGCTGTGGGAAGATGGCCATGACCTTTTCCTTGCAGGACTCACAAATGTAGTAGACGAACTGGAACGGCTCGTTCACTCAGAGCCTGCGGCGAAGAAACTGCTGTCTCCATATGTTGCTGAAAATATCGGAGACCTTGCGATCATCACCGAGGCCATGCGACAGCTGCAGATCTACCAGCCTTGGGCGGCGAGCTTCGAGCACGAAATGGTTGATAGGTCAAAGAGCATCAAGGAAGAGTTCGCACGGACGTCCCAGCCGTGGGAGGCTCTTCTACAAGCCACCGAAGGTCCAAACCATGGCAAGATCATGCGACTTGGTGATCCGTCCGACAAGAAGTTCTATCATCCAGTTGACAAGCGACGCTCGAAGGAGAACGTCGAAGCGATGCGGAGGGCCGAAGAGAATGTGGACGCTTTCTGGCTGGCAGTCGATCAGAACCTTCAGATGAAACCTGGCAACCAGATTGAGTCAACAGTACTGCATAGATTGTTGGCGCAGTCGAGAACGCTGCAGAGAACGCCGGAATGGGAAGATCCTAATGCAAGTGGCAGTGGGAAGACGGCGGTGGTCGATGTTGAAGGCTTGAGCAGACCGCTGTCCGACTTGTATTTCGACCTTCAACGGCGAACCGAGAGAGCGATAGACCACGATGTGGCCACCAAGAGAGTCAAAACCAAGGAGAAGACTAGAGGCGTAGCAAGGCCTCAGTCCAGTGTGACCGCTCCACAGCCAACGTCAAACGAACAAGATCCTCAACCCACCTTCTCTGTCGATGCTCGAGCACTGAAAGTCTTCCGTACACTCTTCTACACTCCTTCACTCAGCGCGACACCCGGCGAGGTCCCATGGACCGATTTCCTGCATGCACTGGCCTCGACAGGCTTCAAGCCGGAGAAGCTGTATGGTTCAGTGTGGCAGTTCCAGCCCACTAACCTTGATGTTGAAAGGAGCATCCAGTTCCATGAGCCACATCCCAACCCCAAGCTGCCCTATCGAACTGTGAGGCGCTTTGGACGACGGCTGGAGAGGGCGTACGGTTGGTTTGGGGGAATGTTTCAGCTGGCTAAGAAGGACGACTGAACATGAGAACGATATCACATCTGGACTGGATATACTACCAAAAGCACTAAGAAGAGAACCTGTCCCCCCTTCGAGGCTCCCACACTACACGCTCCTTGTCAAGGCCTAATCTGCCAGTGGTAGCAACTTCCGCGCCTGAGCCCACAACGCCGGTCATGCCGAGCTTGATCTTGACGCTTCCGAGCTTCTCAACAACACCGCAAGGGCCAGCGGCAGAGTTCACCTCGTTGAGCAAAGGAGCATCCAGAGCAAGCGCCGTGCTGAAAGGCGACATTGTAAGGTTGCTGCCCACGGTCCAATAACCCCAGAACATTGGCAAGATGAAGAAGACAGTCACGAATTGGACTGCTGCGGCGGCGGCAAACCATACCATGTCCGAATGGAACACGTTTTGTGTCACGGTCTGGGCAGCCATCACGGACTGGTTGGTGGCAACGCCAGGGTCGACCAATTCAGTCAAATTTGACCACGAGCCAACCATGGTGGATCCCCTCAAGAATGCCTGGTTGATCTCAGAGACCACGGTCTCTGTGGGATCATTGAAAACGACACTTCGGCTCGAAGTCCAGCCGGGGCGTAAATGTCTAAAGGTCTCCGGCGACATAGAGTAGTACTCTATGGAATATACCCCGCTCGTCGGTGTGAGGTTAACACTGGTGTTCGTGGTCATCTGGACAGCCATGAATGACGTGATGGAGATCATTGTATTTTCTTGCCTAGTGCTATCATTGGCCCAGCGGAACGGGTTGGTGTTATTGGCAAGGTGCAAGACTTTGCCTTGATCGGCGTTTCGAGGCAAGCTGACAACCGATCCTTCGACAAGTATTTCGTACTCCACGATCGCAGGCAACAGATAACACTCCTTGAGAGTGTAAGTGCCGTGAAGATCTTCTGACCATTCCACGTAGCCAACCTCAAGCGTCATGGCTTCACGCACTGGATGCTCGAAGGGCGTGGCGAGGTAGATTGAGAACGCTGGGAGCCGGGTCATAGGAGTTCCCTCAGTGGTGAAGCTGTCTTTCCAGATTCCCCAGGCGGCATTCATACTACTCAACATTGGGGGTGTGATGGGCCAAGTCCTCGTCGTGCAGCCTTCCTTGGAGACTCCTGGTCCACGGATGGTGGCCTTGCACTGCGAGTAATGTTAATACTTTCCTTCGTGAGGTAAACTCGCACCACTTACGGAGCCATTGCATCCGCTGCCGGACAATTCAATTGGGTGCTCGAAAAGGATATCATATCCCAGTGTCTCGATATAGCCAGGCGAGAGCAAGCTGTTGTTCTCGAGATACCCGGAGAATCCGCGCGGGAGCTCAGCTGGAATGGCGAGATCCAGCTGCACATGATGTGTCATTTCTGCCCGGACGACAGAAGAGGCTCTTTGTATCTGTGAGTACAATCAACAAAGTCAGCACCAAGATCACCATTGCTCGCACATCCTTGGTCAAAGACGATTGATGAACTGAAGGAACGGTGGCAGGAAGCGTCTTACCAAAGGGCCGTCAATGACGACCAAAGATCCTGCTATGCTGGCTAAGGTCAGGAGGCTGATGCCGCGGCTGTGCCAGACAGCTTGCACCAGGCTGCGAGATATCTGCCATTGCCGTTCGAGAGAGCCAATTGTTCGGCCTCGAAGAGCGCTGTACCACCAGCTGATAGGCAGGGCCTGCATCCGTGCAAGTGCTATACCGACATTTCCCATTGCTGTCGCAATAGCGAGATACACCGTGGGCTGTATCGGCCAATGTTCGATCTGCGGTCGGCGTCAGCAGTGAATTGTGCGAAGTTAAACACGAAGCTGGACCACACGAACCGGCTGTCCGTCCGATACAACAAGCACTGCAAATGAGGCGAAGACACACGCTACAGTAAGGCAGAGCGCCGCAATGCCCATCAGCGGTCGAATCTGCAGTACAGTTGGCCGCCATGTTGGATCCGCTCGACAGGAAGTACCCTTGCAGAGTCTGGAGCAGGAATGCTCAGGTCGCGGCGAGAGCTCGTCGAGTGTGCTCGGGCTCGATAGCTCGGTGGTCGTTATAGTCGCGGGCTGCTTCGAAGTATCCACCTGTGCTTCCTTGTACGATGGGAGGTAGGTCGTGGGACTGACGACCTCGGTATTTGCATGGCTCGCTTTGCGCAATCTCACTCTGCGCGTTGGTGGACAGTCATCCGGACCGAACAAGATCCGGTCGAATATGATGGAGCCTGACATTTCTCCCTGCCTAATACAGGATGCAAGTCAAGTCAGCATTGATATCGCGGTGGGTGGTTATCCGAGGTACGTTGTCCTTCTCCTCAATCGTGTTTTCTATCGTACCCATGAGGGCGGCATTAGGCGGTGTATAAATCTTCGATCAGCCCTAAATCTTGGGTCGACCTGGGCCGCCGCCTCGCTGCAGACATTGCAGAGATAGCTCTTCCGCAAGCTATGGGAGGTGCCATTCTGCGTCCAAGCTATTGCTTCAAGCGCGAATGCGATGGAGCTCTTCCAGAGCGGAAGTGGCTTCAAAACTGCTCTACCATGGTATTTTACAGATACTTGGAGCTTGAACAGCCGAACTCTGTTGTGCGAATCCCGCAATTCACAATTGGCTACTATGTCTTCGTGTTGCAGTATTGGCTTTCATTGACCTATTCATTGATGGGATCAAATATCCGAAAACGAAACAGCCTTGGTCATTACATCACTCCCATGCTTCTCCCTGCTCGGAGATCTCATCGGCTCTAGAACTATGCACACGCCACGCCTTGTTCCCTCAGTCGCCTTGCATAAGGCACAAGCTGCCAGCGTTGGTGCTCTGCGAGGCGCTCGAATTTGCGTCGATACGATGTCGCATGATCCAGAGCTGCTTAGTGTTGAGTCGCGTTGAATTCGTGCGGAGCAAGTACTCCATGCATTGGCTGTGGCTGAGGTTTCGTCGAAGTATGGCGTGACTGGGCTTTTTTCTCAGCTCCAGTAGTGTGTGCAAGGCCAGAGAAGATTCCGGCGTTCCAGAGAGGCCAGATTGCGGCAGCAAGAATGAGAACGCTGGGAATGGCGATGATATGCATGTCGACTGTTTGCGAGGGTGTTGAATACGTTGTCTGAGCCGAGAGGATGCTTGTGAGAAGATTGTTGTCGTTCGTGGTGTAAGAATTGAATAGAGGTTGGGAGGATAGCCGCGTGCAACCTAAGTAGAGATAGTGAAGACGCTGGGTGATTCTATATAAGACGCCGTTCAAGAACAATGAACGAGTGTCAGGGGAACTTGTCTCATACCGTTGTCTTGAGCATCTCTTTCACAACGAGACTTACGTTGCAATGTTTGAGACTCACGGCGGCCGAGACCGTATGCACATAGACCAGAATCTCACCATCTATATCAGTTCATATAAGGATGGTCGCCGGACGTGGCCATGTGGTCGGTCCACAAAGACAACTCACAGTGCCTGATGAATAGGAGAAGCTGTGGTGAGTAACCCGACTCGCAGATATCATGCGGTCTGCCAATGTAGAATTTGAAGCAGCTCGCAACAAGGTCTCGAAGCGAAGGCCATCAAACAGCAGCGCTGGTACACCCTAAAAGTAGAGCAGCTTACAGTGTATACCATTTTGGACCTGGTACCGTTCCGCGACTCCGGTCCTGGCCAATGATCCGGTCGAAAAAGCGTGCAAGATTCGTTGCTGGGACACGGCTGGGCGCCTTTATCCACAGCGTATGATCCCTGAGCTGAGATGATGGTTTGCTTAGCACGGAAGACGTGAAGCGCTGTGGCCGTGATAGAGTTCCACCATGACGAGCTGGTCCCCACGTAAAAGCAACATCATTGCGGGCAGGATCGAGCTCGAGAGTTGGCCAGAACACCTTTTAGAGTTGGCAGCTAGAGAGCTCGACGGTGGTACCGCTGCATCATCCAACATATAGCATAAGTACAAGTAGCTGGGTCGTGGTTGTTCTGTTTCTCGAAATATATTAAATCAAAAACCAATCTCATATACATTCATCTAATCTTACCTCTTCGATAAACATGGACAAGGTACGGACTGGACGGCTCTCATGCAAGCAGAAGTCGCAATGTTAATGTCTTCTTCGTCTCAGATCAAGGACATGGCCGGCAAGGCGAGCGGTGGCTCCAGCAGCGGGAACTCTAGCTCCAGCGGTGGCTCCTCGAACAGCGGCGTTGGCAAGGGCGTGGATATGGCTACTGACAAGGCCGGCTATGGTGACAAGGTGTGTACCGTCGGTGAGAAGCTTTGCATATGTTGAGACGTTACTGATCTTGTGAACAGTACGACGACAAGATCACCACGGGCATCGAGGTAAGCTTCCACACATATCTGTGTCCCTTGGATGTTCCAGAGATTAATGGATGTGCCTGTGCAGTCCCAGATGAACAAGAGCGGCAAGAAGTAGGAAGGGTTTATGACTTCAGCCAGGGTCGATCAGCATTGAACGAAATGGCATCCAATCGCTCGTCTGTATCTTTCAAAACGCTGTTAACGCTGTTACATTCGATGTCTGTTGTAGAAAAAAGGGATGGGCGGTGGGGGGGTCTGAACTCTGAGACCGCAACCCAGGGTCTTCGTCCACCGACGTCACCACTTTCATGTGAATACAGTTGCTCGTGAACGTCGATCTCGTGGTCTAGACCGTCGTGAATGTCGTCGTGGTAGAAGGTAGTTATGCTGTACATTCCATGCTGCAACAACCCCAGGAACAACGACACGAAACATGTCAGCACTCAAATCCAAACTCGCCTCCGCCGTCCCAACCGCCAGCAGCCCCTCCTCAAGTCCCCGCAACAGCGTCGACCTCAACGACAACAACTCCTCCAACGCCGCAGCAACAAGCATGGCGAAGAAAAAAGACGACCCAGACAAATACCGCCTTCTCGTGACCGCTGGTCCGTCGTACGACACCGCAACCCACAAACAAGTCTATGTCAACACGTCAACGCCTACACACGTCTCGAACGAGTTCCTCGACGCATCGATCAAGGTCCGAATACGCGGCTACCGAGGCCTGCCTTCTTCCAGCCCTTTGTCGTCACCGTACTTTGACGACCCGTTGCATGAGAAGGATCAATACTCGATTGGGTTCACGTTTGTGCCGAAGCAGGATCTACCGTCGAAAGATGTGGTCTGGGGCAATGACTTTGATCATCCTGTACGAGACAGATTGCCGCCGGGGGTGAATACGGCGTTCAAGATCGTGAAGGACTTTGTGGACCCGGGATTGGAGATGGATGCGTATGCTGATGAGCCGTGGCTTTATGGTCCAGCATTGTCGTGCTGGTTCGCTTTTCACATCGGTGATAAGGCTGGAGACGATCAAGGACAGCAGCCAGACAGGAAGGAGGAAGACGACGTCCTCCACGAGGGTGCCAGTGGCTCAGGCCAGGAGATACGGAAGAGCCTAAACCTCCCAGAAAATGCCGAGAAACGCCGCAAGCACTTCCTCTCAACATCCAACCGGGAAGCCCTCATGTTCGAGAAGGGCCGAACATACAGCGGAGACTTCTACAATCCTTATCTCGACTTCGGCAACTTCGCGCTTAAGCTGCCCGGGTTCAGCATCAAGGTGATCAAGTATATTGATGAGAAGAGCCATTCGCTGCGATATGTGTTCAAGAACAGGAAGACTGGAGACGTCTATTTCTGTGTGTCTCTGAATCTGTTGTGGGGCGAGCAGCTGGAGAAGGCAAGCAAAGAGGACGAAGAGGTGATTGGACGGTTCGCTGGTGCAGAGGTTGGAGCGAAGGCGGATAGGGGCGCCGCGGCTAAGGAGGAGACCAGAGAAGAGCCAGTGCGTGCGCCAGAAGTCAACGGGCACGCGGAACAGCGCGACTCCGACGAGTTGCCCAGCAAAAGTCCCCAATCTCAACCCGCGAGTGCTGCAGAGCCGAATCCGCCGCAAGCGGACGGGCCAGCTGAGGACGCTCCAGGCATGCGAGACAAGCCGGACCACGTTCAAGAAGAAGTGAGGAAGATGAGCATCTCCGACATGCTACAAGATACGTCGTCGAAGGACACCAAAGATGCACCCAAAGGAGGCGTCTTAGACGAGCTGGACTAAATTACTGCTATAGATCAGATGGAGGGGCATGGTTGACGCAGCGCTGATTTGTTTTATGACACCCGCATTCGGCGATAGAGCGTATGAAAGCACAGTGTCATAATGTTACATGTTCATATGCACAAGTAAGCAGAGCTTTGACGCCAACGCTCAAACGCAATAACAACCTGTCCTCTCATAGCATCGCCCGCCTCCAGGCCCTGTTCGCCAGCTCCTCGATCTCTCTAACCTCCACCGGGCCTTTCACCTTGTCATCATCCAGCCCTTCCACCACCGCCTCAGCTACCATATCAGCCTTCATCGGCTTAGCGCCGCCAGCACCCATCAGCCACGTTAAGTTGCCTCCAGTCAGGCTGTTCACCAAAAAGCCACCGTATGTCACAGCAGCCATCGGAATAGTAAAGCCACGACTGCTGTCGAACAAGAATCCAGGACGGATGAACAGACTCCTCATCTTCGGGAACTCAGACGAGATTGTAGATTCCGCCTCTCGCTTCGTCGAGATGTACCGTCCAGGCAGTATTGGTGCTCCGGCAGCTGCAGAGACATACGCGAAATCCTTCACTCCAGCCTTATCCGCCGCCTTCGCCAGTATGATCGCGGAGTCTCGATTCATAAGCTCATACGTCAACTGCCCGTCCTTCTCCCCTGCTTCCACGCCCCCGACATCACCGCTGTCCTCCATGGGATTGCGGTTGGCGCCCATCTTCGTGCTGGAGAAGGCGCGTCGCAGGCCGGATATTGGGTTCTCCTTGCCCGTCACTACACCTTTGTAGTCTGCTTCGAGTAGAATACCCATTGAGTGCACCACTGCTGTAGCGTCCTGTAGATCGGCGGCGTAGGTGGAGGGGTGGAGAATGTTGGCGCTGCGCCATGTTACGTTCTTGGACCAAGGAGGAGCGGTGGTGTGGGCGGAGACGGAGGGCCAGGAGGGTTCGCCGGAGCGGCTGGGGATGATATGAGTACGGACGCAATCAGGAGGTATGGGAAGAATGGGTGCCGTACCTACCTGATGCTCGTGACGTCCCAATCTCTGGCTACGGCGGCTTTGCAGATGCGGCTGCCCAGGAAGCCATTGCCGCCGCAGACGACCAGCTTCTTCTTCGCTACGGTGGAGGACATTGTGGTGTCGTTGGCTGATCTAAGTAACAGGAGATCATTGGAGGGCTCGACGTCGTCTTCATTTCGATCGAGCTCGGGCCCGCGAGATTGACATCACCTCGGATAGATCCGGGCAATGGACGCTAAGGAAAATGCGTTGCCTTCTTTTGGATGCCTTCTCCGAGGATGCTTCATCATTGCACAGCACTCTGTATCTTCATGCTCAAACTCTACGCTCGCAATATGAACAGCAGGCAGAACAGGATGTGTCATGTCTCTCCGGACGACTCCGATCTCAGCCACTCATGCTGACAACTGGCGAGGGTTGGAAAGGCGGTGTTGTTGCAGCAGACCATTACAATTGCTGATCGGTACACCGGGGATGGACCTGAACCTCAACCATTTAGGTGTATGCGATGCTCTAACCACGTCGTGGTCAAATTTGTCCCTTCTTGATGCTTCCTCTGCCAGCATTTGCGAAACATCTTCGAACTCCGAGGTTACCCTGGGAGTTGCAGCTCTACACACTGATCCAACAAACTCTTCCAAACCGTCTTGCTCTCACTGTCGATCGCTTCACCCGCTTGAGTTGTCAGAGTTGCTCTGTTTCCCACAATGATGAGCCCAGCTCTTGCCCTCGTTATCGCCACATTCAGCCTGCGAAGGTCGTTGACGAACCCGATGTCGTAGTGCGCGTTGCTTCGAACAGTACAGAACACGACGATATCTGCCTCACGGCCCTGATAGCCATCGATGCTGGAGACAGTGTAACCTGGTATGGCCTCCTTGAGCCGCTCCCGTTGAGCGGTGTACGGCGTAAGGATGGCAATATCTGGTTTTGGCTGTTCGGTTTTCTCGACCCGGCTGGAGTCTGCGCCGGCCGAAGCAGGCCTGCTAGGTGCAGTTGACAGGAGGGTGCAGATCCTCTTGCACACTTGTACTTGCCCGATATTCGACTTCGACTGCCGACCAATGTCTTCCGTACTCTCGACCTGGACGAACACCTTGCGAGCAGATTTCGGCCATGGGAACTGCGATGTTGGTAATGGTATCCGGCTCATCGCTTGAGCCGACTGTAGCTTCCCGTCATAGAAGGTATTCGAGCTGAAGGAACAGATGTCCGGGTGCATGCGGTATTGAGTGTCCAGCATGACCTTAGCAACCCCAGGTACATCCGGTCCTGTATAATGTCTCTCAAACAACGACACATTGAAGCCGGTCGTCTCTGCGTGCCTGCCAACAGTGGCACGGAGCTGCACATGGTCCCCAACAAGAATGGCACGCTGACAGCCTTTGGTCAAGGGTATCAAAGTCTCCGGTTCCGTTTGCTGAGATGCTTCGTCAACGAGAACGACGTCGAAGTCTTCTGTACGCAGCAGACCCAAGCCAGCGCCGGCACATGTAGTGAACACAAGGCGGCTTTGCTTCACACGCTTCTGCGCTTCGCGACGACCGCGGAAGCCTTCGGAGAGGTCTTTGCCTACCATCGCATCGCAGGTGTATGCCATCAGATCTGGTGAGACCTTTCGAACCTTTTAGAGTGTCAGAAATGTATGTTTCATCACAACAGGTCTCGTCACTTACGTCTGTTGAGACTCGAAGCGGCTTGTATGACAGCACTTCGGCATCATGGCCGGCAACGAGACGTCTCAGTATGTTGTCTACAGCATTGTGCGTCGGTGCTGTGATGAGGAACCGGGAATCTCGGAACGTTCGAAGCATCTCATGGATGATGGTCACGATGGTGTACGTCTTTCCCGTTCCTGGTGGTCCCCACAAGAACGTCAGAGGATGGCAAATTGCTGCGCTCAGCGCCTCGTTTTGGCTGTTGTTGAGAGTCTCACATTGAGCCTTTGGTACAGTTAGAGCTTCTTGTCTATCTGCTCGCTCATCTTTCGTAGTACTGCCGACGAGCCAACGATAGATCCCACAGCATGCGGACTTCTCGGCATAAAGTCGAGTCACGGCATCAAACATGGCTTTCGTTGTTGTAAAAGAGCCGCAGTGTCGGTAGCGCCAGCTACAGTCGGCCACGTATGGAGGGAGAGCATGCAGGCACCGAAAGCTCACGGATCCTTGGTCCGACCTAATGACGAGCGTGTCCAGAGTAGCTGGCTGCATTGCTGGAGCATTCTGAGGCGCATCGGAAGTAACCAAGCGAATGTGATCGCCGACCTTTGGTTGAGCTTCGGCAGCATCGATGCGGATGCTGGCCTTTACAACTTCATATCCATCACTCATGCCATTTCTGGTGAGGTTCAAGCTCAGCTTTGCAAGCTTCCCACCGTCCACAGCTTCGTCAATGTGGTTCATCGCAATGCCAGTGAGACTTTTCACCAACTGCTGGACGACAACTTCTGGCCCGTCTAGTAGCCTTGTCGATTCCGGCTCAAGGCATTCCAGCAGTATGTCCAGGGCGAACTCTGGCTCTCTCACCGTCAATGCCACTAGTTCAACAAGCTGCGAGAACGCTTGTATAGACATTTGCTCTGTCTCACATAGGACTATCCGGAATGGGTGCTTCACAAATACACCCAAAGAGTTGACGCTCAGAACCAGCTTTTCGAGCAAGAGGGGAAACACCGCATCGACGTCGTCCTTGAGTCTGTGTTTGAGCATCATGTAGGTTTCCGACTGAAGCACAGTGTCTACCAAGTATGGTGCGTCTAATAAGCAGAGCGCCATCGCCTGGACCAATGGCAATTTCTCTTCGACTCTGTCAACTGGCATAGTGGCCAGCAGTGTCACACAGAATTCTCGTAGGCGGACTTTCTGACCAGTAGTATTGAAGAGGCTCAGAACGTCCTGTAGCTCCTGCGTTGTCATGGAGTTGCTCACATCGGAGAGGTCTCCATGTCGAACGATTTTTGCAACGGTGGGCGTGTGGCCACTCCAGTCCACATCATTCAACGTCGGGACGCGGTACTCTTGATGTGATGACTGGAACAATGGCAGAACTTCTTGAGTATCAACATAATGAAGCCACTGATCGAGTACTCGCATGGACGCGACGTCTCTGTTGCTGATGACGTAGATCTCCTGAGCAGCATCAGCACACCGGACAGCTAGATCGTACGCAAACTCATACTCACCGCAGCCAGAACACCGGCTCGGTTCATCCGACCCACATGACTCCGAACTGATTCGTTGATCTTTTGGAGTGCTACACTTGCTCGGCAGTCAAAGTTGACCCCTTCATCGATCGTTTGCTGTTTGCGTCGCCTATGCTCACCCTGACCGGACGTCAGTCCAATTGCGGTGTTGTTGGTGGGACCTCTGGTAAGGAAGACGAAAGTGTTCCGGCGTTCGCCTTGATACAGCTGGAAGGACGTACGATCGCAGTATAGTCGGTAATTTGCCTTGGTGGGAGTAACATAACAAGGGGCGGAGGTGTGAGTAGTCGATCGTGGAACGGCAAAGATCCGTACGGAAGCATCGACTTGTACTTCCTTCTCTGCAGGTATCTGGTTTGGGATATAGATCATCAGTACGAGACGCTCGTCAGCTTGAATCATGATGAGCTTTTTGTGGAATAGCTCAGACGTGCGGCTTGCACTGTCAAGAAAACGGCCCATCCGATCACAACTTGACAAGAATACCGGTTTCCAATGCAAAGCCGAATGATCAAGACCGAACTGTTCAAGCTCAGCGGGCATTACAAGGTCTGACTGGAGAAGTCCGTTCAGAACAAGGTTTGGCTTGATCGTCTTTGAAGGGACTCGGCCCAAAAGCCAGGCTTTCTCTTCATCGCTAAGTGCTGCATAGTTGAACAGCGGAGAGTACGGTCCTGAATCCTCTAGCAACCGATCACATCGCCGCAGAACTAATTTGATGAGCTCGAACTCAGACAAAGCAAAGTGATCGCGATTGGCCAGAATGTCCATTAAGTCCTCTGAACTGTCAATACTTTCGAAATGACGGGCAGGTGTAGTATGCAGAGAATCCGTGGCAGCAGCATGCAGTTCGTCGAGGATGAAAGTTGCCACTTCTGCTGCTGGCTTGGGGAGCTTCTCGAGTTCAGGTGGAATCCTTATACGGTTGCCGTCAACGCATTGCGAAAACAGTCGGTTGAGTTGTTGGCACTCGTCGCTCATTGGTCCGCGCAGTCTGGCCCAGTCCAGATACAAATTCTTCACTCGTCCCAGAGAAGCGCTGGTGTATCCGGCAAAGAACTCGGCTCGTTCATCGTCGGTGATAAGTCCAAAGTGTATGCGCTCCCTCACTCCTGGATACTCAGCCGACTCCGCGATCTGTGTAGGAATGATATCAGGGTCCCACGTAACGAAGACTGGGAGGAACGTCAGTATTGCACAAGGACGAACGTCAAGTTCAACAAGATTCCGACTCACACTTGTCACCATCCAGGTCACCGCCCGACATCAGATCGGCACTTGGTCTCTTTCCACACACAGGAAACACGATACAGTCCACAAGATGTGAGAAGCCGGGGATGTCGACGACTCGAAACTTTTGCAAGTCTCCTGGATGCAAGCACGGATTTCGAGTGACCATGACCTCGGTGTTGATGATCGTTCTGGCCTCTCCAGTGGCATCGTCAGTGATGCGAACAAAGCATGTTCCCGGTTTCAGTCTGCCTCGCGCATCTCCCGTGCTGAATGGATCACAGACGCCAAAAAGTAGCCTTGAGTTGGGGATCATGATTCGGCAGCGCTGAACATCTCGTTTGCTGAGCATCTTGGCACGCTCCTGTCCTACCATCTTCTGCAATGATGGCATGACAGACTCAACACCGTCTATCAACAGTTTCTCAGCCAAGCCAATCTCACTCTGGTAGGACAGGAACCGGAAAGCTGCTCGCGGGTCTCCTCCAGAGACTTGATCCAAAAAGTGCAGGTATTCGGCTTGCTTCCGGTGGAGCATTTCCGCTGATATCCCGAGTGAGTGCAGGAGAAGTATCACTTCATCGTTCAAATAGCCAAATGAGTAAGGCTGCGAAGTCAGCCCGCCTGCGTGGCAAACTCTCAACGGTCAAGCTCACCTTCGAGCATTCCACAACCGAGAAAGAGTTGTCCGTTGCGGTGGTGAACTTCTTCATAGACTGCCGGAATTGTACCTGAAACTGTCCCTTCAGGCTGGGCGCCAGCGTGAGGACTCCCTTGTAGCCTTTGTAACGAATTTGGAAAACCGAAGGCAGATACCGCTTATTGCGGAACACGATATTGCGCCGTTGGACCACAGTCCTCGCTAATTGCTCCGAGATCAGTCCGCAGCCGTCCGTGAATGTGTAGTCTTGGAACACAACATCGTCGATGTCTTCGCAACGATCCGGGTCCAGCTGGACTGCCACCTCGGCAGTAGAGAAGAGCAGCCCGATCCGTTTGACCTTCTTCGCAACAGACTTCATCTTGGAGAAGTCACCGAGAGCCTCGACCATCACTGAAATCTCCGGTTTCGTGGCTGCAAACAGGAGGCAGGAACGCGATTTCAGTTGGCTGTTGGAATGGCCGAAGAAGCTGTAGTGAACATTGTTCAGCGAGATACCAGTCTTCAACAGCCCGGCCAGGTAACCTGCGGACTCGCGCCATGGTGCGAAAGTGATCTCCTGGTCCTCGGACTCTTTGGGCATGCGTAGCCTAAAGTTGGCGACGTTGAGAGCGAGAAACAAGTGCGCCTTGTAGAACCGTGTTATCCTGTTGGAGGTGAGGGTTTCGATCTTTAGTTCCGCATACTGCTCCTCCTTTGAAGAGACGAACGAGATGGACTTTGTTGCGCCTGCCTCATCCAGCTTTCCAGATGAGGGCAGGTTTGGGACCAAATATGTCCAGTTCTCGTCTGTGGGCAGAATCTCCTGCTGGAGGGTAGCTCGGAACGATTTCAGGCCAGACATCATGGACAATCATTGATGTGTCACGATGGACCATGATGGGAGAAGGAGTCGACCAGATTTCAAAGATTCGACCGTCCGTGGGGTCATGCAAGTTCATGTTACACAACATGAAGCTAGCAGGGGCAGCAAAGGGGAGCTCATAGCGAGCGGTTGCACTTGGTCTTCCTGTCCTCCGAGCTCGTTCAAACTATTCTTGTCATCAACGCGATGTCTAACGCGGCACCAAAGAACATCTTCATCATTGGCGCTCAGTGTACCGGCAAGACAACACTGGTGGAAGCTTTGGCCGACTTCTACGCAAGCAGACAGGTCGAACCCCCGCCCAAAATCGTTTCGGAAGTCGCACGTAACGTAATGCGGCGCGTCGATATTCATCGCCACGACATTGCCAACACGCCGGAACGTTGTCTCGTGTTGCAAGAAGCAATCATCCAAGCCCAGTACGATGCGGAATCGGATCTGGAAGTCCGCCGTTCCTGGTACATTTCTGATCGCTCTGGACTTGACCCAGTCGTCTACGCTCGACTTTTGGTGGGCGAGGAAGGGAAGCAGCGGCTGCTTGAGCTACCGACATATTCGATCCTCGAAGAGCGAATGAAGCAAGGACTGGTCTTCGTTTGCGAGGCCGGATGTTCTTGGCTTGTTGATGATGGAACGAGGCTGATGCCGAAAGATCAAGAAGAATGGCGTCGAATCGATCAAGCCTTCCGCCAGTTGCTGCAGGAGAGAGGCATTGAGTATGTATTGGTGCCGAGCAGTGTGGTGGGAATGCGCGATAGAGTTGACATCGTCGTTAAACATTTCTAAGAGCATTGTCACTAAGAGCACATGGCTGCGATCGGTTTCCAAGCCGTGGCCGATTAGCATACTTACCTTTTTGCAAGTCTTTGAGATTGTTGCTCGTGTACGTGGTAGGTGCAGAATCTCCCTAACCCCGAGATTGTCGAGTTTTTCTGACACGGGATAGGGTCCACCTTTGAAATCTCTACGCTTGAGACGCACGACCTAGAAGCCAACAATCTCAGCACATCGTGGGGACCGCAGACAGCCCACCATACGTTCTCTGAACGTGAAGCAGATGCGCAACTCAAAGCTGTGCCTACCGGTATCCTTCTCAGTAGTGCAAAAGGAGCTTGAGACTCGTTAGGGGGGATTAACCAGCTCTTCCCTGATCGTAGCTTCAAGGCGGCTGGGGAGTTTCTGACGGAGGTCTGAGCAGCTCGACGAGGCTGAATGGGTGTCATGAAGGTGTTCGAGCCTTGTCAGCTGCCAGATTATACTGGCCTTGAAGATTGTTTGTTGTTGACGGCTGCTACTAGGAGATAATCAACGATTTCGTCTTTACTAACTTTCTTCGCGACCTTATCAGTACCGGACTCGATGCAAGCCGAGGCAGCACTACGTCCTCAATCCGCACGGCCTTGAAATGTCGGTATTGTCCAACATGACAGTCACATCGATACGAGTGCGGTTTGCTTTGGTAGGGGATTCTGTTAGGACTTCGAAGGCAAACTTCATGATGTCATTGATTCGCAGTCTCAACCAACACGACAATTGACAATAGTGGCATCTTTAACCACAAACTAGTACAACCCTTGATTCTAAACCACAGAGCCATTTGCAAGACCCAACAGAACAATGACGGAAACAACACGAGACGTTCATCGGAATTATGAGCCAGCACCGGATCCAGAGGCACTCACAGGACGCCCGGACGGAGGCAACGATGTCGAAAAGAACGTCGACTACGAACCACATCCCGAGAAGTCTCTGCAGGTATCCGCTGAGCACCAAGCGATCATCAATGGCATCACGAACCTCTACGACGGGAGTTGCTCGGAGGAGGACATGAAGGTGTATGCGGAGAAGGCCATGTAAGTCCCATCGCCACCTGTCATCGCAAATCCAACTTCTAATGAGCATCCAGCTATGACGACCCCTGGAGCTACTGCGACACTCGCTACAAGATCGCAGGACAGTGGTGGGGTCTCCCTGTGGTATTCGCTAAGCTGCAGACGCACAAGACGGAAGTTGTCCTTGACAACGACAATGAGATCGTCTTCAAGATGCAGCATGAGTATACGCTCAAACCCAGCGCTCTGCATCTTTCGAAAGTGGTGAACAGTCTTGTCTGTTTGGGTCTGGACGAGAATGGCAAGGTGAAGTACCACAAAGAGAAATGGAATGAAAAGGACTACAGCCATGAAGGCTTGGGCAAAGCGATGAAGACGTTGAACGGCGACCAGTTGACGCACATCACGAAACCGCCGGAGTGGCTGTGAACGAATGACGATGAACCTGTTCGCCTCAGGGAGCGGATCCGCCTGTTCTGGACCGTCGGTCTTACGATGAGCCCAATCCCGCTGCGACAGGGTGGGCTTCCTCTGCAATCTACTTTGCTACGCTGGAAGGGGCACGCCGCCGGAGGCCCGCGATGGAGGAAACCACGCCTCTTACACGCACAGCAGAGGAGTTTGCCAACTGTCATGGTGGGCAACCACAGCAACGAACCCATCGATACTCATCACAGCTAGTGGAGTACGAACAGACATGAAGATGAACAACCTCAGAATTTATGAAGCGCTGATGGCATCACCGTATGCTACGGCTTTTGCTCCATGCCTGGATGCTGGCTTTGCATGTGTCTCGTCAGGTTGTCTTTTCTCATACCGAGGCCCTTCATCCCTTTTAGGTTCTTACAGCCATCGACAGGACAGGGGCATAGCGCGTCGTCGGAGTGTGAATCTTTGAGGTGTCGACGCCGGTCCTTGAAAAGTCCGAATCTTTCTCTGCATCCTGTGACTGAACAGGCGAACGGTCGCTCGTGCTTCGTCGTTACGTGCCTGCTGTTAAAGTGTCAGCTGTCGAAGTAAAGGAGAGCAGGATATCGTACTTGAGAAGCCAGAGCTTGGTGAAGGTCACAGAGCAATACCCACACTGCAACGGACCGTCTTCGTCTAGAGCGAGTCTGCGGCTGGTGCGCGCTGTCTGACCTGCGATCCGCACAGGAAGGAACCGGGATGCGTTCGGCAGGAGATTATCGAGGGCAGAGAGGACAAACTGAAACTTAGGCCACTCCGATGAGGTGGGATTGACAGTAATTGAAGCGTAGTCTTGGTGGTCGGGTAAAGGTCCTGCGTTACCGAGTTGGAGCCAGGAAGGATCAAGAACATCAAGATCGTGAGCGTACTTCGGTCTTGATGTTCGTGATCTTCTCCCGCTTGAGCTAGGATTCGGCGTCTGGGTCCTTCTCGAGAAATCGCTTGTGTTACTCTAGTCTCGAAAACGTGGCAAGATCCTGAATAATCGAGTGCCAACATCGATTGGCTATAGTGGCCAGCATCGAAGCAGAAGCGGTGAGATCTGTGGTTGGGTGCCAGTGCGTTAGACTGAACAAAATTGATGTTGATCGGAGGTGGACGACCGGTCAACTTTATGTTCCAAGTCAGCTCAAGCTTGACGTCTGTCATTGGCAATGGACGTACGTGCAGCTCGTCGTATAAGCCCTGCAGCTCAAAATTGGTAGGCCTCAAAGACTCACATTCTGATTGGCTTGCTGTTCTCGTACGCCATGTCGATGCTGGGTATGATCTTTCGCGAATGGTGTGCACAGTGCCGCTGTCTAGTCGGGATGGTAGGCCTCATTCCACAGCACCAATATACAACGGTAGGCTCTGGACGTACGGGAGTCCATGCAAGCCATCGTCAGATGCAACTTCCGTTGCACCTGTGAGCAGGATAAAGAGGCACTCGATGCCAGGCTCGGCTACCAGGCTCGACTAGCAGTGCTCACCATTCTCCCTTTGATTTGCCTCAACGCACAACATGGAGCCAGAACTAATCGACACAGTGTCAGCTTTGAAGTCATGTTTGTCCGATCTCCAACTTCCGGCAAGAGGGCCACCATCTCTGTACATGGACCTTGAAGACAATGACTTGTGCAGGGAAGGCACTCTGTCGCTCTTGGCTTTGTTGGTCGTTCCTCGCGATACCATTCACGTCATCGATGTGACGACTTTGGGCAAAGAAGCATTCGCGTCTCCGGGGTCGACACATACGCTGAAATCCATTCTGGAGTCCGAGAGTATCGTGAAGGTGTTCTTCGACATCAGCAACGATTCCGATGCTCTGTACAGCCACTTCGGTGTCCGCGTCGCCGGCATTCAGGACGTCCAGCTTATGGAGCTGGCCACCAGAGGCCACAACAAACGTTGCGTGAACGGCCTCGCCAGGTGCATTGAATCGGACGCTCAGCTCGGGTATGAAGAGAGGCGTGAATGGAGGGAAATGAAGAACAAAGGTCGCCGTCTGTTCGCGCCAGAATTGGGAGGAAGTTATGCAGTCTTCGACCGACGTCCGCTGGACTCCGAGATCATCAAGTACTGCGCTCAGGACGTACAGCTTCTGCCGAAGCTTCGCTCGATGTACTGTCAGCAGCTTTGCGATGCGTGGTGGCTCAAGATTAAGGAAGAGACTGAGGCTCGGATCCAGCTGTCGCAATCTCCAAAGTACAATGGCAAGGGTCGAAACATGACCCTTGGTCCTCCTGCGTGGTCCTCCTGGAGTCCTACGGTGGCTGAGCGAGGGATCCGGGTGTTGCTTGAACAACAAGACAAGCCTAACCATGAGGGAGAGGTGATGTCTGCCGCCGCAGCAGCCGGGCCATCGGAGGCAGAGGGAAGTCCAGGACAACCCACCAGCGAAGCATCGGATACAGAGCTAGGACCGATCGCTCGTGCGTTGCAGGAGATGAGGAGCACGTCTGAGCGAAGTAATTCCAGCGATGGTGAAGACGACGAATACGGCTATCGCCATGGCTATATGAGCCCAGGAAGAGCATACAGCTATGACAGCGGTGATGGGACCGGTCCAGATTTGACGGCCTGTGACAAAGAATGCGGATACTGTGGCCACTGTCCGTACTAACTAGTTTGCTGCTCCGAAGGATAGAGGGAAGCAAAGCAGTATTGTAACCAGACATACGTACCAAATGAATCGCTTCGGGCTGTCCGATTGAACATTGTTTCACAACCTTCGATACTAACCATCGAGTCGTGAGCAATGAGAAGATGAGGTTGCCGGGCAAGATCCGCTCCACCCCTCACCTCCGCCACCGCCCCCGCGCCGCCACCCGCTCAACCGTGCACACAGTCTCGACTTCATCTCCTCAATGCGACTCTTCTCTTATCTAGCACACCCACCACGCCCACACCTTACACTCTGTATGGTCTGCACCGCATGAACTCTATCCTGCCTAGATGGGCCAAGATTGCGATGTGATGAACTTCATACTTGGCAAACCCACTCACGATGCCCTCTTGCATTGTCGGCCCTTCCGAGGTGATTCATTCCAACCAACCTCCTGGAGTGCACCTGTCGAAGGTACATAAATGCCCAGCCAGGCACGCTATGCAGCGTTCTTGGAAGCGGAACTCGTTCTACATATGGCAGGTGTTAAGAAATATGCATATGACCTCAGAGGAGGCAGGAGATAAGTGCGGCAGGCCTAAATGTACGATGTGCGAGGTATAAGTATGGAGAGATCATCTGGTTTTGATGGCTGCTTCCGGTCAGTCTATCGTTGTGGCATATTCTTCTTCCTGTCGAAATGAAGCTCTCTTTGGCACTCTTCCTTCCTGCGCTGGCTGAAGCAGCGAAATACAGTCCCCATGACTATGCCAGTGGCAGAGTACATCACATGAGCATGAACAGGAAGGAGGCTGTGTGGGCGCAGCAGCGTGCAGCTGGTGACTTCGACAGCTGGAAGTGGCCTTCATGGGACCGTGTCCGAGGCAGACATGGACCCAAGTACAAGCGAGATTATGTGAAGTGTGTCAACGGGTATGCTGTAGTTGAGCAGGGCAACCCGAACCAGACATTCGCCTGCAATAATGTTAGTACTTTGCCACCGAGAAATGAAGGAACGGCCCACTGACAGCAGCACAGGTCGATATGTACGACTTCAAATCTCACGCCGACCTTGGATCCTGGGCTGGCGAAGGCAGCGACACATGGGGCTGGGTCGCTGACGATGGACGAGAGTTCATCGCCATCGGACAAGCTGATGGAACAGCTTTCTGTGAGATCAACAGCCGTGGAAAGCTCATATACCTCGGACGACTTCCGCAGCAGAGTGTCTCATCCATCTGGCGTGACATCAAAGGCTACAAGAACTACATTGTTGTTGGGTCAGAAGCGGAAGGCCACGGCGTCCAGATCTTCGACATGACGAAGCTTCTCGACATCAACCCAAGCTCTCCAAAGAACTTCTCTACCACGGCGGATCTGACTGGATGGTTTAGTGGACTGCCGTCCGGCCGTAGCCACAATCTTGTCGCCCACGAAGAGAAAGACTACATAGTCGCCGTTGGTGCGCAGCCACGGAACGACACTTGCCGGAGCGGTCTCATCTTCATCGACATGACTGATCCAGCCAGTCCAACCTCTTCTGGCTGTGCAGCTCAAGACGGCTACAGCCACGACGCGCAATGCGTAACATACAGAGGTCCAGACAAACGCTACGAGGGGCGTGATATCTGCTACAGTTTCAACGAAGACACGTTCACCATCTACGATGTCACTGACCGCTCCTCGGGAACCAACACATCCAGCGTCATCTCTCGCACGCCATACTACGGAGCAACGTACACCCATCAAGGATGGCTCCTTGACGAATCATGGCAGGAGTTCCTCTTTTCAGACGACGAACTGGACGAGCTCGACGAGGTTGAGCCTGGTGCAGATGGCCACTCTGTGATGTACATCTGGGATATCCGCGACTTGGCAGCGCCGAAGAACACTGGATACTATAAAGCCCAGGCCCGCAGCATCGACCACAACCTCTACGTCCACAACGGTCTGGCTTACCAATCGAACTATGGGTCCGGCCTGAGAGTGCTTGATGTCTCGGGCGTCCCGGATGATCCCACTGGCGGCAACATCGAGGAAGTGGCATTCTTCGACATCTACCCTGAGGACGATTCTGCTGGTGGGCTCGTTGAGTTCGTTGGCACATGGTCGAACTACCTCTTTCCGTCCGGCTATGTCTTCGTCAACAGCATTGAGAGGGGCGGCTTCGTCTTGAAGATGAACAACCATCGTGGCAAAGCATTTGGAAAGAAGTGGCCGAGGAGGTGAGCCTTCTGAGCCATAGACGAGAAGCAGGAAGTACTGTACATCATCATATAGCAGCTCACGAAACTGAATTGAACTACTCAATACCGCCTTCCTTCATCTCCATGCAGCTGATAGACTTCCGTGCTGTTGAGCAGATGTGGCCGTGATTGCCCATTCAGCTCACCCAACCCTTCTCTTTCTCTAGCCTCGATGCCGACTCCGTCTTTAGCACGCAGCGAGACATCGCCAGCATATCCGTTTTGATATCTGGACAAGGCATCGCGGTCGGCTTTGCGCACAAACCAGCCTTTTCGAACGCCTATGTAAAGGCCAGCCGCAACTAGAAGCAGGAGGACGACAATCGGGACGGCGACGGCGACAGTGACAGTCGTCGTCGTGACACCTCCTGTACTTTCAGACGTGGTGTCGGCATTCGGCTGCTCGTCGTCGTTGCTGGAGGTCTCCTGTGCGTCATTGCCGGTAGACATATCTGCAGGGTGATCAGTGAAGGTCAACCTCATGCAGCTTGTTCCAACTCACAGCTCCCATTTGCCGGCCTCTGCAAGCCGTGATCTACCGGACACCGCGAATCTGTGTCAATGCCACCATCATCCGGATTGATAATGGTGAAGTATCCGGAGTAGGCGAAGTCAGTCCATACTTTGAGGTAAATGGAGTAGTTGCAGGCGGATGGTGCGTCGGAGGAGATATCTGCCATCCAGTCCAGTGTGCCATTGTTCCTTGCATCAGCTGCGGACAGTAAGTCGCTTAGCACATTTCAAAAGCTAGTCTTGGTCGCGCTACTTACAAGCCGCGGTCTCGATAGTAGTGAGGTTATCCGGGTTAGAGCCTGAGACCAGAGCGACAATGACAGGACGATCTTTGAGTTCATCGGGAACAGTCCATCGGATGGGGATGAGCTTGTCGTCGAAGCTGTACTCCGGAAGAACGATCGTATCACCCGCCTTGGGTCTGGTCACCTCGAATCCATTGTCACGGCGCACACGGGCTGCGGTTGCGCGGCTCGCTTGAGCAAATATAAGAGAGGCTGCGAGGAGTGAGGGCAAAAGATGGTGATGCATAGTTCTTTCGTGTTTTGAACCGTTGGACGCTTGTGTAGTGAAGAGGGAACGCTGCGGTGGCGAATTGTTGTCGAGTTCCTACCTCTGCATACCAGCACACGGGGGGGAGTGCTCTATCCAGAGCAGGGCGCAGCGGGAGAAGTCAGTAGGATTCGGGTCTCCTGAGCATCTCTGTTTAGATCTTGGCTTTCGGTTGTGCAGCCTTGTTGTTATCTGGATGATGGAGGAGTCCTCCTCGTTCATACCGAACTGCGAGCTTATACTGTCGACGAAAGTGCTGCTTGTTGAGACCAATCCAGTTACAAACCAGGCCTATTATGCATTCACAATGCCCTCCAGGACTTCCATCAGCATCGTGGCAGTCTCGAGACAGCGGTTGAAGTGAATGCTGGGCGTTGCATGGCATTTGCTTGTCCCTCGGTAGGCGTGGCTGGTACATCTGGACAATCTCGTTCGTGCAACCCAGGCAGCCGGGCTATGTACGTTGAATCGTTTGTCTCGAAGAGAACGCAAGTCAGAATGGAGACGGCGCGCTGAGACCTTGTATAATGGGAGGAAGAAGAGGAGAGGTTGCTTCGAGGGGCCAGCGTCAGGACATGCCCATCCCGAAGCTCTGTCGACGGACCTCATCTCTTCCTCATGGGAGTACTTTCGAATTTTCATACCTGCCTTTGGAAAACATAGAGCTACCGCGCGGTCCTGATCAATCCGATTGTTGCCGTGAGCACCACCGTGTACCTAGGCACTCAACGTATACATCAGCACGACTTTGTATTACTCGCTTCTGGTCACCGCGCCATTGGGGACTGAACGTTCTCCTGAACGACACATGTGTCATCTTCCTTCGAACTGCACCCTTGGAAATAGAGCAAAGGCGGCTCTTCTGCGGACTTGTTTCAGACCAGTGGCCCACCTTTGAAATGGCTTCTCCGGCGGGAGCAGTGCGAGTAGCGATCCTGGGTTGCGGTTGGTATCAACTACTCTTTCGCTTCTCTTTCTGTATCATTGATCCGTCGACCAGGCTCTATGGGCACATCTCTACTGCAAGGATTCCTGCGGAAGCGTACGACTCCAGTAAGCTTATCACTTCAACTGGCCGCATGCACTCGAACGCAACAATCCTTCGACCGCCTGCGCGCAACTCTAGGCAACGACAGTAAGGCCATCGATCTTGGATTTGGGAATCATGCGAAAGACATGGCCGAGAGTGCAGATGTGATTGTGCTGGGCTGCCGGAAAGAAGACCTCTCCGCAGCGCTGAACACTGTCCAACCAGGCCGCTCATATGCGAACAAAACAATCGTCAGTCTCATGGCCGGCTTCTCTTCCGCTGAGCTTCAGCAGGCGCTCACTGAAAGCGGTGCTCCAGCAGAAACGGCAATCGTACGAGTCATACCCAGCTTCGCAGCACGCACATGCACATCCGTCTCCTTGCTCGCAAGCCCGGCCGCGGTGAGCCAGAGGAGAATCGACATCGTGACACAGATCTTCGAGCAAGTAGGCTCAGTGCTTCAGGTGGACGAGGATCTCTTGACGAAGGGAGTCGCAATCGGATCAGCATGTCATGCCCTTGCAGTCACGGCTGTGGATTCCATGACCGATGCCGGGGTTTGCGAAGGCATCCCGAGATCGACAGCTGCTGCGCTTGCTGCGCAGTTTCTCCGAAGTGCTGCTGGACTGATGGCTGACGGGATGTCGCCGGAGGAGCTGAAGTCTGCACTGTCAACGCCGAAGGGTATCACATTGAATGCAGTAGCGGAGCTTGATAGGGGAGGAACGCGGAGAGCAGTCATCGATGCTGGAAGAGGTGCGGTAAAGTACGCGGAATCGATGTAGATGGGATTGAGGCATTGTAGGCAAGACGTCCGCTCCCTTTTCTGTGATCATAGAAAACGCACAACGTGCGTGCTCCGTGAGCTGTCAGAACACTTTGTCACACTTTGTGTCTTCATTTTCGTATTCGTCTCTCGCAAGCTCAATCAGGAAGACCAAGCAACACAGCCAGACATCCTCAGTCATCTTAGATGCAAATATCCCAGCCTCCTCTACCTCACTGCTCCGACGCTTTCAGAGGAGGGACGACCGGGTCAAACATAAACCGACACCTATAGCTCGCCAAAGCACCTGTCCACCCGTCCGACGACCGAATATCACTCGTCCCTGGATACGAGACGTCGGCACTGTTACCTTGGCACCCTGGCTCGCTGTATCTTGACGTCAGCCCCTCGCCCACGGGATACACGTGACAACGTACGAGTAAACCGTGCAACCCGGTCCGTAATCCGCTCCGATGCTCTGGGCGTGCGCGAAGTTCGAGGGAATGGCGTAGCATGTTGCTGCGATCAATTCATGTTGGAAGTAGGTGCAAGAGCCAGACCAGTTGGCGCCAGTGCAGATGTACAGAGAGCCGGGGTTGTCTCGGGTATGAAGAGTCATTGGAGCTGCTGTGGTGAACGAGCAGACGGCCGCGACCGCCGCTATGATAAAGACGGGTGGACGCCGCATTGTTGATTGTGGGTTGGTGGTTGTGTGCTTTACTGAAGGGTGAGTTGCGGATAGCCGCAGGTCGAGGGAGTCAGTTGGGACGTACTCGATTGATATTGTGCTTTGGAGCTCTGGTTGAACTGGGTCGTCAGTGCTCTTAATTGTTGTTATTTGAGCCCGGGTGAGTCAGTTGTGGTATTCTCTCGTAACTGTGAACACCAGAGAACTCGCTCGCCTTTCACTGTCGCCTCCATGTGAAGGAGCTGAGAAAAGATCATGTGGCTACCAGTACACAACGCTATGTCCAGGTGACTTCACTTCGTAACACAGATCGTAGAGATCTGGCATTAGCGTTGTACAAGGTGAGGTTGAATCTTGGTTGATTTGATGCTGTGTTATTTGTGATATGCTCGAGTCCTGCAACACATGTGCAATCATTGGAAAATCAGCTTCTATGGCCCTACGACCAAGCTGAGCCAGACTCACGAGCAGGACCACATGTCTGACAGTGACATCCGCTGGTCACCGGACGCGCACATCAAGAGATCTTTGCTTGAACATAACCCCAGCTGTCGCGAGAAGGCTGTGTCATTCCAACAACTCGCTGTCGTTGCTGCAACTACTCTGAGTCTTCCTTGAGCAACGTGCCTAAAAGCCACGACGACCTTCGCCTACTCCCGCTGCTGTGGTCTCCGTTTCGCGATGGCAATTCTGACAAGCTTCCTTCTGCTCGCCACTGTGACCCAGGCAACACCAAGCCCATCCCTCCAGCGCCGCGGTGCCCCAGGAGGCGTCTACTTCTGCTCCGAGCCAAACTGGTCAGGTGATTGTTGGTGGCTACCGCCAATGCGTAAAGTCTGGGTTAAGCCTTGGGTATGCAGAACGACATTGCCAGGATACCTCGGACAATTCGAGTCTTTCGGCCCAGATGAAGGAGCATGGTGTTCCATATACGAGTACATATTATTGCCATTGTCCTCGCATTTCATGCGAAATGAGCTAATTCCAATTCGATAGCCAAGTGTGGTGCCAGGGTAACTGGACCACATTCGCCACTCCAGGAGCCAACGACCTTCCAGCGCATGGATGGGAAAAAGGCAGGCCGAAGAGCTATCTCTGCTGGGTTTACGACAACGCCACGGCGAGTGATGCGCCGACGGGTGCCGAACCGGCGCATGCTAGACCGGCGGATGCCGATATCGAGCGATAGGAACCTGTGGCCAGGGGTGGACGGTGGAGGGGAGCTCTTACGACCGAGATGAAGACCAGAAGGGAGTGGAGGGGTTGTCTTCCAGCCAGCCATATATGACGGTCTGCTTGTCTGAAGGCATACATCACCATATTAAAGCCTCACCGTGTCCTTGAAGGCCTCCTGCGATCACTCTCGTACCCATCATCATCCGGCGCACGCAGCCTAGAACTCCTCCTCGAGCTTCTACCGGATCTCGAGGGAGGCGGCTCGATACGCCTTGGAGCTCGAGAAGACGATCGTGACCGCACCATGCCGGGAGCATATCCAATCCTTCTTGAGTCGGACGCCAGGGAATATTCATCCTCAGACTCTTGCTCCAGATCCAACTTCGCCTCTGCCTTGCGCCTGGCGGCCTTCGCTCGCTCGAAGTCTTTCCTCCTTTGCCTGTCATAAGCCTTGTCTCGCTGCGCACTCTTCTCGGTCTGCCACATCTGAAGCACACCTGCTGCAACCTGCAGAAGACCGATCACAATGGCGGCTTTGCCAATCGTATCGTATCTCGAGCTGCCTTCTTTGCTGTCTTTGCGTCCTTTGTCGTGATAGGACCGCCTGCTTGAGCGTCCGCCATCGGAGGAAGGACGCGCTCTTGGTCTTCGTCCTCGTCTTGAGTGTCTGTCGTCGATCGCGGGCGAGGAGTCGTCGCTCTCGTAGTGTGGCATTCTTTCGTAGGTTTAGAGTGGGAAGGTGACAGAAGAGGAGAAGACTTAAGTTGCTGAGGCTGATCTGTCATACTGGCCTCAAGGCTCGCCGCCCACACTGCAGCATTCCCTGATGTCCAGCCTTGAAGGCAGTAAAGAAGGCAGTGGAACGGTGCTATGAGTGGCGTCACACGGCTTGGCTGGGGCTTAGACAGCGGGTGAGGTCCAGTGCTGTCTCAGACTTCATACCACGCCTCACTTGAAGACTTCCTAAATAGTCTGAGACAAGCGTTGGAATGATTCCGCCCTCAACAGTCAGCAACTCGACCTCCCACTCCCATTGAAGCTATAAACAGCCATACCATTGAGCGCATAGTATCAGTAGATGTTGCTTGTCCCAGCATCAACGTTCGCCATATTCACTGTCGTTCTGCTGTCTATCCAACAGTTCTCCGCTCATCCACCTGGAAATATCCTTCAGCCAATGCTGCAGCGCCTGGGCCAATTGACCAAGGCTGTCCAACCACCTGCCAACCGCGCCATGTCTACGAGTAGCCTCCCGTCGTCCTGGCATGCCGGACCGGACGATTCGTTCCACGGCAAGATCACCTCCGAGGGACCCTTTAAGCCCGAGAAGAATCGATATCATCTCATTATCGGCTTGTTCTGTCCCTTTGCCCATCGAGCGAACTTCATGCTGCATCTGAAGCAGCTGGACAAGTACGCTGGCATCGAGACGAGTATCGTGAAGCCGTACCCGAAGGGCGACGACAAAGGCTGGCCAGGATGGCAATACAACTTGGAAAACGATAAAGAGGGGTGGTACGAGGGTGCAACGGTGGACAAGCTTTATGGCAGCAAGTATCTGCATGAACTGTACTTCAAGGCCGACAAAGACTACAAGGGCAGGTACAGCGTGCCTGTGCTCTGGGACAAGAAGCTCGATACAATTGTCAATAACGAGTCATTGGAGTTGTTGAGAGATTTGCAGACCGCTTTCAACAGCCTGCTGCCCAAGGAGCTTGCCGATATCGATCTGTATCCTGAAGACCTCCGCGCAGATATTGACCGAATTGGCGAGTGGATGCAGCGCGACCTCAATAGTGGTGTCTACAAAGGTACACTACGAAGTCCCTTACTTCCTTGGACAAGTGTCAGAGTACTCACGAGTAACAGCTGGCTTTGCGCCTGACCAAGAGACCTATGAGAAGAACCTACCTCCCGTGTTTGCTGCGCTGAATAAACTGGAGAAGATTGCCCACAGCAACGGCGGTCCCTTTCTGCTTGGCTCTCGACAGACTGAGCTTGACGTTCGAGCTTTTGCCACCATAGTGAGGTTCGATACTGTACGGCGAGACCTTTATGATTGGAGTATGTGACACGCTGACATGTTGTCATAGATATACGTAGAGCACTTCAAGTGCAACCTCGGGATGATCCGGTACTCGTATCCTGTACTGCACAACTGGTTGAAGTTCGTGTACTGGGAGCACGATGCGTACAAGAACACGACAGACTTCCGGCACATCAAGGAAAACTATACGAAGAGCCACCATGATATCAATCCCAAGGCCATCACCCCTGTGGGTCCTTGGCCGAATATGGAGAAGGGTTATGAACTCGACTGGAGCCGGGTCAAGCCAGGAGATATTGACATGCCTGAGGTACTTGAGCATGAGAAGACATTGCATTAAGGTTGCACATTGCTGCTGTAAGGCGCCTGGAAAGCTATATCGAATGGTCTTTATCATCAAGCGTGCGGCTTTCATCTCGTCTGACACGGCACGATCGAGCTCGAGCATGAGCAAGACGTGATTCATCAGAGCTTCTATCGGCGTGCATCGACATGCTATATTGGACGGTGCCCCATTGTGCGGCAAAACCTCGCCTTCCCGGTCCGCGACGCCGTTGTTCGGGAAAACCAGCAACGCAACTTTTGTGCTGGAGACTGGCATGCGCTTCCATAACTCCATGCGTGGAGAACGGCGACTTGCGACAGGACGACAAGGTCGGGTCGCTCAGTTCGAGAAGCTGTCTTCGCTCATGGCGCAGTCTTAAGACGCTGCGAATGGAGAGTGACAGATGGAGGGAGTGGAGAGAGGAGAGCAATAAGGCGCGTGATGCTGAGAAGGAGGGTATGGCTGCGGAAGGCAGTGGTAGAAGAGCAATGGGCCTGGTTAGACTACCTACCTAGACTTTCTTCTGTCTTTCGGTCACTCGCTTAGACTACAAGATCGATGATGAGAGTCTCCGGCCAGAATGCGTTTCCGATCGTCTCCCGTGCTCTCATGTCTGTTCTTCGAGTGTCTGGCAAGAGCTGACGTTGCTCGAAACTCAATGAAATATCCAACGCACCTCGGACTACCCCGCCACTCACATTTGACAACTCGCAGGTCGCAGCTGCCTCGGCACGCAGTGATAAAAACATTCAACCCCAGAGGTTACTGAAGGAGGCGAACAACGGTCGATCGTCGACCTTACAGTACGCTCAACATACAGTCAGGTGTGCAGTCCAGACTCGGCGAAGTTCAAAGCACCTTTCCGTAACAGCAGTCTAATCTGAGCCGTGCCCTCCTCAACCATGTCTACCACCCGAGCTCCACCGAACAATATAGTCTACTTCCACTACCACGCTTCTCCCTACGCCCGCCGCGTCGCCTGGTACCTCGCCTTCCGCCGCATCGCCTACGCAGAATGCGTGAGCAATTTCCTCAACCCCACCGCAACCGTAAACGTTCGCACTCCTACTGACCCTCTCCCAGATCCAACCCCCCATAATGCCCCGCCCCGACCTCGCCGCCTTGGGCGTCCACTACAGACGCACTCCCACCATGGCAATCGGCCGAGACGTCTACCTCGACTCGCGCGCCATCATCGCTCGCTTGGAGCAGCTCTTCCCTCCATCCACCGAGCATCCGGCATTCTCGACAGCAGAGATGATGGGCCTAGCGAAGTTACTCGAGAAATTCGTGGTAGATGCTAGTTTGTTCGTGCACGCGACGACGATCATGCCGCCGGATCTGCCGGTCTTCAAGGATGAGAAGTTCTTGAAGGATCGAGCGGGGTTCTTTGGGGGAAAGGGGATGAAGGAGGGGATTAAGGAGAGGAGGGGTGCGGGGTTGGTGCATGTGAGGCAGTGTTTTGATGTGGTGGAGAATTTGGTGGGGGATGGGAGGGAATGGGTGGGTGGCGGGGATAGGGTTACTTTGGCGGATTTGGAAGGTAAGGAGAGTGGAGAGGAATGTTTTGATGGAGACGCTTACTCGAGGGTAGGGGTGTGGTGCATTGACTGGATTTTGAGAGATCTGTCGCCGCCGAAGGAGTATTTCTCTGAAGAGATATATCCAAAGACCTACGCTTGGAGGGCGAGGTTCATGGCTGAGCTCGAGGGAGCCAAATCGCAGGCGCCGAAGCCAGTGAGACTGCAAGGTCCCGATGCTGTCAAGGCTGTGCTCAACGCGGATTTCTCGAACAAGCGCATTGAGGTGGATGCTGCAGATCCAATCCATATCGCAGCTGGCACGAATGTCGAGCTCTACCCGACAGACAGTGGAGGCCAGATGCATAGGGACCGAGGACGGCTCATCAAACTGACCAAGGACGAGGTCGCGATCGCGGTCCAGTCGCAGGACGGCAGCACTGAGGTGCATATACATGCTCCGAGGTGGAATTTCAAGATTGCCGAGTTGAGTGGATCGAAGCTGTAAAGTAGTAGTGGTGTTTCCGTTCCTTCAGGCGGCAGGTCAGCATGAATTGAAAGTACTACTTTCGACTTGGACATATGTTGCGAGTCGGCGGGCTTGTCGTGCCCAGTAGAAGCCGCCTAGGTGCTGTTCAGAGCCTCCAGAAGGCCTGTGGAAGTCGCAGATTCGACTATTTCAATCCACTGCACCGCCGCTGGTTTCGGCGAGATGCATCACGGAGGGTCGCATATCCCGTCCAACGTTAGACACGTGGGCTGATGCCAGAGGTTCATGTCGTGTAATCTCAGTCTGGTCACACCGGAGATGTCGGAGGCAGTCTGCCAGCACTTCGCCAGTGATGCGAGTCGATGAGTGAAGTGCTCGTGCGGATTGTGGTGCTGTCGCTGAGAGGCAAGCGATGTGCAGCTTCACTTCCTCCAGTGGTCTGCAATGCACGTGCTAGAGGCCTCTACGCCCCGTGTACACCATCGCGGTGACAAATGGTAGCTGCCCACGTGGATGCTGTGCACTGGCGGATGTAGGGGGTGCAGCTGTCTGATGCTGTGTCCTTCGCCATAGGCTTTGAATAAAGCTGCTGAACATAATAGGACTTGCGAAGATGAGATGGGTATGGAGACCTTGCGGACCGAACGGCTTCTCGTTCTGGAAGGTGTCCTTGCTCGATACCGAACAAACCTGAGGCTCATCTGGTGTCTGCAAGAAGCCGGTGTGAATGTAAGAGGCTGAGATGCCACTGGCCAGAACACCCAGTCATGCATGAGACTTAGGTACATGGCGTGTTGCTCGTGCCCAGTAGCAAGACGAGCAGGGCAGAGGTTGGGCATCAAGCCATGACCCGGTGCCACGTCGCAGCAGTCTAGCTGCCGCCACCCACGGAGTTGCTGGCTTTGCTGCAGCACCGTCATGCTCGCACCGTGCCAGGAGTCTTTCATCTGTCCGCCCCTGCCCATCATCTCTCACAACTTGACATTTGGTGCTTTCTCAGAGCGAAAGGCACATCGAAGAAAGGGAGAGCCTGGAAGAGTCTATCGTCGATCACATTTCCAACCCGCTCAACTGCAGCCAATCACCGGAGACAACGTCCATCTCAGCCCAAGCTAGACCCAGACGAGGCAGTCACGCCCCACGAGCCGCGCCTGCCTTTCGCAAGTGGTGTCCCGCACTTGCCAGCAATCTGCAAACTTCAACCCTTTCTTCCCACCTCACTTCTGCTGCGACACCACCACCACCACCTCTCTACACCAGACTCTGTACCATTGCCAGGGTTACATGATCGCGCGGCCATATCGCCTGACTTGACTACTGCCCGCCGAAGGAGTATACTGCCACAGGACTACACGCCCGTTGAGGAGACGCAGACCTGCCCCAAGGCTGCCCATCTGGACACTCTTCCTTCCACTCAGGATCAGTATCATATCGGACCACCATTGTAATCAGGACATCCATACCGTTTCTGCCAGGTTTTAGGATCGTACTTGGCGTGACCATCGCCGGACAGGAGTCGCACCATTTGTTTGCAGAATTTGCGCCCGCCTAGCCCAGCATGCCAGCACAACAGGAGCTTGCCCGCCAGTGGTTCATTCCAGGGGACGGTATTGACCGTCATGTGATCTCCGCGGACATTCAGCGATATTTAGGAAATGATGCGACGGTTCGACCTGGGCGCGGTACCGAGCGCAACAATGAGGTCAGCCTGACCTGGATGCCGTGGCATTGTATGCATGTACTTACCTTTTACAGGGCGTAGAAGGATACTGGATCAGAGCGTACCGCAATCTGACATCTGTATGCGATGGTCGCAAACCACCTCCCTACCAACGTCCTGCTAATGCCCCCCATACAGGCCATGATATCAGATCTGCGTGCAGATTCTGCTCGATGGAGACAAGAGAAAGCAGCGACAGGTGGAAGAGGTAGCAGCAGCCCATCAGATTCGAACACGTCAGGGATCACAGTACCTGACTTGCTTCCAGAACCCTATGTTGGGTCCCAGACCTACGAACGTGGAAACGCTTCACAGTCTGTTCGAAGACGTGACGCGGACTCTCCTTCTCTTGGGGACGGAGCTTACGGTGTGCCACCCACCCGTTCTGGTCGAGGCCAAGGCGATGCGATGCAGATCGACCCGCCTGCACCTCAGCAACATGCAGACAGAGGTAGGTATGGACAGCCGTCCCACCCGACCCGCGGCGGATACCAGACCCCGGATAGCGGAGCCTACCCTGCTCCAGGACGGGATCGCTACCCTGACAATGGAAGGGCTGAACCTGGAAGGCCCACTGGAGGCAGACCTGCCTACCAAGAGGATCAGACCATGTCGGATGCTTATGGACGTCCACCTGTTTCTCAAGCCTTCGGTCAGGATACCAGGTATGGCGCCCCTCCGCCTGCCAACGACGGTGCGCCACCCGGCTACGTGAGGCAGGGCGACTATTTTGTGCCCGTATCTGGCTACGGACAGCCGAATGTGATGACACCCACCAGTAGACCCGAGCCCCAGCAGTACATACCTGGTTATGGCCAACCGGTCGAGCCGCAGAGAGATGCTCGCGGCGGCCGAGGAGACATCCGTGGAGACCCTCGTGGCGTGGACCCGCGTGATCCTAGATATGGCCAAGGAGATTATGATGCTTCCCGCTACTATCCAAGCCCGGCCACCACTGCTGCCTCTGTCAACACCCGGGAAACCATCTCAAGTCCTCCGGTGCAAAGGTTCGCACGTCTTTCTGGCTCTCCCGCCCTGCAAGATGCTGACCATCACAGTCAATATGGCGGCATGCCTGTGCAGTACGACCAGTACGGTCGACGTAAGTATCCTGCCGCCCCTTCAGCGGGTTCCAGGACTGACGGGTACGGGCCAGCTGTCCAACAGCCAGGAGCGCCATATGGAGCGCCGGAGCCCGTCTACGCTCAGACAAGGGAGACCCGGGATACTCGGGAGCCAGCTTATGGACGTCAAGCGCCACCTGTTGCCGGTGGTGATCGCGACCGGGATACACGCCGTCGCAGGCTGCATTGATCTATGAGCCTTTGGGATGCTTCTACTTGCGCCACATGCGGGATCTAGGTGGACTGTCACCTCTTCAAGGATCACTCGGGATGTTTGACCTTTGGCTTGATTGTCTATCCCGTCTGGATTTACCCGATCATGACACTGCTGGCAAGCAGTATCGACTAAGACCATGTTCATGGCACAAGCAGTCCGCATGACGCCATCTTCTCCACTTCGGATGCCCATAACTGGGAGACTGCGCAAGTCGATGGAGCACATCACGCCTTGGACTTGAGCCGGTGTAGGCCACTACGAGCTAGAGATATACCACCGCTGGACCAGTACTGGTGTTTTGCATAGCGCATGCGCTTGGCTTTTGTTTTGCTGTTGCCTTCCCGGATACACGCGCCCTGAGCAACGGCCCTCATCCTTATCCTGACCTTCGGAGCACATTCGCCTTTGTCTTGAGACACATCTGGATCACGATCATGGGTCCATGGGACTTGGCTCTTTTAGGCTTGGCTTAGCCCGGAGCGGGATCATTTGCATTTTCAGGCGTTGCATCGGACTGGCTTCTACGGTTGGCATGGGCCCATGCGAGGCAGGGTAGCGGCATGGAGGCCTCCATCGGCCCGCTTCTGGAGCATTGGGGTTGGGGGAAGATAGTAATGAGTATTCCCAGTTATACGATTGCATTTAGCTATACTTCTGGACAGTCACGTCGCGGATCCTTGCTATGTGGGTGTGGTGACTGTTGCCTGCGGATGCCCGGACTGGACTTGTCTACTTCTTCAGGATCTATGCCATGTGGATTGGACTGCCTCTCGTCTTGTCCCTCTACTGGAATGCCTGCCACTCCACAGCGCCTTCACTCACTCCTGAACCACGTCTCATCACTTCTGCCAGCCATACCAATCGATTGCTTCTTCCATGTCGTCTCCTCGACATCACCCCTGCCTACCGCGTATTGCCCTGCAGACTCCAAAATCCACCATACCGGCAGCTTCACGAGTTTCCGTGTGTTTCTCATGTCTCTGCTCGCACCGTCACTGCTGCAACGTCCTTGACCTCGAGTTCCTGCCATTGTCATTGCTGAAGTAAGGCCACGAACCTTATGCAGCGCCGTCGAATGTACCCGTAGATTCTTGAGACTGTAATCGATTTCAAGATCTTGATGTTGATGTTAAGCTAAGGTGTGGGGTATCTGCTATGTAGTAGAATACAGGATGAACATACTCTCGTCAGCAAAGTGCAGCAATACCTTACGCTCGTGGGTGGTAGCGAAAGAAAGCGAGCAAGCGTCTCGCGCCCCTCCCTTGTCAATAGAGCAAGGAGCAATGCTCGTATCTCAGCAACAAGCGCACCCGAACAAGCCCTCCTCAATGCCTTCCGTCACAGCAACGCACCAATCCCTTCCTCATCCACCCCACCCATCGCGCCCATACCCCCAAACATATCCCCCTCCCCTTCCTTCTTCGGCGGATTCATCCTCCGCCTCTTCAACCGCGGATCCCTCGCCTCCCCGGCATCACCACTATCTGGTGCCTCCGTAGACGCCTGCCTCACCGTCCCGCCTCCGGCGCCTAGGGCGAGGGAGTTGAGGAATTCGTTCGCTTGCGCTGCTGCTGCGTTGGAAGCTTTAGGCGGTGAAGTGGGCGAGATGGCGGACGGTGGTTCGAAGGCTGGAGGGGGCTCGTTGAGCTGTGGTGGTTGTTCCGTGACGGCTTCGGCGCCGGTGGAAGTTGTGAATGATTGTTCCCGAGGGTCCGTGGAGGCGGTGAAGGGTGCGGGGTCGCCGGACATGGTTACGTCGTCTTCGGGCGCGTGTTGCGGTGGTGGGGTGAAGGTCTCGACGTCTGGTGGAGGGGGCGTGAAGTCTTCTGCTTCCGGGGTAGCAATGTCGGGGGACCGGCCATTGGCGCGTGGACCTTCGTCGCCGAAAGTGTTGCCTGCGGATACTGGGGTAGGGATGTCCGGCGAGGAGGGCGTGGAGAGGCCGCGCATGATGCCGTCTTCGACTTCTTTCTTCTTCGCCTCGACACCTTCTCTGCGGGTGGCGAGGTCGGTGGCTGTGGCTTCGTCTTCTGCGAGTTTGCCACGGTGAGTTTCCAGAAGCTTTTCGAGGCCTTTGAGCACTTCGCTTCGCGCTTTGATGCTTGCGTCTACCGCGCCGTGTGCCGTTGCCAGACTTCTCATCAGCGCACTCAGCCGTGCGGCGTGGACCGGTGGGGTCGGAACAGGAGTATTTGGGTCCGTCATCTTCGCGAACTCGGTGTTTGCAGTGTTGACCGCAGGCCTCAGACTCGCGTCCGCCTTTCCCAGGTCGCCGAATGACTTGGCCACGCCCTCGAGCTCAGGCGGCACACTGCCACCACCGCCAAACAGGTTCCCGCCCAGCCTGCCCTTTGAGCTACTCCCGTTCGTGCTTGCACCACTCCTCGCCCTATCGATCTCCGCCAGCCTCCCCTCCACGGCGTCTAGAATCGCCTTGTTAAAGATGTCGCGCTGCCTCCACACTTCCACCACCCTCCTTATCTTTCCCTGAATATCCTGACTCGCGTTCTTATACGCAGCAGCAGTGCCATCAGCGACCATGGGCTCAAACGCGAGCATGAAGTCCTGCTTGCCGCGTGCTCGGGACTGCTGGACGACTTCGTTGGCAAGGTAGATGAGGTTGAGGCGCTTGGGGATGGTGGAGTCTTGGAGGCGTGAGAGCCAGAGGGCAGCGGTGCGGTTGGCTTGGCGACTGTGTAGTTGTCAGTAGGAGTAAGTGTGTGCTCGGTTTGAAGAGCATACCGGTGGAACATGATCCATTGCGCGACCGAGACGATGCTGTCCTGGGTTTCGGTCAGCGAGGCCAGCTTCGCCTTGACGGCCTCGTCGGTGTATGACATGGCGGCGGTATGCTAACGCTGTATGCTGAGTGGAAGTGTTCGAAGTCGCACGAAGGACGTTGTCGGCGGTGGTGGAAGCTCGCCGCAAAGAGAGTTTGCGCTAGTTCGGCAGCATCCGAGCCATTGCTTGGGAGTGAGCGACAGGTGGTCCATTGAACACCAAACGGCTTCACTGTACTGCTCAAACACCAATTCCATTTACAGCGATATCGAGACACTTGATCTGAAGACTGAGAGTGCTATAAGCATCGGGCTCAATTGTGGACCAGACAGCAACAATACGAGAGAGGCGCGCGAAAAGGGGACAGGCCAAACGGGCACCACACAAACACCTCTACGACCACCATGGCCGACCGTTTCCCTTCATTAGACGACTTTGACGCCGGTTAGTCCACTGAGCATCTTTTCCACCTCACACACTAACAACAGCTCCAGGTCAAACAGAAGTCTCCGGACAACCCTCAGCCTCCGCCGACGAGCCCTCCGACTTCCTCGCCCGCGAGCGCGCCGCCCTTGGTGAAGATGCCCAACAATTTGCCGGCTCAGGCGACAACATGGCCACCGTTGCCGATGCAGAAGAGGACGATGACGATCTGCTTGGAGGCGGCGGCGGCGGATCCCAGCCAATCGCAGACATGGACATGATGGGGGACTTTGAGACCTCCTTCCCTTCCGTCGAGACTGGCAACGAAGGCGTCGCTCCCGGCGGCACCATCACCGGCTCTACCCTCCCATACCGCGCCCCTGACAGCTCCGCCTACGCTCAAGAAGAGGAGGAACCAGAAGTTGTGCGCGAGTGGCGCGAAAGGCGCAACATGGCCATCGAATCTCTTGATGAGCGCTCCGCAAGCAAGAAGGCTGAGACGGTGAAGGCCGCGCAGGAGGCGATCGACGAGTTCTACGAGAACTACAACAACCGCAAGGACAAGCAGGTGGCGCAGACGAGGAAGGAGGCGGAGGAGTTCTTGAAGAACCGTGAGGATACGACGAGTGGAGGGACGAGCTGGGAGAGGATCGCGAAGTTGGTGGATCTGAGTGGGAAGGGAGCGGGTGGAGGCGCGAGCGGGACGGCGAAGGCGAGGATGCGGGAGGTGCTGTTGGATCTGAGGAAGGATAAGGATGCGCCGGGGGCTGGGGGTGTATAAGCCTGCGTTCGCTGCGAACTACGAAGGTATAGTTGTATGTTTCAGAAGTCGTTGCTCGGGCGTCCAGAGGCGCGCATTGAAAGGCACTAGTGGGCTGTTGATCGGACTTGTGGGTATACACGCTACAATGCTATACGTCGAAGCGGTTGTATCCATCATTGGACCTCTCTGCCTCTGTATCTCAGTCGTCTTGCTGTTGCTCTTGCACGTGATGTCGCGACTTTAAGCTCTCGGGCATGTGGGGACGGCGAGGCTTGCCTCCGGGCTTAACCAGAGCTCCGGGACGGCGAAGGAGTCCAACAACAACTCCACCACTTGCTTTTGCCTACAACTTGCACTCACTTGTTGCTTCCAGCCATCTGCCGCGCTGCAATCGTGAAAGAGCTCGCAATACTGATCGCTCCTGGACAGATCCGACTGAAACCCGTTTCTTGGTATACCGAAGTCAATGACGATGGCTCCTGGGACGGACACCCGACGAACGATACGATAGCCTGTCACAATTTACGCAGGATACATTTGAGATTGCTGGGAGCGAAGGAAATACACGAGACCAGGGATGGCGACAGCGATACGGGCGCCGCAATTGCTGGCGCGTGCGAAGGCATGGGACAGCTTGGGCAATGGGGCGCTGTTCACTACAAGAATATGCAGAGCATCGATCAGCGCAGGACGAGATGGAGCAAATGCGCAGGACATACGGCGAACATCTGCGCCCTTTCAGGGGGAGGCGGGGGCGCAAAGGAGATGCTTGTCTACATCACGGCCACCGAACACACGGCCGACCGGGGTTGGTTTGACGACAGCAGGAATACAGCAGCAGCTAGCAGGCGCGAGACGAGTGCTACAGACATCTTCACCGGCGAAGCAAGAAGCTGGTGCGCTGGCAAAAGAGAATTCGGGGAAGGCCTACCGCGACGAGGTCTCGAAGCTCGAGGACCCAGCGGACGAAGACCTAGACGAAGACCACCAGAGCTTCAAGCGGAGTGAGCGCGCCGCGCAAGCCTCGCAGCTCAATCTCTCTGCGCGCCTATCGAGCGAGGGCAAGACCCAGGGTGGGCTCGGTGAGGTTTGGCGGCTGGTCAAAATCGCAAGCCCAGAGGTCAAGACGTTGAGTATAGCATTCGCCTTCCTATTGGTCGGAAGCAGTGTGACAGCTCTACTTCCGTTCTCCATCGGAAAGATCATGGATGCTGCGTCCCAGGAGACCGGAGGCATACTCGGCTTCTCGCAGAACCAGTTCTTCATCGGCCTGGGCTCGATTCTGGCAGTGGGCGCCTGCGCAAACTACGGTCGCATTTTGTTGTTGCGGATCACCGGCGAGCGCATTGTGACGAAGCTGCGGAGTTCGCTGTACCGGAAGACGTTCATTCAAAACGCCGAGTTCTTCGATGCCAACCGTGTCGGTGACCTGATCAGCCGGCTTGGGAGCGACACCATCATCGTTGGCAAGAGTATCACGGTCAACATGAGCGATGGGCTGCGCTCGCTCGTCTCAGCTACAGCCGGGCTGACCATGATGGCTTGGACATCCGTCAAGTTGACTGGTGTACTGGCCATCTTCCTTCCGCCAGTCGCCCTGGGAGCTTTCTTCTACGGCCGCGCGATTCGTAATCTGAGTCGTCGACAACAGAAGAACCTTGGAACACTGACGAAGATCGCTGAAGAACGACTGGGCAATGTGCGCACCTCGCAGTCGTTCGCTGGCGAGCTGCAGGAAGTGCACAGGTATAACAGCCAGACGCGCAAGATCTTTGGTCTTGGACGCAAAGAAGCGTTTCTTGCTTCCGCCTTCTTCTCAGCTTCTGGATTCATGGGCAACATGACCTTTCTCGCTCTCCTCTACGTCGGTGGTGGGATGGTGAGGAGTGGCGCGATCACTGTCGGCGACATGACATCCTTTCTTATGTACGCCGGCTTCGCGGGGTCCAGTCTTTTCGGTCTGAGCAGCTTCTACTCCGAGCTGATGAAAGGTGTGGGCGCGGCATCACGACTATTCGAGCTGCAAGACCGCAATCCCACAATCTCACCCACATCAGGTGATGCCATCAGAAGTGCAAGAGGCGCCATAGAGTTCAAGGACGTCTCGTTCGCCTACCCTACTCGGCCAGCGGTGAACATCTTCAAGAACCTGAACTTCCGCATCGAACAGGGCAGCAACGTGGCCATCGTCGCTCCCAGTGGAGCCGGCAAGTCGACCGTTGCGAGCTTGCTGCTGAGATTCTACATCCCGACCGAAGGCACGATTACGATTGCGGGTAAAGACATTACCAAGATCAATGCCAAGCAGCTTCGACGAAAGATTGGGTATGTTGGGCAGGAGCCGGTGTTGTTCAGCGGGACTATCGCAGAGAACATTGCGTATGGGCGACCGACGGCGACGAGGGGCGAGATCACTGCTGCGGCGAGGAGGGCGAACTGTGGGTTCATCAGTGACTTTGTAAGCTACCTCCGTCACCCTTGTTCATCTACCAGAGAACCGTGACTGACTTTATTCGCAGCCCGACGGCCTCGAAACCTTCGCCGGCGCCCGCGGCACCCAGCTCTCCGGCGGTCAAAAACAACGCATTGCCATCGCGCGCGCCCTGCTCAAAGAGCCGGACATCCTGATCTTGGACGAAGCCACTTCTGCGCTCGATGCCGAATCCGAGACGCTCGTCAACCAGGCACTATCGCGCATGTTGTCCAGCAACAACACGACGATCAGTATCGCGCATCGTCTAAGCACTATCCAGAGAAGTGACGTGATTATCGTGCTCGGGTCAGATGGAACCGTGGCGCAGACGGGGAGCTATCGAGAACTGAGTCAAGATAAGGATGGTGCGTTTGCGAAGTTGATGGAATGGCAGATGAGCGGTGGGAGTGCGGCTGCTTTGGCCGCGCCGGAAGAGCCTGTGCCGGTCCCTGATGTGACGAAGGAAGACGTGGACGAGGAGCAGAGAAGTGTTGACGATGTAGATACGGAAGCGGTGGTGAGAGATGGAGAGGGCGGCAAGAAGTAGAGTGGTGCATACCAACGTGGGCATTGCGTCTGATAAAGCGGCGTTTTGGAATGGAAGCGGACATAGCTACGGCTATTGTGATACGTATGTACTCTACTCTTCTCCGACCAAAGCCAGGTTCTTGAGGCTCTACAGCCGAGTGCAAAAGTCACCCAACATTGACGCATTCTTATTCCGCTTTTGCTACACTACTGAAGTTTGGAAGACCTCAGGACGTTTGAGTGTTGCTGCTTCCTGGAGCTCTGGCCACTTCGACGATGATCTTCCCAACCGTACGACCAGATGTGAGCCTCTCGAAAGCCTGCTTGACTTCCTCAAACGGCACGACTTGATCGAAAACCACCTCGATCTTCCTCTCAGCGATCCAATCCCGAATCTGTACGAGCTGCTCTAACTTCGGCTGGCCGAACATGACAGTAAGCCTCCTCTGGCCACCTCCCAACAAGCCAGGCAGGAGCTTCATGGCCACAAACGGCCGCATGAAGGCGTACGTGGTATTGATTGGTGTCACCGCGTACTCCGCATCTCGCACCGTATACTCGTGTGCTTTCCAATACAAGTCCGGATCGGCGAAGACGTTGTCGACCACGAGGTCGAACTCGCGGACTTTTGCCGCGTTTTTGAGATCCTGGAGGAGAGTGCCCTGAGTATAGTCGATGACTTCTGCACCCAGCGAGCGGCACAGCTCTGCATTTCGACCCGAGCAGGAGACCGTGACGCTGTGACCAAGAGCTTTTGCGATCTGGATCCCGAACGTGCCGAGCCCGCCACTGCCGCCGTTGATGAGGATGTGGCTGTTCGGTTTCACACGCGAGATGATGGACTGGTAGGCCGTAAGGCCAGCAATCGCAATCGCAGCTGCTTCGTTAGGCGTAATCTTTCCCACCTCAACGACTCGGCTGGATTCAGCAACGGCATACTCAGCAAGCATACCGCCGGCAAAAATACTCCCGGACGCACCAAACACCACGTCGCCTTCCCGGAACGCACCATCCGCAGGCGCTTGCACGACTTCGCCAGCAAAGTCGACACCGGGCGTCGCGGGCTTGGGAATGGCGAAGCGGTAGAGCACCGTCTCTGCTGGTCTGTGATCCACAGGATTGAGGGCGACGGAGAGGACACGGATGAGCATTTCGCCTAGGCGGCTGGGGATTGGGACCGGGACGCTGGGGTTGAGGATGAGGTGCGGTGTTATGCCTTTGGTGTTGCTGGAGTATTGCCATGCTTTCATTTTCGAGGGGAGGGCCATGGTCGTGCGGCGGAGCATGGAGGTCTACGGTGCCGATGGAGTTGTAGGGAGATCAAGGGCGCATGGTTGTGCTTCTGAGAAGAGCACGGTGACGGATCTTTGCCATGTCCGCCCATGAGAATGAAGCCGGCACAATGGATGGTCCGGTACCAGCTTCCTCACAACAGCACGGACTGGAGATGGCGACAATACCTCTACGGAATTCCAACATCTCTCTCCAAAGGCACCGTCAAGCATTATGCGATGGCGGAACAGAGCCTTGGCTGTCTTACATCGGGCTTTCCTGCGAAAACCCGAAGGACCGTTCAGCGCGAGCTGCGTACGATGAAAGACGTCCAGCACGCCTCCAGGATTCGGATAGGGTGGGCACTTCTTTGGCTATGCCGCTGCTCGTGTTCTGTTGGTCATTGATCAATGCATGAGAAAAGAGAGCAGAGATGTAAGAACGGCTTGGTGTTGCTTCACTTCAGCTATAGAAACTCAAGATCTGTTGAAGGTCACCTTTACAGTGGTGGCAAGATCCAGTCTCTCGAAATGCTCGCAGAAGCTTGAAAACACTTGAAAGAACGGCCGCATCATCCGCATTCTTGTTACGCGCTCCTCCCTTCTCCTGCCATTCGATCGAATTTTGGCCTCCATTCTTAAGGCGGATATTCACCTTAACCACCCAAACGATGTCTGACGGCACCAACGACTCCCCGCGGAGACCATATTCGACCGCATGAACGATCGCAAAGCCGCCGAACCCTCACTGCGTTTGAAGAATCAGGACGATCGAAGCGATATTGCCAGCGCATGATGTTGAAAGTGCTCCTCGATACTCTGCCGGCGATTCCAAGATGGGCATATGCACTACGACCCTCGTGATGTCCCCAAACTTGGGCCTCACCGCATCTCACCTCAACGGCAGAAGTCGTGAAGCGTTGCCGACGGCAGAAAAGCATACCACCTTTCCTCTAACCGCTGGTAGCCGGCTGCTAAGGACCGTCTGGGTCCACGAACAGGTTGGTGGGAAAGCCCTGATGCCAGCAGTTGTATGCTGTGCAACCATGGGGAACAGCGACATTGGCAGGGCTTTGCGGCAATAGCATGGATTTCGAATCCTGAAGCGCTGCTTCGAAAGCTATCGCAGGTCTCGTGGCAGGTGATCGAGCATAAGTATCGTAACACAGCATATTCTTTGGAGCCCGATGATGACCACGAGGGCTGCCCGGCTATGTCGCATACCGAGTGCGGTTCGCTGCTTGCTCACCGGTCAATCCAGGACCAGTAGGAGGCAGCGACGCACCACCTATAGGACCGGCGATATTGCTGGCATTCCTATGGGTGTGGCTCTCTCGTGTAGACTTGTTGTGCGGTCTCTGGAAGCAAAATCGCGGTTGGTGTTTGATGCTGTCGACCATCGTGATCTGGAGAACTGCAGCGTGGGTTGTCTTTCGTCGAGGGCGGGTCGCCGGATGGTACGTAGCGGGTACGTATCTCGAGACACGCTCTGATGCGCAGGGGTGGGAGAGGATGCTCCGTAGTGGCCTGGAGACGTACTGTCTACATAAGCAAAAAAGTGATGCCATGTGTGGTATATGTTGTGGACCTTCGTCCGGGCAAATGGTAGCCCAACGCAGTTTGTCTCTCGTGATACGACACGGATACTGGACGAGATGCATACGGAGGGGGTCCCGACTCTGATCTGATCTCGCAGATTGTGATGGTGCGAAGGCATCTGGCGGCAACTCTATTTCGACCGCAGATGTCGCTCTGGCAATGCTATGGGAGGATGGAAAGAGAAGAAATTGGTTACAAATGAGAAATAAGCAGTCACGAATATGGTGACCTCCCTCGCAGATGAGCAACTGATCTGAAAGCAAGCCCAGTATGATTGAAAGTTACCAACCTGTTTGCTTGACATCCGGCCTCTCGACAACTTACAGAAATTACAAACTGGTCACATCGAAGACTCCGAATGCACTGAGCGGCTGCTTTTGAGCTTCCGCCTCGCAGGCACATCCATCCGATTTTGAGCCTGCTCGCTATCTGGCACCCTTTCGGTCGTCAGAGTAACATTTACACCTCGGTCAATGTTCTGCTCGGCAGAGACGTTCTCGGGCAAGGACGCTATCGAGCCTGACAGCGGTCCATCCACGGTGCTAGGACGAGGCACATATCTCGAATAGATATGGCGCTCCTGGTCAGTCACCCGCCGTGTGGTGCCCGGACGCTTGGCTCCCGCGTATCGGCCTGGTGTGGGACTTCGTGAGGCGGCACTTGGTGAAGACGAATGATCGATCTTTTGCTGCACAGCATATAAAGGATCTCTGAGATCGCGCGACCCTTGTCGAGCCGAACCCTCCAGCGGCGGCGAGAAGGTTTCTGGAGACCTCGATCTTGAGAGGTGAGTTGATGGCGGAGGAGAGCGGTACTCCCATGGTCGCGAATGACTTGCTGGTCCGATGTCCTGTTCTCGACACTTCTGCAGTAGGACGTTAGCATCCTTCTGGGCGGCCCTCAGTTCATCCTTGAGTTCAGCCTTTCGCTTATCAAAATCGTGGAGGGCGTGTGGAAGGTCCAGACTTGTCAAATTCACTTCTCGTCGGGCCTCCTCCAGGTCTTCTTCATGCTCAAAATACAGGTCTCTAAGTCGCTCGTACAAAATACCGACGTTCCCTGCAGCATCGTAGTAGTTTCGCAACAGTGGAGGCATGTCGGCCGAACGTGTGTTCGATGGTGAAGATCCATCACGTAGAGGCAACCCTTCTAAAGCAGAATTCACGTCGCCCATTCCATCAAACCCCATGGGGCCGAAGACAAAGCTTCTCGCGAGACTCGGCAACGAAACAAGTACAGCCTCCAATCTGCCAGCATTGTCATGAAGTCTGAAAGCTATATGCTCAAGTTGCGGGCGGTGAGGCGCGTCGAAATCCAGCTTGTCCAAGACCTTGTCTGCGGCACTCGTTGTGGCATGGTGAGCGTCAACGATCGTCCAGAGCTTTTCTTGAAGGCCGGGTGCTGTATCCGACTCTTCCGTGGATTTCTTGTCAGATATCTCATTCTTGGCTGTGTCCTTTGCGGTAGCTTCTGCCGGACTCCTCGTTGCTCGACTTGGTTGATGTGTCAGCTCTCGCTTGAGAAGGGAAGGAGTTCTGGTGGGTAGACATCGCCGGCGTGCTATACCCAGTCTCAGTGGTGTGCCCGTAGCTTGTCCTAAAGCTTGGTAGGTCAGAGCAGAATTTCTTCTCAGTTGCTGTTGTGTTTGGGGTGTGTGTAGTTGTACTACGGCTGCTTACCAGTTATCACTCCGGGCCCAACAGTTGCTCCCCCCATCATGCCAGAGTCCTATCGATGGACTGTTTGTCTACGGACAATGGCTGGCATTTCCGTAGGGCCATCGCTCGTTGAGTGCGATACAACAACCGGCAAACAATCTTCCTGAACGCCAGCTCCGGCGGTGCCGTGTGGGTGCTGCATCTGTCGCCCAATTGTCTCGAGACAGGTCTGCTGCTGGGAAGCGAAGCGGAAAGTCAGATCGCGCCATGGGGTGGGAGGAGTTGTCGAGATGTCGAGATATCCCGCCCCCTGACCCATGCTGCATGGATCCCGCGATCTCGCTTCTTAGACACGTGCGTGCGGCCTCAGAAGAACCTTCACTTCTGTCACACTGCCTCTGCCTCAGTGATCTGAATAGATTGGTCCATTGATGCCCGAATTCCCATGCGCGCGAATGCGCTGGTATGTTTCGTAGAACAGATAAGATGGTGGTCTCTGCCTTGAGGCGTGGTGACTATCAGAGACTGCCACCCAGTCCCTGATAGCCAGTGATGGCAACTCGTCATAGACCCAAACTGCCAGCCCGAGATGCCAGAGACTCCACGCCTGGACCCTCGGACAAAGGAAAAGGACCAAGCAAGCAGGCTGGAGGTAATGCCGATCGTGAACGAGATGTTTGTGCTTCGACTGAGGCGACGATAGTATTCAAAGACAGATCAAGCAGCTTCTTCCGGCGCGGCCGAGTAAGTGAGGACACAATGCCGATCGAATACATTAACTTACGCCTGCTCGTTAGGTGATCGTGATATACTGGCACGAGAAAGCAGGCCGCGAAAACCCGAGCAACGAACAAGCGATCACTTCGGAGCCGCGCCGTGGTGATCGGATCTTCTCGAAAGATCGGTACATGATTGTCCTCGCTCCTTATGAGCGGCACTGTATCTGCGTGTAAGTGCATCCTGCGTATTTGTGGCACAGTACTGACACACCTTTAGACCGATCCAGACTTACGGCGGGCAAGGCGTTGCAAAATCTGGTGTCAACCCTCGTCACCATGCTATCGTTTACATCGGACAGTGTCCGGGCTTGACCGACGACGAAGAAGATTACAGGCATTCCATGATGCCTCAGATCAAGGTCACGCCCGATTTTGGCGCTGAGGAGCCTGCACCCAGAAATGACTCCATTCTGCATTGGTATACGCCGGGAAGCGGCCCAGGAACTGGGCCCTTTCTCCACCCAGTCTCACGCATCAACTACAGCGAGTTTTACACTGTGCACTACAACACCATGGTGAAGTCGGTAGGGGATGTTGACCAGGGCTATATCGAACGCTTCATTCGAACCAGCTGGGCTGTCTTCGGAACTTCTGCCTATAATTACACCGTCGAAGACATTCGAACAATTCGTAAACGCTGCTTAGACGCAGAAGCGGCGCTGCAAGAAATGCGAGAGCAGCTTGATACACTACGCGCAGCTACCCAAGACCAAGGCAATGTAGATGACAACAGTAACGACGACGACGACGACGATGATGATGATGACGACGACGACGATAACGACACTCCAGACGACAGCGACTGACCTAGCACACTCTTTGATAATATACGAAAGACAAACTGCGTGCGATTTGCTACAACGAACGACCGGCATGAGGTAACGGCTGGTCAACGAGGCTTTCGGAAACGTACACTCTCGCTACAGCAACGATTGAGATGAGGATATGGCTGGTATATTATTCGCGGGACGATGGACGACAATGACGATTTATGAGTATGTAGAAATGCATGATGAACGTTCCGTGCACCAATGCTCATGCTTTCCCAATCTAAGAAGTCTATGGTTCAGAACATCGACCGGCGTTCCGACTGTTTCGATGGAAACGTTCATTCGTACACATGAGGGCATTACATTCCCACATTTGAAACTCACTGCGGCGCCTCTTGTGACGCCGACGGCGCACCCAACCACACCCCGGGCTTATCCCACTCCACATTTTCCAACCACGACAAGAAATCCACATCATTGCCAGTCGGGAAGTACAAGCCCATATCATCCAGCGGCATAGTCGAAGAGTCCGAGCCCGGCAGAGCACCAACGACAGGATTCGGCGACAGGATCTGGTCCAAGACCCGCTTCAACGCCCTCCGACCCTGATTGCAAATGAAAAAGTTGCCCTCGCCGGGTCCAACGGTGGCAAGAGCGGATATGAAGACGCTCAGATCCTGAATCGTCTCGGAGCGTGGGAGGATATCAGGGGTGTAGAGGCGAGATTGTTCTTGCTTTAAGAGCTCGATGGCGAGCATGCCTGCTGCCGGAAGACCATGCATGGCCATCTGGAAGGCATTACATTAGCACGAGCATTGATCGAAGTACAACGACAAGCTCACCAAATACGTCAGATCTCCTTGGAAGTAGCTGAAGTAGTCTCGCTTCGACTGGGCGAGCAATACCAGCTGCAACAACCTCCTCGATATTGGCATGAGATCTTTGGTCTCCCTCCGTTTCCGGTTCACCAGAGCTCTGAGCAAGAGAAAGTCCGTGTGCGCAATTCCGGCGTAAATGCAGAGCATGAATATGGCATTCGTCTGCCGCATCGACTGTTCCGTCTGATTGGACTTGTGCGACATCATCAGCATGTTCTTGTTCTCGTTGAAGAAGTCTTCTGGCTGAAGCCGCATGAAGTCCGGGAAACTGTTGCTGATTTGCTCGAGTCTGAGACGTATTTGTTCGACCTGCGGCATGATGTCGTCGTCGTCACCGGAGCCAAGAGCTATCTCGAGAATGTCTTCACGGACCCGACAGTGCTGGAACCACACACGTTGCCAGGTCGTCCGGTGCAGGTTGCCGCTTGTGTTCCAGCCCCATGTGTCGAGACTAAGCAGGACAGCGGTCAGCTCAGGTCCCTCGAGGAACAACTGCTCGTCGGAAAGGTCAAGCGGCATGTCCATCTTGCAGTATCTGTAGGATAGCCGAGGCGGACGGCCCAGAAAAGAGGCGACTTGTTTGTCCCTGCCGTAGGCAGAGATGAAAATCTTCTTTCGAAGTTCTGCGAGAAAGAAGGGCGTCTCAGCGTCCACAGGATTGCCTTGATGGAAGCCCAAGGCGACAATAGCATCTATCACTTCTCCTGTTCGCTGCCAAGACACATAATCTGTGGTAAATGTCAGCTGGCCACTCTACAATTGTGAGATTCAAGGAGTGTGATGACTTACGTGCCTCGCCCTTCACGCACTCCAACAATATCAGCTCCTCATACATAAAGCAGACATAAATATCGTTCAGCACCTCCGCCTCGTAGCAGAAACATAAACAGAACTCCGATGCCTTCCGCATTCTTTCGGCGAACGTCTCACGATCAACGAACTTCTCCGGGATCGAATCGAAGATGGTATCCCAGCAGGAAAGATTGACGGCAATAATGCCAACCAGCGAAAGGATGACACCGACAACCTCCCAACGTAGGTTGCGCCCGGAAGCCGATCTTGCCCATTCTTCCGCGGACATCTTGCCGTGGACCTTCATCGGCCTCCTGGTGTTGCGCCAAACAAGCTCCGATAAGCTGCGAAGCTGTTCGGGATTTCCATCTTGTAGCAATCTCCCAAACTCGGACCACATCTCGTCTATCCAAATCCGGTAGGCAGGCTGCATAACCATGATACCGTCGCAGATGTCATACCAGCGCTGAGTGAATCGCTGATATATTGGAATGTCTCGTAGCATGCTCAGCACCTCGGCGCCTTGCTGGATCTTCTCCGCTGGGACGGGCGGCAGACTCTGCGCATCTTCCGAATCGTGCGGCTCGGTGATGACGTTCAGGCTTCCAAGGTTTTCTGTGAAGACGGCGTTGTACGAAGTTGGTCCCAGGAACCCTGTCTTGCTATCCCGAAAGGACATGTTGCTGCCTTCTACCGGGCTCGTATAAGAGGTAGAAGTCCCTTCGCCGGATATTGGAGTGCTTAGAGCGGGATGTTTTGGCGAAGGGAAGACTGAGTACTGGCTTAGTGACGGGGCTGCAGAGGGCAGCTTCTGTTGCAGCAGAGGCGTCGCGCTGCTCGGGGGACTTGCTAGCCCAACTGGCTGCTGTTGCCCTGGTCGCATATGAGACGTGCTGGCAGGCCTCGGTGTCGAGCGTGCAGTCCTCTCCTGCGGTTCTTGTGATTGACGTGGCTTTGTTAGAGGTGCTGGATGATAAACACATTGATCAGGCTTGTTGCGCCGTGTGCACCGTCCGCAAACGGGACTGGCATGGTCACAGCGCAATTTCCCACGTCGGCACTGTTGGGAAGCGTTAGCCAGCGGAAAGAGTCATTGATAGGACGTGGTTGAGGTTGACGTACCGGTTCGCAGCTGAAGAGTTTACCGTTTCTTCTATAAGAAGGAGTGACACTTCTGACGGCCTGCGAGTCAGGAGACATAGTTGCGGTGGCCATTGAGCATTGGAAGACCCGGCCAGGTCTGGCTCTTCTGTGGTATGACGTCCAGGTAGTGGATTAATCTGCTAGGGTGAGTCACCAGCTGAGAGAATGACCTGATTTCTGCAGATGCCAGGGCGCGTTGTGGTAGAGCTGCGTGAAGGCGACAAGATAGTTCAGTACTAGAACAGGCTGCCAGCTGTCGCGTTGTGAACATTCAGTAGTATTCGCCAAAGCAAAACGCGTTTGCCTGAGGTCGGCAGGATACTGGTTCGGACGGACTAATTAATGGCTCTGCAACGCCCGCACCGTTCGATAAGCAGAAGACCTGGGACTGGCGAGCAAATGGAGGCAGCGAAATAACCACGCGACGCGGTTTGATTACCTGTAAAGACACAGGCAGCAGCAGCAGTTTTCGACGGTGGCTCGGGGACTGTTGCGTTCTAATGTCGGAGTTCAGAAGGAGGAAGTAGGTGAGTCCTTGGAGAGGTGGAGGAAGCGGAGCTCAGTCGAACGAGGCGGCATTGGCGGCTGGGCGGGATCACAGTGCTGTTATCGTCCCGTCCGAATGTCTTCTCTTCTTGATCGTGGCTTGCATGGTTGCAGGATGGAGTATGCAAGAACGCAACCGAAGACGTGTTGTTCGAGAGCGATTAACATTGAACTCGTCCAGATGAGGGGAAGACCTGGATAGCCAACCGCAATGGTAGAACCAAGATACACGGTGTCCGAATGTCGGCGTTGCGGAATAGTTCGTCACGGAGTCGGCATTCTCGCAGTCGGACTGAAATTCCTACGGCGTTCGGGGTCGACGTCCTAACATCGCAAGTGCAGTCAGCACTGACTTGACACGAGCTGACTGCGCCGAGTATCACGACTCTGCATTGAGTTGAGTCACCAGCGAGAGGTATGTCTGAATGGCCCCAGCTGATTGGAATCAAAGGCTGTAAGAATGACACGACACGCGGCTGTGCCGGCAAGGCTTGAGCAAGGCTTCGCCAGTCCGACAGTCATTGGTTGCTTCCCGTTCGGAGTAAGGTATTGCTGTGTGGAGCTTCGTAGGAGGCATCTGCCTGGTGCGATATGCTGTCTTCCGCATGCATCGGACTATTGTGGGCAGGCAGTGCAGTATGAGTCGACTGCTTCTCCGAACCCCAAGGCACTCGTCGGGCTTTACTCAGACGGAGCTCAATGGGTCAGTGACTCTTTCGATAGCCTTGACGGCAACGACCTTATGTATATAAGCACCTCTTGGCCCCCCTTCAAGTGCTTATTCTCGATCATCCAAGCGCACCACAAGCAACCTTTACCGCATCAAAGTATCACTCGATCACATACAACCCCAAGCACCCATCTCTCAATCACATACCATTCACCACCATGTACCAACAAACCTCAGCCACCAGGGAGTACGAACAGCTCGGCTCAAGCGAGCAGACCGAGCAGCTGCCAGCATACACCGACGCTCTCAAGGGCGGAGCACGCGCACCACAGAGCCTCGAGGAGAAAAAGCAACACCAGCCGCAACCGGAAGAGAAGCAAGACTCGAAGAAGATGGCAACCACCAAGAAGGTCCTTAAAGCGTTCATCAACGGGCCATCCGCCGGACAATCTGTGGCTCGGCCTCACCGCTATTGGTAGTGGTTCGGCTCCAGGAGGAAGGGGGATTCGAGTACCCATGGTGCCAGGCGTGTACGAACAGGTATGCAACCCCAAGGAACTACCCTGAGCCTTTGTGTCCATGCTGATTCATTGGGAAGGCCAAAGGAATTCAGGTGTTGCTGCCGGAGGTAAAAGAGGAAGACTGTATCCAGTGGATCCAAGGTAGGCTTCGAGGTGGTTCGGGCTTGGTCGAGGAGACGAAGTTGGAAGCTGTCGCAATGCTCGCAGGTGCACCTGTTGAAACTACGCTGCTAGGAGGCAGGTGCATTCCAGGGGTTGGGAAGAGGTTGGGAAGAGGAGGGAACTGTCGAGGAAGTCGCATGGTTGTCGGTCAATAACAAAGCTTGAGCATCTTACCACAGTACCCTCTTCTCAATCATTGTATCACAAACCTAAGAAACACTCTGTACCTACGATCGCTACGTCCTTTGCAACAGTTTTCTCACACCTAAGTCACCTAAGACCGAATGTCGCAAAGACTCCGCATCACCTCGCTCGGCAGCTCCTTTGCCGCTGGACCAGGCATTGGATCCATGGAGAACGAAGCCGCAGGCCGATCGTCACAGAACTACGCCCATCAGCTGGCGCGCGCACTCAACGCAGACTTGACCGATCTCTCAGTCTCGGGCGCCACGCTTCTCAACGTGCTCAAGGAGGAGCAGTTCGCCGGTGGCTGCGTCTTTGAACCCCAGCTCCATCAGATTCCGCACGACACGAACATCGTCACGCTCACATGCGGAGGCAACGACATCGACTATATCGGAAGCCTGATAGACAAGCTCATGCTCTCTCAACTCGGCCCACGACATCAGCAGGTGCTCGCTTCGCCGAAGAAGTCTTTAACGTCATGGCAGGCGCTCGCCGAACGTCTTGAGGCGGTTTTGGATCAGATTCACGCCGTTGCACCCAAAGCACGGATATACATGGTCCAATATCCCGCCATTATCGGCAATCAGACGCGGCCGCTCTACGACCTCGCCCTGGGACCGGAGAATGTGGTCAAATGGGACCTCATGGCGCAGCGGCTCGCGCATAGCTACGTGGATGTCGAAAAATCTCGCTCAGCGTGGGTGGAAGTGGTACCAGTCGCAGGAGTGAGCAGAGAGCATGGGTTGGGGTCCGCTGAGCCTTGGGTACGAGGGTTCTCGGTGGATATGCTAGCACATGGGCCGGCACCGCTGCATCCGAACCTGGCGGGACACACGGCGGTGGCGGATATGCTGTATAGGCAGATCTCGACTGGAGCTGGCCTTTCCAAACTGTGATTTGGGGTGAGGTTGGATAAGAGAGGCAGGAAGGAGGACGGCTAGGGTTGTCGTTGGAGGCAAGCTTTTTGAGCCGAGGTTCATTCGTCGGTGACTTCCTTTCCAGGAGACCACTCTCGAGCGCTCTTCAATACATACATGTACATACACCATCATAGAACGCTTGGGATATTGCATATGAAGGCTTTTGGATACTCCCAAACATTCTGCCTTGATTCAATCGCTCTAGCCCGACCATGGCGCCTCCAGAGAACGGCAATGAGAAGATAGACTTCACAAAGCTCATCGCCCTCGACAAACTCGACAGCACCACATTCAGGAGCAAAGCATTAGCCTTTGGGCCAGCGAACGGAAACCGAACGTATGGCGGCCATGTGTATATGCAGGCTTGCTATGCTGCAGCTCAGACTGTGCCCAAAGGCATGGCGTTGCATGTAAGTGCTTCTGATCAGCAAATCCCAGCGCATTGGCAGTAGGCGATGCGTAGTTGTCCAGTGTTCCCATTGCCTGGTCATTGTCCTACCGCTACGCATCTGTTTCTTCCTTAGAGCTTCCATTTCGCTGAACCTTTCTGATCATGGTTTGTAGAACGTAACAGGCTGGTTCCTGCTTCTAGGCAAGGCCGACGAACGCTTCACTGTAAGATAGTCGGCAGTTCCAATCGATGTCTTCCTGCGTTGACATTTGCACTTAGTATCGAGTACGAAAGATCCGAGATGGAGGCTACTGCACTCGCGGTGTCGACGTCCTGCAAGAGACAGGATCCGTGGTGTCTTTCACCTGTATTTGTTCGTTCAAGCGTGAGTCAAAAGTTGAACCCCGTGAAGAAGGCCACGACATTGACGATTACGAAAGGACCAGAGAGGAAGTCAACAAAAACTCTAGATATACAGTCGACGATCGATCTGCGGAAAGAATATGCCGCTGTACTTGGAAACAAGAGACCCGACGAGCACCAGGAGATGCCTGGAGTTGATGCACCATGGTCTGTCCAACCCACCAGATAGAGTAGGGAGCATTGCTGACAGTGCTTTGAATTGCAGGTACTGGGAGTTTTCAAGAAGAAACAACAACTACACCGACCCATTCCCAGGACTCACACTACACAAGGTCGACATGGAACGTTACAACTCAAGCAAACCACCTCTGGAACGGCGAAACCTGAAATACTACTCAGTAATAGGCGGCATGCCTTCTGTCGAAGAGGATATTAATATGCACATCTGCGCTCACCTCTACGCTTCGGACAGGAACTCCTTGTTCGTCATGTAAGTCGCCAACATCCTTTCCTTCAATGCCAGAACCTAACAGCACTCAGATCAAACAATCTCGGCATCGGCAACGACTACTCGCAAATCGCCAGCCTTTCCCACACCGTCATCATGCACGCCGACGGCGCGGAGCTCTCGATGGTCGACAGAAAGACAGGGCAGCCTCTCTGGTTCGTCCAAGAAGCCTGGACTGGTGGCAGTCGGCATGGTAGAGGGCTGCATCAGAGCCGGATGTGGCGAGAGGACGGATTGCAGGTTGCTTCGACGATTCAGGACGGTATGATGAGGTTGAAGTCGGATGATGGGAAGGGCAAGGCTGGGTTCTCGCCGGAGCAGATGGCGCAGCAGCTGGAGGAGAAGTTGAAGAAGGATAGGAGACAGGGGAAGCTGTGAAGTGGTCAAGGTGAAGGTACTGGGCGCTCCTGTGTTTGATTATCGAGACTGTGTGATATACGTAGACTACGTTACCATGAGTCCAGCGAATACCGATCATCTCCGACCTTCCTGATGCTCTTCTTCCCAAAACACTGCCGACATGAGTTCGTTGGCCGTTACCGGTGATGATCCCCCGCAACAGCGTTAGGGAAACGACATCAACAACGATACGATCTTCCCTCCTCCACTTCCACGTTCTCCCCAAATTGTGCATAAAAATGTCAGAAAAGTCATTGCTCGTCGGCCCCGCCGCCCTCCTCGTCTGGGGCAGCGTCGACAAAACCCAAGTCGCCGAAGCCGCCTTAAACGCCTGGTGGACAAATGAACACCTCCCCGAACGCCTCTCCATCCCCGGCTTCCAGCGAGCGCGCCGCTACATCTGCCAAAACGATCCCCAGCAATCGACAAAGTACTTGACCTTCTACGAAGTCTCCAAGCTGGATGTCTTGACCTCTGAAGCCTACATGGACAAACTCAACAATCCGACTGCGGGGACGAAACAGCATATCCCAACACTGGCGACAATGCAGAGAGCGGCTTGTCGGCTGGTGTACTCGGAGACGAGGAGTGAACTGCGGAGTATTCGCTCTGGTGGTGGCTGCGCGTTGGCGATGAGTGTCGTCTCGCTTCCACCGGATGATCAGGCTGGTAATAAACTGCCTGCGGAACTCTCTCCAGCGTTCAAGGAAATGGAGAGTGACAGGAGTGTAATGGCATTGCATCTCTTTCGAGAGGATGTAGCTGCGACGGCACCAGGGAGTCAAAGCCAGTCGTATATCTACGGGAATCTGCAGCAAAACCAGCGAGTGGAGACGGTGAAGTGGATCGTATTGGTTGAGTTCTCCCAGCCAGGTGGTAGTCAAACAGCATTGAGGCCGATCATCGATATATTATCCAGATTGACTGACGAGCGAGTCGCGGCGTTCGACATGTACGACTTCATGTGCAGCGCGGAGTGATAAGCTCTTCTAAGCCCGACCGCTGGGTAAAGGGTGGGATAGATATACGACCTCAAACTCAACCAAATGCAACCGTAAGAGTATTAAAAGAAAACCTGATCACTCTCGAAGTCGAATCGAGGACCTTCCGGAAACCCGTCGTCTGACTGGAATCGGACGCGCTAACCACTGCGCCTAACGGTGAAAGGACATGTCAGTTCCAGCTGGTATGAGTAGGGACGGGATGAGGCTCACCAAGCGATCGGCGCGCGTTGCTTGGGTCACGACGATATTAGCTTGCTTATATTGTCTGATACATCAAGGCCCGGAGCGATGCCGAGCTGTCTTGTTTCACATGCTGTATTACATGCACGCAGCCGGGGGGTGGAGACGGAGGTGAAAGGACGGGTGCATTGAAGCGAGGTCGCATGGAGCGTGATGGGTATCGGTGCCTTCCATTAGCCAAACTACTACGTACCAAATATGTACTCAAACGCCGTGTGTGCGGGTATCTTGCGTAAATCATGATTGCTCGTCCTCCCTCGTGGCTGCTGGAAGAGCCTTCAAACAAGCCATTCTTCTCCGATTGCTCCTCCACCATCGAATTCCCGATATCTTCCAAAATCGACCATTGCAGCACCGCTTCAGCGCTTCTCCGGCTTGTCCCTCGGTCCAAGTGCATCCTTAATGACCCCAAACATTGAGTAAACCGAATCACCCAAGGTCGGCCGATGCGTCTTTGTCCGCTTCACCGGCTTCACCTCAGGGCCCGCGCTGTGCCTCCGGTCCCGCTCACGGCGCTCGTCGTGGGTCATATCATCATCATCGTACGAGTCCTCCGAATGCCGACGGCGAGGCTGGTGCGAGTCCCGGCGGCCGTGACTGTGGCGAGATTTACCCGAGTGGCGGGAGTGCGTGCTGCTGGCGCTGGGTCGCCGTGGGTCGACAGGACGCATGTATCCGTTCGGGTCGACAGGTGCCTGGCCGGGGTAGCTTGCGTTCTGGGCCACTTGAGGTCGATATGCCTGCGGCTGGAACGTGGGGGGTCCGGAACTTGGGAAGCCAGGATAGCCGGGATGCAGTTGGGGTGTCTGTGGTCCAAAGTAGCCCGGCGAACTGCCATAGTAATTTGCATTGGCGACGGGTGGAGTGGGTCCGACTGGTTGACTCATGGGAGTGCCATAGTATGCTGCATTTGGCACTGGTGGCGTTCCTTGAATTGGCTGACCTCCGAGTGCAGGAGGTGGAGGTTGACCTCGAGATGGTATGGCCATAGGAGCAGATGGTTGAGGAGTCGGCGGCTGCAGATTGCTCGGGTGCTCTGGATGGTACTTGTTCACAGAAGCGCCGGAGACTGCTCGTGGACGAGGTGGCAGTTGCTGGTCCGTTGGCGGCATATATTGAGACATGGTGCTTGAAGTTGCCGTATGTGAGAGTATAATTCCAGAGGAAGGCCGTGCTCTGACTATTGTATAGAGTAGAGGTGGCAAGGCTGAAGCCGTCCGGGTACAACGGTGCACAGCCGCTTTCCAAAGCTCTCAGGTCATATGCTCGTCGCAGGCAAAAGTGACTCAGTCGGAGGTTTTCGCGCTGGAGATCGCTCCGTGCTTTCCAGTCTTAGTCAAGACTCATGACAGCATCATCGATAGGGCGAAAGGTTCTGTGAGAGGAAAGGAAGGCAAATGGCCGAGATATGAAGTCGACAAAGTGGCCTGAGACACTTTGCATCACACCCACCACTCTCAGGCATGAGCTCTATCTGCTTGTGGTACAGCTATCGCCCCGAAAAGGCAGATCGCAAGGTGAGGTGCGGTTAAAGCAGCTGGCCCCACCTGTTAGAAGCGTGACGTGACGTACATTTGGAGTCGCAGCCAAGGAAAAAGCAGTCCGAAGGATGGCAGATGGCGTGCATTCGTGTATACCAAGACGCCGACGAGCGCCACATGGTGTAGCAATCGGGCCGTGGTCGCATCTTCACCCAGTCCAGTTCACGAATGTGTCCGCCGCGATCGATGGTTCATGCTGTGCCGTGTGTCGGCGTATGAAGATGACAAGACACCGGCAGACAGCGTTGCCTCCAGTGGACTGTCGCACAGCAGGGAGTACGCTATCTATTGGTTGAAGGATGCGCGAACGGACGGCAACCCGCGAATGGCCTGGCACTTGCAAGTCGATTGTCAGGAAGCCAGAAGAGACCCGACGATGAGAGACCCTTGAGACCTGAGTCGATGTTCGGAGGGAGCGGAAGAACGGCCGACGCCTCCGTCCGCCAAGGAGCTCAGCCTTACCATGCGCCACGATGACTAACCGGCCGAACTGCTTCCTCTGACCTCATGGCAAGAACAGCGAACGGTTGTGCCGTTTGAGAGTCTTCCAGCAGCATCGAACCCCTCGTAAGTGGTCCGCAAAACCTTTCTCAAGCGTCTTAGACCTTTCACTGGATTTTCAGCGTCTCACGACCACGGTAAGAGCAACCCTCACCTCGTGACTCAGCCCCCTCCATCAACTCCTCCAACCTTGGGCTCTTCCCCACTTTAACCGCTCGGCGTGACGAACGACACTGCCTCGAGACTGCACCGTGGCACTGCACCTCTCCCTCAGACTTTCTTAACAGCCTTCCTCTATACTTCCTTACTGGTTCCGCTTGCATATCTCTGCTTCGGAATCGCCTCACCACCACCGTCGCCTTCGGATTCACTGCCTTCCGCTAGTCATCCTTCCAGCTACATTTGACTCGGCAACGCCAGGAAGCATGTCGTACTATCCTCCACCAGGGCCACCTCCCCAGGGGTCACGTAAGTACCACGCCGCTTTGAGCGTCACGCGAGTGGCGCAGGCAAGAAGGCAACTCACTGACCATATATCAGACTCTCCGTACCCACAGGGAGGCTATCAACAACCTCAGCAACAGCCCTACGGACAACAAGCCTACGGTCAACAGCCTCCCCCGATGAATCAAGGATACTACGGACAGCCTCCACCGATGCAGCAAGGCTACAACCAGCCTCCCGGGCCTCCGCCGGGCCACTCTCCTTACCCACAAATGCAGCAAGGTTATAACCAGCAACCGGGACCTCCCCCAAGCCATTCACCTTACCCACCGATGCAACAGGGTTACAACCAACCTCCTGGTCCACCGCCAAGCCACTCACCCTACCCCCCGATGCAGCAGGGCTATGGTGCTCCCCCTGGACCCCCGCCGGGACAGCAGGCCTACGGCGCACCAGGCTACGGCGCGGGTCCACCCGCGGGTCCACCGGCTCAACCTTCGATCGGCTACGTTCCAGGCCAACAGGCGAACATGGACATGTCGCGCGCTGCTGATGATCTCCGAAGCGCAATGAAGGGCTTTGGCACCAACGAGCAGGCTCTGATCAAAGTTCTAGCAGGTCTGGATCCTCTCCAAGTCAACAGTGTAAAGGCCGCCTTTCAATCACGGCATCATCGCGATCTGATGAAGGACGTCCATGGCGAGACTTCAGGTTACTTCAGAGAAGGTCTCGAGGCCATCATTAGAGGACCTCTCGATCAAGACTGCCATGTCCTGCATGAGTCTATCAAAGGTGCAGGAACCAAGGAGAGCGCGATGAACGATGCTCTGCTTAGCCGTTCGAACGCGGATGTGAACGCGATCAAGGCCCGCTACCAACAGATGTACCGCCGATCGCTCGAGTCCGATGTCAGGGGCGACCTCTCCATGAAGACCGAACGTCTCTTCGATATGGTCATGGCCGCACGTCGCGCTGAGGAAAGCACGCCAGTCATGCCACAGCAAGTCGACGCAGACGTGCAAGAACTCTACCGCGCCACCGAGGGCAAGACTGGCACAGACCAGATCGCAGTCTGCCAAATCATGGCACATCGCTCCAACGGCCAGCTTCGCGCCATCTCACAGGCCTACAAGCACAAGTACCACCGCGGACTCGACGATGTCATCCGAAGGGAGTTCAGCGGCCACATGGAGCAAGCTCTCATCTACATGCTCCGTAAAGCCGAAGACCCAGCCAAGCACGACGCCGACTTACTCGAGGACAGCATGCGTGGCGCCGGAACCAAGGACCAAGCGCTCGTACGCAGGATCGTGATGATCCACTGGTCCCGCGACCGCAAGGAGCAGTGCAAGGCGGCGTACCAGCACTTCCACAAGCGGGATTTGAGGTCTAGGATCCAAGGCGAGACGAGTGGGGACTACGAGAAGTTGATGGTGGCATGTATAAGCTGAGCACGTCTGGTGCGGGGTGCTGGCTGACTTTTGGTTCTGGCGTTCTAGTTGTTCGATTGAAGCGTTCACGAGATAGGATACCCGCGAGGGAGGACGGTTGGAAGGGAGTGGTAGGTTTGAGATGGGTGCTCGTAGGCGGTCAGCAAGGACGGAAACCTATTATGCAGTCACGAATACGATCACGAAAATTTGACATTTTCTTCCTTCACTCCCAACATTTTACAGCAATCCATGTGCAGGCCGTGCTGGGGTGGGACAAGGCTTATCATACTCGACTTCCGTGCCGATGCTGCGCCAGTGTTGAGACGGCATCGTCCCGCGGACGTCTTCTCTGCTTTCTAAGCACACACTCCCATACCTAAGCGTTTTCCGGTTCTTTTGACTGCCGTGTCACACCCAAGATGGCATCACCCATCCCCGATAAAGCGCGCGCGGCATCAGACTTTGAACCGTGGAAATGGCGCGCTTTCCCATCCGCACACAAGCCGCAACCGTGGTCGCGGCAATCGTCGCCATTCTCTTATTCTTCCTAAGTACCTCTGATGATACAATGGCTGCCCCACTCCTGCACATGCAGAAAAGTCTCGTCCCACGCGTCTCTCAACTGGTCGCGCGGGTTCAAAAGCCATTGACTGCCTCCTCGTCGAGTGCGCGATATCCATTGCATAATTCTCCTCAGACTTCTTCGCACGGCAAGAGCTTCAGCAGCACAGCAGCAGGCAAGATGTCGTTCGACAAGATGAACTTCAAGGAAGCGGTGCAGAACCGTCGCTCCATCTACCAGCTCACCAAGAAGAGCCCGATCAGCGACGACCGCATCAAGGAGATCCTCTCGACGGCCGTCAACGACGTGCCGTCGTCTTTCAACTCGCAGTCTACTCGCTTGGTTGTTCTGCTGAAGGAGGAGCATACTAAGTTCTGGCAAATCGTCATGGATATTCTGAAGGGCATTGTTCCGGAGGATAGCTGGGAGCACACGGGCAACCGATTGAATGGCTTCATGAACGCATACGGCACGGTAAGATCCATCCTCACCCCAACATGCGCGATGCTCCGCTAACGACACGCCAACCTCCAGGTCCTCTTCTACGAAGACCCAGCCGCGATCCACGCCCTGCAGAAACAGTATCCCCAATACTCAGACAAATTCCCGTCCGTCGCTCCCCCCTCCCACATCTTGCACCCCCACTAACCCTTCACAGCCAATGGAGCGAACACACCTCCGCCATGCACCAGTACGCCCTCTGGACGGCCTTCGAAACCGAAGGCCTCGGCTGCAACCTGCAGCACTACAACCCCCTGCCGGACGAAAAGGTCGCCGCGACCTGGGAGATCCCGCTGGAGTGGAGTCTGAAGGCGCAGTTGGTGTTTGGGCAGCCGCAGGAGGGGGCGCGGGAGAACTTGGGGAAGAAGAATCAGAAGCCGTTGGAGGAGAGGTTGAAGGTTTATGGGGCGTAGGGGGAAAGATGGTGTGGTGGGGTGGGAATGGGAAGATGGGATACACTGGGTGGGATTGACGATAGAGAAATGCAGAAATGAGTCAAGACGAAGGACAAGCATCCTACGATTCGGCTGGATATTTACATTGCTTCACAATACCCTCTCAAGCAAGTCTAGGCAGCCTTGACCTCACCCTCGCCGCGCGAGGCTCGGGCGTAAGAGCGAGTCCTTCAGGCACACTCTCCTGCTCATCTTCAAGATCGCTCTCATCCAGATGCTCCGCGGCATTCGTCAACTCCGCCTCAGCCTCCGTCGCTGCATCAAACAGTTGACCGCCATTGGCCTGCGCCCCACTCGCACCCAAACCTGCAGCGGCGCGCTCTCGAGATCTTGAAGCCGCGGCGGCAAAAGTGGAAGCGCTCTCGCCTACTCTCATGGGGGCGCCGCTGCTTGCTGTGTATTCGCCTTCTGAATACTGCGGGGGTTGAGAGCCGTTGAACGGGGAGGGGGCGTTCGGCCTTTCGTTCTTCCATCCTAGAGCACCGGCTTTCGTTTCTATGGGCTGCGCATACCATTCCAGTGCTTCTAGAACGTGTGGGAAGACGAGTTGATCCACGTCTGATGCCCAGAGCAGATCAAGATGCTTTCAATAGTCAGTCGATGTCTCAGGAGGCTAGCATGTGGCGGAGGGATTGATTGTGTTCTTTAGACTCACCTCGTACTTCCTGATCTCCCTCGCAGTGGTATGTTTAGGCAGTTCTTTCAGCATGAGGTTGATATCCACCAGCGAGTCACTGCCGCCGTAGATGAGTACAATCGGCGTGCGGATGTTGCGAGTTGGAAATTTGGCCACTTTGTAGTACTTGCTGCCTTGACTGAGAGACAGAGGCGTGGAGACTTCGTCGTCAAACATCTGGAAGGTACCGTTGGCGATGATCTGGAACCAGTGAACAACACTCTTCGTGCTCGTGAACGAGTACAGATGTGGGTAGGCGGCGAGCTTCTGGTGAGGGGTGATGTTCCGCATTCGCCAGTTGAAGAGGAAGGACAGGCTTTTGTCTATGAACCAGGCGAAGATGGCGGGATAGAGGAGGGCGCTCCACATGGTTGTGCTGCCGAGGATGGCACGCCGGCCGAAGAGGAGAAACAGGATTTCTGGGTTCGTCTTGACGAGAGATGAGACGACGCCGGAAGCAAGGCCGGGTGGTGCCATGGCTGGTGCCAGCGCGACAAAGACGTCGACCTTACTGTTCAATGTCGGGTGGATCGAGAGGGTGGCGAATGCTTGCGCGGTTCCTTGGGAGAAACCAATGTAGCTCAGGCTCGGCTGACCAGTCGTAGACAGGACATAATCGATGCTATCTACACGAACAAGGGCAAACGGTTAGCGGTGTCTCGCACAGTCAAACTTTGCTCATGGGTTTGGTACCGGGTATGTCATGAAAAGCGAACTGATCCATCGAAAAGTCCCAAAAATTGTTCTGTGAGGGCGAGTGGTGTGTACACTTCTTGCTATACTTGTTGCCACGATTGTTCCCAAGCCAGACATCGTAGCCTTGCTCCACCAGGAGGAAGGGCAGACAGCGTTCGCGATCGGTCAAACAGACCCAGACCTCGCTGTTCATCATAAGGCCATGGTGGAGGTAGACTGGCTTCTTCTGGATCGAGTTGGCGCCGGCATTGACACGCATGTCCTCCTCACCTCTGCGCCAGGCCAGACGGTGAAGACCGAGCAGGTAGCCATCCTTTGTCTGCACGACGTGCTCCTCGGCGGTGTACCCGTACAGCTCAACAAGCTCTGTAAAGTCGCTGGCCTGCGCTATGGGCGAGGAAACGCCCTTGTTCTTTTGTCTTGCTCGTCTCGAGTATGGGGAGGAGAGCGAGTTGAAGGCATTGCGGCTGGCGCGGTAGAGGAAGCGGATGATTGGGGTCGGCAGGAGCAGCGTTATCGTCCGGATGAAGGTCTCGAGGATGAGCAGGACGAAGGAGAGGAGGAGGGCGAGGTATTCGTAGGGGTGCAGTCGCCCGAGGAATGGGATCTGGAGCGCCATTGTCGGGTGGGGAGTGTGTTATTGACCATTTTCTGAGGACATCCTTGACATTGCAATGTTCTCACCGAGTTCGGAGCGGTGTGAAGTGGGAGTGGAGACGGATATGTGTAGAGCACATCGTCATTGTCATGTGAAAGTGAGCTAGCGAGGTCCGTTTTGGGACTTTCTACTACTCCATACAGATCCATCTTGTCTTCCACCACCACCACCTCTACTGCCAAACCATTGTTGAACCTCACCATCGACACATCGTACATCGTTCGAGCAATCTAGTGACACCAGCTGCTCACAGCGACTCCCACGTCTGCCGGCGCATCATGCCTTCCTCCTGCAACGACATCCGTAGGGACTACAAGACTATCAAAAGATGTGCTAGACGATGCTAACCATCGGCAGGCGCCGCACTCGCCTCGTGTCTCCAGAATTCAGATTGTGTACTGGTCCACCGCAACACCCCTGCCGACTGCCTCCGACCGCCACTCGCCGACACCCTTCCCACCCAATGTCAGCAACTCAAGCACGGCTACGGCCAATGCAAACGAGGCATGATTGACATGCGGAAGCGCTTCCGTGGCAACAAGCCCATTTCAACGAGCCTGGAACTCGAGGGCGAGAGCGCCGATCTGGACAAGACGGAGGTCCCGATGCTGTACGCTGGCAAGGGTGGATTCGAGGGCGTGGGACCGAGAAAGACAGATGGGAGAGAAAAGAGCGAGGAGGAGATGGAGAAGGCTGGGTTTGAGCGATTTGTGAGGAACGACGGGAGCGTGGACTGGAGGAAGAAGTGATGCAGGCTACAGACATTCGTGGAAGGCTATGGAGTAGGTCTGAGATGGACCGGTGGCCAGCCCGGAGACGAGACCAACATTGGCGATATAGTGCTGGCTTGTCAATGAAGGAATGACCCTACTCGAAATCGTCCTGATGGAGGTCTCCGGAGCAAGGACTGCGCAGCCAAAAGGAATCAATCATGACCATCGTGGAGAACCCGGCGCCCTCATCGGCACCCCAGCCAGATCGCAAGCTCATTGAGTTCTGGGGCTTTCATCATCATACTACACAATTCGCGGAAGTGGTGGCAGAAGGATTGACTGTTGCGCCCTCAGAAATTTATGCCAAGGTCACAGTTTGGAATCATGGGGGCTGTGAGATGGACCAACCAATCTCCGAAATACAAGATGAATCTTGCTACGAATTTTTGAGCCGCAGCTCACCCGATGGAATCATTGCAGAGCGCCCATGAGTCTGGCAACATCGTCGTCAGAGTGCCTCGTCGGGCTTCAGTCCTGTAACGCCAGTCCTTCCAATTTGACATCAGACTCCGCCTCTTGTCCGTGCCGAAAAGATTCCAGAGACGACGCGAAAACCGGCCCCATGCTTCCTCATGTCGGGACCGAGTGCTCGTTCGGAGCAAAGGGCTCACAGCATATATGACGGCTGCCAGGCCAACTCGATTGCTCCGGCTTTGATCGACGAGCAACAACTACTCTGCTCCTCTTAAGCCTCGAACATCATGGGACAAACAACAAGATTGTGGGCCGTACTGGCGGGACTGTTCTCCATTGTGGCTGCTCACGACGTCGCCAATCAAAAGGTCCGTTTCTGAAGACGTCGATGAAAGCCTCCGCGACTAACAGACACAGGTCGACCAACTTGCAGCCGCCTTGAAGGACACGAACGGGCAGATCGAGACTACCGACAACGGTGTGCAAGTGAATACCTCAAATTCCCTCCGCGCTGGCCCTCGCGGCTACAACCTCCTTGAAGACACCACGGTGCGGAAGAAGATGATTCACTTCGATCGTGAGCGTGCGCCCGAGCGAGTGAGTCTCACTGAACCAGCGATCCCATCTACCCGACTAATCCACCCTCCAGGTTGTCCATGCGCTCGGACATGGCGCTTACGGTACTTTCTCATCCTACGGTGACTTCTCCAACCTCACGACCGCTTGCTGGCTCCGCGATGGAGCTGTAAGCGAGGTCTTCACTCGCTTCTCCGTCGTTGTGGCGAGCGTTGGTGGTTCCGAGAGCGGACGAGACACGCACGGCTTCGCTACGAAAATCTACAGCGAATGTGGCAACCAGGACTTCGTGGGCAACCACTTGTCCTCCTTCTTCATAAATGATGGCGCTGATTTCCCCGACCTTATCCATGCTGTCAAGTATGAGGCGGACAAGGGCTTTCCCACTGGGGGTGTAAGTTTTCACTTCTAAAGACCCTCTAAGCTGAATTTATACTGACAAGTCTTCTCCTCACCAGACGGCGCACAGGACAGCATACGACTTCTTCGGCCAGCACCCAGAGGGCGCATTCCAGCTCATGAACGTCCTATCCGATTTGGGCATACCACGCGACGTTCGTCACATCTCCGGCAATGGTGTCCACACGTTCCGCTTCATCAACGTTGAAGGCAAGAGCACTCTCTTCAAATGGTTCTTGCTGCCCAAACTGGGCCACCGTTCGCTTGCCTATGATGAGGTGACTAAGATTGCCGGCAAGAACAACAACTTTCAGCGCGTGGACCTCTACAACAACATCGCTGCTGGGATCTATCCTGAATGGGAGTTTGCTGTCCAGCTGTTCCCCGACGATGGATCGTACATGTGGAACGGCTATGACTTGCTCATTCCCACGGTCATCGTTCCGTTCGAGAAGAACCCGCCGGTCAAGCTGGGCAAGCTGACCCTCAACCGGAACTTCAACAACTTCTTCGCCGAGCCGGAGTCCATCTCTTTCGCTCCCTCGAATGTCGTCGATGGTGTCTCATTCGTTCCAGACCCGCTACTGCAATGGCGTCTGATGAGCTACGACGATACTGCCACGCATCGGCACGGCTCTCCAAATGGATTCACGCTACCGATCAACCGTCCCATCGCTCCGGTGAACAACAACTACCGTGACGGGTACATGCAGCCGTACATTTTCGAGGGCAATTCAACTTCCACTCCGAACGACATCGGCGGCGTACAAGAGCCTGGTGCCAACGCAGCGCTCCACTACACATCCGCAGGAGAAAGGGCTGGTGCTGGCCCGGTCGGGAGATACGTCGCCCAGTACGACTGGTTTGGCCAAGCACGCCTGTTCTGGAACACGCTTGACAATTACGCTCAGCAGCACACTGTCGACGCGTATCGCTTTGAGCTTGGCAATGTCGGGAATGCGGATGTGGTGCAGCGTTACATCGACAATACGCTGGATAAAATCGATACCTGCCTTGCTAGACGAGTCGCTTACGGCATCGGAGCGACTATGCCTCCGGCCAACACGACAGCGTCCAGATCGACCATGCAACGGAGGAGCAACTCTTCGCAAGCAGAATTCCCGAGTCTATACCCGCTCGGTATGGGCCTGGAACCTAACAAGAGCAACGAAGGCCTGCAAGTCGCCCTCGTCGCCAACGACACCCTAGGCACAGAGGCAGAAGTACAGGCCATGATGTCGCTGCTCTCAGCGCAGAAGGTCTCCTTGACGTTAGTCGCACCCCGGATTGGGATGCTGAAGACTGGTGTCACGGCCAATGCGAGTTTCATCACCACCAGCGACGTCTTCTTCGACGCCATCTTCATCGGCTCGTCGATCATCTCCAATGGCACGAACAGCGCGGGGCTAGATACAGACCCTTACAACTTCGTCATGGAAGTTTATGGGCATGGGAAAGCTATTGGTGCACTCGGGACGAGTGGCAGTGCGATTTTGAATGGCTTGGGTGTTGGAGGTGAGGCTGGGGTTTACAGCGGCAGCGCGATGGATGTTACTGTGGGTGTCCTAGACGCGCTGGCCGGGCCTGTTCGGTTCCCGCAGCGGTTTACGACTGATGATGTGGAGGCTATATGTGGTGCTGCTTAGTTGTGAGATGGGATGTTTGTGGTTGCGCCGGGACGGGATTGCGCGATAATGCTTCGAGGTGGCCAGTGGTCCAATACATTCATGTAATCTTACTGCAGAATCTACCTCACGATTCTCTTTCCTGCGATATTCGCCATTGCATTTGGTAATGACATGAAGTGAGGTGGAGGTGTATCAAAGCGGCGGGGGGTCGAGAGCAACCTGGATCTCGGAAGAGGGTCTGCAAGGGCCGAGCGGGCCGCATTTCACGCGCCAAAAACACACGCTGCACTGTAACAACATCCACACATTTGTCCTACCTACGACGACAACAAACGCGCAATTCGTGTATACCGCCTTTCGACGTACTCTACCCCCTCCTAAGCGGGTGAATGAAATCGCACCGCCAAACCCAGGACTAGCGAGAAGGCTGCGTCCCCTTATCAGCACCCTCGATGAAGCACGCGACATCCTGCCTTCCACGCCTCGGTCGGCGATAGAGGACGGGGTCGCAGACAGCTCAACCTCCCCACCATGGCCTTCCACTTCAACTGGTCGCCGCTCATCGCCGACACCGACCGGGTGCGACACATGCTCACCTCGTCCCTCAACAAGTCGCCCAAGCCGCCCATCATCGTCGACGACATCTTCGTGAACGAGCTGAACCTGGGGTCGACTCCTCCGTCATTAGAGATACTTGAGATTGGCGATCTGGCGGAGGACCGGTTCAGAGGGATATTCAAGGTCAAATATGAAGGGGATGCGTATCTCACGCTGCAGACGCGCGTGCAGGCCAACCCCTTGAACACCTTTCTGAGTACGAAGCCCTCGTTCGCATCTCCTACTCCGCTCGCCGCGAGCTCCGGCCTTACGATACCGCTGCAAATCACGCTGTCAGATATACGACTGTCTGGGTTTGTGATACTGGTCTTCTCGAAGCAAAAGGGTATCACGCTGGTCTTTCGGAATGATCCGCTGGAGAGCTTGAAGGTCAGCAGTACGTTTGACAGTATACCTTTTGTGCGGGAGTACCTGCAGCGTACGATCGAGGCGCAGTTGAGAGTGTTGTTTATGGAAGACTTGCCAGCAATAATACACCGGCTGTCGTTGCGGGTCTTCTCTGAAGAGCATCGGCCTTCGAGTGATGGGGAAAAGGCTGCCGAGGCTGAGAAGGATAAAGAGGCGATAATGCATACCAACCACGACAGAGACGCTACCGACGACGCTCACTCTGTCACGAGCACAATCGACTCTTCGTCCTTGTTAGATGCGTCAGGAGAGGCATACGCATCCTTCTCACAGAAGAATCTGGTCCGACTGGCAGCTTTGTCCGAGAGCCAGCGTACGCTTAGCCTGTTCACACCAAACATCCGGGATGCAGTCTATCGGGCATGGACGAGCGCTGCAGAACGGAATGCGGAAGGAGCGGCGTCAGGCTTGCATTCCAAGAGCAGTCTTCCAACCCTCAGCCGCATCAATTCGGCATTCAACGTACAGCATAGCGTTTCCCACTCAAGAGTTCCAGGGAGTGCTGGCACACTGTCGTCGGCTGCAAGCCACACAAGTGACGCACCTTCGCTTGCCACCAGGCCCAGCCTCGCTGCCCACTCGTACACTTCAACTTCGTACTCACTCGGTTCGGGCCGATCTCGACCTCATGGGACGAGGAAACGGAAGAATCGGGTGGTCAATCTGCGCCGAGACCGCGATGGTCCGACCGACGGCGCGTCTGAGACGATGAGCGTGGGGAGCAGCTATGAAGATAGCGCAGGGAAGAGCGAGAGCATGAGCGCGAGTGGCGAAGGCCATTCATCGTCCGGACCAGAGCTGGACAGTACGGTGCTCACCTCATCCAGCATCCATAAAGCTGGCTACGAAGGCGAGGTACACACACCACATAGCAGTCCCCAGAAGAAGGTCGACTTTCGACGGCGGCCGTCAATCAAGGAAGTCGAACCGCTGCCGGATGTGATTGCAGGCGCTGAGAGATTGGAGCCAAGAAAGCACAGAAGACCTGTCACGCCACGGAACCCACAGAACCAGCTAGGCCATCCGTTCGATGAGCTCGATGCCGATCCTACGCCTAGACAGAGCATGTATCTGCCCGAAGATCCAACACACACGAAGCCCTCAAATCCGCGACGAAATCTCGAACGACAACAGACGATGCCGCCTCAAACTCAGTCGTCGACAACGAAGCAACCGCCAATGCCACCGAGCCTGCCGAGATCATCCTCCGAGCTGAGCATTTCCGATCTCCTGCCGTCGTATCCTTTCACGCAGGATGGCAAGGATGGGGGAAGCAGCTCCGGTGGGATATTAGAGCAAGCCTGGATGACGAAGATGGCCACCGAGATCGCGCGGAGGGTGGCTGAAGAAAGAGAGCGGCAGCAGGATGTTCACGCATCTCGTCGAGCAGTGGGCAAGGGCGATCATGGAGAGCAGGTACAGGACATTGAAAGCGATGCACCGCCAGCGTATGTGGGATGAGGATGGAGTGACGGGTGCGGGTGCATTGGGAGGAGACTCTTCATCGCGGCAAAGCGCAGGATACCCCTATTTGATTGGCATGGCGTTTACGATCTGTTACGACTTACGAGACATGCCATGAAGCTTTCGTGGTACACTTGTAATCTTAATGCTACTTACACTCCACCTAATAAATCTCCCTTGACGTCCTTCCCCTCGCTATCTTCTGCCCCCTGCTTTCCTCCACCGCTGCCGTCGTCAGCCAGCAGCTTCTCCACAGCTTTGACCTTCTCTTCAGCGGTCTGCCGCTTGTCCGTTCGACTGCCCACACGGATATCGCTTTGGATCCTGACGACGCCGTTGGCATGCAGCATGCTGTGGCATTGACCGATGATCCGCATGCAGTCCTCCCATGAACCCTCTTCACATCTATAAGCCAGAATCGTGACATCTCGAAAGACCATTCGATAGCCTACCTAGCGTAGTCCCAGCAGAATGCATAGTATACTTCACCCCACTCTGCTTCAGCAGCCTTTGAACCTGAGCGACTTCCTTCGAAACGGAGGCTGTCGGCGTGCCCAGCGGGATGAGGCAGAAATCTCCGATTACGTTAGTACGATCAATCAGGGAGGGGACGTGGACGTACCGGCCGTGCATGACGACGGAGTAGGTAGGCTCGTGGGGTCGGAGTCGGCCATTTGATGGAACAGGTTGTGGAGTTGGGGTGAGGAGTCCATGGCTGGGAGGTGTGGGATGTGGAGATGGGGCGATGAGCTTCATCACGACATGATATGGAGAAGGTACGACCGCCGAACACTGCGGATGCTGGGTATTGTAGCACATAGAGCGGCTACAGGTACATAATGATTGGCAATACTAAATAAGGCTGTTCGCCTATAAAACAAGTATGGCTGTCATTTTTCGCGACCTCACTTCACATAGAGTCGGTCTCCCACAACTGTTTTGGTTCACCACTTTGAGCCATGGCGTCGAGACTAACCATTCGAGGCATCTGCGTATATCGTTGCAGGTCGATCCTCGTGATATGGTCGGTCCCAGTGTCGCAAGCTCGTCAACAGTCTCCTGTTGTAGTGCTTGGTATTCGCAAAACTAATCTTCCCACGTTATGATGTGGTGACCACATCTGGGATGCAGACTCTAAGGTCAAGCACACGTGGCACAGCGACTCAATTTCAGCGTCAAGATCAAACATCGGGCTCAGCCGAGACGCATAGGTGATTTTCAAGAGTTTACGGCGGTAACGGCGGCTTCTTGAGTCTCCGTGCTCTATTGTCAGGCCAACTCTGAGATCTTGTTGCATTGACCGAGAAGAAGGAGGAGACCATGCAAATCAACTGCGGCTGTTTAAGCTCTAGCGCAACTTGGCACTTCAGTGAAAACGATCAAGACACATACATCGAGTCTCGAAGGCTAACAAATGAGCGAAACTGGGATCGAGGGTGAAAAGCATGTCCATCCCAGCCTACTACTCATTCGGAGAGTCGCCACGCCTGCATGCCGGACACCCTTCTACCGCCAGTCAGCCCGGCCAGAAGCTCTGGTTGAAATATCTCAACGAAGGTGGAGCGAACATTGTCTTTCGAATACTGCCCATCAGTGAAGATGACGAGCTACCACCTCATCTACAAGGCCGCCTCCTACGCCTAAGGAAAGATCTGCCTCATGTACAGAGCGCTGAAGACCAGCTAGCAGCATACCATGCCCACTTCAAACCGCTCTTCCCGCGTGAGAACCTCACTGAGCAGATCGAAATCGAGCTGGGTGATGGCTTGGCCTCTTCTGTCAGCGATGCTCTGACACAGCTGGACAGGCCATCGCATCGTCTGCAAGACTTCCTGCCAGCCGAGGAGAGGACGGGTATGCTCGTGACAGATATGACGCCGGGTCCTGACGAGATCCTGCTGCAAGTCAAGCCTAAATGGCTCGCTCAATCTCCAAACGCCCCGCCAGATGCCAGACGTTGCCGAACGTGTGCTTTGCGAGCCCAAAGAGCCTCGAAGAAGATCCGGACGGCCACCGACGCTCAGGAGAGCTGTCCGTTTGACCTGATCAGCAACGATGAAGCTGATCGGAGACGGGCTGCCGGCAGGCTGACAGACCACCCTCTGCTTCAGAAGTTTTTGATCAACGATGCCCAACCCCTCCTCCAGAAGCTGCGCGATAATCAGCAAAAGTTAGACTTCCAAGGTGTGCTGGTGATAAGTTCAGACACAGGTGCCCTCGATTTGTGCAAGGCCATGACACTTCGCGATTGCACTCTCTTCCTGAAGCTATCTGGCGAGGCCATCGATGCAAGATTGGCTGACCTGGATCTCAAGCTGCCGGAGAAGCTGGGACGCTGGAAAAAAGTAGAGCAGGAATTGATCGACCACGGATGGTATAAGAATACTGAGGACAGCGAGCACTGGGCTAAAGAAGAGATCTGTCTGCTGTCTCGCGCGCGAAGCTGAAACCAACCCACGTGATCTCGTTTGTATAAGCGCTGGAGCTGGAATCAAGCGCTGTGTTCCGTGAGGCGCTTGACAATGTATCAGACTTGCATGAGTTTCTATGAGCATGAGCATAACATGCGAACGATGGCCCGATCGCAGAATTTGAGTGCTTTGATCCCTTTCCACACTCGACGTCGACCACGACCATGGCACCATCGACTTGGGCCGACAACCCTTATATTGCATGCGGAGGAAACTTCTCTTCCGACCTGGCCTGCTCAAGAGGAACGACCTGCATTCCGTTAGCATCAGACTATTCAGCGACGCTGTGCTGTCCGACAGGATATGACTGCCATGTGATACAGCCCATCAGCTGCGACACCTCCCTCTGGAACATCACTACATCGCCGGACAGCCAGGTTCACGCATCTCGGTCTGTCACGTTGAGCACTTGCAATACCTTATGCTGTCCTCTCAGCTTCTCTTGCAACGGCAGCACAGGTTCGTGTGAGTGGCAACCACTCGGAAGCGAGCTGGCCGTGGGAGGCGGTCGAAAACAACCCAGCACTTCTACTCAGCGCACGACTCTTCGTGGAACGACCAGCACAGCCTCTGCGACCACTGCGCATGCCACTCCGCCGCCTCAACGCCCATCCCAACAACCATCCCAACACGACCCTTCAAGTCCAGGTCAAGACGGTGGCTTCACTCCCACGACGACAGCACTGATCAGCGTCCTAGCCGCGCTGCTTCTCATCTTGACAGTCGCTTTCGTTTGGCGTTGTGCGCGTCGAAAGCGACGCGAAAGACCGAATCAAGCCGCCATAGCTTCGAGCGCATGCTGCAGCCATTGCATCGAATGGAATTTGGAGAACAGAAGACGTTGGACGCCCGTCGCAGAGCTTGGAATGCGTTCACCGGGCGAGCTGTCAGCACGTTGCTCATTGCTTCGACGCCCGAGGGAGCTTCCAGCAGCTTACTTCCGGAAAACCGCAAGTTTCAGTTCAGAGGACCGAGAGTTAGATGCGTGGTCGTTGCATGGATGGACGAGGCGAAAGAATGAGTGGGATTGATAGTACCTTGTAATTAAAACTAAACGCATAGCAATGACACCCAATATGTCTTAACAGACCATTAATGTTGCCTCGTCCATTTTGATAAAGTAATGCTGGCGCTGATCGGAGACGGACTGGATGTGAATCGGCAGGGAACATGGTATGAGAAGGCTCGCGACCGGAAAATGCGCCTGCTCGAGCGAGGAGATGGCATGGCGATGACAACGAAGCCGCTGCTTCACGACCTCACGTGAAGGGCACTCATATACTGAGGAGAGGGTTGAAGCTCACTTCTCCCGCAGCGTACCGGTGGCGACAGCGAGACAGTGCCGGTCTCTTGTTGAATGGCTGGTGTGTCTTTTGTTCGCGCCATCGACATGCGGCATCCGGATCGACGTGGCAGCATAACCGTGAGCGTGTCAGGTGCGATTTGGCTCGATTGTCATGAGACATTCGAGCCCCGATCGCTTGCGCGAGCTTTCGAGCGCGTTGTCGTTCGGGCAGGTGCTGAGCGGGTGTCGTCAGAAGAGAGTGCTAATGAACCTGCAGCTAACATCGTCAAGACGTCTGTTGCGAACGTGAAAGACAGCACGTGAATATTGAGCATGTGAAAGATCGAACGCTGCACACATTACCATACAAAGCAGATTCCGAGATTCCGTGTCCAGGTAGTGGTAGCGCTCGTTGATCTGACCGCGAAGCAAGGGAGGTGCAAGGTTCAGGCATTATCTGCCGAGGTCGGCGCGTCCCGTCTCGAGCAAGCGCAGGGCTCAGCGCGACGGCCGCTGTTGTGATCGTATCTTGCGCCGTGATGTACCGGAAGAGAGCAGGTCGTGTTTTGCCTGGCTCTACATGGCAGATGTGAGGGTGTGAGAGCACTGCTGTTCGTGCCTTCTGTTTGTGCGAGGGAAGTGATGCTATGCAGGTCAAAACTCGCTGGCCGACATCGGGCTGCATTGCTCGTCAGGTGACATGTGCTTTTTTCGCGAACGACCACACCCATCCTCAAACTGACCTCAATTCTGTCGCGAGCAGGTTGACGCAGCGTTGCGCGTAAGACCAGCGGATGTCACAAGCGGCGTGTCGGCAGTGACAGCGAGAGCATTCGAGTTTGATTCGGAGGCCGTGGGCGTAGATGGGGTGGTGAGAGAGGTGATGAGAAGGGTGGCGACGCGAATGGCACGTCTGGCGTCCGTAACAGCATGGTTGAGAACCCGGGCGCCCGCCTGGTATCTAAACTAGGACGCTGGTAAGAGTGATTGCGCTCCAACGATGAGATCTCGGTGTATCATGGCTATGAGCCATCGATGAAAGGCCAGTGTTGATGCTCGACTTGGTCTGGTGGCGATCTGGTGATGAAACACGAACGTCAGGCGTGCACGGTTTCGAAGGTACCGCAGCATTTCCACTCTCATATCGCGAAGCGCTGACCTCTCCCCGCAGAACTATCCAGCATGAAGTCGCGCCGAAAATCGCGTACGGTAGAACCGAGACGCTGGGCTTAGTAGCTGTGTCGTGGCCGAGAAGAGCTGGTACTGAAAGGACCCGGAACGAGCGAGAGGGGGGGGGGGAGGGCGGCAACCGGGAGGCTCCTTGAATGGAGGAAAATGTTGTGCATGTGTCCGTTGAGGGCGTTGTCGTTGCTGCGTCTTGCTATTGCGCAACGCATACTGGGCCTGAGGACGGCGTTGTGACTGCGTGCGGTGCTTGCTTGGTCTTTGCGGTGGCGGCAGGACAGTGGTTCGTGAGGCGCTCTTGACCAGGATCTGGATCCGGCTACTGTGGCGGCTCAGAAGAAGGGGCCGGCAAGGAGAGGAAAACAAAAACCAGGAGAGAACGAGTCTGGGTGGCGCCGCGATGGTTTGGGTGAGGTGAAGAGTAAGGTGGTAGTGTGTGTATTGACGTGGCGACGCGGAAGTAAGCCGATGTTTATCCGACGCGCACTTTTTCAGGCTCCTCAGCACGCAAATTTCTCGCTCGCGACATCATCGACATTCCACAGAAGAAAAAAACACAAACCTCATTATAGTTGACGACCGCTGGAGCTACTTCGGCAAACACAGCGGAGGGAGGGCGAACGACGGGAGGCCACGGCAGCCGATAGGGGCAGGGGGTGGAAGTAGGGGTGCCGCTGGAGGTGGCAGAGGCGGCGGGGATGGCCGACAAGGTGGCAGACGCCAAGCAGGTCCTCCTTCTCCTGCCTAATCAGGCTTCTTGCCGTTGAGACCAACTGCGGTTGGTGCTGGTGGCGCTCAGCCCCAGCAGCCGGCAGTCGCGCCGCAGGCACAGGCAGGGTTCGCACCGCCTACTGCACCCGCTGCCATGCGGCAGAACAAGAACTGGGGCGGTCTGGCGCAGGGACAAGACCAGAGAGGCAGTGTCGGAAGATTTGGGCAGGATCGTAGCCAGAGGGACACCTCGGCGCAGATCCGCCCAGTCGAGCGTTGCGATACGTGTCACAAGCCTGGACACAAGTGGTGGGACGATCGGTGTACCGAAGCGTGCATACATTGCGGCCGCCCAGGTTATTTCCGCCGAGGGACTGTGTGCCGGATTGGTGAGGACTCCGGTGAGTACCATCCCCAGGCAATAGTTCAGGTAACGGAGGATGAGCGTCGGCGGCAGATTGAGCTGCGTACCGAGATGAGAGTCCAGGGTCGTGACATACGCACTCAGTGGGAATCCTTTCACGACTTTCTGGGTATCATGCTCGCGTTGCCGGGCCCTCCCGGCTCATCGCCAACACAGCGGCCAGTGCAAGGGCAGGACAACCGCCCTATATTACCAGCTTATGGCCGGAGAGGTCCGCAGCGTGGCTCTGGTGAAGCGATCGATGGTGCAGAAAGGCGCGAGGGTGGCGGCGATCGTCAGGCTCATCAGCAGCCTGCGGTCGAGCGTGAGGCAACGAGGAATCCCAACGCTTGTCGCAAGAGGTCGCCTCCTCCACATCTCCAAGACAAGGCCAAGAAGAATTGGCAGCGTAATAAGCGCAAGGAGTTGAGAAAGTGGTACCGTGAGCAGGGGTTGGAGGCACCCGCTGCGAACGACCAGGGCGATAAAGATGGGGACGAGAAGATGGCAGAGGCTACGGGGGTTCAGCCGACTGAGAGTCAGGCTACAGAGGGGAAGCCGACCGAGGGCGAAGAGGTAGAGGGTGAGGCGACGACCCCAGCCAACGGCGAGTGGGATGAGCTGTATGACACCACGCCTCCACCTTCAGCCCGGCTTTGAACTCCTGATCCGCACCAGGCCACGGCCCGTGAGGATTTCGAGCCGGCGGATCCGGAGGTGGAAGCGAGGATGGCGCGGAAGCTGTGGGAGATGGTCGGCAATGGCACACAGGGTGTTCCCGTAGGCCCAGGTGCATGGCGGTGTTGCCGAGGATGAGGGTGATGGCGGCGATGATCGGGAGTCGACCGACATATGACGGCTCGAATGCCGGAGGAGGTTATCAGACCGCTCCAGGCGGGACTCCTTGATCGATCCAGTACGGGTGAGGAGGCTGATGCGGTGTTGGCCGCTGTGTTTAGATATTGTATCAAGACATTTGACACGCCCATACCTTGTTTCACCTTACACATCCACATACCATTCCCTCTTGCTATATCGCGAAGACCATCCGTTGGGAGAGAGGCTAAGCGTGGATGGCGTGAAGATTGTGGTCGCGGCTTCCATCTTCCATCCCGAACTACGACATGTGACATAGGCAGAACTATGAGGCACGCTATTGCATCACCTCCATCTCGAAACTTCAACCGTGTGTCTTGGTGTCGAATCATTGAAGAGGTTAATCAATAGGTATGGCTGGATGTGTAGTCCATTACTGGCAGCGGAGGCAGATCCCAATGCCTCATGCTGCCTCTCCTCGACAGCAAGGCTTTTTCAGATATGTCATGTCCTGAGGCTCAGTAAAATCGCAACAACCGTTAAAAGGCGTTGACAGAGATCATGTCGACTACCGGTCATGCCCAAAAGACAGGAGCCGTCAAGCTTGCTCGAAGAAAGCTCACGAGCCAGAGCGCAATGCCTCGACGACAAGCACCCTCGACTATAGCGCCTTCGACGTCTGGAGGCCGAGGCTCAGCAGAAATACCTTCGGAGCGTACTCACCGGAAGCGCAGTAGAGCGTGATGAAACGAGTCTCACATCGTGATCGTCCATCTCCGCCTGCTGCCCGTTGCGGTATGATCGCCGTATGCATCTCCAACAAATACAGCTGCCAAGCGCGTTCAATGCAACCAACAAATAGCGCAGCGTCCTCGAGACCGAGGCTCCCGTGGCTTCTTCCTGGAGTTGCAGAGAGGCGCTTGCTGGTTTGGTTTGTGTCCTGCAGTTTTCCGTTCGTCTCCATCCAATGAACGTGGGGACAATGAACGCTTACTCTTTTCAAACTTTTTCTCCGCTTTGCCAACAACTGTCAGAGACAAGCCTCGGCTCCTGAACCTGGGGTAAGGATGCGGGAAGGCACGGCGGATCAAAGCTTAGTGTAAATTTTGGTCGATCATGACCGGGGTCTGTGGCGGGAAGCAGACGAGTTGGGAGAGTTGGCAATCCACACACCACTCCATGTCCGCAAGAAGGGGTGAAACGAGATGGCAGACAGAACCGCAGGCCAAAGACTGCAGCCAGTAGGCCTCCTCCCAAGTATCGATTTGCGCGACCGGACTACCACATGCTGCCACACCTGGTGACCATCCTGATCGAGTAGTGTGGCCGTGCCAGAAAAGCCAAATTCAGATGCCGTGGTATGGTCTGAAACGGCGATCGTCCAAATGTGTCGACATCTCAGGAGAAGCCACCAGCGTCAGGGACCCGATCTGTTGCCCCTCCTCATACCACCTGAGTCTATGTGTTTGTTGGAATAATGCCTCGGTCTCCATTGGGCCGTTGAATCCCTACCGTATGTTGTTATATGTAGCTGCGTAAACTCGCCCTCGATGTGTCAAGCTGGCCTCTTCTCAACAATCTTGACTTCCGTTTCGATTCGCCATGAAGACCGTCTTGTTTAGCCTTCTCTTCTCAGGCGCGTACGCCTTCCCCTGGGTCGCCAATGAGCCTGGTGTCGTATCACCATGGTCTGAGTTCGCCAACGGTCACCGCCTCAAGGCGCGACAGCAGGCGGGCATAGGTGCCTGCCCGTTCAACGCGAACCACAAGCCGGCGAACCCCATCACCGACAAGTACCCGTATAACGGGGCCAAGAACGGTCTCCCTGGCAAGGGCAAGGGCGGCTTCCAGGTCCCAGCAGATGTAAGGGACCACACCGTTATCCGCGTGCAAGGAGATGCTGACGATGCTGTCTTGTAGGGCGACACTGCACATCAGTTCGTCGCGCCTGGGGCCAACGACATTCGAGGACCTTGCCCAGGACTCAATGCCGCGGCCAACCACAACTTCCTTGCTCATGACGGCATCACCACCTTCAACGAGCTCGTCGACGCTCAGCAGAACGTGTACAACGTCGGCTACGATCTTTCTCTTCTGCTTGCAGCCCTTGGCTTGACGCTCACCGACGGTGACATTGTCACTGAGAAGCTTTCCATTGGCTGCGACGCCACGTCCCGGACCTCTTTCAATTCAGCATTGACCGGCAGCGAGCCAGGTCTGAATGGCCACAACAAGTTCGAAGCCGATACATCGTTGACACGCAACGACTACTTCCTTGCCAATGGAGATAACTACAAATTCAGTAAGTTGTGCAACTCCCTCAGGCTGTCTCAATCGCTGACCTTCCTCCCAGACGGGACTCTGTTCGGCATGATGGATGATACCTGCGGGTCCAACTTCGATCTCCAAGGCCTAGCCAAGTACCGCAAGCAGCGCTACGAGCAGTCATTAGCCCAGAACGGAAACTTCTTCTTTGGGCCACTCTCTCTCCTCCTCTATGGAGCAGCCTCGTTCTTGTATGAGCTGATGCCGAACGGAAACCACGGGTACAAGCCTGACCTCGAGACCATCTCAACTTTCTTCGGAGCGAAGAAGAACAGCGACGGCACCTGGGGCTACACCGCGGAGAAGATCCCGGACAAGTGGACCAACAGGGTCAGCCCATACACCAACAACGACGTCACCAGCCAGATCTTGCAGATGTACCTCCTCGACCCAGTCTTGTTCGGCGGCAGCACGGCTCAGGGAAAGTTCGACACCATCGACTTCGGCGCCATCAAAGACGGAAAGATTGATGCTGGCATCTCAGCCACGTCGACGTCTTGCCTGCTTTATCAGCTCGCCACTGGCAACATCCCATCTTCTCTGAACGGGCTGGTGACTCCGACGGTCAAGGCTCTGACCTTCATCACCACCAAGATCTCGCCTTCCTTCAAGAATTTGGGATGTCCAATTCCATTGACGTAGAGGCGGAGAGGAGGCTGGTGCGATCACCTTCCTTCAAGAACTTGGGATGGTTGGTTCTGGAGGTTGGCGGAATTGGAGTTGTTAGGGCCGACTCGTAAGGGCGGCGGTGGATGGGAGGTGTGACGAGTGGTTCATTCTATCGCTAGCGCCGGGAGAAGATGATATATAAGTTGATGAGTGCGATTGAGTAGTGTCTTAACGATCACTCCCCCACTTCCTTCAAGCCTTTGGCCTGTTTGTCTCTGGGCCCTTTGAAGCATGCCAAGGTTCCGAAATGGTAAGAGCCTTATTTTCAGCAAGGCCCTGGGTGTCCTTTGGCCAGAGTGCTTCGTTGGGAGCTGATGTAGGATCCAGGGTTGAAGGCGAAGGCGGGAGCTGGTGTTGGGCGGATTTTTCTGCGTTCCTCTGTTGAGCAAGCACATGTAAGAAGCTGAGTCTGATTGGTGACCGTGTATACACCAGATCAGACTCGTCGATATATCCAGTCGCGAGTCTGCCTCTGTCTTGGAGTGGTGGACCACGATACTGTTCAGGTCAACGGTATTCAACGGGTGATGTTCCACGTAAGCCAACAACTCCTGGCACGGAGTCCGGCAATATCTCTCCAACGCGTTCTCTAGGAAGTTGGCAACCGCGTTTAGACATCTCATGATCCTCCAGCACACGAGACACAGGAGCCACGGCGGTCACAGTCATGACAACCTTCGCATCCAGCAGGCCATCCACTATACCAACAACACCACAACCACGTCCCACCTCCGCCCGCCGCACCAAGAAAGACACCCCTCGAACAGATATCTGGACATCACTCCTCCGCAGCACACGCCAGGCTCAGGCACGGTCGCGCACTCACAACCTCGATCACAGATCACTCCTGATTCTGGGAGGCTCAGCTCCTGACCAGCGGAACTTTGTGGAGAACTATGTCGCTCGTCCACCGCCGCCCACACCTCCAACCGCGAACCGACGTGAAGAGCCACGGAAGAAGGGTGAAGTGAGGTTGAGCAATCGCTTTGCCTATGGCTACGGGCATGTGACGTTGTTCTCGCCGCCACAGGGTCAGGGGGGCTCAGTGTTGCTAGGCGGCGAGGCGGAGGAAGTAGCAAGGGTGGAATGCCATTGTTTTGCTGGGGCGGCAGAGAAGGGGTACGAAGGCGTATTGCGGAAGGTGCTAGCGGCGAAGAGTCATAGCCAGCAGTCCAGCGCGGATATTGAAGAGGAGAGGATCACCGAGGGGGAGTCAGAAGGAAAAGATGCAAGAAGACCGAGTGTCGCGATCTTAATGAGCTGGCAGAAACCCTGGGAGTTTCTTGACATTCTCAAAAGATGGCTGGTGCTGCTCTCACAATCTTTACTGCCTGAGGGTGGGAGAAAGGACGAGAATCCAATGGAGGTTCTGAAGGAGTTTGGAGTTGGTGTGACTGTGGTGCTGCAGCATGTCGAAGCTCAGGAGGTGCTGGAGCGGGAGAACTACAAGGACGACACTTTCGACTACATCTCGCAGTGTCTGCGTACCTGCATACTGCCACTGGGTGCAGGACTCGTCTACACACCTTCGACGCCACTTCCATCGCAGCCTGGCGCGCCCTTGAGTGAAGTTCAAAAGGTCGTTTACGCAAGCCTGGGTCTCGATGTCGCCTCACTGCAACCAAGAGCGGGCGTGCGGCCAGGGAGCTCATCAGGCATACATCAAAAGACGAAGGATGATCTGCAGCCCCGGCACAACGTCGTTGACCGTATGGCCATCGTTGTTCCGAGCGGATGGGACAGCGTTGGCAAGATTCGACTCCTCTCTGAGACCTTTAGCCCGGAGATCGTCATGGAAGGATGGGCAGCTAATCTGGCAGCGGCGGTGTCATCTTTCAACCCACCCTCGATCGAGAAAGAGGAGCCAGTAATACACACCGACGAAGCAAACACGTCAGATGTGCTGGAAGCAACAGGCGGAGCGATGGAAATGTACTCGTCGCAGCCGTCACCCGACCCATCTCCTGTTGATGGTGAGCCTCCGATGTCACCGTCAAAGATGGCTGTTTCAGCAACTGCCACTTATGAGCGCACGGTCCAAGATCCGAATGCCCACAAAGCATCGAAAGCAGCTAAGCTTGAAGTGACAACGAAACCCGAGCAAGAGTTTCTGGCAGAGATGCGCGCACAGCTGCAACAGTTTGAAGCACATGATGCGGAGCGGCAACGAAAGGAGGGTGGAAGTAGTGTGCATAGCACAGCAGGCGCTCTGCAACAGACCCGAGATGGTAGCGGCAGTGCGGGTACCAGTAGTGCGTTGAGCGATCTAGGAGATGTCAGCTTCAACGTGGGTGGCGTCAGCTACAACACTGTGTCTGCCGAAGCGGCCATCGAGCGCCTGAAGAGACCTCAGCATCCTTCCAGCTCGAGTGGAGGTACCGAGTCGCCGACAGTGTCGACCCCGAGGAGCGGCACACCAAGACCGCCAAAGCGAGAAGGGCGGGAAGGAACACCGGTCACGTCAGGGGGAAAGACGGAGCTTCAGACGGAGAAGTTGGAGGAGTACTTTGCGTCGTTGATGAAGCGCAGTGGCGGTGGGAGTAATAGCAGCACCCCCTCCAAGCCTCCCCCATCGTCGTAGATAGCGTATAGCTCGAGATGCCCAACTGCATGTGAAAGCGATCTTGAGCGATCTTGAATTTACCCTGCCGTCCCGATAAGGTTTGGTGTGGTCTCACAAGCCTGCAGGGTCCTGGGGAAATCTTTATCGTCAATGGCAGCCAGCTCGTCCCACTTGCTTTTCCACCTCACCTCCTTCACACTCGCTCATCGCAGCATAGGCAACACAGGGCGCCAGGTCGTGTATTCTGTCGTTTCGGGCGGTTGTTCGTTTGCGCGTTTTCGAGGTGAGAAAAGAAGAGCAGGGAAGAAGTGGCATACCGTTGAGTGAGCGGTGAGCTATCTGCGAAATCGCACGGGCGGCTTCGAGTCCTTTCGATTGGCAAAGCAAAGCAAGACGAGCGAATATAACATGGCCACCAGGACTCCAAGGCCTTCGAAGGCGCGACCGTCGAATGGTCAGCACTCAGTGGGCCCGACGGCACTCAGTCCACCACAAGTTCGGCAGCCATTCACTCCACCACCGCGGAGCCGTGACGATGACGATAATGCCGATGGTAACGAGGAGGTTGTGGCGAAGCTTCAACAGCTACAAGCCGGTAAAGGGAGCATATCTGGTGGGCTGAATCCGAAGCCCCACGGCTCTTTCAATATCGAGGACATGGCTGTGTGTGCAAGTCCGGGGGAGTTTGCTCGTGCGAAGAGGAAGAGCGATGGCTCCCGGCTACAAGCGCTCGAGACTCAGAGCCTGGCGACGATGCTCCGGAAAGGCATTGTAAAGCATCAACTCGGCCTGTCGCTCAACCTCATCATTCTGCTCGGCATGAGCTGGTGTCTGTTCCCGAGCCTTCGGCAGACCTTGGAGGCTTTCTTTACGCTCAGCTACCAGTCGAACCTCCCAGGTCAAGAAGCAATGTACGGCGAGGGATTGCGCGATCTGTACTTCGTCGCCGCGTTCACGGTCCTTCTCATCGGCGTCCGAGCCTTCATGCTTGATTACGTCCTTACTCCTCTGGCGGGCCTCTGGGGTATCCGAAATCCACGCACTCGTGACAGGTTCGCTGAACAGAGCTTCCTCCTCCTGTACTACATCATCTTCTGGAACTGGGGCCTATACCTCTTTATCAGCGATACGCCATCACTCTCCGCATCCGCCACAGCACCAACCTCCAGCGCTTTCTCCAATTTGCTCATCTCGCTCTGGACTGGCTTTCCGCGGCTTTTGGTCCATTCAAGTATGAAGTTGTACTATCTTTCGCAGCTGGCTTTCTGGATCAAGGAGATTCTGGTTGTGCACCTGGAGGAGAAGCGAAAAGATCACTACCAGATGCTCACACATCATCTTGTCACAGTTGCGCTGATGGCTACAAGCTACGGGTATCGACAGTGGCGGGTCGGCAACGCGGTTTTGGTTGCCATGGACATCGTGGAGATCATTTTCCCGGTAAGTTCATAAGACAGGCGTCCGAAATTGCACGCGGCCGCAGCAAGATCTGTTGAGCTGACTTCTGTTCACAGACAGCTAAGATACTCAAGTATCTTGGCCTACAGGCAGCCTGCGATTTCGCTTTCGGCATGTTCGTCTTCCTGTGGCTGATCGCAAGGCATGGCTGTTACCTCACGATCTGCTGGAGTATCTACGCTCACGTGAACGAGGTTGTTATGCCGTATGGAACTTACAGCCTGAACGAAACTGTAATCGACCACAGCAGCGGTACTCCCATCGTGTCTGGAGCGCGTTTGGGACCTGACGGCGGTGAAGACGCATGGCGACACATTTTTCAACCATTCGTTGACACAGGCGCGGAGACCGTCAGCTTCAACGCGAAGATCCGCTGGAGTTTCCTGGGCCTTCTGCTGGGCTTGCAGTGCATCACGCTGCTCTGGTTCTTCATGATCTGCCGCGTCGTCCTGAAAGTGCTGCGTGGCGAGGGAGCAGACGACACGCGATCGGATGATGAAGGCGAGGACGAAGAAGAAGAGAACTCGAGCTCGACGCTCACTCCGGACTCATCTCCCGGACAGCCCATCACTCCAACCGGCGTTCCCTACACGATGCAGCCAGAGAAGCAGCGCTTCATCGAGATCGAGGCAGATTCGACCGAGTACGTCCGCCGAACGCCTTCCCGCTCCGGAACGAGTCCTAGTGGGAACGCGGCGTCACGGTCGCGGAAGGGCAATGCGTTTGCGTCTGGCTTGAACCTGGGCGAGCACAAGGACATTCTCAATCGGATTGGTTGCTTGAGCGAAGAGCAGCTGGCTCGCGAGAGGGAGAAGAAGGGTGAGAGATGAGAGGTGTTGCTGGGGTGGTCTTTAAAAGTCGTACTTGAGCCCTGTTTACTTACAGATAGATGGTGGTTGCATGATTATATACCCTCAGTATGTGCATATGGACCATTCTTCCGTCTCGACTCTTTCTCCTTCCCCTGATTACGCATTTGATGCACTGACAAGCCTCGTACTACAACACGAACGCAGGAGAAAACAGTCTGAGGGTTTTGATGCATGCCAGTGTGGACAATGGACGGTCGTGCGCTTTGCTTTACTAAAGACAACTCCATCATATCCCCAACTGAGCCTTACAGACTGGCGACCTCAATACACATAAATAAACTCATCATTCTTCCGATCCGTGAGATCGAGGAAAGCCTGCTCGCCAATCCGCACATGACGGCCTCCCACCTGCGCCTCTCCCTCAGCAAGACCGGTAACAGCGTCTTCCGGCTGCTCGTCGGCGTCATGATACTTGTCCTCCATGGAATGGTCCATGATCTTCGCAGGCTTGCCGTTCTTCACGCGCTTCCGCTCCTGCAGCTTGTTCAGGAACATCAGATTCCCGGCTTGCAGGATCGTGCAGGCAGCCAGGGCGACGAATATGGCGAGGACTGCCCGGAGTCCTGGGTGGTAGGTTGGTGCGTCGGAGGACTTGAAGAGCAATGGGCCGATAATGTTGCCTGCAGACGATGCGGCATTGTACACGCTCATGGTTGCTGACTTCTTGGTTGTTCCTGCGGTGTTTGCCACGATCCACGCCACGATCAGCGGGTTGCCTCCGAACAGGAAGGCCAGCAAGTAGTAGCCTCCAAGCAAAGCGCCTTGGTGTGCATCGGTGTGGCTAATGGTGTACAGCATTGCCAGCCCTGCAATTACTGGGATCGTGATAATAACCAAAATCGCCGATTTGATCTTGAATCTTTGCGCTGCCCAAGAAGCCAGCAAAATCACGGTAAACTGGAGCGCACCAAATGGCATATTCAGTAAGCTCGTCATGTAGGCATCGAGGCCAAGTCCACCAAGGATGAGTGGTCCAAAGGTGTTCGTAACGCTTGCTCCGACATTCAAGAGCAGAGCCAAACCCACCCAGAGGTAGGTCTTCGGCTCCAGTGCGAGTTCGAGTATGTGCGACCACTTGAAGTCTCTGCTACCGGTACCGGTTTGATTTGCACGCAGTCGTTCGATAGCCTTTGGCTTCTCCTCGTCCGTAAGGAAACGAGCTGAAGGAATGTCGTTGTCTAGCTTCCAGTACACAAACGGCGCTGTGACGATCGTCACAAGTCCGACGAAAAGAAAGATGATCTGCCAGCTTTCTAAAGTTTCCGAGGGGATGTGACCTAACCCATAGCTCAGAGCGCTTGCCGCGATGGTCGCCAGCCCATTCGTCGAGTACCAAGCCGCAACACGGATCGGCTGTTCGACTCTTCGGAACCATTGTGATGTGATAATCGAGAAAAGCGGGAGACATCCAGCCTCGAACAGCCCAAGGAAGAACCTAGCCGCGAGCAGATCGCCGTATGACTTGCATGCAGCCATTGCAGCTTGTGCGATGCCCCAGCCTAGGCATAGCGAGGGCATGAGGATGCGATGCGGGACCTGTGGACATAAGTTAGTATTGTAATAGAAATCTGTTTCTAGATATTTCGTACCTTGACAATGAGGAAGGACGAGAATGGCTGCCATGCTAGCTGGGCGATGGGAGCAATGGAGCCGACCAGAGAGTACTGGTCGCCTTTCAGGTTGGTACTCTCTGCAAGTCCAAAGATGGCGCCATATCCGAGCACGGATTTGTCGAGGATCTGAGAGGATTAGCAGGTGTATGGTAGGGACATGCGTCAGCGAAGTACTCACTTGGAGGAAGTATACCCAGATTAGCTGCAGGGGACGAATATCAGTCTATATCCTCCCAGAGAACAAGTTCGGAGGATGAGTTCCATCCTTTGCACTTACGATGGCGAGAATGACCTTGTCGGTCTTCCGTTTGATTCGTTTGCTCTACAATCTCACGTCAGTTGCCATGCCATCGCCTTTGGGTTCGTCTTCTTCTCCGCACCTCTTCCTCAGTCAGCGTCACCCTCTCGTCCCCAATGACCGACAGCGCCCTGTCGCCATGTTTGGAGCCGTGATACGTTATGTCATGATGCCCGGCCTTCTCCAGCTCATTGGAAGTCATCTTTTCAGACATTGTGGCCGCCGTGGACTTTCTGGGAGGTATGCTACAAGGTGAAAGGATGGAGAAGTCGTCCCCGAAGGCCAGTTTTGATCGTCATCCCTAACGTGGCTTGCGATCTGCGCGGCTTGTGACCGTCGCGTGGACGACTTCGTTCACTTCCCGCTCGGCTCGGCCTGTCAGTGAGGATGCCGAACTTTTGACACTTCCAACCCGACAGACGCCGACAACCAGGCGTTTGCGCCAGGTCATCAACAGGAAGGCGTACTGCGCAAGGCACTAAGGTGTTGTTGCTCTGAAACGTGCGGCGTTCAACAAGATGCCATCACTTCTCACCCAATCGCCATGCTTAGGAGCTTCATCTGAACATCGGCCGACACAAACTCGTTTTCCGATGCAAACGCCGACGGCTCATCAGTCGTACTGTGCCTTGCGTATGGAAAAGGTGTCGCGACGTGGCCGTTTGACTGCCCCGTCGTCTCCCCAGACATAGGCCCCATACCCCAGGCCGATGGTGGAAAGACGAAATGCACTTACGGGAGCAAAAGATTGTTGTTCCAACATTGCTGGGCAGGCCGTTCTACCTGACAGCCTTCATCGTTATATGTGTCTGATAGTTCTAGTGATATGCTTACCATACTTTGGAGAGCGCAAACGATCAGTACCATCCGTGAAGGCGCCTGACTCGATGTTTGTCATCTTGGTTGTTTCTTCCTCACGATTTGACAGTGACAGGCGGCTAAACGCCTCTGGTCCGAGAGGAGGCTAGCATCGGTGCGGTCCGTGTCGGGATCTAACCTCAGGTCGTCTGGAGATCTCGAGACAGCATCTTCAAACCGGCCACAAGAGTGTATTAGATCCGATTTCTCGGAGAGCCATTTCGATGATCGAGCGAGCCAGACGAAGACAGGTCATTCTCTCGGACATTGGACACGATGTACCTCCGGCGAAGTGGATTTGACCAGGTCGCAATGTCCGTCTGGAAAGGTATAAAGCAGCGATAGCTCTCCATCATGGCATCACAACGGCTTCGTGATCTCCATCTCAAGCAAGAGTGAGCACTATCTTCAGTTCTATCGACATCCCGCATCAACTTGAACGAGCTGTCATTCAATTCCTAGCTTTCCACATTACCAGAATGTCTCAAAAGTACGCTGCCGACCAGCCAGCTGGCTTCAATAACCAGGTCACAAAAGTCGCCATCGTGGGTGCTACAGGCTCCGTCGGGGAGTACATCACCAAGCACCTCCTCGCCACCGGGAAGCACAAGGTAACCGCCATCACTCGCGAGGACAGCAAAAGCACCATGCCCTCCGGCGTCAACGTCGCCAAGATCAACTACGACCAGCCCGAGTCGATCGCCAAGGCATTGCAAGGCCAGCAATCTCTCATCATCACCATGAAGACGGGCCAAATCGAGCCCACGAAGAAGTTGGTGGCCGCCGCTGCGAAGGCCAATGTCCCATGGGTTGTTCCCAACGAGTACTCGCCCGACCTCGTTGCGGACCCGAAGATGGGCAACGAGACCGGCCTTCTCCCTGCCATCGTTCCAATCCGCGAGGCTATCCGCGACCACTGTGTGAGCTCATACGTTGGCCTCTTCTGCGGGTATTGGTACGAGTATTCTCTCGCCAACGCCCCGCAATGCTACGGCTTTGACTTCAAGAACAAGATTGCAACCTTCCTCGACGATGGCCTGACCAAGATCAACACGTCGACATGGGAGCAGTGCGGTCGTGCTATGGCGAGTCTTTTCAGCCTGCCTCAGTACCCGCAGGATGCCAACGACAAGAGTGTGACAATCAGCCGTTGGGCCAACGATGCTGTGCGTGTCGAATCGTTCTTCGTCAATCAGCGAGATATGCTTGACAGCATTCTCCGCGTGACTGGCGAAAAGGAGTCTGATTGGACGATCAAGTACCAGCCCGCGCAGGAGCGGTGGCAGGAGGCTTGCGAGATGATGAAGGAGGGCGGCTCGAAGGCTGGCCAAGGATATATCCAGAAGATGTATTCGAGGGTCTTTTACAAGGACGGAAGCGGTGACTTCACCGACAAGTTGGATAATGAGCGCTTGGGTTTGCCGAAGGAAAGCCTCGACGAAGCAACGAAGAGGGCGTTGGAGATGGTTGAGGGCGGGTACAACTACTTCGCTCGTGGGTAGTAAGATGGAGGATAAAGTCGTTTCTGTATCAGCATCTCGTGGTATACGTCAGCCCACAGCTTCTCCCTTCATGACTTGGCATTGGTGTTCAACCGCATTCACTCCACCAAGTGTTTCGAGCCCACGTGCCAGCCATATGCGACAAAGGCGACGTAGATGTCTGGGACGTAACCGTCGGCGGCGAGTTCTTCTCTCACGGATCAAAGTCAGCCCTCTATGCCTTCACATACTGGCTCCAGTGGAGACCCAGAGCCCAGTGGAACAGCCTGTCGTATGACAGTCAGTTTGGATGACATGCGAGTTCAAGGTCTGGGTCAACACTTACCTCGCGTCAACGATCTTGCCCTTTTCCTGCGACAGCGCTGGGAGGAGAGACCATCATTATATGTAAGGGACGGTGACAGTAGGGAGCACGCACCTTTCAGCTTATGGTAGAGCTCGCTGAGAGGGACGATAAGTCGCTCGATGTGTTCGCCTTCGTCAAGGTGTTGTTCCGGAGGTTCTTCGCCTTCCTTGAGGTTGACCTCAACAGTTGCCATCTGTTGGAGTCAGCTTTGATCCGATTATTCGCTGCTTCACCGGATGCGCCTACCTGCATATTGGCGTTCGTCACTAAAATGATATGTCAGCAAAGTCCACAAATCGATAGACGTGTACATACAGCCAGGATCCGCCACGATTGTCGGGCTGCAGTCGACCACCTGTGAGCACAAGAAGCATTAGAGACGTGCACTCACTTCCAGGTTGGTTGCCTAGAGCCGGACTCAGATCACACACCTTGCCCTCGTAGCCAGTCTCCTCCTTCAACTCCCTCACTGCTGCCTGCTCCGGGGTCTCGCCTTCGTCGATGAGGCCGGCTGGGAACTCCACGCAGTAGGCTTCGACCGGTGGCCGGTATTGCAGGATGATCATGGTGGATGGAGGCTTGCTGGGGTGGCGGAGGATGGGTGCGATGGCTACGGCGTCGACGCCGCCGGAGCTGCGGGTCTTGCGTGCTGCTGCCTCCCAGACACGATCTTTGCCCGTCTGGGATGGTTGTGAGCAGTTGCTCTCAAGGAATACATACGCATACGATACGTACCTGATCAGTCCACTGTTCACGTGAAGTGTTAGCGAGCTCCGAATTCCCTTTGAAATCATAGACGCAATACCTCAATCTTCCTCAGTTCCGTCCATTTGGCCTCTTCAGAAGGCAGAGGGCCGATGTTGCGGATCTTTGGGGACGGCATCTTGCGGCTCGCAAGTGTGCGCACGGGCGTGATGGATGACGAGAGCAGGTCGATACGGCGGCGGGCTTTTATGAGCGCATGTCGCATTGATCTCGCGTGAATGAGAGACAGTAAGAGAGGTGAATGGTGAAGGGTGAGGTGCAGGCGATGACGTAGGTCATATTGAAGCTTGGCACTTTCGAGACGAGAAACAGCTGGAGATGTTGAAAGCCAGAGACTAGTCGGAGTGGATGCAAGGCATTGATCTTAGACTGCTGAAAGTGCTAGCTATCCACTGTCCTCGGCCGCCTCGTTGTGCAGCTCCTCTGTGCACATATAGCAGACCACATTCCTTTGCTCGCCTCTTACCTCGACGCCTTCTCAACATCATCAATATGCTCAGCATCCATCTCCCTATCGACCTTCTCGCTCTTGGCCCTGCCGGCTCCAATCTCAGCCAGACTGACGCCCTGTGCTCTCATCGCCTCGTACTCGAGAACAGTGGCAGCTTCTTCGTCTCGCTCCGACTGGGTCATCTCCGGTCCAACAAACACGAACAGCAGAATGTAAACCCACACAGCTCCCAGGAAAATACCTTGTGCGACAAGTCAGCTCGGGGAGACCGCTTAGATGGCTGACGATGCACCACTCACCAATGACCTTGCCGTAGTTGTATCTCGATGCGCCCGTCTCGGGGTTGTCGGCCAAAGGGAAGCGTTCTCCGATGGTAGCTTCAATTGTCGAGGAGGCGGAGGAAGCAAGGTTCCCAAGCTGGTATGTGAAGCTGTAGAATAAAGCTCGGACATGCGGCGGGCTCAGTTCGACCAAGTGGACGGGACTACAGCGGTCAGTGGAGAACACGGGACTACCTCGACAAGTGACTTACATTGGACCCCAAACACCTCCAACAAAGACCTGTTCGAAGAAAGTCGAGGCGACCAGACTCTTGGTTCGGAGGAGCATGTATGCTGGCACGATTGCTCCCCCAAAGACACATGCGATCATCATCGTTAAACGGATCCCAATGAAGCTCGAGAAGTAACCCAGAGTAGTACTGCCAAGGATTGCTCCGATCTGTCCGACGACAGTGGTGACAGTCGTCATGGTGTCCCCGAAGCCGACTTGATCCTTTAGGAACGTCGGGTACAGATCTTGAGACCCATGCGATACACTGTTGAACCCGCTCATAAGGACAACCATGTATATGAACAGGACCCAGTTGCCTCGGAAAGCGTCATTGGCCTCGTGGAGAAAGGATTTGAGCGCTCCGGCCTTGTTCTTTCCGTCCGCCTCTGAGTGTTTAGCAGCGTGTTTGGCTTCACGCTCAGCCTTGACAACCTGGAAGTAGTTGGTCTCTGGTAAGTAGATCCGCCATATGATGAGGAGAATCGGCGGTCCAGCTCCGAACCAGAAGAGAGATCGCCAGCCATGGGAAGTCGTGGGCACCAGCGCACGATAGAAGATAGCGGCGAGAAGGTATCCAATGGCGTATCCCTGCTGAAATAACCCAGAGGCAATGCCGCGAGCATCGTAAGGTAGGTCTTCAAGAGCAGTCGAAGCGGCCGGTCCCAGCAAGCCTCCCATGCAAATCCCGTACAGTGCTCTTACAGCCAGGAAAGGGCCCAAAGAATTGCAGAACCCAGATGCCAGCTCTAGTATGATAAAGAGGAAGAGGTTGCCGACCATGAGCCATTTACGTCCGTATCTGTTCCAGGGTCAGCCAAGTTCTGGAAGGGTACCGGTACCACTGCGTCACTCACCGGTCACTCAAGCTACCTGAGATCAAGGCCCCGACAGAGCGAAGCATCAAGGTGATTGTGATTCCCCAAGAGACATCTGACGGCTGTTTGTCGAAAGCCTCGGCGATCTCAGTCACTGTCCATTGTCAGTGCGAGGACTGCTTTCTATCAGTTGAGACGTACAGGTCAACGAGACCGTCTGATTGTCATTAGTGAGAGTTCTGAACTCTATCGGTCGTGGTACTTACGAAGAAATCAAAAGCATCCCAGGCCCACGAAAACAGGCCGATAAGGAACAAGTTCCATTGATGCGCGTCCAACGATTTCACGATGGTCCACGGATTCTTGAGCTTCGACCGTGGCGGTTTCAATGTTGTTATACGGCTAGGAATATAACGTGCGATCTGGCGGCCTGAATAGAACCATCCGAGCTCCATGTTGTTCCTCATGATCGCGGTTTTGGCTTACGCAGATGCGTAGGAGATTGTTTGGTGGTCAAAGATCCTCTCACCGAGGTCTGTCTTGAGAGAGACAACGACGGAGCAATAGAGGAGAAGACAGACTTGTATCTCACCTTGAAAGCTACGAGGTACGAACGACCGCCAGCCTGGGTACATCAGCGCTTTATCTACGATTACAGCATCGACCGGCAATTGGAAGCTCATGGCATCCACGTCGCAACCCGCTCGCGCCGCCGTTTCCTATCACCATCCAGCTGCTCCATCGGGGTCCTTGCTGGTTGATCTCGTTTGGAGTGTGGTTGTCAGTGGCCGGAGGAGAACATGGGGCCCCAGAAACTTGCGGGGTCAAGACTCTGGCGTCTCTGGGCACTCGCAGGTGGCGGCCTAAGCTCCTGTTTGAAGCATTGCTGCGACCTCTCACTGCCTTTCTTCGAAGCCGTTCGCTTCGGGAGTGATGCTTAGAGGTGGAGTGAGTATCGCCGTCGGGGTTGCAGAGTTCGGTCGCTACGCCGGGGGAGCCTACCACTCCTCTCCAACATGGCAGCTTCTTTGACTTCTTGTGAATTCGAATATCATGTGCTTATTTAGTTCAACGGCACAACGCCTTATCTCGCCGTGGCGGCTTATTCTGCATCAATAAGCTTTACGAGCTGAAAGTTGCTAGATCTCAAGCATGTCCAAGCCCTCCGCACCCGTTGGCGTCAGCTGTTAAAGCTTGTGAGACCTTCAAGCGAGAGACAGTGAAAGCAGCCAACCGGGCATAGCTAGCAGTCTTCTCCAACACGAGTTTGCGGCCAGAAAGGCCTCATCACTCTTATTAGTGGGCGGATACTGTCTGTGAGAAAGTCACTTACACGGCTCACTGTGATCTAGTGGGCCGTTTTCACTGTCGACAGCTTGGCGATTTGGGCGTCTGAACTACCTTCAGAATTGGTGATACTCCGAGGGACGTACCGCGAGGGCGTCGGCGATACTGTTTTGGGACGTTTTGGCAGGACAACATCCTGACATCAAACATAAGTAACGAGGTGCCGAGGCCGTCCTGAAAGTAAGCCACGATGAATGACTGACTGCGCAACGTAGCAAAGCTTTAGGCGACAGTACCAAAGAAGGTTCGCATTGTCGACAATATGCAAGCCATCGTAGATTCAATTTTTGTGGTCTGGTAGGGCGACCACCCATACCGCCCTAAGGTCAGCTTTTGCGGTTGTTTTGCTCTGCGATTTCAAGCATCATCCGGGGCCGCAAGGCAACGCAAGAAGGCGAACAGTGGCAAACGACCTTTGCGTCGACTGAGCCCACCGACCCTTGGAGAAGTGCGTATGCCATGCTCACAAGGCATCGAAAGATGACAGTGGCCGTCGCCCCTGTATTAAACTCTTCAAGCTCCAATTGACGTCGAGACACCGAAAGTGGAACTCGGCTCTCGGTGATGATGCAAAGCTCGAACCCGTGAAAACCGTAAGTGATGTCGTCTGAAGTTGTGTGGCCGTTTCGCTGTCAAATGCAAATGTCCGTAGAGAGTCAGTCAGGCCTTTGGGCGCAGGAAATTGCAGACGTGCTGCTGAAGGGTGCAGCAATAAGACCAGCAGCAGGTGGTGGAAAATTCAGGTCTTTGGCATGACCTCGAAAGCTGTGTGCACACGGCGATGTTTGTTGTTGCCTTGCTGCGGCGCAAAGGCCGTAGACGCAAAAAAGACGCATCCTGATAAGCAGCGACAGCCAGTCTCCTGGGTTGGTACTGCTTGGTTCACGCTCAATAGCGCTAAAGTGCGGGATGTTTCGAATGAAGTAGCACAGTGGACCATGGCCTTCTCGTGGAGGAAGCCACACAAGGCTTGAATGAGCGGCCTCAGTGTCTCCTGGTGATCCAGAATGCGTGGCTGAGTTTTGATGTCTTTCGGATTCATGCCCTATCTGAAGGGCGACTAACCGGCTGTGTGGTACAAGTAAAGAGGCATACTCTTGGTCTGACAGAAGCTGGGATACTGGCAGGGACGAGCCAGTCGCGATTGAACGTCTCGTGCCCGCAGTGGAAAAGTAAGCCAATCATCTTTCCACACGGGGTGTCGTCTCTTGTATTGGGCCGTCAACCGGCAGCGAGACTTTCCATCAGTGATTATAGGAGCAGTCTCCGTGGTATCCGGAAGGCAATGGACGCAACACTTACCGAACACCAGATAAGTGCGGTGCATACGAAGGCGCTGTTTGCCTCTTTTCGGAGCCCGTGATATGGCCATGTCAGCACTCATGTGGTCATTTGGGGAGCTCGAGAAGCAGTACATGCCCCTTCTTGAATCTTGAGTATAAAGTAGCACCAAACCGCTGGGTTGATCTCTCAGGGGCCACCTTAGCCAGTCTTCAATCATTTTGCACATTCCTGAGGGTCGAGAGCACCTCGAGCTCAACTCTGTCGGCTTGCGATCTGCTGTCCGTCGAACTAGCCAGAGCCGAGAACGTGTAGACTGGACATAGCCTTGCTGATAGAGTCCAAAGTCGACTGGAAGAGCTCGAAAGGCTCCTTAGCGGCCGGTCATCCCTCAGACCATGTCGAAGAGTTTTGGTCCTCGATCAAAGAGGTCTGGTATCTGGAAGCTCATCATCAACCGAGCAGTAGCTGACACCGAGCAGGTCTCGCTCTCCAGGCGGCATCGAGTTCGAGCAACACTGTCCAGTAGTTGAGCATGCAGACCAGAGGGCAGGCGGTTCTCTGTTGGTGAAGCAGCTCGCTGGCGCCCAATGTGGCGCCCGAATTGGACGGAATGCAGCTGCATCTTCGGGAAGGGGTGGTGGACAGCAACCGCCTGTGAATCTTGCTGGATACTGGTAAGGAATCGGAAACTGCTTCTCGAACTTGACTGAATGTGTATAGGAAATGCTGCAAATGTAAACAGGTCAACAACCCGGCGCTGCTACCTACTCAGTGTATTTGCGGACACGTGAAGAAGGACTGCTATGTCTATCCGAAGACCGGAGGACGTTGATGTCGACACTACCATCTTCAGCCTGTGGGAGGGAGAGGGTATTGGGCACCGTGCCTGTTAGACAGACATGTAGTGGTTGGGTGGGAGGGCAGGATCCAGTGTTATTGCATTATTGTCGCGTTTTTGTCTTCAACTTTGTATGCATTCAGCTTCACCGGGCCATTCTTCTTGCTTTTCTCGAGAAATGGTGGTATCTGATGGTCATGGTCGCGTCGAAGAGAAGGTGGATGTGAAGAATACGCGCCGCTGGAAACATTCGCGTTGACGTCAACGCGTTTGCGTAGTCTAAGCCATGAAACTCGACCCTTCTTGCCACCCCAGCCTTTGTAGTTTGTAGCCCACAGGTGGAGAGGACCCAAGAGTGTCAGCCCTCAGAGATGTATAGTATTAAAAACAGCCAGCCGCTCGTGTCCTGTCATTACGCTTAGAGGACAAGAAAAGATTGGGGCGGTCATCGTTGCCGATTCGAAGCTGACGACAACCGACAACCCCCAAGAAGGCGCAGCAACTTTCTATCTCAACCACATCTCGTGTTGGTTCAATATTACATGTCTCTACGTCTCTTCTTTGATCTGCTCGCATCTCTTAATTAATCACTGTGCGGGTACTTTGGTTTGACAAGCCTTCCTTCAGTCGTTACCACACACAATTACAAGATTGGATCCCTTCCACTCCACCACCCGTTTGCCACATATTCCACCTCGCCACATCAAGATGCTATTCTCCAACTTGGCCACGTTCTTGCTTCTTCCAGCGGCCATTCGTGCTGCGGCGGTCAGCAACAGTACAGGAGCATGCAACAACAGCCCTTCATTATGCTCAAAACCATATGATCAAGTCACCTACCTTGGAGCCCACGACAGCCCTTTCCTACGGGACGAATCGACCGACTTCTCGACAAGTGGCAACCAATACTACAACAGCACCGTTCAGCTGTCAGCTGGCGTGAGGCTGCTGACCGCTCAGGTTCAGAATCCGGAGGATAGCAATGCGCTGCACGTATGTCATACATCATGCGATCTGCTGGACGCAGGCACTCTGCGTGATTGGCTTGCCGAAGTCCGGACGTGGATGGAGTCGAACCCAAACGAAGTCGTCACGCTGTTGCTGGTCAATGGCGCGGAGGCCACTGGAAGCGCACTCACCGCGCAATATGAGGCTGCCGGCCTCGCGAGTCTATCTTACACACCCTCAGGATCCTCAAGCACGTCGCAGGACTGGCCGACCCTCCAAACACTCATCGACAGCGGCACCCGCCTCATCAACTTCGTTCCCGACCTCAATGATGATTCTGGTGCTGCCTACCTGATGAATCAGTGGAATTACGTCTTCGAGAACGACTACGAGAATACCTCGCCTACGGATTACAGCTGCGAAGTCAACCGGCCAGCCAATTTTGTTGGTAGAACATCTGAAGCCATTTCCAAGGGCAGAATGCCTTTGATGAACCACTTCCTGTATGCTCAATCCGGAGGAGAGAACTCGCTGTTCACTATCCAAGAGCCAAACGCGACGTATACTCCGACCACCAATGGCGACAGTGGGACCGGCAATCTGGAAACGGCAGCGGACGCGTGCAAGCAGGAGTACGGTCGAGCGCCTTCTTTTATTTTGACCGACTTCTTTAACGTTGGCCCGGCCATCGCCACGGTTGACCGCTTGAACGGCGTCTCGAATCCGGTGGGACGACGGAGGGTGTCAACAGCCAACGAGGCACCGTCATCTGGTGCAGCTGCCATGTCGAGAATGATGTGGGGTCTGAGTGTCCCACTGTTGTGTGCGTATGCGCTGCTATGAAAAGCGTCAGCGGGATCGGAGTATGCGGAGTTCTGGTCGGAGATCTGGACATGACGGGTGATAATGGAAAGATTCACGAAGCATATCTAGCGAGGTTTAGCAATGTACAGTGGACGCCTAGCTATCAAGCCGACGGATGCCCTCATTTACCTCACTCTCTGTAGGCGATGTTACGCGCAGGTAGGTACAGCAGCAACCGTTATCTCACCGCCACTGTGGAGGACCAGACAATCATGAGCGGTCACGCGAAGGTCGCAACAGCCTTTTCAAGATCTGACAGGCTCCCATCTTCAAGATCATCGTGCCATATCTTAGCTATATGTCGTGGGTTCTGTTCGAGGTAAATGCCCCGGGTTGGTAGCGGAGCAGATGTGCTGTGCGAGCACGACCGAACCAAGGGTACTCCCTCCCGCAGGTTGACCAGGCGGCTGGGACGAGCATAACCTTGCGCATATCGACGGGACCAAGATACGGCTCTGCACGTGAGGCGAAATCGTGGTACGGGACCAGATGTAAGTCCCAAGAGAGTGGAGTCCGCGGGGAGGTTAACCAACGGTGGGAGTTCCTGGAAGTAAGATATCCTCGAGATGTCGTTGCATTGTGTATTCTGTTGCCGCACGATTGATGCTGTAACCATGTTGTTGCAACGGACTGTCAAAGCAAAGGCGTGGGAATCAGCCACCCGAGCACTGCATTGTCGGGTCCCTGGGGTGGTCCGGGAGCCAGGTGGTCGGTATCGCAGGATCGCAGGGCGGACATCTTCGGCCGTCAGATCGTTGGTCCGGCGGGTATGCACCCAACGTCATGGGACCTGGGTACTGGACATACAATGGTCGCAAGCACGCAACTGTAGGAATGAGGTCTGTTGCGGTTATCGTTATCGTACCGCCGGAGAGCTCCCGACGTTTAGACAATGCGCTACCTCTAACCAGCGACAGCGCCGATGCGTCTCTCCAACTCCCGGGGTCGATCTTGGACGGCATCGTGAGGAGCAGACGTTGGTGTGGTCCCGATATTTGATGGGATCTCCGACAATCTTGTCGCACGCTCGCCAGGTGATCGCTGTGACATCAGTTGATCAATGAGCAGATCGTCGAGCGCTTCTTCCGCGGCCCATGCAGCTGGCCGGCACATGGGAAGGGTGTGCCTTCTTCCCACCTGGCCCTTTCGGCCAGATCGGGCGTCTTGCTTTCCGCTGGCGACTGGACGCACATGTTATGCATCTACATAGGGCCTCGCAGACGAGATGAAGCGGAGCGGACACGTGAGGAGCACGATGGTGGAGCTTTTGGAGCCTTTGCAAGGCCAGACTTTGGATTGCGCAAAGATCAAAACACTCGCGCGGTCTGAGGTCTAAAAATCGACGAACGCTCACTCGTGTCGACGGTGCTTCCTCCCGCATGCCCCCTGTCGCTGGCAGAGATGCCGCTCAGTCTAAGATATGCACTGTGCACCGGCGCCTCCACCGTAGCGCCGGCTACCTGGTAAGAGCTCGATCGTGTTGGAGTCATGCACGTCAAACGGCCTTGCGCGCGATGTGACAGACGAGCGAAAACTCCGCACAGCTCTCATTGGCGCGGTCTCAGTACGCCTCATCAAGTTCTTCCGCTTCGTCACGGCAGTGCTCCAGCTCACCGCGCTAACGCGCTAACCCAGCAGCAGTCTCGATTGCGAGGCGCAGCCAATGCAGATTGGCACTCCACTTTGACAGCGGCACTCCCTGGTCGGGTCTCGGGCGATCCGCATTACGAGTCCAGCACCATGAATCCCACGACGCCATGGCACGCACGGTTGCCTGGATCCCTCACCGGCGCTGGGGTGACACCTTGCGTACAGGGAGCGTACGTCGGCGGAGTGATTCGAACAGCGTCGTCCCAGGAAACGTCTGGCAGTGGCGAGACGGGGTCAACGTGGGGCGCAAAGCACAGCGACAGGACCAAGTGACCAGCAAGAAAGGCGTACAGCGACAGTCAGCTGCTGCGGAGGCTAACTGAAACGATGGATCGATGGCTCCTCGACGAAAGCTCGACCGGGCACCTGGCATGCACGTCGCTCATGATCCACCATGCTTGCTCACTCGTTGAGAGCGTGCTCTGGGGGCACGGGTGCCTATGATGCTGCTGCTGCAAGCAGGAAGCTATTGCAGATACTCGAAACGGCATAGACGCAGAGACTCGGGACGTCTCTGGAGCCGTCCGAGCGCGTGTCAAATGGCAGCTTTGTCCAGCCAGCATGTCAGTGGAAACGTTAGACGAGTCCGCATGGCACGGCACTGCGTAGTCTCCCGGGCCGCCGCAGCGGGCAAGCTTTTGTCGGTATCAGATTGGCACATCGTCCTTTAGCCACCATTCCCGAGATTCGTGTGCTGGAACGATCGCAGGGGCACCGAGCATTCGTCTCGACCGGGTTGTTTCCAACGCTCATGCTGCTTTCCGTTCAACTATATCTTGCTGGCCCTCCCGCTATGGCGCCAACCTCGTGAGGCCGCTTCACGAGTAGCATGGACCCACAAGTCGCTGCAGTAAGTTTCGACGTACGGCGATACGGCGACGGATGACAATAAATCCTTTCCCTCCACCAGCAGTCTGGACCCTTGGTCGATCTTGATTCTCCGATTGTCGTCGACAACCTGGATCCTGTCCACCTTGACATCGACGAGCTAGTTGCTATACGGTCCATCGTCAGCTCCCAATTGACATCAGGCTCGCGACAGCTGGTTGTTCCAGTAAGGTCCTCAATTGACGGGCATTCTCTTCAGACAGTCATCGACAGCCGGAAACCACAGGATCTTCCATTGTATCATCCAAACCCAACATGGCATCCTCAGGAGTTCGCGGGCACTATTCTGCTGCTGAGAGGTCCGGATACGCGAGAACGCACGATGTGTATTCACAGAGATCACGGCTGCCGTCGCCTGAGTATTCTACAAAAGGCCACGACGCCTTCAAACCTAGCGATGCCGACCCCTCGTACAGATATGACATGGATCAAAGGGAAGACTATCGACAGATGTTGAGGCGGAGAGACAGCCACCATACTGCACTCCCTATCTCCCCGCCGTACGACAGTTCGGACACACAGAGGCCTCAGCTACCACCTCTTAAAACGGTCAGTACCGCATCAGAGAGCCATACACGTCCGCTAACTTTCGCAGGTGCTTCTCAATGCCAACTTGAGCCCGCCTCACACGCCACGGATTAAGAACACCTCTGCGCAGCCTTTGCCGTGTGAACCCAGCCTCACGACGAGCACCTACAAGCCTCCGTCCCTGTATCCGAACAAGAAGCTACGGACAGACTTCGTGTTCGAGCCTGTAGCACCAATCACGAACCCTTACACCTTCAGCATGCACGGTCCGCCGTCTGCGAGCTGGGAACAGAGTCCTGTCGATGGATACGGCAATCACTTCTACCGCGACGGCCGTGAAGGTCGTCGTCGTTCATCGCACCAGATCACACGCATTGGTCCCTCTCAACACTCAACCAGCAGCTCTACCAGACCGTCTCCGCACCCCGACAGGATGCCCACGGGCATGCCTTCTTCAGTTCCGTTTTCTCCTCGAGCACCACACGCAGGTTCATACTCGCGGCCGTACCACGGCGAAGAGCGTCATGAGAGGCGTCGTTCTTTTCGAATGGACCCAGAAGCCGGTCAGATGAGCCTGCCTTCAGCGCCGAAGCGCTATGAGCGAGCTTCGGTTCCTCGAGGAGACCGTGAAGATATCTACGGATGGTCGGAGATGCCAGACATGCACCCAGACCCGCACTCGGGGTATTTTGTTCCCAACCACTACGACTTCAAGCAAGGCAAGACGCGCAAACGAAGCAATTTGCCGAAGCAATCCACAGAGGTGATGAAGAATTGGTTTGACAAGGTATGTCTTAATCCCCATACACCTCTCTTCAGTGATCAAATCTAACGTGATCACAGAACATATCGAACCCCTACCCAACAGAAGAGCAGAAAGCAATGTTTTCAAGCGTGAGTCCGTCCGTTGCAGGAGCTTCGCGTTGCATGCAACTAACAGCGTGAGGAGGTCACTGGCATCAGCATGACCCAAGTGAGCAACTGGTTCATCAATCATCGACGACGATGTCCTGAGCTACGGGACAAGCGGGAGAAGTCTCGTGGTCGAGACTACGATATGTGAGGATACACAGGCATGTTGAAGGCATCAAAAGTTACATGCATTAATTATGGGTCGAAACAATGGCGGGAGAATGGAGTGGAGAGTGGTCTCGACTACTCCACGATCAATACGATCAATACGACAGAACAAACACCTTTCTAGATTCGACAGACCAACAGAGCTCCTCGGAGTCGTACACAACAAGATTGTCTCCCTTTCGGCAGATCACCTACTAAGAGTCATCACACCAGTGCTTTGACTGTTGGGGGCTAGGTTTCCGACATGTCTATCTTCAACATTATAGGCAGTCGCATCAACTTAATTCTGACAGGCAAAGAGAGTTCAATCAACCACAATGATATGGAGATCGCATCGCCGCCTGGACAGTGTCCTGCACAACGATCATATCTCTGCTGCTCGTTATGATCGTTCTCACTCCTTCCAACACACACACAAGAGCTCCCAACATGTATGAAATGAAGTGCATCGACTTCGATCGACCTGAGAGAGTCCGCGTCCAACTGCCCACCCTCGAGCCCACCCCAACTTTCCCCGACCGGCACGTTGCTGCCACGCAAAACTCAAATACTTTAGACTTTCGTCTGATCGCGCGCGCGTGGGAAGAAGGTTTTTGATGGTGTTGCAGATCAAAAGTCTGCGCTCTCCGCGGAAGATCTGCAAGTCATCAACCCTGCTCACCTCCACTCTTCTTCGGTGACCCGGGGAAAAAACCCTACGAGCCCCCGGTCTATTGGTGGTCTGGGTCACACGACAGGATGGTGATCGTCCTGAATGTTTGGGTGGAGTTGGGGATGGGGAGAATACAGCAATAACTTCGTATCTCTTCATCAAATCAATGACCATTTGTATGTCGAATCTGGAGTTTGCTCCGCTGTCTGTCTGCATCGTCCACAACGCAGCTCGGGCACCAGGGAAGCTTCATGACTCGCCCTGGGCCAACTGACGGCTTCTGACATCGGGCAACCCAAGAGACGACTGGACCTTCTCCGCCACGATGGCACTGCGGAGCCGACTCCCCTCGAAGCTTTGCACACAGCCGCCTTAACCGCTATATACGCGAGACAGTCTCCGTATTCCATGGCTATATTCGTCCATCATGGGGCTAGAGACACATATCCTCTCATCAAGCGAGGAAGGCCTCTCGAGCGTCACAACGCTCATCGTAGGAAGCAAAGCGGCAGCCCTGGTAGATCTGCCGTTTCTTGTTCATGGCGAACGCTGTTGTCGAATGGTTGGATGAGAAAATGCATGTGCCGTTGAAGGCTGTTTTCGTTACGCATCATCATCCTAGTCACTATTTCTCCGCCAATCCCATCCTTGATGCGTTTCCGGAGTCTAGGCTTTATTCTGTAAGCCTTTCTGTGTTCTCACTGGTATCCTAAAGTGCCTGACAATGACGGGCACCGTACGGCTAGTACCAGTCCGCTGCGAGTTCCGTTGGGATTTAGGGCAGCACGCAGGTGACAGTGAGAGGGTCACAGCGGACACATCTGGCTGTCTTATCCAAGACGAGATCGCGGCCCAAAGTGCAACGTCGCCCTCGTCAGTGGGCTGTTGTTCTCTGCGAGGAGGCCGATCACAAGACTCGCTCCGACCTGGGCGCCAGCTCTCACTGTCACTTGCTTGGCCAGACGACCTTCGTTTCAGCCTTCTAACCCAACGAGTCAGTATGCGCCGGCATCGATTGAGAGTACGACAAGAAGGTGAAGTACTGGCCTACCGTCTTCGGGAGTGGACGTACCTCCATGGACTGCGATACGCGGCTAATCAAGAACCAACGTGCAGAAGAAAACGTTCCAGCGAAGCCAACGAAACCGACCCCATTCCACCACAGCTCGAAGGCAACGTCGACTCGCCCATCGTTCTTATCGGGCCCTTGCAGGGCGACTCTGTAGACTATACGTTGTTCTGGCTGTCGACTGAGCGGACGGTTGTCTGTGGAAACTCGGTGTATGCTCGTAGTACCCATGTTTGGTCCGTCGCTAGTACCGGCTGAGGCAGGGTGCAGTTTTGCTGACCCGGTCCAGGGTCGAGGAGATAGAGACACCTCAGATATACGATGCGTGGGTCAAAACACTCGATCTCATAGAAGCTTTGAATCCGTCCAAAGTGATCCCCGTGCACATCGAATCCGGATGGGAGCTGGATGCAAAGGCCGATCTTGCGCACAACCGCAAGTACCTGGACTTGTTCGCTTCAAAGGTCACCCATGCCAAAAAGAAGCCTAGCGATGATGAGCTATTTCAGACCTTCAAGAATGCTTTCCCACAGGTGAGAAGTGCTTTCGTTACTGTCTCGCGCTTCGTATGGCGTCCAATGGGATTTTGGCAGGCGAAAAAAAACCTTGACTTCTTCCTGGGCCATTTGTCGACTACGCATGGCGAGGGCGACGAAGTCTGAGAGGAAAACCGCCGTCACAACGTCGGAGCGAGGACGAAGGAGCAGCTGGAGGCATATTACATCACAGCTTAGCGTCCTTCGAAGCAGTTCGTCGCTCGAGAGGCTCCAACTGAGATGATCAGCTTCAAATGCGCTGGCCGGATTGTGTGAAGCATGGTGTGCATTGTGTACATTGCTCAAGAAAGCGCTTCGAACCCAACTGTCATTGATAGGCATCTCGACCGGGCAGGTCCCCGCGCATCCTCCGCCTCGCATCATTCCTCACGCGTCTGGCTTCCTTCTCGCTGAACCAGCCATCAGGCCGTTCTCCATTCTGCCAGCCATCATCTAATCTCCGCTTCCGCCGCCGCTTCCGCGATGCTGTTGCGCTTTTGCTGTCGTGGGGAACCACATCCTCCCGCGGATGGAAGTGCTTTGGGCGTGCAACGAGTCCGGCCTCAATGAGCAGCTCTTCGAAGTCTGGTCCAAGGGGGTATTGGGAGATGAGTGAAGTGTGATCGCAGCACGGCGAGTGTCTGATGGGTAGAAGCCAGTCGTGCGGACTGTCGCCGAATGCAGCTTTGAAATTTCGGTATGCACTGCCCAAATCCCACACATTCATGCCTGGCAGTGTTTCGAGGATCGCAAACGTCCGGGGCTGTGGTGCCGGTAGAGGCGGTCGATCAATCGGTAGGTACAGCGGGTAAGTAACTGTACCTCTCCATATCCGCTCTTGAAATGGTAGATTCGACGAGCGACGTGGCGGCCGCGGAGTTTGGAGATTGGAAAAGTAAGTCGAATGGCTCGGGTCGTCAAGGTCGGAGGTTAGAGGCATCTCGCTTTCGCCAGATCGGCTTGGGGAGCTATCTGGTCGTAGATGTGCTTGCGGAGGAGTCGGTGGTCCCTCGAGTGTCTTGCCTTGCAGCTCGGGAGGTAAAAGGACCGCCAATAGCATCGTCCGTGAAAAGGCATCAATGTTCTCGATGGAAGTGACATTCCGAAAAACCATCCAGATAGAATTGAGCGTTATGCCGATGGTGAAGAACGCGAAGAATCCGGCAAGGCCCAGCGCAATCAGCCACTGTACTTTCAGGTCATTGCTTTCGCCGCCTTGAGCAACAAAGTAGGCCAGCACTGCCAAAGTATAACCGGAGAGCAAAAAGCTGTAGAAGTTGAATTGGACGAAGAACTTGTAAGACCGCTCTCCGACGACGCCGCCAACCCACGGGCAGAAGTGATCCATCTTGAGTGTGCAGCGTCCGACGTCCTGGTTGTGATGAGTGCGGTCGGGTTTCCAATTGTTACAATGCGGGCACCATATCGGCAGACCACGCGCATCGCAGGCGAACGCGTCAAGAAGCCAAAAGTCCTCCAGACCGGGCGCTGGTTCCTGAGCTGCCGGATCGCGTGGGGCTCCAAGTGGTATATAACCAGGCTCGCGCCAGACCACTACCAGTAGCCGTACCCATGTTGCTGCAACCGGGATGAGAAGGAACAAGTAAGCTATCGGTAATGCCAGTCCAAGTGCTGTCCGCTTGGGCAAGCCTTCAGGAGGGTTGAGCAAGAACTGTATGGCCAGTGGACCGGTGATAACGTAGGATGCATAGGCGACGATGAGCGCGAGGAAGACCGGGACAACGCGTGCGGTCCAGACGCTGACGGCATTGCGCGCCGCAGTCATGACTTTCGTAGGAAGCCGTCGGCCTCACGGCCGCGCGCGCAGCTTGCCACTGCCTTGGAAGGTGAAAAGGTGTAGGAACACCTAAGTGAGGTTGGAGGCTGTCAAAGTGAACTTGTGGTGGCGGGTGGGTGGCCCGAGCGTCAAGGCTTCTCGCAGTTTTGAGACGAACACGATGACCACCTTTCTTACGCAATCGGCGCAAAGTATAGGTTGATGGATGTAGATATAATACTGTGACATGGAATTGAATGGGAGAGATGATAGAAGTACAGTCTGGCTACAACAAACGCCTCTAAATAGGTTCGCAAGTCGCAACATCAAGAGCTCAAAGACACTATCAACAACGCCGGGCTTCTGCCATGCTCCATTCGCTCCATGCGCTCAATGATCCTACGTCTCTCAACTCCCGGGGGTATAACATCGTGGGTTCCAGGTCCACCATCAACTTCTTAGAAGGGCTTGCCACCCTGAATGTTTCCTCGTGGCGAGTACCTCGCGACAATATATGTCTTGCCACTGCCCGATTTCGCCTTGCCCATGCCGACGTGAGTTGTGCTGTGCCATAGGCATTGTGCTGTGGTCGCTGTCAGCTTCTCCATTTCGACAAGTTTTTGGCATAAGGTATACTCACTGAAGTGTCCCGTAGCCTGCAGATCACCCTCCCCAATCTTCTCGCCATGGTAGTTCTTCTCCTCGTTCATCCACTGCCCTATCGCATCCTCGAATTTGGCATCCTCAGCTGTAGTCATATACAAGTTCTCTCCCTGCACTTCATTTCCCGAATGCTCCAGCTTCCCCGTCGACGCCAAGATCTTCGCATAAGACTCTGCATCATGCGCTAACCGGTCGTCCCAAGAAAGCTTGGGCACCATCTTGTTCGCCCGTGCCAAGTTGTGGGCCGTGAGCGCTGGAGATGCTTCGGTGGACGTGAGCTCGCCGTCTGGCTGTTGCTGGACTGGTTCGGGAGGGATGACACGTTCCGCGGCTTTGGAGGTGCGACGTTCTCTGCGGCCACTGGGCGACATGGAGGAGGCGCCGGCGTGCGAGACGGAGTTCTTGACTCGGCTGATAACTGAAGTCATTTCGACTGAAGTGGTAGGATGTGGGTGTAGGAGGCGCAGGGTGGATGGTTGCAGATTGGAGGATAGGAAAGAGGAAAGTTGAGGAAGGACAAAAGGAATGTGCCAGAGGGTTACAGCCCGAGCGTATATGCCACTCGTGTGATTTGCAATAAGCGAAGACAACCTGCCAACCTATCTCAACCACGCTCGTCCTGCCTCCGACCGAGCATCCGACGAAGCATTTTCGTATTTCGTGCTGGTTTGGCACGGGTTTATAACATCACCCGAACGTCACATGGTGCGACTCGGAGCAGGCCCTGCTGGTGAAGACGCGGTGCTGCCGGGGTTCCACCAAGCTGCCGAGAAGCGTAAGACCTACCGGTCCTGTTTCCTGCTATAGGCTTGATGTCACTGAAAGTTTCACACGTGGTGCCAATGAAGGAAGTTGGAAGACAAGAAAGGAAATGTCGGCAGCGAAAATGCGGGATGACGAGGTCCCGTGCACGGGCCGCGGGCGAGGATCACGATCCTTGTGGTAAATCGAAGCACTTGCATAACTCTATCCGGGAGGTTCGGAAGCGTAAATTCCATGGGGGAGATGAAGCAAACGAGACCGCATAGGAGAAATCTGTGAGACTGCCAATGACGCCGAGCAATGCATTCCCAGTGATGTACCACGCGGCCACAAGCAGATCAACAAGATGCAGCGAACCTTCGAAATGCAATCTCCCAGCGCCCAGTAATGCAGCCAGTCTGTGCCCAAAACAGAACCATACCATGCATCAGACAGAAAACCAGCAACGCCTTCCCACGAAATTCCCTCCACGATGCAAGCACACCAAGTCAACCACACTAACACCCACCTACAATCAAGCCCCCAACAACCTCCCCGTCTCCTCCCGAAACTCCCTCTCGAACTCCTCCCCCTGCGGCACAAGCTTCACAACCTCCACAGCAGCATCTTTCCCCTTCGCCGCCGCGTAAGCCTCGAGAAAGTAATGCCCATCCCGATGCAACTGCCTCGCCGTCTGCTTCGCCGTCCTGCTCCAACCGATATTGCAATCGAAGAACAGCGACTTCAGATTCGTGCAGCTAGCCAGCAGAGTCAACGAAGCGAAATTCATCGCCTTGTGCGTTCCTCTGCCGCAGCCCCAACCACGGACGACGAGGTCTTCGAGCTGGAGACGGTTGGTAGGTCCGATAGCTGCGATGAAGGCGTGGAGGGCCATGGTGTCTTCGAGGATGATCTGCTGCTTGTACAGGTAGCCGACGGCTTCGTCGTGGATTTGTTTGTTGACGGCGAGCAGGTTCGGGACAAGGGGTGTGTGTTGGGTGGTGTTCTCGCCGTCGGAGCTGATCCAGTGCTTCCTGCCTCTGCGGTATTTCCAGTAGCCTGCTGTATCGCGAGCGATCGTGCGGCGGTGGGATTTCGTCTTCGCGCTCAGCTTCAACCCTTCAGGTTCTACAAGAGCGAACTCGTAGATGTAGTCCCGAAGCTCGGCGGGCAGCGAGAGGAACGGAAAGGGCTTTGTGGACTTCTTTGCAGCAGGCTTTGTAAACTTGGCCCGCTTCTTGTTAGGCATGTGCGACTTCTGCGAGTTCGTTAGAACGGTTGACGAGAACCATATCAGGCGCCAGCTCTACCTTGCGAGAACCATAGACCGAGTCGTTCTCCGGCAGACCATCATCGTCTTCGTCTTCATCGCTCGCGACGGCATTAACATCTGCGACTTCGTCGTCGATGTCCATGCTATTGAGCTCGGCGTAGTTGACGACATTCCGCTTGCGCTTGCCTGTGATGATAGCAGAAGATGTTGCAGTTGCCATATCGTTCGAGCTCTTGAATGAACAACTGTTGTGTGAATGAAGTGAAAGAATGCATTCGCTCTGATCGTTTGCCTTCGGTATAAATATCATGCTCGAGCAACGCAAGGCTAGAGGAGATTTGGCAAGGCGCAAGGCAGCAGGCGCCAAGAAGTGTCAGGCACAGCCAATCACGTGTCAATTCTGTCTTTCACACCCATCATGCCTTTCGACGCCTCGCACTCGTCATCTCGAGATCGTCGATGGTCACATTGGCCCTCGACAGCAGGAATCCATAGCTAGGCATGCTGTTGTGCCGACCGGGGGATGTAGTCTCGAAAGGCTTCATGTCTACTCCGACGTTTCAAGTTCATTCATTCTCTGCCGCTCATATCGCCGTTCCTCTCTCAAAGCTGTCCCTAATCTCGCTGGTATACTTGTCGTAGAACCGAGCCAGCTTCATGTTGAACTGCTTATTCTTCTCGTTGATGTAGGTGATATCGCCACCCTCCTCCATCGGATCCGCCCTCCCACGCTCCCGTCTCTTCTTCAGTCGCACCTCCTCCGCCTTCTTGATATCTGACACCAACCGGTCAATGGCATCTTTTGAAGGCTTCTTCCCAAACGAGCCTGGACCGCCTGCTGCCACATCTGTGGAAAGCCAGCTCCCATCCTTATCCACCGCTATCAGCTCCCCGTTCTCAGTCTCGACAATCTCCAGCCCTCCGCTCCTCACTGCACGCTCGATCGCCTCTTCCTTCTCCTTCTCGTACTCGCCCTTCCGCCCATCTCCGCCCTCCTTCCCATTAGCCTTCACCATCTGCGCAATCTGCCGCTCATACACCTTTCCTGCTTCGGCGGAGTAGTCCTGGAATGCCACATTCTCTTTCCGCGCCTTCTTCTCCGCCATGCGCTCGTCCCACCGCTCACTCTCATCTACCGTCCAATCCCACGCCCGCTTACGCTCAAAATCCTCGCCACTGCTCTCAACTTCAGACTTGAGCAGTTTGTGCGACATGATGTCACGTTTGCGATTCAACGAGGAGAGCTGCGCCGGGTTGACGGCGGCGTTGCGGGCTTCGGAGCGGGTGGAGTCGAGGTTGGACTTTTTGGAAGCGGTGTGTCGGGCGCGGAGGGCGGCGAAGCGAGCGGCGCGGTCGTCAGGAGGGGCAGGCGAGGGTTCGGCGTCTTCTGATGGTGCTGGCGCAGAATCTGCGGGTGGTTCTTCTTGTTCTGTGGGTTCCTCTTGCGTGCTTTCGGGGTGTGCTGGCTCTTGTGCGTCTTCCGCAAAGCGTCGCTTAGACGGCTCTGCAGACTCTTCCGCCAGGCCGGGCGAGCCTTTTCTCTTCAGTTTCGCTGGCATTGTCGCAAAGATGTGTAAGGATGTGTTGGATTGTGAAAGTGATGATGGTGTAAGAACTTCACATGCTCGGAGCTTTAGTAGTACGGGATGAGCCGCTGAAAATAGTCATCGCCAGCAAACGACTACTTTTGTCAATGTCCCGCAACGCGACCTTCACGCGACTGGCGTGGATTCCAACCAGCAAGACACTAAATACTGCTTGTTGAGGTGATGACGGCGCAACCTCGTTGAGACCTACAGGCACCATTTGACGCGACGAGTGCTTGCCATCGCGGCGCGACATCGACAAGATGTACATTAAACAGATCATCATCCAGGGTTTCAAATCGTGAGTTGCACCATACCAGAGCCGCGAACACCACTGACAGACGACACAGCTACAAGGAGCAAACCGTCATCGAGCCCTTCTCGCCCAAGCACAACGTCATTGTCGGCCGCAATGGCTCGGGCAAGTCCAACTTCTTCGCCGCCATCCGCTTCGTGCTCAGCGACGAATACACCCAGCTCAACCGCGAGGAGCGCTCGGCATTACTCCACGAAGGCGCAGGCTCAGCGGTGATGAGCGCGTATGTGGAGGTCATCTTCGACAACAGCGATGAGCGTTTTCCCACTGGCACCAAGGATGTCATCTTGCGCCGGACGGTAGGCCAGAAGAAGGACGAGTACTCGCTGAATCGCAAGAACACCACCAAGCAGGAGATCATGAACTTGCTGGAGTCAGCCGGTTTCAGCAAGAGCAATCCTTACTACATCGTGCCGCAAGGTCGCGTCACCCAAATCACCAACATGCAAGACCCGCAGCGTCTGGCGGTGTTGAAGGAGGTCGCGGGGACGGAAGTGTATGAGAAGCGTCGCGCCGAGAGCCGTCGCATCATGGATGACACAGAGCAGAAGCGAGGAAAGATTGACGAGACCCTTGATCACATCCGGCAGCGGTTGGGAGAGCTGGAAGAGGAGAAGAAGGAGCTTCACGAGTTTCAGGAGAAAGACAGGGAGCGAAGATGTCTTGAATACACCATCCATCGCCAGGAGCAGGATGCGCTGAACGACGCCATGGAGAAGCTGAACGAAGAGCGGGAGAGTGGGAACGAGAGGACGGACGAGAATAGCGCGCAGTTGCAGCAGCAAGATATTGAGCTGGAAGCGATTGACGACGAGATGTCAGAGCTACAACAGCAGCTGAGGATGCTGCAAGAGGAGAAAGCGCAGCTGGAGACAGACAGGAAAGAATCGGCCAAGGAGAAGGCGAAGATTGAGCTCGATGTTCAATCTATGACCGACAACCAGTCTGCAGCCCAGCAAGCTCAAACGCAACACGCCGCCGAACTCAAGGACGTTCAAGCTCAGATTGCGCAGCGCGAGAATGAACTCGCACAGCTGCTTCCGCAGTACACTGCCAAACGCGCCGAAGACAAGACAGCTCGCCAGGAACTGCAAGATGCTGAGCAGACCATTCAGCGGCTCTATGCCAAACAAGGTCGTCAAGCACAGTTCAAGAACAAGCGTGACCGTGACGCCTGGCTCAACAGCACCATCGCCGATATCAATGACTCTCTCGCCACCCGCAAGGCCATCGTCATGAACAGCAATGAAGAGATAGCAGAGCTCGAGACCCAGATCGGACAGCTTGAGACGGAGATCGCAACACTCCGCTCCCGCAATGAGAATCGAGGAGATGAACAGCAAGGCTTGTCTGCAGAGGTTCAGCGCGCAAAGGATGAACAACACCGCCTTACCGACCGCAGGAAGGAGCTTTGGCGCGAAGAGGCCAAGCTGACTTCGGTCATTGAGAACGCGAAGCAGGAGCTGGACAAGGCGCAGAGCTTCCTCCATCGAATGATGGACCAGTCGACGTCCCGAGGCTTGCAGAATGTGCGGAGAATCGTTCAGAAGCACAACATTGAAGGCGCTCACGGCACCTTGGGCGAGCTGTTTGAGTTTTCCGGCAAGTATCAGACAGCGATCGAAGTTACGGCGGGCACCTCCCTCTTCAACTATGTCGTCGACGACGATGAGGTCTCTACTCGGATCACTGAGATATTGAAGAAGGAGAAGGGCGGCAGAGTTACGTTCGTGCCTTTGTCGAGAATCCAGAACAGGGGCGCTCCCAACTTACCCAAGGCCTCCGACGCTGTGCCGTTACTTTCGAAGCTCAAATACGACGCGATATACGAACCGGCGTTCAGGCAGGTATTTGGCAAGACCATCGTCTGCCCGAACCTGCAGGTGGCGGCGCAGTATGCTCGCAGCCACGGCGTCTCAGCCATTACTCCTGACGGCGATCAGAGTGACAAGAAGGGTGCTCTGACTGGTGGTTGGCACGATGTCCGCTCCTCTCGCATCGACGGCCTCAAGCGCGAAAAGACAGCCCGCGAAGAGTGGGAGAGCGCCACGGAGCGCAAGGCTGAAGTTGTCCGCGAGGTCGACGAGGTCACGCAGCTGATCACGAGGTGTCTTGGCGATGTTCAGCGGGTAGAGCAGAAGCGGATGCAGCTTGACAATGGCTACGCACCCCTGCAACAGGAGCTTCAACGGCGCAATGAGGATCTGAATGCGAAGAAGGACGAGCTTGATGCTAAGATACGCCACCGTGAGAATGTTGAGGGGACGGTGCACGATCTGGGCGAGCAGTTGGCCGGCTACCAGACTGAGTTGGCAGGTGACTTTAAGAAGGCATTGTCAAACGAAGAAGAGCGGCTGCTGGAGTCTACGAACGCAGAGCTGTCAGATTTGAGGAAAGCTGCCAACGCATTATCGGCGGAGAGAGGCGAGCTAGAAGGCCGGAAGAGCATGCTGGAGTCAGAGTTGCGCGAGAACCTCAGGCTGCGACTGGACCAACTGATGGCTGCCGGTCTCGATGCCAGTGGAGATGGCAACACACGCGGCAGTGGAAAAGGTAGCGCAGCAACCAGACTAAAGGAACGGCAGCGCGACCTCAAGCGCGTCTCTTCCGCCCTCGCGAGCCTGTCCAACGCGCTTGCGGAGAACGAAAGCAGCATCGAGGCAGCCCAGGAGTCCCTCCAGACTACGATCCAGAAGCACGAAGACAAGAAAGCGAGCATCGATCGCCTACGCACAGCCATCGCCTCTCACCAGAAATCTATCTCAAAAGCCGCCAACAAGCGCTCTCTTCTCTCGTCTCGTCAAGCCGAAGTTGCTCTCAGCATTCGCAACCTGGGCGTACTTCCCGATGCCGCCATGAAATCGGACAAGTACCTCAACATGTCCGCCGCATCCGCCACGAAGAAGCTCCACGCCGCGCAAGAAGGCCTCAAGAAGTTCGGTCACGTGAACAAGAAGGCCTACGAGCAGTTCGCGCAGTTCGAGAAGCAGCGAGATCTCCTCGAAGACCGCCGCCGTGAACTAGGCAAAAGCGACGACGCCATCCGCGACCTCATCGATGTCCTCGACGCACGCAAAGACGAAGCCATCGAACGCACGTTCCGCCAAGTCAGCCGCGAATTCGCGGGCATCTTCGAACGTCTCGTCCCTACCGGCCGCGGCAAGCTAGTGATCCAGCGCCGCTCCGACAAACAAGCCAACGCCCGCAACGGCGAGGACGACAACGACAACGACGGCGAAGCCGAGCGCGCCGGCGGCGGGGGCGTGGAGAGCTACACCGGCGTCGGCATCTCGGTGTCCTTCAACAGCAAGCACGACGAGCAGCAACGCATCCAGCAACTCTCCGGCGGACAGAAATCACTCTGCGCTCTAGCCCTCGTGCTCGCGATCCAGGCTTCCGACCCAGCCCCTTTCTACCTCTTCGACGAGATCGACGCGAATCTGGACGCGCAGTACCGCACTGCTGTGGCGGAGATGATTCGTAAGAGCGCTAACGGGGAGGAGGGCGCGAGTCAGAGTCAAGGCGGCAGTGGAGGGGGAGGAGGGCAGTTCATTTGCACGACGTTTAGGCCGGAGATGGTGTTGGTGGCGGAGAAGTGCTATGGGGTGAGTTATGCGAATAAGACTAGTGCGATTGATGTGGTTAGTCGGGACCAGGCGCTGGATTTCGTTGAGGGGCAGGTTGGGGGACGGTGATGAGGGGATGTGGATGTCTCCGGGAGAGCGCTCGGGTTTGTGCGCTTGCTGATATGTTTGTGACACTGGCTGTGGAGTGGGAGGGTCTTATGAGCGAGGCGTTCATATGGCTGTATCGTAGGACGAGCAATGCTCGCTTCGTTGAATGTCAACTACTTCTTCCCGCGAGCTTTCTTATCCACCAGCTTCTTCTTGACATGCTTCGGCATCTTCTGACTCCTTTTCTCACGCTTCTCCTCCTTGACAGCCGCCTTGTGAGCTCGCTTGGCCTCTTTATCCTCAAAACGCTTGCCTCTGGGCCGCTTCTCGTCGTCACTCTCGAAGCCTGAGTCCTCGTCCTCGGATGCCTCCTCGTCGCTCCCATCGTCGTCAACGTCTCCATCAGCATCCTCAGCAGTCTTCGTCTGACCACTGGCAAGCAGATCACTGTACACCAGCTCCCCCTCTCGTCCCGACTCCACTTTCTCGCCATCCCGCTCAATGTCATACACCTGCTGCAGATTCTGCGGAATATACTCCTGCCTGAACACCTCCTCATCGACCTCATCTTCCTCGCCCTGCTCCCTCTGCTCATACAACTTCTCCAAACTCTCCTTCGTCCCATCCGCCTCAGTGCTGCCCTTCCCTTCCACCACAAACCCGAACACCGCACGCTCAGACAGCGTATCCACTCCCCTCCGCCTGAAGAAGTCCGTAACGTTCCGGACATCCATGCGAAGAAACTCCAGCGAGCGCGGATGATCGTGCTCAACGCTCTGGCTGACGTCGATGATGTAGAGCCTTTGTTCCTGCGCGTGGTAGAGGATGTTGTACTCGCTCAGATCGGCGTGCACGAGGCGGCAGGTCTGGTACATTTTCCGCACATAACCGAGAAGCTCGAGGTAGAGGCTTCGCCATTTGGAGAGGACTTCGTCGTCTTTGTCGGTGTCTCCAGCTGTGTTGGTGAATTCAAAATCCCGTAATCGCGGCGCTGGCCAGCCCTTGCGGTCGCCGAGGAAGGACATCACCAGTACGTGTGCTTTGAGGTATATTGCTTCCGGGCAGGGTATGCCAGCTGCGCGTAATCGTCGTAGATTACGGTACTCCTTCTCCGCCCACAACTTCACCATAGCACGATTGGAGCTTTTGTTGTAGCCCTGCCGGAAGCGGTATTCTCCCTGCACATACTTGTCCCGATCCTTGAACACCAGAATGCTCGTCTTATACACCTTAATCGCGCGATGAAGCGGCTGCACTGCACCCTCACCTGCCAGCTCACCCTCCGCAGGCGTAGGTATTGAAAGAGCATGGTACACATTCGCCTCCTTCCCTGTGCTTACCACTCCGTTGATCTCAGACACGACATCCTGGTTCAGCAACTGCAGCAATATCATACGCGTCCTCGGATCCAACACCTGCTCGCTCGTTGCTCGATCAGATTTCTCTGCGCCATGGCCTCCCTTTGCGCCGGCGAGTCCTGCTTCCTGGTCGTTCAGTCGTAGCTTCGCTGCATGTCGTGAGAGCGTCTTGATGTGATCATCCACCTCCGCTCGAGTGTTTAGCTGTGGATTCCGTCCTCGCTTCTCAATTTCTGGTATCGAAGGGTCGTTCACGCGGCGCTGGCGGTTGTAGGCCTTGGTGTAGTCGGAGGGATTGGAGGCTTGGAGTTCGGTGTCTGAGGGTTCGTCTTCGGAGGGGTCGAAGAGGTCGTCAATGTCGTCGTTGTCTGGGTCGGGTTGGTCGTATTTGAGGTGGTCTATCGGGTCGACATCGGGTGGAAGGCCGGTCGCTGTGACGGTGGAGGGGGGTTGTTGGTAGCCGGTGTGTTGGTTAAAGTTGTGGGAAGGTTGGTGAGCGGTTGGGGGTGTTGGATCCATGGCTGGAGTGCTTCGAATGGTGTCTGTTAATTCGCTCTGGTGCAAGAACGATGTCGAGATATTTTAGAGAAGTTCTCGAGTCTAACCCGCTTGGGAAGGTGGCGAGATTTTCATGTGAATGTCAACCCCCACGACATGACTCGCGTCTCCTTTCACACTTCCTAGCGATCAAACATGTGCACCTCGTTGAAGACACCATGTCAGAATGCCCTTACGCATGGCGCCGCTACCGATGAGCATGCATGTCACGAAGTCTATTGCGCGCATGCCAGCACACAAGCTGCAGGTGGCGTCGCTCAGCCGCCACAGCGAATGGACTCGAAGAGGCGCATACCGCAGCCTCGTCCATGTCTTCGCACGATGGGCTTTCCGCTGACACCTGATCCACTGGTGCCAACAGGTTGACATCGACGTACGGAGACTGGACTCTGCGCACGAAAGGAATATGGCGGAGCTAGGCATCGCTGGCTCGGCGGTCGGTGTCGCGTCGCTGGGGATTATGGTGTGTCAAGGTTTGCTGAGCTACTATGAGGACTGGAAGGCCTCCAGCGACGACATCAAGACCGCTCATGGCAAGATTCGAGATCTGGAAGCAACACTCGAGCTACTTGCAGGTGTCCTGCGAAGTGATTCCTTGGAGCATGTGCACCTGATGCGGATCGAAGAATGCCTTATTGGGTGTTACGACAGCATGAAGGTCCTCCAAAAGAGACTGCAGAAGCTGTTGACGAATCATGATCCAAAAGGCTTTCGACAGGTGATCAAAGCTGGACAGCAGCGCCTACTGTACCCCTTCAAGAAGGATACGCTCGACAAGCTGAACGCCGCTGTTGATGACTTGGTCCATCGGCTGTCCCTCGCACTGCATGTGCTTCATCTCAATGTCGACCTCGAAATACGGGGTGAGGTCCGAGAGGCAGCTGCGCGACTCAAGGCAATCGAGTCCAGTACCATCCATGTGGAGTCGATAGTCGACCAGACACACAGCTTGACACTTCAGAGTTCATCTGGGATACAAAAGCTCATAGTGTCTCGTCATTCTGATGAACTCTGTAGACTGAGATCCTGGCTATCAGCACCAGATGCTTACACCAACCATCGAGAAGCAAGACGACGCCACGAACCTGGGACTGGTGAATGGTTTTTGCACTCAAGTGATTATCAGCAATGGCTCTCCGGCGATGTCAAGATGCTATCCCTTGTTGGCAAGGCAGGCGCCTGCAAGACCGTGCTCTGCTCGACCATCGTGGAGGACTTGTTGCAACGTCGTGACGCTCTAACAACCGCGGTAGCCTTCTTCTACTTCACCTTCTCTGATCAAAACAAACAAAGTTATCGCAACATGCTGCTCGGCATCATCCACCAGCTGGCAGATCACGAGCCTGTCTTTGCTACTCTTCAAGAAACGCAGAAACAGTCGTACGGTCAGCCAGCAACGGAGCTTCTGGAGAAGTGCTTCAACGGCCTGGCTGCTAGAGTACAACGCCTCGTCCTCGTATCTGACGCCCTGGATGAGGTTCCTCATACCAACCGCTCCCGAGAGGAGGTCTTAGGTGGTCTTGGGGACCTTGTGCAGAAAGTGCCAAACTTGTCAATCCTCACCACCAGTCGTCCGGAGATTGACATTCTCGAAGCGCTGGAAGAATCCTCTGCTCGTGTCAAGCACCTGAATACCCAATACATCGACCAGGACATCAAAATTTACGTTGCAAAAGAGCTCGAGAGAAATAAGACGTTGCGTAAATTGTCCGCTTCGACCAAACAAGAGATCCGGGACAAGCTTGGTGAGAAAGCTGATGGCATGTACGTGAAAACCGTGGCAACAGCTCGCTGCTACGTACTGCCTCACTAACACACCATCGTTAGGTTTCGCTGGGCGTACTGCCAGTTGGACGAGCTGTCGAGACTGAAAAGAGTCACTGCGAAAAATGTCACGACGGTTCTGGAAAACTTACCCAAGACCTTGGACGAGACATACGAGCGCATCTTGCTTGGCATCGACCCGATGGATCAAGACGTTGCACTTGCTGCTCTCCGGTGGCTTACGTTCGCGGAATATCCTTTGACTCTTCGGGAACTTGAAGAAGCGTGTATAACATCGCATCTCCAGGACCCGTATCTTGACGAGGGCGATCGCGCCGAGTCTGGTAGCATCGCTCACATCTTAGCTGCCCTTGTTACTGACTACAAGCTCACGTCCGATTGCGACGATGTGCACGAAGTAGATAGAACTTCGAACACGGAGTCAGAATCACCGAGCGCTGGAAGCATAGCCAGGTAAAACAAACCAAGCCCCCATAGGTTGGACTGTCACTAAAATCTACCTAGCGAAGATACGTACAGTACAGACGCCCATGCCAATGAATCTCAGCGATCATCTAGGGCCTCACTATCCTCTTCGTCGCGCCACATATTACGGCTTGCTCACTTCTCGATCAAAGAATATCTGGTGGGCGAACGTATCTCTACAGGCAGAGCAGCTCGATATGCGCTCTGCCATGTGAATCCACAGCGTCACCTTGCACAGGATTGCATTGCTTATCTGTATCATTACTATGATCATCGGAATCGACAAAGCAAGGAGACCGATGAGATTGCGTTTCCGCTATTAGAGTATGCCGTTGAGTGTTGGACACATCACCAGCGTGCTGCCGAATCCGCGCCCACTTTAGACTGGAAGGATGGTCTGGAGATTTCGTTGCTGGAGGCAACGACACTACGAAGAATCTGGATACCTGTAACTATGAGATACTCTCGCGGCCCTTCTTCAGATCGTACTGGACCTGCATCCAAATGCCCGTTGCATTTGGCATGTTACCTGGGACTCCGTCGCACAGCAGAGTCGTTAATCAGAAAAGGATTCAACGTAAATGAAGAGGTGAATTTTGACGACGTCGGCTTGTTTGTTGCCGAAGGGGCCTCACCGCTTTCTATCGCTTGCGAATCCCGGGAAACTGAGATTGTGCAGTTGCTGTTGGCCTCCGGTGCCGATTGTGCTTCGACTCAAGGCACTGAGGCTTTACGTCTTGGAATTGAGCAAGGTTCTGAGCCCATTGTCAGAATGGCGTTGCAACGCGGAGCGAACGCCAATGCCATTGTACAAGACACTCCTGTTCTGCTGACTGCAAGTATGTTGGGCTGTAACATAGCCATTACCAAAATGCTCCTCGACCATAGAGCAGATCCCAACCTCGAGGACTGCCGGGGAGAACAACCACTCATGGCCGCGGCGGGATGTCGCGACCCCGAGACACTACAATTGCTGCTCACATATGGCGCAGACCCAAACTGTATCGATCGTACCGGAAGAACCGCGCTTGTTCATGCATCGGACAACATGATGAGTCTTCTTGAGCACGGGGCCAATCCGACCGCGAAGTACGGAGGCGACCACACACCCGGATCTGCCATTCGTTCAGCGTGCCGAGAAGGCGGTCCTGAGAGCGTTGAGATGGCCAGAATTCTTCTGGACCATGGTGCTGATCCAAACCTGAAAGTACGTTGGACTGAATTCAATCGCGCAGCATTTTACGGCCGGGTCGACATCTGCCAGCTGCTCCTCTTGGAAGGTGCCACCATTCAGGCGCTGGAGGGGCCATACATCAGTCCTTTGCATGTAGCAATCCTCAGCAGGCAACATGACGTTGCAGAAGTACTGATCAAATATGGTGCTGATCTCAACGATGAAATCCTTGGGAGTGGCAGTCCTCTGCAGCACGCTGCACGGTATGGTGACGTGGACGGTGTCAAACTATTGCTCCTCCATAGAGCCGATCCAACGATCGTGGGCGCTGTTGATCCTCACTATCTTTATGCGCAAGAGACTGCGACCATACCCGACTCTCCGGATCATGACGCATTACACGTTGCTATGCAGGAGCTGGAATCATGGGGCGACTTCTCTCCTCTTGGCCTTGCGCAATTTCAGGGGCACCAGGAGATCATATGTCTGCTCGAGGATGCTTTAAAGGGACCAGCAGATCAGCTGCCAGGAGCCGAGAAGGAGCTCTCTCGAGCTGCGAGAAGCATGGCCGGGGCAGCATGTCCGCAGCCAGGGATACCTGACGACACGAATGCATGTTGACTGGTATGCGCTTCGATCCATGCTTAGGGTGTGAGCGAGCCGTTGGTTTGGCAGAAGCCGAAGGAAGGATGAGAAGGCAGAGCTGCTCGGGGATCGATCTGCACAGGAAGGTTCGCAAAGAAGCAGAATAACATTTGGGTATCATGTCGCACCAAGCTCATCAATTCATGTGCCATCCCACAGACCTGCATCCAATCCCACCTCCTCACTTCGCAGCAACAGCCACCCCCAACTCCTCCATCCTCTTCCGCCTCTCCTCCATCGCCCTCTTCTCCTCGCCCACCATCCCCTCCAACACCTTCTCCGCCTCCTTCAACTGCCGTACAACCTGCCTCTCATACCCTAAACTCCACGCCCCTCCACTCCCCAAACCCTTCCCAGGCTCCTCCACCCCCCTCTCCGGCAACTGCGTACTCGGCACCACCCCACTCTCCAACACCATCTCCGGCTTCTTCCCCTTCCCCCGCCCCTTCTTCACCTTCAACCAATCAAACTGCTCCTCCCCCACCATCATCTTGAAAAACTCCATCGTCGGCTCGTTGAACTCCACAATTTCCAACCGCTCCGCCCGAACAACATTCTCCCGCTCCATCACAACCTTCTGCTCCTCCGTCCCATAAGGCGCCAGCACGAGATAATGTTCCCGGTATATAGCCTTCTCCCCCGCCTCCGGCGCGAAATACAACCGTATCTCGACCCCAAACTCCCCGTACCCCGTCTCCGTCACCTCGAACGGGCCAGGCGCTTCGATGGTGCGTGAAGCGTCGGCGTAGGTGTGGTGCAATTTGAATTGGACTTTCTTGAGCCAGGTGGTGAGGTCAGGGCCGTGGGGGAGCGGGCGCACGTAGACGGTCCAGGCTTTGGTGTGCGCGGGTGGGGGGTTGGGGAAGGAGGGGTGCGGGAGGACGTGGGCGGTGTTGCCAATGATGAAGGGGCGGGTGAGTTTGGCGCCGCGGACGCGTTTGGAGGAGGATGGTGCCATGGTGGGTGATGTTGGTGGTGTACGGGAAGGAGTGAGGTTGGTTTGGAAGTTCTAGGAGGTTTGCGGGAGTGTATGCGGGGTTGCCTGTTTGGGGGGCGAGCATGTGAAAGCACAAGACCAGTGAAGCGTAGAGATGACGATTCTGCTTTGCAATCTGAATGACGATCACGATTCGCTATGCATTCTTGTGACCGACTCATGCAACACACTTCCGAAATGCTGTCGCTGCTCCATGCTATGCCCCACAACACCATGCATTTCCCACCAACGCCAGATGAATAGCTCCAACGTCACAACGACGAGCCCCTCGCAATGCATAAAGACCGCACTCATTCAACCCTGCCCGACACACCGGCTCCAAAGCACTGCGCCATCCATGCACCATACTCCCTCCAAACCCAGCATTCCATCAGCCGTCATCGCTCCCATCCCCAACGTCAATTCCCTCCTCTCCTTCCTCCTCGCTCTCATCCATCGCCTCCATGGCCTCTTTGATAAGCGGCGCAGCCTACAAGACACACAAAAGTCAGCAATCTCCCTACGACAAAACCGCATCCTCCCTTCCTCCTTGCCCCGAGAAACAGCGAGACTCACCTTCCCATCCAAATTCAACGCATAAGTAAAACATCTCAACCCCTCCCCTCTATCATTCAACGCCCTACAGCACTTCCCCAGCAAGAACCACACATTCGCCTCCTCTGGCGCCTGTTCCCGCAGGACCTCCAACTCGTCCCGTGCCTCATGGAATTCCTTGAGACGCATCAGTACCCTGGCTCTCTTGAACCTGGCTAATGCTGAAGAAGGCGAGAGCTCCAATGCCTTCGTGTAGAGCGTCAACGCAGCTCGTGCTTGGTGCCGGCGGTCGAGGATGACACCGATGCAGACCAGCAAGGTCGAGTTAGAGGGGTTGAGGGAGGAAGCGATACGGTAATGTCGCTCCGCGTCTTCGAGGTTCCCGACGCGTTCGGCGCACTTGCCTAGACCGTACCAGCCGCCGTAGCCTCTGCGGTCAACGGATACTGCGTGCCGGAAAGCAGAAACGGCAGAGGTAAAGTCTTCATTAGCAATGAACTCGTGTCCCATCAGCGTCCAAGCATAGGCAAATCCTGAATCCACCTGCACCGCTCGTCGGAACGCTCCGATAGCCGCATCGTGCTCTCGACTCAGTGAAAAGGCGTTGCCGGCAGCGACCCATGTCTGTGGAGCATTTTGATCCGAGTCGCGGAGGAGGTGGCAGAGGAATGCAAGCTGGGCGTCCTTTTTCAGATGCCATAGGACGGTGGAGTATACCTCCATGTCTTGCGTGCGTGTTGGTTGGAGCTTGAAGAGTTTGGCGAAAGTCTCTTCCGAAGACTTGTAGTCTGCTGACTCGTAGTGGGCTTTTGCGAGGAGCGCGAGGGCGAAGGGTGTTTCGCGTTGGGCGGTAGGTAAGGAGCGGAGAGTGCGGAGGGTGGTCGGTGTGTCGGAGCGGGAGAGGCTGTATGTTGCCGTTGCCAAAGGTCGAAAAGTATCGAGGACAGATGTGATGGTGGTGTAATCGGGTAGAGGTGCTGCAGGTTGTTTGGCCGCAGGTGCTGGTCTAGGCTGGCTAGGTTGGAGTGAGGTTTTTGTCTCAGCTGTTGCTCGATCGAGTGTCCGACTTGGCGCTCTCTTCTCCTTCTCGCCCTCCTTCTGGCCGTTTCGGTCAGGTGGCAGGATCTTTCGATTACCACTCACAACTCTACCTACGGTGTTTCCGATCCTGCCCTTTGCACCCGTTGCAGCCTTCGCGGGCCTTGTACCAGCTCCAGCAACAGAAGCGTTTGATTCTGGTGGTGCCGGTCTTGAGGGATTAGCGGATCTTGCATTCGAAGTTGCCGTGGTGCCCTGCCCGAACAGCCGGTTACTTCTCCGTGTCGCTGGATGCTGCCCTCCGGGAACTGCATCCGCGGGATGCGCTTGCTGTCCAGAAACCGTCCGCTTGTGCGCACCACCAGCCGCCGATGGCTTTCTCTGGTGCTGACCAGCGTTCGGCAAGCTGTCTTCCGTCCCTTCAGAAGCCGACACACCATGTCCACGCAAAGTAGGCTGCCTAGGCCGTTCGCTTGCGTCAAACTGCTGCTGTCCCGGCCTTGTTCTTCTTGCGGGCGCACGCGGCGGCTGAGCAGCAACACCCTCTGAATCTGCCAGCATTCCACTCATGGCCACATCCTCCGCTTCGCCGAGTGCGCTCCCACTGTTAGTGACTGGAGTGTCCCACTCTGATAGAGGCGGCTTTGCTGGCTGCCTAGCCTTTGCCTTCCCGCCAAGCTCAAGGTCGAAGCCTATCGGCCTTGCAGAGATGCCGAATGGGTCTGCAGAAGGCGTAAAGACCTGCTGGTTGAAGTTCAGCTGCTGCGCCAATGGTTGCGTCGCAGGTTCCAGCTCATCCATGTATATCTCATCGCTGCCCTTGCTCCCGCTAGCTGCCGGTGGTGCCATTTCCGGTGCTGCTCGAAACATGTTCTGCACATTCAGATCTGCTCCCACTTTGCACAAGCCCTCGAAGGCCTCCCACGTAAAAGGGTTCGCCTTGTGGGCTTCCACAAAACAGTCGCCGGCCTTCCGCGAGTCTCCATGAGCCTGCCACAGCTTCCCCAGCAAAGTCCAACCTGCTGCAGCATCTGGCAGAAAGCGTGGCCGCTGTGGAATCTTCGCAGTCCATAGAGCCTTGCTCTTCTCCATGGCACCCGCACCCTCCGTGTTCCTGCCAAGCTGCAGACATGCTTGGGCGTAGGTGTATGCACAACCGAGGTGTCGACCATTGCTGCCGAACTTCTGAGCAGAGTCGGCTGCTGCTTTGAAGCGGCGGAGGCGGATGTACGTGAGGGCTAGAAGATGCGCGCTGTCGGGGTTTCGTGGTTCAAGAGCGTGTAAACGGCCGGCGAGGAAGTTTGCGGTGTCGAGGAGGTCGGTGTCGAGGTGGTGTTGTATCTGCTGGGTGAGGAGCAGCGCCGAGGCGGTTGTTGTGCTGGCCATGGTCGAGTCGTGTGTTTCGCAGGTTGCGGTGTGTCGTAGGTTAGCTGCTACGGATCCAGTCGTCGTCCAGAAGGGTAGTCATGGGGCTCGTGATCGTGCCCACCGTTGCTGTTATCGTCGTTTCCGTGCCGGGTTCACTCGTTCATGCAATGTCCGGTGGCAGTGGTATGGTCGCACAACCGCTCATTCATTCATGCGCCCTTGCTCGTCCTCCTCATGCTACCTTTCATGGCTCGTCAGTCGTATCATGAGCATCTCCGTCCCTCGTTCAGGCGTCAGAAGTGAGCTCGTGACTGTCGAGTCGCTGCTGCTGCTGCCGCCGTGATGTTTTGATATCGTCGTTAGGGCGAATCCGCTCCAACAGCGCGAGCCAATTACAAGCCGTCCCGCACTCGTGCCAAGATTTCTTCAAGATCTCAATCAATATATTGATTAGAACCCCAACCTCACCTACTATACCAACACCACTGCAATTCACAAGGCACGCCCGCAACAATGGCGCAAGTACGTACACCACCTCCTCAACCGCCCCAAATCCAAACTAACACAACTCCAGAAATCCCAAAAAACCCTCGCGACCCGCAACGCCTCCACCCTCAACCGCACCCACCTCCTCTCCCTCGCCATCCACGCTTTCTTCCACATCCTCCGCCTCGTCTTCCGCAACCGCCCTTCCCTCCTTCCCTACATCCTTCTCTCCGCCCCCTCTATAATAATCGAAGCCTACTTCGAGCGTCTCTCGCGCCCAACCTACACCACCAGTGAACCCCGCACGCTCAAACGAGCTGGTGAAGACCTCCAGGCGCCTGGGTTGACGGAGTGGATGTGGGATTTGCTGTATTGGACGTGGGGGTGTGTGGTGCTGGTCGCCGTGATTGGGGACAGGGGGTGGTGGGCGTGGGTAGTGGTGCCGGGGTACAGTGTTTGGTTGGCTTATGGGACGCTTATGGGGGTGAAGGGGGGAATGGGTGGGTTGATGGGTGGTGCTGGGGCCGGGGATGAGGAGGGGAAGGAGGGGCAGAGTAAGCGGCAGGCTAAGATGGAGAAGAGGGGGGGTCAGAAGACGGTGTACAGGTGAAGAAGAAACAATTCTGAGTTTTGGAGAGATGATTCGTTTGGAGGAAGTCATAGTTCTTCGATTTGGACCAGTGAGGCTCTGCTAAACTTTGAAGTCGAAGATTTACAAAGCGGAGTGAAGTCGCATCGACAGACATACGCGACCACCACAGCAGCTCAACGCGCCTGTGTTGGCAGCGTGAGCCATGATTTCAGCCGACAGGCAGAGAATCTGCGGGCGTGGCCCGATCGCTCGGAATGCTGGACTGCTGGTCAAATCCGCGGCCGATATCTGCTGGGACATAGTCCAGGACGAAGAGATCGTAGAATCCATCCGGCATGTCGAGCAATGTCGGGAGTCAGGATAGGATCACATACGCTCAGTAACGAATCAGGCTGAGAGCGAGGTATTACCTAACACTTCCAACAAGTTAGCGATATGAACGGAATCAGATACAGATCAACAAGCCACAACCAATCTTGACACCAACTCAGCGCTCTCTTTAATCGTTCACCCCACTATACTCCGTGTTGCAGAGCAAAGAAGTCGCGAAGCGTCCCGAGCCAAACGCCAGGCTGTGTCTCCGTAGAGCACGACCACAGCGTTTGGCCCACGTGGGACTATTGCTTGCATCATGCGTGTGCCGCGATTGCTGAAGCGAATCGAGACCGGACGTACCTTTTCGTAATCAGGGCGAAGGCCAGGCTGTTCATCCGCCCTCATCCTGCTCAACTCGTCCTCGCTCCTCAGCCTGATGCAGCGCCCTCTCCTCCGTCTCGGGCACAAGATATTCTGCGTCGATCGGGTACCCGTAATCCTCCTCAAACTTCCAATCCTCCGCTCCCAATTCCTCCATAACCTCCCACTGGTCTCGCACAAGCTCATGCACACCCTCCCCGTCATCGGCCATTCCATCCGCCACCCACCTCAACCCCAGCGCCCGCTCAATCTTCCTCAACTCAACATCATATTTCTCCACCATCGCCTCCCTCGCGCCTCCCTCCCATGACCTCGTCGTAGCAAACTCGATCCCATCCAATAATCTAAACTTGACTTTTCCCTTGACGGTCGAAAAGTCCAGGCCACTCTCCTCGACTACCCGCCACGCCAGCCTCAGGTCACCTGAATGCGTCATTTGCTCCACGAACCAGTAGTCCCCACGCCAACGACTGCTCATGCCCCTGCCTCCCTTTCCTAATTTTCTAGGATCAAGTCTCGCGCTACTCTGCTTCCAGTGCTCCCATTCGCGCCACACGCCCTCGGAGTCCCGGCAGCGAGCCAGAACGGCGACCCAGCCGTGCAGGAATTGCCAGTCGCTTCGATCTAGGAAGGAGCCGAGATGGTATTTCTGGGCTGGCGGCAAATGCGAGCAGTCATCGAAGCCCTTGAGGACCTGAAGTAGATCTGACCGCCGCCACCGTCCGTTGCGAATCTCGCCTAGCCCACGAGACCCGATGGAGAATTTGGCAATGACGCTGCGGAAGACGTTGGCGGGCATCGTGAGGTTGGCCTGCCGGATATGGCGGAGATACCGCTGCATAGAGGTAAGACTTCGTGTCCGAGCGGCGAAGCGCAGGCCGAGGAACAGGAAGTAGGGGGATACGTAGAGGTTTGCTAGTTTGAAGCGGGCGATGATGACGTTCAGAGTGGCCAGGACTTGCGGGTCGGAGACGGTGTTGCGGCTGCGGTAGAGCGCGCGGATTAATGGTTCAAAAAGGATGGAAAGGGCTTGGGCAGCCGCTTTGGATTGCATGCAGACAGCTAGCACGCGGTAGATGTTCCGCGGACACTGGCAGCGAAGGAGCTGGACACGGATGACGCGGCGGAGGTTCTTCTCGTGGAGGCCTTCGTTGAGGATAAGAGAGCGGAACTTGGGGTGAGGGATGAGGGCGGCGTTGGCTTCGGGGAGGGAGAGGTCGGCAAGAAAGGCGATGTCAGACTTGCGGGTGTGATAGTTGTGAGGCATTATTTGGGTTGTTGTGGGCCAGGGGTTGCGGAGGCGACTGAGGATGGCTCGCCGCATGTCCTTGAATTTGGATAGGGCTTCGAAGCTTAGGGTGTCTGTTCCAGCATCATTGGAAGGCCATTCGTTCTCGTCGTTCCCCAAGGGGTCAGGCTTGATACCGGATGTGAGCTCTGAAGCCTCGTGCCGCTCATCGCCGAGTTTACCATTGTCCGAGAAGAAACCGTCGCTGCCAGAGCCTGCTGTCGTTGTGGTCTTCGATGCATTGATGGGAACATTGGAGGCACGCCTTCGACCAATGACGCTCTGCCTACACTGACAGAAGAGGCAGACAGATGTTGGCCGTCTGAAGGCCATGGCTCGTTGCTCGCAAGCTGCAGTGGCGGATGGTGACATGTGAAGTTGAGTATAGGCTTCGAGCTGCGGGAGCCTTCCGGAGCTAGTTCAAGACAGGCTAGGCTGTGTCGCACAAGCAAACAGCGATTGAAAAGCAGTCAACGAATTTGCTGAGTTCAGATTTTCACGCGGTGTTCAGAATGAGTGCAACATAGCTTTCGCCATACCAGAGCTTTCGCCATGTTCGCAGACGTGTACTACGACACTTACAAACAGTACAAAGCTGCGACCAAGACCGTGGTCCAGTGGCTGGCGGCAACTGCGGAAACCCTGCGGCCCACGGCACGACCTTCCTCACAGCAGGCGAAGGCGCAACCAATCACGCTGCCAGTCGACGTCCTCCCTCAACTTGCGCAACAGATCGCGGACAACGAGGAGGGCATACCTTCAGTACCACGACACATTCTACAGACGCTGAGAAGCGTCATCTCTGGGCGCAAAGCATGCGCGGCTTTTCACTCGGCGAAGGGCACCGGGGAGTCGCCGAGCGACAGTGGGCATCGACACTTCGTCGGGGTCCTGGAAGACGTCCAGCACATTCTGCGCAATCTTGATCCATGTCATACTTCTTCGAGTCTCGATCGAGATGAGCCGGCGCCCTCGGACGATGGTGATTCTGTGACCAATCTCTTCGAGCACCTGGAACTCCATGATTTACCCGATCTTGCCGGTGAAGCTGAGGATGGTCCAGCACCAACCAAAGCCAAGAAATGCGCTCCAGTCCCTCAGTACAACGTGACAAAGTCTCATCAGGATGATTTGGAAGAGAGCTTTTTCGCCGCGACGTGCTTCGTACGCGACGTTGACCGCATCCGGGAACACTTGCGAACTCTGTGGCGGGGCTACCGCGAGCGCAACGTGTCAATCACCGTGGCTTCTATCACGACAAACCTAGCTCTTGCTGCTATCCAGCGAATGCATTGTGCATTGGCAGAGGACTTTCCCAGATGCAGTACTTACGAAGGTCTGTACAATCTGATCTACAAGAAGCCAATCGATTTCTCTTGGCCTGAGAATACCATAACTAACGTGGGAGTCCCTCGGCTCGACTACCTTGGCTCGCATGTCCTTCTACCAGGACATCGGGTGTTCATTGTACTCGTTCATCAAAAGAAAGTTCGTGAGAAAGGCAAGTTTCAAGACTCTCATAGCCGCGACAATGGCTTCGATTGGGTCCTAAAGTGCGCCGACGGCCTTCCCTACCGCAAACAAGATGTGGTCACTCAAATTCTCTCCAGACTTATCCCGGACATGATAGGTCTCATTCGCGAGATCGGTGGCACCTCCAGGCCCGTGGACCAGCTTACAGCCTACATCTGGGACTTCTTCCAATCCGCAAACATCACCATGCCGCTGATAATCGCACTCGAAGTATTTCTGGACACACTCTTTGTACTTGGGGGTGATGTTTCCTCGCCTTTTGCTTTGTTGCGGGAGGCGGCAGCTGGAGCCTCTGCTGCTGTGGCTCGGTACCAAGTCCACACCAAGGAGGTTCTGAAGTGTGATAGTGCCGATCCCGAAGTAGCTGAGTCCATGGGCAGGTTGGAATTCTTCATAAGCAATCATGTTTCGACGGATCTTGTTGCGAGGTTCCGCAAGAGACTTGGTTTTGAGCACAAGGGCATCACTCCATTCTGCCTCTTGAAACATCATCCTGCTCTCTGCGGAACGATTCTTCACTACATCAACAACGAGATGTACTACCTAGGGCTTTGTGCCACGCACGATTGGAAGTGCATGATGTCCGTCATTCACCTGTACAACGCCGCTCAACAAACTGGGCTTCTCCTGAAGCGATGGGCGGACATCGAAACTGTCATCGGATTCTATGGATCAGCAGAAGTCTTCCTCGGTGAGCGCCCAAACTCTCGAGAACACTTTAACGATCGCCTGCTCCGTGTTTCTGGAATCACGATGTCAGCAGTGAAGCGAGAGTCTCGCAAAAAGTCAGCACACAAGAAATCTCGTCCACTTCACGCAAAGCGGAGGGCGTCACGGTATATGGACTTTCAGACGCCCTTGCTCAAGCTCATGCGTTCCAGGGACGGGGAGAACAGTGTGGAGCAAAGCTCAGCGGCGTTGTTTGATGCCGAGCAAGTAGTGAACACAATGGCAGCAAAAGTAGGCACTGTGACTGGAGACACAGGCCGGATACTGCAGCAGTGGAAAGACCGCAAAGTCGTCACTCCTCTGGAACTGCTTAAGTTGATACAGCATGGCGTGGAGTTGGAAGAGCCGCAACATCAATTCGACTTCCTTGGGCTGAATTATCGCTGCATCGAACTGCTCAGACGTACAAGGGACCACCTCCAGGAATTCTACTCTGGCTTCAAGGCTTGTGCGAACAACAAGGTTTTGTACATGGTTGTGCAAACGATACTACAGGATGAGCAGAAGAGAGGTGGTTTGCGCGCATCAGGCGGGACTACCGGAGCGAAAGGAGAGATCACCTTGCTCCCCATAGCTGCACAGCGCATGGACACCCTCATCACGAGCGAGGGCTGGCTGGCGACCAAGAAGATGAAGGAGCTGTGCTCGCAACCTACCCCTGTCTTCTACGGACCGCCTAGGCCGCCTGCATCATAGGATGACTGCTGTCCTCAAGCTGTGCCGGAAATGGGTGACCCATGCCCACCCCCATCAACTGCTCGAAAGGCACTGCACAACATCTTGTGCTGGTCGATGGCACAGCAGCGGATGGGGTATGCTCTGCATTTGTTCAGTAGATGTGGGAGGACTTTGGCAGCGTTGGGAAGGAGAATGACGAGACTCGACCATGGAAGAGGGAAATGTCATCGACGCGGGCAAATCTCGAGATGTACAGGGCCTTGTGAATAGTGTCCTGTTCAATTTCATCATCCAGCATTCACTTCTTTCCCGCCGTCTCCACATCGTTCCGCATCCACACCTTGTTCACTCTCCAATTGCATGTTGCTCATATATAGCTTAGTCAGCGACATCGAGCTTTCCATGTCCAAACTTTGCCACCACTCACTACACGTTACACCCCATCGCGATGCCACAACTACCAGAGCGGCGCAAAGCCTCGTCAACCGCTTCAAAAGCACCAGTAGAAGACGAAACTCAACGTAAGACTCGGATCCAAACCAAAAACAGGCGGATGCGCTATCTCGAACTCCATCCCGAGTACTTCGAGCAACCCTCCCTAGAGCTCGCAGGTAGGCCCAGCTCACACCATTTCCTCACCTCATTACCCGCCAACACATCCCATCAGATCCATTATTATACGACAGAACCATTCGCCGCTTCCTCACCCCTCACGAACGCGAGCTCGACAGGCGTAGTAAAGGCTACTCCGGCGTCCTCGAAGCCAACCTCATCCGCTCGGAAGCCAAACTCGCCGCGCTTCGGAACCCGGACCCGAATAGTCCGACGGTCTATACGCGAGCTGCCGACGGCTCGATCACAGGCGTCGAGCAGGACGTCGATGATCGGCCGCGGGATCGGCAGCAGGGGTGGGAGAAGTGGAGGGATGTGATGGGATTGCGGTTCGTCGGGGGTAGGGATGAGGAGTTTGAGTATGCGGGGGTGGATGGGAGTGAGGAGTTTGATGATCGGGCGGAGGTGGAGAGGGAGAGGTTGGATGAGTATTTGGAGGGGGAGGAGGAGCGGTTCGTGGGGGATGGTCCCAGGCCCGTGGGTGAGACGGGGGTGCAGGATTTTTGATGGAGCTTGATTGAGGTTGGAGAAGTGTCGTGCTATTGTGTCGGGGCGTGAGCTCTGTACATCTTAGTATCGTATAAACATGAACATGACCGCCACCCAATGCCACATCGCCCTGCACGCCATCTCCGCCGTCCAAACTCTTGAAGAACGTCGTCCCCATTGCTAAATGCTACAGCACACTCCCGTGAAATGCCCAACGATCAATACGGCGTATCAAGCGTCTTGCCACCACAATCCGGAATCTTCACGCCCTTCTTCAAATTCCGATCAACATCAAAAAGACCCCAGTGCGGCTCCCAAAAGTCACCAGTCTTCTTGTCGTTGAAGACTTCCTTCCAAGGCTCGTCAAATGCTTCGAACCTGCACACATTCTGCGTTAGCATTTGCGTATCACAACTGATCCTGCGGTGCTCAGAGGTCTACTCACCAAAAGTACGTCGTATTCGACATGCTCTGACACACCCACCCTTCCATGAAGGTGTTCAGCTCATCAATGCCTGCCACCGCGCCCGCTGTCTTCGAAGTGCACTTCGCGCCCGTCCCGCAGTCATTCCCGCCTTCTGTCGGCCAGCCCGTCTCACTGATAATATTAGCAGGCCAATTCCCGCCAGAATTCGACTTGAGCACAACATCGTGCTCCTTCCAAAAGGTCCAGGTCCAAGCGGGCGCTTTATCGGGCGTCACGCCAGCGAAGAAAGGGTGGACGTTGGCCATGACGATGTCAGAGTCTGCTGCTAGACCGGCGGTCCAGTTGTCGCCCAAGTCGGCGGTCGCCACCGGTAAGTCGATATTGCGTTTGGCGAGGCCTTGACGGACTTTACTGATTTGATTACCAAGCTCGGTGATGGTGACGGTTTCCGCATAGAGGACTTCGTTGCCGACGATGACGCCGGCAAAGTGCGAGGAGGGATAGTCGTCAAGAATGGAGTACATCTGCTCCAGCTGGCGGTTGTTTGTGGTCTGTCACGTAGAGGTGCCTGTTAGCAATTGTACCATGAGATTTTTGAGAGAATGGGCGCTCACCGAGTTATCGCCTATGTACACCCCAAGCCAGACTTTAAGAGTGTCGGTGAGCCCCAGAAGATCGATTCCCTTCAGCACTTGCTCCGTTTGCTTGCAGTCGGTCCCGTAGAGACGGATGGCTGGTGTCAATTGCGCCAGAACCGCAACGTCAACCGTCACGTCATTTTGATATGGCATGTTGGAGAGGCAAGCTGGGTACTGCGCGTTCCAGGGAGTATAATCCATGGCGGGGAAGACCTTGTGCAAGTTCTTGTTGTTCATCACGGCCTGCACTTGCGGGGAATCCTTGTCCCAGACGCCATCAGCAGCGCTGGAAGAACCACGACCGCCGCCGTTGGATGAGTTCGAGTCGGAGTCGGAGTCGTTATTAAGCAGAGCATAGGCGACTCCTCCTGCGATGGCACCCAGAATGACGAGGACGATGATGATGCCGACAGTCCACTTCAGCTTCTTCTTTCCGGTGCTCTGAGAATTCAGCCATTCGCTCTTCTCCGCATCTGCCGTTCCCCCGTTGACTGGACCATAGCTACCGCTGGCATCTTGGTTGGAAAACGCCTTTAGGCCAACAGCACCGGCGCCTGCGCCGCCTGCTGCTCCAGCCATGCCAAATCTGCTCCTCGGTCGCCTTTGGGGTAGGTCAAAGCCGTCCTCGCCATCGTCCGCGATGTTTCGTGGGTCCATGTACTCATCGTAGCCATCGCCTCGGTAGGGTGTCCGTCCTCCAGGCATGGATTGGTCGTGACCGTAGCCGTATCCTACCGTGCTGACGCTGTGTAAACTCTGCTGGGTGCTTGCTGGAACAGAGTCACCAGAATAAGAGTGTGTGAAAGGGTTACTAGGCACCGGTGACATTTGACCAGCACCATAGTAGTCGTCGTCATTCCCTGAGGGCTGCGGAACACTGGGCAGAGGATGTCTCTCGCCACCCGCTACTGTAGGGTCATGTTCCGGATTGGTAGATGCATACGGGCTGTAAGCTGCGTAAGGGCCATTGGCCCCGTCGCTCCGGTAAGACGGTGGCGGTGATGCTGTCGCTGGCTGTCTTGCGTATGGTGCCACAGGTCTTCTTGGTGGAGATCGTTGGTATTGCTGGGGATTGTATGTTTGCTCGGGCCCCGGCACGCCGTAATTATAGCCAGACATATCAGCAGCCTGGTCGTGCTCAGTCTCTAATGGATAGTGTCTGAAGGGGCTTCCCAAAGTGCTGATTCGGTGGAGAAGGCTTCACGGATGGATTGTTGAAGTCGAGGTTCGAGAAAGTTGAGTCTTCCCACCAAGTTTAAAATCCTGGTCCGCGGCGTTTCAGGTTACCGCTGTCTGGGAATCCTGCTCGACGACCTCGAAGACACCAACAATGAGATATAGGTGACACTGGAAAGAGTGCTTTGTTCGATCAAGAATGGAACACGATCAGGAGTCGTTGGAGGCGGTATTGTAGCACACAGTCAGATCTCAGCCACTCTATTTGCAGCGTGACATTCCAGGCTAGACGCCCGGGCGATGACGACGCCTCCCGCCCCCAAATTCTTCTTGGCAATCTCTTTGCAAGGCTTCGACTTCTTCTCTTGCGATACAAGACGAATGACCTGTACTCGGTGCTTTCGCTTTGTCTCGAAGACACATTCACGAGGCTAAGTTACGATTTCAAGTGGACAGATGTTCAGTTCGCCACATGTTCTTTTAAGCCAGTGGTGCACGGCAAGCCCAATGACTTGCCACCTCTCAGCCCTCGCCAGAATCCATTGTCTGATCAGTATAGGGTGGTCTCGCCTCTCTGGCGAAGAGTTGTCGTTGTGATGGCCTCCAAAATATAGAAGACGCCCAGCTCCCTGCATACCCAGGTAGTTTGCTAACGAGATCTGACCGCGGGTATGCACACCGTTAAAGCACTTCGGACAGGTAGCGTATTTAAAGGACTTCTCCAACGAGATGGCCGTCTGTCTGGCTGCTGCATTACTCGTGAGAACCTCAAATGACAATGCTATACGGACGACCTCTTCACCGCAGTCCATTGTGCCGACCGATGCAGATGCACGAAATGCCTAGTGCATATCCTTTCCAGCATGAACAATGCGACGTCGGCTGACTGGCACACTCAGTCTGCTGGAGGCTTTATTAATCCTCGATTGCTACAAGGTCGTGACAGTGATGCCTTCGCCAGCTCTCATATGGCACTCACTTAGGCCTGTCATCAACTCCGCAACCGCGGGTAGCGAACTTCAAGCACTTCGCTTTCGGCACAAGAACACCGTCCACCGCCTGAAACTTTCGAATGATCCGCTAGATCACCACACCACCGCGCCTCTAGCAGACCCAGCACCAAAAATCTGGTCTGCCGCTTATCCACGCACGAACTCATAAGTAGAGAACAAGACCCTGATCAGGGCTCTGTTAATGGGCAAGTTGTCCTTCTTTTCGTCGACTTTGCGCCCTCACTCAAGTCGATGATGCATCGTCCCCAATCCCTCGATTTCAACATCATTGTCGAAGGCTGCGTCGAGCTGATCCTGGACTTTGGAGAGCGGCAGGTCCTCGAACGAGGCGACGCTTGTGTTCAACGAGGGACGACTCACACGTGGACGAATTCGAATGACGCTGAGTGGGCGAGGATGGCGTATGTGCTGCCGGACCCGCAGGCGGTGGAGGTGGATGGGTAGAAGAAGTTGAAGGCATATCTGGGGAGGAGCGAGGGTGGCACCCAAGGGAATGGAGATGACATCTAGGAAAGCGATTGTGAACTGCGTTTTCACTGCTTCACGTCGATTCAACTGTTCTCCATCAGTACGACCACTTTTGCCAGATCGCAAGTGCTGGAGCTTTCAAAGCAAAGCTTCCAAATGGCCAATCCTCGATCGATGCTGTATAGCCCAAGAAGTCCACGCACTGCATGCCTGCTGGCTGATGATTCGGTACGGCGAAAACAGTCTTAGGCGGTGACACTGGTGTAGCTCAGACACATGAGTATTGTTGTTGCCTGTGACATCGTGACAGTGCGTGGAGACAAACATCTCGCCTCTACTCAGCCGTTGGGTTACGAAACGTGAAGACGCCACGAAGCGTTGAAGAAATGAGGCATTGCGATCAGAGTCTTAGTTTGAGTTGGGTCGGTTGTCTCCAGTTGCCTCGTCAAAATGACAGCAGCCGACGGCGTGGCGTTGATGAGACGCTGCTACTTACTTACCGTTCGAACCCTTCCTTTGAGTTCAAGAGCCATCCTCGAGATGAGGCGAGGTGTGCTGTTGCCTTTTTATGTGTCTTCTTGGTAGAGACGAGGTGTCTAGCAAACAGGTTGCCCCCGATTAGTAGCGTCTGCTGTGCTGAAGTGTCGGCAAGACGATATGAGCTGTAGAACGTTGGCAGGTCGAGACGTTCTTGTTGCTTGTATGCAATGCCATGCCACTGCAGCTGCACCGCAGCTCCGAAGGCTACCTAGCATGGAGCCTCTGCGCGATGGTCGCTCAGACAAAATCTTCGACAAACGCCGGCGGTGAATGTAGTCGTCACATCAGCTGATATGATTTTCATTCCTACGTCTCCAGCGACCTGCTCGAGAGACTCGCAGAACGGACACAACTTCACCCCGGCCGCCGTGGTTGGTCTGCACACTGAAACTAGCGCCCTACCTCAGAATCCCAAGAATCAAATCACCTGCCATTTCGGGCCTAGCGACCTCGCTGCAGTGCCGTTAAAACAAAGCCGCTGTCAGAACTCCAAGCAGCAATCTCCATCAGCCAAAAAGTCAAACCCGCCATAGAGTTGTTTTATCAGCAGGCATGGGCCGGTCTAGAAGCCAACAACCACGAGAAATTCTCCGCAAGCTCGACAAAGCACGGTAGCAAGGATGCCAGACCCGGGTTTCCCAGGCTCAACCCTCGAGGATGCTCACCCGGCAGTTCAGGGGAAGCCTGGAAGCACATCGCGAACATCCCGCGCCAGCCGCAACGGTCGGCCGGCCGGGGGGCAAGGCCTCCACGTGTGTGATCCTTGCAGCGAGCCGAGGATGTTGGGGTGGAAATTGCACAGTGATTGGAGGTCAAGGTCAGTTTTGGGCGAAACGATGGCCGTTGGCCGTGTTCGGCGACTCGGTTGCAACGGTTCGTAGGAGAGAGCTGTCAAGGACAATAACGTTTGAAACTCTCTTCGCGAGAGCGAGAGTTCTTTTGCGCCAGCCGCGCTCTTTGATGCGGCGATAAGGAAGGTTTCGCGTTTCCCTGTTTTGTGCATTGCTGTTGACCCGGACGTCCGTTGGGTCCCCGCGTGCCCCGGAGGTCGTGATTCGTCGATGGGATGGGAGAATATTGGAGTCGTTGTCCTGCAGATGGATATGTCGGGCGTCCGGGGACGATGCAGGAGGAGATTGCGATATTGGTGTACGGGTTGGTTCTTGCCCCTGCAATGTTGTTGAGTTGACAGTGGCGTTGCGACTCAGCGGTGTGTTTTGCGAGTCATCGAAGCCGAAGTGTTCGTGTCGCTGCCGCCGCGCGGTGCTGGAAGTTCATGATGTGCCGACGTCCGAGAGTCTTTGCTGCAGCTCGGTGGCGGCATGCTGCTGTAGACGTGAAGCTAAAACACTGCGTCTTACCCAATCACTTCTCAGATCTGATCCAAGACCTGGATGTCTCAGGCTCCACCGGCCGGTTGTTGATGGCTTCCACGCTAGATGCCCTGCATGACATGTTTACCGGGCTATCCATGAGCCATAATACGCACGACATGCAGTCGAGGTTCGCGTTCATGCTGGAGCCGGCGGATGCAGCTGGAGCTTGCTTTCATCAAGCCGGCACATGATGAGAGGTTGAAGCTGTGTTGATGCAAGTTGCATCCTTTCACGTACGCGATAGATTGGGGGAGGAAGAGGGGAGAGGCAAGATCAACAGCGGACGCGCAAAAACACCAAAGCAGCTAGCGGCCGTTTTGCTAGCTAATGCGGGGCCACCGGTTGATGGACGCAAGCCAAACATCGCAATCAGTTATCATGTGTCGAGAGCGTGGCAGAGAGAGTGCGGTTCTACCAACAACTGCCGGGTGGAATGAATGAGGGTGAAGATGAGCTGTCGCATGGCCAGATCGTTCGTCGCACAGAGATTCGGGTGGGAGGGGTGTTGGACGAGATGAGAGCTCCTGACACGCGGTGGAACCGTGCTCGCCGTGCAACGGGACCGACTGCGTGGCCCTTCCGTCGAATCGTGGATGAACTCATGTGGCACTCAGCTTTCACCCCTTCATCCATGCGAATTGATTGACGATGAGATGGGAGAGGGGTGGCGGCGATAGGTCATGTCGGTGCCATCTCGATCTGCCGGACGAGGTGGATGGTGAGAGTGCTGCTTCGCTCCTCATCCGGAGCGGAGCACGTCAGCTGGGGCTCGAGCGGTGTGGATATTGCTTTCACGTGAGACGGGGTGGAATGTGGGTGGTGGTGGTGGTGGTGTGTGTATGGTACCGTCTGCTGTTGTAGATAGTGTCTGGTTGAAAGGAATACACCACAGAACAATTGCAATACAGTACCATGATTAATAACACCGAGACTTGACATGCCGCGTGGAAATAGAGTTGGGGCGTGGGAAGGGAAGATAAGGCGTGGCACGTTTCGTGTTTCGCTTCTCCACCCTCGCTCACGCTCACGCCTCGCAAGCGAGCGGGCACCAAGGAAGCAGACTTGCTCGCCTCGACGAATCGTCAGCGAGCGGGTAGGCAAGTTGGGTATAAGGAAACGGCTGGTGCAGCCTCCCTGTCTGCCCGCCTGCACAACTCAACGTTAACCCCCCGACACCCTCGTCGACGGTCGCTTCAAGACTGCCTCCGCCCAAACAAGTCCCCTGCGCGCCCGTTGGCCTTGCAAGCACTTAGCACACCCTACCGCCCGCCTTACAAGCACCCTCGCCGCCCATCGCGGCCACCCGCCAGACAGGCCTGTCTGCCACCGACTCGTCCAGCAGCCGCCGACGCATGCACCGCGCCTACCCTACCGCTGCTGCTGTACCACCACCCACCCGCGCACGCAGAGGCACGCCGCCCGTCGAGTGGAGGCATTTTCCCGCCATGGTGAGTTTGACTGCAGCTCTTTTTCTCCATTTCTGCCCGTCCGACGCGCTGGCGCAAACTCTCTGCTCGAGCTGCCCACTTTCCACGATGATCCATGCTCATCTCGCATGCCACCGCAAAACACGCGCAATCCCATCATGCACCGACATGCACCACGCTCGCCGATACTGCTGACCTGTCATTCCCGCCCCTCTTTTCCGCCCCGATACGCTCTCTAAATCGCGTCTTCTCGCAATGCTGGCTCCACCCCGTCTGCATCTTCTCCGTTTCCTCTCTCTCGAAAGAAAACACCACCTCCCCCCCGCACGACATTCACCATTTCCGGCTCAAAACGCATTACACCGCAGCGGAGCCTTATCCACACCCTGCCCCTCCACCACCCGATGATCACCTGTCTCGCCGTTGCACCTCAACTTCCCTGTTCCTAGCCACATTGTTGGCTTTCTAACGGCAAACTTACTTTTGCATCCATCCCGCTCTACCTTGCCGCAGGGATCCTTGGCTTCTCTTATTATCAACAACAGGACTCTGCCCAGCGTGTGTTGTTTCATCGCTGCATTATTCTCCGACTCCCAATGCTAACCTCTTCCGCCTCCAGCAGCAACACCCGCATTCTGTCCAGCAGGGTCTGCCTCCCCAGAATCCGCTGCACCACCCGCGTTCAACAGGGTTGATACAACACCATCGATCCGACTCGCCCTCGCAACCATCCAACCCTCTCCAATCATCCGCGCAAGGACCGTACGCCTCCCCGCATTCGTCCACTCATAGCTTGTCCCACCAACATCATTCACCTTACGTCGGATCCGTGCCGAACATCCATCAGCACCACCCAGGTGAAACGACGTTCTTCGGCGCGCATCCCAGTCCGTACAGCACGAACAGCGTGCCTGGCAGCTACGCGTCTTCAGGTAAGTCGAACTCATGTTGATGAGGTCCAGCTTGTTGTCTTGTACATGTCATTGATCAAGATGTCATCATCAGTGAAAGGACTTGGAATAACATGTGATCCAGAACCTGGTGACAACATGGCCACCCAAGCGGCCATGAGCCGGCCGCCAGGATACCCCCCGATCTCTAGCTATCAAACGCCACAATCCAACTCGCCGGCATCAATACACTCGCCTCAAACAGATGCACATGGACGACCGCTGTATGGCATGCCGCCGATGGCACAGCAGATGTACTACCCTCAGACCTACCAGATGCAGCAGTCACCATACGCCCAACACGCGCCCAGCTCACACCACCCATCCATCACTTCCGCGCCGGGACCGCTTATGCCGTACCAGTCGTCTGTACAACAACAGCCGCAACACCAGAGTCAGCAGCAGCCAGGCAATCTCGACACCAAACCCAGCCTATCGTCACTCCAACGACCGCCTTCAGTCATAGCGCCTCCACACGGGACTCCGCAGACTCCATCGGGATCGCAAGCGCCAGGTGTACCCAACTCTGCAACTGGACCAAACCCCAGCGCAGCACCCGGTCCAATCCCGGCCACCACGCCTCTCGTCGTTCGCCAGGACAACAACGGCGTGCAATGGATCGCGTTTGAGTACTCTCGCGATCGCGTGAAGATGGAGTACACGATCCGCTGCGACGTGGAGTCTGTGAACACTGAAGAGTTGAGCGCAGAGTTCAAATCCGCAAACTGCGTGTACCCGAGGGCGTGCAGTGGGAAGGACCAGTACAAGGGTAACCGCCTTCAGTACGAAACCGAATGCAACGCGGTCGGGTGGGCTCTGGCGCAGCTGAACCCGCCCTTGCGGGAAAAGCGTGGCCTCATCCAGCGCGCCGTCGACAGCTGGCGGAACAGCAACCAAGACGTCAAGTTACGGAGTCGGAGGGTACGGCGGATGGCGAAGATGCACACAAGAAAGACGAACGTGAACATGGTCCCGGGCGCTGCGGGTCAGCCGCCTGGTCCTCAAGGCCCGCCGAGCGCTGGTGCGCAGACTTCTCAAGGTATGCCTCCCGGAATAGCAAGACCCCCTGATTTTGCTGCTGGTGGCATGATGCCGCAACACCACCATCACGTCGACCCGAATCAGACGGTCGGCGGCGGTGGTGGTGTTCACAGCATGTACCACATCTGAACGATTTGCAACGTGTTACTGCTGTTTTATTCCCTTGTTCATGCGCACACGAAGAAAACGCAAGGGGGTGCCCTGTTAGTTTCAAAGCATTCTACCATTACCGGTTGTACGGTATAGCTACTTTGCGCGTTTGGAAACGCAGTCGCACACACAACCACGCACATGCTTGAATGTTTTTTATTACCGCTTGCTTTGCACTACCCATCCCCTGTCCTCCTCGCTTGCATTTTAAGCACACAAATCCTTGCCTCGCATCACACACTTGGGAAGATCATACGCTAATCATGTCTTACCATATAGCCGGAAATGAATACAATAGCGCGCCGGCACATCACCACCAAGCCCCGGCACCAAGTGGGCAGCCGGACATTACATCGCCATCGTCGACAACGTCGCCTCGCTACGCCTCGAACTTCTACCCAACCTACCCTCAACAACCCATGTCCGCCGGCCCCGGCACCATGCCCTCCGTCCACGACGCCATGAACTCCATGCACCCACAAGCCTCCTCCACCCTCGCCACCTCCTCCTCCTCCGCAGCGAAAGACGAAGAAGAAGTCGAAGCCGCCGCGTCCCGCAAACGCAAGCTCTTCGGCGACATCCCGGACGCGAAAAAGCGCAAATTCATCATCGTCGAGGACGCGCAGCGCGGCCAGCGCGTCCGAGTCCGCGTTACGTTGGACCAGGTCAATATGCAAGACATGCCTGACGCGCATCTCAAGATCAACGCCGTGTATCCGCGCTCGTACTACCCGCGGCAGTCTGGCGAGTCGGCCACGGGGCCGAAGATACCTGATTGGGATGACGAGGATGATGGGGAGCCTGGCGCGAAGAGGGGCACGACGATGGTGAAGATCCCGTTGATGGAGGGAGAGGAGACGCGAATGCCAGTGCCAAAGATGACGAGGGCGAGGCGGGGCAAGGAGATGGCGTTGAATGAGCTCGGGGCGAGGATGAGCTGGCAGCAGGCGAGGACGTTCCACAATCGGCCGTTGTTTTTGCAGAAGAGTCGTACGTTGCACTCTACCTCCCTCCATTCACCGTACTGCCTGGGTTTGCTGACGATGTGAGTAGTGGACGCCCACCGCACCAAAGTCCGCGAGGCGATGATGGGGGCGGACGAGCCGGGCGGCAGCACCGACGCGGGACATTTCGAGACGAGACCGGGAAAGAGAAAGTGGCTTGCGAGGAAGAGGCCGGTGATGCGCGAGGCGCAGGATGGGCAGGAGGAGGCTTAGGTGGTTGATCCTTTGCTGTGCGGCGCTGAAGATGTCGAGAGTGTCAAGACGGAATATGTTGATGCTGGAAGACACCTCTTCGAGAAAGAGCTTGCCGATGCTGCGAGACCAATTTTCAGGAAGGGGTATGTCGATGCTGGACCGAATGTGGATATGGACGCTGAAGAGGCCACTGAAGAGGCCGCTGAGGGATGGGTTGTCTGAGGACAGCCGCGCTGGCTATCGATGGCATCAAGACATGACCGTCGGGTATGCGGACGAGATGAGGTGCAAAAGAAGTGTGTCCGGTCACTGCAAGATTGTCGTGCGTTGAGCGAGCGCCTTTTTCGTCTGTACAGTACAGAGCTGCCTACAAGAGATTTGTGGAAATGACGAAACATCTGATGGATGGGTGTGTACTAGCTTGCACTGTGTACAGTAGCTGTCACGCTCGAGCAACGAAGCAATGTCGTAAACGATGACAGGAATGTTTTCTCTCAATACTCGTGCAGGCTACTTTCAGTCATATTCTGGACACACGAATGCCACGCTTAGGAATCGACCGACTCAAGTTTCGGTCATCTCCCAACCGTCCACCCTGTTGGCGTAGCACTCCATCAGTGAACCCACTGTGACCGGCGCACGCCCTCAATCCCACCCCTCAGGTCCAACAGCAACCGCCCTCCGCGTCCGCTGTCGACTAAATAAGAACGCCCTCAGTCGCCTCGTGAACAACTCCGCCTGCAGTCTTCCACTCAGCCTGCGACATCCCCATCAGCGATCCGCTGAAGTCCCGAGCTGAAAGTGTTGCGGAACGGTCCACGGTGCTTACACTTCTCCCTCTCCCTCGTTGTTCTCGCCCACGCGCAGGCTGCTACATTTTATGTTGCCTTCGAAATGCCAGTCCCGATCTGAGGAGATGAAACTCCTATGCCACCGTCGTCCACTCGTACCATCGTCTGCTGAACCTGGTCTCTGACCCTCCTCAGACACAGCACCAGACACACCATCCCCACCCCGCTCCTTCGTCGCCTCCTCCACAAACTCCCCCATCCTGATCCCCTCCTCCCTCACAATTGCCGGCTTCAAGCTCCTCTGCCACCGCCTGACCAGATGCAGCGACGTACAAGGAGGATTACTCAAGAACATCCTCCGCCACGAAGCCTCCGGATACAACACCGCTGCTTTCGTCTCCGGCGCCCGATCAGCCGGGAACGAGATACAGACGTCCCAGCTCCAGTGCTCACCTACATCACCCCTCCCTCCCCTGTCACTGGTAGAGGTCGATGTCGGAGATCCATCATTAACAATAACCAAAGTAACAGTCGGATAACACCCCGGAAACGCCCTCAACAGCAATCGATTATTCTCCGGTTTCCGTCCCGGTCTTTTGCCAGAAGCGTAAGGATCAAAAGCGCGGCCTTTGAGATTCCAGTCCGGGGCGAAGAAGAGGGCGCGTTGGAGGCGGAGGCTGGATTGGATGGTTTGCCGGAAGGTGCGCGAGATGCGTTGGGAGAGGAGGAGGTCTTTTTGCGGGAGGGAGAGGAGGATGAGTTCTAGGAGCTCGGGGAGGCGGAGGACTTGGTTGGCTGCGGACTCGGGGGGTTGTGGTGTTGGCATGGCAGTAGTTGTATAGGATATGAATGTCCAGGGTCACGATGAGAGGGAGCGCCAGTCGAGCCCAGTCGTTGATTGAGCTTCAGCAGGAGCATAAATCTTTTTGTGATTTGGACTTTGAAATAGTCATTGGCTTTTTCCAATCACTTCACGTTTCGTTCAATAGAGAGGAAGAGGGAGCATTCCGCATGACGTCCCATTGTTGACAGTCGTCCGGAGGATGTGGGGGTGGAGCAATGGAGCATAGGAAAGCAGAGCAGAGCTTCTGCTCCTTCAAGAAAACCGAGGCAGATCAATCACATGCACTAACCATGCTATTCTACTCATCTACCCTTACTCCCACCCCTCGGCACACAATCCCATTCCCAAATCCGTCCGTCTCCATCTCCAGCATACACCGCCTGCGCCATGGGTAAGATAGCCGTGATAGCCGCTGCTCCATTCCCACCATCCTCCCGACTCAAATCCGTATGGTTCATCCGCTTTACCAGCTGCAAATACCACGCCCCGTCACCCAGCGTCATCAGGGCCCACACGTTCGCGACCCCGTGGGCGTGGCCGGTGAAGATGATTTCGCGCTCGAGCCATTCGTTGCCGGCGCCTTCGTAGAAAGCGCAGCATGTCAGACGGTCTTGGGGAGAGTCGCAAACTCGTTGCTTCAGAAGGAGGTGGCCGTTGAGCGTGTACAGCAGGATGTGGTCGCCTTGACAAAGCAGTATATGCCCATTGACATTGCTGATACGGGCGGCTTGGATTGGCGGTTCGCCAGCGGCCTGCAGGACTCGAATGCATTGGTAGCGGTTGAGGCCCCAGACAAGGATATGTCCGTCCGAAGAGGCTGATAGTAATGTGCTGAAGACTCGACTAGCCGCCAACTTCACGACTGGCGCCCGATGACCGAACAGATATGTCTTCATCTGCATCTCGACACGATCGCGGCCGCTGTCTCGGGACGTGCTGATGCCCCAGATGCCAATGGTGCAGTCTGCGCCTGCCGTGACCAGAGTCTTGCTGTCGACAAACGTTGCGGTCGTGATAGGGCCAACGTGCGTATTCTCGAACAGACCGAGCTGGCGCTTCGAGTTCGAGGACAAGAAGCGGATGCTATTGTCCGCAAAATCCCATTGCACGTAGCGATCACAGTTCGGCAGCATATTCAGCTGACATGGGCCAGCGCACAACAGCCTCTCGTGCGTCGACGAAAAGGTCAGACCGGCCACCTTTTCATCGCTTTCGAACAACGGCTCCGGTAGCTTTACCAACGAAGCAGCAAGGATGTCAAGCCGAGGAGTTGAGGAATGGTCACGCTCTCGCGCTGGATGTGGCTTCTGGAAGATCTGGTGAGGTGTCTGGCCAAAAGAATGGATGATGCCAATGCTTGCTAGTCGTTCGACAGGATCGTCAATACTGTCAAGGTCCTTGGCCCCTTGATACGATAGCGGCTGGAAGCAATTCGCTGCCTGCACAGCTGCCTCACCACGCTGTTCATAGCCAAACACAAGGTCGATCCATTGATGCAGGTGTTCGCTGACGTACGAGCTCTCCAGAGCTTCCCGATGCCTCGTGACGAAGATGTGAGGGTCGCCTTTGGCCCACGGTGGCAGCTTGACATGGTTCACGACTTCGCCCGCGGCCTGCTTGACGCCAAAATCGTACCTGTTGACATTTAATAGGAACTCAGGTAGGTAGAAGAACTCTGGCGTCAATTCTCTGACGTCGCCCATGTTGTCTCTGGAAGCCGACAGCCACGCTTTGCCGATGGAGTCGAAGAGGCGATCAGCGTGGTCGAAGTTGCCTCCCTGCAGCAAGAGGTAAGACTGGACGAACGGCTGCAGCCGGATCAGGTATGACGAGACAATCATGGCTGAGGAGTAATGCGTGCCGTAGTGGAAAGGCGGAGCATTTTCGTCGCCCATCTCAGCGAACTGCTTGTACCGTTCGCGGTACTCTCGTTCTCTTGCTGCAGTCTGACAACCCATTGGCTTCGAGAAGTCGCGGAAAGTCTTCGGGTTGTCAAGATCAAGCTCTTCGCTGTCGTAGTCTGCAAGGACCCATGGGAAGACCGGATACTGCGTCAGATCGTTGAAGGTCCTGCCAGCCATTGTGTTCACCAGCATGAGGTACTGGAAGTTGGACATCTCGCCCTTGATCCACTTTTTGGTCGCTGTATGAGAAGGCGCCGAGTTGAAGACACTCGCAAACTTCGAACCGAATGACTGCGGACCTTCCTCAGGATTTCGTAGGGTGTCGAGACGCCAGGCATCTTCACCCGCGAGAACAGCTGTGCTGTGTACGTGCGGTGCTCGCATCACCACGGCACTGTAAAGCTCGTCACGGATCTTACTCGAGATACAAGTCAGCAGGTAGCTCCGCCCGTCAGTGAAGAACACCTCGATCGACACATCGCGATGCAGGAAGCGGCGCTTCGAGATGCTCAGAACCTCCGACCACGTCCAGTGTCGAGTCTCTTGGTCGCCAATACTGTGCTTCGTCCGCTGCGATCCAACGTCTTTACCTGATATCAGTTGTACATAAGGATCTCGTTCGTCGTCCGGCGCCTGCGAGACACTGACAATCTCTCCGTCAGACCTCTGGAAGAAATTATCTTGCAAGTAAAGGCAGTTCTTCCCAACCACCAGCAAGCCTTCGCAAGCCTCCAGACCAACGATGCGCGAGATGTTGTACAGCTGCTGCACCATATCGCCCCGCTGCAGACTCGTCATGACTTTCCGGTTCTTGTCCTCAATCATGCCATCCTCAGCTTCCTTTGGATCTTCCACCATCTCAAAGCCACCCTCCAGAAGCTGTGATCCAGACATCGACTCGCTATGGGACCTGTCCCGTCCAATGACATCGTTTGTCTCATCTGCAGACGCAGGTATCGGGGTTGATGGCACTGAAGACATGATATTGTCACTCATCGCCGCCTTGTTGACCTGCGTATTGATCGCCAGCCGATCCGAGACTTTTCGTTTCGGCTGGAAAGCTTGGGCCTGATCGTTGGTGTCCCTCACCGTCCGCATGCGCATACGGTTCACTGCTTCAGTCTCATCGAGTTGCCACTTAGACTCATCGGTCGCTGGATCAATGCCCGCAGGTTGCTTGGCCAATTTCTCGATGCCCGAGAACACTGTAAGCAGATGTGAGACGTTCTCTTGATGATCCTGAATAGCCCGCTGCAGCTTGACCCGCTCCTGCGCATGAACGTTCGGGCGCCAGTGATTTGTCGAGATCTCATATCGGTGCATGAAGTCATCTGCACTCGCCTCTTCTATTTGCCATGCTCGCAGCTTCTCTCGCCTCTTGCTGAGTCTGTTCTTTGCGGACTCCTCGGTTCGCCTATTCTCATCGAGTACGAAGTCGTCCCACGGTTTGTTCAAGGCTTCAATGAAGACCATATCCAGATTCGCACGATTGGCGTCAACCCAGGCGATGAACTCTTCGTCCTCCATCGAGACTAGCTTCATAAAGCCTGTGGACAGGTGACGTTGCTCGGTGCCCATAGCATAGGTTAGCAGAGTTGCCGTCTCCGTAGGCTTCTGCATTAGGATCGTCCGCCAAAGCCGCGCTGACGCGAGTCGAACTGCATGCACGGTTGACACCAGCTTCATATACAGCAGGAAGCATATCAGCCGAATGAAAAGCGTCTCCTGATTGTCGGAAGAGAACAAGATCGTTTGCCAGTAGTTCATCTTATTCAAAAACTCCGTCGCTTCCATTTGATTTGCCAACTCATCCAGCTCGGCGAGCCTCCAGAGACATACTCGAAGGAAGACAATCCTGATCGTGTTGATGTGCTGGCTGCAGAGTCGGACAGTCTTTACACTGGCAACGTCCGGCTGCTGCAGATACTCCAGTATCTTGCCTGTGAAGTCCAGCAACGGCTGAGCGCCATCGATGAACCAACCCTCGAACACGGCTTCGGACATGTGCTGGCTGTACCTCGATAAGTTCGAAAGCACTCTCGTCTGTACCAGTAGACTCTGGTTGAGCTGTAAATGGTTCCACAGCTGCGTGAGCGTATGCACCAAGATGTACGACTCGAAGTAAGCCTGATGTTCTCGGAATCCAGACGGCACCTTCAAGAACAGCCCAATGCCATTGAATTTATCCTTATTGCAGATGAGGTCCAAGAACAGGTTCACAGCGACCTCGAGCAAAGACTCAACAAGCGAGTTGCCGATGTTGATCTTGACAGGATCCGCTTTCTGAGGAGCCATGACAGCGCTAAATTGAGCAGGCGAAGTAGGCGTCTTGGAGACATCGTTGTTAACGAGGACGAAAGACGACAGCCGCTTCGGCGCCTCAACTCGCAGCTGTGTTCGTGGTGAAGGTGTGCGTGCCTCGCTATCCATGTTGAGACTGCGTACTGAAGGCGGGCGCTCGCCGAGCGAGTTTGAGTGAGGACGCATCTCGACCTCCTCACCTTTAAAGGAGAGCGTGTCTTTCTCTGCTTGCAGTTCTGTCTCTGCTGACAAGCGATCTGAGCCGACGAGTACCGGATAGAGAACGAACAGAATGTCTTGTACGTAGCGAGAGCCAGCAGCGAAGTCGCGGAATCCAGCGCTCCGGTTGTAGAGCTCGGAAAGGAACTGGATGACTGTCTTGAGAACGTTCACATCCGCTTGTTCTGGCTCGTCATGTTTCACGATGTGCCGCAGCCCGCTTTCCAGCATCGCCATGATCGCAGAAAGGATCTCAGGATTTACGACAACGAGCTTATCATCCACAGAGAAGGCTGCGACCAGCCCGAACAAGGTGAAGTCCTTGACCGGATGACCTAAAGCCGGTGTGCTGCGTCCAAACAGGATCGCGAAGCACGTCGTCCAGACCCGAGGCGACCTCCAGAACGTCTTGAGCCGGCTCTTCAGTGTGACGAACCCACCGTTCCTGTCCACGAGAGCACTCTTGAACTCGTGTCCTAGAACAGCAATCGAGCGACACAGAATGTGCGTTATCAGCTCAATGACCCGAACATCCGTCTCCGCCAGAAGATGCAGCAGCCATCGATTCGGTACAGCCTTGTTGAACCTTCGTAAAGCCTGCATATTGCTGTCGTCTGAGACAATATCACTCAGCAGCTCGAGGACGTGGATCGCAAGCTTAGCTCTGCTGACACCCGTCTGGGGCGCTTGTCCGCCAGCAGAAGTAGACGGCCGCGAGCCGCGGATGGTTCTGGCCCAGGTAGCTGCCTTTTGCCTTAGACCTACTGCACTGGCCATGCTTCGCAAAGGTTTTGCAGCCATCGCCCGCTCATCCTGTAGACCATATGCGACGAACATGGCCAGATCGCGATAGACCTGCGTTGCAGTATTGTTCTGCAGCAGAGCTTTGAGCGCCTGCATGAGCGGCTCAATGGCTTCTGAGACAAACTCCTCGGCCTTCATGGCTTCGATGAACTTTCGGACGGCTCGCATTCGGACCAGCCGCTTCAAGTTGAAAGCTGAGTGCCGGTTCTGCGTAACGAAGTGCACGAATTGCTCATAGTACAGCTTTTGTGTCTCAACGTCGCAACGTCGCCAAGTATCGAAGTCAACGAGTAGCACACGGTAGGCCATTGGATTGACGATCATGGAGTTTTCCTGCCGCGTAGCGTCGTATCCAACAAAGTCCAGCACGAGCTGCAAAAGCTCAATCGGCATATTTTGTCGGTCTTCGAGGCTAAGCATGCCAGCAGATTTCCTGGTGGTTGCAGCTGGTGCGCCTGATTCAAAGCCCAGCTTCTCCCTGATCAAGCCTGCGAGGATGCCGAAACCGCTTCCCTTCTCCATTGCCTCGCTGATGCGCCAGTTGTCCTTGATGCACTCAAAGAAGATCTGAACAGACTGGAGGAAGGCTGTCTTCGTGGATGCAGATTCGAGAAGCCGTACCAGTACCGGCAAAGACCCTGTGAGACACCAGCTGGCGTCATCCAGAGCCTTTGGCACCACTACGACAGGTTCGCCGGTAAGGACGCCAGTACCATACGACCGTCCGATCGCCTCGTTAAGCGTAGGAACTGCAGCATTGATGGCTGCGGACTTGCACTTGGACGCGAGAAGCTGATAGCGAGGCAAAGCCTTGCGGTCAAGTCCGTTCGTGATCACCAGCTGCGTGTCGTTTGGGCTATCAAAGTTGACGATCGCAGTGGGTGAAATGCTAATCAGTAGCCGACTCTCGGGCATGACTTCGCTTCCACGTTCTTCGGTGGCGCGGACGATATCAGACGTGTCGGACTTGTCAGGATGTAGCAGCTCGTTGTATCTGTTCAGCTCTGCCGATGCCCTGTAGGTAAGAAGTGGTCCCAGACAGTCCTGCATGTTGCCAGTGTACCGTGGTCCCAGGCGGTGGTGAACCGCAATGAACTCGTCCGTGAGTGGCGAGGCGTAGAGATGTGCTCCGCAGAGTGACCATTGTGAGTGGACTTCGTTACGGCCAAATTTCAGCCCAAGGTCGTGAGGAGTGCCGAAGAACGCTTGTACTGGCTTGGTATGGCGTCCTGACGTCGGTGCTGATGCCGTTGCTGGCGAGGCCGTAGCTCGCTTGTCATCCTGTTCGGGTGGAGCTTCCGGGTAGGCACATTTAACCTGCTCCGCAAACTCGCCGTCGACGAAGAGCATGGTTGCGCTTTGCTTTGGATCGCTCGTGTTCTTCCGGTGCACGAGGGCGATATGGTAGCCTTTGTTCGACAAGAACTTTGTTGACTTGAAGCGCACGCTTGGTCGGGAAGACCGTACCGACGTTTGTAGAATCAATTGATGGCTGTCTTTCTCCAGATACATTAGTATGAAGCATGTCTGGCTATTGTCAAACGCGCCGAACAGCGTTGTGTGGCAGCTCGAGTCAAAATTGTCGATGCGAATCCATGCCGTCAGAGTGTAGCCGACAGTTGGCGGGAATGCTCGCGGTAGGCTTGGAAGCTCGATTGATGCGTAGCCGCAATAGCTTAGATCGAATTGGATGAAAGCAGGGCCTTTGGATGCACGTAAAGTGTCGAGTGTGAGCGAGCGAACAGTATCAGAATCACAAGCACGCTTGAACAGCAATGCCACGTCGTCAAGTTGCGGCAAGCCGATACCTGCTAGCGAAGCACATAGCTTCTCGAGGGCCTCTTTGTAGGGTGATTCATTGTCGGGGTCGAATAGTGCGGAGAGGAGCTCGGAGAGGATGCCTGTCTTCCATAAACCTACCCTGTTGCGTGAGCTTGACTCGATCAGCTGAAGTATGACACTCCAGCAATGCAAGATCTTGCGTTGAAGTTCGTCGTCCACCACTGCCTTGCTGCGGATGATCAATAGGGTAAGGCGTAAGCATGTAGCAGTAGCCTCTGGGTATCGAATGACTCCAGTGACTGCCGTTTGAGGGCGACTCGCCACTGCGTCGGCCTCCTTGGAGTCTGCATTCACATGCTGCAGTAACCTCGCCGGCTCTTGGCCCGTGGCAGCTTCTTGCAGACCGGACACCAGGTGTCCAAAGAAAGAGGCAGCAGCGCTGGACTCGCTCTGCTGAAGCACGCTTGATCCAAGACCTTCTATGCGTTGCTGTAACAGGTTCCAACCGTCGAGGTGAGCTAGCAAGTAGCGCTCATTGCCGCGATGGTCGTCAAGAACGTAAGGCAGTGTGCCGAGTGCGGCCGCCAACATTTCTCCATGCCGTTCCAAGCCCTCCGTGACAGGCATTAGATCCTTTCGAAGAAGCTCGAGGACAGACTCGAATCCTTTGGCATGGCGAAAGGTATCCTTGGCGGATGGGTCTGCACGTATCTCACGCTTGAGATCAGAAGTAGCTTTCAAGACTCGGTCGCAAGCAACTTCTGTGCTCTCTCCATCCACGAGAAGCAGTTCCCGAACAAGCAACGCTGGCCTAGACTCCCTTTCGTCGGAGTTCAAGCCCCTCGAGGCCCCAGTTGACGACCTGTGGCGCCGGGTAGAAGCCATGCTATCTGTAGCATTCAGGCCTATCCTTTGGAATACCGGTCTCTCCAATCATGCTGTAGACACACAATATGTTGACAGGCAATCCGAATGGGTCCGGGACATATCATAAAGCCAACCCTCTCAAGATATGTCGTTGGATAAGCCCCGAGATTTGATATCGTGTCTTCGTGCTTTCGATTGGTGTTGGGTTTGCCAGAAAATTCCAAGGTACGCCTTCTCCAAATGCATGTGTGATCACATTAGGCCCGATCGTATCATGCGCTCCCTCTTCACCCAAGGAGACGTGCGCGTTGGAAGTTGTCTCTCATGCATTCACCAACAGCTGACAAGGTGTCTCGGAAGCCGCGAAACCGATGCCAAGCTGAGCACGTGCCTTGTTCCCGATTGAGTTTAGGGCCTGACGTCTTCACTCAGCCGAAGCTGTTGCCTCGCCAGCTTGCTCTCGTTCCCTTATCATACCTCGACCTATCTCTATCTCACCACCTCCTTCCGTGTATTTACCACGCCCTTTTACCCCCAATTCCATCGACACCACCCTCTTGAGAGCTGCGCACAGTGTATCGACCTTCTTTTGCTTCCACTCCGCCATCATGAAGGGCGTCATCGGTCTGGCGCTTGCAGCTGCGGCGTCAGCGTCACCAGTGCTCTTCGACGCAACCAACTCACCCGCCGACGCGGCTCCCATTGTATCGGCGCAGAACGCCGTCGAGATTGCCGACAGCTACTTGATCAAGTTCAAGGATCATGTGACTCAGTCACTCGCCGCCGCCCACCACGACTGGGTCGACGACTTGCACACGAGCAACCAAGCTCGTAAGACCGAGCTCAAGAAGAGATCGCAGGAGCCTTTCCTTGATGAGCTGTATGCTGGGCTGAAGCACACCTACAACATTGCCGGGTCTTTGATGGGATACTCGGGTCACTTCGATGAGGAGACCATTGAGCAGATCCGGAGGCATCCTGATGTGAGTTTGGCGCTTACACTCGCTTAAGGTGAACTGCAGACTGACCTGTTTCCCAGATTGCCTACATCGAAAGGGATCAAGAGGTCTACACCATGAAGCACAACCACACCGAGCCTGAGCTCGAGAAGGGCGCGCCATGGGGCTTGGCTCGTCTCTCGAGCCGCGACTCACTCGGCTTCGGGAACTTCAATAAATACTACTACGCGGCTGACGGCGGCGAGGGTGTTGACGTCTACGTTATTGACACTGGCACCAACATCGACCACGTCGACTTCGAGGGCCGCGCCTCGTGGGGCAAGACTATCCCACAGGGCGACCCAGATGAGGACGGCAACGGCCACGGAACCCACTGCTCCGGCACTGTTGCTGGCAAGAAGTACGGTGTTGCGAAGAAGGCACACGTCAAGGCCGTCAAGGTCCTGCGCTCCAACGGCTCCGGCTCCATGTCTGATGTCGTCAAGGGCGTCGAATACGCCGCTGAGTCGCACGCCGAGACAGTGAAGGCTGCCAAGAGCGGCAAGAAGAGCGGCTTCAAGGGCTCCACTGCCAACATGTCGCTCGGTGGCGGCAAGTCGTCTCTCCTTGACCAGGCTGTCAATGCGGCTGTCGAGGCTGGCATTCACTTCGCTGTGGCCGCCGGCAACGACAACGCTGATTCTTGCAACTACTCGCCGGCTGCCGCTGAGCAGGCTGTCACCGTTGGTGCTTCGACTCTTTGGGACGAGCGTGCCTACTTCTCCAACTTCGGCAAGTGCAACGACATCTTTGCTCCCGGCCTGAACATCCTTTCCACCTGGAAGGGCAGCAAGTACGCCGTCAACACCATTTCGGGCACTTCCATGGCATCGCCGCATATCGCCGGTCTTCTCGCCTACCTGCTCTCTCTTCAGCCATCCAAGGACTCCGCGTACGCTGTTGCCGACATCAGCCCCAAGGAGCTCAAGGCCAACCTCATCTCTATCGCGACTGAGGGCGCTTTGACTGAGGTTCCATCTGACACTGCCAACTTGCTCGCCTGGAACGGTGGTGGCGAGGAGGACTACAATGAAATCGTTAAGAATGGTGGCTACACTGTTGCCATGGATGATCGGGCTGAAGAGGAGGAGATTACTCTCGACTTTGGCATGATCGAGGAGGAGATCGCTGAGGATGTCCACGAGATGGCCAAGAAGGTCGGACTCATGGAGAAGAAGCTTGGAGACTTCCTCTCGAAGGATGTCGTCGACGCCCTGGAGAAGACTGAGTCCAAGACCGAGAACGGCTTCAAGAAGATCGAAGAGTACACCGAGGAGGAGCTTGATGAGCTTTACAGGAAGATTGAGTCTGAGTTCGTGTTCTAAGGGACCCGCACTCTGGCTTCACACTTCTAAAGGCCATCTGCACCTTAGGCGGCCTTGTATAATCACCGCGATTGATGGAGGCAACAACATCACCCAACGCTCAGTCGAGGTGAGAGTCGACATCGTTGTTGCGGAGAATGGATGTAGCAACTGTCTGCTGGAGCTGAGAATTTGATACTGTTGGGTCGGACTGCGTTGGATCATGATCGCATGAGGGCAGCATCCTTCGGTCATGACTATTTCGTGTGTATGTACCAAATGGAAGACATTGTTCGAGCTTATTCGTGCTCCGCACGACTTCCACGCCCCTTTCAACACTCGAGGTCCGTTATGGCGCTTTCTCACTGTCCGCGATGGCAGCCGCCGTTACTGCTCGACAGCGATTGCCCACCGACACGAACACGACTGCACCTTCTTTAGATCTGTTTTACAGGCAAGTGTTCTTCGTCATCCCCGTTCATCCTTCTTTCACCACAGCATCTCACGCTACATCTTACAATTCGTACATAAACGCGTTGACTTGGTGCTGCTCACTGTTACAGGCTCACCCGATCACGCTGTCTCTACTTCACGCCTCAACTAATCATCCTCTTTACCCTTCGATCATGGAGAACAGGTCACGACCCTCGACCTCCAACAACATCGCCGCCACCGACGTCGGCAAAGGGCGGTTGGCCAGAGCAAAATCCACTTCCTCAGCACAATCATGGAAGCCTGCCACCAATGGCTCCTCTACCCAGGTCTCGCACGGCCAGCACCGAGACCAGAGATCAGCATCAGCCGCTCGGCGTCATCCTCGCCAGCAGAATTCCAGCTCCCACTCGACCACAGGATACAAGTCGTCCGATCCGGCTATTGCACGCCAGCAGGCGGAGACCGCAGCGGTAGAGGCGTATCTGCGTGCTCAACCCGAGCACGAGACAGGTTTGGAGAGTCGTGACTCAACGCAGGTCAAGCTGCAGAGGAGGCGAAGCCGGGTGAGTGGGCGGATGGAAGGCGGGCATTTTGAGGAAGCAAAACTGGGAAGGAGGAAGTCAGGTGGAAAGGTCAAGAAGGAGACTGGAAGACATGGCGAGGCTGCAAGTACCACTGCCGTGAGTGGAAGGATGGCGAAGACGAGCTCTGCCGTGCCGCCCAGCTCCAGTCAGAGTAGAGAAGGCGTTGGTGAGACGTTGTCTGTTCCGGCTACGACAGACAGAGGCAGGAAGAGGCAGTCGCAGTCCGGCTACAGTGATGGCAGTCCAATGCCTCGCCACCAGCCGACGGTCAAGCAGAGAAGCTCGACATCGCAGATGGCATCATCCTACGATGGCAGCAGTGATTTCCAAAGGAGCAGCGGTATGCGCACGGCGCCGACTTACCATGGTTACGAGCAGACGACGTCAGTACCGCAGGTGCCACGACGACCTGACAGGAGCGCAAAGACAGGCGATGCAGCCGTGGCCCAAGCCAGAGACAAGTGCTTGCAAGATTTCCAGCAGAAGAAGCTTCGGGAGCGCAAGTCGATGATCCTTGCTCCGTTCCAGAAGCTGAGAACGGGAAACACCACGTCGAGCAGGACCAGCGGCTTCGATACCTCACTGCCGCCTTTTAACTATGCTGATGAGGATATCCCGATGCCATCATCGTCGCCCCCGCCGCCACCTGCACCTTCAAGCGGCCCAGTGTACACGATACCGGTGCATGAGAGGAAGTCAAGAAGCTTTACAGAGTCGATCAAGGGCAGGTTCATGAAGGCATTCCGCAAGCCTTCAAGGGTGCCGAGTGGCCTACCAGCGCAACATGTTGCAGGCAAAACTTTCCAGTTTACGACTACAACCCCAAGCTCAAGCTCTGATATTGTTCCAACTACAGAAGAAGATCCATTCGTCGCTCCAAACCAGTATCTAGCACCGCCAATTCCCAGGCCTGGAAGTGCTGTGAGCAAGCGCACCACGAACACCACAGCAAAGTCTCGGGTCACGAGTTGGACCAACTCGACGGTTGCTGGAACCTGGAGTACCCGCTCGGAAGCTGTGGACGATATACCTGCTGACGAACATGGCCGGCTGAAACGGAGCGACAGCGTATCGACCCTCCGCAAGGCAAAGTCATTCTTTGGACGGCCCATTCAGAACAAGCTTCGTCGGCCCAGCAGAGCACAGCTGCAGAACTGTGAAGAGAGCACGGGTCTGTACTCTGCGTTGCAAGAACAGATCAACCCTTCGGACTCAGCAAGCCAGGCCGAGAAGAATGATGATACGCTCAACTCCCGGACGTCATCCGCACTGGCTACGCTGCCTTCCCAGCAACGGCCAGTCTCGACCCTGGGCAGCAGCAACAGACGCACTGGGCCTACCATCCGCTCAGTCACACCTGATCCCACAGCATACAAGCTCGACATCCCGTCGCCAGTCGAAGAGGTCCTGAGCCCAGACGCTGCGCCGCCGTCCCGGAGCAATAAATCGGGCAACGACTCAGACACGCCGCGCAGTCAGCTTCAGCGTAGGCCGGCAATGAAAGCTCCCACGCCTTCGAAAGAGCAGCTAGCTCGCCGTATGGAGCGATCGAAGAATCGCTGGCAGAGTCCGCTTGATGAGATGTCGCCAGATCCTGCACCACGCTACAATCACGCGGCTATGGATGATAACCCCTACGAGCTGCGTTCTCCAAGCCGGACTCTGCACCAACCGCCTGCTGAGAGCGATGCATTGCCGCATCACGCTCGCGTTGTAGATGAACAACAAAACCGTGACACTCGTGCAGAGCAAGTGCTGTCACCGAGCGTCTACTCTCGCGCCACCGACGGCGCTTCACCAGGACCAGACACGCCTGTCGACCAAGGCGGAATGATGATCACGATCACTGGCCGCGAAGTCCGAAGCTACTCCATCTCCCCCCAGAAGCGCGAGGCCAAGGCCGAGAAACCCGTTCTCGCGAGCGGAGAGTGGCGACGCTGGCTATCAAATGAGTGGAAAGGATGGCATGCTGCGGAGGCTCTGACGCTGCCGAAGACGATACTGGCTGATGCTCCGCCCACTACCACGACTGGCTTGAACGAGCGAGTACAAAGCAGAGATACAGACACGCCTCCCCTCCAAGCACCGCCGTTGGAACATCAGCAGCCCAAGCGGCCAAGGCCACGAAGCAGTCGGTCGAGCTTCATGAATGAGCGGTACCCGATGGTTGAGTCTGCTCGGACGTCTATGGATACGAGGAAGATGTCTTCGGGGACTGGGTCGCGGCCGACCAGTTCGGGTATGGATGCGAGGGTGTCCGGTGCAACAGTCCGCGAGGAGGCTAAGATGGAGACGCCGGTTGAAGAGCGTCCAGGGACTGTTCTTCGTGGTCAGAGGGTGGTTTCGAGGTACGCCTGCGTCCTTGGCCTTGGTGCCGGTGCCCAAATCACTGGCGATGACAAGACGAGCGAGCCGGCCCAGCCCTACGCCAGTACACAGCCTGTCGAGCAAGATGCCACCACTTCCCGAAAGACCTCCAACCCACCCAAAGCCCGCTCCGCCTTCGACCTCCGCGCAAACTACAAGAACCGCCACAACGGCAACATCCGAACCATACCCATCAACCGCCACCAAAACCCCTCCTCCGCCGCCAACCACACCATAGCCTCCAGCCCCATACACATCCTAGAAGACACAACCATCCGCAACATCTCTGCCGGGCCGTATGCCCAGGCCCCGCCATCACCGCTAATCCAGCAGAGTGGGAATAAAGAGAACGAAGCCCCGTCGCCGCCAGAGAACCACGGGCTGCCTGCGGTGTCGAGTTCGGAGTGGTTGGCTGCTGGGACGAGCAAGGCGAAAGCTCCGAGGCATGTGTCGACGGCGCAGGCAGCGGGGAGACAGAAGAGTGTGTCGCGGTATTCGCCGGTCAGGAAGGTGACCGGTGGCGCTTCGCCGGGTGGAGGAGGATCGCCGGGGCAGAGGCTGGTGACGAGTTGGTTGGATGGGAAGGCTAGTAAGGAGAACTCGCCAGCTTTTGTCTGAACTGAATTTGACCGAGGAGGGGAATGGAGGTGGTAATGGTATTGTTATCTTGATAAGCATGGGTATGCTGGCATCGTTGGATGAATGCTAGTCTTGGAGAATCATGGTTGGAGGGCATGATAGTGTCACTAAGGCACAGTAATGAGACGATGGATGGAAGTAGATTAACGTACAAGCAGTGGTCAACATTGATCAGCTCTACATGCCTTCCCTCCATCGGGGGTATACACAATTCCAACATATCTACAATTCCAAACATTCCAACAACTTCCTTCTTCTTCCAGCCTACAACTTCGCTCCCTCCTTCCGCATCTTCTCCTTCTCCTTGTCCCTCAACATCCGCCTCAAGATCTTCCCACTCGGACTCTTGGGCACGACATCAATAAACTCCACCCCACCCCTCAACCACTTATGATTACTCTTATGCTTCTCCACATGCCTCGCAATCTCCCTCTTCACGATACGATCCGAGTCTTCAATGGCGCCGGGGTTCTTGACGACAAAGGCCTTGGGGACCTCGCCTTCGCGGTCCGAGGGGATGCCGATGACGACGCAGTCGTTGACGGAGGGGTGCGTGAGGAGGTGGGCTTCGAGTTCGGCGGGGGCGACTTGCATGCCTTTTACTTTGATCAATCTGTAGGACATCATGTCAGCAGAGATCGTGGTGCGATGGGGTTGGAAGGCGTACTCCTTGATGCGGTCAGTAATGAAGATGTGCTCGTGGCCATTGGACGACTTGTCGATCATCGCCTCATCACCGGTCCGCATGTATCGTCCGTCGTCCAGATCGACAAAGGTCTCCATATTGGCCTTGTCGTTGTTGAGGTAGCCCAAGGCAACGCTAGGGCTCTTCACAACCAGCTCACCTGGCTGTTGATACCCAGTGATCTCGTTGCCTTCCACGGTGATGACTCGGACGGTGTAGCCGGGTAAGATGGGACCGGAGGAACCAAACCAGACGTCGTCAGGCGGTGTGGAGCAGACCACAGTCGCGGTCTCAGTCAGACCGTATCCTTGCCTGACGGCCACCTTGGGCAGCATCTCTGACAACTCTTCCGCTGTCTCGCGTCCTAAAGGCGCGGCACCAGTGAAAATACCATGGACGGAAGAAAGATCGTACTGCTTCACCGTCTCCTTAGCCTTGGTCATATGGATGATCATCGGCGGGACAAGGTACAGCATGGCGATCTTGTAATCCTGAATTACCTGCAACAGCTGCTTGAAGTCGTACTTCGGCAGCACGATCACGCCGTCGCCGCGGTATGGACCAAGATGAGAAATGACGATGAGTCCGTAAATGTGACTCATCGGGAGCAGCCCAAGACAGTTTTCCGTGTGCGATTGCAGCATATGGCGCTTCATGAAGTCTTCTCGTGAGGGCGATTCGTGGGCCACCAGCTGGAGCGTGTTGGCTATCACGTTTGTGTGCGATATCATCACACCCTTGGGCAACCCGCTCGTGCCGGAAGAGTAACATAGGAAAGCTGTACGGCGTGCGCCCTCGCCTTTGCTCCATTTCTCGTCGTCTGCAGGTTGCTTGGGTAGCTTCGAGCCTGCTTGGATGAGGTCGTCGACGGTCTTCTGTCCGGGATTCTTCATGCCCGGCGTCGCCTGTTCGGGCATGGGGAGGATGTAGACATTCTTCTTGTCGATTCCCGTGTTCTCGATGCCCTTGAAGCATGTCTGCAGCAACGGCAAGCAGGTAAAGATGGCTTTGCATCCTGAGTGCTTCATCTGGAACTCCAGCTCGTGCTCGTTGTATGCCGCATTCACCGCCGTGCAGATCCCACCAATGCGGTGAATTGCCCACGCTACCGTCAAGTAATCAATCGTGTTGTTGCTGAAGACCCCGACAACCTTGTCCCACTCGCTGCCTTCATTCGGCTTCATGCCGAGCTCGTCCGTCAAGGCGCGAGAAAGGTGCTCAACCCGCTCTTTCACCTCGAACGCGCTGTAGGATTTCCCAGTCATGCCGCAGGTGAAGGGCGGGTTGCTGTAGCCGATCGGATGCCGGTCATAGTTCTCGTCGGTCATGAAGCGTTCGATCGAGATGCTCTCGTTGATCTCGGGCATCGGAGGGCTCCATGATGGTGGGTGGAAGGGCATCTTGGGATAGGGATAGAGAGGTAGGGAAGAGGAGTCAGGTGTAGAGACGAGATGGAAGTCTTCAAACACCCCGTTCGCGATATCCACTCGGCCGAGGCTGGCTTCTCCAACGAGATGGGAGGAGTGAGACGGCCGCAAATGTAAGCTGATAGATGCCAATGGCAGGCTTAGAGAGGATGAAACTCGATTGAGGTGGAAGAGACGAAAGAGAAAATACCTACGACGGTCTCTCGGTAGGGCTAGATCTGCATCTTGCTTCCATATTGCCGTCTTGCCCTGAGCTCCAATCTTGCAGCTGGTGATCCCCGCATCCTCGGTTGCTGCGAGGTTAATTGTGGGAACGGGGCTGGGGCCGGCTTGGCCGGGTGGAAAGGTTCGGCAAGATACCCCATCACCCCCAACACTCCTCGCAACTTTGCAGGAACCCATATACATCCTCTGATATGGCATAACAACAAGTCACGGAACGGCAGAGACCTCCCAACGATCGTCTCGCAATCCCGATAGAAGTCGCCAACGTCATGTCCTTCTCCGCCTCCTCTCCCGTCTGACCAAGTACTACAGCGTGAGAAGGAAGACGGCAGCAGACGAAAGAATGACACAGTCGTTATAACTGTGAAGACTGTATTGCTCCTCGTCTGGAAGCCTCCAAAAAGTACCATCGGCCTGACTTGGCCCATCACTTGCGTTGCTTAGTTATCTCGCCAGGCGCCCTACTAGACCCGGCCTGCTTCACTGGACATCTTCCTGAGTACAGGACATCCAGGGTATACGCGCAAGAGTCCGCTACGTGTAGAGATTGTACTCCACATTGTCAATGATGAACGCCGCGAGGGGCGTGGTCGACGTCGACTGGACGATCGCAAGCGAGACCCTGCCTACCAACAGAAGATCAGAGCCGTGAGCAAATTCTCTCTAAACAGCCTGCCATGACCTACCAATCTTGGACCACGAGGCCGGGAATACAGCCTTCGTCAAGTCCGACAGCACGGCGTTTGTTGGGTCGAATTGCTGGTTGATGGTCTGGAACGCTACATTGCTACCGGGCAGGTAGGATGTAAATGCTATCGTGCATTGCTCAGGGAGGCCAGCAGCACTGGTTGCGGTATTCACATTGCAGCCCTATTCCCGGAGAAAACCGTGAGGGTCAGCACATCCCAACACCGAAGAAGTTCTCAGGAGACTTACGAAGTAGAGCGACTTCAAATCAAAGCTTTTATATGGCGCGGCTGGATAGATAGCCGGAGAGCCAGTGATCACGTTGGCAGTGATGCTGTTCCCTGCCGCTTGATCTGCGGACTCTGGTTTGAAGCCAGACACCGCGACGCCCTTCAAGCCAAACTTGTATACGTTGAAGGAGCGGTAGGTCAACCCCAGGTAGGTACCTGATGTCGCACAGCGTGCCATGTCAGCGGTTGTTTCTCAGGCCAGAAGAAGTAGGGAGACACTGACCGACGGGATTGAGCTGCGATGCTCCTATCATTCCTGGGAGATCGTCATATTTGGCGAGCTTTGGTATGCCAGTTGTCGAGGCCAGCGCCACGAAGGCGAAGAGCAGCATACCAGATGCCCTCATGATTGCGTTGGAGGGCTCAAGAAATATCAAGACGTCGAAGCTGGCAGCCCACACACGACCCTATATAAGAGCAGTGATTGCTCTGTTTGCACATGGAGGTGTGTGCCGGAAGCCTGCAATGCTGGCAGCACTTGGGCATGCGGCTCAACCACAACACTGCACGTCGGGCTGCGACGAAAATCTTCAAGCTAGGTCACTGGACACATCGTGCAGATAGCCATACGTCTATCTCGTTCTGGACAACGAGGTTGGACGGCTGGTGCATCTCGAACCAGGATTCTGGTACACCGAGATGCGGCGACCAGGTTGGAGGGAAAGCAAGAGTGGTTGGGTTGGTGTACGTATTACGCAACTGCTTCACACCACTTCAAGATGATGCAAACGCTAATCCAGGTGCGGGTAATATAGGAGAGTCGGAAGTGGTGTAACCAAACGCTGCAGGAGTAAGTATGAGTGGCGGAGGGCATGCAAAGCGAGGACGTTAAGCATCATCATGAATTAGCAGGCCTCATGGGTGGGTGGATGGTCTGGAGGGTTGGATGCGACACAGTGGAAGTTCTCCACGACCGAGTATCCGACGTTCCAGCGGACACATCCAAGTAACAGCTGAGGACGTCAGTCGCGGGAACAAGGTCTGAGCTGCGATTTACTGCTGCAACTAAAGCACATTGACCACTCTACTAGGATGTGCGACCTCCGAGGCTCATTTTCCAGTCGAAGAGACTACCACAGCTTCGCAGACCGGCCCACGGCGGACCGAGACTTCGACATCGGCTGGTTCACGATGAAGGTAGATTGACCCAGAACATTGAACCTTGGCAATGATGAAGAAGAGCCTCAAGCCAGTTGCTCAAACGCAAGCCGCCTGGCACCTTGAGCGCTCTCCACCGTGCCCAAGCACTAGGAGACGACAAGAAGAGGCACTCTCGAGCGGCCCTCGAAGTACTTTGTTGGTGCTGACCGTTTCGTAGACCACAGCTCGCGAGACAGCACGGATTCAATGTGGATGTTTGCCTGCAATGCAGGACTGGTTTCAAGAGTCGGAGGTGTCTAGATACGACCTACAGCTGTATTCGAATCTACATTAGACTCTCAGAGTCCCGACTGAGCGCCAGACTGTTGGCACCAGGGTAGTGCGTATGTATCATGCATTTCGTCCTCGTGGCAGAGAAGATGTGTTTCTTTATGGTCGTCAATAGGCGGGACCGGCTTTCTGATGTCAGACAAATACCTGACATCAACTCCAACAGTTTCACCAGACTCTGAGGATAGACAAAAGGACTCGAGGCTCTCCGGGGCATTTCTTGGGGATAAGCCACGCTACCAGTGCAGCGCAACCCTATCGGAATAGTACTGAGGCAGCATCTGGTAGGCAGCTGTCCGTTCGAAGCCGCTCTTTCGTCCGGCGTCGACTGCTTATCTGGCGTTGAATTCGCCATACATCATTCGCGAAAGATCCCTTGGCTTGAAGTAGCCCTTTGGTTTGCAATGCAGTGGAGTGGAGTGGAATAGGTGGAAGTGACCTTGCTGCCTGTGAGCCTTCAGCACTCCCCGCCTTTTTTGCCTTTTCGAGCCACGGTGCAGGCGCAAGGCGACCACCAGAGTTAGAGTCAGAGTCAGAAGCACATATAACAACGCCTGGTTGTGCTCCCTAGCTCTGCATTCTGTCATCTTCGAAGTGTGAAGTCTAAAGGTGAGATCATTGCCACTTTTGCCCGCAGTGACTGTCGAAAACTCACTCGGCCGTTCGCACCTGCCTCACGAAGCACGTGAATTTTACCTTCACATGCTCTTCCGTGACATCTCCAGCACTGGCCCGTGCCCCACCGCTTCATAAGTCACCTGCGCTTCTCACACAGCCCCTCATCATGCGTCGACATCGCAATCACCCCTCTACCTTGCCATCCAAACGCCAGCTGCGTTCAAACACCACAGTCGCCACACTCGAAACAGAACCCACCATGGCGCCCGCAGCAAAGAAGCGCAAGACCGCTCGCGATGCGCCGAAGTTCTTGTGCCTGAGCTGCCAGACCGAGAGGACTTCGAGCCAGTTCCCGGATTACAACCCCAGCGCAGAGTGTGAGCACTTGATCCATACGTGCAAGAATTGTTTGAAGAAGTGGGTGGAGGTGCAGGTTGAGTGCAGTGCTTTTGTTAAGAAGACTGCGGCTGAGGATGGTGCTGGAGTTGACGCTGCTGAAGGTGACGAACGCGTGAGGAAGGGTGAAGTGGAGGAAGGAAAACCAAACAGTCTGCTGTTCGGCATCAAGTGTCCACATCCAGACTGCAAAGGTGTGATGAGGAATGTGAACGTGGAGATGGGAGCGACGAAGAAGGTCTATCAGAAGTAAGACTTACCTCTGTCGCACATGATGTGATCTGCTGTGCTGACCTCCTCACCCAGGTTCGCGGAGATCGAGCGCAAGTTCATCGGCGACTCAACCCCAGGGTGGCGTTGGTGCCTAGACCCCAGCTGCGAAGCAGGCCAAGTCCATAAGTCCACTCTTTCGAAGCAGGAGCAAGAACGGCAAGCCGCCGCGAAGTCACCGACCAAGCGTACGAAGAAGGGCAAAAGCAAGGAGGCTCCAGTCATCGTCTACGAGGACAATCCAGCCCCCATCCAAGCAGACATCTGCACCTGCCACGCCTGCGGATCTCAAGCCTGCGTCTCCTGCGACCGTCCCTGGCACGAAGGAGAGACGTGCGATGGGTACCAGATACGCATCAAAGACCGTATGGAGGAGGAGGACAAGGCGTTGCGCGAGATCCAGTCAGCGACGAAACCCTGCCCAGGCTGCGCCAAGCGGATCCAGAAGAACGGCGGCTGTCCGAACATGAACTGTTCCCAGTGCGACACGAACTTCTGCTGGAACTGCGCGAGTGCGTACATTAGGGGTAGGTGGTGTGATTGTCCGCACAATCGCATCCCTACGCATGAGCGGGCCGCACTGGGACTGTGAGGTGGCGAGAGGCGGTAGTGTGCGAGCAGTGGTGTTGGGGATTGCTTAATGGTGTTGGTCAAATGTCGCTGCTGACGATCCCGCGCGAGAATGTATGCCGGACGATCAATGCAGAGATGGCTTTGGAGAAAGGCGCAGATCAAGGATACCAGACTGAATGAACCGTCCTTCTCAACCTGCATCGTTCTTCTGGCTCCATTTGCACTCCATCAAGGATTCTTCCGCGGTCAACATACCGTCAGTGTCAGGTTCCAATTGAGTTCGATGGCTGACATGTTGTGGCATATGGATCAGAAGACAAAGAAGTCGTAGAAGGAGGACTCCTGCGGCAAGACGGAAGAACTGCGGCTCTCCAATCCCAGCGCAGATCCCGCATCGTCCCCGCCGGCAGACCCAGCCACTCGGATCTCGAATCTCACCTCACTCCTCTTTTCGCTTGTTAAACTTCTTTCACGACTGTGGCCTCAGTGGGGCTACAAAACGCTGGCGGCCGCCTACCTCATGCCATGCCGTCATTCTGTGCGCCATTTCTACCCTCTCGTCTACCATGGTCCGAATCACAGCGCTGCTTCTGCGTTCCGCCTCCCCGAGAGGACTATATGCACAGCTTGAGTCGTGCTTTGTCCATTCCAAGCTAAAGAGCAAAGAGCCTCTTCATGCGGCTAAAAGGGTATGCGAATGCGGCTGAGGTGGACGTGTCCATCGACCAGAAACATGGAGATCGACCAGCGCTCGACTTCTCTGGAGCCACGTGCGACCTGCCGATGATCATCGATCGGTTTCCACATGAGGTTTTTGCAGCTTGCAGGATGTTGAGATGTGCTCTAACGTACTGGATTGGACCACGCTCTGCGTGCGTCTAACTCTCTCCAGGCTCTGTGTCCTCTCCCAGCATGTAGGAAAGTTCTTCTCTGGATGTACGGGAGCTTCTTCTGCTGCAAGCGGTCATCTATACAGCGCAGGTTGCTATTGATCTCGCTGTTTGTACCTTGCACATCAGGTTCGACAATCTCCGCTCATAGCTCGTTGAGCCCTGAACACCAACGGCGATCTACAGCAATGTCGATCTTGATCCAAAAGCCACAGACAAGCGATTGGTGTCCCGACTGCCGGGGAGGCTCTCACAGCTCCCGAAGTTACCACTCCAGCGATCGCGCTACAGTAGCTACTTCATGTAGTCTACCAAACAAAGCACCCGCAAGAGCTCGGCAGTGCAAGAAAGAAAGCAAGGGAGCCACCTCCGCGTTCGCCCACCGCCGCCAACTGCGCACGGCTGGGACACCTTCCGCCGTGCATTACCCCTACTGAGACTAGCCCTAAATGATGGTCATCGGGCAACGCCTATATCGACTCTCCGGCTCTTTGTTCATCTTCGCTTCAGCTCGACCGACTATTGCCATTCGCTGGGAGTTGTTTTAGTCAACACTGATCGCGAAGGATCGATTGTCCTCCTACGCTCTTTGCCGATGGCTCCATCAGGCCTGGACCATTTGATCGTGCAGCGAAAGAAGCTACGTGCTGGTCCATGGAGTGTTGTTTCACGGCGCTAAGACCTTTTGCACCTTCTTGGTTCCTTATGCTCTAGTTACCGGCTCCATACCAGACGCAAGTGGCTCTTCAGCATCGACGTAGGCCGCTAGTAGCTATGCTTAGCGGTCCCACACCGTTTCTAACCCAGCAGAGGGAAGCTCACAAGTGCCTGTACACTGAGCACAGTGGCGCCCACCCCACCTGCCGTGGCAGCAGTTGTCCCTGAGGTACAAAAGGTAAGGGAGGGCTGCCCACTTCAATCGACATCTCTTCCATACACAACTTGACTCCGAAACTACCTTCATATCCCACAGTCGCTCTACCGCTCTCTGTCTAAGCATCCTACCACAATTCCACAATGAAGGTCACCGGCTTCCTCTCCCTCGCCTTCGCGGCACTGGCCTCGGCTGTACCAGCGGGCCAGACGACCTCCAAGGGCGTGTCGCAACTCGCCAAGTTCGACGACCTCACCGCCGTGCCAGGCATCTCTCAGATCAACCCAGTTGGTAAGGACACTTGTACATATCGACACCTCTGCCAGCAGAGGTCTTCAGCTTCGACATCGTTGCTAACATTTCACCTTCTGCAGGCATCTACAAGGGCATCAACTACAGATCCTTCAACGTCCTCCAAAACGGCGTTCTCGGCGCTGCCCAGGTCTCGGGAGTGAAGGCGCAATCCGGCTCCCAAGTCGCCGCCAACTCCATCACCGGAACCGTCCTCACCGGTTCCCCGGCCCTCATCCCAGCCTCGCCCTACAAGTCGTTCAACTTGCAATCGCTCTACTTCGGCTGCGTCGTCAACTCGGCCGTCTCCGTCTCCGGCGTCCCGCAACAGTGCACCGTTGCGTTCACGTCGTACCTCCCGGGCAGCAATGTGGCGTACCAGACCATTAACCAGCAATTCGACCCTTCCAATGCCGTGCTCTCCAAGATGACCCAGGTTACCTTCCCGAAGTCGTGGCAGAAGATGGGAAGGGTGTCGATCTCGATCGTGCAGGCTACGACCACTTCGCCGTTGGCTGCGCTGTTCCTTGACAATGTGCAGTACACTCTGTTCAAGTAGAGGGATCAGAGATGAGCGTCCTCGGGTCTGATGTACAGATGCTGGCAGGGGCATGTGCCTTCAGGATGGACAAGCTAGGCGTTGATGGGAGAAAACCCTTGGACGATGGAGCAAAGTGTCAGGGCAGACTTACGGTCAATTTTCTGGGAGAATAGGAGAGCCAACAGGCGATTTGAAGATTCGAAATCAAACGATCGGTTCTGCCAACCTGGTGTCTCCTGTGTCCATTGTGAAGCCTACAAAGATTGCAAAACTATTTTCGTAGGTTAGTCGCGCTAAGATTTCCCACAAACGTCTCTATAGATATCTTACGTGGTCAGTTGAATGGAGCTCTTGAAGATACTTGAGTGTTGGACGCAGTCGATACCTTATGGAGGTCGGAATGTAAAGAGCTTCTCTCCGGACTCCAACCCTTCGCGTGAGGGGCGCGTCATCCCATGCAACCTCACCAGCATACACTGTCTTCATGCCCCAAGAGAGTCATGACTCTTGCGGCACGAGAGGCACCAGGCAGCCTCAGTAGCACACCATCTCATCGCGCCAGCAGATCGTGAAATGAACCTATGGCCTCCAACGCAAGGCTCAAGCCCAGTCAGCTGGAATGCTGCATCGCCATCTGGCCTTCAACTCCCACGGCGTCTCCTCTCCGCCTTCTCCTTCTCCATATAGGGTAGCTGAAGATCTTCAATGTGGGAGGTGACAGCGTCTAAGCGTGAGCAACCTTCAAGATGTCATTCTCTGCCCCACCCGACCTTCCTTCTCTCTTCACTGCTCTCCTTTATGCAGTCCACGGAGTCAAGATGAGGCTCTCCCAATCATGGCCAGCGCCTGCAGCAGGCAGAATAGCAGCGACATCAACGACTTCTTCTGCTGAGAGTGGGCTGGTGCCTCTGGTTTTCGAGCCTTTACCGCTCGGATCAATTCAACCCACCGGATGGTTCAAGGACCAGATGCAGCTTATGGCTGACGGACTGGCTGGCCATGAACATGACTTCTACAACTATGTAGCCCACTCTAGCTGGCTGGGCCGGGACATGGAGTACTCCGATCTCAACGAAGGCCTTCCTTACTGGTTCAACGGCATGGTGTACCTCGCGTACGGTCTGAATGATGAGCGTCTGAAAGATCAAGTCCACAGTGCCGCCGGATACATTCTCGACCACCAGTGGGACGACGGCTGGATTGGACCAGAGAACAAGACAGCCAGGAACTTCTGGGGCCGCATGCCACTGTTTCTCGGCATGACCGGACTTGCTGAGGCGAACGCAACCTGGGAGGCGAAGATCGTGCCGGCTTTGCACAAATTCAATGACTTAATGAACACGATGCTCAACGACAACTACACTGGCTACTGGTACCAGAAAGGCGATGTGCTCAACGATAACGACACTGATTGGGGCCGCATATGGCACCAAGACATGCTCATCACTCTGCAGTGGCTATACGAGCATCATCGAGGCGATCAGGGTCAGATGCTGCTGGAGAATATGAAGATGCTTCATGACTGTGGACTGAACTGGGAAGATTGGTATAACCAACAAGCGTACTTTGGTCAAGGCATTGACAAGGATCTCAACACGATCAATAGCAATCTGACGGATGACAACTATGCTTACGAGCATGGTGTCAATGTTGCGCAAGGTGAGATATGTGGAAATGGGCAACTCGAGCGCAGCTAAGAGGTCGAAGGTCTCAAGGCTGTTGCTGTGGTTCGGCGGTTCACTCACAATGAGTCTCTTGTGCAAACGGCAATGTACGGCGTCAACTGGACGTTCACGTATCACGGATCACCATCCGGTACTATCTTAGCTGATGAGCGGCTGGTGGGATTGGCGCCATATTCTGGTTCTGAGTTTTGTACCGCGGTTGAGGTGAGTACCCGAACAGGATACGCAAACGAAAGATTGCTAATATTCGAACTCTTCTTAAACAGGGCACTTATATGCTTGCGTACTTATATCAGGTAAGAGGCTCCACGCTGCCATCTTCCACTCGAGCATCTGCTGACAGCTCAACCGGCGCTCGGCGACAACTATTACGCCGATCGAGCAGAGCGCGTTGCCTTTAACGCAATCCCAGCTATGGCCACGCCAGACTGGTGGGGACACCAATATATGGAGCAGCCCAACCAACCGGAAGCGGCCAACCTGAGCAGCAGTCCGTTCTACAACACTAATAGCTGGGGCGCCACCTTTGGATTGGAGCCTAATTACCCATGCTGCACTGTGAATCATCCCCAAGGCTTCCCAAAGTTCCTTGCAAACAGCTACGTGAAGGTCGGCGCCAACGGCTTAGCGCATGCGTTGCTCAGCCCGGGCAGCGCGAGTGCAACGCTACGTGGAAACAAAGTAACAGTGAAATGCGACACAGCATACCCCTTCCTCGACACCCTTACCTATACCATTGACGCCGAAGCACCCTTCGACTTCTACGTCAGGCTTCCCGGATGGGCGACAATTGACGCAAGCATCAAGGTCAATTCAGAAGAAGTCTCGCCGATCTTGGATTCAGAGACTGGCATGCAGAAGATCAGTCTCGACAAGGGCAGCTCTACAGTCGCATACTACCTGCCGAGCACTGTACGTACCGAGTCTCGAGAGAACAACACAGTATCTGTCTACAAAGGCTCAGTGTTGTACGCACTCGAGGTGACCAACCACAATACCTCTACGCCTCCCAAGCCATACGACAATCCTGGCTTTGGTGATGAGTACTTCAACAAGTGCTACTATCCTCCGCAGAGCCGCGACTGGTCCTACCATAACACTTCAAGATGGAACTATGCCATCGATCCCGAGACTCTGCAGTATCACAGCCCGGATTCCAGCTCTACGTCGCTTGCAAATCCTCTTTTCGGCGCTGGCGGGCCGCCGGGGTATGTGACGGCGAAGGCTTGTGAGATTGAATGGGCGATGGCGTTTAATGGGAGTGTGCCTGGGTACCCGCCGAATGGCGAAAAGAGGAAGTGTGTTGGAAAGGTTGAGAAGGTGAAGCTGGTGCCGTATGCCAGTGCGAGGACGCATATAGCGGAGCTACCTGTATTGGATCTAGGCGGCTAATCTCGTCGATGAGTTGATGGCACAACCACAGAGATTCGTTTCGTTTGCGCTGTTCACTCTACTCGCGCGGTTGTATGGTGGTCCATGGACCAATCAAAACCTTGTACATTGATACAGGTAGCTGCAGGTGACGGGTGTGGCGCCTCTCCGCGAAGAGCTTCTACCCGCAAGGCTGAACAGTGCAACTGTCTTCTGCGACCTACCACGTGAGGTGGAGAGCCTCTAAACTGTTCCCGACCACATGTACAAATGGCGTCAGCATCAGACGCAAACGCACCGACTACTACCACTAGGAACCACTTCGAGGGCGAATACTCGGCAAGCGACTACGCAAGACAGCATGTCGGAAACGTCTACAGCAACAACTCTTATACCTACACAGTGCGAAAGCGCCGCTCGGACGAGACATTGCGGGACGACGGACGGAACGAAATCCTGCTCAAAGCTGCTGCCGAAGGCCAGACTCAAGGTCTCGTACCTCATCCGCTTAGGAGTTGACCTTGACCACAGCGACGACAAGGGCTACACCGCGCTTCACCACGCCGCTCTGAGCGGATTCGAAGACACTGTTGAGGTGCTACTCGCTGCTGGATGTGATTTCAATGCTGCAAGTCTGGACCATGGCACTCCGCTTCACTTGGGCGCATTCAAAGGGCGCAAAAACGTGGTAGACCGACTGCTGAGCTACCGCGCCAAAGTCAATGCCGAGAGTAGACTCTTCGGCTCGCCGCTACATTGTGCAGCTATCTTTCCATCCTTTGCCATTGCATCTGTACTTGTCAAAAAGGGTGCCGATGTGAAGAAAAAGAGCATACTCCTGGGGGAGACCTCCAGATTGTGGTTCCTTGCATCAGTGACCGAAGGAACTATGGAGCTGGCGTTTCAAACCAACGTAGCCGTCTAGTTGATCGCTCCCCACCGTAACGGAGACGGAGGCGTACGGTGAGCAGGAGCATGCACCTGACTATATCACATTTGCTGGATCTACGAAGGTCAGCAATGAATCCTGTGCACTCCGCGATGCGACTTGTATCCCGTTCGAACGAGCAGGACCTGAGAGCGTCCACACCAAGAAGAAACTGCGCGAGGACGGGGCGCATTCGGTGACCAATTGGAATGAGGACATGCTAATCAACGAACTGCCGTCCCAGATACCCTCTCCAACCCCTCCTCACCAACACCCATCCACCTCCCTCCCGCGGCACAAGATCAAAGCACTCCCACCTGGCATCCGTCCCACCGCCAACCACATACAACACCGCGCCCACATCATCCTCCCTCCCGTCCTCTCCACCAGCCGGAGCAAACGCCACCACGCCTTTCACCGGCTTCCCCGTCGGATCCGCGGGCAAAGCTCTCACAGGATTCCGCACCCTCTTCCTCACACCTCCAGGCGCGGTAGTCCAGCTATGACTGCTTCCGCCTTGCCAATACGGCCCTTCCTCGCCCATGATGAAGGGTGCGCTGGCAACGGAACGGACGTCTTTGAGGAGTTTGGGTGCCCAGGAGGATTGCTTGAAGGCTGCCACGGCGGAGACCCCTGGGTTGGGTGAGGGCATCGTGGGAGGAGGGCGGAGACCGTAGTACTCTTGGATACTGCCGTGGTAGCCTGTCTGCTGGGTTTGCACGGTAGCGGTCGTGGGCGAGGAGCGGCCAGAGAGGGTTGAGGAGGGCCGGCCGCCGGATAACCGGTGCGGGTTCGGTGCTGTGGGGTTGGAGGATGATTTGCGGTGGGACTGAGATGTGCTCTTGTTGGACTGACTGGCGGGTACACCGGCTGGTGGCTCTGATACTGGCGGACGCAGGTCGAACACATGCACAGTACCTTTGTCGCTCGTACAGGCCAGCCACCGCTCGCCATCGGAAAAGGCCAGGCTGTAGATAATGGCTTTCTCGACGCCGCGGCGAAACTCAGCGATCTGGTCCAACGTCGTCGTGTTGAAGACACGGATGAGGGTTCCTTGCTCGGAAGCGGACGCCAGGAGGTTGCCGGAGGGTGAGAGGCCGATGCACCGGAGAGCTGTGTTGTGGGCTCGGAGGACTCGTTTGGAGCCTGAAGGGAGAGGGATGAGCTGAATTTGGCCGATGCTTTGCGCGGGTAGTACGAGTAGGTCGTTGCGCAAGCTGATAAGTGCGAAAGGGTTTGAAGAGGTTGGGTGAAGAGCGTGGACTTTGTTTGGCCCTCGCAAGCTTTCTTCGGTGGTTTGAGCGGCAGTCTTTGTTCTTGTGTCGTCATCTCCACTATCCCGGGTGTCATTCTCAGGTGGCGGCGTAGGCTCCTGTAGCTGCTGGTAGGCAAACAAAATACTCCTTTCCTGAAGGACAACGACCATCCACTTGCCGCTCAGCCTCAAACCCTTCACCGGCTCTGCAAATTCCAACCGCTGCACTTCCCTCTCCAGCAGGCAGTCCCAGAAGATTACGACACTCTCCTTGCCTACGGAAGTCCTGCCGCCAGCTACGAAGGCGATGCATCGATCATCGAGGGCCTCCGCGAGGGCGATGCCGCCTGTGAATGGCGAGTCTGGATCTGTCGTCGATGGTTGATAGGTGGCCAGGCAGTTATCGGATCTCAATATGCGGACGCCATCCGCCAGTCCGCAGATGAAGCGATTTCGAGATGCAGAGAAGGACAAGCTTAGAACGGCTGGTGTTGTGTTCGGTTGGATCGGCTGGCGGGTGTTCATATTGAAACCGTGGGATGTCTGCACTCAAATGGCGTTGATTTGTAGGATAACGCGTGATCATCCAGGATACTGTCTTTCATCGGTCGTGCGTTCATCTATCCCGCGGTGACTGTTGCTCTTGATCATGTCATCTGTTCAACTGTGCTCGATGGTGGCGGCTTAAGCTGAGATGGGAGTCTGCATGGTGGGTGTCGATTGCGTTTGATCGGTACAACGCGTGCAGATGCAAAGTTAGCTAACAGGTGGTCCTCTACTTTTGTAAACTTGGCCCTTTATCCTCGGTTTGAGTTATGTGGTAGTCGTCAACATGAGGTTGAATCAGACTGCGAGTCCGTGCGGAAGTTCAGGCTAGCGAGTGCGGAGGCCAATCGGCAGCAAGCGAAGGCTTAGCGTGCTGTCCCCTTTTGCGACTTCCCTGAAGCTTGCTTCGAAAGGTCTCCCAAAGAATCCTCATCGCCGCGACACCTCCCTCTCCAACAACACCCACCCCCTCTCAACGACCACCCCGTATATCCATTGAGGGTGTCACGTGTTGAAGTGGCGACGAGGTATGCCAGACCATGAGCGTGCGGCGCGCATACTCCGGCAGAGATGTACTAACATCTTCGATGGCAGACACTTCCTCATCCACAAACAGACCCACTCCGCCGCCAGACTACATCACCGCCACAATGTCCGCTAACAGCATCCCTGGCCCGAAGCTGCGCCGCAAGAAGAATGTGAAGAAGGGTATCCAGTTCTGTCTCATGGTCTGCGGTGCTTCAGGAACAGGCCGTACTACCTTTGTCAACACCCTCTGCCAAAAGGCAGTCCTTCCTCATCTCGACTCCGATGCGCCACCATACCTCGACTCAGAAAGCACCGGCGAGCCATCTGTGAAGATCAAGCCAGTGACGGTGGAGTTGGAGCTGGATGAGGAAGGCACGAGGGTCAGCTTGACCATTGTGGACACGCCCGGTTTCGGTGACCACGTGGACAACGAGGCGAGCTTTGGCGAGATCTCGAGCTATCTGGAGAGGCAGTACGACGACATCGTCGCGGAGGAGAGCAGAATCAAGCGTAACCCGCGATTCCGAGACAACCGTGTACATGTGTTGTTGTACTTTGTGCAGCCGACCGGTCAGTCCAGGGTCACCAGCAAGGAACTAGATGGTCGTGGACGCTAATGTGTCGATAGGCCACGGGCTCCGCGAGCTGGACATTGAGCTCATGCGCCGCCTTTCGCCTCTTGTCAACGTTATACCTGTCATTGGCAAGGCCGACTCGCTCACCCCGCTCGAGCTTGCTGAGAGCAAGAAGCTCATCATGGAAGACATCGAGCACTACCGCATTCCTGTGTAGGTGATTCGTTCGTGCGCACACAACCGTATGCTTACATTATCGGCAGCTACAACTTCCCGTACGACATCGAGGAGGACGACGAGGACACCGTAGAGGAGAACGCCGAGCTTCGCGGCCTCATGCCATTCGCTATCGTCGGATCAGAGGAGGTCGTCGAAGTTGATGGAAGAAGAGTGCGCGCCCGGTAAGCTCCTTCAGCCCACCAATTTCTCGGTTCTTTGCTAACCGAAACTGTGTCTAGTCAATACCCATGGGGCACGGTCGAGGTCGACAACCCGCGCCACAGCGACTTCCTCGCCATCCGCTCAGCGCTCCTCCACTCTCACTTGGCCGATCTCAAGGAGATCACCCACGACTTCCTCTACGAAAACTACCGTACCCAGAAGCTGTCCAAATCCGTCACCTCGCCCGGCGACAGCGCTTCAGGCACCGGCGGTGTGTCTGACGAAGGCTTCCTTGACCCACAGTCTCTGGCTTCGCAGAGCGTGAGGCTGAAGGAGGAGCAGCTCCGTCGCGAAGAAGAGAAGCTCAGGGAGATTGAGATCAAGGTGCAGCGCGAGATTAGCGAGAAGAGGCAGGAGCTTTTAGCTCGGGAAAGCCAGCTCAAGGAGCTTGAGAGCCGGATGGTATGATCTGGTCTGTGCTGAAAGCAGTACAATGGCAGAAGCTGACGTGTACATCAACAGCATCGTGACCACACCACCCAGGATAGCACGATCGACGAGGACGAAGAAACGAGGGCAGGCGCTTAGATGGCCTTGCCCACTCCAGCTGTGGTTGCAAGTAAGCTGTCCATGATGCTCGACCGCCCAGTGGACCTCTGCAGTGGACCACGGGGAGAAGTGCAGAGGCGATTCATGCATACTTTCGGCAAAGGGATGTAGCAACAACGACAAGTAGTAATACATGAATGGTGGGAGTAGAAAGAGTGCGAGAAGACGAGGTTTCTTTTGTTGAACTTGAGAGCGCTGTGCGCGTGACGAGGAGAGAGAGATGAGGGGATACCCAGCGTCGGTGCAAGCGTGGTTTGTGGATAGTAGGGTAGCGGGCTAATTCACTGTATTTCTTCCTCGCTTCCCTCTTTCTCGTTGTGCAGCGTCCATGTTACATGCGGATATCACTGTTCGCAGCGCTCATTGCAGCTCGTCACCTGCATGCTCCCCTTTCACTGCCAAGGTCGACACTACCGCCTTGCAGCGTCTCGGCAGCTGATGTGCTCGTGTTGCGAATGGTCCCCGTTGTATGGGCAGCTTTTGACCGCGAGGCTGGCGAGGTCGTGCACGCCGCTTCTAACCTTTTCTCCACAGCACTGGCCAGAGCCAAACGCTGTCGTTGTATAGCCAACATTGTACCAGCTGGTTTAAACCATTGCCTTCGAATGTCCCAACGGCGTTGCCGTGTCTTCCACGTAGTGCGTTCGTCCGCGGAGCAGCACCTTGCCCACCGTTGTCAACGCATCAACATCAGGTCGGTAGTATCACGCCTTGTTCGGATCCTGTGGACTGGTATTGCCAACACCCGTGACTTCGCCCTCTCTACTCCTCCCCGCATTCTCTTCCATGGCCTTCATGATAGGGCCCTTCGATCGTTCCCGGTTCCATCGCGCCTCCCGCTTCTCCTCAGGAGAAACATGTGTTGGAAACCGTACAGCCTTAAGTGCATTTTGTGTTTGCTCTCCAGTAGGCAGGTACTTCGGCGGCATCAAGCCAATCTGCCACGTATTAGCCTCCCTTCGTTCCATCCCACCAAGGCGCTGCTGGAATCGCATACCATACCCATCAACCTCCAAACAGTATCACTCGGCTGCGCCCCAACCCCCAACCAATACTTCGTCCTACTCACATCAACCTTGACATCCTTCTGCTTGCGATCGCCTGGCTCTGCACCCACGGGCATCTGCGGGATCGGGTTGTAGGTGCCGAGGACTTCGAGGGGTTTGGCGTCGCGGGCGGTACGCGCGTGGGCGAGTACGATATTGTATTGAGGGTGGTGGCGGCGGGAGCCGCCGGGGGTGCGTATGCGGGCGAGGCGGAGGCGGAGGACCATTGTTGCGGTGGTGGTGGGATGTGGGATGGCGATGGGTTGCGATGAGGAGATGTGAGGTAGAGCTTGCCAAGCCGGAGGTGAGGTTGCGGGCAAAAGTTCAGACGAGACGACGGACGAGGGGGACTGTCAGACTCCTGCGACCTCTCCTGAACGACAACATTATCACATGTTGTCTGCACGGAACATATTGACAATATAAATCGCACTAAAGCTTACTCTAAGACAGTCTAGAATTTGGTCGAGGTGGCCTCCAGTATACAAGCATCAGGCACAACATCTGAGAAGCGAGAGCTGACCCAAGAGTCCAACCATGGCTGGCGATTAGCTATCGTGCGGATAGAGTATATTCGCAACCGTCGATATCGAACGTTAATACTGGGTGCAACAGCCCTCAAGGATCCCAGACCGCCTCGATCAGTGCCAAGTTCGAGCCTTCGGGCTGCGCGACCCCTTTCCAACGATATCTGCTATCGACTGCCGCGAACAGAGCCTTCCAGTCTTCCAGCTCTCGTTCTTGAGATGCAGAAAGCGCCATCATGGTCACGTCGAAGTTGCTAAAAGAACTGGTTAGCACGGCAGAGAATCCCTGTCTTCCAGATCAAACTCACCGCAGTCGACGTTCCTCGTTCGACAAGACAGCACCACTCCCGATCTGCGGCAATACAGCGTCCATGATCAGAATCCTGGCACCTGGCTTGAGTGCCGGTATCAGGGCGTTGAGGATCTTGGTGCAATATTTGTCGGACCAGTTGTCTGTTGTGGCTGTCAGCTTGTTTTCGACCTTCGCGACTGGCCATACTCACGAAAGCACCATCTGCTCATGTAGACATCCGCTCCTTTGACTGGCTGCTCATCAAAAAAGCTGTGCGCCTGGAATTTGACATTCACACCAGGCTTCTCTTCTGCTCCCGCCACTGTATCTGGCAGATCCTGCACGATCAGATTCAAGTCCGGATACTTCTCACCGATGGCAAAGGCTGCTCCACCAGTTGCGCCTCCACCGAGATCCACGACAGTACCAGATCCCAGCTCACCCCACGGAAAATTATTGACCAGGTGATCCAGCGAATGGCCTCTCCCTTTGGCGAAACCACTCATGGCGCTGCCAAATTGCCTGACCCGCTCTGGCTCCTTTGCCATATGGAGATAGAAGGATTGCTCAGTTGCCTTGTTAGCAACCATGTAGCCGGTCTTCGAGCTCTCGTCCGCTTCGGGATACTTCTCAAGCGCCTTGCCTTCCGCTAATTGGGCTGGAGTGATCTCCTGCACGACTGACCCGACCCAGTCGAACATTGTTGGATCGTCCACCAGCAGTCTCGAGGCGGCGGAGTGAGAGATGAAGCCGGGCTGCTTCTCGGCAAAGACATGGTTCGAGATGGCGAATCGAAGCACTCTTCGGAGAGCTGCCTCGCTCACGCCTGTCTGCTTAGATAGCTCTGAGTAGCTGATCGAGCCATTGAGAGGTACTTTGGACGTGATCTTGAAGCGATGTACAACGTCAAAGTACAGCAAGTGAGCCTTGGTACGATCAGTCAGACGTTATGAAGAAGCGACTCAAACGAACTTGCCATGACTCTCGACTGCATCATCATTCTCGGGTCTTGCACCAGAGCGTTTAGCTCCTCGCATGCATCTGAGATAGTTGCTCGTGTTTTCTCCATTTCTCGTGGGAAGTTGAGTCCTTCAGAGGCACTCTCGTCAAACGAGGGCAGTGGAGTATCTTGCTTCTCATGATAGGCTTCCAATGCTTTGGCTTGCTCAAGTATTCTCGTTGCAAGAGCAACCAAATGCCCTGTAGTCTTTGCCATTGTCGGTGATGTATTAGCATTTGCGGTTCAAGGACGGGAAACGTTTCGAGTTGAATTCCAAATGGAATGAGCGATTGAAGGCAGCACTCGCACAAGAATAGTAGTACGGCGCAATACTTCCGTACGTCAAGCCGCGAGTTGTTGTTGGTCCATGATGAGCTCGGCTCGGAGAAGATGTACATGTAGTTGAAGGCGGATTGAGTTTCGGTGGGTCGAACTGCTAGGCTATAACAGGTTGCACAAACCGCCCCTACAGCAACGACTCGCGCCACTATTGCTTCTTTACTGGTAACTATCACTCTAACATCTCCTTCAAAGCTCCTGCGTTCCTGGACACGAATCGGACTTTGTAGCTTGGTGGTATGGCTGCCAGATGCCACGGCTCGGTTACATCCTGGAATCATCATCAGCATTTGCCTACAATGGCCCCAAGTTCGAATGGACCCTACCTCCAATGCCCGCATCCGCCAGTTGTTATCGGCATCTTCCTTGCTCAACTCGATCTTGAACGACCACAGGAGCCTCAAGATCATCACGTACAACTGCCTGTTGGCGAGATGGAAGCCAGCGCACATTCTCGTCCCAAAGCCGTACGCTGCGTGTGGTAGATCTGGATCTTCTAGGAACCGCTCTGGCCTGAAGACATTGACATCCGGACCATATACGCTCTCGTCTCTGTTGCAGCCCCATGCATTCAGGAATACAGTCGTTCCTTTAGGGATGAAAATGTCGCCGTACTGGACATCCTTCCATGTCGCTCGCGGCAGGGACAGGCGGAGCACGCAGAAAGTGCGCAGGCATTCTTTGACCAGCGCGGTGACATAAGGAACTGCCGTTTCGTCTTCGATGGGACCCCAGCTTTCTTTGCCGTAGACGTCGCAGATGGCCTGGTATGCTTTCTCCTGAATATCGGGACGAAGTGCGAAGGTGCCGATGGACCAGGCCAACGTGTTCACCATTGTATCAAGGCCGCCGGATACCTGTATTCTCATCAGCTGAAAGGCTCTACCTATAATCAGAGGCAAATGGAACCAACCATGCTCATGCTGATGCCCAGGAGATCGACCTTGTCCAATCTCACGTCTGGGTCTTTCAAGCAGTTGCTCTGGATGCTCGGCTTCTCGATTCCTTTCTCTACTCTGTCCTCCAACTCGCTGCTAAATTTGTTCAGGAAGATGAGGCGGCGTCTATTGATCTCCTTGGCCACAGCAGACTTCTCGTTGAACGGTGACCATCGCATAATCGGCATGAAGTCTTGAGAGCTTCCGAGCGGACATTTGATTCTGGACAGCCCGTCCTCGACATCGATAATTTCTTCAAGCAAGGCGTCGTCGTCGGGAAGTCGAGCACCGTAATTGACGGTAAGTGTGAGATCAGTAATGGTCCTGGAGAGGCTGTGGCGTGGATCAAAGGCCACCGTTCCGTCCTGGCCTTTCTTCCACAGGTCAGCGATCAGATCTCGCGTCAGCTCATCGATGAACGGCAAGTAGGAGGCAACCGCCGGCCTGTTCATCGCTGTCGCAGCAGTCTTCCTCCTCCGCTTCGTCGACTCGCTCCATGGTGTCGTGCCGATAGAACTCGCGACTGAGCTTAAGACTGAGTGGAAGGTATAGAACTTCGGCTTATCGATCAAACTCCCGCCCTGTCCGATGAACACCTCTCTCGCGGCTTGCATCGACGAGAAGACGACAACCGGCATGGTCCCGAGCATAATCTGGTAGACGCCGCCATACTTCTTGCTCCATTGATGCAGCGTCTCTGCTGGGTCAGGATTGAGTTGGTAGAAGTTCCCGACGATGGGTAGGCCGGTCGGTCCTGGGATGTTGGGAAGACGGACTTTGGAGCGGTAGGCTTCGGTGAGGATCACATAGGCGATGCTAGCAAGGCCAGCGAATGCGAGTGCGGTTAGCAGGAGAGAGCTGGCGGTGATGTCTTCTCCATGTAGGAAGCTGTTAAGGTGTAGTTTTGATGCAATCATGGTTGCAACTGGATCGTATAGTTGTTACAGAGTTCTGTTGCAATGGTATGCTTCACTGCTGTTCTCCAACACATATATACACTCGTGACACCTCACCCCGCTTGTAAACAGCCGAAGGAGCAGGAGGTACGTATACTGCCGTCCGACTTCGCCATTGCTGATCGATTGATCCACGTGCAGCTCACAACAACACAGACGTATATAGCTACATGATGTTACAGCAGAGCAATTTTCTCAGTTGTCTCGATTCAACCCCTTCAACCGATGCTCAAAGTCCTTCTCCGGAAGATCCTCCACCTTCTCCGTCCTCTTCAACTGAACCCCGGACCTCTTCTCCCACCCCACCAACGCCTTCGTATGATCAGCCATCGGCTCAACGTGCCCCAACGCATCGCCTAGATACTTCTTCGTCAACGCCGGCAGCTCAGTCTCAAACTTGTTATGCTGCATGAACTCCTCCGTAATCCCTAGATCCTTCACCAGCAACGCCAGTCCGAAACCGCTGTTATAACGACGCGTGATCCCGTCTCGCCGGAACGTGTCGAGAGTAGGGAAGTTCACTCCTGTGCCGACGTTCAGCACATCGATCATTTGCTGCGGGTCGAGGCCGTATTTCTGCCCGGTCACTAAGCTGTCGCAGAGAGCGCAGATGGAGGAGGCCATGATGTAATTGTTCAGTGTCTTCATCGCGTGGCCATTTCCTAAGCGGCCCATGTGGAAGATGTAGCCGGCCATGCAGCGAAGGATGGGTTCGACCTTCTCGAACGCTTCTCGCGAGTCGGATCCGACCATCAACGTTGATTCGCCGGCGTCTGTTGCGTGCATATATGTCTGAGTGATCGGTGAATCGACGAGCTGGAGTTGATGTTGCGCCAGCTCCTTGCCTAACTCCTGCGTGTCGAACGGACTGGAGGATGATGTGTCGACGATGATGGTTCCTGGCTTCAGTCCACTTGCAATGTTGTCCTTGCCGAGGAGGACGTCCCGAACGATCTTCCCTTGCGGTAGCATCGTAATGACTACTTCGCATTCCTGGAACTGCTTTGGGTCGCCGTTCCAGGCTGTGGTGTTCGGCCATTCTTTTGCCGCTCGTTGCACCCTTTCTGTGTCGACGTCGTGGACGATCAGCTGGTAGCCAGATTTAGGTATATTCGAAGCCATCGAGTAGCCGGCATTGCCTAGTCCGATATACCCGACAGTCTTCACTGCGGGTGGCTGTCCGTTGGTAGTCGGAGGCATGATGATTGTTGATGTGTAACGGTGAGGAAGACCGGTACGATTTGAGCGCACTTCTAATGGGACTGCGAAGGAAGTGAAATGTTTCTCGATACCTACAAATACTTCCACGGGTGTATTAAGCGTTCGTGTTTACCATGATCTCATGCTTCGTAGTGATCAGCAACCGACCTCGGACGGCGCTGCGGAGAGGAGAGTTCATGCACTGGAGCTTCACGAGCTTGTAGCTTTGCTACTCGGCACTCAAAGGCCGTGAGCTGCTGGTTTCGGCAGCTTCTGCGTCCTCTCCTGGCTGTTCGTAGGGTCGAGAGGATGCAAAGCCTGCCAGGCTCAGGCCGAACAAATGGAGTTGAGGTGAGCGGAATGGGGTGGTCGAGATTCCCGGCATATGCTTCCATCTGCACATATCCTGATCTCGCGGTCCCAGCGCGAATTGCAATTGTACAATGGAGGAATTTCGTATCAAGAGAAAAAGCGTCCAATGCCATCTAGAAGGCCTGGAGTCGTCCGCTGGCAACCATAGAACCTCCCAATTCAAAGCCTTTGGGTACAACGTGCCATGCTGGCCCATCTTCTGAATACTCCTCCGATCTTCTTCCTGGTCTGTGGGACTGATGCACCGCTGAGTACGTTTGCGCCTCGTTGCTCGACCTCGACAGGCCTGCTGGGTCCGGGTAGGAGTCATGAGCGAGATCTCTTTTCATCCTTCAAGTGGCGACCAGTGCTCCAGCTCGGGCTGGCGTCGCCACGTACCAGGCTGCTACTGTCATCTTTCGCTTCGAGCTGCCTTGATGTCGTTTGTATCATCACCACCAGGCTCCTCATCTCCTTCGCAGAAGTCGTCCAACCAGCGCTGTGCTGAGTGCATGCATTTCGACAATGGCTCTCGCTCACTCATCCAACCCAACCAACCTCCTCAACACCCCAATCTCCGAATGCCCGCGATAATCCTTCATGCGATGACACCAAACAGCCGCCCCCCCCTCAAACAAAAACTCCCCTCCAACCTGCATCGGATGTCCACCCCTCAGCAAATCCCTCTTCCTCAAACCCTCCGGCTCTTGCAAGCTCTTCCTTAAAATCCTGAACTCGTCTCCCGATGCCCCCAGCAGTCCTTTGGCCATATACTCTGGCTTCCTCTTCCCCAAATTCATGCTCAGACCCATCCCGAGCCGTTTGAAGAGGGTTCGTGTCGGATCGGCGTACATCGTGAACGGGCAGCCGGTGAATTGTTTGTAGTGGTTGATGAGGTCTGGTTGGCCGCATCCGATGATGGTTATGGAGGTTGGGATTGGGATGTTGTAGTAGTCCTCCGAGCTGATGCCTTCGGTTAAGGATTCGAGGTATGCTGTACAGGCCGGACAATACCAGTACCGGACGAAGACGATCAACTGCCGTTGGTGGATTACATTCTCTGGGTCGAAGAGGGAGCCGAAAGTCGTTTGTCTGCCATCTGCGTCAAAGATGGGGAACTCTTGGACGGCGGCTAGTGTTGCGCGGTCTGGCAGTGCATCAGAGGCTAAGTCGCTGTTGCTTCTGGTTGTATCTGACCAGCCGTCTTCCAGACCGTCTTGTTGGTGTATTTCTTCTACAAAGTGTCCTTCGAGCAACGCCGAGTCGCGGCGAGACCGAGCGTGCATTCCTGTAGGATCTGCATCCCATGACGCCTTTTCCAGTACTTCGTCGAGGATAGTGGTTGCGGTTGTTGGTGCAGTGGAATAGGTATCGGTCGTGGAAGCAGTGGAAGCGTGAGCCGCGTGATACCGTGAGAACGGGAGGTTCTGAGGCGTCGGATCGGTCGGAGATGTCGTCGGTGTTGTCGTAGCGCTGGGGGGAGTGAATGGCTTCTCGAACTTGGAAGTGCCTATCGGCGAGACGTCTCGTGTGGTAGCCATCTCGCAGGCAATGTGCAAAGAAGCTTTCTCAACCAATAGGTGCCGGATAGCTGGATGTCTCTGGACCTTGCTGTCTCCTGGGAGCAGCACAAGAACGAGACGAGACGAGACGAAGAAGAGAAGACCCTACCTCATCAAAGATGGACTGACACAAAATACCTCACCACTTCGCCGGTAGTTAAAAGCAAACAAGAGCGCCACAACAGCAGCCAAATATTGGCCGGGTACCTGGGCGATCGCAGTTGGGTGACGTACCCCTACTATATTAATGCTCGCGTAAACCTTGTCGTGCAGAGAGGGGCGGGACGTTGGTTACGTTTGAAGGCATTGTTGATGAGGCCTATACTTGTTGTTTTTCCCGCGGCGATTCCTTCTGAATGGATAATAACATGGAGTCAAGTTGACTGTTGCAACGACGGCAGACTGAGCCTTGAGAGCTGCAGGATGCTGGTCGAAAGAAGAGATGAAGTCGACAAGCACGGATCTCGAAATAGCGAAAGCGCCACGATGTCTACCAGGATGTCAGGATGCAAGCAGGTTCACGATCCCGGCAATCGGCCCGCGTGTTTGGAAGCCCACCACGATGCGTTTGTGATGATATATGTGCTTTGCCAAACAGTAACCGACGAGCCTGACCCACACGGACAGAAGCAGTGATCGCGGAAAGGAACATGAAGAACAACAGGTGAATTGCTCCTACCAGACGACTGCTTCATCGTCCAGTTCATCGATCACCATGTATCCATATATCGTCCGATCGTAACTCTATCGACATCCCAGTCGTCCTCGCTCACGCCCTCAAGTTCTTCCGTAACCGCCCAATCTCCTCATCTTCCAACCCACACCTCTCCTGCATATAATTCTCCGCGCCTCCAAACTCCTTCTGAATCATCTCCAGCGCAGCAAGCATATTCTCCTTCTTCGAACTGACCATGTTCCCCACCCCTTCCCGATTCCCCTCCAGAGCCGGATTCTTCAACAACCGCTCAATGAAGATGGGCCTCAGCTCTGCCAGTCCTTGGTCTGTGAGCGCGTACTCTTCTGCGATCTTCTCTTTGTCCACTCCAATCAGACTCAGCAGCAGTGCTACTACTACACCTGTCCTGTCTTTGCCTGCTGTGCAGTTGACCAGACAAGGCGTTGGCTTCTCTTGCGCCAGATGCCGGAACATTGCTCCGTAGGCTGACGGCGCAGAGAGCAGGATATCGTGGTATGCTTTCACAAACCCAGCGGAGCCCTCACGCGTGTACTCCTTGTAGCGCAGCGCGACTTGATCGGGGCCGTAATCTTGTTCAGCGAATACAGGTACCCATTGCCGCTTGATACCATACGGTTCGAAGACGTCTTGAGCATCCACGGCAATGTCTGCCCATTCGGGCCCGTCTCGTTTGATCTCGGGGGCTGAGCGGAGGTCGAAGATTGTTGTTATGCCTGTTTCCAAACAATGGGTTAGCATAGGTTTGCAGCTGAGGACGTCGTGTCGTGGGTATACTCGGGAGACCGACCTCTCACATACCTAGATCCTTGCTCATCTTCTTCAACCCTTCCTCGGATGCCTTCGATGGGTCCGCTGAGCGGAACACCACCCCTTTGCGGACATTATCGAGTTGGCCGCCAACGTCGCGGAAGTTGGCGATGCCTTTGATATCGACGAAGGGAGGGGAGGGTAGGTTCGTCATTGTGAGAGTACTTTGACGTCTGATGAGAATCGAGTACGCATTGCCAATGTGTTTTAGTTGTTGATCTTTCGAGGAGCCTCGTGCTGCCTCGGCTGGCATTGAGCCGGTGTCGGCAGGCCATCTTGTTTTCACGCCTCCATTTTCCTTTCCATGTCCCATCCATGGACTGACAATTCAGCGATTAGCCTCTTGGTCATTCGACCATGCGCAGGTTCTCGCCAGTGATGCAGGTAAGCCTGGTGGAAGTTGACGGATCCTGACGAGCATGCCGTCGTAACGCACGCGAGGCAGCAACGCCCTTGCATACCAGCCAGCTGTGTTGGATTTGCCGTAAGGAAGAGTCATCCCAACTCCTGCGCTTCACTTTCTACCTTCTCACACTTCCCCTCAGTTCAGCACGAGTTCTCTTGTCAAGCTTGCTCCTGAACAACGTACTGCTAAGCAAAAGCGTACGCTTGGAGCCTTGAACATTGGGCGACGCAGGACCCCAAGCCCACTCGCAGGTCAACATGGCTGCACCGACCGCCAGCAGCCTGATCTCAAACGTGACAAACCTCCAGATCAAGCCACCAGTCACAAGCAACTCCATTCGCCACTTCGACCCAGCAGTCTGTGAAGGGGATGCAGCAAGCACGCGGATCATCGTGCACGCTCACTTCCCGGATCTCGTGAGCGCCTTTCTTGCGTTTAAAAGACAACATGGCTCATCGTACGAAAAAGCCTTGTACGGCGGTCCGGACAGTTTCACCTGGCAGCAAGAAGTCACCCGGCTCATCGAAAAGCGACCACTTGTCTTCATGAACGGACATGACCATACGGTCCTCCGCGACGGCGGGACAATAGGAAACGATACGACTACGGAGTGGGATCGCAATGGTACAGAATATCAACAGCAGAATCGGTATCTGACCTTGCAAGAGTACCTGAGCTACGACGAGATCATGCTTAGCAGCCTTATCGGTGTCAGTGGACCGAGCTACTTCATCAACGACGGTAATCGCTACAACCAAGGCAAAAGTGGAGAACCGGGCAGCTTCGAGGAGCGAGGAATCATCATAGGCCTGGTAGGCGCCCGGTTTGAAAGACTGGACCGAATGGACTCAATCTTCGTGCTTCCGGCGGAGGACTCTCCCCACCAACATCCCGGGCTCACCAAGATCTTCGCTGGTTTTTTCGGCGTCGCGCTGGACTCGTCCCTGGACTTCAACAACGCCATGTACAAGGCTCGTATGCGCATCACAGCTGACCTGCTACTTCACGAAGCCGATGCTCGCGCCGCCGACGCTGGCAGAAAAGCCCACACCTACGTTGTCGGTCTGGGCCTTGGTGTGTGGCAGGCCACTGACTTTCAAGCCCAACTCTACATCAAAACCTTCACCAATGCGCTCAACGAGATCAGGTTTCCACACATTGGCACGATCGAGTTCGCGTGGATCAACGGCGTACCCGATCACACACAGGATGATGTGAAATCGGCTGCTCGCCAGCAGGGCATCAAAGTGGTCTTCACGCAGCGGAACCCGGCGGAGAAGTTGAGGACGGACGAACTGCTTGTATTGAGCTATGCATGGGACGGCAATGCGTTTCCGGGAAACGAGTATTGGCAAGGCAGCCTCGCAGGCTCAGGCGACCCGGCGGCCGCTTGCATGAGTACGATTGGAGAGCTGCACAATCCACTTGTCAATCCCTTCACGGGTAGGATAGCGGTGCTTGGGCGCCAGTAGCGGGCAGGCGGAAGGCGGAAGGCGGAAGGCGGAACAGTCCAGTATGGGACTACTATGATCAAAATCTCACTGAAGTTCTGGCAGTAGTCTATAGTGAGTCTTCAACCGAAGTTTGAAAAAGTGTCTCTTCTGAGGTATCATAAGTCGTCCCATAAAATGCATCAAACTGCGCCGCGTCTGTCTCCGTGGCTGTACCGAACGTGAGTTTGATTAATGGCACACAGTTCCTCACGAGAAACGCCTCTAAGACGGAGCAACAACAACAATCTCAGGTACCTCAACCACAAACTCCACCGCCTTCCCACAGATCGTCACCTCCAAAACCAGATCCGTCCTAAACCCCTGATTAATATTCACCGTACTAAAACACGGACACGTAGTCCCAGGCACTCTGCTCTCAAACTCCGCCGGATACGTCCACACCTTCTCCACTCCATCTGTTGCGTGCTGCCGTGAAACATCGATAGACGGGGGTAAAGTGTTCAGTAGAACGGCTTCCTCGCACTTTGTCTCCACGACGCGATGGCCTGTACCGCCCGGAGCGACTCGGAGGGCTCGGAGGTACGTACGCTGGAAGAGCCGAAGCGTTTTTACTCGTACGTTGATGGTTGGAATGGTGATGTTGGATGAAGAGGGTGAGCTGATCTCGACGGTCGTAGAGAGACGGAAAGAGGCTCCAGTGGCTAGTGTAGTAGGAAGGTTCGCTCTGAGACCGACATTAACGGTTGGAGCCTTGGAAGAAAAGTTGCCTCCGAGGATGCGGAAGGATGACCTCGAGCCACTGGCACTTGGTAGTAGGTGTGGGCTAGAGAAGCGTACTGCAGATTTGACGACCTCGATCGGTTGGCGCGGTTGCTGCTGGGCAGCACGAGGAAGCAAGACCAACTGCTCTGGAAACTGAGCAATCAAAGGCTCCTCCTCGCCTTCAAACTGCAGTCGGGCCTGGACATGGTACCCAACCACCGCAAAAGTGCTGGCGCTCGCGACCATACTGAAACTAGGCGGTAAGGCATGAGTTTCCAAAGTGTAGGCTCCCTCAAATCTGCTCTCGTCCGCATAAGGGCTTTTGGAGGTCAGAGAAGTGGTCTCGGGAAACCTTAAGTCGAAGCGCCATTCGTAGTTCTCTCCCGTGTCGTTCTTGACGTCCCTGTCGAGCGGCACGTGTTGGACTGAGCGGAAGATCTCGGCCGTGTCGTCGAATTGAAGGAGTGTGAGTTCGCCGTTCGTTGCTCCTTTTCGGGGGATGCGCGTGGTGGCCCGCCCGAACAGGACGACTTCCGCCTTCTGAATTGGCTTGTGCGGGTCGTGTGGAAACGAAACATTGCCGGAGACTCGAGATCCGGGATGGAAGGGGCCTGTACTGTCATTATCTAGCGTGATGGTCACTTCTGGTTGCTGAACGTCTTTCGTGCTGCGAGAGAACTTCATGTCTGATGGAGAGTGTATTGTGGAAACGAATCGACCGTCGAGAAGCCATGTTTCTCTTTTGTAGGCCAAAGTACTGAACTGTCTCAACCACACTGTTGTTCATGGTGGAGGCGGAGTGAGTCGAGCCAAGAGGCTGTGCATGATCGCCAGGTTGTGACTTAGGTACAAGCTTGAGAGTTCGAAGCTCGTCAAGCTTCTTACAACCGGGCGTCAGAAGTGTCTGCGGAAGACCGGATGTTAGTGTGAACGCCGCCATATACCGCGTTGTCCTGAAGGGCGCAGTCCAGGCTCTGTGGAAGTGTCGTCGTGCACTGAATGTTGAAGAATGTGTCGCCAAACGCCCAACGCGCTTTTCCAGCGCACCTTTCCCGCAACACACAAACCTTCACCATCCCCTCCACCCACTCCGCAAACCCCAACCCATCACTCAGTCCCCCCATTCCCCGCTCAAACCTTCCCCCTCAAATTCACCACCCCCATCTCCGCAAAAGTCCTCCCCGTCCCCTCCTCCACAACCTCCCACAAATTCGGCTGCGTAAACACCGCAAGCGTATTCCTCGCCACCTTCCCTCCCCCCTTGCCTCCCCGCACAAAATGCGGCACAGCCTTGAACGCTCCCCTCGTGATAACCTCCAAAGCCTCGCCCGTCTGGAAAGCCAGCGCGTCGCGGGGGATCTGGACTTGTGTGCGGCGTCCGCTGCGGTCTTCGATCCAGAGGCCGGCGGCGGGGTCAGGGTGGGAGTCCATTTCTTCGAGGTCGGGGAAAGTGTTGGAGGAGGTCGGGTGCGGGGGGTGGAGGGATTCGTCGACGAACATCTGCGAGGTCAGGCCGGTGAGCGCTCCAAGATCCTTGTGCGAGGCGCACCAGTCGTCGTCAACCCCCATCGCTGAATCGGGTCTCGCGTCTCCATCTCCAGCCTCCGATCCCGCCGTAGTAGCAGGAGGCGGGAAATAATGCAACAACCTCGCCTTAGTACACACACTCCCCCTCACAATCCCCTCCAACGTGCCCTCCCTATACCCTCCCAACTTCTCCACCCCATACCGATCACAACATCCCGCCACCACCGCCGCCACATCCACAACCAACCGACACAGCTCCTCGAAAGCCCCCTCAAACCCCGGCAGCACACCCTCCTCCGGCCACACATTCTCAGACGTAAACTCCGGTACCTCGGGATACAGCTGCTTAGCTTTCGCCTCTAACGCTCCATCCGGCGAATGGATCGGCTGAGCGTAGTACGAGCCTTTAAGCGTGTCGTAGCGGCCGTCCGCGAGCGTTTCTTTACCGCAGGACCAGCCGACGGCGTAGTTGGCGGCTGGGTTCTCGAGTTTGGACAGTTCGTGCTGGGGGAGGTTGGCGAGGTAGCTGCTTGAGCTGAGAACTCTTCGTCGTAAGGCTGGGAATCGGGGTGGGAGATCGGTGACGATGATGATGCCGAGGGAGTCGGGGCCGAAGGCTGATTCGAGGGTTGCGAGGGTTACGTTGTTGGATTGCAGGTCTTTGAGGGAGACGGTTACGGCGTTGGGTGGAGCCTGGGATGCCATGCTTGCTGTAGCTCTTTGTGGGTTTATCGCTCTATATAGAAATGATGTCCAGACGAAAGGCCTACCGTCCCAAGAATTGAATGGAGTCCTTTCCGTGTCCAGACGGCTTCTTTATTTCTCGGCCCTACGAGAAACTGTTGCTGTTGACGGCGTGATTCCTCGAAAAGTTTCAGATCCGTAGTAAACTATACTCAGTCGTTGGAACGCATTGCCTTAGACTACCTAATACGTATAGAAGACGAAGTCCCAAATCCCATATCCACTAAACCCACGCCTCCCCGCGCCGCGCTCCGTCCGCAGCAAACATCCCTTAGCGCCGCCTTTAATCCCACCACCCACATCCCTCCCTTTAAGCCTCAAAACGAAGCGCAAGGCCGGCTCCGAAAAACCCACAACACACATAAATACATGTACGGAAGAATGGTGTCACAAACAGAACGATACTACAGAAAGAAGTACAGAATTTGGGTATCATAGCTAGCCGCCGCCCGCGTATCCCAGAACTCCCGCTCCAGCTCAACATAACCCCAACGACAACCCAAAGCTTCAATAACCCCGGCCATCCCTGCTCGCGCTTGCCCGCTTTATGCACCAGGCAATCATCCCCCTTCAAATGCCGCTTCCCCCAACACCATCGCTCCTTATCAAAACACCCTATCAGCCAGCTGGCCGACCGACTAACCGGTCGAATGCCCCTCTCCCCCCAACCCATCCCCAAACAAAAGCACCCGCACCCCACAATCCTCACTCCCACTCGCAACCCCCCAATCGCTCAACCCCACACACGTCACGGGGCCCGCATGGCCCGTAAAAGTGCGTTCGCACTTCCCCGTCCGCGGATCCCAGACCTTCAGCATCTTGTCCTCAGACCCCGACACAAGCCGAAGGTGATCGGCTGCTAACGCCCAGATGCCTTCGACGTGCCCGAAGAAAGTCCGGAGACAGGATGCTGCGCGGGGCGTGTGCGAGTTGGTGAGGGGGTCGGTGGGGAGGATGCGGAAGGGGAGTTGGGGCGCGGCTGGAGGCGCGGCAGCCGGGGGTTGGGCTTGGTTTTGTTGGGGCGGAGGGGGGGATGTGGAGGTGGAGGAAGGCCCGGGCGTGTTGCCGCGCTCGGCGGCGTTGAAGTGGACGTCCCAGAGGCGGATCGTGGCGTCGAGCGCGCCGGAGAGCATGTACCGCGGCGGTGCGGGGCGGTCGGGCTGGTGGGGCCAGAAGGGCTCTTCGTCCTGTAAACCGGGCGTTTCGGCGCGGACGTCGAAGCGGTGTTCGGAGCCTGAGGCGACACTATCGGCGTCGTCGTCAGTGTCGCGGGTGGTGGTGGCGTTGGCGTTGCTGGAGCCGATGAGAGCGGAGCAAGCGCGGTGTTCGTCGAGTTCGAACTCCGCGGGCATGGGCAGGACGACTTGGACTTGGCCGACGTGGCCTTCGAAGACTTTGATGCAGGTTTTGGCGTCGAGGTCCCAGAGTCGCACGCTCAGGTCGTCGCTGGCGCTGAAGAGGGTCCGGCTGGCTTCGTCGACTCTGACGCTGTTGATCCAGTCGGTGTGGCCGCGGAGGAGGAAGGTTTGCTGCGTCTCTGAGTTCCATACGCGGATGGTCTGGTCCATACTGCCGGATGCCACCCACGGGCCGGAGAAGTGGAGCGTGACGATGCCTGCGGTGTGCGCTTGGAAGACTCGGAGGCATTGGCCCGTCTTCCAGTTCCATAATCGTAAAGTGTTGTCTAGACTTCCAGTCATAAGCTTGTTCTCATCAAATTGCAGACACCGGATTCCGCTTGTGTGGCCTCGTAAAGTTCGCAAACAAGCCGTGCTTTCGTCTGTGGCGTTCAAATCCCACACTTTCACCGTAGTATCGTATGAACCAGTGATCAGGATCTTGTCGTCAAACTGCAAACACATGACGCCGTTCGTGTGACCTCGGAAGACCTTCGTCGAGAAGCGGCCATGCTTCCAATTCGTTCCAACCTTGAAGCGCTGCTTGTAGACATCTTTCCAAGGTCGTCTTTTAGGTAAAGTGGGGACAAAGTAGCCTGTATCTGCTGCAGTCGGCGCTGGTCCCGCGATCGTGTCCTCGGTGAAGCACACCCGCTTGCTTGAACCAGGCGCTCCCTCACCATCTTCATTCACCCTTTTCTTACCAAGCGCTCGTTCCGTGGGAACCTCCTCAGGTATAGGTGTGATTGCTGGACTCCACTCGTTCAGCCCTCTACCTGCCGCTCGCAGCTGAATTTGTCTCTTCTCATTCCGCAACCTCTTTCTCTCCAGCAACGGCAATCCCCAGCCGCATTTCGTACACTTCCGATCGATGTGCTGCTCACACATCTTGTGCCACACCACATCATCGTCTGCCAAAGCCCTCCACCGTTGGCTCACTTGCGCTGCCTTGCACAAGCTCGCCGTATCCAGGTAACACAAAATCTTGAAGCCCAGCTCAGCGGGTAGAGCGCCGAGAAAGTCAATCTTGATCAGGTCTCGCAGTGTGCTGTTGATGTAGCTGAGCTGCGGGAAGCAGCATTGTGTGAGGATGCCTTGCAGCATGAGATTGCGGTGTTTTTCGGGCGCAGCGCTGAAGAGAGACCAGACATGGCTAATGGCCTGCTGGTCAGACTGTGACAGGGCGGAGAGGGAGGTCTGCAGGTCCTGCATGCTGGGTTCGTTGGCTTGTCTGCGACACTTCATATCTGGTGAATGCCGGTAGCAGAACTTGGTGTTCTCTCGCTCCGCCTGCAGATCCAGAATCATCTGCTGGTCCTCGCTCTCATTCTTCTGCTGCGGTGTCCAGGCATGTGGTGCCGACCCGACAGCATTGTATGAGTTGGGGATGTGTTCGGCGAGAAAAGGCATGACGGTGTGCTTTTCGGCATGAGTCGCTGAGCCTGGGATGGCGATATTCTGTCCAGCGCTTTCTTCAATATCCCTCCTGTATCGATTCCGTATACCGACAGCACTTCCTCCAGCACTATCTTGCTCGCAACCCGGACAAGGAAGCGAGGATATCCGCCGCTGCCTCTCCCTCTCGCGGTCCTCCTCTACCTCCTGCTGTACTGGATCCGTGGGTCGAAGGGGCGGCGAAGCGACATCGTGCTCACCGTCGGTGGTGGAGGTAGGCGTGAGTTGCTGCTGATGTGCATGAGCAGACGAAGCGGCCATCCTGCCTCTACTCAGATTTTACTTGCGACCTGCAGCGAAAAGCGGCCACGATCGCGTGATTGCCGATTATTGCGTCTTTCAGCCTTGCGTCGCAGCGCATCGCATCAAGCCAGAGCATGCAAGAGATGCAGCACCCATGCAGCGGAGGAAAGTGGAAGTTGATTTGCTCTCCTGCTTCCTCTAAGCAAGGGCCGCGTATTCGGGAGAGTGTCGCTCTCTTCCGCCACCTGAAACAGGGCCGTATGCGCTCCGGCAGGAAGAGGTGCAGATGTCGTGCTCGCTGGGCCACTCCCGCTGCTCAGGAACAGCGATGGCGACACTGCGTCTGGAGTATGGCGTGCCCCGACTAGGCTGGAAGTGGAAGCGATGTGGCTTTGTCTTTCTGTCTTGCTGTCGACTTCGATGTTCTGGACTGTGTCGTCTTGTGTCTGCTTGGGATCTCTCTCCTCTTGCTCGTGTGAGGTGTTGTGGTGATAGAGAGAGAGAGTTCGGGGAAGAGATGGCATCGTTGCCCGCTCACGTGGCTGGTCTGCACTTTCTTCTTCGGCTCGTCGGCAATCGGCCAAGTCTTAAGCCAAGCCCTGCAGAAGGCTCAACGACGGGCCGTCATCGACTCCACCCCCGCGTTTCCGATCGGCAGGCCTGCAGCAAGCCACATGGATCATCTCCTTCTGGAAGGAAGAACAACCCCAAGATCCACGATGACCACCACCTCGCCATGAGCTACTACCCCCCTTCCTCCCCCTCATCTGTCGCCTCTTCCTCCTCCTCCACCTCATCCCCAGCATCTCCGACTGCGACGCTACCTCCTACCCAACTACCGACCCTCGACGGCCTGGTCCAGCACTTCGCTGATGCCAAACAAGCACTCTCCTCCACTCAATACGTCTATCGCGCGACTCAGCTAGTCACCTCTTCCCGCACTTTGGTAGAAGAGATAGCCACCCTGAATGCCCGCAATGCCTACCTTCGTCGCGGGGTGCAGGATGAGGTGGAGGTGCTGGCAGAAGTGAGCGGAGATGTGGAAGCAGCAGGCGACGAGATCAGCGAGGAGTTCGATGAGATGGTACAGGGCTTGGACCGAGCCAATGCTAGACTGCAGCAGACGCTGGAGGGTTTGAGAGGGAGGGTCGTCGAGAGCAAGCTAGCACGACGGGATGAGAGCACATCCGATGAGGAGGCTGTAGATGAAGAACGAGACGAGTCTGGCAGTGACGGCGAACAGACGAAAGGGACAGCACATTCTAAGCAAAAGACCCTCCTCGACTTCATCGACCCCACCCCCCACGAAACCCTCCAAACCTCCGTCCGCGCCGACATCGACGCCTTCCACGTTTCCAACACAGACTTCTCCTCCTCCCTCTCCACCTTCCACTCCACTCTTCAAACCCTCAACACCACCCTGCACGACCACTGTTCCCCAACGCCACCCGAAAAGCGCACCCTCTACGACACCGACCCTCCACCCACCGCCCGCGCCCTCTTCACCGGCATCGAAGACCACGCCACAGCAATGGCCCAGCTGCTGCAAGGGCTGGTACAACACTACGACCTCTGTGTCAGCGCCCTCAAACACACCGAAGGTGGGGGCGAAGCCGCGCGTGAAGCCGCCAACACAGAACAAGGCGGCGGTGAAGGAGGCGTAGATGAATCCCTCTACCTCCGCAAACACCCCATCCCCATCTCCCCCCACGACCGCAATGAAATGCTATCCGTTCTCGAACACGACGCCGCCGAACTCCCGGACGTCCTCTCCGAACTCCGGGACAGGAACGGAGAACAAGACGTCCTCTACGAACGCCTCCTCGAAACCGCCAAAATCTCGCGAAACCACGCCGCCGGTCTGCGCGAAGCCGTACACATGCTCCACTCGATCCGCGAAATCCAACTCCCCGCGCACCTGCACGCGCTGCATACTCACCGCTCCTGCTGGGCCCGCCTCCACGCCAGCATGGACGAAAAGCAATCCAGCCTCCTAGAGCTCGGCGCGAGTAATGAAGCTTTCATCGTCGCTTACGCCGAACTCCTCAAGGAGGTTGAGAGGAGGGAGAGCGTGAGAGGGCAGATGGAGGCGGTGGCGCGGAAGGCGAGGAGGGAGTTGCGGAGGTTGGAGGAGGGGGATCGGCGGGCGAGGGAGGAGTTTGTTGAGGCTTTTGGGGGGAGTTTGCCGAATGGGCTGTGGGATGGGGAGGGTGGGGGGGAGGTGAGAGAGGTGAGGGAGGTGAGGGGGGGGAGGGTTGAGGTGGGGTGATGTTGCGGCTTGGCAGGTCATGTGAAGATTCTATGTCTGGAAGGTTCTAGTGTGGGTTGTGAAACGAGGATAAATGAAGTGACCGGATTGGGAAGGAGAACCAGCACTTTTAAAAATCTCTGAAGCCCACTGTTGCTTCTACGATATCACCTTCGACCATTAACATCAGCATAGCTGTCCAACGACATGGCCGACAACACGCACGAGCACGGCACAACCGCCGATCAACTGCGCAATCTGGCCGAACGACTGGAAATGCGTCAGCAGCAGATCGAATTACACGAGAACAAGGCAAAGCAACACCAAGCCGCCGCCAAAGCCCACCTGGCGACCGCAACCTCGCTTTCCTTCGCCGCCGCCCACGCCATCGCTTCAAAGACCTGCAAAGACCAAGGTCGTCAAGCCGAGGCTGAAGGTATGTCGTTTCACCTACCCACCCATATCTGGAATCGGACGCGGTCTCACACTGACACGCCCCATAGAACACTGGCTCGCGGCGGCAACGATCGGGCGGTCGAATGCGGCGAAGCTGAGCACGGAGATGGCATTTGGGATGGGCGTGTCGCTCATGTACATGTCGATGATGCCGGTCGAGGCGTGCAAGTTTGACGTCAACGAGCTGGGGTCGCATGAGCCTGAGTTCTGGAGGCAGACGGAGGAGCGGGCAGCGGCATTGCTTGCGATGGGTGGGGAGGAGCGCAAGGAGTCATTTGAGAAGATGGTGGCGGCGGAAGGCGATCAGACGGCCTAGGAGCAACTGGACGACGGTTGGTGAGAGGATGCGGGTGGGCGATTGCCGGAGACGATGATGGCTCGATCGAACCTCACGTAGCAATCACATGACTCTGGAGGAGACCGCCAGCTGGTAGGTCCGCCGCGACGATTCAGCGCAATGAGAAGTTAGTGAGGTGAAACAATGCATGGGCTTCTCCTACCTCTTGGCAATGCATGTGACAGTCTGGAAGGTTCTTTTTGAGGCTAGCGTTGCGCAAATGATGTGACGTCTTGGGAAGGAGAGCCAGCTCAAAGTTTTGCAGTCGCTTCAGCAAAATTCTTCACCCTCGAGACTTAGCGGACATCAACATCACAACTTACCACACCGCAAATACGGCCGACACCATGGACTCACTCACCGCAGCCTTCGACGCCTCACGCATTAAGTTGCTCAAATCCCACGAACTGAACGCCGAAGCCTTGAAGCAACTGGAAGACTGCCGCAAAGCCGTGGAAACCATGGAGCAGCTTGAGGTTTGCCGCAAATCCGTCGAAAAGAACACGAAGGGCAATGAGATAATGAGCGTTCTGGCGGGAAGTGGAGTGCTCGAAACGATGTCCCACCTAGCTATTGCTGGCATCGAGAAGGCGAGGTTCATGCTCCAAGACGGCGACTTCCACACCATGTGCACCGCAGCCGCCAACGCCATCGCCTCCCGGACCTGCAAGGAGCATCGTGTGCGCGCTGACGTGGAGGGTAAGCATTCCCTCATCCTTACGCTCCGTTTGTTCGGACTTACTGACTTCACTACAGGACACCTGGCTGTTATGGAGAAGCTCGCAGGATCGGTGGCGTACAAGTTGCGCGGCAAGGCATTCAAGTACAGTCGTACGGTTGCAGAGCTGTGCAGGCTTCCGGTGGATGAGTGTAGCTCACGCTTTGCGTGGCCGGATTGGAAGGACGGGTACTTGTTCTGGCTCAAGGCTGAAGCTGAAGCTGGGACTTTGGTGGCGATGGATCGTGAGGAGCGGAAGAAGTACTTCGAGAAGATGTTGAGCACGGCGGGCGGCGATGGGACCAAGTATGTGTCTGCAGAGAGATCGTGAGAAGGGAACATGCTTGCCTGAGACCGCAATGGCCGTAGTGGATGCGACGCAGCATTCACAAGTCTCAAATGACAACGACATGTTCAGATTCATATGCAAATTTCTATTCACTTCTGGCAAAATTTCTCACGATTCACTGCTGGTCTTCTCAACCTCAGTCCGACGCACAAAAGGCGCAATCTCACCTTCTCGCAGAACGCATTGCTTCCTCCCTTTCGACCAGCCCACGGCGCCAACGTCACTTCCGCTTTCCAAAGCTGTTTTCTCCAACTACGGCTCTGACGAACATGGCGGATTCGGCGCACCCGGGCGAAAAGCTCGACCAACGCTCGAATGCCGAAATCGCTGCGAACTTCGAAAGGCTTAGAAAGATCTTGCGAAAGGAGGTTTGAGAGGAAGAAGCAGTGTGACGAAGCTGGAGAGAAGATTGCAAGAAACTTTGCGAGTCTGGAGGCTGCTTTCGCTATTGTTGCGAGAGCTTACAAGGGGGATGGAAAGGACGAGTACATAATCAATGGTACGTAAGGTCGCTGCTCGGGAATGGCATAGTTGCTGACATTATCCCAGCGCTCGAGACATTAGCGAAGAAGTAGCTGCACCACGACGAGGTGCAGGCACGGTATGGAAGTGCGCAGTGGGAGGAGTTTTGGAGGGTGGTGGAAGAGATGGCTGTGGAGCTCATGGCCTCGGATTTCAGTGAAGCCAAGTGGAAAATGCTGGTGGGCAAGTACTTCAAGCTGAGCGAGGCTCCGGCGGCGCACGACGATGGTACTGTGCAACCCGAAGGTTCCAGTTGAGATGCCCCTGACTGAGCTTGTGCCAGCACCATCGATGTTGTGGCGAACGGAGACATGGCGACAGTTGCTTCATCGGCTGACATCTTAGCAAAAAGAGGGGAGCACTTGTGGGAAGAGTGAGCAGTATTGCATGAGTGTCTTCAGCAAAAGTAACGTATCCCCTGCTGACCACCAGAGCCCAGTGCCACCAAAGCCCAGTGACATACAGAGTCCAACGATGCCGTTGAAAGGACATAACTGGAAGCAGGTGGTGCTACTCAGTAATGTGGCGGCGGTAGCAGCTCGAACACCATGAGCTGGGTTCGCACAAGTATTCACTGCAGACGAGATCGATTGGCCAACAATTCTTAAGGTCTTCCGCTTATTTGTTCGTCCTTCGTTGTGTGCTGATGAGCTTGTTGTCGCCTGTTCGCATCTTCCCATACATATCGCCATTCACTTCTGAACGGTCTCTTGGCACCATTCACTGCCTCTGAGTGGGTTCTCTGCCCGACACACAGCGAATAAGCATGATCCCACGTCCTCATATAAGGTACCTGCAGCTCTACTCCCTCCAACGTCAACCCAGGTTGCAAGCAACAACAATCAATCTTCAACGCAGTTGCCACCAACCACGGATCTGACCATGGCGGATCCGAACCAACACTCTGAAACCCCTACGCAAGAACAGGATGCCGAGGCCAAAGCGAACATCAAGGAGCTCAGAGAGATCAGCCGACTAGAGCTTGAGAAGAAGGAGTTGGACGATGAACTTGAGAAGCTGAAAGTGAGAGCGGCGAGCCTGGCGGCTGCTAGCATGATCGCTGCCAGAGCGTATCGGCAAAATGGGAAGAACGAGCAGGCCAATGGTACGTGTCGTCGGTAAGGCGGAGAAGCTGCATATCCTGTTAACAGAATTCCAGCGTTCGAGGCACTGGCGAAGAGACTGCTCGCCGAGCCGTTAGTGGCAGATTGGGGTGCTGCATTGTGGGAGGGGCTGGTGGTGCATCTACTGACGTTGCCGGTTGAGGAGTGTAAGGCGCGGTTTGAGGTACCAGGGGGTATCGATGCTGAGGAGTTCTGGAAGGCCGCGGAGGCGTTGGCGGAGGAGACTGTAGGAATGAGCTCCCGGACATCCGTGGAGTTGTGGTTTATGGAGGGTTTCGAGTAGGAATTCGTGGACGCAGGATGGTGGTAGGGGCGAGGGGTGGACGTTGAAATGAGCAACGCCTCCTGGCTGGGCGTTTGCCTAGATTATCAAATGTGTCGTAGCGAGAGTGATAGAAGAGAGTCGTGAGAACGAAAGAACATGCTTGCTCGAGACAGTGACCTTGCCAGGTGTGAAGTAAGAGTCGCAACCAAAGAAACGAGAAGACATCCATGGATGTTAAATTTTCATTCACTCCAGAAAGGTCTCTTTGTGGTTCACTGCTGGCAACTGAGGCCTGTTATTGTTGACACACTTAGGAAGGAAGCAACCTCACATTCGCACAAACTCACCTTCCTTCCCCTAACATCATAAACCGCGCAAACAGTATCTCGCCTTCCAGCATCAGGCTCACCAACCTCAAAGCTAACGAATATGGCGGACACGGCGTACCACGAGAACGAAAAAAGCAGCCAGAAGCCGGAGGCTGAGCTGAAGAAGAGAATGGAACTACTCAGGAGACTCTGCAAAGCGGAGACTGGACTTCATCGGATAAGGGAAGAGAGCAAAAAGATGAAGGAAGAGCGCAGGAGGCTTGTAGGGATGATAGGGAGCGGAGCGGCCGCCAACGCCATCACCGCGAGAGCGTGCCGTGTGGGCGGCCGAATCGACGACGCTGAAGGTACGTACACCTGCACGTATGCTTGAGATGAGCGCAACAGCTGCTGACAGATATGGAGACCACGAGGCCGTAGCGAAGAAGATGTTGGCCGAACCGGAAGGGGGAGTCGATCTCCCGAGGCTGTGGGAGGAAGTGGTGGTGCATCTACTCTCCTTGCCGATGGAGAAGTGCAAGGAGAGATTCAAGGTGCTGGAGGGTTTGGATGAGGATGAGTTCTGGGGCGACGCCGAGAAGAGAGTGGTAGGGCTTCGGGGCTTGGGGGAAGAGGAGCTTGCTGAGTACTTTAGAAAGAACTTGGAGGAGGAAGAGGAGGAGGAAGAGGATGAGGATGAGTAGAGTCTGATACAATAACCGTCGCGGCAGCGATGCAAGCGCGGCAATTGCTTGAGCGGTCGACGACGACGACGGAGGGCCACAGACATGAAGGCAAACGACCACTGAGATTGGTGTCAGCGACCATGGTACGCTTGCACGCTCGACAGTTAAAGACGAATCTCTCTACCTCCTACATGCGGTGGGAGTGAGGCCTTCACCTAAAAGGGGATGCCACCAAGCGGCAACAGCGCGGCTCCGCAACTGCCGCCTTCCTGCACCCCAGTCTCCGACTTCGCTCTTTCCCTTTCGGGTCACCAACATCGACATCACTTCCAATGGCGACAACGTCACGTTTTGCGTAGACAATTCCATAGCAGCATACATTGAAGCGTTCTCGTACCTGCTCCGCCTTCCCCTTCGCATATGCCCTGATCATGTCGAAGCTCTCGGAGCCATTGAAAGCCCTCATCAACGCCTCCCATGCCAAACCCAACACGCTTCCCGCGCCACGCCATATCGCTTCAGTATATGAGCGTGTAGCCAATGGAGCGAGGGAGAAGGGTGTTGGGCTGAAGGCCTGGTTGACTGCTTCAGTATATCTCCTCTGCCATTTTGACAGGATACGTGCTAACGAAGCGTCACAGGCAGCGGCAACCTTCACGTTAAACTCCCCAGACTCATTACTAGAACTCTACAAACTAGCAAACGACGCCAAATTCAAACGCAACGAAAACCACGGCGTCTGGACCGCCGAACTGATGCGCGAAATCGGCCTGAAATGCATCGGTCTCAACGGCGTACGCCCCCTTCACCCTCACCCATCCGCCCCTCTAACCCCCCTCTCAGGTCCCACGAACAATCAACTGCCTCGGCGCCTTCTACGCCGGCCTCCCCTCCCCCATCCGCACCGAACTTCAATCCCGACCCGCCCGCCGCGCCCTCCATCCAAAGACCATCACCGAAACCACCGACCGCGGCAACTGGCTCTGGGACCGCATCTACCACCCCTTCACCGACAAACTAACCGCGAAACTCGCACAGTCCCACCCGGACCTCCCCGTCTTCATCATCGAAGGCGAGTACGGCGCTCTCTTCACGGACCCCGCTTCGCCTCCCTTGGATCTCGAAAGAGTGCCGAATGTCGGGCGCGTGACGACGAGTATCATGGCGATTTCGGTTCTGCGGGCGCAGACGGGGGTGGGGCCGCAGGTGGTGAGCCATATTTTCGGGCTGAGGAAAGCTTTCGAGGATGGGACGGCGCAGTTGGAGGAGGTGGAGGGTGGGGAGTGGTTGAGCGGGAATGAGGGGAGTGAGTGGTTGTTGGGGGAGGTGGATCGGATCGTGCAGGAGCTGGGCGGGAGTACTTTTGCGCCGGGGATGGAGAAGGAGGCGAGGGCGAAGTTGTAGGTAGGGGTGTGAAGCTAAAATGTACATCAGATCTGCAGCAATCCGTTGTGTGCAATAATCAAGCTCTTACTTTGCTGAGCAGGCACCCTGGAAACTTCACTCAACACCCCCCAAAGCGATCTCGGCCGACAGGTGAAGGCGTGTGGTGCAAAGGGTACACAGGCAACTATCTAACAATTTTCACAAACATCCACAGGTTTTGTGCGCTCCTCCTTCATTCACCGCCAGTCTACTGCTCCATCTCCTTCAACCCCTCCGCCACATTAAACTTCGCCCCCGTCTTCTGCTTCACCTCCTCCAACTCCACTCCCGGCGTCAGCTCCGTGAGCGTCAACTCGCCCTTCTCCCGATCGACCTGGAAAACACACTGCGCCACACATTAGCACTGGGCCGCCTCACACCACAAACACTGAAGGTAAACTCACCAAGTCCGTAATGATAGTACTAGCGACCCTCGCTCCCGTCAATGGCAACGACACATTCTGCACCACCTTCGGCCTTCCATTCTTATCCACATGATCCGTCAACACCACAATCTTCGTCGCGTCGGGATTGCTGACCAAATCCATCGCCCCGCCCATCCCCTTGAAAACTTTCCCGGGAATCATGTAGTTCGCTAGATCCCCGTTCGCGCCTACCTGCAAAGCGCCCAGCATAGAGACGTTGATGTGTCCGCCGCGGATCATGCCGAAGGAATCGGAGCTGTCGAAGGTGCTGGCGCCGGTGACGAGAGTGACGGTTTCCTTGCCGGCGTTGATGATGTCGGCGTCAAGTTCTTCGGAAGTCGGGTACGGCCCCATACCCATGATGCCGTTCTCGCTCTGGATCCAGACGTTGCTGTTGGGTGGCAGGAAGTCTGCGGCGAGGGTGGGCATGCCCACGCCTAGGTTGACATACATGCCTGGCTTCAGCTCCTTGGAGGCGCGCTTCGCGATGCGGTTGCGGCGTTGCAGGGCTGGGTTATCTTTGGCTTCGGCTTCTGGGTCGGCGTTGGGGTCGCGGAGTTTCTTGATCTCGATGGTTTTGTCTTCGGTGGCTTGGACGATGCGGTCAATGAAGACGCCGGGGAGGTCGATGTCGTCGGGTTTGAGCTCGCCGAGGGGCACGATGTGCTCGGCTTCCACGATGGCGATTTTGGCCGCTTTGGCCATGAGCGGGGCGAAGGACTTGGTGGTGTAGCGGAACTGGCAGTTGCCGGCCTCGTCAACTTTGTGAGCGCGGAGGACGGCAACGTCGCCTTTGATCGCGGTCTCCATGTTGTAGACGCGGCCGTCGAAGATGCGGGTTTCGCGGGGCTTGCCTGGTTCAATGATCTGGTCGCCTTTGAGCTTGATGGGGATCTCGCCGGTTTGGATGCGGGTGTTCACGCCGGTCGGGGTGAAGAAGGCCGGGATGCCCGCACCACCGCACCGTAGCTTCTCAGCTAGAGTGCCTTGTGGAGTGAGTTCGATCGCCACCTCGCCGGTCAAGTACTTCTTCTCCAGTGACTTGTTGCCGCCCAAGAAGCTGCAGATGGCTTTGGTGACCTGGCCAGACTCCACGAGCGGGCTCAAACCACCGCCGATGGCTGTTCCGGCATTGTTCGAGACGGCAGTCAAGGAGTGCAGGCTGGACGGTCCTCGCTTGTGCATAGCTTTGATGATGGTCTCAGCCGTTCCACACAGACCAAAGCCCGCACTGAGCACAGTCGAGCCCGACTGAATATCTGCTACCGCTTCATCTGCAGATGCGTAGACTTTCGATGCGCTGCGCTGGGCCTGCACTTCCTTCCACAACTTGGCGCTGGTCTGGAAGCCTCTTCGATGTCGCCATTGCGGTTGTGGTTGGCTTTGGGATGACGATGCTATGCAAGCTTGGTTTATGCGGACGCGAACGGGACATGACCGGGTAAGAGTCCTTGTTGTGATTGATGCTATGGCTTCCATGATGGGCAAAGGTCAGATATGAGTTGCTTCGTTAGGCCCAAGTGCTCATGCTCCACGTGCCGTTCAATGGCCTCCGAAGCGTCGTTAAGAGTGGAGAGATGAGCTTTGTAGTGTCGTCTCCCACCACCGCCTAGGAGTGATTCAAGTTCAGGTTGTCGGACAAGTGAAGTGAGGATCACGACGACATCGGCTGTTGTCTTAACCGTGCAGACAACCGTGCGTTGATGGAAGCAGTTTAGGGTGGAAACGGCAGGAGAGTTCGGCTTTGGCAAGGCGTCTTCGGCGCGAGCGGAAAGGCCCCGCTTTTCGACATTCACTTCCCTCCTCCTTCTTTGGGTAACTCATCTGGCCGCATGTCACTTCCGACTTCACATTACATTCTGCTTGACTGCTGTGAAGACTCATTCAATCATGGCTATACCAACGCGGTCTCGACCTGCAAGGTCTCAATCGCAAGGATACGAGCTGCAGTATTCGGAAATATTCGGAACGGAAATATCGCGGAACCGTCTCTGACGAGACAATGTACCAGCTCAGGTGCTGATGCTACTCTAGTCCTACTCGATTCCCTCACATACCGACTTCACGCGAAGCAGCCAGGACTGAGAGTGTGGTCTCACGGAGATTATCGAAGTCTCCAATGATACCTTCGCCGAGGAGACGGCGCAAGGCCCAGCTGATGGTGTCACTCGTCGGTCAAATCGCAGAGGGCGATCTTCGCATTCTAGCCTGCTGGTCTTTAAGCTGTGCTGGTCTCGATGGTTCAGAGATCTTAGGCGTCGAGTTGTTGTTCGTCCCTTACTCAGCATGCAATGTCGAGGTGTTGGTCTTGCCCATGCGGATCCAAGCATACTCGAGTAGCAGCGCCACGTCCAAACTTCACTGCCTGCTTGACGTCCATTGTCTCAAATGCTGCGACCAAAAAACTGGATATCTTCACCCTCCCGCCCACGAAGGTCGCCAAAACTGTTGCTGCCCGGAGGACTGTACAAAGCTTTGGCCATGATGTGCCGTCGGTGGGAATGCTTTCGGTGGCGGAGGTCTATACGCATGCAATGCTGGCGGTGGCACAGTGTTTGGCCCAGGTGACGAGTAGCTATGCGATGCTGCTGTAGATGTAGTAGCACTCCTGCCTGCTGGGGCGTGATTGCTCGCGTGGACCGGTGGAACAAGATGCGATGCTGTCGGTACCTGAGGGTCAGGCACCGCTGGTATGGGAAGTCCTCATCCATCTGGCAAAGGGCCCCGACCCACTGTCTGCGTAGACGCATTCGTGTTCGTCGGTGCCGGCGTACTCGATCTCGCTGGCGGAGTAACATCTGCCGCGGCGGCAGACGCATCCTTCGATGCTGCCAACAAGGTAGCATTGCGACCCTTCGCCAGTGCATACACAGTCTCCAGTCTCGGCATAGGCACGCCATACTGCCGGGCCATCCGTACCGTCGTACCAACGACGGTCTCCACTTCCGTCGGACGGCCTTCTTGCACGTCTTGTGACATCCTCGTCTCGGATTCAGCGCCAGCTTTCTTTCGCTCCATCGCAATAGACAGCTTATCGCGCGCAACCTCCTTAGTGAGGTTAGGGACACCAATAGCTTTAGCGAGATGAACAATCTCCCGCATGATGCCCCTGACGAGGTAGTCCGCAAACGGATCAGAGTTGAAAGAAGGTCTTCATCCTTGCACAGTGTCAGTCACCAGATAGGGCCCCAAGCAGCTCCCATCAGTAGTCTTGAGCAGCGCAAGACTTGGATGTCTGGTCGGTATTCGGCTCCGCCACCACCTTGAACCATGAGACCTGCGAACTCTTTCGCTGTAGCTCTATGCTCGATGGACGTATTTGATGGATACGTTCCGACTTCTAGAATGTTGAGCGTCTCCTGGTAATCGATATGGCCGGGTGCTGTCTCGGTTGCAGGACAGCGAACTGGTGCACTGATGATCGCATTGTCTGAAAAGGTTTGCTTGACTTCTTCTTCGATGCCAATTCCGCTCTGGATTAGTACTATGGCCGTGCTGGTGTTGTCAGCAACCGCAGGTCGGAGTACCTCAGCCAGAGGTGGCTGGCTTCAGTGGAAGATTTGGTGCAGACAAGGACATAGTCAAAGCTACTCCCAGCGCTGTCTTCGATGCTGCGAACTTTTCTTGTAGGCCGAAACTTCACATTGCCGTACCGCACACTGTTCATGGTGAAGCCTTGCTGGGAGACGACATCGTAATTCGACCCGCATACGGCGGTCACGGTACATCCGGCTTGCAGTAGCTGATACAGGTACACCGCGCCAACACCCTCCGCATCGGCGAGCAAGATGTTGGCGCCCTGGCTCGGAGTTGCGTTTCCATGCTTAGATCGATACTTCTTCAGCGCCCGACAGATAGTAGTGCGGGAGGCGATGATACCGAGTTCCTTGGCTTTCTTCTCATTCTGTACCCCCCAGTCATGAGGCAGTTCGCGAGCTAACAGAGCGACATCTTCCTCGGAAAGAGTCTTGGGTGCATTTTCCTTTCTTGGGGGTTTGCGGCCTGTCCGCAGGACGTTGCCGACTGTCGTTTTCGGTATGCCTGTTATCCGTGCGATGTGGCGTGTTGAGTGGCCTTGCTCGCGGAGTGTGTATGTGTCCGCGCAATTCGCGGCCCAGGTGTTGTTTTGGGTTATGCTGGAGAGGGAGAGCCATTCCGGATGGGAAGGGTGAGAGCAACTCGTGTTGGCGGAAGACTGTTGACGCGTCTACGTCATGAGTGAATGCGAGCGCACAACCCTCGGGCAGGCAGTGCTCGCTCTACTCATCCGACGGCGACCACGAACTCCGCCCAGCACCGGCACCGTCAGCATATCTGGCTTGCCTACATACGTACAAGCCACAGCATGGCTTGTTGCCGTCCGAAGTGCCCACAGAGCAGCTTGTGAAGCCCAAGGCGCCCAGAGACCAGGATGAGATTCGGTATCCCGATGTCGGTCATATTGAGTCGAAGCAACAGGACATGTCTCTATTGTTGGACGACAAGATCTAACAGACAGCCTGCCCTTGCAGTGAAGTCTAAGTCTTAACAATGGCAATCAATCTAAGGTTGAAGACTGCCCTCAAACATGGCAGACCAGTACTCGCAACTTTCATGACACTAAAAGGCATGAGGACCGCCCAGGTAGTTGCACGCACAGGTCTCGATGTGAGTAGCTGAGTACGAGCAAGATGAATTGGATACGAATTGACGAAGATGGAAGGCCGTGATTGTTGATCGCGAGCATGGTCAGTATGGAAGACTTTCAGCAATGCCCTGCTGACCCAACAAGGCAACATCGACGACTCGGACATGCACGATATGGTTTCAGCCATTGCCAGCTCAGGCGTCTCTCCCATTGTCCGTATAAGGGGAACCGACGGAACCCTCATCAAGCGAGCTCTTGATACCGGAGCACAGTAGGCCGACCCTCCTTCAGTCCTGTTGTAGCGCTGACCCCCGACAAACGCACAGCGGCCTGCTAGTTCCAATGGTGAACACCGCCGAAGACGCTCGCTCCGTAGTCTCGTTCAGCAAGTTCCCTCCTCGAGGGGTGAGAGGTCAAGGCTCTCCCTTCGCCTGCTTCGAGCACGGCCTCGCCACCCCATCTGAGTACGTCGCTGCTGCCAACGACAACATCGTAAACATGGTCCAGATCGAGTCCGTTGAGGCACTCGAGAACTTAGACGACATATGCGCGGTCCAAGGCATCGATCTGATCTTCATCGGTCCGAACGATCTTGCGTTGGCGTTGCTTGGGTATACGCCCGCGAAGTACACGGAGAAGGTGTTTCTCGATACTATTGATCGGATTGTTGACACGGCGAAGAAGCATGGGAAGAAAGTCGGGATTCTTGCGACTGATGGAGAACATGCGAAGAAGTTGAAGGAGAGGTTCGGATTTGTGGCCATTTCGGCTGATGCGAGAGCGCTGCAGGCGTGGTACAGGAAGCAGGTTGAAGCGGCTGGGTCGTGAGAGGTTCGGTACTTACTTATAGGCAAGATCGGAGAGCTGCTTCGGAGTGAGAAACCCTTGACAATGGCTGCTCACAAAAGTCAAGAGTTCTGTAGCACTGACTCCAATCCAGATGTCGCTCAGTAAACATACACCATGTATACACGCAGCAAGCCATGATTGCCAGCCAGAGTACTCACACAACTACTGCTTCTCAGCATCCTCCATAGCCTGCACAGCCTGCTTCACCAAACCCGCTGTTGGTTGGTCGGACACCGCCATATGCACATCTCTTAAGTTGTTCGACCAAGCAGTCCATCGAGCCTGCGAAAAACCTCTCCACTCCTCCGGACCAAACGAAGAGCCAGGTTTCGCGACCTTGCCCTCAAACGATTTCTCCTGATTTGAGAATGCTCGTAGGGCTGGCGCAGCGTAGATCAACCACACAGCAGCCGCAGCGACCGCGACGTTGGGGATCTCGCCTGGCTCCTCCAGAGCTGCCCGAAGTGTCCAAAGGCCGAAGAGCGAATAGTCTGGTCTGTCCTGTGCCTTGCTGTGGAGGGCCGAGACGAGAGACGCTGTGAAGCCGTTTACGTTGGTCCATTGCTCTCTGCTCTTTTGATCGCTACTTCCTGATGCGGCTGTACGTTCGAGCATTAGTACAAGGAAATGCAGACTTCGACATCGTTGGTCATACCGAAATTCCAAGCTTCACGCAGCTCCCAGCCAAAGATGGGCAGATCCCTCCATACTTTCATCCCATCTACCTCACAGATGGACTCGCCTCTGCTCAGGGTCGGCCTGAAAGCCAAGTTCAACATCAACTCGACCAACTTCTGCTTGTGCTGCGAGGTATGAGGTGTAGTAGCTGCCTCCCCGACAATGGCCTGCCATGCCCTCCACAGCAGCGGCTCGACATTCTGTGCATTCTCCGTCTGGAAGAACTTGTTCTCAACAGGCTGGCAGAAGATATCAAGCGCGTCTCCAACCGATTTCGTGCGGCCTGAGAGCCAGTTGATCACCGCAGTATACTCCTCCGACTGCAGGACTTGCTCGGACGCATTGAGGCCGGATGTTGGGGTGCGCTGTGCGTTTTCTGCCGGATGATCGCGGTGGAAGATGTGGTGGTGGTGATGCATTGTGAACTGGCCTTCGTTACTGCGTTCATCGAGGCATCGTTGTCGTCTTGATCGTACTTCGTCCACCGTTGAACTCGACCCACTCTTTACCGTTCTTCATGGCGTGGCTGCAGCTCTTCGCCCAGCCCGCACGCGACTGCCAGGCGCGAGAGAAATCTTTGCCATACTCCATGCGGACATGCCAAATGGCAAATCGGTCTGAGCAATCGCTTTTGTGCAGTGCAATGCAATGGGCAAGTGGGAAGGAGTAGTTCTAGTGCGATGGCACCCGCGGTCTCGCTAAATCCGGCACAACGTTTGCTGATCTCCAAGCAGGTGGAAGTAAGGTGCTTCGTCTCCTCCTTGGATGATAAATCTGTCCTCACGAACCTCCAGTCGAACGAAGCTAGAAGCGTGTACGCAAACCCGGGCAGAACAGGTACTTCTCCCTTCCTTCCATCCCAATGTGGTAAGCGTCCAGTCATATTCTCTACCTAGCGATCACCACCGATCAACTGCCTTACCCATCCCTTCCCCATCGCCGTCAAAGCCTTGCCTCACTTACACCACCATCAAGATATCGTCAAAGTCCGATACGGCACAACCTCCGCCGTCCCCACGAGCCCATTATCCGAAGGCTCCGACGGACTACCAAAAGGCCCTCCAGAAAACTCAACAGCCTCCCCTGCATTCCGTATCCTCGGCAGAATCGTCTGAATGTAATTCCACATCGTCGTCGGCACGACCGCCAACACCTCGTTCTCTCCCGCTTGAAGGTAAGCAGAGATGTCCTTTTTTGCGTTGTTGTAGTCCAGAGGCGGCAAACGCTGCCCGTTGACGTAGACGGTTATGGCGTCCAGGATTTTGGAGAAGGATATGTAGGCTCCTAACTCGCTGTCATCAGATGGTCCTTGAGGGGGCCAGGTGAACCTTGTGCTGTAGTATCCGATGCCAGAGACGTTCGCGAGAGCAGGAATGTCGAGCCAGGACACGAGCGAGGTGAGCTCGTGCGTGGTGTTGAATTTGCGAGCTACGATGCTGGAGTCGTTGAAGTTGGAGGGTGCAGCCCAGTGTTCGGCGGTTAGCGTCCACTGCGTCAAAGGGATGGTTGCTGGGACGTCCGAGCTGTCGATGGGGATTGACGAGCCGTTGGAGAGGGTAGCGCTGCCGGGTTGCGATAGAGCAGGGACGTGGAGGTCCAAGTCCACGGAGCTGGTATACTTGCATCCGAGCACAGCAGACGTCACGTCCACAAGATGAAGCGGAGGAGCCTTAGGCCAGCCCTCTGGAATGGCGTCGGTGAACGCAAATATAGCCGTCTCGTTGCCAGCGAGATTCAGAGGGATGGTAGTGAAGCTGTCGTCTTGCTCGTAGAGGGGCAACGGCTTGATCTCTCCCGTCCATGCGTCAAGCAGGAAAGCCTTTTTGACCGACGACACTGTGATGGACCCAGTGCTCGCATTGGTATCGCAAAAGACGTAGGCGTAGTCAATACCGCTTCCATCTTCTTCGCGCCACGAGGGATACCAGGTGCCGTTGGTCTGGATTGCAACACGTGGCGACAGACCCAAGGCTCGTAGCTGTTGTGCAGCCTGGCCCTTGCTGACGCTGAACACATTCGACGTGGCTCGGAGCCTGGAGATCTTGTGTTCCACCTGCATTCTGTCGCTCTCGTTCCCATATGGATGATAGCCAGGAGCACCGCCGCTCAAAATGATCGGCAGCCCGGCTGCAGCGTAGTCGATGAGCGCCTCAACACCGTCGAGGGTCATGTTCTGGCTGCTTTCAACGACCATGGCCTTGAATGATGGACCGTCTGGAGCGAGCACGCCGTCATGTACGTGAGCTTGGGGTAGCTTGAAATTGGTGGGGGACAGGTATGCGTAAGTCCAGCCTTGCAACACCTTCGTCAGTTACGGGGCTCTCACCAAGCCTCGAGAGGTACTCACCTTGGTCTTCAAGATCGCTCGGCTGGTACAAAGTCTGCACGATGGGGTCGGTGGCTGATTGTCGGTTGTAGAAAGCGACGTCGATCCGTGGGACACCCTGCTGCTGGACGTACATGATCCTACCCATGTATCGTAGGCCGGCTTCTAGTCCATGGTTCCAGTCCGGCCGCTTGTTGGAGTACTGATCAGAGACTGCGTAGCCAAAAGATACGTAACCTGGCCATGTCGTCTCAGGATATTCACCAGCATATTGCTGGCCGTGGATTATGAATTGATTGACGCCTCCCGAAGCAGCGCGGTTCATTGCCCAGAGTAAATGCGGGATGGTGTAAGTGTATGCATCGCCGAACACAGCGCCAAGTTCGATTGAGAGCACTCGTTTGTCTGTTATGAATGCTGAGCCAGAGAACTGGCGATAGCCGTCCACGTTATCGTAGGCCTGCAGGCTTTCACATTCTGGTACGTCTTCGAGAGGTATAGAAGCTTCCATGTCCATTGGCAGGTTGTACGAGACCTATGATGAATGCTGCAACTGGAGAGCGGACTGGGTCCAGTTCGTGAAGACATTGAGGTACTCGGCGTATCCATCGCGTAACGAACTTCGGTAGGCATTAACGTATCCCATGCCTTCGTCCTCCGTGTCGAGTACACACTGGAGCTCACCTGGTTCCGCGCTTTGTATGTTGATGTTGTTGTTCCCGAAGATGATGAGCGGCACATATGGCTTGATGCTGTAGCCCCAGCGCTCCTCGAATCTGGCTGGTAGAGATGGCGACCAGGAGACGTTTGACAACAGTTCCATGCTATCCTCCCATCCTGTTTGAGGCGTCAGCAACAAACTGATCTACAGCTCCCCATTTGTGACACTTACCGCTGTTGCCCGCTTCGCTCAATAACTCCTTGATGCCGTTTACCAAGATATAGCGATCCCAGAAGTCCGTCACTACTTGGGCCCCTTTGCCGTCAAAGTGGTCTACAATGTAGCAGCCATTGTCGAAGATTGTGTTTGTCGCATTCGTGTCAGGATCGAGGTTCTTCGCGTGTGTCAACACTTGATAGGATGCGAAAATTCTGTAGTGTCCAGAAGTATTGTGAGCCGGGGGCGAGAAGGAAAGAGCACCTGTCTTTGACACCGAGTCTGTCAAATCCGTTAGGCTGTCGTGTTGTAGGACCAGTCTCGTGTAGTTGTAAGGAGGTCCTTGTCCAGCTCTGGGAGGTATGCTCTTCTCGGTCTCTGAAAGCACCAGCGCTGACACGGCAGCTATTAAGTCTCCAGATCCCCAACCGGGTATCGAGTGGCTGAAAGGGGCGTCTTCAGAGACGATGGTAGAATATGTTCTCTGTAGAACATCAGCAACTTCAATTCTGGCCTTCGAAAGTCGACTGGAACGTGCTTGCACCAGCTCCAGAACCCTGAGTCGCACTGCTGCAGTAAGAGCTGTATGGGGTGAAGACACATACCAGATCCCACTGTAGACCTGGGTTGTCCGTCTCTGCGGGCACACCCTGCCCTTGGTTTGGGCCCATGGCGAAGTCCATATACAGACCGCACTCGCGGTGTGTCTCCAATGCAGCTCTGAATATCCTGTTGAACGCAGGCGTTCCAAAGCCATACTTGACCCAGTCGACGACTGGTGTCCCTCCTCCATAGTTGTAGAACGGCAAGAGCTCGATCCCACCGATGCCTAAGTTGGCAGCAGACCTGATGTCGTTCTGTACGGTTGACGGGTCGACACTGGCATCGGGAAGCCAGTATCGGAACCTGGGTCGAGCTCTCGCAGCGGGATGCTCAAACGTGCCATAAGGACGACCGGAGATGCTGGCGTTGCAGAGAAGAAGGAACGGTGAGCACACGAGAAGAAGGCTGATGAACTTAGACATTTTGTTCCTCACTCAACAAGTAACCAAGATCCTGAAACTCAGAGAGCGTCTGTAGGGGACTCTCTCCCATGGTCATGCGAGGGCCGCGATGATATACGCACGCTCTTGCCGTGGCGAGCGTGGCCCACAGCCAGAATGCCTTGCTCTGCGGGAGTGTATACGTTCGGGTGGCATTCTCGCGAGGCCGTCGAAGCACGACGATCGATGAGTAACAGCATGCGGCCGGAGAACGCTCATCGATCTGCAGGCAGATTGGTATGTCGAGAGCTTGTGTGGGCAAGCATTTGCTTGCAAGAGGACGCGGCCGCGCGCGGACAACTCCTCCTTTTCCCCGCAACGGAGCGAGACGGGGCGAGACTGAGCATCGGTTTCTCCAGACGATGGAGAGATCAGCAAGAGACTGGACTGCAACTACAACATCGACACCAGCTCGTTTGGAGATGCCCCGAGGCATGGACTGTACTTGCTCGGGTGATCTTGAGCCGAACGAGGACGTCTGAGCATCTCGCGAGCCATCGATCATCGCCCATCGCCGCGCAAGAGGAGTTCCTTTGAGTTCCTGTGATGATGAAGGCTCCAAGTGAGGGTGACGCGACCTGAATGGCTGATCGAAAGCGAGGAGGTGTTCAGCTAGCACCACGGTCATGATCATCCGCTGTGATGCGGTGTCTCTTCGACCCAGCAAGGCGTGAGGTACAAGTAGCATAGAAATATGCACATTCTAAGCTCAGGACGAGAGTCGGTATTTTCGTAGTCGCCTTTCTTTCTCCGTGATGACTTGGCTACAGGCTTTCAGTACTCTTTGCTTGGTGGCAGCACCGTTCGCTGGCGCAGCAACTGCTGCTCCCACAGCCTCGACACTGAACGGCACTTGTAAGTGTAATGCTTCCTACTGTACGCCTTCTATTGTGCTGACGTATGCTGCTGCTTAGACCGGGGCATCAAGCTTCCCGACCTTTCCCAGGATGTCTTCTGGGGCGTTCCGTTCGCACAATCAAGGCGCTTCGAGCAGGCAGCTCCACTCAACTCGACCTGGAGCCATGCTCGCGACGCTACTACGCCTGGGATAACATGCTCCGGCTACGGTACCAACCCCCGTGAAGGCTGGGAAATTGGTGAAGACTGTCTCAACTTAAACGTCGTACGCCCTCAAGGCGCACATCCCGGCCAAGATCTACCAGTACTACTTTGGATGTACGGCGGCGGGTATCGTCAGGGGAGCAACCGGGACCCAGAGTTCAATACGAGCTTCATGGTGCAGACGTCGATGGAGATTGACCAGCCGATCATCGTTGTGAGCATCAACTATCGCCTGTCTGCATTTGGCTTCCTTGCTTCCGAGGAGGTGGCCGGTAATGGCGCAATGAACATTGGGCTACAGGACCAGCGGCAAGCTCTGAGATGGATTCAAGAGAACATCCATGGGTTTGGCGGCGATCCAGGGCAGGTGTAAGGACATGTGTATCCATTGTGTTCGATGTCTCACTGACGGCATCTTCTCCTCAGCACCATCTGGGGCGAGTCGGCCGGCGCGTCCTCTGTTGCTCTACAGATCATGGCTTACGGCGGAGACACACAGGACCTCTTCCGTGGCGCCATCATGGCAAGTGGTTCCTTCTTCGGATTCGGGCAAACAAGTTTGGCCGATGCTCAAGCTGTATACGACAACATCACGACACACACCGGCTGTGCGGATGCGATCAACTCACTCCAGTGCTTGAAAGACTTGCCGTTCAAGAAGCTCAACCAGACCGTCTACGAGCAGAATGAAGGGCAGAGCTTTGGCCCTGTTATCGACGGCGACTTCTTTCGCTCGTATGCCTTTGTTGCATTCCAGCAAGGCCGGTTGCCACCGATCAACATCATCACTGGCTGCAACTCCGACGAAGGGATGTCGTTAGGTGGCCAGACTAACGCCAATACGTCTACCCAACTAGCTGCGTACCTGGAGAACGGACTGGGCATCAATGAAACCCTTGCACACGAGCTCATGGATTTGTATCCGCTTGACGCCCCTTCTCCGCCATACAGCGTGCCGATTGACTATCCATGGGTGGAAGCCACAGCCAAAGTTGGTCTATACTCCGGGAAACAAACTCGACGCTCGTACGCCATCTTCGGCGACAAGGCCGTCATGGCTGGTCGACGCAAGGCTGCAACCGAATGGAGTCGCTTCGGTGGCAAGGCCTACAGCTTCCGATGGGACACTGATGCTTCTCGGTGAGTCGTACCCAGTTCGTCTTCGAAGTATGTCTCCAGGTTTCTAACATCATCTTCGCAACAGCTTCCCCCTGGTCTACACCCCTGGCCTCGGACCAGGCTTCGCCCAGCACGGCGCAGAGCTGTCGTGGGAGTTCCGCCTCCCCTACATATCCCCGACCCCGTACCCGCCTCTACCCAACATCACAGCAATGCAAAAAGACAGCTACGCAATGCAAGCGACTTGGGTCTCCTTTGCCGCGACAGGGTCTCCAAACAACCACGGGCTGGATTGGGTGCCGCACTGGCCGGCCTATGAGAACGGGTCGCAGAACTTCGTGTTCAACGCCACGTTGGACGACACATTGAATCTGCACATTGAAGAGGACGATTTTAGGAAGGCTGGAATTGAGTGGATGAACCAGCGGTGGGCCATACTGAATCGCTAGCTGCTGGCATAAGCCTAGCAACAGCCTAGCGTACCACAGTACCTAAAACACCGCCGTCCCATTCACATGACTACTCACCCCACCCACCACATTCGCCGGCGCACTCGTAAAGAAAAAAGTATACTTCTTATTCCTCTTCGCCAACTCGGCCACCTTCTCCAGATCCACCATCTCCCCCAACGGCATCCCCCACAGCGCCAACAAATACCCATGCAGCCGATTATAATGATCCTTCGGCGTGGGCCACAGCTCAAACGTCGGCGTATCTCCCGCAACAGCCGCGAAATAGCAGTCGTGCAACCAGTCGATGGTGGCGGGTTCCTGTTTCACGCCCGTCCAGCGCTGGATCCCTTCGCCCTCTTCGCCGAAGACGCGGAGGCCGATTTCGCGGTTCTGTTCGGCGGTGCGGGAGTAGTAGTCTTCTGTCCATCCGGAGCGGACGAACAAGATGTCGCCGATTTGGATATCGCCGCCCTGAGCTGCGGGGCGGATGTCGATGCCTTGGTGTTTGCCTACGGCTTCGAGGTCGTCGTAGGAGATGGGGTGGGAAGAGGCGGAGTCGTATTTGATGCCCTTTTCTGTTGCGTAGCTGCGGTAATCGAGCAGCACTCCGCGGCCTGCGAAGCCGTGCTGGGACCAGTAGTGGATACTGTCTTTGTCATTCGCGTTCGGGCCTAAGAAATCGGTGCCTTTGGCGCCGTTGTAGAAGACTTCTGAGGCGTGGGCGGCGTGGCGGAAACCATCCCACTGCGTCCCACTCTGCGTATTTAGAAAATAAGTATCATCATAGGCCACGTTCTCCCGCAGCGTCTTGATCTCGTGCTTAAAGGTCTCACGGCCGAACGCAGGTTGCTCAGGGACGTTCAACGGGAGATCCATGCGTGCGAGTTCGCCAGTCTTGATCTCTGCGGCTGCGGCTTTGACGCGAGAGGGGGTGAGGAGGTTCAGGCGGCCGATGTAGTCGTCTTTGCCCCAGAACCAGGCAGCATCTTTGGGAGCACCAGGGATAGAAGGGAGTTCTGCGCGGGTCGGGAAGGATTTGGAGTTTGGGTCCCAGGTCTGGGAGGCCATGTTGGTCGTATCTTGATCTGGTATTGAAGCCTGAAAAGAGATCTCGCAGAGACGGAACAACGGCTTCTCCCCAAGATCGAAGTTTGTTGCTTTGCAGATTTATCTCAGAAAGGTATTGTACTGATGTGTTGCTGTCTGGGAGAATGTGAAGTTGGGCAGTCGATATTTGGGAAGCAACAACATGAGGGGTCTCGCAGCTCCAACGCCCTCACCTCGGCCAACAAACTCGGTACGACTCAGATCCAGCCAAAGTCGAGACAAGAGAAATCTGTCGGTGGAAACACGCGAGTTTTGCTTGTGAAGAATAATTGTCACGATTCATGTATAAGAAACCACGGCATGTCAACAATGCTTACCACAGTGGCGAATCCTCCATATGTTCGCAATTGCGCACTTGAATTGTAGCGTGAGCGTTGCATGATGGGCAACCAAACTTGCGATTGGCATAGTAAGGTAGCGTAGCATCGACCTTGCCATCTCACCCTGCGAGAAGAACTGCTCTGCGCGAAGACTTACTCTGTCTCGGCTTGAATGGTAAGCCAAGCTCCGCTCAAAACCATTTGAGACCACTTTCAAGTTCTTGTCGTCGACTCATTGCAGGCCGAAGAAGGCCCAAAGAAGTGCGCATTTCAACGACGCCTTCTCAAACCAGGTAATGGGAATCACCGTCGTTGCTGCAAGCGGAAGCTCCACGGCTTTTGATAGTAGAACTTGACATAAGACCCAGGCCATCCTTCGCCGTCCAAAGCTCGAAGTCATGCAGAGAGGATCCGCCAGTAGTGGAAGAGACAGGCTTCCGGGAAACTCTATGCTCTGCTGAGTGAACATCGACAGTGTTGCTCGTGTTGACTGACCGGGCAAACCGACCACTTCTTGGAGGATGGCTGTGCAGCAAGTTCGCATCGGCCACACTCTCGTACGTTTGCAAGGAGCTCGCGAACCCAAGCTGGTCATACTGAGGCGGCTCACAAGGCGCACAAAGCCACCCGTGTACAGGTAAGCTGCTGGCAGGGCCGGCTGCTCGCTTGCTTTACATCTCCAAAGATGACTGTATAGCATAGCTGTATTGGGGAGGTGTAGTGAGACTGCAGCACTGCGTTCGAGTTTCAGCTGCTCCAACAAGAGGCCGTTTGCCACCCACTTGGCCGTATCGTCTGATCAACACAGGTGCCGGGGAGAAGTGATCTCAGATACGAAGTTCTGAGCCATTGGTTGGCGCGGCAGCGTTTACGGTCTCAGAGGTCCATCTATCTTGAACAAGGTGTTGCCACCCACGGCGCGTCGCAGGCGTTGGCTTCAGAGCTGATGCCAGCTGGAGTCCGCGCGCGTGGCAGCTTCTGAATTCTCTGTCGTGCTACGTCGCCGTCTCGACATGGTTGCGTCGTTTGGCGTGTCTCGTTTCATAACCGCTGCCTTCCGCCACGCTCAAAGGGGGACTCACGCTCAACTTGCATCAAGGTTGGTAAGAAAGCGGCATCCAGATGCGGCAAGGCGTGCGAGATTGCGAGTGTGATCGAAAGCAGAGCATGTAGGGAGTGGCGAGCAGAGGCATCGCGCAGAGTCCTCAGGTTTCGAGAGAAGTCGAGTATATTTCTTCTTGCCCGAGTCGGCAACGAACAGCGAGATCGACGAGGTGTTGTTTCGCTCGAGGGCACGTTCGGGAGTGGCCGCTATACCAAAGCCAATCATATGAGACAAATTCTCAGCAATGACGCCGCGCTCTCCACCCGCATCGCCGGCAGACACGGAGAGGTGTTGCGGCTCTTGAGATGTCGAGAAGCTTGTCCATTGACCCCCAGTCTTGCACGTCACCGCGTAAATAGCCGATTCTCTCTCAAATTCGCCACTCCGAATAGAATATATACACCTCTTCTTCGCCCTTCCTCTCTTTCTTCTGACATCCACTCATACTACCAACAACAGTCAAGATGGCACCAAGCGGATTCGACCCAGCGACGCAGGAGAAGGGCACCCTCTCGAGGGACTACGTCGACGATCGACAGGCATCGTCTGAGGACTGCCTCTACACCACCTCCAACGGCGTCCCTACCGCACACCCATACGAGTCGCAGCGAGCCGGCGAGAATGGTCCTCTGCTCCTCCAGGATTTCCACCTGATCGACCTCCTCTCGCACTTCGACCGTGAGAGAATCCCAGAGCGTGTGGTCCACGCAAAGGGTGGCGGCGCCCATGGTTATTACCAGACCACCGACCCCATGGACGACGTTTGCATGGCGGACATGTTCAAGGCCGGCAAGAAGGTCCCCATCACCGTACGCTTCTCAACCGTCGGTGGCGAGTCGGGCTCCCACGACTGTGCTCGTGACCCGCGAGGCTTCTCCGTCAAGTTCAGGACCGACGAGGGCAACTGGGACATGGTGGCGAACAACACCCCAGTTTTCTTCTTGAGAGACGCCGCCAAGTTCCCGCACTTCATCCACACCCAGAAGCGGGACCCATCCACCCACCTCACGCACGCCGACGACTCGACGATGTTCTGGGACTACCTCAGTCAGAACCCCGAGTCCGTCCACCAAGTCATGGTCTTGATGGGTGACCGTGGCATCCCAGATGGATGGCGCCACATGCACGGCTACGCCGGCCACACCATGAAGCTCGTCAACAAGGACGGCGAGTGGGTGTACGCCCAGATGCACATGAAGAGCAAGCAAGGGTTCTCCTTCATCACGCAAGAAGACAGCGCCAACTACTCGCCCGACTACGCGCAGAAGGACCTCTACAACGCCATCGAGAAGGGGGACTACCCCGGCTGGGACGTCTGTTGGCAGATCATGACAGCTAAGGAGGCGGAGAAGTTGTACGAGGAGCAGAAGATTAACGTCTTCGACCTCACGCACATCTGGCCGCAGAAGCAGTTCCCGCTCCGCAAGGTCGGCGAGTTCTACCTCAACGAGAATGTGAAGAACTACTTCGCCGAGATCGAGCAGATTGCCTTCTCTCCCTCCCACCTCATTCCCGGCATCGAGCCCTCCGCCGACCCGGTGCTCCAGAGCCGTCTCTTCTCCTACCCAGACACCCACCGCCACCGTGTCGGAGCCAACTACCAACAACTCCCCATCAACGCCGCTCGCACCCCATACCGCATGGCCAACTTCCAGCGTGACGGCCCCATGGCCTTCATCAACCAGGGCTCGCGCCCCAACTACCTCAGCTCCATCGAGCCCATCTCCTTCCGCAAGCGCCAGGTCGACGTGGACAAGACGCACGCCCACTTCGTCGTGGACGCCGTGTCCTTCCTCTCCGAAGTCCGACCGGAGGACTTCAACGCCGCAAGGAACTTGTGGGAGAAAGTCTTCGACGACGGCGCGAAGGAGCGCTTCATCAACAACGTCTCCGGCCACATGAGCACGTGCCGCAAAGAGGAGATCATCAAGCGCCAGATCGGTATCTTCCGCGAGGTGTCCGATGACCTCGCCAGCAGGCTAGAGAAGGCGACTGGCATCAAGGGCTACGATGGTATCTCGAACTTGAGGTTCAATGGCGAGCACAACGGGATGGCCAAGGACAAGAGCTTGAAGGAGGCGAACGGGATGGATCCTAGGGAGCCAACACGCAGGCCGTTCAACAATGGCGGGCCCACCATGGGTCAGCACCAGGAGGTTGCTGCGATGGGTTGAGCTCATCATCGAACTGCTTGATTACGAAGTAATGGGTCTCGTTTTTTGCGATTAGTGTAGCTGTTCATAGCTGAGCTGGAACATGTTAGCTTCATCAACTTCAACCATCTGCTTCACCTTCGCTTGAATTGAGCTCAGTCAGCACCTCGATTTTAGGACTTGCCTTTCACTACCTACCCATTAGTCAAATCACAGTCGAGACCCCTGCGTTGCACAAGATCTTCACCAATATCGAAGTCTTGAGATACAAAGCAGGTGGTCATCACTTGGGGTAGATAGTGTACGTGACATGCTTGTCTGTGGTGCTGTACAGTGTATTGTATTTGTATGACCGATGCTTATTGAAGTGCCAGACTTCTCTCCTGCAGCGCTGACATGGTGACATCTCATCTTGATCGACAACTCGCGCAGCATATGGCGCTGCCGTAGGCCTCACTGCCTGCCGTGTCACTCGTCTTCGACATCTTCATCCCCTCCCACCACGTCGTCGTCGTCACCCTCTTCATCGTCAGCGTCATACACACTGCCCTCTTCCTCCTCGCTCTCCTCCTCCTCTCCTTCATTCTCCTCTTCACTGCCCTCACCCTCCTCGTCCTCATCGCTTTCCTCTCCAACCTGTCCGCCGTCACCCGCAAGCCCACCACCATCAGCCCCACCATCAGCACCCCCATCACCAGCATGCTGACCGCCACCAAAAGCGAGAAAGTCCTGGAAAGCCTGCCCGAACGGCTGACCGAACCAACCTCCATCCTGACCAAGCACAGGAAGACCGCCGTGCTGGCCGAGCTGAACGAAGCCTGCACCCTGGGGAGGAGCGAAGGGGAAGGGGTTCCAGCCCCTAAAGCCAGGCACATGCGCGGGCGGAGGCGGGGGAGGACCGGGGACCCAGAAGCCGTTCACTATCTGACCGACTCCCGGCGGGACCAGAGGAAAGGGCTGCTGCTGCTGCTGCTGCTGTTGATCCTGCTGTGCCTGCTGCATCATCGCCTCATGGACAGCGTCATGAGGGTCGATGGCACCCTCTTCAGCGTACGGGCAGCCGTCATTGTGCCCCGTGCCGTCATTGTGCCCCGTGCCGTCATTGACTGGTCGTACGTGGCCAGACAGTGCCAACACCAACTTTTACTGTCAGAAGTGTTAGCTGGACTCGAATGGATGAGGGCGGCGGTGATTTCAGACTTACTGGCACAAGGGCACAGTGCATTTGACCCGGTCGCATCTTCCATCCTTCTCGGTTCTGGTGCCGCAGGACGGACAGTTCTTCGTCTCCGCCTGAATCCACCCGCGAGACGCCTCTTCTTCCACCAGCTGCTCATCCGTCGTGATGCGTGCCTTGTACTCATCACGGGTGTCGCCGTCGTGATAGGGAAGTTCACAGGCAGTGCAGGCCTCCGCACCACATTCCTCGCAGGTGAAGACGATGCCAGCGGCAATAGCATCCGCCTTCGTCATTCCGGCAGTCACCTTGGGCTTGACTGATGGTGAATTGATGTCAGGCTCGTGGACTTGGCCAAACTTGCACTCCGGCTTCATGCACCAGCGCCAGCCTGGCTTCTGCTCACTCTCGGCCCTTTGCTTGAGCTCCAAGTAGCGCTCGAAGTCAGCGGCGTCTGCGTGGGTCTTGACGTCGTTCTCAATTAAGAGCTCCTTGCACACCTTGGTGTCTGGACAGCCAAGCTGGTCGAACTTCTTCACCTCGAGCTGTGCGTGAACCCACGCTACCAGACAGTCAACGCAGTAGTTGATGTCGTGGTTGCACTTGCTGGTAGGGGTCTGATCCGGGAAGTCCGCCAAAGGAAGACTTTCTTGACATGCCGAGCAGTTACGAAGTTCAGGAGCTACGCGCTTCGACTTCGACTTGGTGACACGATGAATGTCTTCGGCTGCTAGAGCATCTTCACCCTGAAGGCGAGCGCTGCGGCGTGTTTCGGTGCCGGCAGGAGGGTCTTGACTCGTGGCTTTGTCGCGAGCCATGGCGAAGACGGGGTGGATGTAGGTGCGTGAGGTAGGTGAACTGATTGCAGGCCGAGGATACTGGGGGGCGCTGGAGGGTGAGGTTAGTGGGCTCAAGAAGCGTGTGGGTGGACGTGTTCACGTCTCCAGCGACCACTGTTGAAGGGTTCGCTGAGGTCCTCTACTCGAGGCGAAGTTGTTGTGGACAGGAGGATGAGACCAACCTTGACGAATCGCGACTGGATATGTGGTTAGACTTACTTGTTCGGACGACGTAGCTGCTCTGCTTCCGCAATCAAGAAAGTGCTGTGTTCTTGTTGGTGCGCTGGTGTTGAAGCTGGTGAGCAGCGAAATGTCGTGGTGGACGCGGAGGAGCCAGTCGAAATCTCCTGAATGGCGTCTGGTGTGTTGCCGTTCCGATCGTGCCAAGCGCGGAGGGTCCCCATTCGACACAGCGGAGTTTCGGCGCCGGCTCGAGGAGGCCCCACGCCCTTTGAGACAACAGGTCTCTAGGTCGAACAAAGGCCCTCGACCCGAGGCTCCCACCGCAGCAGAGTGACAACATGGCCACGGAGGCGCAGCGAACACGTTGGCCCCTCCCGCTCTGACAACCATTCGCTAACCGCTGAGCAGGGCACTGGCATGCTGGACGAGAGCTACGCTTCGACGTGCTTGGTCCTCGCGTCGAGCGTAAGACCGCTGAACCGTCATGACCGCCGACAGGAAAGCCAGCAATCGGTTCTCACACAGCGCAGACTATACCAGACGCCCTCAGATGGTCATCGACACTGCGTGACAGCTCCAGCGGCTCCCGCTCTGTCATTATGACTGGCCTTGAGTACGATCAGGTCCAGTCCCGAGGTCTTCGGCCATCAGGATGGACAGCTAAGCAGCAGCTCAAGTTGAGCACTCGTAACCGCGAGGCCAGGTTGAGGTAAACCTCACCATAAAGCATCAGGATTCTACTACTGGCATCTCACCAGTCAGGACCTCCGCAGCTAGTATGCCTGGGTACTCGACAGAGAAAGCCATCGCTGCCAGAACATCACATACATGATGCTGAGGACTGCTGTCTGCTAGAACGCGTCTAACGTTGATGGATTCCTGCTGCTCCGCCGATACCAGATGCTTCAAGGACGAGGCCATAGCCGGAGTCAGTGCCAGTACATTCCAGAAAGCAACATTCGGGTCCAGTATACGTTGTTCAGGACAATGGAGACCTCGGGCATCCATTGATGTATACCTCGCCGCTTCTGGCGAGTCGCTCCCTTTGTTGGAAGCTGGAGTGAAGTCGGAAGTCGGGCCCAAGAAAGTGGAAGCTTTGCCGGCAGAGCCGCGTGGCGAGATCTGCAGGAACGATCTGTGCTCTCCCAACGCTTCGATCCTTGACAAGCCTTCGCCGAGACGACAACAACAACATCTGCTGCTGCAACACCTCGTCTGGCTCGTCTCATCAGCAGTGATATACGAACACACCGCGCCGACATCGCTCCAACCGCTGCACCCGACAATGGTTCTCCATCGATCCGACGAAGGGCGACGACGATGACAGACCACGCACACTGCAGGGGCAGCGGGCCATCGTGGGCCTCGTATAGCTCGATTTAGACGGCGCCATCCAAACCGTTGACGAATCACTCACCAAGCGACCACAAGCTTCGCCAATGAATGGAGATCGCCTTCTGGAACCTCTTCCCGGAGTCCACCTTGACGTCGTGTTCTTTAAAGCCTCCCGCGTTCTTCTGTTTTTTTTTTGCCTCCCATTTCATCATTCCACCCAGGTCATTCGTACGGGTTTGTTGCTTATATTCCCTTTGCATCCTCTTCTGTTTCGTGCTCATCCTTCTATACTCTTTGGACCGTGTTGTATAATCTTGAAGCCTTTCTTACAGTCGTTTCAATCAACATGCGTTTCTCAACCACCATCGCTGCAGTCGCAGCAGCCACCCTCCCCTTCGCCTCCGCCTTTCACCAAGGATTCAACGTCGCCGCCACCAACCTCGACGGCTCCTGCAAAACTACCGCCCAATGGAAGACCGCCTTCCAAAAACTCCACAATCTCCCGCAGCAAATCTCCAAGGTCCGCCTGTACGCCTCTAGCGACTGCAACACCCTCGCCAACGCCGTCCCGGCCGCCATCTCCACCAACACCAAGATCCTCGTCGGTGTCTGGACGGAAGACCAAGCACATTACACCGCTGAGAAGAACGCGCTCGAAGCGGCTATCAAAGCGCACGGCTCCGACTGGATCCTCGCCATTTCCGTCGGCAGCGAGGACCTCTACCGCGGCGACACGGACGCCAACACCCTCGCCAACCAGATCTACGACGTGAAGGGCATGGTGCACCAATGGAACAACAAAAAGGTGGGACACGTCGACACGTGGACCGCCTGGGTCGACGGCGCCAACCAAGCCGTTATCGCCGCCTCAGATTTCCTCGGCATGGACGGATACCCCTACTTCCAGAACGCCGCCATCGCCGACGCAGCCTCCGTGTTCTGGGACTCCGTGCAAGCGACCCAGAACGTAGCGGGCGGCAAGCCCGTCTGGGTGACTGAGACCGGATGGCCAGTGTCGGGCCCCAACAGCGGCGCAGCGGTGCCGAGCGTGGCGAATGCGAAGAAGTACTGGAACCAGGTGGCTTGCCAGGCGTTCAAGGAGATTCCTATCTTCTGGTACGCGTACCAGGACTTTGGCGCGAGCCCGTCGTTTGGCATCTTTGGCAAGGGTGGGAAGAAGATTTATGATCTTGCTGCTTGCCCGTAGAAGCTGAGCGAGATGAGAAGGTGGTGTCGGTGCTGGCTGGTGCGTCAAGAGAAGCTCGTTCGGCTCGTACTGGATAGATGCGAATGTCGTGGCTTGGATTGCCTCCGCCTCCGTCATCAAAGGGTGTAATAGCATGTCAGGATGTGACTTTCTGGGAGAGGATAGCGTCGCAGACGCGCCGCTTCGACACCAGGGCTGTTGATTTTGAACTCCAGCATAGCGGCGGTATTAGGGGCGTCCATAGAGTTGTACAATCAGATCAGTCTCTCCAACGGTTTCAGTCTCAGCATGCTACCATGCCAAAGCAAACGTGTTCCTAAAAGTGTCAGATGTACATTGAATACCTTGAAGTCACGACAGTGAGCCTGTCAAAACAATCATGAAGGTGGGAGAATGCAGAATGTCATGGTCTTGATTCGCTGTCTCAGGTATGCATGGTCTTATCTACCCTTCAACCAAATTCCATCGCATGCAAGTGTTGGGTATCATTGGGGTATCATCGCAAACAAAGCAGCAATCATATCATCGTCGTCAGAAATCGTTCGCCCGCATACCAGCGCATGTCATGCAAGCTCTTTCATCAACCAAGAAACCCCTCTCACTCAAGATGCCCATCACCGGGAAGACCTTCTCTCGACAAGCCCATCACCCAAGAAGCCCGTACTCATGCCCAAACACCCCGTCGAGACCGGAGAATAGAGAAACCAGCGGGTGCCAGTTGCTGACCTCACCCAACACAAAGCCGCCGACACGCTGACGCGCGAGGTCGTTCGCTCCGGTCCAGAGACGCCGTTCGCCGATCACAGCAGCTAGTACGAGGGCGTAGAGCACGAGGCCGAGGAGGAGGAGCGGCTGGAGCCAGGCGGGAGTGCGCGTGATGGTGCTGACCTCTCTCACGATCTGCACTTCTGGCGGCGCAATCACAGCAGCTGGTGCAGGCTTCACCGGGCTCGTGGAGACGGAGACGATCTTAGAGAAGCCGAGCGGGGCGGGAGTAGGAGGCTTGCTGGCGGCAGGGCGCTTGGTAGAGGTGGGGCGCTTGACTCTATCCATGATGGAGATGGGGCGCAAGATGGGGCGCATGGAGGAGGCCGGGTGCTTGACGGTCTCGTCGGGCTTCTCGTCGTCGTCTTCTTCGATGCTGCTGTCGTGGCCGAGGTCGTCGAGCTCATCTTGCAGTGAGGCGCCGGAGACGAGGCGGCGGTTGCTTGGTCGGTCGAGAACAGGACGGCGGCGCATCAGGGGATTCTCAATGCGGTAGGCGTGGTCACTGCGCACACGGTCGAGTATCTCTGGTAGTGTGAGTGCCGACCCTTCGTTGGAGATCTCTTGGAATTCTGCCTGTGCGTCGCGCATCGCCTGGGAGGCTTCGTTCTCTTGCTGAAAGCCATCTCTCTCTTTCTGAAGCTCTTCGATGGTCTCCTGCGCTTGCTGAAGTTGCTCGCTGACCTTCTCTTTCTCTCCTTGGATCGTAGACTTAGCGGCTACAAGCTCGGTGTAGTCTGCAGTTTGCTTCTTGCTGGCTTCAACCTGGCTCTTGAGTTCGGTGATGTGCTTGTTGGCCACTTTAAGTTCGTCGCTCGCAGCTGTCACCTCTAAGGCGCGGTCTCTTCTTGCCTGTTTCGCCTGGGTGAACTCGAGTTTGTCTTTGTGGTATTGCTCTTTGATGCCCTTGAGGTACGGCAGGTCTCTCTCAGCCTCTTGGACCTTTTGTACCATCGCATCTCTCTCACGTGTCAAGTCGACGACTTGGGTCGTCACCTTGTGGTTGTATTCTTTGCCCTTCGCAATGGTTGCCCGGAGCTGTTCAATCAGCGCATCTTTCTCGGCCAAGCGGTCGTAGTCAGCTTCGGTCGTCTTGCGCGCATCGTCGGCGTCTTTGCGCAACTTGGCAGGCGACGCTTCTGCCATGGTTGTCAGCTGGTTGTAGTGACGAACAGCATTGTGAACGTGATAAAGACTTACTGGCGTTGCTTTGTGATTTTTTGGCAGGTTGGTTTCGGAATGGGACCAATGGATTCGCGGACGGCTTCGGCGCGCGAGCGGGAGCGGGAGCGGGAGCGGGAGCGGAGATTTCTGTCGCCGATTGGAGGAGTATCTTGTCAGGACCGTCCATGTCGAAGGCGATGATAATAGGTTGAAGAGAGTGTTGTGGTGTTTTCGAATGGGTTTCGATCTCGGAGAAGGCAAGGTCAGAGTCTGAAAGTGCGAAGGTTGTGTGAGGAAGAAGGGAGCCAGAAGCACAGATGAGAGGTTCTATACCTTCTCGACAATAGGAACATTGAAAATACTCATCTCAAGAGGACCCATGGTATTGTTGGTATTGTTACTCCCTCGGAGAAGACGTTTTGAAGGTCGACAATAGAGCCAGCCAATCACTCGTCTCGAGGTCCGTGTCAAGCTTAAACCACCTCAGCATGCGATACAGCACTGGATCCCAATCTCGGAGAAGGCAGCCCAGGAGCTCGTCTCGATATCGATATCTATATCGATTTGAAAGCAGTTCAACATGCCGCATAGCTGTAGATGTCGTCTCGGAGCTCGAAAAGTAATCCCGTACACTCGTCTCGAGATCGATATTGATTTGAAAGCAGCTCACCATGCTGCATAGCAGTAGATGCTGTCTCGGAGAAAGAACGAGGGACCGGGTCGACCAGCAACCGGGGAGCTCAAAAGTAATGCCATCTGCTTATCTCGAGGTCCATATTGACCTGAAAGCAGCTCAGCATGCCATATAGCGCTGGGTGCCCGTCTTGGAGAAGAAACCAGGGATGAATCCGAATAGCGACCGCGGAGCTGAACAGTAAAGCCATCCACTCATCTCGAGGTGCATGTTAAGCTGAAAGCAGTTTAGCATGCCGCGTAGTAGTAGATTCTTGTCTCGGAGACGGACTCAACAGGAAAGCCGTCCTCTCGTCTCGAGGTCGACAAGGCGTTGAAAATAGCTTTGCCAGCGTGGCGCATAGCACTGGATGCCCATCTCGGAGAAGGAACAAGGCACGACATTAACCACAAGGTTGAGCTGGTCTCTCCAGGTCCGCGTCAAGTTAAAAAGCAGCTCAGCACGCCACATAGCAGTGGATTGCTCTCGGGGAAGGCAATCTGGAAGCTCAACAACACAGCCGTCCACTCCTCACAATATGCATGTCCAGCTGAAAGCAGCTCAGCATGCCTCAGGTCGCTAGATTCTCGTCTCGAAGAAGGGACAAGGGTAAGGTGTCGACCAGGAGGCTGGGCTGGCTTCTCGGCTTCCAGGCAGGATTGCTTCGACTTCACTTCATACCCAAGAATAGACATGAAACGCAGCCACAGTAGAATAAGAATGAAACCGCACGAACATACCATTGTTGCCATTGTTGCCGCTTCCATTGCACTGCGGCAAGCTGCCGACAGTAAAAGGGGCCAACAAGGCCGGGAAGAGGTGTGTGAAATGGATCTTCTCGCAAACCAGGACAGCCTGCCGACGACAGCGGTGTGGCCTCCTTGGGAGCATTTGGCGGCAAAACTCCTGATATGACCTCCGAGATGGTCCGACTCCCTGATTCTTTTCGGGGATTCGCTCTGAATGATCGGGCGCAGTGTGACCGCGACTTGGGCGCAGCACAAATGCTCGGAGGCGATTTACCGATCGAAACCTCCGTGTGCCTCGGGACCGATCGTTTGCGATGGTCGAAGACTACACGTTCGCCGAGCAGAAACTCGTGGCGTCTATCGAGACGGCCAGGCATAATCAGTGCTGACATGGTGTGGCGAGTGCCGGACCTGGAGAGAGATCTAATGCTCATTAATAGAGACAGGGAATGGGCGTATTACGTGGAGGTCTTGTAGTCTTCGAATAGCCTTCTGCGTCGGTCACTGTGGGTGGCTATGAGTTTCGTCTCAACTGTCCATATTTCGAGCACTCGCTTTTGACGAGCCATGCCGGCTTGGTCGAGAGCATTCCAGGTGCGCAAGGCGAGCCTCGGAGACGCCATGGCCTGTGGTGGCATGGGCGAGCGATTGGAACGCCGATCGACGAATGAAGTGAGGTTGGAGTACAGGAAGAATCGCGGCTGCTTCGTCAAACAGGTTTCCACGCTTGTGCCAAACGCCAAGACCGGGCTCCTTCCCCTTTAGAATTAGGCGGATATCAATCTCGAGACCTTCCAACACAACATCTTTCTCTCATCGGCTGCCTCAAGGGCACTTACCATCCACCATGCCGCCACGAATACCATCACATCGCGTTTGCCAGTACTCTTCATCGCAATGCTTTCGTACCAGACCCCAGCCGCCTCCTGAAGCATGTGAGAAGCAAGTCCGCCAGTTCCACCACACTCCTCGCAATGCCACTCGCCTGCGCCGAAACATGTTCGCATGGCTGAATGGGCCCGGCAAAGTCTTTCGCGACCCCTTGCCCAGCAGTACGAACTACCTCAGTGCTTACGACAAGAGCGGCAACCTCCTTCGGGCGCGCCAAGAAAACAATAACTCGAAGCGGAACCTGTCCGAGTCCGACGTTGCCGAGCTGGACGAGAACGAAGAAGAGCTGCAGAACCGTGACCGCGAGTCTGGTCTAAGTCAAGAAGATGTGCGCAAGCGATCGGATCTCAGACAGCTTAGACGGCGGGAGAGGGAAGATCTGGAATCCCGAGGCGGCGTGCCGAAAGAGCGGGCAGCAGACTTGCGGCCATACCCTCTCAACCAGCAGTTCAGGAGCCAGCCTGTGCTGTCAGAAGACTTGCGGGAGAAGATCTACGAGCTTGTGGCGCTTGACAGACTGGATCTGAAGAGCGTCAGTGCCACTTTTGGCATTGATATTCGGCGAGTGGCTGCTGTGGTCAGATTAAAGAGTGTCGAGAAGCAGTGGTTAGAAGAGGTCAGTGGCTTTCTTTCTCCTTTCCACATCCACTTCAATGATGAGTGCAATTCAAAATCGATTAGTCTTGAAGACACATACATGGTTACACACGAAACACTGCGAACTTCTCTGATATCTAGCAATTCACCCATACTTCCCAGCAATGGCGATTCATGCCTGATACTGACAATCTGCCAGGGCAAGAGACTCGCCAAACCCTACAACGACGCCGTCATGGCCATGCTGCCCCAAACGGCCTACGTCGAAGGCCGCGCACCTCAAGTCCACGAATCCATTAACGACCTACCTGTGCATCCCTACACACGACAACAAGTCTTTGTTCCAACGTCAGAATCTCGAGCCTACACTAGAGAAGACGCTGCCAAAGCATTTCACCCGAATCTTCTGCCAGCCGACAAGCGCATTCCACATCCGGAGCTCATCCAAATCGCCAAGTGGGAGGCCGAAGGCCACGATCGAGAATCGCGACAACGGCTGATGCAGGAGAAGGATGCTGAAGCCGCTGCTGCGCGGGCGGATAAGGAGAGGAGGCAGCAGGAGTACGAGGCGAGGACACAGGTGGTCGTCAAAGGACGGCGCTGGGACTTCAAGTTCCAAGATGTCAGCGCCGAGAAGACTGGCAAGGATGGCAGAGGACGGCACGCAGTTGGACATCGCTACGGAATGCCGCTGGAGGATCGGAAGAGAGGACAGGTCAAGATACCGACTAGTGTTGAATAGATATCTAGCTGTACGATGTACATATACCCACCAAACTGCCAAGCGGGAGACTGAAAGCGGCCCAGCGGACATGTCTGGCGGCCATCTCTCAAACCCAATCAATCCGAAAGGAATATACTGCTCTCCTAGGCAAAGTTTTCTCGTCCCGTCAGCAGACTTCCCACATGACTCTAGCCCTCTCCCACTGTCCTTCGCTTGGGCAAGAGACCATGATAGCGGCTGATGAGGGTCATCTAGGCAGTCTTCTCCGAGACCCGGTTGTACCTCACAAAATTACGTCCCTCTCATTGTTGAGCTGTCGCTGTCTGTGGGAAGTTCCCTTCCACAGCTGTAATCAACTGCTGAAGAGATCCCGTTCCTTCGAGACGACTATCAACAGGAAGCCCAACTGAGGGAAATCAAGGATCTACGACAGCACAGTGGCAACGCAATCAGCAAATCCTAGTCTCGAGCCCTAACGGACAGACAACTCATCAGATTCTGAAACTTCTCTTGTGCCTCTTTCGAGCCCCTGAAGTGCGCCATGTGCTGGTTGATGCAGCCAACAATCTCTGGTCGGAGCTCTTCAGCAGAATCTGCGTGGTCCACGTAGACGTATCGAGCGACTTCGTCTAGCGGTCCAGGATACTTTTTGTCTGTTGGTTCCCGCAGCGTCTTTAGCCACAGCCAATGAAGCGCCAACCTGAACTGATAGTTGCGGCCGCGCGTGACGTATTCATCGTCTCCACGTGGCAATACTTCCTAATGAGACCGAAGAGTAGAAGGGTTAGCAACTGTCTCAATGCTGTGGAAGAGTTCAAAAGGCCTCGAAGCGCCACTTGAAGTGTCATGGTGTCTCGGAGAAGACTCTGACCCATCTATGCTTACCTCGAGAAGAGTCTGCACCATGTACTTGTTGGCTACGACAAAGAGGTCGACGATGTACCTGTGCAAAGTTTACTTAGCATCACACACTACTTGCTGTACCAAGAGAGGCGAAAAAGGCTCACTTCGCGTAGCGAACGCCTTCTACATTCGGCCTGATCTTGTAGAGGTAGTTCCAGTTGGCATTGTCGCTGAGCAGCTTGTAGGTGCCGCAGCCGTCGTCGTGCAGGCAATATATCCACGCAATGAGTCCTTTGATAGCATGCGGGTCGTCCTCGTGGAGCATGAGCTCGTTGCTGTAGAACTCCAATCGGGCAGTGGCTGTCAGATGCAATTCCGAAACAGTTTAGGGTCCGCCATAGCGGCAAATCCAACCGGACTCCCAAGGACAAGCTGTATGCCAGCTGTGCAGACCTACCTGGTACTCTCTTCTGTTGAACGCTGCGTTGAAAAAATTGGACTTGAGTGCGAGGAATTTCTTGTGCGCTTTGAGCTCATGGCCGCCGCCGAACTTGACGGTGACGTCCGAGTTCTCCGCAAAATCGAAGTATTTTGATATGTCACTGCCGTCAGCTGGTGGTGCTATCCCGGCGGTCGCTGTTGGAGAGGGGTCGGGCATGTTGGAACCCGGCGTCTCGGATTCAGACACGTCACTGGCGCTGTGGTGAGAATGTGGTGTCTGGAACTGCGAGCTGATGGGGTGGGAGGTGACTGAGTCGGAAGATGATGAAGTCGGGCAGGCGATAGGAGGCAGAAGTGGAAAGTGATGATACTTCTCTGGCGGACGGGAGTCGGTCGATGCCCTCCTGTACCTCTCACCTGTTTATTGGCCTCCTCGACCCCGCGATGTCATGCAGATAATGCGGCTTGAGATGCTTTGATGTTCAAGAGGATGGCGAGGGGGGTGAGTCCAAGGATAGATGAAAACGCGCTAGCACCACGCTAACCACTAGCGCGTCACATGAAAGAGCAAGAGCGATCGACTCTCTTCATACATCCCTACTCTCTATCACTACTCCCACTCTCATACAAAGACAGATTACCTCCCCATCCCAAAACGACATGGTATAACAATGATTAATGAAACGCTCATGCAGGCCGTTAACAATTCCTAGCTTCCCATCAACAATTGCACGTGAAGAAAAACTCCTGCTTCTGCGATCGACCCCTCCAGCAATGCATCTACATCTTGCTACTCCATCCGTCAGCGCCCATGACTGTGCTCCGTTCCCATCCATGATTCCGTGCGAAGCAAAGCGGATGCTCCCAGTGGGGTATTTCGAGCCTTCGCGGCTGATGTCCGTGTATCTCCTTTCCATCCCTTCCCTCCTTCTGTTCTTGACGCCTGCACCAAGAAGTGAAGTCCCGCAGTCCATCCATGATAACGTATGCGCGCAAGTAAGAAAATGATGTAGTAGCCGCCCAGTAAGGATATGAAAACCCCCTCCCCGTCCGAAACTCCCGTACCCAAGCCCAAGCCATGTTTCGTTCGCAAATGGGGGAATCTCGCACTGTGTAAAAGCAAAAAGGAAAGCAGATAGCCGTCGTGATGATGATGATGATGATGATGATGATGAGGATGATGATGATGATGATGAAGATGAACAATGGGCATCCCGAATGTCGTGTGCTGAAGTAAGAAAGATCCGGCTCGCCATCCGTCTACCAGGGCCAGTCCTAGCGGCCCATACTGTAGCTGCTGTAGCCCTGCCGTCCGTCTCGGTCGTACGCGGGCCCATTCATGCCCTGCGGCGCAAAGTTGCCCGCCATGCTGCGCAAGCCCATCTGCGCCTCGAACTCATGCGAAGGCATGCCGAAGGGGTTGGCGAACATCCCGTCCATCCCGTTGCCCATTTGTGGTGGTGGTGGTGGCCGGAATTGCGGCGCGCTCATCATGCTCGCACCACTTCCCAGACCGGGAGGTGGGCCAGAGACTGCGCTAAAGCTCGGCGCGCCGACGTTCATCCCATAACCAGGCGCCATGGCGTGCGGGTTCATGACCGGCTGCGCGCCCATGCCGTTTGGCCCTGGCTGGCCTGAACGGACGCCAAGCGGATTTTTGGAGAAGGAGAGACGGATGCCGCCTTTGATGCTGTTGGAGAGAGGATGACCGTAGAGCTCGTTGAGCGCTTTGGTGGCGAATGAGACGTCCTCAAACTCCACAAAGCACATTGGGCCATTCTGCTTGGTGCGGAAGCACAGGCGCTTGTAGCCGCGCTGCTTGGAGAAGATGGCCTTCAATTCGTCTTCGGAGGTGTCGATGGGGAGGTTGCCGACGTAAAGGGTGTTGCAAGGAGGATTCTGATCGGCGGGATTGACGGGCGGGTATTGCGGTCGTGGGAAGTTCATCTGGTAGCTACTGTTCGGGCCCATTCCGGGTGACATTGGTGACTGCATGGACTGAGCATTTCTCGGAGACGTAAGGCTGATTGGTGGTGGGGATGTAATAGTCCCGTTTTCGTTATTTGTGCTCAAAGACAAGCTTGCAAACCTGTTGAGCGGCAGTTGTGAGTTTGTGCCTCTGCGCGCCTGCTGCGGGCCGCTGTTCGCGTACGCCACTGGATCCTTCAGGAGCTCTCCAGTCTCTTCGTCGACTGCATCGGCGTTGATCATGTGTTTGCCATTACGGCCATCGATCCCATTTGCCAACGGCGACTGGGGAGAGAATAAATTCTGGAACCGCGCGCTCGACTCGGGAACGGGGAAGTCGCCACTACCGCCAGAGCTCGAAGTCGGCAACGGCGGCGAGACTTTGTCGGGAGACTGGAATGAGTTGCCATACCTCGATCTTCCTGCTGGGCCTGAAGCAGATCCAGCAGACGACGCAGAGCTCGTTTGTGTCCTCGATGATGTGCCGTCGATTGTATTACGCCTCTCGTACGCCCCATTCATTCCCGAACTATGCAGCTCCACCACCATATTCGTCTCCTTTGCGGTGTTGGGCTTTCCATTCAGCTTTTGCTGCGCTTCCACCGCGCCAGCTTGAGACTGGAATCGAGCGACTGCAGTAGCAAAGCCTTGGTCTTCCGGATATGGTGAACGGATGAATTCAGTATCGATGAGGTCGCCCGCGAACAGCAACATGCTCGCAAGTGTCTCGCGACTCGTGCTCCTCGAGAGTCTTCGGATGATGATCGCGGACGCCGGCCGGTTGTCCTGGCCGAATGTCGTCGGATCAGATAGCGATGTCGACAGAAGTGGCGTTGCACCTGACCTATCTGAGGGAGAGGCTGCATAGCCTGGACCACCGGCTCTACTCGCACCGTTCCTGAAGACATCTGACCGGTAGGCAGAGTTTGGCGGTGAAGTGCTGCTGTGACTGAATGAATTCCGCCCATAAAATGCTGACTGGCCTCCGCGCATGCCGCTATTCATAGTTGAAGTATCGCCCATGTTGTCAGAGGTGGCCGAGTCGGCCGAAGTGAAGTAGAAACGCCTTGGTATGTCAGCCCGACTAGTGAGTGATGTGATGTCGCGTAGTTGGATCACGCTGTTCGTTAGAGGGTGCAGCAAGGCGCCTTGGTCGTGGAACTACTACCGTCCCTTCTGAACCGCAGTGAATGCGCGCAAGGCAACCTGAGGGTGCTGGTAGCACACCTGATGTTCGCGACCAATCAGAAAGCGAGCGCAACCAGTTCGAGGTCGGATGCGCTTCCAGATATCAGGCCTCAGAAGTGGTCGGCGCGATCGCTAAGTACCGAAAAATGCACGCTGGAGCAGCTGAGAGTCGTATGCGAAAATACCCGAGTCGCGCAAAGTGCCGACCGGGTGGATGTTGGTGCTGGCTGTGACGGGCTCAAAGATGTCGCGAGATCTGGATGGCGGCGGCAGTGTTAGGCCGGTAGTCGGAGTGATGCGTGAGTGAGACGGCGAGAGTGCAGACGCGATGTGGAGGTGTGAGAGCGATCGTGGAAGGTGTGAAGGAGGGTCGAGTGCAGTGGGCAGAAGAAAGTGCGCACAGAGGCCTGGTTCGGCGCAGTTCACGGTCGCTGGGCTGGCCACTGGCCAATGGCCGGATGATAACGCGTGGCTGGTGCGCAAGCTAAAGGCTCCGCGACCGTGGGGTGAGCCGGTGTTGATTTGCTTTCTCGACGATCGCAGTGGACGATAAGAGGTGGTCAGCGAGAGACGAGCGTGGAAGAGGCACAGGCGGTGGTGGTGGTGAGAAGGTGGAAAAGGCGATCGACCCGAAGCCCGCATCGGTGTCAGCAGCAACCCCAGACTCGCAGACGCGTGCAAGGTGCAGGTACTCGATGCCGTGTACCTTGTCCTCGATGCTCCGTGTACCTTGTCCTCGATGCTGGAAGACGCCGCACAAGAGATGGTGCAGCCGCTCCCGCAATGGCGGTCGAGCCAAATGCGCCCCCGCCGCGAAGACACAAGACACCCCCCTGTCAGATTGCCTGCCGCTCGCTTGGTGGACGATGGTGTGAGCAGACGTCCGCCGTCGCTGGTTGTGTGCTGACTTTTGAGTTGGCTGCCCCTCCTCGAGACGGAAAGTTAGAGAGAGGTCGTCGATGCGATTGGCTGATCAAACACCGCGGCCTCTTCTGCGACCACCTTTGCGACCTCAACCATTTGTGCGAGGAATGGTCCCACCTTCCTGCTACATGCTCATCCTGGCTCACGAGCGTACGAGGCTGTACCTGCGCGCTCTCTTCCACAACATGCTCGGCAACACGCTCCGCTGTTTTGTCTCGTTCTCCGCTTCCATTCCAGCTGCACGTGGTAACTTTTAGATCCGGCATCTGGCAAGACACAGCCTTACCGTGCTCGCCGTGCTGTCGCTCCCGCTCCCCCCGCTGCACGTCTGCGAGAGGGATCCTTGCCAGCCCGGGACCTAAAGCACCCCACCATCAGCCAGTATTGATGAGAAAGCGGAGAACTCTCTATCCTGACTGGAAGCTGATCCTGTAATTGTCGCTTTTTGGCCAGCTTACTCGTCCGGCATAGCTCGCAGCGGCACAGAGCTAGAGACCCAGGACCAGAGCACTGTTCCGACGCTCGGCGAATCAGAAAAGCTGCTTGCGGTTTGGAGTGGAGGGGGCGTGGTTGGCCATGCGGTACCTCCGCCGTGATTCTGGTCATGGGACTTCTGCTGCCGGCATGTTCCTGCAGGCCAACAACCAAACGATGGCTGCCAGGACTTTGACAGCAGGACTGTATCTTGTACATGGCACCCTCACGTGCGGCCATTGTTGGTAACGAAGTGAAACGTGGCGCACCCCTCCAACGGCTGTTGTGCTTCTCGGCTCCTTTACCCGTGAGATGCCGGATAAGGCGCTGTGCGACCACGAGACCCGGCGATGGAGTAGCCCTAGGGCGCCGATTCCAATCGCAGTTCGCACCGCCCATGCTGAGAAGAAGCAAGGAGCTGACCAAAGTTGCCACCGCCTAACAGTAGCAGAACTTTTTTCGGCGACTCGACCGATGGTGTGCAGACGACATATTCATTGCTACTCGGCATGTCCCTATGGAGTCTGTGGCACTGTGGACCTCAATCACCACATACACGTGGTGCGCAGGTGATCAGATACTAGAAGACGACGAATCGCACCACCGCTTCTGGGAAGCTGGACCTGTGGACTCCGTTTTGCGCTTCCTATCACATGCCTCAAACCAACGCACTCACACTGGATGGTTCTCCATGAGAAATCAGATGTTCGGTGTGAGCGTGATTCACATTGTCCGGCTACAAGATCTGCACAGCACAACAAAGGCATTGCTGGTACTACCTGGCATGAAGTCGCATATCACAACGAGTAAGTACCTGAATGTCGGACATACACATCACCCTTCCCCAACAAAACCACCTCGCTGTCCTTGATCAACCCCACCACCCCCTCCGTCAAACCCCTACTTCCCCCCCTCCGCCTTCGCCGGCATCAATTTAACATCAAAAACATCCTTCCCCACCCCCACCGCCATCATCCGCAACACCGGCGCGCAGTTCTCCTTCGTCAGCACCGTCTCGCGCGGGAAGAGCTGCTTATCCCGCCCCTCGCTCGCCCACCTGACCGTGACGTCCTTGACCACGTCTTTGAGCTCCTTGTTGCGGTACTTGCCCATGAACTCTGCTAGGTTCGGAGAAGAGGCGAGCAGGGACTGCATGCTCTCTTTGAGCTTGTCCAAGGTGTCCGAGGGCTGGACGAGGAGGACTGAAAGTTTATCAGTACAAGGCCAAGTTGGCGGTGAATGCTAGAGGAGTTAGATGGTCACCTTCATGCCTGTTCGTCCCCTCCACCGTGAAGAGGACCGGGAAATCCTGCTGTTCAGCCATATCGATCTGAAGCCTTTCCGCGGAGACTGTGGTGCCTTGCTACAGCGTCGATCTGGGGATAAGGTTTGACGCCGTTGCAGATGTCGCAAGTGGCCTGGTGGTGATCTTGGTGCGTGCGTTGATCGGATATATCTTCAACGACTCTTCTTGCTTCTGATGTCTATTTGGCTCGGTCAAGGACGACGGTTGTTGGGAGAGATGATAGATATCAAAGCTGCAAAGCTTCGGCCTTGATTCTGGCGGCTTCGATTTCTGGGGGGGAACTATGACGCAAGCTCGTCCCACCTACCAGCCAGAAACATCACATTATCTGAAAGACACTCGAACGCGGCGATGCGAACATGGTCACGAATCAACAACATAAGGTAACTAGCTCCAAGCTCAATACCTCCTCGCCTACGCTGAGATGTCCCCCATCATTGCAGTGCATCATCCCCCCTAAAACTCCACCCCCGCCATCCCATAAACACCCCTCTCCACCCCCGTAATCACCTCCGTCACCCCCTTATCCCCGGGCGGCAACACCTGCGTCCCAAAAGTCAACGTCACGCCCGCCTCGCGATCAACAAGCCAAAACGTATTCACCATCCCGCCCCAACTCAACGTCCCCTTCTTCCGCCTCCCCTCGTCATCTTCCATGAACAGCATCCCGCCCAACCCCCAATCGGCGTCGATGCTGGGGTCGTTTTCCCCGATCAGCATAGCGGCGTAGGGGCCTTGACGGAAGGATTGCAGACCCGCTTTGGCGCCAGGAGAGAGTTGGGGCGTGAACATCTCTTCGACGGTAGCGGGTCGGAGGATCCGGCCGTCGTTGGCGAGAAGGCAGTGCAGAATCTTCAGGTAGTCCGACATACGGGCGTAAGCGCCGTGGCCGCCGAAACAGTCCTTCGACCCGGTATTAATCGTCGGCGCATCATTAAGAACCAACTCCCCCTCCGGTGTCCGCACGGTGAGAGCAGGCACTGTATCCCGTAACTCCTCGCTCTCGAACGGCCAGAACGTTATCCCCGTGATTCCGAGCGGAACCCAGAGGTTCGTCTGCATGTGCTGCTCGAGCGACCGGTCGGTGAGACGCTCGACGAGTTTGCCGGCCCAGTCGATCCCGCTGCTGTAGATCCAGTTGGTGCCGGGTTCGAAGACGAGCGGGTGGCCGCCGAAGCGCTCGGGGATCGTGTCGCCGGTGTTGAGCGCGTGGCCGCGTTTGTGTTGGAATTTGATGAGGTCGGGGTGGGCGGCGTCGTAGCAGAGGCCGGATGTGTGGGTCAGAAGGTGCCTTTGGGATCTCGGTCAGCACTGCTCGTCTCTGGTGAGAAGACGGACCACAGGCATACCGTAGAGTAATCACGCCTTTCCTCTCAACCAAGATCGGTTCGTCCCTCTCATCCCAACCCGTCAAGATCTTCTGCTCTGCAACCTCCGGCAGCACGCCCGCTACGTCGTCGTCGAGACCTATCAGGCCTTTCTCCACGACCTGAAGCGCGGAGATGGTGGTCATAAGCTTCGTCTGCGAAGCGAGCATGAAGCACGCATCTTCCGAAACCTTCTCATCTTTGCCTACGATGTTGTAGCCGCTGGCGTGATGATATGTGAAGCTGCCTGGATTCACTGTTACTATAGGTATGCTCAAAGGTGGTTGAAGAGGATGGACTCACCGTCTCTACTCGTAGCATAAACGACCGCATGCGGCACCTTCCCATCCCTCACCGCGTTCTCAAGCAAGTTCTCCAATTGCCCCATCACCATCTAATCCACTGTTTCCCAGGTTAAAGAGAATGTTCAAACTCGAAGTGTCAGTTGAGAGACTCGGGCAAGTCGGATTGCATACTTATACCCTCAGCTTCTGGTTAATCCAGGCATCCATTGTTGACGCTCTAATAACATGCCTACCTGACTCGGCATGCGCAAGAGTGGAGTTGAAGTAGCATGAGTGGAATTGAAGTAGCATGCACAGCTGAGAACGCGAGGTCCCGAGCTGAAATAACAACTCACAAAAGAGATCCTCCGCGCAGAGGCGGGTAGGGTTTATCAGATTACAAGTGCCTCACGCTACGAACTCGTAGATAACACGACAGGACAGCCGTGCTCGCGAGCAGCCCGCCCAACCAGTCCCACCTCGGGGCCCCAACCATGCAATGAGAGTGAAGAGCGACCGCAAACTCGCCAGTCTCGATCTCTCCTCTTCTCTTCCCTGAACGCCTGCGCTTCGCTGCCGCTTCGAATGCTCAAACCCAAAGAAACCCAGACACATATTACAAAGGCCGTATAGCATCTCCGACCCAACCCCCCGACTTCTCGCCCGCTCACGCAAGCTCAAACCCCACCTCCCCAAGCACCTCCCTCCCACTCCTCAAAGTCTGCGTCCCCGTCGACGGCCCGGCACCCGCCTCAGGCACCGGACTGCCCGCCCTCGCGCTCGCACCAACCTCCCCTGCACCGCCAATACTACTCCGCTTCTTCCGCTCCCGCTCCTCCTTCGCCTTCGCCGCCTGCCTCTCCTGCAACCGCGCCATCTTCTCCGCCTTCACGCGCTCCTTCTCCTCCCTTTCCCGATCCTTCGCCTTCTCCGCCTCGCTCTTCCCCGCTTCAGCGGTTTCAGCGATATTCTTCCATTTCCTCCACCCGTCGAAGTCGATGAGGGCTTGCATGCAGCCCCATTCCTTGACTTTCCGTTCTAACCAGACGAAGTTCACCGGCTTGGTGAGGAAGTCGTTGCAACCCGCTGCTAACGCTTCGTGACGGTCGGATTGCAGCGATGACGCGGTGAGGGCGACGATGATGATGGGGGATTTGAAGAGGCCTTCGGAGTGGCCGAGGAGCTTGTCGTCTTCGGCGCGTTTGGCAGCTGCGTCGGTCTCGTCGGAGGTGGGCTTGTCGCCGTTGGCGAGGGCTTCCCCGTCTGGGGATGTGGAGCTGAAGACGCCGATGCCGTTGACGCGCTCTAGGCGGCGGATCTCTCGCGTCGCTTGTAAGCCGGTCATCACGGGCATTTGGATATCCATTAGCACCAAGTGGAAGCCGCCCGCCTTCCATTTGTCGACCGCTATTTGGCCGTTCAGGGCTGTTTGCCAACGGACTTTGAGACGTTTCATCAGCCCTTCCAGAATACGCAGGTTGATGATGTTGTCCTCGACGATGAGGACATTGATGGGTGGGACGGATCCGTCGAGGAGGCCGACGCCGGATGTGGCGGGGTGAGGTGAGGAGGATGATGAATCTTTCTTGCGACGTCCGTAGGCGGTCATTTGGCTCTCTGGGGTAGGTTTGCGCGTCTTCTTGGGACGGCCAGCGCGGTGGACGATACCAGGCGGGACTGCGCCAGGTGTCGGTGGTTGTGAGTGGTTTTGGTTGGTTGGAGCAGCGTCCGGTGCAGGTGGTGTCGGTAGTGGTGGAGGTGCTGGAACGCCGTTGGGATGGTGGGCTTCGGACGTGGAAGAGTCCATTCGCGGTCGGGTGGATGCGCGATGCGGGAGGTTTGGGTGTGCGGTTTGAGGTGCGTTCACAGCGACGGCGCCAGCGTTGGGATGTGATAGGACAGTAGGTGAGGATGTCTGTTGTCGAGCATACTTCGGACGATTGGTGTGGTGTCGTCGAGTCGTCCCGCCAGGTGAAGGTAGGGGCGCGATTTGGCCGGTATTGAGAACGGATATAGAGCGTGGATGTTCAGCGGTACCCCCTACTACGGGATGGTGGTGGTGACTCGCTCGGCTGTCGTTGCTCGCGCTCGTCTGTGGTATGGAGGCAGGTATCACTGCTGGCATGGGTGGAAAATAGTCGGTGCCGTTCTCCAAAGGTCTGTACTCGTCCAGTGCATGGTAGGCTTGGTTTGGCATCACCCTAGGTGAGGGCTTAGGTGTTCGCCTCTGTGGAGTGTCGATGACCAGTGCCTCGTCTACTGTCTGGCCGCCAGGGAAGTAAGAGTCGATGGTCTTGCACATCTCTTCTTCCGGACCCAGCGCTCTCTGTGTGCGATTCTGACCCTGCTCTGCGCGCGTCACGATATGTAGCACCATGTCCGGAGGATCGAACGTCTTTCCCAGCGAGTTTGCATACTTCCGTAGTATTGTGTCGCGTGCATCGTCCACCAAATCATCCTCCTTGATCTGCACAAGCGTAGGTGAGGCTCCGGGTCGCTTGACCCAGACCTTACGGTGTAGCATGTTGGTCAAGCCTTGTATGCCCGGGTCAAAGAAGTCGAGCGAACCACTGGTGGGTAGAAGCGAGCTCCCAGCTGTAGGTAGGCCAATCTCGTGTCTCGTCGGAGCGTCCAGAAGAGTGGTCAAGATCTTAGCATTGGCACTGTCTGCGATGCTGAGACTGCGTATGTTCGTGCCGGTCGGTCGAGTCGGTTTGGCTGTTTCCGGCCGTTCAGCAGCAGGAAAGACCGAAGTCCGCGGCGATGGCTCGTCTCTCACGGAGGCTGCAGACTCCTGCTCGGGCGTGGAGTTGGCAAGTGTAATCTCTCCAGACTCTGTGCCTCGACTGCGATCCGACTCGGTCCGCGCTGCGCCAGGCTTCAAATTACTCAGGCCTTCCTCAGCATCGGGCGTTGGCTGCTCGACGGTGAGGACTGGGTGTGCCCGTTGGCTCGCGACCTGTTCCAATTGTAACTCCGCTGTCGAGACAGCCGCCTCCTTGTCCTCGTCGTCCAGCTCGACCTTTCTCTCTCCCGCCAACGTGTCGCTCTCTGATGGCCGTGAATGTGTGGTTTCGCTGACAGCACAGGTGTCCTCGCCGTCGGGCAATACAAGCACACTCTCGCGCTGCTCGGGCACGACCTCCGGGACGTCCGCTCTGGCCTGGGTATCGGCGACCGAAGCGTGCAACTTCTTCCTGAGTTTGGGCAGGGAGCTGCTCTTCCGCAGTTGCCGCACTCCCGAGACCGAGTAGATGGGTAAAGGCGGCGGTGGAGTGGATGGGTTGGCGGTGGACGGAGGGGTGGGGTCGGGGTCTTTGTTGGTGTGGGTGCTGCTGCGAGAGGAAAGACGTCGGAACAGTCGACTGGGTCTGAAGCGGGCCATTGAAAGGCAACACACTCGAGCTTCTTGCACGCTCGGAGGTCAACACTAAACCCAGCGAGCGGAGCGGAGGTGCCGCCAGCCGAATGAGCGTCTTTCTTTTTGGCTCAGGTGGATATCTGCTTCTCCATCACCACAACAATTCTCTCTTCCTCTGCGGTTGCAATCATTCACCGTGAAGTTTGAAGGTAGATGTCAGACTGACAGGCGCCACACATCAGGAGATTGCTGCCAACAACTGGAAGTGGCTCGAGAGTAGGCAAAAGCAGGTCTGTTCCCAGAAATGACTTGGACTGGGGCGCATCCCGCTTTGCTGGAAATGGCCATCGCGATCGGACGCGTCGTCTCTCGATCTGCCCCAGGTAAAGACTGAGACTCTTTCTCCCGCCGTCCCACACCGCGCCGCCAACCGGGTAGACACGTTCGCTGTAGATCAGGGGCCGTCCTTGTCTCTCTCAAACACTTTTCTGCTTCGTGTCTCGAATGGCGAGCGATGCGCTGTTCATCACACACTCACAACACTCGCGGCATTGCAGTACGAAGCTACTTCGGCTCGGCCAATTTGCCCTTTGCCAGTTCCACGGCGCTTCACCAGCATTGCATCGATGATCGAGTGCACATGATCAGGCAACTGACTACATTTACTTAACGCATTGCAATGACTATACGGTGGTCACCATTTAGCATTGGTGAATTGCGAAGAACCCACACGCCGCAACTCGGAGGCTTTCAAGGACAGCTGACGTTCAGCAATGGGAGGCCAGTATTCGCTCTGCTCACGCCAACATCTATTCACGAGGCCCGTACGAGTGCCACGGGAGAATGCGCGACATATCACCACGTTTCTGGTGCGAGGACGAGCGTGTTTCAGGTCTCATTCTTCGAGCAACGTAGATCCGTGCCTGCATCAGCAACCTGGCCAGGGCCCCGCAAGAAGGTTCCGTGCCATCGCCTTTGCCCGTACTACCTCCAACAGCAACGCTCTCTGCGATCCGGGCTCGCTGATGCTATTGACGCCTACCGGCACGAACAATGAATGAGCGTAACACTACAATGCCACACCACCTTGTTTTCTCATGGAGCGCACCCTATGGAATCCACCAGCAAGAACACAGAGCAAACACTGAATGGAAGCGTAAGTAGCAGCAATGTCCTCTATACATCATGTCATTTCTCCTGTACAACCGCACACTTCCTCAAACAGTCCTACTCTCACGAGATGTCGTCTGAAGCCAGCTACACGTCCGACGAAGCCGACCTCAGAGGTCCACCCTGGCGCATCCCATCCCAGTACTTCAACTCGTCCACCTTCTCCGACGTCACGCTCAAGTTCAGCGGCCAGGAGTTGCTAGCGCACAAAGTCATCCTCGCATGCGCTTCGCCGTACTTCAAGCGTGCTTTCGAGCAGACGGGATTCAAAGAAGCCCGTAGCAACGAGCTTGTCCTCATTGGCGACAACCCGGACGCTGTTAGAGGTCTCGTTGCCTGGATCTACGGCATGCACTATGACGGTCGGGGTACTTACTCTGCAGGTCTGCCACCTCCTGGCATAACGCTCCGAAATTCATCTTCGGACTTCTTACCTCCCCCCGGCACGTCTATGCAGCAGATCGCCGACGTCTACGTAGTCGCCAAGAAGTATCTCGTCGATGCTTGCACGAAAGAGTCCCTGAGACGCTTTAACACGATGCTCACCCACTTTTGGACGAACGAGGACACGAGAGATCTCCGCAAAGTCATCGAGGTGGCGAAGTTCGTCTACGTCGACCAGAAAGACTCTGCGACGGACCTCCGCGCGGCTGTGGTTGAGCGCATCGGCAGCATGATGGAAGATGCGGAGGACGGTGGGGAAGCCAATGAAGAGATTCGTGCGCTGGTATGTTCCTCAGACCCCCCTTTCCGCTATTGTGTTCGTTGCATTGCAATGAAAGCTTCCATGCCTAGTATTACTGACACCTGATGCGACTGTAGTTTGCGGAGATTCGAGAGCTGGGTTTTGAGCTCACCGTTGACTCTGTCAAGGAGGCAAAGCAGTTGAGGGGGAAGCAACCGAATTATTTTCCCGCGATCGTGGCGGCTGCGGCGGACTCGTCGAGCGAAGACTCGTGACATGGGCCATCCGACCGTTCTGGTAGGTACGTCAGCCAGCGAAAACATCAGTGTATCAGGTGCGAGCAATCTCGTTGCTGATGAGCACATGTTTCCTCCCGAAGAACAACAAGCCCCATCTTCAAGACCTGTATGAAAGAACCTCCCACGGGGAACAAGACAGCATGAAGGCAAATGGCGCAAGCATCAGGCTTGTCCTACATGTAGTCTCCCTACGTCCCCTCCTGAGAAAATCACCCTGCCGTTTGCCCAGTGGCTATCCACGTCCTCTCCACTGTCTTCGCTAATGCCTGACATAGTCCTCTGGGAGCATACTGATAAAGCAGCAAAGCAAGCTGCTAGACGGTGGACTGTTCCATCTAGGTACCAGCTCAACATCAGTCAAAGATATGCAAGCCAGTTCGCTGACGCTGCCGCAGATACTTCAACTCGCCTACGCATTCCGACGTAACAATCAACTTCAGCGGGCATCAGTTGAAAGCGTAACTCCTCCCTCCCTCCCGCTAGCATCAAGCAGCGGCCCTTGAGCTAACCACCTGTACCTTTACAACACAACAGACACAAAATCGTCCTATCCAGCGCATCAGACTACTTCCAGACCGCCTTCGAACAGCGCGTCTTCCAGGAGGCCAACACCAACGAGATCCACCTGCAGGACGACGACCCCCACGCGCTCACGGGCCTCATCGCCTGGATCTACCGGAAGCACTACTATGGCCGCGGCGGCTATCCGGACGAGCTGCCCGATCGAGACTTCGACCTGGAGTACCTGGCCGATGTGCACGTGACGGCGAAGAAGTACCTCGTGCACTTTGCGGCGCAGAACTTCGCCGGCAGATTGAGGTATGAGGTCGAGACCTGCGTGGACGATGCCGAGGAAGTCGACGCCGTTGCGAGGTTCGTCTATTGCAAGCGCAAGGACGCTGCGGTGGAGCCGAGGCCGGCGGTGGTTAAGTGCGTCGTGAGGATGCTCATCGACAATGGCGGGAAGGTGAAGGCGATGGTGCGAAAGCTGGTGAGTAGATGCCATGGGCAATGATTGCCTTTCCAACCCCACAGATTGCTGTGGTCGCAGACTGATGGCGATGTAGTTTGCAGACGTACCGGAGCTGGCGTTTGATGTGGTGCTGCAGCTAGCGAAGGATGTGCGGGTATGGCACGAGTACGGGTAGGAGGAAAGCTAGCAGATCGTTCGACACGCCGGGGCTGTTCTCTGCGTAGTCCACCATCTGACGGGTGTGCTCGAGATGGGAGTCTATGACACTCCAGGTCCATAAAGTAACAGCATGATTGAGACTTCCACTGAAAACGGCTGCACGGAAGCGTACATTGTCCCCATACAGTGTCTATCCACACACTGAAACCATCCCATCCAACCCAGCTCCAAAAACGCCTATAACCCAAAAACGATCATGGTATCATCTCGCAAAATCCAAGCCCAAAGAATCTCTCTCTCCCTCCCTCACGCACCATTCACACTCCCCTTCAGCAACAACTCAACAACCACCTGCGTCCTCTCTGCCTCCGGATGCTGCATCACCAACTTCACCGTCCTCCCTCCCACCGCCGGACTGCCAGCAACCGAATACCCATTAATCCCATGCCCATTCACACCGCCCTGCGCGGCCCCATTAGCCCCTTGCGCCGCAATTGCCGCGGCTGAACTCCAGCTCCCTCCGTCATCTAAACACTTGATCTCCCGTCCGGCGATGACCTGCATCAACCTCCCGTTCAGCGCGTTCCGGATTTCGACGAAGTCTTCACAGAAGAGCAAGAGGTAAGCGCCGTACAGCGCGGCGCTCTGTGCAGACCCGACGAATTCGAGAATCACGCTGCGGGAGACTTCGCCGTGCTTATTGATGTAGACGGCGCAGTTGGCGTACACGAGCAGATATTCCTGGTCTGACAGGCGGAGCATAGCCAGCGCGCGCTGGTCTTTGATGTGGCCAGCGATGTTCTGGACTTCGGCTGCTCGGAGGTCGGGCACGGAATGCGGGACCTTCTTGTCCAGAGTCAAGACTTCGAACCCGCGCGCCGTGCTGACGGCGAGAGAGGAGTGGAAGAGGTTGAGCGCGTTGCACTCGGCCGGGATGTAGAATTCGTCGTACTCCCGGAAGAAGTCTGTCGGGCCTCCACGTTTGAAGACGCCGCGTTTCTTCTCCGCGGATTTGGAGTAGATGGGCTCGATGACTTTGAAGACGGAGTTGAGGTTCTCGCGCTTCTTGTAGAAGACGAGCGTGCGCTCCTTCATGCGGCCGGTGGCGAAGAAGCCGACGTCCTTGCTGCCAGAGATCTTTTTGGGCGCTTTGGCGAGCGAGTCGGAGGAAGAGGTGGACGGGCGGCCGCCGTTGGTGGTGGTGCTGACGGGGCCGGTCGCGGGGCAGACAACGTCGAGGTGGTAGGCCATGAGCGATTTGTCGGAGATGAGGAGGAAGAGGTTGAAGTCTTCTAAGACGGAAAGCTGAGTCACGCGGGGCAGGTTGATGGCCTGGGAGGTGTTAGTATTCCGATGTGCAGGTGGATGAATGAGAGAACTTACCCTCGTCCAGCCGCGCGGGTTGTCAGTCTCGCTGATATAGACACCATAATCGGTGCCTACCGCGACCATGTCCTTACCCGGCGTCTCCTCATCCGGAGGTGGCGTTGTCCAAGTCGTCGCGCAGTTGACCCTAGCCCTGCATATCGGACCAGGCCTCCCGCTATCCTTGAACCTCTGCTCGACCTCTTTGATCGCCCTGTCCACCGGTGTGCCTTTGATGACGAAGCTCTTGTTGCCCGAGCCGCCAAAGGCATCGTACACAAACGCTGAATCCGCCATGACCCTAAGCTTGAATGGCTCGGAATTCGAATGGTACAGACCAGCAGCATGCTTCGTCTTAGCTTCGATGATCTTGTTAGCCCAATCTCGTCTCGCCTGCTCGGTTGGCGCGAAGAGCGTGTACGTGTCACGACCAAGGTGCTTGACGCGGAAGGGATACATGATCCTATCAGCATCCTTACCGTCGCCAAGTGAGGTGACCGTTTGCAAATGGTTGTTCGACATGCCAGTGTTGGTTTGTGACAGCTGAGGGCCTGGGCCTTGATTGCTTGGTACCCTCCCTATGCCGGCTTGATCCTGTGGCGTTCCGCTTCTGCCAGTCACATCCCGTACGGAGGTGATGCCCTTGACATACGAGCTCTTCTGCACAGCGGGGTCGTTCGCGGAGTCCAAGATCAGCAGATCCATCGGTATCGGCAGTCTCGAGACGTCGTACTTCTCCATCTTGCCTTGCTGCTCAGTCCTCTGTGTGACTGTCTTGGCGATCACCAGATAGTGATCAAACAGAATAACATGGCTGTCAATCCACGTAAACCGACTGTCGCCCATCCTCTGCACGTCGCCGCGGTGGATCATCTCACGCCCGAAGTGGTCCAGGTTCAGCTCAATCTTCTGCTTCAAGTTTGATCGTAAAGCCAGCTTGTAGCCTAGATCAGTCAGATCGACCTTCCGTTGCATTTCAGCAACTCTGGCGTCACATTCCATCGTAACGGCTTTGACTTCGTCGTAGGCGATCTTGAGATTCGTCTTCTCCTCGCTGTCCGTCTTCATGGTCTTCAGCACGGTACTCAGCAGCAACGTATACCGCTGCAGTCTCGTGATGGGTGCCTTGAGGAAGGTGTCCCAGCCCAGCTTGGTCGAGCGCTTGTCACTTCTCGCCCTATCGATGAAGTTTCGGAACTCAATATTCCGGTCAATCTCCTGCCGCACCAAGAAGGTCGCTCCAGGAAAGCCACCCGCGTAGTCGATGTACGCTGCTTTCGCTTTTCGGATCCACTGCCGGAAGATGTCTGAGAACCCAACGATGAATGGACCTTGCTCCTGCTGCCGATACTTCAGCTGTGGTAGAAGGTGGTCAACGTTTGCTTGCTTAATGGCGTCGACCTTGCCAAACACATCCTGCAAGAACTTTTCCTTCCGCTTGGGCGTGATGATGGAAGGCTCGACTTTGTTGAGTGGGTCTCGATAGAGCACACGAAGCACGTTCAGCTGGTCGATGAAGCCATCCTCCGTCTGGACGACTTCATGAAGGACGTGCTGTCGTTCGAGCTCGCGCTTGTCCCTGCCTTCGTAGTCTTCCTTCTTCAGCTTATAGAACTCCGCCCAGCTCTCGCCTGCCCGGACGGGCTGTTCACGCAGGTTGACCTTCTTCAACGTCCGTTGACAATGGTGAGAGTAGCATCGCCCAGGCACGATATGATCATGGACGGTAGGAGCATAACATCCCGCACCAGTGAGCTGGAAGATCACGCCCGACATCCGTCCTGGCATGATCTTGACCCACTCCTCAGTCGCCATAAGTGTCTCAGCATCGTACATATCTTGGACCACTCTATTGCTCAGTGTCTCAGCGTCAGCGATGTTCATGGTGGGAACCTTGTTCGTGAACAGCAGCACCAAAGCCTCCTTGATCTCGCCTTCTCTGATCTCAAGAGCTTGCTCGGGGTTCGTGATCTGCATTAGCCACTGCAGGATAGAGCTCAAGCTCCATGGTGCCTCGCATTTATTGAAGGCTGGAGCACCAAGCTGTGACGGGATGAAACGCTTGCCAGGAATAGTCGGGAGATCGACTGCAGGTGTCAAGGACGGCGTTGATGAGATAGTGGACAGCTGAGACCCTCCTCTGGGCGTCAATCGCGCTCGTCTCTCTTCCGCATCCGTCTTTGACCGCAGAGGCTGATGCACGGGTGGCGTATTCGTATGGCTTACTAAAGAGGTAGACCGTGGCACGAACTGCGGTTGCTGGTAGTTGTTGTAGAAGGTGTCCGGGCCACTTGGGTATGGCGCTCCTTCCTGCGCTTGTCGAACATTTGTCTGTATCGTCGGTGGAACTTGGCCACCAGGGACAGCAGGTAGCGGTCGATATGAGGTCGACGCTGGCTGATAAAAGATATCTGGAGGCTCGTCAGGGAAGCGATGAGAATCTGAGAAGATGTCTTCATCGCCTTCATCGTAGCTCTGTCTCCGTCCATCCGCTGAGGGCTGCGATAACCCGCCAGTACCCGGTGCATCCACTCTTGCCTCGGGGTTGAATGGCATGAACGGGCTGAAGGAACCCATTCTATAATCGTACTCGTGGCTGGCTTGGCTTGACTGTGAAGGATTCGATCTTCGCGTGCTGCGCATAGAGCTGTGCTGGGACACTGGCTGTCCGTATGGATCGTGCCCGTTGGCCTCGCCTCCCACCGCCAAAGCACTCGGATCTCCACCGTATGTCATTTGAACGTCGTAGCCGCCTCCGAAAGAGCTCATATCCACCCCTCCGTAATCGTCGCTATCGCTGGCTTCTGGCTGAGGCATGAGATGCTGCTGCTGCCGCGAGCTTCGTTGCGATCCGTAGCCATTGCTGAAGCGCATCTGACTCCCAGCACTCTGCCTTCGCCTGACGTCTTCTTCCTCCGCCATCTGCAGCATCGCAAGGCCAGCTGATGCTTCGGCATCGCTGTCGCTGCTGTACTGTGGATCAGCAGGTGCAGGCGACAGGCTCCCGTTGGCATTGCTGCCGCTCCTGTACACATGGGGCGAGCTCGGCGCAAACAGCGGAGTCGTCCCTCCACTTGTAGGAGGTTGGCTGACAGAGATAGCAGGGCTGTGCCCAGTCGTTCTACCAGCATTCAAAACTGCACTCTCGACCTGCTGGAAGAGGTCCTCTTGAGTCAGCCTTTCTTGTTCCTCCAACGAAAGTTCCACGCGCGGACTGCGGGAGGTTGGGAAGTAACCGGCGTCTGGTTCTGGAGGCCCCGGTAAAGGTCGTGATTGCGGATGTCGGCCGGTCGTACCACTTCTTGTGGGTGCATGAGTAGGTGGCGTCGGCCCATTACTAGGCGGTGAAGGTAATGAAGCATTCGACGTGGTATGGTAAAGAGGTGAAGGAGATTGATCGTGGGAAGGAGGTGAAGGTCGGTAGTCGTCCGTTGCGCCGGCAAAGACAGACGCAGGCTGATGGTAATATTGTGATGACTGCTGAGAGCTCATGCTTTGCGGATGAGGCTGCCAATCACTCGTCGGATACGGTACATCCTGCGGCTGCGATGCTGCGGACAAAGGTGGATCGTATCGTCCGTATTGTTGTTGTGGAGGCGGACTTTGCTGGTTTTGATACCCGTAGCCATGGCTTGGGACCTGCGGACTGTATGAGGGCACCGGACTGAAATTTGGCCGTTGTGGTGATTGCGCATAGCTCGACGCTTGGGGAGAGTACGGCACGTCAGCGTAGCCGTAAGGATCTATGGGCCCGCTAGTAGCACCCGCGAAACTCGATTGGCTCGAATACGTCGCAGCCGGACTATAGTGCTGTGGATTGTACTGCTGCGGGCTGTACGTAGAGGACGTCCGGACAGGGTAGTTCTGAGGATTGTATTGTGTCGTTGGTGGAGGCTGCGGTTGTGGTTGAGTTTGCGCGTAATCGCGAGGATTGTACTGGTACGTCTGCTGCTGCTGCTGGTATTGCGGCTGACCTGGATACTGCGCATTCGACGGCTGCCGTTGCGGCATCTGCCCCTCGTAGTATCCACTCTGTGGCTGTTGCACAGAGCCATTCCCCGCGCCGTAGGTGGGATGCTGGCTGTAGGTCGGCTGCCCCGGGTACTGCGGTTGCTGGCCATATTGTCCCCGTTGTCCATCATCTTGCGGCTGCTGTCCGTAGGGAGGGTTTACGTTGTAGTAGCCGCGATTCGGCTGCTGCCCATATTGCCCGCCCTGCTGCCACGACATTCTCGCGACTCACGTCTTCTCACACCCCGATGAATAGCGCTCCAGGCGACTTCACGTCGGCTCGGTCAGAGGAGATGGCGCAGTCCTGCCAGCAGGCTGAGGTCGAGTACGTTGCGCAACCCGCATGAGGTCTCGCAAGAGTTGTGCCCGCCTGATCGCGCTGTGCTTCCAACTGCGATCTTTAACTTTCTTTCGTGGAGCTGAATCTAGCTCTTCATCGTCGACGAGTCCCTTCGCGCATGTCCAGGCCCTCGTATCCTCTCTCGAGGGCTCGCTGTCGTTGTACGCGGCTTGGCGGGGGAGGTCCGGAGGGCGTTGTTGACGGCAAAGTCTCGCGACCCAGCAGGATGCCTGCGACTCTGCGAGCTCTCCCGACTACCTGATATTATCGACACAGTCTCCAGTGGTTTGCGAAACGACCGAAGCTCCTCCTTATTGGTAACGAGGCTCACGAAGACCAGTATGCAAGTCAAAGCCCAGCCGTCAGCGCCGGCTTAGCTCGAATCCGACCTAAGCGAATCACGCTCAACATCGCCTGTCCGCCGCGCCTTGTACCTCTACACAACCGCTGCGAATACGGCAGCAACCTCTTAAGCATTCCACGGCCGCAGATGGGTGCACGGGGTCCGTGGAGGCAGATCTCAAGCATTACGGTTGTTCGAGAGCTGTCCTTTCCACGATCCTACGCACAGCCGGACGGCCCTGGAGATTCTCGACCCGATGGTACTCCGTACCTACCTCTGGGCCGGGTCCCAAAGGCCGCCTGCGACAATGCTGCCGCCCTCTGACCGTGGAGATGGAGACGACAGATGGCTGGCAATATCTACGACAGTGGTCGGCACGAAAGTCTCGAATGGCCCATCCGAGCCAGAACACAGGCGGCGATTCAAAGCTGGCTCACCCATCATTCGACTCTGCTCTGCAGAGACTCCTGCCAGCGCGTAGTACAGTCCGCCTTGGAGCGCGTCTTGGAGAAATGCCGCTCTATGGACGCACGTGAGCTTCTTCTCCAACACGGAATTAATCCGCCTAATACCGAGGCTTCCCCACACCATCATCCGGGTATGCGATGCAGCAACACCATCGACGGGGTTCTTAACGATCGTTGTATCCTGGTGGGAATGTTGTAAGTAGATACCGAGTACCTTTGCTACTCTTCTCAACCCAGACCTTTCTCAAATTCAAGATTATACCTTCTTTCTCACAAGATCTTCCCTTCCCTTGCTCCACTTTGATATAGATCTTACATCCCCGCTACAATGGGCGTCAAGCACGATGCGCCAGATGCGAACATCGTCACGGATGAGGCAGGCCATCAGCACACCTTGGACCATATTGTAGCCGATCGCGACGGCTTGCTTATACCGGAAGAGGACGAACATGGCTACAGGATACGAGAGCAACCATATGGTACCAAGCGTAAGATGCGCGTGGTCCTGATGGGAGCCGCTGCGTCAACAGTCAACTTCTTGAAGAAGGCAGAGGAAGAGATGGACAATCTCGACATTGTCGTGTACGAGAAGAACCATGATGTCGGCGGTACATGGTTGGAGAACAGATATCCAGGTTCGTCCTGTTTCGATCATTAGTTGTCCTGCAGCGTGGGTACTGATCTCGAGTTGAACAGGATGTGCATGCGATATCCCTTCAGTCAACTACCAATTCAGCTGGAAGATCAAGTTATGGACGCACTACTATTCCTACTCGCCCGAGATTTGGAGATACCTGAGAGACATCTATGATGAGCACGACTTTATCAACAAATACGTCAAGCTGAAGCACAAGATCGAGCGCGCGGAATGGAACAACGAGAAAGGCAAATGGATGCTTCAGGTCCGTGACATGGAGAAGGACACTGTGTTCGAGGATGAAGCAGAGTTCTATATCAACGCTGGCGGTGTCCTGAACAACTTCAAGTGGCCGAAGGTTAAGGGTTTGGATCGGTTTCAGGGCAAGCTGATGCACTCTGCCCGGTATGAGGAGGGCTACCCACTGGAAGGCAAGAAGGTCGCAGTGCTCGGTGCTGGTAGCTCAGGAGTGCAGATCGTGGCGAAGATCCAGCCAAAGGTCCAGCAGCTCTACCACTGGATCAGGAATCCTATCTGGATCACAGCAGGTTTTGCGCAGACGTGGGCAGGCAAAGACGGCGCGAATTTCGAATACACAGATGAGCAGAAGAAGTATCTGCGAGAGCACCCTGAGAAGTATCTTGAGTATCGCAAGCAGGTGAGCAGTGCTGCCCTTACACGGCAACGATGGCTAACAGCTCTGTAGATCGAGAATGAACTCAACCAACGATTCAAGTTCATCCTGAAAGGCTCAGAGGAGGCCAAGGCTGCCCGAGACTTCAGCTACGATCAAATGGTGCGCAAGCTCAAAGGCGACCCCAGGCTGTGCGACAAAATCATTCCCAAGGACTTCAACCCCGGTTGTCGACGACCTACACCAGCGCCTGGCTACCTGGAGGCTCTGGTGGCAGACAACTCGACCGTCTTCACCGACGAGCTGGAGACGCTCACGGAAAAGGGCTTCATCGACCACGAAGGCAAGGAGCACGAAGTCGATGTCTTCATCTGCGCAACTGGCTTTGACACCACCTGGATCCCACGCTTCCCCTTCATCAACGGTCAAGGAGTCGACCTGAAGGACCTTTGGACTCCGAACAACGTCTCTTCCTACCTCTCGATCGGCGTCCCGACCTTCCCTAACCACTTTTCCTTCTGCGGTCCATACGGTCCCCTCGGCCACGGCAGCTTCATGCCCCTCATCGAGCAATGGACCAAGTACATGTTCGACGCCATCTCTAAAGCCCAGATCGAGAACATCAAATCCTTCACCCCACGCCTCGACCTCTCGAACCAGTTCCGCCAGCATGCAGACCTGTTCTTGAAGCGCACTGCCTGGACGAGCCCGTGCAGCAGTTGGTTCAAGCAGGGCAAGACGGACGGGCAAGCGGTCATCTACCCTGGCTCGCGGCTGTCGTTCTTGCATCTGCTGGACAGGCCGAGGTATGAGGACTATGATATTGAGTATTGGGATGAGAACAGATATGCTTTCTTGGGCAATGGGTTTGATACGAGGGAATATGATGGAAGAGATATTACGAATTATCTTGGTTCGTTGGATGGGAGGGATGTGCAACCAGAATACGGACAGGAGCTAATAAACACGTTGGCTGGATGGGCGGTCGGGAAGTAGATCATCTCGGGACATCTTTTGCTTGAGTAGAAATTACCATGCCAGAAACGAAGCTATTGAAATCATCTACAACGATCCTTTCGCCTCTCAATGGTGCAATGCTCACTTATCAGTGCGCTGGTATAATCAGCCTCGCAGGATCATGCATACCTATATCGCCTGTACACAACACCAGCGCCGCCTCCCAAGCAGTCATCCACCTCCCGCTTCCCACTGCCCAAACGGCTGCGCAGCTAGAAGCTGATAGATCCCACCTCCAACTGTTGCACGCACAGCTATCGCGACAATCTTTCCCCCCGCCACTACCGGTGGTTGACGTTACATGAGAACAGATCGACCGCGGTCTTGGTTTGCTTGGACTGCTCAAAAAACAGCTTAGGTCCCCTTGGCAAATGCTCAATGATTTGCTTGACAGGCTTTTCTCTGCGGGCCACCGTGAGGGTGTGGAGCTTGCCACCCTGGTAGCCAAGGGCACACTGTCATCAGCGTTTCTCACACCACGATAGCGTGGTAAGCGTGCATGGGTTATTACTTATTTGCGTGCGCGCGCACCTCATCGCGTCGTGCGAGCTTGCTGAGGTCTACAGCTGGTTAGACACCTCTCGCGGCTTCGACAATGGCTCACTACCACTCCTATGGATCGGACGAGCACTCGCCGATTGACGAGGCACAGAAAGAACCCTACTACGACGAGAACATCATCCATAACCCCAACCAGCTGTCGGATCCGAAAGATGCACACCACAGCTTGCATCGTGGGCTCAACGCCCGTCAAGTCACCATGATAGCCATCGGTGGTGCTCTTGGGACGGGATTGATCATTGGGACTGGCAATGCGTTGGCCAACTCTGGACCTGCGTCTATAATGATCAGCTACTCCGTGGTAGGACTGCTCTGCTACGTTGTCATGTGCTCGCTTGGAGAGATGGCGACGTGGTTACCGGCTGCGGGAGGGTTTGCTGCATATGCGACTCGAGTAGGTCTTCCATCTTGTGTCGTAGGAGGCCACAGCTGACCACGCCATGCCAGTTCGTTGACCCAGCGCTGGGTTTCTCTCTTGGATATACCTACTGGTTCAAGTACATTATCGTTACTCCCAATCAACTCACAGCCGCCGCCCTAGTGATCCAGTACTGGTGCCCGCCCGAACAAGTCAATCCAGGCGTCTTCATCGCCGTCTTCTTGGTCACCATTGTACTCATAAACTACCTGGGCATCCGCTTCTTCGGCGAGATCGAGTTCTGGTTGTCGTCGATCAAGGTGCTCGTCATGCTGGGCCTCATCATATTATCTATTATCATTGCCGCCGGAGGCGTCCCTGGAAGCCCGGCCACTGGATTCAAGTACTACAACAATCCCGGCGCTTTCAACGAATACATCGGCACGGGAAGTGTAGGACGCTTCACTGCTTTCTGGTACAGCTTCACCAACGCCGTCTTCGCCTACCTAGGCACGGAGTTGGTCGGTGTCACAGTCGGAGAGGCCGAAAACCCTCGTCGAAACGTCCCGCGAGCCATCAAGTTGACCTTCTGGCGAATCCTTTTGTTCTACATCTGCTCCGTCTTCCTACTCTGCATGATCGTGCCATACGACAGCAAGCTGTTGGCCTTTGCAACCGACGCATCCACTTCAGCGGCGGCCTCCCCATTCGTCGTGGCGATCAAGCTCGCCGGCATTGAGACTCTTCCGGGTTTCCTGAACGGCTGCATCCTCATCTTCGTCTTCAGCGCCGCCAACAGCGATCTCTACATCGCCTCTCGAACGATCCACGGTCTCGCCCTCAAACGCCAGGCTCCACGCTTCCTTGCCATCACAGACAAACGCGGCGTCCCATACTACGGTCTCGGCTTCTCAGCTCTTATCGCCTGCATAGCGTTCTTGAACGTCGCAGGAGACTCCGCAGACGTCTTCAAGTACTTCGTCAACCTGGTCTCGATTTTCGGCTTGCTAACCTGGATCTCCATCTTGGTCTCGCACGCGTACTTCGTCAAAGCTCGCAGGGCGCAGAACATACCCGATCACTCATTGCGGTACAAGTCACCGTTCGGTCTCTGGGGAACGTACATTGCGCTAGCGTTTTGCTGCTTGATTGCTTTGACGAAGAACTTTGCCGTCTTTACCCATAGCGATGACTATGGTAACTTTGACTACAAGAATTTCATCGTAAGCTTTGCACCTCGCCAACCAATATATCGAATGCTGCTAACACCTTCACACAGACTGGCTACCTTGGCATCCCGCTGTAAGTCGTACTGACGAGTGGGAGGGTTCTCCGAGACACGTCCAAGGCTCACGACTATGTGGCGCTCTGAGACCCTTCCATCTTTGCTCCCCCGTTGAGACAACCTGCTGACCCTCTTGCCCGTCATACAGATATTTGATTATGATCTTCGGCTACAAGCTCGTGAAGAAGACGAAGGGCTGGAAGCCACATGAGGCCGATCTGTTCTCGGGCAAGGAGATCATTGATGCGGACGAACAAATGTGGTTGGAGAAGGAGAGGGAAGAGAAAGCCAGTGGAGCGAACTACTGGTACCGACACACGGTCGGATATCTGTTCTAGACGCATCATTCCTCGGAGAATTCTATTGCATGAGTCCGTGTATACTCGTCATACCCACCCAGTTCGTTGCTTTCAATTGTGTCTATATCGCTCAGGTTGAATTGGCCACTTTCACTGCCAGACCCTACCACAGAATTCGACAAGACCGTTGGTGGCATCCGTCCCACAACGCCATCTCACCACATATATTCCAATTCCACTCTAAACCTTCAACTCGGCATCCTTAACGCTCTCCAGGACATCAGCGTACTTCTGAAGCGCCGGACTGACCTTCATCTCGACAAGCTCGTCGACGATCTGCGCAGATCTGCCGGTGAAGGTGGATGGGTCGATGAGAGTCTGCAGCTCCGGGATGATGGGTTTGAAGAAGTCCCGATCTCTGATGCGATCGAGGAGGTCGTTGGGCTTGCCTTCTTGCTTGACTACCGCACCAGCTTGGTGGGAGAGGACGCTGTGGTGGGTCAGTATCGACAGGGAGAAAAGGGGTCGTGGAGACGAACCGGATCTCTTCGTGCGTTTCTTGTCTTGAGTAGCCCTGTGGTCCGTGTCAGTCCAAGCCCGTGGTTTGATATGAGATAGAATGGGCAACGCACCCGCTCAACCATAGCCATGATCACATTCTCAGTAGCCATGAACGGCAATTCCTGATCGATTCTCTGCTGAATCACCGCCTTGTTGACCACCATGCCAGAAGAGACATTGTTCAGGAGGATCAAGCAGGCATCTGCGCACAAGAAGGACTCGGGCAACGTGATCCGGCGAATAGCAGAGTCGTCCAAACTGCGCTCCAGCCATTGTGATGCAAACGTCTGCTCCGCATCCGCGCTGAAGTTGCGCAGCTTCCTGCCGAGTGAGCATAGTCGCTCCGACCGCATGGGGTTTCGCTTGTACGCCATTGCTGAGGAGCCGATCTGGTCTGCTTCGAATGGTTCCTCAAGCTCCTTGAACATTGCTAGATGTCTGATGTCACCGCCGATGCGTTCACAAGTGCTGCCGAAAGAAGAGAGAGCATGAATGACATCTGTGTCGACCTTGCGGGAGTATGTCTGGGATGTTGAGATCTCTGCTGCCTCAAAGCCGGCAGCTTCAGTGACCAGCTTGTCGAGCTTCTTCACCTTTTCCTGGTCGCCCTTGAAGATCGCCAGGAAGCTTGCCTGGGTGCCGGTCGTACCTTTGACCCCGCGGAACTTATTGAGAAGCCTGTCTCGCACGTATTCGAGGTTGTGTAAGTCATCCAGCAGGTCCGTGATCCAGAGGCTAGCTCGCTTGCCGACCGTGACAAGCTGCGCTGGTTGGCCGTGAGTGTACCCCAGACATGGCAGGTCGCGGTAGGCCATTGCAAACTTGCTGAGGCGTTGGATCACACCAGCGAGCTTCGGCAGTACGAGGTTAAGAGCATCCCGGAGGAAGATCTAGACTGGTCAGCCATTGTTCCGCATGATCACTGAGAAGGGTCCTGTACGAGATCGGCGTTGTCCGTGACATAACTAACCAAAATGTCAGACTTCAAGGGCCGTCAACAAAAGGGTAAAATACCTACCATGACGTCGCGCCCCAATGAATGATCCCAGCCGCTGCCGGAGCTTTCAGTCCGTACGTATGAACGTGAGCCATGACATCGTGCCGCCTACGCTTCTCCTCGATCGCAGCAATCTCGAACTCGTCGTCTTCGATGCGTGTGTTCTGCTTGAGCTGCGCTATGGCTTCATCGGAGATGTCGAGACCAAGGCTTCGTTCGGACTCTGCTAGATAGACCCAGAGTTGCCGCCATGTGCTGAATCGATTCCGGGGGGAGAAGATATACTTCATCTCGTTCGAGCAATACCTCGAGTTGAGTGGGCTGTTGTCCAGTTAGCTAAAGGCATCCTATGACAGGTTCTATCGCCATTGAGAAAATATATTCTTCGTGTATCTTGTTCTCGACTTGGTATTCAAGTCTTCGATGCGGAAAAGCTCTCACTTACTTTTGGAAGACATCGTTGTATGTCACGCTGGCAGTGTTGATTCTCTCCATTCTTAGTGTCTGTAGCACAACGGGTCAAGGTCGGCGGTATATGCCCCCCAAGGCTCAATGTGAGGTCGCAACGATATTCACTTTGCGCGCATGTGAAAAGTTTATGATTGGTCAAAAAAGAGAAAGTGCGGTCGGAGCAGGTCGGGTCAATGGTGGTCTTCAATATACGCTACGTGCTTAAGAGTACACAGATCAGATAGTCATTCAGCTTCCGTCTGTCCTTCAATTCTTCATGCTTCCAGGTTCCCGGCCTTGCTCTTGGGCCCGTCCACTTCTTTCCAGTGGTTTCATCTTCACCACATCTTTCGTGCCCACCTCGCGCTTCCAATCCGTCCTTGATGCAACGCCTTTGATGCGTTTCGCTGCCCAGCTGAGCAACAATATCGGAGACTCGAAACTTGATAGCCAGGCGTCTTCTGCTCAGCAGCTCGCTGCCTTCCTGTCGGTGACTCCAAATCTCGCAGTCAAGTTCTTTGCTGCTACTCCTTCATCCAAATATCCGCTTCATCACTTTCCGCCCTTCAAGAATCCCTCCGCCTGAGCACCTTCTTCGCCGTCTCCTTGACGCTGAATCCGCCAAACAACCATTCGTTCGAGTGACGACCGCAGTCCGAGAAAGAGCTGCTTTGGCGCTTGACTTGCGGCTTCGGAGAAGTAGAGGAAGCCTGCGAAGAGCTCTTGTCGTTCATCTCGAATTCCTTGCGCTGGACTGCTCCGTCCCAGGTGAGGGCGCCAGTTGCTGGCTTTGGTGAGCGAGATCGTTCGCGGGGCATGTTGTTGGCTTTTGATTGATGATCGTGTGATGGTATGATGTTGTTGCGGGTGCAGTCTGAGCCAGTAATAAGTAGTTGTGGATGATGTGGTTGCTATCTTGGTACAATGAATGTTTGGTCTCGATTGCCCAGCAAGAGACTCAAGATGTTGGTACGGTAATTGATATGAATCCTCAGGTAGCGAAGGATGGGGGGGAGGACATCCTCTTTAAGCCCACCGCCGTGCCAACCTCAAACATGTGAAACCATCCCATGACCAACCAGCCAAGGGGAACTGCATGCCGGTGTCCGAAACGCATTGGAGGCAGCGGGCAGTCCGCCTTGCTCACGACGGTCTCCAGGCAGACACCTTAGGCGATGGTTGGCCCTTGCTCCAATGCGTCGGTCAACTCGTGCGGCCAAGGCGTGCTAACTATTCTCGCGAGCAGAAAGTGGAGGTCACAAGGAAGCTGACGACAGTTTCATTGGGTCTGGAGACGTAGGGCTGCAGGGGTACAGATCCTTCTGCACCTCAGGTTCACCGGTGCCAGGACGTCCTCGTGAGTTGTTGCGTGGCCGTGTATGCGTCACTGGCGCCGGAAATCTAGCCGGTGGTTGCTTGGTAGAGGCCACCACTGAGTGTTGTTGCGAGCAGTCAAAGTTTGGTAGATGTCGAGCTCTCCACGGAATGGTCGGCGACAACGGAACTGCGGCATCGTGAGCTCAATGCTGGTCGAACCACACACACACGATGCGGTTGTCAGGCGATACATGCATGTGGCTGCGAAGTCCGTGGATGCCGTGAGCGATAAAGCGTGCCGAAGAAAGGCAATGGTTTTTGAAACACGTTCTAGGCCAGTTCGCTACCATGAAGTGGTTCGCAGCTTGCCGTACCAAATTCTAGCGAAGCTTCGACAGAAAAACCATGGTTCGCCTGAAACCATTCCTTTCTATCGTGAGCTTGGGCGAGCGACGAGCATGCTACGTCTGACGGCCTGTTCCTGACGATCATCGAACAAGATCTGTGAGTGACATCTGGCTGTGCTCAAAGCGTAAGTACGACGTCTACATTCTGAAGACTCCAAACTTCGTTTCCTTCTTCTCGACACTTCCGCCCATCGCCGCCTGCAACCCCATGCCGAGTACTCTCCTCGTATGACTGGGCGGGATGATGCCATCATCCCACAGGCGAGCGGTCGAAAACAACGCCTCGCTCTCCTTCTCAATTCTGTCCCTTAACCCGGTATCTACCTTCTTCCCCACTGCCTCCATCACCGCCGTCAATTGCTCCGGCCCCATGACTGACGTCTTCGCGCTCGGCCAAGTCCAGAGGAACCTGGGCGAGTACGCGCGACCGCACATGCCATAGTTTCCTGCACCCGCCGACGAACCGACGATGACGGTGAACTTGGGCACATCAGCGCAAGCAACAGCAGTCACCAGCTTTGCGCCATTCTTCGCGATGCCGCCTTTCTCTGCGTCCTGCCCGACCATGAAACCGCTGATGTTCTGCAGGAAGATGAGAGGGATGTTACGCTGGCAGCAAAGCTCGATGAAGTGAGCGCCCTTCAAGCTACTTTCGGAGAAGAGGATGCCGTTGTTGGCGATGATGCCGACCGGATGGCCGTAGATGGTCGCGAAGCCGGTGATGAGGGTGCTGCCGTAGGACGGCTTGAACTCGGAGAAGTGGGAGGAGTCGACTATGCGGGCAATGACCTCGTGCATGGGAATTGCTTGCTTGAGATTCGTGCCAACAATGCCGTCCAGTTCTTCTGGGTCATGTAGGGGTTCCAAGAACGAGGGGCGGAGATCGGGGTTAGGGGCTGTGGGATAATTGAGATTGCTGATGCAGCGGCGGGCGAGGATGAGAGCGTGGGCGTCGTCGACGGCAAGGTAGTCCGTTACACCGCTGACTTCTGAGTGCAGTTTGCCGCCCCCTAGCTCTTCGGCAGTAACCTCTTCGCCCGTAGCTGCTTTGACGAGCGGTGGTCCTGCTAGAAAGACCGTGCCTTGTTCGTTGACAATGATGGACTCGTCGCTCATGCTGGGCACGTACGCGCCGCCAGCTGTACAAGAGCCCATGACCACACTGATCTGGGGAATGCCTGCGCTGCTCATGCGAGCTTGGTTATAGAACAGACGCCCGAAGTGATCGCGATCTGGGAAAACATCCTTCTGGTGAGGGAGATTGGCTCCACCCGAATCAACGAGGTAGATGCAGGGTAATCGGTTCTGCTGGGCAATCTCCTGTGCTCGAGTGTGCTTGCGGATGGTTATGGGGTAGTACGAGCCGCCCTTGACACTCTAGACTCGTCAGTACTTCCGACAGCAAATTTCGCGGTGTGTGCTAGCATACGTGCTGTCATTGGCAATGATCATACACATCACTCCCTCCACCGTCCCAATGCCCGTAAGCATACCACCGCCTGGAACATCCTCGCCCGGATACAACTCATGCCCTGCCAGCGCACTCAACTCCAAGAAGCTCGTTCCTGGATCGACCACCGCCGTAACTCGGTCTCGCACCAGCATCTTCCCGCGCTCGACATGCTTCTGTCTGGCCTTGTCCGTCCCTCCCTTCGCTGCCTCCTCATGCAACGTTGTGAGCCGCTGTGTGAGCTCTCGCATTGAGGCCGCATTCTCGCGGTACCTTTCGCTGTTTGCATCGACTGCCGTCTGTATGATTGAGATCTGCGCGGCCTGATGTGGGCTCGTGTATGTTGCTGCTCGTCTTCGTTGCACGAGGCATTGCTGTTGACTCCACACACGTCGTCGCGGTAGGTGGTGCAGTGATCGCGCAAAGGCGCGGATGGGAGCAGGCGATGCCATTGCTAGGTCACATCCTCCTTTTCCAGAAGACCTTCAAACACAGTGTCAACCTGCTGTCGTGTTATTTCATCTCGTCTCGTCCATATCCCCGGTCCTCGGCATCCCTTCAGCCGCGTGTAGCCGCCCCCAGAAACACCACCCCACAAAACCAAACCGTGTCGCCGGATCTCCAGTCTTGAAGAAACATATCAATGCCTCCCATATCACCTTGTCGAGCAGCGGCGCTGCTACAGAGCACCCGGCCACCGTTGCAGAGGATACCACGAGCAGCATTTGTAGCGGGACAACGTCAACTACGATCAGCATCAACGAAACACCCCAAAGGCTTCACTCCACCGACCAACGATGACTTAGAAGAGCTACGAGAGCGGACCATCGAGTTCGCGCGGAGGGAGATCACATTCGATGTCGCACAGTCAACAGACCACGACAATGAGTTTCCGAACTCGATGTGGCAGAAGCTGGGTGAGGCAGGGTTCTTGGGCTTGACAGCAGACGAGGACTACGGCGGGCTAGGGATGGGATACCAGGCGCATTGTGTGGTGTTAGAGGAGCTCAGTCGTGCGAGTGGGAGCATAGGTTTGAGTTACGCAGCACACAGTCAACTCTGCGTCAACCAGCTCCAACTCAATGGGACCGACGAGCAGAAACGCCAGTTCCTTCCGGGCCTGACGAGCGGCGAAAAGATTGGCGCTCTGGCAATGAGCGAGCACAATGCCGGCTCAGATGTCGTATCGATGAAGACGACAGCTAAGGAGACTGATGGTGGCTACCTCCTCAACGGCCACAAGATGTGGATCACCAACGGTCCGGACGCACACTTTATCGTCGTCTACGCCAAAACCGACCCAGATGCTGGCAGCAAAGGCATGACGGCCTTCATCGTGGATTCGTCCACTCCCGGCTTCAGCTGTGCGCGTAAGCTTGACAAGCTAGGTATGCGAGGAAGTAACACGGGCGAGCTCGTCTTCGACAACGTCTTTGTCCCTAGCTCCAACATACTCGGTGGCGTTGGCAAAGGCGTGCGAGTACTGATGGAAGGCCTCGACCTCGAACGCCTGGTTCTGTCTTCTGGCTCCCTCGGCTTAATGAAGGCTGCACTGGATGTGACACTTCCATATGTACACGAGCGGAAGCAATTTGGAGTGCCCTTGGCGCAGAACCAGTTCATCCAGGGCAAATTGGCGGACATGTACACGAAATATCGCGCCAGCTCTGCGTTCACGTACAGCGTCGCGCGGGCCATTGATGAGAGCCACGAGGACCCTGAGATCCGGACCCAGGACTGCGCTGGAGCGATTTTGTATGCGGCGGAGCGGGCAACTGAGTGTGGAATGGATGCTATCCAGTGCTTGGGCGGGATGGGGTATATGAATGAAATGGCGGCCGGACGGATCATGAGGGATGCGAAACTGTATGAGATCGGTGCCGGGACGAGTGAGATCAGGAGGATGGTGATTGGGAGGGCATTCAACAAGGAGTTCGGGACGAGATGACATGTATAACGATCACTCTTCTCGATGGCCTTTCCACGAGCCTGTCAAATAAATGCAATGCTGTGAAGTGCTTCCTCTGACATGTGATCGCCCCACACTCGAACTGGACCTGCAGCAACACCCCGCCATTTCTACTTTTTCTCCGGACTGCACTTCACCTTCTACCGCGCACAACTGCTGCCAAATTGACCGCCTACTAGAAACTACTCAGATGTCGACAAGCTAGCAGACCAACCAACATGCACGTCGCTCTCCTTATCCTCCTCCTCATTCCCCTCATCCTCTTCGGCCTCTCCCAAGCTCTCATCATCGCCGGCAGCACCACCAAAAACAACATCCTCGAATACTATGGCCGCTCATCCGCCTCCTTCATCGCCCTCATACTATGCGCAATCTACGGCACAATAGCCTCAGCATGTTTGAACGTCTTCGGCTACGGCGGGCTCGGGCAGTGGACGACGGCGAAAGCGTTCAAGTACTCCATGCTGTGGTTTACCGGAGTGTGGTTCGAGATTGAAGACGAGAAGGACTGGCTCAATACTACTAGACCGGCGGTGTTTGTGGGTAATCACCAGACGGAGCTAGACGTTGCTTTCCTCGGGCACGTGTTCCCGAAGTACTGCTCTGTGACTGCGAAGAAGAGCTTGAAGAAGGTGCCGTTCTTGGGGTGGTTCAGTGAGTCTCAGACATCCCGCTACGCAGTGTGTCTCGTTAACTGACCGTATGCCACAGTGGCCCTAAGCAAAACCGTCTTCATCGAACGCTCCTCCCGCACCCAAGCCGTCGCCGCCTTCGACAAAGCCGCCGAGCAAATGCACTCCAACAAGCAGTCCGTCTACATCTTCCCCGAAGGCACGCGCTCCTACTACGACTACCCGGATATGCTGAGCTTCAAGAAGGGAGCATTTCACCTCGCGGTCCAGGCACAAGTGCCCATCGTCCCCGTTGTGGTGGCCAACTATAGTAACGTGTTGAATGTGAAAAAGAAGATCTTTAGAGCTGGCACGATCCCGGCGAGGGCGCTGGAGCCGATAAGCACGAAGGGGAAAACGAAGGATGATGTGGATGCGCTGTTGCAGGAGACTAGGGAGAAGATGCTGAGCGCGTTGAGGGAGATCACGGAGAGTGCGAGGGAGAAAGGCGTTGCCGTGCAGCAGCCGGAGGGCACGAAGATGGTAGACGGCCCTGCGAAAAGCACCGGGGTCGACACTGGCGTGAACGCTGCTGCGTAGCATGCAGTGAGCGAAGATCTGGCAGCGCGAGTGAGTCTCCGTCCATCCTGTCGGCGCAATATGGCCACTGACTGTGTAGTAGAAAGATTCGGGCGTTGAGCGGGTGCATTAGTCGTACGCAAGATACCCATTGCATTAATATTGGAGTTTGGATGCGCAGGAAAAAGCGGTTGCATCCGGCATTGGGAGGGGTCACTGAAAGTACTTATAGCCACCGTTTGGCTCTGTATATGCATTTTGAATCCGAAGCGAACGATTCAACACAGCTGGGAGAAACCACTTGTATTTGAACAACGACAGCGGCTGGAATGGTGCAGACAACCGACTTCTTGGTAACATGTTGAGGAGGTCCTCGCAGGCGAATTGATGGTGGTCAGGACATAGCTGATCTGGCACACAGTTCATGCAACCTGTCTCAGTCACTTGCACCATCAAGCACCTCAAATACCAACAGCCAGAATGCTACGACTGTGATTGGTCAACAAACAACGTACGCTACTGGATGTCTGCAGCGGCAGGGACGTTGCGGGTGGAGTTTTCGGTCATGTGATCCAGCCTTACCGGCGTCATCTTGCATTGAAAGGCTCAATCGATCTATGGGGTAGCAGATCAATTTCTTGATCTTTCGTGTCCATGAGCGTTGAGCGTTGCACTGAAGGTCTTTGACTCGCAGTGGTCCAAAGTAATTCACCTCTATCCGACCGGCCATGTCCTCCTCAGGCGAAAGAAGAAAGCTCGTCCTCATCTCAGGAGCAACTGGAGGCATAGGCAAAGCCACAGCAATCGCCTTCGCCAAGGAAGGCGGCTACGACCTCGCCATGCACTACAACACCGCCAGCGATGAAGTCCGGGAGAAGCTCACCGAGAGCATGACCAATCACAATCGCGAGGAGGACTTCCGCTTCCACTTCTTCCAAGCGGACATTGGCAACTACGACAGTGTACGAAAACTCCACCGCGAGGTCGTCGAGACGCTAGGACCCGTCGACATCCTCTTCAATAACGCCGGGTCCGCCTGCGGCCATACATCCGTTCAATCCCTCGCTGACGTGCCAATCGATGTCGCGGAGGAGACGTGGCGTATCAATACTGGCTCGGGCATCCTACTCACCCAACTCTGCCTCCCACACATGGAAGCGCAGAATTGGGGTCGCGTCATCTTTGATTCTTCTGTAGCGGCTTTCACGGGCGGAGTGGTGGGTCCACATTACGCGAGCTCGAAGAGCGCACAGCATGGGTTCATCCATTGGTTGGCCGGGAACGTGGCGAAGAAGGGAATTACGGTGAACGGGGTGGCGCCGGCGTTGATTGGGGATACTAATATGATGGGGAGTTCGGATGATAAGGAGGTGCAGGAGAGGGTTGCTTCTAGTGAGTGTCTCGTCGAGGTGATGGAGGTAGAGCTAATTTGCGTTAGGGATACCGGTAGGACGCCTGGGACGTCCGGAGGAAGTGGCCGACACGGTGTTATGGATGGCAAAGAATGCATATGTCACAAACAAGGTGATAGCGATTGATGGTGGCTACTATCCGTACTGACATGCTGACATTTTCTGCAACGCACGGCGCTGTCGACCGCAATACACCTCCATTCCTGCATTCGCTCTTTCATCCATGCGAACAGCATTTGCAGTACATCCTCTGTTCACCATGTTCACCTCTCTGTCATTCTGATGTCAGCATCTGCATAAACCAGCGGTCCAGATTATACTCACTTGTACAGTGCCACTTGAGGACAAGTGAAGCCCACCATGCATCTCCTGCACGACTTGACTTCTGCTTCCCCTCATCCTCAGATCTTGTAAGCGTCCCAGAACGGCTTGTTCTTGTTGTACGTGCACCGCAACGGGCAGGAGATGCGGAAGGTATCCGGCACATGCTGGCTGATGGCGAAGATGGCACTGTACTCTTTGCAGTAGTTCCCCGGACACTTGTACCAGTCCATGTTCGCGGGGTTGCGGTTGGGCTCGTCAGCGTTGACAGCGGTGCTCTTGGAGTGGTCGAGCAGCAGCTGCGGATGCTTGAGCGCCGCCTCACGGAACTCGAAGAACTCCTGCTTCCTAAACAGGTCCTTCGCATGGTCGCGCACAGTGCCTGCGAGGATCTGACGGAGGACGCCGGTGACTCTGTCGTCCAAGCTGTAGGCGACGGAGATGACTTCTGCAAAGGAGCTGGTGTTCCACTGCGAGGTCGTACGCTTGAGAAACTTGTCCTTGGCGAGAGCCTTGAGTCCGTCGACTTGGTACTTGTCGGCCATGACGAAGAGATAGGCGTTGAGCATCAGCGGAGCAAGGCCGCCATGTCCCTCGTCTTCGTAGTCGAAGTGGTACATAAAGTGCAACATAACCTCGACGACGTTCGGGTCGTCTTCCTTGAGAGTGACGACTCCGGTCTGCGCCTCCTGACATTGTATCAGCATTGCTCTTCTGAACTATCATGAATCTATAACGGCCGTCGATGTGGTACGCACCTTGAACTCCCCATCGCAAGCCTTATGAAAGAAGTCCGACTGCGAGCACACCACCACCTTGTGTGCCTTCCATTTCCTCTCGCCACACCCGATGGTGAAGTCCGAGTAGCGTGCGTTGGCCCAGACACTATCGCACACCAGTCAGCACAAACAGTGAAGAGACGAATAGGCTACTCACTTCTGCAGTCCCTTGGTCATCTGCTTCGTCACGTTGCTCTCGCCGGCGCCGGTGTCCACTTTCGAGAGTACGAACGGCGGAGCACTGGCGACAGCAGGCGTCTTGTTGGCGGACGCGCCGCTGCCCTCGGCTTTCACAGTCGCTGATGCAGTCATGGTGAGAAGAGCAAGAGCAAGTACGAGGAGCAGATAAGAACAGCGAGGTGGTGTCTGAAGAAGTGCTGAGAAAAGTCAGCGAAAGTTGGGTGAAGTCAAAGAAAGGAAGGCCAGAGCCTTTCGAGCGCAGGGGGAATGAGCGATGCGCAGCAAGAACGTCACCTCATCATCAGAAACAGAACATGAAACATAACCATGATACTCACTGATGGCAAAAGGAGGTTGAAGAACAATCATGTGCACTCAATCTATACACCGCAGAGCAACAAACCCAGATCGCAACTCCTCCACTTTCACGGACCCCAGCAAGCGCCACTGCCGTTACCCATAGTAATCACATCTCGCTTTCCTTCGGTCTCCCCCAAAGATAGTTTACTGCTTCGCAAGCCACCGAATAACCTCCTCCTTCTCCTCGACCGGCAACATGGACAAAACCTGCGCCACCCCCTTCAACCCCCCCGTCTTATTCCCCCTCAACAACGCCGCAACATCATACGCCACCGTCTCCTGCTTCAGCCCCTCAATCTTGTCCGCAATCATCTTCCGATTCTCCTCATACCACATCGCCACGCTCATATCGTCCGTGTCGAATTTCGGCACCGCCGACCACGCCTCCAGCGTGCGCAGGTTGTTGGCCCGGTTGACCAGCTCCTTGCTCTGCGACGCCGCCATGCGCTTGAGCACGTACTCCTCGTTCAAACGCCGGCGCAGGCGCCAGCAGAAGAAGCGGCGCGCGTTGGTCCATTGCAGAGGCATGCGGATGACGTCCTTCGCCTTCATGCGGCCGGCGCGGTCGTGGAGGTCGGAGTACTGCAGCGCGATCTGCGTGTACACCGGGAGGAGCAAGTTCTCGCGCTCCGTCATCTTGGCCTTGATCTCGTTCTGCTGGGCGGCGGTGAGGCCTTGCTCGGCGGCCTGGCGGCGGAGGTCGCCGTAGGTAGGGTCCAGACGAGCCATGGTCTCGAGCTGACGGTCCTTCTTGTACTTGATGCCGACGATACCTTCGGGCTCGAGGACGCCGCCGCGGGAGTCCTCGTCGGCGTACATTTCCATCATTTGCGGGTTGATGGTGGGGTCGACGACGACCTGTAAACAGCATTAGCACTCGCTCCAAAACCACACAGATGAACGTCCGACTCACCCATGATCCACCACGCAATTCCCCAAACGGCGGAATGTACACGAAAATGGGCTGCTCATACTTCACCAACGCATCGACAATATACGACCCATACTTCAACACCTCATTGTACATATCCCTCTGCCCACCGGAGAAACCTCTCCAGTTGGCCAGGATCATGAGCGGAAGCTGCTCGCCATTGTTAAAGTCCCGCAGCGCCTGTGCGGTCTTGAAAGCGCTATTGGGGTACCATACGCCGCCGGCCTCGTTGGTGACTTGCTCGATGGAGTCGGGGTTGGCAGGGTCGGCGGGCGTGACGTTCTCGACGGAGCGGGTCTCCACGCCGATGACACCGACGGGGATGCCGCCGAGACGAGCGCGGCCGACGACAGTCGTGCGAGCCCAGCCACCGAGAGCCTCCTCGAAGGAATTCTTGTCGAAGAGACCGCTCAAGAAGCCGTCATCGGTCTGCTGTCCAGCGATGAGGTGGCGCACATCGTAGGTAGCCTTCTGCGGTGGGAAGAACGTGATGTCGCGATCCCAGACATCCACCGACGGCGAGATCGGTACCGGTTGATTCTTCCTGTCCGGCACGAACGACATCCACTTGACAATCTTCGAGACGCCGGCAAAGTCATCGTCAGCAGTCATGTGCGAGACACCGTTCTTGTACATGATCTGTGTCCCACCGAGCTGCAAGTTGGACGTGTAGACTTCACGACCGAGCAGTTTGTTGATAGCCGGAGCACCAGTGAGGATAATCGGCTGGCCTTCGATCTGAATCGCACGCTGGCCGAGACGGACAAGGTAGGCGCCGATACCGACGGAGCGGCAGGTGACGAGCGTGATGGTGAAGATGTCATCGTAGGCACGGGAAGTCTCACCGGCAATGAGACCGGAGCCTTTCAAGCATTCCACGCCGAGACCATCCTCTGCACCAACGATAGTGGTAATGACATGGCGTGTCTCGCCGCCGACCTTGACTTCCTTCGTGATGACGTGCTTGAGCGCTCCGTCCTCGAAGCGCGCCTTCTTCTCCGGCGTGAGGTACAGGTACTCGAAACCAGCCTCCGGCTTCTTCGGGTCCTTCCACGCAACGGAGAAGTGTGGGATCAGCTCCTCCGCCATGCCGATACGTGCACCAGAGTTGGCAGAAAGGTAAATCCTGGGAATCCCCAACTTCCTCGCCAGCTCCGAGCACTTATGGAAGAACTTGTCCTCCAACGGGCCAAAGCTACCAATCTTGAACGTGATATCGTTCGCAATGATGATAAATCTCCTGCCGCGCGGGTACTCAGGCGTCTTGGCCGTGACCAACCACCCAATCATACCAATGTTGTTCGTACCCGGCTCGCGGTTGACCTCCTGCAGGTTATCGGAGTCATCCAGCACAAGCTCGCTGTATTCTATACAGTCGCCCTTGACCGGCTGCTTCTCCTTCTGCCCCGGGTGCTGCGACACGATGGACGTCCAGCTGTTCTCGATAGCCTGGCGGAAGAGCTCCGGGAAGTCGTAGACGTACTGCGTGCCCATGATGTGAGCCTTGTAGCGCTTAGGTTGGAGAGCGCCCTTGGTCTCGTAGGGAGTGCTGACGGGGCGCAGGTGCATGGAGCCAATCTTGGTTGTGCCGCCGATGCTGTGGAAGAGCCATTCATTGCCCTTGTCCGACTTGCGCTCTTCGTAGAGCTCGACTTCGGCGATGTAGCCGGAGGTGTTGGTGATGATGACACGGAGCGGCACTGGGTTCCCAGTGTTCTTATCGGTGCAGACGATACGGATCTCAGCGCCAGTGACCCGAAGTCTCCATGCGCGGCGGCCGAAGCGATCCAAGAATCCAGCAAGGGCCTCCTGCACCTCATTCGTCTCCAGCGGGAAGATGGTGGCGAAGTTGATGAAGATGTGGTTCATGTCGGAGTTGTTGTTGCCGCCAATCTCAAGCGCATCCAAGATGTCAGTCATGAGCCTGTCAGCCTCCGAGATGACATACTCTGCAGTCGGCACGTTATCGCGCAGCTGACCAGTTCGGACAGTAGCACGAGTGAAGTAGCGCTTGTCGTTCTCAGCATTCTTGCCAACCGCCTCGTACATGTGGATGTTGCGGTTCTCAGTGAAGACGGGCTTGATGTTAAACTTCGCGAGACGCCCAAGTTCCAGCTGGAAAGCCAGCGCCGGCTCGATGTGACGGATGCTGATGTCCTCGTCATACTTCGGTCCGCGGAAGGTGTAGTAGGCAGGGTATGTGCCATCCTTGTGGCCGCAGATGAATGTCAGACGCCTGACACGGCGGGCCAGGAGCTCGTCCTTGTACTCCTCAACGATCGGCTGCAGGCGAGCGAGAATCTCGTTGTCGTCGAAGCTCTCGGCGTCGCACACGGCAACGTTGCAGACTGCGGTCAACTCGTCCTCGTGTCCCAATGCGGGGACCGCGGCACCGGGTTGTCTTCTCCGTGCCATGTCGCTGGACAGAGAAAGCTGGCCCTTGGCATGTCCATTCTGATCCGCCAACGGGAAGGTCTCAAGCGCCTTCATAATGTGCTCATCAACCTCATCAATGTACGGCACAGGCACAACCGCGCCGCGACGAGTGGGCTCGCCAGCACCAGCGCTCCTCGACAGGTAACTCATGTCGCTAACAGAGTGTACCTTCGCGAAGCCCTCAGCAGGCGTGCCAGGTCCCGATGGGTGACCAGACTCGATCGGCAAACCGAACTCAGACTCGCCCACTTTACGGAGCGAGAACTCCCAGGCAAGAACATACGGCGTCTCGCCCTCCGCGACATAGTCGATCTGCTTGAGCTTATACGCCTTGTACGCGCGGCGAGTGTAGACCTCAAGCGCAGCCAGAGACACCCACGGGTCCTTGTGGATGAAGAACTGTGGCAGCACGTCGAAGACGGTGTGCTTCGAGTCCACGACGTCCTTGATGACGTTGTAGTCGGGCTCTCTGTGGTCCCAGCCGCTCTCGCCGTAGCGCGACTCAAGCACTGCAGTGCGAAGAATGTGCTCCATCTGCGATGTGCGCTCCTCAAGCGATGGCATGGCGCATTGGATCAGCACCTCACGCGCCTTGAGCGAGACTTTGGCTGTGGCGCGCCCCTCGAGATCCGCCAGCTTTTGGAGCGATGGTTTGAAGTAGTCAGCCACAGGTCCGACACCTGGCTGATTTGGCCTGTATGCTTGCAAAATCTCGATGATGAGGTTGTTCTTCGCAGGCGCGCGGGTGTGAGACAGCACCGTCTGGACGACGCTGCCCACCTTGTCCTTGTTCTGGTCACGAAGTTGGAGAATGACCTCTTCGTCGCGGTTCTGGCGGGCGGAGAAGATGCTCTCAACCGCCCAGTATTGCTCGAAGAGAGCAATGAAGGCTCCGAATTCGTTCGCCTTCAATCCATTCTGGTACTTATCGATGATCTCAGTCAGAGGAGCCAGAGTTGCACGGAGCAGTACGGCATCGCCAGCTGAGACGTTCTCCTGCAAGAAGCGGTCGAAAGCCCGCTGCAGTTGCTTCGCCGGGAACTCAGACTGACGGGACTGCGCACGCTTGACGAGGTCCTCGAAGATCGAATCAAGCTTCTGTGGCATACGGGCGTGGAGAGCAGAGGCTTGCGCAATCCATTCACCATACGGCAGGTCCGGGTCTCGCAGGACTGAGATCAGCTCCCTCAAGGTTTGCTTCATGATGACCTGGTTGTCGAAGCCCTCCAAGATATGCTGCAGCGTTTGGAAGAGGAAAGAGAAGCGTTGCGGAGCCTTCGTTCCGGGAACAACAGGCGCGCCAAAGTCCTGGAGCTTGTTGAGGAACGGCTGAGCAGACTTGACCTTTGATGGGTCATCCAGAGCCAGTATACCGAGGATGTCACCTGCAGCAAGAGTCGCGCCGGGCTGCTTGATGAGGTTGACAACACCGTCCTCCTGAGCGATCAAAGGCATGAACATCTTCATCACCTCGACCTCAGCGAAAGCCTGGCCCTTGGTGACGTGCTCTCCGTTCTCGACAGTGAAACGCACAAGCTTGCCGGGAGAGATCGTGCGGAGCTGAGTCGGGTCGCTCTCCTCCTCGAGCATGCAGGTCTTGCCGTCGACAGACATGCGCACGGCGCCGACTTCCTCCTTCCAGTAGACGTTGTGGGAGCGTCCGCCCAGGAGGACCAGGAGACCGCCATCGGAGAGTGCTCGAATGCCAACGTTAGCCTTGCTGCCGTTGATGAAAAGGGTGTAGCTGTCCACGCTGGACCGGGTCGCGGTGAACTTGTACTTGTAGCCATCGTAGATGAATTCGATCGGGAAGACCGTCTTGAGAATGTCCTTGCTAGGGACCTGACCTTTCTCGAGACCCATGCGATACTCCGCCATGCATGCCTCGCTGGCCAGATGCGTCTTGGTGACTGCACCGCTGATGACGGCGATGGTCGGGTCTGGTCGCTCAGCTGTCAGCCTCTTGCTGATCAGCTCGTCGAGCCATGCGGTGGTGATTGTGTTGTCCTCGAAAGCTGGTGTTTCCAACAGCTTGATCAGGTACTCCACGGTTGTCCTGAAGTCACCACGAATGCTCAGCTCTTTCAACGCCACAACCATGTGTTTCCTCGACGCTTGTCTGCTCTCGCCGTATGCGAAAATATGACCGAACTGCGAGTCCGCGAAGTTGTGGATGGAGGATGCCGCACTGACGGAGAAGTAACCCCAGACATTCGAGCTCGATCGGAAGTTCAGCTCGTGCATGGTACCAGAGGATGGCTTGAAGCCCTCGCCAGGATCTTCAGAGGTGATACGGCAAGCTGTGCAGTGGCCCTTGGGCTGTGGTCGTCGCTGCTGAAGAGCGCTGCCCTCCTTTTCGAAGCCGAAGTCAATCTCTGACTGTTGGTGAGGATCCGCACCGTAGAGCAAGCGAATGTCACGAATGCGATGGAGAGGAAGACCCATGGCAACCTGGAGCTGGGCGGCTGGGAGATTGACTCCCGAGACCATCTCAGTGGTAGGGTGCTCGACCTGGAGACGGGGATTCAGTTCCAAGAAGTAGAACTTGTCATCCTCGTGCGAGTAAAGGTATTCCACGGTACCGGCAGACACGTAGCCGACCAATCGACCAAGAGAAACAGCAGCCTTCTCCATCTGGCGGAAAGTCTGCTGGCTAGCGATCGTCACCGGTGCCTCTTCAATAATCTTCTGGTGTCTTCGCTGGACCGAGCAGTCACGGCCGAAGATCGAGATGTTGTTGCCATACTGATCCGCCAGAAGCTGGACCTCCAAATGACGAGCGCTGCCAGCCAGCTTCATGATGAAGATGGGCGAGCCGGGAATCTCGCTCGCGGCCTCCTTGTATAGCTGCTCAAACTTCTCTTCCGTATCCACCTTTCGGATACCCTTGCCACCGCCTCCTTCAGAAGCCTTCACCATGACTGGGAAGCCGATCTTCTTCGCCGCTTCGAGACCTTCCTGTGGGTTGGTCACGCAGCCTTTGTTGTAGACGCTCTCCTCGACCGTGACAATGTCGTCATCGCCAACTACCACCTCGTCGACGCCAGTGCCTGACCATGGGATACAAGGTACTTTGGCGTGTTGCGCAACGATCGTAGAGGAGATTTTGTCCCCGAGTGACCTCATCGCTGAGCCGGGAGGTCCAATGAAGACGATTTTCTTCGGTGACGCTGCAAGAGACTCGGGAAGCTTGGGATTCTCGGATGCGTGGCCCCTATGCTGCTGTTAGCTGCAATCCATCGCATAGCCATCTCTTATTCCACTCACCATCCTGCCCACACAGCATGGACGTCCATCCGCTCGGCCACATCCACAATGAGCTCCACATTGGCATAGTTGTTATTATTCGTGCCACCCGGCACCTCGACATATTGATCCGCCAGCCGAATGTAATCCGCATTCGCCGCCAAATCGTCCGGCGTCGCCATGACCGTGAACTGAATCGCCCGCTCATCGCCAAATGTCTCGTATGCCCATTTCCGCACCGATCGGATCTCCTTGACCGCCGCGATACCGTTGTTGGCGATCAGGACCTGTTCCACCGCATCAGCCATCGCCCCCCATCTCCAACACTGCCGGAATCGACTGATGGGCGGGGATACTCACGTTCGTGATCGAAGTATGTCCATCATGCGCCGCCACAAAGTCCTTCACCTTGCTCGGCGCCGCCTTGCTCAGCTCGTTCCCGCCGATGAAATGCGGCTGCAGGTCGAACTTAGCCGAGTAGCTGCTCGGATGGCCGTTGACCTGATGGCCGTTGACCTTTGGGGCGCCGCCCACTGCGTCGGCCATTGTCGCAGTCGGAGCTGTGTAGTATTAAGGGTGTGTAGTTCTGTCGTGTGTTTCGTGAAAGGGAAGGAGAGGGGGGCGAGGGAGAGATGGGGTCGCCCTTTTGTGAGTGGTGCCGCCCTTTTTCAGCTCCGCCTGTCAGAGGGAAGGTGTGGTGTGGTTGACGCTGGCTGCTGCGTCAAATCAGGGGACCAGCGATCCGGTAAGACGTGGGGCTGAATTGCGCTCTATTACGGAGAGAGGAGGATGAGAGGGCGGGGGTGGATGACAATGCCCTTGTGAATGGATGTGTGAAGTCAGAAGCGCAAAGGGAGGGAAGCGATATCAGATTCGGGCGGAAGGAGGGAGTGCGGTATATCTAAGATGTCTACTATTTTCTGTTGACCTCGCCCGTTGCAGCGCACAGCACCCACTCCCAAATAAATTATCCAAAAACTCCCGCTTCCGAGGCCGCATTGCTCGCCTGTTGGGATCTGTGCGCTAGCTTCCCTTCAGCCCTTTCTTCACGTCGATCCCGAGATATGGGCACGGCACCAACAGCAGCTGATGAAGCCAGCTCGAACATCCTTCGGCCTCCATATTTCACCCCCAATTGAGGACGTTGGTATACATGTACACCTGCTGGTGAGGCGGATAGCGAGCTCCTCATTCGCAGCATTATCCAGGTTGAGCATCATCATCTCTGGTTGTGCGGAGTAGTGCATCCGAGCAGTCTGCCCGTCCCGAGCGCTGGAGCGAAACCCTGATGAGATCGCAGCAGAGGTTCCGTTGAGCACATCATACTGCATGCAACCCCGACTCCAACCTACCTCGCCTGCTGCAGGTACCGTTTTCAACACTCAACCCATTCAACATCTGTTCATCCTGCCTTTTGTACATATACCTCCATGCTCTTCTCATCCCTTCGAGAACGTCCTGAAGAAGTCCCGGCATCTCCAATCTACCACGCGATACCCGCATGCCGTCCAACGCCAAATATAGCAACCGCGCACAGGAGCACAAGCCCAGTTTCCCGAACGAACGCTCAATAGCGTCACCGACGAAACTTCCGATATCTCGAAAATGCAAACTATTGATGACCGGCTCTCCGCCGCCCCTTTTCCAAGTGCAATAGAAGAGATTGGCAGCTCATCAAGATGTGAGATATCGCATTGACATTTACAATCGGTAAGGTCAGGGCCGAAGTCAGGAGAGTTCAACGGTCGTGTCGTTCTCGACCAGCGGGCTGCTGAGTAGATATGTGATCATAGAGTTGGCTGCTACGGAAGATGTCGAAACGTCGTTCAGCTGCACGGTCCGAGGACGATCACGCTACACACGTACGCGGTCCTTTGGAGAGGACGAGGGATGAAATGGATGCATTCAAACATGGACACTCGTTCATGCCATATCTCACAGTTGTGGTATCACCGCCAAAGCCCATACGCCCCATTCGTAAACTTCCACAACTTGACCGTCCCATCCTCACTCCCCGTCGCATACATCTTCCCATCCGGGCTAAAACACGTCGTCCACACCGGCCCGTGGTGGCCCCTCCCCGTCTCCAACTGCTCCTCCGCATCCAAATCCCACAAATGCACCCACGTGTCATTCGGACTTCCTGTAACAAACCTCCTCGCCTCCCCGTTCACCGCTACGCTCGCCACGTCCCGCTCCGTCTTGATGTGCTTCATCAATTGCCCCGGCCGCGCGCCGTCGAAGACATAAACGTTCTTGCCGGCCGCTACGCTGACGACGCCCTCGGGGTTGCCGCCGAGCCCGATGTTGAGTTCGCAGGAGATGGGGAGGCCGTCGACGGGGTGCGTTGCGATGGCGGTTTGGGCGCGGAGGTCGTACCAGCGGATGTTCTTGTCGTCGGAGGCGGTGGTGACGATGTTGGGGTCGCGGAGCCAGATGATGCTTTTGATGGCTGCGGTGTGGTCGCCAGCGCCGATTTCATAGGACGGGGTGGTGTCTGCGCCGTTTGAGGCGCCGTTGGTGGTGCCGTTGCTTGCTCTTGAGAGGTCGTAGATCCGCAGCTTCTTCTCCATGCCGCCGGTCGCTAGGATCTGGGGTCGGTCTTGCGGTGGGAAAGCCACCGCTCGGACGATGTGGTTGTGCTGGAGAGAATGTAATGTCTCGCCGGTATATGTGTCCCATACTCTCGCGGAGAAGTCTGCTGAGCCCGTCGCTGCTAAGGTGGCATCCTCGCATAACCTCGCGCTCCACACTGCGCCTTTATGTCCGATGAAGGTTCCTATCCAATCACCTGTGACGCCGTCGCGGAGCATTGGGTTGCTGTCTTTGCATGCTGAGATCATGTAGTATTGAGAAGTAGAACCGGTGCTGAGTAGGGATGAGAAGGAGACGTGGGTGATGGGTCGGGAGTGGCCATGGCAGGTCAATGGCAGGATCTTGGTGGTTCCTATCGAACTGTCAGTAGGCGGATACGGATACAAGGGCATTGGGCTGGAAGTAGAGCTACGGCGCCCTCGAATGCATACGTACCTGGCGCGACCTTTGTCTCATCCTGCCTCGTGAACGCAAAGTCCATGGTTAAGTGGATTCACAAGGCAATGTGTTCCTGTAGCGTGAGCAAGTCGTAGATCGTCGTTCGTAAGTCGTGAGTCGTGAATCGTTAGAAGACAGCTAGTGTGTTCGAAGTGTCGTCTGCCAGCCCGCCGTCGCTAATGGATCTGATGTACTCAATCGCAAAGGAAAGACGAAAGGAGAAGTATGAATTGTACAGAGGTCAAAGAAAGGAAGCCAGTTCGAGCAATGTCATGCAGGAGAAGACCTGAACCTGGGAAGAATGTTTGGTTGGTGCCCTTGCGCTAGCGATGCTCATGCGGCGACTCGGAGGAGATGGGCTAGACCTGGATGGCCATGCGATAACATTATCGACTGTGCAAAATGGACAGTTGATTTGGAGAGTCTAGCTCCTGCTACGCGACATTTCAAATGCGAGTCGAGCGTGTCGCGATCGTGAAGTGAAGAACGTAGTGTGGCATGTGATTGGCAGCTCGCTACCTGGGCGATTGCCGCGGTCGCGGAACTTTACCTCACCTTATTTACGCCTCCCTATACCACAACACCGCGACTTCAACGACCATCCCGGAAGAACCTGGACCCCACTGGATACTGGACTGCTGGACTGCTGGACTGCTGGACTGCTGGATTAATGCGACTATAAGCATCTGGATTAGAACCGAGACACTCCCCAACTCATCGACACGACCACCAACGTCACCGGAAACATTGCCTGGACCCCACCACCCCAAGCAGGAGACAGTGCGATTGCGCGAGCCCGCCACAGCATTGCACAGGCGGGCCATACAAGACGGCGGGGACAAAGGGTATGCCACGTTAGAAACGCGCACAACCGCCCTTCATGTCCTCCCCAATGCGCCCAGGCGCCAGCCTGGAGGAGGAACTGGACTACTACAAAAAGCAATACGAACAGCTCGAAGCCGACCTCGCGGACTTCCAGGCTAGCAGCAAGGAGCTGGAAGAGCAGCTCGAGCGCGACATTGAGACTGCGGAGAAGAACGAGCGCAAGCTGAAGGAGCAGATTGAGAAGTTGAAGTATGAGGCAGAGGAGTGGAAGACGAAGCACCAGCAGTCCAAGGTGGAGTCGAACAATGCGCAGAATGTGCTGCAGAAGGAGATCACCGCCATGCGGGATACGAATCGGACATTGCAGTTGAGGTTGAGGGATATTGAGGTGGTGAATGATGATTACGAGCGCCAGGCCAGGAATACGGAGTCGAGCTTGGAGGACATGGAAAGCAAGTACAGCGTGGCGATAGAAAGAAGTGTGTTGCTGGAGGGGGAGGTGAAGACCGGGGAACAAGAGCGGGAGGCGTTACGAATTGAGACACAACGGCTGCGAGATGAGCTTGGTGACCTCAAGATCGAGAGCGACATCACGCTGGAGAAGCTGTCGCAAGCGGACCAGACTATCGAGCGGCTACGATCCAGGAAACCGAGCCCGCTTGCTGTGGAAAGTCTCCGAGCGAGGAGCCCGGGGAGTGAGGCCAGTGGGATCACGCCGTCTTCGCCAACAGTCTCGACATCGCCACCCAAGTCTGACAGTGTATCCGATGCGCCCACGCCGCCATCACCACCACTGTCAGACGCTCCTCTTAATGGTAAGGGTGAGCCGAAGACGCCAGTACCAGGCAAGCGTAGGTCCCTCATTCCAGATCCCGCATCAACTTTACGTCCTGGTGCAGCTGGCTCACGAACTGCCGCCAAACACTCACGGGGTCCTTCGGTTGCATCGAGCACGGCGACTTCAGAGGCCAAGGCGATGAGACCACCACCTCGACCACGTCAGTTTTCGCGTCCAAGCCTTGGAGCTGCAGAGAGCCTCCCCAGATCCGACTCGCTCTACCAGATCCGAACACTTCGCGGCAGAATGCAAAAGATCGAAGAAAGGGTTCACTCTGCTCGGTCAAAGCTACCCAGTCAGCCCAAAGAGCGCACACCAAAGAACTCACCGAGTACTAGGTTGGAACCCAAGGACAACCTGCCTGCTACTGTGACAATGCGCCGCAGCATCAAACGTCCCAGCAGCAATCTCGGCTGTTTTGCCGATGCTGCATCCGATGTGGCCTCCACTACAAACTCCGATGCGCCCAGCAGACGCGACAGCCACATTAAACGTCTCTCCTTCGGCATCCCGAGGCCGACCTCTTCAGCTGCTGACCGACCAGGCTCAGCCCTCGACCGTCCACCTTCAGCAGCTGCAGTCAGCCGACCAAGTAGTCGCGCGAGTCTCGCATCCGCTTCAGCAAACCTCCACCCCGAGCGTCCCGGCAGCCGCGCAGGCGCACGCACACCCATTGGACAGCTCAACTTCGCTTTCAATCCCACCGCCGCGCAAGGTCGACCGCGGAGCAGTGTCGGGGGCACATATGCTACAGTCCACGGCACACCGCGCAGTCATCGCCCGAGTGCTAGTATCAGCGAGCTTAGATATCACGCTCGAGATAACGACACGGCGGGCGGCGCAAGTAGTCCCGGACGAAGTAGCGCGATGTCGCAAGCCAGTTCAATCACGCCTTACCCTGCCGGGCGGAGGCAGAGCGCTGGCATCTCGACGCCGAAGACTGTTGCGAAGAGGGCGAGTACAACTGGCATTGGTGGAAAGGAGGATGCCGGAGTGGGCGCGATGAGACCACCGCCTAGTCGGAGGAAGATGAGTGATGTGGGCGAGACGTACTGAGGATGGGACGGGACATGGATGATGAACGCTTGACGAACAGACTTCTCGTATGGCTGTTGTGGGAAGCGGGAGCTGGCCATCTATGCGGTCGGGATCAGACGAGTTGCTACGGGTTAGCTAGAAGTGACGGGCTATTCTAGCTGGACGGGCTGGAGGAGTGGCGATATACCCTTACATCGAGATGACTTCATGCATGTGTGGATTCTCTCCGACTATCTTTGGCATTGTCAGGCAAGGGACGTCTGTTCCGGTAAGACAGGTTGGTTGTACAACTGTCGTGCAAAGTGGATATCGAGTCAAGCTTCCAAGCCAAGAGATGTCGACTAGGGCACTTCTGGCCCGATCCATCTGTGGACCTCTCATCATCACAATCGCGCGACATGTACAGCAACTCTTGAACGCCTTCCCTTCGCTTGTATATTCTCTATGCCTTGGTCTACCCCTACACCCCTCCGACGATGATCGCGCCGCCGCGCCACCTCACCTCGTTGATCGTGGTGTTCGCGCTCGCGCTGCTGACCTTCTTCATCTACTACCGCCCCTCGATAGGAGACACCATCTCGGACCATGCGACTTCGATAGCAGGAGTGTCGGGGAGGAGTCGCGTAAAAGCTGCGAATGCGACACTGGGTTTTGGAGGGTTATTCGTCGTCTCCGGCCCCGGCTCGCCGCGAAGGTCGAAGTTGGAGCAAGCAGCGGCGGTAACAGAGCTGCAGCTCACAATACCGGAGCAAGTACAGTGGACGGGGCAAGACGTGCTCGACTTCCGGTGGGACAACGTCACCGAGTCCAAAGTCGGCATCGGCAGCGTCAAAGCCTGGCTCAGCCACCACCTCGTCCTGAAAGCCTTCCTCGAGTCCGGCGTCGAGACGGCGCTCATCTTCGAAGACGACGTCGACTGGGACATCCGCCTGCGCACCACACAAGTCCCGCTCGCCCAGGCCGCCGCGCGCACTCTCACCTCCGCCTCTGCAGCCTCCCAATACCCCTGGGGCCACCCCGACACCTGGGACTTGTTTTATCTGGGCCACTGCGGCGACTACTTCAACGACCTCGACGAAGGCGTCGGAGTAGGCCACCACCACCCCCACCACCTGACCGAAATCCCGCACCAAGTCTTCCTCGACCCCACCCTCCCCGACCGCACCGACCTGCACCCCTTCACCGCCTCCCTGCTCACGGCCCTCAACGTGCCTCTGCAAAGCCGCGTGCTCCACCGCTCCAAATGGCCCCTCTGCACGTTCGGCTACGCCGTCACTCGCGCTTCCGCCCTGAAGATCCTGACCGACGTCGCGCCGCCGAAAGAAGACATTGCGCGTAATCTAATCGCCTACGACGCGGCGCTGTTAGACGGTTGCCGCAACGCGTACAAACTGAACTGCTTCTCCATCACCCCTGAGCTCTTCCATCACATGGAAGGGAAGAGCATCATCGCGCTCGAAGAGGAGACGCACGACCATAAGCAAGTTTTCCGGCCGCCGGTGGATGTCGCGGGGTTTGAGCAGGTGTGGTGGAGGAAGGAGACGAGCAATATTGGGTGTGGGTTTTGGAGCGGGGAGTTTTATTACGAGTATGAGGAGAGCAAGTTGGAGGGGTTGAGGGAGGAGGCGAGGAAGGGGAGGTGTGCTAAGGAGGGGAGGCGTGCTAAGGAGGGGAGGCGGTAGGTGTGGATGGGGTTTTGACGAGCGTTTGGGATAGGGTTTGCGTGGAGTTTTGGGGGGGTGTTTTGGGATACCCTGAATGTTATGCGGGAGGGATGGTGGCCTCCATTATCAGACAGAGGGAGAAGCCTGCATTGAGGCGCAGACCTGAGTTGTGTTACGTATGTATAACGAGATATATGTACAGCACTGATCTAAAGTGGCGTCTATAATCGTACGCCGTGTCACATCGAACGGAGAACGGACCTCAGCTTCACGTCTACGACATTACGTTGGTGGATATCGTCGACGTTCCCTTATACCATTCTTTGAATCCGCCCGGAAAACGACTCCTGCCTGCGCCGTAAGTAGCAAACATGCACCACGCTTGCCCTCCGAGAAATGGAAACCACAAGGCACTGTGCCGCAAGGCTGCTGCTTAGACTACATACAGATTTCCTTTCGACTCTTTCGTCTTACAACTACCTCACCTTTCGAATCGTTCAGGCTCATCTCTGTTGTTCTGCCACCACAATTTCAGATACTTCAGAAACTTTATGCCTGTTTGTTGTAGGAAGGCTGCAGGTTGTGAGCTGCGATCACCATGGTCGGAGCGAGGCGTTGAAGCGTCGTACCTTTTCTCTACGCCATTGCTGTATTGCTTGTAATCATCTTTCTATGGCGAGGATGCCAACGACATTCGCGGACGTTTGGTGATGTACGGGAATACTTGGATCTACCCTGTCGGCGATTGCAAGGAGCCAACGAAACTTTGGTTGTTCTCAGGACGTAAGCATACCGACGATGACCCGGTCGAACAACTGCTAATTCACATCGCTACCAGTGGAGCTGCAGAACTCCTAGACAAGCTTCCTGTCCATCTCGAGACAATAACTCGATGCTTCCCGAACTATGTCGTGTATTCAGACTTCGAAGAGTACCACCACGGACAGCTCATCCTCAACACACTGGATTCCGTAAGCCACGACATCGAGAGCAGCACCCCGACTTCGAACTCCATCGCCGTCTCAAACGAGACGGAAGGGCGGCTTTGCAAGATGGAACGTTCCAGGGCAGCGAGTCGGCGATCAATGGTGTGGGCACTGCGACTGGAAACGCTCAGAATCCTGGTTGGAGGCCTGGTTGGAGACGGGACGAATGGAAGTTGCTGCCCATGGTCAATCAGACGTTTCACGACTTTCCTGACATGAAGTGGTATATCTTCACTGAAGGTAAGATCGTTCGACAGCAATCACTTGAACCATGTATCGTTTGCTGATCCGTTTCCCGCCTGTTTAGTCGATGCCTACGTTGTATGGAGTACCATGCTGCCATACCTGTCAACGCTGGACTCGACGCAGCCGATCTACCGGGGCCAGTATATGGCCATAGGTGGAGATCAGATCATATACGGACGTGCAGGCTTCATCGTCTCGAACCAGGCGTTTCAGGCGGTCGTTGCCCACTACTCCTCGCACAAGACAGAACTGGAACAGGTCACCGATCGCCACTGGGCCGGTGATGCTGTCTTAGGCGGGGCCTTCAAGGACGCCGGAGTGCCATTTGCCGACATCTGGGCATTCATGCAGGGAGACTATCCCGGCTGGTCGACATACTTGCCGCTCGACGGTGGATCCATGGTAGACGGTATTGCTAAGGCCTGGTGCAATCCCGTTGCTACATTCCATCACGTCACTCCGGATGCCGTTCGTGATCTGTGGGATGCAGAGCAGGAGTGGGCGGCAAGGCGGGACAATGTAAGTCCTTGCCTCCTCCGCGCGGGAGGCACAAACAGCTGACGCCATGACTCCAAGAGGCCACTGAACCGTTCCTGCGGCAGAAAGACGTGTTCGAGATCTTCACCCTTCCGCAGCTGATACAGTCTCCACCGCAGGACTGAGACAGCGATTGTGATCAAGAAAGGCAGGAAGCAACCTCCGAGGCTGACTGCGAGCAGTCGTGTCAGCTCGATGTAACATGCCTGCAATACTCTTTCGAAGAGAGCAGCAGCAAATGCAGGACTCGGGAGACACCAAGGCTTGGAGTTGCAAAGGCTGGGTTCCGCTCGGGGTGGTTCAGGGGTAGGATGGAAAGCTTTCAAGAGAGTATGCCTCCTTGTGACGACGTTCGATGGCCGACGTGAATGGAGGTACGATCGATCTCCATCTGGCTCAGACGTTTAGAACCATACGAAGCTAGGAAACAGCCAATCTGAATGCTCGGGACTGGGTCGCAGTTGACGAGACTGTCGACGAGGTCGTAAGGGACTCTGATGCGAGAAGTGCTTCCATATCCACCCACCATACCTACGATGGTGACTCCACGGACGTCTCCTCAAGGGATAGGACTAGCAGGAGGAAGGTCATCTAGTGGGCCATGGTCGGGTAGACGTGTGAAGAGGCAAATATTCCAGAGGCAAACATTCATGACCAGACCCTCTCCATATCATTCAAATGACGAAAGAGGACCCCTACTGCTATTGATCCATTCCGACGGGCGCTAGCAGGTGTTCAAAAGGCTTTGTGGCAGGCAGTGAAAACAAAAAAGCAAAACATTCAGCAGACGGTATTCCCACGTGGTCACCCACCGTAGTACTAATCATCCGATTCGCAGCTTGAGTACGGCAGAGCGGACGGGATGCCCTATAGTCTGCGATCTATGGCCGAATGTACTGACCATGACCAATAACGTAATATAGTAGTTGCAAAATTGAAAGCTGAATTACCTGTGGGTGACCACGCGGCAAAACCACCTGCCAAGGAGACACTCCTCCCTGGCTATACCACGTCTTGTCGGGCACACTGATACAACGTAGAGAGAAGAATGAGAACTAATAGCTGTCGGGAATAAGTCACTCTTTCTTTTATTGCCACATGCCTTGCACTCAGTGTTCTGGACTGCTGCTACCAAGTCCATCCAGGTCGACTCTCTCTCATCACGCACCCTCTCTTCTCCTCACAAGTATCTTCCGCCAGCGCCTGGCGCATCGGCAGCGATGTGGCAGTCTTCTAGAGCTCTAAACAAGCAAAGAATGCCCAAAAGTCTTAGAGTAGGCCATTGTTCTGCGGGGAAGAGGCAAGGAAGCGGCATACTTCTCCAAAACAGCAGGTGTGGCACCAGCCAACATCGCCTTCAGTAATAGGTTATCACATCTCGGAGAAGAAGGCACGCGCTGACTTCCATGTCTTTGGGTCGGTGTCCAGGAGCAGTGGCAGAACATAAGACTGTTCGTGTTCTCATCTTTTCCCTTCCGCCACCTGTTCTTGCCAACTTCCCCCATGTTCTTATGCTGTTCATTTATCATCGACTCCAATCTGTTTACGCTCTGAATCGTCTTTGTTGAGGCAGTCAGATATGATGGCCGCTGTAGATTGGAAAGCCATGGCCCATTCAGTAATCAGTCAAGATGGGTCCGGCACCGAAATGGAAGAACACATTACCCCTCTCAGAGAGTTTTCCCGCGAGAAGAGTGGACGGTGGTGGAATTCACGACCGAGAGAGGCGGGCGAGATGATGGTGATTTGCGACCTACCGAAAAACGGACAGATAGGTACGTTGACCTTTCCTTCTCAGCAGAAAGCAAGCCACAACCATTTCAAGACTATGGGACACAATTATGCACCTGGCTTGATGCATGGGGAAGCTGCGGATATGGACCTCCGCAGGAAACGCTTTCTCGTATTCTGGACCATGAACACACCTCGTCGAGGCTAAAGATGAGCCCGTCTGAAGTCTACATCGTTCATGTCCTCGACTGTAAACATTCCTCCGGTCTGTCGTCATTGATGTTGCCGGATCTTTGTGTTGTTGGTAGCTTGCTGCTCTTGACACTGAAAGCCTTTCCGGATTGGTGTCTTTGGTGTCCTTGTTGTCATCACGGAATAGCATTCCTGATGCCCTGAGGTCATCCATTGATGGTTTTCGAATAAGTTGTTTGGCGTTCTTCATGCTCACAGCTTGAACGACCTAGATGAAATACGACATCGCCCGATGAAGACACTATAGTTCTCTAGTAGTCGCTCCTTGCTAGCCAGTCTCGAGCCAGTCAATGTTTCGTCTCGTCTGGTTAAGAGAATTGTGCTCGTCAATCACGTGCTGACTCCAATTTCAGAATCCCGCATTCCTCGAGTTTCATCTCTGACGCGATCAGCAAAACGTGAAACACAGCGCGGCAGACGAGAAATGCCTCAGTCCAGCGTCGCTTGGAGCTGCACAACAGTCACCAACACTCGCAGCCGGCGAGGCGGTCAGTGTGAAGAGTTTGGCAGCGTCCCACCTATGGCAAAGTCGCACCCGCATGTGCTCGACATTGTAGTTCGAACCACTGGCAGAGCTGGGGACGGCGGTGCATAAGCGCCGCGCCAACGGGATGGCGCGCTGTCGTTAAAATTCGGAAACATTGAAAGATCGGCCAGGCCCGACGATCTCTGTTGGAGGGGTTCCTTGTGCAACGAGGATGCGGGAGTGTTTGAGGATCTTTGAATAGAATGCGTTCCTTCAATTTGGCGAGTGTCTCTGTAGACTGGCCTGCCGGGTGCTCCAAGCTGCTGCATAACCATATTCTTCGCCAGCAAGCACGTCGGCAGGTTCTGCCAGAAGACGTTAGGTACTGTAGATCGGTACAGGAGTCCAGAGAAGGGGACGAGTTGGTGTCGGCAAGAATAGGGCCTCTGGGAAAAGGTTCTGGGTGGTGGGCGTGAAGTGTGGCCAATAGCGGCCGTTTCACCTAACCCAAAGTTGGCAGGCTAAGGCAAGCGCGTGGCGAATGAGGAAGCCACGACCCCTTTGTCACTTCGCAGCGGGCACGTCGTCGCATGCATCCTTCTTGCTCTGCAGCACGCTTCCCATCCTCTCCTTCGAACATCATCACCATCCAACTCCATTCCTTCTTTCTCGCCGTCGCCCGTTGCCGTCCGTCACTGCGCTCTTGCATCTTTCTCGACATACACTCTCCTGCTTTCATTTCGCCGTCGCCGTCGCCTTCCGCTCATCTGCAGCCTCCTCCCAACGAACGCGTCACTCCGAGCCCGGCAGCAAAGAGCAAGGTCTCATTGTCGCCGACATCACACGTGCAAGCACGACTCAGCAGGCGCTATCGCCCGCACGCCTCGGTCATATACACCTCGACATTGTTTCGCTGGAGACTCCAGTCTAAATCAGCGTTGGCCGACCAAGTGGAGTGAAGCCAGAGACTCGACCTCACTCCTTCTCAGAAACGACCCCAGCATCTTCTACTCGGACAAAGCGCATAGCGACAGCGCCACTTCTTCTATTGCAACAAAGAGAGGCGGACATTATCACGACAGCCGACGACCAGTCACACTGAAAGAGTGACATTTCTTTGTAATTTGTTAATCCAATCCCTTTACGATACCCCACCTGCTTTGATACAGCAGCCTAATCTCTGGTGCTTGTGCTTGGACAGCCGACGGCGAGGACTCGAAACATCCTCAGTTATCGCCGGTACCGCCAGTTTAATCAGCTTCTTCTCGATCTTCTCTTCGCCAACCGCCACTACCCAACCTGACGGTAGCGCTTCGAGACAGATTCTTTTTGACGATTCATCACTTTCAAGACTTCTACGAGCAAATACTATGAGCTTTGACGCAGGCGCTCGAGCTCAAATGGCTTACAACAACTCCAACAACGGCTACTCCAATGGCTTCGGTGCTCCAGGCGCTTCGTTCGGCAATCGCTCTCGGTTCAACTCTAAGAGACTGAGCGTCGCATTGCCACCAAAGGTCAACCCCATCAGCGAGAATCAGGTTGACGAGAACCCGACTCCGCGCACCAGCCGTTCCCACCTGCTTGCAGGTCTTCGTACGCAGCCGAAGACTCCTCAGGTCCCGGCTTCCGCTCCTTTTAATCAGACCCAACATCATGCCCAAGGCTTCGGTGCCAACAAATGGGGTGGTGCTGGCTACGACGGATACGATCAAACCACGCCTCAGACTGCAACTGGCGCTGGTTTTCAAATGCCACACCAGTACTCTATGAATGCTGGAAGACAGGTCTACGCTCTTCCAGAGCAAGTCCTTGCCCCGCCAACATTGTACGATGATGGTGAGGATTTGGATCCCGCTGTGCTGGAAGAGATGCAAATGCGCAGCTTCTACTTGGCGCAGCGGCAGCAGCAACTCCAGCAGCAGCTTGCTAGCCTCACTGCTTCTGCCCAGGGGTTGAACCTGAACACTCAATTCGCTCAGAACCAATACCAGCATGGCCCGATGACGCCGCAAACCCCGCAGAACATGTACGGCAACCAGCAAATGCAATCTCCGATCGAAGTACAGCCTGGTGTCTACCTCGTCTACAACCCTGCTATTCAAGGTTACAGCTACGCTTACGATCAAAGCATGCAACAGCCGAACGCGATGTCCCCAGTCCAGCAGGGCCAGACCTTCAACTCGCCCCAGGCTTTCCAGCCGCCGACACCGACTGTCAGTGTCACACCACCAGCCAACGAGACTTCGAACCCTATGGGGTTCCGCTCGTTTTCGCCTCCTAAACAGACGCCTTCGCCACCGTCCGCTTTGGAGCACGTCGAGCCATTGCCTCCGCCGTCGAGCAACGCCTTCCGCCGCGGCCATGCCCACAAGAAGACTGCTTCTCTATCTATCAACCCATCCGCTGAGGGTGTCGCAAACGGTCCTTACACGAGCTCCAATGCCACGTTCGGCTCACAGCGTACCACTGTGCCTGCCGGTCCCATGACTGGAACGTTCGGTCCAGGCGCTGCACGTAACGGCGAGCACCCAATCCGTCAGCCGCGTGGCCCACCACCGCTCGACGAGCTCACTGCTCTGCCAACCAGCAACCATGAAGGCAGCAAGAACTTTGTCACCCGCCAGCGTCGCCGCGCCCTCGACAGCCTTGTCAAAGCAGGCAGCAGCCGCCGTGGCCTCTCCCGATCCTCCACCGGCAGCCCAGTCAGCGAACGCGAGCTCAACTTCTCCATCAGCGAGGAGGGCGAGGACAACACCTCCGTCACCAGCAACGGCAGCCGGAAGATGAGCCCAATCGGCTCGGAAAGGCAGACCAAGCGCGGCAGCCAAGGCTCCGACTCTGGCTACTTTGGCCTCAGCTCTGCTAGTAGCAGCGAGGCCGAGGACTCCGGTGCCTACAAGCTGCCGCCGACTCCTGCAACGCCGAGCGGTGGGGAGAGGAAGAAGATGATGTTGGGGTTGGTGAACGCCGCTGAGAAGCGTAGGAGCTTCATCGCTTAAGACATCACTCACGTCTGGTGAGGGTGGACGTTCTTGACGAGTTGACGAGCGGAGGTTCGAAGGAAAACGTGCGATGAAGAGGGCGCGCTTCGCAGTGCGGTGGCGCGCCCGACACACAGCTGGCACAGCTCTCAGTGTACATACAAACATCCTTTCCGACTGCAACAGGAGAGGAGAGGAAGACCTCGGTTGTGCGCAGTTGCATTATTATTACTACTATACTAACGGCCGATCGGATTACGACTACGTCGCTCCTTATTATCATTATTCTGCAGCGTTGCGCTGCGAAAATCGGGATGCGTGGGTGCTTGCTTCGGTTCTTGCTATGCCTTGCGGGCTGTTGGTGGGACTCATTGCTGCGTAAAGCGGCTTGAGCGTGCTGTGGGAGATGAGGGATGTTGATATGGTTGCCATTATAGGCGAGTGGAAGGGAAGGAGTAGCTAGTAGAAGTCAATGCATCTCTTCATCAAAACCAACCTGTCCCTACGCATGGAAGGCGCGTTGTACTCATCACTGCATTGCAAGCTTTTCAACCACCTAACATCCGTGCCATCGCATCGAAGAAGCAGCAGCAGATCCAACCTTCCCGGCTGTCTCTTCGACAAACAATCACGTGCACACCAAGAATCCTCATTAAATCCCGCGCCCAGTCAGCCGCCCCATTGGCCCTCTTTTCCAGGGGCTCGATCCTTTTCGGCCACCCAAGCGATTGAACCTCATCTTGCTCCAAGCGCCCGCATCTCGAAATCTCGACAATTTCTGTAGCGGCACGCCCAGCGCGCCAACGGTCGCGGCGCTGCTGCTCGATGCGGCCTAGACGGTAGGAAGGGCTTTGTGATCCTGTGGGTGAGAAGACATGGGGTTGTCGTTTTGGTGGTGGTGTTCCTGTGGACGCAGAGGACGAGTAGAAGAACCCTTTGCGCATTCCGGTACTGGAGACCGAGATGCCTGATGTCTTTACGCAGATAACTATTATGTACATTTGCTGCACAGGCACGCAGAAAGCAAAAAAAATGCCCAGTCATCTCATTCTCACCAAGCATGTGAAGTCAGGGGGCCCAACCCGCGCATTGTCCACCCTTCATTTCACAAGCGCAATGTCTCGGGAACCGCTCACAAGCCATGTTGAGCCTCGCAGCTGTCACCGACACCTCCTTCGAAGCGCCTGGTCTTCTTTGCACTTGTCGGTGGGTGCCCGTCTGTCGATGACAATTGCCGCGTCGTCTTTTTGTTCGGGTGTTGTGACGTTCGGTTTAATTTCCTTACCACTCTCCTTCAGCTCGTCTTATCTCGATCGCGGCGACTGGCATGGTCCTTGAGAGGAGGGAAGGTTAATCTAATTCTAGTGTCTTGTCTATTGCTGTTGGTTCTCGAGGAGGCTTCTGAGCGTTCTTGTTCTGCTTTGTATACACGTTCGTTACTGCACGAGGGACTGGGATACGACACGCGCACCGGACATTCATTGAGCGAGAGCGAGCGCGGGATACTGAGATCTGATTGAAGGCTGGAACCACGAGAGCTCGCTCGATTGAGTCACTTGCTCCTGAAGAAGTGATGCTACGGACAGGGAGGAATTGAAGAGTCTGATACTGCTGGATAAACGCCATACGAACGAGGGGAGGGAAAAGACAATGTCGCTTGGAGCAACACTCGCTGCTGGAGGCATGCGGCCTGCCAGCTTCCTGCCCACAATCAAATGCTCGAACTGCGGAGACGAGATTGAGATATCGGCTATGGGAGAGCACCTCTGCGCGAAGTCGCCGCCGTCGCCCAAGTCACAGAAGGCTTCTTTGAGCAACCCATTCACTTTGCGACAGATGAACGCAAGCGGCTCGAAGCCTGCGCAGCCCTCGCCGCTACAATTCGATACGCCGCCTCAAGGCAGACCTCGAGCACCGACAGCAGGCTCGAGTTCTGCGCCGCCTGGGAGGCTACCACGAGCGCCATTGCCGAAAATCAACCCCGACGCTGCAAATCGACCCTTCCTGGCACCGATACCACGGCCGGAGTCTCCAATGTCGCCCGCGCTTAGCTCAAGGTCGGGCAGCAGCATGGGAGGAAAGCCCGCGGCACCTTTAAGAAGCATGACGAGTCCTATGCCTCGACTTTGGGATCCGAGACCGCCCAGTCCTGAGCTGTCTGCGAACCTCGACTGCGCATTTCCACCATTTCCATTTGGAGACCCACCAGGCAGCCGTCCAGGCTCGAGCAATGGGCGCAACTCTCCTAGCGAGCGTGGATCTTCGCGCGCTGGCTCACGACTTGATGCAAAATCGCCTGAGCCACCAATGCCCGAACCGAGAAGTCCAACGCGCAAAGTCAGCGATAACGTCATGAACAAAATGAACACTTTGAAGAGTGGGCCTTTTGACCCAAGCCGAAGACGACCGAGTCGGGATGAGCGACCACAGCAGGAGAATCAGCCGTTGGACAGGCGGCGTCCGAGCATACCAAACATGCCTTTCAGCGATCGCCCGTTGCCTATGCCCTCTGCACCGAAGACGGACAATTTTGATTTTGGAAAAAGTGCTGGCATGCCATCGGGCCAAAACGCATCAAATTCAGCTACTCCAGGCACTGGCGACGTGAGCGGAAGGACAGCGCCTCCGCAGAGACCTACAAGGCCGACAGATTCGCTCGTAGCAGATTCTCTGAACATTGCGACCATCAATCCTGGAGCAACGATGCCATCTGAATTTCCATTGCCACCGAAGCCTCTTCAGATCGGCGACAGAAGCGAGACGTTCCCAAATCGCCCGGAAGACAAAGAGGAGGCTGAGCAGCAAAACAGCCTTTCTAGAATGGCCAGCGAGCCTGCTCTCCGTGGAAGAGCGCCTGCCCGACCACCTTTGCCAGAACCTGCGAACTCTGACCCATCGCAAGCCTTTCCTTCGCGCAGCACAAGTCGCCCAGGAGTAAATCGCGTAGACCATAGGATGGAAGACGCGCCACCAGTTCCAAAGCCAGTGCAAGAGTTGCACCGGTCGGATAGCAGACACCGGCCATCGGGATCCGACTCTTCGACAGCATCCTCAGCACGATCAGTCGAGCAAAACACGAGCAGCCGAGGTGCCAGCCCTGTCACAAGTGCGGCCAGCAGCGTGGACGCCTTCTCGCCTTTGAGCGCCGCACCTGGCCAGTACGGCGAGGATAGCAGCATGCGTGTCGCTGGGCTCAATTTCAAGTCCGCAGAAAATCCAGGCATGCGCGCAGAGGGCCCAAACCAGCGGAAGTCGCCTCCTCGCAACTTCGCTCGGCCGGTTGCGCCTAGATCGGGCATTGAGACGCCTATGGAGTCCCCTGTTCTGCCAGTAGGAAGCAACTGGCCCTTGGATTCCCCTACGGATCCTGGCCTGCAGAATGGCGTGCGTGGGAATGCGCCTGAACAGAGCGCGCCTCCAAACTTTGGCCAGCCCCAACCGCCGAGAAGTCTAAAGCCTGGGTCTGGTCTGTCACCCGCCGACTTCTTGAGTGACGACTACGATCCATACAGACCAGTGTCTCCGCGCACGGAGACGCCGCCTCCACCACCTCAGCAAGCACCACCTCATACACGCGCCAGGTCCAGGACCACCAACCAGGCTCCTTCTCGACCTCTGTCACCACCCACGGCAGCCCCTCCACGCTCACGAACACCACAGCTCAGCCGAGCTCAGACCTTCGATCAATCAAGACCTGTCTCTCCAGCCACCTCAACATCCTCTCACTCACGACCACCCCCACTCACCCGCGCCCAAACCTTCGGCCCATCGGCTCCCTCGCTGCCCTTCCAACCCCCACCAATCCCGCAACAACCTGCCCGCGCCCCGCTGAACCGCCGCCCGACCGTCTCTGGCGTCAAACCCACCTGCCGCGGCTGCTCCCTGCCCATCGAAGGCAAATCCGTCAAAGCCGCCGACGGCCGCCTAACAGGTCGCTGGCACAAACAGTGCTTCGTCTGCAAGACCTGCGCGCAGCCCTTCGCGTCCGCGGACTTCTACGTCCACGCCAACCACCCGTACTGCGAGCAGCACTACCACGAGATCAACGGCTCAACCTGCGCGGGCTGTAGACGAGGCATCGAGGGCCAGTATCTCGAGACCACCAGTTCAGGCGGTCCGGGCGGGCAAGGAGTGGAGCGGAAGTATCACCCCAGATGTTTTACTTGCGCGAGTTGTCGTGGGGTGTTGAGTGAAGATTACTTTGAGATCGGCGGGAGGGTGTTTTGTGAACGACATGCGCTGGCGGCGATGCGGGCGCAGCCGAAGCAGGGGGTTGCGCCGGGACAGGCAGGACGGTTGGGTGTGGGACCGCACGGGGCGAGTTCGTTGAGTGGGTTGAAGGCGGAGAGGAGGACTACTAAGCTGATGATGATGGGTTGAGTTGGGACGGTGAATGGGATGATGCTACTGGACGTTCGATCCGTCACTTGGAGGTATATTATCTTGTCGCCACCTATTCGGACGTGGCTACGCTCGCTTTGGACGACGCTTTCTGTTATCACTGGCGCTTGGACAGCGGGATATGAGACAGGCTGGGCAAGATCCTGTCTCTCGAGGGATGTAGGGAGTCACTTTCTTGGAGGCGCTTTTTGCGGCATTTCGAATACCCTTTTGCAGCAGAGCTGTAGAGCGCAGGTCAGGGCACGAGGCCCGGTACTTCTATTCGTAATGTATATACGAAGCGCTATTGAGAGACATTCGTTGATTATCATCATGCTTCATCTTCACTCTCACTTCACTCGCTGCTACTGCGGCTTGACAGCTCCCAATAGGCCACTGACGCTGAAGTCGCACCAACCCCAACCACCCAACCGCAGCCGCAACACCCCTTTTCAGCTCGTCCGCGGGGGACAACTTGACGAAAGTGGACACTTGCATACAACGTCCAGCCTTCTTATCACAATGACCTGCCATCAAGCTTTCTTGCGGCATACGCAGCGTCGATCAGGCTTGCAGCAGCTGGTGGAGAAGAGGCGGGCTCAAGGGCCAGAGGCCTTGCTTGGAGTTCGTGCGACGATGAGTTGGTTACAGAGGGGAGGAAGTTTGGTTCGTGCGACGGGTGGTGATGTTGATTTTGGGGTTTGGGGAGGGAGATCTTGATGCCCAGTTCATGCCGGATAGATGGGATGTCCCATATTTTTGGGGAAAACAATGCTTCACCTAAGGTCAGCAGCTATTTGAGGGGTCACCTCTCATGTCTAGACTGCCTTCTGGACACCCTACGAACATTGCAACGCCCTCAACTTGCTGTCAGGCCTCTCGACGTTGCCGGCTGCCGGTGTCTCGTCTACAGACGTGCAGCACAATGCTGTGACCGGCCGCTGTGGCGTCTTGAAGGACGTTGAAGGCGTCGTCTCATCTCCATCCTGCCATTGCCCTCACACCGCGCACGCCATGAAATCCTCGCATCAACAACAGCCACTCGCACCGAGGCTGTCGTCTGCTGAAGTCGATACGAGCCCCCGCAAGGAGCAACAGCTCTCTGCCTCTAGGGGTATGATGTGCAGCAGATCTTCAACTCAAACGACGGGGCTTGACTGACTCGGCAAGCGCCGAACCGTCCCGGTAACGCAATTTCTCGAAGCAGCACTAGAAGCAGAACGGCTCCACGGCCGGTCTCACCAGTGGTAGCTGTCGATCCAAATGCAGTCCGGGTCCAGCTTTGGCTTTGACCCGTACCGGCCAAGTTGGCACCGAGAAGCAGCAGCGAAGAAGTCAAAGTGTTGGGAATCTGACGAATGCACCTGAAACATTCCACGAGATATTCTTGGGGGCGGCGAGAGTTTGTAGAACCAGGACGATCAGGCGAAGGGTAGCACAGCAGATCCTGATCACCGACACACTGGCTTGGCTTGCTGCTGGTAGATCGTCGAAGATGTCTCAAGTGGTAATAATGGAAGATGCTGGTGTCCGTGGAACACCTGGCTCGCCTGTTGGATGTTGTGCGCTGGAGGGTGCGTATCTTCCACACCGTCGACCTGTCGGCATCGCTCGTTCATGTGGCCCCCTCAACAGCAATCAATTCTTCCAACACTCGTTTGAACGGTCGTGCATTCGTGATGCAGGTGAGACAGTTCGGGTAGGGTTAGCGTGCAGAGACGACTCGATCGACTCAGGCAAATCAGGGGCTGGCGCAGAACACCCCTCCCTCTCCCAGACACTCCTCAAACGCCGCGTCCAAGCAAAAGGCCTGCTGCTGCTCGCCTCCTTCTTCTGCCCGTCTTGAAGGTCGCACATACCCAACCATCTTGACCACCTCCAACACCACCGCCACCGAGGTCGACCACCAGCAACCCGAGTGCAAACAACGCACTTTGACTTCGGCTCGGAAGCACTTCGCCTACACATTGAATCAGTGCTCTGAAGCGCGGCAGAGCGGTGATTGGCTCGGTGCCGTGACTTGGGTTGGAAATAGGACGATCGTTCGCAGAACCTCACCGCGCTTGCCGGGAAGGCTAACTTTCCTGCTTTCCACCTCCGCCTTACCAATCACTCTCTGAACCCCCTTCAAACGCGGTCGCCGACATCACCTCCTCCATCACCACCGCCGCCGCCCTCACCTCCTCGACCGCTCCACCTCCTCTCGCAACAGCGTGAGCTCGGCCGATCGGCGCACGTGATTCCAAACACCTTGTCGGTGTGCGAAACGCTGAGGAGGGTATAGCAGAAGAGGCATTGGGTTGATTGAAGGCGGAGCAGAAGCAATATCTGTTCTTCGTTGAAGCACTGACGAGGTACGTATAGCTACTTCATACCAGCAGGCGGCGTGCATACAGCGCTGCATCCATCTGATCGGGACATGGCATCTGGCATCCGGCATCGATTACTGCGATAAGTCCTGCACTCTGCCGGCCGAGGGCACATCACGGCCATCGTCTTCGAGCAACCGACCTCTGAACTGCACCTGCCATTGCCTTGCCTGTCTATCCTGCTATGCGAAGCTTGAAAGCCGGCTATTAATGGCATACTTCTGAGAGGTTCATGCACTGACAGCGCACTCCCAGCTTCGCGAGATCCACCAGCACTACCTCCATTCCTTCGAATCACGCTGCGCCGCATCGCCACCCTGAACCTACCGCCACCTACACACCACACACCAGTCTTGGCCAGCAACCGCCGCGATGGGCTGCTCACAGAGTTCAGAGTCGAAGGAGGGGAAGGCGAGGAACGAGGAGATTGAGAACCAGCTGAAGAGGGATAGGATGAACCTCAGAAATGAGATCAAGATGCTTCTGCTCGGTGCTGGAGAGTCTGGCAAGTCGACCATTCTCAAGCAGATGAAGCTCATCCACGAGGGCGGCTACTCAAGAGATGAGCGGGAGAGCTTCAGAGAGGTGCGCGCACAGCACCAGTTATCATCACATTGGGCGCAGCGGGCTGACTTGTCAACAGATCATCTTCTCGAACACCGTCCAGTCGATGCGCGTCATTCTTGAGGCAATGGAGAGCCTCGAGCTGCCTCTCGACGACCAAAGAGCAGAGTACCACGTCCAGACCATCTTCATGCAGCCCGCGCAGATCGAAGGCGACGTGCTACCTCCCGAAGTCGGACAAGCGATCAAGACGCTGTGGTCAGACGTTGGGGTACAAGCCGCCTTCCAGCGAAGCCGAGAATACCAGCTCAACGACAGCGCAAAATACTACTTCGACTCCATCGACACCATCGCCTCACCCACATATATCCCCTCGGATCAAGACGTGCTACGATCGCGTGTCAAGACCACTGGCATTACGGAAACGACGTTCATTATTGGTGACCTCACATATCGTATGTTCGACGTGGGTGGGCAGCGATCGGAGCGGAAGAAGTGGATCCACTGCTTCGAAAACGTGACTACCATTCTCTTCCTCGTTGCGATTTCCGAATACGACCAACTGCTGTTCGAGGACGAGACGGTGAACCGGATGCAGGAGGCGCTCACGCTGTTCGATTCGATATGCAACAGCCGCTGGTTCACGAAGACGAGCATCATCCTGTTCCTCAACAAGATTGATCGGTTCAAGGAGAAGCTACCGGTGAGCCCGATGAAGAACTACTTCCCGGATTACGAGGGTGGGCAGGATTATGGCGCGGCGTGTGATTATATCCTTAACCGATTCGTGTCGTGAGTACAAGACTTAGAGACTGGGATATGCGCAATGTGCTGACAATGAATAGCCTCAACCAACACCCTACGAAGCAGATCTACACCCACTTCACCTGCGCGACCGACACGATGCAGATCCGATTCGTCATGGCCGCCGTCAACGACATCATCATCCAGGACAACCTGCGGCAATGCGGCCTGATATGATTGTGCTTGGACTGAAGCATCGCGAGTGGCGCAGATGATGTTGGCGCATTGACGCGTTCAGCGGTGTACCTCTATTTCCGCGAGTGGGTGTATGGCCGGTGTCGAAGCTGAGGCGAAGAGGTGGTGGAAGAAGTGTGCACAACAGGGCGTGCGTGCACCGGAGAGAGTGATACCACAATGTCCAGCAAGGACACGCATGCGAATGGCGTTCACTGGCGCGCGGGCAGCGAGGAGCGTGTGTTCAGCAACAGTTATCTGAAGTACTGTGGCTGGACCAGCTTTGCTTGAATTGGCTTTTGCTGGGGGTCTCTTGGCCGGCATTTCTAGACAGCAGACGGCCTCATACCATATTGCTCTTTTTGTCTGGGAGCGGGCGAGGGGATGGGGGCGGTGATGGTGTGTGTACTGGTACTGTTAGGTGTTTGTGAAGAGATCTTTCGTCCCATCTGTCGTCGTTTCTCTTCATACTCGTCTGGGTCTACTTGGAGTGGCGAGATTAGTGGACTTTCACATGTCTCTCGAATCTGCTTCGAGTCTTTCGCCTCTGTCGGACACTGCTGACACTGCTCTGCATCGCCAATGCTCACCCGCAATGGTGCCATGGCCTAGCAGAAAGGCTGCCGCCCACCCTGCAGCATGTCGAAGGCCGTAGTCAGCATCCGAAAGCACCACCACCACCGCAACACTTCCGACCTCGGCTTAGAAATGTCGAGTCCGACCTCATGACAAGTACCTTTGTTTTCTGACATCAGCGTTCCAGCGACTTGTATATACCACTCTTCCCTTCTGCTTTCGCAACACACGTGTTGAGAGCGTCCGCCCAAGATGCCCGACTTCCCCGCCCACGCCTCACCAGCGTTCACCCCCGCCGCCTCCCCCCGCCCTCGTCCGCAGGCCCGCGACCGTGGCATCTCCGACCTCCATCTGACGAAAGACGAAGACCAGCTCGTACAAGTCCCGCCACCCCTCGTGAGCCCCGCCTTCACACCCCCGCGCACCCCGGAGACCGAAGGTCAGCGCCACGACAGAGCCTCGCACCCGCACAAGCACAGCGTAGGCGGCGAAGCGGAAGTCACGGAGAGAGCGCAATTCCTCGCCGAACTACCCGAAGTGACGTGCGAAGTGCGCGCGCGCATCCCAACGACGACGGGGACGGAGATGTGGTTGCATTTGTACCATAATAACGTGGATGATAAGGAGCATTTGGCTATTGTGTTCGGGCCGAATATTCGGAGTAAGAGTTTGGATCGCCAGAGGCCGGGGGAGAGTGAAAGGGATCGCATGATTAGGGGGGCGTACACGGGGACGTTGTATCCCGGGCGCACGAGCAGTAGGAGGGTGGATGCGATTAGGCGGGACGCTGGGGTTGGGGAGGAGGGTGCGGGAGTGGGGATGGAGAAGAAGGATTTGGGGCCGCCGCTGGTGAGGATTCATAGTGAGTGTTACACGGGCGAGACGGTGTGGTCGGCGAGATGTGATTGTGGGGAACAGTTGGATGAGGCGGCGAGGTTGATGTCGTTGCCTTGGCCTACGCCGTCGAATACGCCGGGGAGTGCTTCGCCGAGTCAGAGGCCGTTATTCGACGATCCGCCTGCTATGCCTTCGTGTGGAGGCGTTATTATCTATTTGCGCCAGGAAGGTCGTGGGATTGGTCTGCTCAGTAAACTCAAAGCGTACAACCTCCAGGACCTTGGACACGATACTATGGAAGCCAACTTACTCCTTCGACACCCTGGCGACGCGCGGAGCTATGGACTGGCTACTTCCATGCTTCTGGATCTCGGACTTGGCGGCGATATGGGTATCCGATTACTCACGAACAACCCGGAGAAAGTGCGGGCAGTGGAGGGTCCGGGACGGGAGGTGAATGTGGTTGAGAGGGTGCCGATGATTCCGTTGGCGTGGCGGACAGGCGGCAAGGAGGGCGTGCATGGGCCGGAGGTGGAGAAGTATATCTCGACGAAGATTGAGAAGTTTAAGCATATGTTCAGCAGTGGGTGAAGGTGAACATGGGATGTGGTATCAAGATGAACCGAATGTGGCGATGATGTCCGAGCAACTGGTTGCATGCACACCGCGAAGCTGCCAGAATGGAGCTGCGAGCTCGATGCTTGGATGTGCTGGTACCGTGCCATTCACAGCAGCCGCCCATGCGGTGTCCAGCGGAGGCAAGAGCAGCACCGTGTCAACCCCTGCGTCAACTGATTGAGAGGGTGGCCATTGATCGACGCACCGAAGAGGCCACGGTCAACGACCTTGAGCACAATCAACCGAAAACGTGCCGATGCCGGACTGCTGGTTCTCCTGATCAGTACAGCTCAGGAATCTGGAAGTCAATGGACGTATGAGCGATTGGCCGGAGCAAAATCGCCGGCTTTGCTGGACCGCTGGGCGTCAAACGAACACTCGGCCAGGATGGGGTCCCTGTCCATCGAGTACTTGCAAGGCACGGAGTGGCAGTGGATGTGCAAAGACCGCACGCTGGTGGTCCGAAGGGCGAGCCAGTCAGGTCAGACTCTAGTTTCGCGAACACAATAGATGCTGGACTTGAAGAGAGCATGTACATACCGTGCTTCCGATGTACATAAGGAACAATGAACGCTACGCAGTGATGTTCGGTCTCAACAGCATCAATCAAATGTACATGGATGGTACCTCACGTGAGTCATTGTGGCGGAAATGGCCCAGGACTCTCGCGATAACCAGGATGATCGAGACGCGTAGGACCATATGGCCGCTTACGAGCTGCGTGGACCGAACAGGGATATACGAGCGAACGTTTGAGTGAAGACCTCATGTGAAGTATTTGAGCCTGCATCAGGGACTAGCATGGACGCCGGCCAAAAGAAGACGAAGCCCTGAACCTTCCACCGCAACGAAGCAAGATAGTAGCGTAGGCCTCTCGTCGGGAGTATGTTCTCCGAGACACGATCACACTATAGGTGGCGTTTCGAGGCCTTTTGATCCCTTGCCACTTTTCGAGACGCCTGCTACTCCTTCCTTCGCTCGCATCAAATCTCGTCCTGGTAGCAAACCAGATCGTGATTGTGATACACGCATGGAGAAGATTCGTCCAATGGATCGACTGCGGCCTCTTGCGCGTGTCCTTCAGCGCCGTGCTGAGCGGCAAAGCGGCTGCGAGAGCCCATGGACGCGACCGCAAAGTCGTGCAGAAACTTGTGAGGCAGCTCGCAGTCTGGGCGCAGTGCCGTGAGAGTGCGTCTGTCCCAGCGCCAGACCGCAGCATCGACCAGCAACTTGCGGATGCCGGAGGAGCTGGGGCCAATGTTGAAGATGCCCTGGATGCCGGAGATCGGGCACATGCAGTCGTCGTCGTCTGTGATCTTCGCTCGGACGGCGTCGGTGACGGCATCCATGAACGTGGCAGAGTTGATCTTGTCCCCGAGCTCCCAGGCACTCCACAACTTTGCCCATTCTGGGTCTTCGCTTGTCTGATTCGACGGCCTGAATTGCTCGTCTGCGCGACTGTAAACGACACCGGTGTAGATGAACCTCTGAAGAAGCTTGAACGCCTCTGGATCGACGGAATCCATAGTCGTGTATTCGTCTTTTGCCTCCTCCCAGAAGTTGTTGCCAAACATGCCTCTGAAGTACCGAGAGTGCTTCATAATAAGCTCTTTGTGCACAACAAATCTCTCCCGGTTTTCGCCGTTGCTGACATCAATCGTGACCATTTCTGTGCTGAGACTAAGCAGTGTTAGTGAAACATCACGTGGTGGTTCTTCTCGACCGGACTTACTTGGGGCCCCCCTCTTCAAAACCACGAATGGATCGAGTGCGGTCGGTGCGGCTGATGACCGGAACGAAGCTCCAGGTTGTTGTTGGCTGAGCTTGCAGGAGTGGTAGTGGAGCAGGGTTTGGTGGTGGTGCAGTGAAGACTGGAGGCGGACCGTGGTACGCCCACGGAGGAGCATACGGGGGCCCTTGCCAGTTGCCCGCCATGTTCTGTAGACGCCACGCCGTCAAGGTGGTAATTCTGGTGGGGGTCAAGATTGTTGAAGAAATCAGGAAGCTGGGCAAAGAGATATGAAGCGGCAGAAACAGAGTTTGGCAAACTCACCAGATCACCAGAACTTGCACATCACCTCGCCAATGAGAAGCCGGCTGAAGCAGACAAGCTTCTCACATGAAAGGCGATTTCATTGCCGAAGAACGCCATGAGGTGAAGACGTGAAGTCTGGCAAAGAGAATCCAGGGGGTTAGGAATCGCTACCTACAATGGAGCGCAACAGCCCGACCACTGAGTCTCAGATCTTTGAAGCCCACCAAGCCCCCAAAGGGTATGCGAACATGAAAGGTCCTACATACTCACATCTTGGCCTGCGGTGACACTCGATCACCGCCCTCACGTCATTCCGCCTTCTTCTCCTCACCACCATAAAAGTTACCCACGTACTGCTCTACCCCCTCCCCTCCCTTCAACCAGCACACTCGATCCTTCCCAAACTGCTCAACCCGCGGCTTGAACTTCGTCTCATGCAGGTTGAAGTCGTCGATGGTCCCGATTCGTGGGATGCTCATGCCCGGGAAACCAGAGCTACGTCGATACATCAAGGTCCCGCAAACAGAGCAGAAGAAGTTGGTCATGTTGTTGCCCGTCGCGATCGTGTCGGCTTGAGAGAATTTGGTAAGCTTGTCCTCGCCGCGGTTGTGCTTCATCGCAGAGTCCTTGACGATGAAGTTGGAGGCGAACATCGAGGCGGTGATCTTGCGGCAGTCGGTGCCTTAGGTCAAGGGTAAAACGGTTAGCAAGTGCACCCTGATGACAGTTGGGGTGAATCGTCTCGCAGCGCCGTTTGGCAGCATCTCTCCTGGACGGCTTTCGACCGATCAATTTGACGTACAGTTACAGAGGAAGGTATCGACGAGGCCATCGCCTTCGATGGGCTGACATGTAACGTTAGCTTGAATCGGTGGTTCCCGCTTTGGAATTTGAGGAGCATCAACGTACAACGGCAATCTGCACGGCGCCGCAGTAGCATGTTGCGGATGCTTCTTTGTCATTGGAGTATCCGTCTCCGCCCAGGGGAATATATGGTGCCATTGTGGTCGATCGACAGTCTTCCGAAGCAAGTCAAATGAATTTGAGGAGGTCAAGGTGTTGGCTTAAGTGTCTGGGTGGACCACTCGCAGCATATGCTTTCTTATACAGCTCATCGCTGACATCTCCGCCGGTAGCATGTCCGATTGCAGTCCAGGTGAAGTTAAAGCTGCGTGCGGCTGGATCGATGAGCCTCGGTTGATGTCATGGTCCCGAGTTTGTGTAGTGCACAATCAGTTTCCCGGTCACTGGTCCGTTACCCCGTCTCGTGGACCACGGATCCTGCAGGACATGCTGTCGATCACCGGATCTGATCTGGGGTAAGATTTGTCAGATGCTAGCATCTGATGTAAAGATCCAGATGTATTCAGCCTCCGACATCGCCCAGCCTTCGGTACAAGTGGATTTGGTATCGCATGTTCTCGAGATCAATGGGGTAATGCAACGTCTCTGCGAGTCTGAACCAACGAGAGTCATCCGAGAGTACTTTCTCCCACTTTGCACCCGAGGCATCGTTTTCTCCTCTAGCAAGTAAGGTATGGTCGACGAGCCACTGCATAGGATACCTCTTCTCGGTGCCATTGATTGAGACGGTCGAGTAGCTGCCAGGACTGTCGACGACCAGAAGACAGGCTCCCACGCTCATGGCTTCCGTCAGTTGAGCGAGCAGCCGCTGCGTCTTAGCTACGGATGTTGAGTAGAGCTCATTGAGCGTGAACATGAAAGTCGTGAGATTTGCCCCTTTCACAGTCTCAGCAAAAGCAGCAGTCGTTTGATGGTCCGCATGCAGGACATCTTGCTGCTGGAAGACCACGTCCAGATTCTCGGGGCAGACCAAGGGTTTGTTGGCGTCTTTCTTCGCCTGCGATGCGTATTTCGAGAGTTCTGGTGGGGAAGTAACGCTATTGAGCAGAGATTGCGTAACACCAAACCAGTTCGCAATGTCTATCAGGCGGAGATGAAGGTTCTTGAACGATCCCTCATGGGCTGCATCCAAATGGGTGCTGTGCCAGCCTGCGAGAGCAACGAGCTCACCGCCAGCGCCTCCACCAAGACATGCCACATGTAAGTCATTGTCTTGATGGACGTCCAAATGCTCCTCTATGTCGCGAAACACCTGAATGTATGCGAGCGCTCTGCTGGGACTCCACCTCGAGGCGTAAACACGTAGATATTCCTCCTTCCCGAAGGCCGTGGCAAAGTCCCGGTTGTAAAGGTGGCCTTTGACCTCCTGTAGGGTACCTTGGTCACCGGATTCAGGCTTCAATGCGTTCTTGAAGATATCCAGACATAGCTGCTGCACTTTCAAGGCGATGCTGCTGTCCGCCTCCTCTCCCTGCTCGGTTGAATCTTTGGCTGAGGTCCTCCGAGCCTGCCCCTTTGGCCTGCTGGTGGGCTTGCCGCCGCCTCTTGCCATGGCTTCGTCACCATATGAGCTGATGGAAGTACATCGCTTGAACGCAACGGCAGCAAGAAAGGTTCGGTCGGTCGGTCGAAAGTTTCACCGGAGCCGCGGTACAACAAGTGCCACAGAGCAAAACTTCACTCACGAACAAAACATTCACCCACGGGCGACCATCTCATGCACGGTTCATGGACAAAAAGCAAAACGTACAGCAGGCGGTATTCCCATATGGTCACCCACTATAGTACTAATCACCCGGTCACAAGCTTAAGGACGGCAGAGCGGACGGGATGCCCTGTTCTCTTGCGCCTTTGGCCGTACGTGAAAACACAAGAGGTGAAAGACAACATAATTGCTTGTTAATGAAATCAGTTGTAGGTTGTGTAAGAGCTGCAGTGAAGCTTGAAAGATTGACTGGGTCATCCTACGGAAGTCTACATATCTGCCATTGTCACCAACAGCAACAGCGATGCGGCAAGCAAACTGTCGTCTCCGCCTATCGCTCTACAATCTTGCCGCGAACCTCGCCTGTTTAGCCTTCCAACATCTGCTCCAACGCTTCTCCCGCCGTCCTCTTCGGCGCATACAGCTCAAGCACCTCCTTACTAGTCGTCTCCGCCATCGCCTTTCCCTCCCACGACGTCACCGGAGCAAACTTGACCGTTCGAATGAGATTCTTCGACCCGGACACGCTGTCCGCCCATTGATCGATGAACGACACGTCCTTGAACTTGACATCCTTTACTGGCTCGCCGATCTGCTTCTCCACCATCTTAACGACCTGCGCCCCAGTGATGTCTTCTGGCCCGTTGAGGACGTATCGCTTGTTGTTGTGCGGGCTCGTATCCTTCTGAGCCAGAAGATGAGCGGCAAGAACGCCAATCTCGTGCGGGTCGATCACCCCGGTCGGCGTGTCTTCGTCAAGCAGTATCGACAACGTGCCCTGCTTTCCCGTTTTACGGAAGTTCTTGATCATCTCGACGCTAGGGCCGAAGACAATGGAGAAGAACACGTTCGGTTGCAAAGAGGTCCATTGCATGCTCTTGAACTCTGGCTGGCTTAGCATGGCTTCGATCGCCCAGTGCGTTCGCGGGTAGTAGGCCGGGTAATTGGGGTGGACGTTGGCTGCCGTAGTCGAGATGCGGACGACATATTTGACGCCAGCCTGGAGTGCGCTGACATGGAACTGTCCTTCTTCGGCGAACTGGGTGGGTTCGTTATGGGGGGCGATGAAGATTCGGTTGACCTCGTGCTCGCGCAGCCAGTCGGAGGTGATCTCAATCCAGTTCTGCTCTACGACTTCTACACGGTCGATCTTGGCGAGCTGCTGCGCGGCTGGGCTCTTGCTAGACCGCGTCAGAGCGATGATGCGGTGCGAAGACAGCTCCGTATTCTTTGTCAAACCAGGGAGCGTTTCAACAACGCTTCGGCCGGTATTGCCTGTCGCGCCAACGATGAGGATGGAAGGTGCCATGGCTGAGAATTTGTGTGATGTTTCTTACAAGGAGGACTGGAACAGCTTAAGTACTCTTCAATGGCTCACTAATCGGTCGGTCCTGTCATCGCTATCCATGCCATTGGGACGAGCATAGAACCGCCAAGATGCATAGCATGGTCAGAACAGGAGCGTCATTGGCAGTTCCCGACGGCTCGAGTTCTTAGAGTTATTAGTAAGTTCATAGTTGAAGCTAGTTGATTAATAACGCGAGTAGCAAGGGCCTCTGAGATTTTTATTATGGTGGACCGTTGCCCCGGACAGCTCCCCATTCTGCATTTTTCTGTCCTTCTCCTGAGCAGGCCTGGGCTTCTACTTCTCAAGAGGATTTGTGACGGGTTGGAAGCACCATGCAAAGTAGTCTTCATGGTGTTCGCCCTCCCTAGCAGTGGACGCTTCGGTACATTCTCAGGCGGTTCGGTTACGCACCCTCCGAAATCGCTGCTGTTGGAGGGGTCAATCGGAGGGGTGTGTAAATATTGATCCTCTCAAGACAGGACAGTAGTGAGTTCTGGTATAGCGAGACGAAAGCATATTAACAAATAACACGTATTTTCTTACTACTCACCCAAAGTACCCTCTCCAACCGCAACGATGCGCCTCCCCTACATCCCCGACGACCCCGTCATGCCCAACGCCGAAGACCAAGCCATCGTAACAGCAGTCAAAGAGCGCCGCGGCGGCAAACTCATCGAACTCGACAAAGCCCTGCTGCACGCCCCTCCCATCTCCGGCGGCTGGAACGCCTTCCTCAAATCCGTCCGCACCCAAAACTCCCTCCCCGCCTCTATCCGCGAAATCGCCATCGCCCGCGTCGCAGCGCTCAATTCCGCGTGGTACGAGTGGGAAGCCCATGCGCCGTTGCTGCAACAGACTGGTGAAGTCAAGCCTGAAGCTGTGGAGAAATTGAAGGATCGTAAGAACAGCGCTTCAGACTTAGGACTAGATGAGCGACATGCGGCGGTGGTAGAGGTCACAGATGCAATGACGCTCAATGTCATCGTGCCGGATGCGAAGATGGAGAAATTGAAGAAGCTGTTCAGTGAGCGAGAGGTTGTGGAGGTGGTGGCGACAGTGTCGGCGTATAACTGCGTGAGTAGGTTTCTAGTGGCGTTGGACGTTGGGGAGATGTCGGAGAAGTATGGGGTTGATATGAGCTAGATGGTGTGAGCATAGTGGGATAGAGTTGAATGTAGATGAAAGCAGGGAGTTGCAGAATGATAGGGTTGACAGTATTTGATATCGTGAGTGTGCTTCATTCGTCTATCTTCATGTCAACTTAAGGTTTGTGTGCACAAACGCCATGTCCACGTTGCACCGTAGCCTTTTACCAGCACACATCATTCGACCGCCATAATCGGAGGTCGACATCTAGATGAGCTGCTGGAAGGCGCGGTTGACCGGCGAGCGCAGCGGCTTGACGTCCTTGTAGAATGCAATCGTCGCCTCCGCACGCTTCGAGATGCCCTCTGGCGTGAACTCGAATTTCTGCAAGCAGTGTCAGCCATCTTGTCTCTACTCAACGACAAGCATGAACGTACCTTGTAGACGTCCTTGTATGGGCCAGAAGCACCGAACCTGTTGAGACCGAACTGCTCATGCGAGTACTTCTCCCACCCGAGTGTCGACATGACCTCGACAGACATAGCAGGGATGCCATCAGGAATGACAGAGAGCTGGTACTCCTTCGACTGAGCGTCAAAGACCTCTGTGCAGGGCATAGACACCACACGCGCAGTGACATTCTTATTGTCCTTGAGGTACTTGACAGCCTCCAAACAGATGGAGACTTCCGAGCCGGTTGACACAAGAGTGATCTGTGCAGACTTGTCCTCGAGCGCAACGTAGCCACCCTTGATGCCGTTCTCGATGGTGGAGCCCTCGAGCTGTGGCAGGTTCTGGCGGGTGAGGGCGAGGATGGATGGGGTCTCGGTAGAGGTCAGAGCCATGTAGTAGGCAGCAGAGCACTCGTTGCCGTCAGCCGGGCGCCAGACCATCATGTTCGGCAGGGCACGGAAGTGAGCGAGCGTCTCGATAGGCTGGTGAGTTGGTCCGTCCTCGCCCAGACCGATGGAGTCGTGAGTGGCGATGTAGATGACGCGCTGGTGGGAGAGCGAGGAGAGACGGACGGAGCCTGCGGCGTATGACACGAAGTTGAGGAAGGTGCCGCCGGCGGGGATGACGGTGCCGTAGGCGGACATGCCGTTCATGATGCCAGCCATGCCGTGCTCACGGACACCGTAGCGCAAGTAGCGACCAGCCCAGTCGCCGATGCCGAGCGCTGGTGGCTGGAAGTCGACGGCGTTCTTCCACCGGGTGTTGTTGGAGCCAGTCAAATCAGCGGAGCCAGAAAGGAGCTCAGGCACAGCCTCATGGATAGCCTCGAGAACAGCCTCGGAAAGCTTACGGGAAGCAACTGCGGCGTCAGATGGCTTGTAGACAGGAAGCTTTGTCTGCCAGCCGTCGGGAAGCTTCCTGGTCAGACGCCTCTTGAGCTCAGCACCAGCCTCCTTGTGCTCGCTGGTGTACTTCTCCAGGAGCTTGTTCCACTCTTGCTCCGCAGCCGCACCTTCCGAAGCATGCTTGCCGTAGGAGTCGTAGACCTCTTGTGGGACGACGAACATCTTCTCTGGGTCGAAGCCAAACTTCTCCTTGACCTGCTTGCAGTCGTCGGCCTTCAATGGGTTGCCGTGCACACCGCCAGTGCCCTGAAGCTTGGAGCCGAAGCCAATGGTGGTGGTAAGCTTGATCATGGAAGGCTTGTCCTTGACGTCCTTGGCCTTCTGGATGGCAGCCTCGATGCCCTCAAGGTCATTGTCACCGTCCTTGACCCACTGTGTGTGCCAGCCATACGATTCGAATCGCTTGGTGACGTCTTCAGTGAACGAGACCTTGGTGTCGCCGTCTGCAAAATATATTAGCGACCAACCCACAGGCAAGCAAGCACTCTGCGCCTACCAATGGAGATGTGGTTGTCATCGTAGATGCAGATGAGGTTGCCGAGCTGCAGATGGCCGGCAAGCGAAGCAGCCTCGCTGGCAATGCCCTCCATAGCGCAGCCATCACCGAAGAAGCAGTATGTGTGGTTGTTGATCAGCTCGTAGTTCGGCTTGTTGAACACACCCGCAGTGTGCTGCTGTGCAATAGCCAGACCGACAGCATTGCTGAAACCCTGGCCCAAAGGACCCGTTGTCACCTCAATGCCAGGCGTATCGTGTGCTTCTGGGTGACCAGGCGTGATGCTGTCGACCTGACGGAAGCTCTTGAGGTCGTCCAAGCTCACGCCATAGCCGAACAGGTGGAGCAGTGCATACTGCAGCATGCATCCGTGGCCGTTGGACAGCACGAAGCGATCTCTGTTGACCCAATCGGGGTTCTTGGGGTTGAAGGTCATGAACTTGTTGAAGATGATGTGGGCGACCGGGGCCATGCCCATGGGCGCGCCTGGGTGGCCGGAGTTTGCCTGGAAGGTGGCATCGACCTGTATGTATCGTCCGTGTCAGCCATTGTCTTGTGATATCTGCTTCACCTCCTCTGCTCTTTGCTGCTTCACGTTGAAGGCATTGGCGGGGCACGGCGGGTAGGCTACATACCGCGAGGGTTCTGATGGTGTTGATAGCCAACTCGTCATTCTTTCCGTAACCCATGATTGCGTTGTATTCGTCGTTCCAATGGGTGAAGATGGAGGTGTTGCGGCGGTGACGGCAAGAAAAATTGTTAAATATGACGTCCAGCTCGTGCAAGAGGTTGAGAGGGCGCTAGTGGTGGGATGATTTCGAGCCCCCGGCTAAATAAATCTCCTTTTCTTCTTCTCACTCTCTCAATTGTTGTTGTCGTTGGTCTGAAGAAGACAATGTCACTTGAAACGTCTCTACGACTCACTTGTTGTGGTATAATGAGGTTTCTCCAGTGCGTTTGGAATCATCTCACTCGCATTGAACAGCGACCTCCTTAGCAAGGCTTGACAAAGTCGAGCTGTCAGCTGCCCTGACCAATTGCTGAATCATGGGCGATGCTTTCTGCATAAGACATTCGTGAGAGACTAGATCGGTGAGTACTGGGTCCACCAGGACGGCGTAGGACTCGAGCAGATCTGCCGTAAGGGGGCACGTTGAGGCATATCACGGCTCAGGCTGTAATGACAACAAGGCCACCTCTGGTGGCTATCCTCGACGCATACCACATCGACCTGACAGCAGTACTTGGGTCGCAGCATACCAGGTGGCTATAGACAGTCCCAATACGTTGTACTTGTCTCTAAAGAGCCACGGAAGCGACTATCTCTGTAGTCTAAAGAGAGTTTGAACGCCCCTCTTGGTCTGCGAGAACCAGTGTGCTCGTCTTGAGACACTCGCCTTACGACACCACATATGCTCTTCCTTTCCTTATTTTACTTTGTCCTCCTGTATGAACATTGTCTCTCAACACTACATCTCGAGGCGCAGCCCCTACGACACCCCTGCTCATCAAGCGAGCCGCGACGTCATGCCATCCCATTTCATCAGAGCGAGCAGGCGAGCCAGTATTCGAGAAATTGCAGCACTATAGTACACAATCATACCCCGAGAGAGAGCAATAGGCTGGCGCTCGCCGCCCCCTTCTAGCCTCTGTTCCTGTACATACGACACCCATCACGATGGGAATCCCGTACTCCCGCGAAATAAACGCCGCCTTCGTGAGTCCAAGCAATACAATCCACCCATGCTGCTCTTCCAAGAAATAGACTGACTCCAACAGGAGCAAGTCACCCCCCTCGTAGCCGCGGGCTTCGAAGTCCTCGAAACCACCAAGAACATCGCCCTCGCCCTCTTCTTCATCCAAATCTTCACAGCCATCACCTTGACCTTCATCCTCTTGGCGCTGATAGGACTACTGTACACGCTGAATCCGGACCTGGAGCATGAGCGGAAAGTCTTCGTGACGCCGACGATGAAGTGGATGGCGAGTTGGTGGTTGGGGAAGCATGGGGCGCCGAAGAGTGTGGCGGCGGGGTTGGTTGCGGTGTTTGCTTTGGTGGGTAGTCTTCAGGACGACAAATTAGTTTGGAGATTAAGATTTGCTAATATCTCCTCCCATTGTGTATAGGCCGGGTTTGGCTTCCTAGGCTGGGTATACTACAAGCGCCAAGTCGAAGATGCAACCGTCGAGAATCATGTCCCAGCAAAGGGCGAGGAGGGACCAGAGCTGAAGAAAGGCAAGGACGTAGAGAATGTGAAGAAAGGCGATACTAAGCAGTAAATAGGAAGCTGGTTTTGTCAACTTCCTGATGGCGTACTAGCGACAGCGATGTGAATGTACTAGAGCGCAGCAAGTACTTATTGTCATGGCCGTAAATTATGCGTGTTATACACTATGTACTGTACTGTCCTGTTGCTCCCATCCAAGACATTCTCGAGTTCCGTGATAGTGGCGAAAGTGGTATCTCAATCAAAATCGACCTTCCAAGATGTTGCTTTTCCAAACGAGAGGGCGCGCCGCGAAGCTGGGTATCCTCGTCCACGTCTTCTTTTAAAACCGCATGTTCCGTCTGTACCGGTCTTCTCCAGAGGATTACTCTTCATCTTCACAAATTCAAACTGCTATCCCACCCATCCCCATACCCCAAATCATCCCCCGGGCCGAACTCCGGCATCACGATCCCCCGATACACATCGTTCGACATGCACTGCCCGTTCCCCGTGTAAGTGAAGTCCTCCGTGCTGCTATTCCCGTTCCCACTCCCATCCTCCGTCTCGAACGACAGAATACTGTCCGGATGCCCGCCACTACTCGTCGTCAACATCGAATTCACACTCGTGTTCGTATCAGTCGTGCTCAAGGCCCAGAGGTCCCCGTTCCAGGCTACGTCATTGATGGTGCCGGTGGACTGGTTGTTGTGGTGTGTTCCGAAAGACGGGATGTCGAGCCGAGCATCGACTGGCTGACCGCCGCCATAGCATGCGTCATAGATGTTTGTTTGGCCATTGTCCATGTCGCCGAGGAATTTCTCCCAGTCCGTGGGTCCGGGTTCGGGCTTGACAGGTTGGGTGTTGGGACGGGGCTGGGGTTGGATGTCGTGCTCGGTGCCGAAGGAAAGATAGTCGAGGTTGGTAAGGGTCTGGGCGCGCGGGGGCTTGGGTTTGATGTGTTGTGTTGTCTGGGGAGGGCGTGCGGCTGGACGTTGGGCGGCAGAAGGTGGACGGCTGTAGATGTTGACCGGGCTTCGAGCGGGTTCTGAGCGAGACATCGACGATGGGTCGTAGCGGGCGGTGGGTGGTTGTAAGGACGGCTGGCTTTGGCTGGGCACGCCGTGCGGGTGGAGACTGATGCTGTGGACAGTCGATCGGCGGTGATCCGGGACGTTGAACGACGGAGGCTGCTTCAAGATGCTCCCTGCGGTAAGGCGAGAAGCAATAGCTTTGAGCTGTTTCTTCGTAGTAGAAGGTGAAGTTGTCTTGTCGTTCTCCACCACTGCGCCATCCGAATTGTGTCGGGATATCGACGGTAGCTTGTTATTAGGCTTCAGTGGTGCTTCCATCCGCGGTTTTGGTGATGGTGGAGAAGGGATGAACATGCATGCAACACGCTTGAACTCTGACGCACACGGTGCATGCGACTTTTCGAGGACGCCAAAGACAGCGTAGAGCATCTTGTGATTGTCTTTGAGGATTTTGCTGCTGGGATCCAGAGTGAGGCCTTGGAACAGCAAGCCGAAACCAGCAGTGACGAGCAGCTCATCGCGGTTGAGGCAGAAGGCGAAGCTGAGTCCTCGCTCGTTCAGTAGCTGTATGATCTGGACAATGTGCTTGCAAGAGTTGGCCATGATGATCATCGATGATGAAGACCTCCCACCAAGCGAGGATGAGCAGATCGCAGGCCGCTGGATCAAAGCGCGGATGTAGTGGTACGCCAGCGACAGTATCGGCGACCGACTGTTGACAGTCCCAGTACTCGGCTTATCCTGAACGAACTGCAAGCGCAGATGCGGTGCCAGCGAGGAGCTCCAGTTATCCAACTCATCCGAAAGATCCGACAGTTTCTTCAAAGACAGTTCGTATGATGTCTTCGCTGGGAACACTTCTTCCAGCACTTTTGACAGGATCAGAGCAGCGCGGAACAGCGCAAGGGCGCTGGACACCTTCGTCGACTCGCCAGGCAATGTAGGCTGGAAGCCACGCTCCGTCACATACTCGTCATCCGCATCGGTCGGGAACTCGCAATGCACATCGGCATCCTTAATGTGCTTTGGCAAACCAAGGGACACAGCGGAGAAGCAGTCGACGGTGTACAATGTCCAGAACACCTTCTTGCGGGTCTCGCATGTCAGCGTGCCCAATGTGAATCGCTTCTGCGACTGATGAAGACCAAGACGTGCCGAAAGGGTTGTCGAAAGACCTTTGTAGGTCAGCAGGGCAGTGTAGTCTCCTTGCAGAATGCAGAATATCTGCGCCAGCACCAGAGCCTGTAGCGTCGGCATCGAGTTCTCTTTCAAGACGGCATCGATGGCTGCTTTCCACTGGCTCTGGAAGCTTTCAAGGTCGTCCGACTTGCGAGTGCCACTCGACAGAGCTGCGATACCGAACACTAGGTTGAGCTGCGCCAGCTCTGCCTTGTCAGTGACCTGCTCCGAATCGGCAACATACTTTTCGTAAAGCGTCAGGAACGTCGGTCGGTGCAAGACTGGGAACACTGGCGCCCATTCCTGGAAGAAGACGTTGACCAGTTGATCCGACACCAGTCTCGGTGGCGCTTTCCACACAACTTCCTTCTCCTCGCCGCCTGTATCAGACGACTTAACACTATGAGGAAGCAAGTTGTCCGTGTAGATCTCGGACGTCGACTGTCCCTTCTCCTGCACCTTCTGCTTGAACGCCTCGATGAATGTTCTGCTGCTCGATGTGCCTGCAAAGTAAGAGTCCGTACCCTCACCATCGAGTAAGTACGGCGACTGTTGCACTTTGAACAAGTCCTCCTTTTCCGCAGGCGATTCCACAGGTGTCTCCTTCTGCGACTTCGGTTCCGCTGACTCCGTGGACGTCCTTCGTGGAGACTGCAGCTGGAACGCATGCGTCGACTGCGAATGCAGCCTTGACAGCATATCGATCTTCTCATCTTTCTCGTCCAACAAGTCTTTCAAATCCCTCACTTCCGACTCTAGCGCTCGTACCCGCTCTTCCAACGATTCCGTGTAGCCGCGTGGAAACGCCCTCCTGCTCAGCTTATCGCTCGTCTTGCACTCGAACCCAACATTCGAACACTGCGAACAAGTCGGCCGGACGCCATCGCAGCGTATCTTCTTACTCCGACACCTGCCGCCGTAACATCAGCACCATGCTCGTCCCTTCCATCTCAGCTCGTGTGTTAACCAACCTATCGCACGCCTGCGCGATCCGCGATTGCGCATTCGTGCCCACCTTAATGACCTTCATTGGTAGAATCCCAGGCATGACAGGCAACGTTCTGAACCAGCCAGGCTCACGGTATATACAAATAATAGAGCAAAGGCTGGTAAATCAGAACCGATGGTTCAGCGAAACACAAAGCCGATTTGGCTTTCGCGCACAGGCTGGGGGAAGCGCTCGCTGTGGGGAACACGCCGTCGTCATCCGCTCCTGGGAGGAAGCGCCAAACTATTGGCAAGTAAACGGCCAGCACAGTCCAACAGGTCGATCCAAAAACAGCTCTTCTTTATGGTGCGAAGAGTGAAGTCGTGATTTTGGGAAGTGAAAATGCTGCAAGAGGTTCCTGACCCGTCCCGTCGTTCTTCTGGGGAGGATTCCGGGGGTCGAAACAGGTGCTCTCCCGTGCTGCAGCTAACGCTGCTGCCAACCTCACACGATCAACTTGCGGAGGAACTACACTTCATCTGGCAGCCTGAGATGCGAATGCGATTGGGCGACGGCAGTTTAGGCTTAGAGAAAGGCCACCAAGGCTGTCGGAGGTGGGGAGATCGACGGCCCTGGCTTCCAGAGCTCTGCTGAGGGACGAATGATGACCGCTGAACTCTCCCGCCCGCCGAGTGATTCTCGCTAGAACTTTGGTGTGTGCAGTAGAAGGCTCTCTCGGGTATTTCAGGGACATCGCTCCGTGTGTGCGAAGAAAGAAAATAAGAGAGTAGAGATCACTTATGGAGTTGTAGAGACATTTGAAGACACCGAATGCAGATCGACCCATTGCTGATCCGGGAGTTGTCCTGAACCCAAACCGTCCAGCGGGGAGCTGGCGTCATTGGCGGAGGCTGGAAGCTGTAATTTGTCACTTCTTGGACTTCACTCTTGGGATGACTTCATGCCATGCGCTGAGCGACCACCTGATGTGAGACAGAACGAGTCACGCTGCGCAATAGAACCTAGGTCAAAACTGTTGCTGTTCTTTCTCGGAGGCGGTTGCGATGGCGGTACACTTCCGTTTGCTCCGAACCTCATATCTTCACGCTATACCTCGAGCTACTGTTATAGCTTCAACAGTCTTCGGAGATGCGCCGGTGTTGTGGTAGTGATCGCCAGCTAGATTGTTTACAGCGAGCTCTCTCCGCATCCGGGAGCGACCTTGTCTTGCTTGTTCACGGCCATCTAACCAGATATGTCCTCTACGGTCGTTCGAGCTGGGTCACGACGTCAACTCAATGCTCGAACCAGACGTCGACTCATACCAAGCTTTCCTGTCGCTGAAGATCTGTGGATACCGTGCTCTGTCGGTAGGCCTGCTGTTTTGAAGCCTTTGACGATCACGAGAAGTCGTCAGGTTCGGCGACAGTTCCGCCAGGATCTGCTTGCGAATCTGCAGATGTTTCTTGATTCATCTCCTCCAGGTAGCGGACGACTACGGGATGTTGTGCGAGCTCGTCTTTCTAATGCGCAGTCAGCTACAGCTCTGAAGATCTAGACCGCCGCTACATCAAATGTCACTGTGGGGATCACTCATCGTGTATTGTGGCTTCTGTGAGCTGCATAGAAAACACTTTCGCACCGCGCAAAAGAGATGGTCTTCGGACGTACCTGCTGCTCGAAAGACTCGTACGCCTGGTTCATCAGGTCGAATTCCAAAGCCCGCAGTCTCATAGCCAGCTCATACGGCCTGTCTCGCACCTCCGAATTATCGCCGTGCGGAGTAGCCTCCATGTCATCCTGCGTCGAGAAGAGCACTTGCAATTGGTCGAATACACGCTGTTGTAGCAGAGTGATCGCCCGTAAGCGATAGAGCTCCCACAGCTCGTCTTTTGCAAGTAGGCTATACAATTCAGCAGCGCCGCCAGTAAGACGCCGATCGTGAAAGAAGGCCTCCATCTCGATGTCGCCGTCCACAGTCCTTGCAAGTTCGAAGCGAAGGCCGTCATCTTCACTCAAGCAGAGCAGCCAGATGAAGTCGCCTGTCCAGTCGATCTCGCTGTCTCTGGTATCTATCAACTTGAAGCCCGGAGCAGTGTCCGCGAATTTCATTTTTGATGTTTGCTGCGAATCGGTGTCTGCGATGTTCAGAGACAAGAACAGCGATTCTGCAGACGTCATGCTGTCGTCCAAGAAGCCGTAGGAGAACAACATCTCACAGGCGCCCTTCTCATCACCATACGTTATGGTAATCTCGTGGCTGTCTTTAACGCTCTTGCCGTCTCGAAGCAATAGCACGGCGTTGCCCTCGTGATCTTTCTCATAGACAGCTAGCGTTGACTCTCCTGTTGCATGGTTGGCAAGGTCGACACAGGGAACCATGCAGTGGCCGATGGCGGGAAAGTCGAGTGCGCGCGAGCGGTACATTGCATCGACCTGCAGCCAGTCGTCAAAGTCAAGGTAGTCTTGCACCGCCTTGTACCACCTCGTGTTCGCAGCGCTCGAGCAAAGCAGGTCGTATTCTCGTCGTAGGCTTTTGAGCTTCGAGGACATGGCGGGAGCAAGAGTGGTGCCAATCAGCAGCTGGAGTTCTTCTGGCGTCCAGAAAGTAGGTAGCTCTTCCATGGGCAGTGATTTGATGTAGCTGTACCAATCTCAGCAAGCTGGCCCGCCGTATCGCGCTGTTGTGGACAGAAGGCGGCACAAGAGTAGAAATTTGTCGATTGCCACGAAAGAAAGTCTGCACTTACTCGGAGAAAGCTGTATGAACTCCCACATACTCAGAGAGCTGCGGACATGACATGGACGATTGAAGTAGGAGAAACGAAAGTATAGCTCCCCTTGGCGTCTGAACATTGAGGAGCTATCAGCGGAGAGCTGACATGAAGAGAATGAAGAACGACATTGACCGCAAGGAGGACGGAGCCATTCAGACCTACCTTGCTAAAGTCTCCCAGACTATCCAGCACTTCTCGATAGTCTCGGTCGTACCGTGCCTGCTCTTGGCACCGTTCAAGCGAGAGAACTAGGTCCTTTGGTACCGTAAGGAGAACATTGGAATCGTCTTTCTCGGCGTCCAGATCGTGCTCCGCTAGAAGGGCGCCACCCCGGCCTGGGAAATTCCCTGGGGCTGTACGATAGAACTGGGCGTCATTGAGGGCTGCCCAAGGGAGGAACGCTCCGGGTGGGAGTCGTAGCCATCCTTCTGTCTTGCCACGGCGGATCATGGTGGCCATAGTGTCAGTGATGGTCGACTACAAGATGCAGAGGCCGGTAAGTTCGGTGGACAGCCGTGGCAGATCGATCGTCGTTCTCCGATGTCGTAACAGTCTCGAAGCTGCCGTGAGATGGAAAGATATGGCAGCTTGAATGTCAAGATGTCGAGATGGCGGATCCTAACAGTAGCGGACTTAGCGCTTCGGCAGCTGCCGAAAGTCTATCTGACCTGGCAACCGCGATTGTTGTGAACCAGGGCTAGCGCTACCTTCGCAAGCAACAACATTTGGTTCCTGCATATTGCATTGCATCCTCCACTCTACTGCATTCGATCCTCATAACATTATCATACTCGACCGATGATGCGCTCGTCGTTCTGCTAACAGATTGTGTCTTCTCGTTCCAAGCGAGCAACTGCATTTGTCTGCGAGCGCCGCTATCGTGCTCATTACTTCCTTCCTGCCATCGAGAACACGGTCACCGGTACCTCCTCCTCGATCAGCATTCAATAAAGCAACAGTCGGCGACGAGGGTGTGCTAGTCAAGCGCATCCCATCATGACGATGCCTTCCACCTCGCAACATGCGCCGGCGGAGCCTTCCACGACCAGCTACGGACAAGTGATCGAGTACATTCAAGGTACCACAGCGCAGCATCCTGCGACCACACTAGATGGTCGCTCGCTCGCAGGAAATATTGCTAATATGCATCTCCTCCACTACTCAGACCGCCTCTACCTCGCATCATACACTCATGCGCCGGATGAGAACACCCCGTTCCCGTACCCGAACAAGCCAGCCCCTCGATCACCCAGCAAGCGGTCGTCAAGAGCTCAGAATGGGCCACAAGCAGTAGTTCCAGACAGTGCGAGGGTCGCGCCCTTCTACTTCTGCATCGACCGGAGCCTGCTGTACAACGCGTTCCATGCGGACTTTGGTCCCCTGCACATCGGGCATCTGTACAGATTCGCGGTGCAGCTGCACGATGTGTTGGGACATCCGGAGAATGAGAACAGGCCGGTGGTACTCTGGAGCGATGCGGATTCGAGGAGTGAGTATATCATTGCGCTTTTAAAACGGCGTATGTTCACCCGAGTGGCGAGAGCTAACAAACCTCATTAGGTCGCGCGAACGCAGCTTGCATTCTCGCCGTGTACATGGTGCTTATCCAGCACTGGCCACCACATCTTGCGCTTGCACCGATCGCTCAGATGGATCCGCCATGCATGCCGTTCCGCGATGCCGGATACAGCCAGGCGGACTACTCTTTGACGATTCAGGATGTTGTGTATGGTGTGTGGAAGGCGAAAGAAGAGGGACTCGTTGGCCTGAAAGACTTCTGTCTGGAAGAGTACGAGCGATACGAGCGTGTGGACATGGGCGACTTCAACTGGATCTCACCAAGCTTTCTGGCCTTCGCATCTCCTCAACATCAGCCGACGCATGTCATCAAGTCTAACGACCCAGCCTACTCCTCACTACCGCGATCTGTGTCGGAAGTCGAGAAGGACAGGAATCTGCCTACGCCGTTCAAGAACGTGCTCGTGCATTTTGCAGAAAGAGGTATTGGCTTGGTCGTCCGGTTGAACTCTGAGCTGTACTCACCATCCTACTTCACTGCTCTTGGCATCAAGCATCTGGACATGATCTTTGACGACGGAACCTGCCCACCCCTCAACCTTGTCCGGAAGTTTGTCAACCTCGCTCACCACACCATTGGCAAGCGAAAGGGTATCGCAGTTCACTGCAAGGCTGGGCTTGGCCGCACTGGCTGTCTCATTGGCGCGTACCTCATCTACAGAAATGGCTTCACTGCCAACGAGGTCATCGCATTCATGCGTTTCATGAGACCTGGCATGGTTGTTGGTCCTCAGCAGCATTGGCTGCATCTGAACCAAGGTACCTTTAGGGAGTGGTGGTATGAGGACACTCTCAAGGAGAAGATCATGGCTACCCTCCAGCCTGCCACGCCATCAAGAACCCACCAGTCAGCCAGCCGACGAATGGCCAGCAACGGGCAAACTTTCACTCCCCCTCACGGTGACCGCCGTGTGAGCAGCCCGCGACGAGCTGCGCTTGGCGAGATCACGAATAATGAGCAGGCAGCGACCTCGACTGCAGGCTACACTTCCGACGACACGAAGGGAAGCCTTGGCGTCTCAGACGAGAACCTGCCGGCACCAACACCAGGCCAGCCGCGCAAGACGAACAAGATCTTCGGCGCACGACGTGTGATGACTGAGAACCAACCCTTCGACATCAAGCCCGACACCGAAATCATTAGCATGCAGCGCTCGACCAGCCGTCCGAAGGACGAAGAGACCGACGCTGCATTACGCTCACTCGGACGCAAGGCAAGCCAGTCCCCAGTCAGCCGCAGCGGCAAGCGTAGAGCCATCAGCTGCACGACCACCACTACCACCACGACCAAGTGGGATGGTCTCACCTCCGCCGAGAACAGCGACAGCGAGAACCGTCCAGCCATGATCGAGGAGCTCATGGCTGATGCCAGCCCAACGCGGCCGAAGACGCCGAACGTGAAGAGCGGCAGCGGGATGAGCAGTCTCAGCATCGGCAAGCGCTCGTCACCTGTGCGTCGCAGCACGGAGGGCAAGACAAACGTGCGCAAGACGAGCGGACGGGTCGGGAGTGTAGGCTCGCAGGCCACGAGGGCGCACAAGGCGTCGTGATCTGCTCTGCTCCAGCAAGTGGGAATGTTGATGTTTGATTTTCGTACTCACGGGCAACGGTCGGATGGCATGGAGTTGGTACGGATGAGGGAAAGGAATGGAGTTGATGCGCGGGTGTGATTTTGGATGCTCTCATATGGCTCTTGGGTGGGACGGGATGGAGGGATGGAGGGATGGACATGGCTGCATTGCATGACGGTTGCTGTTTGGATTCTTTTGCTGTTCAGTTGCGCATGAGGCATAGCGTTGGCTAGCGATGATGTGTATGATGGTTTTGAACTTGCTTGTCGTATTGTTGAGCGTTGACTTTTGAGTTGTAGGCCACGACACATCACTGCTGCCCTGCTCGTAACTCCGACACGTCCCTGGGCTTCTTGACATAGTATCGTCGCCAGATTGGAACTTGTAAAAGAAGAGTCAAGGCTCCAATCTTCAGTCTCTGCTGGTCCACGGCGCTTGAAGAGCCTGGATAAGTGCCAATATTTTCGTCTTCTGCTTGTCAACAGGTCTGTCTTCACAACTCCCTGCCTTCCGTTCAGCGCTGCTCCATCCTCCGGAAGCATTCTATCAACTCTTCGGCAATTTCATCATACGCAATCAACCTTCATTTCAGCGATCGAGTCTCGCTCCCACCAGCCATGCCTAAGCGCAAGGCAGAAGTGAAGCTCGAGCCTAAAGCAGTCGCTCGGAGAAAGATGGAAGATGCGCCACAGTAAGTTTCAGTCCTACCTTCGCCAGAAATGCCCCTGACTTTCAAGCAGTCGACCAGAAACCATCGCCGTCATCGTCGGCGCCCCAGAACAAGAACAGATCTTCAACGTCCACACAGACCTATTGATCAAACATTCGAATTTCTTCAGAGCCGCGCTTTCGAACGACTGGAAGGAAAGTCGCAGCCGGCGTGTCGAGTTGAGAGACGTGGAGCCGGAGCACTTCGAGGTGTTCAAGGACTTCCTCTATACTGGGTTCGTGTACTGCAGCAAGGCTGGTGACTCGACCGATCCGCCTCATGTGAGTGGACAAGACCACAGGGACATCGAGTAGCCTCGCCTAGCCTGTTGTTGGGTGTTGGGAGAGCGGGTCCTGTGTACAGCTTTCAAAGACGCCGCTTCCGATGCGTTTCTGGACAAATACGCCTTCCACAACAAGACTCCGCTTCGTGCACAATTCGACATCTACCCAAACAGCACGGAGAGATCTTGTATCCGGCGCTTGCTTGTGGACTTTGCCGCGCATACCTGGCATGTCGACTTCTTCCGAAGAGAGGAGCTTGCTGAGGACAATGCGGCCTTCATAGTCGATGTGGCAATCAGGCTCGTTGAGATACGGAATCGATCTGAAGGAAAGAAGAATCTTCAGTGGATCGTCGATCGGTGCGAGTACCATGAGCATGTCTCGGAGAAGAAGCCGTGCTATCTGGAGACGTTCCGGAAGGCGAGGTGACGAGGTGTGTTGCTGGCTGGACGGAGATGGTGTTTGGGCGTCGCAGGCCTTTGAAGCGTGGTTGAGTGTTCAGACTCTGGAAGGGCCAACATGCGTATGAGATTGATAGCCATTCTTGTCGGTCCCGACGGAGCAAATACGGTGCTTCGAATGCTGTGCTGGTAGGTTTCCTTCAGCTTCACTTCTGCAGCTCCTTCTCCGGTGTTCCAGGCAAGTCTAACTTCACGTGCCTTCACATGATCACCACTTTCAGACTAGCTTGCTGCTTGATGTGTCGGGTTACACAAGCAACCTCACTTCACAACGCTTCTGCGAAATGTCTGCATTGCTTGAACCGATCTCCCTTGTCTTTCCATCGTCACCGCTTTTTGCCCATACCAGGCCTGCACTTGATTGCTCTCCTCTCAAGAAACGCCACTATGGCGACCACTAAAGGCGCTGTCACTGGGGCATCAGCTCTCAGTATCCGTGGCAGAATGGACGAGGCTCGATGGTAAGAATGAATGCCTGCCTCTCTGATCTTTGTTAACATTTGGTAGTGGAAACGAATCGATCAAAGTCGTCATCGGCGAAGGCGACACCGCACAAACGCTGTACATCCATACCAGTCTGCTCGAGAAGCATTCGGATTTCTTCGTCGTCGCTCTTCGTGAGGAATGGAAGGAGGGTCAAGAGAGGATGGTCGAGCTCAAAAACGCCAACTTCGAAACATTCACCATCTTCAAGAACTTCCTATACGAGGGAAGGATCTTGAGCAGTAAAGAGGAGACTAGGAGAGAGGGTTCAGCCGACGGAAGCAAGACTCATGATAAGGAGTGGGCTCGCATATCGAGATGTTGAGTACTAGGAGACCTCTTGCTGTCAACAACCTTCAAGGACGCTATCACCGACGCCTTGCTTGCAAAAATCCGTGAGCGGGAAGCCCGTCCTACCCGACTCCACAATTCGATCTATCCCAGAAGCACACCGATGTCTCGAATCCGTCATTTGCTGGTCGACATTGCAGTGGGAGGCTGGACGGAGGCTTCGTTCACGCTGCCTGACCGAACTGCCCAAGAATTTGACTTCTTCCGTGACTTAGCCGTCGCTTTCAAGCAGAAGCTCGGTGACAGCCAGCTGCATACGATGCCGATTGCGGGAAAGGTCGGATGCAAGTATCATGAGCACGTCGCCGAAGGCAAGCCGTGCTACACCACCATGTTCTGAGCCCCGTTCCCAATGCGTACGACTCCAAGCGATAGCGAGTGGCGGTAGATCGCATAGGAGGACTGCGGCAGGACCGAAAAGTTGAGTGGTCCTAGTGCGGTGGCGATGACATGCAACCCTTTCAGAGGCGTCGACTTGTTTGGAGGAGTCTTTCCGAGCGAGAAGGCTGCAGTCGTTTGAGGACGGAGGACGCATGGGATGCAGCACCAACGATGATCCCGTTTGAAGTGGCTTCACCTTCGTAGCTTGTGTGGCTCAGAGTATGAGCGGTCGAATGTGCACGTGCTTTCACATGTCTCATCACTTCCTCTTCACCTTGTCAATCCATCGCGAATCTCCCAACGCACGAGATACTCGTGACATCAGTCCATTTTTCAGCCAAGCTTACATCATCTTCTTGACCCATCTCTCCGCGACCTCGATCTTTCTTCATCACTTGCTCAACCCGCACCATTCTCCCACGCCACAACCGCCTGAAGCACAACACATGAACTTCCTGCCATAGTGCTCACGACCACACACCATTGGGGAGCGCAAAGCCGAAGCCGACAGCAAGCTAGGAGGCAAGATCCGTAGAAAGATGACAGATGCCCCGTCGTAAGTCGATGGCCTTTGAGGAAGAATTCTTGCCGCAGTTAAGAAACATTAGGGAACTTCAAACCGCCAATATCATTGTCGGCAGCGGTGAACCAAGGCAGCTCTTCAACGTCCGCATCGATCTCCTCATAAAGCACTCTGAGTACTTCAAGAAAGCCCTTAACAAAGACTGGCAGGAAGGCCAAACCCGACAAGTCAAGCTTGACGACGTTGATCCGGATATCTTTAAGATCTTCAACAACTTCCTCAAGGAAGGCATTATCTATAGTAGCAAGGAAGGGGACGTCTGTTTTGCCAAGCCTGGTGACACAACTCAGACGGACAAGGAATTGGGACGGTTGGTTGCGAGCTGGAACTTGGGCGACCGCCTCATGTCGACATCCTTCAAAGATGGAGTTGTCGATGCGCTGCGCTCAAAGACCATAGTCGACGGAGACTACCTACAGCAGATGCATCCCTCCGTCTACTCTTCTAGCTCGCCATCTTCACGCATCCGCCTACTGGTCGTCGACTTCGCCGTCTGGGGCTGGAATACCAGCACGTATCGACAGGCCGAGCGCTCCGAGGAAGATGTCGATTTCTTGTTCGATGTGGCGCTTGCTTTCAAGGAGAGGGCAGAGTCGAAGCCACCGGCCAAAAATCCAATCACCGGCAAGGACAAATGCAGGTACCACGAACACGTCCGGGAGGGCAAGCCCTGCTACACCACAATGTTCTGAGGTCCTTCCCGTGACGACGACAGCGGGTGGAGGGATCGAGAGCACCCAGCAAGCGATTTCGAGGCAAGGACTCCTGGACTGCGAAGCAGGACTTGGAGCAAGACAGCAGAGCGTCGTCCGGTACCCAGAGGAGGTCATTGGGGGATCAGGGAGGCTGGTCATGGCCATGGCCTCGTTTCTCGATGCTACTTGCGTTTAGCTGAGACGCCATCTTATCAAGGGCTTGCGATGAGGACGACACATCTGACGGCCCCGACCACGGGGAGATACTCTTCTGCTCCTGCTCGTGTTCGCATTGCCTTTCCATCCAGTTGCAAGCACCTCATCAGCAGTGCCGGTGCCATTGTGTCTCGGAGAAGCGTATGGATCCTTGTCGTCAGAGTATCCATAAGTCTGGTAAGCTGCATATACATCGGTGGTAAGCGTGCCACCGGCAGGCGAACAATAGATGTTGTCTTCTCCAGCCAGCCAAAGCACGAATTTCGTCCGCTGATTCTTCACCTCTTCCCCCCAACACCCCCCACACCACTCCTCAACCCATCATCCGGCAACCCACTCCTCTTCGTCCCCGGCAAACTCCCCGTCCCAATCTCATTCGTCTCAGTACTAACTTTGCGCGCCGGATACTTGCTCTCCAGCCCCTCGAAACAATTCCACCCGACCTTCTCTTGTCCGCTTTCGCCGACAAAGTACTTGTGCTGTAATGCTTGCTCTGCTGATATACGTTTCAGTGGGTCGTATGTGAGCAGTTGCTTTAGAAGGTCGAGTGCGGAGTCAGGCGGCGGTCCGCGAGTTGATGGAGCGTTCGCGGATGCGGAGGCTGTGGCGTAGTTGTTGGAGGCGACGATGTTGCGGTACCATTTCTCGAGCCCTGCGGCGCGGTTGACGGCTGGGTTGTGCAGAGCTACACTCTGCAAGTTCGAAGCCTCAGGCATTGCGGGTAGTAAAGGCCACTGGGACTTCGTGGGCAAGCCGAGGATCTCTCCAATCTTACCCATTTGGTTCCGTTGGAAGGGTACTGCTTTCTTGGAGTCCTGCTTCGCTTCTTCGCCTTTAAAGATTGGTCGTAGAGACAGCATTTCCGCGAAGATGCACCCAACCGCCCACAGGTCGATGGCGGGTGTGTAGTGCCGGCTTCCCAGGAGGAGTTCGGGGGCACGGTACCATATGGTCACGACCACCTTGTCTCCGCTGAAGAGTGCGTGGAGGGGTTTGTGGAATAAGCGGGCTAAGCCGAGATCGCCAATCTTGATCGCGCCGGAGGAGGTGACCATGATGTTGGCGGGCTTGAGGTCACGATGGATGACCCAGTTACGGTGGAGGTAGAGCAGGCCGGAGAGGAGTTGATGCGTGCAGCTGCGGAGGGTGGAGGCGGGGATGGGCGTGCGATTGAGCAGGGAGTGATGGTGGATGATTTGCAGGAGGTCGTGCTCGGCGTACTCGAAGACCATGAAGATGCATTTGCTTTCGAGGATGATTTCGACGAGGTGAATGAGGGCTGGATGGGAGAGCTCGGTGCAGAGGGCCATCTCGCGGATGGCGGATTGGGAGATGCCCGTGTATTGGAGCTCGCCTTCTTTGTCGGGCTTGAACTTCTTGATGGCGAAGGCTTCGATGGGCTTGCCGGTGGTGGGGTGCTTGATGATTGCTGTCTGTTGGGTGGGTTGAGAAGTGGTGGTCGGGCGTTTGGAGACAGCCTTGTAGACGCGGCCGTATGTTCCGCTGCTGATGAAGCCAACGATATCGTAGTGGTCGTTGATATGACGTTGAGGGGCATATGGTGCGGAAGTCATCTTGACTAGTGGTGGTGTTGACGGATCCTCTGCAGGTATGTGTGAGCATAGAAGCCATATCACGTGAGGCCACAACTGCCTAAAGCGGGCGAGACAGCGCTCCTATATATCACATGGCCAGATCTGCACCACGCAAACAGAATTCTCCGATCACGTAACAAACGGATGCGGAGAACTCGCACTCCCGGGGAGGCGAACATACGAAACGTACATAGCCGCGGATATTACGGCGTGCTAACAGCATTTCGCATATTTGACTTCTTTCCTAAAACCGATAACGAGGAACGCACTCACCCTCGAAAGCCTGCTTAGCCGTCCTCTTGACCGCGCCCGCCGCTGCCGGCTGCACTGCGGCAGCATTTTTGCCTGTAGCTGCGCTTGGTGGGCCCATGGTGGGCGTTGGCCGCAGAAGGCGGATTCGCTGTTAGACTGAAAGCGAAGCGGCTTTTGGCATCGGTCTCGTCAGAAGTGGAGCACAGAGTAAGGTAGTGAGATGGAGCTCGAGCTTAGGCGTGATGCAGCTTGCCATGGTCGGCCCGATGCCGCGAATGCGCTGTATCTGTATGCATGGTAGTAGACAGCGCTGGCGGCGGTAGATCTGATACGTGTCGGGAGGAATTCGCTTCCGTGCAAGACGCGGCTGCCCTTCGAGCGCGATCGCTTCAGATGAAGTCAGAAGGCTGACATGCTGTTTGCTCGGCTGCTCTGATAGGATGTTCGGGCCTCCAGACCGCTCTGGCTCAGCACCTTGCGGGATGGTGCAGTCCTGATTGGCAAGGCAGCAAACACCACCTGCTGTCGAGTGCTCAGAGACCAGGTAAGAAGCGAGACGTGGTCCGGATGATGATGCATTCACCTGTCACGTGGAGATAAGCTGCGATAAGGAAGCGGACCACATGTCGCCGAACGACAGACCGTCTCATCTTCACATTATCCGCTGAGATATAGTGTCGCTCTCCATCTTGGCTCCGGGGAGACGACAGCAGCTTCAGTATGGTATAGAAGCTACCAGCGTCAATCTTACGCGACTGGATCAAAGGGTCCCAGCACCATGGCCACCCGAAGCACCCTCTCCGACCTCACGCCTTACTTCATCTTTCTTCTGCTCAGCGCAACCCTCGGCCCCCTACTCTTCGGCTACCACCTAGCAGAGCTCAACGCGCCTTCCGAAGTCATCACCTGCGCCGCCGACTCGATCAACCCATCAACCCTCGCCCGCCTCAAATCCGCCTTGAGCTCGCACCTTTCCACTAGCACAGCAACCGCTGCGTCTTCCAGCAACCTCCCACAATGCATTCCCATGGATGCAACGCAACTGGGCGTGGTGACCTCCTTCTTCACCCTGGGCGGTCTAATTGGCGCCCTCGCAGCAGGTCCCTTGACTGCTAAAGTAGGCCGAGTCCGGACAATGCTCCCCGGCGCACTGCTCGCAACGGTTGGTCCTGTTTTCGAGGCGGCTTCGCCGAGCATAGCAGTGCTGGCACTTGGTAGATTCGTCTCGGGTCTAGGAGCAGGTACGGCAATGGTGGTAGCACCGCTATATATCGCAGATCTGGCACCACCAGGGCATAAAGGGCTGTTCGGCAGTTTCACGCAGGTCATGGTGAATGTGGGTATCTTGATCACGCAAGCTTTGGGTCTGGTATGGAGTCGAGGGCAGATGTGGAGAGTAATACTTGGGGTTGGAGGGGCGATTGGAGCAGTACAAGCTGGAGCATTCATGGCAGCTGGAATGGAGAGCCCGCGCTATCTGGCGGAGAAAGGAAAAGTGGGAGATGCAAAGAAGGTGCTACGACGAATACGGGGCAAAAGTGCGGACATAGACGAAGAGATACGAAGCTACGGCGTCGACACCGTGGACGACGACGAACCCAGCGAAGAAGAACGCCTCTTATCCTCCGATACCCCGTCCGACCCAGGGATGTCTCGAACCCACTCGAACGACTCCCCCAAAAAGCCCTTAACCTTCCTTGCCATCTTCAAACACCCCGACACCCGTCCCGCCGTCCTCGCCATAACCACAGTCATGCTCGCCCAACAACTCACCGGCATCAACAGCATAATAATGTACGGCGTGCGGCTCCTCTCCACCCTCCTCGCCGCCAACAGCGCACTTCTGAACGTCGCCGTCTCCGCTCTCAACGTCCTCATCACAGCCTCCGCCGCCCCACTCGTCGACAAACTCGGCCGCAAAACCTGCCTCTTACTCAGCATCGCGGGAATGGGAATCAACTCCATTCTCCTCGCCATCGGCATCATGCGCAGCATACCCGCCCTCTCTGCCATCGCCGTCGTACTTTTCGTCGCATCCTTCGGCCTCGGGCTTGGGCCCGTGCCGTTCATCCTCGCCTCGGAGCTCGTCGATGCGAACGCAGTGGGAGCTGTGCAGAGCTGGGCGCTGGCGGTGAACTGGGTAGCGACCTTCGTGGTGGCGCAGTTTTTCCCGATGTTGAATGAGGCGATGGGGAAGGGGCAGGTGTATTTTGTTTTTGCGGCGATGGCGGGGCTGTTCGGCGCGTTGGTGATGTGGTGGGTGCCGGAGAGTAAGGGGAAGACTGTGGACGAGGTTTGGGGGAGGGGGAAGGGTGGGACGGTTGATTGATATACCGGGTTTTTGAATGCTATATGAGTGGTAAGATTGTCATGCAATTGATGGCGAAACCAGCTACTCCCTTATACGGAGACCGAAAGAGGTAAGGTCTATCTGAGTCTATGGATACAATCATGTTCGTGCTCAGCAGCGGTCAGCATCCCATTCGTCTTGTCAGATCATCCGACTTGAGCATTTGAGCCAAGCGCAATTCAGCCATCTTCCGCAAACCTCAGCAGACTTCCTTGACTGGCCCAGAGATCGCGATACCTGTTCGCAGCTGCGACTTGTTCCTCCGTCAGCCCAGAGACCAGCTCTTCAGGAGATGTTGCGGGCAGGGCTTGGATTGCCGTAGTGGTGTGGCTCTGCTGACTGCCATGCTGCCATTTGTAGGCCAGCGTGTAGCTCACCAAGTCTACCTTTCTCAACCCGGAAGCTTCATTGCTGAGTTGTGCCACATCGGCCTCAGTGTTGGACTGCGAAGCATCACCGTGGAGGTCAACGTCAGATCCGTGGTCTCCGGTGCTGAGGTTCGGCCTTACTTCTTGGGTACTGGACTTCAACACATCAGTACGTGCTTCCGTCATCGAAGTTGGGCCCTAGACGCTGCCGCCGGCCATCTTCACGCTTTCTTGTGGACTAGGCTCCGGTCTACCGGCCATGTGTCTACGATACATTTCCGCCTCAGGCTCAGACGACTCCCGCCTTTTTACCGGTAATTGAAGCACAAAGTGCGGACCATCGTCACCCGACCCACTGCCATGCTCCCTTGGGCAGCCGTAAACGGTCACATTTTCCTTCATGTCCTGTACAACGGCCTTCAAATGATCACAGTGTTCGGCTTTAGCCTGCAGGTCAAGGCGTACAGTCAGTATCGAGTGACCAACCGTGCGCTGTGCAAATGCTGTCTCCAAGTACCTGGCGTACATCCGCAGCATGTACATGTGCTCGTTTCCAGGCGGCCAATTCAGGTGTCGGTTTGTGATTGTGAGTACTTTAGGCGGATATGGCGTAGGGCATCCTCTGTCAGGTGTTTCCAAGCCTACAATCAAACCGTGGGCCCATTCACACCCAGTAATGCAAGCACATAGTTTGATAGCCGAGTGGAAATGGATGTGCTCGACACCTAACTTCGCTCTCTGGGGAAGATCGTACCACAAGGCAGCGATATTGTCTTGGTTGAACTCCATGGCCCTTTTACAAGCTTTCTGCGAAGCTTCGTCGAATGGCCAGTCGATGAGATAAAAATGGTGGGTTGCCGTCCTTGCGTGCACCGAAGGCAACGCATGTGTCTCCAGCCACACGAGACGGCAGGTCCGAAGAAGAGATGTGCATTGCGTCTGTGCGAGATTGTCGTCCTGATGATGGTAGAGGCCGTTCTGGCTGTAGATGTTGTCTGGCTGGTAGTAAGGCTGGGTGGTGAGCCTGAAGATTTCGTTGCGAATCTCAGGGGGAATCTTGTTGAAGAGCGGCGATTGGATTTGTTGGTTGCAATTGGCAATGTTGGACTCTGTGCGCTCGGCCGAGATGGTGACTCGCTGCGAGGTCTCTTGCTCTATGGCAGCTATCAGGTTTGATGCCATGATGCTCTCGATGAAAAGGATTTTTGGAAAGGTCCATCGCTCTCACGACAATCTCGACAGACGTGAGATCTAGATAAAGACGAGGGGAGTGAAAAGTAAAGAAGACAGCCTGTGTTCTCGGAAGCTGTAACACAAGACAAGGGTACCTGTAGCGTCGCTGCGTGCATATGCCGTGGCACTCGAGCAGCGCACTAAGCGTCAACATTCCCTGTAAGTGATAGATCCCTCGCATCAGGAGTGACTTGATTTGACCTGTCGAAGTCGCACTTACTGTGAACCGCCCGCAGCACGTTCGTCCGCATACAACATGTGTCCGCTGCTGTGACAATACCATGAAATACATCGCAAGTACCGATGAACAAAAGGGTTCTCCAAGACACAATCGAAGTCCATGCGGCTTTCGATGCTTGATGCCCGCTGTTCACAGTTCAGAGACGCTTGCTGACCCTTTGACCCATCCGTTTCTCCGCGACTGCCACATCACAGCGTACGCATCCCTTCATCACCGTCTTCTTGCCCTCCACGTTCGATCCACTCCCCAAATCACTCCACAAACTTCAGCAAGCTCCCTTGGCTTTCCCACGTCTTCTTGTACTCCTTTGCAAGGTTGATGTACTTGGTAGGCAGAGTCGAGTATGCCTTCGCTCTGCCGTTGTCGTAACTCTTCGTCGCTGAGCCGACTTGCTCCCATGTCCACGCGACCGAGCAGAACATCTCCTCTACCACACTCTCAACCTCTCCTTCCTTGTTCAACAATCTAACATCCACCATTTCCGGACTCTCTTCCCCCGGCAGTTTGAGGCTCAGACGAGTTGCTCCGAGTAGAGGCGGATTCATTTTGGTTGGCGCGCTGTCACCTCTTGCAACCCTCAAGCTTTCGTCTTGCTCCACCATGTCCTTGAAATTTGGAAAGCTCGTCGATGTGCCTCCAACCACGATGCGAACGGTTTGCACGCCACAAGCAGCAGCCTCTTGGACGAATGAGCGTATGACCGGTAGCTTCCTACGTAGGGCTTATAGATCCGCAACCTTGTCCGCGGCCTTCTGTTCTTCCCCTGCTTCCCCCTCGAGTTCTTCAAAGTACCACATGTTGACCTTGAAGCTGAATGTGATCATCTTTGGTGGGGTGATCGGTGGTGAAGGCCACATGTTGGTGAGATGACGCATCAGTTCGTACGGGAGTGTCAAGCGGTTGTTTTCGACGTCCGCCTGTTCGTGCATGTGATAATGAAGATGGTAGAGTTTGCGCTTGCCGCTGAAAGGTAGCAATGTCCACAAAGCCGCGTGGCGCTCCCTGATCTTTCCGGCCACATAGTCGTATTTGCTCTTGTTTGAATGAGGATCCGCGGAAGGGAAGTAGAAGTGATGAGTCTCCCGTCCGAGCGGAAGCTCATTTGTCTCGAGCCAGATGAGGCGACACGTAAGGAGGAGCGAGGTGTGGTACCTCTGTACCAGAGCGTCGTCCGAATGATGCTCCCGGTCACAAGTCCAGTAGATGTTGTTCTCGTTGTGCTCTGGCAGAGTAGCGAGGCGGAAGATCATATTGCGGATTTCAGCGGGAAGTTTGAACAGAGGTTATTGTTGCTGCGGATCGCATTTCGTCAGGTCGGCTTCCTTGAATGTGGTGGCGATGGTGATTTGCCGCCCGGTCGTGTGCTCGATTAGAGCTATGTGTGATGGTCGCATGATGTTTGCGCGATGTCGAATACCGCTGACGATGGGAGTGGCCTGTTGTTGTTGTCAGGAGTTTGGGTCTTCGGGTGGCGCCTGAAGGAGGGAGGCTTTGAAGATCGCGTGAAGCGCACAATCAACAAAGAGAAAGGCGCGAGTGAATCGAGGGACCTTCGAAGGAGATGACGCAGCGGAACCGATTGCTTGGCAATCACATGCGAAACGAAAAGGAAATGGAAAAGCTGCACAATATGAATCATCTGACAATACCTTAATCATCGACATGTGTATCCCTTCTCGAGATCAAAAAAGACTGGCCTAGTGGCCAGACACATACCTGACCTTTCGCTCTTTGGAGCATGACTGAAAACGCACGTACTGAGCAACCTTCCGCATCCTCCTCGCTCACCCTTGCCCCATTGCCGCTCGATCGCCTTTGCCTGCATCTTACTTCTCTTCAACAAACTCCAGCAGACATCCTTGCTCCGCCCAGTCCCGCTCGTACTTCTCTACACTCTCGCGCGTTTCCACGCGGCGGTCATGGTTGTACTTGGAGTGCGAGAGGCTCAACGCAGGGTTGCCGTCGTAGTTGCTCGTCTTCCGCTTCCAGATCAAGGTATATTGGCGATACTCTACGACTTTCGGGCCGCCGTAGTTGTTGTCCGATCGGGCTTCTGTTGTTGTCGTTGTCGCCGCTACGACCCAGATCTGCGCCCCACGCTGATTCTGCAGCGACTAGCCATCTGGAAGGACGTGCTCAGGATGGAGCCCACCGAAGCCATCGGGAGGGTATTCTGAGGACTCAGCAAGCTCCTCTGCCGATTCCGCAAAACGTCTCAGACGTTCGTCATCTGAGGATGGGGCGACCAGCTCGAGCCTCACTTCCTTCGCGCCGAGTTTCGCCGAGAATCTGAAATATGACATGAGGAAGTTGCGGTACATGTTGATCCATTGGACCCGACTGCCACAGTCCCGGAAGTTGATGGCCCACGTAATGATCTTGGGCGCTATCAGGAGAGATGTTTCTTCTGTGACGCTCCTCAACAGCAGCCTCATCCATCCCAAGCCCACAATGTGAAGACAAGGAGACAGATATGTAGGGATGCGAATATGGTTGAGGTTGGATGTGTTGTTGGCAGTGAGGGACTTAAGGAAGTCCGTGTGATGTTTCACTCTGGCCCGCAGGTACGTCAGGGCAAAAGTGTCTATCTTTTGCGCTCCAGACACGAAGGATAGGGTGTGGGTCGCCTGTTGCATAGGTAGATGGTTGGCTTCTAGCCAGATACGACGACAGGTTGGTAGAAGCGCCGTGCGGTGCTTCTGCTGCGCAGCGCTTTTCGGATACCAGTCGAGGGGCTCGTAGTGAAATGTGGGATGTCGTTCAAGTTCTGGTTCGGTAGCGAAAGAGAAGATGACATTCCGAATCTCGCCTGGTAAACGGAACAAGGGGGATTGATCTTGAGGATGGCATCGTGCGCCAGCTTTTTCAGGGTCCGTAGCGATGGTGACTTGTCGTTGCGTCTGCTTCTCGATCTGAGCTATCAAGCCCATGGGAGCCTGCGACATTGTCGATGAACCTGGCCAGCTGCCGAGACTTCAGATCTATTGATGGCCGGCGCCGTGTCGAGCCATACTCAAATAAGTGAACAACCGTAGCGCGTGAAGGGTCGGAATATTTGCGAAGCTGAGCCCATGTGAACTTATCTCATGACTCAAGCTTCCGTGAAGTGATGTTGCGCGAGCCCGTGCTGCAGTCACATGCCTTCCAGGCGCTCCGCCAGTTGAATCTTGGCATCAAGAGTCAATGCCTGGGTAATAACACTTTGACGTTGCAAGGGCATATTGACAGCACATCTGCCACTCACCACTCAACCGATCATACTCTTCTTCCTCCCCCTCATCCTCACATCCTCCAACCTCTTCAACGTCGCTTTCGCCCCCTTATAACTGCCCCCATACGCCTCCAACACCACCCCAAACCTCCCCTCACTCCTCGGATGCGTCGACCCAAAAGCCCGCTCCAGCACGTACAAATCCACCGCCCGCTCCTCTTCCTGCGTCGCCTGCATCGCCAGCCCGAAATCAATCAGCACCACCTCCCCTTCCAAACTCCCTCGTCCCTCATCTCCACCCTCGTCATCCGTGTCCGATCTAGACGGACGCAACATCATATTACTCGTAGTCAAATCCCCATGCACCACCCCAGCCCCATGCAACCTCCCCACCGCTTGCCCAATCCTCCTCAACAACCCCTCCATCTCCCCCCCGTCCCTATCCACCTTGCCCTCCCATCCCCGTATACCCTCCTTAACACTCCCCCCCTCAACCCACTCAAGCACCACCCACCCCTTCTCCCAATCCAACTCCAACACTGCGGGAACCGGCACCCCTTCGCGCCGACACTTCACCAGCACCCGCGCTTCGGCGAGGATACGCTGGCGTGTGAGGCGTTTGTCGAGGGTGGGGTGGCGCCAGGGTTTCGCGGGGCGGACTTTGAGGGCGGCCGGGGTGGTGGGGTTGAGGAAGTGGGTTTTGTAGAGGAGGGCTTCGGCGCCTTGGGTTATGAGGGATAGGGAGTCTGGGGAGGAGGAGAAGGGGGCGGGGAGGGTGTGGGTTGTCGCGGATTGGGCTGTGGTCGTGGTTGTGGTTGTGGTGGACATGGTGAGGATTATCGTAAGAGTGGGAATATGTGCATGTCGTGACTATGGAGGAACTTTGCTGGAGGTGGAGGGGTTGAATGAGTGTCAAGGCATTGTCGGGACTCGATGGAAGTGGCATTGAGACGAATTGAAGTTCGGCTTCATTCACTTTCTTATCGTGTCTTATCGCCACGTGATCGTGGCCTACGTTTATGAACTCGAATGCCAGACTTCTTAGTCCCCGGCAGGCAGGCAGCTCCATTCATAGATGTGGCTTTCTCTCTAACAGTACCCCTTCTTAACCAGCCACTCCACAACAACACTCCCCACCTCCTCCGGCTTCTCATACAAACACCAATGCCCACTCTCCACCACCCTGACCGTACAATCCGGCACCAACCCATCCCTCTTCGGTCCCTCAATCGCATCGACCCTACAAACCAAATCCCCCGAACACCCCACAAACAGACATGGATGCTCAACCAACGCTGCTCCCTTTTCACTCAACTTCCGATCCATCTCATCCTGATGCCCGCCCGCCACAGCCCTATACCAGCACGTCGGCGCCATCAATCCACCGGCCTTCTTCTCTGCAATCCATTCGCGCATTAAGCGGTCACCGTCTGGCAAGCGTTTCAAAGGTACGTCCCGGCGGTCTTGCTCGAGAAATTCCTTCATGCCGCCGTGCGTACACCACATCTTCTCCATCCAGTCGTCGGCGTCGCCGTGGAGGACGTACCACATGCTCTCCAGCTGGGACTCGATGAGCTTCACGCCCTCTTCGGGGAGGAAGAGGTTCCAGTAGGCGAAAATTGGGTAGCCGAGCGTTTTCTCGGTATGTGCATTTGCGGCGTCCAGGTTGAAAGGCTCGGATCGCGGCGGCATGAGAGCGACGTTGAGGTTGATGAGGCCGGCACAAAGGGGTTTGTGTAGCATGTAGAAGCATTGGACCATGGCTGCGCCCCAGTCGTGGCCAAGTGGGATAATGTTGGAGCTGACGGACTCGGCGGCCAACACCTCAACGAGGTCTCTGGACATCAGGCTCCATTCGTACTGAGCCGGGTCTGTGGGCTTGGAGGTGCCGCCGTAGCCTAGTAGGTCGGGGATGATGAGTTTGAGGCCGGTCTTAAGCAATGTAGGCACGATGAACTGGTACAGCGAGGCGGAGTCGGGGAAGCCATGGCATGGGAGGAGTGTATATGGTGAAGAGGATGTGGGAGAGACGTAGTAGCGGTAGTGGAAGCCGCGGCTGGTGTGAATGTGCTTTTCCTGTAGTAGGTCCATGGCCATATGCTCCGACCACTCTGGACGATTGAGTTGTGGTGGTCACCTCCTTTCTAAGTTAGGAGAGAAGTGTTGACAGATAACATCGAATCGATAGGAACTCGTTCATCGAGAAGACCGGTACCAAAACAAATAAATACTCACATTTTGAGGTGCAAGGAAGGCGTCCTACTCTAGCACTTAACAGCCATGTCGGGGCCGAGGTCGTCAGCCTACCTTCGCTGAGCTTGGGAGGCTTCCAATTTTCGAGCAGATCTTCAACAGTGCAAAGTCTGAAGGCACATACTCGTGAAGTTGCTGTATGACTGCTCTCGTTGAGCCGTTCTGTAGCCGCAGCCATGGACCATGCCTCATGTCTGTTGAAAGGCCCAGAGCGAAATACAGCCAGCGGTGAAACAGGCTTCCAAAGCCTCAATGCTTCCTCAAACCGTATCACAAATACGCGGCGTCAAGGCGTATTGAAGAGGCGCACCGAAAACAGACATGTAGTCGGTACACTGCAGCGCTCGCTCAACAAGGAAGTCTGGCCTGCATGCAGTGTCCGCGGATGGTTCCTGCAGCTTAGGAAAGTCGGCGCCGGCGTCTGGAAAACTATCGCGCCACCGTCGCCTGGAGCCAGTATTGAGTCCACCATTCCGGTCCGCATGTTTCCTCGAAAGGCCGCTGCTGATGCGAACAAGTGTCGTCTGCCTCTCATCATACCGCCAGTTCGCGTGACAAGTCCGCGAAGATGCCGCCTACACGCATGTATGTCCGGCGCAGGCGTTCGAGGCGGCGTGTGTCAGCAGCCAAATATTGGCGGGAAGTCAGCTGCACCTCATAGTCTGTCATCAGTCTGTGTTGCTGGGCGCTCTTAAAGTATTAGAAATAGCAGAGTTTGCTTCATATTTTATGAAGGCCCTCTCCGCGTGTGTCAAGTCTGAGTCGTCGAAACAGTGTGTTTGTGTGCAGAGTCAAGAAGGGACAGTCCAAGCATTGCAGAGTGGATCCGGTTCGCAGGTGTGAAGCGGCTAGGCAGGAAGGAGCGTTCGAGGCAAGCTCGCATGTGACTGCTCATCAGGAGCCTCGCGCCGTTGCCGCTCAGAGACTGACTCCTCCTCGCTTCCTCCTCCTCCTCCTCCTCCTCCAGTCTCTGGTATACATCTCCCACTTCCTTCTCGCTCGGGGCGGAAGTTGTCCACTCGTTGCTGGACCCTGAACGACGCAACAAGCGTCGGAGGCAGGCGAGAAGGATCAACAAGCCCGAAGTGGACCAAGCGGACCCTGGCGCGCAAACCTCGCCTCGACAACAACACGATCGTCATAATGGGGCCTCGTGCGCAAGCTGATGCGCGGGAGGAGGAGGAGGACCAGTTGAACTTCCACAACACTCTGCTGCCCGACATGGACCTGTCCTCGCCCTCCCCTCGCTCCGCTTCGCCGGCCTCCCAGCAGACACGACCACCGAACCCGCGCAGCAGCACCGATCCGAGCCCGGCGGTGTTACTGCAGGGCTTGTTCAAGGAGAGGGAGAAGCTGGAGTGGGCGAGACCGAGCAGCAGTCACAGGAACAGGAGTCCATACTCCAGGAGCCATTTGAGGTCGAGAAGCAGCGGGTCTGCCTTGCTCAGTGCTCCACAGATGACCAGAGCACACTCGCTGCCTCTTCCGCAACAGCTGCGGCCGTTTGAGCAGCAGTCTGGCTATTCTTCTGGCAGTCTGAGTCCCAGTCCAAGCCAGCGCTCGCCTGCGCGGACACGGTCACCATTCAGACAAGGTCAAGAAGACGGCGCCATGCCTCCTTCGCGCCTACCAGCCTGGTACGACAGCGGCAGCGCAATCGAAGCCATACAAGAAGACAGCGAGCTGGACATTACCCCTCGCCCTTCGTCCGCTCACACCATGATCTCACCACTCCCACAACACTCCTCCTCACACTCGCGATCCAACTCTCTACGGAGACGCCCAGCGTCACCCCTCCACAGCCTCGGAGGAGCACCTCAACAGGCGCCAACTTCCTACCCAGGCAGCACTATGGAGCCAAACGCACAATTCAACACTATTCCATCCGGCAGTAACAGCCCAGCATTAGGCCCGCAAAAGTACAACGAGTCTTTCCCATCTTTGCACCACTACGCCAGTAGCAGCTCTTTTGGCAGCATTCCGTCCACGCCCACATCTGCCCGCTCGCGCTCACCTTCCATCTCCTCCCTTGACACCATCGAGGACGCGCCAGAAGAGGAGAGTGAAGCTATAGAAACCGAGCGGATGGAGCGGCTCAGAATAGCAGCCGAACGGGCAGAGCAGGGCGAGAGTGACAGCGAAGGCGAAGGCACGGGCAACGGGAGGCGGAAGGGTAGTCTGGACTTGCCGCGTTACAGGAGCGGAACAGGGCTGGGGCGGGAGAAGAAGCGGTGGAGTGTGTGCGGAGGGGAGCGCAGAGCTGATCTGGACTTGGAGACGATTTGGGAGGACTAAGACGGTCCATCCTCACCCTGGAAGACGAGACGGTACCGTAAAGACCAACAGCATGCCACCTACTACCAGCACCACTACCTATGGACTCTCCGAAGACAGGGGAGAAGGAAGAACTGCAAGATTTGCATACCACTATGAACAGAAGACGGAGGACAACTGCATTTGCATTTTGCGCGCGGAACGAGGGCGGAACTTTGATGATGAACGATAGCATTGCTCATGCGCTGTTTTTGACGATACCCACGCCGCTTGCACATGGATCTTTCGGCCTTGCAGGCGAGCTCGCTGGTGGTTTTGGCGCTTTGGGATGGATTTGAACTGGCGCTGTTGTGGGGAGGCTTTGGTAGTATCAGGTAGTATCTATGCCAAACCTGCATCTCTTCGAGCTTTTTGATCACGACTCACCGGTCTCCCGTCCTTCCAGCTTTCGATCAGCCATGTCTTCTTGCCTTGACCTTTAAGTACAGTACCTTACAAGCACAAGGTCAAGCACCCTCTCTTGGCGCATATGCTCTCCCCGCTTGTTACTTCTCGGCGACGACCTCTGGTTGGGCTTCCTCCCACCTCCACATCCACAGCCTTGGGTTCGGCCGCCCATTGTGCTGCAGGCGATGGTGGACGTGATGTAACCTCGCACGGCGTGACTGCTGGAAACTATGTCGTGCATAGCGATAAGGTAACGATGGCTGCAAGGTCCCGTGGTGCTTCTTCAACAGTGGACTCGCCGGGTCAATCTGTTACTTCTCCCTTCTTCGTGTTCAAACATGGCGGTATTGAGGAGTGTGCTGGCCATTGCGGCCGTATTGGCTTCTGGAGTATGGTGCATGACACCTCAGTGAGTAGGAAGGCATTTCAAAAACGACTCAGGCTGATGAGAGTGTAGGCAAATGATCTCAGCACCACGCTATAGCAGCGCAGTCGCTAACCCATCTGGAGAATGGGCTCTATACTCCAGCAGCGCTTACTCGTTCGACGACCACGAGTCCACCACTACCTGGCATTTGATGAACATCTCGTCCGGCGACATTACCAAAGTGCCCTTCGGAGACGACATTTCAGAAGTCGTCTGGGTCGGTGAGACGGACACTAGCATCCTGTACACCAGTACCAAGTCTCCCGTCTCTTCTGGCATCTCGCTCTGGACGGCGGATCTAGCAGACCCGAAGGTGAAGGGCACGAGAGTAGCGAATCTGCCGGCTCCGTATTCAGGCTTGAAGGCTGTCAGGACATCGGAGGGAGATATCAACTTCCTACTGAACTGCCTCGCTTACGAGAACGGCACGGCATATAACGAGGATCTAGCCGAGGTATCGTATACTACTGGCCGACTGTACGATAGCAACTATGTTCGCCACTGGGATACGTACTTAACACAGCAGCGCTACGCTGTCTTCTCAGGCACCCTGACCGGATCTGGATCGAGCTACGACTTGGACGGCGAGATGAACAATCTTCTCAAGGGCATCGAAGCTCCTGTTACTCGCCCAGAATGTCCGGTCCAGCCGTTCGGCGGCAGTGGTGACTACGATCTCAGCCCAGATGGCAGCACTGTTGTGTTCCTAACCAAGGCGCCGGAGCTGCCGAAGGCAAACTACACTGCCAGCTATCTCTACTTGGTTCCACACGATGGCTCGTCGGTGGCAGAGCAGCTCAATGGACCTGGGACCAAAGCTCCAGCGAACGCTAAAGGTGCCTCTGGTGCACCTGTGTTCTCACTAGACTCAAAATCCATTGCATACTACCAGCAAGATGGTGTGTCATATGAGAGCGACAGGTCGAAGATGTACGTTGCGGATGTTGCTTCCGGCAAGATCTCACCCGTCGCCGAGAACTGGGACGCTTCGGCAGCGGTCATCAAGTGGTCGAATAACTGCAATGACCTCTACGTTACCTCCGACTACCTTGCGAGCACTCGGCTGTTCATCATTCCAGCAGACGCTGGAGCCAACTTCAAGCCTACCAATATGACTGACATTACATCCGTCTCCGACTATTACATCCTTCCCGGTGGCAATGCTCTGGTGACAGCTAATGCCGTCTGGTCATCCTTCAACGTCTACATCGCATCACCCAACGGAGAAGCCAGCTATCTCCACCAAGCCAATGAGGAAGACCCCGAGCTCGAAGGTTTAGGTCCAGACGACGTGGACTTCATCTGGTACGAAGGCACACTAGGAGACCAGCAACAGGCCATTGTCGTCTACCCGACCGACTTTGACCCGTCGCAAGTCTACGACTTTATCTTCTATGTTCACGGTGGCCCGCAAGGCTACACTGGCAATGTCTGGTCATCACGTTGGAATCTGAAGACGTGGGCAGATCAAGGCTATGTCCTTGTCGGTCCCAACCCTACGGGCTCGACTTCATACGGGCAGAGTCTTACCGATCGCATCCGGGTATGCAGGCATCTTCACGCAGTCGAGCAGCACTAATTCGGAGCAGGGCAAATGGGGCAGCTGGCCCTACGAAGACCTACTCAAGGCGTACAACCACGCCTGCAACAACCTCCCCTACATCAACTGCAGCAACGCCGTCGCAGCCGGCGCTTCCTACGGCGGCTACATGATGAACTGGATCCAGGGCCACCCCCTCGGCCGCAACTTCAAAGCCCTCGTCTCCCACGACGGCGTCACAACCACCTTCTCCGACTACGGCACCGAAGAGCTCTGGTTCATCCAGCACGACTTCAACGGCACCATCTGGGATAACCGCGAGACGTACCGTCTCTGGGACCCGCTACGGTTTGCGAAGAACTTCGCAACACCGCAGTTTGTGGTGCATAATGATCTGGACTATCGGTTGCCCGTTGGTGAGGGGATTGCGATGTTTAATGCGTTGCAGGAGTTGGGTGTGCCGTCGCGGTTTCTGAATTTTCCGGATGAGGGACACTGGGTAAGTTGGCTCGTGATGGATGGCGCTATGTCTGGTCGATCGCTAATTAACGGGGATGTGACTCTAGGTGTTGAATCAAGAGAACAGCCTCTTCTGGCATCAAGAGATATACAACTGGATCAACTACTGGACGGGCAAGATTGGCTCGCTGGACGATAATGCTATCACCCAGTGATGACGTAGTCTGGAACTGTGATGGTAGCGATTGCTTCGGAGCCACAGATCACCATGACTTTTTCTCATCTGCTCGGACTGTGCTGCTGATAGTCACTGGAGACATCCAGTGCTTATACCTTAGGCCAACCATGGATTGGTAAGATTAGGCTCACGACTTTGTCTCCTGCTGTGTCGTGCCGCGGACGTTCTCGAGCATCTCAACATCGTCCTTAGTCTCCGGTTCCTCATTTCTGTTTCCTTTGCCACCCGCTTCATCCAACGTGACGGCCACATCGTCGCCAAAGAGACGAGCGATCTCTTCCAGCGGGGTGTTCATTGTTTCGGGGAAGTAGAACTGGAGGCGGCGAGCATTAGCACGTCCGTGCTTATCGAATGGAAGAACCTCACGATCACACTTACATAAACGCCGAGGAGGAAAATGACATCCAAGAAGATGAAGACGAGGAAGTACTTCCAGCTGATACTCTCAATGGCAATCGGCGTAACCTGCACGAGGCAGATGATCCAGGCTACATCCTCGTCAGTATCGGTGTTGTACTACCAGGACTAAAGTTACTGACCCATCTTGATGCCAAACCCAAGTGCCATTCCCGTCGCTCTGATATCGGTCGGCAGTATCTCCGGGGGGTAGGTATACGCAAATGCGTTCATGATCCAGCCAAAGCCGCAAAGAAAGACGAACATGCTGAACACAGCCAAGGCACCAAGTGTCTCGCTCGTGTTGCCGCCGGCTTCAAAGCGGGCCCAGAAGATAACCAGCATGACGGAGCCGACGATGACGCCGGTGATTGAGATGAAGAACGACTTGCGGCGGCCCAGCTTGTCGAACAACGACGCGCCGATGATGGAGACAATTGTACCCGCCGTGCCCCAGACACCGACGAGGATCAAAGGCATCTTGCCGGTGAGGCCGAGCAGGGAGTAGAGAATGGTCTGGTAGTTTTGCAATGGGATGACGCCGGTTGCCTGTTGGAAGAACTGTACGCGAAAGATTATCAGCGATGTCTTTATGCGACAGTAGCCCGCCCGCGGCACAACTCACGTAGTAGAAGAGCGCTATGTACAGCCTCTTGCGGTACGATGGACGTGAGAAGATCGTCCACACGCCATAGTTGCCTTGTTCTCTTTCAAGCTGGATCTGGGACTCGATCTGGTTGAACTCGCGTTGGTAAAACGGAACGGCTTCGGCAGGTTCGTCTTTGTCTGAATTGCTGGCCCCAGGCTCGTGGTGGACGTCGGTGCCGTGGAGACGCTTCAGAATGGCGAGGGCCTCATCTGGTCGACCGTGGGCACTACATGAGGCAGAGGGATGGATGCCAGCGCATTAACCACGGAGAGCTCAGGCTTCAGTGAGAACTTACGCCAGCCATCGAGGAGATTCGGGCATCCAGATGGAGCCAACAAGCATGAGCACAGCGACCAGAAGTTGCAGTCCAAGGAAGACCCGAAACTTGACGTCGCCTGACAGGTATGAGATTCCTAGTCCTGGATGCCGTAGAACGAATCGTCAGCGATTGTTCAGCTGCTCAAGCGTAAGTTGCGACAGTCGACTCACCCATCCATTCAGTGATAGCATATGACACATTGACGTTGACACTGAGCTCCAGTCAGAAAACAGGGAACAGAATGCAAGGGAGTAGCGACTTGCCTGTACAAGCCGCCGACACGACCTCTGACGTGAGGAGGAGACATCTCGCTGGCGTAGAGCGGGCATAGCGCGAATATCAGTCCACAAGAAAAGCCACCAATGGCTCTTCCCGCCAACAGGACACCCAAGCCCTGTGCTCCAGTCTGCATTCCACATCCTAGCAGGCCTATAACGCATGCGAACCGAACGCTCCACAGCCGTCCAAAGCGGTCAGGTATCCTGTCGAACTTGAGCATTCGACTTTGTCATCACACAGCATCTGTCGCAGCTTACCAAAAGTTGGCGAGGCTACCGATGGTTTGGCCAGCATAGTACGAAGAACCAAGCGCTCCAAGGGTGACAGAGTTGAAGCCATAGTACTCAATAAACTCAGGGTAGGCAATGATCGAGGTCGTGAGGCCAGAATCATATCCATAGAAAAAGGCCCCAAAACAGGTGAAGATGATACACCAAAGGTTGTAACCGTTCATGTTGGCTAATCCTCAGTACCTGTGCGTTAGGAGATACGGCATCGTTGGTATGCGTGCGACCGACCAGGCTTTTGAAGCCATTGGAGTGCTTGGTGATTTGGAGCAGCCCTCGGTAGCGTTCCGGTGTCATATCTGGGGATATGCAGGCCAAGGAGAGAACCTCGGGAGGTTGCCTGTGAGGAGGTCAAGCATTGCTCAAGGCTTGGTATGGGTGGTGAAAAGAGGACGTCCAGTGGTGATCAGGGAGTCAAGCGTTAGAAGTGTCTCTATGTCAATCTGGAAAGCTCACCACGATTATCCGGTCGCGGCAGAGGGGGGTTCAGAGGCTATCAACTCCGGCATGATGTCCAACCAGGATCCAGTCTACTTGGTGCCACGGCACGGTTGGCAGTGTTGATCCTGCCCTTTCGCTTGTTCTGACGGTGTTCAACAGCTGTCTTGACACTAGTCCGGCTCCTGCACCTAATTCAGAGACACGAAGCGCAGAATATGGTGGATGTGATAGGGTCCTGAGTAGATGGAGAAAGAATGGAGTGCATTTGGGGTAACTTGGGGTTGGACAGCAGTTGTGGGGAAACTGATCAAGGGTGGGTGAACGGAGTCAGCAGCTGATGAACAAGCTGAGTTTGAAGGACTGCAATGGAGTTACGTTACTGTCCACGATTCTGCCTCTGAATGCGAGTGTAGCCAGCAACCACTTTCGCAGAAGCGGGCTGGAAGCCATACAGTCGTACACGCATGCATGCACCATGAGAACGACTGTCCACCCTCCTAGTGACCGCCAGTCTCACCATCGCCTTGCGGCAGAGCTGATCCTTCGCCGACTGCTTCACCGTTGCCAGCCTTCGCATCCTCTCCTAGCTCTTCATCCTCCTCCTCTTCGTCGGAAGAGTAGTCTTCTTCATCATGGTCGTCTTCGCTTGAGCAGTAGGCTCCGTACGACTCAGCATAATAGGAGTCGTCTTCGTCGCCGTAGTAGTCCTCAAAGTCGCCATACTCATAGTCTTCCTCGGTAAGGTCGCGCTTGAGTCCTTCCCAGATCGACTCTGGTGCCTCTTGTCCGCGCTTGAGGTAAGGCGGGATACGGATGAGCATGATGGCGCGACTGTACTTGATCGCCATGCTTGGGGAGTTGCCATACTGAGATTCGATTAGCCAGGTGCTCACTGACGGCAAAGGTCTAGCGACTCACCGTCATGTACGCCGTCTGCACCTCTCTGAACAGCTGCTGCTTGGGCTTGGCCTCCTCGCCCTCCTTCACCTTCTTCCTCTTGCCATCCCTCTCAGGGTTCAGCCAGGTCACCAGTCCATTGATGTCTTTGTAACCGAACTTCTTGCCACCAATCACCGCAGAACCGCTGCCGTCCTGTTTGAAGCCGGGGAAGGTGCGATCAACAAATTGCGACGGCCCGTCTTCGTCGTAGTCGAAATCGTGACTCATGGTTGCGACCACTTCGCATTTCAGACCGAGAGCGCGAGCTGTGTTGTAGACCGACATATCGGCGCCCTTGAGAGAGCTCGGCAGGAAGTTCTGGTGCTTGTTGGTATGAGCGTAGCTATGCGTCAGCCAGACGGCGAGCACGCGGCCTAGGAGAGTGTCAGTACAAGTGGTGGCGCTAATGGATTGAGACATCTTACCTCGCCTCAGGAATCCTGGGTTGTCCACTGCATCCTTCAAGCTCTGATACAAAGGAAGCTGTTGAGAGTCGAGCGCAGCTGCCGCTCCTGCCAGGTGTCCTATACCTCGGGTCACGTAGACGTTGTAGGTCAGGGTGATGCGATGTCCGGAGGTGACTTCGTACACCTCATGCTCGCAATCGCTGTAGAAGGCTGCCCACTTGACTTTTGCTTTGGCTGCGGTCTGGCTCTTAGCCGATGATGACCAGTCGAAGATCATCTCTTTACCAGCATTGCGCACAGCAAGCTCTCCACCTAGACATTCATGTCAGCGGTAGCGTACCCAGCTGTCAGAGGCTGGAACATACCTTTGTGAAGAGCAGGCAAGGAGACGACAAGACTGCCGATCTGGTTCTTGCTGCGTGGTGTATCCACATGCGCCTTGAACTTTCCCGCCGGAGCGCTGTAGACGTTGAGCTTGTACAACTCCGCCTGGAGTAGTGTCAGCACTGAGTCGAGGCACGTCGATCCACACAAGATACGAACCTTGATGCTGCGAGTGTGCTTCCCCTGAGCAGTCTGAGGGACCAACAACTGCGCAATCACATCCACAATACCAGCTTGATACGGGCAGAAGCTCGTCGTGAAGGCGTCCGCGTCGAGCTTGCCCGCTTTGCGATACCCTTCGTCCAGGACTTCTTCGCCACCGCGGCCGAAAGGCGCTGGCTGACAGGCGAGCACCAGCTGCTGCAAGTCTTCCGCTGACACGCCGTGGCGGGAGAAGGTTACGGTGATGCATTTGCTACTTTCGCCGAAACAGATCTGAATGTCTTTGGTCAGGTTGGCTCGTGGGGTGTTGCTGTTCTTCTTCGCCGGCTGCTGTGCATCGCTCTTGGTTGACGATTCAGCGGTTTTGGCAGCAGTGGCCTCATTCTCGCCGGGCGTAGCAGTGACGGTATGCTGACCAGACGTAGCATTGTCGGGACCTGTTGTTGCCGCCGACCCATCCTCTTAGACAGCCTCATGGGCCTCCTCGTCCTGGCCATCCTTGAGCTTCTTGAACGACAAACTCCCACCGCAGGCAAACGTAGCCGAGCGAGCATGAGTCTCCAACGACGAGCCGAGATCCCTCAGCAGCCTGTTCTCCACGATCTCGGCCAGAGACCTGACGTTCTTCTTCTCTTCAAAGTACTTTGCTCTCTCATCAGCACGATCCGCCTTCGCCTGAGCCTTCGCTGCAGCCCTCTCCGCCCTCGCTTGAGCACGAGCGGCTTTGTCGTCTTGGAGCGGTTGGTCCTCCATAGTGCAGTCAGGTGGCGATTTTCGGAATGGTATCGAGTCAAGGGGATGTATTCTTGCTGAGCGGATGGTGTAGCTGGACTGGTCAACGATATCGAGATTGCGCGATGAGAGGCCGAAGAGAAAAGTGTCGGTGAGCGCAGTGCACGTCACGTCAAGCAGAAGCAGGCAGACGTTCAGGGGTATGGATGTTTGTGTAACCGCCAAGCAATAGCGCAGAGTAGCATGGAGCAGTTCAACTCCCAGTCTCACCTTATCTGCGACCTACATGCATCCGACCGGACAGCCTCGTCAGCAAGTATTCTCCTATGCTCGTCTACCGAAGAACCACAGAGAAACCCTCGCTTCTGTAGGCACGGAGCGAAATATTGACAAGAGTACATTTGCAGTCTCTATTAGCAAGCTACCCCATCAAACCGATGCAAGAGTAGCAAAAACACTCGGGTATCTCACAGAAGCAATACGATCCATTCCGTCTCCATCACAGTCTCAAAACGCCGACGTAGCCGTGACACCGGCCGCTCGAATGCTCAGTCTCGCGCGGTAATAGTCCAGCCCAGTACAGCGCCGTGAATCCCTTTCAACCTTCCCATACCGACAGTCCCAGAACGCCTGTTCGTCGTCGTGCAACAAGTCTCTGATCGTACAGCCTTCCCATCACATCATAGTAAAGTCCACACATCCCAAGTCGGGGTCATAATACCCGTCCGCAAGGCCGGTCCTGATATCGTCCAGATCCATGTACGGAACCTCATACTCGTCATCGTCAGGATCATCCTCCACCATTTCGTCATCATCGTCCTCACCTTCGCCATCGTAACCCCGCGCATTGCTGCTCCCGCCAAACCAGTACTTCGCCCGCTTCGTCGCGCCCTCGCCGACGGAAATGCTGCTAGCCTTCCGTCGCTGGCCGCGTGAGAAGCCGAACAGCGCTGTGGGCGCGTTGACGGGACTGTGGCTGAGCACGCTCAAGCCGCGCAGGTAGAGGTAGCAGACGCGCTTCTTCTGCTTGTTGAAGAAGAAGTAGTGGATGCTCCAGAGCGCGCCTTCCTCACCATCAAAGGGGTCTCGGGCGGGCGAATAAGAGTACTTCTCGCACTGGCGCAGCGACATTTCCTTGTCGAGGACAGCCCACATTCGCGGGCTCCAGACGTCCGAACCGAAGCTGCTGCCAAAAGGCGGCGCCGCGTTTGCAAGCCGCGATGAGGGAGGTACGTGGTAGTAGGCTCCAGGGGCAAGGCTGTTGCGCGAGGGGCGGAGGTTTTGCATGGTCGAATCGAAGCGAAGCATGATCTTCTGGAGGCTCCTCTCCTTGTGGAAGTCGGAAGGGCGCAAGGTGTGCGAGAAGTCGTAATCTGGGTGCGAAGCGTTAAGCGTTGCGATCATATATGCGAAAGTGCGACGTGCCGATATCTTGCTAAGCGAGCCAAACGGCGAGTTTCGCGAGAGGTCGATGGATGGAGGGCCGAGTGAGCGCGCACGTACACTCGAGTGCCGGCGATCGCTGCCGTCACTCCTGCCGTCATCGCTGGCTGCGGGTCTGGGAGGCGGACTTAGCGACGCGGACAGGCGCACCAGAGACTCGTGTTGCGACTCAAGATCATTTTCGATGGTCTTGTAGAGCTTCTTGTCCTGCCCGGCGGCTTTTGTGGTGTAGACGTCACAGCCACCTATGACGTGCAGGTCTGGCTTTGAGAAGTTCAGTGCGTTCGTCACCGGCTGGAAGTCGCGGAGGGGGAGATACTGCATGACATTAGCGGATATTCAAGGTGGGGGAGAAGCGGAAAACTGCTGCACTGGTGAAAGCAAGCGCTTGCGGCAAACATTGAGGCAAGTCGCAGGCTCCAAGCGTGGCCAGCTCTCGGCAATCGCCTCACAGAGCCAGTCCACGCCTGTTACACCTCCCTGAAGCGCAGACAGTCCTTAGAATCGCAATTGACGTACCTTCATCTTTGCGACAGCGTACGAAGTCGTGCGCGGGTCTGCAAACTGCCTCTCTGACCTCAACTGCAAATGTGCGTTTCGCGACTCCTTATCGCGCCCGAACCTCTCTTCGGATTCCCGTCGACTCCTCAATTCTCGTCTTTCTCGATCGTAGAACTGCCTATGCCGCTCTCGCGATGCGATTTAATGCGCTCGTCGTGTAGTTGCTGTCGCCTAAACCACTCCCCTCAATCGGAAGCCGCTCGTCCACCCCAGCCGGGTGCGGAGGACGGTATACTAGACGCTCGCGCGTCTAGAAGGCAAGAGATTCGATGCGTGATGGCATTTTTGGTATCGTCGGTGTGCGCGTAGTGGTGGTGGTAGAGGTGAGGTTGTTGTGCTGACGACGGTGAAGGTGCGACGTTGCGCCCGTCTCTAGATGCGGAGTCGAGGCCAAGGTCCAGTCTTGGCGGGAAAACATCACGTGAGCTCACCTGGATCCAGTAGCCGACCAATCATGACTGAGCGCGCAGCACGAGGGATCGTGTCCTTCCTCCGCAGGATGGAAGCAATGATCGAGCTCTCCTTTGCTGGGGGCAACCAACGCCTTCGACGACTCGCTGCACGAGGTGCTGTGGAGAGCCATTGTGGCTGTTGGCGCGACGTCCATCAACAGCTCCGGACAGCGGCATCACGATATCACGAAACTTGATCAGCGCGTGTCAGCGTACGGAATCACTGGACATGGACAAGGAGATACCTCATTGCAGCCAAAACAACTCGAGCGCTCCACCGAAGTCGAACGGACCTGCTGGTTAGTCCTGGTATCGCGCGGACTGGACATCTTCATGTATGCTGCACTAGAGATGATAGGCTAAGCTTAGCAAGCAAGTTCACTGGGACGGCGGGCTGATGACATGTACCTTTGCAGTTCCGCCTTGAGCGCATCATCCTCAACGTTGTGTGGTAGTCAGCGGCAGCAAATGGTAAGGGAAGACCGGCCTTTGGAAAACAGACGCAAAGATGTCGAGTGTCAATGTTCATTTGTATTTTGAGTGGTAGGCAGAACATGCCTTGTATCCCTGCCTAATGCGAGGGCACTCGGTACAACAACCCAGCAGGCTTCAAAAACAACAGCCATTCTGCAGAGGGTATCATAGTATAACATTCATGTTCCAATAGACGCCATACGCCATGCATTGGAGGCACACCCTTCCCTGCCGTTGCGCGGCAAGTACTAAGCGGCCAGACAACTCCTGAGGTCGACGGTGCCGGTATGCACCGTCGTCACGCGAGGCCGACCTTGCGGAGGTTCTCAACGGTTTCGTCGGAGGACTGTTTTGCAAGACATGCTCGTCAGCTCGCAAGCCAGGTTCGAGGCAGCACACGAGACGAGGTGAGGTGCAGAAGTGGGAAGAACATGCTGTTCAGCCGATCCTGGTCACAGCGTCCTCTTCGACCTGAGCAGGCAGAAGACTCGAATCAGCGGGTGATGATACAAAAGGAAGCGCGCACCTCTCATGACAGTGTGAGGCGTGACACGCTCACTACACGTGGCTTCCCGTCAGACTGCTGTCTTCACTCACCTCCATGTCCTCAAGCCCATCCTGCGCACCGATCACTCTCAGCACGTTCTTCTTCGAGCTCTCTTGCATTTCGCCAGCCAGCAGCAGCTCGTCGAGGATGAAGTAGGCTTTCTGAAAGTTGAAGATGATGTCGAGTTCGCAGACGTTGCCGTAGTATTTGTCCATCTGTTCGACGTAGCGGTGCACGATTTCGAGGGTGATGAGTTCGTTGTCAGTCGTGTCGGTGGCGGCGATGAAGAAGAGGGAGGCGTAGCGGCGGTAGACTACTTTGGTGTCTGGAGGAAGGCATGACTGTGAGTGTGTGAAGAAGAAGAGGTTGGTTGAGATTGAGGTGTAAGAAAATGCCAATGAAGCCACGGTGCGGATGTACCGCAGCGCGGTGGGTGACCACCTACCTTTGTACTCGAGAAAGTTGCACATGCGTGTCCGACGAGCCAGCACGAGCTGCGAGACATCTTTGATGATCTTTGCCTTCTCCTTGGGCGAGAGGGTGGTGAACCATTTGGCCAGACGCTGATGCAGCCGCGATATTAGCCCTGGTGTAGGCGATTAAGCTGAGGAGGTGAGAACATACCACTTTGCCCTGCCGCGAGAGCAGGATGAGGTATCTATGGTGTGTCAACTCCTTGTCCGCTCATATGACACTGTCTTCAGGGGGTGGTGTACCTGATGGCCATGGTGGTGGATGAGGAGGAAGAGGAGTGGAAAGGTGGTGCCAAGGTGAAGAGGTTTGGAAATTGCCGGCTACAAAAAGTCCACCTGTGCCCCACTTGGGAAGGTGACAGACACGATGGATACATGTATGTAATCGCGCTGGCCGGGTATAACTCCTCTTCAGCCTCTCCGTCTCCTTCCTCTTGCTATGTCCTGGGTATATACCTTGACACAAACTACATTCGCCACCTCACACCCGAGGTCACTGGCCTCGACAGACATTCTAAACCAACACGACTGATCGGTCTTCTTGCCCACCATGAAACTCATCCTCTCTACCTCCAACCTGCTGGACGCCGGCTCGTCCATCCGCCGCGACCCTACACAAAAGTCCAACGCCGAGCTCGTATCTTCCTTCCGCGCAAATTTCGCCGCCCACTCCCACCCTCAGACCAACGGCAGCAGCAGCAATGGCGTGTCCAAACAGCCACCCTCGCGGACGAACTACAAAGCCTGGACCCACATGGCTCCCGATGGTCGGCAGGAACTCGAGTGCCCGAAGCTCGACTTTGAGCACTCGGCTTTGCAAGAAGAGCGCGAGCAGTACGATATTACTGTGAAGCTCTTCTACTTGCCTGGAGCACCCACAGAAAACCGCGCCACGCAGACGAAGGAGGCGGTGAAGCTGGTGTTGAAGGAGCTGCACATGCCTTCAATCGACCTACTGATCATCTCGTTCCCCGGTATCTACTTCGATGAAGAGGAGGACTGTCCAGACAAGATATCCACGCGAGGGCCTGTGGAAGCTGAGCCTGAGCCGCTGGAGAGCCAGATCGAGACGTGGAAGACATTGGAGGCGTTGCATGAGGAGGGCGTGGTGAAGAAGCTTGGGATTGCGGAGTTTGGGCACGACCGGCTGGTGTCGTTTCTGGAGAGGACGACTATCCGGCCGAGCGTGGACCAGATCAATCTGCGAGATTGCTGTAGTGTCCCGAAAAAGCTATTGGTGCTAGCGAAGTCGAGAGGCATTGAGCTGCTGGTTCATAACGATTCTTCCAATGTGCTGCCACGAGGGACTTTGAGGGAGCTACTTGGGCCTGGCGATGAAGGCGCTGGGGTACTGGCGGAGCCGACAAAGACAGGGGAGAAAAGGAAGAGCTTGCATGGGGAGCAGGTGAAGAACGGCGACGCGGATGGTGAAGGACTAAAGGGAGAAGTGCAGCCGCTTTGGGTGGTGAAATATACGGCTGTCGTGAAGAATCGAGGCGTGGTGGAGAACAAGGGATACTTTGCTGTGGCGGAGCTGTCGGGTTGAGGGATGAATGCATCCAACAAGCCGAGCAAAGCAGACCTAGCTCATGTCATACAAGCTTGAGTCGAGAGAGAAGCGATGGACAAACATCCGACGACTACATCCGAGAACGACTCACTGCTTGGATCCGAGAAAGACCGACCAGCTTCCTGAACGGCATTGCCAGCAGCCTCCGAACTTCCAAGACTGCTGCAGACACTGATCCGTGGCCAGGCTCGTGGAGTTAATCCACCTGGATCATAATATGACCATACGGCCAATCAACGCCTCACCCACCAACACTGGGCGACCGCCACAAGCCCGAGAGTCTGGCGCAAAGACCTGCCAAAACGTCTACAGCCACCAGGTCCCTCGAGCTCTTGGAACGCCAGTATCACCACACGCAAGATGGAGAGCACTATATGGATGAACAGTGCTTGACCTCGCGATATGCAGGATGTGAATACAGTACAGATACAATACAAACCTACAGATACAAGGCTCGCCCTTTGCTTGCTACACTCTCTTCCACATTTTTTACTCTTCCGGTTTGTAAAGGACGAAAGATAGCCGACGCTCTGCCAACGCCTTCCAGAAAACTGCCCTCCGAATTCTTGGGAGCGTGTCTTGTTGATCCTCTGCCCCGGATCTTCTCCAGAACTCCAGCCTTTTGCGCCAGGTGGGGCAGGATGTGACGCAAAGCGGGATGTCAGATGGACAAAACTATTGAACTCTTAACACATCGAGTAGCCCTGTTGGTAAAGACGTCGACATCACTCATAGGAAACCCATCTCGTGAAGTCGCAGACATGGGCTACGAAGCAACCATCCAGTTCACCCTCGACACAATATGTTAGACTCCCCCCCTCGCGATTGAACGAACATATGCTAACCTCAACCCGTCCTCCAGGTCCTTGGTAAGCTCTCACCAACACCTCGTAGCCCTCAAAGCGGAACCATCATACTCACCCTCCCAGGACCTACCTCGCCAAACGCCGTCTCGAAACCGCCCTCTCCCAACTCCCCGCCTCCAGCCCCGTAACCTTCACCACCCTCTACAAACCCTACCAACTCTACCCCGAAGCCTCCGAAGCCGGCGAAGACAAATACGCCTGGTACCAGCGCTCCCGCTATCCATCCGACGAACAAATGAAGAAATACACCGTCTTGATGAGCGCGTACGGCGCAGCGGAGGGCATCGACTTCAAATTCGGCGGTCTGGTCGCTAATACGCTGCACGCGCATCGCCTGATACAGCATCTGCAGTCGACTGCGGGGCCGGACGTGGCGGATAAGGTGGTGAGGAGTTTGTATAAGCAGTATTTTGAGGAGGAGCGGCATCCGAGTTCCGAGGAGACGTTGATGAGGGCGGCGATGGAGGCTGGGGTGGGTGAGGAGGACGCGAGGAGGGTGGTGGAGGATAAGGAGGTGGGGCTGCAGGAGACGAAGGAGGGTTTGCGGGAGGCGGTGGGGAATCAGGTTGATAGTGTGCCCAGGGTTGTGATGGAGGGGAGGAGGAGGGACATTGAGTTAGAGGGGGCGAAGACGGTGGAGGAGTATGTGACTGCGCTGAATAAGATTGTCAAGGAGAGTTCGTGAGGGCATCAATGGCGGGATGGAGGAGTGTTGGGAGCGTGCGTGCTGTCCACGACGATTCGTTGGTGTCGATGCCGCTTGCAATGATATCCACGGAGAGACGGCCACGATGACAACGAAAGGTCTCGTCTCAGGATTCTGGTTGGCCCGATCTATGGCCTGAATTTTCCATATTCTCGAATCGGCCTCTCCTCGTGGACTACCCCCACCCACAAGTCTTTGCAGGCGTGCATGATAGAGCGATGCTGTCATGGCTGGCCTTGTCGACATCACAGACAGTGAGCGGATCACAGATCCGTCGCTGTGATCGGCCCTGGCTCCTAAGAGATCAACAGTCTTGCATTGTTGGCCGACCACGAACTTGATGGCCCAATCTACGTGGTTGGCGGCTCGCTGCTTGTCAGAGCCCGATAGCCATCGGGCGAAGGGATGGCCTTCAGAGAACTGCACCTAGCGTCCTCAGATACGTCCACGGTCCAGTTTCGACGCATTCCACGATCTCAAAAAGAATGTTGGACCGTGCTGTTATCAGTGGGTGGATCCATCACTAGATGGCCAGATGGCGGTAATGCACAGCGTAGACCACCGAGACCATGCATTGTTGGAGAAGTCTGGAGCCGCATACGAGAGCGCATGCGAACCGCTACCGTACCCCCGAACGGCATCCATTGGAGTGTTTCGGTCGAGCGGACGTTTTCGAGCCTGATGCCTTCGCCTTAGGACGGCGTGGTCGGGATGCCGGACCGCCCAGGACTCTGGAGATGTGACAAGTACGGTCAAGCCTAAGGGACGTGGAAGCAGAAGTCCGTAAGGCTCCTTCTAGCGGCCTTCTATGCATCATGCGCTCGTAGCCTCGCAGGCGCCACGAGTCCAATGTTCCAGCAATCACATAGCTGACCGCAAGAGCTGTGGAGTCCAGCTGAAAGACGGGATCTGGCGTGGTGCAGGATTTAGATCTCCTGATGTCCGAGATCCCGCCTCCAGGTGCGAGGTGCTGCAGGTCTGGCACCTCTGGGGTGCATGCATTAGCGAGAAGTACCCAGGTACCTCGCGGCACTGGACCGGGCAGCAGTCCGTGTCAAATCATAAGGCCAATGGTGGTCGTTTCGATCCATGTTCGTGATCTCATGAAGGCGTTAGAAGCGTGTCTCGAATATCATACCGCTTCTGTTGAGGTGTACGCCGCAGAGGAGTGCATGCTTGGCGGTAGCTGATTCCACCTGTTCCATGATAGGTGACTGATGGAAAAGCCATAACCAACTAGCGTTCTCAAGGCAATTGACAAGTTTTTGACGCCTCGTGAGATAGGACCGTTTCCGGTTTTCCTGCTCAAGGAGGGGAGGTGAGGTCTGGCAGTGGCTGATGGACGGCAAGTGCTCCCGAAGAGCCGCCAAGTATCTCGCCTTTCTTTGGGCTGCTGCATCAACCACAAACCTAACATCCTGATGACAACACCAGACGTGAAGACTTCACGTTGGCCGCAGGTAGTCCATTCGACGGTAGACTCTGCGAGCGAGATTTCGATGGAGACCTACAGCGAGACCATGGAACCTGGCTCACAGTCATCAGCATTTCCTGAGCTCCTTCTGTGCGGCCATTGGAGGTCTGAGCTTTCCATGCGTGCATGCAGACTACACAGTCCAAGCTCTGAGGCTCTTGTGGCGTCTGGAACGGATGCATGGCCCTCCCTCACTCGGCAAGGCGATGTGGAACCAAGCGGCCCTACGGACAGCCAGAGCACGGTATCTGAGCATCCCCGGAAAACCACGTGGCAGCGGCAACCCGCAATCTAATCCCGCATCGTGGTCCTGCAGTCCGGATCTTAGTCTGCGTGAGGCACAGAGCGTGAAGCTCAAACGCCCAACGCACAGTCACCAGGACATCTTGGCGGTTATCTGTGGCTTCCGTTGCCCCTTCTAGAAGCCTACACCGAGCGGCTGCGGTTGCAGCTGTATGGCCAATATGGTGGAGAAGCGGACCGGCTTGACGAGCAATGGTCAACACGACACCGAGGGCTCTTGCCTGAGGTCTGGGGACTTCGGAATCCCTGGATACCGTTCCTCAATCTTCACGCGGTAGGTTAATGGGAAGATGTATATAAGCAAGTGTCTATTCCTCCATTCTTCGCAGCATCCAGCAACTACCTTCTACTGTCACTCGCCAGCCGCCCACCATGAGCGTCTACAATAACGACAACAATACGCCGGTCACGGTGGAGAAGCTCGCTGAGGTAGGATCTTGCACTTCACACCGGACCAGATCGACAGCTGACTGATCGATACACAGGCCAATGTCGCCGAAATCAAAGTCCTTCGAGGCTCAGAGGCCTACAACGAAGCCCGCCTCAAGGAATCTCCGAGCTTCCGCAACCTCATCACATGGCGCCTCATGGGATGCCTCCTTCTCGGTTGCTTCTGCCAAACCATGAACGGCTTCGACGGCTCGCTCTTCAACGGTATATCGGCCAACAATACCTTCACTGACTTCTTTCCTGGAGCTGGCGCAGCCGGCGACTGGCAAGCTGTCACCTCAGCCATGTACCAAGTCGGCGGACTTTCTGCGCTGCCATTTGTTGGCCCGTGTATCGATACCTGGGGACGACGCATTGGAATGGTCATTGGAGCCGTTCTGATCGTCATCGGCGTCGTCATCAATGGCTGCACCGTCTACGATGTGTCCAATGCAAATGCAATGTTGAAGGGAGGCCGCTTCATTCTAGGATTCGGCGTGTCCATCGTCTCTGGTGCTGGTCCGATCTACGTTGTCGAAACTGCCCATCCAGCATGGCGTTCTATCATTACTGCCTACTGCAATACCTTCTGGTTCGTGGGCTCGGTCCTGGCTGGCGGCGCTTGTCGAGGGGCCATCACAATCAGTGGCAATGCTTCTTGGTTGATTCCAGTCTGGCTCCAGGTGAGCTGCACGTCCATGTGACCATACAGCAAACACTGACATATCTCAGCTATTCTTTCCTGCCCTCATTTTGTGCTTCGTGTGGTTCATTCCAGAGTCTCCCAGATGGCTTTTCGTCAACAACAAGCGCGAGAAGGCCACCGCCGTCCTCACTAAATGGCATGGCAAGGGCAACCCAGACTCGCCATGGGTGTCGCTTCAGCTCTCCGAATATGAAGAGCATCTCAACATGGAGGGCGCAGACAAGCGCTGGTGGGATTACAGCGTCTTCTTCAACAATCGGTCGAACAGGTATAGGATCGCCTGTAACGGTGTCTTCTCAGCTTTCGGGCAATTGGCCGGCAATGGAGGTAAGAAATGCACAAAGGTCAAGATCCACACATTCATGCTAATGGTCGAACAGCTCTCAGCTATTATATGACTGCCGTTCTCCTGACAATCGGCATCACCGACGAGATCAAGAGAACAAACATCATCCTCGGGGTAGGTCTACTCATAATCGCATAGGGAGACATCTGCTAATATCCATGCTCAGTACGGAATTTTCCAATGGGGCTTTGCGCTCATCGGCGCCGCATTCGTCGAACGCATTGGCCGCCGGAAGCTCATGCTCTTCAGCATGGCTGGGTGCACCGTCTGCTGGACGATCGTGACAGGCACAGCTTCAGCTTACTCTGCATCCGGCGGCAAGATCCTCGCTGACGGAACGGTCATTCCCGGCTCGAACCACGCCGCTGGCACGACTGTCTTGGCCTTTATATTTATCTTCGGCGCCGTCTACTCCGTGGGGATTACACCACTGCAGGCACTCTACCCTGTCGAGGTCATCTCGTTCGAACAACGCGCTAAAGGTACCAACTCATGGGCACAACCTTACCACGTCTGAGGCATTAGCTAACCTTCTGCCCTTCTCTTTGCAGGAATGGCATTTAGCGCATTTTGCGTGAATGCCGCGGGTCTCCTGAATGGTTACGCCTGGCCTGTTGCCCTGAAGGAGATCTCCTGGTACACGTACATCATCTTTACCATCTGGTGTGCGATTCAGACCGTGGTCTTCTACTTCTTGATGCCGGAGACTCGCCGAAGAACTCTCGAGGAGATGGACAAGATTTTCGAGGCTCCAAACCCTGTCAAGGAGTCCCTCAAGCCGCACAAGGTTGCTGTCAACTCCGAAGGCACTATCCTTGCTACGGAGGACATTTGAGGGTGATGGTCTGGTGAGATGGGGACGCTGAGTAATGGAGTGGTGGAGGAGGGATGTGTGATGAAGAGTCGATGATAATGAATCATAGTAATCCTGTCGTTACTGCTGGGCGTCAGTAGCTGTGCAATAGTAGTCCAAACCTTGGCAGCTCGGGCCTTGCCCTTCCGTCTCATATCTGCTCGACGGCATGGTGTTGGCTTTGCATGATACAATGGGGCCCGCTGGAAGCTCTGGTGCCGCTGCTGATGACTACTCGAGATGCGAAGACAACTCAACACAAATCTGGTCACTGTCCGGAACCAGACAGAGATATAGGCAATCCCAAGGGGTGTTGATGGATGTTCCCACTTTCAACCCCTGGGATCAATTGTACATGCCTGTGAGGCTGAAAAGCTTTCTGTCTTCTACAGTTTGGCATACCACAGCTCTGCTGATTTATTAACCACCACGCCATTTGCCAAAACGTCTCCAGTCCTCATAAACCCCTCTCAGCACAGCACGCTCGCTATTGTTCATCGCTGCACTCAAAGCCTTGACACCCTCTGCATCGTTCATCTCAATCGCCTCAATGACAGACCACAGGCCCGGCTTCAGAGCATCTCTGACCCCCTCGACAGGCGTAGTTGCCAACACCTGCTGGCAGTAGTGGTGGAGCACGTACTGCACGTGCTCGCCGACGTAGGCTTGTTCTTTGCGAGACTCGTCCACCAAGCTGGGCGTTTTCGACTTCCATTGCGTGTGCGATGGCTCGCAGAACATGGTCAGTAGCCTTGCTACGCGGCTTGCATTTTGGAGGACCAATACTTTGCTTGGAAGTTTGGTGGGCGAGCGTACGGATTGCTTGACGAACAAGGCCGAGACCATGAGCTGGAAGACCTGGATGACGTGCTGGCAGCGGCCTCGAAGACGAGCTCGATGCTGGAGGAGCAGGATTGACATGATGTCAATCTCTGGAGAGATGCTTGATGGAGAATCGCGGGTTTGCAGTATCATTGTCATCGAGGCCAACGTCGCTTCAACAGTCAACTGGTACGTGAGGAACGATTTGTGTTTGAGGATGGTGGTGATGACGGCGGCCAATGCTTTGCGCAACGACGGTCTCGTGGTCGCATATGTGCTGAACAGTCGACAGATCGACGTTCGCAGTCTTTGGCCGCTGTCATCCTCGATCATCGACTCGTCCACACTGGCAAAGCACTTTTCCAGAAGTCGTACGGTCGAGACAGACCCCGCCTCAATGTCCGCAAGCAACGATTCGACAAGATCAATTCTCTGAAGAGCATCTAGCCTGCCCACGAAGTGACCGAAGACTTCGAAAAGCTGGCGGTGCAGTGTCGGGTGTAGTGGTAGGCTGGCTATCTTGCATGCCAGACGTGCGTACTGAGCACCACCGTCCGCCGAGCCACACCTGCAGCCGACGCTGAAGTAACCAACCAGTACGGCATGGATGTGTTGGTACTTGGCCGTATGTGAGGCGTCCTTGTCAGTGTGCTGAGCTTCAGCACCGACATCGCTTGGAGCATGAATTGTGTTTTCGATTGCCTTATATCGACTGAGATCGACCTTCTTCATGATGGAAGCAGGGGCCAGGTGTTGAGGAACAGACAAGAGCGTATAGAGCGCTGGAATCAGCCAATCGTTCCGTGTGACTGAGATGGCAGCTTCTTGATCACGATTGGCGCTCGCCAAAGTGTGCTCGCACACCAGTTCCAAGAATGGGCCGAAGATTCTACTGTCCCGATGAACAAGCTGCTCCTTCAACCCGGCCTTCGATACTGCCTCAAGACGACCGACGAAGATGCCGAGGAGTGGCAGTGCCCAGGTCGAGGCATCGAAATTTTCCATCTGGCGCATATTCTCAACATGTCGTTTCACCTCTGTAGATATTGCGAGTAGCATCTTCTGGCTTCGTTCTTGGTCTTGAGTGACGACCAGATGATCCAGCATTCTGTTGGCCATCTCGTCTACGAAGGCAGAAAGCTCTACGTCCTCTTGTATGCTCGTGGCAAGCGACCGGGCGATTCGCCAGATGGCGTCCGGATCGGTTGACAGATTACAAGTGGCATTTGCGACACTCATCAATCTGACCAGAAGAGAGAGTCGAAGACTTTGGTTTTGCGGATCAACAGGGGGAGTCCGGGTCTGTAACTGACTGACAGCATCGATAATGGCCTCACGCTGCGGACGGCTGATTGACCGAACCGGAAGATCATGGAGTAGCTTGAGTGCAGTTGAGCGCTGGGCCAGTGCTGTACGATCCATCTCGGTCGAATCGGGCTTGAGATAGTCCATTGCCAACTCAGCAAGCTCGTGAATCAGGTCCGATTGTTTGTGGGGTTCGGCCCCTCTGACAGTCGAATGTAACACCTGTAGCGCCATATCATCGCTGGAAGCACTGGCATCTTTGGCTGCCACCGCGTCCAAGCAATTCGACAAGCATTTGCTCCGCTCGTTGACGTCCAGCATGTGCACGATCTCCGGGTAGAGGACCAAAACGGGTGTAACCGCAGTACCAAGTCCGTCGACAAGTCCTTGTGCCGCCTTTAGCACATCCACATGGAGAGCGGATGGAGTAGAGCGGAATAACGGGAAGAATTTGGTGCACAAGGCAGCGACAAAAGCACCAGCTTTGATTATCAGATCCGCAGGAGTTTGGGAAGTGTCTTTCTGGGTCCCGTTCAGCTTGATGATGCCGAAAGCAGCCTCCACGGTGCTACTTCCCATCAACGCAACGGCTTTCTCGCTGACTTCATTCGGCCGTGATTGTTCAACGGTCCATGCGGGCCACCAAGTCTCAAAGACCCGTCGTAACATATCCCAGAAGCTGCCTTCCCGACATGGTTTAGCATCTGCCTTCGCATCCCCTTGGCTATCCAAGAAACCAAAGAGCGAAGAGAGAGATTCTCCAAGCATCGGCTGTAGCCTCTGTAATACACTGGGTGTGGTAGCTCCTGCAAGTAACGCATTTGCGACCACGAAGTCTGATTCCGCGAACTCGATCGGCTGCTCCGTCCAGGCGCCTCGCAGCTTGCGCTTGAGATCTCCGAAACGCTTCGAGATCAACCCGAAGATCTCATCTTCTGGTACCTCGTTCTTGACCATTCCGGAAAAGGAGGAACCAACGCTCAGCCAGCCAGAACTGTTGGTGCGACTGCGGTCCAAATGGTCTGACCAGATTTGGATGAAAGTACCGAGGTCGCGTCGCTTTGCGAATGCACCCATGATGGGGAGGACGATCTTCTCCCTCCAGAGCACTTGAAGATCGCCTTCTGTTCCTTCCCGAAGATTGCTGCTCTTCTGCGGGACTGCGCGATGCGAGATTCTCGATTGGAAACGCTCCACACTTTCACTGATCGAGGCAAAGGTTTGTTGGGCTACCCGTTCGTCGGCGAAGACATCTGCGTCCATTGCTACGAACTCCGCTACCGCCTTCCAGTAGTCGAAGAGTTCACCGGAAGACTGAGCATCTGGCGCGCCCTCCATGATGCCCGTCAGACGTCGGAAAAGCTCATTCACTGCTGATCTGGACAATGTAGCGCGCTGTCTAAACGTGGACAGAAGCTTCGCCAGCACTGAAAAGTCGATAACCTTGCCATTGTCATCGCAGTTGCAGTCCAATAGAGCTCGCAGGACGACCTCAAACCATGCAGAGTCCTTCTTCGGAGCCGTTGACGAGCACCGCAGTGCGGTATCAAGCAGTTGCGGAGTGACTTGCGGATGGCTTCGGCCCAGAGGTTTGAGGTAGGATCGAAGCGTGTGACCAGGTCCAGAGTCTTCTGTAGTTTCTTCATTACCGCTAGATCGCACCGCCTCATTCTTCAGGTACACCTCCCTTGCGCGGGCAAATATTTGCTTCGCTACCAATGTATCCAACAACTTGCGGTCGTCAGGCTGATGTACTGCGCTCTCATTATGCATCTTGCGCTTCAGCGAAGAGCCAGGTCCTCGAAAGCATTCAGAGTCGAGCAAAAGGGCAGCCGGGACCAGACAATGCCGTGGAAATAGCTCAGGGCCGCCTGAATTCCGCAGCTTCCAAATTTCCAAGGCCGATTGTAGGACGCCTTCCTGTTCCAGCGAGAAGCTACGCAAGTCATCTGAAGCAGCGATCTGCTGCACATGTCGGAGCCATGCGCCTAGGAACAATGCTGCAAACTCTGGTCTGACGCTCAATGCAGCCTTGACTGGGGTCCCGTGGGGGCCGTCTGACACTTCGAGCAAGAAGCGTAGCAAGCTCAAATGTTCGGCCAACAGATCAGTTGAGGCATGAGTCTCATCCTGAGAGGTAGCTATGTAGCTCAGAAGGTCATGGGCCACGAGAAGAGTGGCAAGCCGGGCTGGATGTAGTGTTCGCATACCACGTAGCAACAAATTCCATGCTTTCGTACTTGACCGGACATCTGCGCTCACCTTGAGCCATCCGAGCAGCCACTTCACTATCATCTCTGCTCGGAAGGCATGGGTACATAGTCGCTGGGCCTCTTCCAAGCGGGCGGCCAGAGTTGGAATGGCATCGAGATTTTTCAACGTCTCCAGTGATGGGCGTGTGCCATTCGATGTGACGTCCATAGTTGACTCGCCCGCCTCCACCCCATCTCCAGGCATCGTGTAGGTTGTTCGAGGGGATGCTTGCCTCGGATGTAAATGTTTCATATCTCATGAAGTTGAACTTTTTGATAGAGGCCCGAGCGTCTCAAGAAAGCTAAAGCGGATGATCCCGTACAGCTCGAAAGCCAGGCACGAAACAGCTTCCTGCATTGAACACAGCACCTCCAACTTACTATCCCCTCGCCGCGACCTGACAACCGAGAAGACACGGCCGACACGAAACCACAATGGCCGACTCGACGTCCACGAATACTCCGGCAGCCCCCGTGAGCCGGACGAACCGGCCGATGAGCGAGGCTCTCCTCAACGAGAAGGTATGGAGCAACAACACACATACACCAGCCGCATTGTGCAATACATAAGACAGGGTCATGATACTAATGTCTGACTTAGTGGGACCACTGCCTCAGCACCATCCTCATACGAAGCACACTGGGCGCGTCCTTCGGCGTCATATTCTCGGTTCTCCTGTTCAAGCGAAGAGCGTGGCCGGTGTTTACAGGTCTTGGGTTCGGAGCTGGGAGAGCGTGGGAGGAATGCGATAGTGTACGTCCCACTCGTCCACAAGTTTCTTGCAGCGGACGAACCCTCTTCCCCGTGTAGAAGAAGCAGCGTTGGCGGATAAGACAGGCCACACGGGCGCTTCTTGGGAGCACAAACAGCTTACTGGGTTGGATGGCCTCCATACTAACGACGTCTTACAGAGCTTCAAGCGAGCGACTGCACCATCCAGAGACGGTCTGCGCGTGATGCGACCATGAACCGGCGCACCAGCAGGGAGTCTGCGATGTACCCATTCCTAGCGCATCCGAGCTGAACGGTATGACCTCAAGTTGCGATTGAAAGTCTGAAGGTACAGGCGGTGTACCAGCGCGAGACAGGAACTAGCAGGAGCAACCTAGAATCAACCAATTGTACAGATACTGCAAGCAGGAAGCTTTGCGCGAAAGCACCGTTCCACCAGCTTACATTCGGATCATTCCGTCACACACTGACAGAAGAGTTGCCCTCTATGAAACCTTGTTGCGGCAATATCAGACATCGGTTGATCAATGGTGGACACGTCGCGAATATTGCCGCTTTCTGTGAGGATGTTGCGCTTGCATCTCGTCGACCAAAACGTTGAGCAAGATGCGAGTTTCAAATGATCACTGGGAAGGCGAACACAAGTTAAAGCGTTCCGCATCTCATTTGAACCATCATACTCTCCTTTCCATCGTCTCCCATGTTCTTCTCATGCTACTGACCATACACAGAAAGTTCGACCCGCCAAGCCGAAATCGGAAATGCTTGCGACCAAGTCCGATAACTCCAGGCCATCCACGAACAACCTCCTCACTACTTATATCAAGTTCCTCGCCGCCTATGCAGAGTACTACAGCAGGAAAGCAGATCAAGCTTCTGAGGCCTCGTCCGAAAGTCCGACACCAACAATGGCCGCCATCTTCGATCCATCCGACCCAGCATCACCGCTCGCTTACGATGCATCCCAAACCGCCCTCCTACTAATGGATTACCAAGGCCTGATCATCTCGCACTGCGGCCCATCCGCACAAGCCGCCCTCCGCACAGCCGCGAATATGCGCAACTGGGCGCTGAAACACGGCATCATGGTCCTCCACTCCGTCCTCGACGTCCAGGGCACTCCACCACCGACCTGCAAAGGCGCAGCCCGCATATCCCAAATGCTCGCCTCAGCAGCCAAAGACCCCTCTTCCGCTGAAGAGCCGACCGAAATCGCCTTCAGCCAGGCCGACGGCGAGTACATCGTTCTCAAGCCCGCTGGCACGATATCAGCTTTGAAGTCAAAAGGCGCAATGGAGTTGTTGCGGGAGCGTGGGGTGCGGAGTTTGATTCTTTGTGGGCTTTCGACTTCGGGGGCGGTGCTGAGGACAGCCATGCCGGCGATGGATGAGGGGTTTGTGGTGACGGTGGTGGAGGATGGGTGTGCGGATCGGGATGAAGGGGTGCATGGGGTGGTGATGGGGAGTGTTTTGCCATCGAGGGCGCATGTTGTTAAGGCCGAGGAGTTTACGGGCGAGTGGGAGGGGAAGGGGGAGGCGTAGAGCACGCTAATCTTGTCGTCCTGAGGGGTCTGGAGATATGGACTTGCTGGAGCCTCTGAACACACAAACGACTAGGATAGGTTGTTGTACCACATAAGCTTTCCAGCTCTAGCCTTCGAGGCAGCCATACTATAGATTCAACACCAGCATCAAGTCGATTCGAAAACATTGGCTCCGGCATAAGCTCGGGCGCCAAGGTGATGTAACATATTACGCGCGGGTACACCCGCTCTGCTCTTTCGAGCAACAGCTGGATGGATTCTATCCTACAGTCTTCGCTGTGGTGGCCGAGTGGTCTAAGGCGGTAGATTTAAGTCGTTTCCTGACTACAAAACTCTACTGGAGAGATCCGCGCGAGTTCGAACCTCGTCCGCAGCAATATTTTTTGCTTTGTTTGAAGTGCTATGGCTGTGTACAATGTAGCTTCACGTTTGGCGATTGTATACATCCATGTTGCACGAGGAGTCCATCGCAGGAACCAACATTCCTTTTGCGGGGCGCAGCTGGCGCGTCAATGGAAGTTACAGACCGGTGAGAAGCGCCACGGTGGTTTTGTTCGTCCAGACATCATCTTACTTCTGTCAACGGTGGAGTTCGTTGGGACACAACAAGGCTGCTGCTCTCCCTCTTGACTGTCTGATGAGGTCGAGTGCTATGAGGCATTTCGAAGCGTTCGCAGCCTGCAAAAAGAAACCGTCGCAGGCGAAGCAAATATTGGATGAAGGCGGCTGTGCTAGGCTGACAGTGGGGATTGGCTACAACACCTCTAAACCACCATCTGCATCACCAAACACCTGCACCCTAGGGTGGCTGCAGTAAAAGGCCGCCAACTAGCACAGTTCATGCTGACCTGCTCACTGGACTCGGACAGCTCTCCCCTCTAGCGTAGGCAACCTCCCTCGTCTAAGAACCTCCCCCAATGACTCCGCCTCTCCTTCACCGGAATGGTAGCAGCGGCACCACGCCTCAGGTGCTGTCTCCCTCACGGCCCCAGGTGTCGCAGCCCACCAGCTTAGATCTACATAGCCCATCGAATGCGCCTCCTCGCACTCAACCTTTCCCATGCCCCCTTCAAATCCTCGCGCTGCCCTCCTCGGCGTCGGCGTGGAAAAGGCGCAATCATGTCTTCGCCTTCGCTCTTATCTACCCTTTCCGCGTCGCGTCCCCTGCCCATTGCTCGCACGCCTTCGCACTCGTCATCGCCTTCGCCGGAACTTACGACGACGTCTTCGTCTTCGCCGAGCCTGTACGTCACGTTCAAGGTGCTGAGACTGTTGGATACGTTTCGCACGCGGGTGCGGAAGCGTGTGAGGTCCGATCGCAGGGTCAAGAAAGCTACGTCCAAGAGGACTACCAAAGCGTTCTGCCAGGGCCTGGAACGGCAGGCGTTTGAGGAGATTGACAGGTATCTGGGTCGCAAGACTACTGAGCGGTCGCGGAAGCGTTCGTATCCCGCCAACGAGGGCGGAGAGAAGCTGGGGGAAGGGAAGCGTGCTACTGTTGTCACTGCTGGGGAGCAGGACCAGGACCCATTGTCATCGAGCGTTCAATGGTGAGTGCATGTGATTGTCGAATTGAATAGAACAAGGTTAACAAGGTCGTAGGTTGCTCGACGAGCTTGAACGATCAGCCAACTCGGAGTCAAGGTCGTTGATCGCCGTTGCAAAGGACCACCAACTGTTCCTCACACGCAAGGCAGACCTCCACATCGAGCGACCGTCCTTGAAAGACGTGATACAGCTGCTGGTTGTCGTGAAGGACTTACTCTCTACTCTCCGTCGTCCAACGCGATCCCGTGCCGGCGTCAAGACACTCGTCGAAGGCAACGAGCTTCTCGACCTCACCCTCGACGAAACCGTCAATGCCAACCTCGAGCACCTCCTCCTCTGCCTGAAAGACCAGCTGATCCGTCTACTCGTCTCCAAGCTCGTCGACCTCGTCCAGAAGCAACTGGTGGAATGTCAGCGAGACCAGAATCGACACTGTGAGAACTGGTTCTTTGAGTTCCCAGACAGTCGACATCCGCTGAGCACCACATGGCCTTGGAGTATCCGACCGTCGCTTGCTGTACTCTGGGGCGTGTGTTGGATGTTCTATGACTTCTCCGAGCAGTACGATTTCCCGGAAGCGCTCAGTCCAGCGGCCCTGGCACAGATCGGATCGGTGCTACAGCATTTCAACCGGCAGCAGCAGCAATCACCTCAAAGCAACTACTGCCATCTAGGTGAGTGCATTGGTGGTCAGCAGCAATATATGTCGGTGTCTAATGTTTGGTTTGGAATTGCAGCTCAAGTGAATTTGCAGCCGGCCGTTGATCCCCGCTCGCCACGTTCCACGCCAACGTCTCATTCGCTCTTCCCAAACATGGCTCAGCCACAGCACCATCGCGGCCTGAACGTCCCCTTCACGTCTGCGGGTGAGTCATGGCCTGACGCACGCGGTTGTGCCTGTTCCGCACAGTCTTGCTCACAGCGGTCCGCAGGTCCACCTGACCAGGCTGCACATGCCTCGGCGCACCGCGTGACCGCATATAACTCGTACTCTGCTGCGCCTCCCGCTAGCGCCCACCCCTACTTGCAGCAGCACCACCAGAACCTGCAAACCTTAGTGCTGCCTGAGGAAAATCTCGCCTCCCATCATCTATCGGGCTCCAACTTCCCAGACAGCACATACGCAGCTGACATTGAGCAATGGGAGCCAGAGGCGACTCCTGGGCAGCAATTCGTTGACGCCAGCTGGCAGCAATTCCAGGCGCAAGATTTGCCACCGCACTCGCGCAACTTTGCTCCCCCAGGCATAAGACTCATCACCGACCCAGGAATCCTTCCGGCTCTACATCAGCAGCCTCAGGCCTACCACAATTCTACGTCTGTTTCATCGGCCTCTACACTCCCCTTACGAGAATCGCCATACAATCGCTACGGCCCTAATCTGAGCCCGCTGGACGCACAGTATCCGCATATGCATCCACCGGACGAGAAGATGCAGAATACGCCACCTCGGAGTCCACACGCGATTGAGGCAGCGAGTATGGGCGAGCAGCTTTCACGAAAACGATCTCATGAACAAATGGCAGCCGAAAGCATGCGATATGTTGCCGCACCTGTGAACATGGCCGTGCAACCGAACCTGGATGGTCAAAGTCGCGCTGGGTCGGTTTCGTCGCAAGTGGATCTGTCGCCTCCTATCAAGAACATCGCCATCAAGCGTGGCAACCCTCCTACGAATGCGCAAGGAAAATTCGCATGCGATTACTCGGAAGAATGCGCCGGTCTGATCTTTGACCGGAAGTGTGAATGGAGGTGAGTTGTCATTCATCTATCATATCATCACATGATCTAACACGAATTCTAGCAAACACATGGACAAGCACGACCGCCCCTATCGCTGTCCTCACGAAGAGTGCGCAAAACTCCAAGGCTTCACTTACTCCGGCGGCCTCCTGCGTCACGAACGGGAGGTGCACAACAAACACGGCGGCCCCAAATCCAAACTCGTCTGCCCACACGTGGACTGCAAACGCCACACCGGCAAGGGTTTTACCCGCAAGGAGAACCTCAACGAGCACGTCCGGCGCGTGCACGAGAACAAGGAGAACCAGTCGCAATCCCAAGGTCCCTCGCAAATCAAACGCGACGACAACATCATGCCGCATCCGGTGGAGAACGTCGAAACGCCATATTACACACAAATCGACCCCGAGGACCCGGATTCGCCCGCGCAGAAGCGGAGGAAGTACCCGCAGACGCAGGGCATGAGCGATCGCAGCGCCTCGGAGGGGGTGGACGATCTACGGTATCAGGTTCTGAGGCACGAGAATCAGCGGTTAGAGGAGCAGAATCGGCATAAAGATGATATGATGCAGCAGATGCGGTCGGAGCTGGAGAATTTGCGGCAGAGTGTCGTGTTCTTGCAGCAGCAGGTTCAGGCGCAGGGGCAGGGGCAGGTTTAATTTCTTTTGTTGGGGATGAGATGGAGTGCGTGTATTCGAAGGGAACAGGGCGTTGGAGGTGGAGTCAGGAGGTTCAGGACTGGTGCCTTACATGTTCAGGCTGAGATTGTTGCTTCGCACCTCATTATACCCCCATGCATGAGATCGGACGGGCGTGGACGTCGGATAGACTCTGTAAATCATTACATCGATACATCTCTCTCACATTTGTACCGATCGTACGACTGCCTTGATGCGCTCGTGACTATTGTGACAGCAGTGTTGCTGATGATGGTGTGGCAGCCTGGGGCCTAACAATTCTTCGGCTTCTGTTCCCGATGTCTGCTGACCTTGTTCTGTCTTCCCTCCGGACCAGCATCCGACAACCATCTCAACATTAAGCCGACCAAGATGTTGTCGCAATTCATCACTGTGGAGACATGTACCTGGTTGTAATATACAACATCTCCCAGGTTCTTCGCAGAAATGATCGACATGGGGCGGAAAAGTGGCGTCAATATCCCTGCCCACATCACAACGGCACGTCTCCCAATCAACCCAAGTGCGACAACACTCCCAACCTAAAAAGATCAGGTATATACCATCAACGAAGCCATCCAAACGCAACGGTAAAACTTTCTCACACACTCATCCTTCTGTCCAAATCCACTCCATACCACCCTCCAACCACCACTCAAAAATCCATCATGCTTCTCCCCAACTCCCCCCTCCACCTCATCACCCTCCTCTCCGTCTCCCTCCCCCTCCTCCCCTTCACCACCGCAACCACAGCAGCAGCAGATCTCGAAGAAAGAATCCCAGAACCCAGCTTCGCCCCCGTAGCAGCAGCAGCAAGCTACGTCCCCGCCGCCCAAAGCGCGGCAGCAGGTGCGTACGACGGATCATATGGTGGGCACTCACAAGCAGCAGCAGGTTCCTGGGCACCAGCGCCTGCGGCCTCACAAGCCGGCTCACAAGCCGCTGGGTCCTGGGCTCCCGCTCCCTCACAAGCAGGCTCATGGGCGCCTTCACAACCCGGTTCATGGGCGCCCTCCGCTCTGGCCTCAGCGGCGGGTTCATGGGCGCCCTCGCAGCCCGCCTCGTGGGCCCCGGGACATTCTTCTGGACCGGGATATTCGGGCCCCGTGCCTGGACAAGGACCCGCGCCTTCCGCGGTAGCGCCGTGCTGTTCTGCGCAGCCGGCCGTTTCGATTTCGCAGCATCCGGTTTACACCCAAGGACCGGTTTCTGCTCCACCGCGTAAGTCATCCTACCCACATCCCCCTTCGTTTCAAACTTGTGAACACAGTGCTGATGTGTAGTGTAGCTTCGCACGCCCCCTCAGCCCCTCCGCCAACAACCACACTAATCCCCGCGGCCTCGACGACGACGGAGCTTTCGAGCATCGGGCCGGCGTTTACGCAGGTGGAGAATGCCGCCGCTTTAGGCAGGAAGTTGGGGGCGGGAGGGGTGTTGGGGGTGCTGGGGGTGGGTATGATGTTTATTTAGCTTTGTGTACCTTGGGTTGATGGTGTAGGGGTGGGGATGGGCGTTTTGGGTTGGGATGGGATGGCCCGGGATGGGATGAGCGACGGATGGGATGCAAGGCCCGGTTGACACGATACCACTGGGCATGGGACATGTATATGTATATGATGGACGAAGTAATGGACAGACACATCAACCTCACTTCTCACTGCACAATGCATTGCACAAAATGTGTTGATCTTGCATTCGAAAGGGTATCTCACATATCTCACTACCTCGTCTTCCCTACCCTCTCACCTCCTGCACCGATCGCCTGCTCCACTCACACGAGCGAGCGAGAGGCAATAAGCGTCTGGTACCCATACCCCTGTACAGTCCCTCCTTTCTCGTCTCGAAAGCGCAGCAAAGCCCTCGCAGCGCACCATATCCCATGCAATCCCATGCCATGCGTTGTCCTCGGACTGATTCCAAGACCTCGCCTGTCGCTGATAATTCCAGCGCCAGCGCCTCGATGCATCCCCTAAAAGCAAAATCTGCCTTCCAAATCTCTCTGGCCTCCCATCGTTTCACGCTCAGCCTCTCCACCTCCCTCCTCCACCAACACCGGCATTCCCCATACTCTGCACAGCAGCCATCTGCGCTAAACTCCCTTGCACTTGCGCTGGCGCTGATGGCGGTGGAGGCGGCAATCCACTCGCCCCCCTCTGCCCCTGCCCTTGCGTACCACCCAGCAAAGCACCACCGCCCAGTACCGCCCCGTTGCTCGCTCTTTTACTCCCTGCCATAGCCGCTGCGTTCGCATTCGTCGAGGACGCAGGGCCGCCTGGGCCGGCGATGGTAGAATGTCTCTTCCCCACTGGCCCACCACCAGCACCCTTCGAAGGACTCCCCTGCATCGCAGCCACGCCTTGGCCACCAGTGCGTACAGCAGTCTGCGGCGTCTCCGGCAGCGCTCTAGTCCTTGCAGGCGTCGTGGCGGTAAAACCCGCGCTCGCCGCTCCCCTCCCCTTGACGGGACTCTGTGCCGCCTGCGTCGCAGCACCAGCAGCAGGCACAGCAGCCTGGCTCCGCAAGCGCGCAGCTCTGCGTGCCTCCTCGGGAATACCCTGGCGCGCGTGGTGGAAAGGCGCGTTCGTGACGAAAGGATGATTCATCGCTTCGTGCGGCTTCAACCTCCTCTCCGGGTCCCATCTTAGACATCGGCCGATGAAATCCGTGAAAGCCTCATCCTCCGTCTTCAGCGCCTGCGCCAGGGTCTTGCTTGACGGCCTCCTCCTCCTCCCCTTCGAAGACACCGTAACCCTCGGCTTGCCGACAGAATCAAAAAACAACTTCTTCCGCGTACAGCGTTCCACCAAATGCCGGTCCGGTGGGCCAAAGATCTCCATAATACACGCCAGCTGCTCCTGCTCGTTCTCGCCGGGGAAAATCGGATATCCTGTCCAGAGCTCCGCGAGGATACAGCCCAGAGACCACATGTCGATGCCCAGCCCGTATTGGCTGCCGAGGATAACCTCCGGGGAGCGGTAGAAGCGGGATTGGATGTACGTGTACACCTTCTCCTCCTCCCGGCAGCTGCTGCCGAAGTCGATGACGCGGACGTCGGCTTTGCGCGCTTCGCAGAGGAGGATGTTCTCGGGCTTGAGGTCGCAGTGGATGATGCGTTTGGTGTGCAGGAGGGTGAGGCAGGCGAGGAGTTGGCGGGAGAAGCGGCGGATGAGGGGGAGGCTGAAGCCGGCGAAGTTGTGCGAGCGGATGAGCTCGTAGAGGTTGATGCTGAGGCAAGGGGTGACGATGCAGAGGTGGGAGCGGAAGTAGAAGGAGGTGGTGATGCTGAGGGTGGCGTTGCTGCCGTCGGGGTCCTACAAACACATCAATGTCAGCATGTCGGCACACTTGATAAGAGGATGAAGGGATCAACTCACCCACTCCCTCAACCGCCCCAATATCCCCACCTCCACCAACGCCTGCTGGTGAAACCTCTTCTTATTCCGGATAATCTTCACCGCGACTACGCCTCCCTCTTTATGATCCACACATCTCACCACCTGTCCAAAACTGCCCTTCCCCAGCACATCGACCACCTCGTACCGATACGCCAGATGGTCGCCCATCACGATGTTGTAATCACCCCTCTCATCATCATAGCCAAAATTATTCCCCGAGCCAGCGGCAGAACTGCTCTTCCCATCCGACGTCAAAGAAGTCAGCGAAGCCATCCCGCTGCCGCCGAGACTGCCGATGATCTTTCGGGCGGACTTGGAGCCGGTGAAGTAGATGCCGTCGGCCTCGTAGTCGACAATCTCGCCGCGTTCAAAGACGTTCAGGGCGGCGCCGCCGAGTAAGCTGCGGTCGTGCAGGACGCGCTCGGCGGTGACTGGGCTGCGAGCAATGGCGCGTTTCTTTAGCTCCTCGCTCTCGCGAGCCGCGGAGTCGACGTCCTTGCGCTTGCGGGAGAGGCGTTGCATTTCGTCGTCGGCAGCAAGATCATCTTTGTCCTTGTTCAAGACGGAGAGATTGGATGCTGAAGGCTTGTGGCGATTGCCTACTGGGCCAGCCGGTTTCGCACCAGGACGGAGAGTTTGGCCAAGATTGCCCCAGCTGCTGGCGCGAGAGGTGACTGGAGTCGGTTGTTCGGAGTGCTGGCTTCGGGTCTTGACTGTGAGACCAGTGGGAGCGCCGTGTGGAGGAGCTTGCTGTTGCGGTGGCTGGTTCTGCTCGTTGCCGTTCGTGAGGTTGGCGTTCGACACACTAGTGGGCACCTGGCTCTTCCGCCTGATGTGGAAGCGTCCGCCGCCTTCGTTGGTGTCCATACTCGGCCTCTGAGAAGAAGGTAGGGAAGGCACCTCGCCCGTCCATGTAGCACTCGCAGGTAGCTTCGGCGGTGGCATCTCGTTCGCGTTGACGCCACCACTGCCACTCGTCGAACGCTTCTGCAACCGGCTTCTGGACTTCTCCGGCTTCTCAGTTGGAGTCTGCTCCTGCTGCGGCGAGTTCTTGTAGTCGGCGTGATTAGCAGCCTTGCTATTGCTCCTCTTCCAGCCAAGACTGAGCTTCCTCCTCAGTCCGCCGCCCGTGCCTTCTTTCTTCTCTGCTTCCTTCTTCACCGAATCCGTCGGCGACTCGACATAGTCCATGCTCATTGCCGATGTGTCAGCGCTGAGTCCACTCTTCATGGAGTTCATAGTAGCGTTCGTCTGTGCTCTCGTTCTTGGCTTGGAGTTCTGCAGAAGCATGTTCTCGTACTCTTCGTCCGCACTCGGAGCATGCTCTCCGCTCGGTCGTCCTCGAAGGCCGTTGCGCGCGTACTCTCCACTGACCTTTGGCAGAGATCCAGATGCAAAAGGCGTGATGGCACTCCTCTGCTTGGCATTCGGAATCGGTACACCAGCGTTGTCAGCGTCGCTATCGTCCCAGAACTTGGTGATGTTTCCGTTGTCGTCCATGCCCATCACATCGCGGAGAGCATAGTGCGAGCTCGAGGACCGTAGGCCTTTGTTGGCGTCCTCCTGCTGCCGCCGGGAGAAGAAAGTGGCTTTCGAGGCTGTCATGGGCGTCGAAGGCGTTTTGGTGTTACGCTTCGGCTCCGGGGTGGCGAAGTTCATCCAGTCGTCCCTCGAATCGACTTCGTGACTCGGACGTGGCGCATTGGAAGCGCTATGAAGGGGACGGGTTCCAAATGAATGCATGTTCAAAGGCGGCAGACGTAGTGGCTGCAAGTTGGCGTTTTTGCGCCCGTTCGGATCTGGCTGTGCTCGAGCCGAAACCGGGGGAGCGGAAGGAGGAGGTACGGCGGACGTTGCGCCATTGGGTTGCGTGCTGATGTGCTTCTGTGGTCGAGCCATCTCTCCCGAGCGCTTTCGGGGTGTTTCAGCAGGTACATCGAAACTCGTTCTTGGTGTTGGTAGGAAGCGAGGAGCCGGCAACGCTTGACTGTCCATAGCTGCATCAGAGTTACCAGTCTGCGAAGATCGTAGAGAAGATGAGAAGAATGGCGCTTGATCGAAGTCCTTAGGACTTTCAAACGCCTTTGGTATAGCAGGTACCGGAGGCACAAGCTCACTTCGCTCACCCTCCTCGTAGTTGTCGCCATATTGACCCATCGCTGAGCTAGGTTGGTTGCCGCCTCGAGGCTTTGGTGTCGGTAGCCGAGATGAAGAGCCGTTGAGACTGTTATTCAGAAGCGACTGATAGCTAGACTTCGAGCTCAGGCTCACGCCGCCATTCGGATACTGCCTGCCTTCGGGCGAGCCGCCAGATGATGGCGTAGCACTGTTAGTCTTTCGTGGTATAAGGCTTGGACTTGGCTGAGCGAAACGTGGAAGATCTGGAAGTTTTGCCTCGCTGTGGAGAGGATTGGGTATCTCCTCCTGTGGTGTTGGTGTATGTGACTTTGGCATGCTGCCAGGCATTGGAGGTGCCATGCTCATCCGCTTCAGCCGTCGCGCGTCTGTAGGACTGATTGTGCGTGCTCCAAGGCCAGATGCTCTTCCAGAAGCCATGGACTGCCGTCTGCCGCCGCCCGACGACGAAGGTGTTTGTGACCTGTTCTGATTTGCTTTCGATGACTTGCCGCCTGTTGGCGTATTCGGATTGTCCGTCGTCGAGTCATGAGGCGGAGGCTGCAAGCTCTTGACCTTGTTCTGGCGTGACTGTGTGGTCGCTGTGAAGGTCGACATACGGGGCAGTTCTGCACCTGCTGAAGCTGATGGTTGAATCGTGGTGCGTCTGGCCTTGTTGAGACTGTTTGTCCGGGACAGCGCAGACTTCAGCGGTGACTCTTGCGTAGTAGTCGTGGTGTTCGAGCCCTGCTGCTGCCCTGAAGCACCTCTTCCCATGCTTGTGAACAGCCCTGGGCCAACAGACTTCCGAGGATGTTTTGTTGTCGGTGGTGCTGGGACTGGCCCTGCACTGGCGGCTGTCTGTGTTATCGAGCTCTGCCGCCTGTTTCGTAATGACGACACTGAAGACTGAGCAGCCTCCTTGGGCATTGGCTGCTGTGTTCCAGAAGGTTGTCTCCCGTTGGCCAATCTCTGCCGCAAGCTCTGTGTCCGCGCAATGTCAGGTCTCGCTGATTGATTCTGCTCTTTCGCCTGTCCGCCTCTTGCTCCACCTGCCTGCTCCTCTCTGGGCAGTATCCTCCCACCATTTACAGAAGGAAACTCGTTCAGCAGTGGACTGGAGCCGTCGTAGTTCTTGATGCTGGTCTGGAAGTCATCAAAGTTGACGTCAGGCAGGAAGTCGAGGCCGTCACCGAGAGGTGTTCGTTGACTGGGCGTAGTAGGAATGGGTTGTTGGTCAGTGAGGTTTTCAGTCGACGAGTTCGGGAAGCCGGCTCTGCGATTGCCATAGCTGCCCTGCCGTTGATGTGAGCTTGCCAGTCTGGAATTGGTGAGGTAAGAGTCGGTGTTGAGCGCCGGCAGGAAGGAGCGTGAGGTCGGCACGGCATTCTCACTTGCGGAAGGCGCGATGGGACCCGAGCTCGGCAACCTCTGCTTTCCAGGACTTGTAGGGTATTCTCGTGGCCCACTCGGCACCCTTATGTTGTCACGCAGTGTGCTCTTCCGCCGTTGATTCAAGCTGGGCGCACGCTCGGGGTTGCCACGCATGGCTGACGCTGGTACAGAAGGCTTGCGGAAACCCTGGTTCGAGGTCGCTTCTGGGTCGGTGGTGGTGCGTTGGAACTTTCGACGGACGACGTTGGACTCCGCTGTAAGAAAACGACAGTCAGTATACACATCCTGCGACTGTATGTGTTCCGGATACATACACTCTCCACCAGAGTCCTCTGGCATTGCCTGACCGTCCATGTCTCGATAGGAGCCGGCACGTTCACGGATCGGGTAGCGAGTAGCCGCGTCCATGCCGGCGGTGTTGTGGTGTTGTCGGCAGAAGAGGGGCAATTGAAACCAGGTCTCGGATTGTGACCTTCAATGTCCCACGAACTCCCAACTGCTTCCAAGTCTGTGGCTGTTCCACGCGCTCGACTGCCTCCCCAATGATACTCTCCGCAGATCGGCTCAGGACTATCGCGGCCGAGTTGTACGTCGCTCCAGCATGGCTTGTGGAAGGGAGATGTCGCTTTGTATATCCTCAGGTCATATCTCAGCTCCGGCTGGATCAAGGAGCCATGTCACACCGCCGGTCGCGATGTGTAGTATACCGGTTCGAGTGGCGGTAGTTATGATGGTGTTGGTTGGACCAGAGTGTCCACGAGGGTCTCTCCCCCGGCGTGGAGAGTCGACAGTAGGAAGGGTATCTCTCAGTAGCGCACAGACCGTGGTCGTTGCTCGGGCGCAAGCACCACGCTCAAGCCTCAGGGCAATCTGGATTTGGCGCAATCGTCTCTCCTTGACCCCTGTCTGAATCGCCGCCACCACTTGACTTGGTTGCTGACAACACGTCCACTATCAGATAGCAGACTTCCGTCTCAATTGGTTGTACATGAGTTCATCCTCCTCCTACCTCATGCCTGCGGTGCTGCAAGCTCGCCCGGCAACGACGGCTCGCCGGGATGCACCCCTGAGCCCCCGCGATTAAGGTTGGCGGCAGACAGGGCGATCATCCCACTTCCGTCTTCAATTCCGCACCTCACCACTACCACTACTCATGTCCATTTCCACCCCCTCCGCCCCGCCATGCCTCGCGACCCCCTCATCGCCCTCGTCGGCAAGCCCTCTTCCGGCAAATCCACCACCCTCAACAGCCTGACCGACACCACCGCCAAAGTAGGTGCGCCAGCCTGGCCGTGAGCCTCCCCCCACCAACACTTATCTAACTCATCTAAAGGCAATTTTCCATTCACCACTATCGATCCGAACAGAGCGGTAGGCTATCTGCACATCCCCTGCGCATGCTCCCGCACAATACTCCCCGGCAACACCCCGCCTTCGCCGTCAGATCCTCCGCCGCTGCAGACCAGATGTAAGCCCAACTACGGCGCATGCCAGAAAGGCACGCGCTCGGTGCCCATAGAGCTGCTGGATGTCGCTGGCTTGGTGCCTGGAGCGCATCAGGGAAAGGGATTGGGGAATAAATTCCTGGACGACCTCCGCCATGCCGACGCCCTCATTCACGTGGTAGATGTTAGCGGGACTACAGACCAAGAAGGCAAGGCCACCCGCGGCTACGATCCCAGTGTCGACATCGCCTGGCTGCGCGACGAGATCGTGAGGTGGGTATTTGGCAACCTCATGCAAAAATGGGGTGGCGTCAAACGCCGCCATACCGCCATTAAAGCAACAGCAGTCGAGACATTGCAAGGCCAATTCTCCGGCTACGGCGCCAACAGCGCCATCATCGCCCGCACCCTCGACCGTCTCGCCCTCAAACAACCGCTGCAAGACTGGGACGACGCGACCATCCAACTCGTCGTGGAAGCCTTCGTCGATGAAAAATTCCCTACAGTAATCGCGCTGAACAAAATCGACCACCCAGACGCCGATAAGAATATATCCAAAATCGCCAAGCAGCAACCGCCCGAACGACTGGTGCTGTGCTCCGCCATCTCCGAAGTCTTCCTGCGGAGACTGGTGAAGCAGGGGTTCGTGCAATACATCCCCGGCTCTGAGTTCGTCGACACGAGGGAGGATTTGCTCGACAACGGCGATTCACCCGATCAAGTCGACTTGAAGGAACTAGATGAAAAACTCAAAACCCGCATCGAGAATCTCAAAGACATGGTCCTCTTCCGCTTCGGCAGCACCGGCGTCAACCAAGTCCTGTCCCGCGCTTCAGAAGTGCTGGGTCTAGTCCCCGTCTTCCCCGTGCGGAACATCGGCTCCTTTGGCAGCGGGGAGGCGGGCTCAGGGGGCGATCGAGCGGCGGTTTTCAGGGATTGTGTGTTGGTGCGGAAGGGCAGTACGGTGGGGGATGTGTATCGGAAGGTCATGGGGGATGCGCCGTTGGCTTTTACCGAGACGGTGGGGGGTGTGCGGGTGGGGGAGGATGAGGTGGTGGGGGTGGGGAGGAATGATGTGAGTACTCCGTTAGCACATGGGGTGATACCTTGACTGACCAGAGTTGCAGATATTGAGTTTCAAGGTCGGTCGTGGGTGATGTCTTTCTGACGAAATACTGCCGCGTACCATCGGAGACAATGGAGCCGGTCCGAGCTCAATAGGTTCAGACATGTAAGCCTCGAACGGGTGTTGAAGAGACAATCCGAGACGACGCGAAGCAAGACACGACTGTCTCGTCGAAGTTCCCAGTCTCGAATACCAAGACCACCGAAGCGTAGAACGACATAAGTAACAAGCATTCGACTTCACCACAATTTGTTCCATTCTCAGTAGACAATCCACCATTCTACCTCTCCTCAATTCGAAGCTGGTCTTCAATCCCCCGCCCCCCTTGCCAACTCACCATCCAGCACTACTCCGCACACCAACACCGCCCACACCATCAACCACACTCTAACCCATCCAAAACCAAACAATGTCCCCCTCGAACCGCAACAAGCGAAACCACAAACACTGCCTCCGGACCTTCCTACCCACAACCCCCTTCATCGACCCATCTCCCGCACCCGTGCCTTCGATTCCCTCGCCGCCTTTTGCCGTTCCGTCGCCGCCGTTGACGCCGCCGCCTTTTGCGAGGGTGGGGCGTGTTTGCAAGAGTGGTGTGGGAGGGTCACCAAGATGGAAGGATCCTTTCTCGAGCAAACAATCCGCCTGGGCAAAGGGAAGGCTAGGCGTGGAGGCGGATTTGGGCTGCTGTGGGGAGAGGGAGGGGGTGTAGGAGGGTGTCTCGCCGTTGACGGCACCGCACATTCACTGGGACACGGATGGGGATGAGGAGGCGGTATATCATCTACCTGCAGATCTTCTGGATAGCCCGGTTCTTCCCTCCTCCGCTGACGACGGCGGGTATGGTGGGGGGCTCACTACGCTGATGCGCGGTTGCTGCATGCTGTGCGATATCTAGAACCGATTCGAGACCGCTGCGTCTACATTGGCGCACGTGCTCGGTTCGGCTTGTTCGGCTTGCTCGACTCCATGGACACCAGGCTTTGATCTCGGTTTCGTCTCTGGTAGTGGCTACGAGCACGGCTTCAGTGGCCATCTCGGACAATACGCCAGAGGCGCGGGGGTGGAGATGGGGATCGAGAGTCCGCTGGCTAGTTTTACAGTCATGGCGTCGCCGCCTTTCTTTGCCGCACTTCAGGATGCTGGCTCCCATAAGACTGGGCTGCCGTATCCGTGCTCGCCTTGGGTGGACTCCCCGTTTCCTGATGTGCTCTTCCCATCGGTTTCGCCTTCTCCGGCGACCACGATCCCCAGGATGCCGGCATGGTATGAGCATTGCTTCGGCCGTTGGGGCGTTGCGGAGTGGACTACAGCATTACCTGGAACCAACGAGAAAGACTTTGCGGTCTATCACGTTTCACTCGACACCCGCGCCCCGAAGCAGGAGCAGACCCGGCAGACCCAGCCGGAAGATCAGCCAGCTGCCACAACCGCCACTCCAACCCTGCCAGACTCTCCTTCGCCCGCGTCATCCCCGAAGTCAACCTCGGCCGCAAGCTCACCGACCTACACCACTCCAATGCCATCCCGTCGCAACCTCCCCAGGCCCCTTCACCTCCGCACCATGAGCGCCACGAACATCAGCAGCAACACCGACAGCAATGGGGGTGATGAAACGCTACACACACCACTGACATGGCACCGTCCAGCTTCGCCGTGGAGTCTTTCGCCGGATGGGGAATATCAGGAACGATATCTGCGAGCGCTAAGGATGTCGAGGGACGTTGATGCTGCGCTGGCGGGGGAGGATGAGAGTTTGTGATGGTTGTGGTACTGGGAACCAGACGAGGTATCATAAGGATAGGTCAAGCGTGGTAGGGGGGTAGATGTACGACTGCTTGATGTGTTTCTCTGACATTTCAAACAGTAGTTCATGGGCTAGACAACGATGTATTCTTCGAGCTCATTGCAAATCCTCGCATCCCATAGGAGCCACGGCATCGCATCTTCCAGAGTGCCTGCATCAGATTGGCCCTTCCGCCCGTCGGCATAAGTCAACCCGACAAGCGTGAAATAGCCATCAGAGCCATCCGCAGGCCGCAGCACGAAAAGTGCTTCGCTTCCTTCAACTCCCACAACGACGTCTTCCGCCCTCATTCCTGATGAGTCGGGCGAGAACGAGTACGGGGTGATGTCCAAGTCCGCCCATTCGGGCGACTGTTCGGGATCCCATAGTGAGTACCTTCCGACGACTTGCAACACTATAGACTTCCGAGATGCCAGCAGCTGCTGGCGAAACGATGGGTTGAGCACGACGTGAGCATTTCTGCGGGTGGCGGAGATGTTCCCAATCGTGACGCCAAGCAATCTCAGCACGTTGGGTTCAGTCTCAGACGGCGCGATACATCGTGTCGACGGTCTTGCAAAGGATTCAACCTTGGTATCGTATGGGACGCGTTGCCGTAGTGGCTGACTTAAGTTGGGGCACCAGCTCGGTAGCTCTTCGTCGTCAATTGTTCCGCCAAATGACACCCCAAACTCTTCTCCACCTGGGCCTCTCCACAAGACGGCCAGGACATCAAGGCACATGGCTATGCGTATGGCGTATCGCACAATGTCCTGGAAAACGGAACTGATTGACTTTTTGTAGTCGATCACAAGGAATGGGCGTCGTGCGAACGGCTTCAGTTTGTTGGCCGACTTTATGCAACCGGTTTCCAATGCTTGTTCCCCTCCGCAGACCTCTCCCATCGCTGTTATGGCATATACTCGATCGCGCGGTTCGCTACATTCGCTTCCCGCGGTGGACCACAATGCTCTGGCAAGAGCCTCTGAGGGAAGTATCACCAATGACTTACCGCCAGATTCGTAGGTGGTCTTTAGTCTCGTGACTCGCTGCGTTTTCGGCTCATCCAAGCTGCGGAAGGGATCCTCAGAGGAACTCTGGCTGTGTGATTCTCCACAGCGCGCAGCAGTCTGCTGTCCCATGAGCTCAAAGAGCCTTCCCATCCTTTGAAGCTGTTCCCAAGAGAACTGAAAGGTTCCGCAACGAAATTCTAGCTCATTTGCAGCCCACACTTCTTGCTTGATCCACAGCCTTTTGAACCATGATCGTGACAGAATGTCGCGGCTGCCAGTGACAGCGGACGTCTGGTGCGTTTCGCACATATTCTGGAGCACCTGCTCGTGGTGTGTGTTACGCAACTTCTCGGTGATGGTGGGTTTCCAGCCATCTGAAAGCATGACGGTTCGGAAAGCCGAGTTGTCGGTCCAGGAAGCTAGACTGGTCCAGCGAAGGGCCGTCCAGGTGTCATGTGCATGACGTCCCAGCCATGCTATAACTCTATGTGCTCGTCCGAATATCTCCGTCATCTTCCGGACCTGCCGCGCCCGTTCTCGCACGTCTGTTTGATTGATACAGAGAGCATCCACCCAGAGCAACCTCGCTTCCTTTGCTCGCCGCAAGTGCTGCAGAGCCTCATACAGATTGGCAGTAACGGGATATAGCACTCCATTGCAACGTATGGCCCGGCCTCCTGTCGATCCCCAGCAATAGGATAGCGCTTCATACTGTATCTCAAGTCCGGTCCCCCGAACCGTCAAGCGCCGAAAGCGACTGTCGCAGTCAACGACAAGGAGCTCGCAAGACAACGAGCTCGAAGTCTTCCTGCATGGCAACTTCAATATTCGGATCAGGGAGTCGGCGATGGGACTGTATAGCTGATTCGCCTGCGTCCGTGGGTCCAAGGCTCCCGGTTCGCAAGAGTCTCCTGCAAGTAAGGCTGCGCAGTTTGTTTGGACGTCCTTCGTTTTGCACAGCAGGCAATTCGAACCGGACTGTAGGTTCTGGGCGGTAGGATCCATTGGCACGAGTACATCGTTGCTCGGGTGTCTGCTAGGAATAGCAAAAGGAGTGTCAACTTTGGAGAGGGGATCGTCTTGTAGATACTGCTGTGGAAGCACAGCCCCGACAAGGCTGCGAGCAAATGGCAAGGCTGCAACCCCAAGCCACCATGCAGCATGATCTCATACCACCTTGAAATGCTTGAGCTCGCCAGCCTCTTCCGCTTGATGCAGAAGCAGTCGCAGCGAGGGTTCCAGGCCTTCGGCTTGTTCGACGTTAGTGGGCTCCGTGAGGTATGTCAACCCCACGAAACTGGTGACCAGTTTAGCATGGTCCACCGGACGAAGGACAAACAATGCCGCGCTGCCCTCTACAAGAACCAGGCGATCGTTGATGTCGAGGGTCCTTGGTGAAGGATCGTGGTCGTGCAGCCATTGATGGACGTCCCAATCGCCTGTCTTGGGCTCCAACGGCACTGTTTCGACGCTAGATATCGGTGCACCCCACGGAGGTGATACCATGGCCTCTTGAATCCCCTTCGCTAATGCAATACCGAACCAGCTGCGTAGAAACAATCGGTGAGGGTGGTCTTGATCGCCTTGCACGCCGCCGATGATGACCCCTTGTATGTTCAAGATGCCCGGCTGCTCTATTGTCGTCTGAAGAGACAAATGCGCCCACTGACGTCTATAGCCAGCGTTAGCTGTGGGTCGGCAGACCCAACTAAGGGCCAAATTCGGACACCAACTAGGCAGGGCAGCATCACCAATGCTCCCGCCGAAGACAACACCAACACCTTTGTTGGCAGTTCCAGCCCATAACACGGAAAAGATGCGCAAGCCTCCTTGCTCCTTGATCGAGTATTCCATAGCGTCTTGCATGATCTGGAGAGGCGATCGAGTGTAATCCACGACAAGGTTTGCTTCGTCAGGAAAACTCGCTTTTGTGGATTTGGCCGCTGGGAATTGCACCATGCCCAAGAGCCCGTATATGCGATCACGCGGGTCGCCACACTCACTGCCAGCAGCGACGTGCATCGCACTGGCTAAAGTATGCCTGTTGAAATCTGGCATGTTGTCGAATGGGTTGGGCAAGAACGAATCGTTGTTATGCATGACAGGGTAGTGACGTGCTCGCCTGACTCGCTTCGAAGATGCATATCCAGCAGCGGCGTGAGCGAGCGCTGACCGAGAGAGCTGCCATGGGCCACAAACAAATCTGAGATGATCTTTGCCAGCAGCAACGGCCTCCTGCTTGATCCAGAGCCGTCGAAACCACGGACGACCCAGCATTTCGCCGAGCCCGCTCTTTACCACGTTCTTGTGCTTCTCACACGTGCGATCCCACTCTATTGACCTCTTTTCAACTCGTGAGAGGCAGACGACAGCCGCTTCAGTATTCTCCGCAGCGTCTCCAAGCCATGCGACGACCGTGCGAGCGGATCCAAAGATCAAGCCCATGTTCCGAATCTGCTGAGAGCGCTCTTTGAGATCTGTTTGGTTTATGCAGAGATAGTCCACCCATAGTAACTTTGTCGTGTGCTCGCTGCGGATGTGCCGAAGAGCGCTGTCGAGGTTTGCTGTGATGGGATAGACCACTCCATCGCACTCAATCGATTCGGTAAATACTGGCTGGCCCCAGCAGTATGACAAGGCGTCGAAGGAAGCATTGTGCTGGAATGGGGCAAGATCACTGCACTCGCGGGTGTAGAGCTGGCTTCGTAATGGACCGTCGAAGCTGCCAGGCAGTATTCCAAGGACCCGATACTGGGAGTCGCTGAGAGGGGCGTATATCTGATCGGCCTGGCGTACTCTGTGATGAAGCAGGTCACTGTTGGATCGTTCTCGATCAGTCGCGGCGCGTTCGTCCAAGGTGCTATACTTCCGCCGATTCTCCGAGTCGCGGAGGACGTCAGCAAAAAGTGCAAAGTGACCTGCATTGGAGCGACGTCCCTCCTCGTGCATGCATACCGCGCAATCCCAGGCAGGCGAACGATGTCGACCGTAGGAGTCCATTTGGGTTTGCGTTCTCAGCTTGCACGAGTGGTAATGATAGCGGGGATGACCGAGAACTCTCGACCTCATGAGTGTTAGACTGCGGGAGAGTGTTCGGGGGCGATAATAGAAGTTTTGTAGACGACAAGCTACACAGCCTCCAGAGGAAGGCTCAGAAAAGCTTGGCCCAGCCTCGTCGTCTGCATCAGCAGACAGGATCTGCAGCATGACCTCACCGTGCACCTCTGTACGTACCGCAAGCAATGCTGTACAGATGCTTTGTTGCTTGGCTGGGACTGACCGGCTCCAAACGAGTGTTTCACCTCCCCTTAACCTCCAGCCCCAACCCCCTAGCACACTTCCTCGCCAACACCATCTTCAAAAAGCGCTCCCTCCCCAGCGCTCTCATCTGCCGCACAAAATCATGCCCACTCACCCTCCCCCGATCCACAGCCCTCTGCAACACGTACATCGCCTCCCGACACGCAGCCTCCTCTGCACAAAGCGTCCAAAGCTGATTCGCGACCATCGTAGGCGCGATCAGGACATCATCAATAGGCGGGAGCGGCTTGGTCTTTGCTGTAGAGATAGTGCGGTCGCAGTCTTGGATGGCGCGGCGGAGGATGGATTCGTTCGATGCGAGAGTTTGGTCGAGTTGGTCGAGCTGTCGGATCTCGGTTTCGAGGCGGTCTTGAGCGGCGCGGAGGGCTTGTTGTTGGGCTTGGAGAGGAGCCATGGCGGAGAGGCTTTGGTTGACATTTTGTTGTGCTTGTTGGACGAGGGAGGCGGAGATGGCGTGGAGGAGGTGTTCTTTCTCTGGGTTGGGCGGGATGGGTGGTGCTGGAGCTTGAGATCCTGGTGACGGCCCTGATAATGCGATGTCAAAGGGATCCGAAAGGAGGTCTGGCGGTGGCTGCTTCTTCGGTTGTGGTTTTTGCTGTGGCGGATATTGCTGGGGGTACGGCTGCTGAGGAGGGTATTGTTGCGGATGTTGTGGGTGATGATGCATTGCTTGCGGCTGGGGAGGATACTGGGAGTACTGTTGTTGGGGTAGTTGTGGGCCTGGTGGCTGGCGATACTGATGCGGCGGCACCTGTTGTTGCGGTATCGATCTTGGTTGAGCGAGCTCAGAATACCCGTTGATAGGTGACACCGGAGACACAGGACTTGGATCATAGCCTGGTCGCTGAGGCTGATGTGGTGGTTGCTGGAGACCTTGCTGCACAGGTATTGGCGGGAGCGGCGGACCAGAGAGCCTTCCACTCCGATGCTGATCTGGAGGTATCGCAGGAGGTACTGGTTGCAGAGGACCGCCATATCCAGGTTGATATCCGCTAGACGGCGTCACATACTGGCCGCTTTGCTGGCGCTCGTGAGGTAGAGGAGGCAGCGGCGGACCACCATTCGATGCTTGCCTCGAAGATGTCCGCGCAGGATAAGCAGCCGTAGGCTCCTCACCTGGTTTAGGTGGCCTCGGAGGCGGCGTTTCCGTCTCTACCGGCGCTGCACTCCCTATCCTCTGTTTCGGCGGCAAAGAAGGCGGAGCGGGACTCGCGCCAGGCTGCTGCTGCTGTTGCGACTGCCCGATAGGTCGCTGATACTGCTGCTGCTGCGCTCGACTAATAACCGGCGGCTCCTTCGCAAAAGCCTGCTGCAGATACTCCAAGAACTCAGCAATACTCGCCCTATCCCAAATCCTGCCCCAGTCCGCAAGGTACGGGTGGTATACCCTCCCATCCACGCTCACATGCTGTCCGGGTCGTATCACCATGTCCTGGCCAGGTATTACGTAGGCCATTGGAGGCTCTTGTGGGTATGATTGTGGAACCCATAGCTGGATTGGAAATCTGTAGGTGCTGCCGCGGAAATTGACAGGTAGGGTTCCTGCTAGCGTGAGGAGGAGCGCAGAGCTGCCGTTGTCGTAGTTGTAGACTTCGGTTCGCGGGCTGAGCGTTGGGTATGCGGTGAGGGTTCGGACAGCGTCTGAGTAGGCTCGTTGAGGGTCTTGATACTCCTGGAGATTATGTTAGTATCCGCGTAAGTATCATGGAATATAAGCACACATGTAGGACTCGGTATAACCAGGCAAGCACTTTCTCGGGGATTTGCGCCATTGTCGCTCTTGAAGAGATTGCTCAGCGCGCTCAAGCAGTAGGAGAGAATAGCATCGCATCAAGAGGCCCTCGCAATCGTCAGCTCTTAACTCATCATATCGTTAATGTCGTCACACGAGCTGGTAAAAGTGGTGTTCTTCAAGCCTGCCCGCCAAGTGTGGAGGTGAGGTCAAGACGCGACTTCACGATGCATGGTCTGTGGCCATTCTCAACCACAACGCCTTTTTGCACGACATACTAGCTATTCAGAAGGCAGGCTTCGAGCGGAGAACCGCGAGTAGCAAGCTGAAGTACTCCATACAAGTCCTACACCCGCTGTGTAAGGCAAGGGAACACACGGCAGGTCAGATTTACATGTGACATCGACAACGACAACTCAATGGAAAGCCAGGAAGCCATATGAGAGAACACTAACATTAGCTTCAAAAGACATTATGTACAAATTCAGCAAGCTGCTACGCCTTTTCCACGCTCGAGTAACTGCCGCAGTTGTAGACCCTCCTCAGCGCCAGATCCACTTCGCTAATACCCAGAGTCGACAGTAGCAGTTGCAATCTCCCACTTGGTCATGTTGTCGTCGCCTTTCGAAGCCTCCGCAGCGATCGAGCCGCTAAGACTGGTACTAAAACTTCAAGCACGAGAGATAAGAGAGGTTCGCAGCTGTGCAAGCACTCGGTCGGCATCGACGCGGCGGGTGTTTCGCAACTTCCAGGAAAGCGACCGGCTCGAACGGCGAGTCAAGACGAATGTCGCGCAAAAACAATCAAAGCATGGTCGAGCAGGATCGACAGCGGCGGACCAGCCAGCACAGCCAGTGCGGATTTGCTGGAGAGGTGTCGTCGCGTGTCGATCTGAGAAACCGAGAATATGCACCGGGTATCATTGTACAGTCCATTCGTCGTGAGGGTTAAGAGATGCTTGGAGCACGCCAGAAGAATATGCCGTTCGAAGGATAGCGTGCTGGAAGTGTCTTTGCTTGACCGCTCTATGAGAAGACGAAGGTTGCTGTGCCCGAGCTGATAGATACCTGCAATATAATGTTAGCGGTGAGAGTGTCTAAAGATGTGGTATTACTTACGGTGCATCCCGTGTCGCTGCTGCAGTCGTCGTAGTTGGCGCCACCGCAGTATTGGCCGTTGTGGTACTTGCAGGTTCCGCTGACGCCGTCGCCGATGATCTCAACGCTGAAGTCGAGCTTGACATCCGTGGTTGGCGAGTTCTGGAAGATGGACAACCATGCGGCGCCGTTGCTGTAGCCGACACCAAGGTTGAGCGGTGCGTAGTTGCCCCATGGGTTGCCTGCGCTGCCCCATTGGCATCCGTTCTCGACAGACACACCCGCTGGGTTGACGTAGTACTGCGCAGAGGTGTGAGATCCCTGCCACATGTAGTAGCTGTCGGCGTCAGGGCAGGTCAGAGGGCTGGTCGAGCCGGGCTGGGCGTCGAGTGGCACAGTCTCGGCCTCAGTGCCGGGGTAGTCAGTACGGCAGACAGCGACTTGCTCTCCGAGTGTGTTCTTCACTTGGATGTCGACTTGGCTGGCGCCCTTCATGCAGAGGGTGTTGGAGAGTTTGGAATTGGTTAGCTGGAGCTTGCCACCCTTGCACTGCAGACCGCCGATTGACTGTCCGGTAGAACCCTGAGTCTCGGGCCATTGCGACTTCTGGTAGCCAGGTGGGCAGGCGTAGGAGCAGAAGGAACCTTCGTTGCAGCCTCCGTCGGTTGCAGTGTGGATGTCGCCATAGCCACCAGACGACGAGCCAGGAGTCTGAATACCGATCCAGCCGCCAAGGTTCATCCAGTTGACTGGCACTGCACCGTACTGAGAGGGGAACTCGTCACAGCTCATCTCGCCGCTCGGGAAGGGCGTGTCGACACCCTCGCCGCTGCTGCTCCAGGGGCTGCCAGAAGGTGGGCCGGATGGGTAATCGCTTGGCGGGCCATGAGGCTTACCATGGGGTGGACCGTGTGATGGGCCGTGTGGCATTTGCATCGCCTCTGGGATGGATGAGGGCATTTCGTACGAAGCCGGGGCCACTGAGGAGGTCGCAGGTGGTGGCGACGCAGAGGTTGTCGTCTTGGGCGCGGAAGGCTTCTCGGCCAGACCACCGTTTGCCCACACAAGAGTGCCGTTTGCGATGCCCTGCTGCACTTCGTCGGCGGAGATTGATTCGCCATCCAGGATGTAGGCGACAACGGTAGGTCCAGGGACGATCTCGACATCAGTCGTCACGTCACGCTTGTGGAGGTGCTGGTGGTTGTGTCCAACGTGCGGCACTGCCGTCGCCACAGACACGGCTGCGGTGAGCAGCGCGATAGTGACCTTCATTGTAAAGATAGATATATCCCGGTAGAGTGGATATACTTTGAGCAAACGTCGAGTTTAACTTTCAGGCCGGCTGCGCAATGCGATGAAGATGGCGGGTGCTGTTCGGTCTCGTGATAGTCCGGCGAGGTCGACTGGTAAACAATGGAAGCTGTTTCGCGTGCTGAGGGTGTGTCGTTAGTCGCTGCGAAGTCCTTGTCGCGCGGTCGCAATAGTCTCGTGACTGGTCTGCTGCTGTTCGTGGTGCTAAGAGGCTAGGTCTTGGGCGCGCGTGAGTGGTGAAAGAATGTGAGCTGTGTTGTGGTGTGCTAACGTGATTCCAAGGAGTGAATTGGAGTCTAAAGCTCCAGGTGGAATGGCTTAGGATGGCGAGGGGGATGCTGAGTGCACGATATCACAGCATGTGTGTGTCGGTGTTGTCGCGATGCATGCAGGGAAGAAGAGAGAGACGGCGAGAGGGAGAGGAGGAAGATGATCCATGCCACGGTTTGCGGCTACCCCTAGCGCCGACCATTAGCCTCCCAAGCGAGATGAGCGCGCAGGCGTGCGAGCAGCAAACACATGCGCACAGACGCACCAGGCAAATCACTCGAATATCACAAGCGCCTGTCCTCCTCCTATCGCCCGCTGCCATCTTCCTACGAGAGATTGCTATATCACATCGTCGCTTCCTGCTGACGAGCGAGGGATCTACAGCTGTCTAGCCAACTACACCCCAGCACCACCATCACTTCAACAGTCTGATAAGTGAAGACGACCGCGATAGCAGGACACAACTCGACGGCGCCAATCCCATGCTCTGCTCAGCCATGCTGCCAGCGTTCAGCTTCCACAAACAAGCAGTCTGGTACGTTGGCAAACCATTTCACATGCTCCACAGTCGAGTCTCGCAATCTGTGCTACCGCTCCTGGCAACACGACCCCCTCTCTGTCCTCCTGAAGGCCAAGGAGGACGTGGAGGAGGTTGGGGTCTTGGTGGTCGAGCCAACAGACCTCTCGGACCTGATCACTCGAGAGGCAAAGCGTGGGAGTAGGCGTCAACGGCGTCTTCCTCATCCTTGTGCCCATCGGCGTACCTTGCAGTAGTGCCATTTAGCATTCGGCCAAGCTTTTCGTCGAGATCAGGGCAAAAGTTCTCGCCCTGCATTCCGCAGACGAAGGGAAAACAAACATCTCCTGCACTTCATTGCAAGCACGCGACTCTGGATCGATCGAGAACAAGCCGCAGCTCTGACATCACGTTGCATTCGAGGTATGTAGCGAGATACTCTGACTTGTTCCTGGCGAACAGTTGCACAGCGTCGAGAAGAGGATGTCGTGCTCCATTGGTGCTATTTTAAATCAGCCAAGCGCTGGTCGAGAATCTCAGATCGGCCTCAACCTGCGCGACCGTTTCTCCAGCGGAAATGAGACCCTGCCGTGTTGATCATCATAGCTGCAGCAGCAATTGCGAAAGCATAGGTCACCAAAGATGAGTTGGCCTTCCATGCACGTATAGCAACCTTTTCTATAATCACCGTATCTGTTCGTTATCTAATGAAGCAGCTCGTCTCCTACTGGGCAAGCCACAGCACTTTGACTCAAGAAATAGGCGCAATCTCCCGGCGGCCACTAGCTCCAAGGTCCCAAGCACCAAGACCGACTACACCTCCTGCCCAGCGGTGCTATGATAGCGAAACGGCGATCACCACGCCGCACGTCTTGTTTGCTGCATGCTGTTTGCGGGAAGTGGTCGGCGGCAGATATCTTCGGTAAGCCGTTGCCTTGCTGGCTCTCACCTTGAGCAGAGACAAGTACATACTGTTATGGCGATTACGGTGATTACGGTACAGTAGACAGCTTATCACTGCTGTCATTCTCCTCACAGCTCGCCACTGGTTGCAGGAACCATTGTGATCTATCGAAAAGCCCACCTCGAATTTCAGAGGCTGCAGTCTGTAGTAATGAAGGGTGGGAGCCTGTTGGTGGAGTCCATTGCGGTGAATACGGAACCGTTGAAGATCCAAGAGTTGAGGAGTCGCATCTGCTTTTCGCTCGAGGCATCAGGACGGCAACGACAATACTCCCTAGAATCGTAGACAGCTGAAGATTTCAATTCTGTCGGGCAAAGAGTACATGATATTCTGTAAACCCTGACAAGAAGCAGCTCGCATCCTCACAACTCCTGATGCGCCCTGTCTTCCAGTACCAAATCAGCCTCACTATCTCCCGGACCAGTTGCACTGCCATCTACCTACACTTGCGTCTTCAACACCGCCTCCCCCGGCATCACACTCTCCCCCTGCCCCTTGATCGCCCCATTATGCGCCTCAGCAATCATCCCATACGCCGGATAATACTTCGCCAACCACGGCAGCACCGTCTGCGCACCCGGCGTGTGTCTCCAATCGCGCATCAGATCGCAGACAATGGCGAACAGGCTGACGATGTTGACGCCGGCGCGCGCCATCTGGTCGTTGGCCGTGTTGCGGATGAGCTCGGTCGTCGTGCCCGAGGCCTCGACGTTGGCCCAGACGGAGTAGCCTTCGGCGCGGAGGGAGAGGGCGAGAAAAGCCGTGCCTACGAGCTTTTGTGTGAACTTCGGGGCTTCGTGTGTGGTGAGATCAGGTGGAAGAGTGGGTACGTACAGACGTCTGTGACGAGACCGCCGACGATGATCTGCTTCTTGCCCGTCGATTTCACAGCTTCGCGGAACTCCTCGTTGTCCCAGGCATCGACTTCGCCGTGGCGTTGGATGAGTGGCGCATCTGGGTACCTTCAGGTGATGATCAGCACTGCGCCCCTAGATATCCTTCCTGCACCGGATGTACTCACATATCCAAAATCGCCTTCGGCAACACGCCATTCGGCCCCTCCTGAGCAGACGTGGTCATGACCACAGGAATGTCAAACAGCTGGCCCAGAGCCGAATGAGCCATCATCGCATTGTGGTAGACGTTTGGGTCAAAGTCGCGAGCGAGGCCGTAGAGACCAACCTGCAAGTCGAGGATAAGCAGCATCGAGTCGTTCTTATTGAGGCGCTCCCATGGTACTGCATCACCCAGGGCGGTTGTGAGGAAGGTCGCTGCGGCGAAGACGGTGGCTGTGAAGGACTTCATGTTGGATGGTTTATCTTGGGAAGCGGAGGTGGTATCGTGGATATGTCAGACCTGCGGACGAGGGTATCGTTATATACATCTTTCCCGGGCCTGAGCATCCTGTACGCGCAGCAGCAAACAATTCTTCTCGCCGCTAAAGCAGAGTCGCTGAATCATCAGTGCAGAGATTGACGGTGAACCACTTAGCCAAAGCGGAGCCGCCTCGAAAATGTCGATGGGAGCTGTGGAACGGCAAAGTCCTTCCAGTCAAGTAATGAGAATATCCAGTCATCTTACGGTAGAGAGACGCATTGTTTGTCGAAGGCGGTGTAGGTACACGCCCACGAACTGTCATCCTACCTCAGCAATGAGGTAAGCCTTGGCGCATGAGAGCTCCACCAGTGCAGCTCGTGATGCAAGACACGCGACTGCGATGTATATTTGTGTCGATAGCTCCCGAGTGCGAATTGTAAGGCTCTAGATGGGGCGAAAGTTGCAAGTGACCAGTGAGCTTGTTGATGACTTGAATGACCCGACCACTTCAGCAGACAAACAGTCGTCGCCAGCATCTCCCCATCGTCCAACAGGCGTACCACGAACGTTAGCTCCAATACTACCAGGCGTAAGCGCTCGATGGCTGCGAGAATGGAGGGCAGAAGGACTTCCGGGTGTAGTCCGTGGCATCAGGTACAGCTCCTCGCGTTCTTCCAGGCTTTGCAGCCCATCGAGGGCTCCGGAACTTGGAGAATGTCGCAGGGCCCAACATGAAAGCCTCGTCAAGGTAGAGTCTTGTTCGTTCAGAGAGCCTGGCTTCGTGAAGATGAGACACGTTCGTAGATCTCAGAACTCAGATACGTCTGTTTTGACGGAGCGGAACCTAGAATTGCTGAAGTGGTCTGGCCGTTGGGTAACAGTCCGCAAGACGTCCAGATACGGAGATCCCCATATGGCATGACTATGCTCGTGCCTGCTCACGAGGCCGAGGGTGTGCTCAAAGGTAATGTCCTCAAGACAGCTTAATCCTCCACCCCCTACACACATACCCACCCACAAACTTCCCAACCACAGCACCCCCATACATCCCCGCCACAATCGTAACCGGCCACTTCTGCCACTCCCGGTCCCAATCTAACGGTATCGGAATCGCGCCCACCCACGCTCCCATACAAGCGCCCAAACTCATCCCCACCAGCTCGTCTACAGGTAACTGTAGGCTCACAATCTTGTACCATGCCTGCGCTTCCAGTCCATGCGCGTAGTAGAGTTGCGGCGTCGTCAGGAGGGCAAAGTGGAGCGCGAGGAGGATGGTGTGGGGTTGATGGGTGGTGAGGGGGGCGCCGAAGAGGATGAGGGTGATGTAGAGGATTGGGGTGGAGAGGAAGAGGGTTAGGAGGAGGGAGAGGAAGGCTGGCTGTTGTAGGACGTTTAGTACAGTAGCTGGAGCTATAGGGGAGTTGGGCAACGTACAACTGCTTTGGCCCAGGCATCCTGTGCGGGTTTTGCTTGCTTCTTCTTCTGCCCGGGCTTTTGAGGAGGCGCTGGTGCTTGGTTCGTGGATGGTAGACAGAGCACGCAGTAGAGGGCCTGGAGGATCGTGACCGTCGGCGCCAGGCCTAGAAGTGTATTGACCGGATCTCGCACCAATGTCTTGAAGCTGAAGAGGAGGATGGAGAGCAGCAGGATGGGGTGGAGGTTGGAGTAGAGAAGCGACGGCTGCGTCTGGAGAATGTCAACGGGTTTGGAGGGAGGCGTGCTAAGCGGCGCTTTGCCGTTGGAAGTCGGAGTAGACATTGTGGGCTGTTGACATGTGACAGTCAGTCAATGCGAATTGATGTTGACAGCTGCAAGTCGAGATCCGGGTAAAATGAGGACACCTCAAAGCTTGATTTAGCCGCACCATCATCAGACTGCCACTTTGGGAAGGTACTGGTAGAAAAAGTCCGTCATCATGGCAGCTCAAAGCAGACTCCGCACGAGGTGAGAATGTAGTACAGAGCAGTATAGATAGGTGATAACTTCTTCCGGTTTCCTGCTCCGACACCACTTTCAATTCATCAGAGCACCACCAGTGTTCCCAACATCCCACCCAAGGAACACTCCCTCAAGGCCAGCACCCCTACAATGCCCGTCTACTGCGTAACAGGAGCCAATCGAGGCCTCGGTCTCGAGTTCGTCCGCCAAATCGCTCTAGACTCCTCCAACACCGTCCTCGCCACCACGCGAGCCAACGCCGACACCAGCGACCTCAAGAAAGCCTCATCCTCAAACACTCACATCCTCGAGTGCGATGTATCCGACACCAAGTCCATCTCCTCCTTCGCTTCCCAAGCATCCAAGACCCTGAACGGCGGAAAGATCGATTATTTGATAGCAAACGCAGGCGTCAACTCTGTCCCTCACCAGACATGTCTGGATATCAACGCCAGTGACCTGCACCGGGAGCTTGACATCAATGTGATGGGACCAGCAAATCTTACCGCTATCCTGCTGGAGAACTCCCTTTTGGCGTCCAATGCGCGGGTTATGAATATGACTTCTGGACTTGGGAGCATGACCAGGTCTCTTGGGATCTCGCCGCGGAAGTGTGCCACGTATTCGATCTCCAAGGCGGGAGTGAACATGTTGACTGTGCATCAGAGTGGTGTGTTGAGGGAGAAGTTGGGAGAAAAGTGTATAGTGATGTGTATGGATCCTGGCTGGGTGAAGACGCGGATGGGTGGGGATGGAGCGATACTGGAGCCCGTAAGTACATCTCGCCTGTTGGTGATAGTTGCTGCGATGGAATTGCTGATGTCTTTTTCGTGGTACAGGAAGAGAGCATCGGAGGCATGCTGAAGGTCTTGAATGGACTGAAGGAGAAAGACAATGGGAAGTTTTACCAGTATGATGGACAGGAAGTTGGCTGGTAGAGATAAGCACATTGGATGATTCGAGGTTAGACAGCGGTAGAGACTGTTAGATTCAGATATGCCCCTGGGCGTCCTTCCATATTACGGTACTTTGGAGGTCCATCCAAAGTCGTCCATGTTGGATTGTAGGAACCAGGGGAGCTCGTTCGAGAACAGCAGCTTACCTTCAGTGAGACCTGGACCACCAACTCTCAACATCTCGATATCAACGACAACCAGTCCTGCTGTCGATGGTTCACCGCCACGCAAAACTCACACCGCTGCAGAAAGAAAGGATTCCAGCGGACTCCTCGCCGGCGTTGTACCCGCCCGCGGCTGCATCGGGCTTCCTGTTCCTGTCGCAGATCGGATCCCCGGCAGACCCCATCCCTGCTCGGATCTATTAAAAGTGGCGCGCGAAAATCTCGAAAATCTAGGCGATGAAAGGCCGGCCAACGACACCGCTCTCTTCCGCCATGCCCGTCTGTGCTTCCAAAGTCTTATCGTGAAGTTGGGGCGTTGAGAGTGAGTAGGGGTTCAGCCTGAAGACAGGTGTGTCTTGTTCGGTGAGATATAAGGGTTGCTGTGGCGGTTGGTGTTTCCTTCTTCTGAATCCACGTCCACGTCCACACATTTGAGTCGCCTCACATTCGCTTGAGCAATCACCTTCAGACTCACCTACCGAACACCACCGTTCACCGGCACATAATCCACATCCACATCGCAAACACCACACCACACTCTCTACAACATAATGTCTGCCGCCATCAAGATTGCCTCCGTGGCCTCCGGCCTCACCCTCGCTGGCTACAGCGCCCTCCACATCGCGCGCACACCAGCGCAAGAATTCTCCAAGAACTCGATGGCGATCGATCACACACTGCAGACGCAGACCTCCGGCGTTGTGCCAAAGCCAAAGCTGTAAGTAATACCACATCACGTTTGAGACAGTGCAACGAGCTGACTTTCCGCTTTTTCAGTCCATCCAACTTCGTCTCCTTCACGATTGGCGGCTACGAGTTCAAGAACGCGGCATGAGTAACGATACGGATGAATCGAGGCATACCAGAACATAGAGGATAGACCGTGGGCATATGATACCACATGAGCATTGGCGTTTGGGTCTGGATAGCATGGCGATACTTATGCATGCTTGCGTGATAATTGACAGAGCCCTGAGACAGGGTCGAGGGCTGGGCGAAGTGACCAAGTGCTGGTACTGAGCTTCAGCGGCGGAGTTCTTTCATCAAGTTCGACACATCAATGCGAACCTAACCTTTCAACTTCATCCAACCAAGCTACGTGTACCAGTTCTGAATTATTTTGAAGCCTTTCCTCCAAGCCGACACATATGGGCGTGGCGTATACGTAACAACAGGAAGTGAGGTACGACCAAACGATTCGCACACACGAGCTCCGGCTGCTCAGACGACATGTCGCTGGACCCAAAACACTCCGTGGACTACCTGAGCCAGCTCATTGCTATGCTTCGCATTGACGGCCCCAAGAGCCTGCTCGATCACTGACGAATGCCAGCAGGTACGGTTGTCAAGATCATCTTCCGGATGGCATGCGTTGTGGTTAGTGCTTCGTTCATGTACTGGCATCGACCATCGACCGTCGACCATAGGCGCTACGATTGTGGTGCCTGATGCGGCCCTCCAGCTTCTTTGGGATGACAAGACTTTGTCGACTGCTGTTGTCCTCCACCTTCCAACTGGTGCCTTGACCACCTCACGCGTCAAACAGCTCCTCAGCATTCTTAACACAGATATCCTCAATCGACACATTCTCAGCCTCGCACCACTCAAACAGCTCCTGCAAATACTGCGTTACATCCACATCTTCGAACCTCGTATGCGGCCAGTCAGTAGCAAAGACGCACCGATCCGGCCTCATCCTCAAGATATACCTAGCCAAAGACTGAACCAGCGGATGCTTCGGGTCACGATGTAACCGGTATCCAGCAGAGACCTTGACCCAAACGTTGTCCCGCTTCAGCAGCTCATCGAGCGCAGCGAACCCAGGCAGAAGCTCGCTCGACTGGGCAGTAGAAATGGACGCATCGCTCGGATGGCCGAAGTGGTCGATACAGATCTTCACATCCCCCAGCTCTGGCACTACCGGCTCAAGCAGAGGGATGTCCTCCATGGCGATGTAGATCTCCATAACCCAGTTCAGCGGCCGGACGGCTTTGGCGTACTTGTGTAGCTGTGCCGCGAGCGAGGTGGCTTCGAGCTTCGCTCCGACGCTTTTGAAGTTGAGTCGGACGCCTCGTACGCCTAGGTCGTGCCATTCGCGGAGCTGCTGTTCGTTCGCTACATCAGGGTCGAACTGGATGACTGCCCGCCCGTTTCTGGGACCTAGTTGCTTGAGCCCGTCGAGCGTGCAGCTGTTGTCGTTGCCGTAGATTGACGGCTGCACGATGACCATTTTGGTGATCCCAAGGGACGAGAGGAACGTCTGGGCTTGTTGGATGGTGTGTGGTGATGGTGTGTACTTTGCATCCTTGGAAAGCGGGAAGTTGGTTGGGTCTACGCAGTGCATGTGCGTGTCCCAAGTGCCTTTGGGTATTCGAGCGGCCAGGTTTGCCATTGCTTCTTTTGAGGGGCCATGGTGGGAAGACATTAGGCGGACTGCGTGGATATATGTATATTGGCGGACCACGGCAGCTGCATTAAATTGTCTGAGTACACTGACCGCGACAGTCGGTCGCATCATACGAGTCAGCTCGAAGGGCAAAGCAAGATCACACGGTCATCCTCTTGTTGACAAGTGAATATGGGAATGAGATACAGCCTGCTGTCAGCCACCTACGCTTTCCTACGAGCCATCAACGGCGATGTCGGCGCTGCTCATCAAGCTTCGAGGCTTTTGCGGCTCTGGAGCTTTGTCGTCCAAATAAGACTTTGAGGCCGAACCTGGACGCCTCTGCCTTTGAACGCTCATCTTGCTCAAGTTGTTTGTTGCGTTGTTGATGAAGTAGCTGACAGCTTCGTTGAGACGGAAGTGTCTTCCAAAGGATCAGAAGACCAATGCATAACGTGCACAACTTCGAGTCAGGAGCCATACGCCAACACGCCGGCGATAAGACGCCGTCGAGCTCGTTAGGCAAGTACCGAAATATTTGCTGATAAACGAGCAAACTTCGGGCAGAGATCTCCTCTGAAGACGCGGCAGAATCCTCACAAGTCGTGGCACACGTGAAGATCCCCGCACGTGGAGAGCAGTTGTGGAGACCTCCAGAGAGGAAATCTCCAATCTTCCTCCTTCGCCCACGGGGTCGGGACGTCATGCCTCCTTCACCTGCCACAGCTGCTGCTGATGGGCGGTGATTGAACAGATAGGCGTCTTACCGACCTCGGTATGGACTTCCGAGGTCATCAAAATGGTCTCTCCTCATTCCTTCTCCTTTGGACGATGTTTCTGAAGTACTTCTTCCTCCTGCATTGCTAGTACATCTGTTCTTGCTACTTGCTTGGAACAACCGCCAAGATGCTGGGTCTAGGAGGGAAGCATATTGTCAATACGTACAACCTTTTGGTCGTCATATTCGTTGCTCTAGGTTCATTTACGACGGCTTATGGACTTGCTATTATTGGATCCACGGTAGGCCAGCCAAACTGTAAGTGTTGACCGAAGCAGAGGGGCATGAAGGACGAACAATTTGACACCTTGGCTAACGCCTCACAGTTTACACCTACTTTAATCTCGCTCCTCAAGGAGAGCCCGGCTATGCACACACTACGGTAGGCTCATTCTTCTGCGGTTGCAAGGCCTGAAAACGCTGATCTCCAACGTCCTTTCAGAACCAAATCGGCGGGCTCAACGGTGTCAACTCTGCTGGAGCAATCTTAGGATGTCTGATCTCAGCTTGGACCGCGGACAAGGTACGTCTTCAACTTCCACTGCTTCGAACGACTCGTTGACGGGGACCTTCCTCTGCACAGTATAGCCGCAAGCGAACGATACAACTCGGCTGCGCCATCCTAATCGTCGGCGGTGCACTATGCGCAGGTAGCGTAAGCATTGGCATGTTCTATGCCGGCCGTGTCATTGCTGGAATTGGATCCGGCATCCTGGCCGTCGTGGTACCTATGTATCAAGGAGAAGTCGCAACGGCAGAGACCCGCGGCGCTATGATGTCTGTCACCGGAGTCATGTACGCCTTTGGATACGCGCTCGCAGGTACGGTCAGAATATTACCATGTCTGTGACATTCGCTGACCCTTCTCTTTGCAGGCTGGCTAGGGTTTGCCTGTTTCTTCTTCCCAGCCGACTCTTCAAGCGCCACGTTCGCCTGGCGGTTCCCTCTGGCCGTGCAAATCATCGCTCCGCTGATTGTCTTGTCCGGCAGCGCGTACATTCCGTTCAGTCCGCGGTGGCTCCTCAGCCAGGACAGGCGGGACGAGGCTTTTGAGGTGGTGAAGCGGTTGCACGCGAGACCGGATGATGCGGATCACATCGCCGCGAGACAAGAGTTCTACCTCATGGAGAAGCAGTACGAGATGGACAAGTCGTTCCCGCAACGACCGTTGGAGATCTTCCGCGGGAAGCCGAATCTGTATCGGTGCTTCGTTGCTTGCTTGCTGATGTGGGGAGATCAGTTTTTGGGCATCTTCGTGGGTCAAGGCATACCGTGAGATGGGACTGTCGCTGACAAGTACCAGGTGATTACCAACTACGGCGTCCTCATCTATTCATCTCTCGGACTACTCGGCTTCCGCCCGTTGCTGCTCAATGCTTGCTGGACGACCTTTACCATCATCGGCAACACGTGGACGGCTCTGTATATCGACAAGTTCGGCCGAAGGACATTCCTGCTCATCGGGGCTACCGGTTGCGTGATCTCACTCACGTTCGAGGCTGCACTTACCGCCGAGTTCCTTGGATCGTCCAATACCGCCGCACTCAATGCAGCAGGTAAGAGATACCATCGCACAAGCTGCAACACCGACAGGTGAACTAACATTTGCCATTAGTGTTTTTTATCTGGTTCTATATCATCTGGTGGTGCTTCTTCGTCGATGCTACGCAATACGTTTACGTCAGCGAGATCTGGCCAAACCACCTACGCAGCCAGGGCACTGCTCTCGGCATCGCGTTCTTCTACCTGGCCTCGGAGGTGGCTTTAGTCGCGGCACCAGTGGCTTTGAACGATATCGGGTGGAAGTGAGTATACCATATCATCGATTGTCCTTGCTCACGCTAATTGGCTCCGCAGATTCTACCTTGTCCTCATCTGTCCCTCGGTAGTCTATATTATCCTTATCTACCTCTACTTCCCGGAGACGAAGGGGAGGACGCTCGAGGAGATTGGAGCGTTATTCGGTGATGAGTCTCACGTTGCAAGCCATTGGTATGGCATCAGCGAGGAAGAGAAGCAGAAGATTGCGGAGAACGCTCTGCGGCTCACGAAGCAGTCTGGACATATCCCTCTGCCGTCTGAGGTTGAAGCCGGCCTCAACGAAGAGTCGAACAACGTGTCTGGGGCTGCTAGCGAGAAGAACGATGAGAAGGTGGATGATGCAAGAGTTGAGAGAACGGAAGATAAGGCTGTGTAGAGAGGGCGCCGAAAGTGGTTGTAGGTGACAGCATGAACGGACGATGAGCACAGCGGGCTTGTCAAAGACAGTGCCGCCGTGGCAGTAGGGTTTGATGGACATCTAGATATGCTTAGACAATAGACTCTCGCGGCTCTGAACTCAATTCCACGTGACGATGATCGACCTTCAACTGGTGACGTTCTCGATGCATCAGGCGGACCTACTTCGATCTCGTCAACCGTTTTTCACACAACACCTCATCACACGACACTCTTCAGAGACCAACAAGTACACCTAATACTCAACGCACAACAAATCAACTTAATCAAAATGGCATCTAAAACACCGTACGCCTTCACCATCCCTCCTCGCCACAACAACACACTGACCCATTTATAGTGGCGGCCAAGCAGCCTCAGCAAAATTCCAGAAGCAACAACAACAAAGTACATCCCATTCCCCCAACTCATTCCCCCAACCATCCTCCTGATTTCCCTCCCAGCCCACGGTATCGGCGCCGACAACGCTCCAGGTAAACCTCGTCCAGCCCCGTCTCAAGATCGTTGGACTAACGACCGTAACAGGCAAGACTGAAGGCAACACCGTGGACAAGACCCCAGGCAAAGCTCCCGTGGCCTCTGATTCGGGGTCGACGGGTGTCGGCGTTGAGGGGGGCACAAACCAGCCTGGTGAGAAGGTAAGCTTCATTCGTCCGGTGTGGCGACCGCGTCGCCTACTTCGAGGTTATTAGAAGGAAAAGGCAGTGCTAACGGGGATGGTCGCAGGGCATCAAGGGCGAGCCGGTGGACAGCCAGCCACAGAGTGGGAGCGCGAATATGAAGTCTTAAGATCTTCATCACCAGGTTGTGGTGGAGATAAACGGGACGATAGAGATATGATAGACATGATGTTGTAAGAACTTTGTCTTTTGCAAGGACCAGCCGTACCGTATCCGTTCCATACCTACATCAAGATATCTACCGACCGTTAAAGGGATTAATTACAAGACATGCGTAGCGTGAATGTGGGTATCGTACAAACAAAATCCAACGCATTATGCCCCATCGACGAAGACTGCCGTCCGTCAGGCCATGAATCAAAACATCTCTCCCTCCCTCTCCCTTCCCGCTCCCCGACCAGCGCCAGCAGTGGCATGCGAACCCCAATCAAACGCCCCCGTCCGCTCCACCGGCGTCTGGAACACCTCATAAGGCGTCTCACCCTCCCCACCAGCCACCTCACTCTCTGACCCACTAAATCGACTCACCATTCCGGTCATCGCCTGGCCTCTCTGTCCCCTCCTTGTCTGCGGCGGACTCTCCTCCGTATCCCGCAACAATGCGTGCAACCTCGTCGAACCTGCCGTAGGATCTAAACCGGCGTTATAACTACTCCTCTGACTAGCGAAGTTCGAGACGCTAGAGACTTGATAATGCAGATCCGCGATTTCCTGGCGGAGGCCACGCATTTGCATTTCCAGGCGCCGCCGGGCGGAGCGTTCGTCGGAGAGCATTTCGTAGAGAGAGCGGAAGGTGTACTGGGGCGGTTGGTGCTGTGGGAGGCCGGCGCTGAGCTCGACGTTATCGGCCGGGGCGGAGGTTACGCGGGCGGGCTGCTGTGGGGTGCTGATGAATGGGTCTTCTGGTCTGGGTTGGCCGCGAGAGCCGGTCGGCAAAGCTGGTGGCTCGGGGTTGGGCGCTGATGGGGTCCGTGGTGGCGGAGATGTTGCCGGGCGCAGGGTATCCGAGTAGTCATAGTGGTAGGCTGATGGACCAAGATCGTTCTGCAGTGTTTCGGCTAGCATACTGGCTGAACGGCCTCCGCTTGATGCGCGCCGGTGCAGTGTAGGTGTAGGAATGCCTCCTATTAACACGGTCCGTCGATTACGGTCAGCGGATATTTGCGCCAGCTCGCCTCGGAAGCTCCTCAGCCCGGCTTCGAGTCTTGCTACGCGATCCTCAAGGTCCTGGGAAAGCTGCGATCCAAAGGCTGAAGGAGAGGTGAAGTCAGATCCGTGAACATCCATTTTCCGGCGCGGTGGACTGCTCTGCGCTGGGCACGCAGGATTCCCTAACGGGTCGTCTTGTCGCGCGGTCGGTGTTTTCTCCTCTTCCACGTGGGCATCTTGTGGATCATCGATGACCGGCACCATGAAGCCACTCGCTCGCAGCACACTCCCTTGGAAGCTTTCTCGCCAGTATCGGATCTCATCGCTCCTCTTTCGTTTGGGCGCGGTCTGGGCAAGCACCTGGCGCAGATCTCCGGCACTGCGCGATCGTCTCTTCTGGCTCCTCTCACTGGTACTCACCGCTCTACCGATCTCGTTCTCGTCCTCGACATGTGTTGGAAGTACTTCCGCGAGTGGATCCGAATCTGAAGTCGCTTTGGCTTCAATTTCCGCAGGCCGAACACTGGGCAGTGTCTTGCGCCGTCTGAGCTGGCTCCCTGGCGCGGTGTATGGGTTTCCAAGATTGATGGGCTTCAAGCGGGAACTCTGTGGGAACTCCACAGCATAGGGAGATCGCGTCCGTTGCACCGCGGGAGAAGGCAAGATGCCAATGGGCGCCGAGAACGTCCTGTGGATGAAGTCGTCTTCTTGCGCAGTGTCCTCCAGGACCTCCGGCTGTGGGCTCAGAACGGTGTACGGATCCGACCTGGAATACGCATGCCGTGGGGGTGATACCTTCTCCGGTTGTGGTTGTACTTCTCTTGACCTCCTGCCAAAGAGCCTACGAACGGCATTGCGCAGTGATCCCTTCCTCACCTTGTTGTCCTCCTTTGCGCCGGCATGCTCTTGCTGTCTGTCATTGACATGGTTGGTAAGGTTCTGGTGGATTGTGGCTCGAACTCCTGCGTTCGATCTCTGCTTTTGTAACTGGCGTGGTGGTGTGCGCGGCGATCGTCCCTCTAGGCTGGGTCTGCCCTCGAAGGTTGTCGGTGAGCGTGTACTGAATGGCCCTCCATTGGGGTCATCGTTCGAAAGGTCCATTGAACGTGGGCAATTGATCCATCCAGACAATTATCGGCGGAACAGTAGGTGGCCGTATAGGAGACCGGTCAAATAGCTCCAACGGAGGTGGTTTTGTATGTGTGTTGTGCAGTAGCGACTGTGAATAGCAAGTTAATATGTAACGACTGGCTGCAACGTTCATCCGGGAAGCTGAGGGAGTCCTGGATCAGGTATTGCGGTCCTGCTGAAGCGCGGTAGAGGCCTTCCAAGTAAGATGGAGATATAGACAGGGCTGAGGCGATAGATGTCCGGATAGTTGGTTCTGTTCAGCCAGAGTTGGGTCCAGGTGTTCGAGCTATCATGTACACGGCCGGGTTCCAACAAAGGCAGGTGGGCATCCAAGGCCTCCTATAGGGCGAGCACGGCAAAGTAAGAAGCGAGTCAAGCGGTAGGCGGAGGGGGCGCCATAGCAGCTCGGGTTAAGGTTACAAGGGAGGAGAAGGGAGGGAGGGAGGGAGGGAAGACGGGAGAGTTGGCGAGCAGAGGAGATGAGCGGACGCGGTGTGTATCAAGGGCCAAGTAGCAGTCCATGGTGGTGTGTGCGGGACCCTCATCACCCTCCTTGCGGATGCCGGACAACGGGTATCGTCTGGTCTTTGCTTTGCGCCGAAGCTAAAAGTCTACACGGCGCGCCACAGACGAGGCCCTGCGGATGATCGTTTCACAAAGGCAGACGCTTGCAGTAGTCCCTTCTGCCCCGGCCGCATCGGACGGAGGTGTGTAGTTTTCGGCTGCGTTGGCCGAGGGGAATGGTCGCGAATGGTGCATTGGGAGTGGCGTCTCCTAGTTCTCCCTATAGCCGGAAATCAATACAGCCCGTTTATTGGCAAGCTCTCATCTTATCAATGCTCGCGAGTACGCAGGCTCATGCAGCTGACGGGTATGCGTGCGCCTGGTCAACAAGGCAGCTGGCGATTCCGCACTGCACCGCTCGATCACGGCCGTTTGAGGCTACTCCGCGAACAGATGAAGCTCTGATCGTCCGGCGACGTTGATGATAGGGGACTACTGTAACGCTAAGTATAGCTCCACAGGCTCCCCACCTCTGTGAAGCAGCGAGTGGAGAAGGCCATGCGCCTGCCACGGGCCGCTGTCCTGCGAGAATGGCGCAAGAATCTGGTTCATCCTTGTAGATGTGTTTGCAGGAAGATGCAGTACCAGAGGATGGCTCTTCTCGAAGCTAAATTTGTCTGGTTGGGAAGGAATGTAACACGGCCTGCAACAACACCGAGGAAACCGCCTCGGGGTTGAGGAGATAAGGCTATAATGATATTCAATGTCGTCCTTGATTCCGCTCGATCGAGGCTGAGTGGTAGGTCGATGTCTCTTATTGGCTGAGGTTTAAACTATCCTCGTTCAACTGATCACCAGGCCTTCGCCTCGCTTATCGACTGCATCCCCGACAAACCTACCAAGCGAAGGTGATGGCAAGCTGGGATACATACATTCCAAGGTCCTCGTTGTCGAATCCTGGTGAACGACATGTGAGCGCCAAGTGTGGAGATTCGCAAAGCAATGCTGCGACCTCAAGGGGTGCCACAAAGGCAAGCAATCCGATTGTTTCCTGTGGATCCAAACGTTGGCCAGCGGATGCATGCATCTGTCGAGACGTTCATCCGAACGATGTGGCCATCCGATGGCGCGACTCCACTTCTGCTGCCTCATCTCGACCGAGGCCGGCCGAGCTCGAGCGGCCATAAACATCCCAGAGCAACACTCACATATGTACCACAGGCGTGTTACATCTCCACCTCAACCCCCAGTGGAAACATCAGCGAGATCCGGATATCGTAGCAAAGCATTCTCCTCGAGGAAGTCCATCCAAGCTTTCAAGAAATTGGACCCTCTACAATGACTCAGGTCAGCCATGTGGTTACACATTCATCTCCCGGAGCCGCGGGGGTGGGAGTGGATGAAACTGTGCGACACAGTCCCATGCTCGTGCAGCTGGCGGTGCTGCAGCAGAGCCGCGGCCAGAACGTTTCTTGTACGACCATGGGACTGGGTGAGGAGGAACAACTTACCTTCCTACAGTTTCAGAGTCTCCGATAACGCAGAGATGTCGTTTGGGTCGGGTCATCGCGACTAGAAACACCTCATCAGCATCGCGACAAGAGCATGGGGAGGGTATTGAGTCACCGTTCAGCCTTCTCTTCTCCCCCAAAAACCCAACCTCCCCCTCCTCATTACTCCTCACCAAGCTCACCACCACCGCCTCCTTCTCCCTCCCTTGAAACCCATCCACACTCCCCAACTCAATCCCCACAAACCTCTCCTTCAGTAGCTGCGACAGCAGCGCCAGCTGCCCGTTGTACGGCGTCACCACTGCGATGTCCTCCGGCTTCACCCCGGTCTCTACAAGGTTGCCGACATGTAACGCTACGAGCGCAGCTTCGTGCTCGTTAACTTTGCTCTCGGCGAGGAGGCTGCTTTTCTTCTTCGGACCGCTGGACTCGTCGTTGTCTTCGGTCTTCTCACGGAAGTCGCCGTTGCTGGCGGAGGTGTCGAAAAAGATCAGAGGCTCGGTGGTATCTTCGGTTTCGGTGATGTCGCCACCGGGTAGGTCCTTGAGAAGGCGGGCTTTGACTGCGTCGGCGGCGATGAGCTTGCTGTCGTAGAGCGCGCACGAGGGGAACTCCATGATCGTCTCGTGCATGCGGTACTGTGTAGTCAGCATGCGCTTGATCTTGTTGCCGTGTAAGGTGAGGAGGCGGTCGAAGAGGGTGGTTTCGAGCTTGATGTCGTCTTCTTTCGTCTTCCCTTTCTCGCTCTTTTCCTCATTCTTCACTTTCACTTTCGCAACTCCATCCGCCACCTCATCCACATTCGCACCTTTCTTTGGTGTCGCCTTGGCCTCCTTCACATTCAATGACTTAATCGTCGGCGGCAATTGCAAATGGTCCCCAGCCAACACCAACTTCGGCGCCCCAGTCGCCAAAACTGGGATCCAGCATTGCGCCTCCAGCGCCTGGCTCGCCTCATCCACTAACACGACATCAAACTGCTCGTTCTTCAGATGGAAACCACCCGCACCATGCAGCGTGCTCAAGACGACTTTGCTCTGCTTGAGCAGATCACTCACCACCCTGCCCTCGCGCTGACGGTACTCTTTCCTTAGTTCCCGCATCTCGCCATAGATCGCTTTCCTCTCGCGGCCATTTCGAGTCTTGCGAATGGAAGCTTGCTTCGCGTCCATTTCGCCACGAATGTCCTGCACGATAGCTGCCGCTTCGGAGGTCTTGGTCAGGACTTCGAGACTATGGTTCAGCACGCCTGGCAACAAGCGCGCCGGGTGCCCTAGCCGGACCATGGGCACTTTGTGCGGGGACAGTCGTTCTACGATGTTGTCGACACTGATGTTGCTGGGTCCGCAGACGAGAATGCGTTGTTTGCGGTCGAGGAGCTGCAGGATCAGTTCGATGAGAGTGTGGGTTTTGCCTGTCCCTGGGGGGCCGTGGATGAGCGCGACTTCGCGGCTGGCGAGGGCGAAGCGAATGGCGTCTTGTTGACTGTCATTCAGGGAGGGATCGTGCCATTTCACTTTGGCATTCAGTTCGTCTTTGGACATGGGGGTGGGAGAACTCTGCCCGAAGAGCACTTGAGTGAGTGAACTATGCTCACTCGGCTGCATCTTCTGCAGCTTTGTCATGGTTTGGTTCAAACGCTTCCATGTGACATCGTTGGCGAGCTTGACGCTGTTGCATACACATGACTATCAGCCTATGTACTCCACTTACCGTTCTCTCACACGAATGTACGTACAGCCAAAGCTTCCCCCCCGTCGGCACGTCAGCATCCTCCTTGTCCAACGCCACAGTAACGTTCTCCCTATGCACTTTCGTCACCACACCCTCCACACCCCTACTCTCCATCCCTTCGCGCTCCTTCTTCCGCTCAGCACCACGAGGTTGCTCGGCCACGCCCACGATATCTCCGACACGCAAGCCATGTTCTGGCAGCTCGCCGCCGCCCACTGCTGGGTCGAGGCTGAGTTCGAGGACAGTTTTCCCGCCTAGACCAGTGCGTTGGGAGGATATGTGCAGGTTCAAAACAGCGAGGCCGGCGCGTTGGAGGATGGAGGGTGCATGGGTGGACGTGAGGAGCTGGGTTTCTGTGAGTTCCGCTTGGAGTTCGGCAGAGAGGAGGGAGAGTTGGGAGGTAGCGAAGGTGGGGATGTCTGTCATGGTGGGTGGAGAGGTGGGAGGGGTCGTGGTGGTGTGGTGTGAGTAGACAGAACAGAAGCTTGGACTTCTTGCTTGACGTCCGTGAAATCGAGGCCGAGGCTGTGACGTCACGCTAGACCAGTGGCATGTGATTGTCAACGATTGATGTGCCCGACTTCGCTCGATCGAGTAGAGGGAACCAACGACTTGTATTGAAGCAGTATACTCGTTTATACGTTCAACGAAGTCGGCAATGGGCAGTCAAATAGGGTCATCAGGATCGATCCAACTCCGAAGCCGCAGCTGACGATGATGACAGCACATACCGTGACCTGAATAGTCACATTAGACTACCTGGCTTCGACCCTTCATCTTGCTAAGTTGGCGCTTGCAACAACAATACACCCTACGCCGTACTTTGACGAGCATACAAGCCCCAGAAGATGAAAACCTCCCGTTGCCGCCTCCTCGAACTTCCAGCAGAGATCCGAGAATCGATCTTCGAGTTCGCTTTGCTGTCCGAGAAGGCCCTGGTATCATTCTGCCTCGACGAATACCAACACAGCGATTACCAGGAAGCCACACAACCCCCTCTAACGCGGGTCAATCGGCAGGTCCGACGGGAAAGCCTACCAGTTTTCTACCGCTGCAACGACATCATTCTGCACACCGACGGCGTCAAAGGAGATGCCACACGCAGCTGGCTGCGATGCATCGAACATCACATACCGAAGCTGCACTACTTGTCGATCTGGGTGCGGTACTGTGCATTATGGGGCTCCTCGACCATGTATAGCGGCGCCATCTGCCTATCATTGCGCAAGGTGAAGCCGGATGACAAGTGGGAAGTCGACGATCATTGCGAATGGGTGACTGTCACGCGAGTGCCAAAGGACATAGCGAGGGATGGCGAGTCCTTGGTAGAGAGTTTGAGGGCAATGCTCGAGGAAGACGGAGGTCATCTTCAAGAGGCGGAGGTCTTCGCCGAGAAGTTGAAGACGCTGAGGGAGATGTATGTGCAAAGCAAGCAGGCTCCAAGGGGTCGGTGAAGGTGTCAAAGAGGAGGTGGTCTTGTTCATATGTTTCAACGAGGTGGCGAAAAAAGAGGCATGTGCCTAAGGCACCTTCCCGTTGCTGGGCCGGCTTTCCCTCACGACCATCAAACTCAAACCAACCTCGATTCCAAGAGCGTTATTATTACTTTGTGGAGTCGATGATCTACTAAACCTTAGCCGCCGCTGCCACAATCAGGTTCGCTGACGAAGAACACTGTCTAACCGCGCATCATCATGGAGAGCTTACTGTCGGTCGGCTTCGACAACATCTCCTCCCGCGACAGCAGCAAAATACGCAAAGGCCTACGCCAGATCGAAGGACTCCTCGCCCAAGTATGCCTCTCACAACCATCCTCACGATCACCGCACAAGCGAAAGTCGTCGCACCTGTCGAGCAAACAACCGAACTCGCCGAAGAAGCTTGGTGAGCTGAAGAGCGATCCGGCGTTCAGAGAGTTCTTTCGGATACAGGAGGGTTTCCAGTGGAATGGTATACTTCTCGCGCATTATTAACGAGTTAATTACTAGTACTAATGTCTGATCAGTCGCCTCACGCCTCGTCTCCACCCTCGAACGCCTCATGGGCATGGGCAACCCCTCCCAGACCGACCTCCTCATCGTCTCCACCCTCGACCTCCTCCAAGGCGTCCTCCTCCTCCACCCACCCTCCCGCTGCCTCTTCAACCGCGAAATCCACATGAACCTCCTCCTCGACCTCCTCGACTCCTTCAACCCGCCCGCAGTCCAATCCCAAGCTGTCCTCGTGCTCGTCGCAGCACTGCTAGACTGCCCGCGCAACATACGAACGTTCGAGAATGTCGACGGCCTGCTCACGGTTACGAGCCTGTTCAGGAGCCGGGACACGGCGAAGGATGTGCGGATGAAGACGCTGGAGTTTCTGTACTTTTATCTGATGCAAGAGACGCCCATTATGCATGCGGGTAGTGCGCCGAATACTGCTGTGCTGCAGAGGAGTCCGAGCAAGATTGATAATGGGTTTGCTGGACATGCGAGAACACATTCGGGAGATAGTGGGGGAGATATGATGGACGTGGATGAGGACGAGCGGGAGACGAGGACGATGAGCGAGAAGCAGCGCATGCTGGGGCAGTATCTCAACAACGTTGCAGAGCTGGTGCAGGATCTGGAGGAGAGCGCGCCGTTTGGGGTGCCACAGGCATGAGAATGACTTGGTGGAAGAGAAGGAAGGATATTGCATTTCGAAAGTGACTTTCCTTGGTGACGGCGAATCTTGCATGGGGATCGAGGGTGCCTACGGTTCGGGTCACTACTATGGTGAAATGTGGGTTTACTCATGGATTGGTTCTGGTTCTCACTGCAAGCATGGTGTTCGGTGGCGAGTATACCCGTGGGGCAGCATTTGAAGGGCGCCAGTCTGCACGAGGTCTGCTCTTACGGAAGGCGTCTTACGAAGGATCGTCTGGGTTAAGCTCTGGCAAATATGACTTTCTTTCCACCTAATACTTCAAATCGACTGAATTCCTCCGTTCATGAGCTTTCGTCTGGGCAGCCCATGGAGGGCTCTCACACCGTAGCCACGTTATCATAGATTGGGTGTGTTCGTCAGCCTGCAGTAGTGAGCAGTGCATCACGAGGACGACGGCGTAGCAGAAGAGATAGTGCTCGTTGCTAAGCCATATATAGTCCATGCGCTCGTACAGCGTCGGCGGTTAACGACACCTCACACGCCTTTACCGCTGCCAATCATTTCCTCCTTGCGGCTTCACCTCCCAAGCGCCAGGAGCAATTACTCACTCATGCAATACCACGCAATGACGTTTGGGCTGGCGGCAATGATGATGGAGACGATCCAAAATAGCACATCTACAAGGTTTGAGAGAGATACAACCAGCGTCCCTATCCCATCAGCACGTCGCCAACAACGCGACGAAACATCCTCACGACTTTCCTTCGTCCTGTTTCCTTGCCTGTATTATCTACTCTCTTCTGCGCTACGCGTCTCGTGTTTTCTACAGCTACTGGTCAGCGATAATGATTCTTCTTGTACCATATTGCTAGAAAGATAGATCTCTTACTCCACAGACGCCCTTATGACACTCTGTACCTTATCAGCATGCCAACACCCCGGCCTGGAGCCACAGCATCATCGGAGGAACCAGCAAGACTTGTTGCGAGGCCAGCGGAAACAAAATTCTCCCGCAGAGAGCCGCAATCGAACACCGTGCCACCACAACTACTGCAGTCAGTGCCGCTCTGCGCACGACGCTGTCTCTCGAATTACATCAACCAGGACTACAAGTGCTCTGAAACTGGCGCGGCCTGCTTGTGTGAGCACTACAGCTCTCAAGGCTATACACTCGGAGAACTTGCGTACATCTGTCTGGAACAGGGATGTGAGAAGCCGAAGCAAGCTGGAGCGCAGGCGGCGTATTTCATCTGCGCTGCAATACCTGGAGCTGTATCGCCGAAGCACGACGTTCTCACGGTTCCGCCGCCGACAACGACGAGACAACCAAACTCGAGAACTACGGCAAGGGCAACCTCGACAGGGCAGGAAACGGAGGCTGCACCTCCGCATACAACATCATCTCCTACATCAGGAGGAGGCGTTGCAGGCCCTTCGCCGAGCAGAAGGACCAAAACTCATGGACCGTCGGTGCCTTCGTCCACAGCAGTACCTGGGACACCGCCTCCAGCTCCAGCACTATCCGAAGCATCGAGCGAGCAGCTGCCCTCAACAAACCTCTCTCATGCCGAAGCGGCGGGCATCTCGATCGGTGCAATGGGCGCCATAGCGCTCATCATTGCGGCAATCTACCTCTGTATCTGGTTCCGCAGGCGAAGGGTGAAGTGCAGCGACGACAGCAACGACTACGACTTTGTGGACCAAGCACCGCCTCGCTTCTCGCCCTTCAACTACGGCCATGCGGATCCTCGAGGCCCGCTTGGCGGCTTTGAGAAGCGCAGAGCTGAGTTGGGGGTCGAAAAGCCTTGGACCAAGTGGCCCGGCGTGCGAATGTCGTACGACGACTATGTTGCTCAGTACAACGAGAAGAGTCCGAGCATTACGCCGCCGGAGAGCCGTACGGTTAGCAATACCAAGGTGAACATGGCAATACCTCTGCCGGAGAAGCCTCTACCGGCTGTGACGCGAGGCTTACCGAAGTCTCCTGCGCCCAGTCGAAATACGGCGATTACTGTGTTTGAGGAGGACAGAACTCCTCGGCCGCCGGACGTGACTACGGTGCCAGCGGTACCAAGGAAGCCTCTTCCAAACGGACCGCCGCCTGGTATAGCGGTGCATTATCCATCGCCTCGCACGGCCCAACAGCGGTTGCACCAGCCCGCTGCTGCTCCCACGCGACCACAACCACAACCGCAATCACAACTACAACCGCCCAATCGGCCACGCCAGCCTTCTCTATCGCTGCAGATACCTCGACAGGCCACGCGAGCTGCCCAGCTCTCTTCTGCTAACGATTTTCCTATGCCTCCTGCCTATCCGAATATCAGCGCCTGGATCCAGCCTCCTGCAGCTCCCGCCAACTCTGCCAGGACTTCCACAAACAGCGTTCTAGATTACTACGCCAGTCCGGTACCAGATGAGCCTGCTGGCAGCTACTACGACACTTCTCCAGATATCGATCTGCCAACGCCTGTCCAGCTTGAAGCACGCCGACGGCGTCAAGAACGCCCTATAGGTCCAGCAGTGACTGTCACGAAACCTGCATATCTTCCTGCCCGACCTTCCCGGATGAACTCCGCTGGCAGCGATACATCGTTCGAGAGCATGAATGGAGACGAGCCCACGCCGCCGGATGAGGAACAGATGGAGGCGCCGCAGTTGACGCCGGTGCAGGAGTCACCTGGGAAGAGATCGCCTCTGGCAGGGTTGAGGTATCCGAAGGTGCCGCGGAGTTCGAATCAGAGCGTGCCGCGTTCGCCTGCGCCGAAGTCATCGCCGCGTCCTGCTACGAACGCATCGCCAACGCCTCGACCGACGCCAAAGGTGCAGATTCCGCGACGTGATGATCGCGTGGTGCTACCGAGCCTCAACAACGTACACGGTCCAGCAAATCCACCGAGACCCCAGGTCCGACCGCCGGTGACGCCGAAGCAGACCACTACCGCCGCATCGAATGCTTCACTATCCGGCTCCACACTTGCGGCCAAGCGTCGAGGCGATAGCGCAGCACAAGACCTAGAGCGAAAACTTCACGTCACCGACTCCGCGTACGCGCATCCGCCGACAGGAAGCAGCTACGCCACCACGCAGTCTTCCGAACCCGACAGCGGCAAGAGCCTCCAGAGCCGAAGTACACAGACCACCGCCTCACCACTCAAAGGCTACGGGCGCATCGCCGGCGGCGGGGTGGGTAGAGTGCGTCCTCCGCCTCCACCCCAGCAAGCAGGACTGGGTTTGCAAAACACTTCATCGAACTCAGACTCTAGCTACAGCGGCTCTGAACCGCGGCAGCCGCAGGGGAGAAACGCGACGTATCCGGGCTTGCCTCGCCATCCGAGAGCGCTCGTGGACGATGCTTCGAAGAACGAGGCGGCAGGGAGGGAGAAGCAGGTGAGCGGGCAGTGGGAGCCGAAGTTGACGCCAAGTCGGAGGGGGGAGGATTTGTTTCTGGATGTCGGGGTTGCGACGCCGAGGAGTGATGTCTTTCGGCGGTGATGCTTTGATTCTCGAGAGGACCTAGGTTTTAGAGAAGTATGGTTTGATCTGAGCGTTCAAGCGTTGCATGGGTATTTTATGGCTGTTGCATTTGAATGCGGGACAACGGGCGAGACACCATGGCATTTTGTCACGACTGTATTATAGCATACCTTATCATTCAGAGCCACGAAGCACGACCGTAGCAAAGAAAACGTCATGGTCATAAAACTCTATCAACGGGTATCAAAATCTCTTCATCATCCCCTCCCCCATCCGTCTCTATCCACCACTAAGCCTTCGCCGACCTCTTCAGCTCCTCCTCAATAACCCCCTTCAACCCTTCAGGCTTACTCGTACTCGCCCACCTCCCCTTGACCATCCCATCCCGTCCAATCAAGAACTTCTCGAAATTCCACTTGATGCGCGTCAAGCCCATGATGCCCGGCTTGCTCTTCTTCATCCACTCGTACACGGGCTCCGTCTTGTCCCCGTTCACATCAGTCTTTCCCAAGACGGGGAACGAGACGCCGTAGTTGGTGAGGCAGAAGGTCTGGATCTCGTCGTTGGACCCCGGGTCTTGGGAGCCGAATTGGTTGCAGGGGAAGCCGAGGATTTCGAAGTCGGGGTACTTGGGCTTGAGTTCTATTACCACAGAAGAACGGTTAGTGGAGGGTGGGTGGTAGGGGAAGGATGGGATGGGCGGACCTTTGTAGAGTTTCTCCAGCCCTTCGAATTGAGGGGTGAAGCCGCATTTGCTGGCGGTGTTGACGACGAGGACGACCTTGCCTTTGAGGTTCGTCAGGGGGTAGTCGCCGCCTTTCTTGTCCTTGGGCTTGAAGTCGTAGAAGGTCGTTGCTGAGGCCATGGTTGCGTAGGCTTGGCTGTGTTGGTGGTGTGATGGAGGGGTATATGGGTGGTGGTGTTGTTGTTGTGGTATGCGGTTGAAGTGGTGGAGAGTGGAAGAAGAGTGGTATACTGACCGACGCAAGTAATGTTTGGAAGTGGTGCGTAAGAGCGACCTTGAGACTTGCATTTGTGATCAGTCAGACGTTCGAGAAGATACTGCGCCCGCGACCGGCGAGCATGTGATTGTGGGAGGTGCCGCGCTAGAGGCGGGACTTGTTGCTTCCGATGTCCTTCATCGAATATTGCACAACATTCGATGCCACCGTGAACCGTCTCAGGGTTTGCCACAGATGCAACAAGGCCAGCGACAACCAGGAGAAGAGCGTGTTGAAGTCACTCGGACCGTTCTGTCGCTCTGAAAGAACGACAACTTCTTCGAATTCCTTCATTGGACGCCGTCTCGGGTCTTCAGTGTCGTCTCTTCCCGAGCGCAAAGGGCTCCTCGCCAGGACAGCACGCTGCTCGGCCGTCAGGGCTGTCTATCGGTATGCACTCAGCAGCTGAGTCGGGGTGAGAAGCTGGACCACCGCAAGTCATAAGTGACGACTGCATTCAATGGGTACAGGTTTGAGCATTTTCTCGTCTTCATTGCACTTCCATTCGGCGTCATACGGCCGCAAATACACCTTCCCGTCCCCGTCTACCAATCGACATCCAACAGCAAGGAACAACGGGCGTCTTCGATACATGGTTGTATCTTGATCCTTTCTCACACCCTCGTTCCGCGTTCACATCGTTGTGTATCGGTTCCCGTCGTCGTACGTTGTCCACGACTGCAGAAGTACAGCCCCTACGGCGCGGCAGGCGAACGACAGAGCAAAGCAACCGCCATTCTTCACCCATGGCGTTGAAAGTCGCCATAATAGGCGCCGGCCCAGCTGGTTGCGCTCTGGCTCGCCTACTACAGCAGTCCGGTCAAGATATCGCGGTCAACATTTACGAAAGCGAAGCCAGCCTCGACTTCCGCTCTCAAGGCGGCACCCTCGATCTGTCTCTAGTCCATCCATCCCTCAACCTCCAGCGGCAGTTGCTAATGCTCTCCTAGACACGTCAAAACCGGCCAAGCTTGCCTCAAAGCCGCCAACCTCTTCCCTCAATTCGAGGAACACGCCCGCTACGACGGCGAAGCGATGAACATCTGCGACAAACACCTCCTCAGCTACATCAAACAGGGCGCCTCCAAACCCGGCTCTTGGACCAGCACCGGCCGTCCCGAGATCGACCGTCCCAAACTCCGCGAACTGCTCTACAACTCCCTCGCCCCTGGAACAGTGAAGTGGAGCCACAAACTCACCTTCATCAGCCCCCCGGCCTCGTCTTCCCCTAACTCCAAACCAATCCTAGATTTCTCCAACGCCCCCGACGCAATGGACTTCGACCTTATCGTCGGAGCTGACGGTGCCTTCTCCCGCGTCCGCCCCTACCTCTCCGACACCCAGCCCTTCTACTCCGGCATCGCAGGCCACGCCTTCCGCATCCCCAACGCCGAAACCGAGCACCCAGAACTCTACACTCTCGCGAACCGCGGCAGCCTCTTCTCTTTCTCGGACGGCAGATCGATAATGGCGCAGTACATGGGCGACGGCTCGCTCAACTGCGCGACCTGGGCCGTCCGTCCCGCAACGTGGAAAGACGAGGGATGGGACGTGCATGACCCGAAAGCTGTGAAAGAGAGAGTGAGGCAGGAGTACGCCGATTGGGACCCCAGGCTTGTAGCCTTCACGCAAGCGGCGGAGGAAGGGCCAGGTGGCGTCGTGCCGCGAGATCTGTTCATGCTACCGATCGGACACGAGTGGGAGCACAGGAAGGGCGTGACGTTGATAGGGGATGCAGCGCATGTCTGTACGCCCTTCGCGGGAGAAGGGGTGAATTTGGCATTAGAAGACGCCATGAAAATATCCAACGCCATCGTCGCAGCGGCTGCGGAGACCGGGGACGAGGAAGCGAGGAGAGAAGTGCTGGACAAGAAAGTGAAGGAGTTCGAGAAAGACATGTTTGTCAGGGCAAAGGCGACGGCGCAGATGACGTGGGATATGATGAATGCGATGTACATGGTCCCCGGGGCGCCAAGGGATGGGATCGAGAAGTACATCATCACGGCAGTAGAGGGGGAGATGGGTTGGTGGCTGACGCGGTTGCTGTTGAAGCCGTTGGTGTATGCTTATTTCTTTGTGTTCAAGATGATCTGGTAGATGTTAGCAACACGGACGGCTTGAAGGCGCGAAAGGCGGCGTTGTGCCATCTGGAAGCGGGAAGTTCTCATGAGTCGGTTTGCGATGGCTCACAAGACATGGGGCACAGGCATGTGGTTGATGAACGATTATCGATAGAACCGAAAGGCAGAACTGATTATCCCAATCCCAAAACGCCAATTAAACACCATTTCATCCCCTCGAAACGATAACAAAACCGTCCTCTCCTCCTCACATCTCATCATACACATCACCCGGCCATACTTGAAATGTAAAAACAATTCAGACAGCCGAACAGTGTGTTCGCACACGATAAAATATATCAGCGATAAATGATATTGGTCAGACATCCGTGTCCAATCCCACATCAATTGAAGCAGCGATAACCCCCTGGCTTTTGTTCCGGTCTGCGGCAACGATGATGGCGGACATCCGCTCCAAGGCTGATATCAAATGTGAACCACCGGGTAAGACATGTTGGCAGACATCCAAGCCCAAGCAATGCAATCCGGCAGTGTGAACAATCTGGCTGGTCCTCTCCCAATGTGGCTGCAAGTCTGGCGATTTCTCCTCTCCGCCCACTGGTGTGGTGCGGTAGAGTTCTGTAAAGTAACGGGAGTGCTCGGCCGTCGTTCCGGATGCTGAATGGGCCAATGTAGGACCACCGGCTGAGTGCTGGCAATGCTGCGCAGCAAGGAACCATCCCTCGGTCGACAACAAGACGTCCTCCAAGCCGCCCGACCTTTCCTCCCGGTGCTGGATGGAAGCCTAAGGCTCTCCGATGCGGATGCATGATTCACCGCGACGACCTGTCGTAAAGCTTTCCGCAACGAATCTAGGCTCAGCAGGAATGCTGGCAGGTGGTGGCATCGGCCAGTGTATCTCTCTGTATGGCCTCACAGTAAGTGCTCCGTGGCTCAATGGTCCTCATCCTCATAGGCAATGATAGCTACCACAGTAAGTACGTCGTCATGGGCATGGAGGTCCTGATCAGGTGGTAACCTACATTTTATGTACATGACATGATCAATGAATCTGTCATTCAGCCTCGGCGGACAGACAGCCTACGGAGCTCCGGCGCATGTCCTTGGGTCATGTATCCAGGGTGCATAGTGGCAGGGTATGACATCTGGCTGGAACCTGGATACGAGCGGTGGCTTCTCTCCATGGGCTGGCTCCCGGGATGGTCACGGGATGGCTGAACACCACGAGCGATGGGCCTGGAGTGTCCGTGAGGCACCAACTTTGGCCGTGCAGGAGAGGAGACCGATGCCAGCTTGCGTTGTGCTTCCGGGTCTGCTGACGGATGTGCAGCACACTTGCGCTTCCTGTTTCCGGCTTTCCTCTGGCTTGAGGTTTCTCCTTCCAGGTCATTGCTCCCGACGACGGTTGCCGTCTCCGCCACATAGCCGTGGACGCGCTTCATGTGGTCGATCAGGTTGTACCTCCTGGGGAAGCCAGAACCCTCATTGCTTCGCTCGCAGCCGGCATACAGGCAGGTGTAAGGCTTGTCGCCATGTCCGTGGAGTCCATGAGCTTCTCTTTCATGCCGGAGGAGGCAGGCGGTGGAGGAGAACTTCTGGTTCTCGCATTGTCCGGCCTTGCAAATGAAGGGCTTCAGGTGGGAGTCAATGAATTTGCTGCGAGGCACGGTGAGGTCAGTGCGTTGATCGACAGGCGTAGAAGGACGTGTAGGTTCGTACTCGTAGTTGCATTTGAGCTTGGTAGGTTGGTGGCCACAGCTTGGATCCTTCTCTGCGAACGGACAGCGGTACATCCCGTCTGCATAAGGGCCACGAGCATAAAGAGGGTCGGTCCTGTAACGGCATTCATCTCTTTCCGTCGAAGCAGCCTGATTGGTGATGTCCACGAGCGGGCTTTGGGCAACACCTCCAGCATACTGTGATCCAGACTGGCTTTGTCCTTCTGGCTGGGGCAACACGGCTTGGTAAGATCCAGACATACTGGCCGGCGTTGGGTACGACAGAGCACTCCCTGGCATGTAACTACCATCTTCATCAGTATTGCACGACTCACAAGATGAACAATCTGATCCTGACCTCGACATGCCCGATGACGAGCTTGTGTCCACGGAACCAAGGTCAAAAAGGTCTCCAAAGTCTGTCGACGCTCCATAGGGCTCTGGATTCACACAGGCAACCGGCTGGCTGTAAGTGACCATGCTTGGCTGGACCGGATAACTGGTAGGCACCTGCCCCGGAGCGGGGTATACTGCATTGGATCCTTGCGGTGGCAATGAGGTGGCATGTGTAGGTCCTCGGGTGGAATTCGGATACCATTGAGATCCATGTTGTGGCTGACCAGGCATAGTACTTACACTCGACACAACGTTGTGTGCCTGTTGAGAGCCTTGAACAAAAGGCCTCGATACACTGGCAGGTGCCTGTGTGTGTTGTGGCGAAGTGGCTGTGGTACCTTCAGTCCTTGGGAGTAGTGGCCTCATTGGAAGTGTCTGTGGGTAAGACTCCGTCCGCTGTGGGTATCCGGCTTGTCCAACAGGCTGAAAAGTCACGGGAGGCTGAGGACCTGCGTACACTCCTGGTGCAAATGAACCGGTGTAGTCCAAGGTGAGTCCCACTTGTCCATAGGCCGGGGGCGGGCCATACACTGATGCCGAAGGGCTCACACCAGGGCTGATGTAGTTGTCAGGAACATACGGACTCCGGCTGGGCTCAGCAGTGAAGGTGAATTGGGCCGCGGGTGGAAATGTGAACGGCTCCGCCTGGGACATTGGAGGATGGGAGTACGACGTCTGGCTTTCATAGCTCAGAGCAGGGTACAACCCAGTGTCTACAGATCCTGTGGAAACGTTCAGCCCGGCATGATCCATGGCAAAATGTCCCTGGGCAGTGGCAGGAGATCCGTGGTCTGGCCACTTGTAGTCCAAGGTCTGAGCAGTGGCACTGCGTTCCTGTCCGGGTGATGACAAGGACATGTCTGCTTCTGATGAAGGGCCTTGGGACAACGAGAAGGAACTCATGTCGAAATCGTCTGACCAAGCGTCCCCGGAAGACAAGGACTCCGCGGATGAGATTGGCGACGACAGGGAACCAGGTGGCAAGATGGGTTGTGTCCAAGGGTCAAAGTCCTGTGGCAGACAATGGAAGGATGAACCAGGCTGGCAACCAGAGAAGGAGTAGTAATCTTCCTCGCTAAAGACATGACAAGTCAGTGTGAGCTTCCAGTCGGTATGGGCACGCGGAATAGAAGTAACAATGAGGATGAACTATGAGACCTGGTGAGTGTTAGTATGATCATCCTCGCATGACATCAGTGGTTTCACGAACCAAAGGAGTATCCGGGGTGATCGACGCCTGTGGCACCGTGGCTCGCGGATCCATGAGAGGCGTCCGCTTGTCGAGAACGCGCCGAACCCGGTGGCGTTCGCAGGGCTGCACGATAATGGCCTCCAGCACAGTCTGGCCGTTTGCTGCAGGAGACCGAGAACGAAAGGAAAGCGACCAGATCGTCGCAAAACGCCTAGGGCTTCCGGATTCCGGCTGACAAGTTGCTGATCGGGTCCACGACAGGCAGATCATATTGCAGGCTTGCATGGAATAGGCGGCCGCTCCAAAATGGAAGTTCCAGAAGGCAGTCAATGGCATGTAGTGATCTTGTCAATCCATTGGCTTTGGGCTCCAACGAGAGAAGTGGCCATGTCCGTGGAAATCCGGCGAGGAGCGTTGACCGCATGGCCGACCCGCTTGCATATAAGACGGGCAGCGCGATGACGGTCAGTCAGCTCGGAGACTCGCCAACACATAACCGGGCAGTGGCCGAGCGGTCCAGCTGTCTTGGGGAGGCAGCGCTTGTGAATCCACCGGGCGATGGGAGTGTCATCTCTCAATCTCAAACAACGTGCAATGGCAATGGCAAGACAAATAAGGAAATATATACCTGGCGGAGTAGGTGTCCTGGCTGTGGTTGTAGTGGGCTTGCGGCATCCTGGCAGGCTTTTCGTCCGGAGAATTTCCAGGCTTTCAGGCAAGAAAGCCACCCAGGAAGAGCAGATGGAAGAAGAAAACGCAAAGCAATCCAAATGGCCTTTTGATGGGTCGTAGATCCGGGCTTGTGGTGTGATTATCGCGGTAGAAAACGTTGTGTAGCGAGAGGGCCTCTCGTGCAAGAAGGACGACAGAAAAGATGCAGAAGAGATGCAGGCGAGCTGTCGAGGGAGATGCGGTTGATATGGGAGCGGTGCCAGCGAACAGAGCTCCGTGCATGATGGAGCACAGCGGGCGGGGCCAGTCGAGTGGTTGGAGCTCGCTGACTCGCTGGTGGTGTCAGACTTTCTTGTTCTTCTGCTGCAGCCGCGATAGATTGACAGGGGGGCGCTGATCGGCCATTTGTTAGACGCGTGACAAGTCTGCCGAAGCGGCAGATGCCACGTCAGACGTCAGACGGCGTGCAGCTACCGCCGGCCAATTGATAGGGCACGTCGAGTCTGCTGATGTTTGTTCTTTGTGACAAGACGCGCGACTTGCAGCTGCTTCTTCGCGGTGAGGCGAGGCTCTCGATACTGCGCGATCTGGCGCTGTCCGTTCAGTCAGTACAAAGCTGGCGATACAAAGTGCGGTGTGTGTGACGATTGCTGTCCAAGTTGCGCGACTCAGTGTCAGCGTCCACTGACGTAGGAGTCGAGGTGGAAGTGGAGGGTCCGGGTGGCAGATGCCAAGGTCGCTGATCGTTGCTTCCTACGGCACCTCCCCGCTGCGATTGACGACCTCACTCGTTCGATTCCTTCGGCTGATCCAACCACAGGAACCAGTCCAGATCAACTAGTGTAGAACCTCAGAATCCACCGTCCCGGTCGTGATACTGCGATGAATGCAAACATCCTGACCAAGCCATGTGGCACAAGGGTACGTCACTCACGGAGCTCTTCTCCTCGAGGCAGGAACAGAGCAATGAAGATGATGGTTGGTACGATGCATGTAGTTCTAGGCTATGTCCTTGATGAGATCGCAATCAACGTCTCGCTAAGTCTGCCATTACGGCTACCAATATCGCTCAATAGCCAGAGCAGATAGATCCGTGTGCGATCGAGTCCAACATCGGGAGCAGACCTTCCCGAAATCCGTACATCTCCTTTCATATCACTCCTTCGCATCACTCCTTATCCCCAGCATAAGCATAGTGCGACATTTTCCTGATCGCCGCCCCCTTGAAATAAAATACAAACGGGATTGCACAAGCCGCAAGACTGAGGAACGCGAGCAACGACGAAGCCCACTGATACCCTAGCGTATGGTACATCTGAATTGTGAACAACACAGTCGAGGCGCCCCAGAGAGACCTTAAGAAAGTCTTCGCAGCCAGAGCGGACGCGGCTTGATGCTGGTAGCTGTCAACGAGGTAGTTGTTGGCCGAGTTGTAGAGGAAGATGAAGCCAAAGCCGACGGGGAGGCCGCCCATTGCTGGACCGGCCCAGGAGAGGCGGGGATAGGATGTCCAGGCGAAGATGAACATGCCGGTGGGGATGAGCCAGCAGGAGAACTGTAATGCATTAGCTACACTGGAGGCAAGGTGGTGGGTAGGGCTGCTCACCATCATGGGCACGAGTCGGGCTTCTGCCGGTGGCTTGCCGTTGTGCTTCTTGACCAGCTTGAGGTAGTGGTTGTTCACCAGCGGCGCGCAAAGGGCGCTCAGGACCACGCCGACGGCGATGGGTATGAACATTAAACCTGTGATGCCTGCCGAGTATCCTTTGCCTTCTTGGTAGACAATTGGAAAAGCTACGAAGAACATGTACAACAGGCCGTAGAGCTGCGACAGTCAGCTTCGATCCGGTGTGAGGAAGTCGGGAGCGAGGGCGTGCTTACCAAACTCATGTACAGTGATATGCACATCACAATGGGCTCACGACAGAGCAGCAAGAAGGGCCGGATCAAGAAGATTCGCAGCCTCTCCGCCAGAGGTCTCTCGTTCAGCTCCAACTCTGTAACATACTTGTCGTCGTTCAGCTCTTTTCGCATCTGCTTTGCTCGGCGAGAAAGGATCGTAGGTGCGTAAGTCTCAGGGACGGTGAAGGTGATAACGACCCAGCAGACACCAGATAGGATAAGCTGGATCCAGTATAGCCATCGCCAGCCAGTTGCAAATGAAAGAAAGCCGCCGACCAACGGACCAACGGCCTATATCGTGTCAGCTGAGGCATTCAATTCCGTACGAGGTGAGCGTGAGTATACCGGACCGCTGAACGGAGCAGCGCTAAACACAGCCATAGGCACGCCTCGCTCCTCGTTCTTCCACATATCCGCCAGCGTCCCGCCGACCAGAGTCATCGGTGCCGAGAACGCAATGCCGTCGATGAAGCGACATACCAGCAGCGTGCCAATATTCTTCGCTACCGCACAGGGAATGATGAATACCACTGCAATCGCCAGCGTCACGGCATACACAGGCCTCCGACCGATAATCTCACTCAACGGCGCGAAAACCATCGGCCCGACACCAAAGCCAACTGCGCAACAATCAGCTCCCGTACTATCTCCTATGCCCAACTCAGATAACGACTTACCGACGAACAGCGTCACAGTCAACAACCCAATCTCCTGACTAACACCAAACTCCTCACACACCCCTTCCACATCCGCCGTAATCACAGCGCTATTAAACGCGACGATAAAACAGGTTATCGCAACCACCATCGTGCACCACCATTTGTACGCTTCGCTCCAGTTCTTCGGGTTGCTTGGGTCATTCTCCTTGAACGTGACGAGCTCGAAACGTTCGAGTTTGCCGGATTTGTGGGACACGACGGGTTGCAGGCCGCTGGGGGTTTCATGGGTGTATTCGGTCATGGTAGCGGCGCGGGTTAGGGTGCGGTAGGGGAGGTTGGGCATGTCTTCCGTGGGAATGGCTTCTGGGGGCTCTGAGGTCTGTTGCTTCTCCAGGTCCATGGTGTCTTCGGAGACGTCTGAGTGGGCATGGAGAGGCGTGGGTCGTGCGCTTCGGGCAGTGTCTTGGAGGGTCCCTTCGTGGGCGGATGGAATGGTGACAAGAGAAGGGGAGGCCATGGCTGTGTGCATCTTTCTTGATCTTCACTCCGTCTGTGGTTGGATATGGACCAAGAGCAACAACAAGAAGACGAGTGAAAGGAGAAGTACTGCAAACCTACGAGCACCCGTACATACCAGATATATCTATACTTACCTCACTGCCGCGTGAGCCGTCGTACACAGCGGTATCGCATACCACGACGTCCGCGTTCGACCGCAAACATGCCGCTGACACACGGAACTGAAGACTATGCGTAATTATAAAAGTCGCATTGGTAGCGATATCGAAGGAAGAGAGCGGACGAGATGCAAGCCCCTTGGGAAAGCGGCCAGGTGAAGCCCCGTTGAATCCCGAGACAGGGGCGAAACTCGGGCGAGAGTGTTTGGCTGGGGCGTTTGCTGGCTCTGGCTGACCGAAGGATGTGAAGGTTGTGAGAAGGGTTGGAAACGAAGGTAAAATGCTAACGATCGTGGAGAAGATGATCCTCGTGATTATGGTTCGTTTGTCATGGATCGTTGAATTGAAGTGTCTACATCGGAATCAAATATCTACACCAAACTAAGACAACTGCGCTTCAAACTTGAAGCTATCCACTCCAACAGTCATAATGTTCGCAGCGCCACAATGCGTCCGGACACCAATAGACACCTCCCTGTAAGCCGTCGCGAAGTAGCCCGAGCTCCAAGTGCCACTTAAGGTGTACCACGGCTGCGGATCGCCCTGCGCAACATTCTGATTCCCGGAGGGATTTCCAAGGGTATCCAACGGAGCCCCCCCATAGACACCAGCAATCGGCGTCTCTTGTATCTGAAGCGTGAAATCGCAGCTCGAATAGACGCTGGTGTCGCCCTGGAACTGGTACGCGAAGCTCCAGTTGTATGTGAGTCCGGGGCAGATTGTGATCGTTTGCACGACCTCTTGCCAGTTGTCGCCGCCCGTTGCCGCGGCGTCGCAGGTGTTTTGGAAGTAGAAGCCGGGAGAGCCGCCGGAGGTTGGGATGTCATAGGAGAAGCCGTAGCCGTAGACTGGGTAGTACGTCCAGTCGTCGAGGTCGTAGAAGGCACCGCCTTGGACTGGGCGAGCATCGCAGAGCTGGGTAGCGGTCTGGAGGAGTGTTAGCGATGTATACGAGCAGATGTGAGCGGAGACCTTACGGCTGTAGCTGTTTGAACAGTGGTTTGCGTTTCTGTTCCGATCTCCGTGGATGTGGCTGTGGTTGTGCCGGTCTCGTAAGCGGTCGATACCTCTGTGCTTATCTGGATCGTGGTTTGTGTCTCAGTGCCAATCTCGGTAGACGTCGCCGTCGCCGTCTCGTAATTTGTCGTTGTAGCAGTCTCGTAATCGGTCGTCAACTCGGTAGTCACCTGAATGGTCGTTTGAGTCTCGGTCCCGAGCTGAGTTGATACGGCTGTCGTTGTGGCCGTTTCATAATCCGTCGTTAGTTCTGTAGTCAATTGAACTGTCGTCTGAGTCTCTGTGCCGATTTGGGTGGAAACAGTTGTGGTCATCTCTGTTTCGCGTTCAGTAGTCACGGCGGTGGTTGTCTGCACAGTAGTTTGCGTCGTCGTGCGAACTTCCGTTGACAGAGCGGTCGTCGTGGCGGTTTCATACGTAGTCTGGACCTCTCTCTCGGTTGACACGATGGAGGTCGGTAAGAGCGACGTTTCTGTCACATTGTATCCTTGCTGAGTACTCGTGATGACTGAGGTCACATAGCTGGTCTGATAGACAGTGCTGATCGACAGCGAGTTGACAATGCTTGTTTGGACGACGGTAGCGCACGTCGAAGCTGGCTGATATTCCGTGCTTGCGCTGTTATTGTGCGGGTGACTTCGGCAGGCGCAGTTCCATTCACGTCAGTCTGGTAGATCGTGCTGACCAACAACGAGTTTACGATCGACGTTTGGGTGATTGTAGGACAAGTCGTGATGTTCGAAGCCATTGCCGTCACTGTGCGAGTGATCTCGGAAGGTGCAGTGCCATTTAAGCTCGCCTGGTAAACAGTGCTGACCGACAATGAGCTGACGATGGAAGTTTGAGTGATCGTAGGACAAGTCGTAGGTTGGCTAGCATTCTGTGCAGGCGCCGTCACTGTGCGGGTAATCTCAGCTGGAGCAGTGCCATTCAAACCCAGCGTGATCGTTCGCGTTTGCACTCCGGCGGATCCGCCAGTAGAGGCTGTCACTGTTCTGTAGATCGTAGTTGTAGCGTAAGGAGTCTGAGCTTCCCCCGAAGTGCTGTTCGTCGCAACTCGCACATTGTCGACACCCACGTATGCGGCCCCTTGGCAAGTGAAGCTCAGGGAGATCGTAGAGCTGAAGCCAGAGCTTGGAACAAATGAATATGAATAAGTCTGGTAGGTATTCGTCAAAGGTGTGCGTGATCCGCAAGCGCCGCCACCGCAGATCTGGACGGAGCAGCTTGAAGGATTTCCGTTGTTGTCTGCTTCTATTGCTTCGGCAGAGATCGTGTAAGGGAGGCCGCTGATGGTGGAGACTGTTTGAGTAAGGACGTAGTCGATACCAGACGCTTGTCGGCGAACTTTGCGACTTGAAGAAGCTCCTATGTATGTTATGAGGCTGAAGAGAAGTCAGAGGAATCAGTCAAGAACGCGCGCTCATACGTACAGGTAATTAGAGCCGCTCGCAGGCGCAACCGGACCGCCGTCGACAATCTTTGCGGACACCCCTGCTGAGCTTGACCACGTGGAGAACGGTATGACATCGCCGGCCTCGAAGCTAGGTTGAAACGCAGTCAGCGTACGGTCAAGATCGATCGCCTTATAATACTGCCTACCCATCATTCGCAACCACGCCCTGTGTACTAGCTGCTCCAGAAGCACTGCAAGTGTTCACAGTCACCGTCGGGCAAGATGCAGGAGTGGATGTGGTCGAGCCAAGCTCTGAGACCACGAACGTCGAGCTCCCGGAAGTGTAGAGTATGGCGCTTCTCTTCAGGCATGTGGCGGTTGCTAGGGGCGACGAGGTTGCCTGTGCTAGACATGAGATTTCTGTCCGGTATGAGAGGAGAAGTAGCAACGCAGATAGCAAGTTTCGTGCCATGATGAGAAACTAGTGATCGCAAGATGCTGCACAGAACTCTTAGGGCCGGTTCGTTGAGGACCAGCACGCCCTCTGCACGATATAGCCACCTTCCTCCTGACTGCCGTCTGGCCGCACATTCTGTCTTGATATTAGCAATAACAAAGTCGAGATGAGAGTTGGGATGTTGTGCTTCTGGCATAGCAAGAGCCGCCGCCTTCCGTATCCCTTGCGTCGCACTGCTGCGCTGCCTATGCTCAAGTCCCAACGGCTTGCGACCCGGCGGCGTACACAATGAGTCTCGCTGGAATGTCTCTTGCTTTATCGCCTGATTTGGAAGATTGTAGGGTCACCGGAAGCGATACGATGATTATCATCATGCCCTCATCACCGCCGAAAAGCACAGTTGGAATATTGATGGAATGCTCGTATGTTGGATGCCTAGGGAGGAGACACGATAGCAAATGAGGCTGATATACAGGGTGCTTTCTTCAAACCTGATTCTTATCCTTGCGAAGATCCTGTGTGAAGACGCTGAGCAGAGCCAACTCGAAACTCGAACCTCGTCCGAGCCAACTCCTTCTTTGCACCATCGCTCGTACGCACGCAATCCGTCATCAGCTTTCAGGTCCCATGGGTCGATAGCACCGTAGCGAGTAAGCCTCCTAAGCTCCAACGCTCTCAAGGCCACGCCACTCCTCCAACTCCGACGCGATCTCAGGCAGAACGCTCTCAACATCCTCCTCCTTGACCCCAAGCGCACCGGAGATGAGCTGTCGATACATGTCCTGCTTGTTGTCGTAGCCGGCCAATGCCATGTTCCGGACGATCTGGTGCACGAGCTCCTTCCTCTCGTGGTTGATTGCGATCAGCTCGCGGGCGATGCGCAGCTTCTTTCGGGCCGAAATTTCGTCGTCTCCGTCTTCGGCGCTGGTTTCTGAGAAGCGGCCCAGCTTCAACTCTTCTTCCTCAAGCAGGCGCTTCAGGTTTCGGGCCTCTTCTTCTTCGGTCAGGACCCTGCACTCTGCTTCAAGCTGTTCGAGCTCCCGCTGCAGATGCTCATCTGTCTCGACCCCGCCGCTCGTCTGTTCCATTTCTTTGGCACGGAGCTCCTCCTGTTGCTTGCGGATGGTGTCTCGCTCTGAGCGACGCATGTTCGCCACACGCTCGGCTTCGATCAACTCTGCATCCTTCTCAGCCAGTTCGTCGTCCAAACTAGAGGCGAGCGTTCTGGCTTTGTTGACAAGAGCAGGGATCATCTGGGCGGTGATCGCGATGGCGCCGTCTGATTGATATACGTCCGAGCTAGCACCTTTCAGACCGGATGGAGCGCCGTTCAGGGACGAATGCGGCACGAGTGGATCAAAGGGTATGCCGTTGCTTGTGGGCGCCTGCATGGCACCACCAAGCGTCGATCCGTGATGATGACCGTCCGCCTGGAATGGTGAAGAGGACATCTGTCGGTTGTTCACCCGCTCCTGACGACGGTGGTTCAGCTGAACGATGTACTGATCGGCGGTCTCGCCCATGTTGTTCTGAATCTCAGTAGCTGCATTGCGGCCGATGAGACTCCGGACACACTTCCTCGCGCCATTGCGTGCAGCGATCGTGGTCGCCGTATCACCAGCTTGGTCCACGAAGTTCAAGATATTCTCAGTCTCCGGCGGCGAAAGCCTTTCTGCCATCTTGTTCAAGAGACAGTCCATGTAGTATCTGGCACACTGGTACTTGCTCTTCTTCTGCGTAGTATTGGCAATATGATGGAAGACGGTGCTACCGTACCATTCTTGCATGTTCACTGTGCGGATGAGGAGGCCAGCGAGTTTGTCCATGTTTTGCTTATCGAAGCTGTTGGTGAAGATGACGGCTCGCATGAGAGGTGTCTCCCCATTCTTAGCAGGGATCTCAATCGAAGCTCCACGCCTAATGAGGTCCTTCATCACTTCAACGTCACCCATCGCAGCCGCCCAGTGAAGGGCTGTGTAGCCTTTGTCGTCGATTGGGCGGTTCAGATTGGCGTGGTGAGGCGGATCTGGTGCCGAAGGGAGTGAGTCGATGGGGTTGTCCTGCAGCATGAAATAGTCCAGCAGCTCATCGGCCCACAGGCGGAACTCTCGATCTGCCTGCGACATGGTATCTTCCACCCGCCTTCTCTTACGCGAGCTGGTGTAGTGCGGATCGTAATCGTCGTAAGCCGATTCTGAGACGATGGTGACATTATCGGGAGTTTCCTGCTCACGCATGTGCATGTCCATGGGTTCGTATTCTTGGACCACGGGAGCTGGCTGACGACGTGGTTGCGCAGGTGCACGCGGAGCCCTCGGCTTGCTCGAGGCAGCGGTGGCATGCTTGGGCGCAGGCGGCGGACTCTTATCGCCCGGCACGAACTCGAACATGGGCCGCAGCTTCTCGTACACATTGTTCTTCATCGCAAGGTCCTTCCCGTCCGGCAGTGGGATCCATGTGCCTACACAGCAGAAGTGTCAGAAAGGCCCACATACTTACAACACACTACACCGCATACCCTGATATTTGCCGTATCCTCCTTGGACCTTCTCATGAACGCCTTTCTGCACCTCACGCTCCAGGATTCTTGTCCGAGTTGGCTTGTCATACTCGGCAACCTTCAGGATGTGCGTCGCATTGATCCAGTCGTCGGAGCGCCGGCGCATCACATGGTTGCCTTCCACACCGAACTCGTACACCGGTACCTGATCGCATGTCAGCTATTGTCGGCATGCTTGGGCTGTCCGATGCATACATTGCTGTATGTCGCGCTGTATATCTTGCCGGTGTCGCGCTTCGCCATAGTTTCGCCTGTTGCAGCCGGCTATGGCTGCACTTGATGGTGTTCGCCCCAGCGAGGTAAGAGTCTACGACTGTGGAAGAATACGTTGCTTGCGGGTGTTGGTACGTGCGATTGATGTGAAGAAGTCGGTTCGTGCGTTGCGCGAAGTCCAGTCGCGACGCGTCGGCAATCAATTTAGTCGGCGGGGGAGGTCGCGCGGGAGCGCTAGAGCAAACACGGCAAGGCGCGAGTGAATTCGAACATCCGTGAATGAGTCGAGGCGAACGACACCGCGTCTTTGCACATGACAGACCTCGACCCCCAGAATCACATTCACGGACATCTACATCATGGCAATTGGTCAACCGCCGGAGGCCGCGCGGATCCCAACAGCATCGAACGTCGTCCTCATCGACAACTATGACTCATTCACCTGGAACGTCTACCAATACCTACGACAAGTGGGAGCCAGCGCTGTGCACGTCTTCCGCAATGACGAGATCGATCTGAAAAAGCTCATAGAGCTCAAGCCTACTCAACTCATCGTCTCGCCTGGACCTGGCCACCCTGATCGAGATGCTGGCATCAGCCAGGATGCCATCAAGCATTTCGCTGGCCAAATACCCGTGCTGGGTGTATGCATGGGCGAGCAATGCTTGTACTCTGTCTACGGTGGCACAGTAGAGAAGACAGGCCAGATCCTCCATGGAAAGACCTCGAAACTACGGCATGATGGCAAAGGAGTTTATGCAGGGGTTCCACAAGATGCTGAGGTCACCCGGTATCATTCCCTGGCTGGTACGCATCCAACGCTTCCGGAATGTCTTGAGGTGTCGTCTACCACGCCAGGTGTTGATGGTCAGACTGTCATCATGGGAGTCCGGCATAAGAAGTACACCATCGAAGGTGTGCAATTCCACCCGGAGAGCATCTTGACAACAGAAGGCATGGTCATGCTCAAGAACTTCTTGCTCATGCAGGGTGGCACCTGGGAACAGAACGAGCGGCTGCAGAAGCAAATCAAGACCAACCTCACCAATGGCGTTGGCTCTCGTCAAATGAACGGTGCGACTTCAAATGGCGACAAGCAGGCATCTATTCTCGAGCGGATCTATGCAAAACGGAAACAGACTGTGGCAGCACAGAAGCAGATTCCTTCCCAGCGTCCGGAAGACCTTCAAGCCGCCTACGACATGGGCCTTGCTCCTTCACTCATCTCATTCGCGGACCGCCTCAGACAGTCTCCGTTCAAGCTGTCATTACTGGCAGAAGTCAAGCGAGCGTCTCCGAGCAAGGGTACAATATCTCTCACAGCCTGTGCACCATCTCAAGCCCGTACGTATGCGCTTGCAGGAGCTTCCGTCATCTCGGTCCTCACCGAGCCGGAATGGTTCAAGGGCAGCATAGAAGACATGCGCCTGGTCCGCCAAGCCCTTGATGGCATGGCAAATCGGCCAGCTGTGCTCAGGAAGGAGTTCATCTTCGAAGAGTATCAGATTCTGGAGGCTAGACTGAATGGCGCAGACACTGTTCTTCTTATCGTCAAGATGCTGAGCAAGGAGCAACTGACACGCCTTTACAAGTACAGCCAATCGCTGGGCATGGAGCCTTTGGTTGAAGTCAACACCGTGGCGGAGATGGAGGTTGCGACGCAGCTTGGCTCCAAAGTTATCGGGGTCAACAACCGCAACCTAACCAGCTTTGAGGTGGACATGGACACGACCACCCGCCTGATGAACATGACTTCGAAGGACACCATACTATGTGCTCTGAGCGGCATCACTGGACCCCAAGATGTCAAGCCCTATCAGCAAGCTGGTGTTGGCGCTGTGCTTGTGGGCGAAGCGCTAATGAGAGCGAAAGACACCGCCAAATTCATCGCCGAGCTGCTTGGAGGCGATGAGGCAAAGGTGAAGGATGACCGAAAGCGGCAGTTGATGGTCAAGATCTGCGGTACACGAAGTGCTGACGCTGCCAAAACGACGACAGAAGCCGGTGCGGACCTCATCGGCATGATCCTCGTCAAAGGGCGGTCAAGGTGTGTCGACACCGATACAGCTCTGGCCATATCGAGAACAGTACACGAGACACGCAGAGCTGCAGCTCCACCATTACCGGCTTCTCAATCATCAAAAGCTACCGACTTCTTCGTCGACTCGGCACGAAACTCTTTGCAGCATCCCTCTCGAGCGCTTCTCGTTGGTGTCTTCCTTGACCAGCCACTCGAATACGTACGAGAACAGCAGCGGCTGCTCAACCTCGACATCGTGCAACTCCACGGCTCCGAGCCCATCGAGTGGGCGCAGCAGATTCCCTGTCCAGTGATCCACTCCTTCAAACCTGCGGATGTCGCGCTGAAGTCAAGAGGCTACCATGCCCTACCACTGCTCGACTCCGGCGCTGGCGGTACGGGCAAGCAACTAGACGTCTCCCACGTGAAGGATGTCCTGGAAGGAGATGAAGGGACCGCCGTACTGCTTGCTGGCGGTCTAAATCCGGATAATGTCCGACAGGTGGTTGAGGCGCTGGGTCCATCCGCTGCTAAGCACGTGCTTGGAGTGGATGTTAGCAGTGGTGTCGAGACGGATGGGAAGCAAGATTTGGAGAAGATCAAGGCGTTTGTTAAGGCGGCGAAGGGGATTGAAGTGTAGAAGCCTTGACCTGGAATATCACATGGAGACTACGCAGAAGCCGGATTCTTGTGGCGATGAGCAAAATTCACGCCGGCTCAAGACCGATGAAGAAAGCCTTGAGCAGCTCTTTGGAAACGCTTTGGACGAGGACTGTGTACTAGACCAGGTTGGGACTATGACCCTCCACGCTGTGGTCGAAGGAGGTATCAGAGACTCCTTGGACAGCTGCAGTCACTCCTGTCCTTGAGTGATGCATTGCATCGGTATGTAATGTAGATAGCTGGCCTCCCGCAGTAACCTTTTCGAGGCCTTCCTCATCGGTGAGTATTCTTTTTACGTCTCTCACGCTTGTCACATGACATTCTGATTTGCACATGCTCGAAAGTCTGCCCGCAGGAAGCCTGCATGATTTCTCTCGTTACGTCAGCTGTTTCACGTCAGTCTCGTTATGTGAGCTGCTCGAATTTTTCGCACCAAGACTCCGCTGCAAGTCACCTCCCCCTTCAAACGAAGAGCAAAAGCCACCAGGCACACCTAAAGCCCACGTTCAGCTCGACACACAATCGATCTACTACCACTGCGTAAGCGACCAGCGATCCAGGCGCCATATACGACGAACCATCACACAGCCCATGGCCGTAAACGTGTCCAGCAGCGCCTGCGGTCTCGCACTCTTCTTCGTCGCCGGTCTCTCCCTGGCCTCTATGCTGGTTTCCTTCGTCTACTCCGGCGGCACCAAGCACAAGAGCAAGCACCGGAAGTGAGAACCGCATCTCCAACGTCACATCATCCGCCTCTTTCACAAGCTTACCGACGGCGGCTCATGACACAATCCGATCAAGTTCCGATCTCCGGCCACGACCTCAAATTCGTGCTTCTAGCTGAAGCAGTGCTTTCGACATTGGCCTGCCTCTTACCGTCGTGCTTTCGAAAGGACAGATCGATCGACTACAAGACAGACCGTCGACATCGCCATCGACGTTGACCGCAGTGATAACCCCCTTCACCAACTCAATGACATACAACCCAGCACCGATCAGACCACTGGACGCTTCCAGCACGTCCTGCGGCCTAGCTATCCTCGCAGCTGCAGCACTTTCACTGCTTTGCATTTTCGGATCACTATTCCGCAAGTGAACGTGAACCACGCGCGAACTCACAACTACGACTTCACCGATCTCCTCAAACACAGCAAGCACCTACACACCCTCAACCACCTCCCGCCAACAACATTAACCCAACCGATTTCACTCACACCACACAACCATCACCAATGCGTATCGGCGGCAAGCGACCAGTCGAAGCAGCCGGCACAGACTGCGGCCTCAAGATCATCTTCGCAGCTGCCGCTTCACTGCTTTCGATCGTTCTAGGCTTCATTTCCAGGACCTAGCGGCACGTGAAAGTGCACGGTCACTGGCCCCGCGGACAGATATCACCTCCTCATATAACATCACTTCGCGGTCCTCTTCCTTCTTCACACAACCACCTTCGACCGCACACAGCTTTCTATGACCGTGCCCACGATCCTCATTCCAGAGAAGCCTACGACCTTGGACGACGACGAAGAAGAACACGCCTGCTTCGATTGGACCGTCTTTGGTGGTTGCGTTGCAGCGGTCTTTGCTCTGCTCAGGCTGGTTTGAGAATTCACCGATTCACTCAAGGAGCAAAGACACATTGAGACTTCGAGAGCAAAGTGTCCAAAGCACTTCCAAGTCTCCGACCATCCATGGTGGACTTCTCCGGAGTCCACGTTAATACAACTCATACTCGACCGGATAGCGACCAAGGTACCACCAGCCCCTGGTTCGACTGCGGATGCTTCGTTGCGCTCATCTTCATATTTTTCGAGTCTCTTAAATCCTAAGAGCACACACCACAATACCAAACTCCACCTATCCGAAACCTCAGACCCTTCATCAGAACTTCACACACCCGAGCAATACCCACCACACATCAGCCATCATGCCTAAAGGCAGCAAAGCTCTGCAGCACTGCCAGATTGTCTTCGCCGGTGTGAATCGCGATGAGAAGGCTCAAGCTACAAAATGGCTCACTGGCTTGAGTGGTCGCGTTTCCACCAGCATCACGAACGGCACTACCCATGTGGTCTGCACGAAGCCCGCATTCAAGGGCGGCCACAAGCTCGTCGAAGCGGCGTACCAGGAGAATGGGAGCCGCAGTGAGAACAAGCAGATCAAGTTCGTCAGCATGGCGTGGGTCGACGATTGCTCCACGCAACGCACGAAGAAGGGAGAAGGCCCTTACTTGTGCGAGAAGTACTGGAAGGACCCTGGCTCGACGGCGAACTCGATGGCTGGTGCACCGACCAAGGCGCCCAGGACTCACGCCGGACTGCTGAAGGAGACAGTGCTTGAATCGACCAATCAGCATGTCGATGAGCGTACCCGGCAGGACATTGATAAGGAGATTAGTGCGCTGGAGAAGAGGAAGAGGGCCGAGCAGAAGGCGATCGAGGAGGAAGAGAAGGAGGAAAGGATGAAGGAGGCTCAGATGTTCCAGAAGGAGGCGAAGAAGGCGAGGAACGAGATCTTCACTGGTTTGTCCTCCCAAGCTTGATGGTCTCTCAGTGGTGCTAACATTGTACGTGTACAGAGAACCACCACATCTACACCGACTCCACCGGCTTCAAGTACGACGTCATCATCACCAAAGTCGACACCCGCAACAACCGCAACGAGCGCATCGCCCTTACCGTAAGTGCTCTCCCCATCGCTCCTCCCCATCCCCACCAGCCCCCAACTCACCCCCATATCCAGATCTACGAATCCAACGCCGAACCATACACCTACGCCACCAACATCCAATTCGCCGGCACCCACCAGCGCGCCTCCAACAACCTCCTCGCCGCCATCGGCACGCCCTTCCCAACCGCCTTCCACGTCTTCAAATCCTACTTCAAAGAGCGCGCCGGCGTCGACTGGGACGACCGCATCATCTACGCCATCGAGCGTGTGAAGCGCGATCGCAGGGATCGCGGTCAGGGCACCGGCAGTGATGCCGGCTCAAGGAAGGGTGTGCCTGTTGCCAGCGAGTTTCTGAGAGCGGAGAAGGAGAAGGAGTGGAAGGATCGGAAGTTTGAGTATCATCCGCCGAGGTTCGGGCCGAGGGGCAGTATGTCGAAGGAGAAGATTGCGGAGATTGAGAGGTTGGTTGGGGCGAAGGGTGGTGGTCGGGATGACGGCAAGGTCATGAGGGAGAAAGTGGATGCTTGGATGAGTGGTGGAAATGGGGATGCCGTGGCAAATGCGCCATCGCAGAACAAATCTCCTGCTGTTGTTGACGGGTACATTGATTTGAGCAGTGGCGAGATCGACCTCACGGCTGCCGAGGGCATTGGGATGGATGGCGAGGCTGCGAACGACGATCCCGGACACGGCACCGTTGGCAGCGAGCAGCTTGAAGAGATCGTCGACAAGACCTACCCATTCGATGCCGACATGGACCTCGAGGCTCCGCCGGACCCCAACTTCAACTTTGACGAATTCTTCGGAGGCCCTGTTGTTTCCAACGAAGACCAGCCTACGAACCCGACGACAGCTGAGGACTTCGAGCACGATTCCTACCCTGCCGAGCCTGCGGACGTCCAGGAAGAAGCACCAGAGCTCTCGTTCGCCCAAGATGCAGCCGAAGAATACCCAGAATCGTGCCCCGTCCAAGGTGCAGTTGAAAAGGATCCCGCGACATCTCACAACGCCACGCAGACCACGTCTTTCGACGTACCGCCTAGCACCGTCCTTGAATCGTTCCAGCCCGGCACGCAAGAGGTCGGGGAGACGCAGAGGGCCGAGCGTGCTAGGAACGAGTTCGAAGAGGCTATGGAGAATGATCAATACGCTGGCTTACCAGACGAGGAGTTGGCGGCCGACACTCATGGCGCCATCGACGCCGAGGCTGAGGCTGGACAGGAGGATGAAGATACGGGCCAAACCCATGACGCCACCGAGGTTGACGCCGAAGTTGAGGTCGGGCACAACGGTGCAGACGACGACGAAGCTGCCGCTGCTGCCTTAGCACCGAAGGCCTTAAATTTGGGGTCCTCGATCCTTGGGAAGGGTCTCAACTTTGGGAAGTCGATGTTGGGGAAGCGCAAGGAGCAGGATACCGGTATGCAGCAGGAGGAAGTCAAGAAGGCCAGACTCGAGGAGGTCGAATCGGAGGCCAAGGAGGGAGATGGCGAGGAGACCCACTTGCTTGATTCACAGCTCAATGGTGATGAGGTGGAGGGTGCGTATGAGGATGCTTAGGAGAGGGCCAGCAAGAGCCCGGCTGAGCTTGGAATTGGCATGCACTGCGTGGGACTTCAACTTGAAGCAAGAAATGCTTGGTCTGGATCTCGCTGGAAGTACCCTCACCGGGAATCAGCAAGACTTCGACCTGGCGTCTCCAAGTATTGGGTGCTGCGGCGAAATGCGTATTGACGAGCGGGCAGAGCATTGAGCATTGAGCATGGGACATTGTAGCGAGCAGGGCTGGACTTGCTTCTTCTTCGACTTGCAGTATATACAATAGCCCTCAGCTCCAGCTCTAGCATCAGATAGCCCGCCCGTCAAAGAAAACATGAGTATCTTCAAGCCTCTCTGCTACTCTTTCTCCCGCCATTCGTGCCTTGGGTCGCCCTCCCAGCAGAAATGCCTTCCTCCTCACAACCCACCACCCTCACCCCACCTTCGCATAAGCCCTCAATTACTCCTCTCCCCACCCTTCGCCTCCCGCATCTCATCCATCTTCTTGACCCGCAGCAGAAACTCCTCATACTGGCACTTCTCATACCCATGTCTCTCATCCACGCACCGGAAGGGCATGTAGTAGTTCTCGTATCGGCATTTGTTCAGCGGTATGAGAAGGTGGGCGCAGGTATCTCTGTAGGCGAGGGGGAGGCGGGCAGCGGACATTTCGGCGCGGGTGGCTTCTGAAGGTGCGGTTAGTGGCGGTGGTGGTGGAGAGTAGGAGACGGGGAGGAACGAACGGGTTTTGGGACCGCTGTCGCCGAGGCCGACGGCGTCTTTGACGGTGTCTGTTATTGCCATTGTGGGTTGTGTTGGCTCCGCGGTGAGGTGTCTGTGGTATGGGCGAGCTGGAGGAGGTGAGGTGAGGTACGCTTAGGGTTGCTTGACCCCACTCTTAAGCTTTGAGGAGAAATGGAGTTGATGCAGGAACAGCCATAAGGAAGTCGTGACGTAGATATAAAGATAGAATACAAAAGGGCTCCTCCTGTCCAACCTGACAGCAACGGTAGGTTAACGACATCTCATCCTTCATACCCCTAGACAAGATGCAAGAACACCACATCCTCATCCTCGGCGCCGGCTGGACGTCCACCTTCCTCATCCCCATCCTCCGCGCTCGCAACCTCTCCTTCGTAGCCACTACCCGTGACGGCCGCGAAGTAGCAGGCGCGAAGACGATCAAATGGTCCTTCGACCCGGAACAGGACTCGATCAGCAAGGACAAGAACCAGTTCTCAGACCTCCCGCTGGCTAAGCACGTCCTCATCACATTCCCTCTCACCGGCGAAGGCCAGAGTAAAACTCTAGTCAACGGCTACCAGCACGCGTTCAAGGGCAAGGGTGTACGGTTCATCCAGCTCGGTAGCACGGGTATCTGGTCAGGCGCAGCGCCGGGATGGGTAGACCGGCACTCGTCTTACAACACCGACAACTCTCGCGCAATTGCGGAGGATGAGTTGTTGGGGCTGGACGGCTGCGTACTCAATCTTGCTGGATTATGGGGAGGCGAGCGTCAGATACGCAACTACGTCGGAAGAGTAGCGAAGACAAAGGAGGATGTCAAGGGGAAGGGGAGTCTGCATATGATTCATGGCCAGGACGTCGCAAGGGTGGTGTTGGCGGTTTGTGAGAAGTGGGAGAAAGGTCGAGGCGAAAGGTGGATGGTAACAGATGGTTTTGTGTACGACTGGTGGGCTCTATTCGCCGGTTGGGCGGCCGACGCAGAGGACAAGGATGGGGATAAGGAGGACCCAGAGCCTTCACCACAGGCGAAGTGGGTGTATGAGTTGATGACAGAGGAGAATATTAGAGCTCTGCCGCGGAGTATGGAAACCTTGGGACGGTCCTACGATGTGCGCGAGCTCTGGCGGACGTTTGGGCTTGCGCCGCTGAGGGCGAGGATATGATGGCTATCAACCTCGAGCAAATGCGAGAATATTGGCTTTGAATTTATACTTATGGCTTCAACGACCGTCGTTGAAGAGGCAACTTTGCCCGTGCCATAAACCAAATCACACCTACGCTTGCGACTGCCAGCCGAAATCCTGCCCTGCATGTGGAAGGAATCTCTTGCCATGCTGACCACATCACCTCCAGTCGCTGCCGCCTCTCTACTGCGTGAGCGGCTGCACACCAAATGTCGAATAACCCCGCACATTACTCGATTGGGGCGGAATCGTCGAATGCACGAGGTGCGGTGGAGCGTGGACGCCTTCATCATCGTCTCTAACATCGTCTCTGAACCTAGACGCCCCGCTCAGTGGACGACCGCTTTGGCTCTGCACATCGAGCCCGTCGCTGTATTGCCCTGGCAGCCCTTTCTTGCGGTTACCCAGGAAGTGGGCGTGCGTCGGTGCAGCAGGACCTTCGTCTTCCTCTTCGTCGAAGTAGAAAGGAGCGTCCGAGGCTCTATCAAAGGATGTACGGCCGGGCTCACCACGGAAGCCGCTGTGTTGCGAGGGAAGGCTGTTACGGTCGTCGCGGACGCTTTGACCAAGAGTGTATTGGTTTCGATGGTATGAGCCACCATCTAGCTGATCGAACTCCCTGGCGGACTCACGGATGGCGGCAGAATGCTGGTTATACGCATCGGCTTGACAGTCTGCGAAACCGGGCTTGCCCTGAGACGAGCTCGAATCTGGCACACTGCCGAGATAGCCATCTTGTCCGGTCCGCAACGGTGTCTGCGCGCCCGAAACCCTCGGCGGATCAGGATTCGTGAAGTAATACTGCTTCCTCCCAACCGGTTGTTCTGCAAATGCCATCTCAGTCTGGCCGTATTGGTCTTCTTCGGGCGCTTCGCTCATCTCGGCAGTCGTCAAACCCGAGGACGGGCCAGTCGAGACCGCTCTGCCGCTCAAACACCTCGTCAGAGTAGTGTTTCTTGCTATTGCTATTGGGCTTGTGCTTTCGCCAGGCCTCCTTAGCCTTGGGCAGCCACTTCTTGCGAGTGAAGTACAGGCCTCCGCCGATGGCTGCGAAGACGGCTATGGCGGCTATACCGGCTCCGATACCTGATCCGTGGCCCAACCTGCTGTGATGTTGCGCTGGTGCTGATGCCGGTGCTCGCGGTGGTGCAGCACTGCCTGTCGGTGGAGGTGGCGGTACAACGACGGTCGTGGGCGCTGGACGGGTGGACGAGACTCTCGTCGTGAACGTCACGAAGGTCATCGTATTCCGGCTCGACCGTCATGTCGAGGAAGGCTCCTCGCCGATTGTGTGCGTATATGGCGGGAATTGCGTGCCGAACTCATGCGCACACGCTATAGCGTATTCCTGAGGGTCCGACGTAAGGTCTTTGGCCAACTGAGCGCAGTCAGCAGATGACGTGCTCTCGGCTCATGGACGAAGGTCGAGAGTCGTGAGCTCGGCTGGGCTAGCGGTGAGCAGACGACGTAGTCCGGTAGACTCGAGAGCATCGACGGAAGGGGTAGTGAAGGCCGGTATACGCAAGGCCGAGCATTGTGGTACAAGCTGCAGGAGCAGTGGGATAGCAAGCAATAAGATTCGTGGGAGAAGCGACACCATCTCTATGGCTCTTCGTCAGCAGTATACGCACGTCGGTGAATGCAGTCGTCGTGATTCTTATGTGGCTCTTCAGTGTTGTAAGTGCGTGTGTTGCATTGCTTGTTTGCCGAGTAGAAATATGCAGCAGCATCATCATTGTAGGACTCAGCGAGGCGAGTATTTGGCATGTTTGTGCTGCCTCGATGACGGCGCAGCCATGTAGCAGCATCTTGCCTGGTTGATAGGTGACAGACCGGTATCACAAGTGGCTAAGCTCGAAGCGTGTTTGCATGTCGTACGCAGGAGGGGTGAACTGCGGGGGTTGGAAGTCTCGAGACGGGGAAATATGAGCTGCCTTGGGACGAGGACGAGATGGTCATATTGGTATCTTGGTGTAATGGTTGGCTGAAGCAGTCCGTTAGTGCAATTGCAAGACTGGGGCACGGGGAGGTTTTAATTTCATGATCGTCTGAGGAAATCGTAGCAATATGTACAAGGAAAACAATTGCACCAAGTAGATTGAAAACCCACTATATGGATCAGCAGAGCTGTCTGTCTCCTCGGACCGCAAGGCCATCGAGAGCCACTGGATTCCTCGTAGCAGCCAGTAGCTCCGCCAAAATAAAAAGGTCAATCCAGTAGAATAGTCGTAATGCCTCAGTGGGCAATAGCCATCAAGGCAAATCATCAAGAGTACTAACATACCCACCATACTCATCCACCACCCACTGACAGAACGCCTCCCACTCACGAGCGTAGATCGCCTTTGCATGGTAAATCTCCTCGGAACTCAAACAGCTATGCTCCAAGCTCCACTCAGCCAACTGCTTCCAGCCATGGATGTTCATGCGCGGGTCGCCGACCATGACTTGGTAGAACTCGTAGGAGAGGGATGAGCTGACGGTTGAAGCGCCTCTGTTAGCGCGTGATGTTCAGCTGTCTCGTCAATAGAAGGAAATAGGGAGGAATAAGCGTACCTGAAAAGGGAAGGGTTGTCGGCGTTTAGGGTACAGTGCAAGCCTGCAGCGAGGAGTTGCGGGTAAGGATGTTCGCGGGCATTGCCGCAGAGATGGAGGAGCTCGTTGGAGATGGGGCAGAGTTCGAGGCAGATGTTCTGCTGCTTGTACTTCTCCACGAGGTGGGGGTGTTTGAGGAGGGCGTAGCCGTGACCGATGCGCTTGGCGTTGAGGAGGAGGGAGTCGTATAGGTTGCTGTTCTCAGGGTCGGAGGAGCCGCCGGTGTCGATGAGTGTCTCACCAGCATGGAACATGAAGGGAATGCTGATGTCTAGTTCCTTGCATGTTTGTTGGAAAGCGAGGAGGAGGTCGGCATAGAATTTGATGCAGTTCGGACGGTCTTCTGCGCCGACCAGGTCGAAACCGCAGATCAAGTCTGGGAACTGGAGCTTGAGTTGAATACAGTCTTCGAGTTCGGTCTTCATCTTCGCAAGTGGTATGCTTCGCGGCGTACAATAGATGATCTTGATGCCGAAAGGGAACTTGTCGAGCTCGTTTCTGGCCTCCAGCTCCTTCCGCTTCTTGACAATCTCTTCGCAGATGATGCTCATTTGTTCTTTCAAGTCGAGCTTGCGAAGTCCGTCATTTGATGGTATTGCCTTATCGAGTAGCATAGGTCGTAGCTCAGCGTACATGACCTTGTCCTTAATCATGCTGTCGATTGCATGGCCAATGTACCAACGATAGACGCCTTCGTAGCCAACCAAACCCTTGAAAGCTCGCGTGCTTTGGTTGAAGCATGCCCAGGAGCTGTTGTGGGTAGTCCTGTCTCCGTACGTATGTTCGACACTGATGACCATCTTCGAGCGCGCCCATCGTTCGGCGGCATCGAGGTTGTCAGGTCCAGCAGGTGCCATGCGCTCAGGAAATGCCTCACGGAATACCCTCCACAACATCCACGGACAATTGTTAGGGTCCTTGGCATTAGGATTATAGGACGGAGAGAAGCAGTCCGCTGAGATCATATATTTCGGGAAGACGTTGAAGACGATCTCACAGTCTCTGAAGTTTTCAGGTCCCGTCAGAGGTACGGTGCTGCGAATGAACATCGTGTCTTGCACGTCTGGACTCCTCGCGTGAGGGAAGAGAACATCCGGCGGAATTTCAGAGTTGAAGTGCAGATGCTGGTGAGCACCTTTCGGCATCCGCTGCGCAATAGCGCAGATGGCGCTCATGTTGATGCGGTCCAGATTCACAAGGAACCGGCCACCCATGTCCCGCGATTGCACGTCCGGAACAGCCTCACTAGGCAGGTTTCCAAACAGATTCGGATCTCTACGTTCGTGCTCGCGGACCTTGACAATAATCTTCCCGGCTTCCAGTTCGCTTTGCGAGGCAGCTGACTTAGCCTTTGCGTACCATGCTTCGGACTGCTCAGTACGTAGCAGCGCTTGGCGTTGCCTTCGGTATTGTGGCGCCTGCATATTCATGTCCATGTTACGTGCCAGTGTGGTCAAAGCATCTCTCCGCCACTCTGAGGAGCTGCGGGTAGCCCTGTCAGCCTGGAAATTTGAGTTTGGATCTCGACTGCCCGGTCGGTTTGAATGTGACATGCTGTCGATCGACGTGCGCACGGGGTCGGTGAAGGACCGTCGCGGCTCAGACTCCTCGCTGCGCATAGAGACGTCTTTCTGCAACGAGTTCACGCCGTTCACGTCAGGTTCACTGGCTTTTCCACGCGGTTTTCTTCGTTTGAGCTGGCCTGAAATTAGCACGTCTTATCGGATGTGGGCTCCGCGAATGAGAAGTTGCGTTCCCAAATGTATACGGAAGCAGGGCTAGAGCGTCTGTTTTAGGCTTCAAGAGTTGGGCGAACGAAACAGGTTGATATACCTTCTCCTTGAACATGACAACGAGGTCATGAGTTGTTTGCGACATCTGTGACTCGAGAAACCATTCATGGTTGGCCCGATATGCGTGGATCTGGTCATGCATCGATTAGGATCGGCGGCAGGCGAGCGTGAATGCAGAGACGGAATTGACAACGAGAGACTGACTGTTTGCGCGCAATGCTCGTGCCACTCGTGTGGATGAGAGCCCTTAACAATTGCTTCAACAGCCTCGTGATTCTTGTGGCCTCAGTGGCCCAGGTTGTGTTATACCTGAGGAGAAGGGCTGAGTCCTGATGGTTATCCCTCTAGCTTTCTCAACGGCACAGGGGTGCCGCACATGCTGATTTCTCGGAGCTCAAGTACTGAGTCAATGGCAGTACTGACTATGCTGGCATTCGCACACGTTCTTGCGGGGCCAGGCAGGAGAGTCACAGAGACATCGGTCCAACGAGGCGCAGCGCGCACGAGGCTTGGGCAGCGGTAGAAGGCTGTAAGACGTGATTCGACCAGGCGTCAATCGGGCTCCTGCCACTCTGTGCGACTTTGTGAGCAATCGAAACCGCTCCTGTGATTAAATCCAGCACAATCGTGTTGGCGACTGTGAAATCAAGAAGCTGACACGAGATGTTGTTGAAGGTCGACCCCAAGACCGCCAGATAATCAACAGGCTCTCCTAGCGAGCCAATGGGAGCCTTCTCAGACCATCTGCCGCAGCTCCCGAGGGACTTTTTGCTTCTCTTCCACGACAACTGGGACTTCGAGACCAAACGCGCCACATGCCTAAGTTGGAGTGGCAGACCTCTTCGACGCATACTACCACTTGGGAGGACGAGGCTGCGGCCTGTTCATCAGGAGACCGAAACCGCGATCGCTTCCGCGTCGGCGAGTCGTCGACGAGCAGCGGGGGGCTTAGCGAACGTCCTGCATATTGGCGCGAATGCAGTCTTCCGAGCCCTCGAGGGCTTCGTCCTGAGGTTTCGTATGAGATGGTTGTCGAGCCTTGTTGCCTCCCACAGCCCAGTGGATAAGTAGGCCATGCTGGTGATCCATCTCGTCTACCAACTCCATCTCGTTGACTTTACCACAACCGTACGACAACTTAAGCATACGAGATCTACCTTACCGGCCCCATAATGAGCGGCAACGCTGCGAATACCACGATCGCTCCTCCGCCGAACTGGCAGATGCTCTGGGGAAATGGAGCTGGCTTCTACAACTTTCAGCTCGACATAGTCGGCTTCCTAGCTGTCCTGGGAGAGTCTTCAGTTGTTGCGAACGCTCAGGTCTCTGCCCTCTCGCGCCTATTCTATCTTCCACGCCTACTTCCAGCACCACAGGCCTTGCTACCGCCGAATCGTCCGACAGACCTACCGTCCAGGAAGGCATGGGTTACCAGCGTACACACCGGCAACGCCAAGGAGCACGTCCATCACGTAGCGAACATCCTTCTCGGCGAAGAGCTTTCACTGTTCGAGGTCCGCTGCGTCGAGGTCACTAAGAAGCAGGAACCCAAGCCGGCGGACCGCCTTGACACAATATTTCGCGGCATACAGACGTCAGCAAGAGAATCCGCCAATTACGACCCTCCACCGGTCAAGGCCAAGGCTACAGGGCCGCTGACCTGGGTGACTTTGACTGGGTTTTTCCTCTCGGTATCGCTCTTCATAACGTCGTTCGTGCTCGGTGATGGGTACTCCATGCTCGCGACTCTCCTCCTTTCGTTCCTATCGACTCTTATTGGAATAGCCAACAAGTGGACACTCCGACTTGCAAAGCGCCCAACAGGAAATGCACCAGACGACGCCGGCGACCTTGTGATCCGCTACCCCAATGGCAGCTTCCTTGTCGTCAAGTGTGACGACGAAGTCGCCAGAGAGCTTTACTTTGCGCCGGAAGAGATTAAGTACACCATCAAAAGCCCCGCAGTGTACCGCATCATCTCTTTGCTGGCGACTCTCATCCTGATGCTCGGCATTATCTTCCTGGCCAACGCGAAACTCCAGTTGCAGTTCGCCTGGGCCGCATCATACGGCATCATTAATGCCGCGCATTGGGCTGCGGCGGCCTTGCCAGCTCGGTCTCATTGGGACCTGTCGTGCTACGTTATAAGAGAGCAAAGCGTCGTCGGCGGTCCCGAGAACAAAACCTTCACAGAAGCGTTATGGAAAGCGATAGTCCTCGCCAAAGGCACCACCTGGGTCCGGAACGGCTCCAGCCCCGCTGCCCCTCAGACGAAGACCTGGGACAAATGGCTGGATGATGCCAGCGACCTCTTGGTAACTCGTGATGAGCTCAAAAACCCGGGGATTGGCCGACTGGTAAATCCCGTCATTGAATGGGCAGGCGACACACCAGAGAAGGGTACGGTCTGGAACATGCCAAAAGACTGGGATCCCAAAGCGGCCTGGGACAAGATCTACCAAGATAAGAAGGAAGAGGAAAAGGCGGGCAAAATCCACGTCTGAAGAGATGGGGAGCTTTGCAGCGCTGCCTAAAGGCTAAACTGATAAACGACAGAATGAATGTTGATGATACATGTGCAGAAATGATTGATGATGATGGAGAGCGACTTAGCGAAGGTGTTGGATTTGTGGCATGTACGGTGCATAGCTGGTGTTGTTCGACTTTTGTTTGTATGTTCATGGACCTTCATATAGCACTACATCACGCGGTTCCCTCCGCTGTGACTCAGTCGTCTTTTGCGAGGCTCGAATGAACTCCCACGGCTTAGCTTGTATACCTGGTTTTGACCGCCGTCCAGGTCCCCAAAGCCGCACCAGAGTCCTCGACCGTTCGTGAAAATGATCCAGTCCCTCCAAATTGAACGACACAACTTTAGCGTGCCTCAACCATTATCATGCTAACCAGCGACTTAGTTGGTAACGAGATCTCTTTGATGTGTACACTCCAGGTGGCTTCGGTCCGTTCGGGGTCTTCTTCTTGATCAGCCCGGTTACACAGAAGCCTGGAGCCGACACTACCTTAATGTTCAGTTGTCCCGTAGATGACAGATTCCTGTTCCTTACGGTATACGCCTCTGCTCACGCAACTGAAGCAGTGCGATCACCAGTGAGATGAGTGTGAGACCGAGTCCAATGCAGCCAATGGTCGACGAGTGGAGATCTGATACGGCGTCGTAGTCGCTGCAGGTAGTTGGAGTGGACGTTGGCGAGATAGTGCTACTCGTGGTTGCAACAATCTTTGTCACAATGGCCGGGACCATCGTAACGTAGCGGGCGGCTGGGCGGCTTCAAGGTTCCAGCAAAATGGCGGGTGGAACGTTGAACAGAAAAGTTGGGAGGCCGGCGGCCCTCCATTCATACCTTACGTCCTCGAAACCTGATATTGTGGTGCAAGGCTTTGCGCGTGAGGGTGTGCGGTGCGGAATTCTACTGGACACTGCTCATGCACTGACACGTCGGCGGCCTTTGTCGCAAGCAGGTTTTGGCCGCCCAGCGCCGCCCACGTTAAACCGAAATCAGTCGCGATCCCGAGCCGACCGCCTTCGGGGTAAAGTTTTGTAATCGCTCTCTCATTTGTATGCGAATCAAAAGATTCCGTTCAAGTTCATGGTATAACAATTTACTTTCGAAATTGATTACTGAAAATTGTTTCAGCTCAATGCGTGGATCTCAAGGTGGTATAAAGCCAGAATTACTCTTTCGGGTCCATAAGGCGGCCGGCTCGGGGGATGGTCAGCTGGCTCCACACACTCTGCCGTCCTGCTCACTCACTGGAGCTGGTCGTGCGGGCTGTGGGCTAGACCACAGCTAGCGGGCGGCATCAGTCACCTCAGTCAATAGCTCCTAGCGGTCCTGGCGACGCAGGAGTGTCAACGCGTACTCCGTACCTCACGCACCGACGAGACTCTCACCCCTAAGCTCGCCTACACCCGATCTGGAACCGGGAAGACTGAGTGCTTGACTGCGACGACCTTTTTACCGGCGGAGAGAGATGACTTCCACTCTAGCTGTGCGATAAAACTGGATGATGCAGCAGTGGGTGCATACAGACGTGCCACACCACCAAAGTCCACGACAGTCTGACTTGGCATCCATCGTACTCAGCGACTCTCCTGTTATTGATTATTCGGACTTCTCTGAATCTGATCTGCATCCCCAGCAATCCGACGATGGACGTACCTTGTTGTCTATGATCCCACAATCTTCAGCATCATCCAATTCCGCGAATGCTGCAAGACACAATGCCGCTCCATGGCCGTCCTCACGAACGCCAGAAAGCCCCTATGAGAAGTGGGTGAAGAAGATTGAAATAGGTCCTGGGCAGTCTGCGTACCGCTGCCAGCATCCGGACTGTTCGCTCAGGCGTAAACAGTACAGTCTACGAAGCGAGCTTGCAAAGCACATCAAAAACGTACATACGCCAGATGAGCAGAAGCCATTTGCCTGCAATGTTTGCCACAGACGGTTCGTTTGGGCCAAAGATGTCAAACGACACATGCGAGTCCATCGAGGTAAAGCTGAAGGGTTAACCCCGGAGCTAGGCCGTCCGACAGCAATGTTTGTGGATGAAGTAGACGCATTACTCCAATCCGGGATACAGCAGCGGCCGGTCGGCGTGCAGACGCAGTCGGACTTGAGCGAGGACCACTTGACTGAGACTGCTGGCCAGTTGCGGTCCATAAGTGCGCTCGTACATCGGGCCGCTACGGATGAATACGACTTCACCCAGCCAAGGCTTGAAGCCAGGCCTCCTATCACCAACGCATCCAGTACCACGAACGACCAGCCACGCAACCCAGTATTGGCGAAGCGCAAGTCTGAGACTGCACAGTTGTCCAGCAACTCTGAGCGCATACGCAAGGGCCCCAGACAGAAGCCTTCACTTAGAGATGTGGTCAAGCGCTGGATCTTGGTAAACAGGTACCAACCTCGCAGTTAGTAGATGAACTAATCCAGTGGTACAGATTGATCGTGTTCGGCGTCTCTGGCCGGAGGGACAACGTGATGGCGTTCCTCAGCCATTGTGCGAGATTTGTCAGACTTTGGATCTGGACGTCCACAGCTTTGCAATATCGAGTAAACACGTTAAGAGACTTCGTTCCGGGCGCACGATGGGCACCCTACGACAGATCTGGGGCAGAAGTGTGAAATGCCCGCTTTGCCGATTGTTCGTTAAGTCGCGCTGGACAGGTATACTAAATCTGGAAGCTGTCTGTGATGTCAAGTGGCTGCTTGATGGACGCAAGAAGGTCATGACGGCAGAGGGAGACGAGTTGATGATTAATCTTACTAGACGCCTCAGCGTCGTATGGCTGGACGACTTCGACAACGAAGCTCACATTGTTCTTGTCTATCCAAACCTCACATTCGGACCGCAGCCGCTGTTCCTGGGTCGGCTGCTTACATCAATCGAGGTACCCTCGGCTCATCTGGTCAAGGAATGGTATCAACTTTGCAAAAGCCGCCATCCGGATTGCAATGTCAGTACCTCCAGCAGTCTACGGAACCTTCAACTGGAAAGCTACTTCGGTGTTATCGATCTGGAATGTATGAAGCTCTCTGCTTTGCCCGATGTCGACATAGAATACGCAGCACTGAGTTACACTTGGGGTCTGTCCAGCTCAGACGTCACACGCTTCTACACCACCATAGGCAACGTCGAAACTCTCAAGAAGACCAATGGGATCAGGGAAATCGAACACCGTCTTCCAAACACCATCCGAGATACAATTCACCTGGTCAAGGAGCTCGGCATCCGATATCTGTGGGTAGACTCTCTCTGCATCCTCTGGGACAACGACGAGATACGGAGACTCAACAGTGATCACATGGACACTATATACGGCCACGCGGCTCTCACTATTTGTGCAGCTGATGGTGGGGACGCAGATTGTGGACTCGTGGCTCTTCACCCGACTGAATCGCGATATCAGCCGCGCACGGAACAGCATGTCGAGAAGGTCAAGGATGATCTCCGACTCATGCTCGTTTATCCCTACGAACACTACATCAGCCGGTCATCGTGGAATATGCGCGCCTGGACTTTCCAAGAGCGCCTCTTATCCAAGCGTTGCGTCGTCTTCGTCGATGGCAGGGTGTATTTCGAGTGCCGATCAACAATGTTCTCGGAACAGATCTTTGGAGAAAGTCCAGAGTCAGCGTGGTATTTGGACCTGCTGAATGGATCTTTGCAGCAATACAAGAAACTCAGCGATCAGCCAGTGGAAGTATACACCGAGACTGTGAAACTTTACACGAGCCGGGAGTTGACTGTCGAGGATGACATCTTGGCTGCTTTCAACGGTATCGGCAAAGAGATCTGCGGGAAGCTCAACGGCGAGCAGGTCTTTGGTCTGCCGTCCAGTCATTTTGACTACGCTCTGCTCTGGCAGCCCGACCGCTCGCCCGAGCGCAGGGCAACGAAAGGTCGCTTGAGCTTCCCTAGCTGGTCGTGGTGCGGCTGGAAGGACGCACGAATGGTGTATTCTCGGGATTTCGTTGAAGACATATCTGGTAATGTGAATGAATGGCTTTTGAGCCACACTTGGATAATCTGGTACATTCGCGATGGCCAGGGAAATCTGAGACTTGTGTGGGACCCTGCGCTCCATGAGCACAAGGCAACGTCTGTTGCTGGCCGCTGGAGGGGCTACCGCTGTCAGGACAGTCCGTTACAGGATTATGATGCGAGGTCGGATCTTGACACATACCTTCGACCTGTTGAAGACCGGATGAAACAGCGTGCGTCAAACGAATTCAAAAAGACGATTCCCAAGTATCCATTCGGTGTCCGCATGGTACCGCCCGGCAAACCCTCCATTTCGGTGGACCATCGTTTCGATCGCCTAGGGGACCAACGCTTCCTCCAATTCTGGACGTGGTCGGCTCGTTTTCATCTCGAAGCCGACGGGGATATCGACGAGGACTCCGAAGAATTGATCCGCTTCTCCATTCTAGACAGCAACTACAGTCACGTTGGAAGCATTTTGCTCGACAGGTCGTGGATAGGCAAAGCCGACAGCGGCCAGGGACACGACTTCATTGCCATCTCGGAATCCAAGAGCTTCTCCGAGGACGAGATGGGAGAATGGAATTTTGTCGAGCCCGTGCAGCAGAGCAAGGCGAGGTGGTATGTCTACAATGTGCTGCTACTCGAGGGTGATGATGAGATCAAGAGCGTCTCGCGGAGAGCTGGACTGGGAAAGATATACAAGAACGGATTTGATACTGCGATGCCGATCTTCGACGATGATCGCAAGCGCAAAGAGTGGAAAGAAATCATTTTGGGCTAAAGCAGCGGACTCTTTCGAGGCTCCCGCTGCGACGAGACACCGAGCATGGCTGTCCCGTGCGTCGCCCGCGCACCGGAGATGGACTGCGTGCTTGAGACCGACTACTCGATACCACTCGCACCCATCGCTCATGCTGCTGACGCACGATGATGGCACGTTTCGGCTCCTCCTCCAGATCTGTGCTCTTTACGCGGAGACAGCACAGAAGCTTTTCACACATACGGAAGGGCGCCCCCTCTTCGATTGAGAGCTCGACCTGTCTTGAGGATCATGCTCGTCCGGGTGTTTGGTTCAAGGGTGCATGGCATGAAGGTCCATCACTGAATCTCAGAACGAGATGACTTCTGAGTATCAAGGCTGCATAAGAGAGATGAAGTGGTCTGTGTGGCAAGTTCATAGCACAATGCAACCGTCCTATAGAGAACACATGCAAGTGCTTGCCACAGTCAATTCTAGTATCTACGAAATAAACACCTTCTTCACACTCTCCGCCCCAACCTCCCAAACCCCATCCCCCTGATTCGTCGGATCCCGCACCCACCCCTTCTCCGTCCCAATCTTCTCATTCAACACCCTTAACCTCTCCCGCCCAAACACCCGCCCATTCGGCAACACCACCGGATCCTCCTCCATAAAACTCTTCGTGTGATGCGCGTACGGCACATTCCTCGCTAGTTCGTTCAACTCGGTGCTGCAGATCGGACACACAGGCGCGCCCGTCAGCGTGCTAGGCTGGAGGGCGTACTCTGAGTGACAAGCCGGGGTTTTCAGCGCCGAGAGGCCGGCGGAGAGGGCGATGTAGAGGAGAGGTTGCGAAGGCAGGGCGAAGAGCTCGTGGTGCGTGCGGAGGAAGGTCTGCGCGATTTCGGTGTAGCGGGTGGGCGAGAACATGGTTCGGTAGGGTTCCACGTGGGTGTCGGGGGATTGGGCGAGGAGGCCGGCGGCCTGAAGGGCGAATTTGGGATCTTGGCCTCCAGCGAGGTGTTTGCGGGCGTAGACCATGGCTTCGAGGCGCTGTTTCATTTCGCCACTTCGTGCGAGTTCGATGAATTGTTGGAGGCGCAGCTCGGATTCGAGGTTGCTGTCGATTTTCTTCAGGGCTTGTTTGTTCTCGACGCACCAGGTGAGGCAGTCTTGCATTTTGCCTTCTCGGAGGCTCTTTTCGATCTTGCCGCTTTCTTCGAAGACGTTTACGTCTACTAAGTAGTCGATGTCCTTTTCTCTGGCCAGCTCTTTGGCGCTTTCAGTGTAGCCTTGTCGGAGGAGATAGTCCACCAGTAAGCGGTCCAGTCGGGTATGGGACCAGTGGTCATATTTCACATCCGCCAGGCTCGGTATCTCGTGCAACTCTTGCAGGTGTTGTATTCTAGACTTTTGCTGCTTGTGTAGAGCATTCTCCTCTATTTGGAGAGCCTCCAGCTTTCGTTTGAGGTTCTGAGCTTTGGCGAGTGTTGAGTCCAGCGAAGCCAGTGTTTCCGCTGGGGACTGGTTGGTGCTGGCCTGTATGGCGGAGGTTACATTCTTGTTGGTCATCTCGATCTGCCGTTGGGCAGACTTGAGGTTCTTCCGTAGGAGCTCGTTGGGTAGACGAAGGAGTGGTTGATCGAGCAGTAGATGGGAGTCGGGCTCCAGCTTGGTGGTGGAGAATTCGGCCATGGTAGCGATGCCCTCTGTGCCGGCGAGCGAATCGTGGCGAGTCTTGTTGGGTGCACGGCCTTGAGGTGTTCACGTCGGGTCACTATGGCTAGATGTATTGCTGGTGAGTTCACGTGCCAAAGTCGGGACGAGAGATGAAGATGCAGCTGCAGTCAGCCCGTTTACTTAAGAACGCGGGGAAATTGATTGAGGCCAACTGAATTCCAATCAATGGACGGACGCCAGGTCCGAAATGAGGCACTAGATCCCGCAGCGGACCGTGCCCTTGCGCGTTGCATCAACTGTGCGTCACCAGAAGCACGAGACCTCCAAATTTCGCGTTTGCCTTCAATCTGTGTTTGAGCTGCAGAAACATCTTGTGCTTGATCTTACAACACTACATCGACCAGAGCGATACTACCACAACAACTCGTAAGTTGCTCAATCACCCGATTGTCCAGATCCTGAGCTCACCATCGCAGAAACATAAAATCAACAACATCATGTCCGGAACCGACGAAACCTACCAGCTCACCAAGGAGGATGTGAGGAAGCCAGAGTCGAAAGAGTCCAACGTCCACGGCGGCAACGTCCCAGCCGGCTCAGAAGCAGCAGCTATGCAGGTTAGTCTCATTCTATAACAATTGTTCCGCCAATGCCATACTGACGTTAAGCGACAGTCCATTGTCGACAAAGCCGACCAGAACAAGCCCCAAGTCATCAACGAGCGTCAAGCCAACCTCCCACTCCCAGACCAGCCACCGGGCAAGTCCGACTTCAACAGCGCCGACACGCGAACCGTCAACGTCGGCTCCGGCGGCCAGCCCACCGGCAACTTCTCTTACGGCAACGATGCGCTGCGTGACCCCGCGACAGGCGACTCGGCTGTTCGTGCAAACCCAGTGAGCGGCAATGTGCAAGGGCAGGGTGTTGGACGTGAGGGTGCGTCTGGACTCGGTGGAATCCCCAACGATGCTGTCGCGAGAGATGCGAAGGACAAGGCTGGGTTGGAGCAGACGACGGGCAAAGACTATGGCTACCCGAAGAAGTCTGACCCTGCGGATACGAAGAAGATCTGAAGGGGCTGATGCTTGAACTAAAGCTACGGCTTGATGGCATCGCTCTCCGTACGAATCACGAGTCCAGATATGCCGACTTAAAAGCGCTGGCATACAGGGACGTTACTTCGATGACTCGACATTGCCATTGCATCTTCACCGATAACGTTGGCGTAGCATCGCCATAAAAGTAAATAGCAACGAAACCGTTCAAAAACACTGAGTTGTACACTGTCTCGAGACTGTCCGATCGTCCGCCTCACGGCCTGCACAATGGCCTGTAAAGAATGCTTTGTGTCTATGTTCTCAATACCCATCCCGTCTTCTGCCCCAGGGTCGGTTCTCCTTGGATGTTTCTGGTCACCAATATCCGTGCCTGACCTGACAATCCTTCACGTCGAATGGTGGGGCAGGGCACGTGAAAGCTGCGTGACGTAACTCAAACCTAAACGGTTCCACAGGGTGTCATTCGAGCATCAGAGAGCAATGGCCGGAGTTGGTACCTGAATTGAAGCGTCGTGAAAACCTCGAAAAGTCCTTTGAACACACGACACTACAAACGACTACCTCTACAACCTCAACCTCTTGAACGATACGAACCAGAACAGTCTCCAAAGAACACAAGAGAGCAACACCATGTCTTCTTCAGCAGGCACAAAGGTACCGCATCCCAAATCACTGCAAACGCACACCTCATCTAACACATCGACCAGGTCACCTCCGACCCCCAAGCCCGCCAGGACCCAAAGAACGAAAACCCCGGCGTCGTCACCTCCGACTCTCTCGCCGGTGAATCAGTGAAAGAAGGCGGCTCTTTCGCCGCCAACGCAGACGCTCGCGGGCCCATGGACCAACCGTCCCGCTCTGTCAACACCGCCACCACCGACACCTCCAGCGCCACGCAGCTCGACCCCGCCCCCGCCGCCGAAGCCCGTCAAGCCAGCCAAGAATGGAGCGAGAGCGCACAGCTCAACGCCGGCAGCGGACTCGAGGGCAAAGGACCGACCTACAACACCGCAGCGGGAGGTAGCGGTGCGCCGACGGGCTCGAGTGGCAACGCGGGCACCGCGCCGGGGTATGTGTCGCACCCTGCGCCGGTGATGGGGGACAACTTCCAGCCAAAGGGGAAGAACATTTCCGAGGGCGGGTTTGATGAGAATGCGCCGAACGCGAGCTTCAATACTGAGATTGGCGGGAAGAACGACCCTGGTAGGGTGGGGTTGCAGCAGCAGGACGTACCGGTGTCTGGCGGTGCGGGAGCACGGCAGGGGCAGGTTAGCAATGATGGGCAGTATGATGTATTGAAGGATGCGAGTGCGTAGATGGGAGGTGGTGGTGAGAGTTCGTGTAGAAGGAGAGTCCGAGCTGTCTGGTCTTCTATGGCCGAGTAGCAGAGGTTTGATTGCTTTAGCCTAGCATTCAGAGTATACCGCGATGGGATGCAATAAGCTGGGTGCATACCGTGTACTTACGACACGTCAACCGCGTTTTCCCATAGCAAGGAGCAGTCAGAAGCACAAAGCAAGATCCAAGCTTCACCCGCACCTCTATCCTCATCCATATGCTCTGACCTCATGGAGCCCAGCGTGTCCCGTCCGCGCCCTCAGCCTGCTCTCACTCATCCACCCACCTGAACAGATCAATTCACCCCCAAGACCAGCCTGGCCAGCCCACAAGGGCCGAAAAAGCTGGATCATTCCACATTGTCCTTCATGCCTGAGGCAAGCGATCCGTGACCCGTGATCCGCCATCCGCCAACAGCCGACCATAGGTAAGGCTGAGCACGCGCAGCACAGCATTGACCCGAAACAGCCGCAAAGCCACGCCGACTTCACTTTCACGACTGAACCTGACTCGGCGCTGGGGCTTAAAAACGACAACGGGGCCGATGGAAGCTGGCGTGGCTCGGTGGGTTGTAGTAAGGCTGGTAGAGACGGCGGTGCGATGCCGTGTTCAACGAGTGAGGTAGTGGTGATAGAATGTTGGATATGCTGACGGCTATGCTAACTAACACTATGCTATGTACGAACAATCTATTCTCGAACGACCGTCCCATCCCAATGCCTTCGCTGTCCCCTGTAACAATAAAATCCTGCTGTTGCGTTCCCGTACGGCTGGTAACTCTTGAAAAGCCGCAACTCCAAGCGGCCGGACGTGCCCTACCTCCAAAGGGTGTCCGGGCCCGAGATCCTCCCCGTATCGCTGATGCCGGTATATCAAAGATAAAACAACAAGCGCCAGATCCATGCGAGTCAGCTTCGTGTTCGCGTATCGTTGCTATTGCTGTCCGCTCCACTTCGCGACGAACCAGTCGTTGAAGGATATCGGACGGATGTCAGGGAAGGCGCGATTCAAGTTGGGTTGGGAGAAGTCGTAGCGACCATTGGCGGTGGCGATCAAGGTCTGAATGCGCGTGCCGCGGGCGGTGTCTTGTTGGGCGGCGGCGAGTTGTAGTTCTGAGCGAAGGGAGGCTGGGTTGTGCCAGGTGATGGGGTCGAAGACTTGTCCTATTGATCGGTCAGTGGGCGAACGAAGAGGTACAAGCAATATCAATAAACATACCCTTCAAGCGTGACACGGTAGCAACAAGATCCTTCACCAGTATTCGCTGCCCGGACATCCGCAACTCTGCAGGCCACTGCTTCAGGTCAATCGCTTTCGTGACGAAGCGGCCGACATCCTGAGCAGCGGTCATGCAAATCGCGACGCTGGAGTTGTTGTCCGCATCGTACGCAGGCACATTCGCTTCCATCGTCCGACAGTTCATGATGTAGTCGCCTTCTCCGCTGAAGCCGGAAGTATGGCCGATGCTCGATTGCGTAAGTCCTCCGGGTTGGAGACGTTCGTAAAGTACCCCGCAGACAAACTTGGTCGATTGTATGAACTGCGAGTAGTGGTTGAGCCAATGCAGGGCCAGCGATCTTTGGCGGTCCAACGGGTCGTTGGCGGGTCGAAGTTGGGACAGGCCTTCGAATTCAGCAGGCGCAAACCGACGAACACGGACTGACACCGCAGCCTTGATCAATTCGATTTGTGAAGGGCCGGTGACTGTTGATATGACTGTGTCAATTCCTCGGAGAGCATACTTGAGGGAGTCGGCATCGTCGTAGTCGACAACGGTGACTTGGTAGCCCTTGGCGGCGAGAGGCGGTTTGTCCTGTGAAGTGGTTAGTCATCTGGCCTCGACGAGTACAGGTCGTGTTCGAAAATAACTCAAGAGGCGGAGATGCTGGTGCCTAGACGATCTGCTGTCGTCTGTGGTGTCGAGGACGGGAGCTGTCATGGTTGAAGGAGAAGTGAGTGACAAACATACCGATCGTGACAGGAAGATGACATGATGGCTGGTGTCTTGGTTGATGTAGTGTGCAATGAGTCGTGCCAGTCCACCGGTTCCAGCTATAGCGATCCGCATCGTCGACATGTCTGAGCTTGGTAGATCGAACAATCCTGGAACTTCTTTGCCATGTGAGACATCTTCAGGACCGACAGCCATTATATCCAGGGGCCTGCCTGATGTACAAAGGACAAGTCCCCCAAATCCGTGCGCACGTTGCCTGTCGCCAGGGCTGCAGACAGCTGTGTGAGTCGGAGCAGGCGTATTTCAATTCGTTGGTCGTTGATGCCTTGAAGGTGCATCATAGAAGTAGATAGACGAGAGCAACGTGGCTATCGGAGGGACCGCCGCCCTACGGAAAGACTGTCGGACGAAATATGTTGGTGGGATGTTGGTCGGCTTCGGAGGAGGCTGATTGAAGGCTGCAGATAGTATGGTCTTCAAGGCGTTCACAGGCCGGGCCAACGATGAGTAAATGGAGAATGGCTGAGGCAGCCTTCCCAATCATCGGTCGTAATTGACTTTGTCCAGGAAGTAGGGCGGCCGGGGGAGCGTAGGGTTGAGCGTAGATAACCAGTGACTGTGCGCAGGCTACCGGTTGCCATACGGACTCCAGGCGGGCCGGTGCCTGGCTGAAGCTTGGTGCAGACCGCGCCGAGCAGTCTGGTCCGTTCCAGGGCCAGGTGCTGGAGTCCGCTTTGATGTTCCTGGCGGAAGTTGGTGGTCAAGACTTTTCAGAGTAGCGGAAGGCAGTGCATAGATGCTATGTCGATGTCGGAAGGACGAGAACAGCCAAACAATGAGTTTGTGACCTTCTTTGCGGAGCTGTTACCTGCGTCGCTTGTATGATCGGTCATACCCCAAGATCGATGGATAGCGACAACGATTTGAAATAGCGGCACGAGGTACCGGAAGACATCTTTCTGGAAGGCCGCCCGTAGGCGACACTGTCGAGCGGTAGTCACCCGAGGAGAGGTTAGAGTTCGCCATCATCCCTGTATTCTAGACAGGCGTTCGATGTGCCTGACAGTGCCGATCCATAGAAGGCGAAGTCCTGTAGCTGAGGGAAGAGCACTGCTGCAGGCCGATGATCCACTATATTAAGTCTTCACCGGTCGTGGTACTGTTAGCTTTGAATCCTTCGGCTTCGGTTTCACCTTTTGGTCGAGGGTAGTAGTAAGCCGGTGCATGTTCACAGATCGTTCACAGCCACGTTAAAGAAGCTCCAATCTGCCGTGAGATCCTTCTACCACAGCCTTGGTGGTGGAACTCCAGCCGCATGGTGGTGCTGCGAGATCTGCGTGGGGGCCGAAACGTAAAACGGGAAGTGCTGTCGAGTCATTGTCCGAACCCTTGGAGTGCCGCAAGCTGGAGGTTGGTATGACTAGTTGATCTGCTGTGTCCGCCAGAATCATTGCTCTCACCGTTGAATAAAACAGCCTGTAAAGCCATGAGAGGACTCCAGACTTGCTGCTGGTGGATTACCTCCCATGCAGAGATGAACAGAAGATACAAGGTCGGTGTCGCCGGCGCGATAGGCCGATCTTGCGGTCTTTGGGGTAGCCATCGTGGTCACGCGCCCTTCTACAGCCTTCAACAGCAGCCGTGGTCATCGTAGATGCACCCACCGTATGGAAGGACGTTGCCGCTTACGCGGCATCAGTAGTCCTCGGCTGGTCGCTACTTCGTGTCGTCCGGAGGCACATCCTACCTGCAACTGGTAAATGGTCGTGGTGATGCTTCGATTAGCAAGCACAGCCAGGTGTATATCGGAGGCATGCCGTCGAGATTTGCCACAGGACCAGCCGTCAGTGAACGTGGTACCTGCAGGGCTGCAGGTTTTTCCGCCTTCGTAGGGCTGTATCGCGGTGGTTGCAGAGCCTCGCCTTGCACGGGTTCCGGTTAGAGAGAGGGGACCTCATCGCTGAACGGTCACGGGACTGCGTGTCAAAGCGTGTTCATTGGCCAGGAAGTGGCTGTTGTATCAAGGTCGACGAGAAGGTCACGTTTTTCAGTGGGCATTATACTAAGTACAAGAAGGAGGCTTCACCGCGAGCACCCAGGCTATGTTTGATGAACATGCGTTGTGGTGAAGATGAGATGAAGGTTGTGCAAGGAGGCACGGCATCGGAGGAGGAGTGAGCGTTTTGTGCACAGACCTCCGTACCTTAAGTCGCGTCATCTCCAAACGCGCTTCAAGCTTCAACACCAAACAACTTCACGACGTTTCCAACATCTGTATACCACAGTGGCTATGGATGTCACGTCTGTCAAAAGGAGGCGATCATCTTCGCCGTCTCTACGGCCATCATCAGCTTCGGGCTCGGACAATGCCACCCGTCCAAACTCGCAGGACTCGCAGCCCAGGTCCTCCCAGATCTATGCCTTTCTCAACCACTCGACTGAGACCGTGTCCGACAATTTACCACCGAATGTGGATGACAAGCCATTGGCGCGGCAGAGGCGGCGGCGGACCAGGTAGGTAGCTTGATACCGTGGGTAATGCCACTTACTGACGATCAGTAGCCCAGAAGACCAAGCCATCCTCGAGGCAGCGTATGCCCACAACTCCAAGCCTGACAAAGCCGCTCGAATACAGCTGGCGCAACAGGTCGCTCTTGGCGAAAAGGAAGTCCAGGTATGATGAGCATTGCGTCCATCAGCAGATTCGGACTGACATATTGATTTGTTCCTCTCAGATTTGGTTCCAAAATCGCCGGCAAAGCTCCAGAAGGAAGTCTCGTCCTCTTCTTCCTCACGAGCTAGCGCAATACCAGTTGTACCGGTCTAGTATCGCAGCCCATGACGCCAGCAGTGAAGCATTAGGTTCCAGCTTCAGTGGGTATGGAGATGCATCCTTTGCCAATGAGCCGCCTGTCTTCGCCACGAGCCATCACGTTCCGGAGCACCACAGCACAACGTCTCACACCGCTCCGCATAGATCGCTGGGAATCGGAGCGGGGCCAAGTGCATCTGGTCCTTCTCATGCACACCCAGATGGCTCCGCGCCAAGCACTGGGCCAGAAAGAGTGGACCATTTCGTCAACCGTCGAAGTGAGCCATTCCTACACGACTTGCAATTGCGTCATGCACACCATGCATTCGGCGCCTTGCCGGCCGAGGCGAGTAAGGATGTCAAGAGATCATCGTCATTCATGCGACTGTCTATGAACAGCGAGGGCGCAGCCACGGTAGTCACCAAGGACTCTTCCTCACCGTCGCCACCTCGGCCGCAGCCAGGCCATGAACAGGTTGCGGTAACCTCTAATGCTGCACCGATTGCTTCAGCTTTGCCGCCGTTGAAGAGAACTTCCAGCGGCCGCTCGCGGGACTCGCGCGCGTGGGAGTTCTGGTGTGACAAGGACGCTCGAGAGGAGCTTACTGACAAGGCTGAAAAGGACGCCAGTGGGTCAGCAGCAGATGCTATTGGGCTACTGCGATCAACTTCAGGGAGAAGCATTTTGGGGGCGATACCCTCGAAGCGGAACTCCCTCCTATCTCGACAGTCGGCTTCGTTCAAGAGATCCAAGCTAGACATGCCGAAGCCAGCTCTCCAGAAGGCCAGCACGTCGAACGCTCGCCTACAGAACGAGCGACGTTCTCAGCCAGCAACCAAGGCCAAGCCATCGCTGTACAGCACTTCGACCTACATCCCGGGCAACGAGTCGGACAAAGAGAACTGGTCGCCTGATGGTCGGCAGGGCCAGCAGCAGGGCGGGGAGAATGACGACCCAGAGGCAGATCCGGAGATTGCAGCATTCATGAAGAACGGGCGGAAGAGCAGTAGTGTGTCCGGTGCGGAGGAGCTGGATTGTGTTCAGGGGTTGCTGTCGCTCAGTCAGGGTAATTGGCGATGACAGTAGTCGAAGTTGAGAGAGCGTGCAAATGTGTGGTTGCCAGTAAGTGGGATGATTGATCTACTCTTCTTGAAGGAAGCCGAGTTTGGAAGCACGGTTGCAGTAGAGGGGCACGATAGCGCCACCAAAATCGATCTGTTCACACTTCAGCGTCCTTTCCATTGTGCACACCCTCCTCTTCATACGGTGCATTTGCTCTGAGCGCACGGGTACAATTGCATTTCTGGCGTCAGCATAAAAAGCTAATCGATCAGAACACACTTTTTAAGGGTCAGCTGTCAGGAAAACAATTCTGGGGCTGTGTTACAGACTCTCGTATGCCAGAAAACGATCGCGAGCAAACTGCTCGTCCACCCTCAGTCGGCATCGTAGGAGCCGGCCTTGCTGGTCTACGATGCGCCGATGTCTTGCTCCAACACGGCTGCAAAGTCACCATCTTCGAAGCCAGAGATCGAATCGGCGGAAGGGTCGCTCAGAGCAGACATCTCGGTCATCTGGTTGATCTGTACGTTGTCGCCACAGCATCATTATTATACGGTAATGCTAAGTGTGACGCAGAGGACCGAATTGGATCCATGGAACCAAAGAGAATCCGATCTATACGATTGCGAAGACGACAGGGACAGAGATACGCGGCTGGGACGAGGAGGAGGCACTATTTGATCCTGAAGGCAACTTGATCGATGCGAAGGAGGCTGAAGAGTATGCGGGCCTGCTCTGGGACGAAGGCTTGATTGCGGAAGCCTTCAAGTACAGTAAAGAGTTTCAGGATTCGATTGATCCGAACAGGAGCTTCTACGACTTCCTTGTTGAGAAGGTGGAAGGTCTGTTTAGTGATGAGGATATCCGTGATGCTGATCGTAAGAGGAAGACTCTGCTTCGAGTGGCGAGGATGTGGGGGGCTTATGTTGGCAGTCCAGTTGAGAGGCAGAGTCTGAGGTGCCTTTGGTTGGAGGAGGTCATTGAATGCGAGAACTTGTTCGTCGCTGAGACTTACCACAAGATCTTGAATGAGGTGGCGAAGGGTGCTGTTGCGGGCGCTGAGCTCAGGCTGAACAGTAAGGTGATACGCATCTCTTCGCACGAGAACCAGGGAGGGGGCACAGCCAGCCTATACACTGAAGACGGCCGCTTCGACTTCGACGAAGTGGTGGTGACGGCTCCTCTTGGATGGTTGAAGCGGAACCAGCAGGCCTTCGATCCTTCTCTGCCGCCACGGCTATCGCAAGCAATCGACAACATCGGATACGGCACGTTGGACAAAGTATACATCACCTTCCCAAGTGCCTTCTGGGACGTACCGCTGCCGGAAAGACGATCAGCTCATCATAGCATCGATCCGCATGGCACGACACCGAACGTGACAGCTATCACAGCACCGGTGCACCAGCCACCTGACGGCAAAGAAAGCAAGCATTATGCCGGCTTCACACACTGGATGGCGCCGGCTTATGCATCAGATACGAATGCTCAAGGCTGGGATCAGGAAGGCATGAACCTTGCGGCACTGCCTGAGAGCTGTGCCCATCCGACATTGCTTTTCTACGTCTATGGCGACTGCGCTGTGTACATTGCCGAGATCGTTGCAAAAGCGCAAAGTGATGCTGAAAGGGACGAGAAGTTGCTGCAGTTCTTCAAACCATACTTCTCTCTTCTCCCCAACTTCGATCCAGCAAATCCAGATTGCGAGCCGACAGCTGTCCTCGCCACTGCCTGGGCGAACGATGAATTTGCCGGCTACTGTAGCTATTCGAACTTCCAGATCGGGCTCGAAGATGGTGCGAGAGATATCGAGACCATGCGGTATGGCATGCCGGAGAGGCATATTTGGTTCGCCGGCGAACATACCGCGCCGTTTGACTCTTCTGGCACCACTACTGGTGCGTACGTGAGTGGCGAGGCGGCTGCGAAAAGGATAGCGCGGGCGAGCGGGTGTGTAATCAATGGGACAGGAGACAGGAGGACGAATGAAGCGTAGGCTGCAGCAGATGATGAAGCTGAGTCTTGTCGGGAAAAGACCGAAAACGTTGACCTGCATGATCGACAGACGGTGTAGCTTTTGCAGCCTGAGAGGTGCCGGCTGCTCATAGCAGTATGAAGGAAAGTCGAAGCTACGGCAAACTCATGCTAAGCATGAAGCGTAGCTGAGACGAGACGATGAAGTCCTTTGGCGGGAAGCCTCCAGAACAGACAGACGTGCGACGACCGCGAACTGATATCGAGCAACTAGGCCAACCGGGGGAGGCACGAGAGACCCTGCCCTGGTAAGAAAGAAGCTATGAGTAAGACGACAAGTGGTTATCTTTGTATGGAATCTCTATGGCTTCTCGTCAACTACTCCTCCACTAAGCAGCCTTGGGCGATGATCGTGTAAGATCAATCAACAGTGGAGAAGAGACACTGGGAAAGCGAGTCCATGGTGGACTCTGGCGCTCACAGTAACCACTCGTTTCCTTGCGGATCGATGTCAAGCATTCTGGTGTGTTCTTGAGGGACATTATCACAGTAGGACCGTAGGACGGTGCGCGTAGCTGGCTCAGCTAACGTCTGGACTTGAAGTGCGTACCAGAGCGCTATGGGTGGCCAGCTGAGCGAACAGCTCGCTCGAAGGAGTCAGCAGATGCCGGGGCCTTCAGTCAGCACGCTCATCCTCTCGCTTCGGCGTCCTGTCGCTGAGGATTTCGGCAGACGAAGAGTGCTTGCTGAGGCTGACTGTGACAATGCCGGTGCTTGTCTAGAGGCTTCGAGGCTTCAGCTCTCTTCTTTGGGGAGCCGGGTGCACAGGGCAGGGCAACGGTAGTGAGCGCCTTTTTGAGAGCGGGATGGCGCGTCTCTCACCTCATTAGTGAGCCGGTAATAAGACGACCTCGTGGTCAGGAGTATTGTATAGTATTTCTTGTGTCCATATCGTTGATTAAACTGGATATATCGCGGAGAGAAAGTGGTCGAAGAAGGAGAAGCGTTTCACAAGTTGCACAAGTGCTGCATCCCGAGAGTTGCCGAAGAGCTCGTGACATAATGCTGCAGGGCCAGAATGCCGCGATCAGCGCATCGGAGAACGATGTGAACATTCGACAACAACGGATACTGGACAGCAGTAACAACGCCAGAAAGAGGAAGCCATTGCCCAGTCGTGTTGGAGTCGCAAACAATCTTTCGGGACGAGACGTCGAACCTCAAGGTTGTCCGCCTGGTACCGCACCTACCCCTCCCCAACGAGCACCGCCAGCGCCACCCTCGATTCCGGCAGCGAGCGCTCCGCCCGAAACCAACGGCGATCAAGCGCTTCTTCTAGACACAGCGTCAGCGGCACGATGGCGACGACAGGAAGCCAAACCGAGCAATAGTCGCAACTCGACGTTGGCAAAACTGCACTCGCGCGCGAACAGCGAGCTCGTGCTCCAGGTAAAAGTTATGGAGGAGGTTCATGGTGTGGATGTTTCGTGGCTGCATCATCCGAACAAGGGTATACAGTACGATGTCAAGTATGTCACGAGTAGGCACTGACGGTCAGAGTAGAGCACAGCAAGCACAAGCACAGCCAATCGTCGCCCGACGTCAGACGAGATGTTAAAGCGACCCCATCAACCAGCAACGGCAGCGAGCCTCGAAAGCCCGTCCAGAAGGTCAGCTCCGACCTAAGCAAGCTCCCGTCTCCCTCAAATGTCACTCCACCTACGCCAGCGCAGCCATCGAAAGACTCGACCAACGCCGTCCCATCCACTCCAACTCCACCTCGCGATATTAACAAGGCGCTCCCCAAGCGGCCTAGTATGCTGGCGCGCAATAGCTCCGAGCGAGTCAGTCAGGATGGTAGCAGCAGGAAGCGCTCGTCGTGGATGAACAGCCTCAGCTCCAAATTCTCGACAACACCCGAACGACCCGGCCCAACACCAGCACAGCTGTCGCGACAGCAATCGAATACGAGCGTCAATGGCCCGCAGACACCGAGCCCGAACAGCAACCCAGCAACGCCAGGCTCCGAAGCTGTGGAAGAGAATGAGCCATATACGCCTGCGAAGCCAAAGGAGTCCTCCTCTAGTTTCTTTTCGAGTATCACGAGGAGACTGTCATCCGCTTCGCAGGCTGGAAACATACCAAAGGCTCAAGGCACAGGAGGGGTGTGTCCAAGAAAGGTGCTGAATGTCGACCCCAATCGAGAACGATGTTTGGTGCCGGAAATGGACCCAGCTCGGTTGAGGAGGGTAAGCTTCTGCGTGGATGTGGAAATTGCTGGCGGGCCAAGGTATATCGATGAAGAGGAGGACGACGAAGACAAGATGAAGAGGAAGAAGGAGTTTAAGATGAAGGAGCGGGCGGAAGGAGAGGCATTGAAGAGGCCGGATGCTTTGGCTGAGGAGAAAGATGAGGAGGGTGAACCTAAGCTGGAGGCTAAAGCCAACAGTAAGGCGGCGCAGTCGAATGAGCAGAAGGGCAAGAAACCGGACGAGAACGGCAATGGAGCGAATGGCATGACGGAGGAGGAGCGGGAAAGTGCGGCAAGAAAACGAGAGAAGAAGCAGAAGAGTGAGGCGGAGCGGAAGGAGAGAAAGGAGAAGAGGAGGAAGCGCGCAGAGGAGAATGGGCAGATTCCCGTCGAGCTCATGCTTGATGGTAAGGGAGGTGATGGGAGCTCGCCACCAAGCGACACGGCAAACGGATCCTCGACTTCGTTGGCAAGGACGCCTACCCAGCCTCAACCCAATGCCACAAAACAAGACCGACCTACCACTGACCCTGCGCGGATATACAGGCGATGTTGTCAGCTGAGGGAGAGTCCGATTCTGAAGCGCATCACCGAACAGCTCAGCAGGCCGACGACGACATTACCAGCAGAACCGGGCGTTGTGCAATGTCTAGACCTCACCGGCTCACGTTTACAACTTGCCGACGTAATATCACTTGGAGACTGGCTCGCAGTTGTTCCGGTTAAGCACCTGAAACTAGAGGATGCCGATCTCAGCGACGAAGGCGTGCGATGTGTTCTCGCAGGTCTTCTGGCTGCGAAGAGGCCGGAGCCGACGAAACGAAAGAGTCTGACACCTCGCCACCGCCAGGGCATCCCATCTTCTTCTTACACCGAACGCGCCGGCGTTGTCGAGAAGATCACGCTCAAAAACAACCCTCGCCTCACGCGTGTCGGCTGGAAGCACATCAGCCTCTTCCTCTACATGTGCCGCTCGCTCAAAACCATTGACCTCTCGATGAACTTCTTCCCGGACACTCTGCCTCCCAGCGCTCATGTCACGCCCATCAAATCTCCTAGCAGCGCTCCCTACGGTAATGCACAGGACCTCGACGCCGCAGAAGCACTCTACAAATGCCTTAGCGAGCGACTTGGCGGGAGGAGGCTGGAAGAACTGCTCATGTCCGAGTGTGGCCTCACATCACCACAGATTCGCAAGGTTGTGGACGGCGCTATAGTTGCCGGTGTGAGTCGTCTGGGCTTGGCCGGGAATTCTCTCGATGACGAGGGCTTGCAGCATGTACTGCACTACCTCCGGTCGGGTGTGTGCATGGCATTGGACGTTGGCGGTAACGACTTGCGCGGCAAGCTCAACATGATTGCGGAAGCGATCAACACTCAGGTCGACCATCCTTGTTGGGGCCTTAGTCTTGCTGGCTGCAACTTGGACTCGGCCTCATTGAAGCCGCTCTTTGCTGCGCTGGTCAAGCTGCCCAACTTCCGCTTCATCGATCTCAGTCACAACCGCGATCTCTGCCTCGCCGACAATGGGCTCATCACCCTCCTTCGTCGGTACATTGGGCAGATGAAGGATCTAAAGCGCGTGCATCTAGCCGATGTTGGAATGAGCCCGAAACAAGCTATTGCCCTCGCCGACATCTTACCTGAAGGCGAAAGGCTGGCGCATTTGAGCTTGTTGGGTAACGACAAGTTGACTGCTCTTGCGAACGCGAAGGGTGAGGAGGAGCAGGAGGAGGCTTGTGCGCTTTACGCGAGTTTGATGGCGAGTGTGAGGGTTAGTCAGACGTTGATCTGTATTGATGTTGATGTGAGTAACAGCCTTCTATGGCTTTCTACTTTGTGGTGGCGTTGCTAACCACGATCGACACAGGTCCCTGCGCCGGACAACAGCGAGGTCGTCAAGGCGCTGGCGAAGCAGATTGTTGCGTATTCGCTACGAAACATGGAGCAATTCGCCATCGCTGAAGCAACAGGTGGAGCGCCTTCGACGACCAATGCAACGACAGTCCTCGCGGGTCCACACGGTGGCGAGCGAGCAGTGCGCGAGATCAGTGTGCCGGATGTTCTGCTCCATCTTGTTGGACATGTGGAAGGTTCTTCTGAGAACCACGACCGTGACCCTCCCGCACCGGATGAAGACTACATTATCGGTGGTGCCGGCGTGGTCAAAGCGTTGCAGTATGTGCTCGGCGAGAAGGAGACTGAGAGCCGCCGGGCGAGCAACGCGCCCACGCCTTCTGGTACAATGACGCCTATTGACCGCCCTGGCTCTTCAGCCGGCTTAGTCGACCAAGGCAAAGCGAAGAAGATGAGCAAGAACCTATTAGGCAGCGCTCGGCAGCTCCGAGCCCGTCTACAGCCCGCTCTTGCCAAGGAAGCGATCGGCGGCGACGACATGGCCTATCGCCGCCTCCTCGGTCTCGACCAAACGCTCCAAAGCATGATCACGCGCTTCGAAGAAGAGTACCCCGAAACCCGCATCTCCGCCCCCTCAGCCGCCGGCGGCCCGAGCGAAACATCCTCCCTCACCGACCAGTCCACCAACCAACTCGCCACCATTAAGTCCAACGACCCCCTCGCCCCAGCCTCCGACGACGAGCAAGACGACCTCGACGAACTCACCAGCGTCCGCCCGACCGTGTCCCGCCACAACTCCGACGTCTCCCTCGCCTCCCGCGCCCTGTCCATGGAAGAAGGCCGCCTCCACCGCATCGGCCAGCAACTGCGGCGCGAAGTCATCGACTCGCCCCGCAGCACCGAAGGCGGTGCGGACTGGGCGCCGTGGCGGAAGCCGGAGCAGAGCGAGCAGGAAGCCGAGCGGTTCAAGAAGTTCCGAGAGAAGATTGAGGGGACGTCTGGGGAGGAGATTCGGAAGATTATCGAGAAGGAGGAGGGGTGGGATGGGTTGTTGAGGAAGATTGGCGGGACGTATGAGGATTTAAGGAAGTTGCAGGAGCAGGATCCCGAGGCGTGGGAGCAGTTTAAGGTTGCGCAGGAGAGGGCCAGGGAGCATATGAAGACGAGTGAGAGGTAGGGTGGTGGAGAGGGGTGGGTTGGGAGGTCTGACTTTGTGAGATTTTGTTTTGGCGTGGTGTTGTGGTACAGTAGGGAATCGTCGATGATGGTGGGAGGCGTTCACGAATCGCTTTACGCTTGGTCGCAACTGAGGTCCGTTTATTACGAGCTTATGATCTCTGTCTCTGCGTTCTTCGCGCTCGCTAGTCTGCTTCTGCTACTGAGTGCAGGTGCACTGAGCACTTCAAAATATGCACCAGCGGTCTGCGTCCGGATATCCGTACCTGGGACCTCTATGCACGACATGCAACAGCCTTCGGCAGCACGGCAAGTGTACGACCTTGGCTCGCAACTGCTGTGGGCAGACAACGAAGCAGATCTCGACAGTGTCCACGTACAAAACATTAGAGCTCCAGCTACATCCTGACAGCAATCAACTCATTGCCAGAACAGATTGTACGTGCAGTAGCTCTTCATGCCTGAATCAGGGCCATCCCCACTGGGCAGGCAATGCCTTCGTTCGTAGACACCGTGTGATACAGGGCAGAAGGCGATTAGTGCTGATGGAAGGAGGAGGAGAGCTACAGCTCAACCGTTACACAGTCGGTTAGGGGGTAAAGTGAATACACTCACACCTACATTCTCAGGCTCATTCTTGGATGAGTGAGCTGCAGCTCGCCAAGGTCATCTATCTCGGCGAGGCAATTGTAGGTATCCGGTCGTTTGGTACCGCTTCGGATGTACGGGAACTATGGGAAGGACGCCGCTACTTTGGAACAATGCCGCTGCCTTCACAGCCTTGGTAGTATGCTAAGAGCTCGATGATCGGTTGGGAGGTGAGGTCTGCTGACTTCGAAGATACGCTCGGACGGCGGTGCAGGAGGATGGCATGCAGTCGGGCAACAGGCCGGGCTGAGATGGCGGAGGGTTTTGCCGCTGTTGCCGCGAGAGCTCTTCCTTTTGATGGAGGTGGTGTTGTAGGACAGCCGACAGACTAGAGCAGAGAGACCTTCTTTGATCGGTGCAAACTCCGTAGAAGCTCCTGCAGCTCGTGAAATAGTTGGTCGACGTGGAGTTTAGCTCTGGGCGTTAGTTGAGGCGCAAGTTGACTTTGGTGTGAGTTTGCTGCATAGTTGCCGTCATCGCTTGCCATCTTGACTTGTGCAAGCAGACACGAGCAATATCGGTGGTGAAAGAGGCCGCGGGACCGGTCAATTGCGATGCTGCCTTTGTCGGTGCATTCACCCCCCTAAGATAGTGTATCAATGTGGCCCCATTTGCTGCTGTTGCAATATCGCAACTTCCAAGCCCTTCGGAAGCCGGCAGTTCGATGCAAGGATCCACTCACCACTCGTCGTGCCACTGCGTGCGTGCTCCGTCATCTTCCAGCCAACGACGCCCGTCAACGCCCTTCCCGCAGCCACTCGCAAGCACAGAACTTCACTTTAACCTGCCGCGCCCGCTGCATCAATCGTCCACTCGGGAAAAGACGTCCAGCAGCTGTCGGTCATATCTCCGAAATCCACGGCAGAGACAAAGACGGCGTCCGTGACGAAGCGGACACCAGCGGATGATTGACAGCTATCCTTCCTTCTTAATCAACGTAGCACGAGGGAGCGCCAGGATCATCACCACAGCCGCCTGTGAGGCACAAGGAACCTGCAAAAACATCTGACAGCCCCCGCAACCCCCACCACTGCGCGTTCTCTTTCAGACTGCTTCTCTACCCAAACGAGACATTTGTCCATTTGCCTCTGACGATTGTGCAACCAGCACCGGTCTCACAATCACCCTCCGCCTGCATGACGACCCCAAATATATTCACCGGATCGTCCGCACACATCCTCAAGACGGGATCTGCAAGAGGCGCATCGCCCACTCGTGCCCATTCTCCTCGTCCTACGCCAACCGTAAGGATGCCTTCACCACGCTCGTCCCCAGCCATGCGACCGACATCACCACTCTCACCACGCTTCGACTCTGCCTCCCGTTATGAATCTCTCCAACCACCGTCACCTCGCAGCATGCACCGATCGACAGGCAACTCTTCCCGTCGAGCGAACACCAACTCCCTCAAACTCGGCTCGCTACCTCGGTTCCACCCGGCCAACTTCCCATCGTCGCACAACAGCAGCGCGCAAGCAACGCCCGAGGCCGCGGGGTCAGCTCCCTATCAGCCGCCTGCGTCGCCGCGAGCGCACCAGCGGGTCATCAGCGACGCACAGAAGCATCTCTTGTTCTACCAACGGGAAACGGTCACCGCGGCACGAGCATCTTCACCTTCCCGCACCGACAACCCCGTGAGTCCGCGGCTGGCGCCTCTAGGAAGCCCAGGACCTGTGACGCCGCTGGAGTTGGAGGGAGAGGAGGGGTATCTCATGGCTGGGGGGAGGAGTAATGCGGGCAAAGAGGGCGTGCCGTCTGAGGAGTTGGTGGACAGGATGATCAGGGTTGAACGGCAACGACGCTCCGCGAGCAATAGCCCTTCGCGGCGGGGGAGGGATCGATGATGAATGCAGGTGGGAGGAGAGGCAATATCCAACATTATTGCGTGAGATATGAAAGCGAAGTGCTGGCATAGCGGCGGAGATGCATCGAATGATGGAGTACATGTCAAATGGGTTGTATTGGATGGCAAAGGGTGCGAGAAGGCGCTTACGGTTGTTGAAGATACCACTCGCTTGGGACATACCTCTCAGTAGCCTGTGATGGCGACGAGGCTGGAGGCTTTACGAACAACACAACTGGCATGTCAAGTAGGCAAAAGTATCTATCAAGAATGCCTTGAGACAGAGAAATCTCTGCCTACACATCTGCTTGAGCGCCTTTCAACATCTTAGTACCAAAATTCCGTTATCGTCTAGTCGCTACCTCGCGTCCATTCAATGGAGATAATCGAAACATCGTCGTCGAAGTATCACGTGATCGGCCTCAGGCACACCACGTTCAAACCTTCACCAATCTTCAACACTGCCCGCCTCTAAACAAATCAAACATGCCCACACAACAATAACATTAAACATGCCGCCCACTCTAACCCTCCACCCCCTTCACCGCGCCGACGGCTCCGCCACCCACACCACCCCCCTCTTCACCATCCTCGCCGCCGCCAACGGCCCCCTCGAAGTCTCCCGCCGCGACGAGCTCCCCGAAGAAGCCGCGATCGAAGTCAACGTGCGCCCCTGCTCCGGCGTGGGCGGGCCTAGAGAAAGATGGATGGAAGGTGTCATTACGTCTTTGCTGAAGAGTCTGGTGCTGGTGAACATGTATCCAAGGACGCTGGTGCAGGTTACGCTGCAGGTTACCAAGGAACCTGGTATGGGGGGGTTGAAGAGGGCAGTGAAGGATGTGGCGCTTTTGGCGGGGTTGGGGAATGCGGCGTTTGCTGCGCTTGTGGATGCCGGGGTAGCGCTGGGAGGGACGATGGTGGTGGGGTTGGGGGTGGCGAGGGAGGGGGAGGTTGTGGTGGAGCCGGGGGAGAAAGAGTTGCTGGGGTGTGGTAGTGTGCATGCGGTTGCGTGGGGAATGAGGGGGGAGATGTTGATGGCGGAGAGTGCGGGGAGGTTTGGGGTGGAGGAGTGGGAGGGGGTGGCGGGGAGGTTGAGGGGGGATGCTATGGGTGCTATAAAGAACGATGAGGAGGATGGGGATGATGTTATGGATGGAGAGGTGGGGCAGAAGGAGCCTTGGTTAAGGCAGGCTTTGGGGGAGAGTGTGAGGGATGCTGGGGCGTGGCGCGAGACAGGGTGAGAAGTGGGAGATACATGGCAGTATACCACTTCTACACGGTCGGATGATATGGCAAGGCCTATTTACAGAGACGAGACTTGAACATCTACTGCTAAGCCAGGAGCTCTGACAGTCGGACGTTACCACCCACGCTGCGCCAGCCCTCGAACGGGAGCGCTCGCAAGAACAATGGACCCAGCTACTACCAGCTCACCACGAGTCAACGCTTGGACATGAAGTCGAGAATCTCCCTGAAGTAGCTGAGGCTTGAGCAGAGGCGAGGAAGGCGCAACCGCGTGCCTGCCTGATCTGGACGAAACCATATCTCGACCTCACCTCTTCCATTTTCATATCCTCATCCCCATCTGTACTTCCCTTCCTCCATCTCTCCTTCGACTTTCTCCTTGATGCGCTATGGCAAAGTCGAAGGGCCCAAGCAGAGGCGATGCCTCCATCCAGGCCTTCTTCCCACCAACTCCCAGTCCCTCACCCACCAAAGCACCGACACCTGCACAATCAAGCTCTGAAGCACCTATCGGCGACGGCTTCACCACCGAAGAGGTGCAAGAAGCGTTGAAGCCAAAGCCTGCGGAGCCCTGGCAACCTCAGGTCGAGTATACCGAGTTCGAGATTCGGGATCTGGAGCCAGGCCCGAAGACCGTCGCGTTTATGGGACGAGTGGCGAACATCTATGATGTGGTCAATACACCAAAGACTCCAAGGTCTGCGAAGGGGTGCCTGAAGTTGTATGTCAAGGATGACAAGGGTGCCATCATCGTAGGCACACAGCCCCTGGACGAGGGTACCTGACTGACTCCGAGAAGGTTCGCCTGTGGTATGCCAGTCAACCGCCGAATCTGCGCCTGGGCTCGCTCGTGTCCATATGGACGAATCATAGTATGTCGTACATCACTCACGTCGAACTCAAGCTGACACGTGAAAGTTAGCAATGGCGAGAATGGGACGCTGTCAAGCGCCAGTGCGCCATTGTTCGCTTCACTCTTTCCAGAACGAGATCGAACTTGCCATCTCATGGTGCATGAGAATAGCGACAACGGGACCATGTACAGGCTGCCTCTTGGTTACCGCCGAGGAGCTCCACTCAGTGGTGTAATGACACTGCAGAACTTCGTCGACGGAGGCTACGAGATTGTCGATGCGAAGATACTGGTCGTCGTGAAGAGTATCGGCCAGAGGAAGAGATGTACTACTCTCAAACCAATGTTCCACGCGAGACAAAGCTGACCAGGGCTACAGTCACCCGTAAAGACGAAAGCACGGTGGAGAACGTTAATCTGCAAGTGCAAGACGACACTGCGGATGCTACTCTCGGGCTATGGGGCAGCTCGGCTGCAGCACCGTTCGGTTTGCCATTCGCCAACGAAGTGAACCCAGACGCCGTGATCGCGAGGGAGCCGTGGAAACCTGGCGAGACGATACTGCTGTTGCAAGGGCCGGGATGGAAGCTGGGTCGCACTGTTCGCACAATCGTTCGCCTCAACCTGAGCTTTTGCTAACCCACCCCAGCTCTACCTAAGCATAACGTCCACCACCATCGTGGACGTCGACCCAAACATCCCCGACGCAAAATGGCTCCGCAAATGGTCGTTACGTCAAAGAAGCCGCGAGGCAGTCAACCCACCTTTCCCAGAAGATGCCTTCGACCTCTACGCAATCCAGAACGGGCCAGTACGTTGCCTCTTCACCATCGCAGAACTAGACGAGTTCGCACGCGCTGCGCCGGCGGAGACCTTTCAAGGCTACCTCAGCCTCCTGATCATGGAAGTCAAGCTATTGGACTGCTTCAAGCGGCAGATGCTGCTTAGCGGTGATTGCTGCAATATGTCCATCTACGCCAATGCAGTGACGGCAAAGTGTAAAGGCTGTAAGAAGGTTGTCAAGTTGCGCCTCAGCCCAAGAATACTGGGACAGGTACTCGATGAGACAGCGGCGATCTCTGGAAGCAAGCTGCTCTTCAGCGACAGCGCGTGGCGAGACTTGCTCGGCAGAGGACCGGAGGACCTTCTAAAGTTGACTGTCGAGCAGATGAAGTATCTTTCTGATCGGCTGCTGTTCTGTCGCATTACGGTGATGTTTGGCTGGGCTGGGGATGAGAGCAAGGCTGGTGGAAGGATATGCGTGCTTGGTGTGCGCACTCCGTGACGAACGCTGGATGACCGGAAGACTGACGGCGCTTCCGCATCGAAGGCGCGTAGTTGCTATCTCACGCAATTTACAATTCGGTAGAGAAAATGCAAAGAGTACAGATCGCTATTACGAGACATCATAGATCTTACAGCTGTACATCGCTTAACCAACACACGCACCCCTCCTCTCCGCCACCACCCTTCACCTCTTTACAACATCGCCGCACCGAAGAACATGCTAAAGAACACGGTCGCGCCACAAGCCAAAAACGGCATCAACGTCGCATCACCCCTGAACACACTGCTGGCCGCACCCTCCGCCGTGGCACTGCTCGCCGCACCAGAAGCCGAAGACGAACTGCCACTCGCCACCGCACCAGACCCGGGCACCGCAGTCCCCTGGCTCTGGCCGTCAGTAGCCCACTGGCTGCCATCGCCATGCAGACCCGGCGCCTTGCCCGCACCCTTGCCGATATACTTCTTCGCGCCCTCTGGCATGCTCGGGAGAGCCGGTCCAAGGAAATCCTTGACCTCCCACGTGCTGCTGCGCTTCGGGCACTCGCTCGGGGAACCAGAGGACTTGTAGCCGCCGTCGCCGCCCGACTGGGTCTTGGCGAATTGTTGCTTGAGGAAGTTGAAGTCGGACTTGGGCTTGACGCTGTTGCCGGAGATGGTGACGAGGCCGTAGCCGGAGCCTTCTTCAGAGTACTCGTAGACGAGGCCGCCGGAGTAGACGGACGTCATTTGCGAGGAGTAGAGGGTGGAGACTTCTTCGAAGTTGCGCTTGTTCTCGATGCAGCCGTATTCGGAGAGGCTGGGGAGTCGTTAGTTTGGAAGTCTAGTGTGTGGAAGAGATTAGAGGGACTTACAAGAGAGGAATGCTGTAGTCGCCGTATTGCTTGACCTTGGCGTCCCAGCCGGAGATGGTGAAGGACGAATCCGGGTCGCACCAGGAGTAGTCGTTGAAGGCGAAGAAGTCGCTGCGCTGGTCTTCGGTCCCGCAGTTCATGTACGTGGCGAGGTCGTAGCGGTTACTCTCGACGTCGGCGGCGGAGTAGCCGACGGGAATCTTGCGGTAGCCCATGGAGTTGATGTACGACTTCATATCGCGGGTGGTGGCCTTGATGTAAGGGGCGCAGTTGGTGTTGTTATCTGCGTTGATGACCTGTTCTCATTCGATTAGTACCGACTTTCTCATGACTACAGTGATTTGACCAAACCCACCTCATTGCCCGAGAAGAACAGCAGCGTGTTGCTGTATTTGTGGAACGCATCGATCGTCGCAAACACCGACTGCAAGTAAACATCATTGTAGGAACCCGCCGGCTCCTCACGGTTGAGCGAGTAGTTCGGCGAGTTGACGTCCAACGCCAGGTAAATCCCAGCATCCGCCAGCATGCTCATGCACTGGTCGTGACTCTTGCTGTTGTCCACCGTGTACACACGCACAGTGTTCACGCCCAGCTCCTTGAACTTGGCGATATCACGCGTGCACGCCTGCACATCAGCCAGCGGGTCGGACCCATCTGCTGCGTCCGACGAGCCGCCGGGTTGGTAGTCGATGCCCCGGATGTAGAACCTTTCGTTGCCTGCAAAGAAAGCTGTGGGGGTATCGTCAGTATCGCGGTGGAGCTCCTGAGACTTGGCTTGAAGCTTGGGGGAAACAAAGCGTACCGTTGCCCTTGACTGTGACCGCAGGGAGGGAGCCAGAGCTGGCTTCAGATGCTCGCGCTTCGATGCGCGCTGGGGTGGCCGCGGCGTTGACGGCGACTGCAGCAGCCGCTGCAAATGCGAAGGAGGCCTTCATTGTGTGGTTTGCGTAGTATTCTTTCTTATGCTCTGTAGTTCGACGAAATAACCGGAAAATCGTATATCAACAAGTACAAAAGCCCCAAATGAGTGCAGAGGCGTCAATCAGAACAATTCCAAAGGAGAGACAGGTAACAATGACAGACAAATGCTGAACAACAGTCAACTTACAACAAGAAGAAGGGTGAAAGCAAAAGACAAGACGTTGGCAAGAAGGCTTCGGATCGCCCGTCTCTCCCCTGCCAAGGGAGGGCCAAGTATACTAGTCAGCGGCCAGGGAAGATGAGAGGGCGCTACGTGCGATCACTGGTCTGTTCGTGCATTGGGATGTGACGCTGCCGAGTCTCACGATTGCTTCGAGGTGCCAATCGAGGGCTTGAGTGAACTCTGAGGGCCTTTGGAAGGCTGCGGTGGTTGACTGTCCTGATGAGATGGATGGACGAGACGGAGAAGAGGTCGTGAAGTTGTGAGGTTGAAGCGGCAGGGATGTGCTGCGGCAAATGCAATCTCGGGGTCTGCAGATCGTCAATATGCCTGCCGCGATGCAGGAAGCCACATCCGTCTTCCATCATCGAGACCGTGACAGACACGACTGCAAAGTCAATATAACAAATCTTCAAAGAAAAGGCAGACGGGACTCTCAACACTCACAGAGATCGGCCAATCAATCAGGCCAACCTCATCATAAGCATACCATCAACAACATACCACTATCACTACTCATCATAAAAACCCTCTCCATCTCGTCCTCCAAATCCCAAGCAAGCATCAACAATATTCACATCTCGATCAAACATATCAAGCCCGCCAAATCGCGCTCTTTTTCTTCACTTCTCAACTGATCTGAAAGAGAAGAGAAGCCACCACCAGCGCGAATCAAAGACCATCCCTCCGAAAAAGTCATCATGCCGTCCTCATACCCATGCCCATCCCATCCCGTCGCCGTTCCAGTCCCGCATGAATAACAGTGACCGCCAGCCCCTTTCGTAGTGAGGACTCAAAACCGATCCGCCCACACCCACATTGCCGAAGGGGTGAGAAGTGAAGGATGCAATTGCAATGCAACAACGCGTAACGCTCGTCAATAATGGACCCTCCCTGTCGCCCGCGCCAAGTTGGTAACCGTGAATGTTGTGTAGGAATCATTAAAGTGGTGGAGAGAAGAAGTCGTGCTTCGCTCCAAGCATGACGGAGCCATTTGAGTGGAGATCCGGTAAGCATGCAGAGTTGGTGATGAGCAGCCCAAGTCTCACGGCGCTGATGGCCGCGAGTGAGTCTTCGACTTCCAGAACATGAGTTTCTCGAGGCGGTGGCGTTTGTACTCCTTCTTGGCTCCTCTGCCTGTAGCAGTAGCAGGCTCGACGGCTGTCACTGGTCGGGCATCGTCGCCAGCTGCAGCTTTGCCGCCGAAGTGGCCGCCCATCAGCTGAGACAGACTCTGTATGCTGCTGCGCTTGCGTCGACGCTCGGCTGCCACGGCAGGGTCGACATCGCGAGGCACTGCAGGCGGAATCCTGGAGGCGTCGTTGGAGTTGCTGAAGTCGCGGCGTGACGTATTGGCGTGTGCGGTACTCAGCATGGTCGAGCGGCTGCTGGTCAAGGACGGCACATCATCGACAGAAGCACGAAGTTCGGGACCGTGCTCGCCGGTGGCTGTAGAGCTCATGGTGCGATTGTCGGCGATTGACGAGGCTGAAGTTCCCAGACGAGGTGCTTCGAAGGAGGTCTGCCGTTGAGCAAAGTCAGGAGATGAGAAGGTAGACGTCTGGAAGGTCTCGGGCGTCATCGTTGACTGTGTGCCATCGGAAAGAGTAAGCATGCCGGCAGACGCGCCAAGTAGGGTAGGCGTGTCGCTCGAGTCCGAAGATTTGGTCAACGACGAGTTCCGCGGCTCCTCGTGCGCTTCGACGATCTCGACAGCTTCCACCGGGCTCGACTCTTCCATGATGGTCTCGTCAATGATTGAGGAACCACGATGTTCCATGCCAGCCGTAGAGAGCCTCGAGCCGATGTTGCTGTGTGACGTCGAGGGTCGCTCTGGCTGCCATTCGGAGCGCTGGATCCCCAAACCTGTCTGACTGCCTTGCCCAGCATACGCCTCGTGATCACTGCTGTCCAGATCCACAATCTCCACGCCCACGTTCGACTCGTCTTCTGCGCCGGATCTCGCACTGGTCGCGATACTTGCTGGACGGTGTGCCTGTGCCTCTTCTGCATGCTCCTCCTCTTCCTCTTCAAACACATCGGCCATCGAAGACTGTGATGGCGTGCCGAGTCGGACCGGGTCCATTGGCGGTAGAGCTGGCGCACTCTCAGCCCTGCGGTGATAGTGTCCGCCGGGTCCAGTGAAGTCTTTCGCCAGACGATTGCTGTGGAGCTCCTTCCGTTGACGTTGAGAACCAATCGGTGGTGTCTTGAATGGGCCCAAAGCGGCGTCCAGGTCGAGCATGGTGCCGGGTTCATCATTGTCGCGAGACTGAAAGCTGCTGTGCTGACTCGGCGTGGGCGTGCTCAAATCTGTCCGCGCTTGCGAGCCTGGTCGTTGCTCTTGGCTTGCAGCGCCCTGGCTGTGGAAGACGGCGTCCAAATCAGTCTCCGCAACTGGCGTCTCATGCACCGGAACCTTTCCAGCCACAAACATACTGCCCTCGCTCACTGGTCGTAAAGATGTGCCGCTACCGCTCGTAACAAGTGCCCTGCTGGGCTCCTTTGACCTCCGCGAGATTTTCGAGGCAGCCCACTGTTTGATCTTTCGAGCCGAAGATCTGTGCTCACAGAAATCGGCTTCCTGGTCTGCTCTTGAAGGCACCGTGTCTGACTCTTGCAGCGATGTGGCCGAAAGCCGGGAGGAAAGGCTCGGGTTCACGCCGATAGCAGGTTCACTTCGTCTCCGGTCGAACCCAAGCGCATGACCAATCGAGTGCTTCTTGGTGTGGTGAGGCCGCGACCGAGCAGGTAACTCGGGCTCGACGAAGGTCGTTGTCTGCGTAGGCACCACCGTCTCAGAGTGTGGCCGCTTGAGACTGCTAGAAGAACGGCTTTTCAGCCATTCGCCTTCCTTCTCAAGACGCCTGCTGATCTCGAGCGACGACCTGGCGCGTGCACTGGGAGCTTCTTCAATTGTCGAGTTCAGACTCACAGAATTCCTGGATATCCTCGAAGCTGGAGGGCTGGGTGTGCCCATGCTAATCACGGAAGAGATGCTGTTGTTGACCGAATGACCATTGCGCAGCGTGGAGATTGAACCCTCGGTCCCGGACGAGATGGTCGAGAGTGGGCGAGGGATGATAACGACATTGTCATCAAACCCAACGCGTGGACGCGAAGGTGGCCGTGTAGGCGCATCATCCAGCGGAGGTCCGAATGGGTCCGATGCGGCTTCACTCACACTCGGCGCGGATACTGTCCTGTCGAGAAGGGGTGTCTGACCTGGCAGTTCCATGGGTGTGGCAGGCAGGCTACTGCTCAATCGAGGTCCAGGCTCGGACGGTTGCATGATGTTGCTAACATCGTGACTCGACATGGCAGCAGACCTTCGATGTGCATGGCCTCGTCTGGCGCCTGGCGGAGGCCCAGAGCTTGGTAACGGGATAGGAAGCGCATTCGACTTGGTCGGACTCGAGCTGAGAGCGTTGGACACACCAAATCTCGAGTCTCCGCCCACAAATTCGCTGCCACCCCTGCGGTGTCCTCGCCTCGAAGGTGTCACAGGTGCATTCTCTTCCCCTTCACCTGGCGTCTGTGGTGGAGTAGCCGTCAAGCCTGACGCATCAGCAGAGTTGAAGCTGAAGCTCGGTAGTGTGGAAGCTGCTCTTTTGTGCGCGTTTGCGAAGTTCTGAGGCTGAGGGAGGTTGACGTGCATTGAAGCCGGCCGCCGACTCGGTTCTTCTTGCTGGCGCCGTGTCGACATTGAAGCGGAAGGCTGCCGTGGGAATGAAAATTCGGGGTTTGGTACCATCTCAATCCGCGGCGCTCTAGACATTTGCATCGACCCCATACCTCCGGAAAAGGGATTCTGAGCCACTTGAGCCATGATTGCGGGTGTACGGGTAGATCGTGGTCGTAATCGTCTTCACAGCTATGGGTGATGTGGTATACTCGAGTGGCGGTTCGGTGTGGCCGTGAAGTGAGGTTGTTCAGGCGGCAGAGTGATTGAGGATTGACAAAACGCTGCAAAACATGCCAACTGCTATATTAACTGCTGCCTATGTCAGTCATACACACCCATGACTGTGGAATGAGTCGATTGGTGTTGTGGAGCAGCAACGTACAGATTCCAGAAGCGAGCCAGACTCTCAGAGCGTGCGGCACTGCAAAGTCAATAGATCCCCTTCTGCTGGTGATGGGTGAATGAAAGACTGCGGTCGGTAAGGAGCGGACGGCGACAAATTGCAGCAAGGGCACGAGGGGGTGGTGCCGCTGTGCAAGTTGAGCCAGGAGGGGTGGTGGTGAGCGCGGAGAGGGCGGAGGGTAGGTGGTGGTGGTGAGAGCGGTGGAGTGGTGGAGTGATGAGTGAGAGGTACGAGAGAAGCCAGACGCAGCCGGGGCCAAGCGTTGCATCTGCGCTAGCGACAAGGATGATCCTTCGAAACGCACTGCCTCCAGGCCAACACAACCTTGCAATCTCTCCTTCAAAGGCGTCGTGCTCGCCCAAATTACCACATCTTCCTCAAATCCTGCTCGCTCTCGTCATCTTGGAGACAGGCAAACAGGACAAAGGATTATGGTGAGGTTCAGACAGGGTTCGATGGCAGTATACAGCACTCGCAACACCGGCAACGCTACAACAACAAGTCACGGCGATCACTAGGCAGATTCGAGCCTCCGTTGGCGAGCGTCGCTTGGAGTCGGTCTGGTGACGAACCGGTGGGAACATGCACCCCCTCTCCGCCTTGCCCTCGACAGCAGCAGCCAATGCTATACCAGACCCAACTATCGACTCTCTGCGCTGCCTGCATCTGCCAAAGTCTTCATGGTACTGGTTGATGACTGCCGTCCCCTGCCAGCCAACCAGACGACACCATCTGGCATCCACCACGAGGCCAACGAGCTAACACGATAGCGAAGCGGGGCAGATTTCGCCATCCCGCGCCAGGCGACTCCAAGCAACAAGCTGCAAGCCCCCTCCGTCGCACAAGGAACGGCGCAGGCGCAGACGCGGCTTGTCGCTTCGGCTGCTTCGGATCTCACTCAAGCCGTCGTATTTGTCGTATCATCGTTCATGTTGAACTTTGCCGTTGCTGACCGCTTCGAACGCTTCCGTGGAGGTTGCAGGATGTACATTAGGTTTCGGAGGATATTTGTGCCAGCAAGATGAAACTTACGCAGAACAAAGGATCCGCGGATCTTCATCACTTACGTGATTGCCCTTCGCAGATTGCCATGCAGGGGGTCATGCACGAAGACTGCAGCCACGCTCTGCCAGCGCCACACTTTGCAGACTTGCTCAAAATTTATTCTCAGATCCAGATCGCGAGCGGCGGTTTCGTCTTGAAAGTGTCAGCCGTTTGCGGCTCGCTTGGATGATCACAGAGTCTCGAGAGCCAACACCACCCCCACGTGTTACTATGCCATACCTATACCTCATACCGCCGGCAAGGTTCACCTCGACTCCGCGGTGAAGTGGGACATCAGCGGCATCGGTCCTGCCGTGTAACACCACCCACCAGCTGCACCACTCCACTCACACGAACCGCCATCGCCGACCATCACTTGCAGATGCAGACTCCCCTCCGCAACGACCCCACTGCGGAACCGGTCGATCACTGCATTGCAGAGCTGTCTGTGTTACGACCAGCGGCGAGAGCGGATATGCAGTCCGGTGATCTGGGTCTATCTCATGCTCGATACCGCTCGAGCCGCGCTCTGTGAAGTTTCGGCTTGAACAGTGTTGCACAGAGTGTACTGGAAAATATCAAGATCCACTTGAGCAATATATGGATTTCTTGTATCTCAGGGTGTCGTTGATCTTCCCGACGGACTCGAGTCCGTCGCTCGCTCAACTCTGCTCGTATGCAGGGTCTGCCTTCGGCGACGCTCGTTTCGTGTGGATCTACTTCGCACCGTCTTCATCTGCTCCAAAAGATCGCAACAGCCGAAGCTTCTCATCAACGCGTGCGTTGCGGAGTACCAGGCTTCGACGCCTCGTCGCAAGCCTCGTAACCGGAGAAGCACGATCTTAGCTCGCCGTTGAACCCGCGAACTGTCCGCCTTGATATGCTGTGGTCGAGACTGTGACAGCTCCACGAGGCGTGCATGCGTTTGACAATACGAACGTCGGAGCATTCGGAGAAGTCGTGCTCGCCGTCGTGTGCGACTGTGAGGACTTGCGCCGAATGAAGGCACTGGTTGCGGACCTGACCTGGCTTCCAGAACGATGTCCGACCATACCTCAGTAAGTCCGGAACGAAAAGGCAGGAGTCTTCACCAGACAGGTTGGTAGGTCTATTCCAGTTCTACAGTCTACTCTCCTTCCTCGCACCATCACCCACTTCCGCCTTCGCTCGTTCACGCAGTATCTTTCTTAGTATCTTGCCAGAAGGGTTCTTGGGAACCTCGTCCACGACCACGATACCACCCGCTAAACGCTTGTGCGGCGCAACACGCTGCGACATCCACGATGCGATCTCTTCTGGCTTGCCCGGCTGAGACTCGGATATCACGACATATGCTCTCGGAAGTTCTTCGCCTCTTCTGAGAATCACGGCTATGGTTAGCATGACGATCTGTAACACAAAGCGGAAGAAGGGAAACGTACACCGTCACCCCTACCACCGCAGCATCCACCACACCCGGATGTTCCAACAACACTCCTTCCAATTCCGCTGGCGCCACTTGATTGCCTTTCACTTTGATCAATTCCTTCTTGCGGTCGACGATCGAAAGCGTGCCCTCTGGGTGCTTGACCGCGACGTCGCCTGTTCTGAGCCACCCGTCCTCCGTGACCGTCTCCCTCGTCGCTTCTGGCCGCCTCCAATACCCTTTCATTACGTTCGGTCCTCGCACCAAAAGCTCTCCTCGCTCGCCTTCGCCGACTTCTAATCCCGCGTCATCGACGATCATAGCTTCGATATTGGCGTTCAACTCGCCGACTTGGCTGGCTTCGGTGCCGTTCCTAGGATCCCAACCACATGCTGAGCAAGTGATCTCCGTCATACCTGCAATCCGAAAAGCATTAGCGACTACTACAGACTAATGCAACCTTCCTGCAACGACAAGTACTCACCCCACCCCTGCTTCAACACCACCCTCCACCCAAACACCCGCTCAAAATCTTTCACCGTCGCCGGATCCAACGGCGCCGCCCCCACCATCGCCTGCTCCACCGAACTCAAATCAAACCTCCCCACCTCCTCCCGCTTCGTCAACGCCACGGCCACGGGTGGCACGAGATTCAACGCCGTCACGCGATACTTCTCTACGTACTCGAGCATCCTTCCAAACTCGAACTTCTGCATTATGTACGTCGGAATCCCTAACAGAACATTCGAGACTCCGTGGCGGGTTTGGCCGTAGGCGTGATACATTGGTAGAAACCCTAACCCGACGGCGCGGGAGAGGTAGGAGTCGTAAGTGGGCGAGAGACGGGCGGTGAAAGCTGTTTGGGCGCAGTTGCTTACGTAGTTGCGGTGGCTGATCTCGACGCCTTTGGGGAGGCCGGTGGTGCCGGAGGAGTAGTTGAGGACTGCTGTGCGGTGGGTTTGCTCTAAAGTATTCAGATCCTCCCAGCGATGGGTTTTGCCTGCTTCGGGAGAGGCGAGGAGGGTTGTCCAGTGTTGAATGTTGTTAGTGGGGTGGCAGCGGGATTCGAAGACTTCGTGGCCGGAGCCCATGATGGAGATTTTGTCTTTGGGGAAGGAGATACTGGACGCAGCTTCGAGGGCGGTGGGGAGGCTGCTTTCACCGGTGATTAGGATGGAGGCGCCGGAGTCTTGGAGTTGGTAGGCTAGTTCGCGGGCGACGTAGTTCGGGTTGGCGCCGGTGAAGATTCCGCCGGCCATGAGAGTTCCTTGGATGATGACAGGGAAGAAGATGGAGTTGGCTGAATACAAGAGGAGGCGATCGCCCGGTTGGAAACCATTGGCGAGCAAACCAGCGGCGAGGCGTTTGCTCCATTCGCGGTAGGTGTGGTGGGTGAGGTGGTACTCGGGTTTGGCGGCGTCGAGGAGGACGGGCTTGTCTGGTAAGGGGCCGTCTGGGGATTGGAAGAGGTAGGTAGAGAGGGAGCAGACGGGGATTTCGGTTGTCCAGCGGGATTTCCAGGGCATCTTCGAAGATGTCGAGCTGGGCTATGGTAAGGAAGGGTGTGATCGCTGTCTTGTCTTTGCTATGAGATATTTCTAGACTCAAGGAGAAGGTTTAGACGTTTATGAAAGCGATAGATGAAGAAAAGAGACAGTACCACATCTTTACCTAGGCACTTGACACCTTGATCTGATCTCGGCACAACAGCCGCTCGATATGCGGGACACTGCAGGGTGGTCGAGTACTTTCGGGGGCCGACTGCGGGGTGAGTCCATGAATGGCGGACACCAACACAGTGGTATATCCTGAATGCCATGCCGTGTTGTCGAAATATGATCAATGGGGGGTTGTAGCTGTTCCACTTGCTCGTGTTCTTGCCATGCCCGTGGGCGGACATTGAGGAGCACGTTGAGATAGAAGTCCGTGAGAGAAGGTGAATCAGGGTTCCTAGGTTCAACATCATACCGTGATAGCATATACAGAAGATCTATCCTGTGTTATAGACGTTGAGATTCCAATATCGAAAGAGGTGAGGTGCGAAGATTGCGGCTGCTGATGTTGAAGTTGTCCACCACCGCGCTGCGAGTTGGACGAACTCCAGCTTGAGGACAACTCTTGGCGCGCCCACCAGCTTGAATTCTTCGAAGCACGAACTTCCTTCTTCCACCCCGACAACAACTTGACAACCAGACAATACCGTCAAGATGCCTTTCGTAAGTTTCGCCCTCCATTCGAAAGCCGTCAATGTCTCCGCCGCCGTCAGACCGGGATGAAGAGTCCTTGCAAGATGCTTCGGTATGGAATCTGAAGCGCAAATTGCTGACTCGTGGATTCTGTGCAGACCAAGTTGGTCAAGAACAGCGCATACTTCAGGTGAGTCTGTAGTGAACATCGATCGCAAGGCTCGCACACTAACATCGCCCAGCCGCTACCAGGTGAAGTACAAGCGCCGCCGAGAGGGTAAAACCGACTACTACGCCCGCCGCCGCCTCACGTCCCAGGCCAAGAACAAGTACAACGCACCAAAGTACCGCCTCGTCGTCCGATTCACCAAGCGCGACATCATCTGCCAGATCGTCACCTCTGAGATCACCGGCGACAAGGTCTTCTGCGCCGCCTACGGACACGAGCTCAAGCGTTATGGTGTCACCCACGGCATCACCAACTGGGCGGCCGCCTACTGCGTCGGGCTCCTGATCGCTCGCCGCGCCCTCACCAAGCTCAAGCTCGACGACACCTTTGAGGGTGTGGAGGAAGCCGATGGAGAGTACACCATGACCGAGGCGGCTGAAGTAGATGGCGAGACCCGTCGTCCGTTCAAGGTGTTCCTCGATGTCGGCCTCGTCAAGACCAGCACCGGTGCCCGTGTCTTCGGCGCCATGAAGGGTGCCTCCGACGGCGGTCTCTACGTCCCACACTCCGAGAAGCGCTTCCCCGGCTACGACATCGAGACGAAGGAGCTGGATGCCGAGACCCTGCGCAAGTACATCTTCGGCGGCCACGTTGCGGAGTACATGGAGACGCTTGCCGACGACGACGAGGAGCGCTACAAGAGTCAGTTCCAGGGCTACATCGACGACGAGATCGAGGCGGATGGGCTTGAGGAGCTCTACGCTGATGCGCACAAGCAAATCCGCGAGGACCCGTGGAAGAAGGATGAGGATGAGGGCGAGAAGAAGTCGAAGGAGTACTGGAAGGAGGAGAGCAAGAAGTACCGCAGCAAGAAGCTCACCAAGGAGGAGAGGGATGCTCGCATCCAGGAGAAGATCAAGTCGCTTGCCGATGAGGTTTAAGGTGCTTGACTCTGCTTGCGACTCTACTGGTGGTACCCTGCGTCGAGTTCGTCTGGCTGACAGCTCGTGATCAAAGGCGGCCTGTTGCCCGTATAGAGGTGACTAGCTGCATGAAATGAAAAGACGTTGCCAATTCTTGTTGCTTCACTCATGTCGTCGTCAGTAGAAAGAATACATGTAGCATCAATGGATGTATTTGTCCTGAGTGCGTCTGCGTCCAAGTAGAATTTTGAGGCACGCACGTGATGCTACTATTTAAGGTTTGGCTGTTGCGGGCCATCCCGCTTGTAAACACGACTTCCCAAGCACGTCCCGCCCGCAACACCACCACCACGAGCATTTATACGCGCACCACGCCATCGCGACGCGACATTCCGCTCACTACATTTCGGAGTCACGATAAATGCTGCCCATGTGCATGCGCGCGAAACATTGAACACGATCTGGCATCGGAGGACGCGCCTTCCTCGGCCAAACATCACGACATATCTGCGCGCTCTGGTTTTGACGACATGTCCATGATCGTCACGCGCTCACCTCTGGAACCGATCGGGATGAACGGCGCGGGAGTACAGCAGTCGAAGCGGAGAAGCGCGCGCTTGAGCGAAGAGGGGAGGGAGGACAATGAACCGCTTGTTAAGAAGAGCAAGGTTGGCGGCGCGCAGACGACGAGCGTGAGTACGAAGGAGACAGATGGTGGCGCGGCGGTTGGGACGAGGAAGAAGCGGAAAGGTGAGATATGCATTTCCTTGGGTGTTCTCGCTATGGACAGGTCGCGGTGTGTGGGAATGGCAGTGAGGGTGTCCTTGGTGACGGGACGATATGCTGGGACTGGGCAGGCTGAGGGAGGAATAATGGTCATGACCCTTGCTAACTGTTTCGCGTAGTATACGAGGAGAAAGAGGATGACTTCTCATTTTCGAGAAGCAAGAAGGCGAAGCCCAGCGCAAAGCCTGCTGTGCGAAATTCCACGTCTGACCAGACATCGCCCGCGAAAAAGCCGCCACCCCCGGAGCCAGCGTCAGCGCCAACGCCAGCGCCAGCTCACGCTACTGAACCAGAGCCAAAACCGACGCAGAAGAAACAGCGAAGAAGACTGCCAACCACTCCCGAACGCGAAAAGCCTACACGGCGCAGCAAGCGACTGTCGAGCGAGAATGAACAGGCCCAGCAGACCCAGCAGGCCTCACCTCACAAACCAGCGCATGCAAAGTCCCACGCACGACAGGAACGATCGCCGAGTCCGTTCAATGCGCGACCGGTTACCATTGAGAAGAAACGGAAGAAGGGCACAGATGGCGTTGAGGAGGAGAAGATTATGCGCATACAATTGCCTTTCGCCGACACGCCGGTCATCAAGCGGAACAAGGAGATGCGCAAGAGCAGTGCGGAGGGACACCGGCGGAGCAGCTCTGGTATGAGAGGGAAGAGAGCAAGCAGCTTGATCGACGAAGGTCGAGGAAATGGTGAGTTGAGCACGATTTTGTCGGAGCCGTTGTCGCAGATGGATTCTTTGTTGCCGCGTTCACACACATTGCCCACCCGGTCTACCTTATCCAACGGCGCACAACCGATCGTTGAGGCGACTGTACGAACATCCGGTCCAACGACGCCTCCAACAAGCGACGACATTCGTTCCCGATCTCCTTACAGTGTCAGATTCCAGAATGCGCTCCAGAACATGTTCGCTAACGAACCGATCTTTTATGATTCAGCTTTACCGCATTCCGAAGTGGCCTCTGCAGAGTTCTTCAAGCATATATCTGCAGAGCTTACCGAACCTCGACGAATGCGATGTCTCCTTGGATGGTGTGGCACAAGAGCACTACTGCCGAAGCCGGAAGCGCCGAAGGACAGTACACCAGCGTCGAGTGCTGAGTTTCAGGCGCAGCAAGCGGGTATGTTGAGCAAGAGGCGAATTACTCTGACATCATATACTGACTTATCTCTAGCTCGAGTCATCCAAGAAGAACTGGCCTCAGATCTGGTTACCAAAGGTATACTTAGCGACTGGTTCTCGAGAGACGACGATGTGCCTCCAGTCGCGCCTCTGCAAAAACGACCGAATCCGCGAAACATAGCCAATGCTGCGAAGGCAGAGGAACTCGAACGTGAGCTCGAAAGGTATGTGCACAGTCTACCGCTTTGCAGAACCACAGGGCTGACTGTAGGTGTAGACTTAAGAAGGGACGAGCCTCATGGGATGAACTCCTCGCCTCAGCCGCAACAACAGCCCCCTCTCCCTCAAAAAGCGATAAGCCAGAAGATGGCCATTTATCACCTCTCAACCCCGACCTCCTCGATACTCCACAACGCGCCATCCTCGAACAGCTCCAAGCGCCCACAGCAGAGCAGCCTTCACCCAAAGACCCGACTACCATACAACACCGCTTGCAGCAAATCTCGCAGAATCTGGAGTTCACCGTTGATCAATTTGCCCATGGAGTGCATGCACTTAGCACGACGAAGGCGACTGCAGATCGCTTGGCCGAGCGGTCGCTAGATGAGGCGGCGAGTGTGCTTCAGGAGCGGGAGCAAGAGCAGAGGGCCAAGGGGCAGGGAGTGGGTGCTTTGGATGCGTTGAGAGGATTGGCTAGGGTATTGAATCGGCCGCAGAGATGAGCTGGAGGCTCGACGGCGTGGTTTTGAAAGTCTTTAAACAACCACAGCGGCTTTGACGGCGAAGGACGTCCAACAGTCTACAGCGGACGAGAGAGCAAGCTGTATCAGGCCTGATCCGCGGACGAGCGGGCTTGGGATAGGTGACGATGGGGATGATTGAGATGTACCTACAGGAAGAACGAACGATACCATTGAATGCTTCTGCTTTGACATCGTTGCTACTGGCTTCGGCGGCTGTAGACTTGAGTCGGCATCATCACCTGCATGTTAACCCTGCGATCGCCTCATCCAACGCTCGCACGCCATCGCTCGTGATTACTGTGGTTAGATCAAATGCTCTCGGTGTCATATCGTGTTCGAGTTTTATATATTACGAGGCATTGAAGCCGATTGTAGGACATTGCTATCAAATACATCGTGTACCGGTACAACTGCACTGTCGACGCAACAAGCTTGTTCTTAAACTTATCTGGTTGTACCTTACGTCAATCGGGTACCGTACCGAGCAACTCGAGCTCGACCTCGTCGTTCGGTCAGCATTGTCTTTCCTCGCCTTCGACTAGCACTGAGTACCGGACGACCCGGTAGAGAGTGTGCCAGTGCAAGACTAAGGGGAGGCAAAGAGGCAGGATATATACCCCTCCATCCCCGCCGCCAGATCGACTCCACACCGCCGCCGCGCCGGCTGGCCACGCTTGCCAATGGCTCCACTCTTGGGATCATCACACTCTCCCTTGGAAGACTCGAACAACACTTCACTGTCCTCTTCCGCCATTGAGGAAGAGTCAGATGCGTCTCTCACAACGCCACGACCTGGACCGAGCGATCCAAAGCAGAGAGGAAGTGAGGACTTGAGTCGACCTGCTGTTGGCACGACATCGGCGGATAGTGGATTTGATACGAGCATCTTTCGTTCACCAGGAGGGCGGCAATCTTCGACCGGGTTTTCGTCGTCACCAAAAACGAAGCAGGGACAAGGCTCGCGGCCGGGATCAGCGTTTTCGCCGACTCAGACGTTTGGGAGGGCACCTTCGCAGAAGAGTGTGAGCTTCTCGTCAGGCACTTCAGCGCCGAAGCCAGAGAGGAGAGGGAGCTACGGGCTCATGGCGAGAATGGCTGCGAGCGATGAGCGGAACGAGGGGAGGGTGTTCGCAGACGCTGATGGGATGGGGGAGAGCAGTAGTGCGGATGAGAGCACGGCCATCATGAGGAGGAAGAGTCGGCAGGGAACGTATGGGACTGCTGTCGCTGAAGCTGAGCAGAATGGCGAAGGGGCTACGGATGAAGGGACGAGAGGAGATATTGGACCGGCGGAGGAGCAGCATGCGCCCAGTGAAGGAATGAAGAAGAGGAAAAGCAGCCTTGGAAGAGGGAGGAAGGTTGGTCAGGGACAGCGACAACCTTTGCCAGACGTCGATGGGGAGACGAGCGAAGAGTCCGAGAGTTGGTGGAAGGTATTCGTTGACAAGTACGGGAGTGTGGAGTTGGAGAACAAGGGCAGTATTGCCCGCGATCATCTTGCCTTGGGTACCTACTTCCACGCCTTCACCTGTTCGCTGTTCCTACATGCTAATCGACGTTCTACAGAGCGCACCTTCCTCGCCTGGCTCCGCACCTCCCTCTCCTTCGCCTCCATTGGCATCGCCGTCACCCAACTCTTCCGTCTCAACACCTCACTCGCCGACTCAGACAAACCGCAGACTTCGTCCGCTTCATCACTATCGTCGTCGACCGGCTCGTCTGGTACATTACTAGATCAGTTTCAGAAACGCGACATTTCACTCGCTGACAATCATCGTTTACGCCACGTTGGAAAGCCGCTGGGGGCGACATTTTTGGCTATCTGTACGCTTCCCTCTGCTATCCTCGAAGCGTTTGTGTAACTTGACTAATATCTTTGCAGCTATCCTCATCCTTCTTCTCGGCTTCCATCGCTACTTTGAGTCCCAGCACTACGTTATCCGCGGCAAATTTCCGGCTTCGCGAGGCACGATTATCGTGGTGTCGTTCGTCGCTACGGCGTTGATCATCTCGAGCTTGGTGGTGGTGCTTGTGGTTGCACCCAGTGCTTTTGAGAAGTAGGCCGATTGCGTGGCCTCGTCTGTGGCAACCTCCAGCCCGCGAAGCCTCTGCGCGTCTGCACGTCGATCCGTTCAGCACTTGCTGGCTCGACGGGACGAGACCGGATGCTGCGCCGGAGACTCACGACAGATGTTTCCAACGCAGACAGACGAAACTCTGCGAGACATTTACAATACCGCAGGGCCGTCGATGGAGCACGTCTTCTCCGAGACTCTAGGGGACCCGAGTTACGATACTCTTGGAGAAGAAGATGAGGGCGCCGCTCTTGAGGAATATGACGACGCTTCTTCTCTTGAGGAAGATGACGACGCTGCCCTTGAGGAATATGACGACGCTTCTCTTGAGGAAGATGACGACGCTGCTCTTGAGGAATTTGACGAGGCTGCTTTTGAGGAAGCCTACCGCGCCGATGTAGAAGCAGGTCGCGCTTTAGAGCCTGGGGAGCCCCAAGAGCCTCAAGAAATGCTGGTACCGACTGTGGATCTTACATTTCGCCCCTGGACCTTTCCCCGCGTGAGCCTTCAGCCCGTCGCGAGCCTTCAGCCAGTCGTGACTCTGGAACTGGAAAGACATCCCTACGGCTACGACAGTGTTCTGTATACCGCTCTCGACGAGGACTCCGTCGAAGTGGACGTCTTTGCCTTTCAATAGGATGTACGAACGACGGGCACGGGTGGTTTTGATGGGATGGTGCAGACAAGTCGATACGAAAGCATTACGGCGAGCGTCGTGTTTTGCCTGGCTGTGGGGATTGATCTTGATCAACTCGACATGATTGTGTGGGCTGAGATCGAGCGTGCGAGGAGGAGGTGCTTGATATTTCAGCGGCTCGCGGACGAGTATTGGGAGTCGTGGTGTGAGGTTAGGGGGAGGAGGATGGTGATGAGGGAGTGGGACGATCCGGTCGACTGTGATTCTGATTGAGGGAATGATTTTGGCGGAGTGGACTCATTCGGCACAACCAGACGGAAAGGCGGAGATATCGTTGGGCAGCGGACATGATCAGCTGTCGTTGAACAGATGCACTATTGCTGTTTCCAGCATTAGGCGGGTGGCAGTCCACACTGTATGATCGTTCTATCTTTGTGCCCCAATACCACACTGCTTCAGGCTCTCCCTTCGCGATCTGCTAGCCACATTTCCGTGCTTTATTCTTAGTTGGCTGAGGCAAGTTTTCGCGTAAGCGTTTGGCAATGTCACAAGTAGACCTTCCTCCGTTGATCCAGTCCAACATTCGTCGGTAGTCGTCAACACTGTCCAGGATGCCGGTAGCGGGCACTAAACGTATGGGAATCATTTGGGAGCGCCCATGGATGACCTGCGGGCGATCAAAGGAGTTGGAAAGCGATGGGCCGGCAGTACAGTGCCACCACAGCTTTTCCGAGCCGAAGACGATACCGCTATCGTACGGCTTTTGATTGATGTTTCATCTTCTACGACTGGTGACTACGGTCATTTGGCTTCTTTTTGAGAGGGTGTGAGTGCAATGGCCGGCGAGAGCAATCATGAGAATGTGGATGTCTTCAGACGAGGCTCTGTGAGCACCCTCAGCGAGTGCGAGCCTCTGCTTCCAGATGGACACGCACCGGCATTGTACAAGACGATAAGTGTCGGTATTAGAGCTAATCTTTAAGTTGAGATCCTACTGACACTCTTCAGCACGTCAATGAAATCACCAAACAAGCAAATGGCCTAACGGATGACGACGAGGGCGCCCATGTGAAAGAAGTCAAGCCCAGGGCTGCTGGCGTCTACACGACTCTTTCGGTGCTATTGCTCGGCGTGTTCGTCTCGCAGACCGATCAGAGTTTCGTGCTGGCGACGTATGGTGCGGTCTCGTCAGAATTTGATGATCTCGAGTCGGGAAGTTGGCTCATATCTGCCTACATCCTGGCACAATGCGTGGCTCAGGTAAGTCTGCGAACAATACAGACTTCAAGCACGCATTGTCTTAATGCTGATCTCCTTGCTAGCCTCTCTACGGCAGGATGGCCGACATCTACGGTCGCAAAGCTTGTCTGCAAGCCTCGTACATTCTCTTTGCCATTGGGACTACTGTAAGCGGTCTGGGCCAGAATATGGGTCAGGTCATTGCAGGTAGAGCTATCCAAGGGGCTGGAGGCGCTGGTATGGTCTCCATGGTGAGCATTGTGGTTACTGATCTGGTGCCTCTGCAAGAGGTTGCCACACTCTGGGGCTACGTGAATATCCTTCAGACCACTGGAAGGAGCTGCGGTGGGTTGATTGGTGGGCTTCTAACTCAGACTCTGGGTTGGCGATGGTATGTCCTTCCTCGAGCATCGTTCAAGATCTCGAAATACTGATCGAGCATACAGGGCCTTCCTAGTCCAGGTACCTCCCGTAGTCATCGCAATCATCTTGGTTCAATGGCGACTCCAGCTACCCACGAACCCTTCAGAGACCGAGAGCAGCAAGTGGGAGAAGCTCAAGCGTGTCGACTTCATCGGGGCGTTCTTCCTCTGCTATACGATCTTCGCGGCCTGCTTCACCCTAGACGTTGGAGGTCGGAGACTGCCATGGGACAGCCCCGTCTTGATCGGCATGCTCATATCCGGAATCGCATCCGCCATCCTCTTCGTCGCCTCAGCAAAGCATGTCAAAGAACCGATCTTCCCACTCAGGCTACTGACACACTATGACACGGCGATGAATTATCTTGTAGTTCTACTACAATGCATGGTGCAATTTGCGCTGATGATGTCTGTCCCGGTTTACTTCCAAGCCACCAGACACGCAACTACAGCGGCTGCCGGAGCATACCTCATTCCTGCCTTCGTCGGAAATACCCTCGGCGGCCTGCTCGCTGGAGTCTGGATCCGGAAGACAGGTCGTTACAAGTATGCCACTGTGCTGGCGCCTATCCTTGCTGGAGGCTGCATGTTGCTATGCTTGCTGCGTTGGAATGGCACCACTGGTGTCTGGGAATCACTGTACATCTTCCCAGGCGGCTTCGCCACTGGTATGGTGACCAGCTCTGCATTTGTTGGCATGGCAGCTGGGATTGACGAAAGCGATATTGCGGTGGCCGGCTCGGGGATGTACTTGTTCATCAGTATTGGCGCTGTTGCGGGGGCGAGTGCTGGAGGAGCCGTGTACCAGCTAGACCTCCGTTCTGGTCTCGAACAGGCTCTGCAGTGTGTGAACGGAGGAGACAAGGTAAGAGTGGGAGCTTCGGATGCGCTCGAATCATCGATTGCCTTGCTGACACTCCCCGCGTTCTACAGATTCTACAGGGGCTGTTGGATGATATAGGGTACTTGTGGACGCTGAGTGATGGTCTACGGCAGCGAGTGATGCCATCATATGTGATGAGTTTCCATAGGGTCATGTGTGAGTCTTCTAGTGTCTTGGACGGAAAGGAGGTGTAGTAGCTGACGTCTCTTCGCAGGGCTCAACCTCGCATGCTGTGCACTCTCATTAATCATCGCCGCAGTCTCGAGACAAAACAAGATTAGAAAGAAGTAGCAGATTGTTCGTAGACCATTACCTCTATACAAGAACGTTCGCCTATTAAGGGGACGGGCGGACAGTTTGGTGTCCGCCCCTCTGTGTGGTTGATCGTATTAACGAGGTTGCGTGAAGTGAGGTTCTCGAAGTGACTCCAGAAGAAGACGTGAGGTCGAAGCAAGCACCGCAGACGCAAATAAGAAAACCAGTCATCTGTCCAAGTATTGACAATCATGTCAAGCAAGTCTATAGACTCGATATATTTCCCTTCGCTGATCGATACATACACATATAGACTTTTTCGATGTCGACAACAGATATAGCCTCGCTGCTCTTCACCTCCTCACACGACGGTCTCAACCAAGCTACTTCCTTGTCGCCAACACAACAGCCACCGTCCACTCCACTGTAACGATAAACCCATCCTGTCCCGTTTTATGCACGATCTCCTGGATCTCCTGAAAGTGCTTCTCAAACTTCGACACCTGGCCCGGACCAAACATCGCAGCCGTCAAACTACGGAAGAACTCTGGTCCAACCTCCTGTCGCCAGCCCTTAGCCTGGTCGGCGTCGTTCTCGGAGCTGAAGTCGTGTCTGCGCTCCCCATTGACGCGGACTTTGTTGTCGCTTGCGTCGGCTGTGACGCCGGGAACGAGGCCGTTGAAGGCTTCGCTGCCTTTGCCGGCGGTGTTGATGGTGAGGCGGCGGGTTTTAGACTGGTCGAAGATGTCGTCGGGGAGGGGGACGAAGTCCAAGCCCTGGCTGAAGTTCTTCTTGCCGCGGGCGTCGCCGCAGACCACGTCCCACGGCTGTGAGCCCCAAGCTGCGTGCAGGCGCTGAACGGCCTCGTTGGCTCCCGGGTTGCCGACCACGCGGCAAATAGGACTGTAGCTGACGAGGGCAAGTGTGCCATTGGAGGTGAGCGTCTGTGCTGCACTCCTTACCATCACCTCAGGGTTGGTGAAGTGGGCGCCCTCCATCATAACCACCATGTCGACTGTCTTGTCCGCGACCGACTCATGGCCTTGCTCAACCTTGCTGTTCGAGAAGGTGAACCGTCCCCTGCTCTTTTTGTTCTCACTCACCCATTTACTGAGTGCTTGCCGAGAGGTTGCGAGACCAACATCGCTTGGGTCGGAGACGTGGACATGGCGGAAGTAGCGAGCAAGCACCGGCGAGTACACGCCAGACCCGGAACCAGCGTCGTGAGCTAGCTGCCAGGATTTGCCATGCTTGTGGTGGTAGTCGAAAATCAGCTTCTCGAGAGAAGGAGGGTATCGTGGTCCGGTTCGCTTGAACGACTCCCATGAGGAGCTGGACGAGGTTATGGAAGAATCGCCGTTAGCAATCCCATTGATGCCGCCATTGCGGACAGCATCCCAGTTGATGCTGTGAAGGGGGGAGGTAAGAGCAGTCGCAGAGAGCGGATCCGAGCTGAAATCCTGTGGTTGACTCTTTTCCAATGCTGGATCTGTGTGAATCTGGAGTTTGCCGTTCATGGTCGCCTCGAGTGCAGCCATGTTCTTCTCGGCGTTCTCGCTGTCTGTCGGACTGACGACCTTGCTGCTGTCGGGCATGGCGTCTTTGCTCTTGTTTCCGTTGGGGATACCCAAGGAAGACAGGACTGGTTTCTCGACAGCCATTGTATAGGGCCTGCTGAGGTGCGAGCGGCTGTGATCAGACAGGAGGTTTTTGGGGGCCGAGAGTTGGTGAAGGATTCAAGAGTTGGTGTTTACCGCAACCGTAGCACCGGAGGAGAAACACCAGGCGCCGCAGTCGTCCGCTCAGCTCTTCCGTAGGGCGGGGGACGATCCACTCGATGTAGTTGGGAGGGCTAACGGCGAGCTCTGGTGGTGTACCAAGGCACACACAGGGCAGAAAGCGGTTAAGCCAGATTTTGCGTGCTGACCAGCTGAAGCACCCTGGAAAGTTGTGTTGTTGAAGATTGGTTCGAATGGGGAAATTGTAGCTTAAAGTCTAGACAGCTCTCGATCCGTTCCTGGCTACTGCTGGCGGGCACCTCTTCTTACATATATCGGGGCCGATAAAGGGTTGATGCAAGACTCAGGGTGGAAGATACGAGCATGAAAGGCTTCGCGTCGCCAGTGACCTCATTTCGTCTGGTTTTTGACCCTGCCAACTTCAAGGGCACTCTCCGCGATACCAGGAGATGCCCCGAGCTTGAAACAGGTGATGCTGGGGCTGATGAAACAGACCAACCGACGAGCCGGGCGTCCCTGCCCTGTCGATCTTTTCACACGTGGGTCCAGATTTGGAAGGGTGGAAGGCCTTATGGCTGCAGAAGGCAACACGTCGCCAATCGCAAGACCCTCGTGTGGACGGGCGTCGGTCAGAAGAAGACCGACTGCAACAACACCTTTCGTCTATGGCGCAAGATATGGTTGGGCAAGTCGCCGACCACCGACTGCATGGACGAAAAAGACGACGCGACCACGCTGACGGAGATCTGGCCGACTTGAATCATTCACAGCCGCACGACTTCGTGCATGATCTCGCAATGCCAACATCAACATGTCTAGAGTTGTCAAACCACATGATGGAATATGATCATGCTCATGATCACCCCTCCGTCACTATCATGAGCATTAAAATGCAACCAATGTGATGGGTATATCTTCTTTCTGCCCAGATCTCTATTCTGAAAAGTGTACACTGCTATGCAGCTGACCCATGAACAGTGCTGCATAGCTTCGCTCAGAAGCCGACAAGAGACTCAAGCTTGCTTTTCGACTGATGTACCAGAGCTTTTTCACTGCGACCTCACGATCAGGTTCTAATTCCCTGCGATGCACCCTCAAATGCAAACACCTGCTCAATGCACCTTTAGAACGACCAGATACCAGGCTCGACGTGGGAGGTGTTGCCGGGCACGAGACTAATTATTGCCACGGTCAGGACAGTTCGATCGCTAAATTATGACCGGAAGGATCGACTCACCCATTCTCCTTGAACACAGCCTTCACGCGCTCAGCGATGAACGACGTCGGAGGCACAACAGTGCCGTTTGATCGTCCGGCAGGTGGGTAGACCCAGGGCACAACTTGCAGCGAGCAGACGTTGTACATCTCATCGATCTCCGACTGCGCGAATCCACCACCGATGAAGATGGCTTTGGGGACCTTGGGGTTGGGGTTGTTGAAGTTTGAGCCGAGCATCGTCACGGGGATGGTATATTCGCCTTTCAGGAGAGGAATGAACTCGGACTTGCCCACTGGCGCGCTGTTGATGACGTGCACAACTAATCAATATTAGTTGTTCTGCAAGTGGATGATGGTGCTGCAAGGCCGTTGAGCATACCATCATAGTCGGGCTTCATGAGCTCGATAAACTCCTCGCTGATGGACGCTTCCTTGCCGCCAATGGCAATAGGCACCGGAGGCAGCGCCCTCTCGTACGGGGCAGCGTTCACGGCGTTGAGTGCTATCACACCAGCGGCGAGGACGCAGGTTCGGAGGCAGACCATGATTGCGGTGTTGTAGTCGTATGGGAGAAGTGCAAGTGAGAAATCTGGCCAGGAACAACAACCAGCGCCCAGGACAACATTCTTATATGCATGGCGGGCTATCCGTTACCAAGGACAATAGGTTTCGGAGTGAATTCCTGTGAGGATTGTCGACGGGGAGCCGTCAACGACAAGAGCCTCAGCGTCATAGACACGGCCCATATCTAGCCCCGTTTGCTGCAGGTCCATCGTCAAACCTACAGCAGATCAGGCCTGGGGTTGCCAAGGGGATACCAGACGTGTCGTTTTTCGTATCATAAATCATCCTCCGGTCTCCTGGGAGATTGGACAGTAGTCTCATCTTGTGGTGTTGTGCAACATGGAAGCCAGTTTCAAGGCGTGTAGGAGTCGTCGCACAACTTACAAGCGACGACAGGCTTTTGTTCCTGCATAATTTTATCTCCGTAGTCGATCAATGCGTCCCACGGTAGTGGCTGGCGCGATCTATAGATGGACTTACCGAAGTAGCCTGCTGGGCATCGATAGCGCTGCCGTAGACCGGTGGCACGATCTGCAGAAGCAAGATATGCCCTGCTGATCTTTGAGATTGGTGTCCCTCTGGGTATCGATGATACCATATCGCACGGACGACAATGTAGGCGTCGGAGGTGTTGTGAGACATTGACGGTTTCCTCGGAATGTGGCGTCGAAATACCGCAACAACCACAATTCTCTTCGCGCCCAGGGGACCAGACTTCATTCATCTCCATTATCATTCAACGCCTGGTGGATCAAGTGAGGTCTCCGGATAGCGCCGCTGCCCTTGACCTGCAGTGACCTGCAGCTGGGAAGAAACCCACATGCGGGCCGATGACCGCATCATCTAGACCCGAGGAGACTCATTCTCTCGACGTTGTTGCGTTTGTACAGGCACAGACACACCGGGACGGCGGACTGGTGCCAGATGTGCTCCATTAATGCCTCCGTACGTGGCGTTAGAGCTGGTGGAACATTATCCGCCCCAGTGAACGTGCTTCGAGATTGGGTCGACAGAGGTGGCTCGGAGGACACATCTGCCTACGTGGACACACAAGACTCAGAGCCTCAGTCCCACTCTCTTCCGAGACTTGAGGTGCGCTCTTCAGCTGGCAAAGGCCTGGGTCTCTTCACGTGCGAGCATATACCGGCGTATACCCGGGTCGTTGACGACGATGCCTTGCTCAGTCTTGGACCAAAGGAGAATTTACCGGAGCTATGGCGAAAGTACCTTGCGCTCCCACAGGAGGACCGGCAGTGTTTCGAATCCTTGAGCGTTCATGAGAACCAAACCTCGAAGGAAGAGGATCAGATTGTGAAGCTCAAACAACGGGGCTATGCCGAGGATGAGGCAAGGAAGATGTCTCAAGTATCTTCCAAGTACCTTTCAAACGCTTTCAACACCGAAGACAGGACGGCCCATGGAGGATTAGGAGGCCAGCAAGGGAGTCGCTGGTCAAGTGCTCTCTTCCCAACCATCGCGCGGATCAACCACAGCTGTGTGCCAAACTGTCATCCACACTATAACCTGCTGAGCGGCGCTGAGGTTCTATATACTCTACGCGACATCGAGGTTGGTGAAGAGCTAAGCATTTCCTACTTTGACATGACCTCACCGTTCGCTACTCGACAAGCGCGAGCAAAGTCTTGGGGGTTCACCTGCTCATGTACAGCTTGTGGACGTCAAGGCAGCTTTGCAAGTGGGGAGTATGAAGGGAAATTGGCTCTGGTGCACCATGTTGTTGAGACGCAGGTCAGCTTTATGAAGACAAACACCCCGGCAGAGGACGTCGAGACTGCGAACCGCGCCATTGAGATTGCTTCCGACCCTGACCTTCCCTGGCTCGTGGCGAGCCTTCCGGTGTTGCACAAGACCCTTGCCCTGCGGCTTCAGAAGGCGAACGAGTGGGATCCAGAGCGCTTTGGTGCGCAATTCGCAAGTGTTCAATCGATATTTCAAGAGGCACTGAAGTGGGAGCTCAGAACCAAGGGATCGCAGACGCTACAACGTACCGATCGGAGATAAGGATTGTCGTTGTAGAGCAGCGCTTGAAGTGGAAGATGGGTGTATGGTTTAGTCCGCCCTAGCCCTGACTGATCCGCATTACAGCATCTCGCTGCAATGATCACTTCGTAGATCTTCACAGATCGTTGTGGAACGTCGGTGGCTTCTGCCAGGCTGTCTCTCGCAGCCTAAGACCCCACCACTTCAGGGACATCATCGGCACGAAGAGGGCCAGATTGATTAAGGCAAAGACAAGCCATGCATACTGAAACTCGATTGCCTCTCCGAGAGGGATACTGGACGAACGCGATCAGCAACTCTGCGTTGCTCCGCTGGAGGGGGTCAATACTCACGCGTAGAAGCTTATGATCATCGAGTATATCGATCTGAACACGTTCATCAGACAACTAATTTCAGCACTTTGCGGCTTGTAGCACTGTCGAAAAGATCAGCTTTAGCTCTCAATCTCTCGCCGAGATACTCACGTCGGTAGTGTACGCATAGGTCACGGTGGTAGCAGCCTGCAGACCACAATTCGCAATGCCCATCCCAAACGCAGCGCCGACCCAAGACACCGTCTCGAAATGTGAAAGGCAGACCCCCTCGATGACGACACCGATCGGTACCAACAGACCAAACCACAAGGCATCGAGACGAGCCTCCGGCATCCGTACACCGTCGTGCTTGTTCGCGTATCGCCGCACCATCCAGTCGGTCAGCCAGCCAGCGTTGGCTTCTCCAATTGCACAACCAATCAGCAGCGGAATGGAAAGCATCAGGCCTGTCTGGGAAACGGAGAAGCCGTAGAACTCGCTGAACAGCTGCGCTCCGGTCGTTGCGAACAGCACGCTTCCGTAGCCGAACGCGGTCATGTAGTAAAGCCCTGGGAGTGCGACGGCGAGGTATTTGAGCATGTACAGGCTGCGCCAGAAGTCCTTGAGCTGCAGCTTCCGCTGTGGCAACGTGTGCGAGCGGAAGGTCAGGAGGTCCACGTACGAGTTTGGTTCGTGATCGTGACGGATCGTGTCCCGCGAGTATAGGGTCTCGGGGAGGCAGAAGAGGGTGATGGCGAACGTCCCCAGCTGAATGAACCCAGGGATGCGGAAGCACCACTCCCAGCTCAAGTACTGCGCAGCAAACCCTCCGATCAAAGGTGCAACATGCGGACCATTCGTCACGAAGAGCGTGAAGATGCCCATGTAGAATCCACGCTCATGCATGTAGAACAAGTCGCAAATCGTCGCAGCCCCAATAGCGCCTGGAGAACCAGCAGCAATGCCATTGAACGCTCTGGTGGCCAGGATACCGGCCCAGGTCGGACTGTAACCCGCTGCAATGTTTGTTATGCCACCGATGAGAGCTCCGAGCAGGTACACTGGTCTTCGTCCATACGTGTTGGCGAAGGGAATGACTAGTAGCGGACCAATGCCGGCGAAGACGATGTACATCGTCAGCTCGTACGAAGCTTCCACAATTGTTATTCCAAAAGCTTCGGAGAGCGGGACGAAGGCTGGATTGGCGACTGCTGCGGCCATGGGACCCAGGAAGGCAAGCCAGCTGATTTGGAGGGCGACTGCGAGTTTCATGCCGGTCGACCAGTTCTGCCAGTCTGTCAGTGAGGCTCGCAAGGCGTTCAATCTCATCAACGAGAACTTACCAACGGGTCATCCTTACTGTCCGACGGCTGGGGCATGAGAGGATAGCCATGCTGGTCCCGCTTGACGTTCTCATCGCTGGGCTTCAAGTCGCTCTGGAAAGCATTCGGAGGCATTATAGCGTCTTCATGGTGGGCAGCGCCTTGCTCCTTGCTCGCAAGATCGGAAGCCATCTCACACGACTGCGTAGGAGGCTTTGGGCGTTGACAGGCAAGGCAGAATCATCGCAAGAAGACGGAACGAAAGCTGAACAGACGTGATATGCGGTCTTCCTACCTCCGACGCATGCGGTGCCGCTCTCTTGGCTCTCATTTGATGATGGTATATCTCCACACCGTACTGCGAATCCCATTCGCCATCGTGTGCTTGACAGCCGCTCCTGCCGGTCAGAGCTGTCAGGATAAATTAGGGCCACGCGACGATTATGGCCGGCACTTGCTGTGCTCCCAGCCGTGCTTGTGCAAAAGTGTCGATCATGATCGAGTTGAGGAAGCGTGAGGTCCGACGAGCGGGGATGTTGATCCAGCTGCTGCAGTTGCGGTACCTGCCTAATTCGGCGTGGTTTCAAAGACGGACACGACTCGTGCCAACATGCAGCCACGGCGTCCTCCAAGCAAAACAAGATATTTGCTTCATCATGCCAATGCAGCGCCTGAAACTCCTAAGCCGTTATACCAAGGTAACCTAAGCTCTCGAAACAGCAACTTCCAATCCTTGTTCGACGGACACACCAAGTACGTGCATTGATACTTGATCACAGTCATGCTGGAAAGGCTCGCTAGCTTCGATGAAGGAAATAGGTGCAGTCTGGAAACGTAGTCAATATAGGTAAAAATGCATTCAGTACTCTACGCTTGAATCTCAGGACACCTAGGACTGATGGGAGCCCAAGGCAAGCAGCAAAGTATCTGGCCCAAATCGCTCATGAACGCCTTCGCAATGCCAGGAGAAGTCGTGATTGCCCGCCACTTGTTTAGACCATCTAAGCTCTGTCCTGCCTCCGTCTCAAGTTGCGAGTCCGCTTCATGAGCTTCTTATACTTGTGTTTCTTCATCTTCAGCTTTCTTTGCCTCTTGACCGAGATCAGACGCATGATACGCTCTTGCCTGGCCGGACTTGGCGCGTTCCGTACCGGCATTTGTGAGCTGGTGTTCGTAGAACTGGTCGCTTGGGCGGCCATGTTATCGCGTCCCCGTTGCGCCATACGGGTCAAGAATGGCTGTCTTGTCCGCGTAGGCTCACGCATGGCCCGATTGGAATCTGTCCGCTCAGTCGGTTCAGGCAGCCGCACTATTGGCGAAGACGAGGCTGAGTATGTCCTCTGGCCGTCCTCAAAGGTGGATTCGGTGACCGTAATGGTGGCTGTAAATGTCTTCTTCTTCGGCCTGCCTTTGGTGCTAGTCCGCTGAACTGCCATCTTCTTCTCTACCCCCGCTGGCTGCTCCTTCACCCCAATGAACGGCTGAGGTGGAGGCGGCGCCTTGAACGGCTTGAATTGCGCCACGATCTCGTCGAGACTCTTCATCCGCTGCGGTGCGCCATCCAGATGCTTCACGCCGTCCGAGTTGCTCGAGCTTTCGTGGATAATCTCCCACCGCACGCCCTCATCTTCCGCATTGTTATTGCCTTTCTCGAGGGCGTCGATCGTGTTATGCAGCGTGTAGATGACATCCTCCGGTCGCCTCTCAGCAGAATTGCCATTAGCCCATGGATCCTGGGTTTGGCGGTTGGCGAAGATAGAAGCAAAGGTTTCTGCTGATGACGGCGGTGGGATCGTCGTCGTGAGAGATACGGGTCGATGTAGGGAGAAGAATTTGGACATGTTGAGGTCTGCACAGAATATATGTTAGTAGATGTGTGACATACGACTGATGGATACGTACCCTCCGGCCGCAAGCCCTGAATTGGAGGTACACTCGGCAGCGCAGCGAACTGATCTATCGGCTCTGCCGGCTTCTTGTTCTCTGCTGCCGCTGCTACTCGCTTATAGCCTCCTCGCGACCTGCCCTTGTTCTGCTTCGGCGCGGCCTTCGGGGCTCGTGGCGCCTGCTGCTCGCCGGTGGCAGAGGCCTTGGCTGTGATCTTGGTGGCGCTGTCATCGGGGGGACATGATGATGTTTTACTGCTCGAGTGCCGCCGCTGATGGGACGCCGGGCGAGCGGTGCAGTGGTGGGTGGAGCTGTTGGAAATAAGGGCTGCGGTGGGCGATGACGAGGCGGTGGCGCGGTGGGCAGCGCGGGTCAGCTTCGTTGAGTACATAGCATGCGCCGGTGTACTATGCTGTGAGGCCGGTATGGGTGGAAGGGAGGCGGTGTATAGGTAGAAAGGTGGATGGCTGTAGGGTGGAGGTGTTGTTGGAGGCGCTTAGGATGTCGGCGAGTCGGCTCTCAAGGTCTTGGCATATCTGCTCTGACCTCACCTTCCGGATTCGGGATACTAGAACATACCTGCAACAATCAGAAGCTCGGGTTTCGTCAAGACTAACGAAGACTTACTATCCCTCAAGAGCGCCGATACTGAGGCCGTCGTACACACGGGGCTGTTGTTTCACCACTAATCGAGGAAGAGTACACTGTCTATCACTCCTTCGCTCCCAGGAAGGCAGTAGAAAGTAGCCTTGTCGTTGACAGACTCTCGTCCCTCAGCACTCGGAATACCGCAGTGATACGATCTCCTCTGCAATGGCCGAAGTAGCAACAGAATCGAAGACCGACAAGAGCCCGGCCGCCAACGGAGAGGCACCCATGAACGGCGAACAGCAAGAAGCACATTACCAGCTGCCAGATGCCAAAGCACTTGAGGAAGCTGGCAATCTCCTTGTAAGGGATGAGAACGGCAACGAGACACCTTTCAAATCCCTCTATGAAAATCAACCAGGTCGCCGGTTGTGTGTCTTCGTCCGCCACTTCTATTGCGGCGTACGTCTGTCTACTTCTACGACGGCTCGCAAAGACACTCGACGTTTATTAAGCTAACTCCATTTAGCACTGCGAAGAATACGTCCGCTACCTAGCAAAGCATCTCCCGCCAGAAAAACTCGCCTCCGCATCACCACCGATCACATTGACGATCATCGGCTGTGGCGATCCTCAGTGCATCCCGGACTACCGCACGCGCACGATGTCTTCACTGTCGAAGCCGTACCCGATATACACAGACCGGGACCGCGCCATCTACACAAAGCTAGGCATGATCCAACAACTCGGTGGTGAGACGAAGCCGGAGTACCTGACTACCAGTGTGACCAGCAGCGTGGTTAGTAGTCTTAAGAACATTATTACCTCGGGGCCAAAGGGCTTCAAGGGTGGTAATTACAGCCAGAACGGCGGTGAGTGGCTGTTCGAGGACGGAGAGCTGAAATGGGTTAGGCGGATGAGGAATTCGGCCGATCATGCTCTGATTGAGGAGTTGAGGGATGCGCTGGGGATGCAGTAGGAGTATGGTAGGTATCTCAAGCACGAATATACGAATTATGACCATTAAGATTCGTGTACTCACCATCTCAAGTGCAGCTGATCGACTAAACTGCCAGAAGTCCGCCTCACATTCTCGTGTCATACATCTGAAGGCTTCGAAGCCACTGTTCGACCTTCATTGAAGCTACCGTACGCGGACCTTTCTATTCACCACTTCTGTCGACTCGGCCTGTTTAGCGACGCCAGCCCAAAAAGACGTAGGGCCAGTCCAGATTTCCTACAACATCATCGTTCCCGTCGGTATCATCGCAGGCAGGAATCGCCCAGAACTGACACGAACTCGGCCCAGCCTTTAAATAAAAGGGTCTATCGTACTTCCTCTTCGCGCACACCTGCCAGCGCCGTCAGCGCCACTCAACCCAGAACTCTTCCGCGCGCTTTTGAGAGCAACAACTCACCTTGAAAAACTGCTTCCTGCAGCTCTCTACACTCATCGCATCGGCTTTCCAAGCGTCCTCTTCATCGTTCCATTTTTTGCAATTCTCAGCATTCACGCGGACTGCCATGTATTTTCCGAAATGGCTGTTAAGAGCAGCATCGCTGTAGTGCGACGAGCTCGCCCAGTTGGAGGGCATAAAGACGCCTTCGCCATACGGTCCGGCGCAGAAGTTGACGATGGCGGAGCTAACGAGCGGGCTTTTGTTGTCTTTGGCGCAACGGATTTCGTGTTCCGTTGAGTAGGGGAGGGTCACACCGGCTATCGTTGTTGTTGTTGTTGTTGTTGGTAAAGGCGGGTCAGCGGGCGTACCCAATGCGAGCGAGAAGAACAGGCTGGTGAGGAGGGCAAAATACATGGCCGCTGATGGTGTGGTACTTGAAGTATGTTTCGTGAAGTGGTGGACCTTTCTGTGTAGTGGATATATATGGAACATTGAAGTTGAGGGCAGTAATCAAGAGAAGTCCAAGCAAGATTGCTGTAACATTCACGAGGCTGACGAGATTGTTTGCGAGTGCATGACTCTGTTCGTAGTCACATCCATTTACGCAAGACTGAGTGCGTTGGAACAGCGCTGACAGGACTGCCGGCAGCCGTAAAAGCGTGGAAGTGCTTCCTGACCGGCTGATGCCTTGCTCCCGTGGCGCTCCTGTTACACTTGGACGGCTTGTCGGCGTCAAGGCGATGCGACGATGGGGAGTAAACACAACTGAACTAACAGTCATGCTTGGAGGTAGAGAAGCTTCAGCAAGAGAAAGTAGTTCGTCATTTGCTAGCACACGATTGCCAGTCAGTATACCCATCATCGACCAGCTACACAAGAAGTCCAGCTCCCTTGAATCATGTTTCGTTATTGTCATATACATCATGCCTCCTCTTTACGCTCCGTCTTCATCTTCTCCTCCATAGCCCGTTCGACATCGTTGTATCGGAAAGCCGTGACCGCCTCACTAACGCTATTGAACACCCTCACCTCTTCGACCTTACTGGTCTTTCCATCACCGTTGTTGGGAAGAGTGGCCCCATCGATTAAGTTCCATGCCGGTCGGGCACGGTCAAAGCGGTTGCGCACATGGTTGGCCATGCCTGCGAAGCGAATCTCGACGTCTGGACCAGCGTACTTGCGGACTTCATTCATGAACTCGCGCATCTTGAGGCACGCGGTTACGTCGAAATGGTTGACCCGAGACCAGTCGAGGACGACAAGGCGTATCGGTGGGAGGTCGGCGGCATCGTGGACACCAGCTGCCCTCCTCAGTTTCTTGATCCGCCTTTCGCCGACGACACTCCAGGTCCGTTCGGCTTCCGAGCCATTTATGCTGCTGTACTGAGCGGAGTGATGAGTCTGAAGCGAATCCAAGATTTGTTGTTTCACCCTCTGAGCATTGGGGAAGAACAGGCTCTCGTTTATTTTGTAGATTCGAGTGTCCGACGGGATGGAGTTTGGCACGCCTCGCGAGTCGTCGATGGACCTTGCCAGTTCCGAAGGAGTATCCGCACCGATCTGGGTGACACGGCTGAAAGCTTGTCTCAGCAACGTCTGGACCAGCATCCAACCCACCGCAGCACCGATACCAATCTCAGTGCTGACGAACAGGGAGACCCAAAAGGCCACCATGGCGGCGATGAAGTCGGTGAGTGAGGTACGCCAGTAGTTGTAGTACGTCCTCCATGTCCCAATTAGAGGCCAAATGGCTGTGATGACGATCGCCGACAGTGTGGCCTTGGGAATCCAGTACAATGCACCGGTGAGCTCGTAGATCGATATGAGGACGACTGCCGTGGTGACGAATCCTGAAAGTGGCGACCGAACCTTGCAAGAGGAGTTGACGGCAGTCCTGGACATGGCACCACCGACGCCCATCGAGTGGAAGAAGCTGTTGATGAGGTTGACCAAGCCGAGGTAGCAGAGTTCCTGACTGGTGTCTGTCACGTAGTTATTCCGGTTGCCGAACGCTCGAGCGATGGCGACGTGCTCCAACGCGGCCGCAATGAAAGGAGCAATGGCGCGAGGGAACGCTTTGGCGAAGAGCTTCGCATCCGTGACTTCGGCTGTGATCACTGTCTTCTCGACTTCGGCGACCGAGAAGAGAAAGTTGTCGGTATCAGGACCGCGAGGCTTGTTGACGGCGTAGCTGATGCCGGTGAAGACGAGCAAAGCGATAAACGCTCTGAGGATTGACAGGTAGAATAAGATCTTGCTCTTGTTTCCCCATCGCTTGCCGATCTGCTCCAATGCAACGAGGAGGATGATGCTACCGAAGCCGATGCCGCAGGTGTAACCGTTTGCCTCGGGAAGCATCGAGAAGACGTCGTGTATAATGTGGGCGGTACCGTCACGAACATCCTCCTCCCCTATCAAGGAGTCGACTTGACCAAGTCCGATAACGATGGCCACTGCGGAGATGAAGCCGTTCAGGATGGGCGTCGAGACGAAGTCCAGCAGGAAGCCAAGCTTGAGGAAGCCAAGTATCATGCTGTAGATGCCCATGCCCATGGCAACTGCACTTCCGACCTGCTGTGCGGTGTAGCCTTCTTTAGTCAGGTCTGCAACGACCTCGGCGGTCAGAAGGCCGATAAGAGACGTTGGACCCGTCGATAAGTCTATAAGCTGTTAGGTCCCGCAGCGCAAATGGAACAGATGCTGAACTTGCCTTTGCTCGTTCCCATGAAGGCGTACAGCGTCGCCGGGAGCCACGACGACATGAGACCATACTGCACCGGCATAGTTGCAATTTTGGCATAGGCAAGCGACTGGGGTATCAGCATAATGCCGAGTGTGAGGCCCGCGATAACGTCGTTCAGGATCCTGCAGCCAGGACGAAGCAGTTAGCGAACGCCTAAGACATGATGTGGGTTTCCAGAATTCGCTTACCAACGATAGTCGTATCTGGGGAGCCATCCGATGATAGGAAACTTGTCTTCGAGATACTCTGCTGTCGCTCGTGGCAGCGCTCGAGCACCCCTCTTGGTCAAAGAGAAGGTTCGATGCCATGTCACATCTGTCTCTAGCGAGTGCTTGACTCCGTCGACGTACTTCATGATGGCGGTCAGAGTACAACAGATGATCAAGGTAGGAATCGAGCTTCCAGGTTACAAGTAGCTCTGGCAGATCGCTGAGGCGGACATGTCAGATATAAGCAGGTTGCATGACCATATATTCGGTGGCCAAGGTTCTGCCTGCCTTCCGGGATCAAAGCCCATTTCGACCGGGAGATGGGCCACAAGCAACCTCTGCTGCAGCTTGCACATCGCTAAGCGGTCGAGGGTGCATTCTGCTCCGCCGTTCTATCCAATTGACTTTCTTCGCGATCACTCTCTTCTCCTCCTAGCTGAAACTCGCTGGTCTTCGCCACGGCCATCTTCCTCGTGGTCCTGCGTGTCGTGCACACGCAACCGACGTGGCTTGACGGCCATTGCGGAGTACATTGAGTCTGCAGTAGCCATCGCTGCTAGTCGTGAGACAGGACGGGATGTCATCGCCGGCCAAGGAAAGAGGCGTGCGGGGGAGCTTCAGTCGATCGACCTCCATTGGAAATCCCCGGTACCTTATTGAGGTACTTGGGCGAGCTTGACTGCTGTCGACAGGTCTCTGCGGCAACCTTATTGCTCTCACTGCAGCCAGACACCGCCGTCGCACCCGCAATTGCCGTGCGGTCTTTTCATGGAGGATTGTGACTTTCTGCCCCCAATGTGAACAGCTGATGATGGAAGACCTCGGACGACCCCTCCAACCTGAGCAGACCTTGCGAGAACATTACCTTACCTCGAACCCTGACATCTTGGCGAGTTTGACCATGCTGGCGCTAAATCGACTCTATGGGTCGCCGAGTCCACATTGAGCAGTATACCGACAGTTCATGACAAAACCGTGACAGCAAGAGGTGACGGGTTGGGGGGCGAGTTGCACTGCCTCTTCGGTGGGTATGCTTTCGATGCTAAAGCAACCTATGATATGATCTTCTTCAGACTTTTCACTGCTTGCTTATGGCCGTCGTAATCGAAATGCGTCGACGAGCGATGGTGAAACGCCGCGGCTGTGCATCATGCTCGACATCGAGCGCAACAAAGCAGCAGAGCCTCATTGGCAGACGTGGAGATCTCGCCCGGCAAATGTTTCGAGACAACAAGGTGAACAAGATGCTGTGAGCGTGAGACATAAGTGGATGCTCGGGATAGAGTCCATATCGATGCTTTCAATGATCTCAAGACGAGACGCGACGACAAGATTGGCCTTGGCAACGGTGAGCTTGACGGATTGGTTCAGCCTAATCTCGACTTCACCACATCTTGTCACGAGAACGGCGTGAACATACATTCACTTTGACGTCTCTGTCCACTCTATCACGTGAGTTCCGCACAACATGACTTCATCTCTAATTCGGCTACCTCTCTGTTGGAACACGGTCGCAATACGTTGCTACCCTCAGGGGAGGCCACCTCCAAGGTGCCCACATGTGTCCTTGACATGCTCGCTCATAACTGTTACCTAGGCTTCACATCCTTTGGCGGCCCAACAGTATACTTCCAGATCTTCCTGGGAATATTTATCAAGAAGTATCAATGGCTTGGCGAGACAGGTTTGTCTTCACAGCGGTCCATCGTTTGTTCGAGGTTGGATTTCTCGATAGCAATTACAGAGCGGAGGCAGCTTGAGCATAGATCCACGGTGGTTCGTTATTGTCGCTGTGAGCTTCGTGAGTGGACTCCACTTCAAGCTGACGCTTCATTGGCTGTCCTGGTGGGTGCTGCGATGGGTTTGATTAAGTACGGCGTAGGTGCATGATGGTACGAGAGAACGAGAAATAGAATTGCTAAGGCATACATAAGCGTAAGATCCAGCGCAGCCTCCGCCTCAAAACTGATCCTTCCACCTCTTCTTCCTCGTACTTCTGCTCCGGGAACATTTCGACTCTCACAGCCTGCAGCGTTGGATTGCCGCCATCCTCCAGCAGCTTCACGTCCTCATTCGACCAGCCCCTCTCTTTTGCGATGACTTTCACAAGGTCCGAGATGACGCCGCTCCAGTGAAAGCACTCTTCTGTGGCGTCTTCATCGTCCATCTCCAGCACATCTACCCCTGTGTCCTCTAGCTCACTCAGTGGATACGAGCCAGCAAACTCCCAGTCAATCACGGCGGCAATGGACGTACCGTCCATGAGGATGTTGCGGCCTTGTAGATCGTTGTGGCATAACACGAAGGGTTCTTCCGCAGGGTTCGCATTCAGCTCGGCTTCAAGCGATGCTTGTTTCTGTGTGAGGGCTTCGACGTATTCTGCAGGTGACACCTCCTCAAACAGATCTTCGTCAAGGTCCGGGGCAGATGCATGGGAGTAGTAATAGATCTCTTTGTCGTAGTACGCCAGGATGTACTCTTTAATGGTCGCATATGGGCCGATGTCGTAACACGTCGGAGAGTGGAAAGCGTCGCGACCTTTGTACAGCTTGCATCCTTCAACTGTCGGGCCAAGCGTCCCATCGGGCAGCATACCAGCTATTTTCTCGAAGCGCTGCTCTCCTAATCGTATGATCAGCTCGGCAATCTTCTTGGCGACCACATGCTTCTCTGGCTCGGTGTAAGTCAACCAGGCTTGACTGAGTGCGGGCGCATCGACGTATTTTTGCGCGATGAATGGCCGTTCGCCGCTTTTGGATCCATCGCAGTAGTCATAGACTGTCGGTACTGGTATGTCGGCGCAGTGCTTCTTCACATGGAGTAGCCAACCGACCTCGTTCTGCACTTGATGAGGTTTCAGTGAGTCCTCGTTTGGAACGCGGAGTACGAATGAGCATCGGTCATCGGTCGTGCTGGTAGCGCGCCAGACGTCGTTGTAACCACCTTTGGCAAGTAAAGTCACACGTAGCGTATCATCATCGGCTTCTCCATGCTCTGAAAGCCTGCCGGAGGCGGTTTCGGTCGACTTTGTCTTGGTCTCGTGAGCTTCTTTGACCTTGCCCCAGACCTGGTCAGCAAGATCGAGAATATATCGCGGTGGTTCTTTCGCATCTCCCGTAGAAGATCGAACTGCACTCATCGTGTTCTTCATTGGTCTTCGCCCTTGTCAGCCGACTTCACGTTTCTGAGCTTCGAGATGGGACGGTATCCCTTGCCAGAGTTGCCGAGCTCGCTTGCGGCCCCTGTCTCTCACGGGTTTGAGTCACGTTATCACTTGTATCGTCTGAACCCCCCAGCGCCTGCTCGATCGCATTCCTTGCAGCGCCTGGGCTCTGCGCGGCAGTCTTTTCGGTAATAATAGACCTTAGTGTGAACCGGGCAATTTACTTGGTGCTTCCTACAAAACCCAACGTGCCTACAAACCATACAGTGATGAGTGGTCGGCATGCTGAAATGAAGCTAGAGGGTACTCACATTTTGTTTGCTTGCCCATGGCCCTTTAAGTGCGCATTTTACCACGTTCGCCGGGTGGGGAGAATGAAAGAGCTGGGCAGGCTACTGAAGATGGCTTTGTTGTTGTACCGGGAGGTCCTGCCAGACTGCGCCGAATCCAGAAGTAGAAAACTTCAGATCAAAGAGGTGGTGGTCAAAGGCCCGCGTAGTGATTCCGAGCTTCGAGGCCACAATGATCACGATCGAAGGTGATCGGGAAGGAATGGTATGGTGTGCTCGGTCTTCGAGATACAATGGAAGACTTCTCTTACCTCTGTCAAGAGTTTCAAGTAGCAACAGTGCAATGTCACCCTCAGAAGGTTGTAGGAAGGGTAACGCTCCGTACCTACCTGCCAAACAGATGGCGCCGGCCATCCCAGTGGAAATGATTCCATGCCAGATCCGTGGGCGCCGACTCATTACCCTGCGCACAACGTGGCCGACCGACTTATCCACTCGTCACAATCTCGGCGTACATTACAAGGCTCCCTTCATGTTGACTTAGGGAGAAGAAGATTACCTCAAGGAGTAGAGCAGGGGAAACGTCGGACGTCTGTCAGCGGCTTGGCAGTGGAAGCTGCATCGCCGCGTCCTCGGTCTTCGACTCCCTCTTGACAACAATCAACATTACCATGCCCGAAGACGGACAAAACCCTCGTGATCATACTTGATGCACACTGCGCCACTCTGCCAGTCGAGCACCAGGAACGCCGGACGAGCTCAGGATCATGGGACAATGATCCAAAGAATTGGGAAACAACAACATGATCAATTGTGTGCCTCTATCTGAACACCTAGGCCCGAGCTCGAATCGCCAGCCATTCATACGCCATGAAAGACAGCAACAGCGTGACGAGTACGGGCTGCGATACGTGTCAGAGCCGCAGATGAGCGAGACAGAAGCCGTCAGGTAAAGGCGTCCTTCCAGGCGAACAACGAGCCCATTCTCGCCAAAGAACGAGCGATATTACGGCAGCGACGCAGCGGATCAACTGCCCAATTCTTGGAAGCAGCTTGAGAGACCGCAACGTCCGAGGATTGCGGAGAGAAGAAGCAATGCACACTGTTTGCTGAAATGCTCACTTCGAAGCGCCTTCGGAGTTCAGAAGAGCAGCACCGAAGAGCGTTGAAGTAAGTGTTTCCACCCGCATGTTCGCCATCATACAGCCCCAGACTTGACCGACGAGCCTTGCGAGCGCGACAGATCTACATCGGCCCTCTCCTCCTTGGGTGTGGGGTTGGCAAGAGAACTCGAATCGATGCGCTGCCCGCGTCCTTGGCCAACCGGGTGAGCTGGGCGTGGGACTTCTGCCTGCATCTGTTGCGGATGTGGAGCAGTATCGAGCGCGTCAGACGTCTGCACGTGAGGCGGGGCGCGCAAGAAGTTCGTGCCAGGGGCCCCGTGCGCGGTTGCATGAGGTGGCATCGGCAAACCTCCGGCATGTGCGTGCTCTGGAATTCCTTGTACGGTATGCTGGTGGCCTTGTCCGGCACACGGCTGAGCCTGGTGCTGTGCGAACTGCTGTTGACCATGGTTGTAAGGTACTGCCTGGTTGTCGAACGGTGCTCCTGCCATACCGTCCATGTTTGGCATGGCCGCGAATGTTGGCTGGTATGGCGCCTGATGGTCTTGCTGGCCGTAGCTGTTTGGGTAGTGTAGTCCATGCGGCAGCGGGTTTGGGGGTGGGAAGAACGGTAGGTGGTACGCTGACTGCTGCGGAGGCGGATCGGAGGGCCACGGATGCGCGCCGGCCGCCTGTTCTTGAGCTCCTGGGAAATGAGCATACGGACTCTGGCCGAATTGAGCAGGTTGCGTCTGGGCTGGGTAGGCAGGGAAGCCATATCCCCCCATATCTCTTTCCCGTCCTGCAGCTTCAGCAGCGGCCGTGTCTCGCGTTGCTGCGCGTCCAGCCGCCATCTGCTTCTGCAGCTCATCAATCTTTCTGCTTAGTTCTTCGATCTTCAAGTCCTTCGCGTCTGCTGGCTGACGCACGGAGTTCTGCTTTGACTTCTGCTTCGGCTTCTTCTGCATCGCCTGGTCTTTGGTCACAGGCTTCTTGACACTTGGTCCTGGGGCTGCCTTTGGTGCTGCTAGGCCGTTGGGCCCAGCGTTGAACTGGTACTGGACCTGACCGGAAAGAGGGGCGCCGAACAGGCCTTTGCGTGATCCTGTGGACGATTGTGTCGTCTGCTGAGCGAATGGACCGCTCTTCAAGGAGTCATGCCTCGGTGGCTGCGCTGGAGCAGGCAATGCGTTGGCCTTTGGTGCAGCTCCAGCAACACCCGCCGCCTCTTCAGCTCTCTTTGCAGTTTTCTTCCCCTGCGCTTCAGCCATGGTCATTGTCGTGGTATCACAGCTAAACTTTCTGCCTGTATGTCTGAGCCTGAGAGTCTTCTTCTGGCATTGAGTACATGGTCTTTTCGTCCCCATATCGCACTGGAAGGCAAGTCAGCTCTCGTTTTCTTTGTTGACAGACTCATAAGCCAAACATACCTCATGGTTTCCGTTCTTAGTGCAACCTTTTGCAGATCGCGGACCTGGGCTTCGTGGATGCCATCATAGATGCGGCGCGCTCACTGCCCTGGTGATGGAACAGGTCAGGGTTCTCACGACGCGAAGCGTGGCCACAACAAAACGATCGTTGCGCAGTGAGGTCACGGCCACTAGCGCGCTTTTCAACCTTCCTCTTTCGCTTGCCTCAAGCAGCTTTCTCCGAACCACTCAACATTTCATACACGGACTTCACCCTGGTGGTGGCAATTACGCGAGATCGAGACATCCGCAAACGGCACACCGTTGAATTGTCTTCACGGATGAGACAGAGTTCCCGGTTTCACCAGCAAGACTACTTAACAGCAGCTTCAACGGTACCACAACCACAACGGCTACCAGCCAGCCCGTCCGACAGATCAAGCCCAAGGCAAAGTTCCCTTAACTCAGAGCGAGCTGAGATGGAGCCGAACGTTCACGTTAACAGGCCTGACAATAGTAAGTCTGGATCGTTCACCTCAGTCGATGCTACGCTGACACGCTTCGGCAGACTTTGTAGACAAGGCGGACGATCGTCTTCACATGAGCGATAAGCTTGATAGCCCTTGGAAGGGCTGTTTCGACATCCTGGAACAGCACCTGAACACTGTCGTGGCCGGAGAGGTTGCCAAACAGCTCAAAGAGTTCCAAGAGGCTCGAAAGCGCACGCTCGAAGTTGCTGAGCGAACTGATGATGCGCAACAAACTTCAGTACCTGGCAACGTGGAAGAGGGCTCCAAACTGCACCATACTACCGAACAATACCGCGAAATCAAGGCGGACCTCCGCGCTGAGAACTCCGCAGAGACCCAACAGTTCCTTTTCCACCTCCGGGAAGATCTTCAGAGCCAACAGGGTCGGCAGATAAATGCTAGCCAAGAGAACATTACGAAGAAGGTCAACAAGCTTTGGGCGGAGGCTGCGAGTACATTGCAGAAGCAGCCAATTGATGACCCAAAGATTCGGGAAATCGCGACTGGTCTCATGAACGAAAAGAAGCCTAACAAAGTCTCTACTGCTATCAACAGTTTGAGACGCGCGGTGGACCAGCTCCATGATCTTGCAGAATCGCTCACCGCAAACAACGACTCTGTTAATGCCTCCATCAACAGCCTGGACACATTGGTGCAAGATCTCGGCGAGCGGTTGGGCACGCTGGAGACATTCGATAGCTCGGCCGCCGGAGACAGCCGTGAGCAGCATAAAAAGCTTCGAGGGAGGCTGGACAAGGCCATCACACGGCTCAACAACATTTCTGGTGATGTTGGTGCTCTGACCGAAACCGTGTCTACGAACAATGAGGGGGCGTGCAGCAACCATGAGCAAATACAAGAGAGGGTGACAGATCTTGCGACGACCACAGCGCGCCTATTCTGTCAACGCGAACAGCATGTCGCGTTGAGACAGGACCACGACCAACTCGCAAGAGATTACGCATTGCTAAAGATTCGATGCGATAAGCTAGAGCAACTCGCATTGCAGAACAACAGGGATCAGCTGGCAATCATGGCAGCCATGGCGGCGAACACAAAGGCTTTGTGGGATCGAGTAGTTCCTTGCTACTGATTCAGTCAGACAGTCATGTTGCTAGAGAAATGCGACATAGGTCGATATAGAAAACAAACGATTATTGCACAGGCCGTGTCAAGCAGAAGCCCACAAGGCCGCCTTAGAATGTACATGTAGTCGCTCTTTTGAGAACGCGTGCGCGCTAAGTCTGCCTAGAAAAGTTCTGACACGTGCCTTACGCGAAACCTGCAACCTCACTCTACCGCGCCGTCAGCAACGATACACTTCGGATGGCGCTTAACGGTCGGGCAGTGTATGCTTGCAGTATACTGCTCACTAAGGCCAGCTCCTTGTCTCAGCCGGCCCGCTCAAGAAGGCTATTGAAGGAAGCAGTTCGGCCACGCTATTGGCAGAAGGCACATGCCCGGCCTCTATCTACACTGTATGACCAAACAACGGCCGGTGGTCTTCATCACAAACCATCAAGATATCAGCCAACTTTCTGGAAGCGCGCTCGATCCCAAGATGGTAATCACTTCAGCTGCGGCCGCCGATACTTCTCTGGCATCGGCTCGGAGCCTGGAATCGACACAAAGACGGACGCCAGCTCCTCTCACGAGGAACCTGAGAGCCAGGTCAAAATCATCGACTTCTCCAAGGAACGTTTGGCAGAGCAGGATGTCGCAACAAGCTCGCTGCAAACAGTGCTCTCCGAACAGCCAAAGCCTGACTGGGCTGCATGTCGCTGGATTTACGTCAATGGACTGAACCGGAATGTGGTCAGGCTAATAGGTGATCACAAGAAGCTCCATCGTCTTTCACTGGAAGATGTTATGGACACAAACACGCCTACGAAGGTAGACTGGTACGACAACCACTGCTTTCTAGAGCTCACGCTACAGAAGCTTGTCCGCTTAGAGAACTATGGAGAGGGTACATCGCTACTATCGACGGATGCGACTGCTCTTCTTGATGAGAGCCTGAAAACTCGCAGGGCTAAATGGCGGACTCTGGCCCACCGCAAGTCGGCCATTTCAGTCGAGCAAGTGTCCATGTTCCTCACCTCCGACAACATCGTCATCACCCTCTTTGAGCATTCGGGCCCGGATGTCCTCAAGCCAATAATGACCCGCCTGAACTCGCCGCAGACAATCGTCCGGTCAAGCAATGACCCCTCCATGCTTGTCCAGGCTGTCATTGATGTTGTTGTGGACATGTCAGTGCCCATCAACAAAGCAGTCGGTGACATGTTCGGCGAGCTGGAGAGTGCCGTGCTGTCCAACCCGACAATCACACAATCGAAGCAGCTCTATGTCCTCCGCTCAGGCTTGACCCTTCTCATGGACAACATCAGAGCCACCGGTGGCCTTGTCCGCACGCTCATCGACCATCGGGCTGTTCTGAACACGACAATGTCCGGTGCCGACTCCACAACTGGCAATGCTTCACCACAAGCTGCAAATACCAGTGTCCATATCTCCGCCACCACTCAGGTCTATCTTCAAGACGTCCAAGACCACATCACCGCGCTCTCAAACTCCACGCACAACTCGATTCGCTCAGCGGAGAACTTGACCTCTCTCATCTTCAACACCATTGCGGCATCTCAGAACGAGAGCGTTCGCCAGCTGACGCTTGTGTCGAGTTTCTTTTTACCGCTGACTTTCCTAACTGGGTATTTTGGAATGAACTTCGACCCAATGCCTATAGTGAACGAACACAGCGACAAGGTCTTCTGGCTGATAGCTATTCCAGTCATGCTGGTTACTGGTACCTTGCTGGTTGGAGCCAGGATTGTTCGGCTGCGACCACGAAGCTTCAGCTGGAGGCGGCGAGCGCGGCAATCTGACCGCGTGAAGCAGGAATGAGCTGAACCCTGGACTGGCCATGCCTGATCATAGCTGCATCTGAAGCTTGGGATGCGTTCGGATTTTCTCGCCGTAAAAGTACAGTACGAAAGCCGTCGGATACAAGGCAAGGGCCACGAAGCCTAGTAAGGTGTTTCCCCAGCCATAGCCAAGCCTGTCGTACATTGGCAAGCCGACCAGTGGCAGTACTGCGCCGAGGATTGCTCGGAGTACTGTCGAAGCTGCTACGGCTGATGCTGCATATCTGGTGAAGGTGTCTACCAGATAAGTGTTGATGACCATAAAGTTTAGCACCTGGCCAGCACCGAAGAAGGCTGTACCTACGAGTGGCACCGCCCATTGGATCTGGCATCTGTCAGCATCTCCTATTGCCGGCAGCGGGCAAGACATACTTTGTACTGTACAGTCCACCCATATATGAACAATCCAACTGGGAGAACCCACCCCGAGTACAGCAGTGGCGGTAACCGATACTCAGGTTTGTACTGGCCATTGTTCTTCGCAGCGAGCTTCTTCAGGATGCGGTCGGAAGTCGCGATCAAGAAGCCTAAACCGAACATCATGCCAACGCCTATGCCAAGGTACACCAAGCCGACGGTGGACTGGGAGAAGCCGTAGTTTTCCTCGAAGACATAGGTGAACGTGGTAAAGAGTACGTAAAGCGTTCCGTACACGATGGCGATGTACAGCGACATTATGCCACAGATTGGCGAGAGCAGCAGCAACTTTGACGGCCGGACTATGGCGCGGAGGAACAGCTGCTTCGGATTGAGGCCCATGTCGAGCTTCGAACGGAGGTCTGTGTTGCCCGTTTCTTTGCGCAGACGCTGTGCTTTTCGCTCGAGAAGGACTGTTGCGTAGCTCTCGCGCATGAATATGAGAGCCGTCAATGAGGTGACTCCTGTTGCTATGGCCAGCAGCCAGAAGATCCACCTCCAACCGGCGGCAGCTGACAAGAAACCACCCGCGATGGGTCCCTGCATCAGAAGTTAGCACGCCCAAAATCGTCGACACTCGAACGGTCTACTCACCACCGTCGGACCAAGAAGCGGGCCTAATGACCACAACGACATCGCCGTCCCTCTTCGCTCGGTCGTCACCAGGTCGGCGATCGTGCCAGGTCCGATGGTGAGAGGTGCTATGCTCCAGCAGCCTTGAAGGAAGCGCAGGCCGATCAGCATGGGCAGATTGGTGGCGAGAGCGCAGCCGATGGTGAAGCAGATGTAGCCGGCGTTGCAGAGGTGGTACACTGGGATGCGGCCGTATAGCTCGGATAGAGGGGCGATTATCTTGGGAGATGTCAGCAGTGTAAACCAGCTACTATAGGCACGAGAAGGCAGTTACCAATGGCCCGAGAGCCCATCCAAGGATGTACACTGCAACAACGAATGTCGCTAGCAGTGAGCTGGCCTTTCATCAGCTCATGTCTTGGAATACTTACCCCTAGTGGACACACCTCTCGGATCCAAACTCCCTCATTACCTCAGGCACACCCGGAGCGAACATCGACGAAGCGAGCGGAGTCAAAAATGTCATCGCCGAGAGTATGGCGATGTTGACGGACTTCTTCGCCAAGGACCAATTGAGAGGGTTGGCGGCATCGTCTGGTCCGTCCCAGGAGATCACGTTGGCGTCTTCGTCGACCGTCTGTTCCAATTGAGTTCTTGCAGGATCAGCAGTGGCTTTCTCAGGATCTTCAGAAGCAGGCATATCGATGCTGGAGCATTTCTCGCTGGTGGATGCGGGTTTGGAAGACATCAGCGTGTCTGACGGCGATAAAGCCTCTGGTTGACGATTCAGGAGACACAGCCTTATGACTGAGGTCTCTTCTGTATCTTTTGTGATTTATACCCTAGTAGCGGCGCTCTATCGTCGCTTAACGTTCGCCAATGCTCCAATGCCTCCAAGATCACAAAAGGAATAGTAAAGATACGTTAGACGCCACGAATGCTCAACGAATGGTCCATTGGAGGATCGAGAACGAACAGAGAGGAAGTTGACTAGACCTACAAGACAATTTGCTTAGAAACACTGCTGTTTTGCCGAAGTAGAGCGCATTCGCTGCCGCCATTCGGGTAGCTGCCCGGCTATTCGGCATCGTGGCCAAGTGGGCGAGCTACTACTGTGGGCTGAGAAGGTCTGTTTGCCAACGTGTGTTGCTGTCGTAGAATCTCAAAAGACCTTCGTGGTCCTAGGGTATTGAATCTTGGTGGTTGTACGAATTGATGTGTCCAATGCGATCCGATGAAGTGACGATCGGCAATACATTCCGCCGCTCCGATCACACGCCAAGATTCCGCGATATTCAAACACAGATCTTTTGGAACCTCTGTCAACCAACCCACTCCAACAACACCCCTTCTACCAGCGCAGGATATCCACTTCTTTGCGCTCAATACATTCAAAATGGTGCAAGGACCAGTACGTATCTCGCTTTGCTGCCCACCGACGCCTTGACTGGCTGTCACGAGCAGTAGGCTTGAGAGAATGAAGTACTAAGAAGTATGCGCTTGTAGAAGAGAGCAACCGGCGGCGGCGGTGGCCTGAAGGGCGCCGGTCAGAAGAAGAGCAACAAGACGACCAAGAAGGTATGATCAGGGAAGACCTGCTGCGCGCACTGCATCATCTACTGCAATTCCATGCTAACACATGATCTTCACCAGTTCGTCATCAATGCCACCCAGCCCACCAGCGACCGTATCTTCGACCCATCCGCCTTCACCACCTTCCTCCAGCAGCGCATCAAGGTCGACGGCCGCACCGGCAACCTCGGCGACAACATCACGGTCAGCAACCTTGGCGACGGCCGCATCGAGGTCGTTGCGCACCAGGAGTTCAGCGGACGGTATCTGAAGTACTTGACGAAGAAGTTCTTGAAGAAGCAGCAGCTTCGCGACTGGCTGCGGGTGGTGAGCACCTCGAAGGGCGAGTACAGCTTGAAATTCTTCAACGTGGTTGGTGAGGGTGAGGAGGAGGATGACGAGTAGACGGTGTCTCAACTGCGGAAGCGTGGATGTTCGAGGCTAGTCATGCTTGGGAAGCGTGCCGGCTGGCCGTTCGTAGCAGAGCAATTATAATATTGTGATGCTGCGCTTGCAAGTCTGCCAAACCCGCTCTTACATGTTCAATGCTGTACATGTGATCATTCAATCGGACTCCCTTCATCCAGTGTTGCAAGCACAGTATCCACCAACGCCTCGCTAATCATCAAGACACCACATCAGATCCACCCACCTTCACTTTTCTCATCCGGAGGCGGGCGAGCTCCCCTCTTCAAATCCCTCTCAAACACCCTCCCCTCGCTCCCCGGCATTTCCAGCACCGCCGCACTTCCCGGCATCTCTGCCGTGTATCCCTTCCCGTCCATCTCAATCACATGTCCGCGCCCGTCCATCTCGGAGTACCCGTACTTCTCAACTCCATCCCGCCCACTCTCCATCTCCGGCCGCATTTGCGTGAGCGGTGCTTCATGTATCTCCCCACCTCCCAGCTCGCCACCAATCGGCTCAGAGATGGGTCCGACTTTGGGCTCAGCGGAGTCTTCGTCGGCGAAGTTCTCCTTTGCTTCCAGTTCCGCTGCCCGCTTCTTGTCCGCTTTCTTGCGTCTGCGGATGAAGACAAGGGCAGCGCCGAGGACGGCGATGAGGGCTACGACGCCGATTGCTACGCCTGCGATGGCGCCGGCGGAGAGGGAAGAGTCGGAGTCCGGATTGGAGGAGGATTGGCTTGCTTTGAGCTGCGGCGATATGATTGAGACCACGTCCTGATCGTTGCCGGCAGCCTTCTGACTCCAGTCGCACTGGCTGATGCTGAAGTTTTGGTGCTCATAGTCGGCGATGAGGTATGCTTCTTGTAAGAAGGTTCGGCCGAGTGTGTACTGCGTGTCGTTCGCAGCTCGTTGCAGAGGGAAGTAGTGGGTTGTGCCGTTATAGTCGTTTGGTATGATTGGGAAGCTGAGGTGGAGGTCGAAGGCGCGGTAGGGGAGGGTGATGTCTACTGTCTTCCCTTTGCTGCCGCCGTTGATCGGGCCGATGGTAAATGTGACATCGGGGTTCTCGGACAGCAAGCGCTGGCGCGTGGAGGATGAGACGAGGTAACGGCCTATGCTCGTATTGTAGGTAAGGCCGAACGCAGATTCGAAGGCATTGCAGGCGGACTCTGGAAGCCAAATTTCGGGAACGGTCGAGTCGATGAAGATACTGATGCTGCCGTCCGGTAGAAGGTCCGATGGCAAACCCGTGCTCGTTGTGATAGAGTGCAGATTGACGCTCAGATCCCGGGAGATGTCTTCATCAAACGGGAAGCTGACATCATTCTCCACGAACCGATTCGGGTCATAGCCTCCCAGCGTGAGACTTCCGTAGTACCCATCCGCCCGGTACTGATTCCCTGCAGTGTACCCATATGATACCGACGGGATCTTTTTGCTCTCAAACAGCTTCTGCATGAACGAAGTTTGCGGGTCGTTGAAGTCCGACAGATTGGTCGGCCGTGGGTTCATCCCAAACACACCAATCCAATATCTTGGGTCCGCCATATTCCAGACTGTAGCATGTTGATCCGTAACCTCTGCACCACTTCCCTGCCATCCCAACGTCGCGACATCAAAGCCCACGTATCCGCTCGAGTCCAGCCCCAAGTTCATCTCCAAGCCAGTCTGGAATATGCTGTCCGGCGCCCATGTCAAGCTCTGGTTCCGCAAGAACAGGCCTCCTCGGCTATCTGGACAACTGTTGACATAGCCATTCGGGCAGCCCTCTGCACCTATCGTCCATATTGCCGTGGCTGCCGTGCTCACCAGCACCCGTACGTTCTGTAATCCACCAACGCTACCGCTGCCGATCTGGAGAGGGAAGGTAGACCATGGTCCGTCGTTGCCTTCCCAGTATTGACTGGGAGCTATGCTGATTGCTGAAGGTGTGGAGCTGTTGCTCCTTTGTCTGCGCTGTAGATCACTGCCTCTTAAGCTCGTTGGTCGGGGCCAGGAAGGAAGGGAAAGGGCGGTGCTGAGAGATGCGAAAGTAAGCATCAAGAGGCCAAGTGGCTGCACTGCGCACGCTCGTAGTTTCAGGCCTTTCATCCTAGCTCTTGTCGTTCGCAGTGGCCAGCATTTCTTGGAAGTGAATGTGGATAGAGAACACAGGACAAACGTGAACGAAATCAATGAAAGTCAACACAATAGAAGAGAAGCTCTGCAGCAATGCGACAGACTATACCTCCGTACGGCACAGCGGACGACCATGATGTCGCCGGTCTGTGTCTCAACAGGCGCCGTGGAGCCGTGGGCACCATCGTGTAGAAACTTCGGCGCGAACAGGAGTCGCCGTGCGCGATTCGCTGGCGGTTCTCCTACCTTTCGATCGACCTCGTATTGCACCGGCAGACGGTCGACGGCTGTGGCGATATGGCTTTCGACGGCTATTGATGTGTTCACGAGATGGCGAAATGACAGCAAAAGCTTGGTATGCCTTTGTGCGATGTTTTGTGCTGGTGATGTGCGGTCACGCCAGGTTGGATCAACAGCGGCATCTTGCAGGAACAGCCGCCGGGTTGTTGCTATTCTTGGTCGGTCTTGCAAAGACCTTTCACAACCTCCTCATCATGACCAGACGAGAACGCGACCAGAAAGGCTGTCAACGCAGCGACACCTCGAAACAGGACGGCGGAGTTACGTGTCTCTTGTACGTCCGTTGACCCATGTGCACCACCTCGGACAATGGAGGTCAGCCTCGCGTTCGCTGCTCAGCTCCATAAGCCGTACACGACTCCATTCTCAAGGTAGGGTTTGATGAGGAGTACAAGTGATGATGCTCTCCCTGCTCTGCTCCTATACAGTAAGTTGAGCGTCTCAACAATCTTTAGAACATGTCCGACATCCTCGCAATCACCTGCTCTAGCGGCAGACAGTGCTCCCATCTCATACCACTTCTCTACAACAAAGGACAATACAAGCTTCGCCTTGCGGCCCACTCCCAGGACTCCGCCAAAGCACTCGAGTCCAGGTTCCCAGATGCTGAAGTCGCCATCACCGACCTGACCAGCCTCGCCTCCTGCCAGAAACTCCTCCATGGAGCGACTTCTGTCTACCATGTCGGCCCTTCTTTCCACTCTCGAGAGAAGGAGATGGGCTTCAACATGATCGATGCGGCCGTCGCGGAGCGCCAGCGCTCGGGCAATGTCTTCGAGCACTTTGTCTTCGCCAGCGTGCTTTCGACCCAACACCGAAACCTGATGCAGCACGACCTTAAATCCTACGTCGAAGAACGGCTCTTCCTCAGCCCACTCAACTGGACCATCCTCAAGCCGACGAACTTCATGGACGCTTATCCGGTGGCTATGCTCGCTCAGCAGGAAAAGCCAGTCTTGGAACGGCTCTGGAACGTCGAGGTTCCTAATTCCATGATCGCTCTCCGAGATCTCGCAGAAGCTGCTGCCAAAGTCCTGACCGAGCGTGAGAAGCATTATCTCGCGGAATACCCGCTTTGCTCCACCATGCCTCTGAGCGACCGCCAAGTGGCAGAGGCCATCAGCAAACGGACTGGAAAGGAAATCACCTGCGTATCGCCACCACACGAGACGGGAGTGCGGAAAGTTCTGACCTGGCTGTTCGGAATGAAGGAGACCTCTAGTGCGGATCTGGTCTACGCTGATACGAGTGATGATGCGTATGCAGGTCGTGCGCTTGCTAACACGGGAGACCTGAGGGCTGATCTGGCGAAAGATGAGGCTGAGCGGTTGATTTTGTTTTATAATAGGCGTGGTTTGTTGGGAAGCCCGAATGTGCTGAGGTGGGTGTTGGGGAGGGAGCCAACGACGCTGGAGGAGTGGATTGAGAGTCAGATGAAAGAAGCTGGACTTGCCTAGTGTATGCTCTCGTACATCAAGCCATTCTGTACGGTCCGCAATTTATGCAATTTGTATGCCTTTTACGTCACATCATCAAGCTTTTTTCCCTCACACGTATGTTACACCACTTCAGGGATCCTGACGATTCGCGTAGATCTGGAATCATTCGTCGCCAGCCGCAGTTCTCATATCCCAAGATCCAGAAGTTGGCCACGTTCAAGCTCGTTCGATGCGCCTCCCTGTACGATGACCCTGTTTGTACCGTTAGTATTAATTCACTTGTTCCACCAAAGATCCGTGGTAGACTCACGACCTGGCAGTATCGTAAGATATGCTGTCCTCGCCCCGCAGCCATCTACTCCATGCAGCTGCCCACTTGATACCAATCTTGCCAGAAATGAAGTCCAGCCGGTCAATCACCCAAGCAAGCTGAGTCGATCTTTGGTCGAACAGATTCAGATGGAGCGGCCGGTCCAGCAGGATAACACGGCTCCCCTCAGGAGTGAGCACCGGTTGCACGAGTTCCTGCAGCAAGCATGTACCGGCAACACTCAGCGGTAGGACGAGCGGGTAGGCGTTAGCTAACATTCCTCTGGCGGGCTCGGAAGCCACGTCGTTGCCCAGCAGGCTGGCGGCTGCTGTGCAGATGTCGGCCATCATTTCACCTCGTATTCTTCTGTAGTGCTCCGAGTCTGGCACACGGCGTGATGTTTGTGCCAAAGCAGGCCATGAGCGTCTCCAAAGCTCCTCCTGGAGCCGACTGAGGGGGATACGATAGCAGCGCCATTTGTTCCAGTATCGAAGCGCCTGCGGCGAACTGTAGTCGTGGTGGATCCCGTTCCATGCATTTGGGGATCCTTGGTCGTGGCGGCTTTGGAACGCACAGGGTGACCCAGGTGCTTGTGCCCTCTCAGCCCAGCTGATGAGATCGTTCTCGAGGGCCTGCGATAGCTCCTCCAGCTCAACGTCCGGCTTGGTTCGATTGCAGAAGGCGGACCGGATGCTAGCCAGTCTGGCACCCAGTAGATCGAGCTCATCACCAGGGCTTAGTATTGGATCAAACTCGAGTTCGCGGGTCCATTCGATGATGTGTTCTGGCACTTCGGTTTCCGAGCTGACGGCGCTTGTGATGTGTCATGTATCGATCAGCTAGCTTCACGCATCCATTCATACCACTTACAATATGCTGTCGTAGCTCACGAAAAACCCCTGGGGATGTCCTCACCCGCTGCTGGCCACGCAGACGAATCACTTGCGCAGAGCCCTCAACATGGAGCCCCCACGAGGTCATTGAGGTGTGGTGATCCCAGGAGATGCGCTAGAAAGCCATCAGCATCAGCGAGAACCTCTTTTCGAAGGAGCAAATTTCGACATACCTCAAAGATTGACAGCAAGCAGACAGCAATCAATGTACTGTCCTCTGTAGCCTTGCTTGTGTCCCGTAGAGCTACTTGAGTAGCGTTGATAGCCTACGGAAGCCGTAAGCTTCGATAGCCTTCGAAGATTACAGGAGAACAAACTCCACTTACTTCGATATAACAGCGTCTCGACGCCTCCCTGGCCTGCACGTCGTTGTCACGATTTGACATCGCCGCCAGAGCGCACGCAACAATCGGCTGCTCGAGAAATCCATCCACAGCCGCCGGATCCAGAAACGATAACTGTACCGGTGAGACGAACTCGCGGAAGAAGAAGGCTTTCGCTGCAGTGTCTCTATCTTCTGAACTCGAAAGGCGCGTTGGTGTAGACACAGAGCTCAGTCCACTCTCGCTTTGCGAACTCGCTCTCCTAATGATATCGGGCGTTTCGTCCTTGAAGAGGAGGCTCGTGAGATCGCGATACCCACCGCATGCCTTCCCAAGACGAACACACCTGCCACAGGCTGGAAGTTCTTGATCACAGGCTTTCTTCGCTTTGCTGTGGATGGTCAGGAGGTCTACTGCATGGTTCTTTGGTAGCGCAGACTAACCGGCAGTTCTCGCAACCCGCGGATGGCTTCCCACTGCTGCAAAGATTTTCAACAGTCGGAGCTTGATACTCATGGCAGGGAGCGTACTTACTATACCATCGAAGGAAGGCGTTGGAGCTTCGCTCTGCTTTTTTGATTGTCTGTTTCGAGGGGAGAGTGAAGATGACTGTAGGAGCGACTCCTTCAATGAGATATAGATATTTACTTACCAAGAAACGCATCCGTGATGTAGATATAGACTCGACATCATGAACAGGTCACTCCGCCCCAACCAGCGTCGTGTGGTCAAAAGCTGAGATCGTGGCAATGAGGACAGCACCTACCTGAGCATGTCGGCCGATAAATTGTTCCATTGCTTCATGGCGGAGGGCTGTCGGTGTACTCAGTCGTCGGTTCTTCCGAGCAACTGCTGCCAGGCAACTGTTATGTTCATCGTGACGAATCCAAGGCTCAGCATCCAAGAAGGTGCAACGATGCTCCGCCATTATTCGCGGACTTCGGGGTTCCTGCCCAATGCAGCCTTCTCGATGCTCGGCCAGGAGTCGTTTGGGTCAGTGATGGAGTCCGGCACGAAGATGTGATGTGGATGTCGAGAAGTCGAGAAGATGATGTTGGCCACGGCGGCCGGGCTGATGAGGTTCACAGCCAGCCTGACGTGGTGACATACTCCCTCCTAACCGTAAAAGGCGAGTATTGCGCGAGGGCTGTGGTGTTGGCAAATACAGACCTACTAGGCATCATCTCTTCCTCGTTCTGCCTCCAGAAAAGTGAGATGAATATCGCATCTGCTAGGACTACCATCCATATACTCCAAGTTGCGAGAAGGGACGCCTCCCATGAGGGTGCAGGGGGAACACATGTCGTAAGATGGCGCTAACCGGCCGGATGCATTGCGGAGGAAGCCACTTCTACCATTCCCTTGCATTCCTCATCCGCCCATCTTTCTTCCGCTCTATCTCGTATCACTCCCCTCTAACTGCAAAGATTGGTCATTGTCCGTCTCGTGTGAGAGCGGAACTGGCACGCAATGGGGCCTTAGAAGGCTCACGGTCAAGGTTTCGGCCGATGCCCTTATGTCAATGCCAAATTGACCCACTCTTTGAGTAGAGGGTGTCTTCAGACTGGTTCCGTTGAGAGTGCCAGATCTTGGTACATATGCCTGCACAGCTGCTGTTGACCGTATGAACCGAAGGAGAGTTCAAGTCTTTTTTGCAAAGGCTGGCTTTATTGTTGCCGAATCCACATTACCACCGTCATGAACAGCAGTGCAGAGAAACAGGCAGCTGGCAATGCAGACATTGATAACAGCCAGTCCACGAACCACCAGAGCGGCAGTAATGGCACGAACCCTCCACCTCAACCACACCCGGTCGAGTCTCCAAAAGAACAGACAGAGGAAGAACCCTTCCGGTTGAACGCATGGCCATACGAGTCCCTCTCCCATATTCACGAACTATGCTTCATCATCCTAATATGCTGCTCGCAACTCCTGACCCAAGCAGCCTTCGGCCAGACTCTCATTCCCTACCAACCGCTCGCCAAAGGCCTCGGAGTCTCCAGCCCCGGCCAGCTTGCATGGACGGTCGCCTCCTACAGCCTGACTGTCGGGACCTTTGTCCTTCCCGCGGGTCGTCTGGGAGACATGTACGGCAGCAAACGCATGCTGATCATCGGCTGGGTTTGGTTTGGGATATGGAGCATCGTGGCTGGGCTGAGCGTGCTTGTTCCGCTCTCGAGGTCAGGTGGGAGTAGTGGGAGGGTTATCATGTTCTGTGTCAGTCAGGCGCTACGAGGCATTGGCCCTGCGATTCTACTTCCAAACGCCGTTGCGATCATCGGGAGGAGCTATCCTAACGGTCAAAGGAAGAATCTGGTATTTGCGGGCTTTGCAATGTGTGCACCCCTCGGAGCTTTCGTCGGCGCAGTGTTCGGAGGCATCTTCGGACAGCTGGCGTGGTGGCCATGGACAATGTGGTCACTGGGTATAGCAGCACTGGGTCTGGGTCTTGCTGCTACCTTCATCATACCGGCGGATAAAGCAGAACAGATCCAGCAAGATCAGCACTTCGATTTCGTAGGCGCATTACTTGGGGTGGCTGGATTGATCCTTTTCAACGTCGCCTGGAACCAAGCAACGGTGGTGGGATGGCCGGAAGCATACGTGCCCGTCCTCCTCACACTCGGGATCCTCATCTTGGCCGCTTTCTTCCTCTGGGAAAGCCGTATCGAACAGCCGCTCCTCCCGTCGTCCATATTTAAGCCCGGGACCGTGGTCATCCTGCTCGTCACCTCCCTCGGCTGGCAGTCCTTTGGCGTCTTTACCTTTTACCTCGTGCAATTCCTGACCAACATACGTGGCACTACTCCATTAGGGACCGTTGCGCAGCTGGCCACTATTGCAATTTCTGGAGGGGCGGCTGCGATTGTCACCGGCCTCTCGATCCGATTCATTCCTTCACACTGGCTCATCACCATCAGCGCTTCGGCGTTTACGGTTGGCAACATCCTCCTGGCTACCATGCCGGCACATCAAACGTACTGGGCTCAAGCGTTCGTAGGCTTGCTAATTATCCCGTTTGGGTAAGTACTCCTTCCTACCCGTGCTGCCCTTCCCTGAAGGTTAGCTAATATATCGAACAGAATGGACATATCCTTTCCAGCCGCCTCGCTCGTGCTCTCGGACATGGTACCACCACATCTCCAGGGCGTGGCAGCGAGCTTGGTCAACACCGTCATCAACTACTCCATCTCGATCGGACTGGGCGTGGCTGGTACGGCTGAGCGAGAAGTCAGTCTGGGCGGGGCAACCTTGCTAGAGGGATACCATGTGGCCTTGTATGTCGGTGTTGGGATGGCTGGGGGAAGCTTGGTGATTGCCGTGGGGTTCGCTTTGTACATGCAGTTCGTTGGCAACAGGCGAGCTGCTGGAAAGCAAGAGTCGGAGTTAGAATAGGGTAAGCTTATGGAGATACCTGTGGACGATACCCAATGAGTCCCACGCATCCAAAGCATTCCAACACCTGTAGTTCACTCTACGTAGCAGTAATCTGCGAAAGCTGAGACAGTGGTTTCCTGAGTCCACATGCACACGTGACAACGGTGTGAGGTCAATACGTGAGAAGGTATGACACGTTGTCTCAACTTCTGATATTCACATCATATACATAGCGATCTTCGGCAGAACGTCGTCAAGGATGGCTTCGACATAACATGCTTAGTCGTCGTCTTTGCCGCCTCTGTGCCCACCTCTGTGCCCTCCACGACCTTCGCCGTCTGTTGGATTGTTGTTAGTTGATGACTCTCGTGGACAACTGGTTGACATAGACTTACGACCTCCCCGACCGCCAGGCCCATCATTATCACCACCACCGCCAGCACCCCTCATCTCTTTGCTGTGCTTCGGCATACCTGCACCCCAATCCTGCTTCAGCTCCTTCTGGTCCTCACGGAGCTCCTTTTGAGCCTCCCTGCGCTCCTCTGGGTTGTCGGCGTTTTTGATTGCGGCACGATCGTGGTGGATATCGGTCATGTCGTCCCTCAACTCCTCACGCTTGCTGCCGTCGCCGCCTCCTTGGTGACCTCCGCCACGTCCGCCCTCATGGTCTCCTCGACCACCCCCTCCATGGCCGCCGCGTCCGTGATGGCCTCCACGCTTGGAAGTGTTAGTGTGTAGTCAGCCGAAGGGATTGGAGGGAAACATACCTCGTGATCACCCATATTGAAGCTTGGTGGATTGAGGAAGTAGGTTGGTGTTTATTTGCTGTTGGGTAGAGTATCAAGTGATTGATGAGAGGGAAGACGAAACGAGAACAGACAGCGACAAGCACTATATACCCACCACAATCGAATGAGATCACTCACTTACCCCTCAGTTGCAGGCCTGAAACCTGCTACGGCGGGGCACGTGGTAGGCGAGTAGTGTCCAGCAATCTAATCGTTCAGCTCGACCATCGCTGCAAGCCATCTGGCACGAGCATTGGATGGAGCTCGTCCTAGACACAGCCTGAGCCTGATCGATCGTAGCTCATGACGCACGGCACCACAGTAGTCAGAGCCATCGAGAGCTAGGATCAGGCAAAAGGCGTTCGTTGCCAGCGAACGATGAGAGCGAACAGAGCTCTGGAGTCTAGATCCATGCGGCGTCCAGGTACCAGGGACGATGACAACAAGGTTGAGCGAGGATCGTGGCGAAGCCAGCTGCAAATGAGCTTGGCTTGGAGCAGAATTGCTTGCTTCGATCCCTGAAGGCACAGCTTGGTTGCGTAGCTTTCGGCGCGTCCATCGTCCCGCGTGGCTGTTGTTGAAGTCTGCCCCTCGCGGGGTCACTTTTGCGGACCGGCCGACGACACTCTCCCAGTCCGCTGGCATCCGATCCCACGACGTCCTGCGTCTTCGACGGTTGTCGAGGGCTGTTACTTTCGTTAATGAGCAACTGATTCAGTCCGCGCGGGCGTTCGTTCAAGACCTGGCGATTGAACGAAAGCTGGCCCACTTACCAACCTGCGTCATCACTGGTGGGTCGATCAGACGGACGCGTTGCAAGCTGTGCAAGCACGACAAGTGCTGATCAAACAAGATCATCAAGCACCAGTTGTCGAAATCAAACCAGGTAAAGGAATGGCAGGTGGAACGGAGTAAAGAGAGCCGACGAAATTGTTCGACGTCGGATCTTGGGAGTCTATGTGCTTTTATTCTCGCACGTTCTGTATGAATGTCTACCCTCGAAAGCCCGTCAGCGACGGGATGAGGTACTCACTGAGCTTCTCTCCATCTAGCACATCAACTTCAACTTGCACCGCTCTTCTCTCCAGTACCTTCCTCTTCGTCTGGCTTCTTCGTCGTCGGTCCCTGCTTTCCCTTCACGCTCCGCCACTCCAACGTAGCAGCTCCCACGAAAGAGAGACATGTCAGGCAAATGCAGACAACGAAGACGTTTCGTATGGCGTGGTTGTAAGCAACAAGCACCGAAGGCAGGTCTGTCTTGGGCACGATGTTCCGCAGTTCGGTCGCACCAGTCCCCACAACCATGGCCGGCGTAATGCCTCCTTTGACGGCCTTCTGCAGTCCGTGGATGAGGCTCGAATCGAGAACCGCCTGTGCTACGCTCACGAAGACCGCCCCGCCGAGAAGTTGATGGAGCATCACCAGGGAAACTCCAATCTGAACGTCTTTGCCTTCCAAGACCGTCTGTGCCGTCAGATTGGGCTGCTGCAGAACCATACCCACACCGAGGCCGAACACGACTTGGTAGCCGATCCAGCGTGGCATACCGGTATCGACGGTCCAGGTGCTGATCAGCCCGGTACCGATGGAGCTCAATAATGCGCCTGCTATGGCGAATGGCGTGTAGTAGCCAATTTTTTTGGTCATGATGCCGGCGAAGATGCTTGCCAGAGTGACGGACAGCACCATGGGGATCAGGTGCACGCCGGAAGTTTTGGCTGAGTTGTTCTGTGCAAGTGTTAGCCATCTCTGCCAATCGTAAGGCCATCGCCGAGGCCACTGACCTTGATAGCCTGGAACCAGACAGGCACATAGTATAGGACCGTGGTGAAGGACGCTCCGTTGCCAAAAGCCATAAACATCGCCGCGACGATGCTGCGGTTCTTGACAACCCGCTTCGGGATGGTCGCAGTCTTTTGCATGCAGATTTGGACCAGAACAAAACCGATGAGGCAGACGGCGAAGACGAATAGAAGTGCGATGACTCTACCGTTGCTCCAGCTGTAGGTGCTGCCGCCCCACTGTAGGGCTAAGAGGAGGCAGACAATGCTAGGGAAGAGGAACAATTCTCCAAGTAAATCGAGTTGCTTGAGTTGCTCTTTCACCGCCAAGCCCGGTCGTGGTGCTGGCGCGGGTCGAAGAACGAAGAGCAGCACAACAATTGCAAGCCCGCCAACAGGGAGATTGACTGTAGCCGGATTAGCAGTTGCCATCATTATCCTAAGTGTCATTTGCAATACTGACTGTAAAAACACCATCGCCAGCTAACGTCTGAAGTTAACGCTCCCCCGATCAACGGCCCAACAACCTGCCCAAGGCCTAGCACGGCGCCGAAGAAACCCTGAAAGACAGGCCGCTTTGGCAACGGAACGAGTGGTATAACAATCGCGATCCCGCCGTTCTGAATTCCAGCCAACCCGAGACCAGCAACTGCTCGTCCGAGAATGAAGGCTTTCGAGTTGGGTGCAGCACCACATATAGCAGAGCCGACCTCGAAAAGCGTGATACAGACCATGAAGACATACTTGGCCGGGTAGAACGTGTAGATGCGGCCGATAAGCAGCTGGAAACAGCTTGCTGTGAGCAGGAAGGCGCTACCGTACCTGTGTTGTGTTAGGAGGTTCTCTGAGACAATATTATGGTTGAGGCTCACCAGCCGATGTCGTTGAGGCTGTCGAACTCGTCCGTAATTCGGGGAATGGCTGTGGCTATGATTGAGCGGTCCTGATAGCTGGTTAGCTCCTGTCGTAGGCGAGGATACGCTGTAAGGGCCTTACGAGAGACACAAGGAATACGACAAGTAGAGAAGCCACTATTACGACGGCTGCATATTTCGAATCGGTTTCTGCTGTTGCTGTCTTGGTCTGCTTGTTCGCTAGCTTTTCAGATGCATTCTGCTGCTGGGTGGGTTGCTCCGACGTGCTAGTCGTGCTCGTATCAGAGACTTCGGATTGAGTGCGTTGGTCGTCCTTGAGTCCCGTTGACGAGGTCATTGTGATCACCAGTCGTTTTCTTTGAGTTTATGATTTGAGAAGTTCTTGAGTGGAATGTCACTTGCCTTGATGCGATGGGTGACCGATGAGGACGTGAAGAAGACATCTGGTTCTTTATATCGTGCTTGGAATCCATCTTCGTTTGACTATTGACCGTCATTGACGGTCGTTAGGCCTATCGCATGACTGTCTGCGGTGACTGAGGAAGAAAGAGAAGGAGAGGAGAGAAGAGAAGAGAAACAATTGCCCGCAACGACCATTCACGTCAAATTCGTCGGAAGTAAGAACGACCCGCCCGACGTGTCGACCAATGATCGCGTCGATTGGACTATGGCATGGCAGGTTTGGGGGCCGTTCCACTCTCTCAGAGTCCCTCTTGTCCCGTGTCAACCGATCGCCGCCTGCTTTACGATTACCTACTTGCCCTCCGACAGTAATACATTGACCGTGCGCACACTTCGACACAGTTGAGACCACGGAATGATCAGCATGGCGTATGAACAACAACCAATGTTGGCTGGCCGGCACTTGCGCCGGTGAAAAGGGCATGCCGTCTGATCAAAGGCACAATATTCTACCTGGAATTGCCACTTCAATAGCAGCTAATACCTTTCTCTATCTTCCAATGCCTGCACAGACACACAAGACAACCACTGCACTTCTTGAGAGGCATCATCTGAGGCGGAGATGAAAGCACAGAACAGGCCGATCGCAATACGTCCAACTACAGACGAACCTGCTAGTCCTAAGAAACCACCTGAGTCTCGACAAGTCAAGTCCACGGCTTGTGCCACCTGTGTTCGAAGAAAGGTCAAATGCGATCGGACGCAGCCTTGCTCAACATGTCGTCATGGTCGCTTTGTAAGTCAACCGGGTTCTTTGAGATGCAAACAAGCACTTAGAACCGCTCTGAGACCATCACAGTAAATCATTATACTCGAGACGATCGCTGACGTCCCTACGACAGGTATGTGAGTATGTCGAACCAACCTCTCGGAAGAGGAAACGAAAGGATGTCGAGGAGCTACAAAGCCGTCTGGATCGCTACGAACATCTATTGAAGCAGAATGGTCTTCTATCTAAGCACGATGCGAAGCAAGAGTCGCCCTCAACCAACAATCTCGAACCTCGAGACAGCTCTGGCCCTAGTACAGCGACTGCTGACACTACGAGACCTACTTCCCGGTCGGGAGTGCTGGTAGCAGGCTCCGAGCCAGGTCAGACTCGCTATGTTGAGAGTGCTCTATGGGAAGACCTCGGCGAAGACCTCCATCCCTCCTCCGACGACGAGGCAGAGCCGGCGCAGGCTTCGACACCGGCTCGCGAGCTTCCGTCTTATGTCTCCCCTGGAGATCTGGTATCGGCTGCGTTTTCTGGGCCCTCTCCGCAGACATACAATCTAGCTGATCTGCATCCGCCGCCTGAGATGGCCAGGAAGCTCTGGCAAGTGTATCTAAGAAATGCCGACCCGATCTTGAAGTTTGTACACGGCCCTAGCACTACGGCCATAGTCGAGAAGTACTGTTCCAACGTTTACGCACTTCCCAAAGAGACAGAGTGCTTGCTATTCGCCATTTACCACTTCGCCGTTACCTCCATGGTAGACGGCGACCGGCAGGAGCTTCTTGGCCACTCATGGCCGGAGATACGTGCACAATACCACGATGCAACACGGCAGTGCTTGATTGCCTGTTCTTTCTACCAAACCACAAGCTTTCCCGTACTGCAGGCTTACGCTTTGCTCCTGGCGTCGATGCGGTTCCGATACAATCCTCACACGTTCTGGATCTTGAGCGGTATCCAGGTCCGACTGGCACAGAGGATGGGTCTGCACAGCGAAGACGAGCGACAGCTGAGTCCATTTGATGTTCAGATGCGCAGACGGGTGTGGTGGTATGTCCTCATTACAGATCACTTTGCGGCACAGGTGAGATGGCATTGCAGACCTTTCAGCTCTGCTCAGCGTAGACTGACAGGTTCCAGCAAGCTGGCACCACTTCAGCAACGATGCCGATCGAGTTCTGGGACTCACCAAAGCCACTTAACGTCGATGACAAAGACATATGGCCAGGCATGACGCAACGTCCACAGGAGAAGGAAGCCGCCACAGACATGCTCGTTTTCCTTGTGCGAGTGGAGATCACGAGTTTCAGAGCCAAGATGAGCCGTGGTACGTCAAACTGATGAGTGGAAGGTTTCTCCGAGACACGTTCGAGGCGCAGGACTGCCTGCCGCTCTGAGGCACTTCCAATCTTAGTTCCAACCGTCGAGACACTCTGCTGACCTTTCTACTCATCAGCTCCAGGCAAGTCTACAGACATGGAAGCATCTCTCAAGGAGCTCGAGAACCGGATCCAGAGCAAGTTTACGAGGCATTGCGACGTAACGAATCCGGTGCATTACATGATCATGGTGGGCAACCAAGCGGCGATGCTCAACGCACGCCTACGGACACGCTTAACTCGCGTGAAGAAAGGCGAGGCATCCGACGCCGAGAGAAAGGAGGTCTTCGCTGTGGCTTTGAAGATCTTAGATCACGATGTTGCGCTGCAAACGAATGAGCTGGCGACGAGGTTCTCCTGGCAGTGGTGGGTCGATCCATTATTGATCGATAGGGGGCTTCTCCGAGACGTGATGACGCTTCAAGCGGCGCTCTGAGACGTTTTCACCCTGTCGCGATGTTCGAGAAGCTTGCTGATCCTTGACTCCAGGCAAGCGTTCTTCTCATGGGAACCTCTCATCTGCGCCCTTAAAGAGCTCTGCGAGGAGCAAGACCCGGGTCAGGTTGACTCTGCGTGGGAGAAGGTCGAGCGTGTCTTCAAAGGACATCCTAATATAGTCACGCCATCGCGCGCAATTGAGGTGGCAATTGGTAGACTGGCTTTGAGGGCCTGGGACTTGACGCAGCGGAGGTCCTCCGCCCCTCCTCGAGAGCCCGCTTTTCTCGGATCCCTACGTCAATTCTTCCGAGTGCGCGAGGAGGCGCGGAAGACGTCTCCGGCAGCCAAACACACGCCAACAGAACAGTCGGCGGAAACGCAGCACGACACCTACCCGCCGCTCGGAGAACTCGAAACGTTGGATGATTTTGGAGCCGACATCGACTGGAACTTTTGGGATGATCTGATCCGCGATTCGGAGCTTGATTCTTCGAGGGTACAGGGATGAAAACCACCTTATTTCTGATACCTTGTCTCACCCAGCCCATCATTCTTCAACATATACTTCTCCATAACCCCCAACACCTCCTGCGCGGCATCTCCCTTCTTCAGCGCCCACTGCTTCCAATTGTCAGCCTCTCGCCACCACCACGAGTGCGTAACCCCATCTCGACCAAGATAGCCGGCGCTCCCATCATCCTTCACCTTAGATTCCCAGGGCTTATCGACGATGTAGTGCAGCGCCCTCACTTCCTCGTCCCGCCAAGACTTCGTATGCCAGTACCGAGACGTCTTGAAGGCGTTGTACTGCCAGCCGATCGGCACCCACCGGTCTTTGAAGAACTCGTCTAGGAAGTTCTGGTCTGGGAAAGCGAAGTCTTTGACTCGTGGATCGGTGACGCGGAAGTGGTCGATGCGGTCCCAGAGTTCTTTGGAAGGAGTGCAGACGAATACGCCGGAGTTTAATAACTGATCTGTTGGTTTGGCTCCTTTCGAAGACTCTGACGGTACCGGCGAGCTCAACGCCGATGGGTGTTCTAGGGGCGTATTTGGACAAGTGTCTGGGTTCCATTCCGGAGGCGCCCATGGGTCGTTGTCGATGTTGCATATACATGCGTGATGAGCTGCAATCCAGTCCTTGCTTGGCCGTGGTATTCTAAAGATATCGTCCATGTTCCTGAAGATCATGATGTCGCTGTCGAGGAAGCAGATCTGATCTGGTTGTCGTTCCAGCGGCGGTTCCGGCTGGCCTTGGGCGGGACTGTCCAATGGTTCGAATGCTCGCAGCTTCGTGAGAGTGTCATCGAAACGGGCGGCAATGGGGTTGTGGCCTTCTGCTAATGGGACCGGTTCGACGAGCTGGACGTGCATGAGAGGATACAGCGTGTTCAGATTCTTCAGACAAGTGACGCAGTCGGCCTCCAGTTTGGAAGTGTACTGGACGATGATGGGATGCCTTGAGCTGTGCTTGTCCAGTGTATGCACCAGCATTACTACGCCTGGAAGGTAAGATGCCCGAGTGATCAGAGTAATCCAGGCGCATGATGCTGGGCATGGCGCGGCGACTTCCAGGTCTGGTCCAGGCATACTGGTCGCCTTGCTCTTCAGGAACGACTCGAGTGCTTGAACGCCCTTCATATTGTTAGTAAATTCAAAGTGAGTTAGGAAAAGGCGGCAGAATAAACTCACAAGAGCACTTTGGAGGACCTGTGGCCCTATAGGCAACCATGCGTCCCTTGCTTGGCCGGTCTCAGCATCGCGTTGGCATCGAGGAGGAACGCACGGCGGAAGGTGGCTTAGCCAAAGTTCAAAAGATGATGATGCTATCAACTCTGGAAAGCAACGGATCATCCCCCCACCCATGTCGAGGGTGCTACCGCCGAGCAAAAAGACCATGGGAGGAACAGTGCCTGTATTTTACGGAGAATTAAAACTACATGTAAGATAATGAAATAGTCGTTGCATTTCGTAATGAAATGCTGTATGTACTTTGGCAATCAACGCATACATCAAGGCATGCAATACAACATCAGGAAGCACAACAACCGTTGAACATCACCTATTTTACTGAACCGAACAAGTCCCCCATACTCAAGATGCATCGCTCGAATGCTCCGAACCCGCAGCAGCCATCTCGTAAGAAAGCAATTGCTCAAAATCCGAACGATCTGACTTCCGTTTCTTTTCCGCTCTTTTCATGGTGTGCCTCGCACAACCCCACTGTGACAACAAACGAGACGTTAGCAGAATGTCTTGCAAGCAGATACCGCTTGCTATCGGTAGGTCAGAAGCACCGGGGCCGGTTGACTTACAGCAACAATCAGAACAGCCACCGTGAATGGCACCGCAAGGGCCAGGAACCACCACCAACTATCTGCAACAGAGAAGATGGATCGGCTGGGCTCGTCTGAGGATGAGTCGGTTGAGAAGAACCCCATGCCGAAGATGCTCTTGTTATCTATCAGCGATGAACCCTCATAGTGTGATAGCGAACAAATTACCGTGCAGAGCGAGAGAGGCAGAAAGATCAAGCCCAGATACTGAATGATGCGCAACGACTGGCTGTCTAGATGTGACCTCCGCGCGAGCACTGTGCTCTCTGCCGACATGTGCTTTGAGATCTCGATCTCCCGCTGATTGACGAGTGCTGTACACTGTCACGATACTCAGTTGGTAGCTAAACCATCAATCCGGGGCACAAACCTCGTTGTTGCCAATAGTAGCTCTCCGCTCATACAGTTGGCCGCAAAGCTTCAGGTATTCGAAGACGGTAGACACCTGTTGAAAGGTCTCTCCATCGAATTCGCGATGTAATTGTTGCCACTCATCCTCGGTGAAGAAATCCGGCGGTCCACAGTCCCTGATAATCTGATAGACCTCTTGCAACATACGCAGGCTCCACAGGTCGAGATCATGGTCAATCTGAACATTGCCCATCTGCCGTGCCATGAGCATGAACCGTCTCGCGCGTCGTGTGTACTCTGTCGCCGACCGACCAAGGTTTTGCTCCTATTGGGCAGCGAACGTGAGCAATCTTCATGGAACACGGCGTAGAGCACGGCTTACCAGCTCGTACATTGGCTCTGCAAAGTACTTCGAAAACGTCGAGCTGCGTATCGCGAAATCTTCGGCGAAGAAGGCTTGGATGAGCGTGGGATGACTGATGAATAGTCTTTGGTGCTCGCCGCCGTCTCCGAGCACACCGAGTAGACGCTCTTGGGCATCTGCTGGACAACGGAGCACAACCATCGTGGTGTGCCCAGTGGCGAGGTCGCGACTCGTCCCTGCAGACTTTCAGTATTTGGTATATGTAGATGGCCCCACTGCGCTAAAGGTCGTGAGAATGGCCCGCAGCTCCTTTCGGTGACATACAAGTGATCATTCGTTGCCAACTAAGCAGTCTTTTTGTTGGGTCTTTCTCACTTCCAATTGACAACAGATTGCGCAGAATATGAGGGTATATGTACTGGATGCGTCTGGGCTTCTTTGTCTTGCTATCGTAGTCGAGGTGTTTACTTGGCCTGTATCCCATGTGGATGAGGCCAGCAAGCTGTGATCCAATGTCGAATCTGGCGAGCAGAAGCTGGAAGGCTGAGCCTGAGAGCTGCAGTCTGTCGGTGTCGTCTGGTTGGGCGGGCACGAAGCTGCGTTGATGGGCCGGTCAGTCTCATGGGCATGGTTGGGAGTGGCGTGATGTACATGATGCGCAGTCTGGTGTCTTTAGTTAGCAGTGTTTTTTACTTCACATTAAGGCAGTCGCACATACAAGGGCTCACATCCGAGCAGATTCTGCTGGCTCTATCATTTGTCGGGGTCAGCTATTTACTTGAGGGAAAGAGGTAAAGCATGTCTTGAGCAGCTACAGTAGCAGTCCATCGTGTGATGGACTGTCATCGTGCGAGCGTTTGTCGTTCTAGAAATGGTCGAAGGCGTCCTTCAAGTGCCTGCAAGACAAGCCACGCTGGGACTCAAGTACCTTGAGATATGTGACACATTGTCCTTCATTCATCTGCTGCCGCTTCGACGACTTCCATCCTGCTTCGAACACATCGACAGCGCTCTCGGGAGAAAGATAGCCATATCCCTGCTGTAGAACAGCCTCGTGGTGCTGTTTGAGGAGCACGTCGGTAATACGGTTCGCCATAGCTAGTAGATCCGTCCTTCATCAACAGACCGGTTTACAATGTTCAAGATGAGACCACTTCAAATATTTCGAGTCCATCCCAGCCATCAAATGCTCTGCCTTGCGCGGCCAGCGCACCGCAGGCGGTGCAGGCTACCAGGCCAACAGATCGCGACCCGATCCCTCTAATGCATGCAAGGCTGGAGAGCTCCGCGTGGGGTGACGCTATTCTGGGGAGCTTTCTTTGGGGGCCGAACAAATGGAACCTGGAGCTCCCCTACATTGTGTGATCCATTCGAGCGATCTTGCCTTGTATCCTGAAAGCCAGAGTCAATGGCCGTGCCCGGTCGCAAATATCCAGTCCTCAAGAGCAATATGCTCAGCACTCAAACATCTTAGTCGTACTGACATTAATCCGACTCCAGCCCTTCCCAGAGTTGAAAGACTGCAGGAACCTCATCGGCCAGTAGATATGGTACAGACACCACCACGGAAGAGGGTCCCATCGCTCGAACGTGCCGTCGCGCCAGTAGAGGACGTGGTTGACGAAGGTAGAGAAACCGCTCGCCAAGTCAGAAAGAGATGCTGCGGGCTGCATGAGCAAGAGCGATACAAGCGGGAGCAGCAAGAGTTCGACGAGATCGTGGCCGATCCAGAAGTACTTGTCGCTGGAGTGCGGTGTGACGATGTCAATTCCAGTCCAGTCAGCAGGAGGAGCATCGAGAACCGATAAGTAAGCGCTCGGCATGCCCTGAGTTTCGTTGAAGAGGACGACAGCGGTATGTGCCCGTGGATTACACTCGATCGGATACAGTGTCGGAGTCATTCCCTCCCGGACACTGTGAGGGCCATCCATCTGATTCTGGTCGATCATGAAGTCGAAGCTGAGGTGACCAGTGAAGCTCTCGCCGCCATTTCTCGCGTACTGCAGCGTGAAGTCTAGCATAGCTCGGTGGAGTTTCGAGTCAGACGGCAGAGCTTCGTAGTGCATGAGCAGTTCAGCGCTCGGACAAGCTACAAAAGCCTTCACCTGCCCCTTCACCACAAGCGAGTGAGTGCAGTATTCCGGGCCACTGATGTACTGCTGCAGAATCCAAGACGACTTCTCCGAAATCCTCAGCTTAGACAAGTGTGCAGCTGTCTCCACGGTAGACGGTCGAGGCAGGAGCGTCATGTCGCCTCTGTTAGCGTCGTCCATACCGACCGGTTTCATGATGTATTTGCGTCCCTCTGGAGCCTTCTTCAGAGCATCATCAACCGCTTCTCGGCTGGCGATGTAATGGGTATCTGGGACTGTGAGGCCAATGTCCTTGGTATGCTGCATGAACGAGTGCTTTTCATGCAGCGTCTGCGTCGTGCGCATGTCGAATTGGATAGCTTTGCAGGAAGTTCGTGCTTCGATGATCTCTTTGGCCTCGCCATCTTCTAATGCGGACGCAACACCTGAACAGCTGACCCAGAGATCCACACCTTCGCTCTTGATAATGCTCAGGAGACTTTCGATGTACGGCCCAGCGCCGGAGCCAGCCTTTGGTGGACGGAGTGGTAAAAATTCGGAGATCGACCTCGAGAATCGCCCACAAGCCAGAGCTCCGCTGGGCTCAAAATCTGCACCGACGACATTGTGGCCGGCTTCGTAGAACGATCGAGCAATGACCAGACCTTTGGTCATCCCGACTCCTGTCACGAGGATGGTCTTGGGACTGAAGTCGAACTTTTGCCTCGCTTGATTCCTACGGCGGGTGGCCAGAGGTTGCGAGATATAGCAGGATACCAACGCACATATTGTAAAGAATGTGTCGACTGGAAGGAAGGCCAGACTGAGCAGGATGAGACCAATGTTTTTCTGTCTTACTCCTGGTCCTTGGTAAGTCGACATGTTGATTGTCTTACGCAGTAATTCGGCCAAGAAGTCTTCGATTGTTGCTACACATGATCTGACTTCCGTTACTCGAAGATCGAGAAGTCCAAATGCTGTGGTCGAGTCGGTCACGTGCCAGGTGCACCTTATGGTCGATCAACCTTAAGCGAGATCTGAAAACTCTAAATATGAGCCAATCGGCCAGATTGTAAACGTCACCTCCTCCTCTTCCAACTTTCTACTCTGTCAAGCATCACCACCGCATCATGGACACCTTTGAAGAGGACGACGTTGTACGGAATATACCGGCTGCGTTTATGGACTTGATGGGTACGCAACGTATAGCCTACTTACTACTACTCTTCCGCTGTGCACCGAGTAACCTCCACGCCGTCCGGGATACCGTTCGGCTCAAAGCTGTCAACCAGCTGACTCTCGTATACCAGATTGGGGTTGCCGACTCTGCTCTCGTCCAGCTTCTCGTGGCTCACGCGGTTCTTGTACTGGTTGGCAGTGCGATCCGCGAAGCGAGTATCCACCCCATTTACTGCATTCCCCTTCATGTTCTGCTTCTTTTGCTCGCACGAACTTCTCACGTACTCCAGGTAAGGCGGGTTACCTGGGTGAACGACGTTGTCCGCCGCCAGAACAGATCCAGGTGTCACCAGCCGCAACTCCTCGCATAGCTTCAAATCTGTGGTGTACGCCGGCTTGTAGTGGTCGAGGAACATCATGTCGACGTGCTGGAGCTGCCCGGTCGAATGCAGCCGCTTGATTGACGCGTCGCTGGCTCCGACCTCTACCTTCACGACATCGCCTAGGCCTGCCAGGTCCACCAGCGAAGAAATGACCGCCGCAAACTCTGGGTTTCGCTCAAGACTCCAGTATCTCTTGCCCCCGGCGTCTCGCACAGCTGCGCCGAACAGGATGCACGAGTATCCAATGTAACCGCCCAGCTCCACCATGGTCTCAGGTTTTCGCTCTCGGATCAGATCTGTCACGATCCTGCCCTTATCCTCCCCAACATTCATCAAGTACTTCTTGCCTCTCGCATATTCGTCTATGGCCTCGAGCACCTTCTTTGGATTTCCTCTGATCTCCTCAATGTTTGACTTGCCGTGCACGAAATGCAGCAGCTCAATTTCTCGTCCATCGTCAAACTATGGCATGTCAGGCGAGTTGCAGACTTTGGAGACTACGACTTACGAATACTTCCTCTTGCTGCTGGTACGATTTCGAGGGATCAAATTCTTTTGCGGCGCCCATGTTTGCGAACTGTTGTATGAAAGCTTACAGAGTCAATGCTGAGACTTCTTCCATCTTCGCAAGGCCAAAATCGTGCTCCTCGCGCTAAGACAGCTGTCCCTGCAGTCATCGTTCTCTTGGTCAGTCGATGATGATCATTTCCTGGCTCGATGTGGGGCGTACCACCACAGATCCAGGCGCTCCCAAGAGGTCGATGGCGTCTTCGTGATGCACATTTTTGCAGCCACAAGAAACTGTGTTGACTGCAGACCAGGTTCGATAACCTTCTCAAAGTCAGATTGACCCACGGCGTTGAGACTCAAGTGCAATGGCTCTCGTTCACTCGGAATATTTTCGTCTTCAAATCCAGGAACAGCGCAGATTACCGTTCGATCTCAACCGACCCCACAACTCAATCTGACGCTAAGATCTGGCAGCTCGCAGCACGTGTCAAATAGCAGTCAGCTCCGCGAAAAATGGCGGCTCAGATCTGGATCTGCAAGATCCAATGGCATCATGTCAACACTTCTCTCGGACTGAGTCCCGTATACTCCCAACCTTGTCCGCCAGGTTCTCGCGAGTCCACAATTTCCAGCCCGGCTAAGCATCACGACATTATCGAATCGGCATAGTGCGACGCTGTCTCAATGGACGACATCATGATCCTGCGGCTTGCTGGTGTCTGGCAGAACTTTCGCCAGGTCGAAGGTACTCTGGCGGGTCCTTGGACAAGCTTTTACTGGATCTGACGAATGGATCGCAGGAGATATCCGATCTTGTACGCGTTCCTGGAGAACAGATCTCAGCAAAGTTGCTTACGGTTAGTATTCCCGTGGAGACGGTTGGTAGGTTCATATACCGCACCACAACCCCCGTAGAGAGGACTTTCGAATTTGTACCCAGCATTGAACAGATCTTCCCTCGTGGCCAGACTCTTCTGTATCAATGCCATTGTTCTACTATTGACATATTCCGAGAACGACAGCATTAGTCGTTTGTACCCCATCACTACCACTCCTACCTCAGCAAGATGTCGGACATGAAAGCCATCGTTGCCGATACGGCAAGCGGTCTGCACGTCGAAGGCTATGAGAAGATCGAGTACGACTTCTCCTTCGTCGACAACGTCTTCGACACCGCGAAGGATGAGCTGGCGCAGAGCTACAAGAAATGGGGACGATGCCTGGCTGTCATGGATGCCAACATTTTCAACGTGTATGGAGAGCGGATGCAGAAGTATTTTGATCACCACGAGATTGATCTCAAGGTGCACAAGACGATGATTGGGGAGAAGGCGAAGAGCATCGAGACTTTCCTGTCGATTGTCGATTCGATGAACAAGTTTGGGATTTTCCGAAAGGTATGAAAGCTGGGTACAGTGTCGAGGCCATGTTGCTAATTTTCTCTGTAGGAACCCGTCCTTGTTGTTGGAGGTGGTCTGGTTACGGACGTTGCTGGGTAATGACATCAAACTGTCCTCTGGCGTCTGGGTGCGGCCATTGAAGAGCTCGTACTGACTATCCTCCTAGCTTCGCTTGCGCTGCCTATCGCCGCAACACCAACTACATCCGCATCCCAACCACTGTCATCGGCTTGATCGATGCCTCGGTCTCCATCAAGGTCGCCGTCAACTACGGTAACTACAAGAACCGTCTGGGTGCCTATCACGCACCGATGAAGACCTTCTTGGACTTCACTTTCCTCCGGACACTTCCAGAGGCTCAAATCCGGAACGGATTTGCAGAGTTGATCAAGATCTCGTCATGCGCGGACATCCACACCTTCGACTTGCTGGACATGCATTGCGAGCAGCTCATCAGCACGGCTTTTGGTCGTTCGGACGGTGCTTCAGCGAAGGTGAAGAACGCAGCGGACATGATCGAGAAGGACAGCATCAAGAAGATGTTGGAGCTGGAAAGCCCGAATCTTCATGAGATTGGTCTGGACCGCGTCATTGCTTATGGGCACACGTAGGTCTCCAAGTGCCCTCTATTGCTGATTAGTATGCTAACCTTCACAGGTGGTCACCCCTCCACGAACTCGTCCCAGATGTCCCTCTCCGCCACGGCCACGCCATCTCAATCGACATGGCCTACTCCGCCACCCTCGCCAACATGCGCGGCCTCCTCAGCGACTCCGAGCACAAGCGCATCCTCAACCTATTCTCCCGCGCCGGCTTGTCCATGGACCACCACCAGTTCGACGAAGCCATCCTTGACAAGGGTACTAAGGCTATCCTGAAGACCAGAGATGGTCTGCTAAGAGCTGCGGTCCCGAACCCGTTGGGCGAATGCACGTTCCTGAACGACGTCACGCACGATGAGCTCTGCGCTGCTCTCAGGAAGCACAAAGAGGTCATGAAGGACTACCCACGCAACGGCGAGGGTCTTGAGGCTTTCGTTGATGCGAGTGATACGGGGTATACTATGAACCCGCAGGAGAAGGTGTTGGCTACCAAGACCGACTCTGGGCTGCTAAGAAAGATTGATGTGATCAATGATGAGACGGTGAGTGAGGTGAACGGAGCTGCGACGAATGGGACTGCCGATGGTAGTGCGAAGGGTGCACCTGTTGCTAATGGCGTGAATGGCGCGGAGAAGACGAACGGCATTGCGAAGACGAACGGTGTGAACGGGGCAGAGAAGGTGAACGGAGTGAACGGTGTTGACAGTGTCAATGGTGTGCACGCCAATGGCACGAATGGCCATACCGTCACCAACGGGGTCGCACACGACCGAGAATAGATCATTCCCATAGCACGGTTAGAGCTGTAGCATTAGGTATTGTCGAGTACTAGTCTCGCAACTCCACCTACCTGACATTTCCAGCTTGGTCCCTTTCTCAAACCACTATACTATTAAATCGGCTATTCGACAAAATGATACACTATGTAGCCGACTCTCACAAGCCCCTCATGACATTTTTCTCGACGGTTGTCCATGACCGCATGATGTCGACAAGACCTCGACTAGCACACTAATGCAAGATCGACCCAAGATCCTCCCCTGCAGCTAATGCACGTTGCCCGCTCGTTCGAACCAAGGATCTCTTCGATCGATGGGCAGAGGGTCCGAAGAGGCTCTCAGAGGGTTCTCCTGACGTGGCGATACGTGGTAAGCACTCTGTAAGCATCTTGACGCGCGGTACAGATATCCGGACACCAGCGTATACCCACTGGCGCGACTGGCTGACATTGAGGCAATAACGACATCGGACTTTGAGACTGGTGCCTTTGGTCCAACGAGAAAGAAATATCGTTCCCAAAACACTACGTCCGGAATAACACCACGCCCAGGAGGACGACTGTACAGGCAGGCGAGACACCCACGCCAGAAAAGGCCACCTCGCATTGGCAAGTACGCATAGAAGAAGACTCTCGGTCTCCTAGAACCATACGACATCAAACCTGTATATTATCGAAACGATTGGACTAATGCCATGACCCCATCACGACAATGCAACCAAACACCTACTTCACCACCACCCTGGGCGAAGCCCCCTCCCACCCACGCCCCTACCGCAGCGTCACCCACCTCCTCTCCACCCAAGCCTCGCAGAACCCCGACCTACCGGCGTTGGGCTTCTACCAGGTCCCCAAAACCTCCTCATCAGCAGGAGCTCAAAGCTATGGTGCTAAGACCCTCACTTTCGCTGAGGTGCGGGATGCTGTAGTCGCTTCAGCAGCATTACTGTCTAAGGTGCTGAGTGAAGTTGAGACGGGGCAGACGGTTGGGTTGTTATCAGCGAGTTCGCCGGAGTTTTTGTTTGTTTGGCTGGGATGTGTATGGCTAGGTCATCCGGTGCTGTTGATAGCGCCTGAGTGCTCGCCGACGGGTGTGGCGAATTTGTGCGCGGAGTGTGGTGTTGGGATTCTAATCGCTGACGAGCGGAATGAAGGGGTGGGGAGGAAGGCTACGGAGGAGGCGGTTGATGGGCAGAGGGTGCGGTTGAAGTGTGTAGGACTGCCGTTTAAGGGACGGGATGTCTTCGACTTGCTGGAGGAGTGCGAGGAGAGGGTTGATGCTGTGGATGCCAATGAAGTGGACGATATCGCCTACTTCCACCATACCTCCGGCACATCGACCGGAAAACCCAAACCGATCCCTCAATCCCACCACGGAGCAGTCGGCGTGCTCCCGGCGCTCGATAGCAGGGGGCGTGCGACTTTCACCACCACGCCGCTGTACCACGGCGGGCCGGCGGATACGTTCCGGGCGTGGGCGAGCGATGCGATGATCTGGCTTTTTCCGAGTAGAGATGTTCCGATCACGGCTGGGAATGTTGGGAAATGTCTTGAAGCTTCGAAGGGAGCTGCGGAGAGCGGTGCGTGTCCGCCGGTGAGGTATTTCGGCGCGGTGCCGTACGTGCTGCAGATGATGGCGGAGAGCGAGGATGGGATGGAGTGGCTTCGCGGTATGGAGCTCGTTAGTGTCGGAGGAGCTGCATTGCCGGATGAGCTGGGCGATAGTTTGGTCGAGCAGGGTGTTAATCTAGTGTCGAGGTTCGGGAGCGCGGAGTGTGGATTCCTTCTGTCTTCGCACCGGGATTATACGAAGGATAAAGATTGGCAGTACCTGCGACGATCCGAGCAATCGACGCAGCTCAGATTCGAAGAACGGGAAGATGGGCTCGCAGAGCTCGTCGTCCTGCCGAAGTGGCCGCACAAGGCGAAACGAAACCGCGAGGATGGCTCGTATGCGAGCTCTGACCTCTTCCAGCGACACAAGGAGAAGGAGAATGCGTGGCGGTATCATTCGAGAGCAGATGCGCAGTTGACCTTGGTGACGGGGTTGAAGTTCGATCCTGCGTCGCTTGAAGGCGCGATTACGGCGGCCTCGTCGCTGGTTGCTGATGCGCTTGTGTTTGGGAATCAGAAGGCGTATCCGGGGGTTCTGCTTTTCCGGGCGAAGGAGGGTGCTGGCATGTCAGACGAGGAGTTGATCCGGGAGATGGCGCCGGTGGTTGAGAAGTGTTGCTCTCAAGGGCAATCGCATGCGAGAATACCGCGTAGTATGCTTGTCCCGATGCCGTATTATGAGCAGCCGCTCGATAAAAGCAATAAAGGGACTGTCCTGAGAGGCAAAGCGGAGGAGCGGTACGCTGAGCAGATCTCAAGGGCATATGGTAAAGACGATTACCAGCCCAACGGACAATGCTCAGATGACGAGCTACTTGACGTGGTAAAGAGCATAGTCGCTCGCCCGCTTCCGGTCGAGAAGGATGTTGACACCGATGTAGACCTGTTCAATGCTGGAGTCGACTCAATGGCGAGTATACAGATCCGCAAGAACCTGCAGAAATTGGTGCCCGAGGGTGCCGGAAGGCTTCCGACGACCGTTGTTGAGGACTGCGGAACGATTAAAAAGTTAGTCGAGTATATCCTGCGGATGAGGCATGGTGGAGCCGAGCAGGCCAACGGCACGCATGGCGATGTCAGCGACCAAATGCGCCAGATGGTCGAGCAGTACAGCCAGTTCATCCAACCACTCAAGTCAGCACCCAGCACCAACGGTGTTCAATCTCACCTGAATACAAGCAAGACAGTCATCCTCACCGGCGCAACCGGAGCACTCGGCTCCCAAGTCCTCTCCCTCCTCCGAAAGGATCCCTCAGTCTCCAAAATCTACTGCCTCGTCCGAGGCGCGGACCAGCATGCCGCACAAGAACGCGTCAGCAAAGCCCTATCCCAGCGACTCCTCCCTCCCCTCTCTACCCAAGATCCCAAAGTCGCAGTCCTCCAATCCACCTTTGCAGCCCCCCAACTCGGCCTCGACGCCTCCACCTACACCCATCTGACGCAGGAGACGACGACGATAATGCATCTAGCCTGGTCCGTCAACTTCCGCCTCCAACTGCCGAGTTTCGGCAAAGACGTCGCTGGATTGCGGAACCTGATCAACCTGGCTTTATCGTCTGAACGGCAGGAAGCTCCGCACGTGCTGTTCTGCAGTTCGACGGCGAGCGTGATGGCGTATCCCGGCGGCAACGTGATACCGGAGGAGGTTATCGGCGATCCGGCTGCAGCGTCTGAGACGGGGTATTCAAGGAGCAAATGGGTCGCTGAACACGTCTGCGCCCACGCGAGCGGGGAGGAAAGGCTGCGCGGCAGGGTGTCGGTTTGCAGAGTCGGGCAGTTAAGTGGGGATAGTAGGACTGGGGTGTGGAATTCGAAGGAGGCGTGGCCGTTGATGTTGCGGACGGTGAAATTGCTGGGTACGCTGCCGGATCTGGGGGATGAGGTGTTGGATTGGTTGCCGGTGGATTTTGCTGCGAGGGCGATGGTTGAAGGCGCGAAGGTTGAGGAGGGGGATGATGGGGGGTTGAGGGTGTGTCATGTGTTGAACGATCATCGGAGGCCGAGTTGGAGGGATATGCTTGGGTGGTTGAGGAAGAAGGTGAAGTTTGAGACCGTCATGCCGGCACAGTGGATGAAGCAGCTGGAGGGGGAGGCGGAGAAGGGCTCGGGGCATCCGGGGTTGCAGTTGCTTGACCACTGGAAGAAAGCTTATGTTGATGCTGGTGAAGACGGGAAGAGTGAAGAGCCGGCCAGATTCGAGATGGAAAAGACGAGGAACCTGATACCGACCTTGCAGAGCATACCCGCTGTAGATGAAGCGTACTTTGGCAAGCTATGGGAGAGCATGGAGCGGGATATGTGATGCATGAGCGTTAGTGGTAGGAGAGAGGACAATACAACCTGCCAGTCCCAAACCATCGCAGCTGGCGTGGTGTGGCTGCAACCAACGACTTACGCACAGTCTGATGGCTTTGGGGAGGAAACGTGCAAGTTCTCGTCCCACGTCTCACCTCCATTGCCTCGGCCGTCACGAAGCCCGTGAGGACATGACATCTAGATGGCCCTCGTCCCCGCCCCGTCGCCCATGAAAAGGTGAAAGCGACCTTCATCCACCCCGCGACAAATCCATCTCTGCCGCTTTAGACTCCATACAAGCCGTTCGTACATGGCCGTGAGTCTGAACCATCCCCTGATTAATAACCACGTCCCGGCAGTTCTCATGTTTTGCGCAAAAGATCGACCAACGGAAGCCGGATCGTCACATCCGCCCGTCCATGGCCACGTGGCAAGAATGGTTCTTCGGCACTTCATCTGGGCAGGGGATGCAGGTTTCTTGCATCGAAAAAGCCAACGCCTACAGAGCAGGCAGGGCAGATTCGGAGATGGCGATGTGCCGGTGAATCAGGGGCTTGCGAGTCCGAGGAGCTGGTGGAGCTGTCCCGAGACGGCGGTTGAATGACTCGTGGGCATGAATCGTGAGGAGTTGTGGTTTGGAATAGGACCAGAAGGATATACATGGATTATATACAACGAGCCGCGTGTGGTATGCAGATGCGAATGCGGTGTTATCCTTCCCACGTATTTTGCGAGCAAAATCTAGACCCGGGAAGTTGGTTTCGCGTTGGCGGGAGTGGCTTGCTCATCATGTATATCTGAAGATGGGATAACACCGTGAAATGGAGGTAAATTTGGGAGATGCCTATATTCCCTGGAACACTCAGTGCACGTGTCGACCATTCCACGTATACGCAGAAGATGGGGGAGAAAACATGGAAGAGACCGGCTCTCATCAATGTCCTTGACCAAGAAGCAGCGGATCCGTGTAATAGCTGTTCATTAGAGCCGCAGTAGAACGAACGACGGGCAAACCATTGCTGCACGCCTCCCTGCAGTAGGTAGATTGGCAGATTACTTTTTGCCTCCAGGTCCTTATCAATTTCCACCCAGGATTCATCCCTTCTCTTGTATGTCCATGCGCCTTGGAGAGGTGCTCGGTAGTTGTAGCTGTAGTCCTCGACCGTTGGAAGGACAAGTATAGAAGTACAGAGATCGTCGACACGTGCGAGCGGAAACAGGACGGGATCAAGAGGGTGGGTTGGGAGGAACAGGAAAGCGACAAGGTGCTCGAGCGTGGAGCTGCCCTGGCCGGGTCCCACCCATCGGAAGAGTTGCCGCGCGCCAGTGTCGGTCTTCAACCCTTCGTCCCTTTCTTCCTCCCTCTCCCGTGCTGCCTCGCAAACTCTGTCCTACACCACCTTTGCCCGCCATTGTGCACCTCGAGGGATATACATAGGCCGTGTGGATGAACAGGGCGAGGCGGTTTCGCGTTGAGCACGACGGCAGCCCTTGCAATCGACGCCCGCACGAGGCCAGGCCTATCCTTGCAGCACCGCAGAGGCCAGAGCGGATAGACTTCTTCACAACCTTCCGCTGACGCTAGCACCCGCTTGCCAGAACTCACCGCGCTGCTTACCAACTTGCACCTGCCGAACTACACGTCTACCACAACAACCCCCTACCGACGACCTGAGGGCATCCGCACCTTCCACCCGCCCCGTGCCACCGGCTGGAGGTCCCACCGCGCCGGAACACGTGGAGCCCATTCGCCGATAACGCTCCGGTGCCCAGCGACACAGCAGCACAGCAGGCACCTCTACCACCGTCGCACCGCATCCCTTCGCGGCGCGCACGCATCATTTGCACTCCCCCCCACCGCCACGCTCCCCATCCTCGCTACCGGACTTCCACCACCCGACACACAACACCCCGCTGAAATAGAGTGCGTAAGGCTGTGGTGTACGCGCGTGTACCGCCAGCACCACGTGGACGAGGCAGGAGAGTGTTTTGCCGGGCCGTTGAATGGCCATTCAGCGCATCATGTGTTTTGGCAATGGAAACAAGGAGGACCCGGACCTCAAGAAGAGTCGCGAGATCGAGAAGCAGCTGCGCGAAGACCAGAAGAAGATGGCCAAGGAGGTCAAACTGTTGCTGTTAGGTATGTTGCATCCATACCACTGCCATTCAGCTTGGGATGGATGGGAAGGAAGGGTGGAGGAGACTTTGCTGACGACCACTGCGATATACAGGAGCCGGAGAGTCGGGCAAGTCTACCGTCCTCAAGCAGATGCGCCTCATCCACACCAAGGGCTTCAGCATACAAGAGCGCAAGCAATGGAAGGTCACCATCTTCCAGAACCTGCTGCACGCGTTTCAGGTCGTTTTTGGCGCCATGGAGGAGCAAGAGGTGGATTTTGCCGAGTCAGGAAACATCGTAAGCTCCCACATACATTCCCGCTCGGAGAGGAGGAATAGCCATCACTGACACTGTCTGCAGCGGTTCGCCGAAGTGGTAGCCGCCGACCCTGAGATCGGCCCCGAAGAGCCCATGCCCCTCGACTGCCTAAACGCCTTCAAGAGTCTATGGCAAGACGGTGGGATTCAGCTTGCCATTAGGAAAGGCAACGAATACGCACTGCACGACAACCTGACTTAGTGCGTGCCCAACGCCACATCTATCCCCTGGAAAAGCGCATTAGTTAACTCCCATCTCTTAGTTTCTTCAACGACATCGACCGCCTCTTCCAGAAAGACTACCTCCCCACCGACCAAGACATCCTCCGAGCGCGTCTACGCACTACCGGCATCAGCGAGACCATCTTCGAGACCGGCCCGCTGACCTACCGCATGTTCGATGTCGGCGGACAGCGCAGCGAGCGGAAGAAGTGGATACACGTCTTTGATAACGTCCAGGTCGTGCTGTTCCTGGCCGCGATTAGCGGGTATGATCATGTGCTTGTGGAGGATCGGAATGGGGTGAGTCTTAATACCCTCCACATCTTCCTCCGCCGCCACCATAGTCGGGATGGAACGCGGCCCATCCTGTATGACCACATCACTAACATCCCATCTCTTCCACCCAGAACCAAATGCACGAAGCCCTGATGCTCTTCGAATCCATCGCCAACAGCAAATACTTTGAGAAATCCGCCCTCATTCTCTTCCTCAACAAAATGGACCTGTTCCGCGAGAAGCTGCTGTCCGGCTCCTCCCCCATCGCCGCCCACTTCCCGGACTACACCGCCGACCCGCGCGACGTCGACGCCGGCGCCGAGTTCTTCTCGCGGAAGTTCAAGAACCTCGTCCGCGACCCAGGCAAAGAGGTCTATGTCAACTTCACGAACGCGACGGACACGAATCTGCTGGATAAGACGATGAAGAGTGTGCAGGACATGATTGTGCAGCGGAATTTGCATAGTTTGATGTTGTGAGTTTTTCGACACCCCGGGGGAGAAATTTGATGGTTGGTGGTGGTGGTGGTGGTGTGACGGCTGCTGCGTGAGGGCAGGGTGCGTGCGTGTGGCGTTTCCTTCCCCCCTTCCTCACGACCGCTTTCATCTCTTGGGCGCGCCTTTCTTTCTCTTGACGACGAAGAAATGGGTGCGGATGTTTGTGGGAGGGGAGGGGGTGGGGGGATAAGGTGTTCGTGTTTTCAGAAAAAGGACATTGGCTAATCGCGGGTGTACCAGGAATTAGTCAACAACAATGAGGCCCCAGTTGCGCTGCTGGGCTCTTGTTGGTTGCTTCTTTTTTGTTTGCGTGGCCAGGCTGACGATGGCCTGCTTGGTCGATGTGGAGGATTCGTGGACGGATGATGCATGGACGGGACGGTGGCAAAGCGGACAAGGAGGCATGGACGCACCGAAAATGCAGAAGGAGGACTACTTGCACAACGTCCGGCGCCTCCCTCCACAAAACACCTCTGTCCTGAGGAGGAGGCTTTTCTCGCAGAACACTTCGGAATCGACATCGAACGGGCTCTTGCGCATGCCGGGACGGACGGCGGCTTCTTTCACAACTCTTCTTGCTACCTGGCGGCGGGATTGTTCTTTTGATCCAGCGGACGGGATGGATTGTTCTTAGCATTGCGAGCGCGGCGCACGCTTGAGAGAGAGAGAGAGAGAGAGTTTATTGTATAGATCGTTTGTTTGACTGATTGCCTTCCATGCCGATGGAGTCACGAGGACGACGGATGGAGGCTGATAGGGAAGCTGGAAAGGAGGTGGAAGAGGCTCTGGATCATGTGGATGGAGAGGTGAGTGTCGTGGCGAGGATGCGGGAGAGGTAAGGTAAGAATGGTGGTTGAGAGTGTTTTTTGACTTCATTTCATGCTCTCGTTCAGGTTTGCTTCGCTCGCTTTCCGGCTTGTTTCAGAAGCAGTTCACATCCCCTTTGCGCATTCATATGATCCCACATCACGTTCTCCCTCACGTGCTTCCTCCTTTCTGCCGACCGGCATCACACTTTGCTTTAACCAGCAACACCTACATGATCTAAAGGCCACAACCCACCACCACCATGGACCGCCCCATCGACCTCCACGACTACCAGCCCACCCTCCCCGACAACCTCAACCCTCTCGACCCTGCTGAGCTCGCCACCCTCTTCGATGGCCTGCGCATACAGACGCGCCATATCGCCGCCCACCCGTATGACCCCAACACCTGGCTCCAGCGCGGTATCACGCTCATGAAGCTCCGGTATCCTGAATTGGCGGTGGGAGATGGGTACAAAGCCGGCTTATTAGCAGGGGAGGCGCTGAAGGGTTTGGGAGACGGGAAGTGGGGGCTGGGTGCGAGGATGGGGTTCTGGATGCTACTAGAGGACGATGAGGCTGAGGAAGATGGGTGGGAGAGAGAGATGCTGAGACGTTATCTCGACGGGCTGCAGCGCAAGGCCAGGGAGTTGGTGGAGCAGAACCTGGAGCTCTGGCCGGCTTTCGAGGAGGGCAGGTTTCGACGGAGGAAGTACCCGTGGATGCCGCCGGAGTTTGCGAGCAGAGGGGACGAGGTGCTGCGGGTGATTAACGACGAGTTCAAGGACAATGGAGGCAGAGCGCTGCGCAACGGCACCGGACAGATCTGCTCAGTCCGCCGTCACGCTTTCGGGGTTGATCCCAACGGCGAGAAACCGACCCATGATGTCCTGGGCGTCTTCGCGACGCGAGAGATTGCGCCTGACTCCACTATCCTGATCGACCAGAGTCGGATATGGGGCTGCAACGGTCCTGGAGCTGCTGGCTCTCTGGAGAATCTGAACGGCGGAATGGGATGCGGTGAGCCCATCCACCCGAATCTACCCAGCGAAGACACAAGTCTGGATTTAAGATGGATCCGCGCCGCGACGGGGAAGAACGCGCGGTGTTCGTTGGTCTTCATGCGGGCGCTGCTGTGCGCGATTCAAGACGGTGGCGTTGACAGGAATTCACTCTCCCACCCGCTGATCGCGCGATTAACGCCCTGTTACCCTGCGGAGCGCATCCACCGTTTCAGCCTGGCAAACGACATCGCCCTGCCTCACACCTTCCTCCGCACACAAGGCGGCGTGGACATCTTCGCCAACCCCTTCTTCGACACCTGGGTCTTCTCGACAATTTCCTCCCGCATCCTCAGTAACTCCTGTGGCGACCCGTTAGCAGAATGTCTGTCCCCCTTATTTAGCCTGTTCAACCACAGCTGCGAGCCGAACGTGCGCTGGGAACTGCACAAGGACCATCGGACGGTTGTTGTGCGGTCGGTCGGTAGGATGAGGGCAGGGGAGCAGTTGTTTGTGGAGTATGATGCTTTTTTGTCCGGGGAGGGGGTGGGGAGGAGGAGGGAGGGGTTGTGGAGGTGGTTGGAGGGGCCTTGTGGGTGCGGGCGGTGTTTGCGGGAGGAGGAGGAGGAGGAGGGGAGGAGGGTGGATGAGAAGATGGAGGGGGTGGAGCTGGGGAAGGGGAAGGAGTGGGATGGGGGGGAGAAGCCGGTGTTGTAAGTTTTGTCTGTCTGGAACGGGTGGTTGGGGGTGGACGGACTGTGCTGACGCTACGCTTTTGGACGTGTGTAGTCCTGAGGACCACTTGAGAGGGATTTGTTGGGCTGATCGGGGAGGGTTGGGCTACTGATGGGACGAATGTCTGTTGTGCATTCAGTCACGGCAATGTCTAGGATCTTTCAATACCTATTCAATCCTTTATGACAGCGGTCTTATTCCACGGTCTACCCACGAAGTGCTTCCGAATCTGCAAGCCTGTGATGCAGCGGCAGAGCAGCTCGTCCCCTGACCTCACCTCAGCTATGTACAGGACATCGACTTCGCTGTCGCAGTAGGAAGTCATACGACCTCGCTAACTGGGCCGCTGGCGACTATCAGCGTACACGGCCCAGTCTACGTTTCCTGCACAAGCTGTGTCATGTATCGACAGCTGTCCTGTGTTCTGAGAACTCTCGAAAGCGCCGTGGTCCTGGTGTGCCTGATGCTCGGTTTGCCAATGTACTTACTTCACTTGGGGACTCCAAGCGGCGAGACTCATCCCGTACTGCGGTGGATAGCGGGCCTTTCGCGCTGCTGGTAGTGAACTACAATAATACGCAAGGTTCCAGCGATATGATGTAGGAACGGTATAAGATATCTGGCGCACAATGCGTCAAAGTTTTGCTCTGGGAGGAAGGAAATCTAAGCATGTCCTTGCATGTCGATGGAAAGGAGAGGCATAAGAGCATCGTGTTCACTCAATGCAAAAGAAAGATGCATGCTGGGAAAGTTGAGTTTGTAGGAGGGAACTTGCACTTCTCTTGTCTATGGACACGTATCCAGGACCGCAGTGAAAGCCAGGGAGACATTCTGGTCTCTGGCGGCTCTGAGAATTTAAGAGGAACGCGTCCAGCAGGTAAAGTCGGATGAACGCGCATTCACCCCAGGCTTATGTGGGCAAGATCGTTCTGTTGTGGCAGGACCGTTCTGTTGTAGCAGACATGGAGTCGGTCGCGCCCTTCAGCTTGGTACCAGATCGACCGCGCATGTTGTGCCTTGCAGACCTCTATCCTCAGACCACAGCACCGCGCGGCAGCGTCGAAACTGCTTACCGGTCTACACCCGCCGTCAGCCGTACAGTAGTCCTATGATCACAGTCGAGATCGCACTTCCACGTGGCTCCGACACTGCGTCTCACCCTTGCGTCCCTCTACAACCAATCCCAATATCCACGTAGCAAATCTACATCTCACCCAGAGACCAACCGATACGATGCATCTGACACACTGCATCTTGCATGCTGATGGCTTCCCGAGCGCCTGTATGGCATCCACACGACGAGGATCGGTATACCGTAGCTCGCAGTCAGATTCCGAGACTACGCTGGATGAGGCAAATACCGTTTTTTGACGGGTGCTGGAAACGTTGGGGATGCAGGTCTGCAGATTGCCGTTGTTGTCCGCGGGTCTGCGGGTGCGGTATTTGACAGGCGTCGAGCCGGTAGGTTTTGCGCAAGAACGATATGAGGATCGCCCAAGTCAGTGCAGGCCGAACATGTTGATGTTGCATCGCGGCCGAAATCCTCCGGGTAATCTCAAAGCGTCTTCCAGAGATCTAGACCTGCGAGAGAAATCATGAAACAGTTTCCAAACCGGCAACCGCGAATCAACTCGCGCCACTCCTCCATGTTTTGCATTCTTCTTCATCTCACCATTCCTGCTCGAGGTTGACAGGTCGGGCGGTTGCAGATTGACCGCACCGCCGTCGCCGTCGGCAGGGTCCAAGAAACGGGCGTCGCGGAACGCCTACCGTGGAACAACCACAAGCCCAGGACAACGTGGCAGAGCGAGCAATGGAAGCGAGGCAAGCCAACCGTTGGGTAGCACATCGTATCGGCCGGCATATCCCGCTCAGCAGCAACCATCAGCAGAACCGATTCTGGTACCGCTGGTGCGGTGGCCCGCCAAGAGCGCATCTACCCGTTCATCTGGCTGTGTAGGGCAAGGGAGCCGCTGATCATCCATTGCTTTTGGAAGACGAGTTGGGCAGCAATGCTGTGTCGCTCGACTTTTCGGGAAGACGCTGTGCTGAGAGGGGACGTGGGCGGAGACAGAGCCGGGGAAGAGTCGGCGATCACTGCTCTCAGGGGGCTTGGATGCGTCGAGTTTCTGCGCCAGCAAGCAAGCACCGCAAGTATTCCCGGCGGTGCCTCGCCTCCCAGCCAGTTCGGAAGCGATCGCCGAGATGGCTTTACGAGGGCAGACGTTAGCCCGCCGCTAAGGCTGCCCGAGATTACACTGGGCGTAGATGGGCGATCGAATGCAACCTGGCTGATGAGGAATGGCGATATTCCTTGTCGATAGTTGAGCACAAGACTGCCCTACAAGCCACCGCAACAGAAGGAATCGTGTTGCTCAGTTTTCGTCCCGTCCCCAATTGAAGGTGTCTCGGCAAAGAGCGGGTTCTCGAGCATAGATGACGCTCTCTTTTGCCATTCACTGAAACCAGCTGAAAGCCATCGGTCAAATTCGGGAGTATTGATTGGCTGATCTCATCGGATCTGTCCGTCTAAATTGGCGCTGCAGCCCAGCCGTTCATCTGACGGGGATGGTTTCTGATCTTTTCGAGTGCGATGGTTGCCCATGACTCGGCACCTGGGGGTGATCTCAACTGCCGTGGACCGTCTTGAGCGCAGGAGGAAGCGAGCGGTTGCCGCGAATGGTTGTGTATACGTTGAGAGCGAGTGCGAGTGTGTATCTCTCTGCCGGGTAACCCCTTTACGATGTGGCTTCGACGTGATGCCGTAGAAAGCTTGAAGCAGGATCTGAGAAGTGCGATCTGGTGGATCGACAAGACGAAGCACCAAAGCATATCGCAGCGTGGGTGTGGCGAACAAAGCCACCAGTCCAGCACGAGCAGGTCGTCGACGATCCAGAATTGATTGCGGTCGCGTGCAGCGAATGGCCAGCAGCGCGGTGGAGTCTGTACGGAAGAGGCCCGTTGTCATCGGCGGCGCTCTGGGACGCTTGGCCGGGCCATGCATGCACCCTGGCCCTGGTGGCCTGTCGTGTGCGCTGCCGAGCCAGGTCGATCGGAGATGTGACGGCTCCCTGGCTGTCCCCCTCGCATTTCCAATCGCGCCTCCTCCGCCCGCCTCCACTCTGGTGCCATCTCGCTTGCACCTCGAGATCTCGCTGTCTCGCCGCTGACTACGCACGCTTGGTGCTTCCATTTTCCGCATCTCTGCTTGGCCTGTCTCTGCCGACGACCATCCAGACAACAACGCGACCGCACCAACAGCGACACACACCCCCAAACGACGGCAGGATCGTGTCTCGATCTCGTAGGAAGGCAAATCCCGGTAGCGTTTGAAGCCGTCCGATTCGGCTGCCCGATCTGAAGCCGCGTTCGATCTTGGATCAACCGGCCATTGTCGCATTCTCTCGACACTCCCACATACGCCCACACGACACGAACCAGTGTTCGCCGACTGCACTACCAGTGTACGGCGTGTTTGTTCGAAGACCACGTGCCGAAGCCTGCGCTGGTGCCAGTCCGGACGGATTTCTGATCGCAATATCGGCGTCATTGACGAGCCGTCGGCTTCGGTATTGGGGAGATCCACTGGGATAAGGACAGTATCCACGTACATTGTCGCATTGTCGACGTTCAGAAACACCACATCGCCATGGACACCACGAGCAGACGGTATGTCGAAAACATCGATCCTACATCTCGAACATGGCGCCCCAAGCCGGGAACGAGAAAGCTCGACTTCACATGCTAACAACGTACAGGCCGCAGCTACCTGCGTTGAGTTATTTGGAAGTCGGCAATATCAAGAAGGATGAAGAGTTGTATCAGAGTCGGAATACCGCCACTCCAAACCACAAAAGCGTCCCTCTGGCCAGCCCGACGCACCAATATCCTACAGCCCCACCACCGCCCTATACACATCCATCACATCACCATGGGAACACGTGGGCAAAGACTCCTGTTCACACACCACCAGAGCCACGTCGACTGAGTGGAGACGATAACGAAGGTCTCAAACAAAACCTGCGCCAATCTCTCCCATCTATATCGGAAGCCCTTGGTTCTGGACCGCTGGACAATCACGCATCGCACCCTCCACCTACGTCTACAACTCAGGCACCGCCTCCCTCCTCCGCTACATCATTACCCACTCCTCAATCCGGAGCACCGCGGTCGCCTTCTTCGGCAGCACGACGGCCGTATGCCATGGAACCGCCACCGCAGTCTCAGAACCACTCACAATATTCTTACTTCCGACAAGACTCCGCTGGCCCACAACATTCATCTGCAGAGGTGTCGCATCCCTCTTATGGACAACCTCAAGAGAATCGACCACCACCGCCGCCAGCCCAAACGCCACAGCCACCGCGAGCATCACAACCACCCTCACATCCTCTTCAGCAGCCCGCCTCACCTCGATTCGAGCCGCAGCATTCTCACCCACCCGGGTCAATGCCTCCACCGCCGTCGTCGACGTTTCAATATGGCTACCAGTCGTATACACCGCGGTATGCACAGCCGCCGTCTAATGGCAACTCTGGCCCTGTCTTCCAGCCATCCGCTCACTATGCGGCACCATCAACACCTCAACCCTCATGGAAGTCGGAGCCGTCTCGATATCCTGAAGAACGGCCTGCTGATCGATACGGCGACTCCGTGAAACGACATCTGGACATGTACGACGTGGAAGCGTCGTTGAGTGAGGTAAGTCACAGCCATGTCCAAGAATATCCGACAGCAAACTAACTCCTTCAGATCGGCCAAACGAGCAACCACATGATGGACTTCTCCCGCCGCTACGGCGACCGCATGCACCAAAACGCCCGCGCCGGCCCCTCCCTCGCCACCCTCCCGAGCGTAGTCGAAGTCGAAGATATGATCCAAAAAGCCCGCATCCAACTCGACTCGCTCAGCAAAATCCGCGAAGTCGTCCTCACCCAACAAGCCGCCTACGAGCAACAAATGGCCGACCAACGCCAACGACACGAATCCTTCACCGAAGCTCCCCCTCCACCTCCGTCCGCGGACCCGTACATGGACGCCGAAGACGTGAAAGGCGGCTTCGCGGGCTCCGAGACGAAGAAGCGGCGAGGTCGCGCCGCACCGCCCGGCCGCTGCCATAGCTGCAACCGCGCCGAGACGCCCGAATGGCGACGCGGTCCCGATGGCGCGCGGACGCTGTGTAATGCCTGCGGACTGCATTATGCGAAATTGACGCGGAAGCAGACGACGGCGGGGAAGAATGGGAATGTTGGGAGCTCGAATCTGAGGCCTAAGGAGGCGTAGAAAGCGCGTTCCGGCCCCTCCGCTCGTTGGATACGTTTGGCGAATATTGTCTTACCATGGACTTCTCCTTTTTTGAAAACTTCGCAAATGATACCCCGGAAATTTCTGGTATGGCCTTTTTAGAGGCTCTTGGTGTGGGATTTACGATTGGGTTCTTGCGTTATTAGACGCTTACGATTTCTCTTTTTTGTGTGCTTGGGAGCGAGAATATGAGCTTTTAGGCTCATGAAGTGGGGGTTTAAGGCCTGAGGAGGGTGCCTCTGGGCTGTGGAGTTGGTGCTGGAGTCTGCGCGGGAGACTTTATGACGCTAGTCTCCCTTCTTTTGTGATTGTGTTTGGGAAAAACTGCTGGAAGAGCATGTACGGACGGGGTTTTTAGGCCGCTGGGGGAAAGGATACATGAAGCCAGCATGGATGGCGTTCACTTTGCCGGAAGGCAACAATTCATGATGAGACCGAAGGGGAGTGTAGATAGGCAGGCAAGACGACGAGGAATCGAGACGATATCCATTTTGAACACTTTACAGTACAGCACTCTCACTTGCACGTCTAGTTCCACGTGGCACTCAAACCGGCTTCCTCCCTTTCCTTGATCCACCAACCCGTCCATCGCAGCCCAACCCCATTCTCGTCTCCCCGCGCGACCACTGCAGTCCTCCCCACAACCATCTCCACGCTTCGTGCCCAAAGTCACACCTGGTACCACCCGCTTCAAGCGCCCGGCCCCAGAGCGCACGAGCAGGGCAGATCGGCGGTGCGGCGGGGAGACGGCGGGTAGATGGTAGATTGGTGGTACGAGATGCATTTGCCGCTTTTTGACAGCTTGGTGGTACAGGGGAGTGTTGTGGGACGGACGGGGGTCGACACAAATGGAGATGGTGAGATGGGTTTTGCGTCTGAGATATAGTTCTGCAGGGTTGTCGGTTCACGTGGAGATCGTGGCACTAGGTGTTTGAAAGAGTTGACCTGCTGCACCGTCTCGTATCTTGACTTCCGCAGCTGAGAAGGATCGAGGCGTTTTGCAGATTCAAGAACATAGCAGCCATGCCGTCGTGAGCCTGTCTCAACTGCTGATCGGTGGGTGGGCGACACGACAGACCATGTCTCAGCAGTGAGGGCATTGAGAAAGGTCTCGTGACGTCCAGCAACTCACACTGTTGGGCGGAAGGCTTCTCCTAGACATGACCAAGTACCATGCGGAACTCTACGGCGTGCCCTCACAAGTTCGAGCCACCGCGTAGCAAACTTCCGCGTATTTTGGCGTCCCTCTTAAAGACTTCTTCCTCGGTCTCGGGAGAGCCCAGCAAACCTGGCGTAACCAATGGAGCGTACGTTTCCCACCATTGCCCAACCTTCTTCACAGTGGGCAAGTCCAGGATGTCTATTTGAGCAGGAACAGGCAACGCCTCGCTTATTGGAGTTGATTTGCCGCTCTCGCGAAGAGGCTCGATAGACTGCATGTTCCAGAAAAAGTCCTCTGGATCCCACTGTGTCTTGACTTTCTGCAGACGGGGATAGTTGTGACCGTAGTAGGCTTCCTGCCAGTTTGGCACTGTCCCGTCAATGTAGTTAAGGTACGCAGCTTTCTGCTCGATCGCATGCGGCAGCAACACCGTCTTGCACTTGGCAGTGAAGTCCATCATCTTCTCGCCTTGCGCTGGGTCCGTCCACTGGACTTTGATCGTGGAGACGTAATGGCCTTGACGCCAGTAAAAAGGGGTTTCCTGAGAAGCGGTGCGGGTTGTGGCACCACCGATGTGATCCCACAAGATGTGGCATTTTGGGTCGTTCGGGCCGTTGCTGTCCGTGATACCAAGCAGCTCGACAGCTTCGGCGACAAGGCTCGATATTTTGGAGTTCAGCTCTGGCGTGATGCTCCCTTCTGCAAAGATGAACGATGCGTGATGATGGTACACTTGGCTGAATGGATCCCAGCCCTCGGACTGATGTACCCAGTCTGTCCATCTCATCGGCTTCAAAGTAGTCGTCGCAGGGTTGAATTCGAGAAGTGGCGCCAGTGCCTTTTGCGCTTCAGCCTCTCCGCCGTTGTAGATGACCGTCATGCCTCCAGTAAGCTGCTTCTGCTGCCCATGCGTCCAGAGAGCGTCGATTGTCAGCTCGTCTGGACACTTCGTAGTGTTGAAGCAGTTCATCATGCTGTCAAAAGCATCCTTCTGCTGGGGCAGATTCCATGAGAGCTGGCCGCAAACCACAGTGCCCTGTGGGTCTCTGAGCTTGTGGATTTCGCAGGTCATATTCACCGTGACTCCAAAATTGCTACCGCCACCACCTGCCAAAGCCCAGAACAGCTCGCGCTTCCGCTCTTCTTTCTCGTTGCGAGATACGGTCACAACTTCTCCTTCGTAAGTGACGATCGTCATCTGGAGTAGGTTGTCACAAGCCAGACCATAGCTGCGAGAGAACGGGCTCAGGCCACCGCCGAGAGTAAATCCGCTCACACCTACAGTGGGACACTGCCCGCCGATCACGATATCCCGAGGATCGTCGAAGTACTTGTAGTAGACCTCTTTCCAGGTCAAGCCGCCTTCCATACTGATTCTCATATTGCCGGTGTCGACGTAACATCCCTTCATGGGGCTCAGATCGAGGACGATTCCGCCTTCGTTTAAGCAGTACCCCATGTAGGAGTGGCCGCCGTTCTTGACAGTCAGACAGACATGGTTCCGTCTCGCAAAGCTAATCGTGGCTTGTATGTTCTCAACAGAAGTTGCTTGCACGACAGCAGCCGGCATGGTCATTCGATAGTTCAAGTTTCCGATGAATACTTTGATCAGGTAGTCAGCTTTTGCTTGCTTGAGAAGTCCTGCATAGAGCTACGCTATACTTACCAGCTTTTGAGTACGCATCAGTGCCAGCTTCCAATACACGCTCGGGGCCAACGATCTCCCTCAGCAGGTTCAAATCCGCCATGATGTGAGTTTCCAGGTGCTCGCAGGTCAACAGCACCGTCAAGAGTCGGATCTAAATCGAGAATTGAAGTATGAAGCTTGAACAGTAACGCAAGGGGCACATATTGACTGTTCTTGGAATGGACATCTGTGAACCCCCAGCCCCATCATTACCGCCTGCTCCCACCCACAATCCTGAGGGCAGCCAGAGGTGCGGACTTCATCACGTCCGCTCGATTTCCCGGGAACTCACATTGAATTAGTTATCAGATCAGGCTGTCCGCGTCAGTGTCTTCTGCGAGATCTTGCTCTGTAGCCCTGTATCTTGCTGGAGCAGGTACCGTCCTACTCTTGCAGTAGCGCTGATGACTCTGTTTGCTACATGTAAGCAGCATAGAGTTTGATTTTCTCGCAAGCGGACCATGCTTCCCAAGTGTCGAGGCTATATTGCTATACCGAGCATACATGTATTCACCTTCTGAGATGAAGTGAAGTCGAAGTCGATCGTGCTTGCTAGCGTTCTCCTTCCTCTTTGGGGTCGGGTAGCGACTGCCGTCGGCCGAACCGAAACAGGTGAAGTTACACTAAGATTTCTTCACTCGCGCGTCATTGGCTCATACATTCGTTGGTTTGTAATCTCCATTATGACTTGCCGAACTCGAATTTCGAGAAACATGGAGTGAAAGGTAGGCGACGACGGTGAAGTTCACCAGCAGACCTCACTTCGACCATGCGCAGCGGCCTCACCAGGCCTTCTTCGTGTCATTGACAGCCCGGTACCCCACTCAGCAGTAGAAAAGTATTTCATGATGCTAGTGCTGCGATAGGCCGAAGCCTTCCATACTCGAATACCAAGGACCAGTCCAGCCAGGGCAGGAAACATTGAAGACCTTTTCAGAGCGGAGAGAAGTTAAGGACGGCTGGTGTCGTATTGCCCGCGGACACTGGTCTGAGGTGCATAATCTAGCCAAAAGCAATGGGACTACTGTAAGTGGCAAAGCCTTTAGGTGTTGGCAGGCATGTGCTGAGTCCGACATAGCGCGGTGGGCACGCCGCTCGAGTGGGAGGAGGCGAAGAAGTCGGCCAGCCATGTCCGGTCTTGGGGGATTGAAGTGAGCCAGAATCTAAGATGGATCAATGAGTCCTGACTGACATGTCGAGCAGCAACTCCTGGCACTGTGGCGGAAGGCGAAGGGCAAGGAGCGGGATGCACTTCTCTGGGGAGACGAGGTATGGTAAGCGCTGAAGGATCGAGAAGATATACATGTTCTGACGCGGACCAGATCGAGTACCTGGTTGTGAACTTCGACGATGCCGAGCGGAACGTGAAGTTATCACTCCGTCAGGCGGACATTTTGCATGCCCTCGCCAGCGATCCTGAGCTGATAAGGCAAGGAGGAGGTGTTCCTGATCTGAATCAGGGTGAACCCAAGTAAGCTGAGAGACTACTTCGGGACTCACATCGCAGCACTAACCATCTTGTTAGAGCCGACCGGCCAGCGCCCACATTCCATCCAGAGTTTGGCAGGTTCATGCTCGAAGCGACTCCCGGCAAACCATGGGGTATCGGGTTTAAAGATCTGCTGGATGTTGAGCAGGACATGAAGCTGCGGTAGGTGGAAATACTTGTTGAGATCAGAGCATGGCACTGACTTAAAGTACAGCCGCAAGATCGCAAAGGAGCACATGGAGTCCAGCGAATTTCCCATCACTTTGACCACATTTCCGCTACTAGGAGATCGGAAGTCGATTACGCCATTCTACCCTCCCTCAGGCTCAAAGCTGCGATCACAGTTCGTGCCAGACGAGATTGCTAATCCTCACATCCGATTTCCGACACTAGCAGCTAATATACGTGCGCGAAGAGGACGCAAGGTCGAGCTGAACGTTCCAGTGTTCCACGACACTAATACCACCTGGCCGTTCAAAGACCCGACTGTGGATTACGACATGCACAACTGGCCAGAAGATCAGGATGTCCGGAACGGTGCGGCCAAGGATAACTGCATCTATATGGACGCCATGGCGTTTGGAATGGGGAGCTGCTGCCTCCAGATCACGTTCCAAGCCAAGGGTATCGAAGAAGGGCGAAAGATGTACGATCAGCTATCGCCACTTGGACCTATTCTACTTGCTTTGACGGCAGCAACGCCCATCTACAAAGGTTTCCTCGCAGACACTGACGTGCGATGGAATCAGATCAGTCGAGCAGTTGACGACAGAACACCAGAGGAGCTCGGTGAGAAGCCACTGAAGAGCGACAGATGGCGGATACCGAAGTCGCGATATGCGAGCAACAGCACATATATCTCGCAGGACTCACGGTTACGCCCAGAATATCTTGACCCAGACCTGGTAGTTGATGAAGATCTGAAGGCAAGACTGGTCGAAGGAGGCATGGATGATCGGCTGGCGACGCACTTCGCTCACCTCTTCATCAGAGATCCCATCGTCATATTCGCAGAAGACCTCCAAGAGCTCGATCTTGAGAAGAGCGACCACTTTGAGAACCTTCAAAGCACAAATTGGCAACACATGCGCTTCAAGCCTCCACCACCCGGTAATGATACAGGCTGGCGTGTCGAGGTACGCCCGATGGAGATCCAAATCACCGACTTCGAAAACGCCGCCTTCTCCGTATTCGTCGTCCTTATTACCCGCGCCATCCTCAGCTTCGACCTCAATTTCTACCTCCCTATCCCACGTACCACCGAAAACATGGAAACCGCACACCGCCGAGATGCCGTGTTGAACGACAAATTCTACTTCCGCAAAGACCCACTCCCTCCACCCCAAACGAAAATCAACGGCGTCTCCTCCACTCCAGGTTCAGGCGCAAACACACCTCGCTCTCGTGTCCCAAGCCGCCCTTCTACACCCACCGGCCCGGTCGAAGACGAGTACGAGCTCATGACCGTCAACGAAATCATCAACGGCAAAGACGACGGCGGCTTCCCCGGGCTCATTCCATTAGTCGAGTCGTACCTCGACAGCGTTAACGTCGATGTTGAGACGAGATGCGAGCTCGCGCAGTACCTAGACTTGATCAAGGGTCGGGCGAGCGGGAGGTTGTGGACTGCGGCGAAGTGGATTCGGAGGTACGTGGCGGAGCATAAGGAGTATAAGCAGGATAGTGTCGTTGGGGATGAGCTGGTTTATGATCTTGTCAAGGCGGCAGAGAGGATTACGGTGCATGAGGGGAGGGATGGGTTCGCTAAGGAGATGCTTGGGGAGTGCCGGGAGCGGCCTTGAGTGACTTAGACACTGCTCTGTCTTCGATGAGAATGGAGAATGGCCATTGGCTCAACCATAGAGTGTAAATAGCGTGTTTTGTCACAACTTGGTTTGATGACTTCCAGATTCGTGGGCACCTCGATATGCGATGACTCCTTAATTCGTTGGTCAAAGCCGGACCCACCTTCCGCATCCGAGACTTTCACATGTTTCGCTTTCTGCTTCTTCGATATATCACGCTCGATCTACTAAAACAAAATGGCATCTACCTCGCCAGACGCACAGTATCCGCACTCTCTGTGAGCCGCAGTCACCAAGTTACATACTATCGCCCAAACACTAACATCGTTGACCAAGCACAATCCACATCCCCTTCCCAACCCATCGCCTCGCCAGATCCGCGCAGCAAAGTCTCGCCGTAGACGAAGAACTCTCATCGCTCGTCACAAGGAGCTTCACTCTCATCTCTGCAGCCCAAGCCAACAACGACTCATCCGACCTTGCTGCCTCGACATCTGAACTCACCCTGGACAATGAGCAGAGATCAGTACTCCAGGTCCATTACAAGGCGACTACCCCACGGATGCTCCGCGTAGCTGTGAACAGCTTCTTCGACTCGCTTGGTCTGGTCTTGCGAGTCATGGAGGAGTTGGATGTTGATGTGCTGCATGAGAAGGGGCTTGAGGGCTTGGAGGGGGTGCAAGGGGTGGAGCAGGGGATGACTGGGAGTGCTGTTGGGGTGGGTGGGTGATGAAAGGGAAATCTGGAATCGTAGGAGCTGTTTCACCGCTGCCGGTGCTCTTCGCGTAAGGGGTCTGATGGACTATAGCGAAGCCCAGCCCCAGCTCGTGGCTTGATGCTGCCGTGCGGGCGGTCTATTGGCCTCAGGACCTCTCGCACACACTGGGAACTACTCTGGAGTCTACCCGCACCCAAGTACTGGCGCAGTCGCGCTCAAGGCTCTCCTTCCATGCGCCCAGATCTGCCTCGGCTTCAGCAGATTCGACAATTCATCGCAAGCTCAATACTGCTAGACTGAGCAGTGATTGTTTACGTCGCATGGCGAAGGATGGGGCTTGCACTTCGATTGAGGCCTCTTTCCCGCCCTCAAAACAGCAGCACTTGGTGCTATGGAGATCCAACGGAGAAGATTCGCATGGCTCAGAAGGACAAGGCAGCGACACCGTCTAGATAAAGCAAACGTATTAATCTTGCACCACAGCTTCATGTATCGTGGTTCATCTTATCGTATCGTCTCGTCCAAATTCTTCAGTCTGACCCAACTCATATCTTATCTAAATCGTTTGCAAAAGTCGTGGGACTTTGCTTGACTTTCGCGAAGTCAGTCGCATCCCTTGAATCAGGCGAAGGCATCACCACAACATAGGCAACACTTGACATACAATGGCCGACGAGGAGAAGGAGAAGGCCGAGAAGCTAGCAGCAGCGAAGAAGAGAGTGTGTTCGGCAACCTGACCATTGACTGCGAAGACGACAACTTGCTGACTGCTGGTGTAGTTCGAACAACTAAAGAAGGAGCAGCAAAAGAAGGGCAAGAAGGGCGGCGCGAAGAAGAAAGGGGATAAAGCAGCCGAGGAGAAGGCTGAGGATGCTGCGCCGGCAGAAGAGCCTGCAGAAGCAGCCCAAGCAGCAGAGGAGCAGCCGGACGCTGAGGATGCCACGACAGCCGTTGAGGATGATGCCAGCCGGCCGGAGCCCAGCAGGAAGATGTCTATATCAGTACAATCGAAGCAGCGGTCAGAATCCTTTCGGCAAGGTTCCGGGCCTATGAGTCCGGGACTGGAAGTCCAAGACCTGTACCGCAAACAGGCCGCGCGCATAGAGGAGCTGGAGAAGGAGAACAAGGCTTTCAAGGAGCAGCAGGAGGAGGGTGCAGCTCGTCTCAGCAAGGCGGAAGAGGAGTTGGAAGGCTACAGGGAGGGCAATAGTGACATGGCAGAGCTCAAGACACAGGCGAAGGAGGCTGAGAGGCTGAAGACCGAGCTTGCAAACACGCAACGGCAGCTCTCACAAGCACAGCAGTCTGCGAAAGCACTACAGAGGAAGGCTTCGGGAGCCGGTCCTGACGCCGCCGAACAGCTTGCGAGTAAAACGTCGACCATTGAGTCGTTGGAGCTGGAATTGAGCAATCTACGGAACCAGTTGAATGGCCTACAGTCTACCATATCTGAGCGCGACGCTTCTGCGAAAGAACTTGAAGAACGCGCCTCGGCAGCTGAAGCCTCCACTGACACCGTCAAGGAGGAACTGGATGCTCTCAAGGTCTCTATGACCTTTCCCAGCGACGAGACTAAAGCTGCGAACGAAGATCCTGAAGCATTGACCAAGCGCATTACTGTCCTGGAGTCTGATCTACGCACTGCCAACACGAACCTCGATGCTGCCGCCAAGCGTGCAACCAGCCTTGAGCAGAAGATCGAAGCTTTAACGAAACTCCACCGCGATGCAACGGCATCATCTCAAGCCAAGGATAAAGAGCTCACCGATCTCCGCTCCCAGCTCCGCCGTCGAGACCGTCCTAGCCATGTCAGAGACGCCTCCGAGTTCGAGCTCGGCGAGGAGGAGACAGAGACCGGAGCACTGCAAGCCCGCATCCGCGCCCTCGAAGCAGAGAATTTTGACCTCAGGCGCGGCGTCTGGCGCGATAAGCGTGCGGAGATGCAGCCAGGTATGGATGATGAGCAGGGGAGAAGTCCTGAGTACGAAGACGTTGACCTCAATGGGCCGTACACGCCGCATGGTGCAAGAGGGAGCAGCGCAAGTCGTGCCCAGCACTCCACCTTCCAGGATGTCATTACCTCCGGCATCAGCGCGTTCACCGGCAGACCGCGCGACTCAGCAGGGGGTACAGTTGGACGGCCTAGAGGCTCGACAGGCGCGCATGGGAGAAAGCAGAGTCTCGGGCTGTTGTCGGAAGATGGGGATGACTTTGACCCGGAGGCTTTCCAGCTGGCGCAGGAGGAAGAGGCGAGGCGGCGGGTGGAGAGGGTGAAGGAAGTCAAGCGAGGTCTGCATCAGTGGAAGGGCTGGAGGGTGGATATTGCTGAGATGAGAGTCAATGGCGTGCCGGGGAGGGAGTGTGGGCCTGTGTTTGAGGTCTGATGTTGTCGTATCCTGTACTGTAGGAATACCGATATCTTCCCAGTGCATTTTGGTGTACTCCCTGATCAAACTGTCTCTTAAATCCCAACGTTTGCACACGACAAGTCAGAAAAGGTAGATATGCGGACAGTAGGAGGTTGCCAGCCCTACAAGGACGAGCTGAGATTAGCTCTAGAGCACGTTGGAAATTCTGCTTCGACCTCGGTTTCTCTTTCCAACCACACCTCTTCAGCCTCGCCTTATGCCAAGGTATGTCTACTGTCAGGCCGTCAAGAGCGACCGTCGGTAAAGATAAGACTGCTGCAATTCCTTTCCTTATGTTCCAATTGCTTCATGTGCAAAGAGTTCTCCAAATCTCCTGCCGCGTCCTGCCTCCATGTGCCTCCCGTCTCAAGCACACCTCTCTCAATTGCCTCATCGTGACAACTAGGCTCCAAGCGCTCTATCATGCCGCACCACTCTACCATGCATTCTGACTTCGTCGCCATCCCGTGGTGCAAGGCCCTTCTCGAAGACTCCAGCTACGAGCACGTGGAGTCTCATACCGGCTCCCTAGACCGCCCGCTGGCGCCTGGCTCCATGACGCTGATGGCGAGGACGCTCGCTACTCCTGCAACCTTTCGAGCGATCACGTATCTCTACAGCACGTCTAGCCCAGCCGCCAGCACCATTCCTGACGGTTCGGAGGTTGAAGGCGACGGTGGCCACATCCTCGCCCTGATCTCTGTCGGCTCGGAAATGACATCCCATGTTAATACTTTACATGGCGGTATACTCAGTACGCTGGTCGACGAAGTTGGCGGAGCTCTAGCAATGCGCGAAGCTGCCTTCGGGACCAACATGATGGCTGTCAACTTCAACATCAACCTGAAGAAGCCAACCAGGACCCCATCTGTGATCTTAGGCAGAGCATGGCGCGAGAAGAAGGGGGAGGGCCGGAAACATTGGATTAGGTATTCATCGCCCTCCCAGGGTCTCCTTCGAGGCGAGCAAACCCAGCTTACACTCATCCTAGGTGTACTATCGAGCAAGACGGAGTCGTTTGTGTTGATGCACGCTGTTTGTACCTCACAATACCTGGAGCGAAGCTTTGAGTTCAAATGCCTTGAATCTACATGGTGCCAGCCCTTCGATTCGGCTATAGGAAAATCCATGAGGAGTCAAGGCGACGTCTTAAAAGAAGTGGCAGTCTCCGTAATCCACACGAAGCAACAGTATCCTGAGGAGCCTCCTGGTAGGAGTTTGTTGACCGGGGAAGAGGTGAGGAGCTTGACTGGATTCTGACTTTCAGTCTTTAACTGACATGTGAATTTCTCAAGCAGATAGCTTGTGTGACCTCACCTCATTCACAAGTACAGCCCCTTTCGAAGGTCGCCGCACACTTTTCAGCTTCACCTTCGAACCCGGCGCACACAAAGACCACTTGCATGCGCGCGTAATGGCAGAGCCACCGAATGCCAATGAAGTCGACCGCCTCTCGCCGCTGCCGCCGGAAGTCCTCACCAATGTCTTCTCCCGCCTGACTACGAGAGACATTTGTCGCGCGCGCAGGCTCAACAAGCGCATCAAATCTTTCGTTGACGTCAACACCACCGCCATCACTTCCTGACGATTCTGTCCAATCAACAACGGATCAGCGAAGACCACCGCAGTCTCTTCAAGACCGGGGATGTGTCGTTCCCAGAGGTGTTCGAGCGGTACCTTGACTACTACCACACGGTCCGGCCCACGACCGACGCTGGATCGAGGACATTGCAGCGACTGGCAAGCGTGCATGTGCGCGCTAGGTATCCCAATCGTGGTGCTTCCGGGTATGTCAATCCGATCGGTGGAAGGGTTCTCTGACACAAGGTCAACTTTCAAGGACTGCGTGCCGCTCTGAGATCTTTCCATCTTTGTTCCCGCTGTCGAGATTTCTGCTGACCTTTATTCCCATCACTTCAGGGCCAAGGACTCCGCGGTCTTTGCGTGGGCTGCACGAGCTGCTCTGTCCAACGCCAACCAACCACCCAATCATCTCGTCGAAGAGGTCCTTCATCACGCATCGCGAAACCTCGGAGACGACGAAATTTCCGATGCTTTTGGTTCGATGGAAGCCATCGTCGCGCGGAGGAATGATCTGGTTCAGCAGTCGCCTTCCACAAGCACCCACCAGCGCTATCGTGCAGTAGCTCTGCGACTCTCCTCTTTTGATGACGATACGCACGCCAGGGCTCTATGTATCTTGCTCCGCATTCCAGTCCTACCATGGGAAGCCGGCTTCTTCTATTATGTTGAGAGCCAAGAAGTCCGGGAACTGGTGAATGGTTGGACTGAATGGGGTGTTGATGGAGGTTCCAAATGCAAGCCGACTTTGTTGCAAAAGGCTGTAATACTTGAGGATCTGTTCATTTGGTGAAGTCCGGTTGGAGCGATGTTGGCGAAGCAACAAATCTGGCTAGTGGGCATGGCATCGCTGCTGCTGCAGGCGATACGGTGAGCACACGGCGTCTGGGACGAGAAGGAAAATGCAAAGCATCAAGCAGCCGGCTTGCACATTGAGGCGCATTGGTAGTGTAGCAACACTGTCTGTTTGGAATTGCCAATTTATAGTTGTTCCCTTTCTCGTGGATAAAGTCCTCGCTTACCGCTTCTTCCAGCGTCATTCGTTCGTGAGAAGATGACCAAGATCTGGGTTGGAGAAATATCTGTCCAGCCAACGTCCTTGTATTACCAAGGACGAAACGATTCAAGTACAAAGACAACGCCTTGAAGCCGAAAGCGCAGTGCGTGACTCTCCTCCTCCCCGCCACCCTATAGCTGGAGTATCGTCGTCGAAACCAACATGGAATCCACAGCAATGGATCACAAGCCCCTGAAAGACCTCCTTGAGCTCCCGGTCGGAACGCTTGTTGACATCTTCTCATTCCTGCCCGCTGGAGACCTGGGCAAGCTACGAGCAGTGAGCAAGTTCACCAAAGCCCTCATCGACACGTACCCAAACTCTATCACCCGCCAAAGCATCCTGTCCAACCAGGAGCGACTCCAATCCGACCACGGCCACCTAACTTTCGCCTCTAGCCTGCCCTTTGTGGACCTGTTTCGCACAATGTTAGAGCATTATGGGCTGCCACTCGAGCTCCAACTTGCAAGAAGAATCACAAGCAGACTTTGCTGCTGCTATGTCCGGGCCAGATACACCCTCCTCGACGAAGCGGACATGGAAACCATTTGGCACGCTTTGATTGTTGCAGCAGAAGTCGTCATCTTCGAGAACCCAAATGGCCACGGAGAGAGCGGTAGTATAGCGGGTCTCCCTATCCCGAAAGATAACTTGCCAGAGTACCCTTTGGGAAATGTGGTGAACGTCACCGGCGATGAGAGTTTTCTACATATCGTGGAGCCAATGCGTGAAGCGAAGAGGACGCTTGTATTCCCTCCTGGAGGCACTGGTCTTACCAGAAAGCCGGAATGTTGGATTACATGGCAAAAGAGACCACGAGAAGATCCAGCTTGTCGTCTTGCCGTCGACAAGGTCGAACTTTTGGCTGCGGCGCTCGGTGTGCCAGAATTGTCGGGGCGTCGGAGATGGCTTTGCTTTTGTGTCAGGAGTCGAAAAGTATTTGACCTTGTGCTCAAGGTCTGCTCGAGAGATGTGATTAAGGTGACAGCGTTAGAGAAAGCGGTAATTCTAGAGGACCTGTCTGTTTGGTGAGGGGATGGGAAAAGAGAGTAGACCGGGTAGAAGGATGGGTTGAGGCAACCAGTGGGAACATCAAGGCAAGAAGGCCAATGTGGAAATGAAACAGGGGTGCGACATCGCACCGTACAGGAAGAGTGAAATGCGAGGATTGCTTGTACTTGCATACCTGCTATAGCTCATGTAGACCATCAGTCCAAGAACCACTTCGGAACCTCGGGACCCCAGACAGCCAGACTCTCGTCCCCAGCATGCATCCACCCGATGGGCGTGTCCTTGTTGACTAGATCTCCGTCCGCATAATGCTCGATCATGTTGCCTGTCGTGTCCCACCAGTAGTCTGAACCAACCGTCAGCGGTGCTCGGCAGAGAGATGTTGATGGAAGGCAACTCACCAAAAATCTGACTGCCCAATATGTGTCTTCCGACACCCCAGACGCTGGTATAGCCCTGCGCACCCAGCCACTGATGTCCAAGGTTCTGCGTATCGAAGTCGTGCACCTCGAAAGATGCATGGTGGACATGCGTTGTAGGGTTATGCGCCATGAACAGCGTATGATGGTCTGTGGGATCCTCGCCACGGTCTACATGCATAAAGACGGCTACGTCCTTATTCTGCCCACTCTCGTCAGGCACGTAGAGGAAGTCTGTAGGTATGAGGTTGAAGTTCTTGGTGTAGAAATCCAGCTCCTCTTCGAAGTTCGTCACACAATAGCCGTAGTGGCCCAGTTTGTGCACTGCAGCAGGACCAGGAGTGAAACGGTTGAACTTCCGTACACGCGGTTTCTCAACTTCGTAGTTGTGGATGATTTTGTTCGGGTAGTCACCGCGAGGCGCGGGTTCCTGGCCGTAGATGAGGTTGATCGGGAAGCCAGCTGGGTCATGGATGGTGAGGAGATGGCCACCTCCCGGCGCCTCGGTCATCTCCTCAATCTTGCCGGCGCCAGGTATCTTCGTAGCCTTCTCGAGTTCTGCGTGACTCTCGACTTCGAAGCAGCCACCCAGGAACTTCCTCTCTGGTCCTTTCTGAGCGTAGTAGACGTATTGGTCGTTGCCATAGCCTCTCCACCAGATCCGCTCCTTGTCCTCGCTCTCCTTGACGATGTGCATACCAAAGTCCTTCAGGAACTTTGTCATTGTGTCCAGATCGTTATGCTGGTATCGCATGTGCGACACCTTCACGATCTGGACCTGCTTTGACCGATCGATGCCCTGCTTCTTCTGCCATTCGTACGAGTTCTCGTTCTTGCGGTCACCGATCGCCTCCATATCCAGCATCGAGGCGCCGGCGTTTGGCCTGAACCCGCCATCGCCATCATCCTGTGCCTTCGCGGTCTGGGTAGCAGGTCTGTCGACGCCGAACTGTGATGAGTTGCCTTGTGGGGGAGTCCACGATGTCTTCTGCGCCGTCTCAGCCATGGTCATGAGTGTCTCTGTTGAAGAGCGCGGTTCTGGAGGCAAGATATGACGCTACTTTATGCTCGTCAGCAGTCATCGCGAAGTACTGGCTCTGTGTCTTTCCAAGCGTATCTGCCGAAGCTACCTGAACGTGACAACGGAGGTGGGGATCGGAACCATTGCGGAGCTTCTGTCTCACGCTGGGTGCTTATGCGGTCTAAGCCAATTATGTACTAGAAACAGGTCTGGCATTGAGACGAGCGGAAGATGCGCTTGTGCGTGACTTCACATTGATTCTTTATGCATGTCTACTCTTTCGAACCATCTTCCGGAACATGGAGCTAGGATCAGAGCAATCCGCTACACCCGAGCAATGCATCCTGGTGCGCTGCGATGTGAGCAACGGCCACAGCATATTCTAGTGCCCGCCTTGAATCGTACATGCCTGACTTCTCAACCGCTCCCGAGCCTAGCAGAAGTCTCTAGAGGACCAAAAACATGGCCCCCTCATCACCACGATCGGAGCAGCCCGCCTTCTCCAATCACCATACATACATGTCCTCCAGTACAGCAGCCTTCTGGAACGCCGTCGGCTCCACGTTCGTCTTCTCGAAAGTCTCACAGAGATACATGACCAGGAGAAGCATCCTGTGACTGTGCACGCAGTACTCGAAGCAGCACTTCCACGTCACGGGTGTCACGCCGAGCCAGTTCTCCAGCCACTTAAGCTGCCACGAGTTCGACAGCGGTGGACGCTCGTGGTCTTCTTCGAACCTTGGGTAGCTCGAGAGGCGGTAGTTCGAGTATCCCATGATGTGCGGCGGATTCGGCGAAGAATAGTGAGCTTTTAAGACGGCTATAATCGACGGCATTGCGTCATGAAGGCTGTCGTCGTTGACTGTTCTGGCGAACAGATCGAAGTTGTGTCGCGTGGTCTGCAAATTCCCCACCTCCTCAAGGAACGGACAGTTTTGTGCGGCATATTCCAGAAGGTTGTGCACAGGCCGACATATTGCGTTGTTCAAAGCCTGCAGAGTGTCACGGCTGAGTGCAACATGCTGATATTTCGTTGTGATATGGTTGATGCACAGTCTGCGCAGGACACGTTTCCGAGTCTCCAAGCTGTCGATAGTACCGTAGTGGTCAAGATAACGCCTGATCACCTCACTGAGCGGGACACTTCCGGTGTTGACCAGCAGATCAACTTGCCAACCGAGACGTCGCTGGTGAAACGCGATAGACGGTCTTGCAATGGCTGCCTCATTCTCATTGACAAGAGCTTTGATGGCCCTGGTAACGCGCCTGACGGACCTGCAGGTCTCCTTGATCGGCAGCCAGGAGAAGATGTTCACCAGGAGCTCAGGTGGTAAGGTGGACAGTCGGTCGGGCTTCGGTGTGGTTGTGGCAGTCGCGGATTGTGGTGCTGTGTCGTGCTTCATGATTGCGCCCGGCACGAGGATGGCGCCTGGTGGGAGGTCCGCCATCGTGGTGTCGATCTAGGCATTGAAGGTTGGTGAGTTGATGAGGAAGTTTTGTGAGATGATGTGAGAAGTTCGAAACATCGCAGTGTTTGCACGTGAACGTGAAGTTCTCTGAAGCGCATGTGAAGTGCATTCAAGGTTTAGGCAGGACATGAGGAGGAGAGCCATTCACTTACAAGAACCACGATAGTGCAAATTGGAACTCACGTTCCTCGTGTTGTGTACGACTGGACTGCAGCTATCGTGATTTACGAGAGTGAGGCCATCGCATCCGCTCCTGCTTTCCATCCGCCATTTCCGTTATGCTCCACCTCCCCTCAGATGCAAAGAGCCGTGGTAGTTACTTCCAACGTTGCATTTGCAGTCCGCCTCAGCTCCGAGTTGCATTCTCCTCGTCCTAGTAGCTCAGCTCACTCACCAGCTCACCAGATGAATATGTCCTCAAGTATTGCTGCCCTCTCAAATGCCGTCACAGTGATGGTCTGCCTCTCGCATACCTCGGAGATCAAGTCGAACGTCCGCTCGCACTTCATGCAATACTCGTAGTGACCGGTCGGCGGCAAGTAGGCAATACCGAGCGCTTCTGTGAGGACTTGGATCTGAGCTTGGCTGAGCGGCAGGCGCTGCTTGGAACCCGAGATGCTGGAGTCGGAATCTCTGGCGAGCCAATACCGTGGCTTCAAGGGACGCTCGCTTGTTTGACATGAATAAGTTGAGGACTTCGTGATAGCGGCGACGGCGTCCATGAGGTGAATGTAATTGTCTCTTCCAAGAGCTTCATCAATCTTGGCCATAACTGGTTGGTATATGTCCCGGACCTCTTGATCAAAGATAACGGGATCTTCTGATCCCCGAGACGCAACTTGGATGGCTGTTCGTACCTGTATGGCAGTGCGCAGGTCAGAGTCCACGTCTCCGGGCTGCATGTAGTGTAAGATTGTCTTCATTAGGACGGATGATCCTGGAGCGGTCATTGGGTCGAGGCCGTAGTATCCGATAAATCGGCTGAACACGTCCTCAATGGACACGCCGTCTCCGATATTTACGAGCATGTCATGATCATTTGCGAGACGCCCTTGGTGATCTCTTGTCGTCAGAAGCGCGACGGCTGTGGCGTTGATGTCGATGACGGCCTTGATAGCGCTGCTGAGAGTTCGGTACTGGCAGACTGCGGCCGGAGACAGACGTGAGAGGATTTTGACGAGCAACTCCGTCGGCAGCGCCGATAGTCGATCTGGTTCTGCCATCGTGCTCGCTGATGTTGCGGCCATGGTGCGGGTAGCAAACGGTGTTGGGTCGCAGAGAATCTCGGTCGGAGGCAGAGTTTGGTGATTGCTAGCGCGGACTGTAGAAGTGGCGTTGCGCATGTGGAACTCTAGCGATTCACAGCCGAGCAAGCACGAGTGGGTGCACGTGAGAGGGGGTCCCTCTGATGATGTCAGCGACAGCCAGAAGCGTGGCACTTCATGAATACCTTACTCCTAGATATGAAAGCAGCAGGACACACTTCCTTCGCATGACCAGCTCACATCTTGACATCCAGCAAAAACCCTGCCCACAGCGTTTGATGTTACGTGTGTTCGATCACATGGTCGTGGCCTTCACCACGTGCAATCCATCGTAGCCGCTGCGCAAGATCTAATGCTGCCCGTACTGTTCGCGGTTCCTTGGTTGTTCAGCAGCGTCTTCGCGCACACCGTAAGAGACGTCTTAGTGAAGCCGTTTAGGGCGTACATGAGGTTTCGTCCACTCCAGAGGCAGTCCTCGCCACTCGAAGAACCTTCGCATCACCCAGCAACATTGGTTATGTTAGGAGCCGAATACATCTCCAACTGCCTCTCCCCTTTCCTCAGCATAAATTCCACAGCGCCAAAGTCCTTGCGATCAATGTCCACATTCCGCTGAAACTCCCTCCTCGCGAACCGGTAGAAGTTTGGTCTTGTATCCAAGGGCTTCGACCTGGCTGCGCGGATGCAACGGCGATAGAGGGACAGAACGTCCTTCTGAAGGCCGGAGAGTCGTGGCATTCCAGGAGACGGCGATAGGGACTGGATGATGGGTGAGCAGGAAGAAGAAGAAGAAAGTGAAGTGAAGTCGTGTCGTATCCTGCCTAAAGCGGCAGCGCTAATTTAAGCGAGAACTTTTTGAGGTGAGGTCGCGTCGAAGCGCGACGACTGCTTCCTGAGGTGAAGTTACGAAAGAGCAGGATTGTGGTCGACAATGGCGGGAGATATGACTGAGACGGTATATGCGCACAACATCACCTTTTAATACGGATCGCAACACCAGCAGGGTGCCCCCAACGAACCGCGGACCATACAAAGCCATGGCTTCTCCTACGCAGTCCAACTACTTCCCGCCTCTGGACAAGTGCCTGGCTGGCAGTGAGCGCCTGGTATCATGGAGGACCGCATCTACCGCGTTATGCGATCCTAGAGCTGCCACAAATAACGCACTACAAGCCTTTCTCAGCGATCCTGAAAGCAACAAATACCTTACACATGCGCTCGATCCATTCCCCAAACCCGGCCCCAGGACGAAGAACGATTTCGAGACCAAGACCGCGCCCATCCACGTCGCGCAGTCCACAAATGGCGACTATGACCTCGAAGAGCTGAAGAAGGATGCGCAATGGCTGTCCGAGCAGGTGGCTGTGGAAGAACTGGTTGCGCTGAGGTGCGTGGTCCTTGAATGGCAGCAGAGGGCAGAGGAGCAATTGCTTGCATCTTTGGGAGAAAACGGCAGTGCTGTGGGTGGTACAGAACTTGGGGCGTCCTTGTTGGGGACAAGCACCGCCGGTTTTGCCTCGTCACTATTAGGACCTACGACTACGGACGAATTCACCAAAGAGGAGCCAAGGCGGACAAGACAGTTGCAGCTGTACTTGGAGGAAAGAGAGCATATCCGCAAGGTTGAAGTGGCTTTGATAAACCGCACTGCCTCATCAGTCGGCATCTCTCAATCGAGCGGCAGCTGGATTGATGATCTCGGAGCGAAGGTCGTGGAAGATATGTGCTCCCCAAACAGCCGAACAGCATTTGAGACCTTCCTCTCAGGCTGCATCAAGGATCTTGAGAAGAGCGTGGAACTTCTGGATGACAGCACAAAGTGGCCGAAGATATTCCTCGCAGACGAAGCAAAGCAGGGCATGTACGCAGTTGCTGGCTTCAGGGACCTTACTTCCGGTCTACAGCTGCTCCTCGCAGCGCTCCATCTGATCACGTCCAATACCTACATCCCGGGTGGGGACCTGGTCAGAACCTATTTCGAGCTCATGGGCAAAGTCAGCTTCTTCTCCGCCACTGCGTCCTCCCCAGCCCTACCGGATCCATCAGCCCTCAAAGCTTTAGCGTCACTCGTATCGGTTTCGATTCTCTATCTTCCCGCGGCTGTCTCGAACATCCAGGACACCGCATCTCAGATGCTCAACAGCGGCAGCGTGCAATACCCGGCGCTTCCCACCCAGACTGACATGTACATCAACGACGAGACATGCCTCCATCAGGTCAACTTAGTCATCTTCAAGGCCGCTACTTCAAAGCAGCCGCTCCCTCTAGCTGGTCCAGCTATCCTCGCCTGGAGTCTGCTGACAAGCAACATTCGCGATATCGCCAAGCTTCTGCAACAAGCTAGAGAGCAGCGGCAAGCGGAGGAGGCGAATCAAAGTAGTCCCGGCATGGCGCGAAGGCCGTCGAGGGATGACCTTTCCACTTTTGAGAACCAGTTCGCTCGATTGCAGGACGGACTCAATCTCGAGGAGGAGGACCGCGACGATCCTCCTGGCTGCTTGGCTAGGGTCGCTGTTGACGGCATTGGCGTTTTTGACATCCTGTCGCAGCTTGCTTCGACCTCTGCAATGATATGGGACGATGAGACCTCCTTCATCGCACGTGCAGCGCTCTTCGACCTTCTGCGCGAGTCGACGGCACTTGTTTCGTACAGTGCAGATCTACTGGATGCTGTATTGAGCTCTCTGGTGCCCAATTCTAAACCAGCAACGAAGATGGAAAGCAAAGCGGAAGATCTGAACACCCTTTTGGCCGACCGCCTTCTCGAATCTGACGATATGCAACGTGCAATCCTATCGCAAGCCGTCGCGAGATATCCGTTTGAACTCTCGCCGCTCCTCCGACTTCTGACCGCCCTGACGGCCGGCTCAAATAAGCAATCTGTAGGCCCGGTGGATCTGGTCAGGATGCTGGACGTGATGCCATCATTGACTATAATGGTCGATCATTGGTTCAAGGGATACCAACTTGAGAACGAGGATGAAAACGAGAACAATATCGCGCTCACGGAGGATCTACCTCTTTTCATCTCGAAGCAGTTCGAGCAAGGCTTCTTTCCTGGGAACAGCCCGAAAGCGATCACAATGGGCAATAATGGATCACATGCGTCAACATCTGTCTTGACCATTCCGGCAGGAACGCAAGGTCTAGTTATCAAGGAGACTCGCCCCATGGTTCTTCGATTAGAACACCAGCACTCCGCTCTGGAATACTTGGGCCTCTTGCTGGCAACCTCCTTACCCGCTTCCGAACTTCTTCCTGCTCCTCCAATGGACACCAGCCTTGATCGTGCCACCACTGCCGACATCATCTCGCTAACTACTGCCATACTCACCGCAAGTCTACGCCAACATAAAGGCGTTGAAGAAGCTCGCTACGTCCTTGGCCGCCTCTCCAACTCTCTGCCCGAAGGCCAGGACATCATCTTGATCATCTTCGATATCCTGGAAACCGAACTCCTTGCACACCTCGACCAGAGTACCGGCGAAGGGTCGCTTGACCTACTTGTCGCCTGCGCAGAATGCACGGCCACCCTTGTTCCTATCTCGCCCGACCGAGTCTGGAGCTCGCTGAACCGCAGTGCGTTGCTCGGCCTCATAGGTGGCGCAAACGCTCTTGCAGCTGTTGTAGGCGGCTCGGAGGTCCCAAGTGGCAGCTTTCGCTTCCTCGCTGCTTCTGTCGACCTGTACGCAAGCCTGGTTGACGACGCCGTTGCTGGACTCGTGAAGCGCAAACCAAGATTCGTCAAGAGTCGAGGACGCTTCGACAGCCCGATGACCGATCAAGATGCCACGCCAGAACGAAGCATTGGTGCCGTACTGGTGGCTTTCCAACGCGCAATGGGTGATGCGTGGATGGGCGTTGGAGAGTGGCGGTTTGGACTGCGAGAGGAGAGGTGTGGGATCTGGACAAATCTGGCCGGGGGGTTTGAGACGTTACTCCGTGCTGCATACGGTGTCGGTGGAGAGGGGCAGGGAATCTCTGGTGCTCTAGAACCGGCTGCAAGACTGGTGGTGGAGGCATTTGCAGGGCAGGATGGGACGTTGCAGAGCTTTACGAGGGTGTTTGGGGAAGGGCTCGGTGCTCAGGAGCCTGCGTTGACTCCACTGGAGACGAAGGCCGTTGTCGGGCAGATCGCGGCTGCCGCAGAGTTCTTAGCGACTCTTCTACGGACGACGAAGATGCTGGACGTGGGCCACGACAAAAAGAGGGGAGAGGTATTGGGCCGACAACTGGTGAAGCTCATGCCCAACTTTGCTGCTCTGGTGGCCACTGGTCATGCCTACAAGCAGTGCTTGTCGCTTCTACTGGCAGAGGTTGTGCAAGCGGTCAACGGCAGCACCTCCACTGGCTCTACCGACACGCCCTCGCTCCTCAGCCCTCTTAGCGCAGACGCAGGCAGGCACTTCCTGGCGGTCGTCTCACACCTCGATCGGCCTCTTCGCGACCTTGAAGTCGAGACCAGCATCTGGGCTTTCCTTGCTGCAGTAATGGCCAACAAGCAGCAATGGTTCGCAGTCTATCTTCTTACCGGCTCCCTGCCTCGAGATCGATTAAAGGCACAAAGCGCCCCACAAAGCAAAAAGTCGCTCCTTACGTACGCCCTGGACCAGCTCTCAGACATCGCGGCCACCCAGCCAGAGCGAGCAATAGCGATGCTGAAGTTCGTGGCTGCAGCGCAAAACGCCTGGGTTTGGGCGAGCAGCCAGATCCGGGAGCATGAGACCTTCCTGAAGACTTCAATCGACTGGCTGAGCAATCTCCAGCCACCTTCCGAGCAGGCTAAGAAAGGTAACACGGCCGAGCAGCTTCTGGCCGCTAGCGAGCACAGGACCGCCGCCTACCTCTGCGAGATCCTGGCTGTTGGCGTTCACGCTGGCTGCGAGGTTGGCGACCGCACGGTCCTGAAGCTGTCGTTGCCAAAGCTGCGATTCTTGCGGGAGCACGGCAGCGAGGTCGATGCTTATAATAACTCACTTCACGGCAACTTGGAGAAGAACTTCAAGAAGAAGTATGAAGACGTCAGCATTGAGGTGACGGACTTCAAGCGCACGACTGCTTTCGCCAGCCCTACGCATACTGAGAAAGGCTTCGAGTATGATCTTGAGTTCGCGGAGCAGGTGCTTGGCCACGAGCTGGCTTGGCTTGGTGCACGATTGTCGGTCCGAGATACTGGGTTCAAGGAGGAGTTCTCTAGGGCCAACGTGAACTTGAACCTGATGCATGCGCAGCGTGAGTTGCTGAGTGCATGGAGAATCCTGGCAACAACGATGTCTGAGTGTCTGGATACAGGCTCTGAACAAGAGCAGAAGACGCTTGGAGAAGAGCTCGCCAAGGTCGTCGAGAGATGTCTGCGGGCGAATGCAAATTTCGACCTGGGTGTACCCGGAATGGGCGAAGTGGTCGACACAAGGATGGGGCTGGCTTTCACAGTGCTTTCGAAGCTGGCTGGGCTGAGGGTCGAGAACGATAACATGCGAGGCCTGTTGGCTGCGGCTTACGATGCGGTCGTGGCATGTCCGGTCAATTACGACGTGGCAGAGAAACAGGAGGAGCTGGTGTACTGGAGAACAGTGCTGCAGGTGCTGTACCTGGCTATCCAGCCACATGCCTATATGAGCAGCGGGAGTTCCAGAGGGACAACGAACGGAGCGAGCGCGACAACCGAGACGCAGATCGTCTTCCTGGATCCGGCTGTCGCGGGAGTTCTGGTTCAGGTCGTGGAAAAGGTGGTCGCACCCGGCTTCCGTGCTCTTTGCGGCAACCTGCACACCAGCATCGACACCGCACAACCAGCTGACTTCGCCCTTATCACCGCAATCCTCCGAGCTCTACTTTCGGTCAAGGGCGTCGAAGCCGTTCACACTCAGATCGCTGAGGCCATTGCATCCACCAACCTCGTCCGCGGAGCGCTGAGTCTGTACTCTTGGTCCGACCGCTTGGCATCCCCTGACACTACCTCGGACAGGAGTACCGGCCACGACCCCATCTACGGCGAACTAGCCATCCTCTTCCTCCTCGCTCTCTCAACGGTCCCTGGCGTCGCAGAGCAAATGGCTCTCGACGGCGTACTTGCCCAACTCGCCTCTGCGAACCTCTCAGAGTACTTCCGCAAGCCTGCTGGGAAGGGACCATTCGACGAACCGCGCCGCCTCTTTCCGATCTGGACTGAAGGTTTCCTCCCGCTGTGCCTCAATCTGCTGGACGCTGTTGGCGCTCCGGTGGCGGGTGATGTGTCGACCTTCCTGAGCTCGTTCCGGCCACAGCTCCAGCGCGCGGAGACCGCACTTGAGAACCGCGCGCCTTCTCAACGCAATCCGTACGGTGGAGCTATCACGTTGGGTTTGGTGAGGGAGGCACACAGTCTCTGCCTCATCGCGAAGCTGCTTGGTGTGTTCGTGGCGTATGCAGCGGACGCAGGCATCGATGCGAATGATGTGCCAGAGCTTCAGTTCGATGATAAGAAAGTCCGGGAGGATATTGTTGGATTGGCGAGGCAGAAGACTAGTCTTGCGAGCCGGATCGTGGCAGTTGGCGAGAGGGAAGAAGTCTGGCAGCGGACTGAAGCTGGTGGGACGGATAATGTGCTGTTGGCGAAAGTTGTAGCGGAGATTGAGGGGGTGGTGAGTTGGGACGGGGATGAGGGATGAGGGTGCAATCTAAGGTATCAAAACATCACTTCGGGTTGTTTAGTTCAGCGAGGCGTTGGTGTGGTCAAAAGGGATTGCATAGCGTGGAGTGCAAGGGCATCTCCAAGCTGCAAATAATCACTGGCGATGTCGAACGAAGGTCATGGGAGACATGCTGCGCTTCGAGATGCATTGTGGTAAAGAACCAATAAAACCCTTCCATAATCCAGGCCTCGCGCCAGTCAACTGTCACACAGTGGTACAATACAGTGGTTGCTTACTCGAATTCAGCTACTATTCAATTCTCCGAGTCGGTAACAAGATTCATCCCTTGTGACGGCCGTCAAAACCCCTCAACACTCCTCACGCTGGAGAAGCCAACCACCGCTGGAACCACCTCACCGCCTGCGCCTCGGCCTGCTTCCCGCGCTCCGCCTCCTCCTTATCATCCTCATCCGCCCTCACAGCAAATCCATGATGCGCACCGGGATAAAACACAAACTCATGCTCCACCCCCTTCGCCTTCCCCTTCTCCGTCTTCTCCTTCAAAGTCGCCTGCGTTTGCTTGGCCTGCTCCGGACTCATCTGCTGATCGTTCTCCGCAGCCGCAACCGCGTACGGCAGCTCAACCTTGTTGATATCGTCTGGGTACGTCAAGAACGACGGGTGAGCGACGAACCCGCATTTGGTCACCTGCGCGCCGTCTTTGAGGCGGTTTTCGGCGCCGTCCCAGCATAGTTGGGTGACGAACTTCCCGCCCCAGCAGAATCCAGCGGTTCCGATGGAGAGGTTGCTGGCTTCGTTGGTTTTGAGGGACGAGAGGAAGGACCAGATCCGGGGTCCGCAGGCCGCGGGACGGCACCAGAACATGAAAGGGAGGAAGGTGCGCATGGCGTAGAAGATATGAGGAATTTTGGAGAGGGACAAGCCTGGCTGTTGGATGGCTTTCATAGAGTCCAGGAGGTCAGGAGGGAGTATAACGCCTGTGGTGATGTTAGCTGGGTTGCTTGATCGGCGGAGAAGGGGGGACGTGATGTACCGTTCATGAACTCGGGTAGGTAGACGGTGAAGTTGCCTTCTTTTGCGTAGCAGTCGGCCAGGACTCTGTTGTTTGGAAATGTCCATCCGAATGCATCTGGGATGATTACGACGATGCCTTTGGGCGGTCCGTTTGGTGCATCAGCGATATAGCAGTCAAGGCCGTGTACTTTATCGATCCGACCGGTCGGTTGGCCGCTGTGGAGGGAGCCTGTGGCGCAACACGATTTGAGACCCATTGTTGAGATTCTCTCTTGACTTGACCGAGGGACAGGTGAATAAAAGGAAGCAGGTTGGCATCAGGAGATATCTGCGGGATATATGCAGCCAGTGCATCAGGCAACACGGGCGATTAGTAGACATCGCATCGGATCAACGACGTTCCGCTCTCGGTACCGCTGTCGGCGTACGGCATTGTATCTCGTTTTAACTTTCGCAAAGCACTTCAACCAGACCAGTAGATAATCGAATATAAGGTGTTGAAGAAATAGGAGTACCGGTGTCGCGCGGACATAGGAAGTATTGCATGGCCGTAACACCAAGCGAGCGCGGATTACTCTAAGGGATCTCGACCACCGTTCCCAACCAGTCTTCCCGTCGAAGGCGATGGTATTTCTACGCACCGCTCATCAAAACTGGGACAGTGCTGATTGCAGCTCAGGTCCACGCCGACTCGTCGAATTTCGCCTCAGGCGTGAGTAAAGACGCGGCCTACCAGCAAGTTCTCGAGCAAGCAGAAGCGCTGTTCGATGCGCAACTGAATTGGGTAGACGACTTCGAATCTCCGCAAATGGTCAACGAACAAGGAGCTGACAGCGGATAGGTGTGGTGAGTCTTGTGCGTATATCGTGTCCCACGCGGCTGTGTCTGAGGATTTACAGCAACACCGCCAACGCTGCCTCCCTGCTATGGCACGCCCTCCACGCCTTACCATCTCCAAGCAATCATGTCAACTGGGCCGGCTTCTATGTCGCAGATCCGTCAGCTCCCAATCAACTCCTCCTAGGCCCGTTCCAAGGGAAGGTAGCATGCCAGACGATAGCCTTTGGCAAGGGAGTCTGTGGAGCAGCAGCCGCGAGTCAACGAACACAGCTTGTTCCTGATGTCGAGAAGTTCCCGGGCCATATTGCTTGTGATGGAGATTCGAAGAGTGAGATTGTGGTGCCGATTGTGAAGGATGGAAAGGCACGATTGAGTAACCTCCCTATGAGAATGTTTCACTGACGACCAGTGATCAGGTTGTTGCGATCATCGACATCGACTGTGCTGTCGAGAAAGGATTTGATGAGGTCGATCAGACTCATCTCGAGAGTCTCGCCTCCCTTCTGAGTGCTGCTTGCGATTGGTCATAATCATCGAGGATCACATGGTGGTGCGGATGGCAGTCTGGTGACGGGCTGCCTTGCTTGAGCGGTACGTCAGCCGGAATAGGAAAGCAAGGCCACACTGTCGATGGAAGTCATGCTTCCTCTTGGTCATTGCAGGCGCGAGGTGGTGGGAGGAGATGCCCTCGTCCGATTCCCTGCTCACCGTTCCACGAAGACTGCTGAGACATCGAACCCGATATCTACCGAAGCCCGCTCGTCTCTAAGGTGCCAGGTAAGACGCAGGACATTGAGTCTTGCCAGGCTCGCGTAGGAGAAGGAGGAAAATTCTGTGTAGATCCTGACTACCTGTACCTCGCGCTGTTTACCTGTCGTTTGATGAAGCACTACCAGGCTCTCTGCAGTCCGTCCAAGCCTCGTGAAGCGCGATTACACACACTGTCTTCACTCTAGTTTGGTACGTTGAGCGAGCTCGACCGCCATTGCGAGCCAATGCTTTCCTGGCAGAGGATATGGGTTAATGATTCCGATACTGATAGGAGGCGTCGCTGGAAGACTGACCCCAAAGACTCGATGGCAAAACAACGTTCTCTTCCTCCCCCTTCCCTGCCCCCAACAACCACGCCCAGCAACGTCCTTCCTCGTCGAAGAGATGACAAAGGCGTTATCTTCTTCTGTGTAACATGATAAGTCTCGTACAATCTGTGCTCTCAGACATTTCTGTGACTCGACGTTGATAAGGTAGTACACACTCGTTCTCTATCCGTTTCGCCCCGAGTGACAACGGTAGGTCGTCTATATCAGAGCCACCTCAAGCCTGTCAAGTCTTTCCTGTTCATATGTTCTCTCAGCACCATCAGCACAAGCCTGATGAAGATCATTCTTAGCAAGATGGATATCCCCGACACTGTCAAGTCCCTCCCCGAAGACCTCGAAAGCATAGCTCTCGACAAGTTCGACAAACTCCAGGAGAAAGGCGACTTGCTCTATATTCCTCCACGACATCATGTTGTCACCCATGACGGGTTCACAGTAAGCCCGTTACTCCGCGCCTTGCTCTACCAACACCTGCTCACAACATCTCCAGTTCGACTTCATCATCTCCGAAGTCCTGACCAAAAAGCCCCAACTCGCAGACGCCGCCCAAAAGCCCGGTGGTCCCTTCCCCAACCCAGACCCCTCCTACATCGTCGCCCCCTTCGTCGGGCCAGACCACTACCTCACGCTAAACAAATACTCCGTCTCCCGCCCCCAATACATCCTCCCCACCCTCACATACTCCCCCCAAGCCTCCCAGCTCACCCCCTCCGACCTCTCCGCCGCCTTCGCCGTTCTGCTTTCGCTGAAAACAGAGCACATGGTCATCTACAACTGCGGCCCGGCGGCCGGTGCGTCGCAGGGGCACAAGCATTTGCAGATCCTGCCTGTGCAGAGGGCGGCGGGGTTTAGGTTCTTCACTGACGACATTTCCATCCCGACTGAGAGGCCGGTGGTGGTGGAGGGGGTGCCGCATAGATGTTTCGTTGTCGCGGTGCCGGATGAGGCAAAGGTGGAGGATCTGGTAGCGAGGCATGAGCAATTGCTAGCTCTCACCTACGCCGCCCTCGACAGGGTAAGCGCGGCAAGGAACTACAACATCATCATCGCCAAATCCTGGATGATGGCCATCCCCCGCGCGCATAGGGACCGCGACGGCATCGCGACGAATGCAATGGGCATGGTCGGGGTGTGTTGGGTGAAGCACGAAGAGGAGATGCGCGGGTGGGAGAGGTTGGGGTGGGGGGAGCATTTGAAGTGGTTGGGTATGTCGGCGTGAGCTGGGAGGTGAGCATGGGTGAGGCTTGTTGGAGGAAGGGGAGGGGAGGAGATGAGGGCTGATGAGGGGACGAATCTTGACTCAATTGATGTGTGTATAGGCAGGCGATACAGGTCACTCGTATAGTACAGAACTAGTCGAATATTACACTCACAACACAAAACTTATACATGATGAGAGGAGAGCAATGATTTGGCGATGCATATTGCACTGCTTCCGTTATGTATGCCTGTCTATCAATATACCCACAAACCCAAATCAGCTCGCCAGCCAGGCGTCATTAGATTACATTACCATTACCACCTCTCTGTCATCACCGCTCCGACAACACAATAACAACACCAAAATCCTGCCTGTGATTTATCTCTGCCTCCAATAAAACTGCTCTTTCTTCAACTTCTCAAGCTAACGACTGACGTGAGCCCATCTCTCTCAAAAGAACGCACCATCCCACTTCTGCTGCCCAACAGGCATAATCTCCATCCCACTATGCTTCGAGTTGCGGTCGACGCTGAGCTCGACGGGTCCGGTGCAGATCGTATCGCTCACACGGCGGGCATTGCGTTGAGCAGACTCCTGTATATCTTCATCATCAGCACACGGCACCGATAGATGGAAGACCGCGGAAGGAAGAAGGGTGAGAGAAGAGGACATACCTAATCAGACCTCACACTAAACGCCCTCTCCACCTGCACACCTAGGCCCCTCTCTCGGCCCAGCGACTGCATCTCCAGATCCTGCTCTCTTTCGCCCTCCCGCACCGAACCCTCGAAATGCCCCTTGCGTGGTGAGTCGCCGACAAGCGTGCCCGTTGTCTCGGTGTCGGTGTAGTAGCTGCCCTTCCCACCAGGCTTCTTTGCAAAGTCCGAGCCACCGAGCGGAATCTGGGCACGTCGGTCGCTCGATGCAGCGTGGCGGTTGTTCGTGTTGGCGGTCGCCCACATGGCGGAGAGCGGGAGGGAGATGGCGACGATGGTGGGTGGGACGCTGGTGAGTTGAGCGTTCTTGACGGCGAAGTAGGCGACAATGGTGAAGATGACTGCGCAAATGTCAGTGACGAACGTACAAAGGTGAGGTAGAGGGAGGACGTACGTGGCGTGCACATCGTCTGACATCCTATGACAAAGATGATCTGCATCGGCCCAAACTGCTTCAACCCCAGACTCCTCCTCGATTCGATGGCGAAGCCCAGCTTCGCGCAGAAGATGACGGTGGAGATGCCGATGCTGATGACGAGCGTGATGTTTGTGGCGGCGGCGAAGCGGTTGATCATCTTGAACTGCCATTCCGTCATGCTCGTCAGGCCTTCGATGTTCCAGGTGATGTTGACGACCATGAGAGCGAAGCGGAGCCCAATGACGGTGATCGTGGTGACCACGTTGATGGTGTTGACTGCGAGCTGCTGGAATGTCGCCAAGTTACAGCAGACGATTCGCACCTGCATGGCCAACGAGATCTCGATCACCACGATCAAGAGGAGGGAGATGAACTCTCCAGCAGCGCTGACGGCTTGGGCGCTTCCAATGTCGTTGTAGTACATCGTTTCCCAGCGGTAAAAATTGAAGAGCGGGCCTGTGTAAGCGACCAAAGACAGGATGGCCCGGAGTGCCACCAGAAAAAGGGCGGCAGCGTTGAAGAGGAAGACGCAGCTGCGCCGCTTCTCCTTGTTGGTGATGAGAACGAGGGTGAGGAGTAGCATTAGAGCGGCGCCGAGCTGAATGCCCTGGCTGATGGACTGGCCGACGGCGCTTTGCTGCAACACCATGACATCGGAGATGCTGATGGCAACCGGAGTCGTGCCATCGGGGCCAAGTACGGTGACGGGTTGGTTGAAGGCGTCAAAGGTCGCGTTGGTTTTCCAGACTGGTGCCATGGCCGCCATGGTGGAGGTTGTTTGTTAGGAGAAGTTGTAGTGCGTAAAGCAAAGGGCGTTGTCTTGTTGCTGCCTGTGACGGCTGCTGGTAGCTTCGATGAAGTGTCGATTATGGTGGTAGCCTGGTATGATAGCAGTAGCAGAGTGATGCAAGCAGTTGTCGGTCGCGAGGTCGAAACCTCGAGCGACGCCTTGAATTATAATACAGCGGACAATGTCCTCAGCGACAATCGCTGCGGATGAGATTGTCGGCTTCGGATCGTGTGGGAGTGAGTGACGGAGAAGAAATCGAACAATATCAACCACAATCGCGGACGGCGGGGAGCCCGAGAACCGCCGATGAAGGATGAAGTGAGGTTGAAAAGGAGAGATGGAGGAAGTGAGGTGACGAGGTCGAGATGCGAGGAGAAGGAAGGAGCAGTTGGTATGCGCCTGCTTCGACCGGGTGCGGCGGAAGCTTGGCCGCGACACCATCCTCAAACTTGACAAGACTTACGGAGAATGTTCCGTGGGCATTGCCAGTCGATTGCAGGCTGTTGACGTGAATGCGTTGCTGGAGAGAGTCGTGTCGCAGGAGTGAGCTGGCTCGAGCTGGGCTTGATATTGTTGTCCGCACAGGCCACCAGTTCATCGCCAGCGCCACCGGAACGTGCTGTTGACACCATCCTCATGGCGTGCAACACCCAACGCTGCAGCGAGTATTGCAATCGTGGGCCAGGATACGACTGGTTCAGAGGTCTGAGGCGCTCTACTTGACAGCATCCTCAATATCAGCTGTCGCGCCTGCCGCAGCTTGCACCTCCACGTGTCCCAGGTCTCCCGACTCCGCCTCCACCTTGACAGCGACATCGTCTGCTTCCACTTTCACTTCCTCACTCTTCGTAGCCACTTCTCCATCTTCGACCTTCACCTCAAGCTCTCGCTTCACCTTCTTCCTCGGCGACCCCTTCCTCACCTCCGCCCCCGGACAGAGCCCCTTCTCCGCCAGATCACAGTCGCCACACCTCCTGCCGACCGGCAGACACACCGTCTGGCCCAACCCAACCAACAAGTGATTGATCTCATGCCACTTCTCCCTCGGCAGCCACGCCTCCAGTTCTGCTCTCGTCTGCTCCGGTGTAGCAGTCTTGTGCCAACCCCACAAATTCGTGATCCGATGAACATGCACATCCACACCAATACCTTCAGTCCGGCCCCAGGCAGCGCTCATGCAGAGGTAAGCCATCTTCGGACCGACGCCAGGGAGAGATACTAGGCCCTCGATGGTGGAGGGGATGTCGTCGTTGTGCTTGTAGCGGAGGATGGTGGCAGTGGCTTTGAGGTACTTTGTCTTGTTGTTGTGGAAGCCTACTTTGCCTATCAATTCGTTCAAAACTGCTGGCTCCACGGCGATAAGGGATTCGAGGGTGAAGCCGCCTGGCATGTTCTCTTGCAAGTTCTTCATGGCGGCTGCTGTGACGGTGTCTTTGGTCTGCGAACTGAGCATCAAGCTAACGAGTGTCTGGAGACGTTGGTCGCGAGGAGAGCGATGCTCTTCAGCAAGGCTCTCGCAGCCCATGGTGTCCACTGGGGCGATGATGCGCTTACGCATAGCGGCTGTAATGTTGTAGACCTCTGCCCAGTTCGGTGGGGGCTCAACCGTCACAGCACCATTTGGACCCTTGATATGCTGCGCAGGCTGTCGTCGAGGCTTGCGAGGGAAGGCTGTGTTGTCCTGATTGTATTCTGCATCTTCTGTCTTAAGCGCTTTGCGAGGAGCGCGACGGACGGTCGTGGCCTCGAGGACTGCGGCCTTCCGCGGCGTACTTGTATCATCCTCGCGTTTGCGCTTCCCAAGTGAGCCCAACGAGCTCAGCGATGAACTGTCATCATCATCCTGTCGTATAACAGCATCTGGAGCTACCTTCTCTTCAACCTCCTGGCCTTCTGCACCAGCCCTGTCGTCCGCGAATGCCTGCAGTGACTGCCGCGTAGACCTCCTGCGCTCTGATGATAAGGCATTGACGATTTGCGCAGTCTCTCGCGACACCCGAGACGTGCGCATCGCTGCTTGATAGCCTCTCCATCATCTTTGAGTCCTCGTCATGAGAGTGAGCAGATCGCGAACTCACACGCGCCTGCCGAGATCCGAGATCTGGGGATGTTGCAGATCGCTGCCTAAGGGGAAGCCCAGTGCCGCACTCTGCTCTGGAGGCAGCTTCGAGTTCTTGCTCAACATCGTTGCATTCTCCCTAGCGAAGTAAGACAAGATGCCGTCGTCAGACTACACAAACGCCATCGGCGGCGGGCTGAAACTCAAGGGAGCGGGCGGCGTGGACAAGAAGAAGAAAAAGAAGAAGGACAAGCCGAAGGCCACAGACGAGGCAGAGGATGGTTCGAAGGCTGTTGTCGAGAAGGATGATGCAGAGACCTCGGCGACTCAGCGTGCGCTCGCAGACGAGGAAGGCGATGAAGCGCACACCGAGGCCGTGAAGGAGACGGAGTCGGAAACGAAGCAGTACGGCAAGACGGAGGCTCAGCGACGACATGAGGAGAGGCGGCGGAAACGGGTGAGTGATGTTTTCCTTGTGAAGCCGAGATGTGACTGACATCTGGAACAGCTCGACGAGCGTCTCAAGCGTGAAGGCGTCAAGACGCACAAGGAGCGCGTGGAGGAGCTCAACAAATACTTGTCCAACCTCAGCGAGCACCACGACATGCCGCGCATCGGGCCTGGCTAACGCGACCTTCGATGCTGCGCTGTCACCGATCGGCAGCCTTGTTGGATTGGTGCATCAGTCGTCCTCATAGAGTTCCCAGCACTCGCTATCAGGCTCGTCACAGCCTTCGATCTCAACCTCCCAACCCATCTCCTCTTCCGACAGCTGCCGCGCGCTGGCGTATAAACTCGCCACAGATGCATGTCGCTGGCTGCTGTCTCCGAAGTACTCATCGGCATCACTTTGCACTGTCAAAGTGCCGTTGGTGGTGTAGTAGCGGTCCTCCGCGTCTTCCTCCACCATCGACTTCTGGCGGTATTTACGCCCAAGATCCTCCGACTCCGGCGGGAAGTATGGTCCTTCGTTCGACGCGAGCTGGAGTGGCAGGCAGAATTGGAAGCCGGGCATGGGAAGCTGGGCGAAGAAGTCGTCGTAGGTGGGATGCATTGCTTGATCCAGGCTCGCAAACAGTTTCGAGCCGAACGAGATCTGCAGGGCTGGCTTTGGGTCATGAGCAGTACTATTCCTGTACGCTTCCGCCAGGACGTCCCATGGCCTTCGACAAGTATCCGTTCCGCAAGACTTGGTTACAAGCAATAGCCCACTCAGCCTTCCCATCAGCTTCTTCGTCTCCTCATCCGGGTCGATAGCAAGGTTATGCAACTCATACGGGTCAGCAACCGTATCATACAGCTCCGTGAAGTTCGACGTGCACCACCTATTGAACAGCCAGCCCTGCTTGCCGCCCTGCGCTATCATACGCAGCGACTTGTACGAGTTCTCCTGGTGCCTCTGGGAGTACGGTCCTGCAGGAGCATTTGACGATCCCCAGTACTCCACGTTCATGACCTCGCGATGGACTGCCGCGCCGCTGGAAAGCGCTTCCTCATCGCTTGCGGCTTGCCATTCTGGTAGCAGACTTCGGCCGTCGAAGAACTCTGGCCATTTGTCTTGCGGGAGTCCGGCGATGTCGAGCAGGGTGGGCGCGATGTCGACGTGGGTCTGTGGGATGCTGGTGACGCGGTTGCTAGGGATGCCTGGTCCGCGGATGGCGAAGGGGATGTTGACGTCGGAAATGTAAGGCAGGCCTTTGCCGCCGGTCACCCTGTGTTGCCCGAGGTGGAAGCCGTTGTCTGTGGTATAGATTACTGCAGCACAAACGTCAGCACACCATCCAGAGAAATGGCACGAAGAGTTCGCATACTGTAGGTATTGTCCAAGATACCCTTCTTCTCAAGCAACTCCACCACATCATCCACAATCTCATCCACCCCCTGCAAACCCTGCAACCGCGCCCGCATGCTCGCATCCACCATCTCAACCACACTCTCATTCATCCTCTCCAGCTTCCCAACCCACCCTGGCTTCCCTTGATGCAACTCATCCACCGGATTCCAATTCGGCATCCTCGGCGCCCCCACGCCCGGAAAATACCCCATATGTCGCTCCAACGGCACCGTCGGCCACCCACCAGGCCTCACATGCGGACTCGCCGGCGCAATCTCGAGATAAAACGGCCGCTTATCCGATCCTCCCCATTCCTCAATCACCTCCAACGCCTTCAACCGCAGCACGTCCGTCTGATGCCATCCGCGGTACTCGATTGATTTCCCGCCGTCTCGACGCATCACCACGCGGTTGAAGGAGTAGATAAAGGGCGAGACTAAGAAATCCGACCATTCCCAACCCGTTGGGGAGCTGACGCGGGAGTTTAGTCCGTTCATGAATTTGCCCAGGTAAGCTGTTCGGTACCCGGCGGAGGAGAGCCAGAGGGGGAGGTAAGAGGACATTTGCCCTGAGTTGAGGAATTTGCGGTAGCCGCCGCCTGGGCCGCCGACTGCTCGATCGTTAGTATTGACGACTTGTACAACTGGAAATGTGCGAAGACTTGCCATGTGTTATGTTTGTGTTGTGCGCTAATTGGCCTCGGAGGAGGGTGGCGCGGGCGGGGCAGCAGAGGGAGGTCGGCGCGTAGTGGGCGGTTGACAGGAGGCCGGAGGAGATTATGCTGGATTGGAGGTTGGGCATACGATCCAGGGAGCCGAGGTGAAAATCCTGATCGTCGGAGATTATGAGGATGATGTTGGGTTTTGAGGTGGCGTGGGCGTGGGTTAGGGAGAGGAGCAGGGTAAGGAGGGTGCGGAGGAGAGCCATAGATGTGTACATTTTGCAGCCCTTGGGCGGAGACTTTGCTCTCGCTATGTCGACTGTGCGATTGTTGCTGTCCTATCCAGATGTACACGTATCGTAGTATGCTGCTCAGTACCCGTATGCACTCGACTGCATGGCGGTGTGATGGTATGGCGGAAGGCGGTACAGGTTATACCAGGTATGTATCGGTTTCCACAACTCCAGAGGTGCATACATACAGCGAAAATGTGACAATCTACAGCATACCGCTCTCCCAAACAAGCGTCGCGACTCAATGCCCTCCAGATAAGGATGAGGCCATCGACGTGACGTCGACTTTCTGGCTTCTCCGAACAGTTTCTCCGCTCCGCGTTCAGTGCATTGACTGCATCCATCTTTGGGGACGAGAAACACTTCACTCTATAATCATTCTCGACACCTTGATAGGCGGTCGTAGGAGGCGTACTTCTGTTGTATACCCATGCACGTTCCCTCCCTCATTGGTGGTATACAGCTGTAGCTCAGCCCTCGGCCAGCCTACCGGCCCTTGACTTGCCGCCATGGAGACAAACAGAGCCAACATGACGCAGACGGGCATCTTCGAAGACTTGCAACGCAAGATCGATGAGGACACTGCTGTCAAAGACGTGGGTTATTCAAGCAAACCCATCTATACGTATGCTAACCCAGCAATAGCAACTCCGCGACATTGTCCAATCGATCGAGAAGCACGACCGTACAACTCAGTCCATCCTCTCCCGTTCACACTCCACACCATCAAGCGAACGTAAGCGTACGGACACCTCGACACGTTGGCCAGGTACTGACCGTTTAAAGTGCAACCAGTGATTCAAGCAGCCGAAGCCAATATCCAGCAGGAGGTTAAAGCCATTGGCCAGCTCTCTGAAGTGGCATCGAAGTATCCTTACTACAAGTTCAACTATGCTTGGAGTCGGCAGATGCAGGATGCGGTATGGCTTCTATCGCCATATCATGGTGGAGGTTGAGCTGACTTATGACAGTGCTTCTCGATCCTGCTCTGTGGCTACCTGGGCGGTCTCGGCAAGGGCCAGACCAACGATCCGCTGTTTAAGATCGAGCAGGTTGGGGAGATCATGGCTGGTGAGAGTGCTGTCTGATACATAGCGATCTTAAGCTAACTCTTATTGTTCGCAGTTCCTGTCAACCTCAAGGATCGCGATGCCTTTCACCTGACTATCGAAGAGTACCTGCTCGCTCTTGTCTCGCTTATTGAAGAACTGGTAAGATCTCTGTCGCTTTTTGATTTCAAAGAAGAAGCTCGTCATGATATCTGCATTCGAAGACGGCTTGCCGGTCTCGGAGGATGCCACACTCTACTCCTCGCCAGCCTGCTGACTTCTGTACAGGCACGCCTCGCCCGCAACTCCGTCACCCTGGGAGACTACCGCCGACCGCTGGAGATAAGTCGCTTTATCAAAGACGTTCACGCTGGCTTCCAGATCCTGAACCTGAAGAACGACACTCTACGGAAGCGCAGCGATGGCATCAAGTACCGGGTCAAGGACGTTGAGGATGTGGTCTACGATTTGAGCTTGAGAGGGCTGTTGCCGAAGGAATGAGCTACAATGCAGGCACTTGCTTGAGCATCTCATTGTTGCATTGCGCCATACACGTCTTAGGTGTACTGGCAAGGAGAGGGCCACAAGAGCTGCAGCGGCTGCCGAGTGCTTTTGCAGGCTGCGAAGATCAGCGAGCTACGCACAACACTTGCAAGAGTACGACAGGGCCGGCCTGTGTAGAGGAAGTCGAAGGAATACAGAGCATCAAGTGGCACAGTTGAGTATTCGATGAGACTTAGTCTACTGGAAGCAATGCTGAGTCTCGCTGTTGGCTTTCCGCACAACCCAGGCCACCCCGGCCTCTCGCTTCATAGTCCCTTACCCGCTTCAAGCTCCATGGTATTGATCTTGCTTGCTGGCCTGCTCGCTCGAATCGTCATACAGCCAATCTATTCACCCTCTAGAACCACTGAAGTCCTCACCACAACTCGATCACATCTTCCTCTCCATCTGAATCCTCCTCGATTGCTTCTTCTTCGGTCTCGCACTCTGCTGTCTCCTTAAGCGGCTTCTCCTCGACAGCACCTTCCTCATCCGGTGATGCCTCGTCACTCACTTCCTCCACAGCTGTCTCCACCTCCGTTGCTTCATCCTCGGCTGATTCTTCTTGATCCGTTTCATCTTCTGTCGTTTCCTCCTCACTTTCATACTCTTCTTGCTCCTCCGGCAACTTCTCCTCGACGATCTTCCAGCCGAGATCCAGCACGTTCGTGCGAAACTCTATCTCGTCGGCCGAGATAGCCTCGTCCATTTAACCTGCTGGCATGACCATGCTCAACTCTGGCCCCTCCCTCGTGACGAAAAATTTGTGCATCGAATTACGAACAACCCCACGCCAGTCGTCCGCGAAAAAGCCGCTTCCGTTAAGCCGAGGGTAGCTGAAACGTAGGTGACGAAGCTTCGGAGCCTCTGTGAGGAACAGCTCGTGGTTTGGGGACTTGGACTCGTCGAGCAAGTCACATACTGCATCAATGCCCAGGGACTTGAAGTAAGTTGAGTCTTCGATGTACTTACCGAGGCCGAGAGGTCTGAGATGGTCGTCCTGGAAGTGTTCGTCGTTGTACTTATGGAGGTACGCACTGTCCCAGTAGTGTGACTCGCTGAATGGATGTTCGCTGAAGACGTCCCGGACGTGCTTGCAATTCTCTGGACCGATCTGTACCAGGAAGCTAAGCAGGGCGAGCCAGCCGATTGTTCCGGTAAACTTGAAGGGTTGGCCGTAGTAGATGTATGATTACTCCTGCTGAATCTGTTTGCATACGCGGAGGAGTCGAACGTGCTTGACATGGCAAGGGACCTGAATGAATGTATCAAGAGAACGATGGCCAAAGTATCTGAACCAGTCTTCCCACCATCCTTCACCAACGTTGCATTCGCAGCAAATACACGCCTATGACTTCTTGTAATAGCAATACTCTCCGGCGGGCTCAGTGCACTTGCCCGTGTTGAACTCGATGGGCTCTTCGGCTACAAGAGCGAGCTCGTAGATTCTGTTGCGCAACTCGCTGGGTAGTGCAAGAATGTTGAATGTGGTGGGAGGCTGATGAGGTCAGCAAAGCAATGCAGCAGAAAGATTAACGGCATCATACCTTGATATCGCTCATCTTTGAACCGCTGAGAGACCAACCAGCGATCGTAATTCGCGATCATGCGTTCGAGGGACCCCGGCGTGCTTCCAGCGTACCATGTTGAGTAAGCCAGTGGATCCCAAGACACAATGCGGTCGTCATCTTTGTCACGAGCTCGATCAAGGTATTGTCGAATCTTTGGCGCTCCAGTGGTCGAGTAACTTCTGGCATCGACTATACCGCGTTCCTTGGTGTTGTTATCGGTCTTGTTCTTCACGTGTTGCGCAGCGAACACTCCGCCATGCTGACTCTTCATGGCTTCTAGGGTGTTGGGTGTGCGATCGGCACCTGCTGCAGACCTTCTAGTAATGTCAGAAGTGCGAGAAGTGAAGACCCTCATAGTCGCAGACAGCTCGTGTTAGTGTTGCGGCGTGCAAGAGGTGAAAAGTTGGTTCGTTGTGGGCCGGAGCTGCTATCATGACTGTCTGTGCCGAACGCTTCGAGGGTGGTATCCTAGATGCGCAGCGCCAGTAGATGGTTCGCGAGACGCCGCGCAGCATACGAATGCGAAGAGAAGGTGACGTTAAGTAAGTGGCTGCCGGGACGAAAAGCTCGTTGCCACGTCGGACGTGGGACGCACATGCGCTCAGCATTCACCACGCTATGCCTGTTTCGAGTTTCTGCTGTGAACTTGCGACGTAACTCTATCAGCCACTCGCGCTCTGCCTCAGAACCAGCGTGTGAACTTACAGATGTGTATAAATGTCCGCAAACCATCAGTTGGTGCTTTCTACGGTTCGTAACGCCCAGTTCTTCAAAGCAAAGCAAGCCGCTGTTCCTGGCTTCTGCTCAGATCGCTTCAGCGTCGTCCTGCTCGGCATCGTCCTCTCCAGCATTGCCATCCTCAGACTCTTCCTCGGTCTCGGATACCACCTCCTCCGGCTCCTGCTCCTGGACGATCTTCCACCCCATATCTACCACCCCAATACTAAACTGCTCCTCCTGCACAGAAACACCGGACCTGCCCCAGTGCACCGACCTCTGCAAACTCAGCTCCAACCCTTCGATCGCCGCAAGATACTGATGCACCGGATGCTCCGCCACCATATCCCACGTCTCACTAATCCCGCCATACGCATCGTTACGGTACTCGGGGCGCGGGTACACGAAACACAAGGAGCGGAGCTTTGGGATCTCTGCGAGAAGAAACGCTGCGTTGGGGGAGGATTCCCATTTGACGTCGCTCCACCAGCTCCCACATGACCAGTTTTGGGTGAAGTAGGAGTCTGGGAAGTTGTTCGCGAAGCCGAGAGACGCGAGGTGGCGATCATAGGCGTGCTCGTGACGACCACCGCATGGGGTGTCCGAGTCGCAGGCGAAGGGATGCTCGCTGAAGATATCTCTCAGGTCCATACGGCTCTCGGGACCGATGTGGATGAGGAAGCTGTGAAGGGCGAGCCAGCCGTTCGTCCCAGTGAATCGAAACGGCTGACCGTAGTAAATGTAACTCGCCTCCTTTTTGATATGCTTGCAGGTTCGCAAGAAGCGGACGTGCTTGACGTGGGATGGCTTCCTTAGGGTCTTCTTGTACATATCGCAGCCGTGGTACTTCACGCCGTCTTGCCAAAACCCGTCTCCGCAGATTTCGCAGCAACACCATCTTGGCTCGGCGTAGTCACAGAGACGCATCTTGTCTGGATGGCAGTAGCCGGTACTGAACTCTACTGGCTCTTCCACTACGAGGGTGTACTTGTAGATGAGGTTGCGGATTTCAGCAGGCAGGCCGAGCAGGTTGAAGGTGGATGGGGTCTGAGGACGTCAGCTAAGTCGGGTCGATATGAGAAGATTGCAACTTACCTCGACGCGAGCTAGATCGACATCGCTGCTGCAGCTGATCATGAAGCGATCGTAGTCTGCGACCATGCCTTCGAGAGCGTGTAGAGTGCTCTCGGCATACCACAAGCTAGCAGGACCCGATGGATCCCAGCGGATCTTCCCATCCTCAGGATCCTGATCGAGAAATGGATTGTGGCCACGGAGGTTGTACGTGAACCTTCTCGTTATCCGGGTACAGCTCATGTATACCGCAAGCGGCCAGCATTCCTTCGAGGCTGGGCGGCGTGCGGCCAGCGTAGTCTTCGATGGCATCGGATTCGTTCGATGCCTTGAAAGGTGGATCGTCCATGTCCGATTGTTGTGCGCCAGAGGCAGTGACAGCGGCAGTGCTTGTCTGCAAATCCATTCCCGCATTCTCCATCTCGTGTTTTCTGATGTTGTCTCGCCGAGTTGCAGAGGATTTTGAGGGTGGTGAAGTTGTCTGTGGTGTTCTTAAGAAAGAGAGGTGAACAGCTAGACGCCGAAGAACGTGGCAGCAGCGGCGCAAGTTGGTGTGGAAAGACTGAAGGGCGCCGCCGACATGAAGAAGTCGCGAAGAGGTTGTTGCAGGGAAAGGTGGTGGTGTATAGATTGCTCGGGTGAAGAAATATAGGTCATGCTCCCAAACCTTACGTCGCTGCTGACCATGCCCAACGATGAGATTCAACAAGTGAATAAAACGTGCTTTCTGGTTGCGCACTCACAGCATTCACAGCGCTATACCTATTCCGTTGATTTTTTCGTGGCCTGTGACGTACCTCAGCATTCACTCGTACTCCTGAACATGCTGGAGCTTTCACATGGGCCCCCGCCTTTTGTACTCCCACCACGACTCGCCTACATCCCATCCTGACCCCATCGTATCTCCTTACACCTTCTTCATATCCACCACACACCGGATGCAGTCTCCATCATGCATATCATGGAAAGCCTGGTTGATCCCACCCAAGTTCTGACGATGCGTGATGAACTCGTCGACCTTGAGCTTGCCGTTCATGTAGTCGTCGACGAGTCCGCCCATCTGCGTGCGGCCCTTGACACCGCCGAAAGCGCAGCCCTTCCACCTGCGGCCCGTGACGAGTTGGAATGCTAGATAAATGGCCGTGTCAGCATGAAATAGAGCAAGAGGAGGGATTGAGGGAGCTTACGACGTGTGCTGATCTCCTGCCCAGCAGCCGCGACACCAATGATGATGCTCTCGCCCCAGCCCTTGTGACACGCCTCGAGCGCTGAGCGCATGACGTTCACATTACCGGTGCAGTCGAAAGTGTAATCGAGTCCACCATCCGTCATCTCCACCAGTTTGCTCTGGATCGTCTCGCCCTCCTTGACATCCGTTTTGGACGTTGGGTTGACAAAGTCCGTCGCGCCAAACTTGAAGCTCCACTCCTTCTTCGAATCATTAACATCCACTACAATGATCTTGCTCGCCTTCCTCGCTACCGCGCCCTGGATGACGCTCAAGCCAACACACCCAGCACCGAAGACGGCCACAGTAGCGCCCTCCTCGATGCCGCCATTGCCGGCCGAGATGACTGCCGCGCCGTAGCCGGTCGTGATACCGCAGCCTAGCAAGCAGGTGCGGTCCGTGGGAGCCTTGTCGGTGACTTTGACGCAGGAGATGTCGGCGACAACGGTGTACTGGGAGAAGGTGCTGGTGCCCATGAAGTGCAAGAGGTCCTTGCCCTTGCACTTGAAGCGCGAGGTGCCGTCTGGCATGACGCCTTTGCCTTGGGTGGCGCGGATCTTGCCACAGAGGTTGGTCTTGCCGGACTTGCAGAACTTGCACTCCTTGCACTCGGGTGTGCTGTGGGTGTCTTGTCAGCTAGCTGTCCCTCACGTCCAATTCATCCCTCGCATCTTCTCATGCTTAGGAAAATGAGATCAAACCCACTAAAGCGCAACAACAGTATCCCCAACCGCCACACTCGTCACACCCTCTCCCACACTCTCCACGATGCCCGCACCCTCATGTCCCGCAATCACCGGGAAAGCGCCCTCCGGGTCTTTACCAGAAAGCATGTACGCGTCTGTGTGGCAGACACCAGTGTAGTCGATCTTTATCCGCACCTCGCCAGCTTGCGGGACCCCGACCTCGACATCCTCAATGACCAGGTCCTTGCCGGCCTCCCAGGCCACGGCGGCTTTGCAGGTGATCGGCTTGCCTGCTGTGTCAGACATTGTTGCGGTTTCCTTTGAATTGGTTTGGTGGGGTTTCTTTAATTTTCAGGTGCTTGCGTTGGAACCAAAAGCAAGTCTTGTGGTTCAATGAAGTGGAGTCAGAATTGGAAGAGGTTGAGAGAGTGAGGAGAAGTCAGATGTATGTTCTTGAGAGCTCTCTTCGGCAAGTGAAGTTTTGCTCAAAGGAGTGATGTAAAGTGAGGTGGTGGTGGGGTCTTCCGTTGCAGCGAGCTTGCCCCCCGTTCCTCCTCCCCGCTGTCGGTCTGGCTTGCCGCTTCGAGCTTGCGGATCCATGACCACACCAGCAAGACATCTTCGGAGTGTGAGATTGCTGGAAAACAATGAAGTAAATATAAGCCTATCCGTTCCTTGAACAAACAACGTGGAGGTCGTGTTGGTCGCGGGACTGGACGAGGAAACACCACCACCTGATGATCATCACGTGAAAGCGGAAGAAAGACACTTACGCAACGCAAAAGCAACGGTACCCACATACATACATCCTCTACGTCTCTGCCCAAAACGCCGGCTGCAATATACAACTACACGACGCGAAGGAAAGCGCTGCTAGAGCACTCCGCTTCCAATGTATGCACCTTCTTTCTCTCCGCAACCTCTCCATCTTCCACTGCATCTCCTTTCCTCTCCTCTCGTGTCGTCTGTGCATCCTTCCTCATGTGCGCGTTGGCGTTTTGTAGTTGTCTGCGCGTTTCGGATTCGACAGGTTTAGCACTGGGAGTCGCTTGCTCTCGAGTTCATGAGCAGAGCAACAATGAGACCGTAGAGACCTGTTTCAATTTCATTAGCAAGCTGCCCTGTTTTCCAGTGCCTGTATATGCTCCAATCCTGCAAGTTTTCCGAACGTACCAAGCACTTCGGCGAAAATGAGAATCAGAATCATTCCGACGAACAACCTTGGCTGTTGCGCGGTACCGCGGACACCAGCATCACCGACAATTCCGATGGCGAAGCCAGCAGCAAGACCGGCGAGACCGACAGAGAGACCAGCGCCAAGCTGGATGAAGCCGGCGAAGAGCGAGACTTCTTGTGCCAGGTTGTTGGAGATCAGGACCGAGACGACGAGACCGTAGATGGCAATGATACCAGCCATAATGACTGGAATGATGTCTGTAGTAGATGGTGTCAGCTTCATCGCATGTGCCTGCTTTGTCTTGGCGTTGCAGCATCGTGTTCATGGTACGATTTTGATTGCAGCACGTACTCTTGACGATGAGATCAGGTCTTAAGACACCCATGGCGGAGATACCCACGCCGGCCTTCGCAGTACCGTAGGCGGCACCGAAGCAGGTGAAGACGATGGCGCTGGTGCAGCCCATCGCTCCGAAGAACGGCTGTTGCATATATCATCAGTCTTGTTGTCCTTTGTGTAGACCCTTATCAATGGCTTTGATGCCTCTCCCCCTCCCGTCTACTCGGAACAGAGCTCTTAGACATAGGGGGGGTTGCGCATTGGCGTGTGGGCAGGTCGTTGCGAGGGTCGCAGGTGGACTTACGGCATACACGGGGCTGTATTGAGCAGAACGTTAGCATGCCTCTTCTGTATCCCGTTGATACCACGCAGCCACGATGGAAATGTGCTATGAAGTGTTTCTGCTGCGGCAAAAGCAACTCCCCTGGGGCCACTCACCAGAGATCGGAAGGCATTGTGGCGGTGTGTTACGTCGTCTGATCGACTTGATGGATTCTTTGAAGTCTGGTCTGCTCGGGGGGCGGGTGAAGTCGAAGGAGGTGATGGATTTGGTGCGACAAGAGGCGGGTGGTGGTGATGGAGGTCTTCGAGCAAAGCTGGCACATCGTCTCCGTGCTCCTCCCAATCCAGCCTAGCCTCACGCTTCGGCCCGCGTCGACCCCATCCGCCGCTAGAATTATTCTTCAAAGTTCACCTGGCAGTCGCACACCCTTCTCTCTTCCTCCAACCAACACAAGGCAGTGAACCCTCCCACCACCACCCGGGCGAGCCTTATCCTACAACGACCCCTTCCACCCACCACCACTACCGCAACCATGTCCGCCGAATCCGCCGCCTGGCCCGTAGCCGACCAAGCGCTCGCGCAAGAGATCCTCGACCTGGTCCAGCAAGCCTCGCACTACAAGCAGCTGAAGAAGGGCGCCAACGAGGCCACCAAGACGCTGAATCGCGGGATCAGCGAGATTGTGATTCTGGCGGCGGACACGACGCCGTTGGCCATTCTGCTGCATTTGCCGTTGTTGTGTGAGGATAAAAACACACCTTATGTGAGTACTACCCATGCTGCGCAAAGGACGAGGGAGGGGGCGGAGAAGAAGGCGGGCTACTGGGGTTGCGCGCAGTGAAGAGGAGTAGCTGCTCGAGGATATGCTAACAGTTATGCGCCAACAGGTCTACGTCCCGTCGAAGATGGCGCTGGGTCGCGCGTGCGGTGTGAGCAGGGCCGTGATCTCTTGCAGCATCACGACGAACGAGGCAAGCGATTTGATGGGACAGATTCGTGCGCTTAAGGACAAGGTCGAGAGACTCATGATCTAAGACGAACGGACGATCGAACGTGGCTGGACAACGCGCATGAACTGAACAGCTTGGAGACGATCGAGATATAGAGCGCAGGCAGCAATGCTCTGAGACAGCCAACGACAACCAAAAACAGTCCAAACCCAATGCCCTTCCCTGGACCGCATCTCTTCCAAGTTTCATTGTGGTTCTTTCATCGACGTGAAATGCTTCTCCCTGCGTCAGCTTACAAAATCTACAGCTACAGAGCTCTGTACAGGCGCATCTAGCCCATCTCTGTCCACTCCAGACGCAGCACGCGGGCCACCACTCATCCACCATCCAAAACCTCGCCAAAGGATCCAAAAGACGTAGAGTAGCACGACCACACCCATGACAAGCCAACGCATCCTCTCCCTATCCAGCCTCTCATCCCGCCTGAAATTGGTCTTCACCAACGCCTCCACCAACTCACCGCCGTCCACCTCCGGGAAATCCATAGCCACAATCCCAAACCTCCCCCTCCTCTTCTGCTCCAACCAACCCCTCAGCCTTACATTAACCCCCTCCTCCCATCGAAACCCCCACCAACCGCCGGCGGCAATCGGCCTCGGCGGAATCTGATATCGCAGACTCAACTCGTACGCGCTCGTGAAATTGACGTACCAATGCCATGGATCCGGATCCTTGGATGCCATCGTTAACAGCTCAGAGATCGCACCGCCCTTTTTCCGGATGAGGTCTGGGAGAGTGGCGCCAGAGGGGAAGCTGTAGTGGTCTTGGATCGTCAGACGGGTGCTGTGAGAGGTGTAGATTGTGAAGGGCCGGGTGGGGTTATCTTGCCATTCCGTCACGTCGATGCCGTATGCGGCTCCGGGTTCAGTGATGTTGAACCGACGAAATAGTTGAATCCTGCCGCGTAGTTCGCCCAGAATGGTTGGGGTATTTGCGGTCCGCCAGTGGGACGATTGATGTGTTAAGAGCTCTATGACGGCTTCTGCGAATGAGACGCTAGAGTTCTGGGAGCGGCGGTCCTGTTTGATCTGCACGACCAACGCTTCGCTCGGGTGGTTGGAGAGGAAAGTGTATATGGTCTGCAAGACGGAGGCGAGGGTGAGGTTGAGGTAGCGGATCCCGTGGCACATTTCGAGGACGTTGTTGCGGAGCGTGCAGCGCAGGTCGAAGTAGCGGATTCCGGAGCGTAGTTGGGCGCGGATGGGGAGGGTTTGGGTTTGCACGAAGGGGGCCCAGGTTTTGGTGTAGGCGGCGGAGTCGTGGGTGCCGGGGATGGTCAGGTTGGACAGTAGAGTCTCGTCGTCTATGGACGCCATCCATTTTGTGGTGTCCAATGGTCTTTTCTTCGAGGTATGGAGACGGTTATGGCCGGATGTAGTGCTGGACTGGGCAGACTTCTCAAGGTCTGCGTCCATGGTATATAATACGCAGTCCGCAAAAGCCTCGTATCTCTGCTACGATAGACTGTCCGAGTCTCTTCCTCCAAGGAAACAGCCGTAGATAGGTAAATCCTGTATCTTTCAAAGGAGACTATATGTTGATCATTCTAGGCAACATCTTAATTTCTCAAGGATCGAGGAGAGCGGCTGGAGCAATGCATAGGCCGCGTACTGGGACGCCGGATGCCATGATACCAAGAGCGCAAGATCACCAGGTCAGCATATGCAGTGTCAAAAGAATATACATGGAAGTGAGGATGTCAGACGATCGAGTGCGGTTCGAAGTGCTGGAGGGTGCCACAAGTTGAAGCCACAGGAGCGCCACTTCATCAACCGCAACAACATGAACATGAACTTGAACACTCTTCAGAAAACGAACACTGAGTCATCTTCTTACTCCATGGGACTGGAGAAGATTTGACATCAATTGCTGACTGCGAGTTGGTGTCACGGCCCACCATGTCTCGCCCACAACCAACCACTCGCCGCTCGGTGAAGACGGAGTACATTGAGACGGTCAATTAACAAGACGTCCACCCCCAAGGGCACCCATACTGACAAACTTGCAGGACACCGGCAATAAGATCTCCCGACGCGCTTTCATCGAGGGCAAACAGAATATCATGCTCGGCGGCAAAACCGTCCTGATGGCCGGCGTTCATCTTCGAGGCGACCTCTGCCGCAAACCAGAGCCAGCAGCAGCGGGCGAAAAGGAGAAACCGAACACGACTGCTGTTAGCATTGGCAGGTTAGCAGACCTTCTCTCCAAGGAACCTCCTGCTCATCGCTAATATCCCTACAGAGCAACCGTAGTCTCAACCAACGCCGTGATCCGCCCCCCCATGCGCGTCCACAAAGGCCAAATGACCTTCATCCCCATGCGCATCGGGGACAACGTCTTCATTGGTCCAAACGCGCACATCTCGTCCGCGTCAATTTCATCGCACGTCTATATTGGTGAGAATGCTGTCCTCTCCCCACTGTGCATCGTAAAGGAGGGCAGCAAGATTCTTCCGAACACCGTCGTGCCGCCCGGCATGACTGTGCCGGCTGGTACGGTCGTTGGTGGGAAGCCGGCGAAGATTCTGGGGGAGGTGGGGGACGGGTGGGGTCAAGGTGGTGGTGTGGAGGGGGAGGAATGGGTGGAGGGTGGGGATTTGAGGCCGTTGGTGAGGAGTATCAAGTGAGAGCTCCCGGGTGACTCTGAGCTCCTAAACGGAAGAGAGACCCGCCATTGGCCTTCCGACATGCGCAAGACCCGGACTTCGGGACGTCAGGAACCTGAGTGTGGGTCAACTACAAGGGATCTATCTGCAGCCGCAGTTCGGCAATCCTTCAGAAATCGACTTCCCGGATTCCAAAGTCGAACATGGCATTCGACTCCACAGACCTCTCATCAACAAGCTTCTTCGCCGTCTCGATACCAGCTGTCGGCACCTTATACTCGAATCGCTTCCCGGCAGCCGGCGTTCGCCCATCTGGCAACGCATACGGGAAAGGCAGATACTCAGGCATCAAACCCAGCTGCCGCAGGAGCGTCGCCTGGTCCCAGCCGATATGCTCATGATACAACCTGTCGCCTCGGATGTTGATCACGCCGGTGAAGGGGATCTCGACGTATTTGCCTGTGGGAGGAACACCAGGTAGACTGTTTGATATCAGCAGCTGCTTTTATCCCAAAGCAAAAGTTGAACTTACATCCAGTCAATCTCCTTATCATGAGTAAAGCTAAACACAAACTCGTCAATCACCCGATCGATCCCCACCGTCCTACTGACCAGCTCCAATGCCGTATCTGCAGGGTTATTGAACACAAAGTGATGTCGATAAAATTGCGTCAAGCTCGCCCGTCCGATACCTCCAGTAATAGTCGGTACGTGGTTCACATAAGGCTCCTGCACCATCGTGCCCATGGTCTTCTCTACCGCTCGCTCGCCGAACTCAAATTTGGTGTGCTCGTCCCAGATGGCTTCTAAGTCAAAGTACGGCCCGCCAGTGAGTGGCTTCAAGAAGGTGAGGGAACGTGTGTGAGAGACGGCTGCGGGTGCACTACGGAAGTTGTCGTGTGCTGGGATCGGGAAGTAGGGTGCTGAGTCTGGATATTCAAAGACCTTGACGTTGTCACCGGGAGGTTTGGCAAGGGCCGAGGCTGTTCCTGTGAAGTGCCAGAGCTGCGGCTTCACGCTGGGTATTCTCTGTGAGCCGTAGTTTGAGAGGGCAGCAATGTCATCTCGTTCGTCGATTGCACTGATCATCGCTGGATTAGAGGCAATATTGTACGCTGAAGTTGATCAGCTATGTTCCACGACTCCAAAGTACCTAGAGGTAGACATACATATAAGACCAAGTCTCTCAGTAGACTCGCATGTGTCCAGATCCTTCAGTGCGGTGACGGCGCTGTCGAGGTACGAGTTTTCCTTCCAGTTGGATTCAGAGACATCGTTTGCAAGTTGGATCTGAGCAACAGCATAGCCCTCTTCAGCCCACTTCTGAAGCGGTGGAGGATCGAGAGTCTTGTCACTCGTACTCAGATCGATGTCGTTAGGAAGTAGCAAGATGAGTCCAGGTCCAATGCCTTTGCGGGTCAGTGGCGGTTGGATGGTGCAGAAGTCATTGATCTTGTACGGTCGCGCTGATGGAAGGCAGATTGTCTCCTCTCCGTTGGTGCCGTTGGTATCTCCATTGGTGACGCCGTTAGTATGCCCGTTCATATCGTCCATGAAATGCCAAAGTCGTATTGCTATATGATGTGCAGAGGCGTCCGAGGCAAATGTGTGAGGGAGACTGGCTGAACTGAAGTCGATGATCACATGCAATCGAACAGCTTCTCTTTTCCAGATCTCACGAGCTACACGTTCCTATGATGGGAACCGATTTTGAACTGTTCCGAACTGGTGATCGTAGAATGGCTCAAATTTTAGAAGCGTCTATCGCATATTTACATCTAATGTATCATGAGACATCCAATATCATAACCTCGCCTTATCACCGCTCAAATCCAACCCAGTAATCTTCTCCAACTCCTTGACAGCAAGATCCGCCCTCCCAAGGTTGACCTTGATCGTCCGCATACCAAGCGATTTCGCCGTCTTAAGGTTCGTGCCAATATCATCCACAAACACAATATTCTCCGCCCTCACGTTCTGCGTCGCCCGCTGCGTCTTGACAAACTCATGCAATCGCGTTATGGCATACTGATAAATATCCGGCGCCGGCTTCCGCATCCCTACGTGAGCGCTTGATACGAAGACATCGAAAATGCCTTCCAGCCCTTTGCTCGCTTTGCCGTCTTTGGAGGAAGCATCGTAGAGCGGGTGGCCGGGTGGGAAGATGCTCGTGTTGCTCAGAGCGCCTAGCACCAGTTTGCCATCACTCTGGTCGGCGTGCTGTCTCAGCTTCTTCAACGCCGGGCCCATGTACGGATCCAGCTGGCGTGCTATCCGCATCATCTCGACATGCAGCCACTCGGTGTCGATTTCAGGCAATGGAGGTACACCGTAGTCGGCCACTCCGGGCTCGACACCTCCTTGCTGCTTCCGCTGCTCGGCGACGTATTTGGCGTAGTATGTGCGCCATCTCTTCTCATCTTTCAGGTCTTGCTTCCATTCCTCGAAGAACTGCTTGTCGGTTAGGAGCTCACCGCGCTCTAGCCGTTGCCATGCGCCGTTCGGGTTCGTTTGGGAGATCGTCCAGTTGACGAAGCCGAGAGGTATACCATTGGCCTTTTCGTAGTCGAGGATTGCTTGGAAGGGTGAGACAACCTGCCGGGTGGTGATCAATGTTGGTCGGGTGGAGACGCAGTACGATCGATGTAACTTACGCAGACACCCCCAATATCGAACAACAGTACCAGAGGACCCTTGCTACCTGCGTTAGGAGATGGCATCTTGAGTGTCGTCCCAAACAGCCTGTAAGTTTTGTTGTCTTTCGTCCACAATGACTTCTGCGGCATCGGTCTCTACGGAGCAACAGCCTCCACGGGAAGTGCGATCGATCAATCCCAAGATAGAGAGCGAATACTACGAAGCAATGGTCTACTCAGACCAGCCATTGTCATCTGCGCAGTTGTTTGTCGCGCCATGGTCGTAAGAGTTTGGGCAGAAGCTCTGATAGCCGCGGCAAGTTTCACCATGCCGACAGGCCGAAGAGTGCTGAGTGTGGACGGCTGTCACGTGCAAGGTGACGGCTCTTTGGACTATTGAGTTACACTGTGCATGATCTACATCGAATCGCTCAGGTCGCAGATCCGCTCGCTGAGAACCTCAAGTAAACGGTCTGTAAACTCCTTCAGCATCTGCCTCACAGAAGGCCGTATATCTCATTCTTCTCCATCGCCAGATCTGCTAGCCTCCCGCATCTCGTCCTGAAAAATCTCCCAGAGCTCGCTCTTAAGCTTCTCCTGTTCTGTCCTGCGCAAATCCCTTGTTCGCGCTGGATCCGTCGTGATCTGCGGTGCACTGCGCGGATCTGGAACCGCTGGATTGTCCGGCTCTTCGGGCTGGTCGAAGTATCTCACTCGCAGTGAGCTAGGCATAGTGCGAACTCTAGTGAGATTTTGAGTGTGACGCTGCGGCCTTACAAGAGGGCGTCGTCGGTCTGTTGCGCCCTGTTCGGGATCGACGTGCCTTACCACAATCATTTCTTCGTAGCGAATTGGCACAGGAGATTGTGGTGGCACCCCGTGAGAGGGCGGTGCTGGAGTCTTCTGGTCTGAAGTCAAGATCTTGCTCAACTTCTTTTGCGTGCTCCGCCCGGGTGTAGTAGGCGGCGCCGGTGGTGCTGGAGTCTGATCCGAAGCCAAGATCTTGTTCAACTTCCTTTGCGTCTTCCAATCTCGTGCAGGGCGCGAAGCCGGTGATGGCGATACATGGCTCGAACCTTCCTTCGCCGACAGTTCCTCCGCAGTCGCAGTCGGGACCAATTCTCGCAGACGTATCACTAGGCTTCCATCTGCTGTCACCACCCCAACCTTAGAAGCCTCTAGCGACTCTAGAAATTTCGCCGTCGTGCGCCACCACTGATTTCGCCCCAGAGTCGTCTTCTGTAGGTCCCGGGCTCTCTTCGCAGCAAGAACGTCGTACCTCGGCCGTAGATCATCCGCGTTGTCAATCAGTCCATGCGACGGGTTGCACAAATGCGCAAGAGCACTGCGGAGTCTCTGATGCTGTTCGGCAAACCGCACTACTAGCTCCTTTGAGATTGTGAAGTCCCAGTTGGGATTGCTCGGAAGTTTGTTGCGCACACTCTTCCGCCCAGAAAGACGTGCCGCGCTCTGGAATACCTGCTCGGCCTGCCGACCATGCAGTCACTTCTTTGACGAGGTTTCGTTGCCAGGTGATTGACTCTGCTTGGCATCTCCAAGATAGCGACTGGATGTCGAGAAAGACCTCTGGTTATAAAAGGGTCCATCCCCGTTGTAGAGATGTTGGTTCTGTTGTTTGACTCCCATTTTATGTGTGACGAATCGAGGTGGCGCCACTTTGCGAACGACATGACCAGATCGGGTGTGTTCTGGCTGAGCGGGCCCCTCCGGCGCCTTGGGCTGTGATTTGAACACACTACCCTCTTCCTGCGTTTCTGGACCATGGGAGTCTTTGAACCGCATTGGCTGCTTAGTGAAAGTACCGGAAGCAAATATCAGTGTTGAAAACGGTACATCTATCTTGGTCTGAGTGACCATTGCCGGCGTTCTAGAATTAGAAGGTGTGTCGATGGTGGCAGCTAAGCCTCCTTCAGACAGTGCGCCAAAGACGTCGTCGAAGTGATGAATCTCGGGTGCAGCGGCAGAGTCCGCGGGACCACCAGCCGGTGTCGGCATGGCATCCACGGAAGAAGGCAAGGAACCGAGGATGGTGCTTCGAGCCCGTTGCGACGCACTGCTCGATAGCGAAGGAGTGGCCAGCAAGCTGTCGTACTTTCGCTGTTCGTCGGAGTCCTCGATGTAAGCCGACGATGGCGGACCGATGAAGAACATGATGCTTTCACCCTCCTTCACGATCTCGCCAAGCGCAGAATTCTTCTCGTATTCCAGCTCGGAGTCCTTGGCCGGGGTGGTGAAGTCAGGCTCACTATTGGACATGTTCGTATTACCGGAGAAGTCCACATCCGGATCGAGACTCAGCAGCCCGGCTTTCTTGCCCCAACCACCACCACCGCTGAGAACTCGGCAGAGCCGTGCGCCGTAAAGCATCAACAGTCTCATCAGACCCTGCTGAAGGTCCTTTGGGTGTACAGGTCCAGGGGACAATATCCGTTGCTTCTTCCACAGCGGGCTTGAGCGGGCAAACGGGTCATCAGGGGCGCTGCGAGCGGCAAGATCGGATGGCAAAATAAGAGCCCAGACTTGGACGGGCTTAGGAGGGAGACTGTGCTCATCAAAGAAGTTCTTGACGGCAGTCTCCAATTCCGTCGATGCTGGTTGCGATGGCCCATGCGTGGGTGTAGCGGATGGTTCGTCGAAATCGGTGAGCGTGGAGGATAGGGTACGCACGATGTTGCCCATACAGTTGTGTACCGTTCTAGGTCGTGTGAGAGCTTTGAAGGGGAATTGCGGCCGTAGAATATTTGCAGAAGAGGTAAATGGCAATGGTAGTAGTTGCGCATCGAGCAGAGAAGGCTGACTGGATAGGACAAGGGTGTTTCCGTGGCCCCCATCAGGTACATAGAGCGCCGAAGTCATGGTCGAAATTTTGCCAGTGGAGAAGATCGTTTGCGCAAGCGGCATTTGAAGGTCGACTGTCTGTGGTCGTGATTTGAGCTCGGGACTAACACGGAAAGACACAGTCCCGGGTACCGATTGAGTCAGTTGTTTCGAAGAGGCAGTGTCTTGACTTTGGAGGCGGTGAGAGGAGAGCAAGGGCTCCTCGTCAGCATTCAGACAGGACATGTAGATGTACGCCATCCCCTCTGCTCCCGGATTTCCTCCATTACCCACAAAGTTGAGATCTGGTACACGATCGACCACCGCCGTTACCGTTCTCAGCTCTTTGTCATGTTGCCTACTCCCTCGCAACTCTTGAAATGCGCGCAGAGGCAGATCCGCGTCCAAGGCATGTCTGGCGAACGCCGGCGTGAGGAAGAGCGCCAGCAACGAGGGTCCATCTTTGCCACTTCCTTCTCGTGCTTGGCTCCTGGCATTACGAAGCTCCGCCAGAAGATGGTCGATTGTCGTCGACTGCGGCGAACTCGTCGTGATGGTTCCATGGCTCGCTGAGTTGGGAGATGGTGTCGTAGCGTCATTGCGACTGGACGTGGACTGCTGCCGCGACTGGGGCCCTTGTCGAAGCCCCAGTTTGGCCGATGGTTGGCATGGCTTTGCCCGCCATACGTGCTGCGGCCGGCGTAGCATCAGGTTGTGACCGTGGTGTTCAGGTCGACGATGTGAGGTTGAGATGTCTCGACCTCATCAAGCAAGCTTGAGCTCTGATTGGCTGTAGGCTGGGCCGCGCTACTGTATGTCCAGATCGCTCAAAATCGAGAACCTCGATCTCTCCAGCAACATGAGGGCATCTGGATCATTCCGAACTCCGAGAAGAGACTCGGGACGACGATGAGATGGTCTTAAGATGGCTCGACGGCTGCGATACCGCTTCTCCGTCTCGCAATATGATATCCACCCCTTGACGGAGACTGCTGTGCCCACTTCTACCACAGTAGCGAAAAAGGACAGGTGAGGCATATCGAATGGTCCCATCTGACCCTTTAACGCGTGCTTCATCGTTCAAATAGTACTATCAGGCTTTTTTTTTTTTTTTTTTTGCAAACTCAGGAAGAGTTGGGAGATGGAATCATCCAGAGATACCCACCCCCCCTTTCCGAGACGCTATGGCTGTACTACTGGAGAAGGAGAACCGGACGTGGGCGCCTGGTATAGTCGAAAGATGATAAGAGAGTGGCTGCAATGGCCCGCGGCAATCGTCAATGTTCTCGAGTGCAGTGTGACAGCTCAAATTGGCCGCCATGTCGCCGTTGTGGCGGTCACCAAAGCCTCCAGCAACTGCCACAACCGCCCTCGTCATCTCAAGATTGGGACGCAAGAGTATCTTTGGTGGAGAGCCCTACTATCTGATACGGCTCTGTTAGCCAAGCCAGCCGCGAAGAGCCCCTTGCAGGAGGAAGTTTGCACGTTTTCCATTCCGCATGCTAGGAACACGGCAAACCCAAGCGACATTTGTTGATTCTACCGCGGAACGTGGCTCGCGGCAACGGCGGTCTTGTTGCCCAATATGTGAACTTGCACACTACGACGAACATCCACCACGCATCGCTCCACCATGTCGCTCGCTTTCGTTTTTGCCAGCGTGCTTTTCGCGCAGTCACTCGCTCTCGATCCCCAATCGAACACCTGCCTACGGAGAACTTTGGCCGTATATACGAGCGCTTCGGAGACCTACGTCGTTACAGACCTGGGAACCACCAGCTTTGCGGCTCCACCATCCTTCTGCCCTAATGTTAGCGTTTCGACATCGACATCGACTGTGATCAGGCAGAACACCATCACTATCACCGAACAGAATGCGCCTGCAGAGCCATCACCAACGCAGTCAGATGATGGCGCGTCAACCGTGGCCGACGCTGGGTTCGAAGATGGAGACGCAAACCCGTTCAATACTTCTTCTTCGGGCCCGGAGGTCACAGCGCAAGTCGCTCAAGGAGGTCAGGGAATGCCGCTTCAACCATACGCTGGAGACAGCTTTCTGTGAGTATGCAGGGACGCCAGTGGAATATTGCGCTGACTTGGTCGCAAGTCTGATTACGTTCAACAACTCCGGTCCATCTGGCTCAAAGATGCGACGCCAGGCTCCAGCGCCGCTATTCTACAATGTCTCCCAAGGCTTTGCTGCAGTGGCCGGTAAACAGTACACGTTCAGTGCCTACGCTGCGGTAGCATCCAATGGTGGCTCAAGTCCAGACTGCTCTATCACAATCTGCGATACCAGCTCTTGCGGTGCTAGTGTTCCGATCACGAGCAGCTACTCGCAGTTTACCCACTCGTACAATGCGGTATCTTCCGACCCATCTGCGATTGCAATCTTCAGCATTACTTGCGCACAGTCTGCTTCAGTAGCACTGGACAATCTGGAAGTATCGACAGGAAGAGCTGCTTCTAATCCTGCTGGAACAACCGTTTTTCTGACATCCACCCTGACAGTCACACAAAGTCAGCGGACAGAGACTCTCACTCAGATGGCGACCGGACCGAACGGTGTCATCACCGCGACCACCGTAGTAAATGTGCCTCAGACACAGTACCTCAACTTGACTGGTACAGCAAGCTCGCTTTCTACCACTACAAGTAAGTCGCAATGCTGAGCAAACTGGGCCTCTGCTGACGCTTTCCAGCGACGATCACGAGGACTCTAAACTACACCACAAGCGTCGATCGCCCGTCCGTGGTCGTTGAGACGGCTTACGCCACTCTCACGCCTTTCGATCAGACCCACACGCTTCCGCAAGCGACCTATGTGGAGACATCGATCGTCTATTCGACTGAAGTGCAGACAAGCTATTTGACGATGACTCTCCCACAAGAGACTCAGAGCGTGCCATATACGCTTCCTGCCGAGACGCACACTCCGCCAGCGGAGACAACGATCGCGACCTTCACGCTCTCGCCTTCTCTCATCACTCGCTATATTACTCTGACGCCGCCACCCGAGACGATGCTGGTCCAGGTCACACCACCAGCAGCGACCCTGCCTCGAGCAACGGAGACATCAATTCCGCCAGCAGAGACCACAACCGCGACACTGACGCTTTCGCCGTCTCTAATCACCGAATTCATTACTTTGACTCCACCACCAGAAACGACGCTGGTGCAAGTCACTCCTCCGCCGGAGACGACGGTGTCCGTTCAGAGCGTTTATCAGAACGTGACACTGCCTCAAATCACAGAGACGTCACCACCGGAAACCTCATTCGTCACGGTAAGAACAGGCTTCTCCCTGGTCAACCAGATTCCGATTCTTGCCTGCTAACCAGACGTCTGCTTCATTAGGTGACATTGCCAGCGACTACAATCATCTCAACGGTTACAATCACCCCAACGCCGATCACTGAGTTTCGAACAGAAACTCTTCCAGCGGAGACCTCCATCGTTATCTCTACCGAAATCGGCACCACCGTTGTCGTACAGACGGAAACTCTGCCGCAGGCTACACAGACGAATGTCGAGACGACCACCGAACCACCAACTACGATCCTGGCTGCGACCACAGAGCTGCGGAATATCACGTATACTACTGCTGTAAGTCTTTGGAACATTGCTACCTAACAGGCTTGTGTGGCTATCTTGACTGACATTTTCGCAGCCAATGGCACCAGCATCTGACGCACCGCCTCCACCGCCCGCCGTGGCTTTGGCTTCGCCGACTCCCATCATCGCTGGAGCGGACGTCCCAACCTATGGAGTGGACGATGATGTATACCCGGTAGGGCAACTACACACTATGCCGATCACTCAACCTGCGGAAATACTGATGAGACTGCGCAGATCACCCTACCATTCCCGGTCACCATGTACGGGCAAAGCAACTCCCTGCTCTACGTTACATCAAATGGGGTAAGGCATACTACTCTTCATATTCGAACTAATTCTTGCAGAACATGTATACTGACACACAGACACAGGTCATTAGCTTTGCGAACTCATATGCATACAGTAATACTCCAATGCCTGCGGCCCCTTGGTCCGCAGCGGCAGTCCTAGGCTTGTGGAGCGATCTTTACATCTACGTGAGCAATCACCACCAACGGTGCCTCAGAGGGAACAACGACTAATATCAAACCCCAGCAAAACACTGACCAAGGCATCTACTATCAAGTCGACGGGGCGTCGCCAAATCGCCAGGCAACATTCGAGTTCTACCTCTCGCACATCAGCTCAACGTGCCAGTACTACCACTTCCTGATCAAGTTTTACGAGAATTTGCCGAACTTTGTCAACGTCCAGTACCTCAACGTCAGCGACAATGGCGGGCATGAGACCGTGGGAATTCAAAGTGGAAGCGGTGAGTGCATATTTCCATTGCGTACGATCGCCAAAACTTGTGGATATTTGCTGATTATTATTGCCAGGATTCGGGAACAAGTTCGTACAGCTGTCGTATAACCAACCGGTGGTTTACCCAGGGATGGACTTGCTCTACTATACTGAAGGCGGCACCAATGGCAATGGCGTGATCATTACGAACAACCCTGGAGATTCAAATAGTCCCGTGACGGACTTTAATCGGAACGATTGTGTGGGAAGGGGTAACTACTAGAGGTTATCGGTGTGGGAGTGAGGATCTCGACTAGTTGTTGTTTTGTGAAATCGAAATAGGCAGCTTATGCAGTGCGAAATCCATCTCATTTGCATCTAGTCTTTCTACAGACGACTCTCGTTTCTCAAATGCACACGCTTATCAAGATACACTCGGGCCTCATCCGGCGGCATAGGAGGTAGCGTCGGGATCTCTTCCTCTTCCAGCTTACTGGCATCGTACCCAAACAACCAGTCCTTCCGCTTGCTCCAACCCCAGAATATCGGATTTGTTTCGTCGTCCTGGGCCATCATTCGATCTCGTTCATCTCGATATGGACCATCATACAGGTGCAACCATTCCTGAAGCACTCTAGTGTTACGGGCGACGTATGTTGTCCGCGGCTTGCGTACTCGCTCGTACGTTTGCAGAGCCCCTGGTATATTTGAACTTCGACGGAGGGCTGCGGCAAGGGCAGCAGCGTCTTCTGTGGCTTGGGCCGCGCCTTGTGCCATATACGGCATCATGGGGTGACAGCCATCGCCCAGTAAACACACCTTACCACTCTCACCCACCCAATGATCGAGTGAATCAAAGTCGGCAAGCTTCCATTTAAGATATTGTCCCGTCATAGCGCACAACTTCTGAACCTCTGGACACCAATCTTTAAAGCGCTCGACCAGCTCACTATTGCTGCGTGCAGACTTCCACACGTGTCCTTCATCAGGCAACGGCTCGCCCCGATCAGAAGAATGCGTAACGTCAATGATGATGTTGTAGAGCTCGCCATCTCGAAGCGGGTAACCTACAGCGTGGCCTTCTGGTCCCATCCAGTGCACTGCCCATGGATTTTGGACCAGATGGGCCATGTCCGGGTCGACGAGAAGAGGTTTCGCCGGCACAAGGATGCGGTAAGCCACGTCGCCGGTGTCTTGCGGTGGGAGAGGACGGCCGTTGATCCTATCGCGCACAGCGGACTTGATGCCATCGGCGCAGACTATGAGGTCAGCCGTCAGCATTTCCCCGTTTGCCAGAGAGACGGAGGGGGCGTCCAAGTCGTATCCGGCAACTCTGCAGTCCATCCTCAGCTCGATCTTTGGGCTACGCTGTGCTGTCTTCGCAAGCAGCTTGACCAGATCCGCTCGATGTAGGAAGTAGTACGGAGCTCCATATCGACTCCTCATGTCATTGTATGGGACAGACAGTAGTACATTGCCCTTCCAGTCCACGAATCTGTTACCCATAGATGGTATCTTCGACACATTGCTAAAATCGACGCCCCAGGAATTGCTGAGCTTGAGTGAGTTTGGTGGTATGCGGATGCCAGCACCAACCTACAGACTATTCAGTACAGCGTTCGTAAAGTGCCTTGTACGTGAGGTACTTCTTCAAATGATTTAGCAGACTCCAACACTGTCACATTGTGGCCGTCATTGGCGAGAGCAAGTGCGGTCTGTAAGCCCCCGATACCTGCACCTACTACAATGACTTCGAGCCTATTCATTTCGTATGTATGATCGAGGTCATGGATGAAGAGAATCCATTGATACGCAGGACTGATCTATCTCATTGATGATCGTCTCTTCTCCGCTCGGCATTGCTGTCCCGGGACGGTCGGCCATGGGAGCCGGTGTCATGTTCCGCCCCCACGGTCGGTATCCTGGCCTGATATCTACCTTCGCGGCCATGATGAGAGAGTCGTTGTACGAAGTGGCAAGGAGAGAGCACTACTGTCGCTGACGCTTTGGCATCAGACGACAGACCCGAATTTTGGCCGACGCTCTTCCCCGGTGACTGCACCTCTTCTATCCTTCTTCCGTACCTTGAAATACCATCCTCTCGGTGATTTCACGGCGGGCTCCATCGGCATGTTGACATGCTCACTTAAAGACTCCCGTAGACTCCCATACCGCAACAATGAGTACGCAGATAGGACCGTGTCCGGCGCTCGAGATCCGGACGAATGAGGTTGGGCATGAGCTGCAGCTTGTATACAAGTAGCTCAGCCTTGTTGCTGTGCCTTTCCTGGTGCACTCGAGAGTCTCTCAATCATCACGCTCTATAGACAAGACCTCCTTTGATGTCCTGTGGCATCCTAGAAGCTACCTATGGCTCGTTGACGTAGTCGAGGATCCCCCCGGGCTTCCGCCAGGCGCGCACTCACCATGGCCGTCAGTCGTCAAACCCTATACCAATTTTGAGCTTGCCTGACCTTCTACAGGGTAAACATCGGCAGTCTGAGAATGACAAGGTTCGCGGCGACAGCGGCAACCTTGAGAGGTTGCACAGCAATGTCAACCCTGGTGCGAACTCCAACACGGGCTTGGGGACCCAGAGAAACCAGCAAATGTATGGTGCAGGACCGATGTGGAATATAGAGCACTATCATGCTGCACAAGGTATGCTCAGCGGATGACTGGACCCGGGCTGGCTTCACGAAAAGCAGGTCTTCAACCTGAGCATGCTCTTCTGTAGCATGATACCATATAATCGATTGGAACTGCAGGGATCGTTCTGACCTACTTTGGCAGGCACATCCGCCAACGAAGCGGGACGCCAACAGCAGGCTTAAGGAATCGTCAAATGGCTCGGAAACAGCAGCTTCAATGTTTCGCCCAAGGTCCGACAAGCACGCGGCACACTGACTTGGTTCTTTCAACACCAGATTTACACATCCTGGGTGACCGCCCCAGCTTCTGCTACAGTGCTGCAAGGTAATGTCGGTTGCGGAAAGACTACTCTTGTCCATGCCATTGGCGACATGCTTCACAGGACAGTGGGAGCATCAGGAGCTCAGATAATCACCTACTACTGTGGAATCTCCCGTGCTTCTGGAAGCTGCTTGGAAGATTTACTACGGCATATTCTGGTTGGTAGTATCACTACCTCGAGCGTACCCCCTCCGCTCCTCAGCCTCTTCGAACGCCATAATATTTACATCACTCCACGGCGGCCCTCAGTGGAGGATCTCGAGACAACTGTGCTGGACATACTAGGTGCAGGAGGAGCAGAAGTTTATCTCGTGGTTGATGCTCTAGACGAAGTGGTCGATGCAGAACGAGTGGACGTTGTCGACTTCCTCCTTCAGCTCGCTTCGCGAAGCATTGATACTCTACACTTGCTTCTCGTCAATCGGTCTGGCACGTTCTTGCGACGTCTCCAAGCCAGCAAGTTCTGGAAGTTCGATACTATCCCAAAAGATCAAGTCCAACAAGATATCGCTCGCTTCGTCAAAGACAACATTCGCAGACACGACAACTTGGATGCACTTGAACCCGAATTGCAGGCAATGATACTTGGTAGACTAGCAGGTCACCATAACGACCAGTAAGTAGCGCACCCATTGCTTGCTAAAAGTGTGCTCACGTCACTGCCACAGATTCAGATGGGCCAGCCTTCAGTTGAACCGTCTTTCGCGTCTGTCACTCGTAACTAGGACCTCAGTCGGCTCCGCGCTAAGAACACTGCCGAAGGATCTGAATGACACCTATGAGCACATACTTCTCGAAGTCGACAAGACCTCGGAGGATGATGGCGGTTTCTCCGTTCGGTGTGCAACGACATCCCTCCGCGTTCTAACCTTCGCGTGGCAGCCCTTATACGTGGAAGAGTTTCTCGACCATGTGGCCATGACGATTTTTACATCTGGAGACATGACAGACGAGTGGCAGAGCTGTCGTATTTCGCCAGTTGACCTCTTGCGACTGTTGCCCGGCATGGTCCATTTATCACCAGAACCCGACTGGACCTCCTTGCGCTCCTTGCCGTCTCAGACTCATCTCGTCTCTCTCGAGCACTTCTCAGTTAGAGAGTATCTAACAGGTATGGGCATCATGTATAGCTCAGCTAGACGTTTTGCCCTGGAGAGCTCACTCGCTCATCGCGCCATGGCTGAAGCATGCATATTGTGCGTGGGTTGGACGTACTTCACCTGGAATGCCAGGCTGCGAAAGTCTCCGCTCACAAGCGCCGCCCAGCTTGGTATGCCTCGTATGGAGTATGATTGGGTCTATTGGGCTGCCCACCTTGAACGATCTGCGAAGAGCGACACCAAGATCGAGGCTACAAATGCTACTACGCTACTCAGTGAGCGCCGGACTGATATTGAAGCAATTCTTGAAGCCGCCGTCAGCAGAGGCAGTTTACCAGACGCGACTGGCGATGGTTACGATACTTTCCGCCAAGCGTTGAACACACCGCTCTACTCTTCACAGATCGCCTTCATACCACTTAGCAAGACTGCTTCTGAGAGGCTACCAATCATACATCAGAGGTTAGACCCCGACCATTTCAGACTTCTGGAGCTAGCCGGACAGAGATTCCCGCAATCGCCGTTATGTGGCAGCCTATTCGTATTTCGCATTCACGCGCCTCCCAAATACGCTGCGCTTTCATATTCGTGGGGCGCAGGTCATGCTTCGAGTTCGATCTTCATTTCCAGTGTGCGGCATTCGATTGGAGGAAACCTCAGCAAGTTTTTACAAGCCGTCTCCCGCAATGAAAGCCACTTGGGAAGGTACGTCTGGGCGGATGCCCTGTGTATCGATCAAGCGAACATGGCGGAAAAGTCGGTTCAAATTAAGCTCATGCCACACATCGCTCGCAATGCTGCAGAAGTCATCGTCGGTCTTGGTCAAGCACCGGGCCCAGAAGAGCGCTGGCTCCTTGATGGCATGAAACGCACGGCTGGGTCCGTCGTGGTCACGCAATCTCGGCCAACTCTACAGACCAAAGCAGCAAATGTGATTCTTGCATTCCTCCAACGAAGATGGTTCTCACTCACATGGACGCTACCTGAGCTCTTGGAAGCGCGAGCGGTGTCATACGTCTTCGAAGATGGTGTATCAGTCGCAAGCCGCGAGATGAACGTGCTATTTGAGAATACTTTGGACCTCTGCTCATTCCTGGATGGAGCTGACGAGAGCCATGAAGCGGTTGCGTTTTTGACAGACCCATCTATGTCGTTGCAAGTTTCTTCCCAATCCTCACATTCTTTCGTTAGCGCCAGCTGTAGGTGGGATTTGGCAAGACTTTCACGAGACAGGAAACAGCTGGAAGCTACTCAACTTCTCTATGGTACTAGGTACCGCCAGTCTTCCGAGCCTCGCGACCGCTTTCTCGCTTTGTTCGAAGTCGAGGCAGCTCGATTACCTCAGAACAACTTCGATTACTGGTGGAAAAGCTTCGATTACCGGTGCGATCATTCCCTAATAATGGAAGACTTTGGCTTTTTCCTGGCATCAGAGTACGGTATCCTCGGCCTCATGGCCGAAGCCAGTGAGCCGCCTGACGACGCAACACGCACATCGTTGTCCTGGGTCTCGGTGATGACCATGCCCAAACCGAGAAGCTTCATTCCACTTCTGTTCAATAACCTTCACACTGTGGAGGAGAGCCTTTTCATGGCAGGTGGCTACTATACCAGACAGTTTGACTGGCCGCACAGAAGAGCCTTGTCTACACGAGGCAAGCTCATGGCAACCATTGAGCACGAGTCCGGCGGCCTGACAGACAGAATGAAACACCTTGAGCTGGAGGTCGTGGAGCGATACAAGACTGGCAGACACATCGCTTACTGTTCCGGCGGCCGTCCGATAGCACTCGTTCCCAAACGCGCTCGCAAGCATGACCAAATTTATATCCTTCCTGGGTTCCGTGTGCCGTACGTCTTACGAGCCAACAACCATGAGTCCAAGACGATCCAGGGCCAGCCTCCACAATCGAATTACACCTTCGTTGGTGAAGCGTGAGTCCGGCGCTCCGCCGCGAAAACACAACATGCTGACCATGAGTTCCTCACAGCTATGTGCCGGGATACATGCACGGCGAAGCGCTCGGGTCTGAGGAAGAAGTGGCCCAGCTACCTTTCATTGACATTTCATAAGCGGAGTGGCAACGGAGCATCTTCCATTCTCGTTAGATTGAGCGAGATTGCGACTGGTACTGATGCACATTGGGATCAGAACATCTCAATCCAGATTATAAAACATACAAGTGCGCTACATATCGCTCCCGCAGCTCTTCGAAAGCTTTCGACCAGTTCCGCATACGTCGAGATCCAACTCTCCTTCCTATGTCCCTGTGCTATGCACCCTCGCCCACGGTCAAAACAGACCACCCAAGCAAAGCCGGTGAGCGCCTCCCACCAAGAACTCCAGTGACACCTGATCATTCATGCCCGTATCGCCTGGTAAATAGGACTGGCATCACATTGCTCGCTTCATCGCTGTTTCTATTCGTTGTAATGGTACACCTGCAGGCAGGCATTAGTACCAAAGTAACAAGAGGTAGTGGGGAAGAAGAGCTCACGAAATAATTAGGTAACCCATAACTCTTCCACCCTAACCGATGCGCCATCTTGGCAAATCCTTCCGTCTCAATCAAGTGATAGAATGGGAAAGGAGGGAACATCGCTCCGTCACGATGAACCTCCGCTTTCACTAACAAAGCCGTCCCGCCAACGCCGTCCAGGTCGACTTCGGCTCTAGGATCGGATGTGGGATCTGCCATCAACGTCAGCATGTCTCTTATGTAGCAGTATGGAAGAGTGGGAACGTACCACCCATATAAGCCATCAAACTTCGAAACGTAGCCATCTCCGCATATCCCTCCAGCAGAATCTCGTCCGGTCCCATCTGCTCAGCCAGCCCCTGCGCCGTAGCTGAATCCTGCCAGCTGTTGAAATCGTATGGCCGTGTCATCCACGCTTCTTCCTCCTTGTTGTAGTACCGCTGAAAGCAGTTCGGTACGATGACCGGCTTGTTGTGACTTGCAAGGTCTTGGATCAGGGATGCCGGTGTCTCGATGATGTCTGAGTCTAGCCATAGCACCCAGCTGGTCGTCGGACCCAAGGTGGTGAAGAGTAACGAGTTGCGGGCGCGGGACATCGCCGCCCGTCGCTCCTTCTGCACTGTCAGAGCATGACGATCTGCTTCAGCCTGAGCTGTTATGGGCTCCGTGTCCTGGCGGAGAATGGTAATGCTTGCGAATCGATCTTTATTGCTCGGGTGTTGCGTCTTTTGTATTCGCTCTTGTAACTGCTGGGTCGCTAGATTGCCTTCTCGTCCTTTGGGAATAATGAAACCCAGACTTATGAGATCATGCGGGTAGCTCAGTTTGCAGAGGTTGTCCCAGTACTCCTGATAGAATCTGGCCAGAGGCGTCAAGATCAGAATAGTCTCGTGGTTCTCGATCGGAGTGCTGCTGGTCGTGACATTATTCATCTGGTAATGTACCACAGGCGGTGGCGCGGGAACCTCATCTGGTCCTAATTTTGCAGGTTTTATGAAGGGGAGAGAAGGTGGAGAGAGGGCATTGGAGGCAGCTTGTTTGCTGTGTATGAGCTGTTTGGGGGCGTTCGGGAAGGAAGGAATGCTGGTGCTGTCGCCGAAGAAGAAGTAGAGGAAGAAGATGCAGAGGATGCCGGCGAGGATGTAGGTGATTGTGCTGTTGCGCCGGACTGGTGGCATGGTGGTGTATTGGGTGGCTGAACACTGCGCGTGCATTAGTCTTGGATCCAAAGGCCACGCTGCGTTGCATGGCACTGTGGGCTGTCTGGCGCATCTATCGAAGCGTATGGAGGAATAGCGTACCCAGCCGAGTGCTTGACGGCGCTCCCACTCCTACTCTCCTGTCCAAATGCTCCCTCTGGCTCTCACACGGCGTATAACCTGCGGCCGACGTATCATACCCAGCTCGTCACCTCCGCGACTGCATCCTCTTGTGTCGGCGTAGTGTAGATAGGTGGCGGTGGTGGTGTCGTCGGCGTGCTTGGGGGCGGATATGTGTGGATGGCTTGCGCAACGTGGAATTCTTAGATCGAGACCAAAGCTGACGCCAAACTCAATCTAAGCTTTTGTGGCTGCGGGAGTGCCGTACGCTAGCGTTTCAGATGTGACAGGGCTGAGGATATCGAAGTGAATGTCTTTTGGACGTCACACTCGAGGCTACGGAATACATACCCACACGGTCATACTGGCAAGTCGATGCTGCTCGAAAACTCTGCTTGGAGCAGCTAACTACACTACGTTCGATCTCGAGTCGGGCCTTCCCAATGAGCGAGAGAGGAGGTGACACGGACGCCGCACCTTGCATCGAAGCACCTAGGAACTGGACGACACTATCCTACTCTATCTTACACTGGTCCGTCGTCGCGGTAAAAATACACTGACCAGAATCACGATCATCCTTCCTGGCCTTTCCCTCCCTCTCCTCCACCCACAGAATTCCGCTTAACCAACCTCTCCAACCGATCAACCATCTCCTCCGTCTTATATGGCTTACTGATAACATCATCCATCCCGCTCTCAATCATCGCATCCGTCTGCTCGGTCCTCACATTCGCCGTTAGCCCCAGAATCGGCACTTTCGCCACTTCGCCCTTCTGCTCCATTTGTCTTATCTGCCTGGTAGCGCTGCTGCCGTCCAGCACTGGCATATGTTCGTCCATGAGGATGATGTCGAGGGCGGTGCCGTCGGCTCCAATAGCTTTGACGGCTTCGACGGCTTCGCGGCCATTATTGGCGGTGGTGACGCGGAAGTCGCGGGCTTCGAATTTGCGGCGGAGGACTTTTTGGTTGATGATGTTGTCTGTGAGCGGTCAGCAGTTGTCCAGAAGTGGACCGACACGCATTGCACAGGGAAGTAGACTTACCCTCTACAAGAAGAACATGCGTCTGTCTGCTGGATGGCGACGCCGCTCGTGAAGCTTCAGTATTTGCAGCTTCGCCCGCACCATCTAGCTTTGCGCCGGACCCTGCATTCTCCTGCTGAGCAGACTTTTCCTCCTGCCTGTCTGGAACTTCCTGGGTGGCCGATGGCTGTGACTTAGATCTTTCCTCCAGATACATCGTATTCAACGACTGGGCTGACGTTTCCGTGTTCAGCTCGCCGGGCGGTGCTCTGTTAGGCACTTTGATGTCCTCTTCTGGTTGTGCATCCTCCGACTGCGTGCTCTCTTCCGATGCGTCTTCGCTTTCGTGCGTCGAATTAGACATGTTGTCCAGTCCACATCTTCTCACCTTGAAGAAGAAGCCGAACGTACTTCCCTCGCCCTCTACAGAAGACACGCCAATTTCGCCACCATGCAGCTGGCATATCTTGCGGCAGATGTTTAGTCCCAAGCCAGACCCACCATAGTTCGCCTCCGTCTTGGGCGTGGCCTGGTGGAACCGCTCGAACAGCCGCTTCTGCCCCTCATTGTTGATACCGATACCAGTATCCTTCACGGCAACCATAATGTACAATGGGTCACCCTCGCCCCAATCCGCCTGCTCGGTCATGTCCATCCGCTTGGCTGTTTCCGGAGGTTTGAAGAAGACGACGTCTGGTGGGTACGAGGCCGGCGAACTGTAGCTAGCAGCGATCCGGACTTGGATCTTCTTTTCTCCGTCTTTGCGAGCGGTGAATTTGATGGCGTTAGAAAGTAAATTGACAAGCACTTGTCCGATACGAGACTCATCAGCCATAACTTGCTCCACGCTGCAGTCTTTATAAGCATCATCGACGCGGTAGTCAAAGCCCATTTTCTGCTTTCGAAACTCGGGATGAAACATTTTCATCGTACTTGCGAGCTGTCGACTCGGCCGACAGGCTTTGGGTCGCAAAAGTAGCATGGAAGCGTCGAGTTTGCTAAAGGATAGCACGTCGTCAACTATATTTCTTTGATGCTGCAGACACAAGTGAATGGTCTCGAGTGATTCTCTGATTTGGCCGACGCTGGTGATAGTATCGTTGCCTTTGAGGGCTTCTTCGATATCCTCTGCACAGTGTACTCTAAAAGGTGGATGTCATCGTCAGCATACGCCAAATGGAGACCTCTCGACGGAGGAATGACATACATAGCTGAGAGAGGGTTGCGGATTTCATGCGAGATCTGTATGAAAAGAAGCGGGTCAGCTATGTTCTAAAGCTCTCCTTAAGACCAAGGAGATCAGAGGAGACCTACCATGTCAATGAACTTCTCCTGCTGCCCCTTCCGTTCTAGGGCTTCCTTTGCTGCTTCCCGTTCTGCAAGCTCTGCGCTCTTTTCAGAAGTGATGTCGACAATGCTACAAACGAAACCACCATACTCTCGTAGGCTGACGTGCTCCAGGTTCTCATCACCCAGCGGCATGAGCAGTAGCAGACGCCAGGGGTGCTTCTGGCCTAAAGCTCTGAACTCTGTCCGTAGCTGTTTCTGGCTATCGAATGCGTTCTGGTAGGCTTCCATCACACGATCGTAGTCGTCCGGATGAATACTCTGCGGCCATGCTTTGAAGTCCTGGTCGTCACCCTGGTGTGTCGTGAGTTCGTAGAACTGCTGGTTGACGAAGATTGCATTGGCCTTTGGATCTAGAATGGCCAGCCCGGATGGGAGCATCTCGGCAAAGCGGTGGAAGAACGGATGCTGGTCAAGCGGGACCTTATCACCAGATTGGCCAAGCTTTGACATGTTCAAAACATGATGGTCTGATGGCTTGGCGTGAGACTCTTCGATTTCTCGATCGGTGTCGTAATTTGCTTGTATCTTGGATCCCGATTTTTGGCCTGTGAGTAGCTGTGCAAGCACGCCGACTGCCTTTGCACCGTCATTCGCATCGCCAAATAGAGGACTGAGGAGAACTGTATGAACCTCGCCATCTTCGAGGAAGTGTCGGCTCTCAATCCTCTTTGGTTCGCCTCCATGTAAAGCAGTGTCCACGGCATGCCACGCATCGGCTCCGAGACGGCCCCTCTGTGGTTGACCCTGCTGGACTCCTTTCCTGGCGGCCGCGTTGCACCACGCAGAATTCGCAAGCAATATCAACCGGGCTTTCCAAAAGACAGCCGCAGGATATGGGAAGGATGCTGCCGTCTGTGCGTGTGCTTGTAAGGATGTCGGCCATTTGCTCGGAGTGCCGAGTGGAGAGGCCTTCCATACATCCTCGTGCTCTGCGGGGAGTGGACACCGATACTCCTCGCCACCAGCTCCTGGGGTCATCGCAGCGCACTTGTGTGCTGGATGTAGACAGGCGATCCTGTTCGCATGTAGCTCCCGTTGCTGGGCAGGAAGAGATGCTGTAAATGCTCTAACTTGCCGCAGTAGCAGAGGCACATGTAGCAGCAAGCCGATCGGATCGAAAGTCCATGGGCAAGGCCAGTTCAACCAGAAGTGACGTCGTCATGACTCTCTGCTGCGGCCGAGCGATAAACGAGAATCCAGCCATCTTCCAATCAATGTAGCCAGAGGATCTACATCTGTGTAGTTAAACAGGTCTTGTTTAGTGGTGAATAGAGCAGCTTCAAAAGTCAAGAGCCAACGGCTTGGATTTAAGACTGCTAAATACATCCATGGATGCACATGAGGCTCTGCTGGAAGGATTTGCTGTGTGTCCACCCACCGAGGGCATCAAAGAGACATGCCAAAGTTCCGGCTGTAAAGTCCATCAAGACAGTGGGCAGCAACCACGTGAGTAGGTTTTTGAAGATCTGCTGGATATCCCAGATTGCTTGCTGTTAAAGACTGTGATAAAGTAATATATACACGTGTTGACAGGCATCCATCACATTCGGCCAAAGATCGCAGACTATAGGGCATCCCGTCCGCTCTGCCGTACTCAAGCTGCGAATCGGATGATTAGTACTACGGTGGGTGACCACGTGGGAATACCGTCTGCTGAATGTTTTGCCTTTTTGCTGTTCTAAAACTCATCTTGTCGATATGCTATACTCATTTTGCTGATGTGCTGATGTTACATGTACCTTTGTTTTGGGCGGTTGGAGGAACAGAAGCTCTCCAGAGCTCTGGGCCCAGCCAGCTCGAGTTTGACCTTCTCCCTCCATCTCATCTTTTTTCTTACAACACGGGCAGCATGTATTGCTGTGTATCACGCTACGCATACGTACAGAATGCGCTTTCCCGTCAGTCCTCGAAGCCATGACTTGTGGGCTTTGGTGAGCACCGTGAAAGGCTCTCGACCTGTGGAAGTGATGGGAAAAACTCCGGGCTTTGGCAGTGAAGCCCCTTTATCTCTTGCAGGGCAGGAGAGAAGACGGTCATCGTACAATGTCCTCCCAGCGCAGACCGCAGTACTCATACACAAGTCTGCCTTGGTTGATAGGGTTTGCCTGCTGCTCGTCGAACGGTGGAAGCAAATATCCCAGTTCACAAAATATAGCCGGCGCCTCACAGCACCACCTTTGGTGTTTCGGTCTGGCATTCTTACGGGATCACCTGGACGGAGCGGTAATACGTCCCGTTCATGAACATACACACTCCGATGCCTTGACCAGGGAGCGACCACGGAGATCTTACTACATTCCGATGGCAAAAGAGTCAACGGGATGAAGCGGGGAGAAAGAACTGAAACACGCCGAAATACTTCACCAACCCAACCTTCCTCTGTTCACTCCGCATCGCATACTCATCCTCGTATTGAGGGAAGGACTATTTTGCACCCACACGGCAGTGGAGCCCATTCCGGCTATGACCGAGCAGATGGTGTGATTCAACGAAGACCCCTTTTCTGCGCCGGTCTTCATTGTCACTCGCGAAGCTCGATCACAAGAAGTACGCCTCGATGGAAGATGTACCTCTCTGAGGTGACGTTGAAAGGCGGAGTCCAGCCAGGCTGCACGTTCTACGGCTTCCAATGCGTCGTAGCGACTACGGTGGAGCGTACTCCAGGTGCCGAAAAGGCCCAGCGACTCGTCTAACACGTTGTGGCCACAGAGACATACTTCTGCCGTTATGATATGGGACTGAATGATCTCGATCTGGCGGATCTGATACTTGAGAACGGGTCGGGGCGATTTACAGGTGATCCTGCGGAACAAGCAAATCGGATCTCAGCAGCTGTGGCTCGCGCCAATGTCGAGCAGCAGGCGGAGGGGAATGCTGCTCTCATCGGACAATTCCTTGAGGAAGACATCGAGCTGTGGTGCGATATTGCGGCGAACAGATATCTCTCGTGGCCGACGACTCAGTGACCAACCCAATTACCATACTCTCGCCGCCCATCGACAGAACCTCAACCTCGAAACAAAATTCTCAGAAGCACGGATTTCCTGCAATAGCTCGCCAATCGCCTCCGACAGACCAGCGCAGCCCTTGCGGTGGTGAATGGAAACAACAACAACGTTCGTCGTCGTGGCGCCGGTGAGCTGGACATCGGTCCACTCACCTATCCCGGCAGCAACCGTAACATGTTCCTACGGCCCTGGAAGAAGGACTCGGCAACAAAAGACACGGAATGGACCATCGAGCAGTACGAGGATGCGAGTGAAGAAGCAGCTGCTACGGAAGAAGAGAACCGCGAGTTCCAGCGGGAGCAACAGCTGCCCCTAAAGTTCGCTGCGGACACCCGCCTCGCCACAAGAGATCTGTTAGGCCGGCACACAGAGGACGAGCCCAAGCGGATTGCGGAAGTCTACACCATGCGGTTCGGGTATCTGTCGGACCCGCTCATTGGCGAAGGAAGTCTTGCGGGTAAGTAAGCCCGCCATGCCCCTGAATTCATGTGACTAACTTCGGGGACTTGGACCACATGGGCCTCAGCACTAGCAACCAAGGCACCCACCGCGGCGCAATGCTGAAGTACCAGAACAACCTCCAATGCCACACCTTGTCATACTACTGCGCCGCCCTCCTTGCCCTGGTGCCCTTGGGTGCGGAGTCAAGGCATGGGAGGAGGCGAGCGACGAGCAGCGAGCCAATCTGCTACTGCGTATGTTCGACAATTACCCCCTCACCATCAGCAAGCTATCGATGCACTTCGAGAACAACTCCCTAGATTTCGAGAATATCTACGGAAGTACCGTGGGCGTCCGTTCGAAGTGGTAGGCAGTGATCGGTCCCGCTTGAATCGGGATCGTCGTCTCAAGAACGTGTTTACATGTAGTAGGTACCGAAGTACCAGTTGTTACTACTGAATTTTCGAAACTGAAGGCTACGATTAGCCAGCATTATTGTGGAAGAAGATCTGCAATTGTGGCTAGTAGATCATTTTCAACATGGTAACTCCACATCTTATACATTTACACTGAAGGACTACCTCCTAAGAACTTTTGATCCTTTCCCGGACCTCACATCTCTGTCCGCGACAAGCGGGACATGACCGGCCATGGTGAATGAGCAGGAAATGGAGTTTGAACTTGAGCTCCTGCGGGACCAGAGCATCCAAATGCGACTGCGTGAGCTCACGCGTGCAGTCTTTCGGTCTCCATCCCCAGAGGCCAGCAATGCGATAGACGTGGGTGTCGACGGTGAAAGGGTTTCTCTTCAGACACCACGACATGACCACATAAGCAGATTTGGGGCCCATACCCTTGTAGCTCATGATCTCCTTCATGGCGTCCTCGTTTGACTTGTCGAACAGATGGTCCAGATCCCATTTCCCATGCCTCTCCCAGACTTCCGCGAACACGCCCATGAGGAGTTTTGATTTCCTGACGTGCAGACCACCGCATTGGATCGTGTCTTGTAGCTTTTGCTGCCCACCTGGCACTATGACATCGTATGCGAAAACTGAGCCGTACACCTCTTTCATGCTTCTCATAGCCCGTTTAGCATTGTTCCAACTCGTTGCCTGGCTGAGCAGAGCTACAACGATGGCGTCAAGCACGTGAGGTATGGTCTCGGGTGTTTCTGGATCTTTGAACTCCTCCTCCACTGCTGCACCATGCAAGTCGTCGAGGACGCGATAGGCGGACTCGCACTCCTGAGGGGTGGGATGGGGGAAGTCCGGGAATGGAGAGGACGTCGCGTGAGCTGACCATGCCTGCCACTTTTTCTCGGCAAGGCGCTTGCCATCGTCTTCAACTGGCTTTTCGACAGTCGACGCCTTGCGAGTCTCCTCCGCTGCCTCCCCGACCTTTCTTCGCTTCGCGGGAGTGTCCGCGTAGGTCGAAGATGGTCCAGAGCGGATCTGTCGTTGCGCTATCCTCGCCGACCTCTTCATCTTCGCTTCAAAGCCTAGCGAAGGGCTAGCTATGCTTTCAGTCAAACTACATCACGTTCTTAGGGATACAAGCAAGACCAACAATGTCGAGACTTAGCAGAGCGGAAGGCGGATATGATTGAGCCGGGTTGCTTCGCGATTAAGTTTGCAGCATCTTGGTACACATCCGCAATGACGAGAAGGACTTCTTCGTCGGGATGCTGGATCGAAGACGTTCCGGCCAGTTCCATCAAGGACTGGATAAATGTGCGTTGCTTGCGGCAGCACTGCAGCTCGGCCACGATAACATTGCCTCTACCTTCGACTCCTCAAAGTTGCTTCAACGCAATCCATTTGCTCACTCTACACACAATCACAGCACGGCACCATGGGCTCTGAATTGTATCCCCTCCGGCGGTCTGGTATCTACTGCAACCTGCCCTCGTTCGACCCGAGTCTCAAGAACTTGAGCGCAATTGTCGTTGGCGCCACAGGAATCTCGGGGTTCAATACCATTCGGGCATTGCTGGACGTACCGGGACGCTGGTCGACCATCTACGCCATCTCCCGCAGTCCATTCGGCGACGAAATGCTATCCCTTTTCTCTCCAGAGCAGAGAGCTTGCATCAAGCATGTTTCCGTCGACCTGACTGGTTCTGGGAAGGGTATTGGCGCCAGCCTCAAGGATGCTGGGGTGAATGCGAACTATGTTTTCTTCTACGGCTACATCCACCCCTCAGGCGTGTCAGCTATGGACCCCCAGGCAGAGGAGCAGATGGCCAAGACGAACGTCCCTCTGTTCAACAACTTCCTGGACGCGCTTTCCGTTGCTAACATCAGGCCGAAGCGTATCCTCTTACAGACCGGTGGGAAAAACTACGGTGGACAGATCGGACGTGCTCGGACTCCCTACGTCGAATCGGATCCGCAGCCAAAGCATCTCTCGATCAACTTTTATTACAAACAAGAAGATGCCCTCAAGAGTTACTGCTCGGCACATCCTGAATGTTCTTGGTCAGTGATTCGTCCGTTCGGAGTCATCGGAGCTGTTCCCAGCGCCGGCATGAACACGTTCCTGCCCTTCGCAGTCTTAGCGTCTGTATCGGCAGCCAAAGACGAGCCAGTCTTCTTCGGAGGCGACATTTCCGAGTGGCAATATGAGGCGCTGCACTCGACATCCATCCTAACCGGCTTCCTTAGCGAATGGGCGGTCCTCGAAGACAAGTGCAAAAACCAGGCCTTCAACTCGAGTGACGGTAGTCCTCTCACGTGGGACAGATTCTTCGAAGAACTAGTTCGATGGTACGACGTGAAGAAGGGCATTGAGGGCCCTCAGATGGACCACAACAAATTCCAGGTCACGCAACTCGCGGGCGGACAAGACGCACCGCTTGGCTACGGACCTCCGCCTGCCATCAAGTTGTCTCGCACTCTTGCGGAGTGGGCTCAAGACTCGAGTAACGGGGAGACGTGGAAACGCATGATGGACGAATCCGAAGGCAAGCTGAAGGTAAACGTCTTCCAATCGGGCATGGATGTGTTTATGGGAGATTTTGCCTACTACAAGATCGGACAACCTTCGTCAGCCAAAGTCCGCAGGTTCGGGTTCTGTGGGTTTGTGGATACTCTGGAGAGCGTGTTCCAAATGTTCCAGGACATGGTATGTAAACGGTCCTACACCCCCCCCCTCCACGCGTCGCCGCTATGTCTCAGGCTCAAGGGCTGCGCGAGCTTCCTGCCGAGATTGCCTCGGAAGCATGTTCAGCTTTTAAGCATTCGCCTATGACCTAGTCTTTGACATAGCGGCTGCCGCAAGACTGTTTTGAGACATTACCTGGGTGGTTCTGACTCCGCGTTCAATAGGCGAAAATGCGGGTGCTTCCGGCGCCCAAGGTCGATGCTGCGAGGCCCATGGTCTGAGAACGGTGTTCTACCCGACGATTTCAAAAGCCCACTTCTAATCTACAATCTGTATCTGAAGTGCTTGTTCTCGCCATCCGTCAGGTCTCTGAACGCCCCCTCGCCCACGTCAGTCCACGAGACCTCCGCCGGAGCTTCATAATCTTCGCTCTCCTGGCGTGCAATTCTGTCCCGCTTGCGGTTCTTCATATACATGATGACACCGATCGCTGCGGTGAAGACCATCGAGGCTCCGTATATCCCGCACAGTGCTTTGATGGCCGACAGGTATCGGGGCGCTTCTTCTGGCAAGAACAAAAAAGGGCCAATGACGTTTCCAGTTGCGTAGAACACGAAGTTGCAGCCGTTCACTGCCATGCGCTTGGAATGGCCGGCGAAGTTTGCTGTCACCACGGACCAATTGAGGATAATCGCAGCTCCAATGATACCCAGAAGCCAGGTACAGGCGGTTAGTGCCAACCGGTGAGACAAGTCGATCGTGGCGATGCCAATGATGGCGGCGATGGATGGTACGTGAGTAATGATCACTGTGATCACTGTGGTATTCGGGACGGCCGAGGAGAACCAGCCGGCGAGGAATGTACACACGATCTGGAACGCACCGTTCGGAAGCTGGTAGAGCACCGTCTGGACGTCCGAGTAGCCGAATCCTGCCAGTAAGGCGCTCATGAAGTTGGTGATGCTGCCATTGATGATACCGATGGAGAGCTGTTGGCATGCAACAAGCCATACTCTGGGGTCAAGGGCTGCTTCGCGGATCTGGTACCATTGTACCTTTGAATGTTTGATGCCCGTCTGGTTTCCAGAGACACGCCAGACGGAAACGATCTTCTCCTCCTCCGTGAAGAGCTTGAAGTCCATCGGGGTGGAGGGGAAGAGGAAGAAAGCGACGGCGCCGACAGCGAATGTGATGACGCCGATGACCTGGCGCAGCGTCAGTAATGAAGGTGGGGATGAACGCAAGGAAGTGCTTCTCACTAAGAAGATCAGCTGCCACGATTCGAGGGCGGGATTGTTGGTGTGGCCAAGTCCCCAGGAGATACCGGCACCCAACATCAATGAAATGCCATTGCAGCCAAGCCAGATGCACATGCGAAGCGGTTGTTCGTCTCTCGTCCTAGGCACAAGAGATAAAAGGCGTCAGTGATGTCTCGGTCGGTGTGGCTCCGTCACTTACCAGAACATAGCGGTCACCAACATCCACGCTGGTCCAATACACGACTCGGCTGCCCCAAGAAGAAAGCGGAGCGTCATTATCCCGGCGAAGTTCTTCGCTCCCACCGTGCACATCAACAGTCCACCCCATAGAAGCAGCATCGTGGAGACGAAACGACCAACAGGCAGTGTCTGCAAGGCCAAGTTGCTTGGATACGAGCCGACAACTGGGTGCAAGACGTCAGCGTCGTTCCTTTCCTTCGTAGGCGGAGAAGGGAGCAGTGCCAGCTACTCTAAGAAACAGCAGCGACATGTTTCCGCTTCAATTGCTCACCATATCCGATGTTCGTAACACTAGCAACCCAGGAATAGTCCCGACCTTTGAGACCTAAGTCCTCTTGCAGTCCGTAGGCGTTCGAGTAGTTCAGCGTTTGCTTGTCCAGGAACGACAGTAAGTAGATCAAGCACATCTGTAGCCGTGTCAGTTCGGCCGCATCTTCTTTGATGTGCCTGTTCGTACCGCAGGCAGGATGGTGTAATCGATTCTTTTGCGGACCCGCAGAGCAATCGTTTCTCTGACTTGGGGATCGATCAGCATGGCCTTGTGATAGTACTCTAGTCCCAGGTCCGTGTGTGCCTCGTCAACGGGCTTCGAAAAGCCAGAGTCGTTGTCATTGGGGCTGTCAACAGGCTCGACGCCCATTTCATGTTTTTCTTCCGCCATTGTCGCGTTCAAAGCTGATCGACACCGTCAAGTCGTTTTGTGAGAGAACGATGTTGGTGTTGAGACGATAAATGACCTTCGTAGCCCAGTCATGAATACGTGAGAGCAGTTGTATCAAGACTTATGTCAGAGCATCCTGAGTCCATAGTGCTCGGCATGTTAGCATTGATCCTTCGCCCGATAGCCGTACTTCTGAACGATAGGCAAAGAGTTAGTGCTCGAACAGAAGCCTTTTGGTGGGCTTGAGGCTGCTTCAGTGATGCTGATCCCCGAGAGCGGCGACGCTACTGTACCGTATGCCCCACGCCAGGACGTGTCCTTGAACCCTTCTCCACATGCGAGATAGGATGTTGACCGCTTGGTGGAACGGAAGCCGTCCAAGATCCTCTTGTCCATCGGGAAACATGGCGTGCGTTGGGTGAATACTGACTAAAAAATAGCGAACAGGCGTAGCAAGAGTCAAATGTGTTCCTTCGATTTTGCCAATTTGCATTGACGATTGTATCATACCCTTTCCTAGAGTCTTCTATGGTATAGGTAGTGTTTAGGATGATGCTATGACCTTTGACTTCTGAACCGGCGGGATCCAGCACACGGCAAGATTGATCGCAATCATGATCACCCCAATGATCCAGATACTCTTCGCATAGTCGCCAACCTTCATGAAGATGATGGCGAAGATGATGCCGCCAAAGTTGCCGCATGCACCTGTGAAGCCAGACACCACGCCGTTGGCGTAAGGGTGCACGTGTGGGACCAAGCTGTAATTCAGACCATTCGATCCTTCCATGAAGAACGCAGCCCCGACGTTGATCAGGCCGACGAAGGTGCCCAGGTTCATGGGATTGGTGACACCGAGGGCGATGTAGAAGACTCCAGCAAGAATACTGTAGGTGTGGAGCAAGATCTTCTTGGACCAGACATTTCCCGTCTTGCCGTACGCATAGTCCGACACCAGACCACCGAGCGGACGACAGATGACGTTCATGAGACCGAACATGGCTGCCCAACTACCGGCACCGGACAGGCCGAGTCCTGGAAAGTTGGTGCCAAAGTATGTGCCGAGGATGCTGTTGATGCTGAGCTCGGAGCCAAAGCTGCAGAAATAGCAGGCTCCGGTGACGAATGTCTGGGGCGAGCATATGACCTTGAAGATTTCTCCGAACGAAGGTTTTTGGATGACTTCGCCAAGGGCTGTGTCGAGCATCTGCTGGTCGCCCAGCTGGGCTTCGTTGTTATCGAACGTCCCACGCTTGTTGTCGAGCTTCTTCTCATCGTCTGAAAGCGCGGATGGAGATTCGGTGCCGCCATTGGCAAGATTCTTCTTCTCTTCTGTAACCTGCCCAGGTATGTCAACCACCTGGCCACTGACGCTGTGTTGCCGGAGATTGTTTTCTGCCGACTGTACGCGATCCGACCACCTAGACGCAGGCCGTAAGCGGATGTCGCAGGCAGGGGGTTTCTTCACATCGGTACTCACTTTCCAGTAGGTGTATCTGGGCAAAGGAGGACCAGAAAAGTAGCCACGGCACATATGAGAATCCCAGGCACGATATATGATACCCTCCATGCGGTATGGGTACTCAAGCCATTGCTCACGAGCGAGTTGTAGATTGCAGGCATCGCAAAGTACGTTACCTGGAGAGTGTTAGTCATGTCTCAAAGGGTGGTGGGCAGTCTTGAAGACAAGATGCCCCCTTTGCACATCAGTACTTACGCCTCCTCCAGCATTCCCGAATCCTGCAGTGAGGGAGTTCGCTGTGCCGACGACCTGTGGTGCGCAGAAAACAATCATCAGCACATGTCTTGGGTGAGGGGCAGGGGCCAGTTGTGCCGAACTTACGTTCTTGTCGTAGAAGCCCGTCGTCCAGACCTGACAGGGCACAAAGCTCCCACCAAGGATACCAATGAAGAAACGCAGAGCATATAGCTGCTCAACATTGTACGCCGTTCCGCTGAGGAATGTCGGAATGGCGCCAACAAACAGACAGCCAGCGAAGGTCCAGCGGGGACCAAACCGGTCGCAGGCGGGACCCGAAGCCAGTCGTACCAGAAGTGTGGCCACCAAAGCTATGATGTTGCTGATCCTGATCTGATCCGTGGACATGTCGATGTCCGCTGCGATGACATCCGTAAGGAGCGGTGGAAAGGCATACCTAGAGAGCGGATCAGCGGAGATTCGCAACGGCGACAACCTGGATGCTCTCGACCAAGCCGTTTGACATACCATGACCAGAAAGCAATGAAGAAGCCAAACCAGGAGAAGAAGAAGACACGCCCATGTACGGAAAGTGGGTTCAGCAGAGGGATGGAGCGAGCTTTCTTGTTGATCGGATTGACCTCTGGTGCAGTCCAGAGGAGCGAGAGCTTGAACATTGTGTCTACTGCAGCGGTCGGAAGTGGTATACTCCAGGAAGCTCAACAAGATGACAAGGTCGATGTGTCGAATTCGACTTCTTGACACCGACCGTCACAAGGCTGAGTATTAATTCGCGGTTGGCACCCTTAAAAAGCACGCATTTGATCAGCACATCTCCGGTATCAAACTCATACCACAGCATGTGGCAGTTCGCTAGGTGACAACTCCGCGGTCACTGCCAACGGAGATCTGGTCGATGCATGCCATCGAGTAGGACCCAAGAGAACCCACCCGCCACGCCCCAGATCTAAGGATGTGCACTGATAAGGCCCGGGACCTGCGACGAGACAGTCCACGAGCATGCCATGGTGGCTGCATACCTCAAAGACCTATGTTTGCAACATTGGCCACAAGAATGGTGTGTATAAGCTGCCACTGGCATGGACCAGAGCCGCAATCTCTTGCCCTTGCCATGAGTAGGATAATGACCACGCTTGGCGGCCTTTGCAGACATCGGTTCCTCGAAGATGGAGTTGCACATGCCTTATCTTGAACACGATAAGGAGTAACACCATATGCAAGTCCATCAAGCGTCCGTTATTGGGCCAGCGTAGTCGACTTGACGGCTGAGGCTCCAGTAAGGACGCGCTGTCTGATGCAGCCGACCAGGTCGAAACACAGGGTCGACAGGCGCTTATCTCGAGGCTGTAGATATGGGTGTCGAAAGCGGAAGGCCTGCAGCTCACAGACCCACGACGTCTGATAAGCATCCTGACCACTGAGCCACACTGCTGGGGACGAACGTGGCACGAGGTGATCAGCCAAGTCTTCTTCCAGTCGTGCTGTTCGAGATCTCCGGTGGAAAAGACCAGCCACAGCCAGTGTTGCCTGTCCGGCAGTCCATCGCGCAGACAAGATGGCTCATTATCGCGAGAAATGGCGGCTGAGAGTGGAGTTCCATTCAAAAGCAGATTCCTCTGTCGGTCGGCTGTCTTCTCGGACCCAATATGAAAGTGTTTGAGGAACAACGTACCTAGAAAGGGCGCGCCCGCGACGTGTCTGCGGGAAGAGTGACAGAGATAGGAGGTACAAGGTGGACGTTTGTTTTGACCAATCAGAAGCGAGCATTTCATCTCGTCTTGGTCTCGACCTCACGTTGGAGAAGTCTACTATCTCCGGAGGTATGCTGAGCACACAGAGGACATGGATGAAGGTTCTGTCGTGTATGCAACGTATCAACAGAGCGTCCTCATTCATGCATCTAGTGATGCTACGTCACAAGAAGATAAGATGCCTGTAAGTGCGTCTTGGACGCATTCTGGTCTGGACCTTTACTGTTCCCGCGACTCCCTCTTCAACACAGTCCAGCACCCATCCATAGGAGACAACACCAATGTCAACATCTGCCGCTCACTGCCCGGCTTGCTTTGAACATCTGCTAAATTACCCGGCGGCGCACAAGGCTCTATGCTTTCAAAAGCCTGCAGGATACGTACGATGGCGTATGAAGCCTCCAAAATCGCAAACTCCTCTGCCATCGCGTCAAGTCAGCTTCATCTTATGATCGCATGGCGAGGTAAGAGGGACAACTCACGACCCAGACAAACCCGTGGCCCACCATTGAAAGGTACGTAACCCCAACCGATCGTCTTTTCCAGCCCACCCTGCCATCGTTCAGGCCGGAACTCTTCCGCATCCTCGCCGTACAAGTCTTCCCGTCGATGCATGAGGTAGGGACAGTACCCCACCGCCGTTCCTTTGCGGAGTAACACCGGGCTTGTGCCTTGAGCTCCGCCACCTCTTGGTAGGGTTGTGGTAACTAGAGCTGTTCTCGAGTTCACCGGCACGGAAGGGTAGAGTCGCAAAACTGTGATGGTTAGATGGAGGACACGACTGTTTCGGGGGAGAACGTACCTTCTTTGAGCACGAAGGAGAGGTATTGCATGCGTTTGAGATCTTGCTGTGTTGGAGCATCGGCTCCTACTTGGTCTTCGATTTCTGCACGAAGCTTTTTGAGAACTGCCGGATGACGCGATAGAAGGCGTCTATGGTAGTGATCAGTCAGATGCTCCCATTCATCGGAGCTGAAAGAGACTGTCGCAAAACAGCAGAACTTACAATGTCCATGTCAGACAGCAGGCAGTAGTGTCTCGCCCAGCCAGCAAAACATTGAGGATCTGAGATCGCAGAAGGAAGATATCGTTGGTCTGCTGCAGCAAAGCATCAAGGAACACATATTTGGAGTCGCCAGTGTCTCTCGCATCTATCCGAGTCTTGATCATGGAGTCAACAAAGTCATGCACGGTACGACAAGCTTTCCAAAACTTAGGGCCTCCAATGAGCCAGTAAAGATCTCCTAAACGCCCTCGCTGTGCCAGATAATCCTGAGCAACCGTAAATGCTTCGGCGAATTCTGCTTCTCGAGAAGCAGCCTCGAGGTCCTGAGACTCGTCAAGAGCACCGATACTTTTGCCGAACAAGAGATATGTTGTTGTTGCCAGGGTGAAGCGGAAGAACAGAGGCTGGAGGTCGAACGGACGGTCTCCGGGGATGGAATCGATCAGCTTCTCGGTAGCTTCCTGCATTTGAGCGAAGTTCTTTGCGCGATTGCCCATGAACTGAGGTCGAAGGATATCGCGGGAGGCCTTCCATGCAACACCATCCTGCGTAAAGATGCCCTCGCCGAGCAGAGGAAAGAAGGTAGGTCTTCGGGCACCTAGCCCGAACTCTGCTCAGGGCGATTAGTATTGTGTTGTGCTTGCGGCCAACGACACCAGGACGTTAGCCTTACCTTTGAACTGTGTAGACAACATAGCCTCGAGATTCTCCGGATCAGCTGTATCAACGCCGGAGACCCCAAGCAGAACTTGCTCGAATGTTTTGGGTACGCTGGGCGTGACATCTTGGAAGAATTGCAGGATACGGCCCTTTTTGGCCGCTGAGAAGGCATCGAAGATCAAGTCAAGGGCAAGAGGCCATGAGTGCGGCAATTTGGGCGGCGGCTCGCACCCTTTCGCTTCTCCCAAGGCAATCTCATCCTGTGGCTATTGTTAAACCCCGGTACTGGACTGCCAACGTCCGACATTCTGGGGAACTTACTGCTGCAATTCTGGAGCGCCTCGAGACGAAGTATACCAGACCTGTGGCCACCAGGCAGAGTGATGTGGTTATGAGGAGCCACATCGGAGCTGCGCTCGAGGGGTGATCTTGTGTTCATCATTTTGCAGTAGATATGAGTGCGTGGGAGGCTGGGAAGGCACTGCAAGCGAGGCAAGCTTCCGAGTTGCGAAATCCTTCCCGGATGCTGCCCGTGCCTCTAGCCGAGCGCTTGTGCGTTTTGAGAACAGGAGACGACCTCACCAATCAGACCAGGCGACTTCTTGACCTCCAGCTCACAGTGCGAGTGCGAGGCGGTACATCAGTACTTTGAAATAATACATTTAGTCGCACACCACCAACGCGGACAGGCCTAAGAGACATGCGAGGACGACGAGACACTGACTTTGACGATAGCATGGCATGGCGAGAGACTCAAAGCACGAGCGTGAACCATGGCGGGCTGGATGCTAACGACACGGCATCGCCAGCTCTGCTGCACGGTATGAACTAGCGGCCCCTGTGCCTACAGAGCCTCGAGGCTGCTTCTATCATTAGGGTACAGGTGAACAGATCCCCCAGCGTAGCGTAGCCTTGCGCAAGGCTTGAGAACGTAAGTCTTTTAGATCACTTTTCTTCCCCAAGCCTCCATCCCACATCCATGGCAGACATTGAGATGCAGACGGAGACCTCAGGTAAGTCTCCAAGCTCAGGCCTCACCTCATGATGTTGACGCAGCAAGGTTTCCTGGGTCGCGCCAACTCCCGCTCCCTCCTTCGCAAAAACGGGTCCACACACGTCGAGCATCAGCCAGTGCCCACGGCGGCGTCTGGCAGAGTCCAAGGCGCCAGCGCTCCGCTATTCGTTCCGTCCTTCACTGGGCTTCGACGAACGATAGTTGAAGACCTAACCACCTCCCTCCAATCGCTAGAACAGAAGCTCACGAGAGACGCGCTCGATGCCGAGCTGCGCCATCGACGAGTATCAGAAGCGGTGACGCTGCTAAGACAGATGGGTCAGTAATCAGCCAGTCAATGGCAGGCATCATCCATCTGATGGCATGCTAGACCAAGTCATTGAAGGCGAGATGCTGCAAGCCCGTCTTGAAGACCCCATCTACGCAGGCTCCCGAGGCCTAAGCGTGCTGCACTTTGATGTGCTCGATACCGGGTAGTCGAGACCTCAGCCGTGGCTGATGGTGGATAAGAAATGGGGTGCTCAAAGTGACGTGGTGGTGGAGGCGGCCGACGATGTTAGTCTCGCGAAGATGCTGCCGGACTATTGCCAAGACGAACTCAAGGTACTGAAGCTCCCCTTTCCGGGCAACGTCCGCGCGCGTCCCTGGACTGACTCACATAGGCGCGAGCGCGAGTCGACAGCATTAACCAGCTCAATCCCTGGATATTACGTCCGAAGACGGTGACCGAAAAGCAACGAGGAACACTCCAGTACGGTCCCAACGGCGCCGTCCATATCCGCACAAAGTTGAAGCTCGCCTGGAAGATAATCTTGCTCCTTGCCACTGTAGCTCTTGTCTGCTTCTACGGCGTGGGCATCATCGCGACTAACACCACTTTCGCGCCACTTTACAAGAAGTACTTTTTCTGGATCGCCATCGGTTGGTCGCTGATATCGAGTGCATTGCTGATGTGGCTGGTCATTGCGCTTGGTGCGTCGACACGAGATTTCGTGGGTGTATTCCTGACGGGGCTTGGTCTATGGTTGGTTGTGATACAGATTGGTCAGACTCATCTCCTCACACAAGCTCAGGATGGCAGCAATTTGGTACAGTAATGTCAGAAAGTCTGGTCACGATGGGACAAATGCTAGTCTTAGTTGCGAAGAATCTAATCTACTTCATTCAGTGATTCGTTCGAGTGTCAACAACGGTAGCATCTTACTGCTTTCTGGTGTCAAGCTAGTCAGTCACCTTACGTAAGACTCTGGCCTGTGCCATTTCGTCAGCAAACATTGCAGCGGATCAGGAAACAGGTCCAAGCACCCACCCTCATCAGACCGCAGGCAGAAAAAGAGCAGCTACTTCTGCGTTCACGACTAAAGCTCCTGCGCGAGTTTGTCGACTCCAGCTTGGCCGGGCCTGAAGGTACAAATGTGCTCTGACGCTTCGATGGGCTTGAGATCAGCCATGTGGACTGGCACTGTTCATGGAAGTGAAGTCGCATGACTGTCCTGATCGCGACGCCTTAACATTAGCCGCTCTTGTGCTGCTGCTGCTGCTGCTGCTACTTCCAAGAGGGGCGGCAACTGGCCTTTGCAATGATATCCCTTCATCGCTGGTTTGACGGCTTGATTCTCTCATCACGTCACCCTGGGGCGTCTTGAGGCTTCTTGTTCCCGAGAAGGCTGTTCCATGCATTGCTCGCCTTCTGCCGAAGATGCAGCTGTCGTCTTCGAGGACTCTCACCTTGGGTGGGCGACGAGCCAGCTTCGCTTGTTGGGCTGGCGGTACCCGAAGCGGCGGATGCAAAACTTTTCGAGCTCGACTGGGAGCGAAAGCGCCAGTGCCGTCTGCCTTTTTCGGGTGGCAGATCGGTTGGACTCAGCGTTTGCGTGTAGTTCTTCCCATCAGCGTGCGGCGACAGGACATCAATCTGCAATACTGATCTTGCCGAGCCTGTACGCGCTGTTGTCGGTCTGCCTCGGGAATGTCTGCCAGTTGTGGTCCTCTTAAGGTTCCTGACAGCTTCACGGATAGGATCGGTGCCATACATGCCGGCGTAATCGAGAGCATTATGGCCGTTGACATCCGGTAGATCCCATTCCAGTGATTTGGAAGCCGCTACTGCTTGCGAGATGTGATCGCATAAAGTATTGACGAAGCTGAGGTAGCAATATTTAATAGCCAGCATTAATGGCGTTCTCCCTCTGTCGTCCTGAATCGTGACATCGATGGCGACATCCCTTCCGTTATCAGCAAGGAGGTACTGGACAGTTGCGCCAGCGGAGTACTTGATAGCAATGTGAAGAGGTGCTCGATTACGCTTGTCGCGGATATTGCAGAACTCGCGGCCCCACGCTTCGAGCAAACACTTGACGGTCTCTGCGCCTCTAGCGTTTCTGCATGCCAGGTGCAATGCATTCAGTCCATAGTTCGCGCACTGAGGATTGACGGTGTTCCCTTGTGGGTCGCATCCAGCCATGTGACCCTTTGTCGCACGAGGCTCCAACGTCTCAACCATGATCACATTCGCATCCAGCGCTGCGATATGCAATGGCGAGAAGCCTTTCGCATTAAGTTCGTCCGCGGGCAACTGTCTGTCCAGGAGCTGCTTGACAACTTCGACGTGGTGTCCTCTTACCGCATTATGGAGTCCTAATGCTGTATCAAGTTCGTCACCTCCTTGGAACAACGCATCAATTACTGTCGTGTGTCCGTTTCGGCAGGCAAGTATAAAGGCGGTTTGCTCATCATGATCTCTCTCGTTCCTGTCCGCCTTGTTGCTCAACAGATGCTCGACCAGCTCGCGATGTCCAGAGTTTGCGGCGAAATGCAGCGGAGTGCGGCCATCAGCATCAGGCCTACGCACAAGGCGATCTGTGTGGTCACTGTGGTGCAGCTCTTTTGCAAGCTCAAGGATGCCGTGCTCACAAAGAATGTGCATACCTGTGCGTTGGTTCAGTCTCAGCGGACTCTTTCTCATTTTAGTACCCACAGGCAACAGTTGCGTTCCGATGATGTTCTGAGCGCCGTGTTGTGACGCCTGCAGCAAAGCACGAGCCACTGGATCGTGCAATTCGTTCACCTGCGCGGCACTTTCCACATTGCCGTCGCTTCGCAAGAATCCCAATGCCGCTTTGGGGAAGGACCCCATCATTGGATTCGCATTGCTTTGATGCCTCCAATGATCACTCCAGTGCCTAGCGGCATAGATCAGAAGTGGATACTTCTTTAGCCGAGCCTCAAGATTTCCTTCCTCTAAGCACGGTCCGGAGTCGAAGACTGAACGAGCCAAATACCGAGCGCAAGCCACACCAAGTGTAATTTGCGGAAGGTAATCCGCAAAGCTCTGCGTTTGCTGACGCGACTCGAGAAGCACGCGAAGCGCCGGATGGATGAGACGCACAACTGAGACGCCGCTGCCGACGTTGTGAAGCTCGATGAGACCCAGACAGCTTTGTCGAACATCGGGCCAGGTTGGTGGCGTGTTGGTGTTCGGGTTCTCCATGGCCCAGAGCACCGCATGGCAGAGTTCTCCTTCCGTGAGCGGCCTTTGTGCGTCTAGAATGCAGCGGAAAGCTCTGATCGCCAAGTTGTTGTCGTGGCTCCCAGGTTCGAGACGCTCGAGGTAACGTTGGTACATCACCTGGACTTGCTTGATATACGCTGGAGAAGCGGGAGTTCGGCTTGAGATAGTGTCTAGATCCGAGTCGAGTTGGTCTTCGTCTTTACTCCGTCTTTCCTCCAGGAAGCTGCAATTGATTTGAGCGAAGGCAAAACTAGGCCGACACCAATATTAGTGCATGAAGAACATTGTAGGTAATGTATACTCACACCCCACGTGACTCCTGTATCACGGTGTCTGCTGCCTTTGATCTCAGTCTTGCGTCTTTCGCGGCAATCGGTAGTTCTCCGGACCCCAAGCGTTGGTGTACGTACTGCTCGATATCAGCGGGGTCGGACACAGATCTCCTTACTGTCCGACCAGGGAATGTTGTTTCGCATTCTGTCCGGTCATCAATTTGATCTGTGATGATGACGCCAAACCCGCAGGCTTGCTGAATGTTACGTATATGCTCAAGCAACTTCGCCCGCTTAGGATCATCGCACTCATCAATGGCATCTATTAGGATGCACGCGCTCTCTGCAGTCGGAAATGCTCTTTCTATAGCAAGTGCTGTATCACCTGCACCGGGGCATCGTTCGCTGTTCTTTTCGTACAACTCATACACATAGTCGAAGCGGTCTTGGTGCTGAGCAAGCAGCTGTCGCAAAAGGCTCATGAGAGTCCACTCCAGAGTCTGCGGTCTTCGCTCTGATTTGTCGAACCGGACGAGAAGGACTGTGACTTTCCCCTTCTTCCCCTCCAGCAGGCGCTTGCACACATGTCGTACTGCTGTAGTCTTGCCAGCTCCAGCGTCGCCCCAGAGAAGCAGCGTCGACGCCTCCAAGTTAAGACATTGCTTGAACTGTTGATCCTTCATGAGCTTGTCCGTACTGGTTTCCATAAGGTATGGATACGCAGCAGCAGCCGACTCTGGTAGTGGGCCGCCCCAGCGCATCAGCCATTCTTCGACCTCCTGTTGGGGTGCTGTAGCTGGGATTAGGGCTCACTACTACCAATAAAGGGAGAGGCAGAGGCAGTGTAACGTACAGCGTGCGACTTGAGGCGCCCTTCCGGCGATCACGTTATTGTTGTCGCCAATGATAGTGTTCCCAGTAATGGACAGCTTCTTAGACAGCTCGACCTGCTTCTGCCGGCGCGGCATGGGGGTTGGGGTAGTCCTCGAGGGAGTACAGATGGAACCCAATCGGACGTCTGCTCATAACGCTGTGCAGCTATGCGTCGCGGGCACAGCACCAGGGTCACGTTATCGCGGACTGGCAGCGACACGTCTGTGCCACATCACTTCTGTTTGTTAACGCAGCCTGGTGGTTAAGGACGCCACTCATGGTCCTTGGCGAGGAGCGAACCGCCCCCCCTCCTTATTGGGCAGCTAGGAAGAGGACGCCAGGTACAAGGTACATGTAGGTGTTGTTCGTGTGTGTGTTGTCCTCTGGCTGGTATCGTGACACGTTCCACCTTCTGTACAATTGGCTCGAACTTCTAAGCAAGCGCCCGGCGGTGCAGAAGTACTCTCGCCACGCGGAGATCGTCCTGGTAATACGTCGTCCCACTGGTGGTCGTGTGCATTCTTCCGCCGGTTTGGTGATGGACTGCCATCACTGTTCCCTTCGACGCCCAACCTTCGTTGCCGCTCGCCTATCTCGTCATCAGCTTGCCCAGATGACCTCCCGTGCGGAGATCTCCAACAGTGATAATATATGCAAAACGAATCGCGATGTCTGGCTTGCAAGAGATAGCCGCCATCGTAGGGATTGCAGATGCAGGTTTTCGAAGTATATCTGCACTGTACGATTTTCTGTCAAGCTTGAGGACTGCTCCTGCTGAAATCGCAACACTGCGCAACCACATCAGCACGCTTCAGCGGACTCTGTCGGTCTTGAGCTCGGTCAAGGGGTCCAACGTCCGTACGCAGGATCTCACGAGACAGGTTGGGCTTCCGCACGCCATAGACAGCTGTGGACAGGCCTGCGATAAACTCCGTAAAGATCTGGAAAGGTGGACGAAGTCTGGAAGCAGCAATTGGAAAGCGCAAATTCAATTTCGCTGGCACCGCAAATTGGTCGAAGCTGCGCTTGCTGAGATCGGCCACGCGAAAGAGACGACTCTGCTCGCGGTGGTCGTTACACAGTTGTAAGCATATCTCATTATCCCTCATCTTCGCATTTTGATGAGTGTAATCAGGTGTCTACAACTCCAAGGCCCAATCTCCGAAAACCAGATCACTGCGCTAGTCAGTGAGGCCAGGATCACGATCAACACCATGAGTCCTTCGAACACCCAGTCCAACTTCTCGGGACAAGGCTTCACCGTTGGCTCGACAGCAGTCAAGACCGAGACCAAGCAAGATCCATCTGCAAACCCACCAGGCCGCTTAGATGCTGACCAACAGAGTCGCCTTCAAACAATGATCGATTTGGCCAGAAACAAAGCTTACGGCGAGAATAACGCCATTGGGGCAGACAAAGCCAAGATAGCTGACGGGAGTTTGAAGTCTGTTGCGATTACTGACAACGATGCGAATGGGACGAACAATCGAATCGGAGTGTGGTGATGGTCTATCGCGGCGATGACGGGCGGGCAGGACTGTTCATGTTCAGTCTCCGATAACCACGATTGATGGCGTTAAAGTGCTTTGCTTGAATTGTGAGGTAGTTACCGCAAGATACCCAGATGGCGTTGGCTTGGAGCTTTTTTAAAGCTTGTACCCCTTCAGCTCCTCGTGCGTCCAATTCCATAGCCTCTCAGCCAATTCATCGCTTCCAGACTCGCCTTGGAGCTTCGCTTTGGCGCCAACAGGCTCATAATACCCCCCACTCTCCACCTGTCTGTCGCCGGTCCCCAGTGGAGCCGTCGCAGCCCATTGCTGGTTCCAGGCACACTGCTCGGGTGGGAGCCGGTTTCCCATAGTCGTGGCGTAGACAAACAGCTTTGAAGCAAGGTTGAGATTGGTCACCAGTCCCGTGGCCGAGATACCCGGATGAATCACCACGGAAGTGATCGAAGGGTAGTGTTTCGCGAATGCTCGGGCGTAGAGGATGTTGGCGAGCTTGCTCTGTCCATACCGGCCCCAACTCGCCAACACCGGAGCGATGTCCTCTTGAGTCGTCTTGACTTTGTCGAAGAGGATGCCACCTTTGGGATGGAACATGTAGCCTTGGGAAGTGTTCCAGATGACGCGGACGTCGCCATTGCGCTTCGCTGTTGACTCCATTAAGGGCGTCAGCAGGTTGACCATATGAGCATTGCCCATGTGGTTCGTGCCGAACTGTATCTCGAAGCCATCTTTTGTCAAGCCGGGCGGAAGAGCCATAACGCCCGCGTTGGCAAAGACGAGGTCGAGCCGCTTCGTCTTAGCGAGGACTTCCTTCGCTGCACTCCTCACGGTCTCCAGAGAAGCGAGATCGCATTTGACAAAGTCGATAGCGACGTTGGGGAAGCGGGAGTTGACATCCTCTATGAGCTTGTCCGCAGATGACTGGGACCGGCCGGTGAAGAGGATACGATCCGGATTGTGAGCGGCGAACGACACTGCCGTTTCATACCCAAGCCCTGCGGTGCCTATATAGGATAGCCATCAGCAAGTGCATGAGATGAGGTAGGACTCTGTTCATCAATGCCTTACCGCCAGTAATCAGGATGACCTTGGAAGATAGGTCAGGAATCTCCTTTGCGGCGTCAAACTCGACCTTGCCCATGGTGAAATCTTGCTGTAGAATGTGGTGATGAAGGAGGGAAGGCAAGGAAAGATGCAAGGAAACAGCGTGCCTTTTGACTTCCTACCTTTGCGTGGCCCGAGGGCCTTGAGACGGCTCTTGCGAGCAATCTACCTTCTCCTGTGGCTGTCATTGATGCATCCTTTGGTCGAGACCAGCTATTAGGATGTACAATGGTTGGAGAGAGGTCAATGGAGCGGTAGTGTACGAGTAAGGGTTTAGTAAGTGATGCGGCCGCATCGCCGCCGGCAAGCGGAGGGACGACTTTCACCGTGTCGATGGTCCGTGCATTTAAAGGGCCTGCGCGTTGAACAGACGCGACTTGCTGAACACTGCAGTCATTCATCAATTTCAACTGTGACCTTCAGCCAGTCTGCAAGGACACTTGGGTACAAGCATCAACTGCCCAAAATGGCCGGCTCGAACGATCAAACAACGCGACTGTCCGCACACCAGCCCAAAACGCCACGAGTTACAGTCGACGAGATATGGGCCAGAGCGACCAGCCTGGCAGTACTGGAAGGACGCTTCGATTGGCACTGCACCAGTTGGCTAGGACTCAAACTCAAGCCGTCGACCCGTCGGGGCATAACGCAGGCTCTGACTTTAGAGGATAGCATCAAGCCTGAAACCTCGTACGGCTCTTGATTCCTAGGAGAGGGGCGCGACTTTTCCGTCTTTCTCATCTTCCCCAACCCCGATGAAGATTTGACAAGAGACTATTACGGTCGTCTGTTCCACAACGACATCTTGCTGCCGGCTTATACGGAAATCCAGAAGGTTCCAATGGACTTTGTGGGAAACTGGGAGCTGTTGAAGCTTGAGTCAGATGCAGCGAGAAAGGTAGATCCGAACAAGAAAGTAGCCAACACTCCAAAGTATGTCCGTATGCACAAGGACTCCATCGACTTCGACATGATGTGGCAGCAGATGAAAATCAACATCGAGTTTCATCCGCACCACAGAGACAAGTGGCATGACGTCTTTCCAGCATTGGTATATAAGTCCTGGTCGCACTCGTGCGCGGCCACGGAGATGGAGGCATGGGAACGGATCACAAAAGACGCCGAAGATCAGGTCAATGCTTCGTACCTCCTGCCGGACAAGATCTACTCCAGTTATCGCACGGTCTCCTCGTCTCATGCTTTGGACGTCCTGGATGCGCCCAATGGCACTCGCAAGCGTAGCTCTGCAGCGAGCACGAGAGAAGCAGGGGCCGGCACGCAAAGCAAGAGGATCAAGACGGAGCCAGCCTGAAGGTCGATTGCCATCTGACAGCGCCTTTGCTGGGTCAGAGCCAACTGAAACTCGAGGGCGTACTCCAAGAGGTCGTGTAGTAATGCTGTGTGTTTCAGGGAGAAGGGGGCGCCGAGGACAGCCAGATGCCGGATCCTCAGGTGCGAAGTGTACCACTTCCTGGTCAATCGGCTGACAAGCGAACAGCACTGTATGAAAGCGCCAACATATCAGCGATTGAAGCATGCGCGTGTGTGTGGAGGAATGGAAAGAAGGAAACCAGGACGACCTGGAGTCGCACACTCGGCCTTGATTGCCGAAAGAGGCAGGTCCATGCGTTTGACCCACTACGATGACTGTCCACAATTGTTGCCCGCTTGATTGGAAAGGGCGTGATGAATGTACATTGGACATCAACAGATGAACAGTTAGATACATGTGGACAGAACGTGTCCATACCCTGTACGAATACCAACCGATCAAGCAGTTCACCAACATCCCACAATGGCTCCAAGTGAGATCTACCAGCCGGACGAGCGCAGCAAAGGCGTCCGGCTCAACAAGCGGAGTGAGTAAAATTGCTTCAATGCGTTGATGCAAACAAGCTACAATCAGTGATATTGACATTCACCAGCACACCACGAACAAGACACAATCCACAGCATAGTCAACTCCTCGCCCATCCTCCACGTCAGCTTCAACGCCCCGCTCAAAGACGGTCCGACCTTCCCAACAATCCTTCCTATGCTCGGCGCCGTCGGAAAGTTCGCCAACGACGAAGACGAGCACCTCTACCTCCATGGCTCTTCGGTCGCCCGCCTATTCAAGCTCACGCAAGGCAATGAGATCCCGCTGTGCGTTTGCGGAACCATCTTGGACGGCTATGTCATGTCGTTGGCGCCTTTCCATAATTCATGCGTGAGTCCACTCTTGAGCAGAGCGCTTTGGGAGGCGTTCTAACGAGTCTCGCTCATGTGTGACAGAACTACCGCGCCGCAGTAGTGTTCGGATACGGCAGCGTCGTGACAGACGAGGCCGAGGTGCTGTACGCGCTCGAACTCATCACCAACAACACCATGCCCGAGCGCTGGGAGAACTCACGCAACCCGCCGACCAAGTCTGAGATCACTTCGACCGCGGTCCTGAAAGTGCGGATCGAGACGGCTTCCACAAAGATCCGGCGCGGTGGACCAAGCGACGAGAAGGCTGATCTGCAGAATCCGGAGGTCACGAACAATACCTGGACGGGCGTTGTGCCGACGTACATGACGCTCGGCGAGCCGGTACCGAACGAGGAGAACAAGGTCAAGGCAGTTCCGGAGTATATTGCTGACTGGGTGGCGGATGCGAATTCGATGAACGAGCAGAAGGCGATCGATGCTCTGGAGGAAGAGGGCGCGTAGCGGCAACGGTGTCGGTAGCAGCGGTCTGTTCGATTTGAGGGAGCTGGAGACGGAACTTGCTGCGCGCCCATCTGCGCTGCTTAGCAGCTGTTCTGTAAGACTCAAAGACGTGTGAAGTGTCTCCCTGGGCCATTGCATCCGCCCAAGCTTTCACGTTAGCGAATTCTCGCTTGCTTCGTCTTGTCGATCGTAGTGCCCCGAAGAATTGTACCAGCAAACGTGGGCCTCCTTGGGAAGTTTCGAGTAGAAGATTCGAATCCACCCCGCTGACGAGACCAGGCCAGACTTGGTTCGCGTGTCGTACGTAGTGCGAGAGTGGCAGCTCATTGACCCTTCGAGCTTCATTGTTCAACCCTCGAGACGACCACGCCGGACCAAACAGTATCCACATTCGCTGTACGAATGCCTTCTTCACGTGGGAAGTGTCGATCAGGCAATCTTTGCGTTGAAGCAGGTTTAGAAATGCCAGTCCGACCGCCCAAGGTTCAATTGTCTTCCGTGGGGTAGCTTCCTCATCAATGCCTGAGACGCGGTGCAATTGGTGGCGACGACTGGCATGCCTAAAACCCCACGTAAAGATGGCTGTAACGAGGTCTGGAGTGAACATCCGGCGGATGTCTCTGGCGCCAAGCAAGAGTCGTCTCTTGTTCTGCAAGCCAGGGGCGTACAGGACTTTGCGAAAGTCGGAATTGCTTTGTGTGTACCAGTTCACCAGCCATAAGATCAGCCGCCTTAGCCCCGCCCATCTGTCCTCTAACCCGTGACGCTTGAGCACTTCCATCCACATGTTGCGAGGCACGTACGTCCCATGCTCGGCGGCATAGATGAAAGCGTTGGTGCAGAAGATCAGAGCATCGTACAAAGGTGGGGCCCTCCCTTTCGTGTAGGATTTGCCAGCGCGCCGGGGCGGAAGCACGATGGTGTAGAGGAAGTTGAGCGTCCGCAGAGTAAGTGGCAGGCCTTGGTCGCGCATCTTCTGCATCGTATCGAGCATGGAGCGTGCATCTCCAATTTTGATGTAATGCTGGAGGACGAGGTTCCAGCCTCTGTGTCGGGTATTGCTACCCGTCGCAGAGAGCACGGTCAATGTAAGGTGTACTTGAACCCATTGTCCGCTTTCAAGAAACGATGCCAGAAGTGTTTCTTGCAGCTTCGTATCTTCATACGCATCGGGGTGCTGGTCGCTCTCGACCAGAGCTGTCCACAGCACGGTCTTGCCTTCGTTCGCTAATGTCGCGACAAGCCTTGAATAGGCCGAATCTTGTACGGTGATTCCAAGCTTCTTCAACTGGACCAGCTGATTGGAAAACTCCACAGCAGAGCCCGATCGCACAACCATCTCTCTGGTGGACAGCGGGCCTAGAGTCTGGATTCCGAAGAAGAATAGACTTTGGGTTATGAGGTCCAAGGAGAAAGCATGGGTCGCGAACAGTCTTGCAACGAAAGAGTCGCTGATGTTCTTCGGCTTGATACCGTGCACTTCTCCAATGATGGTGTTCATGTTGGCTCGAGTCATTGAAGGCACTTCTAGGTCCTGATTCGCCTTTGTAGCCGGAACGTACAGCAATCGCTCTCGGCCTTCGAGTGGAGCAGATGGAAGGGAGCCATCTTCATGGTAGTCAAACATCCTCTGTACCTCCTCGCTTTCACTCACAACTGGACCTGGCTTGTCTCCATGCTCCAAAAAAAGGTTATGCCACTGCTTGGCGTAGCTATCATCTCGCAGCTTAAACACTTCGTTCATGCACGAGTCGTATACGTCCCTTTCCTGGCATGAGGTGTAAATCTTCCTGAACTCTTCGAAGGCAATCGTTTTGGCCGGACAGTAGATTGCGTCAACAGCCACATCAGCGATCGCCCCTTCGTCCAACAGCCCAGCTTCCATCAGCTTCTGATGCCATGAGTATGCATGATGAGGTCTAGTTCTCAAGCAGCGACCTACAAACAGTTTGTACAGTCCCTCGTAGTGGCTTCCTGTACGTGCCTTGAGGTCCTGAGCATGTTGGAACAAGTCAGACAAGAGCGAAAGTCTGCTCGAGTCCGAAGCCTTCTGTCGCGCTCCAGCATTGGCGAACTCAGTCCACAACGCATCCGCATCGGCACCAGACAAAGGCAAGTCCACATCGCGTTGGCGCATCCCCAACCAGACGTCGCGCACTCCCGAAGACCCATGCATCCGCTTCCGGTAATGAAGGATCTCAACCCATAAAGCATGGTTGTGTCTTTGTTGCGGCTGATCCACTAATAATTGATTTCGGCCTGTAGTATTGGTGACATCAGCCTGGTACATCAAAGCGATAGGCGTAGTCTCTCGCGCGGACCTGTCCAGGACAGCTACCCCAGCCTTGAGAGACACGTGGAAGCTGATGTCTTCCGCCGTTGTTTGGCTCTGGGACAATTTGACTGTCTTCTTTCCGGGTGAATGCAGGCTCAACGGAGGTATGGACCTCTTCTTCTTGGATCGGTCGATTGATGCTTTCCCTTTCCAGGCTGCAGCTTTCGCAGGCGCTGCATACGCTCGCACAGGTCTTGCACGTCCTGCGTGTTGAGCAACCCATGATTGTTGCCGTCTACACACAGCGTAGGGAGCTATGAGCTGTCGCAAGAAGTGTAAGGTCGAAGGTTGCGCCAGCCATTGGTCGAAGGCGGTGCCCATTGCAGTCCGCCTCTTGATCCTGCTCCTCTGTCCGGCGCCATATCAACGTCCTACTCTTCCACCAAACATGCGCTCGCTATGAAAGAGTCGTGAGAGTTTTAAGAGAATGGCAAGGTGGAGTTGGTAGACCCCTAGTGATCTCGGATATGCCAAGACCGAGCAGCGGCTGGCCCCGACGAGCTTGAGAACCAGCAACGACAGCTCCTGGAGGTTGAATACCACGAACTCAATCGGCGACATCTCCTACTCTTCTTCAACACACCACTTACCGTCAAGATGCGGCCGACACTCGTCAGGAGGATTGGGTATGAGCACCTTGCGGCACCAGCGGCATCATGCTGCGTGAGGAAGACGAAAGGCTAACAGCATTGTCACCCCAGGATGCCCCAATTCCCAGGTCTCTACCGCCAGAACAACGTGCCAAAGTGGCAGAGGATCCATCAGACACACGACGGCTTGAGGCAATGGCAGAAGGTATGTGCCTGGGGAATGGATTCACGGAGACCATGGAAAGAGCACTGGCTGAGACGATACCATACAGGGCCCTCGAGCGAAGTACATGCTCTACCCATACTACGCGATGCTTATCTCGACGACTTCTGGTGAGTCTTAGTCCGGCTTGTATCATCGGGTGGAAGGCTAACCGAGATACCAGCATCCATGTACATGATGTGCCGGATGGTGCTGGGCCACAAGACTTGGTACTGAATGCTGGTCGATATGGTGTTTGAGAGAGGAGCTACAGCATGGGGAGGCGTGGGATATGTAAATATGTCAGGGTACGGAGCCACAGAAGTGGCAGTCTGAAATAAAGGCACGGAAGCTCGACAACAACATTACTTCTATCCGCGATCCACTGCACCGACCACAATTCATGCTACGCTCAGTCCTTCCTCGCATCATCAATCGTGATCTCAAAGATCTCGCCAGACAACTTCTTCACATCCGGATCATCCACCTCGGTGAGTGCCTTCTTGATAGCCTCCAATGTCTCCGCCTTCAGCCCACTTCGATCCTTCGAGTACACGTCAATGCCAGCCGGCGTGAAGAGCGTCTTCGCGAACTCAGTGACCATCCACTTGTTCCCATCTTCCTCTCCCCACCCCAGCACCTCCCAATGGCTGCCTGCAATCTTCAGCCAGCCCTTGCCGCGCCAATCCCACTCGCCTCTCTTGTCACCAGTGCTGGAGCACTTGTCTATGCCATTGACAGTGTTCAGCTTCTCCTTGTTGAGGCTTTGGTAGGTGACTAGGTCATCCAAGCGATCTGTATTCTCCTTCGAGATCGCTTCAGACGAAGGCTCAAGAGGCGTGTATTTGATGCGCACATTGCGCTTGCTCTTCCACATGGGCAGCGTCGAGTGCGTGACGTGCCATTCCTCGCTCATCCATGAGATGGTCGGGTCCTCGTAGTCGGCTGGTGGTTGCGCCTTGGAGAATGTTGGCGGTCGGAGCGTAATGGGTGCCATGTCGGTTATTCTTATGTAGGTCTTGAGTCAACTTGTCGAGTTGACAGCTCAAATACTCCTACATCATGGTCTCCTTGCTTCGGAACCAGCGGTGGCCGAGGAGTGGTCTAAGAGGTAGGTATATCACACTCGACATAAGTTGAGGCATTCATTCAGGCAATCAGACTAATCCTCATTCAGACGACGTCTCGCTTGCCACAGCACAGCATGATCCAACAACCTTGACTCATACCAGGCCGCCTCTAGGATTCAGGACTCTACATAAGAACGTACCCGGACTGGACTGGACTGGATTGGATAGGACATCTCACACCCCGCTTCTCTTGATGCCAAAGAAGCGCAATCACAACTTCAAGCAGCTCCAGGGCTGCTCCTCTTCAAGCAGACAGACAGCCCCCGCCAGTCATGGCGAGGATGGCAACAAACCCTCCGTCAACGAACGGCTGAGCGAGCTGCGAAAGCTCGAGGGCAAAGATGCTGCTGCGCGGAAACGACTAATGGCCGAATCGGTCAACCAAAGGTCAGTCCCACCGGAAGTGCGAGGGATCCTTGGAGTGCCTGAGAGTGCTCCGCCAAAGCCAAAGGCTGGAGTGAGAGCGCGAGACCGGTTGAGGACTCCAGGTCCTGCGCCGCCGAAGAGCTGGCTGGCGAGCTCTGCTGCTTGGACGCCTACCCTGGCCATGAGAGGCGGGAGGAAGATCGGATCACGAAGTGCTAATGCTCCTGATCGTCACAGGCCGAAGGAGCTGCTGAGATTCGCTCGATTGACCGGACTTGACGAGCGGGCTGCCCACGAGAAGCCGTCAAGCATGATGCATCTCTCATTGAAGGCCATTGCGGAGTCGTTCTCCCTGTTCGAGGAGGAAGACTATCCTGCACTCGTGGAGGTGCCTCTACGCTTGCGGCTGAAGCTGCTGCCCTATATCAGCTGCTATGGTCTTCCGATTACCTCAAGACAATTGCGGGCATTACTACAGGGTGACGACAGTATTCGGAATCTAGATCTAGGTGGCCTGATCGGACACGCAAGTCTGACGGTCAAGAAGCTCGGCCGAATGATCGAAGACGAGCAAGAAAAGAGCTCTCTTGACGTTCAAGACGAAATCCTGGACTCATGGGACACAGAAACACTGCCTGAGAAAAATCTCCAACCGTGCCCCTCATTGGCTCGCTTCTCCAGTCTCACACATCTGTGCTTGTCTCACCCTGGACCTGGAGCTTCGTGGCGAGATCTTCTGGGTTTCATGAAACTTGTGCCGCAGGTGACACATCTATCTTTGGCATACTGGCCGCGACCCACGCTCACCCCAAATCTGGCGACAACCACCGTATCAAGTCGGCATGGTCCTGATGTCACGGCTGGTGGGTCTCATTACTACTCTACCCTGGACCAAGACATGACTGAGCCTGCGACTCTTCTGAAGCAGCTGAGCGCGCGGCTCCTATGCTTGCAGTGGCTTGATCTCGAGGGCTGCCACGATTGGTTTCCTGCTTTGAACAAGCTTGCAATGGACGTTGGCCCACATCCAGAACAACAATCTACCGATCCATTCGCTGGCGATGCATGGTCGGCAGTTGCGCCGGGGCCTCCATCGGTGCTTACGACCAATTGGAAGAATCTGGCTTATGTCAGGTGCTCTCAAGGCTGGCTTCCTGACATGGCTGGAGTCCAGGCAGCACGACCAGACATGGCGGGCTGTATGATCCGAAGTATAGTTCTCGATCTCGTGGACAAACTCCGTGAAACACCGGTCTCATCGCCCGCCCCTGATACATTGGAGGTTGGGAAGAAAAGAGCTGGGCTCTGGCTGGAGACTGAATTCAAAATCATGCGTACTTGCTCAGCGATCAACTTTTTGCGTCGCCAGAAGGGTTGCACAACTATCGAGATGGATTGCGGCTGGATCAAGAGATGATATGCGAGACAGGGTGAAAATGGCCTTCCCTTTCCCATACTAAACCATGTCGACATATGATCGAAAGTTTGGTCCCGTCTTCCAGAATATCACCATCATGCTGAAGCAGAATTTGTTCGGCTAGTCTCAAGACTGTGTACTCTGGTCAATCTCTCCTCCAATGTGGCTTGAGACCGTTCTCTCAACACGGGGCTCACGATAAACTCCATATCAGAATCGAGCATAGTAGAGACACACCTCAATACTTCCAAGACACGCCTCTATGTGCTCGACGTATCGGATATAACCACAGCGGACATCCTCGCCACCATAAGCCTTTCCTCAGATCAACAGAACAATTCGCTCCATACGACATACAAATCTTGGAACCATATAACACACTTCAATTCCCAGCAACACTCGCAACCAAAAACCATCATGAAGATCACAAAAATCCTCCGGAACATCTCCATCAAACTCGGCCTCTCCTCTGTAACACGCGAACCAATAATCTCCGAACCGACCGACTTCTTCCACGCCGCCCACGCTTCTTCCGACTTCCCGAAGTGCCCAAACAGATCCCCATTCTTCCCTTCCACGCCAACACTGCGTCCACACCGCAAGCTCTCCAAACAAGCCACCCACACCATCGACCTCCCGTGCGTCTCCCTAGCCACACCAGAACACACCCTCTCCGGCCTCGTCGTCGCTAATCCCGACCCAAGCCTTTCCCATACCGCAAACCCCGACCCAGGCCTCCCTACCATCGCCGAAGAAGACCTCCACGCCGAACTCAACGACCTCCGCCACTTCCACCGCACCCACGCCCCGACCCTCGCCACCCTGCACCGCGACCTCGAATGCCAACAAAAGATCACGGCCGTGCTGCAACAAAGCAACTGTTACGGACCGGGAAAACTGAAGCAGCTCATCTCCTCTTTAACGACCCAACTCCACGACCAGTCCACCGAGCTCGAAGACTTCAAATCCAAACACACCACCCTCGCCACCACCGCAGACCTCAAAGACGAAATCCTCCGAACTCGCTCGGTGCTCGAGCACGCGGTGGAGGATGTGCGGCAGACGCGCGAGGCGCTGGAACTCGCTGTTGAGGAGGTGGAGCAGAAGGCGCGGGAGTGGAGGGGCAGGATGGAGGAGGTGGGAAGGCTTGGGAGGGAGGTCGAGAGGAGGGAGAGGGGGTTAGGGTGTTGGTGGGGGAGGGATAGTTTTAGTCTTCTTGGTGCTGGGGATGGAGGGGAGGGGAGGGATAGTTTTGCTTTGGGGGAGGGGGTTGAGGGGAGGGAGCTTATCTGAGGAGCTGCCAGGGATGGGGTTGTGGTCGTAGTGGGTATATCCGGGACGAATCTGTATTGTATGGGACCATGGGTTGCCAGGAAGGGGGGGGAGGCTTTGTATGATATGCCGTTATGTGTTACGATAGTCGCCGCTGCGGCGATGAGTGATAGACGTAGAAGAGAGGAACTGTTCTGGGTATACATGGTTGTACATTACGCTACACGACACTTATCAACCGCGGCCGTCAAGATATCAGCACATTGCTCATCCAGAACGCCTCGCACCCCATCAGACCCCATCCTATCCTTCCACACACTCACTCCTTCCCACTAGCCGAATCAACCGCCCCCTTCACCCCCTCACCCATCTTCCTCGCCCCCTCACTCACTGCCTCCCCCGCCTGCACGACCTTCTCCTGCGCATCCGCAGCGACTCTCCCCGCCTCCCCCTGCGCTTTCTCCAATCCCTCCGGCCACCGGCGTGTAGCTTTCAATAAGAGATAATAGGACTGGATGACACCGACGTGCACATTCTCCTTCATCATCATCGTCAACCCATGCTGCAGGAACCCCTTCAACACCTCCCCCTCCAAACCAGAATAGAGACCCGACAGGCCTTCGATGCGGTAGATTTTGCGCAGCGAGACATATATCGCGTACTGCGCGGAGAGCATCGAGAAAAGGCGCTGCAGCAAACTCTTCGCCTTCCTCCGTCTCGGCGTCGCGTTGAGCGTCGAAGACTTCTCCAGCATCTCCGGCGGCCCTCCCGTCTCCGCCCCCTCAGCCTCTTCTTCAGCGCCGAGCGAGGCTTTCGGCGTGACGGCTTGGGCGCGGGATTTCGCCAGCATAGCCGGGTACGTTATCGTGGTGGCGATGGCTTTGGACAACGCGGCGACGAGGAAGATTGTGCGTCCGCTTGGATTCTCCCGCTGGGCGCGGGGGAGGAGACGTTTCATCAGCTTGTCGACGGCGAAGGTGATGGCCGGGTTGAGGGTCAGGATGACGGATTCGCTATACCCGCGCCAGAAGCCTGCGAGGCCGCGCTCGGAGCGGATTTGGAGGGCGATGTCTTTCATGGATAGCTTGTCGCTTTCGCCGGGGGTGGTAGAGGATGTCGGGTCCCGCGCCGCGACGAGTGCAGCGGTCTGTTGGCGTGTAACAATGTTCTGGATGGGCGTGGTGAAGAATTTCGCAAACGCGCCCGCGGCGACGCCTACGCCCAACTCTTTGGACACCGAGAGCGAGGCGCCATGGCCTTTCTGCTTCTCGTACTGGCGGAGGAAGGTGTACGATAAGAAGAACAAGAACGAATCTGCAATACCCTTCCCCAGATCCGGCGTCAAACCCGTATACAGAGCCTTCAGTCCGCCCTCAGTCTTGTAAATCTTCTGCACAGCGTCGAGGAGCGAGGCATACTCCGTCTCCGCATCCCGCGCCGCGCTCTCCGCCTCCCCTTTCCCTCGCAACTGTTTCTGCACTTGTAGTCGCGTGATGCATAGCTCGATTGGGTACACGAATGCCTTTGCGCCGGCCGTCGCCAAAGCGCCTGCTAATGCATGCCCGAGAGCTGGGAGGGCGGGTCCGACGCCGCCTGACGCGCGGCCGGACTCTTCTTGGATGATGTGGTAGTATTCAAAGGCGTCCTGGGGTCCGTACTCAGCGGTGTGGAAACGGTGGAGGGAAAGGAAGAAGCGTACGAGTTGGTTGTTGGCGGTGGCGATGTCGTTCGCCATTATTGCGCCGACTCTCTTTGCGAGATCGAGTGCTCTGCGCGGGCAAGTGGTGGTTTTAGTGTGCTTCCGTCTGGTCTCTGGCAGCGCGTAGCTCACCTATATCGTCCCGTCTTCCTTCCAAGCGTTCGTTGGTCGAGAGCTCTCACAGCTCAGCTTGCAGGCCGTGAGGGGATCATGTAGGTGGTGAGGAGAAGCTGGATTTACACAAGCACAGTGCTACTACAATGGGATGTACAGACGGTACGGACAGGCATGTCGACTGGCCTGCCGTCCGATGCGATGACGATCGACGACGGGGGTGGGTAACTAGCTCTCTCCACACATTCTGGGGTTGGATGGCGTTGGAGTTCGGAGGTCGCGCCTCATCCGTTCTCCCGCGAGATGAAGCCAGCGTCCGGCAAAACAACCCAGGGCGAGCGGCGAGTCAATGGAGCATCCACGAAGGCAGTGCTGCGGGAAACCTAGTAATAATATACTATGATGTACAGTCTATCTACCTCTCCACCAAGCCCATCAGTGAGCCACGATGAAGAAAGTATTCAGTACCAAACAAACAACCATAACCGTCAACCCATAAAAGGCCAATGCCAGACTCAGCCGTCGCAGCATGTCCCCCCTCCACCTTCGCCCTCTGACCTTCTGAGCCCAGCTCTCGCGCCATGAACCTCCAGCGCCACGCGAAGAAACAGACGCATCGTCGGACTCGGAGCCAGAAGTGTGTTCGTCGTTGTCGTCTTCGTCTTTGAGTAGTCGCTGGTGATGTGGCGAGTCCGGGCTGCTGATCTTGTAGTAGAACAGTCCTGGAAGGATGAAAGAGATCGAGGTTGACCCGGTCGAGCCAACGTATGCCAGAACTTTCTCCAGGCTGCTGACTGTCATTGCCACGATGTAGGAGAGGATGATGATGACCGTCGTGATGATGGCGAATCGCAGGTCGCTCATATCCTCCGTCTTCGGTCTGATAGGGACTTTGCGCCCCAGCAGGCTGCTTCTGCTCGGACTGCCCGAGGCTGGTGTGAGTTCCTGGTTGGATTTGCTAGCTGGTCGCCATTTGGAAACTGCGTCGACCGAGGCTCGGCAAGGGTGGACTTGGAGCGGGTAAGAAAACATGACCATGATGACGATGGCTGCGCGGCCAATGGTGGAGAAGATGGAGGGCCGATATTGGCCGACAATATTGCCTATGACAGCGTCGCCGAACGAGAGGTAGCCTGTGACAGCTACGAGAACGTAGATTGAGGAGGAGATGCCGTTCGAGGCGAAGACGACGGATGTTGTCCGGAAGGGGCTGTTATCCTTGATTTCGTTGAGGATGGAGAACATCTGCACTCTTCATTAGCTTGTCATCAAACAATGGAGATGTCGCGAACTCACGTTCTGATGACATGTGTATGCGAACACAATGACGGGAAAGCTTCCCAGTGTTGGCACTATACCCTGCCACTTAAGCCAGTGGATCTCCCCTCTGTCGGCCAAAGTGTCACCAGATCCAAAATGGTAGACCACCAGAACGACCAAGTACGCTATTGAGACCAGCGCGATAATTGAGGTGTACTTCAAGCTGTCCAACCGGCGCAAGAACGAAAGGGGTATCACAATCAGCCTGCTCCTCGTCAGCTCGACATGATCCTCTCAACGGCCAACTTTTGATATCTCACTCACATGAACGCAGTAATCCAAAACCGCCTATCCAACAAAAACTCATTCCCACCCCCATCCCTCGCAAACCCCAACACCACCCCGGGCATCAGATCCCCAATAATAATCAAATAACTCACCCCCACCCCAAAACACTTGATCGCAATTGCGGCATCAAAAAGCACCGCAGCATTCGGATACGTAATCTGGCTCAGCGCGAAGAAACTCGCGCTCCCACGGTCCAAGTACCTCGCGCATCGCGTCTGCAAGTACAGTCCAAACCCGCTCGTCAGCCCGGACCACAGGATCACCAGCACGCCGAGGGTTATACCCATGTTGCTCATAGCGTGCGGCATGGCGAGCACGCCGGCGCCGACGATGGTGTTGACGAGGTTGATCACGCTGCTGGACCAGGAGGCGTTGCCGCCGGTGCCCGATTGTTTGGGGTTGCCGGTGCGGCGATGGCGGGGATTGGAGGCGCGGGAGGTGGGGCGGGAGGTTTCTTCGTCTGTGACGGCGTGGAGGGCGGCGTAGGAGGCCATGGTGGGTGGGTGGGTGGTAGGGAGGGTGTGGGAGGTGATGGTTGGATTGGTGGTGTCGCTCTAGGCCGCCGTCATGAGTGTATGCTCTCGAGAAGGCCGCAGTCCGCGATCCTGTGAGAGTTGAAGTATGCACAAGTCCGCCCAGGTAGTGTTGCTGTTGTAGTAGTGGTATGCAGTCTGAAGCACTCGTAGTCGAGATAAGACGAACATTAGGTGACAGATGTGCCAAGCAATGATGAAACGCCCGTTGGTTCCGCTGGCCGAAGCCGCGCCGCCGGAAGCTTAAACCGAGAGCCTCATCCCAAGAATAAACATCGAGATATCTCACAATGAGGCCTGGAAAATAAGAGAAATGCAACGATGACGACCAGCAAAGCCGTGTCAGCCGACACACTGTCACTGCTGGAAACGCGCCTCCAACGACTGGACTACCTCCTCAACGGCGACACTGGACCATCAGAGGAAACAACAACATCTCGACAACACCATGGATCGGCCGCAGCACGTCTACGTGTATTAGAACGCTCCCTGCAATCCCTTGCAACCAAATCACCAACCGTCAACGAAATACTCTTCCTCCAAAAGCACCACCCAGACCTCTTCACCACCTCCTCCCCCTCAACCATCCCCTCAACCCTCCCAACAACCTCCCTAGCAAGCCTCGTCCTCGCCCACGAAAACCTCTACCGCACCACCTCAACCCACCTAACCCACCTCCAAGACCTCACCATCCCGGACCCGGCCCCAACATCCAAACTCATCGACCTCCGCCCCCGGATCGACGCGGCGCGGACCAAGCAGCTGGAGCAGGCGAAGGAGGTCGCGGAGCTAAGGGCCCGCAGTGCGCGGGCGGTGGAGGCGTGGTATGAGGGTGGGGTGTTGGGGATGGATGAGCAGTGGGCGGAGTGGGAGGAGAGGTTGCGGGAGGCGGAGATTCTTGTGCGGAGGAGGGAGGCGGGGAGGAGGAGGGAGGAGGGGGTGGTTTGAGGCGCACTCTGCAACTGAAAGTGCCCCGACTGATTTCCCAACCTGGCTCTGGGTGGTCTGAGTGGTAGTTGCAGCATCTTGCGTTTGCCGTGGCTGCCTGGTCAGCCCTGACCGTCACCTACGAACGTGCAGCGAGGAGTACCTGCCCCGAGGACTGCATGCGGCCGGGTTCCAATGTTGGGCTCGTAACTGCGGATGCATTGAGAACACCTTGCCAACATTGAGCTACAAACCACGGCAGAAATCGCAGGCAGCGGAGTTTCCGATTGCCACAGGCACGATATTTCTATGTGGCACGAAGCTATGGCGACCCTGAGAACGAGGGACCAACCAGTCGGACAAGACAAGCTGAGATGGCTATGCTGGCTCTTCTAGCCGAGCGGTATATATCTGCTTAGAAGCTTGAGCAAAGACGGGTGGCCTACCGACCTACAAATGACCTTCAGCCAATACATTCAGCTATATGATCATCTGCAACCGCTCCTCTTCTTTGCGAGTCGCCTGTTACACACTGGCACCGCCCACGCCACTCTCTTGTATACACGCACGACCGGATCGCTTGTATCTCTATCCTCTTCGCCTGCTGAACGCTGTGTCCCGCGCACATCAGATCGAGCATCCTGACAATTGACTTCAGCGATTATTCCGTCCTTGCACAAAGCTGGGGCCGATCGAAACTATAGCCATGGTGGTATGATATGCTCTCAAGATTTAGTACCCTAGGTACGTAGGTACATGTACACGAAGAGGGGCTGCGAGCTGCCAGCAACCCTCGAAATCCCGATAACCTGGCTGCTGTCGTTCCCAAGGTTCGGGCAGCGTCAACCTTCATAGAACCACCAAATTATGCAGCATGGTGGTAATCAACATCCGCTCCCGTTCCTGTTCTGCGGTGTCGCAAGGCAACGTCGTCCGCGATGTCGTCCTGCTCAACATTGTTGTGCTGTCTGCCAAAGGCGCAGCTCAGTACTGTGTATATTCAGCAGGTACATGTGTTACACTCATGTCGTAGGCTGACGTCGATGAGATGGTGATGCCAGGCCGGTCACATGTTCACCACGAGCCGGAGGATGAGAGGCAAACCAATGGCAGCGCTGCGAAAATATCATGATGATGTCTCAGGAGTGCTGAAACAAGGATGCATGTTTGAGAACGGTCGGCGCACGTGAGAAGGAAGCCGACGTCACCTTGCAGAAGTGTTCGTCGGTCCAACTCGAGGCCGGGCAAGGGAGGGAGAGTTGAAGAACGAGTGGGAAGGCCTTATTGATTTGCAAACCAATCCACTTCTGAACGGTCTTCTTTCACCGGCACACGCTTCTCTTCCAGAGCTGCTGATGCCCACTTGCTCGCTCGCCTGCACGTTTTCTTAGCATGCAGCTGCATTAGCACTGACAGCCGCACAACGCCCGTCTAGCCAAACGCAAAACCGGTTCGTTGCGATTGGTCCCGCCAGACCTCATTTCGTTATCTTCAACACCGACACCTTTGAGACATACTGCGACGACGACGACGAGAAGGAGAAGGACAGCACGCTCTCAGTGGGACGCCCTGCAGCGGTGTTGATCAGCTGGAGACCTCATCACTTTAGCTGCAGTCCAAGAGTCACCGGCTGGCCGGCCTCGCAACCTTCTCCGACCGAGCACTTCACCGGTCACGACATACCACGCCTTACGGGTTCTGAAGAGACTGCCGAGCGGGGCAGACACGAAAAGACACTTGGGCTTCTGTTTCGAACAAGCGGGCAAATGCATACGAGGGAGTCCTAGCAGGTCAGGCATCAAGAGCGGCGCTAGGTAAGCGATAGCATCTTTGCAAGACCAGACATCCATGCCATACCCACGGCGAAGGAGCGATATGGCCAGCGAGTCTGCCCACGGGCGCTTGTTGTCTATCCGCTCTTGCTGTCCATCTGGATTGCAGATCCTCTTCATCAGCACTTCCATCCTCTCTTCGTGGGATCCATCATGGCTGCCCCGCCGCCGCAGCTTGGCTTGTACAGGAAGGCTGACAACGACTCTCTTAAGCAGAAAGAACCACGGCTCACTGCCCTCTCTATCCTCATACCCAGATTGGCCGACATGTCTTATAACCGCCAGCTTTCGCCCGGAGGCCGACGCATCGCCAATCCAGCACGAACCTCCGACAGCCTTGCTGATCCTCACCGCTACGAGAGGTATGGCTCCCATACTTCGCCGAGGAGCAGCACCGGCGGCGGCGTCATTCCGATCTCTACACAGACGTTCGTCAACTACCCACCTGCCTCTTCCAACAGCACTTCCGCATCTCGTCCTGAGCCACGAGTAGATCCCTACTCTGGCAGACCGGTGGAAAGCCGACCTGTGGACAGCTACACTGGCAGACCTCGCAGGTCATCTTTGATCGACACTCATCGTGGCTCCGTCAGCAACACCACGTTGCCAAACCGTAGCAGCAACAGGCCGACGGTTGTTCAGAACGACTATGCCCGTCCAGCAAGCCCGCAGAAGAGCAGCAATCGCGGGAACGAGTACTATGTGCAGACTGGAACCTCAAAGGAGCCGAAGAGGGCCGAGCACAAGAAGCTGTACAGCGTCGACAATGGGACGGCGAGCCTTGTTGCAGACGTCGACCTGCCATCCGGCAGTGGTCGACACCACCGACGCAGAGATAGTGATACTGGTGAACGTCCGCCTTACAAAGGTCTCTCATCCGACCGCGACAACGACAGAGGGCGAAGAGCCTACCACCTCAACGGTCCGTCGAAGCCCAAGGAGAAGAGCATTGAGGATGACGATGCATATTCGTATACGGATCCTGCTGGCATGTTCCGCGATACTGAGCCAAGGTGGCGCGAACGAGAGACTCGACCACGCAGAGGCAGCGTTGATCGCGGTGGTGCCAGTCGTGAGCGGCCAGTAAGCATGCTCGATCCTAGCATGGACCCACGTCGTTCGAATAAAGAGATCGGGCCACCGCCGAGCACAAGAGGATGGGCCAAGCTGAATGACGGCATTGGGCGGACGACGAGTTTGAGAGAACGGTCGAGAGATGTGCCTCGTTCGCCGAACCGCGCGAGAGTACCTCAGTCACCGACCAGAGCACGTCCGCCACAATCACCTTCTCGTGGACGATACCCAGACGCTCCTGCCTACCCCGACTCCAAGGATCCCTACTATGTTGCGCCACGTACGACCTCGGAGGACCGACGGAACAACACGCATTCGGAGCGCTACGATCAGTACGAGTATGAAGACCGTCCTCGTCGCCACGAACGCCGCAACAGCGTGACCCGACCAGACCACAGCGTTGAGCGCCGGGGCTTTGGCATTAGAGGCGACAGCAAGGATCGACATGGACGCGGCAGCGATGAAAGCTTTGAGCGTCAGCAGAAATATCGCGACTCCGGTTATGAGCCGCATCGCAGGGACACCGCGCCGGCTACCAACTACCATGAAGAGCAACGAGTCGAGTATGAGAAGCAGGACCGCCCGAGAGCGGAACGACCACGGGTCGACGAACGCGATAGGCAACCAGAGCGCGAGGTCCGGGATGACTACAGAAGGCGTGACGATGACCGAGCATACAATCGCGACCACGATCGTGATCGAGACTCACGCCGGGAACGAGAAAGAGAGTACGACCTCGACCGCGAGCGTGAGCGGGAGAGGGAGCGCATGATGCAGCGCCCGGCTGAGCACGAACGGCACCATCACCGCCATGAGTCTGACCGCGGGTATGCTAGTAAGGATAGCACTTCGCGGTCGACTGCGGAGAGCGCGGCGCCAGGCCTCTCGACGGCTGCTGCTGGTGGTCTGGCGGGTGCTGCTGCCATGTATGGGGCGAACAAAGTTCTTAACAGGAATGACGATCGGGACCGCGACCGCGAGAGAGATCGTGATCGGGAGCGTGACCGAGAGCCAGATAGGCGTACGGAGAGACCAACCGAAAGGCCAACCGAAAGGCCAGTGGAGAGGCCAGCAGAAAGGCCACGTGAGCCAGACCGGGAGAGATTGTCTCCTCGTCCGGCTGCACCACGCCAGCAAGATACGCACAGCGATGAAGGTGTTCGTTATCCGGAGGAGCGTGAACGACCGCGTGCGCCTGCGCCTGAACCTGACCGAGCGGACCGAGGACTTGGCTTCGCTTTCGAAGGTGGTGCTCCTGAGCCTCCAAGGTCCGCACCGCCGATGAGAGACACCTTCCTTCCACGCGACCGACCCGACGAGCGTGAGGTGGAACGGCCGCATGAAGATAAGGTGCCCAGCCAGATGCCACCTGCGGGTGCTATGGACCCAGAGGAAGACTATCGTCGCCGCATGGAGCAAGTGCAGCGTGAGCTTGGCCGTGCTCCTGAGCCTCGAAACCCTGAGTACGACTCCGATCGTGAGCGCCGACGACGTGAACGAGAGCAGCGCCAACGCGACCGCTTCCCCAACGGCGATCCTTCCGTGGTCAGCACAGCTCCTTCATACGACGCCGCACCGTCTTCACGCATGCCTGGAGGTTACGACGACAGTGTGGATGGCTCCGTGTCGACAGCTCGGCCTGGGCTCGCTCGTAAGCCGAGTATTCTGGACCGGCCGATGACCGACGAGCCAGCGCAGATCATTGACAACTCGATGAGCGAAAGGAAAGAGAATCGTGTCAGGATCGTCGACCCGCCGACGGAAGAGGAGGAGCGCAAGCCACGAGGGATCTTGAAGAGGCCAACTGAGAAGTTCCCGGAGCATCCTAATACCATGCGAGAGGGTGTTGCGCCGTTGAAGGACGTATGTGACACATGATCTCTACCTCGTAATGAGGTCCAGAGCTAATATATTCACAGGCAACCAAGTCCGGCATCCCGCCCGGCGCCCGCTGGACCAAGATCGACCGCAAGCTCGTCAACCCCGAAGCTCTCGAAGAGGCTCAAGAACGTTTCGAAGAACGGCTCGACTGCGTCATCGTACTGCGCGTGCTCACGAAGGAAGAGATTCAGAAGCTTGCAGATCGCACAAAGGAGCTCAGAGGTACTTATCACCGCTCTCATTACACTGTCCCTCCAAACCACGGCAACAACTTGTATGATTCGGATACAACATCCGAAACTTCATCATCCGAGCATGGCAGTCTGCAAGGCTGCCTGCGCTCTGAGCGCCCTTGCGTCATACGCGCCAAAACTGCTCCGTCGACTCCAACAGTCGACCAAATACCCCCAGCACACCTTCAGCGCCCTGCCGCGAGAAGGCGTGCTTATACCACTCCCAACTTCTCCACCCCATCAAACCTCCTTTCACTTTTGAAACACACGCTAACCCGCCTCTCTTCCCGCCCAATAGACGAACGCTACGAAGAAGAGCGCGAAGAGCGCAAAGCCGCGCGCCGCCACGAGCGCGCCCGCGACCGCCAAAACCGCGACGAGTACGTCGCCGACGACAGCGAGAACGAGTTCAAGCCGAAGGCGCCTTTGCGGCTGGAGGCGCCGAGTAGTACGGCGGGCGCGAGTACTCTGACGGGCACGTCAGGGACGGGGGTGGGGGCGGGGGATACGGCGGATTTTGTGCGGGATGCGAGGGATAGGAGAAGGGGAGAGGGTGAGAGGGAGAGGGAGTATATGAGTGGGGGCTTGGGGGGTAGGGGTGAGAGGGGGGAGAGGAGCGAGAGGAGTGAGTACTGAGGAGTGGAAAGGGGATTGTTCTGGTGGATGGAGATGATAGCAATTGAGATGGTGTTGCGCAATAGCGGGAGTTTGTGTTGCATAGGGAGCGCGAGCGAGCGCTGCATGAGCACATGTCGTTGGTTTGCTTTGGGTTTCTTGCAATATATCCGGGCTCTTATACAGATGCAACCATGCCTTTCTCCAGTCGTTTTTGAGTCTGTGCCAAGGCCTGATCGGGCTTAATCGTTTTCGGCTGCCCTGACTTCACTCCCCGTCCCGACCGACTTGACTCTGCACATCTCACTAGCTACACGTCGACACTAACCTTGACATCATCTTTCCCTGTGCCCGCACGCTCAATCTGCTCGACATGGCCATCCTTCTCCGGCCGGACCTGCTCAGTCTCCTCGCCGAAGAGCTCCGCGATCTTCTCTAATGGCAGGCCTTTGGTCTCGGGAACCTGGAACCAGGCCCAGAATAGAGCTGCTGCTGAGACGCTGATGAAGAGGAGATAGTAGCGCCAGCCGATGGCTCGGATGGCAACTGGGCTTATTTGGAGCAGGATCTGAAGACTTTCAGCTGGAAACTTTCATCAAGTCTGGTTGGGTGATCTACCAGGTCAGTCAGATCTAATGAGGCGATACCCAAGGCCATGCCCTTCGCTCTTAGATGGGTGGGGAAAAGCTCTGGCAGGTAGACGACTAGAGCGTTGTCGAGCGTGGCGGAGAAGATCCAGATGTATGCATAGCTGGAGTCTGCTGTCAGCTGACCGAGAAACGGTGCGGGAGTCTAGGACTTACAGCATCGCCACCGCAGTGCCCATGGCCGCCATGTTGGGGCTCGCCGGAACTGGAGTCGCGAAGAGAGCGATCATGATTGCTAGAATGATCAGGCAGAGACAACACGCTGCGAAGCCGAAGAGGATGAGAGGGCGGCGGCCAAGTTTATCCATGAGCCATGCGCCTGTTGCACACGTCAGTTGTACACTCTGCACCGTTGGCTACCCTGAGAATGTTACCGATCAGCGAAGCGAATATACCGCCAGTGATCCAGCCACAGAGCAAGATCAGCGTCTCCTCTGGATCGAAGCCAAGCGTGCTGTAAATCAATGGCGAGAAGTTGTTGATGACCGTCACACCAGAAGCCTGACCGAGGATGCCAATGAGCATGGCAATGACAGCTCTTCTTCGATTCGCCCTCTGGGAGAACAACGCCTTCCAGGAGGAGTCCATCGTCTTGTCCTGCTCTGCCTGACCTTGCATCAAAGCAAACTCAACGCGGCCTGAGTCAAGCTCTTCCCGACCTTTGTGCAGCTTGTGGACGATCTTTTCGGCGTCTTCAAATCGATCCTGCATCAACAGCCACCGAGGAGATTCTGGCAGTATCGGCAGAAGCAGCAGCATGAGTGTGGGTGGAACTAATGCTAAACCGAGCGGCGCCCGCCACTGCACGACCGGGTCCGAAGCGTGGAAAAACGCCAGCCCCATGTACGACGCCAGCGAGTATCCGAGCAAGATCATGACACCATTCAGCCCGCCAAAGAAACCTCGCAAGCTCGGTGGTGCAAGCTCGGACGAGTATACTCCGCAGACTGGCACGAAAGCGTTGGCACCCAAGCCCGAGATGAAGCGAAAGGCGATGAACATCCCTGGATCCTGAGCCGCACAGCACATCACGCTGCCGAGTATGCTGAAGAGTGAGCAGCACAGTATACCGGTTCTGCGACCCCATTTGTCGAGGACGTAGCTGGAGCCTAGGACGCCGCATACCGCGCCAGCCTGCATATCAATCATCAACAAACGACTTTTGGCTCTTTCATGCTCGGGCAGAGGAGGATGTACTCACGAAAAACATAGAGGACATCGCGCCCTCCAGTTGCGGCGCATTTTTGGTCGGCTCAAAGGTCTTCGGATCCACCAGCTGCATGTACAGCCGGAACGAAGGCTGTCCCAGCGTGGAGCCGATGATGGAAGAGGAGTATCCGAATGCCAGAGGACCCAGGGCAACGAGGAAGCAGATGCGGAAGCTGTACCATGTGAACTGTCTTGGGGAGCCTGGCGGAGTCTGCAGAAGGTTGACGGCTTTGGCTGGGGCGTGCATGTTAACCATCTTGTCGAAGAAAGATGAGGCAACTACTGTGGGTGAACATGCAGCTGCTGGTGGGTAGTGTTATATGGGTGCTTGAGCCAGCGGCGGCGACCATTGTCCGCTGGAGGCTGGTTTTGGCACGGTAAGTTTCTGGCTCTCCGGACTTTCGACTCTTCTGGACTTTGGAGACTTGCTTCCGGTCCCATGGGGTTCTGGTGGACCTGCGTTATGTGGACCCATGCGCTGCTACGGAGAGTGCCGATGACAGACCGCTTCGTACAGGCAATACGGACATCACGGCTCTCGGACTTCACGGGGACCTGATGTAGACTCAAGTTGACCACTGTCGGCTGGCCATACACGGCGGGAATGGAAAACCTGCTCTGTGGCGTTCTGGATCGTAAGCCGGAGAAGTAGGTGACAACGATTTCAACATCGCATTGCTATTCCTCTCTCACGTGCTACCCTACAGCTGATCTGCAAACCACTCCACTGCTGCAGCAATAGCAGGGCCCTTCGATGTTGTGTAAACAGAGAAGTGATGACCCTCAACCTCGACTAGCGACTTTGGCTCCTGCGCTGCTTCAAACGCATCCCGCTGGCCTGGCACAGGATCCTCCTTCGCAAGTATGAACCGAACCGGTGTCGGTCCTAATTGCTTGATCAGCGGAGTAATATCAGCCAAAACCGTAGGTGCATAGCTCTGCAGCGTCACCATTCCAGTATAATTCCTCTTCTCCTCCTCACTCAACGTCTCCAACATCTCATGCTTCGGCTTGTCCCATTCCCTGGCGAACGGCACATATGTCGCCTTCCCACCCAGCAGCCTCAGCTTGCGATCTTCCGCCAGCTCCTTTCGGAACTTCTCAAGATCAACGCCATACCCAGCCATTCTCGCGCCGGACAGCTCAACCCAATGCACAACCGGCGTCTGCGCAACCACGGCCTTCACTCGTCGATCCACCGCTGCGATCGCGAGCACATCTCGTCCTCCAAGGCTAGTCCCCCAGAGCCCGATTCTCTCCGCATCAATCTCCGGGGACGTCGTGGCATAGGCGATCGCATTTTGCAGATCCGTGAGACGGCCTAGATGGTCGACCTCTTCTCGCGGCTGGCCCTCACTATCGCCAAAGTTGCGGGGATCGAAGTATAGGGCTGCTATGCCCGCGGCCGAGAGGGAGGTAGCGAGATCTGGTAAAGTCCATTCTTTGAGGCCGCCGAAGCCATGGACCAGGATTGCGAGGGGGCAGGGGCCGGGAGTGGTGGGGAGGTGGAGGAAACCGTGGAGGCAGATTCCGCTGGAGGGTATTTCTATGGCGGTACGTGCGAATACTGTTGGGGCGGCCATGTTGTTGCTTGATCAAAGAACAAGAAATCCTTGGACATCTTTCGAAATAGGCTCCCTTCTATTCTCTGACAGTCTCGGTGTTTAGCAGCTTGCGAGCAGCGATTGTTGGCAGCACTCGGCGGTGGCGGCGCATCACAAGCTCGATGTCCGCTTTCTCCGTCGAGCTTGTAGCTTGACAATGACTCGGATACTCGCTGCACTCTTACGGCTGAACTGTTTGCGGAAAACATCCACGGCCAGGTGAGGAGTAATACAACTCGGCAGTGTCAATCATGCCGACGCTCTGGCCGAACCTGGTGTTGTCGTGGTCAAGCTCGAATGGGGCTGAGCTCGGGCTTACTGAGCGCATATGTTGCAACGAGGTACATACGATACAGCATTGTCTCCCTTCTTCGGCTGCTTAGCAGACATCTCTGTCTACAATCTCGTTAGATTGCAAAACCAGTATACGATTAGCTCGGTAGCTCTGCTTTGCAAAATCAACAAGGATGGACTTTAGTAGTACGAAGCGGACAGCGAAAGACCATGGTGAGCAACGAATCTAACCCTCACGGGAAGCATGTTGACGTCCCTAGGCTATGGCTTCACCAAGACCGAGCACAACGACACTTATGCCGCCATAGACCCAACGAAGGCCGACCTCAGCGGCAAGCGAGTCCTCATCACTGGGTCTGCCAGAGGACTTGGGCGAGAGATAGCATTATCGTTCGCCAAAGCAGGCGCTTCCGGCATTGCGTTGCTCGACATGCTTGATGTAGCTGCTACGACAAAGGCCATTCCCGAAGCCGCATTAGAAGCAGGACGCCCTTCTCCCGAGGTCATCCAGCTTACGATCGACATCACGAGCATCGATCAAGTCCAACAGGCCGCGGAGACGATCAAAAGCACCTGGACCACTCTTGACATCCTGATCAATAACGCTGGCTACCTTGCCTCATACCAGCCGCTCGGCGACTCAGATCCAGACAAGTGGTGGCGCAACTTCGAGGTAAACGTCAAAGGCGTATACCTCATGACCCGCTCCTTCTTGCCGCTCATCCTCGCTAGCAAAGACAAAACCATGATCGTAATGTCAAGCGTTGGCGCCCACCACACCCTCCCAGGTGGTTCTGGCTACGAGACAACCAAGTTGGCTGTGCTGAAAATGAACAGCTACCTCATGGCTGAGTACGGTAGTCAAGGTCTTCTGGCGTATGGTGTGGCTCCAGGCGGTGTACACACGGCTATGGGAGAGAGCTTTCCGGAGGAGTTTCATCATTTGCTGTCGGATAGTCCGAGGATGGTTGCTGATACGATGGTGTTCTTGACGAAGGGAAGGAAGGAGTGGCTTGGTGGTAGGTATGTGGATTCGAGGTGGGATATGGTGGAGTTGATGGAGAGGAGGGAGGAGATCATGGAAAGAGATCTGCTTAATATTGGGCTGAGAGTCTAAAGTGATTTGACGTTCGTGGAATAACTTCTAGAGATATTGTGTATCTGTTATAGCTACGAGTCCAGGTCGTTGATCACTTCTGAGTGCTAACGAACCCCGTCGAATTTTCAACCACCCATGAAATCCCAATCGCGACTCAACCACACTCAACCGACCTTCATCACCTCCGGATTCCCCTGCGTCCACCCTGGCGCAATCGAAAGCTTCTTGATCCTCCACAACTCTCCTTCGCGCACGATTTCCGCCTTGTAAAAATTGCCAAACAGGTAATAATCCTGAAACTCCGGACTCGATCCCTCCCCCTTGCGAAAGTGCTGCGCCAGCACACTGCTCGTAAGCTCAGCAGAATCTCCGCTGACAGTGCATCGGATGTTGGTCGCGCTGTGAGTGGTGTCTAGGGCTGTTCCCACACGGTCCATCAGGAGGTTGACGACTTCTGTTCGGCCGTGGGTGGATTTGGCGTCCCAGCCGAGCTTTTGGAAGGGCGTCATGTCCAGGACCATGTCCTCGGTCATTGATGAGGCGGAGAGCTCGTGGCTGCCTTCGTCCAGAGCGCAGACGAAGCGGATTACTGCGTCGATGGCTGCTTCGCGGTCTGTAAGGCCTCCGGCGTTGGGCATTTTGTCGGTGTTTGCTCTAGGCCACAAGTAGACTTCTTTCTGTCGTGTTGGAATTGCAGTAGGATGAAGTGGAGGAAGATTCGCTGGTCAATGAAGCGGTGGTAATAAAATGCCTACATATGAGATGGAAGGTGGCAATGGAACGTCGACTGCTCACGCGCAGTCCACGTAATTTAGGTCTGTTGTCCGCCATCTCCAGAAACACCTACCGACGATATAGTCTATGAATGAACGAACCGTATCTGGACGCATCAACACGTCCATGTCATTGGGCGGTAGAGGTGAGGAGAGAGGTGAGGTCGTGAGCACAAAGTCCGTCGTCTCCGCGATCTCCGTCCGATCTCCCCTCGTCCTCTCGGTGGCGAACTCTCGGCGGTCCGCCATGTCCATCAAGAACATTTCTCGAGCCGGAGAAGACAATCATAATGGAGAAAGCGCAATTGCACAAGTCTTCAACTCCGAGGACCAGTCGTCACGATGCCTGGCGACCGAGCAGTCCGGAAGCCGCTGTCCTGTGGGCCATGTCGGCATCGCAAGTATGGCTTCCTTACCTTTGCAATTGGCAGGCCCATGCTAACAGTCAGCCAGGCTGAGGTGTGATCGAGGCGTACCAGCATGCTCCAACTGCGTCCACCGCGGCGACATCATCGCATGTTCTTATGCTCAGCGATCTCGTCCAACGAGTGGGCAACCACCTCGTTCACCGGCCTCGGGCTTAGACCGCAATGCTCAGGATAAGCTTGACCAGTTGGAAAAGCTTGTGGTTAGTTTGTTTGATGAGAAGCGCAATGCGAATCAAGTTGTGACTCCGGCAAGCACTCGGGATGCTGGCAGCTCCGATGGTCATGTTGTGTCCTTCGACAGCCAGCAAGCCCCTGAGCGCTCGAGCGGCGAAACACCTCGTAGTGTGCTCAGCGATAGCAGTGCCGGCGCTGGGCTCTGCGGGAGCAGCGAGCCACGGTGGTCTGTAGATGAAGCACGATGGGCGTCCTTGATGAATGGGGTGCGTATCATTCCAAGCCCCCGTACCTCTAGGACAAGAAATGACATATGGCAGATCAACGATGTCCGCGACTACCTACGCATACAGCACGAGAAGGATGACCAGCAAAACCAAGTCACATCCTCATCGCTGGAACGGTCGTGCGATGACTCCGGACCGACGCTGTTGTTTGGGAGCTCACGGAGCATGAGTGATAAGGAGATACTCTCGCATCTGCCTTCGAGGCATAGTTGCGACATAATGGTTGAACGGTATTTTGCGCATCTCTATCCTCCATTGCGTAGGTAATGCCCATTGGCATGGCTGAGCGTAAAGGCCGAAAACTGACATTAGCAGACATACTCCATATACCGACGTTCAGGAAACAGGTATCGTCACGCATTACACCATCAGTCTGAACTCGGTGCTGATGGAACAACGTCTCACAGTACGCCAGATTCTGGATGGATCCTCTCAACACCTCCATGGCCTGGGTCGGGCTCCTGTACGCCATGCTTAGAATCGCTGCGTTGGACTATCTTCGAGAAGAAGACGAGCCTCTAGAATGGCAAGGCAAATGTCAAGACCTCGCCATCAACTTCCGAAACCGCTTCACGGACTGCATGATCGCTGCCGATTACCTCCAACCCCAAGAATATCTCATCGAGGCATTGTGTCTGCATCACTATGGTGAATACGTATCAAGTCGCGATGCTAAGTCTAGTGTCTGGGTGTTGACGGGCATGATTACGAGGTTGGCGATGCGGATGGGTTATCATCAGACGTCGCAGCCTACGCTGGAGTCTTCTCCGTGCAAGGTAGCAGACACTGTGCCTTGTGATGTGGACTGTACTGACAAGTACACAGGATGAGATGCGGAGACGAGTATGGGCCTTCATCAGACAAGGCGACATCATGATATCCTTCCAGCTGGGCCTGCCAGCAATGGTTGATCTCTGGGACAGCGACGCCAATCTTCCACGCAACATCTACGACGCAGACCTTGACGAAGACTGCACAGAGCTACCTCCTGCACTCCCTGACTCCGAGCCGACTGAGGTCGCCTTTCTCCTTGCGAAAACGAAGCTCGCTTTTGGTTTCTCCCGTGCAGCAGCAGAGATCAATCGCTCCCCATCCGTCAGGTACGAGCGTATCCTCGAGATCGACCGCGAGCTACGGCATGTCTACGACAGCATCCCCGGCTCATACAAGCTTGGGGCACTGTCTCAGCAAGACTCGCTGATCCGGACCTCTGCCAAGTTCACGCTGGCGAACATCCATCACAAGTCCCTGTGCGTAGTGCACAGCAGGTTCATGAAGTTGGCAAGATCGGACAATAGGTACTCGTACTCGCGAAAAGTCTGCTTACAGTCGGCGATGTCCATGCTTCGTATACAAGCCATCCAAGACCAGGACATCCCGGTCGACGGACGGATAAGAAGCTTGACGAACTACCAGACCTCCCTGACCATACACGACTTTCTTTTGGCGGCGGCTATCATCAGCAGCGATTTATGCTCCAGTAACTCATCCCCCGAGAAGCAGACATTGACCCCCGGCTTCCCGTCTCGAGCCGATATGACCAGAGCTCTCAGCATAAGCGCCCAGATCTTTGGCCGCACACGTGATTGCAGCAGGGAAGCCGGGAAGGCCGCCGATGTCCTGTCGATGCTCGTCAACAAGCTAGAAGCCGGAGAAAGTGCACCAAATGAAGCCAGGCAACTCGCAAGACAGAAGACGACCCAAGCTCGAGGTTTTCAGGCCAATGGTCAGCCAGCGATGCCTCACCAGCGGCAAGGACCTTCGCCCGCCTCAAAAATCGTGTCTGGAGCAGCTCTTCCGCTCTCTGCTGGGATGACCTCAGACGCATCAGCCGCACAAGAGCAACCCTCTTGGCCTGGTGCTTCTGACCCCTGGAGCCAAATCGGGCTGCCACAGCTGGATACAAATTACCCTCCCATCTGGCCATATGCACCCTTCCACACATCCGCAGACTGGTCGGCAACAGACCCGTGCAACTTCGGCCACGAGGCGGGTTTGAGCGGCAACCTGGACTCAAGTCACTGGAATCCATCAATCGCCATGCACGATCCGCTCTCCACGCTCTGGGATTTGAGCGCGGAATTCGGCACTGATGCACTGTAATACTAACCCATCGCCGTTGGAGGACGTACACGGCGTCTCGAGAACTATGCTAGTTTCTCTACGTCCTGTTGCGTTGTGGGCATTGTTATATTCTTCAGTGAACTTGGAGATGAAGGCACGGGAGGCTGCTCTGTTCTCTGCCATCGAGTTTCTTTGTAGGAGGATCTCGAGACTGCAGTCGCTGTCTATGAGGAAAGAGGAAGCAGGGGATTCAGTGGAAGTGGCAAAGGGAGAATCGTGAGCTGGGAGAGGATAGGAAGCATGTGTAGCTCAGAGGCGGAGAATGCTCAGAATGTGCAGAGACGAGAACGAGACCGGCAGCATTGTATAATCGTTGCTCGTGCTGTAGTCTTTCTTATGGTTGTTGGCTGTAAAGCATGGTGCCAGTCATTTGCACTTGGGAGGAAGCAGTTCGGTTGCCTGCATCGAGAGCTCGTATGCCTTCCATTGTCGTACATGTAGTCTCCGCCGGTCTTTTCGTGCATCTATAATTGACCTAGCAAAAGTTGTCTGCCTCGTATCTCGATGGAAATCAGAGCTCTACAACGCGATTTGGAGCTTCTGTGGAACTTCTTCTCACATGTTCGCCAACCCGTCCATTGCTCGCTGCAAGCTGCAAGCCACGCATGAGCTGTAGCTGCGAGATTCGCGAGCCGTCACACTCTATTGCTCGCCTTTCAGCTGCCATGGCGATGCGCAGAAAAGCGTTACTGGTTGTCCGATGCATCGGGCTGGGATGATCCATCTTGGTCTGCATCCGCGACGCGTCTTTGAATCCGATTCGAGAGATGCAATGCATTGAACGGCACACGTTGCAGCTTCCCAGCCAGAGCATTGTTTTGACAGAAGTTCTGTGGACTGCAATAACCACGAGGCTGGTCTTTTCGTCGGAGCGGCGCACACGAAGCCTTTTCTCGAAGTCGTCTGCTGGGGTGGACGAAAAGCAGATGGCTGTCATCACTCGGCCAACTCGGCCAGTTCCCTAGCGCCTTCCGTGTTGTGTTTTGGCGAGCGCGTCGTGAAAGCTAAAACGCACGACCCAGCCTCTCACCTCCGGCCCAATCGCACACATCTACCCACCCTCCCGCTCGCTCCCACATTCCACTCTCCTGCACGCACTTCTGCACAATTGCATTGTCGACTCCTCACCATCGCACTACTGCAACTACAAAAAGCTCTCCTCGCCGTGCAAGCTGGCTTCTTCTGCAGCTTCTCGCCGTTGAGACGCTTCTCGCAGCTTTACCCTCCACTGCCAACCGACACAGCTCCGCTTGTCAGTCTTCCGTCTCGTTGAGTAGGAAGGCGTGCAAGTCGAGCAAAGCTCGCCAGGCTGGATTTCGACGCCCGAGTCCCGTCAGTATCTCCACCACTCTCCTACGAAAGACGGTATACTGATGACCAAACAGAGTCCCGTTCAGCGTCTTCCCGTCCTCCTACAAGAACGAGCAGACTACGGAATCCACCGAAGTCAAGACTGACGAGCATATCACGGTCCAAGGCGCTGGACGGGAAGGTCAACGAGATCGTAACACCCAGCAAGGCCCTTCCCGTCGCGACGACCGCTACTCACGCGAAGACATCCGCATCTCCGAAGAGGACCGTCGACGACCGGGACGCGTGAAGAGAGAAGAAGACATCCGCATCACAGAAGACGACCGCTATACCGACCGCCGCGACACTCGCGTGGAGATTGACAGAGAGCGGTAAGTACTGCCTGCATCTCCCCTCTTCACCGCTGCCATCACACATGGTTTGTTTTCGCTTTCAGCCATGCCCCGTGCACTCCCCAATCGACTCCTGATGAACCTTGGCAAAACACGCTAGCGCACTAGTGTGTTGTCAACCGGGCAACACGCCTCACTTTCTTCCACTCTCTTCCCTGCATCACCTTCTTGGGCTCTCTCAAACATCCATGTGACTGGTGCTAACGTCTGCATCGTTACACCAGCTACCGTGAGCCATACCAGCGTTACGCCGGCTCGCAGATTGACGTAGAGGACCGCGTCTACGACCGCGAGTACAACACTCGTCACACCCCAGCAACCCAGATCGACGTCGACACCCGCATCGACGTTGCCGAACGAGACTTCCGAGACCGCACCGTACCCTTCGCCGAAGAGTACCGCAGCTCTCGCGGCTGGCAAGACCAGACCACCTACCCAAGAGACGTTCCTCAGGGCTCCTACCCTGAGCGTAACGCCGTCCGCTTCGACGAGAACGTCCGCGTGACTGAGGACTCTACCGTCGACGGTAAACACAAACGTGACATGGGATATTACGACGAAGACGGCCAGTACCACTCCTTCCGCCACGGTCTCCATCGCGCCGCCGACCGCATCTTACACCCCATCCACGGCGGTCACCACCACCACGACCACCATCATCACCACCAGGACCGCGAGGACCGCGAGGTTGTCCGTGAGAGAGACGTGACCGTCGAGGACCGCGAAGTTCAAGTCGGCGCCCCTCGCATCTCCGAGTCGCGCACCATGTACCGCTCCGAGGGACCCTCCAGGCGTGGCCCGCCCAACACCATCACCATCCCGTGCCACTTCATCCGCATCGGTGACATCTTGATCCTGCAGGGCCGTCCGTGCCAGATCATCCGCATCACGACTTCGGCCCAGACTGGGCAGCACCGCTACTTGGGTGTGGATCTCTTCACCAAGCAATTGAACGAGGAGTCCAGCTTCATCAGCAACCCCAGCCCGTCGGTGGTGGTGCAGAACATGCTAGGACCTGTCTTCAAGCAGTACAGAGTGCTCGATATCCGTGATGATGGCCGTGTCGTCGCTATGACGGAGACGGGTGATGTCAAGCAGACTCTGCCGGTGCTGGACCAGAGCAACTTGCTTGACCGCTTGAGCTCGAGCTTTGCTAATGGGCGTGGGTCCGTGAGAGTTCTGGTGTTGTCTGATGACGGTAAGCTATTCCCACCAACTCCTTGCCTACAATTCGTACTAACAATGTTCAACAGGACGCGAGATGGCAGTCGACTACAAGGTCGTGCACGGCTCCAGGTTGTAAGCCCATCGCCTATGACAACAACTTCACGACCTCTTGGGACGGATTGCATAGCATGAGCATGGGTATGAACAGAGCAAAAGAGGAGGTTTGGGTGGTCATTGGAACACAAGCCAGTGTTGCATTGTAGGAACATCCTTGTATCTACTTTGCTGTATGGCTGGGCTTCGATGGCTTTGTATAGGCACCGTGGTATAAGAGGGCGGAGCATATGGTGGGGGGAGGTAGGATAGAATGTGAATAGGTTTGCGTAGCAACAGTGGATACTTGAGCTTTGCTGTCTCGACTCTCCTCTTACCTACTTTCGTCCCCCCTTCTTAGACGAAGAGGAATTGCAAGACGAAGCCATTGCCGCGACAAGCCGACAATAAGCTCGCCCGACGCTAAAACGCGAAGACGACACGCCACGGATCCCTGGAAAGTAAAAAGATTTTGAACACACGCCCTATCAAAACAGTCATTGACCTGGACGACTGCCGGGGATAATCGCCATTGCAGGGCCGTTGGAAAGAATGTAGGATGCTCAAAAGGGCGAGAACTTTTGAGCCGACATTGAAAAAGACATCACCTCTCTTTACCACGAATTCGCCACGCACCTTTCAATTCATCAGAACACCCAGCAACATGAGACGAGGCATCACCACCCAACAAGCCGTCAACGGCGCCAACGGCGTAAACAGCACGAAAAACATCAACGCCACCCATCACCCGCTCACCTGCAACTTCGGCTCCGACAACTGGGCCGGCTGCCACCCGTCCATCTCCGCGTCCCTGTCCCAGCACGCCGCGGGCTTCGCGACGCCTTACGGGGACTCTGCTTTCGACCACTCCATCGCCCGGAAATTCTCAGAAGTGTTTGAGAAAGAATGTGCGGTTTTTTTCGTCGGCACGGGCACGGCGGGCAACGCGCTGGCGTTGGCTTCGGTGGCGAAACCCGGGGGGATGGTGTTTGCGCATAGGGAGGCGCATACGATTGTGGATGAGTGCGGGGCGCCGGAGTTTCTGTCGGGGGGGTTGAGGATTTCTCCGGTTGGGGGGGAGGAGGGAAAGCTTGGGGTGGAGGGTTTGAGAAAGGAGGTCGAGAGGGTGAGCAGCCTCGATGTCCACGGCGGGCGGCCTTGCGCGGTGTGTGTTACGCAGCCGACGGAGAGCGGGACTGTTTACTCGCTGGAGGAATTGGAGGGCCTGACGGCGGCGGCGAGGGAGAAGGACTTGCCGGTTCTGATGGACGGGGCGCGGTTCGCGAATGCGCTGGTGAGTTTGGGGTGCTCGCCGGCGGAGATGACGTGGAAGCGCGGGGTGGATATTCTGTCGTTTGGCGGCACGAAGAATGGGTGTTGGTGTGCGGAGGCTGTGGTGTTTTTCAAACCGGAGATGGCGAGGGATTTCGTCTGGTTGCGGAAGAGGGCGGGGCATCTGTTGAGTAAGTCGCGGTTTGTTTCTGCGCAGCTGGAGGCGTATCTGCAGGATGGGTTGTGGTTGGAGATTGCGAGGCATTCGAATCGGATGGCTGGGGCGTTGAGGGAGATTTTCGAGGGAAATGCTGAGGGGAGGCTGTTGAGGACGCCGCAGGCGAACGAGGTGTTTGTTATACTTGGAAAGGCGAAGGCTGCGGAGCTGGAGAAGGAGGGTGTGGTGTTTCTGGAGTGGCCTGCGCCTGCTGGAGCGCATGTGGGAGAGGATGAGCAGGTGTGTCGGTTTGTGACGAGTTTTGCGACGACTGAGGGGGATATTGAGCGGATGATGGTATTGATGAAGTGATTGCATTTGGATGGATGACTGAAGGATAGATGGATTAGATCATTAGAACTATAGAATACCAAAGATTAAGCATCATGGCTACCGGGTCATTCACAGTCCATCCTACTTCTATCATTGAACCAGAACGGCGCAAATAGAATCGATGTGTGAAGTGAGTAATGTGTATGGCTGGCTCACAGTCTGCGTGAGGCTGGGACATGCAACAGCATGGCTAATGCACGACTTGTAGCAGCTCGAAGTCCATATGCAGCCGTCGTGTGAGGCGCCTCCTCTCCAAAACCGAAACGAAAGTCGTGCCACTGTAGCTGGCGCTGAGTTTGCGCAAAGCAACTCGATCCGTCGAGAAGCAGGTCAACAGCCACACAGACCGCACAGCTTGCTCGACAGGTTCGTCTGGTGAGCTCGAGCGTCGAGGGCAGTCTTGCCCCTTCTCCGAGAGGCGAAGGGGAGGAAAATGGATCGACAGAAAATGAACATACACTAGCGTGGTTTGGTTTGCAGCCAATCAGAGTGCCAGCTGGTTTTGTGCACAAAATGTCCAGGATTGATCTTGAGACGAACATGAGGACCTACCTCCATATCCAGCCTCCTTGAGCGATAACCTTTGGAGACGAGCGAAAGGCTGTCCGATCTATGTCCTACTTGCGCGTCCACCGTTGCCACTACCAGCTCGAAAATGATGATGGGAGGTGCATGAAGCACTGGCCTGACGCAGTCGCAACGAGTGGAGCTCTCCAAATCTTCCGGCAAGGTGCTATACCACAGATGTGAGGGTCAAGGTGGCAGGGATGCAGGACCTCGCACAGAGCTGTCGTTCGGACTCCGGAGGGACGCTGTGGAGCTTGGTGTCGGAGCAATGCATGTAAGAAGCCCGGATCGGCGAGTGTCGCACTTCATCACGATGTTGTTGACGAACACGCAGTGGCCGAACAGAGGGCAAGGAGGGTTGAGATTAAGTTGCGCCACCATCTGGACGACAAGAGAGCCTCCTGCAAATCATCGCCAGCACTTTCATCTCGTTCGCCAGAAGATCAACGAGGCCAAACGACGAGCGCAAGAACGCCCCTTTCGTGCTGAGGTGACGTCCGACGAAGAGACCCGCAGAGTTGCGTCGGCTTCCCAACCCAAGCGGACCGATAGGTGGACGTTTGTGTGTGTCCACCTGCAAATAGAAAGCTTAGCTTTAGCAGCTGCAGTTATGGTTATAGGCGGCCTGCTATTCGACCCGGCGCAGCACGATAACAGTCGTCGTAAGGCACGCCGTTGGTCGGAGAGGGCGAGAGGGGAGAGTCTCATATTAGTCGGGAGTATCACGTCCTGGTGCAACATTTCTGTGACATTGCGACCCGAAACAAAGAGAGAGAGGGAGGAAGAGCGTCGTCACCACCGCTACGCTCGACCCAACGTTCGTCCGCGATTATCTCCAAACTCTTTCCCTCTTTTTCTCGCGCCCGGTCAGACAGGACAGTGCATCGCTCCGGTAGCACCACGCGTCCTCGTCGGGGCGAGCAACCAACAAATACGACGACGACGGTCGACAGTGCTGCAGCTGCATCTGCACCTGCCCCATTCGCTTACTGGGGTTACGATTGGGATCTCAGCTTCGGTGGCTTGGGGAGGGCTCTGTCGAGGTATGCCTGACCTCTCTATTTTCGCCCATTACTTCATGCTGCCATAAACCACCTGCACTCTGCTGGTGCAAATGTCTTACTTCCCCCCTTCGATCATCAATGCACATTGTCCTTGCACGCAATAACCAGAAATCTAGACGCCGTGTACCCACAATAATAACACCTTCTGCCAACTCGATACATCCCTGGCTTCGCATCCGCGGAGCACCTCGAGACTTCTCCTCAACCAGGGCAGTCCCACTTCGCACCTCATCGCACATACATACAACAACACACACACACTCGCTTTCCCGCCCATCGTTCGAAAACCGACAGCGAGCTGGAATCGTCTGTCCCTAATAACACACCCACCCTCCAGCGTCTTCCAAGATGCTTACCTTCCGCCGCGCCCTCGTCGTCGCCGCCGTCATCCTCACCTGCTTCCTGTTCCTCAGAAACACCCATGGTACGCCGCCTGCGACGACCGCGGCCGTGCACAACTCACCCAAGCCGACAGGTACCTTTTCCGAGAACAAGGCCATCCAAGACACGCCCGCCCAGCAGCCCGCCCAGACCGCGCCCTCGAAGCCCGTATCCTCGACGTTGAAGTGGAATCAGGACGATGGCGGTAGAGTCGCCCTGGCGAAGAAGCCGCTGCAGCAGATACCGTTGGCGGATTTGAAGGCGCAGCCGTTGCGGAAGCAGTTGGCGTACTCGTTTCCGTACGATTCCGAGGGAAAGTTCCCGGCGTATATCTGGCAGACGTGGAAGCATACACCGGCGAGTGGGGATTTCGAGGAGGCTTTCAGACAACCCGAGGCGTCGTGGTCGGAGCTGCATCCGCAGTTTGTCCATGAGGTGATTACGGACAGTGTGGCTGTTCATTTGATCAGGCACTTCTATGCTAGTGTGCCGGAGGTCACGGAGGCGTATGAGGCGCTGCCGGAGGTGGTCATGAAGGCGGACTTCTTTCGCTACTTGATCTTGCTGGCACGAGGAGGCATCTACACCGACATCGACACCACAGCGCTCAAGTCGGCGGTGGAGTGGGTACCACCGGAGGTCCCACGAAGCACATACGGCCTCGTCATCGGCATCGAAGCCGACCCCGACCGACCAGACTGGCACGAATGGTACTCCCGCCGGATCCAGTTCTGCCAATGGACCATCCAAAGCAAACCCGGCCACCCCGTCCTCGTCGACATCGTCGCCTCCATCACCGAAGAGACCCTTCGCCGAAAGCACGAAGGCACGCTCGACGCGAAACACATGAAGAGCGTGATGGAGTTCACCGGCCCAGCAATCTGGACCGACACGATCTTCCGCTTCTTCAACAACCCGGAGTACTTTGACATGAGTACCAGCAAGGGCAATATTACCTGGAGTCACTTTACGGGTATCACGCATGCGAAGAAGGTGGGGGATGTGGTGGTGTTGCCTATTACGAGTTTCTCGCCGGGGGTGCAGCAGATGGGTGCTGGAGAGGAGGATGATCCTATGGCGTTTGTTAAGCATGCTTTTGAGGGTGAGATAACATCAAATATACAATGCGCAATGCGATGCTAACGTGAAGCAGGCACATGGAAACCAGAAAGTGAACGACACATCGGCGAGCAGCAGGAGCAGGCCGTTGCGTGAGCGCACAGCAAGCACGCGGCTGAATCGTCAGCACTGCGTAAGCGAAATGTATCAACCTATCCGCGGCGCAAAGCGGAAGGGCTGCCTGCGAGATGCAGCTCCACGGACCGCCAGCTCAACGCCGGCCCTCACGCGTCCGGCCTCGCGTGCTCGCTGCTCGTTACATCCGAGCCCGGCCTTCCAATCCCAGGCAGCTGTTTAAGAACCGCCGCCATCCGCTGTGGATTCCACAACACCTGCACACGTTCGCGAAAAGAGGGAGAAAGCTGGAGCCACGCGTCCCCGCCTCCGCGGAAGCAAGCATATACGCATGCATTGTACTACTGTTTTGTCCCGGGCGTTCATTTGGAGTGCGTGGGAAGGAAAGCGTGGTCGCTATTCAAGTGCTGAATAGCGCAATTCTTGTATTGTTTTGTTTTTTTTGAGCAAAGTATATCGAGCGATGCATGGCGCTGGATATTTCCATGGCTTGGGAGGAGGGAGGGATACAGAATAATAGCATTGGGGCATCGGGGCCAGACCTTAGCTTTTAGGGTGGTGTAGGTTATATGTAGGCATCAGGGTAGATTTGAGATGAGGAGAGAGGTTTTGGTTCGGATTGCTTCGCGTTACTGTGATGGTGCCTTGTCTGTGAAGCATCTGTAGAGTCTCGTCCACAATAGACATATTTCGTAGATCATTGGGAAAGGAGCTGATGAGTACTTTGAGGCGCTGTTCCTTGCCGACATTTTGCCGAGCGTGCCACTTCGGGGGTGTGCCCAGACTCTGGAATCTGGTTGCCTGCTGGACCTCAGGTCAGCGAGACCACCTAACTAGCTTTCAGGCCGCAGGATAAGGATGGCGAGAGCAAAACCACTCCTCACACTGCCGCACCCCGGATCGAGGACGAGATACAACATGCGGTCAGATAGCGATCTCTCCATACCCAGGAACCGGACATCTCTGAGCGACCGAAGACTGCCCGGCTTCTGATAAATAATGCGCCAATGGAATCCTACAGCAACGCGCAGTACGCGCACACCCGCACCTCGCACCTCACCAAACTCTACACCGACGCCAAAAAGAGCGCCCTCACCAGCCTAGAAGTAGTCCAGCCCAACACCACCCAGACCTTCACGGCCCTGCACCGCAAATACCGCATCCAAAAAGACCGCCTAATCACCTGGGGCCTCTCGTGGAGCGACGACGAGAAGGGGCCCGATGGCAATATCGACGAGTCCGTCGCCCGTGCGGGTTTGACGGAGACGGTCGACAGTGTGTTACGCAATATCAAGGAGGTGACTGATGAAGCCGAACGCATCAAAGCGGCTTCTGTGCCTGGTGGTGGGGTGGCGAAGGCCGGGGCGGGGGACAGTAAGTTTGTTGCTGAAGTGCCTTTTGATGAGGCGAGGTATGAGGATTTGCTCAGGGATTTGACGACGAGTATCGATACGTTGTATGATCTTTCCCGGTCAAGGAAGGCTTTGGCGAGGGGCGAGCATCCGACTTTTCAACCTGCGCCGCCGCCACCGCCTGCTGTTCCGACTGCGGTGGGGGATGAGAAGAAAGGGGGGAAGTTTGAGCTGGTGATGAAGGAGTCTTTGGGGAGGGTGCCGAGTTATGCTTCGAGCGCGAGGACTTTGGTGAATCCGCCGGCTTTTACTCGACCGAGTCTTTCGCCTTATGCTGGATTGCCGCCGAGGATTGAGAGTTCTGCTTTACGGTTGCCGGAGGAGGGACCGCCGCCGTATGAGAGCTTGGGTGTGCCGTCGACGACTCGGCTGGTTGGGCTGTTAGTGCGGTCGAGGGTGTCGGATGGGGTGAGGAATGCTCTCGGCAGCAGTGCGATGGAGGTCCCAGTACTGGTGGAGTTTGCCAACTTCGATCCGACGTATCGGGATACTGGAGTGCCGCCGCCGCTGCAACGACTGGAGTCGCTGGCGGCTACGTTCCAGCCTATGCGGTCGGAGTCGCAATCGAATTTAAGCTTGCTCGGGTACTTTGAGGATTTTCGACAACCTCGCATTGGGCTGGTATACGATCTGCCGTATTCGATCCAGAATCGGCTGCAGGGCACTTACGAGACTGTCGCTCAGAAACTTACTCCCATCAGCCTGCTTAAGCTCGTGCAGAAGGCCAACAAGCCTCAAGCGCCGAATAGCGATGTCGTCGTTCCGCCGCTGGAAGATCGCTTCTGCATCGCCTTGCGTCTGGTCGAGCAACTACAAGCTCTGCACTCACGAGAAGTGGCGCATGGCAACATCAATAGCAGCAGTGTCATCTTCACTACCACCGAGACTGAATCGCCAACAAGCCGGCACAAGCAAATGAGGTCGCCGCTTTGGGCTGCCTTTGACTTGTTCTCGAAATGCAGTGTCGAAGGCATGACCCGCACACAAAATTTGAACATCTACAAGCACCCCGAGGACCACCCGCAGAGTCCTGGACGGAGCATTGGGACGGATATCAAGTTTGATATGTACGGCTTAGCTTTGCTACTTCTTGAAGTCGGACTATGGACGCCTATCGGCGGGCTGTACAAGGCAAAGTACTCTCTGTCAGATTTCAAGCTGCGACTGGAGAAGCTCTGGATCCCGAAGCTGGCAGCGAAATGCGGATCAGGGTACATGCGTGCTGTACAGGCTTGCGTCGCTGCTGCGGATGATCTGGACCTCAGTCAGAGCGGACCGGTGATTGAGAGTGCCTACGAGTTGGTGCTGAGGAATATTCGACAATGCTGTCTGCTGGACGAGAGCATGTCCAATGACAAATCGTACCCAACTGAGAGCTTCCCAGAGACTGCGCCAACCGGCATCAAGAGAAAGCCGTTGCCTGGCGATGGTGGCATGCTTGTACGTCAACAGTCTGATAACCTTGAGCTGCAGCGGAAGCGGTCGATCGAGACGAACTTGTCTGGGGTGTCGTCTCGCCTTTCATCGCTGCCGAATTTACCAGCTTTTGTCGCGCCAGAGGCTCAGTTGCTCGCCTCTCCGAGCTCGATGGAGCCTGGAACAAGGCAGCAGTTGATGAGGTCTCGACTTTCGCGGCTCGAGAGCATTCCACAGGCTGAACCGGAGAAGTCGCAGTATTTCGCAAATCCGCCGTCTTTCAAGGAGTATAAGCAGAAGGTGGTCTTTCTGCAGCGGAGATGGAGGGTGCACCTTGCGAGTCGCCAGGCTGCTGCTCAACCTACCAGGCCTCAAGTCGACAGAAGTGTCGGAGACGACGAAGTAGCCGACCAGTCTACCAAGCCGAAGAGGCAGGAGTTCCCACAGCTACCGCTACCGCAAAGCGTGGTGGATGAGTGGCATAGCAAGACTTCCTACCAGCTCGCGAAGCTTGTCGAAAAGGCGCTGAAAGGCTCTCCAGAGTCCAGCTCCATTGCTCTGACAGCCTATGGCGAAACGCCTGAGACTGCTCGCCCTACTTTCCTGGTCTGTTGCACGTCGACTGCCAAGGTTAGGCACGTTCTGAAACGCCACTTCAAGTTCGATTCTTCAGTTTGTGACGTGCGGGTGAAGCGGGACGAGATCAGACGCTGTCGTCGACCAAAAGCCGATCATCCTGTGAGCTTTGCTAGGAGGAGTATGGCGTTCCATGATGGGGATGTTTGGGCCAAAGCGGCGAACCCGGACTACCAGCCTCGACCGATCTGCGGGGCTTCGATAGGAGCGTACAGAGATGACGAGCATCTGCCGCCGGTATCTTTTGGTGGCGTGATCTTGGTTGATGGCGTTTCGTACGGCATGAGTGTGCACCATATGCTTGAGGCGGACGATGACGATGATGAGGATAGTGATGAAGATGAGGATGAGTCCGATACTTCGAGTGTGAGGAGCTTCGACAATGTTTCGATCTCCTCTGAGTCAGAAGATGAGAGCACTGTGCGGCCGCCTTCGACTGTACCGGATACTCGATCTTCGACAGACGCGCATGAAGGCGACGCTCCCGGCATCGTACCGGGTGACTACGAAGAAGTGCCCATCACCCAGCCAGCCCTCGACGACGCAATCGAACTCGACCTCCACGTCGACGAAGAAGACGACGACTCCGACTCCGGCATCGATGAAGACCACCTCCTCTCCTACAAGCTCGGCCAAGTCCACGCCTCGTCGGGCCTCAAACGCACCGCCACTTCGCTCGAAAATGGGTTCCAAAGCATTGACAAATCCCTCCCACAGGAAATCGACTGGGCTTTATTCGAACTCGTGCCGCCCCGCATCAAACCTTACAACGTCGTCCGCGGCGGCGCAAGATATTGCTCGCTCAAAAATGGTTGTTCTCCCGACACCAACCCCGTCGACATCCGCAGCTCCTCGACTCTCGCGCAGGCGAAAGTCCACTGTCTCGGCCGCACGAGCGGATTAGCCAGCGGCACGATCTCGCACGCGATGGAGCTGGTCAAAATCCACGGCCGTAGCACGTTCTCCGCCTCCTGGGCCGTGGACGGCAATTTCGGCGTCGGCGGCGACTCCGGGGCGTGGGTGATCAGCAACGACGACGGGCGGGTTTGCGGACACGTATTGGCTTCACGGAAGGGCAGGACGTATATCTGTCCGATGGACTTGCTGTTGGAGGACATTAAAGCGACGTTGGGCGCGGGGAGTGTTACTCTGCCGGGTTTTGGGGGCGCAAGGGCGGAGGAGGATGCGGAGAGTCAGGCGCTGAGGGATGCGGTGAAGAGGATGCGGATGGGGGAGGAGAGGGGAGGGGTGGCATTGCGTAGGAGTGAGGGGAGGCCGGCGGGGAGGGAGGTGAGGAGGTCTAGGGTTGGGGGTGGGCATGGGCATGAGCATGGGCATGGCGAGATGGCGAGGGGGAGGGGCGTTGTTGAGGCGGCGGGTTAAGGCGATACCCGGGTTCAGGGTGGTTTGGTGGGTAGCATCTTGATTTTAGCAGTCATCTAGAGAGTCGCATTGCATTGCTGTGAGTTGCTGCTTGAGATCTCGTGTTCAAATTCGTGCCTTTCAATTTCCTCCCAATGTCGTTGAAAGTCCGAACTTCGGCCGTCTCGCTTGGAACCTCAACCACCTGCCTCCGCTTTCAAAAGCCGCACCGACGACGTCGCGCAACCCACCGGCGCCACCTTTGTGGAAAACATGGCGGACTACGAGGCCAGGAACGAGTCTGTCGAGTCTGAAGACAAGAAGGAGAAGGAAAAACGCACGAGTCGGGCTTGTCTCACGTGTCGGAAGCGCAAGTCGGCCTGTCAGCTGTAAGTGGACCACTTTCTATTGCACCACTCCTCGGCGCGGCGACGGCCGTCCTGTAAGGTCAAAGACAGCGGCTATACTGGACAAGGAACTGCTATTCTGTGCTGCACACGAGTATGCCGTCGGCAGCAGTGCCTTGCCTCTACCGCCGAACGACCAGAACCAGTCACCGAGCGCTTCAGTAGCCGACCACAGCTGACCATGCTCACAGACCAACGGTCGACGGCGTAGTTACCACCCCTTGCGCGCGATGCAAGTCCACCGGCCAGCACTGTGTCATCGGCGGCAGCAACCGTGGCGGCCGTCGCGTGCGCCGCAAGACGAATGACCAGCACACCTCGCAGCTTGGCGACGACACCAGCTACCTCGATGGCAGTCTGAGCGGCATACCAGAGTCGCCGGCCCAGAACAATGGACGGGATGGCTTCTCGAGCATGTCGGCGCACAGCATGCCAGCGCCGAATGCGATGATGATTGATCCGGCGCTGCAGCCTAATGGCGATGCCTCGGCGGGAGCAGACCCGTACGGTACGAGGGAGTCTTCGGCCGGTGCTGGATTTGCGTTCAATGACCTGCAGAATCCATCCGATGCTCTGGGGATTCTGGCGCAGATTGCTAGTAATGGCGAGAACGCTTCGACGTCTACTGTCATGCCGAGCGGGATGATGGGGTATCCGCAGCAGCATGAACTGGACTATGCTCTGGTGAGGAGTGGTAAGCTGTCGCGGTACAAGATCACGGAGCTGCTTCAGAGGTACAGGCAGTTCTACCATCCGTACTTCCCGCTGGTGCCGGCTGCTTCGCTAGACGCGGCGAATTTGGCGCACACGGCACGCCAGGAGCCGCATTTGCTTACTGCGATTCTGGTAATCGCTTCGCGGGATCTTATCGATGAGCCGGCGACGTTTAGTGCGTGCGCAGAGCACATGAAGTCGTTGGTGTCTGCTTTGGCGGCTGGTGGACCTGGGAACGTTGAGACGGTGGAGGCGCTGCTGCTGCTTGCCGAGTGGACGCCGTATACTGCCAGATCAGACGCTGGGCATGTTGGCCGTGGTGAAGAGGATCGCGAGGCATGGATGCATGTTGGTACTGCTCTACGCATTGGGTACTATCTTGGGCTCGACCGCTACTCATTTGCTGTCAGAGGTGACGACGTCAAGGATCCCCAGTGGCAGCGCAAGAGGCTGGTCTGGACAGCTTGCTACATCAGCGATCGCCAGATCAGCATTCGACTTGGACGGGCATTCTGGTCTCGCGGCCCGGGACCGCTCACTACATTGCGGAAGGAGGACTTCCCGATGCTGGCGCCCAAAGAACCAGGAGATGAAGACTTTGCGGGCATCTTCCAAGCGACTCTCGAGCTTACACTTCTGTTCTCGAATGTGCACGATGTGCTCTACTCCAATCCTGGCAACAGCATGCGCAGCCATCTGAGCGGAGGCTACATCAAGTACATCGACGACTTCAGGTCTGCGATCTACGGCTGGAAGAGTGTCTGGGGTACTCTGACCTGCTCTGCAAATCTCAAAGCTACGCTGTTGATGAGCTACGACTACTTGCGGCTGTACACCAATGCATTTGCTTTCCATGCAACTGTGAAGCGAGCTCTGCCTCTGACGCAAGGTGGACAGGGACAAGGCAACCGACAGAACAGCCACCCAGCCCCAGGCCGTGTCTTCTACAACAACGTCGGCGCCGTCGGAGATGCCCGCTTCATCTACGAGGGACTCGACGCCGCGAAGAGCTTGCTGAGCATGTTCAACACCTTCGTCGACCCAGAGAAGTCCTTACGCTTCATGCCCCTCCGCTTCTACCTGTACTCCGTCTACTCCGGCGTCTTCCTGTACCGCGCACGATGCGTCGGCGTCCTTGCAACAGACGAAGAACAGAGCGTGAGAAGCATGGTGCAAGAAACGGTCAATAGGCTCGAACGATCCGGCATCGGCTCTCACCACCCTGGCAGTCGATACTCTCAGCTACTTCGTCTGCTGTGGGACAAGGTCGAGCGCAAAGATCGCAAAGGTCCGACGAATTCTACTGCTACGTTGACGAACCCGTACAGGCCTGGGAGCAGCAGCACTGGTGGACCCACTCCGGTGTCTGATCCTATGCTGACGCAGGACTCGCCGGCTGTGACGGAGATGATGGGAGACTTTTCATGGACGGATCTGGATGCGATAGGGAATTTCGCTGTTAATGGGAATGGAGGAGCGATGGGGGATCTGGATTTCTGGTCTGGGTATGTTCGACATCTTTCAGCTTCTAACGATCATGCGGTTGCTGACATTGCGACAGGTTCTTGCCAGCGGACTCGAACAACTTCATGTTCGACAATGTCGCGGATATGGATGTGTGGAACGTTGGATTGTAATACTTCTGCGTCGTATTGAGCGGGCGCCGCAAGCGATGTCGTCGGTGAACGATTTCCCTCCGAAGTCGGCCTTTGACGGCATCTCATCTCCAACCTCACGTTGTCACCTCTATTCACTGTCATTCCATCTGTACTTTTAAGGAAGCGGCAATGGCAGCAAAGAGAGCTGCCTTGCTCATTGGCAAGATCACGCACTGTCGGGCTGAGTGGCAGAAGCTGAGCTCGTTAGTGACACTCAAGGTATGATAACCAAAGTACCCAATTGATGTTGCGAGGCTGAAGAAACTGCAGGAGTACGGTTCAGGCACTCGAGAAGACTTCATCAAGAAGTGCCAGTCTGGTGAATACGATGATGTCGTTGGCATATACCGTTCCAATGAGTCCACAGGCGTAACTGGCCCATTCAATCAGGAACTGGTAAAGGCACTGCCGAAGAGTCTCAAGTACATTGCTCACAATGGAGCTGGCTACGATAATATCGACGTCGCTGCGTGCACAGAGCGGAAGATTTGGATAAGTAGTACTCCAATCGCTGTCAACGATTCCACCGCAGACAGTAACTCACCATTCCCAATACTGAGATTGCCACACACTGACATCCACCAGCCGCCATCTTCCTCATGCTCGGCGCCCTCAAACGCGTCACCATCCCCTTCACCGCCGTCCGCAAAGGCGAATGGAGAGGCAAAGGCTTCGGTCTCGGCCACGACCCCAAAGGCAAAGTCTTCGGCGTCCTGGGCATGGGCGGCATTGGCCAAGCTTGCGCCGCGAGAGCGAAGCCCTTCGGCATGTCGATACAGTACCACAACCGAAACCGCCTGCCGCCGGAACAGGAGCAAGGGGCGAAGTATGTTTCGTTTGAGGAATTATTAAAGACCTCGGACGTGCTGTCGTTGAACCTGGCGCTCAATGCCAATACGCGGCACATCATCTCCACGCCGCAATTCGAGATGATGAAGGACGGCATCGTCATCATCAACACCGCACGCGGCCCGATCATCGACGAAGCGGCGCTCGTGGAGGCGATGAAGTCCGGGAAGGTATCTGCTGTTGGATTGGATGTGTTTGAAGAGGAGCCGAAGATCCGTCCGGGTTTGCTGGATAATCCTAACGCGGTGTTGCTGCCGCATATCGGGACGTCGACGTGGGAGACGCAGAGGGATATGGAGTTGTTGGTGCTGGAGAATTTGAAGAGTGCGGTTGAGGGGAAGGGGCTGGTGACGGGGGTGCCGGAGCAGAGGGGGTTGGAGTGAGTACGCGTGTCTCTATTAGTGTTGGCGAAGCAGATGCTGACTTGGGACGAGAAACGAGGGACGAACGAGCCGGTTGTAGAAGAACCATAGATTTTGTTGTATGGATTTCGCAACCAGTGAGTACGGGCTTCACTTCCAGAGCTTCGTCAGTGCCTTTCGGCACATCGCGATGACGATAAGTGACGTTCCTGTGAAGATCAAACTCACTTCAGTTGACTTTCTGTCACGTGTTCCAACTTCTTACTTTGCTTCATACATCAAGCTTGGCTGATTGCTTTCCACATACACCCACTTCTCGAAGTTCCAGGCACCACACTACAGCAACAATGCTCGGACGGCTCAAGCAGTCTTTGCGGCCATGCCGCCTGCTGAAGCTCCCGGCAGAACTGCGCAACAATATCTGGCGCCAGGCATGCGAACCATGGGACTCAGAATCTCTTGCAGAAACTCCGCCACCTAATCTCGACATTTCGGGACTCGCACGCAACTCCACATTTCGCAGACCACGGCCATCAATTACGCGCACATGTCGTGAGATCCGCGAAGAGGCCTTATCACTATTCTACGCCTTCGGTACTTTTGTTATCCATTCTCCACTATCCTTTGTGCCCGAGGCCCAACTAGAGGCGCCCGCTGAGACCTGGTTCAAGGCCATCGGCAAGCGCATCCACCATCTCGAGCAGATCACCCTGGTCACACATCTTCCCTGGAATTTGCACTTCTGTCTCGCCATAATCAAGCTCACCATCGTCAAAGGAGACATCAAGTTCCAGGTGATCTGTCTACGTCACCACAATGATGATGACGACAAGGGATACGTCACACAGCGCAGCTCACGTGCGGACGAGCAGTCCACTCTCCTCGAGGCTGCTTTTGCAAAGCCTGCTCTCACTCGGTCAGCAAGGATCAAGGCACGGTCTCCCGGTTTCGACGCACACGAGTGGGTATCCATCCTGCAGAGGCTCGTTCACTCCATCGAGAAGATGAACACCATCATCAACTACCTCGATATCATAGTCTCCTCTCCAGGAGACGTCCTTTCACCGTATCCATGAAGCCGCCTTCAACTGCTTTCGTGCAAAGATGGAGAGCAGACAGGTACGATCTGCCTTGTGGCACGAAGACACAAGAGACTCCAAGACTGACACCACGTGCAGTTGTTGACAGCAACTCATAGATGGAAGAAGCATGCTCAGTCCTGAGAAAGGACGACTTCCACCCTTGACAGTCTGGAAAGCCACTATGGCTGTGAAGATGTTTCGTTTTCGAAGGCCATGCAGCAGCGGCTGCAGCAGGAGTATTATTGGAGAGTCAGGGCTTAAGCATTCCGGAAAGTCTTCTTGCATTGGCGATACAGGGCACGAAATAGGTAAGAGTTGCAGGATATGGCCAAAGCGGTGGACTGGAAAATTTGCCGGTGGCCTGCTAAGATCATGTGGAAGCAGATTGAGTAATCATTCTACATCATGCAGCATGGTCACCCGATTTCGCAACGCCAATGTTCAAGCTTCCTCACTTCATCGGTATCTCTCAATCGACCTCTTTCCTTACTTAACATTCTCCCCACCTCAAACATCTTTCTCGCTCCCTGCTTTGAGATATGTTCACCACCCCGCCGTCGCACAATGGCCCCTCCAAGCCCAACACCACCGGAGCAGCCATGCTACCTCCTCAAGCTCTCCGCAGAACTGCGCAATCAGATGTGGGCTCTCGCCTGTCTTCCACCGCGACTCACGGACATCGAACTCGGCTTCCCTTCACGGGACCGCCGCATCTCGCAAGCTACAGGCTTCCGGAGAGAGCAACCAGCAATCACTCGTGTATGTCAGCAGATCCGCAATGGGGCCTTGCCGCTCTTCTACGCAAATGGTCCCTTCACAGTCTTCGGCCACGGTACTCACATCCAGAGCAGGTTTAACGACTGGGTGAAGGCTATCGGTGACAACGTGCACCATATCGAACAGATTACCATCTCGACAACTCTGGATGAAGGCTTCAGTGGCTTCCGGGTTCACGTGACGCTCTCAGTTGAAGGTGGCCAAGTCGTGTGCAAAGCAGTGCCATGGATTCACGAACCGACCAGGACGTGATCAACACAATGGGGTGACTGGCTGGCTGATAAGTTGGAGGATGACATCCGTAAAACCGCGCTCAAGAAGCCGAATTCGCTTATGCATCAGCCGCCACGTCTCGCGCAGCAAGAGTGGATTGCGATAATGCAACAAGTGATTGCTTGCATCCGGCGTGCAGACCTCGAAGACACCTTCGCCGCTCATGCGAGGGACTTCGGCTTTAAGGCACGCGGTATTAAATGTCAGTGGCAGTGGAGGTCTTGAGCTGGCGAACATGGTGATCTCAAGACAACCAAAGGAGCACAGGCAGTCACTGAAGAGAACAACGTACTGAAGGCAGCGACATCCCAATGGTTTGCCACTCGTCCACCTATGCTGCCATACCCACTGGCACCGGCACACCTCACTCCTACGACAACAACATATCACGCGACCGCCGATGTGTTCAAAGCATCTCGATTTTCAACCACCCATCCAGCCCGCGCGCAGCTGGCCCCTAATACGCAACGACCGGATCGACATCGTCACAACAGGGACCGATCCAAGCCTATCTCGCGGCCCTCTCCTCACCAGACCACAACCAGCTGTCTTTCGCACATACCGGCAATTCCCACCGGAAGGACTCCCGCTGCTCTACGCATTCAGCGCCTTCATGTTGTTTGGTCTTTCTATGGTTGTTGGGGCACTGAGGCATTGCTTGGGCAGGTCCGTGAGGAGGCGAATCCAGCGGGAGCAAGGAAAGGCACTTCAGGCCCTCAGTGAGGAAGTCACATGCTTGGGATCGAGCAGGAAAGACACAAGTTCTGGAAGGGGAAGGAGAATCCCCTAGCATAGCAAATGCGGACGTCATGACCACGCGCTTGCCTTCACTCGTGACTTTGTTCTGTAATGCTGTGAATGATGTCTAGCTTTCTCGCATGTGAAAAGTGAATGTGGAAGGTGCACAGACCACCTGAGGTTCCTATATCTTCTGCGAAGCAGGTAGCGGTAGATAGACCAACCAACTCATACCTCACAACTTCTTATACCTAATTTCCTCACCGCACATCCACCTTCCAACCTCTCCAACGAACTCACCATTTCGTCACACCAACATGGCGCCTCCACCAGACCAGCCATGCTACCTCCTCAAGAAGCTCCCGGCAGAACTACGCAACGAGATCTGGACACTGGCTCTCGCCTCTCAAACCGAGCACGACGATTCTTCAAACGATTTATGGGTCACAGAACGACCAAATGCACCCATCTCGAGACGACAACCACCCATCACGCTCACCTGTCGCCAAATCCGTGACGAAGCTCTGCCATTCTTCTACGCCACCGGCCAATTCGTAGCATCCGGTTACATCGAAGGAGTCATCCACCGCCTCGAGAGATGGCTCATCGTGATTGGGGACGTGCACCATCTCGAACAGCTCACCATCGCGACGAGCCTCACGGAATATCACCACGACCTGCCAGTTCTTGTGGAGATCTAATTGTGCGACGAGAAGCTGACTTTCACCGTGCGCCCGATATTCGCAACCAACGACAAGAGGAGCTGGACGAGTAAGTGGGCGACCTGGGCCACTCGAGGTCTCGCATCCGCAATTGTTGCTCGCAAGTTCGTCAAACCGATCATCACGGCAGAGGAGAAGCCTGGTTCGGCTGCCGTAGACTGGCTGGCTATCGTTTCGGTGGTGAAGGAAAGCATTGATGGGCTTGCTGAGACTTGTTCGAACCAGCGGTGCCGAGACGAGCTTGGGTTCGGGAGGGGTAGGGTCGTACTGTGCAGAACGTGGTGGAAGTGCTCCTACCTGGGATAAAATTGAGCAGTCGGGAGAGTATGAGAAGGATCTTGGGTGTGCGACGTCAACATGAAGTGACGGTGTGGGCCGTGTGGCGATTCATCACTGGTGCAGGTCAGCGCCAGAGGCCCGGAGAACAGAGACACTCAGCGGATGCGAACACTCACAGGCAGATAGCACAGTCGTGATGTATCTACGACACTGCATGAACGACCACACTCCACATCCACGTCATGAGTACAACCATACATCAACAAGTAACAATACAGCATCTTTTTCAAAAAGTGGACCTTCACCCGACCTCCCATCGCATATGCACTGCCTGCCTCAGATGCGAAATCAGATCTGTCGTTTCATCTTCATGTCCTGCTGTTCCCCCGTCTCTTGACCTTGAGCGCCCTCGCTGCGCCTTCATCCCCTGTAATACCTTTCCATTGAGTTCCACCCAGCGACCGTCAATCCGTGATCGGCCTTCCGTGCAGCGCAGCGCCGTGCCGTGACGAGTGGAAGCCGTCGAGATGCGCAGCCTGGGGACCCTCGAAGCCATCGACTGGCGAGTCGCGGGTCTGCACTCATCAGAGAGGACGCCGTTGACGGCGTAGGAGGTATCGGGAGCTGCTGACCGGCATGGCTCATCAGGCGACACGACTGGCCTGCCGCGGCCCAGAACTGCGCAATAGAGCCTCAGTAGGAACACGTCCGCCCTCTTCATGAAATATGCCGCCTATGCCACCTCTTCAAATCATCCTCATCACACAACTCCCTTCCCCCAGAAATCCAAACTAGCAATCACATCCTCCCCCATCTCATCCTCATACGCAAAAAGTATCTGCCCAATAATCAGCACACCACTCTTCACCCCTCCCCCATCAAAATCAGTCTTGGGACAACTCACCTCCCTAGTACTCTGATGCAAAAACCGCACCCCCTTCGCCGTCTGAATACACACCAACCCGCCGGTATCACTGCCCCGAATCTCAATAAACTCCGGCTCAAAAGCCAAGATATACCTCTCCCCCCACGTCGCGAAAGCCTGCGGCGACCCCTCCCACAAAATCTTCCAGTCCCCGCGTGCGCGCCAGCCGTTCTTGTTGACGTAGAAGGAGAAGTCGTTGTAGCAGAGTAGGAACTCGGAGGTATTGCGCTCGATGTAGATGGGTTTCACGTTCTCTCTCCTGGCGACGAAGTCGAGGGACGTGTCGGCTTGGTCGAGCAGGGATTGCGTTTCGAGTGTTTCGAGGGAGACGATTTCGAAGCCCTTGGCGCCGCCGACGCAGAGTTTAGAGCGCAGGAAGTGGATGCTGTTGGATTCCATGGGGATGTAGAATTCCTTGTACGGTTTCAGCACCTCCTGGCCCGAGGCGAGCATGCGCGCGAAACCGCCTTTCTTCTTGCCGACGCGTTGGGCTTCCATGGGCTCGAAGACTTTGACCGTTGAGCTGAGGGAGGAGGATTTGACGCAGCAGACGAGCGTTTGCCCGTTGCAGGTGCCGGCGTTGATGTAGTTGGCGTGGCAGATGCGGCGGCCGCGCTTGGCGGGGCCGGCGACGCTTTCGTCCGGGTCGAGGGCTTCGAGGGGGAAGGTGTAGACGGCTTTGTCGGCAAGGACCACGAGGATGGCGTGTTGTTCGAGCACTTCGAGCTGGGCGACGAGTTTGGTCTCGAGCATGCGTCTGGGCCGAGAAGAAGCGTCTTTTGGTCTGCTTTCGCACACGTACACGCCGTCATCGGTGCCGACGACGAGTTTGCGACCGCCGTCGATGGGGCGGCAGCAGTTGATGCGGCGGCTGGCGTTGAAGTATCCTTCGTTGAGCTTCGACATGGTGAAGATCTTGTGGCGTTCAGACAGTTTGTCCTTTTGGGTCTGAATATGCTCCATCCACTTCTCGCGCTGAATAGGGCTGGTGCAGTAGAGCGTCAATTCGTAGCCGGCGCGGCCGAGACCTTTGAAGGTGATGGGGTAGCCTTGCTCGCCAGCAGGCCGGTTTGCAGTGACGGTCCTACCAACTCCAGGAATCATGCTAGAAGAAGGGCGCTTGCTGATCCCCAGCTTCGGCAGCACCATATCCATCTCCTTGATCTGCAGCAGTTCCAGAGGGATGGGCTTGCGGTATACCTTCATTTCTTCGCGTTTGTTGACCGTCTTGACCCTCACAAGCAGCACAGCATGATCGAACAGGTAGGCCGTGATGTCTGCCACATCATTCGTCGGCGCTTTCTTCAAGTTACTCTTGAAGATCAACTGCCGTGCCTCCTCGGTCAATTTGAGATCCATGTGCGGTATCTGGCCCCATTTGAGCTGCGCATTCAGACTCATAAGGTTGAAGTGGTTCTCTGCCTTGCCAGACTCCTCGTTGACCCGCCCCAGCGTCTCTCGAATCGCCACGATCGCCTTCGGAATATCATGCTTATCCGGATTATCCTCCGCAGTATTCTTCAGCACATTCTCCAGCAACAGCGGATATCTCGCCAAACGCGTGGTAGGCTTCGTCAGATACCCGTTCAGCTCCAGCTTCCGCGACTCCTTCAGCCGCTCAGTCTCATCCACAAACCGCGCGAAAGCTGGGTTCGAGCTCTTCTCCTTCTCGAACTCGAATTTACCAAACAGCTGGTTCGCACCGTACTTGATGAACGGGCTGAACTGCGTCACGTACTCCAGGAAGACGTCGCCGATGTTTCTAACAACGGGATTCTGCTGCTGTCGTCGTGTCAGGGCGCCAGCCATGCGGGAGTTCACACTATGCACCTCCTGGCAGTTTGAGAATACCGTCCGGATAAACTTCTCTCGACGGTGCTCGGGGATGGGCGAGATGTCTGGCGTGCGTAACGGCTTGATCCAGAAGTCACGCAGGTACTCCAGGTCCTTGACGAAGTCACGCTCGGTATACATCAATTCAGAGATGATCTCCTGCCTCTTCTTCTCTTGCTCGTTCACGCTGTCAGAAACCTCCTTCGAGACGGTGTTGATCCAGAGTTTCTGCTCGTTCTCCACCTCATCGTGCAAGCTGGATCTCGACGTCTCCCTCTTCAGGCCAGGCGTGATGCGCATGTTCAGGCGTTGCTGCTGCTCCAGTCTCCGCGGGCATGCGATCGAGTAGCACAAATTGTCGCGACTGCACGTTGGCGAATAGCACTCCGTAAGAAGTGTGAAGACGCCATTGACCTCCGGCGGCTCCTCACTCTGCGAACCACCGCTCAACGTCTCCTTGAACTCGTATATCTCGTTCGGCGAGTCGCGCAAGCGATGTGCGTACGCGACCTCGTGGAAGAACTTCTGCGCGTCCAATGACCGTCCTAACAGCAAAGCCAGGTTGCGGTCCGACGTGCGGATGATATATGCGATCAAATCGACTGCCTCATAACCGCTGAAAGCGTTCTTGTATACCAAGCTATCCTTCTCTTTCTCCGAAACAGCTATTCGATCCCGGAACGCGGATGCCACATGCGACAGCATCGCGCCGTAGACGAGTGAAGGTCGCTGTTGCGCGACCATGGTACTAGTGGTCGAGTTGACCTGGCTGTTCGACCTCGTGGTGCCGACAGGTGTGCCTTTCGATGGTGGGCCTTCCAATGTCGGCGACATCACCGTCGATGCCATGGACATGGTCCGGGAATCTTGACTGCCTACGCTGGGCATACGTCCTCCGGGCGTGGCACCATTTGGCATTCTGTGATAACCATTCGTCATCGTGCTTTCAGTCGCATTGCTGTCAGAAGATTCTCGCTTCTGCCTCGGCACCACTCTGCCAGCCATGGTCTGGCCATAGTCTTGATCCCGTGAATAGGAGGACATCGACATTGTGCGCTCATCGCCCGTCCTCTCCGGCACCACTCTGCCTTGTGCAGTCGTTCGCGCCAAGTGATTCATGTACGGCTGCTGTCGAAATGCGGAAGCAGGTGAAACGCCGTACTGTGCACCTGGTGGATGCGGCGGCTGATATACTGGTCGAGAGTGTGAGGCGAGCGATTGCGTCCTGAATCCATCTGTGTTCATTGCAGGCCCGGGAGGTCCGCCGGGAGGATATGGTCTTTGAGAGAAAGACCTCGGGTACTGGCCTGGTGGCGGAGGCCCACGAGAGTCCAGTCTCTGCGGCTGCCCGTAAGGCACTCTATCCGGCCTGATCGGCTGTGGCATATTCGGTGCTGGAGGTCGTCGTTGCGGAGAGTTGCCATTCATGTATGGCTGCTGCGGTGGTGGTCCGTTGGGCGGCCCGCCCTGCATGTTCGACGGCGAATAGCCATTAGCCATCTGCCCCGGCCGCACAGGAGGAGCGCGCGGCATATACCCGCCGCCGCTGGTCATGCTGGACATGGTCGCCGCTCGGTCGGGGGGTGGTTGGGGAGTGGCGCTGCTCATAGTCGCACTCCGTCCTTGTCCCGGCGCTCCGCCGAAGATGTTGTTGAAGGCGTCTTCGCGTTGGGCGGACGAGGCCGGGCCGAATTGGCGTGGGACTCGGCCATAGTTGCGACCCTGCTGGTCTTCGTATTGAGCCATACTCTTCGCGCTACTCAACTGCTACGCCCAGCGGCAACGCTCAATTCTGCTTCTGCTCTTCTGGCACGGAGTCCCCAAGACATCCGGCCCTCTCGCGTGGGCTGCACCCGCTGGTCTGCACTGGCGGGTCCTAATCTGGCGGATCCTTGTCGATATCTGGGTTGGTGGAAAGAAGTGAACGTTGTCGGCTCGCTTGGATAGATCTCACTCGGCCCCCGTTGTTGAATGGGCCGAAATGTGGTGTAAAGGTCTCAAGGGCGACAGCGGTGTGTGGGGAGGGTGTGGTATAGGTAAATGGAGTCGGGGGTGTCGGCGGTCGACGAGAAACACGATGCGAGGTCTGTCCCGGCGGAACCAGATCTCGTGCCAAGCCTCGTCTCGGGTGTTTCGACACGCACTTCACGTCGTTGATCGCAAGTAGTAGTCGAGAGGAACAGCTGCTTCTACGTACTTTTACACTGCTCGATACGTCGTGTAACCCTCTTCAACGAACCTCACTGAATCGATCTTCGGGCTGGTGTCACACTCCAAGCTCGTCGAAGCACGTGCAGCGCCAACGCCGATCCGTGCAGGGAGACTACATCACTTCACCTCTCCCACAGCACCAGGCAGATACTCATCACCGCAACGCCCTCCACCCCCTTTCGCCAACGACACTATCCTCCAACATGGCGGACGCCCAATTCGATGATTTAACCCCCAAATTCGCGCCCTTCCTGGGCATGGGCGGCGTCGCCTTCGCCATGATCTTCGGCTGTACATACCCCCTCTCCAGCATCCAGCCCAATACGAATACACATACTGACGGCGCTTCGTGTATACAGGCGTAGGCGCTGCCTACGGCACAGCGAAATCCGGCATCGGCATTGCAGGCGTCGGTACCTTTCGCTCAGACCTTATCATGAAGGTACTCCACCTCTACCACCCCACGCCCGACAGCGCATTCACTAACGTGCTTTCTATCACAGTCCCTCATCCCCGTAGTAATGTCCGGAATTATCGCCGTCTACGCCCTCGTCGTCGCCGTCCTCATCGCCGGCAACATGAAGCCTCCGAGCCAAAACTCCTACAGCCTGTTCCAGGGCTTCTTACATCTGGCGTGTGGGTTGAGCGTGGGATTGACGGGACTGGCGGCTGGGTATGCGATTGGGAAGGTTGGGGATACGGTACGTTTACACCGACGATGGAGAGGAGACGGGTTGGGATGAAGCGGGGTGCGGTGGATGATGGGCGAAGAAGGATAAGAGTGCTGACAATGGTGTGTTCTACAGGGCGTGAGGAGCTATATGCAACAATCCAGGATCTTCGTGGGCATGGTGCTGATACTGATTTTCGGCGAGGTGTTGGGGTTGTACGGGTAAGTGGCACAAATCCTCTGGCTCGGTATAGACGAAGCTGACGAGGTCGCAGATTGATCGTGGCCCTCATCTTGAACACGAGATCATCTGGCTAAAGTACCGAAGCAATGTTAAGTCGTTGGCAGGAGATACTGGTCATGTGTGCAAAGATATGCAAGCAGTGTACATTATATGGCATAGCGACGGTGGTTGGGTCGTATCGTGAATACTTGTCCTCCAACTATCACGATTCATAAGTTTTGGCCGTTTACATTTCTGGTAGAGAGTATCACAAGCCGAGCCGTTCATTCGCCGTTGCAGAGTTTATACCGGCGTGCACCGTCGATGGAGCCAAAGGACGAAGAGCAATACGGCCTCCTTGGAGGTCAGATGGTGGCTGAGCGGCCAAGATCGATTGGCCTCGCGGCGCACTTCAAACACCCCTGGTTCTCAACTCTGGTGCGTCGCAGCGCAGCTTCGCCCACACGCATGTCCTCGTCTGCCGGTGCTGCGACGGAGTTCCCATCGGCCTCGTCCTGTCCATGGCTGTGAGTTTCGAAATCGACTGACTCCTGGTCCATTTGTGAGGCTTTGTCTTTGCAAAATGCCATTAACGAGATCTGTGACTCGTCAGTGGACGGTGCTGCGTCCTCCGTGAGACGTGCCCCCAGCTCCTCCGCTAACGTGACAATGCTCGGGAGGCAGTCGACGTGAGCATAGGAGGTCTTCGAAGACTTGAGTTGAGCGAACTGTGGTCGGGTCCTGAGCATGATAGAGTATTCGAGGTCCAGTGCGATTGTGTGGAATTCCGGCCAGACCTCGTGAAGACGAGGGACATCCGCGTCGGGCGAGAGATCCACTCCGTTCAGGTATCCTACGAAGACGATCTCGCGCGCTCCGTCCCGAAATGCTCGGGGGCTGGTGAGGAAGTCGTACGGCCTGCGTGGCCAGCCGCTGTCCGTCTTCGTCCATTTCTTCAGGGTTTCTTTGAGCATCGAGAGACACTTCGCCTCGTCTTTAAAGCGCTCACAGCTCTCGGTGTTGTTGCAGAACCAGTGGTCGAGAATCGTAGTCTATCGACGGCTCGTTCGGTCATGATGGAAAGTAGTTGGAACTCGTCACTACTTGTTGGAAGGCGGTGCCGCGCCAACGTCTGTCGACGTACCTCTCGAGAGAGCCGCATGTCAATCGCGGTGATCAAAATTGCTATGAACCGTTGGCACTTTTTCTCCATCTCAGATATCTCTGATCGGTCGAGCTGCTGTGCCGGCCACCCTTCTTCACTATGCAGATGAGATCCGAGCGAGTGGTTCTCAGCGCACATGAACGTTTGAATTGCACTATAAGCGCGAAGGGTGTGGTAGGCAAACTCCTCGTCGGTCAAAAGTGCCATGGCTGTCAGTTCTGGTAATTCATCGCTCGCCGGCAAGTCGTAAACACTTCGACGATTCCATAGCCAGTCCGTTAGCGCGACATAGACCGCAGGGAGATACTCATCGCACGGCGTATCTGGAATCGCCATATCATCGATGATCCGAAGAGTCGCCTTGTCAATATGAGTTTGTGGCCAGCTGCTTATATTGGCGCCATGCGTATAGTAGTTTGCGCTGACGTTCGCTTTCGACCTCTCGAAAGTTGTCTTCGTTTTGTCGCGCTCGGCAGTAAACGGCCGCTTGGTCAAAGAACGCCAGATCCGGTATACCTCCTCGAAGCCGGAAGTCACTTCCCTGCGAGGCGAGTGGCGGTGGAGTCTGGTAGCTGAAACACGGTAATCAGGTGTCACGTGCTCGAGGCGGCGGTTCAAGTTGTGGCGGGCATGAATGTAACGTATGGCCCATATTCCGCAGGTTATAGTGATGAACGCCGCAGCTGAGAATTGCAAGGCGAACCAATGGCCTCCAGCTTGCACTGCCTTCGCGACCTCCCCAAGGAGCTTTCGCTTGACGACCGGTGGTCGCTCGAGTCCTGCGGCAATTGTGCTGTTGCAGTAAGCAGAATACAGCTGCTGACTGCGAAGCGAAAGACAGGTGTCCAGTGCATCGTTACCGGCTGTCCAGAACTGGAGTCTCAAGGCAGCAATACCAGAGTAGACTGCCCATGCCAGGCCAACGCTAGCTAGAACGGCCCCTGTTGCTGCTATCATGTTCCCGGTCCAGCCGTGAGGCAAGCGCTCTTTAAGCCCTCGCGACGCAAAGTTCGTCCGAGGAGCGCTTCGTGTGTCCGCATTGCCGCTACCTTGAGGGGAGCCATGCGGAGGCGCCTGGGATTGCGGAGCCATGAGTCAATTCGGGGTGGTGAGACTTCCTGGATGGTGCGGATGTACAGTTGCCAGTGCGGTGTAGAGATGTTGTGTTGTTGGCCGTCTATTGACGCTCAATTCTGAGTTGAGCAGAAGGAACTCCAGAAGACATCATAAGATATATCAAGAGCGTGCAAGGCTGTGCAAGTCACTACCCCATCTCTTATGCATGTTTCCGTCCACAATGACAATGCTTGTACAGTTTCGTCGGGTGTAACGTATACAACGTCCCGAGTCACGCTGCGGCTACCGAGTCTTCCAGGTGCCCAAACGAATCGCACCTAGTGCGACTGATCCTGAAGCTTCGGCCCAGCGAGATATGCGGAAGTAGAGCCAGCCAGGTGGTGGATTGTCGGAAATAGGTGAGAGGCAGGGTAGCACTTGTGGCATCCACGATGCCTTGTCCTCCCATCTAGCGGCCAAGAACAAGTGTACATCACAGCCATCATCAGTCCCACTCAAGCTTGCTCATGACTGCATAGTAGACCGCATATTCCGTCCCAAAGACTAGAAACACAGACGCTATGAGACATACCCAGCAGCAGACGCACTTGGCATGTCTCGCTCCGGGAAGCAGTAGGCGCTGAACTCTGCCTGCTGGTGGTGCTACCGGTGATGACGATTGCGCTGCTGTTGCCGTGGGAGTCTCTCTCGTCACGGTTATTGGCCAGGAGATCGTCAGGCCCGGTGTTGCGGATGGTGGCACGAAGAGTGTTGGGTGAGGTGCGTAGGCCGGAGGGAGGTTCTCATCGTGAGGCTGCGGCTCGGTGTAATATGGTATGGAGCTTGGAGTATATTCTGGAGGTTTCTCGTGGTCTTCATCTGTTGTGGCCATTTTTTGAGTGGTGAATGAGCATGTCCACGAACAAGAAGGAAACCGTCTTCAGCATGCTGGAATCAACGACACTCTCGTCTGAACATGTCAAGGAGCTGAGGGGAGGAGGAAGCGCTGGAGGGTACCCTCATCTCCGGTGGGTTAGGCATGTCGTCGCCAATGGCCATCGAGGCATGAGCCATGCCGTCGAAGTACACCGCCACCACCACGCCGACTCGAGTAGTGCATTGGCCACCTCCATCTCTTAACTTTCATCTTCATCTCGTGTCTTGAGCATGATTTTCGGAAATACCACGGTTGTAAGTCTGTTCTTGTTCGATGATGACATCCGTCAGGAATGTGATGTGGGACTCCTCAAGACGCAGCTGCGCATCGTGGCTGCGTGGCGGCCGAACCCGAGCATGCATACCAGCGAGGGCAGTAAAAAGCATCGCAGGGCGTGAGCTCGAATATGTCAGCAAGCCACGATTCTGATGAACAATACACATGTTGTGGGCAGGGCGCTTGGAAAGGGGAGTCTATAAGTACAAGAACACAATGCAAACCAGCTGCTGACATTCAGCATTCCTCCAACTCGATCACGCATCAACCGCAGCGACGATGAAGGCACTTGTTCTCGACGCAGAAGCTCGCACAGCAAACCTTCAGGACGTATTAAAACCATCACCAGCTGAAGGCCAGATCCTGGTTGAAGTGCAGGCCATATCGCTCAACCCAATTGATCCACTCTATGTTGCGAACCCACTTGGCAGTACTGGTCGAACGGTGGGGAGTGACTTTGCCGGAACAGTGTCAGCACTCGGTTGCAATGTCCCGTCATCAAGCAATCTGGAAGTCGGGGATCGAGTCGCTGGCTTCCTGCAAGGCGCCTGCAGCGTCAATGAGAGACCTGGCGCTTTCGCGGAGTACCTTGTCATCGATTGGGACCTGGTTTTCAAGATTCCAGACAGCGTCTCAACCGAAGAGGCTTCCGGAGTCAGTCTTGTGGCCTTGACGGCCGCTCAGGGGCTCTACTATCGTCTTGGATTAGAGGCGCCCTTTGCGTGGGACAAGAAAAATATGTTAGCTGAGCACCCGGAATTGGAACCCCATCACACGGAGTATGCAGACAAGTCGAAGCCCATCAACGTCTTCATCTACAGCGCCTCCACCGCTGTAGGCCTTTATGGAGCCCAACTGGCCAGATTGAGCGCCAAAGCCAGCGGCTGGACGATCAAGCTCTTTGGCGCGGCAAGCAAGGCAAGATGGGACATGCTGAAGGCTGAGCCGTACAGTTACGATCAACTTGTCGACTACCGGGACTCAGATTGGTCAGAGCAGATCATCAATCTCTCGAAAGGCGCAAGGATGGATTATGTCTACGACTGCATCTCCGAAGACAGCACAGTCGAGCAAGCAGCCTCCACCCTAGCCAGCAACGGCAAGATGGCCATCGTCCGCTCCCGAGACGCTGGCGCATGGACTTCAGGGCCACTGCCAGTCGAGCCGATGTACGGCGCGGTATGGGAGGGCTTAGGTGCAGATGTCCACTACGGGCTTGGTTCAAACCGAGCGCCAGTGCTGCGGTCACCTGCAGCGCGAGCTTTCGCGGTCGAGTTCTATAAGTGGGTGAGCCAAGCCCTCGGGTCCAAACTGAGGCATGTGCCGATCCGTGTGATGCCCGGTGGTTTGGAGAGAGTTACTGCAGATGGGCTCGTGCTGCTGGGTGCTGGGACCATGGAGGACAGGGAGCACAAGCGGACGGAGGAGTATATGAAGCCGGTCAGTGCGGAGAAGTTGGTGTATCGATTTGTATGAATATTAGCATGCGGAAAACGTCGCGAATGATGCCGCACTTACTTTCGGTATTTTGGTCTCCTTAATCGGTGCAAGAAGGCAGCTATCTCGCAGGTCACAAACCGCAACTTCCAAAAGCGGCCGCACGAGGCCGAAATATCGACGAAAGCTCGGGGGCCCTTTCGCGCACATTTCACTGTGCGGCTGCGGACTATGCTGCAACATGACAGCCCTGCCAGAAGAGATAGAACTCGGCTCCCGACCCTTTTCGACATATCTGGCCGCTTTTTTTACCGCCCTCGAGTTTACATGGCCACGATGTATTATACACAGCTTTCGGTCCTCATCGGCTTCCTTGCTGTAGCAGTCGGTATTTTTGCTGCATCAGAGGCTGACGGAGCTGCCAACAACAGCTCGCACTCCCTGCTGCCGAACATCAAAGCGCACTACGGCTTTTCTCCCAATCCTTTCATTCTCGATGTCGATCCAGACTTAATCGCATGGAACAAGATTCGCGCAGCCCATGCTCGAGCTCCAGTCGCTGTAAAAGGACTCGCACCAATTGCCCCTGGACTGAACGAAGATAGGCCAGCTTTGTCAATGTGGAGAGCAGTTAGGAGCCACTGGAGGAATGACTATGACTGGGAAGCCGTGCAGAGATCCGTCAGTAACCGGTACGCGTGCTTTCTTCGGACGAAGAGCCGAAGTATAAAGCTGACAGACCGTGGTAAGACTGAAGCAATATACCACAACGGTCCGCACTGCCAGTCACAGTGAGCCTGTGCCGCTGCATTTCGTCCACCACCGGTCTGAACGAGAAGATGCTGTTCCGTTGCTTTCCGTGCATGGCTGGCCAGGTAAGCATGATCAGAAATCTTTCTCCTGAACTGAATGGAACCAAACCGTTGGCTCTCGCAGTTGTCAGGGTCCTTCCTTGAGGTCGAACATCATTGAGCGCCTCACGAATCCGCCAAATGCTTCGGTTCCGGCTTTCCACGTCGTCGCACCTTCAATTCCTAGTTCCGGCTTCTCTCCTGCTCCCACTAAAACTGGACTTGGCCCAATTACTGCTGCCGGCGCTTTCAACGAGCTTATGCACCAGTTGGGGTACCGCCAGTACGTCTCTCAAGGAGACAAAATCGGCGCCTGGATCATCCGATATCAAGCCTCGCTACATCCTGGCAGCGTGGTCTCCCTCCATACCAATATCTGGGTTGCTGCACCCAACGCAACCGACTTAAAGAGATACGAAGCGAATGAGACTACCGCAGATGAGAGGACCTACATTAAGGACCTCGAAGAATATATCGAGACGAGGAGTGGATACCGCATCGAGCAGGAAAGGCAACCTTTGAGCTTGGCTTATGCGATCACCGACTCACCCCTGGGCTTCGCGATGTGGATATACGACCTCATGGCCGCACTGATCGATTCTGAGATTACTCGGTGGAAGCCTGGACAAATTATCACCTGGGTAGGTACCAGTTTTTGGGACCAGCCTCGAGGCACTGCTGACTCTGTGTCCCGGCGTGATCACAGTCAATGATGCACCTGATCCAAGGACCTCACGGAGGGCTTCGCATGTATAAGGAGTTCATAGCCGATGGCGCTTATACGCCGACTGGGTCTGTGGGAAAGATGCCATACGTGGCGACGCCTTGCGCGATCTCGCAGTTCCCGTACGACGTCGGTTTTAGGCTGCCTCTTGAGTGGGCGCAGCGCGAAGGCAACGTCAAGAAGCGTTTCGTCCACCACCACGGAGGTCATTTTGCCGCTTGGGAAGTGCCAGAGCTGCTGGCGGAGGATCTCTGGTCATGGTTTGGTGATGAAGAGCTGTTCGGTACCCAGGTATTCCGCGATCGAGGTGCTAATGAACTGGTGAATCTGAAGGCACTTCAGTACTAGGACATAGCTTGAAGTGTGCTTTAGGACATGGTGGAAGAAGTCAGCTTCGGTGGCCATGCCTCTGGTTGCACACTGAACGGAGATCCCGGTATGATCGGATGCAACGGTTGTCAAGACTTGACCTGGGGCCTTGGTAGAGTACATGTAGGAAGTACTTCCGTAGACAAGTGATTTTCCACACGAGCTTCGAAGAGTTCACCGAGCAAGCTCACCTGGTGATGTCACATTCAACTCCCCCTACGCCTGCTTTTCCCGAGAGCCATTGCTCTGCAGCCCCGCGGTTCATTCCAATCGCATGAACTGTCAACCGCAGCGCTGGCCTTTGCTGGCCTCTGACCGAACACCTGGTTCACCTATCGACGCCTCCCGTGGTTGACAAACACGAGTCCGTCCCAACACGTGCGGCTGACATACGCCGAATAGCGTACCGTGGTTGGGATCGGTTTAGGCCAATCTTCCCGTGTCGTGTACTATTTTGGTAGGGACGAACCGAATGTCACGACATAGTAATCCAAAGACACCATCACCGTACATACTGGGCGAGCGATAGGGAGAGGAGCGCCTTCACAATGGCGCCCGCGATCGTGCAGAACATCTCCTCGCGCCTGCATCGCATGAGCACCGGCGGCGGCGATAAGGATTACAACCCACAACGCGAAGACGAGAAGGCCAAGCTCGCAGAGTGGGAGGCGGAGAAGAGAACACTTGAGCCCAGCGAAGTCGCCCAAAACCCTGGCCAGAAACCTGTCGGCCACTCCTCGAAATATCTACGCAAAGAAGACTTCGATCTGGTCAAGACGCTGGGTACTGGCACATTCGCGCGAGTCTGGCTGGTGAAGATCGCGAACCGGAAAAAGGAAGACAACAACAAGGTCTTTGCGCTGAAGATATTACGGAAGGTCGACGTGATACGGTTGAAGCAGGTCGAGCATGTGCGCAATGAGCGAAACGTGCTGGCGGCTGTCGCAGGACACCCGTTCATTACGACGATGGTTGCGAGCTTCCAGGATAACGACACCCTGTACATGCTTCTCGACTACTGCCCTGGTGGCGAGGTCTTCTCTTACCTACGACGAGCGCGACGATTCAACGAAGCTACATCACAGTTTTACGCGGCGGAGATAGTGTTAATACTGGAGTTCCTACACGACAGGCAAGGAGTGGCCTACCGAGACATGAAACCTGAGAATATCCTTATTGACGCTCAGGGGCATCTCAAACTTGTCGACTTTGGCTTTGCGAAGAAGGTGGATAACAGTGAGTTCGAAAATACAACACGTCCTTATTGCAGTGCTGACGATTGAGTAGGAGAGACATACACTCTCTGCGGCACTCCCGAATACCTCGCGCCCGAAGTCATTCGCAACACCGGCCACGGCACCGCAGTAGACTGGTGGGCCTTCGGCATCCTCATATACGAATTCCTGGTCGGCCAGCCGCCCTTTTGGGACCAGAACCCAATGAAGATCTACGAACAGATTGTCGAAGGCAAAGTACGATACCCTTCAGCTATGTCTGAAGACGCTCGCGACATCATCGGCGGGCTTTGCACAGTAGACGTCAGCAAGCGGCTAGGAAATGTGAAGGGCGGATCGGCGACGGTGAAGGCGCATCCGTGGTTCAAGAACATTGACTGGGATGCTGTGTATCACCGGAAGATGCAAGGGCCGATCGTGCCGCATCTTAAGAGCGCGGACGACACGAGGAATTTTGATGAGTATGATGCTGAGCCGGTGCATCGCGACCCTTATACGAAGGTATGCCTTTCCAAACACACATCTTGCTCAAGGACAATGCTGATAGTCATGTGCCAGGAACTTCAAGAGAAGTATGACAAGAGCTTCGCGGACTTCTAGTCCTTCGCTCGGAACGACCCATATCGCACAAGGATGTTGGCACTTCTTGGACCAGTTGGTGATACCACTGCATGATTCGGATGTATGGCGTTCAGCGTTCTACTGCCTGATGGCTCTCAGCAGCAGTGTCCTGGCGGTTGGCGATTGTTTGCACGATGCTTGACGGCTTTACGAAGTCTAGATGAGGACCCTCTTGGAATGTGATACCTCTGTATTCAACCACGATGCATCGCATCACTTCAACGCAGACCTCCTACCACATGCAGCCCTCTTCTTTGACCAGTTCCATGCCTTCCCCTTCGGGAATGCCACTTGCCGGAGATAACCTTCAGACACCGACGACAAGATTCGTCCCCGCAAACTGTAGATCTCCACATCTCCGAGGTCGTGGCATTGGGTCGGATCGGCAGCTTCGAACTCACCTCCACCCCATCTCGTCTTCGTAAAGACTGTCAGTATTGTTATTCACCGATGAAGGCCGTACTCGAGGATGCTGCTACGGGCTTTGGGTAGCAGTAGAGTATGCTCGGCTTTGGGACAGGTACTATGGCGGCGGGGTCTGCTCACGAGGAGTTATGACATTGGGCCTTCTGAGGTATGGGCATGCAGATATTGAGTATGTAGGATCGAATGGGACAGCTAACCGCTTGTTTAGCCACCTCTTTCCGAGCTCACGGTACCGCAGCACTTCGCCGGTGTGGTGTCGCAACACGGCGATCGAACAGCGTACGATATACCCTCCATGGTGGAGATGGTTTCAACTGACAAGCTGAAGCGTGATCGCCCGGTACCAACGGCAGCAAGTAACATACGATGAGCTCGACAAGAAAAGCAATGCGCTCGCGCGAGGTTTACAAGGGATTGGGGTGAAGAAGGGTGATCGAGTCGCAGTGTCATTGGGCAACAACATGGAATTTGCAGTTACAACATATGCTTTGTTTAAGCTTGGAGCTATTTTGAATCCGCTCAACCCTTCGTTTAATACGAAGCAAGTGGTTGCAGCGCTGAATCATTTGGAGACGAGTCACTTGATTATTGGAGCAGAGACGAATCTGTCGCGGAAGCCGCCGAGGTCGAATGTTGAGATGCTTACGCATATTGCTCCGGACATCCAAGGCAGAGGCAAGTTGCAGTCGGATTTGGTATCTTCTCTGCAGCATATCGTGTTGGTCGACAACGCGGAAGGCCGGATCAATACGCAGGACTTGCGTGCCACCGTTCCTTACGAGGCTGTGCAGAAGGACAGCGAGCAGACTCTCCCGGATCAGAACCTTCACAAGGACGACGTGGTCAATATACAGTTTACCAGCGGTACAACGTCGTCGCCGAAGGCGGCTTGTCTGTCACATCGATCGATCCTGAACAACGGCATACAAATTGGCGACCGAATGCTACTGACACCAGAAGACGTCGTCTGCTGTCCACCTCCGCTCTTCCACTGCTTCGGCTGCATCCTTGGATATATGGCAACCGCAACTCACGGTTCGGCGATCCTCTTTCCGACCGAAGCATTTGACCCACTGGCTTCGCTCAAGGCAGTGCAGGAATACAAAGCCAGCGCACTGTATGGTGTTGCGACCATGTTCTTGGCAGAGCTGGAGCTGTTGAAGAACGGCACTGTACCTTATGAAGGCTTCGAACATCTTCGCACTGGTATCGCGGCCGGTAGTTCCGTACCTTCCGAGCTTATGCGAAAGCTTCACAAGATTCTGAATCTGACGGAGCTCACCATCTGCTACGGCATGACCGAGACCAGTCCCGTCAGCATCATGACTCGCACCGATGACCCTCTCGACAAACGGACAGACACTGTCGGTAGACTACAGCCGCACGTCGAGGCAAAGGTTGTTGAGCCCGGCGACCCCAGCAAGATTCTAGCCATCGGCGAGCGAGGCGAGCTCGCAGTCTCCGGATATTTACTGATGAAGAAATACTGGGGCGATCCTGAGAAGACTGCCGAAGTCATGGTGCCGGACCAAGACGACCCGAGCAAGCTGTGGATGCTTACCGGTGACGAAGCAAGTATGGACGAAGAGGGCTACGTGGCGATCACAGGGCGGATCAAAGACCTCATTATCCGTGGAGGGGAGAACATTTCACCGCTTGAGATCGAAAGCTGTCTTCTCTCACATGATGATATTCTGGAGGCCAGTGTTGTCGGCGTGCCTGATGAGCGGTACGGCGAGGTGGTGTCGTCGTTTGTTAGGAAAAGGCAGGGTTCGGCGTTGACGGCGGATGAGATACGGAGTTGGGTGAGGGAGAAGTTGAGTGGTCATCTAGGTGAGGTTCAGTGATCTGTGATATGTAGAGTGGAGGCTGACAGATCGGCAGTACCGAAATATGTGTTCTGGGTCGACGACTATCCCAAAACGGCTTCTGGGAAGATTCAGAAGTTCAAGTTGAGGGAGAATAGTGTACAGCTGCTTAGAGATGGAAAAGGCTTGGAATAGCTGTAAGTTTTGGACGCTACTCATGTCAGATCGTACCAACACAGTGCGAATTCCTTTGCCAACGATTGCTTGCAGCTCCCCTTGCCATCAGCCAGTCAGCCAACTGCTCTCAGCAGACTCATCCTCGCAGCCGCACTGACAATGCATTTTCATCGCCTACTGCGGACCCTGAACTCTCGCTATCTCTGGAACGTACGAGTTCTAGTCGTGATGCGCTCCCCAGTGCCTCATTGTCAGTAGCCAGCGGATCCTCGTATGCTTGATAACCGGTCTTGGTAGGGCCCAGGGGTCAGGGTACATATGGTCGAGGCCTACGCCCAGGGTGACCCATCCTATGGATTCCATCGCAGAACTTTTCCATGTCCAGCTTCACCAAGCCTCTCTTCACCCTTTCGATGACCGACACCCACTCATGTGCTGCGAACCCTGGAGTCCGCGCTTTGAGCCTGTTTGACCTACTGAACAAAGCTTTCGATACATCAGACTCATGCATTTGAGCAATGAGGTCCATATTCCCGTTGGACCAGAATTCTTGCTTCGTGGTGGACTGTTCATCAAGTCGCATGAGACAGGTCGCAGCGACATCCATGACTCCGTTCTTGATTCTGAGCTTGAGGCAGAGGCACATCTCACTGTTGCCACCGTGAGACACCGTTAGGACAAGGGTGATCTCTTCCAAGTGGTTAATGTTATCGCCGATGACCTTGAACCAGTCAAATAGCGATTCTGGAATGCGAGGTGCTTGCGGGAAGTCTTTTCCTAACTGCCCATAGATAGTGAAGGTACCAGTGGCGTAGAGGAGAGGCAGAGCCTCCTTCCGAATCTCACGGCAGGTGCGGGTGATCGCTGGCTGCATTCTGTTGAAAATCGTGCTGCTCGGTGGTCCTGGAATGTCGTACTGACCCGGCTTCTTCTTGCGGGTTGGCTCATCTTGAGGTTGACAAGCGAGCGTCCAGAATGTGGTTGCGTAGTTCGGCGGGCAGCTTCAGGAGATGGCATGGCAGCTTTGGTGGTCGCGGTCGTGGAGGCATGGTTGGGGGCCGCCGCAGTCTTTTGCTTGAGGAAAGGTGATGTTGATGTGTGTGGCGAGGTGTGTGTTGAGGATTGAAGGAGCTGGGCGGTAGGTGAAGATCTATATGCGCTAAAGCTTTGACAGGTTTACTCACAAGTGGATTCTCATGTGATCATACCTTATATCCAGACTTCACTCGCATGAGTGGAATTCAGAGGCGAGTGAATGTTCTGTCATTCTTGAGCTGATATCGTGCCGAAACCACAAGACCAGAATGAGCATTTGAACGAACTTGTATTGTATGCGCGCTGCTGCAGCCTTCAGAGGCAGTACGACTGGAATCGTACACAGCCTCAAAATCATTCAAGCCCGACAACCATACCTCCTGCTTTCGCTTTTGCATCGACCTAAGCAAACTTGCTCCGTGCGAGACAACGAGCTTGCTGCAGAACATACCAATCGTCCTTGCGGACCTTCAGACACTTACCTTACCAACGACCAAATTTGTGCTCAGCATGCCTCTCGGCATTACTCCACCCGTAGGAGATGGCGTTGTACGCTGGCGCGCTTGCGAAGGGCCACGTGGATGGTGTACACTTGATGCCGTTGTCGTCAGAGCAGGCATAGTGAGCAGTTATCAAGCGGATGTGCCTCGAGCTATTGGGGAGAGACTGGTAATCAAACTGCTCGCAGACTGACACCTATCAGCATTGTATGCTGCTGTACAGGCCTTTCCCAACCTCCAGAGTCAGATCCAACCTCGCAATGGCAACGGAAGGGCGGCACTGCCGTCGGGTGGCGTCGTTTAGCGTGTAGTTAGCGTGCAGATCAGTGAATGTGGAACAATCGAGCCAACAAGACTGTTCTCCATACTTCCATCAACATGACACTGACAGGCATTTCAGTCGCAGTCCACCACTGAACCTGCTTCTGAGATTCATTGCATCAGAGTCTAGATCCCCCACAACCGCCTTTCAAGGATTCACTGCGACTATCAACAAGAGAACCTATACGTTGACATTGGCAATGGATATCCCCTTCAGGATGCTGTCGAAGTCCGCCCGCTTTCATGAACAATCATGCATTGGCTTCGATTCGGCCACGAGCGCTTCGTTTTTAGAATACACGCCCGCTCTCCGTGCGAAGTCCATCTGGGTTGTTGTTGAGCGATGTCGTACGAAGATGCTCAGGCCCCTGTCGACGGGGACATGCAGCAAGGCTTGCAGCGTGATGAGGGGCAACGTGCATGAGACATCAATGCATGAAATTGAGTGGTCTCGTTCATGATCGACTGTGTATGATCTGCCGGACAGCGGATGAGCCCAACGGCAAATCTTGGGTGACCGAGCTGGGCGGGAGCTTCAGTTGTTGCCCTGACTTACCTCCCTAAGCTACCTCGTCCTGAAAACCACCAAGCCGCATTTTGCAGTGTTTCTTGTACAATGGAAAAAGTGCAGACTACCTCCACAGCGACCAGCTCCGTTCAATGGCAGGCTGCCCAGGAACCAGACACTGGCGAAGAGGCAATCGAAAGGCTGGACTTGCGACCTACGATACCGCGTACTTTGAAAGGCGCCGTTGGGTTGATCGGTGTGAACAGCAGCGTGGTCAGCGCATGGCCTATCTTCTTCCTCACCTCAGTGATTAGTCTCTCCTTTGCAGGCGCCGCGGGTCTGCTTATCGGCATCATAGTCGCAAGCCTGGGTATGACCCCGGTCTACATTAGTCTGGCTGAGAAGATTCGAAGATACCCGACCGCTGGCGGACAGTACCACTGGGTCGCTGCACTTGCGCCGCAGAGTTGCCAGAAGTTCCTCAGTTTCGTTTGTGGCGTGACCCTTGGTAAAGCTGTCACCAGCCGTCTTCAGACCCATGATGCTGACTCCAGTAATCAGCATTCACCTGGCTGACATTCCAAGCTGCAAACATCTGGCTCGGGGCAGAAAGCTTTATGGCCATCGTGCTCGTCTATACCGGCAGATACGACGTCACATGGGCCTTCTGCACAGCATTAGGCATGCAGCTAGTCGCACTTCTGGTGAACCTGACTTGGGGAAGGCACATGAATGCAGCAGAAAGCCTCACTGTTATCCTACATCTTGTCGCCGTTGTCCTGCTTACGGCTCTACTGATCTTCTCGAGGGCGTCAGGGACCATGAGCTCGGACTTCTCCTTCTCTGGTAACACAGGATGGGGTCTAGGAGCTGGGACTCTTCTCTGCATCACCTTTGCCACAACAACCATCTCCGGCTTCGACTGCGCGAGTCACCTGACTGAGGACACCGTGGAGCCCAGCAAGCGGGTCCCGAGATCTTTGCTCTGGAGCACCACTCTCAATGAGACGGCATGCATCATCTGTGCTGTGCTCGTCGGGCTTAACGCGGGCGACATTGGATCACTCTGGGGTGGCCCGCTTGGTGCGACTGGCCATCCTTTTGGTGCGGTCGTGCAACTGGTCTATAACGCTTCTCAGGAACGGAGAGGTCTGACAACGGCTGTATTCGGGCTACTCGCCGCGATCCTGCTGATTTGCTCCATCAATGTTACTGCGGCAGCCAGTCGCACTGTGTTTGCAGTCATTCGCGACGATCGTAATCCATACGTGAGCAAATGGATGGCGGCAGACCTTCAGAAGGCAGGAGTGCCGCGCATTACGATAGTGCTTGTTGCGCTTGCGCCAGCACTGTTGCTGTGGATCAATTTTGTCAGCGCCGTTGGCTTTCAAGCACTGGGATCACAGTGTATCCTATCACTTTCGTCGACGTACATGCTGGCGATAAGCTGCTCTTTCTGGTCCAGATTTCATCAGCCCGACCTGCTCGGACGGGATTATGGAGGGATCTTTCACCTTGGAACATTCTGGTTTGTGACGTCTGCATCCTTACCTACGTCTCCGCGCTGATCGTTGCCCAGGGGTGAGGTTGTGGACGCGGTGGCGCTTTGCTTCCTTTTGTGCATCTTCATTCTGAGCTGGTAAGTCTGAACACCCCAGCAGCCGTGACAAAAGGCTCTAAGATCCGGACTAGGTTTCCTTATACCACGCCAGTCTACCGCGAAACCTTCAATTATGCTCCGGTTATCTGGGTCGGGATACTGTGTATAGCTGTGTGCTATTACTTCCCACTGGGCGGCCGCAAGCATTACCGCAACCCAGCACCTGGCCAGAGCAATCGTATTTAGCTTCGATACTCGATTCTTGCCAGCAACATAATGGCTCAGTGCGGAACAGTAGGTTGGCAGAGTTCTATGGGAAACGAAGACAAGGATGGACAGTGAACAGACTTCAATAGTGGTGGTGTCTCGGGGTCTTCAGCTAGAATACACACCCTTCGACTTGCACGTGATGTTAGAAAGTTTCAACCCAGCCCGTTGCACCCTACGCTTTGCTTTGCGTCGACGTAGTGACATTTTCTGCATCCTCGTCTTGCGACTCTTAGGAACCTGACTCAGACCCAGTTTCAGTGCTTCAGGCGGATCTAAGGAACTTCTCCACGGAAGCGTTGACGCTGCATTCATTCATGCAAGCCTTCGCCCTCTCGACAGTCGATACCCACTCGTGTGCTGATAGTCCTGGAGTGCTCTCGTGCAGCCTGGTGGAGCGATGGAGCGCACTGTTCACGGCAGCGGCCTCGATCTCCCGTTTTATGAACCTGCGGAAGCAGCCCCCACACGGCTTTCGAGGCCGCGCCTGAGAGTAAGCACAGCAGTAAAACGGAGTCCTCCCTTGCGAATGCTGAACTTGATGGCGACTCGAATGAAGCCCAAATCAGAGCCGATGCAAGAGGTCGCAACTACGAGCTCTTCAATGTGGTGAGTGCTTTAGCCAATAGTCGTGAGCCAGGACTTGACTGACTTCATCTCCTGGTAGCCGGTGCCGAAGACGGCAAAGGTTCCAGTAGCATAAAAGATTGGCAGTGCCTCATTGCGGATCTCGCGGCAAGTGCGTGCAATCGCTGGCTGCTGGCGGGTGAAGTTCGTGCTGCGCGGGATTCCTCGAATTTGAATGAACGACGGAGCTTGTATTTTGTCTTTCGGAGGCTGTGATGGCTGAGCAGGCGCAAAGTCTTGTGGTACGAACGCAAGGTTCCAGATGGTGTTGCGAATCTCTGGCGGAAGTCTGAGGAGTGGGCAGGATGATTGGACCATATTGCGCAGTCGACCGCAGTGGGTCACCGTCAAGTGGTTGTGGTTGTGGTGAAGACGTTGGAAGGAGTACGAGAAAAGAAATGAGGGGCGTAATGAGGGACGAAGTAGTAAGTGAATTACGAAACCATCTTGGCATAAGTGAATGTTGTCCGCGACCTGACATATGACCACACTGATCGTGCTCGTTCACCACGGCCGTGAATCACCTTTCACATGCTCCACCTGTCTGTTTGGCCTGGACTCGAAATCTTCTATACACGGCAATGTTGGTAGCGATGAAAATACTCAGAGCGAGCAAATCAAATGGATACAGCTCAGCGGTAGCTCGTGTCCTACCAGCAAGAGTAGAGCATGATATAATGATGCAAACGACAAAGCTAATTGCAGACGGCATAGAATGCAAACATTGTGGATCTCTGCGAGCAGCAAATTATGTCGTAGAGAAGGAGGAGGTTGGGGTTTGGAAAGAGCAAGGAGAGGTCGACGGACCTGCCTAAATAAGCCTAGACCATAAGACAACGTATACGTCATAGCATTTCGACGAACAACGTTGAATGAAAGAGATGAAGACTAGATAGATGCAACTGAGATACCGGCAGGGAGTGAAGAATACTTGCAGTCTCTGCGTCTTACGAACAATGTTCTGCTACAGCACAGCACGCCAACACAACTGTATAGCAATTTTCTGGTTGGTATTTCCGAGCCACTTCCGCCTATCTGTGCCGCTGACTGGGATGCTGTTAGCCCTATCAACGGCTGTACAATCTGTATCACTCGAGCCGTCAGATCGACTTGCCGTGCGAGCATCTCATACAAAGCTCCAGTGAGCTGCAAACGGTCCGCGCCGTTATCAAAGCACCCCAGTCTGTGTTGTGACTACACGCTTCACCCTCGACGATTGAGGAAGGCAATGATGCGCGGTGATGATCGGTAGGCTGTACGGTATTTCTTGATCGTCTTGGTTTCATCTCTCTTGAACCATCATTGCGCCTGGTTGATTTATCTCTTCATGGCAGAAGGAAGCGGCTTTCGAGTACTGCCCTCGGGCGCTGGATACGGCATCGTGATTGGTATCGGCGGTGTCTTCGCTCTGTTGATGTTGGGGATCACATGGCTACAGAACCGTTACGTATGAGCCGCTCCAACGATTCAATCGAAAGCTCTGAAGCTGACGTGCGCAGACACGCTTCTCGACGAAGCAAGCGGAGGAGTTCAATACAGCATCTCGTAGCGTCAAGCCTGGCTTGATTGCATCCGGCATCGTCTCTTGTGAGCAGCCTCGTCCCCCAACTCTGTTCGAGCTGACGGCGATGAAGCATGGACATGGAGCGCCACTTTGTTGACCAGCTCCACCTTTGCCTACTCGTATGGCGTCTGCGGACCCATGTGGTACGGCGCGATGGGTACCTTCCAGATCCTGCTGTTCGCTCTCATCGCCATCAAGATCAAAGCGAATGCCCCCGGTGCACACACCTTTCCCGAGATCGTCTTCGCAAGGCACGGCAAGATCGCCCATATAACGTACCTCTTCAACGGCCTTGCAACCAACATGCTCGTCGGCGCCTGCTTAGTACTCGGCGGCAGCCAGGTCGTTGAGGCGTTGACTGGTATGAACGTGTACGGCGCTTGCTTTCTGATACCGCTGGTCGTGGCGGCATACGTTATCGCTGGAGGCCTGCGGTCGACATTCATCGCCGACTACCTTCATACCGTGGTCTTGTTTATTGCGATCATGGTGTTCGGCTTCCTGATGTACGCCACCAGCGACCTTGTTGGGTCGATCAGCAGGTTCTACGACATGCTGCAGGATGCTTCGAAGGCCATGCCGATTGGCAGTAATACTGACGGTTCGTATCTGGCTTTCCGCTCGGTGGATGGCCTGGTCTTTGGCATCGATCTCTTCGCAGCCGGGTTCAGTACGGTGTGGCTTGATCAAGCATACTGGCAACGCGCAATTGCTTCGAAGCCGGAGACAAGTGTGAGAGCGTACATCTTGGTATGGTTTGATCAGAGCTGCGATTGGAAGAATCGAGCTGACATGAGCCTCGCAGGGTGGTGTAGCTTGGTACGGCATCCCATTTGGATTTGCAACCGCTATGGGTCTCGGCTGCGCTGCACTGACCAGTAACCCACGATTCCCAACGTACCCCAACCCTCTTTCAACACAAGAGAATGGCGCCGGTCTTTCCTCGCCTGCCACAGCCATCACGCTGCTCGGTCAAGGTGGAGCTGTGCTGATGCTCGTCTTGCTCTTCATGGCTGTCACATCCAGTACTAGCGCCGAGCTGATCGCGGTGTCCTCATTGCTTACATTCGACGTGTACAAGACCTACATCAAGCCAGACTCTACTTCGGCCGGACTGGTGCAGATCTCCCACTACGGCATCATTTTGTATGCTCTGGTCCTCGCCGGGTTCTGTTGCATTTTAAATGCTGTTGGATTGGACCTAACATGGCTTCTCACCATCCTCGCGATCATGGTCGGTGGGGCTTCGATTCCGGTTGGCCTCATTCTGCTGTGGAAGCGCATGTCGACGGTGGCAGCTGTGGGCGCGCCATGGATTGGTTTGGTCTGTGGCTTGATTGCCTGGTTCGTCACCACGTGGAAGCGCTCTGGTGCCATTACCGTCGCGACATCCGGAGATACGACCAACGCTGTTGCTGGAAACATTACATCGTGGGGCGTCGGCTTCCTCATGTCCATCGTCCTCACTCTGGCCTTTCCGGCGAAGTACTCGAGCACCGACCCGAAGCATATCGAGCGCAGCAACAAGATCCAGGGCATCTCCACCCATCAGGCGGCTGAGGTGAGTCCGGTTGGTGACCTTAGCGAGAAGTCGGTCTCCCCAGCGGACGACGAGAAGAAAGCAGGACCTGCTGCGGAGAACCAGCCACCATCGGCCCCTGCACCAGAGACACACGTGCCAACTGGCAATGAGATCGTGGACTTCCTCGAAGCAAAGCAGATGGAGCCGATGGACCCTGTGGCTGTAAAGAAGAGCGAGCGACTAGCCGTCGGAGCGAACATTGTCTTCGGTGCGGTTGCGATCATCCTGGTTCCATTCACACTGTTCGGGACAGGCTACATTTACAGCCGCTCCTTCTTCACAGGGTGGGTGGTGATGAGTTTCATCTGGGTGTGGACCAGCATGTGCATTTGTGTCATTTATCCGGTGGTGGAGAGTACTGGCGCGCTGAGGATGGTAAGCCGTGGTCTTTGGAAAGATACCATGGCCTTGTTTGGTGGGAAGAAGAATAGGGCCGGGCAGGCGAGTAATGAGGCTTGATGTAAACGGATGTGCGGTGCCAGTATCATAGGTACTTCTTAGCAGCAGTGGCCACTCGGCTGCGGAACACAGGGCTCGTGACGGCTTGATTGACCTGGTAGAAAGGATTCATGATGCACTTCAACCAGGCTTCGTAGACCTTGAATTCTGTTAGCACCTTCAAGCTGATAGACGCAGTGACGACTTACTTCGAGCATGAACTGCCGCACGGCATCTTCGGTCTGCGGCGTGGTAGGATTGCTGGCAAGCAGAGTACTCTGCCTAGCTGTCGAAGGCCGGGATGGAGGCGACGTCTGGTAAGCTGAATACGGCGTGCTGGTTGGGTCTGGGTTCATGAGGAGCATGAACTTGATGTTGCCTCCAGTCAACAAGCAGTGGATGTGGTTGTTCTGGAAAGAGTCCACCTTCTTCAGATAGCTGATGAAAGAATAAGTCAAGGGGCTGTTACTGGAAGGCCAGACGGACGTACAGCTCTTTGTTGTTCCACTGAATCTCCTCTACCATGTCCAGCGCGGCGTGAACGATGAATTGGTTCATGTGTTTGGCTTCATCTCGAAATCGTGCTGCGCCATCTGCGCCGCCTTTGGATGTGCCGAAGTCAATCTCAAAGAGCGGGTTGTCCCTGGTGCCTATGATGGCGAAGTAGTACGACATGATCGCAGGACTAATCGTACAGCAGATGTGACCCTTAGACTTCCATAATCGTTGGATCAGAGGCAAGAGGTGGGAAGAGAGAGGTATTGGAAAGAGCGCTTAAGCCTGAGGCATGTGATGTCTCAATTGGGAGGCTACGCCTTGGCTCTCCCGCGGCGAGATCATTGAGGACTGCCATCTGATCGAAGGAGCATTGTATTACACTACAGCCCATTGCCACCATGTTCGGAGCATTCAAACCATCTGCCCCACTCTCGGGCGGCTTGCTATGGTATGTAGGAATGCGCATCCCAAAGTGCCCGACTGACGCCTACCAGGAAAATCCCCTACCGACTCTCAGCACCACAGAAGCTTCGCCATCGAAGACGGTTACGGCATGTCGACAACGTAGTCTCAACCCTCGACAACGCATTGAAGCGGCAGACGCCCTCAATGGCGCAGGCATCACAACACTCTACAACAGCTGAGCCCGCCCAGCTACCCAACCAACACCAATATCAGAGCGGCGCATCGGGCAAGGCTACGCCAGAGGAGCTGTCAGCTACGGCGGAAGGGCAGCGGATGATCGAGAGAGAGGTGAATGCAGATCAAGAGGCGCGGCGGCATGGGCGGGGACCTAGACAGGGCGAGATGGTGCCGGAGTTCACAGAGCATGGAGTGGAAGTGCCCAGCACGCAGCCTTTGATTGAACAAGCGCGGATGCATGGCACGATCAAGTTGATAGAGAGGTGGAAGGCGGAGATGCCGACGGAGCAGGAGATGTTGCCGCGGGATAAGTATACCATGTTCGACAAGAAGGCGAAGAAGTATCGGAAGGGGGTGCACAAGTGAGTGGTCTAAGCGCCGAGCGTGCTCGAGGAACATGCTGACTCTCTGCAGACTCCCTAAATGGACTCGAGTGTCCCAACGACTCAACCCACCAGGCTTCTAGATCTGTTGTATTATATCTGAGTTTAGCGTGGAGTTGGAGTGTATCTGTCGAGCCTCATTCAAGCTTGTGAAGCCGCTCCTTCCCTTTTGGTAGATTACGAGCCACGTGGTTCGTTATTGGCGTCCGTGCGCCGGAGTTATGACTTGACAGTGAGGTCGCCCCTGTCACTGACACGCTCTCCAACTCATCACTCACCACCTGGCAACACCGACGTTGCTACAACCATGGACGAAGGCGTGGAGGAGATGAGCTGCGCTCTGCAAAAGTACGTCGGGGCAATTTGTCGCATCGCCATCACACTAACAGTGACAGAATGTTGTTGACGGGCGCATACTCTGACCTCACGATACATTGCGGTGAAAAGAGCTGGGCTGTACACAAGGTATTGCTGTGCTCACGTTCGGATTACTTCAAAGCCGCCTGTAGGCCTGATGCTTTCAAGGTACATGTATTGTGCCTGGCCCATGTCTGACGTTCTGCTTATCACCACGCCGCAGGAAGGTCACGACGCCTGCATCAACCTCGTGGCCACGACGGATGAGGGCCACGAGGATGACTTGAGCGCGGACAATCCGGAAGCCGTTGAGCTCATGATCGACTTAATCTACCGCCACAACTACACTGCGCCTCACATCCACATCTCGGTGGCATCAGCGAATGGCGGCGGGGGCCATTCAAACAATAGGGCAGTTCCTTGGCTGACACCGTCTGGCGATTGCAACGTGGTCATGCACGCGAAAATGTACGCACTGGGATCTAAGTACGGCATCAAATCGCTTCAAGATGTTGCAAAGATCAAGTTCAGTGAGGCGGCTTGCTACGCATGGAATGACCGGCGCTTCGTCGACGCCATCCAGGTCGTCTACACGACCACGCCCGACGAAGACAAAGGTCTGCGAGACATCACAACACGCACGATCCACGAACACTGCGCCCAGCTTGTTCGCAAGCCTCGCGTTGCGGTTTGCATGCATAGCATCAATGGACTTGCTTTCGATCTGCTTGTGCGCCAGACCACTCCGGAAGTCGTTCGCCTGCCACCTCTTTGCAGCGGCTGCCTCAAAGAATCGACGGCTTACTGCCCCAGATGCAATTGTTTGGTCAAGGCTAAGGCCACCGATGACGACGATGAAGGGGGCGATGGTGGATGGTGAAGCATTTCTGGTTATGTGCCGTGATCGGGAATACTGGTAGCTACAGTAAGGCATGATCGAGTTGCGGGGTGGATTTGAGTGTATGGAGACATCAGTCTAGTCGGTACCTCTTACAGATCCCTGGATGCCAATCTGTCTTAACCAGAGGCTCTTGATATCCTCAAACCACAAATGACACTGCTCAAGGACCGGCTAGAATCAAGTGCCGTGCTGTGACCTCTTCCACCAGCCGCTAGGATTACGCCTGTGCATGAGCAGGTACTCCTGAACAGGCCCACATGGCCGATTACCTCCGCCCTCTGCCCGCATCCTGCCGCCCTTCACTCCTCTCCTCAGCCTTCTCCTCCGCTTCCGCCTCCTCCCTGACCGAATACATCTCCCGGCCCGGCCGCCTCCAAGAATGACTCCTCCCCGACATAGTCCTGGTATGCCGCATGCCCGGACGCTGAAGCTTGCGATCTCCCTGGATGCGTGGTCGTTGCTGTGCGTTCTCGTACATAGGAAGTAGAAGCCCATCGCGTTCCTCAGTTGCCTTGCCCTTCGCCTCTCCAGGTGGCGTGACCGTCAAAGTCAAATAGTGAGGTATTTTAGGATGTAATGCTGTTTGGCCGTGAAATGAGTCGACGTCCAAGTCATCGCGAAGGTCCGGGGAGGCGTCAGGAGTCAGACCAGGCACCTCCTTGTCTGATGTGTGCGGCGAGGTCTTTGCTAATTCTGATTCTCTCTCGTTGCGGCTGCGCTGGACCGACCGCTTGAGCGCATCCGCCTGGTTCGCCAGCATGCCACTCCACTTGCTGGGTAATGACTGCTCGTTCTTCTGCGCCTTCCGCCGGTCTTCATCGAAAAGAGCGAAATCCATGATTCCTGCGTTCCACTCCACTTCCTCCCCGTCCGAATCGCTGTCGTCCCAGTCTTCGTACATTTCGAGTGGCGACAAGAAGTAGTTGCCCGGGTTGTTCTCAAGATCTTCTTCGAATGAAGTCGTGAATAGCTTGGTAGGGGGCGCAGTGGCAGACTTGGGTTCGCTGAGACATCTGTATGTGCTTGGACGGTGGGCACTAGCACCGTTGAGGTGCGACGGCCAGCTAAGGCTCCTTCCGGGCTCGTGCCGTTGCATCGCGGAGCTGAGTTTTGTAGGAATTTGAGAGGGTGCTTTATTTTCGGAGCAACCTGGTTGGTCGGCGGAACTGCTTACCTACCCGTGGAAGGGGCCTGCGGCGTGCGTTCCGCTGCGAAGAAGTTCGCCGCTTTTGCAGGGCAGATCTTGACAGCCTCAGAAGTCAACTCCTCTCGCGGGCTTGCGTGCAGTGGATGTTGCAGTTGGGGAGTGTGGCGGCCTTATCCTCGTCCGGCCCAAGGCCGGTCAAATGTGTCGTGCGGCAATCGAAGCGTTCAAGCAGGTGAAATTTCAACGAGAGTGGGCGCGAAATCTTGGTAACGAGAAACTGTAATGACAGCAAAGAGAGGTGCAGAGCCTGAAGACCAGTACTGGAGATGCGGAGCAAGATATGAGTGGTGGATGACTCCCAAACGCGCGGCTGAAGGCGCTGTAGGTTGCCTGGTGGTGTGGTCAGGCGGCGCAGCTTAGGAGGTAGATGACTGCGTGATTGAGACTGAGGAATTGAGAAACATTCGCAGCTACCTTGTGGCCCTCATCGCCGAACCGTGCATTTGTAATGTAGCAGGTCAGCCTGGCGGATGTCGTTCGTCCACCCCCACGTGTGAGGCGTTCCGACAACTGATGAGGTTGACTAAAGCAAGCGTGACGCGGTAGACGAAATGCTGCAGGATCAGTGTCGCCTAGACGGGGCCAATTGACGTCCAAACCGACGCGGCCCAATATGGATGCTGTACGTGATGACCATGCTTGGAATGATGACTCTGGAAGATGAGGGTGTGATGGAAAGTCTTGCGGTCATCTGCGAAGTTGCCCGGGGCTGGAACTTCAACCCGCCCTCGCCGCCAACGGTGCGGATCGGGTCATGGCGGCAGTACCCCAGTCATGCACCCCACGTACCTTGCGTGTCTGAGGGGTTATGCATGAAGATGCATGCAAGGGCACGGTTGGGTCTAGAGCTGTTGGAGGTCTTGAAACGGACGAGTGAGCGACCACGAACTGTAGAAGATATGACTGTATCTTTGGCCGGGCCTACGACTGTCTGCCATATCTATCTAGAAGCATTGTACGCTGTTGTGTTGAATGTCTTTCCATGCTTTGCGCAAAAATCGTATTGTCATCAGGCCAGAATCAGAAACAATCAAGCAACCGTCCAGCGCTTCTCGCCGACCCACCACCCACCTCATCAAAGCTTCGGCCCTTCGTACACCACTGGATCGACCTCCACCGCATACTCCGGCTTCTCGTGCTCCTTGAGATGGCCCTCCAGAACCGTCCGACAAGTCAGAGCGAAGCGCAGGCAGTCCGCGGGCACGACCTTATGTTCGAGGTACCTCTGGATGTCGTACCCCTCCATGAGGATAATGTCGCCGTGGCTGAGGGTGACAGTCACCAAATCTGGGGCGACCTTCTGACTGCCCTTGCCGACAAGCCCGAGCTCCTTGGGCAGCTCCTTCCGTCGTTTGGTGTACGCTGGCCCATTGCTTTTCAGCTGTTGCAGCTCTTCCCAGGCGGCGTGGCGTTTGGCGTCCATGTCCGGTCCAAAGACGCCACCTGCCAGCGGTTCCTCCTCGGTGAAGATGCCTGTCTTTGAGCAGCCGTTGAAGTGTTTCTGCTTCATCCGAAGGTGCATCTTGGCTCTGCCGCCAAGTGAAAGTGTTGCAATTCGTGGCCCGAGACCTTCTTCGCCATCGTCGTGGTACTCAATCTTCTGCCCTTCAAAGTAGGTGAAGATGAGCTCCTCGTTCAGGTCTTCATGCGCATCCTTTTCAAGGAAAGCACGCTGGGCCCAGTTCAAGCGACGGCGACATTCGATGACGGGCCATGGTGCCTCACTGAACGGCTTGCTTGCGCCGGTCGCAACAAACTTGTACGGCATGCCGTAGTTCATCGAGAAGGCTGTCATTAGATCACCGTCCTCGAAAACGTAGGCCTCGCCGTTCGTCGGACCTGCAACCTCCTCGTCGGCTTCCTCAGGCTCGTCATCCCCTGGCGGAGTTGGTAGCGCAGAGACTGCGGCTTTCTTGACTTGTGCAGCGTTCTTCAACGCATCCTGGCCTTTTGAATTCTTCTTCACCGCGAAGACCCGTCGCTCTAGCCCCATGTCGACCTGTTGGATTGCCGCGAACATGGCATCAGGTCCAGTGCCTTCTTCTCGCAACACCGGCTGTGTCGCTGCAGCATGCACGAAGCAACCATCGATGCCATCGAAAGTGTAAGTGGCAATCTTGTAGCCTGACGCATACTTGATGGAGATATTGACGCCCCGCGTACCCTTCTCAGGCTCCAGAGTCGCAGCGCCGTTGCGAAGCAGGGTGGGTGCATTGTCCCATGGGGTGTGAAGCATGTGCGGAGCGACCGGGCGATGCTGCGGAAACAATCGAAAGTCGCATGCGGAGTTCTCGCAGACCCAGCCCTTGAAGAACCGTCTGGGGCTGCAACGACCACATTTCGGGCAGCAAATACCACGGGTGTTGACCCTACGGATGTTGTCGCCAATGATGTTGCCCACGTCTGGCACTGGCGGCCTGAGGTCGCAAGGCTCAGGCTCTTCAGAGTCGTCCTCGCTCTTCCAGAGTCCCGACTCGTGCAAGAGAAACGCCGGATGGTACTCAAGACCCTCCTTGCCGTACGGCACGTCCACGCCGTTCCACTTCCAGAACTGGTCGCAGTCGGCGTTCAAGCAGATCCACCCTCGCAAGTAGACCTGATGGTAAGTTTGCTGGCAGCTCAAACATGAAGCTTCAGTCGAAGCCGAAACAGTGGCCGGCAGAGCCGCCGCCTGCAGCTGCGATTCTATCGTAGCAACAGGCGAAAACCACGCCGGCTTCTTTCGGTTGAGCCGTTCCAGACGATACTTGACTGTCATCCAGATGTTGTTCTTGCTACCGCGAGTCTTCTCCGACCAGACCATCGTTGGTTTGTACCAACCAAGCACGCAGTACTGGTGTGGCATTTTGACCGGAGCGGCTTCGTTTCGGTTACCGCAGATGACGATGAGCGGGTTTTGGTGCTTTATGTCATTGAGGATCGACTTGGGCTGAGAGTGACTGAGACTCTGGTCCTGCTTTTGAGCCATGCCCCCGCTAGACTCAACCTCCATACTGCCACCTGCTCGACAAATGATCACATCGCCGTCAAGGTACTCGCGGCAGTGTCCCATGCCATCGAACAAGAAGCCGTAGACGTGTCCATCGTTTGAATAACAGCCACCCTGCGGCTTCTTGAAGTACGGCAGGGTCTCACAGAGCGCTTGTCGGGACTCTGCCCACACCCGCGGGACGCCTCCTGCCATCGGCTTCTCATGCAGAGTCTCCCGATGCATCAGCTTCTTGGACACCGAAAGCAGAGTAGGGTCGACAGCAACATCAAGCCAGGTAGAAGTTGCCGAGAATCTGCCTTGCCTCCGGGCAGAAGGTATCGGCAGTCTGACCAGCAAAGACTCTGTCTGTTTCGGGACCGCCTTACCGCGAGCTGGCTTCCGAGGAGCTTTGCCATTCTCCTTTGCCGGCGTTGGAGTTTGTTTCGGCGGACGTGGAGTGGTTGTCGACTTCCGCTGAGTCTTGCGTGGAGCCGCCGGCTTTGTTACTCTGCCAGTGGCAGTCTTGTCGGTGGCAGGTTCCTTCCGGACATTCTTGCGTGCCGGCTTTCGCTTCGCGACGGGCTCAAAATCCTCAGAATCCGAAGCAGAGCCGTTGTCGTCTGCATCTGGCGGGGTTTCTGGTGTTTCCGGCGAGTCTGGCGTGGTGGCTTGAAACGCCGGATCGTCCTCGTCCTCGACAGAAGGTTTTTCAGTGACCCCAATAGACTTGCGGGCCCTTAGCGCGCGGCCGCCTGCTTTGGCTGGCCCGATTGTTGACGGCGGAGTCGGCAGCTGCGTCTGCGTCTTCTGTTTGCGTGCTGGCCGCACAGGGGTACTGAGCTCAAGCCCGGGACTGCTAGGCAATGCCTTGTCTGGCATCGCCACTGATTGGCGGCTTGCAGCTACCAGTGCAGCAGATCGGTCCAAGCCCTTCTCATGGAGCACCGAGACTGACAGAGCTGGCGACAATGGGCCTGAATCGATTGAACCGTTTTCGCCCGCGTCCATGTCAATGTTCGACTCAGCCCTCGGAAGCATGGAGCGCACATCCTCCGGCGCAGGAGTGTTCCGGTCTTGCTGTAGATAGCCCACCGCATTTGGCACGGCGACATTGACTCCAAATCTTGAGTCTGCTCCCGGAGCTTCGACCGTCGCTTCTAGTGTCGATGTCGAAGTGGGGTCGCTGCCAACGGCTGGCTCTGCTGCGGAGTCGTTTCGGGTTTCGGCCTGCTGATTTGAGTCGGCATCGTCGGTTGTGCGACGCCTTGGAGTGACAACGATCTCATCTCCAGAGGGCACCTCGATTGCAGATGGCTCGGTTGGCAGTGTCTCTGCGTCCGGTGAGGTTGTGTCTTGGTCGGAGGTAGCAGGAGCACTCGGAGAGTCTGTGGCTGGGTCCAGCGGCGCACTCGCATCCTTGCTGCTGCCTTCGGGCGCAACGGTAGTCGTACGCTTCTGTCTCTTTGAGGCAGATGATCCGATCGAATCTTTCAGCTCATCCTCTGCTTTCCTTTTCCGGAGATCGATTTTCTGGAGATCGATCTCCTTCTTCAGAAGCGCCATGACTTGTGGCGAGACCACTTCCGAGAAGGCTGGGGTCTTTGGCTCGACCGATGACTCCGTTACGATTTCACCTTGCGCCTTGGGAGCAGATTTCGCCTTCGTAGGTGCTTTGGCCCTGGGGGTAGCCTTCGTTCTCGGAGTCTTCCGTGGCTTCGGAGCTGCCTTTGGCTTCGCGGCAGCTTTGTCATTTTTTGCCGCCGGGGTGGTCTTCTTCTGGCTTTTCGGCAGCATATTGTCGGCCTCGAGAAGTTGATCGGCTTCCTCAGCAGTGGGCTCGACGTACGACTTGCGGATGGTCCTGGCAAGAACTCGCATCGAGCCAGTCGAGTAGTCGGAATGATTGATAGCCATTGTGAGGAATCTTCCAGGATTTAAGGTGAAGCGTCCAATGGGGTCCCAGAGAAAGTCTTCTCACGGTGAGTCACGCTCAAATCCGGAAGCGTGATGTCAAGTCGAAGGAATGGTCCCGGCTGAATCCAATAAAGATAGCAAAACCCAGAAGACTTTTCACCGAATTGATGGAAGCCAGACTGCGCAGTGTCCCGTGATCGAGCCGTGATTCAGGAACCTGAATGGAGCGATCGTGTGCAGGAGGAAGAGTCCAGGACTCGAGGTGATGTTGTGATGTGAGGTTGGCAGTTGGAAGCCGCAATGCAGGAGTAAGCTTGTGCTTAAGCTTAAGCTGGAAGGTGGGGTATCCTTGTCGATGTCGAAGAGGTCTAGGTGTGTGTGAGAGTGTGTCGAAGAGGAGCGATGTTGAATCGTAAGTCTAAGATTGTATAGCAGAGGGAAGGTCTGATATATGTAGAAGACGGAAGCAGTATAAGAGCGTGACGAGCAAGGTCACACGACCGCAACAATATCAGAAGACAACACATGCTGCTGGCTCCATGTGCACCTTTTCAGTGAAGAGCGAAGTTTGCGCAAGTGAAGGAGCAATCATACTCATACAAATGCTATTTAAAACCTGTCCCACGTGCTGTGCCATGCCGGCGGCTCCAATGAGATGCTGCAGCGGCTCAAACCATATGGTGAGGATACCAGTGTTGGTACCAATGCAGACTCCAGTATGAAGCACCCAGCCCTCGCCATATGATACAGCCGCGCAACCAATGCACAAGCTCGCGAGGCGATCCGAAAGAAATCGTCGTATAATGCATGAGGCGAAACGAAGAACAAGAGGCGCTTGCGCGTCCACCCAGAAGCTCGACACAGCCACCGCTGGCGCCTGAGTGCGCGCTGGCCATCAAGGACCTCGAGCATTCTTTTGCTTCAGAGCAGAAGCATCACCTAAGGTTCAACACCTTAGTCGCATCACCGATGAAGTCCCGCCTGTACTCCGCCATCCTTTTCGCGATGGCATTGGCGTCCGGCGCCGGCTTGATAGCCCTGAGCTCGCGGATGACGGCAGCAAGGCCGTCTTTCCACTGCTTGTACTGCTCTGGAGTGCGCGCCGGGACGTTTTTGGTGCCCATGGTTGAGAGGAGGTCGCCGTCTGTGAGGTTAGTAGTCATTAGGTCAGCTCGTCCCGGTGGTCTGTGTAACTGAAAGGTGCGAGGGAAGGAAAAGGAACAGGAGAGATAGGTATATATCAGAGTGAGCTCTTGTCGGCAGTGAAAATGAAAATGAAAAAGGTCTGAGTGTGTTGGAAAAGAGATCACGAACCAGGAAGTCCCATATCCTTGAAGTGTTGATTCTTGCAGCCCTGGTCGTTGCATTGGCCTCCAGTCGCTTCGTAGGGGCAGAGCGGCGTATCGGGGTTGATCTTGTTGCTGTACGTCAAGGACTGGAAGCCTCCAGGGACCACGTCCGAGTAGTTTGGGTGCCAGCGGAAGTCCTTGAACATCCTGAGCGGGCTCTCGTAGGGCGTGTAATGGGTCCTGTGCACCATATTCTCCTAGATCATGGTCAACACATGGTCCTGCTCTTCGCCGAAATCGCCTACCGTGTCCGCGAGATGAGCAGCTTCGCTTGTCTTCGGCTGCAGCTCGGATGCAAGATCCTCGTCAACCGTTCCGCTCTTAGAGATCGATCCAGCCGTAGGTTGGGCTGGGAGAGCTGAGTCGGCAACGCCCTTGCCTTGCTGACTGGTAGACGAATCAAAAGACGCATCGTAGTCTGGGTCGTAGTCGTCTGAGTCCGATGCATCGGTTGAGCCGCTTGACGACACACCCAGCTTGCTGTTAACTCGCGATGGGCCGTCGGTCATCTCTGAATCTGCCTCTTTGTACTGTGGAGCTTGCAGGGTGTCAAGATGGTCGTGCTCGAGTTGACTCTGCCCTTCGTCCGTGGCAGGGTTCTGTGCGATGGTGCCGATTGGTAGAGAAGGCTCCTCAGGAACGTCGTCTTCATCAGAACTCTCGCTCATAGCGACTTCCATATCCTCCGACGACTCATCAGTCTCTGATGCCTGCGTGCTCGCTGCTTGCTTCGCATCCTCGCTGACAGCTGAGGCGCCGGTCTGCACCGAAGTGGGAGGCTTCTCATCATCGTAAAACTCAGAAGCTGATCCGTCATCGACCTCCCATTCCTCGTACTCGGTTTGAGCGACGTCAGTAGCCCGGCTGACAGGTTCCGGGACTTCCTGCGACGCAGGAGTGACGCTGACGGTGCTCGCGTCACGCATAGAAATGCCTGGCAAACTGCCATTCGAGACACGCAGCTGCGAAGGTAGAGGGGCAGGTTCTGCAGGCTCTGCAGATCGGCTGGACGCGGCCTCCACGGCCTTGTTCAGGTCAGCCATCTCATTCTTCTCGAGATCTATAAGTCTCTGTCGCAGCCTCTCTTTCTCCTGCTGCCTGCGGAGGGCAGCAGGAGAAGGGGCGTGGTTGTCGGAGTTGGTGCGAGAATGGTCCGTTGCTAGAAGTGGTGACTGTGATGAGAGCTTCGCTTTTTCAGCGGACGGTCCTGTAGTGATAGCAACGCTTCCAATCTTTGGAGTCGATTGGCCATCGGGCTTTGAGAAGCTGGTCTCTCCGCCTTCCGGCGTGGTGGCAGCGGGCGCTTGGATCGATGCAGCAGACTCGATTAAAGGCGTAGCGGTTTTCTTGCCCTTAGCTTTGCTCCTAGCCTCCCGTTCCGCGATCTGGCGCTTGAACTCTTCGATCCGTTGCATCTGCTGCTCATACGTGGTTCCATTTGGCGTGCTGTTCCCAGGGGTGCTCGGGGTTGAAGATTGCATCTGATACCCCGATCTGGGCCGGAAGTCTGGAAGGGCCCCGACGTCGCGGAAAGACTTAGTTGCCGGAGCACCGTTCTCGACGTCTACATCCATGGCAGTACTATCGCCTTCGTCCTCTTCATCACTGACGTCTATGACTACTGACTCTTGTTCGCTAGTGTTCCTGTCTTGTCCGAATGGTCGCTTGCGGGCGCTGGTGGCTTCCGAAACGCCTTCGAAGTCGGCGGCAACTGGTCGCTTACGAGTTGCAATCGATGGCCCTGTCAGTGGGGAAGGCGCTGGGTTGATGGTGTTTTGAGCCGGTTGAGAGGCTGCTGCCTGAGTGTCTGGGAATGAGTTGTGTGATGGCTGCGGTACTGAACTGTGCATGAACAGGCCAGGCAGCCCGGTAAACCCAGCGTATGATGTTAAAGGCGGCGGCGAGGTCACAGTTTGCACAGGTGGTGGCTGGGCTGGAGGCGCCGACGGCTGCTGGGCCTGCACGGAAGGCTGCTGTGATCTCAATTCTGCGAATCGGGAGTCAAGATCTGTGGCAGCTCCAGAAACCCGAAGATCTTGCCATGGGCTAAAAGCAGACTTTTGAGACGGTTCAGGCGGAGGCACTGTCGCAGGAACAGGGCTTGACTTTGCTGCGGTGGGTAATCCGGCCTTCTTTGCCGCTTGCTTCGCTCTCCAGTCTGCAAGCTTTTGGCGAGCCAACTCGGTCTTCGCGTCGTCCTTTGCAGCTGGCCGGGGGGGCTCCTTATCCTTGACGGTCTCATTCAGGTCTTTAGCTTGTGGAGCTTCAGTGGTAATAGCCGCTGGGCTCTTGACCGCGTCGGCAGTCACCTTGGCGGGAGCTTTGCTCTTCGGGTCTACGTCCGAAGTCTTCGTTGGCTTCAAAGCCTGCAATTTTGCCAAATACTCACTCCGATCCAGATGCTTTGCCGGTGGTGGACGCTTTGCAGCCGGTGCTCTGCGAGGCGGATCTGGAGACGGCTTTGCTGCTAGCGATTGCGTGGCTTCCGCGCCATTTGCTCGCTGCGCGACATCATTCGAGTTGTAGATCGCTGGGACTGGCAGATCGAGCCGCCTGAACAGACGGGCTAAGGCCTTCGGGCTGCTGACCTGCGACACAAGGTCGTCGAACGTCTTACCAGCTCTGACCATCTCCTGCACGAATAGCCCGGCCGTGTGCTCTCTGCTGGCGCGAGTCGTCGTCGTCCCGTTCTGCTGCGGAAGCGGCGATGGCATACCTGTCTGATTCGTGGGAGCAGAGCCGGGCGCGGTCTGTTTCGTGGCATCTCTTGCCGAATGACCATCTGGACTTGCACTTGGACGACGTGGGCCAGTTGGAGGCGGACGAAGGAAACCTTGCTCTTGCCATACCTCTGTCGCTTCCCCCTCTTCTAACTCGCCGTCCTCCATGTCTGCATCGCCGTTTGAGCTATCGATCTGCAATTGTGAAGGCGCTTCTTGCACTTGCATATTGCTTGGAGTAAGGGCAGACGCTGTTGGCGCATGATTAGGCTCATTGGAAGCTCCACCGACTTGTGGTGGTGCCGTGAAAACGCCGCTCTGGAAGGCTTGAAATATGGCTGCCAGCCGTTCAGGCGAAATGCCAGCCAGCAGCGCCGGATCGATAGCAGCCAGTTGTCCGTTCTGCTGGAATGCAGCTTGTTGTGTTGCTGCAGCTTGCGGGTGTGGAGGACCATGTGTTTGCGGATACTGCTGCTGTTGCGGTGCATCGTGAGGTGTCGGTGGAAGCGCTCCTCCACCAGCGATGGAAGTGTACGCCATGGTGTGTCTACCTCGATGGCGCGCTCTTCTTGGTTAGCAACAACAGATACGGATCATGCTGTTGCGGCTCGTATGAAAACTCTACGCGCAAACGTTGATGGCCGTCTCTATACTTGCTTTGTGGTCGCGTTCTTTTGGTCGCTCGCACTTGACAGGCGCTATCGCGCGCGAGTGAAGATGGCTCGGCGATCAGATGAAGCCTGTCAACGATGTTCAAGAGGCTTCTTCCGACTCGATGCGAATCTTGCACGTCTGGAGATGGCTTCTCTTGCGGTAGGACTTGCGACGTCTCGGAGGTGGTCAAGGTGGTGAAGGAAAGCACGGCCTTTAAAGCGCGGTCTGTTCCGCCTCAAGCTAGCCTTATATGGAACTGTGTTGATACGCTAATTCGAAGTGGAAGCAGCGACGGACCGCGAAGCACACAAAGTCTGGACAGACGCGACTACCTTCACATTCACTTCTCAACGGCCTTTTGCGTGGTGGTAGTATATACCCGGACTGCAAAGCAGCGTCTGAACATTTGGAAGAGAAGGCTTGATGGCTTAGGAAAACGCTGGATGCCACCATTGGAAGCGACGCGTTTGTGGGCTGAAGGAAGAGTTACATTCTCACCATGAGTTTTCGGGCGCAGGAAGGCCCGCGATGGCGAGGAAGTAGTCCATTCGGACGGGAGCAGGGCACTCCATCACCAGGACCACCGCCGGGACACGCAAGATCCAAGTCGAGCATCATGCAATCACCGCTGTCACCCGCATCCCCAACTGGACACTCGCGCAACCAGTCTCTGTCCGATCTGGGGGCAATGGGACTTACGAGGAGCGACTCAACAAGGTTTCGGTCTGGATCAGTACGCGGCAGCACACCTACCGGGACCTTTGCGCCGAAGTTCATCAAGCAAGAGGGAGGAGATGGCGCAGATGACCGAGTTCGAGGCATCGAAGGCGAGAATGACCTGACCGGAAAGAGATATGTTTGGTTACGAGATCCGCAAAAGGCGTTCACCAAGGGAGAGGTCCTCGGTGAATTGCAAGATGATGTGCTCAAGATCCAGTGCGACGATGGGAGTATACGAGAAGAGCACGTGGGGAACGTCGACAAAGTCAACCCTGGCAAATTCGATAAGGCAGACGATATGGCCGAGCTCACGCACCTCAACGAACCCAGCGTCGTCCACAACCTGCATCAGCGATACCACTCAGACCTCATCTACACCTACTCGGGCCTGTTCTTGGTCACGGTGAACCCGTACACACCGCTTCCGATTTACGGACGAGACTATGTCAACATGTACAAGGGGCGGAGTAGGGAGGATACGAAGCCACATATCTTTGCAATGGCCGACGAAGCGTTTCGGAACTTGGTTGATGAAGGAGTCAACCAGTCCATCTTGGTGACTGGAGAGTCCGGCGCTGGAAAGACTGAGAATACAAAGAAGGTCATCCAGTACCTTGCATCAGTCGCTACCTCAGATACGCCTCGAGCGAAGTCTGGCAGCCGGCAGCACTCTAACCTTTCGGAGCAAATATTGCGCGCCAATCCTATCCTGGAGGCATTTGGTAACGCTCAAACGGTGCGGAATAACAACTCGTCACGTTTTGGAAAGTTCATTCGGATCGAGTTCACAAGATCTGGTCAGATCGCTGGAGCTTTCATTGACTGGTACCTGCTGGAGAAGAGTCGAGTCGTGCATTTGAATGCACATGAGCGGAATTACCATGTTTTCTACCAACTTCTACGAGGCGCCGACCGCAACATGCGCAAAGACTTCCTATTTGGCGACATGGAGATGGAAGACTTCGAATACACGAGACGCGGCAACGACACCATATCAGGCGTGTCAGATCAGGACGAATGGAATTCGTTGCTGGAGGCCTTCCATATCATGAACTTCTCGGACAAGGACCAAAGAGTGGTATTGCAGACTATCGCGGCGGTACTGCATCTCGGCAACGTAGCAGTCAGGAAAGAGAGCCTAAGGGCCGACCAGGCCTCGCTCGCACCGGAAGGTGAAGACGCGGTCAAGAGAACGTGCCATCTCCTTGGAATCAATCCAGATGCTTTCACGAAAGCTCTGCTTCACCCGCGGGTCCGAGCGGGACATGAATGGGTGGAAAAGGTGCAAACTCCTGAACAAGCTCGACTGTCAATCGATGCGTTGGCGAAGGGCATCTACGAGCGTGGGTTTGGAGACTTGGTCAACCGTATCAATGGACAACTCGATAGGAACTCTTCTGGCAACTACTCAGATGACACCTCCTTCATCGGTGTGCTCGATATTGCTGGCTTCGAGATCTTCGACGAAAACAGCTTTGAACAGCTGTGCATCAACTACACCAACGAGAAGGTGCAGCAGTTCTTCAACCATCACATGTTCGTGCTCGAGCAGGAAGAGTATGCGCGGGAGCAGATCGAGTGGAAGTTCATCGACTTTGGACGAGATCTGCAACCAACCATTGACCTCATTGAGCTGCCCAACCCCATCGGTATCTTCTCTTGCCTTGACGAGGACTCTGTAATGCCCAAAGCCACCGACAAGAGCTTCACAGACAAGCTGCATTCGCTTTGGGACCGGAAGACGCCCAAGTACAAGCGATCACTGCTCAACCAAGGTTTCACGCTCACGCACTACGCAGCTGAGGTCGAGTATTCGACAGAAGGCTGGCTCGAGAAGAACAAGGATCCGCTGAACGACAACATGACAAGGCTCTTGGCTGAGTCCAGCAACAAGCATGTCGCTTCGCTTTTTGCAGACTGTGCGGAGGTCGACGAGACCGACGGCGCGAGTCGCAGCAGGGTGAAGAAGGGCCTGTTCCGGACTGTTGCGCAGCGTCACAAGGAGCAACTATCGACACTCATGAATCAACTGCACTTGACCCATCCTCACTTCGTCCGATGCATCCTGCCCAACCACAAGAAGAAGCCCAAGCAATTCTCTGCGCCCCTCGTTCTCGATCAGCTGCGCTGCAATGGTGTCCTCGAGGGCATCAGAATCGCCAGGACCGGCTTTCCCAACCGCCTTCCCTTCGCTGAGTTCCGCGCACGCTACGAAGTCCTCTGTCAGAACATGCCGAAAGGCTATCTCGAAGGACAGGCAGTCTGCAGAATCATGCTGGAGAAGCTCAACCTCGACCGCAGCTGGTACCGAGTGGGCCTTACCAAGGTCTTCTTTCGTGCTGGTGTGCTGGCCGAGCTGGAAGAGCAGCGCGATGCGCTCATTCGCGACATCGTTGTACGGTTTCAATGCATTGCTCGTGGTTTTGTAGTCAGAAGGATGGCACACAAGCAGCAGTATCGCGCGGAAGCTACACGGATCATACAACGGAACTTCCAGGTGTACCTGCAGATGCAGGCGAATCCTTGGTGGAGGCTGTTTGTCCGCATGAGACCTTTGCTCGGTGCCACGAGGCAGTCGAATGAGGTCAAGAAGCGTGAGGAGGAGATCAAGAAACTACACGACAAGATGGAGCAGGAGGAACAGAACAGGGCAAAGGTGGAGGAGGAGCGCAGGAGAGCAGAAGGCGAGATCCAACGGATTCAGCATACCTTGGAGAGCGAGCGTGCTTTGGCCTTAGATAAGGAAGAGATCTTCCGTCGCCTTCAGGATCGGGAAGCTGAGCTCACCGAGAAGCTTCAGGGTGCTCTGGACGACCAAGATAGCCTCGAAGGCCAGGTTGATGAGCTGATGGCGGCTCGGAAGGCAGCTGAGGAGCAGGCGGAAGAACGTCTCTCGCAGCTTGAGCATGCCGGCCAGATCATTTCCAAGCTTGAAGACGAGAAGAACGACCTCACCGACCGGATTGTGGAGCTTGATGCGCATTTAGAAGAGGTCGAGAAGACCAAGTCGATGCGCAGCGAGCAGGAAGAGGCTCTTCAGCAGGAGATTCGCATGCTTCAGAGCCAGCTGAGTCTGAAGGAGCGGAAGCTTGGTGAACTGGAAGCGAAGCAGCTCAAGAATGACCAAGATCTGGACATCAAGCTCGCGAATGCCAACAAGGACCTCGCAGGGTCGAAGAAGCAGATCCGCGACCTACTTGATGAGAACAGATCCATTCGCCAGCAAATGTCCGACCTCTCGACAACATCCGCACGCTTCGAGGACGTCATACGCCGGAAAGACAGCGAGCTTGCCATCCTCAAGACCGACATCAAGAAGTTTGGAGATGACCGGAAGCGGTTCGAGGACGAGAAGCACTCGCTCACGACCCGGCATGACAGCGTCCAGAACCAGCTGCGACAGGTCCAAGCGGAGATGGAAGCCATGAAGTCCCAACATGCTCAGCTGGAGCGTGAGGCAGCCGATGCTAAGAGAGCTTTGGAGGAGCAGACTTCTGCAAATGCCCAGGTGGAGATACTCGAGGCGCAACTGCACGACATCAAGGGCGAGCTGTTCCAGACTCAAACCGATCTCAACAAGGAACGCCAGTCGAGAGACGATGTCAAGCAGATTGCCGAAGCTGAGTTTGAGAGCCTCAAGCGGGAGCTAGACGACCTGCATGAGTCGAAGGTCACCATCGAGAAGGAGATGTACAATCAGTCCGACCTGACCAGGCGTGCTACTGAAGCTCGTGAGACGGCGGAGAGCGAGCGCAAGGAGTATCAGGCAGAGTTGCAAGGCCTCAGAAAGAAGTTCATCGAACTTCAGGAAGCTAAGATCGAGGTTGAGGCTACCGTAGAGCGGAACGTCAACAAGCAGGCTAACGAACGTCTCGCTGTCATCAAGAACGAATTGACCGAGAAGACACATCAGGTGGCAGACCTGGAGTCCGATCGTGGCCAGTTGTCGACTGAAGTACAGAAGTTGAAGCGATTCATCGCCGAGTCGGACAACTTCAAGCTACATCACGACCAGGAGAAGCAGCGTCTCGAGCGTGAGCTTGTGACGATCAAAGGCCGCTTGACAGCTTCCGAGAACGACAACCGCGCTCTGTTGAACAAGGTCCAGCAGAAGAACCTCGACATCGCTCGATCGAACTCAAGAGTCAGCGACACGCAGCGCTCGCGCATCTCACAGCTGTCACAGGACAAGTCGAAGTCAGACGAGGAGCTTAAGAAGTTGCAACGACAGCTCAATGATGCACAGCTCACCATCACCTCTTTGGAGAAGCAGAAGGAGAAGCTTGCTTTGAACCTGGAGGATCTCAATCATGAAGTCAACCGCGAGCACAAGACAACTCGTAGCGCTGAGCAGCAATCTTCCGCTGTGAACCTGCAACTGGCTGAGGCGAACCGCAAGCTTGAGACTGAGCGGCAGCTGCGCACGCAAGCACAGCAGAACACTCGCACGGTGCAGGCATCATTTGACCAGGCCAACCAGGAACTCAACGAGGCTCATGAACAGTTGCACCTCTTGCAGAAGGTGTTCGACCCTGAGAACGACAGGTCGATGCCCTCACTTGATGGCACCAAACCCGACTTGAAGCGCACCATCGATCTCGCGCAGAAGCTCGAATCATCTGAGCAGGCACTGCGACTAGCCACCGACCGATTCTCCCGCGCTGAGGCCCAGCTAGAAAGCCTTCGGTGCCAATTCCAAGACGACTTACAGGAGAACGACTCCCGACACCACAACTCGAAGCGTGCGATGCTTGAGGAAATGAATGCAGGACAGGTTAATGCCCGTTCCTCGCCTTCCAACTTTCGCAGAGACTTCGACGGTCGGAAGAGTTTCACGCCTACCAACAACCAGGAGCGCAGCACGCCGACCAACCAGCGACATATCAGCAAGGCGAGCAATGACTCTGCTCGGTCGGATCGGACAGTCGACACCGTGACGTACAACAACCGCATGGATATGGCTGCCGAGCTCGAGATGGTGCAGAATCAGCTACAGATGTCTGAGATGCGCAATCGGCATTTGCAAGCCCAGGTGGAGCGTACGCCTTCTCGTAACAACCTTCACGACGACAGCCCGTCGATCCGACGAGTTCAGAAGCTTGAGCGGGAGAACTTCAGATTGCACGACATGCTCGACGACTCCGCCAAGAAGGTCTCGGCGCTTGAGCAAAGCATCAGAACCGGCCAGCTTTCTTTCAAGGAGGTGCAGACAAAGAGCCATGAGGAACTATACGACCTTATCAACTCCCAGGAGCAGTCCCGCCGCTCGCTGCTGACTTCGCACAACGCTGCAATCGCCGAGCTGGCTGATGCGAAGACGGCATTTGACGAGATCAAGCATGCGAAAAACTCGTCGGACGTTGAGCTGCGCGACGCGAAGTCTGAGCTCGAAGACCTGAACTATGAGAGAGATCAGGAGGCTGCGAACCATTCGCAGTTGTTGCAGGAGTTCTCCGACATGCAGATCCGCCTCGACACCGAGTCTTCGAAGCTGAATGACATGACTTCTAGTCTTGATCTGTACAAGGCCAGGGCAGACGAGTATTTCGCGAAGCTGGAGCAGGCCGAGATTGCTGTTCTCAAGGCATCTCGCGCTGAGCAATTTGCAAAGACGCAAGCGAGGGAAGCGGAGGAGACATGTGCGACCATCATGTCCGAAAGGAAGAACCTGGATTCGGAGCTGGAGAGCCTCCAACGGCAGAACCAGCAGTACGACGAGAGGCTCGAAGACATGGCGACAGATCTCGAAAGTGCCGTGCAGGCGAAGAAGCGTCTGCAGAATGAGCTGGAGGACTACCGCTCGCAACGGGCTATTGACCTGGAGGACGGCGAGACCTCGCTGGACCAGACGAGGCGGAAGTACCAGTCCGAGTTGGCCAATCTCAACAACGAGCTTGAGATTGAGCGCGAGAACACCATCCACGCCCGCGGCGAGAACGACCGACTGCGCGATGAGTTGGACGAGCTTCGCGGCAAGTGGGATGACGAGGTACTCAACAGTTCGACTTGGGCGAAAGAGAAGTCGCGGCTTGAGGTTGCACTGCAAAGTCTGTCCGACTCTCGCGACGAGGCTGTATCGGCGCACCACGAGGCGCAGAGCAAGACCGTCGAACTGCTTGGCCAAGTGCGCAATCTTCGCACGAACTACGACGACGTCGCTGCTGAGCGAGACCTCCTGATGAAGGACAAGAAGGGCCTGGAGGCTCGTCTGACAGAAGCGTCAGATCGCCTTCAAGAACTTGCGAAGAGCGGATCACCTTCCAAGCGAGATGCTGCGAATGCGGATCGTGAACTACTTGACCTCAAGTCGAAGCTCGCGCATCAGGAGGATGTGGCCTCGGCGGCGGTTGGCAAGATGCGCCGTGCGGAAGGTCTGGTGCAGGAAGTCCAGAAGGATATCGCAAATGCCCGCGAGAACAGCGTGCAAGTGCACAAGGAGAAGGCGAACGTTGAGAAAGCGCTCAAGGACTTGCAGCTAAAGTACATCGACCTTGAAACGCGAGGGTACTCCAGCGGCAGTAATGACGTTCGATTTTACGCCAACAGGGTACAGATCGTGAGTTGACACCCTCCCGTTCGCACAAATCGCTGTACTGACAATAATCCTAGCTTGAAACCGAGCTCGAACAGCTCCAGCAGACCCGCGCCACCGAGGCTCGCAGCGTCCGTAATGTGGACCGCACAGTCATGGACCTCAAGTCGCAAATCGAGCGTCGGGAGAAGTCGATGCAGATGCTGTCGGACGACCTCAATAAATCGCGCGACAAGACTGAGCGCCTGCTGCAGACGATCGACGAACTCCAGGCCTCTGACTCTTCGGCGCAACTATCGGCAAAGCGGGCTGAGCGCGACTTGAGAGAGGAGAGAGAAAAGACGCTCCGCGTGGAACGGGAGTTGGAAGCTACGCGCAACGCTCGCAACGAGCGCCTGAGCAACGGACGACCCGGTACCCTGGCCGCTCTCAGTGACATCGGGGGCAGTAGACGAGGGAGCTACGCCCTTCGCCCCGAATCGCAAAACGGCGATGTGAAGATCGAAGTCCCGCAGCGGACGAGCAGTTTATCGAAGGGTTTTTTGTGAGTGACTCTGGCGCGTTCGGTGCTGGGACTCGGGGGGGGAGGGTCAGGGTTGTGGTGCGGTCTGAGGCATTTTTGTAGAAAGTCATTGGGAGGATTCGGTCGGTGGTGGTCGTACTGTAAATTTATAGGAGGATAGAGGAATATAATGGTTTTGTATTCTGCAGAGTTTGTGAGATCAAGTGCCGAGCATGGCTCGTAGTGCGAGATAGCCGCCGATGATCCCCACGACGGAGCCGGCAAGGAGGGCTTCGCCTTCCCATGTGAGGGCGAGGTATGCTGCAACGCCGACGATGAGCTCGTAGCGTTGTGCTGCTGCTCGGGCTTCTTTCCAGTCTTGTCGGACCGAGAACGGCGACTTCACATCTGCCTCCGTCGAGCCCAGTGGCCCTGTGGGTATGGTGAACGACAGCGAGACTGGTCGATGGTCGCTGGTAGGTTGTAATGGCCCAGCATCATATGAGAAGATCTGAAGTGAAGCCGCTGCCAGGTATAGGATCCGATCGCACCACGAAGGCACCCTATGCTTAGCCCATGTCTGGCCGACCCCAGATGAATCGCTTGCTGTGTCTTCTGCTGCCGCCTTCTGCGCTGCGCTCGAGTACTTGTAGGTTGGAGGAAAGTTGATCTCCGCTTCAGCCATGTTGTGCAATGTCTTGCCTGCTTTCTTCTCGCGAGTGAGCTGGTCTCTTGCGAACAGCGCGCTGTAGTCTTGGGTATCCGACCTTGAGATTGCTAGTTGCGGCCATTTCTTGTGTCCTTCTGGATCTGGCGCCGTGTCCGAGGTCCTGTAGTTCAGATCTCCGCCGAAGAAAACGTACGATACAGGCGAGAAGAGGCTGCCCTGCACGCTTCGCATGTCGTCTTCACGGGACTCCAGCAAGGGCTCAGACTCCGGCGCATCCCCCTGCTTGCCCTCCCGCCCCCTCGCCTGTTCGTCCCTCTCAAACACAAGCCCCTCACAAATGCTCCTCCAATCCCTATTCCTCTGCTCCCAGCCCCACTCATGCGGCGCCAGATGCACCGCCGCAAACGTCAACACCACGTCTTCCTCTCCGTCCCCTTCTAACCCAATCCTGGCAGCCGCAGCGCCCTTGTTCCCCATGTCCAGTACACCCACCCCTACCCCGGCGGTCTCGACCCACCGTACCCTCCTCGCAGTCTCCGCTCGTGCGAATATCAACAGCGCCGTCATACCCGCATTCGTCTCCACAACCCTCTCGTAACCACCCTCGTGTTCGAAGCGGTTCGTCGCAGCAGCATTGACGGCGGTCGTGAAGCGCGATAAGTACGGTGTAAGCAGCGAGCCGCCTATGAAGCTATAGCCCAGCGGTGCGATTTCTTGGAGTGACAGGACGACAAGATCGGGTGGGAGGTTGGTTTTGAGGTCGTTGAAGAGGGCGGAGGCGAAGTGGTCGATGTTGATGGGTGTGCGGGCGCAGTTGAAGGTTGTGTAGTGGCAGGTTAAGGCGGACATTGTGGTGAGATGTACAATTGGTAGAGGTGGGGGTGTTGCATGTGAAACGGAAGAGGTGAGGTCTAGAAGCGAGGTGGAAGTCTAAAGTCGACGTCACTTGGCAGGGTGGAATGCTATAAAGACCAGCTGCAAAGAAGCGATCGCAAGGAGCAGAGTACAGGGCCTTGATTCTCCTCCAACGTGCTAAGCTGAAGCGCCCGCCTCTACCTCCTCCTCCCCATCGTCCTCATCATCCTCATCATCATCCGGCTCAACCTCCACCGCCCCCACCAAGTCATACCGATCCCCTGGCGCCCTCTTCGACACATACTTCACAAACTTCAGCGTCCCTTGATCCCTCAATACCACGCTCAAAGTGTTCCAGCTCGCCGGATTACTGACGAGAATGCCATCATCCTCATCCTCCGCCGCAGTCTGGTAGACGGCCGGGTCGGCCTTCTTCCGTTTCGCATTCCTTCTGTCACCAGCGCCAGTCTGCGATTGAAGCTTCGCTGGAATCTCAACACCGTCATCTGATCCCTCAGCATCGTCGTCCTGATCATCGCCGGCCATGTAGAGCTCGTAGCCTCCAACGTTGTCTTCGTCTTCCACCTCTGCTTCTTTGCCCTTGCCGTTCGCATCGCCATTTTGCTCAGCGTCTTCATCATCGGCAGCCCATCCTGAAGTTGGTGTGACACAAAGACAATACTCCAGCTGCGCGTCCTCGCCATTGTAGCCTTGAGCTAGCTGGTAGTCGAGACCTCGCCGGAAGCGTCGTGCGATCACCGAGCATTTCTTCAGGGTGAGACCGGTAGCCAATGCAAGCCACTTGTGAAACGCAAGGCTTGGTAAAAATTGGTTGAGCACCAGCTCGAAAGGATTTGCTGCGCTGGCGTCAAGGCCAACAGGAGGCTGGGGCTCGCTGGTGATGTACTGATATCGGTGCTTGTGTGGTGGTCTCGAGACATGGAAAGCTGCCTCTCGCCACTTCATCGCTTCGTCGCCTTCGAGCCATCCTTTGAGTCGCTCTGCAAACTTCGAGTTCAAGAAGTTACTCAGCTGGAGTGTAGACTCATCGGCAAACATCTCGTTGAGCTCCTCGACTGTGTCCGGGGTGAGGTAGTTCGGAGTCATGAATTTCAGCAAGAACTCCAGATCGGCTTCGGCCAGCTCTGCAGACCCATCTCCGTCTTCCATGGGGTTTGCAGCCTTCTGTAGTAGCAGTGGGTCATGCCACCGATCTTGCGGCTGATCAAACTGATCCGCTTTACCCTGCAGCTGCTGCAACGAGCTCTTCTCCGCCAACTTCTCTTCTAGACCTGGCTCAAAACCTTCTTCGCCTTCTTGAGGGATGTGAAACCAGCCGCTAATCGCCATCCTAACCCTGCCACCATCGCTCTCGCTCTCGCCAACACTACGATGGTAGACCTCTTCCACATCATGGAAGCTCTCTCCTGGCTGCACAGCAAAGAACGATAGTTGATTCCATGCTGGTGGGATGGTTCCAGTCCACTCGGACTTCGGCACCTTGAACAGCTTGCCAGAACCGTCCTTCATTTCTTCTGTGGGGTACAAGCGAAGCGCGCCACCCCATTCGGCTTGCCAGGGCACATCGGGGTTCGTCAAGTACAGAATGTAGCTCACCCGTCGGCTGCCAATTACATCGTCGTGACAGAGCAAGTGGCATCCAGGAACATAGACATTGACGGCCATATCGGTCTTCTTGCCAGATAGGGCACCAGCGCCAGTGACTGTGGACAGCCATTGCCGGAAGTCATAGCTGTACAGAGCATCCCTCAGCTGGAGCAAGGATGGCAGCTTCTCCAACGCAGAAGCAGTAAGGCCGTCTAGATTTGCCAGATCACCTGATTGATGGATCTTGTAGATGTCAGTCTCCTTGGGCGTGAAGTGGATGTTTTCGAGGATCTCGGAGCGGACTGATCGTAAGAGGTCGTCGTTCATCAATGTCGGAACCACAGCATGCTTGTATGGTGTGGAATTAGCGTAATCTGTGGCATACTGCTGGATGGTCTTGGGTTCCAGCAAGCCATTGCTGAACTGGCCCTTGATGCCGTTTGCCTCAGTCGCTTGCTTCTTGCTGTGGCCATTGGCGTCTGCGCCGTTCGTGTTCTCGGCCTTGCGCTTCATCTTGTCGCCAACATTAGGCGCTGAAACAGGTGTGATTATAATAGCAGCGCGTCTCAAGATATGAGGTGAGGTCTACAATTCTCGACCTTCACTCCAGACAGGCGCTCAAAAAATCTCGAAGTCAGATATTCCCAGCCAATCGGCGGCTTCTCAGCAAACATCCTTGAAACAAACGGGCACTAAGGGCCGCGGCCGACGTCAATGGCGCATGTCCGCAAGCGCGAGATAACAGGCTCAAGTCCACTCGAAGCCAAACCTGTCGCGAAAGAGAGACGCTCACCCAAACGCCGACCATTGAAGCGCGCCTGTGTCGCATACGAGGCCGTTGGACCGTGGGAGAAGGCTGACTGTTCAGTGAGCAAAGTCTCGTGTGTAATAAGGTGAGTCCACATTCCTCGCTGCTTGCATTGAATATCCACCCGCGTTTCCTTGCTATTTCTTTGTTCGAGATCTCACATTTGTCGCACTGTGTCTGGTACACATATATCTTCCCGCGATCTAATACCATAATCTGTAATAGCTACGACTTTCAGGACACCAACAATCGACTATCAATCCAGCAAGCGACAAGTAAAAGTAAATTCAAGCTCCCAAGCTCACCAGCCAACGAAGGGATAACCACAACACAACACCCACCGCAACCATGTCCATCCTCTCCAGCATCGGCGACCGCAGCCACTCCGGCGGCCTCATCGGCGCCATCGTCCGCCTCCTCCTCCGCTTCTGCCAATTCGTCCTCGCCCTCACCGTCGCCGGCCTCTACGGCGTCGACCTCCAGCACGCCAACCAAGAAAATGCCCACGCGGACGGCAAATGGGTCTTCGCCGAAGTCGTCGCGGCCCTCTCCGCCTTCACCGTCCTCATCTACGGCATCCCGTTCATCAAGTCGTACTGGGCCTTTGGCTGGGACTGGGTGCTGTTCATCCTTTGGACGGCGCTGTTTGGTCTCTTCGGCAGCATCTTTATCCCTGCGAAGCCGACGCCGAAGCAGCATGGGCAGATTCGCATGAAGCATGCTGTCTGGGTTGATTTGGTCTCGATGATGTTCTGGCTCGTGACGGCGATTTACAGCACCTTGATCTGGTGGAAGAACAGGCACAACAGGAGCATGCACACGGGTCGTGCGAAGGTTTAGGAGATGAGCGGGCCGATGGTGGTGGGAAAGAGGATACTGGAGGGTGTTTGAGGAGAGCGTAGGCGGTGGCAGTGGAGGAGGGATGAGGTGTACGGACATGATCGCATGCCACTCATTTCGAGCTCAATGGAAGGTGGATGCTTTGAGTATGATTGTCGGCGTCCGGAGATACCCTATGCTGTACTTTGAGCGGTTTCATTGTCATCATCAACGGCCGACGTATTTCATCTGTTCTTACTGAACAGTCTTCACACTTTCAGAAAAGGACAATGATCATCCCATATACTCAGGCTCAGCTCTTTTAGCCCGCTTCAACAGCTCGTATGCAAGGCCGTTGATTTCCATAATGGCGATTTCAATCTCAGGCTTATCGAGCAATCTGCTGTGCAAGTCCAGCACATCCGCTACAGCCTCCCGTAAGTCCTTATCCGAAGACGGTGTAGTGTCGTAGATGATATGTATCGCTTCTGCAAGCTCGGGAGAATCCCTGCCTCCATATCAGCTTCAGACACACAATGTAATATGACTAGGAAGACTCACCAATGCCGCGTACACTGAATCTTAAACTTATCCAACGCCAACCCCTTCAACCCCTCAATCCCATACTTGAACCCCGCCGTATACATCCTCGCATGCAGCGCCAAACACGGCGCCATTGTCGCCAGCGGCGATGGGTCAGTCCTACTACCCTTTCTCCCACGATTCGCCGTCCTGCCAAATGTCCCGTGGAAATCCGTCGTCGGCAACGCGTGCACCGTCAAGCTCGACTCCGTCCGATCCCGGAACATCTGCGTGAAGGGCGATTGAGGCCCACCGAACGCGCTGATGGCTGAGGTACCATAGACCGTGCCGTACTGCGCCGCTTCGGTGCGGATGCTCATGGTGTCGCTGCCGCTGCTGCTGTCGGCGTGGGAGCTGGCGTCTTCGGGAGTGGGGAAGGTGTCGGCGGAGTAGTCAAGGAGGTAGAGGTATTCTATCAAAAGGCGGACGACTTCGGGCTCGTCGTTGGGGAGGGTGATGTGGCCGTCGTTGCCTTCCTGTCCATCATGGTCAGTACGTCGGCGATGGGAGGTGGTGGTATGCTGGGCTTACTCTCCACTTGCCATTGCGTACGGCATCGGCGAGGTACTGTGATCGTGGACAGACTATGGCTCGGTGGACGGGGTGGCGAGTCCCATCTCGGGAGAAGACGACGAGGTCGGCATAGTCTCGAGAGTGGTATAGACTGGAGCAATCGTCAATACATTGATCAGCTATTCGGATTCTGACCTACTTACCTTCTCAACGCTCCCAGCAGCTCAGAATGTGGTCTATCTCCCATCTCACCTTCCTCGCCGTAGTAATGGCCTCGTTGGAATGCCTGATCTCTCATGAAGCAGTCCGACCAGACCCACAGAGAAATCGATAGACTCTTGTACCTCCGCCATCCTGTTAGTCGAGACGTCCTTCATCTCGCTCCTCAGGCGGAGGCTGTGCAGAAACACGGCGTGAAACGGCTGCGGTCACTGGCCTGGCCACAGGGCTGATCACAAGGAAGACGAGACAGGTGGGGATGTGGAGGAGTGTTGCTATTCTGAGCGCTGGGGATCTACGGGCTCATCCTTGTCGACGATCTTTCTGCTCCTGCTCCTGCACAACCTCACTTTTCCTGATGGGACAGGAGACGGACGTGTTGCCAAATGGTATCATTAGATCCGTCTCATACGTGGTCTCGAGTTCACTTCACGGCACGCAAGGCGATGGACGCTACAAGCTGCGCCTCGAACGACAGTGAAACCTCTGGAGGCAATGAACATCATTCTTGTGCCCTCGACTACAGAACGTAAAGCGGAAACTCTACGGTAGGTATATGTAACCACATGGGCAGTAATCTCGTACCTCAACTCCTCCCATCTGTTTTCAAAGGCAGAGGGCAGCCCAAGCCCTCTGCCTCACGACTCCATAACCGAAAAAATATCCTCCCTCACCTCGCCCCCAACCTCCGGCTCCCTCATATCCCCAAACTTCCTCTGACACCTCTTCGCCCTCCCCTCTTTACAATTCTTCAACTCATTCAAATCTCCCATCGCAACCCCACCACCACCCGTCTTCTTCCTCTCCAACTTCATCCCAAAATGCACGTGCGCGAAGCGCTTCGCGACTTTCTGGTCGAAGAAGACGTACTTCACTACCAGCTTCGCAGGGCAGTAATGTCGGTGTACCACGCCGCAGGATCGAGGCGCTGGGGAGGCGGGCTCGCTGGCTGGGCGCTTGGGCTTGGGCATCCATCGGATGTTTCTTCTCGTGTAGCCCTCTGGCAACGGGCTGTTGCTCTTGGGTGTGTTGGAGGCCGGAGGCATTGGCCATGGGAAGACCCAGAGTTGTGTCGATGGCTTCGAATCTGGTGTTGCGTTTTCCGTGGATTTGGAGGAGTGGTGGCGCTCGATCTCGTGGACGTGGACGTCGTCCTCATGCGAGATTTGCGAGGTCATACTTCCGTCGGGCAGGCTTGGTTTCACTCTGGAGAGATGCGATAAGGCGACAGCGGAAAGATGCAATTTCTTATGCCTCCTCCTCACGTGTTGGTAGCGCCAAGGTCCCAGCAGAGGAGTTGCGTCAATATGAAAAGCCGTTGTATGGTCAGCAGTTGCCGCACCCATGGTATGATTACCGTGCTACCGCCAGCTTGGGTGCCATGACGGGATCATACCTTAGGTCTCGCTGGTGAGTGGACAATGAGGCTCGTCTCACGTGGCATGACGCTCATGCGCCAGACCTGTGGTCTTTGAGCGTTTGGATGAACCATAAGAGAGTAAATCTGAAAGTTCTGGAGCTGCCGATAGTTCGTCCGCAGTCGTGGTATAACCTGGTTCTGTCAGCGAGATCCAAGCTTTGGGTTGGTAGCAGCCAAAGACTTATTTCTTAGTGTCTTGAATCATGAAGTGGACGTCAGAAGACTTGCAACACTTGCTTGAGCAGCGGTATTCCTTTTTGTATTCGTATCTTCATCTCTGATGTTGCCTCTTTAGCATGCCACGATGTTCTATCCACCATTGCTTCATGTTGTACGCGCCGCGCTATGCTGAAGTGAGTGCTAAAGCCAGGTGCACCACCATCCTCCTCTCCCCTCTCCTCTTTCCTCTCACTCGTACCTCTTCCACACTACCTCAACTCATCCTTGATCTCCTGCAACACCTCCTGCACGTTCGCCAGCTGCGCCGCCGGCTTCGACCGAATAAAGTGCAAACTCCCACTCACACCCATCTTCGCGTTCTGTCTGAACTCCCCGCCAAGCGTCAACAGCGTCCCCAGAGCCAACAAGACCCTGTACAGCGCCTCGCCATCGTTCGCATACTGGCTCTCGCACTCCAGCGCTGCGCCGATCTCCATGAGAAGCGCGTTGGCGCGCGTTTCCCGCATCGGCGTGTTGGCTGCGGGTGCTCCTGATGTGAGCAGGATGGCGTAGTTGAGGTAGAGAGCGGTCAGGGCTTTGAACTGTGCAGCGGACTCTGGCTCGTTGGCGAACGGTCGTACGATGCTGAGGACTTGGTCGTACTCGCCGTCTATGATGAGCCGGCCGGAGTCGGTGGCGAAGAGGTTGGCAAGGAGGCGGAGGGCATGGACGGCGTTGTTTGCTGTGCTTTGCTTGGGTTGAAGAAGGCCTGAAGAGTCCAGTACCTTCACGATCGTGTCTTTATCGGGTGTACTGGTCGCCTGGACGAAGGCGGGAGCAACGGCGAGGCGAGCCAAGAGTGCGACGCCAGGTACTCTCGATCCTGTAGGCCACTGAGCAGACACTCGAAGAAGGGCGTCGACTTGGTTGTCGGTCGGGTGTGGATCCTTTGGTGAGCTGGTAAGCTGTTCGGCGAGCTTTGAGAGGCTCTCGGCTGCTGCGGAGTCGAGTGCAGCTTCTTGTTGGATCTTTCCTGCCTCACGCAACTGCTTCGAAGACTCCAAAATCTTGTTCACCGCATTCTGAGCATTGCCCTCCGAGATGCTCACGTAGCTGGTTTGCGGTAGCTTGCGCTGTCCCGACTCGGAAGCACCTGGCTTGTATCGCCGCTCGGTTCCTAATGGATCATACGCTTGTTGCGAACTTGGAGCGCCGCTGCCCTGCGTGAGCCTGGCTCCCTTAGTGTTCTCCGTAATCCAGTTGGCGACTTGCTCGTAGTACTCCATGGGCAGTTCGTTCCGTTCCAGGAACTTACGGGCTGCATCCCATGCGTTCTCGCTGAGGTTGTAAGGGAGTTTCAGGGCTGGCTTGCCATCCTCGATGTCAATGTCGAAGACGTAGTCGTACTCCTTGCCGTCGAACGTCTTCTTCGACGCGCCACTGCCTTCGCCTTCAACGACTGTGCCCACCAGATCCCATTGGCTCGTCGATAGCGACCAGAGATGAGCGGTCACGCTGCCGTCGTTCTCTCGAACGAAGAGCTGCTGGCCATCGCGTTGGCCAACCTGTGTCTGCAGTGCTTCAGGTCCAGGCAAGTTCTCCTTCTGAAAAGGTAGTCCCTGCGACGCCGTCTCTGCAGGTATGGCATACATACGATTGCTCTCCTCGAAGGACTTGATGGTCTCTGGATCTGCTTGCCGTTCTGGATCTCGCGAGAAAACTCGAATCATGTTGTCACTCGCGCCACTCACGATGTCGCCTGTCTCGCCACAAGCTGCCACCGTCCATATGCTAATGGCCGGGTGCGTTATGGTTTGGACCGACTTTCCATCCCGCCATATCCTCACCGTGCGATCTTCAGACGAGCTCACGATATCTCCGTTTGGGAGCGCCGCGAGATCGTAGATGTAGGCTGTATGACCATCGAGCTCGCCCATGGGTGTGCCTTCCAGTGTCCATAGTCGAATCACCTCATCATTGCCTGCTGATGCAAATGCTGCTCCCGACCAGTGTCCAGGTGGCAACTTGCAGAAAGCGCGGACGACATCCGTATGCCCTTTGATCGTTGTGAGGTGCTTTCCGTTGATGTCGAATACGCGAACCATCTTGTCGGCGCACGCAGTCAAAACAATCTTCTCGTCGTAGACCATCACCCCCCATACTGGGCCCTCATGGCCCTTCAGCTCTGCAATAACATTCCCCTCCTCAATGTCCCACACGAACACCTGGTTGTCCCATCCTCCACTGACGATCTTGCTGCCATCTTCACTGAAGGCCAAACACGTGATGTTGCCGGCGTGGCCGATGAGCATGCGGTGAGGGTCCTCTTCCGGTGCCTGACCTATCCTCTTCACAAACACAAATGTCTCCTTTCCTCCTGCTGCCACGAGGCCATCTCGGTGCTGTTCCGAAGGTGGCGCATATGCGAGTCCATTGAACCAGTGTGAACCTTGGAGTGCTATTGTGTCGTCGTAAAGAGGTGGTTTGGGGGACGTGAGTGCCCATTTGCGCACTGTGTTGTCGCGTGATGCCGAGAAGATGTTCTGTCGAGTTGGGAAGACCACTGACCGCACCTGGAGGACAGGTTAGCTTCTGGAGGAGGACGAATTGGGCGAAGGCTAGAGGTCAAGCCTGCGATGGCATGGCCTTTGGTAGGTATCCCTGCATAGCTTCCACTGGTACGCGCAACCGCAAAGGTATGGTTGACCGTGAACTTACATCTTCCTCGTGCCCTCGCAGTGTCGCGGAGAGCTTGAAGTCGCCTGTCATGATGCGCTCTTGTGACCGGACGTTCGCGCTGGATGAAAGCAAGATTGCATTACTTATCCTTTAATGGGCCTCGCGCGATGTGAAGCAGTTGCTGCCGGAGTGTTGTACGTCTGGTCGCGAATCACCACGAAATTCACCTTTACAGAAGCGACATCGACGTCACGCTGGGTTGTTTCGGCCTCGGCTTGGCAGGCACGAAGAAGGACATGGAAACTTGACTTGACTTCACCTTGACTTTCACTACACGTCTTCCAACGAACATAGCCTTATTCTTTGTCACTTCGAGGTTGGGGGCCATCGCCTCGATGCTTTGCTTTCACGGACAATAACTGTCGCCGACATGCGCGCCAAGGAAGGCTTCGTCAATACCGCCACCTGCTATGATGATACCTCATGATGTGATCACGCGTTCCGAGGAGTCCAACTGGAAATGCGGCAAGCCGCGAAGCCCCTTGTCCGCGCAGGCAACGACTCATTCTCCATCGGTGTTCAAACCTCGAAAGACCGACAGTCTTTATGGGGAGCCATGTCGCACCCGAGACACACCCATCTCCCCGTGGACCAATGCCCGGCGCTATAACGGCTATACCACAACCGCCACATTCGAAGGCGAAACGACCTTGGCTCCTTGGACTGTTCCAGTCGCATTCGCCTCTCAGCCTCGAAAGTAGCATCACTTGACTGATGGCAGTACGATGTGCCTGCAACCTGCTTGATGGTAAAGCCGCGAGATTCCGGCATCGAAGCGATCTCACAGATCTGAGTAGTCAGCTGGTCTGATGAAGTCTGGCCAGCCGGTACATTCTCGCTGTCTACTGCCCGTGGAAATGCTCTTCGCGTGAGCCTCCTCGCTGGTGGCAGCATTTTCTGCACCACCTCCCTTGTTGAAAACTTTCCCTTGGGCCCACGGGTCTGCTGGATAGCAACGCTGTTCACGAACTTGGGACGTCACCGAGCATGCGGATCTGGTTGACCCTGCACAGTGTGTTTCAGAAAGCTGACAGTCAACCGCTAACGTGGCCTTGAATCCTGAAGAGTGACAACATGCGCCTGAACTCTCGCGGCGTCTGCAAGCTGCAGCTAACGCAGCTCAAAAAGTTCCACTGAAAAGTACCGGGACTGACGCTTCGCGCCTCACTAATGGCTTTGGGAGGGCACAGCAGAATGCCGTTTCACGTACGCGTTGACAGTGCAGCTCAAACACATCCGTACCATGGTTGTCTCAATTGCCTATGCAGGCTATGGTCGAACTTCGAACGAACGTTGTTGAAATGCTGACAGCGGATAAAACCAACGACTGCCGGAGGAGGCTGCGGGCCGTCGACACGCTGATCCTACAACGCATTGTACGAAACAACGAACGATCTGTGATCCTTCTTGCGGCAGCGCTCGCGGGCACGTTGGCCTGATGCCGTTGGGCGACGTCGCTGTAGGGTGACGTTTTGGCATAACAAACGATGCGCAATAACATCTCCAGCTCCCAATGCGTCGATGATCACCATGCAGGAGCAAAATTGCCCACTTACAAACCTTGCTGGTGGATTGAGAAGCGTGATGGTCGCGCTCAATCGCGAGATACGTGGTCCAGGCTGATGCAAGAACAATGCATGCTATCAGTTGATAGGAAGAAGCCCCGAAGTTGTTCGACATGGTTGCATTGGTGGCCGTTTCGCCGATGTGAAATCCACTGGCGATTCAACAGCCTGTTATGCCGGCAGTACGAATTTGTACAATGCGAGCGCATCCACGTGTCGATCTGTGCATGTCGGTTTGCAACAGAAAGGTGGGTCTGGCTCCTTCCTTCTGCAGGCCCCTCCTCAATCACAATCTCTTCGCGAGGGATTTGAAAAGGCTCTGCTGCAGTATACATCAGCCCATGAAGGCCACCAGTGTGCTGCGAGAGCTCCATGGCTGCAACAGCTTCGCCAAGTTGTGAGTCTCGACTGGCCTGTCTCAGTGACAAGCAGCTGTCTGGCGAGACTGGAACAACCGTTGGCATTTTCACAGCAGATGCGAGCGCGGGGTGGCAGACCTCCACAAGCTCCACCGAGCCTGAAGGCGAATGCCCATGCAGCAGTGCGACCACTGAGAATCCAGGGACAACGGCCGGTGGGGAGCACCGAACCCAGAGTGTCGGAAATGCGTCTCTTGTGCCACAGATCCACCCAAGCCACGTCTGGACAACCGTTTTGACAACCTTCAGCGACCACGCAGCCCGCGGCGTTCATGCGTGCGACTCCAATACACGCTCGAGGTTGAGGAATCTGAGCATGGACAGCTGATGATATAAGAATCTAGATGGTGATAGTTCATTCCAATCAGCTTAACTGCCAGTCCAATAAGCTGAGGCTCATCGGTCGCTGCTCCAATCAGAAAAAGCCTTCTTCGCCGTAAGCCGACGGTGGCACCGCTATTTTTTTTTTTTTGGTCGATGGTATACCAGACTAGATAGCATTACAGCAGGGGCATAGCGAAAGTAGCTGTGGTCATGCTCACATGGCGGTCTCAACGATGGGTCTTCGGCGACACAGAAGTCCGTATAGGCACGATCTCGCGTGAGAAAGCAGCCAGTGCAAGCAGTCGAGACGACACCACGATCTGCAATTGGTTGTCAGATTCCAGAGCTTCGCCTCAATCGCTCGACGCCTTCAGCTGTGAGGACCCTGTGGCGGCGACACCTTCGAACAAAGCCGATCACGATTGCTGGGAATCCGGGCGGCTGTCCTTCTGACACACCCGGGGTGCTGCGGTTAGTAGAACAGAGGCACGCGTGTCTTTCGGAGGCTGCTGCAGGGCCAAGCAGCGAGCAGCCCAGTCATGTGGGCTAGAAACTCTCAAGTCGCTCGTTAGACCCCGTCTGTTAAAGGTAGGGTAGTCCCGTGCAGTCGGACCACGGCGACTATCAGATCCTTTGTTGTGTGCCTGCTATAATATTGCCGCATACCCACCCTCGAGCTCTCTCCCAAATAACATATTATCCTACAACACCTCTTCTCCTCATCCCCAAATCCGACTCGGTACCACATTCCAACAACCAAGCAACGTTCACGACCGTCCTCTGCACTTCGAAGCTCCCGCCAACGAGAACCCGCGAAATTCTCGGCTCCCCCCAAACCGTTTTCTCAAACTCCCCTGCGTGTTCCTGGTGCCCTGTGCGCACGCAAATGGCACTTTCTCCAGCGCCATCTACGCCGGTCGACAACATAGTGGAGAACCCCCAGGAAGACCTGTTAAATGCCTTGTCTGCGTACGTCCCTGCTCCCCGTTGCTCCCTCTCTTAGGCAACAGATACACAATGGGTGCGAGTGCTTACAGTGCGGGCAGGTTGCATTTTGGCGGGAAATACTCGGATTTGACGATCACATGCAACTACAGACAATGGGCGGTTCACAGAGCCATTGTGTGCTCGAGGAGCGGTTTCTTCGACGGCGCTTGCAGCAGTGGGTTTCTTGAAGCGGCGTCGGGTGATGTGGACCTGAGTGAGGACGACGAGGACGCTGTTGAGCAGATGATCCATTGTACGATTAAGCATTGTGTTTGTACTGTTCGACACAGGCTGACCTGACAATAGTCTTCTACCACCTCGATTACATGAGCCCGCAAGCGCCCAAGCCAATCACCATGTTCAGACACCGCGCACGTTCTTGCGCTCGACGCAGACTACCGAGAAAACTCGACCTCACGCACATCGAAGACCCTCTGCTCGCGCTAGCTGCGTGCTACGACCCTGAAGATGCTTCGCCAACATCACCAACGGATAGCCACCAGAGCTTCAGCCTATCGGAAGACAAGCCACAACTGCTCAGAACGAGGAGTAGCAGTGTACCATCACTTGCTTACGACAGTGAGAGCGATGAGGAGTCGAGCGACATCGACGAGCTACCCGAAGCCGAGCCCTCGCACCTCCTTCTTCATACGAGAGTCTACGCTCTCGCGGAGAAGTACGATATCCCATCGTTGAAGCAACTGGCAAAGAAAAAGTTCGAAATGGAAATGGCTTGCTACTTTGACTCGCCGGAGCTGGCGGAGGCTATCGAAGATGTATACTGCTCGACGATCGACTCAGATCGAGGATTGAGGGACGTTGTTATCGAAGCGTTCAAAGCACATCCAGAGCTGGAGAGCACGCAGGATGTGTACGCTGTCGTCCACAGCACGCCGACGTTGGAAAGGGAACTATGGAAGATCCAACGAGGGTTGCCTGTCTGAAGGATCTTGCTTGGGATGAGAGAACAACACTACCATACCGTCCAACTCGACGTTGGAGCGATCAGGCTGCGTCGCATTGCCAGGACCAGCCGCACTTCGAGAGCACATGTGCCGTCTGAGCGAACGAGATCGCCGACAGTTGCAAAGGCTGGTCCGTATGGGCAGCTGGCTGGAAGACGGCAGATTAACGAAGCCACAGAGCTCGGTTGTCGTTCGCATCAACCGGTACGGAGGACGGCAAGAGTACGGTCCGAATGGACGATGACTGAGCCGCATGAATTGTCGAGAGAGATGGAGGAGTAATAGAATCAGTGATACCCAATGAGACGACGTCTGCATCTAGCAGGTGTTTTGAACGCGAGAACGACCTGCCTTGTTACACACCCTCAAACAGTTTGTAAACATCATCAATCTTGGTCATATGATTGAACAGCCTCTCTTCATGCCGAAAAGGTATCCTTGGCATGCACGACATCTGCCGCTGCTTCCGATCTGGATGGCGGATAAGTGTGTACACCGCACTCGCTTCGCTATGGTGAAGTCGAAGTCTGAAATGGTCTCGTGAGCGTCTGGCCCTCACACCTTTTGCTGCACCCCACAGTGGACTCTGAAGAATCGACCGTGGGGAAGAAGCTTGATTGGTGGGGTGTAGAACAGCCGGACAAACACCGATTCTACCGCCTTGATTCTTTCGCCCAGTTTGGACGGTCATGAAGTAGTCGCTTCGTAGCTCGTTCGCACCTGCCTTGGACCCGCAGACCTCCGGATCCCCATCGTGAGGCCGCGCGGTGGCTAGCGAACAACCACGCCTACTCACTGGATCTGACATCTCAGCAAACTCGCGTGTCAGATTGTCGAGTTCAGTGTCGATCCCCACCATTCGCTAGCACATGGCAGAGCCTGGACTTTCGCTTACGTGCATGACCACGCTTATGGAGGTGTGCCGGCTCGAGAGCTGACGACTCGTGTCGAAAATGGCGCGAATCTGCTGAGCAGCATTCCTTCTGATGGAGGGAGATGTCGTCCAGGAGTCTGGACAGCGATGCTGTTTGACTGGACTTGGAATCAAGTGATGGTCGATTGGTGCTTGAAGTTAAAGGCAAACCGAATACGATATCACCTCAGCCTTGCGAACTCTAACAAGCGGAGAGCAGTCCGGTTCCTGCTGAGAGTGTCTAGAAGCTCCCCAATAGGATCTGGTCGGTAGTTCGCTTCTTGATGGTCGCTTCTTCTGGTTCCGCAGTCTGGATCAGGGAGGATGGCGTGCTATCGAGTCTCCGTAGACTCTCAGGTAATACAGCTCATCCCCTACTTGGAATGTTAGTCTGGAGAACTTTGAGCATCCGCGGAAAGTCATCGAGCAAGAGTGCGTGCTGTCACACGATACACATGGCCAGATGCCCCTGCAATGGAGGACATGGTCTCACTTCTGGAATAGTCTTAGACGTCTATCGGGCCAGCCTTGAGCCTTAGAGAGGGCTGGCGGAGCATCTTCTCGCTGTGGCCATGTCCGGGCTTTGAAGTTGTCTTGTATCCAGAAAGGGGGGTCTCCATTTGAGCAGTTGGCGGAGATTTAATCGACGTACGCCAAAGAACTTCTTGCCAATTCCCTAAACATTGCTAGAAACATGGCGTATGCCGATTGTCGTAAGCATCGTGCTTTCATCTCAAGGTTATTGGTGTGATGTCGTCTAGTTGACAGGAATCCCTCGAAGTCCAGGCACCGGCGCAAGGATCTCATGGCGAGCTGAGAGGCAGGTCTGTTGGCAGCCTCCTCACAACGGTCAACCACGACGGCCTTCCTTCAATATCGTTCTTCAGTTCTCAGCGCTGGCAGAAGAACGGTCCTGCACTGTTTCGTCGTGACAAAATCAACCAAGTCCCAATTTAACACAAGTATCTTGTGGCGGTGTTTCGACTGGTGTCCTCAACAAGCTGGAGGAACTCGATCGGTATTCTATCTTCAACAGGACCCTCGCAGAGTGCATCCTACGAAAAGGCTTCTGTGCGTACACAGTCAAGGCCATCAACGAGATCAGAACATGGCAACAAGTCCTCGCTGCCATCTCATCGAACTTCCAGCAGAACTCAGGCTACGAATCTACGAGTATGCCCTCGCACCAACAGGTAGCCTCTTCCTCACCAGCAACCGTGATTACCGTTACCAGGTCGAACCAACCATCTCCCCAGCTCTACTCGCCACGTGTCACCAAATCCACCACGAAGCATCCTCCATTCTGTACGAACAGAACTCCGTCTGCATCAAACTAGACGTCACCGACAACTCCTTCCCCATCATCTCAAGCTCCCGCCTCCCACAGCGCGTGCTCGAGAAGCTGCAGCACATATGTCTAATCCTAGACGGCTGCGGCGCAGTAGGCGCCAGCCCTTCGTACGCAGACGTCGACTGGACTGCTCTCACCGCTCTCGTGTCGTTGAAGACACTGCGTCTGACTCTGCTGGCCGTCGGCTTGCCCTGTCATCCCGTGTGGAAGCATGAGGATTACTTCGCAGGAGTGAACAGGTACTGCCAGGATCTTGTGAGGGAGGTCATCGAGCGGGTCCCGGCTGCGACGAACATCTATTACGGCACTGAGGAGGGTTCGATAGAGCGGGATATTGCGTCAAGACTGGTAAATGCGCCTCCGATCTCTCATTATCCGGCCGGTGAGGTTGACGAAGAGACTTTGGCTATAGCTGTGTCGACTTTGGAGGCAGAGCCGGGGAGCAAGTCTGGTAGCGTGGCGAAGGTCTTTGGTGATTCTGATGTTGAAAGGGTGGTGTCGTTTCAAAGGTGGTAGCCTGGGGCTGTGGTGCGGCAATGACGCAGGTTGGTCGCTCATACACCAAAGCGAAGGCGAAGAAGGGCAGGAGCATCGACGGTGTCAAGCGCAGCGGAAAAACGTTTAGCATTGCAGCGAGGTCTACGCGCCACGATCACTATCCTCCTCCTCCTCATCATCCTCGTCGTCCTCCGAATCACCCTCCACAACAGCCGCAGGCCGTCTCCGCTCGTAGTCCTGATCGTGAGCGTTCAGAACAGCACTGCCAACCCTCTTCAACGCTCTCGTGACGGGAGAATCCTGCTGCACTTGCTGCCCCCGTCGTCTGACCGTCGATGCCGCTGTCGAAGGATGACGCTCAAGCTGCGAACTGGTAGTAGTAGCCTCCGCTTCTTCAGGCGTCTCAACCAGATCGTCCATCCGTTCGGCGACTTCGTCCGGACGGGCAGTAGACAATCTAGCACGCTGGGGCTCGGGATACGGCAGATCCGTTTGCTTGATCGCGCGGTTCTTTTCGACGTTGGTGCAGTGTTCGTTCTCGACCCGGAAGATGACCCAGACGCCTCTCCGTAATATCTCAAGGAAAGCGATCATGAAGCTGATTATGCTTGAATGCTGGACCTGATAGTCGCGCGGGAAGATGACATAGCCAAGCCAGACGAATCGAAGAATCGCGTCCTGGACCATGGCAGCGTAGTACCACCACTTGTGCTTGCGGTAGGCCAGTGTTGGTCTGAGCGAGCGGGGCGATAGCGACCAGTCGTTGAAGATGTCCCATAGAAGGCAATAGATGCTGTTGATCGATGCGCAGGCGATGAAGAGGCCCTTGAGGTGGTCTGACTCCTCATTCAGGCGCCACAGACTTAGCGTCATATATTGCAGGATGCTGGTGATGGTCAGCTTCGTTGTGGGCGCATGAACATTGGTCTTGAGACTCACGTGAAAGAGTATTTGCCCATGTTCGCCAAGTGAGGGTACCAATTCCAGGTGTCCCGATATCGCCTGGCGCACTGCAGCGCTCGCCAAATCCCAGGCAGGGCGCTGAAGAAGCCAAGGAGTCTGCTGTTACCACTGTTGCACTGTCCAGGGCTGTTCCAGCCCTTGGCGTAGAGGCAGAAGAACAGCTCGATATTCCCCATGGCGTACGTCTGCGAGCAGAACATATCGCCGAGGAAGAAGTCGCGGAACTCGACAGAGTACACTCCGGAGAAGAGCAGTCGCCATAGTGTTATCGAGAGCCATTTGCGAGAGCGTGAGTAGAAGAAGCCAGATACTGGTGCGAAGAGTAGAAAGACGGAAACCTACGTTCACGTCAGCGAGTGGATCTGCTCGGTTGGGTGGTGTCTTTGCATACGCCGACGAGCAAGACCGGCCAGTACAGGTATAAGGCATCGTCAGCCATCTCGCTGAAGTTGATGCACATGCAAATCCCAAGCATGCAAGCCAGCACTGACGGCAGTTCTGACACCTGACGCCAGTTGACAAGGGTGCGGTTGTCGAGCTCAAAGATGAAAGGGTAATTGACGTGGAACTGCTCAAAGACCCAAGCATCCAGGATGAACAGGAATGAGAGCATCAGAAACGCGAAGTAGCTAAAGCACCGTGAGCAGTGGTCGCAAGGAGGTGAATAAGGTTGCAGACTCACCCGCCATAAATCTGCAGCAAATACGAGATCTCCGTCTGCTTCTTCGAGCCGTCGGACATTCCATAGTATTCGATCGCGGCATACACCAGTCCCGTGATGCCCATAGAGAAGCCGATGCCTTGCAGCATACCAGCGCGATACATGGAGCCGCTGTAGTCTGAGGCTCTGACAGGCTTGGCTCGAAGCTTGCTGACTGCGAGTTTGCGGTTGCCCCTCTCGAAGTAACGAGCGTACAGATCTATTGACTACTTTCAGCAACTTTCACTGGTTCTGCGTGAGCAAAGCCCTGGACTGACCTTCTATGTCTTGCATTAGCCGGTCAGGCAGCTCCGAGATCACGAAATGAGCTCCATTGACCTTCTCGCCCATGTAGTCATTCTGCAGGGAGGTTCGCTTCTGCTCATCGGGCGTGCTGAGTGAGACACTCTTGTTATACTTTTTGCTGATCTTCCGGAAGGCGGTGCGGTTGACCATACTGTACGATTTCAAAAGCTCGAGACCGCGATACAGCTCCTGGAAGGCAGACTTGAGCTTTCGCTTTGCAGCACTATAAGGGACGTCGTGATTTCTTCGTACGTAGTCCTGCTCAGCCGTCGAGCGAGGCTCGTCTTCTGCATTCACCGCTGGTAAGGACGGCGTAGCAAGGCTTGCCATGTATCGTGAGGTCTTGCCAATTTTGCGCTGTCCGATGTTTGCCACCGTGGAGACGTGTCGATGTCCATTTGGCTTTTGCTGGGCTTGTTTGAATTTGACATCTTCCAGCCGTTGGTCTCTCATTGTGTGCAACTGAGAGCGGAGGATTGTCAAGCGATCCGTGGATTCGTCCTCCTTTGACTTGTAGAATTCTTCAATCTTGCGCAGCTCCTTATCCAGGAAGAGGAAGAACTCGGCCATTCTAAAGTCAAGATCTCGATGCTCTTCCAGAGGTATTTCTTGACCACCTGGCTGGTCGCGGGCATTGTGGTCACGATTGAACCAGAAGATCCGTGTGGCCAAAGGGCGGACATCTGACGCTGAAGCTGAGCGGTGAGGTTGTCGTGCAAGGAGGTTTTGTAGACGAGAAGGCAGGGTGGAAGAACCTCTTTTCTGCGTTGGTGCGGCCTCTCTAGCGGCGAAGTCATGGCTATCGCTTTGTCCTGGATGACGTGCCTGGGGATTTGCGACCCTCGTTCTTTCTGGCGAAGGCGGCTGGACATCGCCAGGGCTGACACTGTCGTACTCTGGGTCGCTTGCCCGTCCAATTGACAAGTCCCTAGGTTGCTCTTCTTTGGTGAGATCGGGGTTCAGGCTGGGCATAGGGAGGTCCAATGTCGAAGCAGGACGTAGCTCAGCGCGTGAGCTGCCAGAGTCCTGGCTCGGACGGGGAGGGCTACCGAGTATGCTGCCATATCTTTGCATCCGTGGCTCGCCATTCGCGCGAAGAGGACTGCGCTCGTTCACCCGTCCTGTTCGGGTTTGCGTCGTGACATCTCCAACATCTCCCTCCCCGGGCGAAAGGGGGAACTGGTTCGTGACAGCTTCACTCCTGCTCCGCTGTAGCTTCAACGGCGCATCGCTGTCCTGCCCATCTGGAAACTTCAACAGCGCCCTGACCGGTGCATCCCTGAAGCTATTGAACGGCGACGTCCGGTCCGTCAAGCGCGTCAACACCGGCGACCTTGCCTCCACCGCCCGTATGGCTCTCTGGACCGCCTTGAGCTTCTTCTTGCCCTGCTTGTAGTCGAGGTACTTGCTCTTCCACTCCGGCACCGCATTCTCATCGAGCTCCTTCGCGAACTTCATCGCCTCTGAACCATCTCAGCAGGAAGCAACTTGGGCTCGTGGACGCGTTGGCTGGCATTGTTGGAAATACCAAGGATCGCTTAAAAAGAAGAGGCGCATGGTTCGAGTGCTGTCCAGACCAGGATTTCCAAGCCGGCGCTCGGAGCCTTCTCCATTCAATGGCACCTGTCACGCACGTGGCTCTGATATACCTCTTCCCTGCGCCGAACGGGTGGGGACGAGGGATTGAGCGAGGACGATAAGCAATTGAAAGTTGTTCAGAAGGTGAAACTCTACTGGATGAGCTATTGATGGTTGGAAATAATTTTTGCAGTAGCCGTACAGTATGTTGGGTATCACAAGCCGGTAAAACTCATCCGACACGCCAGTTGCACCGTACAGCCACCCATCCCATGCCGATGACCACGTTCGACAATGCTCACTTGTGCCAGACACCAGCAGCATCTTGGACGCCAATCTCGTAACCAAGTAACACCTCCGTCCCAGCCGTGCTCTCCCAGCCTCTGTTGCCAGCGGTCGACAGCATGAATCTACAAGTAGGATCGACATACACCGAGCTGATTACACCTCCTCGATGGCCAGGTATGATGGTGAAAGGCACGGTCCGATGTCGACTGGCTTCCGATTGTTGTAGGTCGTATATGCGGAGGATGTCCTGAGAGGCACTGAGGCACAATGTCAGTACACTGTTTCGAGTGAGCAGCTGGATGGGTTGATTCTTACCAAACAAGATGCCGCCCATTCGGCATACTCCTAACCGCATACACTGCTCCGCTACCCTGCTGAAAGCGAAACACTCGCTCAGGCTTGCCTCTATCCGACCCCAGCTTATGGATGGAGTACTCGTCAACAGTGTTGTTCCTCCGTCCAGCGTAGAACGAGTTGCCATCTGGGCTCCAGCATGCACCAGTGCACCAAGGTGGCGTACCACCGTAAGGCGCAATGGTAGCGATGGGCGATGGTACTCGGCGGTCCCAGATACGTATGCTGCCGTCAAAGGAGGCATCTAGAAAGGTGGACCCAGACTGCGGTGGAAGGTCCGTGGACTTTGACTCGTTCGTTGCTGGTGCTGTAAGTGGTTCTTCGCCATGTGGGAGCGAGCTGATGCCGTTTGGCTCGGCGTTCGCTGCGGCTGGGGAGGCTGGCTCGTGAGCAGATTCTCCGTTCGCTGTGGGTGCGTTGTCAGGCTGTCCGTTCGGAAGCTGCTCGCTGGTCGTGTCAGCCAAAGGTGCGTCTGCATCTGCGTCCATGGTAGTTGGCGGCTGAACCGCTTCAGGAGCCTGGACAGGTCCGCCGCTACCCATTCCAGCCATGTCAATATCGTCTTCCGCTGGTAGCTGGGGCGGCCCACTCTCTTCGAGACCATCTTGCAGTGCCCTGGTCAGTTCGTCATCGGCATCATCAAAGGTAGGCCCGCCGCCAACTCCCGCCGTATCATCCCCGAACAGCGAGTTGTGGTCATCGCCGAAGAGGCTACTCGGTGAGCCAGCTGCATCTTCTTCGCCACCTCGCATGTCCATACCGTTGGACAAGCCATTCGTAAGTGGCCGATCAGCGTTGTTGCTGGAAAATGTGTCGAGCGACTCGTGAGTCGGCTCCGTTACCTCAGGGATAGGGACGTCGCTCAGAGGTCGAGGTTCGATGGCACTAATTTGACCACCACTTCCTAAGAAGCTCCGCTTGACTTTTCCAGTCTGAAGATCCCAGTCGTGGATGTTCTTGTCCCAGCTGCCAGAAAGAAAGCTTGCCTCGTCTTGCGACAATGATAATACAGACACAGCATTAGTGTGCTCCTTCATGGTCGTGATCTTCGTTCCGGCTTGGTGACGGCATGTCTGTAGATTAATCCCTCCACTCTCTAGTCCGGACAACAGCCAGACAGCTTGGTGCTGTACAGCCAGCGAGTAGACTGGACTGGTCCACTTGCTCTCGTCAGACTGACTTGGTGGCGTGCGCACTGGGCTCTCTTCATTCTCCCAGTACGTGACCAGACTGCCAGCCTTCATCACGCTATCCACAAACGGGTGCTTCTGGGCGACAGTAAGTGGCACCTTGCCATTCGCTGTCTCAACCCAGTTGTACATGCGCACATAGCCATCGCTGCCTCCGCTGAATACCCAGCGCATGTCTGGTGTTGCGGTGACCGCGTTGATGGAGGTGCTTTGCGGGGCGGCCATGGTTGGGACGATGTCGTATGCTTGCGCAATCAGCGCTTCTGGCCGCGTGGGAGGTATGAAGGTTGATGGACCGTTGGAGCTATATGGCGATCGTCGCGGGGAAGGCGAGGTCAAGACAACTTCTGGGTTTTGCTGACTGTCCATGGTTGACGAACGTTGTGTCTGACCGATTCGCTGCGACGGTGACTGTTCTGTTCTATCTTCGTCGTCATCATCCTCACCCTCGCCATCATCATTATCCTCATCTTCATCGTCCTCCCCGCCCTCATCGTCCTGGCCTTGGTCTTGATCTTGGTCCGCATCGTTCGCGTCCTCCATTTCTTCATCCTCGTTCTCGAACTCGTCCTGCGAGTTGACGGCCGCGTCTGCATCATCGTCAAGCGTGGCCATGGCGTTTCAAATGGCCGTATGCCCAGATGCGCTATACAGTATACGTCGTCTTGAGAAGATACTGGCGGCCAGGCGTAGAGCGCTCATCCAGGATCAATTGCAGCTGAGGTACCTCTCCGACGTCGTTCCCAGCTGTCCAGCGGCATTTGGCGAAGGCACGTGGGTCGAGCGGTTCAAGTGCTTACCACCGCTGTTCATCTGATTCGCATGTCCTGCTCCCAGCGTGCAGCACAGCACGTTTTCAGGTGAGGTCTCCCAAGATCTGGGGGAAGGCTAAGGTAGCCAATCGGCTGCACTCCACTTTAGCGACAACTCTAATCGCGTCGCCTTGAAGGGGTTAGCGTGTTGCGGCTTCCTTGACTTCCAGTTGCATCAAAATGTCTCTCTCTTCTTTCTTCTGGTGCCACTTCATCTTGAATTTCATGCATCGTCTGCGGCTTGGCCATGCATCCACGCGACGCGCATTCGGCACTGTGCATGTCAGTAGACTTCAGGGGAGACAAGCGAGCATGCCCTCTGGACAGGGTACGCAAACACGATGGATCACACGCAATGGCAGGCCTCGCACCATGACGCGTCCGGGTGGTTGCATATGGACCGCGGGCATGGTTCTATTGCAGATGAAGCAGGGGCTGGCCTTCTTTTCCGCTTGTTTCATGCGCCACGTCCATGTTGTTTGCTAGGTGACACGAAACAGCAAGTCGGGCAGCACACGGTAGGTAGGTGGGGTGGGAGGGCGCAGAGCTGCTAGCACGTGCAGGTGTGACTGTCACGCCGTTACAACTCTTACATCCCTAAGTCTTCCACTCACCTCTTCTCCTCGACAAAAGCTGGCTCTGGAGCTCTCTCCCGTCGGTGTACTCGCGGCATCTGCAGGCGTCAGCTCGAGAACGCTTCGAGCACGTGGGCCGCGCCTTCTTTTCTGAGCGACTTCCGCAACTTCCGCAACTTCTTCGACCTCACGCAAAGTTCTGCCTCACTGCTTTTCTTGTCCAACACCACACCCAGCACATTCTCTGCGGCGACATCGCCTCACCAACCATGAATGAGAACCTTACGGAGCGCTTCGGCCGCTCTAGAAGGGGGCCTCATCAGGGCACAGAGCAGGTCGAAATCTGGATCGTGCCGCCTCAGCTGAATAAGAACGTGAGCAAGTACTATGAGGACGCTGAGTCACCAGCGGATGGCGGCTCGTGGCTTCGTCTTCCTGCGATTCCTACCTCAAGCGAACTTCTCGACCTTAACACCGGCGACGATTCTGACAGCTTGAACAACGTGGAGATCGCCACGAATCGGCCAAGAGGAGCGTGGGACTCAAAGGGCAAGTGCTCGCTACACCTCTTCTCCACGTTGCAAATACTGACTGAGCTCATGTAGAGGATTACCTTGGCGCTCATTATGAGCTGCTCCGCGAAGATGCCGTCCGGCCACTACGTGAAGCTGTTCAGCGGGTGAAGTTCTCTCCGCAGTCGAAGGAAGACGCCTTCAATGGCAGCATTGGAATTTACGAAAAGGTGAGACTTCGCCACCCCCAGACCAATGAAGCCTGTGCTAACTACTTGTGCAGGTCCACATCTGCTCTGTCAAATGCTCGCCAAGGGGCATTGCGATCAGAGTGACGTTCTCTCTCTTCAGAGCCGGCAAGAAGATCTTATGGGAGCAGTCCAAACGCCTCATATCCGGCAGCCTTGTAGTCTTAACACCCGCCGATGACCAATTCAAGACCAAGGCCATCGTCGCAACAGTCGCAGCTCGGCCGTTGGACGGGCTACGCCTCAACCCTCCTGAGATCGACCTGTTCATCGCTCGCGCCGAGGAGTCCGAGATCGACCCTGCAAAAGAATTCTGGATGATCGAGCAGCGCGGGTCCATGTACGAAGCTGACAAGCATACGCTGTTGGCACTACAGCGGATGATGAAAGAGCCATTCCCTCTGCAAGAACACCTGGTCAATGTGAAGCGTCAGATCTCCGCCCCAGACTATGTCAGTCAAAGACCACAAATGGACATGACAGCAGTCCTCACCAACAACAGGCACGAAACGTACGAGAATGTCGACGTTCTGCACAACTGGCCAACCCAACCCCACAGTGAACTGGATGCATCACAGCTGGCTGCACTTCGCCGCGTGCTCACCAAACGCCTTGCTGTCATTCAGGGACCTCCCGGCACCGGCAAGACACACATCTCCGTGCAAGCCATCAGGATCATGCTGGAAAACCGTAACAAAGATGACCCACCTATCGTCATTGCATGTCAGACAAATCACGCGGTCGACCAGCTTCTCAACCACATCGCACAGTTCGAGCCCGACTTCATTCGCCTTGGCGGAAGGTCGAAAGACAAGGGCATTATCAAAGCTCGCACGCTGTACGAAGTCCGCAAGCTCATCAATGAGAACCCGCTTGCCGGGTCACGTGGTCCGCAGGCACGCAAGAAGATGAGGGATCTGGTCAAGCAGTTCAAAGTGTTGCTCTCACCTCTCGAAGCCAGCAAGCAGCCACTCAATGTTTCTCTTCTGGTCGCTTTTGGCATCATCACTGAGAAACAAGCCGACTCGCTTACAGACGGAGCATCGCAATGGGTGCAAAGTACGCAAGACACTCATGGCAACACCCTGTCGCCATTTCAGGTCTGGTTGGGCAGGAGTCTCATCGTAGTGCCACCAAAGCAAGCGCAAGAGGACTTTGGTTTCGACTTCGAAGAAGCTGACCTTGAGTTTGAGCAACTGAAAGACCTCGAAGCGGAGAATGCGAACAAGGATGACGACTTCGAGGATCTCAAGGGCGAATCGTTCGCGATAGCCGACAACTTCACCTGTCGCGAGACTCCTGGCGTGACAAAGGCGAAGTTGCAGCAAGCACTCGCCGAGAGAGACATGTGGCAGATTTCAGAGGCCATACGACCTTCTGTCTACCGTCACTTCCAGGCGGAAATGAAGAGAGTTATTCTTGCCGGCTTCCGACAGAAGGCCGCGAAGTATGACCAGCTGGCGGAGCAGCGACGCATCGGCTCCTTTGAAGAATATGAAAGGATCTTGAAGAAGCAGAAGATCATCGGCATGACCACCACTGGCCTCAGCAAATACCGCGGTCTGCTTGCGTCTCTCCAGCCCAAGATCGTGCTCATCGAAGAAGCCGCAGAAGTCCTTGAAGCGCCCGTCTTGGTTGCCTGCCTGCCTTCCTTGCAACATCTAATCCTGGTCGGAGATCACAAGCAGCTGAGGCCTCACTGCAACGTGAAGCAACATGAAGACAAGCCATTCTACCTCAACGTCTCTCTTTTCGAACGACTTGTGAACAACCGCCTCGACTTCGACGTACTCTCGAAGCAGCGCAGGATGATTCCGGAGATTCGTCGTCTGCTCCAACCTATCTACAAGGATGTCATTAAGGACCACGCCTCTGTCCTTGATCCCGCCAAGCGCCCGCCCGTACCCGGTATGGGTGGCATCAATACCTGGTTCTTCACCCATGAGTGGAACGAGCAACGTGATGAGCTGAGCTCGGCCTACAACCCAATGGAAGCTGAGATGATCGTTGGCTTCGTCAAGTACCTCATGTATAACGGTATGGACAGCAAACAGATCACTCTGCTGACATTCTACAATGGTCAGCGCAAGAAGTTGCTCAGCGAGCTGCGCAGTGACCCGTACCTCAGGCTCCACGCGTTCAACGTGGTGACCGTCGACTCATACCAGGGAGAAGAAAACGACGTCGTCATACTGTCTCTGGTGCGCAGGAATTCTCAAAATCAGATTGGTTTCTTGAACATCGACAATCGTGTTTGTGTCGCCCTATCTCGTGCGAAATGTGGCTTCTACCTCTTTGGAGATGCCAGGCTTCTCTTCGAGTCTTCGAAGACATGGAACAAGGTCATTAGCACCATGGCAAACAAAGGCCAAAAGTCCGATCGACTTCAGGTTGAACCAGCCAGCCGCCTCGATGCACATCTTCCAGTCTGCTGCACGAACCACGATCAAATCACCTTGCTCAAGGATCCAGGAGACTGGACGAATATCGACGGTGGCTGTGAGCAGAAGTGCAGTGGGACGTTGCCGTGTGGTCACGACTGTCCGCTTGCTTGTCATCCATTCTCGCATGAGCAGGTCAACTGCCCCGAGACCTGTGGGAAGCCTTTGACCTGCTGCGGCCGTCCGTGCAAAGCTCAGTGTCAAGACGCATGCGTCTGCAAGAGCTGCCGGAGTCAGAATCAAACGGTTGACGACTCTGCCGGCTCGCTTGTTGGCTGGGGTGGTGGCAGTGGCAGTGGCCGCGGCGGACCTGTACCGCGCTCCGAAGCCAATGCCTGGACCAACTTCGCGAAGGAGGAAGAGCCCCGCTACCACGCGGAGGTTGCGTCAATCAACGCCTCCAGACGCAACTGTGCCGAGAAGGAGAGCCGCCAGCAGTCCGCTCCTCTTTCTGATCTGTCTAATGCGAACACGATGAAGCAGCTTTCATTGGAGCTTGAGAAGGCCGCGCTTTCACCAGCACTGACAGGTCCGGCGCCGATGCTAGTTACGGTTGAGGACAAGTCTGCCGATCCAGAAGAAGGCAGGAAAGTCTTGATGATGGAGGAAGAGCAGGGGGGAGTGGCCGTAGCAGGACACTCGAAGGATTGGTCGAAGGAGGGAAGCTTGCTCGACTGAAAGGTTGCGATTGGAACGATTCTGGATCATGAGCATGGACAGGATTGGTATGGGCTGCGTTGCTGGTTGTTGCCAGAAGCTGAGGTGGAATTGTACGAGGGCAAGGAGATCGCTGATGCTGATGATGATGATGAAAAGACTGTCTTACTATGAACCGCTACTTCTTGACGGCCGATGAATGAGTGCATGACAACAACGAAAGTTGCTGGTGTTGTGTCCGCGGAACATGGATCTTGGACGAGTGGTTGCCCGACTGTTGGAACGGCGCATGCGCAGCAGAACCGCTTCTCAGATAGACATGGAAACGCTTTTCCTTCATTGATCTTCCGCACCTGCGCTGTGATGCAGATTGCTTCCGACAAGAAAGTGACAGGTCTCAGAAGAGTACTGCGCTGAAGACAGTACTCCGTTCATCTCGTACGAATTACGCACGATCACGATCGACTTCACGAAAGAGCGAGCTTCGCCGCGAAGGAGCCTCAACCATCATAACCATGTAGACCGATGAGCATGCGACACTAATGCTGGTCTGACGAAGTCAGGTTGCTTCCGGCATCGAGCGGTGCATTTGACAGGCATCATCGTTGCTGCTGTGCAGCCGCTGCAACGAAGTAATTGCGTGCATCAATTGTTGGTCGGTTGAGTACGAAAGTGAGGTTACTTCGGTGGCAAGGCACTGGATTTGTGAAGCCCTAACGCTGCTTCAGCGCCACGGGTGAAGTTGCTGTACGAGAGTGTTTTTCAAGCTGAGGACGGACGCAAACGGATGGCCACATCATTCAATCGTCAAAGTGGCGTGAAGTGGATATGAGAGCGGTCTTCTAATGTTGAGTTGTTATTGCAGGAACTTCTGGCTGCAGGGGCGCGGGCAAAGATTACTGATACTTGCAGATATGGCGGGATCGGCGGCATGTGCTCGCCCTCGTGCGGTCGGCGTGCTGGGAGCCTGCGTCGATGCATGTAGAGTCATTCAGCTGGACTGGCCTTGTGAGAGTCAAGATTTCGAGTGACTGTGGTGAAGGGCCCTTTGATCGGTTGAACATCCGTTCTGTGGCGTAGAATCGACCTCTTCGCGAATGAGGCTCTGCTGGACACGAAGACTGGCGCAAGTCCGGACGTTCCGAGTGTTTCTTTTGCCGCCGTTTGTTGGCGGAGGTAATGAGGGCATTGCAACAGTTGCCGGACGCATGTGGCGAGAGCCTTTCGGATCGTTGCTAGAGATTGCTTGCAGCCCAGCCAGTAAGGCAGCATAGTTGTCGACGATTGCATCGGAGTGACAGGATCACCATCTAGATTGAGCTCAAGGCGCATATGTTGATATGCAGAACCCGCCAACCTGTGGATGCTCGAGCACCGTCCAACCTGGTTGTTATGCAGGCGTCGCGGCATCGTGCCGGCGGCTGGGTGGATACGAACCGTCGATGCAGGCAGAAGCCATGCCGCGTCGTCCGGAAGAGTGGGCTGGCTGGGAGTGCAGATGTCTTGCAGATGCTCTTTTGTGGGCGGGCGGGACGTTCATCCATGTGCCCCGCCGATGGCTTCTTGAATTTGATAGTCTCGAGTACGATCGCCGAGTGTTCACCGGTTTGTCTCCAGTCCAGGAAGACCCAAGATCCATGCAGTCGAGATGTGCTAGCCTTTTCCAGGTACTGCGAATCTGCAGTGCAGCGTCACGTAACTGGAACCTGCAGCAGGGTTCCCCAGGCATGGCGCAGGAGGGCATGGACACGATCTGTGCCAGCATCCAACAGAAGTGATTCAATGCTGAGAGCTGATTGACGGGAGTTTTTGGGAATAGTAGCACATCTGCACCCCGAGGAGCCGACCTAGTGCATTGGACTGCGTGGGTCGGAATACTTTTCAGATCTCAACTCTACCAGGCCGTCGGGCCAGTGCACGTTTACTGCACCAGTCCACGCAAGCCAGATCGATTAGATGTGTCCAAGCAGAGATCAGGACGCTGCATTGCGCCATCATGGCGACGTCGGTGTGACCGAAGCCATTGCTTGAGTCTGAGGCCGTACCTGCGTCGGGGGTGTCGGGAGGCAGCAGCCAGTGTGGCATGAGGTTGCACGGTACCTGCGAACGACCACTCCGAGTTCGTTGCGTGTAACACAAATGAGCGCCGTGAGCGCCACGGATGGCTCATGAGATCGTGGAGATGGAGGGCCTCAGATTGCCGGGGGATCGTGGCCATGGCCTCGGGTTCAAGGATTACCAGGTCATCGGATGGACTGCCACGACTGCTTCCTTCGCGCTGTGGTTGCAAGCCTTCTGAGTGGGTGGCAGCATTAGCCTGATTCACAGGATCGGACCTACTCAAGATGAGGCGCCGCACGCTGCACTCAAGCGATCATAGCTCCGGGCCGAAAAATGACAGGTCGTTTTGGCAGACGAAGCGCAGCCACGCCAACTGTCGATCTAGCCAAGCAGATCCAGAGGGGCAATTAGCATTGTCTACATTAAGTTAGCTACGCGAAAACGAAAGCCAGGGCTGCCAGGGCATGGGACAGTGTTCTATTCGTCTGGCTCGGGTGGCTGCCATCGCCTCTGCGCTTCGTCTCGAGACCTGGACGAAGGCCAATGATGAGCGGGGAACAAGTAGTGGCTAACGACCGGACGGATATGATCGGCCTCGTTGCCGTGATCGGGATCAAGGCTTTAGGGTTTGGTTTTAGTGGTTGCGCTCGCGCTCGACGACATCGAAGATCAATGTCTCGGTCCTAACATTCTGGCGGTCATTGATTCCTTCCAGCTTGATATTGATAGTAGAAGATCATCCCGTTGTCTAGACCAGCGAATCGTCAACATAGAGCGAGTAAACGGCCGCTGCAATGATTTGAGATTCTATCGACAGGGGTCAGATTTGAGTACTTAGTTCGGAGATCTCCTGCAAGTCCCGAACCGCCTAGTAGCGGATCCCGATGCACCGGGTGGCTTATACCGCCAGCGGCCCGCTCAGATCGATGGACAGGGGTGCTCTGCGTGGTGATCGTGCAACGCCACGCAGCACCCACGAATAGCAGTATCGACGCTCGTAGCCTGTGGGTTGTTTCACTCCTTCTCGTCTAACTTTCGTTTGGGGAAAGGTGCGTTGCGCCTCACTTCAATAGATCGCATATTCCATGGCGAATGAGGAACCCTGTTGCGATCGCGCCGACGCGGTATCGATGAGTTCACCATTGTGCCTCGACGCCGGATATCTGGCTCGATTGTGCGATATGGAGACCTTGTGTAATATCTGCGTGTTCCGGCGGCTCAAAGGGGACTTCTCCCGGGCGAAAGGGCTATGTGCTTAGCCCCATCTGGAAGGCATGGTCTGGAGAGAAGGTCAATATAAGAGTTGCGGTGGTTTCTCATAGGATGATGGGTGTTCTCAACTGGTCCTCACCATCCACTTCCTCGGTCTCTGCTATCACTAAAAGCACGCTTCACGTTTCAGACAGAAGATCACCCACACCAAAGCTGTAAGTCTTTCGATTGAGATGAATGAAAAGATGTCTTTGGAAGCATGAAGTTGATAATTGCCAGTTAGCAGTTGGTCGACCGTTGAAACTCAAATTCAAATCCATCCAACACCAACGCTGAGTTGTTCTGTCACTTCACCAAGCGGGCCGCTGTTTGACGTTCATTGCGGCTGCACCCAGAGCCCTGTCGGCGTCCATACAGCGTTCAGCCCAGGGCATCCTGTTCCTCAGCGTCAGCATGGCAGAACAAGGCCATCGATCGTACCTGAGGGAGGCATCTGGACCACGACCAGTCGAGAACGCTCGAGATAAGCACCGCGGAAGCGGCCGTCGACACAAGGAGGCCGATGACCGCGACAAGCAACGTTCCAGGAAGACGGAAATGCCGCGCTCACACAGGAAGGAAAGCGGGCATCGAAAGAAGGCCTCTGCTCAACAGTCCTGCACCCCTGCTCCTGAACGACCACGAATCGAGCTTGATGTCATCGGTCAGCCAGCTTCTGGCATTCAGCTGGGCATGCCAGTGGAGAAGTCAGTTATGATCAGCTTGAAGCTTCCTTCACCAGAGCATGCTGAGAAAGCCAGCTGTATCAACACCTCCAGCCTTTTTGCGTTGACATCCTTGGTCTCCGACTCATCGAACGGCGAGCGGGTTCCACAGGAACCCAACGCTCTATGTGGGATGAAGACGCTCGACTCGATCCATCCGATCCCGGAACATGTTGTTGACAACTTGGCTCGCAACTACCCATTGCGCCAGGCATTGGGCTACTTCTCGTTCCCGGGTATGGTCATCAGGCAAGCAGGCACTTACCGCATTCGTACGACTCTGGTGAGAATGGGAGAGGCCGGAGCCAACAGTCTGCTTGCCGTCGACAGCGAGCCCATCAAAGTCGAACGCAGTGGCGTCAACTCGCAACGTCGTCGTCAGCAAGTCTATGGTTAACTTGGCAAGGGAGCATGTACAGGCGTACTGGGCGTTAATAGACTGATGGAGCATTTCGTTTGATTGTAATATCATTGGAGGGAGCGGAGGTGAAACGGCGTTTTGGGCATCTCGGGCCAACAGTACATGCTGTGTGATGAAAGGCTAATGAGAACATATCGACGCTTGCACCACAGCCGCAGCATGGAATACCAACGGAAACAGAAGCAACAGAGAAGTCGGATGAGCATGGAGTGTCGCCACATGTCAAGCCGTGATACAAAGTGTATATGTTTGATAAAGTCAAAGTTTCAAGCTGTACCTTAAGGTATAGACGTCCAATTTTCAAGACGAACAAGTAGGACTACGATGCCTGGTCACCACTGAGACAAGCCCACTTACCCTTGCCACATTGAGTTAGGCTAACATGTGGCCAGGCAAGAAGGCCAACATCAAGGTCGGAGGTGTCACTCTGTTGACTGGTTATACTGAGGTCCAGGCACGGTGCGTCCCATCACTGTGATGGCGTACCCTTGTACCTTACCCCTTACAATCTTCTGGTCAGCATAGACGCCGTAACCCTGCTTTTTGTAAGCCGTACGAAGAGTTTCTTCGGCCGTTTCGTCAGTCATACTCTTCCAACCCACCCCCCTCGCCTCATCAAATTTGCCAGGCACCAGAACGACGGTTCCAGTGAAGGTGTGCGGCTCAGGAAGAGCTTGGATCAGCTGATAAAACCTGTCCAGCGCGCGACGAAGGTGCCCCTGTCGCTGATGATTATTGAAAATGTAGATCATCTGCAAATACATCATGCTGTTGTCGACGAGCTACGTCTGCCCCGCGCCAGTATTTGGCTGCACCGCCCCAGCCGGAGTGTAAAGTGCTTGTAAGCACCATGCCGCTTCTTTTCCGGACTCGTGCATTTGCTTGGGATGCGTGGCGAGGAACTGGTCGACCCGGTCGGTGCCTCCCGCGTTCCTACCGCTTGCTGTTGGCTTCTCGATACGCCAGGCATGAATATATCCAATCTGCTCGACTCTGCTCATAAGGGGGGGGCAAGCCGTGGCGTCCGAGACCGGTGTTTGTACCAAGTACAGCCGGGCGACGTACCCCAGGCGAGCAGAGAAATGAGGGTCGTGGTGAACTCTCAGAGTCATACGCAACGAAGCTTGTCCTCCTTGGTAATCGAACGGGATCTCTGTCTCAAAGTCAGGACCGACGCCTTGAGCAGCATAAAACTCATCTGTGGCGATCTCCACGTTGCAATCTGCTGCAGCGTCAGCGTCATCTTCTTGGTCAGACGTACCAGCCGCAGACGCTGGGCCCGCTTGAGCAGTGCTTTCTGCCGCCCCAGTCGCTGCGCCGGCCTCTTGGTTGTCGTTGCCTGTGTCCTCGGCTACATCGCTGTTGCCCTGAGTACCTTTTGCAGCCTTTCGTGCCCTCGTCGATCGAGCAGTGGACTTCGGTGCGGCGGCAGCTTTCTTTGGCGCCTTGGGCTTTGCGGCAGCTTTCTTTGGAGCCTTGGGCTTCGCGGCGGCTTTCTTTGGAGCCTTGGGCTTCGCGGCGGCCTTTGAGGTTCCTGTAGCTTCGCTAGCTGTCTTCGCTGCTGCTGCCCTGGGCGGGTTTTTCCTCGTTCCGGCTTTCTTCGCAGGACCTGCTTTTGACGAGCTCTTAGTGACTCCTCCACTTTGTACTGTATTCGACTGTCCCGTCTGCCGACTGTTGTTCGTCTGCCTTGCCATAACTAACTTTACAGATCGTGACTCTTGGGGATACAGTAGTAGAAGATACGAATATGAAATATGTTCCGACTTGACAGCGTTCCTGCCTGGAGTACTTAGTCTTTGGCTCCTTCTACAGAGCTGTCGAGCCGCCATATTGCTCGTTTCTCAGGCAAAGTCATCCGAGCTCGTGCTGGTTTGTCTGCCAAATGAGGTGTTTCGGAGATGACAATGCAGAAATGGTAGGAACAAAGAAGATGCAGGCTGATTACAATGAGCTGGAACGAGATGAAAACCTGCCTGAAAGGAAATCCAGATTGTATAATCAAAGACAAACACCAGTCGTCGGAGTCTGTACGGGCATGAACTTCGGTTGCATTTGCAAGGCGGTCGTCAGGCATTGGGGTCTTGTCATTGCAAGGCCGCAATGTCTTAGACTGCCATCGACAAGTACGGCATCTTGAGCATTTCTTTTGCCATGGGGCGATATGGCATGAAAGCCAGGCTGCCCTTTTAGAGGCATCGTGATCGATGATATGCCTCCTTTCGGTCTTCTCTCATCCTCTTGCCGTGGTCTTCGCCAGTGCGACAATTTCCTTGTCTAAAAGAACAAACTCGGGAAGAAAGTCATTCGACGGTATAAACTCTGCCCCTTGGCTGTCGCCGTGCTTGCCTCAAGATCAACAAGATACATGTATCAAAGGAAGAAGCGTCCGCGTGGTGGAGGAAGTGAAGTCTAAAGTCAGGTTACCTGCTGATTGCACCTTTCCTCGGAGGTACATCGGCAGTCAATGAAGACTCGGGAGCGGTCGGAGATTGGGTCCGTCAACCATTCAACATCCTAACCAGTTGAGAAAAACTGTTCGTTGTTGCAGCCGCCATGTTTCTCCTTCAACAGAGACCGGTGTGTGCGTGTTCGTGCCCGGCCTTGTCCAGCCTGCGTTTGACGCGATGCTCAACGACACCTGGACGCTGTACATCCTCCTCCGCGCAATTATCCTCGTCCTCCAATGGCTAGGACCAGCATGTCTTGGGTATACCGTCTGGACGATCAGCCAAGCATGGCCTGAGGTCCCCACGATAACTGGCTTTCGGATATGGTGCACAGCAGAAGCCGCCTTCTTCGTGTTCTTCCTATGGTTCCGCGTTTACCTCCAGCGCGAAGCGATTCATCCTCCCTTGCGGTCGAAGAAGGAGAGGAAGGCTCTATTCGCGCAGGTGCGTCGGGAGGTCCATGACCCGGACAAGTTCATGAGTGGGTGGTTCCGGGGAGCGAAGCCCGAGAACATTGGACGGGATGATCTGAAGGACTTCTTGAACTGGGCGTTCTGGGATGGCAGGGCGGACATGTCCCCAGGCGGCGCGGACGAGAAGGAGCTGGAGTACTACATGAGCAGGGTTGAGACGATGATGCGTAGACCGTTCAAACCTGGTCGCGGCTCGCAGCCTCTTTGCTTGACCATGGATCCCATTGAGATGGAGTGTAGGACTTTGTTCTGGTATAGCTTGGTATGGACGGTCGCACCCCCAGTAAATTGCTCGACCTCAAGACTGATAGATCACTACAGCTGTCTCTCCTCGATTTCATTTGCCATTGTCTGCTACGGACCCACGGCTTCCAGTACTTCAAGACGATGTCTTCAAGCCTGCAAGTTTGGCCGCCTAGGCCTGCCACCTGGATGGAGCCGGCTCGATCACCAGCACAAAACATCTCATACTGGGTCCGGCCGCATACTTCTACCAAGCGACTACCCATACTGTACATTCACGGGATCGGCGTTGGCTTGATTCCCAACGTGGGCTTTCTCCACGAACTCGACACAGCGCTCAATGGTGACAATCCGGACGATGGCGAGGTCGGCGTTCTCGCGATCGAGATACTGCAAGTATCCTCGCGCATCACGACGCCAATGCTGAGGCGCGAGGAGTTCCTGCGTCAGCTCACAGAGATTCTGGACTACAATGGCTATGACCGCTTTGTCATGGCCTCCCACTCTTACGGCTCAGTCCTGGCTACACATATCTTTAGGCATAAGCCACTTGCTTCTCGCGTGTCCTCAGCACTCTTCATCGACCCTGTTACGGTCCTGCTCCATATGCCGGATGTTGCTTATAACTTCACTGTTCGTCCCCCTCGCCACACGAACGAATGGCAGCTGTGGTATTTTGGTTCCAAGGACCCCGGTGTGGCAACAACTCTAGGACGCCACTTCTTCTGGCACGAGAACTTGCTATGGCGAGATCGCATCATGGAGCTCGTAGACAGTGGCACACGCATCACGGCGAGTCTTGCTAGCAAGGATTTGATCGTCGACACGGAGAGTGTTGGGACGTATCTCTCAGAGGATCAGCTACCTGATCCGGTACTGAAGGAAGATGGCGATCGCAAACAAATGGAGCTGGAGATGCCAAATGGGACTTCGACGCATTGGAAGCAAAGGCCATGGCGGGGGGCAGGGCTGGATGTGCTGTGGTGGGAAGGGTTAGATCATGCTCAAGTGTTCGATAAGGAGAGCACCAGGTCGAAGCTGGTGGAGGTCTTGGTCGAGTATAGCAAGGGTGCATGATGTTCATGCGTCTATAATATGTAACGTCTAACGTAATGCTCAGCAACCCCATCAATATAACGCTCAAGAATCAATTGGTGTTTTTCTTTATGTTACGCTCCTTTGCGTTGAAGTACCATTGTAGCTCATGAGAGGAGGATCAGGTCCACGGGTGATTGTGGGCTTCGGATCTTGAAGGATCCTTCTTCTAGGCCTCCAAGATTCCATCCCGTCGCTCTTTCAACTACCCAGCATATCGACACATACGCCATGAATCGATAACCACGAGCTGGCCTCAAGGTTGTGATAGCAGTTCCGAGGCCAGCACACCTTAACTCTTGTCCCCACCGAGGCCACGATGCCGCTGATCTCTGCGCCGTCCCTGAACAGCCGCTTCACGCAGCTAGTCATCGCCGCGGGATGTCTTATAACGATCTTCTGGTTCTTTGCGCCTTCGTACTACACCATCAACCCTGGCGATGTACCGCCTCTGACCGCACCGCCGGCGCCTGAGCAGCGGCCGGACTTCACGCCTCCCCAAGCGCCTGCGAAACCGAGACCCAATCATCCAATCGACCATCTCATCGCAGAAGCCGACCGCGAGTTCAACGACCTCCTGAGCAAAGAGACGAACAATCTCCACGATGCGGCGCAAGCATACCGCAATCGGCGCGGGCGACAGCCTCCACCAGGCTTCGACCGCTGGTTCGAGTTTGCGCAGAACCACTCCGCGGTCATGGTCGAAGACTTCTGGGACCGGATCTACCACGACCTGAACCCCTTTTGGGGCGTGCCGGCGAAGCAGATACGCGAACAGGCGAACGACATACTTTTCAGAATCAGCGTACGCAAGGGCAACGTGACCTTCAGAGGGGATGGCGAGGATAGACCATGGCTAAACTTGTGGGGGAATTTGACGCAGACCGTGGCGGAGTGGTTGCCGGACTTGGATATGCCGATTAACCACATGGACGAAAGTCGGATGGTCGTGGAGTGGGAGGAGATTAACAAGTACATGCAGGCCGAGCAGGCGAACAGGAGGATTGTGTCGGACGACAAATTGATTGAAGATTTTCAGACGTTGGAGGATATGGATAAGCACCCGCCGCCCAAGTTCGACCCGGAGTGGATGAAGCAGGGTCCGTACTGGCCACTGGCAGTGGTTGGGTGCCCGCCTGGCAGTCCGGCCAGGCAGGCGTACATTGAGACGGACTTTCGGACGCCCCCGCCGCTTCTGACGACGTATCCGGAGGGTTCTTACGAGGGCTATGTGCAGAACTGGACGCTGGCTAAGAGCCCGTGCGACAATGCGCATCTGCAAGGTCTACATGGCACTTTTGTGGAGCCGATCTCGCTCTCGACCACGAAGCAATTCTTCCCACTGTTTGGCGGCAGCAAGCTGCCCATGAACAACGAGATCCTGCTGCCCGCGGCTATGTACTGGACGGAAGACCCATTCTACTCTGGAGGGGAGGACCACGGCGAAGCCTGGCGGCTGAAGAAGACAGGTTTGATCTGGCGAGGCGCTGCTTCAGGCGGCCGCAACACGAAGGACAACTGGACGCGATTCCAACGACATCGTTTCCTCAGCATGGTCAATGCGACCAGCGTGAAGACGCTCGAAACGAACCCGGCAGAGGGTGCGCCCAACTTTGCCCTTCCAGCTAACGGCTCTTACGAACTCGTCACACAATCGCCAGATGCCCAACCAGGGGCCATGGGCGAGTGGGTTGACTCGTGGTCAGATGCTGGTCCTGTCCATCTCCTCTGCTTTCCTCAGGAGAGAAAAGAGAACCCACCGAAGGAAGGGCCCAAGTTCAAGAAGTCGTGCTCTTACACCGACCCGTATTTCAGTATCGCGAGTATGGTCAAGATGAAGGATCAATACGATTACAAGTACTTGCCGGACATTGACGGGAACTCCTTCTCGGGTCGGTATCGAGGCTTCCTCGGTTCTACTTCGCTACCCGTTAAAGCCACGATATACGAAGAGTGGCATGATTCGAGGTTGGTACCTTGGAAGCATTTCGTGCCAATGGACAACACGTTCGTTGATTTCTACGGAATAATGGAATACTTTGTCGGCAACGAGAAGTTTGGTGTGGTCGGACATGATGAGGTCGCCAGAAGTCTTGCGATCGGCGGGAAGCAGTGGGCAGAGAAGGTGTTGAGGAGGGAAGACATGCAGATATATGTTCTCCGGCTGTTGTTGGAGTACGCAAGGATAAGCGATGACCGGAGGGAAGTAATGGGCTGGAGAGAAAACAAGCCTGGCGGAGGGGATGTCACATAGGGTGTTTCTGTATATGCCTTGTATGAGTATACATATCTACCTTGCGAACTAGACTGTCAAAACCTCGTCATCACATGCGCTGGCTGCCTAACCTGTGCTGAAAGCTACACATATGAAGTCGCGCCTGCAAGGTTTCGGCCCGCTTCGCTTCGCTTCGCTCCCACCCACCCTCCCTCACACCTTGACTGCACTCTTACCGCTCGGGGAGGTCGTGAAACTCTGTCTGCCGGCTGAGCTGTACATATATATTTCTTCACCACGAATGTACAAATTCACCGCTGGACGGCAGACAACAGGGGAACAGGCACTGGCAGCGATGACGATAAGGCTGTGAAAAGGCTGGTCGACCATCGGAGCACAGCGACTCCTGCCAACAACATCCTCCTCTTGCTCTGGGAAGGTGGCAGGTACAGCAGTGCTAAGGTCCCACGTGTGCTCGAGCAATCGCGCTTGACACAGCTTGCTACTCCCGAACTACACCACACTCGGACTCATCCATTGAGCGCACCTTATCATCACAATGTCTCGCTACGATCGCTACGACGACCGCCAGAGCGGCGTCTCCCGCCGACCTAGGAACGATCGTGGCTACGACATTGATCTCGACGTCGATATCCACCAGTCGCGGTATGACGGCCCACTGCCTTCCCGATATGACGCGCCACCCGCCCGCCAAAGAGAGGCTATGGTGAAGGAGAGGGACGCGGACGTTATGAGTCGCCGGTCAGAGCGTGCTGGACCACGCCAGCCGGACTTTTTGAGGGAGGACTATGGCAGGAACCCCAATGCGGGGCCATTAGTGTTGAGAGAGGAGAGGTTCGAAGAGGATGACTATGTGCCTAGTCGACCGCAACGAAGACGGAGTTTGGAGAGTGTCAGGACGTCGCGAGCACCACCGCCGCAGAGGATGGACAAGGAGGAAATTATCATCCGTGAGAGGGACAACGGTGGGCCGCCGTACCCCAGAAGCGAGCGGGGCTCGTTCACGGAGCGAGATGATGTGTCATACAGGGACCGACCAAGATCGAGGGCTCCACCGCCATCGAACAGAGACGGCTACGCTGAGCATGATATTGATATACACATTCACGAGGGTGACAGACACGAACGGCCGCCACCGCCACGAAGCAACATGGGCGGTCGAGAAGAGATCCGCTTCAGGCGAGGTGATGAGGGGCCACCTCCCATGCGCGGAAACCTTGAAAAGAGGGAAGAGATCACGTTTGTTCGGGAAGAGCGTGAGCGGCCACCACCGCCACGTGAGGTTGAGAGGGAAGAAATTACGTTCAGAGATACTGTTCGGTCTCCGCCTCCACGTGAGCAGCCACGAGGTCGTGGTGCGGGGAGGAATGAGGAGCTCGACATCGACATTGATATCAACCACAATCACTCTGGACGTGGGCGACGTACGGAAGAAGACATTGACATCGACATCAACCACAACCACTCCGGCCGTGGACGTCGCACCGAAGAGGACATTGACATTGACATCAACCACAATCACTCTGGGCGTGGACGTCGTACCGAAGAGGACATCGACATCAACATTCGAGATCGCAGCGCTCCGCCGCCTCGCCATCGCTCGCAGAGTCGCGGTGTGATGGTGAAGAAGGACCACGAAGAATGGGTTGTCCGACGTCGGCGCACTCCTTCGCCTTCTCCTTCCCCGCCGCCTCGGGACTTTGAGCGAGAACAGATCATCATCAGGCGCAAAGAGCGCACTCCAAGTCCCGAGCCGCTTCCACCGCCCCGCGAACCAACTCCAGAACCGCCACCGCCGCCTCCGCCAGAGCCAATCTACCGTCCGCCCATCATTCAGGAAGTCATCACACATCATCGGCACATCGATCACGGCATAGAACGCGCGCGATCGCCGACCCCACCGCCTGCTCCGGCACCGCCAAGCCCGCCAAAGGAAGAAGATTTGGAGATATCGATTCGCCGCCAAGGCACTCGGAACGGCAAGAATTATGACGAAGAAATCACCTTCGAAAGAGATGTCCACGAGCACAACAACGATCGCCAGGTTGGCCTCCCTGATAGAAGCCGAAATGTGAGCCGTGATGTTGGCAGACATCGCTCCATGGGCCCGCCTCAGAGGAGATATGATGACGATGTCAGCTCTGAAGCCGACTACTATAACCGGCGCATCACTTCCCGCGGCTACAACGGTGAAGCTTGGAATGGTGCCACCAAAGATTGGGGCCTAGTAGACATCCCACCGGGCACTGAGCGCGTCGAAATGGATGGCGCCGGTGGCGGCCGACAGGAACTTACCTGGGGTCGCTACGACGGCAATCGCAGAAACAAATCCTACACCGGTGACCGCGCTTATGATGAAGGGTATGGCAACAGTAGTCCGGCTCCTGCGCCCTTGCCTCCGCCGGAAAGGATGCGCGGAGGAGGAGAAGACATCAACATCCACGAGCACTCTCGAAATGAGGACATCAACATCCACATCTCGAACCAGAGAGGCAATGATGCACCGGCTGCTCCTGCTGCGCCTCGAAGGCGAGCTAAAGATCGCATGTGGACGGAGGTTGCGAAGGATTTGGTCATTAAGGAGGCCATTGACGAGAAGGGGTATGAGTATGAGGAGACGGATGAGTTCTGGTATGTTATGCAGTATCTGCAATACGTGAGTCCTCCCCTACACCAGACCATCTGACCCAAAGACGGCCTACTGACAGTCTTGGCAGGAGGACGTCCTCAAGCTCGTCGAAATATCCGAAGACATCCGCCGACAGCGCCGCGACCGGATCCGCGAGTTGCAGTATGAGCGCCAGTCCGATCGCGCACCAAAGTCGATCATGCCTCCTCCACCGCCGCCCATCCCGGCGCCGCCGAGGAGCAGGTACGAAGAGAAGATACATGAGCGCGACTACTACTATGACCGCGAGAGGAGGGGTGGTGGAGGGTATCGGTAGATTGCATACAGATGATATGATGGAAACGAATTCTCATGACGACTTCACGAATAGCATTAACGTGCGCATGCGTACAGCAAGCAGTTGGCAAGAGCGAAGCGAAGCGAGGCATATGAGGGAGGGTTAGGAGGGCGTTGGGGTTCCTGTGAGTGTGGTGTGGTCCTGAGGATAGTATATAGGCTCTTGAATACACTCTCACCGGTGAAGTGTGCTTGACTCAACGTTACGCCGTTGCCGCTAACCTGAGATAAGCAAGTGGATCCGCCGAAGGCTTGAATGAACGGCATCCACTCCCCGACCTCTTGTCGTGTTATCTTTCTCTTCCTTTGTTAGCCACTTATCAGAAGCAGCCCGCTGCGGGCGCTGCATACCCTTGTGAGACGCTGATACCGCGAATTCGCCTATCAGAGCGGCATCGTTAGCTGCTTGCCCGCGATGTCGGGTCAAGTATTGAGGTAGTAGTTCTTTCCATTTCATACCGTTCACTTTCTTTGTCCCATTATTTCATGCAGATCGTTGAAGATGGGCTGGGTCAGGTCAGAAGTCAAGGCCGAAGATGCCGTCCAGCCAGTACCAGGTACAGTGCATCTGGTGGACTTGGATGGCACCATGCAAGCAAAGCATGCGCGCGACGCTGGGTTGAGAGATATCGTCCTTGTGCCTGCGCCGAGTTCTGATCCTGATGATCCGGTATGCCTTCCATCGGAGGCTCGTTTGGCGGAGTTGTTTGACTGATGGCGACGAACAGCTCAACTGGTCACCCGCCCGGAAGCGACTGTCTCTGACTTGCATGTGCGTGTACACGCTCATGGTCGGCATTGCCAGTGCGGCTATCTACTCGGTCCTGGTACCTATTTCAGAGGCTACGACGTTGACGCTGGATGATTTGAATGCCGGAACGGGATATATGTTCTTGGCTTTTGGGTGTGGATGGTCAGAGCGGATAGAGCAACGATCGCATGCTAATGATTGGCAGATGGGGCTGTCTGTTCTGGCAGCCGTTGGCATTGCAGTATGGCAAGCGGCCGGTGTATCTGATCAGTATTCTGGCTACGCTGGCGATTCAGGTCTGGGCACCGTTCACGAAGAGTAATGGGCAGTGGATTGCGAACAAGGTGTTGCGTAGGTCTCTGTCAAAGCCATGTACTCGATAGTATGCTGACTGACAACGCACAGAGGGCTTCTTTGGTGCACCGATCGAAAGTCTCTGCGAGATCAGTGTTGCTGATATGTATGCATTCAAATCGGAAGCATGTATGCAGATGCTGACCATTGCCACAGATACTTCCAGCATGAACGTGGCACCTACATCGCCGTCTACGCGCTTCTCCTAGCCGGTAGCAACTTCTTCGCTCCGATCATCGCAGGTTTCATCGCCGACGGCCAAGGATGGCAATGGGTGCTTTATTGGTGTGCCATATTCTGTGCCATGGGCTTTGTATTCCTGTTCTTCTTCATGGAGGAGACCAACTACCACCGGAAAGTCGTCTTGACCGGCGAAGCCGATCCAGCGTCTCTGAATTCCCCAACGAGCCCAGCATCGAGCGAGCACGAGAAGAAACTTCCAGCAAATGAAGACGTTGAGACATCAGCCCCTCCGGCACCGGCATCGCCTTATCCAAAGCAGAAGGCCTACCTCGATAAGGTGAAGCTCTGGCAAGCTGCCGACATCCACAAGCCTAACCACCTTGTTGGCATGGTCAAGCGGCCATTGATCTTCCTGACTTTTCCGGTGATCTTCTATGCTGGGTTTTCGTATGGATCAAACCTGGTTTGGTTTAATGTGCTTAACGGCACCGCGTCTCTCGTGTTGGGTGGCGAGCCATACAACTTCGCAGCGTCGATGGTCGGGCTAAGCTACTTGAGTCCGCTGATTGGCGTCGCCGTCGGAAGCTTCTATACAGGCTACATTGGCGACCGTATCGCGCTGAGGTTGGCAAGGCGGAACCACGGCATCATGGAGCCTGAGCATAGACTATGGCTTTTTGCGCCGAGTCTGCTGCTGATTCCGTTCGGACTGATACTTTGGGGAGTCGGTAAGTCCACGCCATGTCTATTACGTCCGTCAGTGGTCACTGACTTGATTTAAGGCGCCGCTCACGCCATCCACTGGTTCGGTTGCGTCTTCGCGGCCGGCGTCATTGCCCTCACCAATACTATCGGCCTCCAGCTCTCCGTGTCATACTGCATCGACAGCTACAAGGACCTTTCTGGTGAAGCCATGGTGACTGTCATCCTCGTCCGCAACACAATGAGCTTCGCCATCGGCTACGGTATTACTCCGTGGGTGACAAACATGGGGTTGCAGAATGCTTTCATTGTTGCGGCTTTTGCGGGGATGGCGCAGTGTTCGACGTTCTTGTTGGTGGTGAAGTATGGGAAGGGGTTGAGGAGGGATAGTGCGGGGAGGTATAAGAAGTATGTGGACAGGATGGCGGATCAGGGGGTGGTGCATTGAGTTACCTTGTCGTCAGTTGGCTTGAGTACGGCCCTACAAAGGAACGCTATCTTCCTCGTGTTGTAAGAAAGCAACGCAGTTACCAATCCAAAGCAGCTGATAATGTCATACATGTATGTACCGTGGGTTGTTATAACGCCATACAATTTATTTCTCAAAAACGTCTTCCGGCTCAGGTAGTGCAGCGGTTAGCACACCAACTGTGGCAACGCCGTCCTCTGTGACGGTGAACCTCCGCTGGCAACGAGTTGGTTCGACCCCCTCTCAGAGCAATTGACAGTCATTGAATCGTGTCTTAGTTCTTGCTCTTGCTCGTATATCTTGGAGAGACCTGATGCTGTATCTTCATTTCGGGTCTATTCACAAGACCTTCATTCATGGTACCCATATCCTAGCGTACTAGCTGGCTACCTTAATAATACATGTACCGACTCCTGGGATCCGGATTCCACTCCTCATTCTCCACACTATCTCGCAGGTCCTCCATCAGCGGCAGCACAGTCTGGAAATACACATCCTCATCAACCAGCGGCTTCGACGGCTTCGCCTCTAGTGACAGCGTCTGCTCGGTTTTGTTGAAACTCCACGTCCACCAGACATCCTCAAGACACGGCGGGTAGACTTCGTACCGTTGGTGATGGTCGACCTTCAGAATCAGCCCGACAAGCCGGTTGTACCAGGTCTTGAGGCTGCCTTTGACGCGGGCATCGTTGCGGACAATCACGAGGCGGCGAACCCCCTGTAATTTGCGGAGTAGTTTCACAATGCCTTCGGTGTAGTCAAAGAGGTAGTGCCAGAAGCTTGATCGGTGAAGGACTATGGTGAGGGTGTCGAGTTGGAGGTTCGCCATGTCGAAGGGATGTTGTCGCCAGTCCATGAGCTTGCGGAATTGTCGAGCATCCGCCATAAAGGTGACGTTGCGAACGGACTCAATCTGCTTGGGTCGAAGAGCTGAGAGTCGTTGAGGGATGTCGCCGAAGAGGTTGGGTATGATGAAGTTGGTTGTTGCTAGTCCGAGGTAGACGCTGTCTCGATACATCTGATGGCAGACAAGAAGTGGTGCCAGGCCTTTGTTGGGGTCATAGTTGTCGTCAATGATGAGGCGGCCACTTTGTTTGATGAGGCCGCAGTCCTTGGTTGAGTCGTGGAAGATGTATTCGAAGATTTGTACTCGAAGCTCTGCCGGCAAGGAGAGCAGGTGAGACTGTCTTGGAGGCTGTTCTGGTAGATCTTGACCGTCCATGGTGATACAGAGAGGATGAATGTGAGCCTAAGCAGATCTTGGAGAAGTCAATGGTCTATCAACCGATGTCAATGGTATCAACAGACGATGTGTTGTTCCTTTGCCGAAGTCGGTGGTTGGCCTGTGGCTGACCAATTGTGGCTTAGTGGCTGTGTCGCCTTGCCAAGAAAGGCAAAAATGACCGCACCTCTCGAGCCTCGGCTGCCGTCCCGTGTCCATCGGTACCACAACAACCATTAGGAGCAGTACCGTTATATAAGGTCCTCTTTAAGCAATTGAATAGCGCATGGAGTCAATTGAGTAACCAGGACATCCATTGAAATCCTCTTGAAGGCCGCAGAACCGAGTCCGGAAACGTTAGAGCCCAGAATCGTTCCAGCCGCTTTGAGACTTGATCTATATTCTATCAAAACAGACCGTGATACATTCTACGCAATGAGAAGCGTCAGAAAGCCTAGGCCTTGGCGCCAATGGTCCAGGTTAGATTAACTAGTGATCCTCATTCATCGTTCATCATCGCTAACAGTTCTCCAGTGGTTAGGATTGCTGCCTTCCAACGAGGTCGTCTCGGTCTTGAGCAGCAGGGGGGGGTTCGATTCCCTCTTGGCGCAAATTCTCTTTTGCTCTACTCAGATCCTCTTCTGGCTGTCTGGTGATCGAGAAAGGTCGTTGGGAAGCCGTTGGACAGTTTCGTTGCAACAACGTCGAATGTTAGCCCAGGAACGGCAGTGCAGATGCTAGTAGACGACAGCAACGATAGATAGATACATCGATCGAACGGTTCTCCGGCAGGTAATTCCATGGAAACAGCCTATGAAGTATTTTTGCTGTTCCACATATCCGGTATACCGACCGTCTGTCTTGACCGACCATTGTCCACTAGAACCCTCGAAGAAAGACCACAACGACGATCCCAACAGCAAGAGTTTCTAAAATTGGATAGATTAAGTTGCCTTTTCTATTCCACAACACACCACAGAGGAACATCTGTTGTTGTTCAGGGACAGTGTTCGGGATACCGACCGTCGAGCCTCGGAGCCGGGCTGCCCATGCACCTACTTCAGCACAAAAACTGTTTTCTATCCCTTGGACCACGAGAACAAGCTGTCGGTCTATACAGTTCTTCACGAAGACATGGCGCTTATCTAGAAGTACCGCTCAACTCTGTGGCCAGGAACTCGGGTCAGACGCTTGAGGAGCCGTCTTCTCGAAGGGACAATCGACTGATATGTATACCTTGGCGTCAAGGCATGAGACGCGCTGATGAGACTACCTCCAATGGGTGCTCACTGGAAACTACTACAGGACTGCAGCTGGATGAATGCTCCCAGAACCACACTCTGCAGCCGCTGAACAGCTCTATGGTTTTGCTGTTGAGCGTAAGCCGCAGTGCATGTCTCTTTAGTTCTGTCTTAATTGTAAGAATTCAAGAGGTGCCTTTTGGCATGGAAGGTGATTCAGGTGGCAAAGCCTCGACCCCAGCTAGACGAACTAGTGCGCTGAGGCCGTCGAAAAAGAAGAGCTTACGCTCCTGAAGTCTCTTATAGAATGTGATCGCTGCTGGCCGCATTTTCACTCCAATGCCCCAGCTGCTGCGACACCCGAAAACACGGAAACGCACGACTGCGAGAGAAGAAAAGACGTCAACTGCAACAACACCAACAGATGCCTGCCCACCCTCAAAGCAAGCCTCCCATGCCAATGGACTCCGAGCGACAAGACCTATGATACTGGGTTCAAGCAGCCGCAAGCAGCGGAGGCGAATGCTACACCGCAGGAGCGTACCGGGGCAAAGGTAAGCACTCCCGGGTTAAAGGGTTCTCCCGGACACGATCACGCTACCTGTGGTGTCTTGAGGCACTTTGAGCTCTTTGCTAATATGGAGACGCTTGTTGACTCTTTCACCCTTCAGTTGTTTAGCCGCTCGTTAGTCATTCGCTTCACAACCTTCTGGTATTGACGATCTTCCGTCCTCAGTGGAATCCAGAACCGCTCGCGACGAAGGAGAGATCGGATGCGCTGTGAGTAGGAGAAAGAGTCCAAAAGCAAAGAGTGAACGGATCGTTGGCTAGTTGGAGAGAAGAGGAAGAGTGAAAGTAGAGGCCGAGCTGAACCGAAGGGAAGAAGAGCAAGAGAAGAAGAGCAAGAGAAGAAAGCAACTTTCATATAGTATCCAGCCAAACAATCAAAAAAACAGTAGCCCTGGTATCGTCGCAGAGAAGAAGTCTCCCTTCCCATAGCATCGCTTCTTTCGCAATGTGTCCCATAAAGCCATTCAGCGCCGTCGCCAAAGTTTGCAGAACCCGTCCGTCCGTACATCCAACGTGCTGTCTGTAAAACATGCACATCGCTAAGAAGTGGCCTGGATCAGACCGCATCATCCTCCACGCATTTTCATAAACTCCGTCATAGCAGGATCAGGTAGTTCGACGGCGCGATCCCCGTCTCCCCATTCTCCTTCTTCGCCTGCCACCATCTACCCGACACGTCGCTGACCTCGAGAATCTCATGCTTGGAGAAGGAAATCTCGTTCGCGTCGTCGGGGTTCGCTTCGTAGCTGTAGATGGCTTTCGCGCGGTAGGGGTACTCTGCGGGTTGGGAGACGGAGCTGTCGGGGTGCGATGCTGCCACAGTCGAATTGGGCTGGGCGGCAGGCTGCTGTGGTTGTGTCTGTGCTGGTGCTGGGAAGGCAGATGCGCTTTCGCGCTTCGTCTCGCCGGCTCGTCCACCAGGGTATCCGGTCACTGGTGAGGAAGTCTCGAAGCCGGCTAGTTGCGCCGAGTTGTACATCTGCGGTGGTTGGCCGGAGGAGTGCTGTGTTTCTGGTCGGTATGATTGCTGCGTCATGTGCCTGCTGGCTCTTCGGCTGGGCGCGTGGTCTTTGTGGAGTGCAAAAGAGTCGATGGTCTGGCGGTGGGATGCTTGTGGTTGCGAGCCGTAGTAGAAAATCCAGACGATCTAGCAATTCATTAGCATTGCCTCACGCAATTTGGGAGATGGCAAACCCACGGAAACCATGGACAGCAGAATGAATCCCGCCGCCGCCGCCTCCTTCGAGCCCTCCGGGTAGTAGATGAGCGAGTTCACCGAGGACGTGGTGAAGACCAGCCCTGCCGCCAGAAAGCCCACAATAGCCACGTGATACGTCGCGATCGCATTGGTAGCCACCGTGACTATAATGCCGACAATCACACCAAACATGTATACCAGCGTCCACCATGCGAAATTCGGGTACTCGAGGCTGATGTCGGCGATGATGGAGCTGATGAAGGCTATTAACCAGCCGCACTACACATATAGTCAGCATATCTCTTCGCTTCACAAATATAGATGCACACGCACAAGTGCTATGCTTATCGTCGCCAGCGAGAACGGGTCGCCGAGGATATTCGCCATGCTGAAGCCCTTGCGCTCCCCACCATATCGCGCATTGTTCATCTCCATTTTGTGCAGTGAGGGCGATTCGGATCCAGCAAAACCAGGCATAAAGCGCTCAGAGAGTGCTGCGCGCGTAGCGAGAAAGTAGTATGAGAGGTGGTAACGAGTGACTGGAAGGAGAGGGTATTATCGTTGTTGTGGTCGCGTCGAGCGGTTACTGCCGGGTCTGGAAAATCTGTATACCGGTCGTGAAGAGTGCTTTGGAGTCGTTGCGCACGTGAGACTGAAGGAGTGACTGCTGCGCCAGTAGTGTATAGCGACGAGTAAAGTGGTGAGGCGGCTGGATCGTGGCCGGACGTCGCGAGCCTCTTTCGCCTGCAGCGCCGGGCTGTCGTCGGGGTAGGATGAAAGGGTGTGGTGTGCTGAAAGGAAAAAGGCAGTCAGTGACGCTGCTCGACTCGCGACGCTGGACGCTGGCGACTCGAGGCGGACGGGCAAGAGCAATGGGCGAGTGGGTGGAAGACTGCAAGGCGGAATGGGCCAGGTGAAACGGGAGGGTGGAGTCACTGGAGTGGGAAGGGGCTGTTGCTCGCCGCTTTCGCGCTAGCCCGGCCTGGACAAGAAATCTCGACAATGCGCGGCAGCAACGGGGATCCTCGACGTTTCAGAGGAGCAGCCACGCTTCCTGCTCATTTGCCCAACACACTCGAATTGCCGGCGGTAGATGTTTTAGTTTCGGCATGCTGGTCTCTTCATCTCCTGCGCGTGTTGGTGGTTTATTACCTGATTGCGCTGAGGAAGACCGAAAGACGGCCCTTTGCTCGAGTGCGACCACCTCACTTCCACGGACGCCACCAGCGACACGACAATGGCGCAGGAACATCACCCACGACAAAGTACTACTTCCTGCGGATGAATACTCGAGCAACGAGATCGGGACGTAGTACACGGCGGGTGTCAGATGCAGGACACGTTGCTGTCACTCTATTCCTCGTTGTTCCCAGGATGCTCAAGCGCCGACTACGGTTATACAGCAGCAAGCGGTTGCACGAGCGATAATGAGAATGGCCAGGCATTCAGAGACCGTGAGTGCTAGCAGATCGATATCGCAAGATGAAGCGTGGCTGTCATCCATAGAGCCAACTGCCCAGAACGCCAGACAAGTATAGATTTCATCATCCTTTCTACCTCATCCTCCATTCATATATTTCCGTCTTCACAGCTTAAAATACCCCGGCTGCAACTTCTGAAAGACCTGCTCAGGATCAAATTCCCTACTAATGCTCCTCAGCCTCTCCAGATTCTCCTCCCCATATGAGGCCATAACATCCTGCTCATGGCTTGCATAGTTCTGATACAGATACCGATGATCTAGCCCCAACTCCTTCGCCTTCTCCTTGCTCCTTCTGATCGTATTACGCGCCGCCGTCAGGACCGCCTCGTCATCTGCCTCGTTCTTCCACATGACGGCGTAGTTGATGTTCAGCAGCGGACCTTCTTCACCTTCAAGGCCAAGACAATTTCCGCCGTTCCTGGAGAAGCGGGTGAGTACTTCGTTTGACATTGGCTGATAGATCAGCGCAGGTATCATCCCTTCCACTTCTTTGACGGGCTCCAACTCCTCCATGAAGATGTCCAGGATCACCTGCAGCATCTCCCGCGTTATACGGAAGGTTGCCGTCCAGTACGAGTTCCGGAGCCCGTTCGGTGCTTGAGCGCCTATCTCATCCGACATACTCACCATATCCCGGATCTTGAGCGTGGAGTGCATCGATTCGAGCTTGGTATAGTTCTCGAAAATGGCTGGGTTCTCAACAGGTTGAGCGTATACAAGCGCAGTCGAGGCGATGAACATCTTGTGTTCTTGATACCAGCAGAACGCCGAGAAGCTGTACGCGTCCATGTCATCCCCGCCAGTATAAGCAAAATCGTGGAAAGCGTCCAGCACCCGATCCAGACTATCCGGCCCCGTCATCACCGAACCACCCCACATGTCGCCTTGTGGGAACGTCTCAAAATCAAACCTCGTTACGACCCCAAAGTTATTTCCGCCACCTCGCAGCGCCCAGTAAAGATCCGGATACGACTCCCGATCGACCTCCAAAACCCTCCCATCCGCAACAACAACCTGATAATTCCTCACCCCATCCAACGCCCACCCATACCGACTCGAGTACCAAGATATCCCTCCGCCAAGCGTGAGCCCGCCAACCCCAATCTCCGAGTTCCGTCCCCCCACAACCGACAACCCCATCGGAACCACATGCTTATAAACATCCACCCACCGATTCCCCGGCCCTACCCTCGTCGTCTGCTTGTCTTCAGACACCTCAATCATGTCAAGAAACTGCAGATCAATCGTCATCCCGTCCTGCACATTCGAGGCTCCAGCGAAGGCAGCGTGCCCGCCACTCTTCACCGCGAACTTACACTGATGTTCGCGTGCGAGTTTGACGATGGTGGAGACGTGTTCGGCGGTGAGGGGTTGCACGAAGCAGGACGGGGAGATGGTGGATTGTTGTTGCGACCAGAAGAAGGACTTTTCTTTCCAGTATTCGCGTGGATTATCGGGCTGGATGTCGGGGATGGGGAGGTGGTGGGTTAGGTAGGTGCAGGCGGCTTCGCAGCCCGTGGCGGTGAGGTTGTTGGGGGCGAGGCCTAGGTAGGAGAGGGGCTGTTGCCAGTCGAAGTTGAGGGATGGGAGGTCGAGGGCTGTCGTCAGTGTGACCAGTGCCAGCATTTGCACTTGTAGAGTGCAGAAGGTGATCATGTTGATGTTTTCCAAGTTATCGAAGAAGTCGAAGTGAAGTCGAAGTGAAGTCGTCGGGAATCTCCCTGTCTGACTACATGCGCCTTGTGGCAGACAACGCAAGAAACGTTCTGTCGCTGTAAGGTACCGTCTTCTACGCTGTGGCCAGCGAGCTCTCCCGTCGATTTGCGGTGTGCGAGTGTGCGTTCTATTATACCTGCAGAGTATAGCGGCCCCAAGCCATTGGGTGCAGCTAAGGCTGTCTGCGAGCTGGAAGCGAGGTGCATGTTGCTTCCAGTGGAATTGACAAGATCCACAATTGGGCCAGGTGTAAGGTGCCTGCATCAGACCATAACCAGTCCTGCAGGAGAGCTCCCTCTAGCTTCGGTGAGAACTGTATAGCTATAAATCTTCGCGAGCAGAGTGCTTGTTCTAACAACATCAGGACACTCACTTCCGAGACACCGATACATCCTCGCGAACGTAGATATGACCCTCCCTCGCTTCGCGCAGTATGCTTTCATCGCTACCACTCCTCGGCATCGAGTGGCCAACAGAGGTCTTTGTGTTGCCACGCCCTCTTTCCGCGCCAAGGTCGGATCTCAGAGCACCTGTATCCTGCAGCTCCGTGACACTGTCCGAACCAAACATCTTGCCGTTGCTTCCAGATTTCTTCCGCCCGCCGCCGATCGTGGGTTGCGACGGATAGGAGGCAGGGCTATGATCTGAGTGCAGAGTCGACTGCCCTCGCACTTTGCGAATCAAGGGCTGGAGGAGCGGGATGTTGGCGCAGATGATGGTGATGGCCAGCTCCGAGGCGGCCCAGAGGACCAATGGCACAGTGTCGTAGGAGTAATCGACGGCACTGAGCCCTTGCAGCTCGTACGTACGGATAATTCCGCAGATACCGGCAAAGACGCCGAGGGAGAGCGCGAGCGCGATGTTGAGCTTCTCGCGCTTAGGCATGTTGAGCTTGTAGACGATCTGCCAGGGGAAGGCGGCAAAGGCGAAGTCGACGAAGCAAGACACTCCGCCGGCGGTCAACGCGACGGGTGTGATGCTCATCCAGCAATGTCCTCCTTTGACCGTCTTGTCCCAGACAAACGCGGTCGGGAAGCACTGCAGCCAGTTGAGGAGTGCGCAGAGGAAGGCGATGATTGTGAACCCGGCCATGATCACCCAAAGCGTCACCCTGTGCCATAGGACCGGCGTGATTCGCACCAGGAAAGCGGCAACGCTGCCTTTGCTCAAGACCATAGCGACCAGATAGCAGGTTTGGCCGCATATCTCGAGGAGGTTGGCGACTGCGAATTGCTCAAACGACAGCTCGCCCATGTGCCGACCGAATCTGTGCATTGAAGTAAGTGTATCGTTCCGACTTGGTCAGCAAGCAGGACTCGTACCCCCATCTTGTTGCTGCCGTGCAGGTCGAAGTATAGCCGACTAGGAAGACCTGTTCCGCACTGTCAGTCTGCAATGCAGGACAGCGGCCGTGGACCACCACTTACCCAAGACGCAGCCATGAGCCAGTCATCCCACCCAACACGCCCCGTCATCAGGTATGCTCGACAATACAGCCTCATGATGATCAAGATAAGCGTGACAATGGTTTCCATCCACATAACCTGAAGGCGTCGATGTCATCAGTCCCGACGTCTCCGTGTAGGGGTCACTCCACTTACACCTATCACGGTCGGTCCCAGCTCTGTGACTGCAACTGGTGGAGGCATGTTGGGCTGATGTAGCTGGTGCTTCGTCCTTGCAGACAGTTGCTAAGCTTGAGAAGGACACAATTCTGGGTTGAGGAGCTGATGAGTTCGCCTTGGACAACATGTCGCGTGTACCACAACTCCGGCTATAAAATATAGCGTACAAAGATGATCGACAGGACGCAGCTGTCAAGACCCATGCGCGGATCCCGGGTTGTCAAAAGGTTATCGTGTGCTAGTGTCGGAGCATTCTTCGCTATACGGCGCCGTTGTCTGTAGAGATTGTCCCGTTCTGGGCCGGTGCTGTTCATCCTGGGCTATGTCCTGCTCGATATCTCAGGACTTCTTCAAATGGAGCAAGTCAGCCGTTGGGGAGCTGTCAAGCAAGCTTTCCATTACGGATGATCAACATGGTGCTTGAGACAGGTGCTGTGCCTGACAGGAGGTGGTCTTTTCCCCCGGGCGTGCTGCCGTGCCGTCTGCCTTGCTAAGCCGATGCCAACGGCAAGTACGTGCCGGCAGATCCTTGACGAAAGACCCAGTCAGTTGTAACAGTGGTCTTCACTCCAGTCGTTGCAGGTTGTGACAACGTGTCGAGGATGGTATGGGTTTCGAGCCATGCTATCGTCCACGTAAGGATGGTGTTCCAATTCGGCAACTGACATAGTTCTCCGTAGTCACCCAAGGCTACGGTACTGCTCTTATGTGGGCGCCATTGCGAGTCTTTGGACTTGTTACTTCCACCCCCAGGAAGGCGGACCGGGAAGGTCTCCAGGTTCTCACGTTGGCGAAGTTGCTTGTCTTAGTGTCGAGCAATGTAGGTTGTCGATCCGCCAAAACCGTTGAAGATTCCGGCGGGCCGTGATGTGGGGATCACTGAGGACGTTCCTGAAGGTTTGACGGTGTCTTTCTTTGTCTCAGTCCATGGCACACCACTGCACAGTTGAGACAGTATGCCGTCCCAGTACCCACCTCGTGCAGCTCGCCTGCGAGGCGAAGAGCCTCTCAGCAGGGGTTGGGGCACGCCAGTGTGTTATCAATGCCTTTACTCCGGATGGAAGGCACAAGAGGGGAGGATCATCCGCCGCATAGAGGCTATAACGTCTTCAACCGGCAGTTGATGGACATGGTTAGGACTTCACGTTTGGGATGAAGGAGAAGGTAGGCCTGCCATTGAGTTGCATGCGGTGAGCGCTATTCCTGCATTTCTCTTCCTTTTCGTTCTGCTGCACCTTCAACCATGTTCCATCTCGCCCTTGTGTTCCTCGCGATCGTGAGCCTCGTCCTACTATGGTATGTGGGCAGCTTCATCGCCTCGCCATTGCGCGAGTATCCCGGCCCCTTCCTCGCCAAGTTCACGGACTGGTGGCGCGTAGCAAATACCGTCGATAGCCACAACATCGCGCTCCGCCTGCATGAGAAGTATGGGCCGGTGGTGCGTATGGGACCGAACGTCCTGAGTATCAGCGACGCGACCTATGCCAAGATCATCTACAGCACGAGAGGCAATTATTTGAAGAGCGACTACTACGCCGTCAACGACATCATCCAGAATGGCTTCCGCATCCAGAACATCTTCAGCACGCGGAGCAATGAGTTCCACCGAAAATACATCCGGCCGATCTCCAAGACGTATTCGATGGCGAATATCCTCACGCTCCAACCGCTTGCCGACAGGACAACGGAGACGTTTTGCCGCCGGCTAGAAGAGGAGTTCATTGATGGCAAGAATGCTGGCAGGACCTGCAATCTTGTCGACTGGATGTTGTACTACGCCTGGGAATGTGTCGCGGAGGTCACGTTTGACGAGCCGATCGGGTTTCTGGAGAAGGGCAATGACATTGACGGCATGCTTTACACTGCAGATCGCGCATTGGGGTATTTCTCGCACGTAGGTGTTGTCGGATCCTTTGCAGATGGCCTCGACTAACACGGTTCTCCATCACAGGTGGGCCAGATGCCTGGCCTGGACAAGTACCTTGCGAAGAACCCATACTACCGTCTCGGACCTCCATCGATTGACTGGGCGGGCAAGTATGCAGCGATGCGCTTGGTCCCGCGACTGCAGGCCAAGCAGAAGGGAAAGAACGGCGACTTCTTGGACAACTTCATTGGGTTGAAGGAAGAATATCCAGATACCGTTGACGAGAACGTAATTGTGGGATACATGCTCATCAACCTGCTAGCCGGCGCCGACACCACCGCAATCACTCTGCGTGCCATTGTGAGTCGTTGTTCGAGGATACGGAGGCGTCGCTTTGGCTGATCTCGTACAGTTCTACTATCTCCTGAAGAATCCCGCCGCCTATGCGAACGCTGTCAAGGAACTCGAAGCAGCCAATCTCCAGCTACCGATCCAGTACGCGGTCACCGAGAAACTCCCCTACTTCTCCGCCGTCGTGCGAGAAGCCATGCGCCTCAACCCCGGCCTCGGCGTCATGCTCGAGCGCGTCGTACCCGCCGGCGGCCTCGCGCTCGAAGACGGGCGGACTATACCCGCTGGCACGATTGTGGGGCTCAATCCATGGGTCACTGGCCGAGACAAGGGAGCCTTCGGCGAGGACGCCTATGAGTTCCGTCCAGAGCGCTGGCTGCAGGGCGATGGAGAGTCGGACGCCGACTTTACTGCACGCTCGAAGGTGATGAAGGATGCCGATCTCACTTTTGGTGGTGGTAATAGGGTGTGCATTGGGAAGAACTTGGCGCTGATGGAGATTTACAAGATTGTGCCGACTTTGCTGTTGAAGTATAAGGTACGTTCGATGGTTTGCTGTCATGGCTTGGTGGCGTGCTGATAGGAGTGTCGCAGTTCGAACTCACGGAGCCCGACCGGGAGTGGCGGGTTGACTGCAAGTTCTTCATGGTGCAAGATCGGCTGAACGCGAAGGTGTCTCGTCGGTGAGCAGGGAGTCTGCGATTGGATACGCCTTCAAGGCATGGCCGCAGAGTAGTGGTACAGCTGAGGCTGCCAGGGCTGTCTGTGAGCCGCATGTTGCTCTCTGAAGGATTGATGAGTCCACTCGAGCAATTGCTCGGAATGCTGGCAGCGTTGGCGGGCAGTCCATGCATGAGAGAGACCAACTGTAAGGATGTGCGCATGGTGTCAGAAGCTCGATATCACTTCGGGTCGTAACTGTATAGCTATAGACATCCGTTTGACCCCAAACGGTCCTTGCTGCCTTGCATTCATATCGTCGTTCCGCAGTATTCTCTGACTTCTTCTCCGCCACGAACTAGAAGGCGAAGACCTGGTCGTCCAGCTTGCTCACTGGCCTGGCCTTTTGGTAGCCCAGCGACTCCGTGGCTTTCTTGATCGCGCTCACCATGGGTGGCGGACCGCAGATGAGAATCTTCATGTCGTTCGCTGGAGCTGGGAGATGTGCCTGTATACCATTAGTCTTGCCGAACTTGAGCCACAGCGACCGGGGCCGACAACTCACCTTGATAATATCCCCCGTTACAAACCCGACACTCCCCGTCCACCCCTCCGGCGGGTTGTTCAGCACATAATGTAGATGGAACTTCTCATCCTCCTTCGACAGCTTCTCCAGATCCTCCCTCAGCAGAATATCCTCCTCATTCACATTCGCAAAGATCAAATTAATCTCGGTCTTATCACCGGTCTTCCTCCCCCTCAGAATTGCCCTGACAATCTGCAGCATGGGCGTGATACCCGTCCCTCCAGCAATCATGCCAAAGCTGCGCACCATGTTCGGCGTATACACCATTGCGCCCTTGGGTCCTTTCACTTTCATCACGTCCCCAACCTTCAATGTTGCGAGATGCCGGCTGATGTTGCCAGTCGGGTAGCTCTTGATCATGAGGTCGAAGTAGCCTGGGTTCACATCGCTGCTGATGGGCGTGTAAGAGCGCACGACTTCTTTGCGCTCTGTGGCGCCGGTCTTGGAGTCCTTGACATCGAGGGTCGCAGCGAGGGAGATGTGCTGGCCGATGGGGAGGCCGAGGATGGAGTTGGGCGTCGGGAGTGCGAAGCGGTAGATGGCGGTGTTGTGGGAGGTGACTGTCTTCTCGGAGATGGGGAAGGTCTGGAAGTTGTTGGGGTCGAGGACTTTTTTGGCGCCTTTGTTTAGAAATTGGTAGCTCAGGGCTGCGATGGCTGCGGTGAGGAGGATCCCGGCTGCGATGGCGAGGTTGGAGGCCATGGTGGCGTAGACTGCTGGGTGCAAACAAAAGGGCCTGGTCTGCGATGCGTCAAGGAGGTCCGACAGGATATTGGTGTCAGCTCATGGTTGTTATAGAACAGGAGATGGTGGTTGATCGAACTGCAGCACATTGAATTTGAACCCCCACCAAAACTCGCCCCGAAATCGCTCTCGGAAAAAATGTCCTCAACGAGCTAAGAGACGCTCTAGAATACTGAGGGCAACGGACATGGGGCTTGAGCGATCAAGAATGCGTGACGTGTGAGTTACAAGACAGACCACCATAGCCAGAAAAGATGGGAGAAGCCACAACAGGCGAGGATGAGATCGACTACGACAACCCACCATTTCCTTTGACGTCCATCGACCGCGGCCTCTTGGCTATGAGAGATGAGGACTTCCACAGAATCACTTGGGGCGATCTCAAGCATATCATCGGTATGCTTCGCTTCAATGGGCCTCCAATCAACCATTACTGAGGATGTGCAACAGCGAACAACCAACTCGAAGAGCTCAAACGCCTTCCGTCGGACCTTCGCCGCTATCTGGCCTGGTCTCACAGGATCAAGCAGCAGTATGGCGGCATCACCAACTTTGTGATCCAGGAGCGTCTGCAGTGGAAGCCCATATCAGAAGAAGGCACGCCACTGTTCGAGCACCATTCCGACATCCCATTCGCAGACCCTAGAGACTATGCTGTCCTAGTCAACGACTGGCCGTATGGCTTTGAGGAAGGCATCATCCATTTGCTCGTTTGGACCAAGACACGCATTGCTGTGGATGACGTGAGAGGCGATGTTACGCCGGAGAGCAGGGAGTTGATCGTGAAGTTCGTTGAGCGGTTCTTCGTGGACGATCTGGAAGGCGGTTGGGGGCAGGTGATGTGGTTCAAGAACTGGGTGAGCTTGCAGAGCGTAAGGGGAGTTGACCATGTACATGTGCTGGTGAGGGATGTGCCGGACGAGGTGATGAAGCGGTGGATGGAGAGGAAGGATCTTTGAAGCGCTGTGTCTCCTTCGTGGTGGACTGCACAATACATTCGAATCGGTTTGATAGAAGGAAGTGGTGTGTGTCGGCCTTGAGCTGGACGGAAACGCCGTTTCGATGGACTGCCAGCTCATACGAAACCTCCATCATTATCGGTATCGGGGATTTTAGCGCTGCTAAGTCCTCAAAGAGTGCTCGTCATCAATAGACGAAGATGGAATATCAGGAAAGGCAAGAGCAGCAGCACCAAGTGAATGTAATCTGATAGTTGTCATGGCAACAATCTCCGACAACAATCTTCACATGCTCACTTCTCCAGCATTAACGACAATTCATTATTACGAGCACTTTAGGTGCAATGCCGCAATATGTCTACGGCAAAAAGGCTCGAGCAGTCTACGATCCATTCTGCGTCTTCGGCAGCCCGCAACGCATACCGCCAGGGAATCTCGACCAAGTCCGGGATCTGGTCATCACAGACGCTTTCGAGAATCTGAAGCTTGACGACCGAACAACGAAGAAAGGACCTAAGGGCAAGAGAACGGTGCTTGGGGAGAAGAGTCCTAACAGTGTTGCGTTGGCTGTCGAGCTACCAAAACAGGAATCTAAGCAGAAGTGGAGGCGGCGAGCGAGGAAGACTGTGGTAGAGGATACGGATGATGAGGAGAAGGTGGTAAGCGAGGTGCAGGACTTTGGCGCAAAGACACAAGCGTCTACGAAGGTCGAGAAGAAGCAAGACAAGCATGACGAGATGCAGGAGCAGCAGGCTGCACATGACAGCAATGGCTTCGATGATGTCCCTCTGTTCGTGCTGGACCACGGCTACGACACAGTGGAAGAAGACGTGGATGTAGTACCAAGCGCCATCAGTGTCGTCAAATCTCCCAGCACAAGAAGAGATATGCCAGTGTCAGCGCTGGACGGATCAGAGACTCCATCAATCACAATCCTACCGCCAACACCACCTCCCGCGGACGAATATACCGAACACTGCGCCAGCCTCCTCACTCTTTCCAACCACACCCTAACCGACTTCGCCTCATGGTCAGCCCAGCTCTCGAGCCATTTCGACATCACGAAGATCGCTGAGGCTTCCTTTGGCGAGGTATATCGCCTCTCTCTCCAAGAACAACTCCCTGGCTTCTCAAGCAGCGACGAGTCTGTATTCAAAGTCATTGCTCTGAAACCTCCTCCGGCTACCATACCGGTCGAGAAGCGCAAACGAGATGCTGTGAAGAAGAAAGCAGAAGCCATGAGTGACCCGGAAGACGTCGCCAACGAGGTTCGCCTGCTGCAGCGCATGAGCCCTATACCTGGTTACACCAATTTCCGCGATGTGCGGTTAGTCAAAGGCCGGCCTCCAGCTCCGTTCACGAAAGCCTTCAAAGCATGGAACACGGCGCAAAAAGCTCGCAAGAAAGACCCCAGCCATTTCCCGGACCCTTCGAAGAAAACCAGCTACTCAGATGACCAGCTCTGGGCAGTCATAGAAATGCAAGACGCAGGCACCGACCTCGAGAACCTCGTCGAGCGCGGCGAATGCAGCACCATCTGGCAGGTCTGGGATATCTTCTGGCAAGTCGTGCTCTCGCTTGCCAAAGGCGAAGAAGGAGCTCAATTCGAACATCGAGACCTGCATCTCGGCAACATCTGCGTGCGCCAACCTCCTACTGCTGCTGATGGCAAAGCGACGGAAGAGGACATCGACCCCAAGCGCAAGCTCAACTTCACCCCCGTGGAAACAACCATAATCGACTACACCATCTCCCGCGCCCTCATGCCCGACACCTCAATCGCCTACCAAGACCTCGCCCGCGACAGCGCAATCTTTGAAGGCGACAGCACAGAAGAGTACCAGTACGACATCTACCGCTACATGCGCGGCGCGGTTCTCTCCAACGACCCTTACGCCGAAACACCCTTCCCCCAACCCCCCTCCGGCGCAAATGCAGAAGAACGCTCCTGGCCCCAATTCCACCCAGTCACAAACCTAATCTGGCTGCACTACCTCCTCTACAAACTCCTCGAAGCCGTCGAGTGGCCTTCTGCGACCAAAGCGCCGTCGAAAAGGAAGAAAGAGGCTTTTGTGCGGTGGAAACGGGCGAATGATCTGGAGTTTGTGCTTTTGCGGGTGCAGGAGTTGTTGGATCCGAGCGTGGTTTGTGGGGAGGAGGGACTGGGGAGTGCGAGTGAAGTTGTTGGGCTGGCGCTTAGGGAGGGCTGGTTGGGGGTGGAGGATGTGGTTGGGCAGGGTGGTGACGAGGGTGACGGAGAGGAGGCAGAGGAGGAGTTTGGGGATGGGCTTGCGAGGAGGCTTGGAGAGCTGAAGTTGGAGGAAATCGAACAGGCTGCCATTGTGGTGGATGCCGAAGAACCTGAGATCAAACCTCGCACGCGGAGGAAGCGATGACACGACAAGTAGGAAACGGTGGCACAGAGTAAATGCCATAGACATCCTTGTGAATACGGTCTTGAGCTGGTATCGTAGTTGGTGCAAATGCAGCTGCAGAGGGACCACTTGAGAGCAACGTCTTATGCTGTAACATCACTTTACGTCTCCCGGCCCATGCTCTGTGCAAATGCTGTGATCTTCGTGAGAAAATCGGTGTCCTTGCGAACTTGTTGATCTGTGAAGATCGGGTGACCCATGAGGATCTGATGACTTCTGAAGAGCGGCTGATCGGCGAAGAAATCCGTGAAGGCTCCGTCACTCGATCATGTCGATATCGTCGTCAAGCCCGGGCTCAGTGTAGGTTGCAGGAGCCGGCGCAGCCTTCGGGGCAGCAGTAGTGCCGTTCTCGTTAGCTTCTTCCGCCTCCGCAGCAGCCTTAGCAGCCCAGTAGCCCTCCATCTCAGCGTCGAGCTCATCCGCAGTCTTGCGAGGGCGGCCACCAACCAGCGGGCGTCCTTCCTCATCAGTCCTGCTGGGCCTGGCACCACGTCTGCTGTCTTCACGACGCGCTTCCGGGCGACGGCCAGACTCGCGAGGGTCGGGGCGACGGCGGGTAGGCGAACGTGCACGAGGACGGGCTGGCTGACGCGAGCGCGTTGGTGAACGAGAGCGCGCCCTGCGGTCAGATGGCGCGTAGCGATCAATGTCGGCTGGCGGTGGGGGGCGGCGTCGTGGACTAGCACTGCGTGGCCTGTCGTACCGCCTGTCGTACCCTTCGTAGCCGTTGTCTTGACGGGGTTGCTGACGAGGGTCGGAGTAGTAGTCCTGGCGGTGTGGTTGATGAGAATCCGAGTAGTAGTCTGGGCGGTACGGTTGACGAGTATCCGATCGATAGTCTGGACGATACGCTTGAGGGTCGTCTCCATAGTCCAGCTCGACTGCATCACGACTGTAGCCAGGATCCGGCCCGCCCGTTATGCGGTCGAACAGGCTACGGCCCCCATGCACCGGACGCTCCGGACGCTGAACACGATCGACAAGCGGACGCGGTGCGGATGCCGCAGGAGCCGAGGGCAGCAGTGTAACTTTGATGGATTGGTGATTAGCCTCCATGCCGTTCCATACCGCTGCCGCCTCCTGCGCGTCGCTGTTGTGCTCGAAGGTGACGAACGCCGTGCCCTCCGAGCGGTCCATACGGTCGTACAGAATCTTAACAGATACGACCTGACCGATCTTCGTGCCGATGGTCTGGCGAAGTCAGTCATGGACCTTTCCGGAATTCTCAATAGTGTAACATACCATAAGATCTTCTTCAGTCACGTCATAGTCGAGATCGTCTATCCGGACGGTGGTGCCGCCCCTGGGTAGAAGTCAGTCTCAAGTTTGCTTATATCAGAGAGGCGACATACGGGTCTTGCCTTGCTCCACGAGTGATCGGTTGGAAATCTGCTGGTGCTCGGCGATCGTGGCGTGCCGGCTGTCCGTCGTCGTTCTCGTAGCGGTCATGGACCCAGTCGCTGTCGCCAGTCAGTCTTGTCATTCGTGGCTCTTGAGGACATCGCAACGTACGTGTTAATGTCTGAACGATCATCGTTGCGGTAGGACTACAGGCAATGCCGCCCAGGTTAGCTTTTGCTCTTTCTCCCTTCGAAGTCCGCCGTGACCGCAGTAGCTCGTAAGCAAACGGTGGGGAGCCGGGGTCGCTCGATCGCAGGACGCAGAGGACGGCTCGAAGGAGGGGGACATTGCAAGCTGCAACAGTCTCGCGGGGGGGTAGTATGCACCTGTAGGCGCAGTGAGACATTGCCAACGGGAAAAAGGTCAGCGGTGCATACCTGACGATCTCCGTTCCTTGGGTGGGCTTCGCGGCGCTGCGAGTAGACGCGGTTTTCGGGAGGTGGTGCACGGTAAGGTGGTGGCCGTGGACGCGGTGGTGGACGCGAGCGGGGCGTTGCGCGATTCCTGCCGGGTGGCTGCTCTCGTTAGTGTCATGCGGCGGCATGGGAAGAAGGGAGGCAGCATTACCGGACGCTCCTCGCCGATGATCTCGTCGAGGCTGCGATCCATGTTGTCGGTGACCGAGTCGCTGGTGGTCAAGCAGCAGAGGAAGCTCAATCCAAGAAAGCAACGAAGCTGTCGGCGCGGCTGAACTTCGGCCTTTGCGCCGCCTTAGTCATGCCACCACAACCACACCCAATACAACAAACATGGTATGGAACGGGCCGCCTTGCTTTCGAGGCGTTGGCAGACGACACCATAGATGTGGTTGAAATGTTGAAGACTATGCCACGCCAGTACCAGCTAACCCAAGTGCAAAATTGCTTGCGAAGTAGCCACCGACAGCACCTCCTCTGAACCAGTCAAACACGCGGCGAGAGCAAACACCCGCCTGATTGCGAGGAACTGGCGAGCAATCCGCGCTGTACACGGAGACAAGATGGGACGATGGCGCATCCCAGAGAGCCTGAATCAGTCAGCAACGCCACATGGTCCTGGGCACAACGAGCCTCCGAAACAAAAGCTATCCGCAGTTACACATGGATGAGCCCATATCGCACCTGAGTGGCAGTGTCGTCGATGGAAGGTGTTGCTTTGCAGCAAGGAAGTATACGCAGAGCACCTGCCTGCCTGTTCAGAAGCTCCGACATCCTGTCTCAAAGATAAGGCGTCTGCAATCCATAGGGGCAGTCCCTCTCGCTCCAAACTTAATGCTTGACATTGCCGACTGATGTTGGCGAGAAAGTCAGCCTGGCGCCTGACTATGCCGTCGAAACCTCTGCGAAATTGTCTCGCCGATGCTGGTACTCCGGGAGGCGACTGGTCATATCAATTTGATGTGCTGATATCTGAGGGTGTGGTCTCCCAAAAATCTCATTGCAGCTTTGGGATCTTTAGGAGTTAGCGATGGTGAATCACAACACCGAATGCAGCCATCATTGATGCGGAAGCGGATATAGCCATCCGCAACAGCCACCCTTCGATAATACTCTCCTTCTTGCTCGACGAGGAGCAAATGCGCCGCTACGCGGTCTTCATCGCACCCTCTACAGTCCCAGCGGCTAGTTGCGAGGTAGATGAAGTCGTATAGCACACCATCTCCAGGCCGAATAAAGTCGTCAGCCAATTTGATCGACCCTAGATCCCAGCGATCCAGTTGTGGCGATAGCCGTTCGACATCATACAGGAAGTTTCTTCCGGTGCCACTCCGCTGGAGTTGACACTTCAGCATCGGACGCCACAGGTGCAACACAATACCCTGGCTTGGTAATAAATCGCATGGATGAGGCTCATACGGCCATTGCCCGTCTGTTGCGGCCTCCATATCGATACACTGGATATTGGCGGGATCGAGAACCACGGGGCGAAGCGTTGACACCGGCATCTGAAAGTAGAAAACGACGACTGCGCCCGACCAGCCAACCCAGCTCCAGCTTGGCAGTGCTCTCCCAGTAGTACTCCTTGGGATTCTGTCAGCTCTGACAACAGGCTCATTATCGTAGCCTATCCGTCGCCATAGCAAAGCCTCAGCAAAATGAAAATAGACCGAGTCAGCGTGGGTGCTCCGACAGACAACGAGCCCGCTGAGCGCCTCGGTTTCCTCCATCGTCTGCTCGTCGCCAACAAGGAGTTGAAGGACCCCAGAGAAGGCATCCAGCCTATCTCCTTTATGCCGAAGATCCCTAGCGGTGAATTCCTTGACGGCAGCGAAGTATCTACTGAAGCTGTCGCCAGATGCGGGCTTCAAATTCTCCGACCACTCCTGCAGAGCCTTACCATGCAAGAGCTTCGGGTTTTTATGGACCGTAAACGCTTCGCGCCGAACCACTCGCCCACGTAAGGTGAACAGCACCTCACGGTCCGTGAACAAGATACACCTCGCGGACAGAACTCGTTCTTGGTAGGTCCACCCTCGCCGGTTCCAGTCAGAACGCGACCATGTCGTAACCATCTCACTTGAGCCCGGTAGAAGACCTACACGCTTGTTGGCCTGGTCAAACACAAGCGTTCGTTCGGCCTCGGTCCCGCGAAATCTTGTCAAGCCAGCGCCAGCTCCGGAATTATTGGCAGCGACGACGGTGAAGTAAGCGTTCGAGTAGATTGTTCCCATCTCTCTTATAATAGTGGCCTTGTCAAGGTTGTTGGTTTGATCAATGCAGACCGCATCCACCCAAAGGTATTTCTCTCCAAGCTGTTTGACTACTGATGCGGCATCAGAGATTGTTGCCGGAGCCTTCATCATGTCCACTCTCCAGGAGACAATACCATCTTTTCTGGTGTATGTTTCTGCACGGCGATCCACTGCAACGGTCGGATCTGTGCAGCCCCATAGATACGACAGAGCAACATAACGCTCGGTCTTCAGCAATGCTACGACATCATGAGTAGACACGTCAAGGACTCGGAACTTCTTTTGTTCAATCAGCCTTTTCAGAGTTCCGACACAGTGTGCTGGATTCCCGAGTGTCCAGTCCTCAAGATTATGGTCGAGCTCGAAGCTGGCTTCGACCCAGGAGCGGAGCATTGGGACCGACACACGTGAGATGATGGGTCTTCTCGCCGCAGCATCGGCGCAGTCACCGAAGGGCGGATCCATGTAACTGTTGTCCGGTTCCAAGATGACGAGTGTCGTTCCATGACGCGCCCCCTCCTGTTCAGGCATAAAGAATCGTAAGCGCGGCAATGGTTCGATTGAACTGAGATCCAACAGCGTGGATGATAGCCGAGCCTGGATCGAGATCATACTATGGGCATGGTTTCGGACCTCAGCCTCACCAAACAAGGCAGCGGCACGAGCATGGATGAGCGCGCATAGCGGACAGCTCGCACCTTGGAAATCATTCAGTCTGCCGATCTGCTGTGTCGTGGGTAAGCTTCGATAGCCGCTCGTGAGGTTGGCCCGGAAGTCGAAACGGTCACAGACTTCGTAGAGTCTGCCAACTGGCTGGGCTTCCCCCCCGGCTTGCTGCGGTGTTTTTGTCGTCTCCGTTTCCTGCATCGCTCCTCTGGCCTAGCGAAGATAACGTGTGCCAGGTGACTGTGCGCCGGGTGTTGCGCGGTTGAGAGCAGCACCGCGTCTGCTGACAGGGCTAATACCCAGACTCCAATTCGTCGCGATATGCGTATAGCGAGAGGGACAAGTGTCTTCCATTTCAGATCTCATAGGTCACGCCGATGATAAAGCAAAACGTTATAGGGACTTTTACCACGAGTTCTCTCTGGGAGCTGTCGTGCTGCGAGGCAAGGCGTTGAAGGAAGGCCTGGGACCAAGATGGAGGCGATGGCCGAGTTGGCTGCGTTGTACCTATCTGCTGCCGGGAATTTTGGAGAGTCAGCTCTTTGTGCTCGAGGCTCCGGTCTGGAAGCGATGGACAGTTCGCACGTGTCTCGCCACCGCTGCAACGCGATCAGCAGCCCAATGTGAGAGCCTTCGCCATCGCATCGTACAACGTCGCTGTCGCTGCTCGTTGGCGCTCTCATCAGCAGCAAAGTCGAGGTCCCAGCTTGGCAGCCTCGCCGCCAGCAGCAGTATAGCCAGCCTCGTCACACAGCCCGCGTTTCGACTGAGGCACCATCAGATAACCCGCTAGCTCTAGCGATATCTCTCCGTCGACTAACCACAAAAGTGAGGCACTAATGTGTACTTACGCTGGCGCTGTGTGCGCGCAATCCAATCAAACCTGAGGTGGGTGTTCTTGTTGTAGGTGAGGCTTGGATGGCTGTTTTCGGGGTTGCTGCCGATGGTAGGTCTGATGGAGCTGCCTGTGAATGAGCGTGCTTGCGTTCGTAAGCACTTCAGACGCGTCTGAAAGGGCGTTCAGGCCGCGCGCTACATTGGTCAGATGGTTGCGCAGGACACTTGCAGTCTCGCGATGTTGAATCGTGCAGGAAGGGATGGTGGTCGAGGAAACCATCGAGAAGTTGGAGGTTGATGAGTTGGTGCGTGCGCTTCCTTTGTTTCAACATCTCGACCGAGTCTGGCGACTCCATTCACAGCATACACATGATCGAGGGCAGCAATGTACGCGACTGCGACTCTCATACTCTTCTAGATACCACAGCAGAGCTGGCCTCGCTTTGTACATAACAGCAATACCCAGCAGTCCATCACGATGGCGCCCAAATCCCGCTCACGAGCACCACCCCCTGCAGCAGCAGCAGTGCCACTACAACCAATACCCCCAGAGGCACAGAAACAACAAAATGGCCCCCCCTCAAAGACCCTCGTCGAGCGCATCGCCCTCCCCATGGGCATCCTCACCCTCGCAGCAATCGCCTCCCCCGTCTCCCAAGCCACCCTCGCCCCCGTCTTCGGCGCCATCCCCTCCGCCGTCAACCACCAACAAGCGCTCATAGCATCCTCCCTCCTCGGCTTCCTACTCTACCACTTCCTCCCCAAACCCTCTGCTGGAACCATCGGACAAGCCCTCGCAGCCTACTCCCTCTGGATCCCCGTCGTCCAAACGTACCTCTTCCCCTACAGCACCATCCTCGGCCCAACCTGGGGTCCCATCCTCCTCGGCTTCCTCAGCTGCCACGCCCTCGTCCTCCCCGCAACCTACGCCGCCGCCGAAACCATGTCCGCCCTCAATCTCTCCGCGCGAGCCGGACCGTACTTCGCCCCCGTCCTCTCGACTAGCCTAGGACTCCTACACCTCCTCTCCTTCGAACGCCAATTCGCCACCATCCTCCCCGGCCTCGCGTCACTCTCTGCAGCCTTCACGCCAGTGAAATTGCAACTACTCATCGGCTCGACGTTCGCGTACTTATTCCCGTCCAAATTAACCATACTAGCCCTGCCTGCCCTCGCGCACACGTTCCTCGCGAACCCGCACTTCGACTCCGTCCGCAACATGGACGTACTGAACCAACAGCTTGCGCTGCAGAACTGGACGATGCTAGAGCGCACGTGGTCGAACACGGGCTACGTTTCCGTGCTAGAGAGTAGCGGGATGGGGTATCGGGTCTTGCGGTGCGATCACTCGCTGCTCGGTGGAGAATTCTTACTGACGGACGAGCGGCGGGAGAGAGAGGGGTGGGTAGTGAATGAGTCCATCTACTCTGTTTTCGAAACGCTGGAGGCGGTGCGGTTGATGGAGGATGAGGCAAGGGCAGGAGATGCTGATGCGCGGGCGTTGGTCGTGGGACTGGGGATTGGGACGGCGCCGAAGGCGTTTCTTGCGCACGGCATCGAAACGACGGTGGTCGAGCTCGACCCTGTCGTGCACGCTTACGCGCAGACGTACTTCGGCCTGCCGTCAAACCACATCTCCATCCTCCGCGACGCCGTCAGCTGGGCAAGCGAAGCCGTCACACAAGAAGAGAGGGAGAAATACGACTACGTCCTCCACGACGTCTTCACAGGCGGAGCGGAGCCTTTGTCTCTGTTCACGGAAACGTTCATACGCAATCTACGCTCTCTACTAAACCCCTCGGGCGCCATCGCGATCAATTACGCCGGGGACGTGAAGTTCCCTCTCACGGCCAAGGTGCTGAATACCATCGACGCGGTGTTTGACGGGCAGTGTCGGATTTTCCGCGATACACCACACGCACCCGCTTCGGAGACAGAAGGGGATAAAGTAGCGGTGAATGATGACTTCACCAACATCATCGTCTTCTGCCGCAACACCCCCGGTGCCATCACGTTCCGTCGACCGGTGAAGGAGGATTTTTTGGGGAGCAAGAGTCGCGAGCAATATCTGCTGCCCAACCCACGACTGGAGATCCCATTCCCGCTGCACAATTCGCCTAATCGCAGACAGCGTGTCCGTGCCGAGGCGCTGCAGGTCGGTGAAGAGCAGCAGTGGAGCGCGCAGCAAGTCGAGTCCGCGAAGAAGCACTGGTACGTCATGCGGAAGGTGCTGCCGGATGTTGTGTGGGAGCTTTGGTGATAGGGGTACAGCTTCGGGACAGGGCGCGCTGTATGATGTGTCTAGATCTAGATTCCTTGTAATCTCAGCAAAGGACGTCTCATTTGCCGGGTTTCAAGAACTTGGACCCTTTCGCTGGCTTTGGCGGGGCGTGGTTGTGCGCGGCTTTGCGCTGTCGGGTTTTGATGTCGTCGCTGTAGCCTTCTTGCTGGCAGCAGGGGTACTCGGTCACTGTCTTGGTCTCCAGAGCGTCCTTTGTCGACCACCGCTTCGAAGGGTCCGGATGCAGCATCCCCAGAATCATGGTCTTGGTCGCTACATCCCCGAGATGCGCAAACTGCCTCGTGCTGGCGAAAGATGGCAGCGGCCGGCCTTCCTTGACAATGCCGTCGGGATAGCGAAGCAACCACTCGTCCCATGTGTTACAGTAGATGTTGTAGTTCTTCACATCCGTGGACGCGCATTCCCAGGGCGTGCCGCCGATGCAGAGGGTGAGGTAGACGACGGCGCAGGACCAGACGTCGACACCGCGGGGGTCGTAGTCTTCGTCGTGCTTGATGATTTCAGGCGCCATGTAGGGTCTGCTGCCGACGAGGCCGGGTTTGCAGAGCCGGATCTCGGCGTCTTCGCCTGTGAGACTTGGTCGTCTGCAGCCTCGTAGGCCTGGGTGGGTGCCGCTGAAGACTTCAGCAGTGCCGAAATCCGCAATCTTCAGACAGCCGTCTTTGGTGACCAGCAGGTTCTCCGACTTGAGATCTCGATGCGCGATGCCGTACTTGTGGAGATAGTCCACTCCTCGCAGGAGCTGCTTGAACATGCAATTCCTATCCACATCGCTGAAGTAGCCTCCATTGATGAGGTCATTCAAGTCGCCGTTCTCGCAGTACTGCATGACATGAAACCACTTTGTCGCCTTGTCAGCGGTACACAGCCGGTACGTCTCGACAATGTTCGGGTGGGAGCAAGACTTCGCAATCGCATACTCGCTCTTGATCTTGCGGATGTAGTCGGACTCGCTTTCCTCTTCGCGATCCCACTCTCGGAATTCCTTGACCGCGAACACCTTGTCCTTGCCAGTGCCAGCAGTCTTGCTCTGCATCAGGCGAACGACAGCCGCGCCGCCTTCACCAATATCTTTCTTCCCTGCTCTCGCAAAGACGCTGAAATGCTCTGCCAGAGTGCATTCGCCCACTTCCATCTGCTCTGGGATATTCACCGAAAGCATTCGAGCTTTGGAACCTGCACCCGCATCGACACCCTCGATGTGATAGCCATCGGTGCCGCGCAAGTAGATCGAGCCACGCCTAGTGCCGGTCGTACCAGCAGAACTGGCTCGTCTTGGTCTGGTTCGTAGTTCGTCTGAGAATCCAGGTGCCCATCTCACTCCGCTCTGCTTCGAGTCTACGCGTGGTGACTGAGACTCCTTGAGTGACAGCCCCACTCCGCCTTCCCTGTCATCCTCCCCTTCTGCGCTCACCTGTCCGTTCTCGTCGACCTCATCGTCCATGCTCTCTTTGGCCGGTTCGAACTCCGAGTCATCGTTGCTCTCCCTTGGTTCGGTAGAAGGAGCCACGCTATTTGATCCATCTGCGGGCTTGGTAGTGGCCGTAGTATTCTCCGGGACCGGCTCCTCAGTTGGCGCAGTCACGGATCCTTTCCTGGTGGCATCTTTCGGGTGATGCGCCGGTGGATGAGCATGATGCTGTTGTTCCGGCGGAGAGATGTGCTTTCCATTCGGCATCGACACACTCGACCGCCGCCGATTCCGTCCCAGATGCCGACTCAGAAAATTGCCCTTCTTCTGGCTCGTCGGCGTCACCGGCGCAGTCGAACGGTGCTTCAACGAATGCGAGTTCATCTCGGTCTGCGTATGGCTGGCCATCGTGCTGAATGCGGAGATGAACCCTCTGAGATGAATCTATCCCGAAGTCGCTCTGCGCGCCTCGGAGTCTCCTTGACTAGGACCACCAGATAATTCTCCGTAGTAATGAATTCCTCGCGTGGTATTCACGCAATGTCGTCTCACGTGGGAGATGAACCGTCGCTACCTGCTGTTGCCCGCTGCTCGGCTGAGAGAAGGCGCCACGGGCGTCATGAGAGAGCTGAATTCCTTTTGGTTCTTTTTCGCGCTTGGCTCCCGTGAGGGGGACGGGATTGACGGCTTGCCGGAAGAAGGAAGTGTGAATCTATGTGTAGTGGTGGTGTTGAATCCTTTGAAGATGTGGTGTGTCGTTGGAGGGTGATAAGCTGGCCGCCACTTTCTTCTCGTGGTGTGGTGTGCGTGTGCCGGATGCCGAGTGCTCTGTAATCCGAGCGGTTGCTCAGCCAAGTTGGACGCAGGGTCGACGCTGCGTGGGGTCGCTGCGATTCTGCTCTGCTCTCACTGCAGGAACAGCTTCGGTTGTGCGAGTTTATGAAGATCGCGATTCGAGTCGGGCAAGCAGTCCCAAGGGTCTTGGTGGCGCGGGACTCTGAAGCTGACGGGATGTGTCGCGGCAAACACTTCGAGGCTATTCACGTTGCCACGAGCAGCAGCCAGCTGATATCACCTCGTGCAAATGGTGAGAGAGAAAGTGTTCGCGTTTCTTCTTCGGTGGGAATCGGCACCGCAGCCGTTGCGCCCGTGAGTCGCCGTGAGATTGGGAGTGTTCTGCTGTTGACGTGCATAAGCGGGCCTTCTGGAAGAAGTTTCGAAGCCGCTAGCGGATGCCTGCGTCTCGTCTTGCAGCACGGAGTTTCGGAGGACGTGAACAAGGGAAAGATGGGCTGTAGGGAGCTTTGTAGATGTAGGCGGATTGGGGGAAAAAGGCACGGCGAAGGCGGTGCAGCAGTGCCTCTCACGAGGAACGGACAAGCAAAATTCAATGTGCGCTCACGAGATATTGGTACCCAATAGAAGTACGGTAATCAACGATGACCTTGGGTCGGCTACCATGTGCTGTAGAGGATAGGCTCGAGCATTCCACCTGCGTTTAAAGGTCTGTAGCTGGTGCATTTCTGACATGTGATACTGCAAGTCCGTCGTGTCGTATCCGATAGCAAACACACCCATTTCCCTCCGCCTGCATTCCATCCTTCAATGGTATGTCCGCCAATTCAGCGTTCTCCGGGGACTTCATCAGCTCCCTCTGTAGACCCACCGAGTCCTACCGGTAAGCCATTGCCGAGTCTTCGTGAATGACAGGCGGCTGCAGGTGTGGCGAAATTTCATTCATGCTTTCACACTGGGCTCCAAGCCTGCCCTGTGAGTCCGACAAACAATGAATGAGTGCTGGGCATCCAACTTTGCTGTACACACAAGTCCTGTCCCCGAGCATGAGTGGCTAGTCTGGAGCTCTCAAGGACTCGCGGTGACCCAAGGTGAACGTCGAAGGTATCGTAAAAGAGACTGAAGGTCGTTGCAGCACTCGGTTTGCATTGGTTGTCGTCGATGAGGCGCACGTGTCTCCGGCCTTGCCGGCAGCCGTTCCACAAGCACCTGGACACGAAGAGATCTTCCTGACACAGGAATGGCAAGCAGATCGGAAGGGTATCTTGGAGATAGCTTGAAGTGGACAAAGGAAATTGGTCGAGCACGATCAAATGGCTTACAGCAGTACATACCTCAATAGTTACCTATGCATCCCATAGAGGACTGTCGTGTCTTCAAGAGACCGCCAGGGCTACTTCTCTCATGCACTCGAGGAAGCAGTGGAAGTTCCAAGCTCGCCAACGGGTGACGAGGGATGACCTGAGCGGCAGCACATGAAAGCACCAAGAACTCTGCATCACCATCTCCTGCTTGGCAGAGCTACACTATAGCTTTGCGTCGTCTCAAGATCACAAGGCAGTGTCGATAGAAAGGAGAGAAGAGGTAGAGTGCCTGGATGCCTCAGCTGAACCATTCGGCGTTTCTCCTCTTGGCCGCACTTTCCAGAGGCCGACTCCTTGCTCCACGCGCATCATCAGCTTTGCTTCTTTTTCTCTGCCACACCCAAGCACCATACCACGCCACCTCAACCTCCCAACTTCGAGCAACGAGGTCACACATGCAGACTCTTCATGCTCGAAACTCTTTCGCACCACGACGACGAGATGGCGACTTCCTCGAAAACAGTCGACCTCTGTGGCGCCGGACAGAAGTCGTGTCACGGCCATAACTCGATGGATCGGCAAATTAGCGTGAGGTCTCTTCGGTGCCGGAGTGATTTGCGAAGGTCGACTTGAGTAGAGCAATGCTGCACTCGCCCTCTCGCAACACCGCTACCACAACACCCCCTCCTCCTACCTACGTGCCTGAGAGCCGCAGCATGCCCGACTTCCGTCATCCGCTCTTTGTTCCGCTGACAATCCATTCTACGCTGCTTTAACACCGCCCCCCCACCGCGCAGCTAGCCGTGAGGGACCCGTCTCCACCGCCTCCTACTGTTCGCAGCGCCAGCGACACGAGCCGAACTACCCGTTCACGGACAGTCTCAGACTTCGCAACAGCCCACCGACCATCTACATCTAAGATTTACCACCATGCCAGCCGATGTCCGGCGCTCTGCTCGAGGCGCACCAACCCCCACCGCCAAACCAGCACCACCAGCATCCACCGCCTCCTCATCCTCGCTATCATCTGGTCGTCAAGATCGCAACGCGAAGTCGAGCAATGCGATCCAGTCCGCAACACCACACTCCCGCTCCAGCGAGGAGATGAGCGAGCCACCCCGTCGCAGCCAGCGGGCACACCATCCAAAAGAGGAAGAAACCGTCAAAAAGAGCAATGAAGCTGACGACGATGCCGCCGAGGAAGAAGAGGTCACGCGCTGCATTTGCGGACAGCAGGAATACCCAGGTCCACCACTGAGCGAGGCCTTTGACGCGGCAGCGCTGGAGTCTGAGGACGCGGGTGGTTTGTTCATCTCTTGTGACGGCTGCAGCGTGTGGCAGCATGGCGGATGTGTTGGAATCGTAGAGGAGAATGAGGTGCCGGACAAGTACTTTTGTGAGGAGTGTCGGCCCAAGCTGCACTCTGTGCATACAGATTCGAGAGGGTACGTTACACCACGCCAGCACAGCTCTTTCCCATATCTCTCAGCATTGCGCTTCACGGCGGCCCAATGGACTGCGGTCGCGACTGCCTTCACGCAAGAGCGGCTACGGGAGGCGAAGGCGCGACTGCGAGGTCACGCGTGCCTTCCGCACTTGGTCCTCTTGAGGCCTCGACATGATCACCAGCTCACTAGCGATCTACTCACCTCCTCACATCCCACTCAATATCTTCACAATGGCTCGCTATCATGACACACCTACCAGAGCAGCTGCTTACCAGGCCGAAAACAGACAGCGATATTCGCTTTACCAACCCGTCAATGGCAAAAGCCACCGCAAGAGCTCCGTCAGTAAGCATGGCGAGAAGGTGCAGAAAGAGCGCGAGCTCACCGCCTCACGGGCGAGCGCCGACCCGGGGCCGGGCAGAAGACGGGGTACGATGAGGAGCAAGGAGCATGACGAGGAAGAGGAAGCGATTCAGAGAGCGATTGAAGAGAGCAGGCGAGAAGTAGACGGCTCAGGCAGGCGGAACGGCAAGCGGGCCAGAGATGACAGCAGTGAAGAGTGAGTGAAGCTGGCACGAAACAAGCATAATTGGAGACTGATTCTTGGGTAGCAACAAGCATGCCATCAAGCGGCAGCGGAGGACGTCAGAACTACCACCCTCAAACCTGCGGAAGGCGACGGCCGACGACGACTCTGACGACGAGCCAGCAAGCCGCAGTAAGAAGGCCAAAGCAGAGGCTGCGCAGTCAATCCGACAAGCTGAGATGCGCGAGAAAGAGAAGGAACGCGAGCGAGCACGAAATGAAGCCGCGAGTCGAAGGCAAGATAGAGCCGGCCGAAGACGCGCAGACGACGACCCACTCGACGAGACGCCGAAGCCGAATAACAGCGGCAAGCCTTCTCCCCTACCATCCTCTCAACCCGGCAGCCCACACGCCCACGATCTACCAGAAAGGATCTCACACAAGAAAGGCGCGGGCAAGAAGACGAAAAAGCTGGGTAACAACCAATATACCAAAGCCAAAGACCTCGCCGTCTCCTCTCCCCACGGACGGAAACGCAACGGCGCCGGCATCAGTAGTGGAGAAGAGAACACCACGAACGGCGACGGCCACCATCTACCAAACGGCAGCGGCAACCACAGCCCTGAGCGTTCTACCGGGCCTGGGAAGGGCAGATGGGGCGGCAAGGGCAAGCAGAAAGCCGTGAATGGGACTGTTGGGGCGAAGAATGAGGACCCGGCGGATCTGTCGCTGGGTAATATGAAGCGACGCATGGACGCGATGGCGGCTTTCATCACACGTGCGCAGATGGAGACGGCGGGTGGGGAGAGGACGCCTAGTAACGGGGAGGTGGGAGGAGCGGTGCAAGCGCCGCGTTCGGGCGTTGATGGAGCAAGAGGAGGAGGAGGTGGGGAGGGGGAGAAGTTTGAGCAGATGTCGGCGATGGAGATGGCGGACGTGGTCAGCAGGGGCATTATTAGCTGGCATCGGCGGTTCGATCATTTGGTTTGATATACCGTATCAGCCCCTAACCACAACATTGAACCAGTCCAGCCAACGACGCTCTCCTTGACCTCATCTCTCCCTTTCCCTCGTCAGAGAACTTTCGAGCTAACATTGCTGATCTGATCCGATCGTGGGGAGTGTGTTCAAGTCGGATGCGTCGGATCGATCCACTTGACTTCTTCCGGTGCTTCGACGGGTGTCACATCCGGGAGATTGACGGCTATGGCTTCGGAGTCTGAGCGCATGAGGACGCATTCGAGTTTTTCGTGGGGGGAGGCGTTGATTTCTTGATGCTGTTTGGATCACCTCTCAGCGAAGCGACCGCAGGGAGGGGGGGTGGCTTGTTGTGGGCTGCTGGCTGCTGGGGATGGGGAGAGGGCCCCGAGCAGAGGGAGGGGAAGGGAGGGGCCAGGCTGTGGTAAGGGGAAGCGTAAGGGGAAGCGGAAGGGGAAAGGGAGAAGGGAAAGGGAAAGACGCACGGGAACGTAGGGAGGCACGTAGATGAAGTCGCCCGGCCCTGCTTCGGCGGTGAACTCGAGCCTCTCGCCCCAGCGCATGCGGGCGTGGCCTTTGAGGACGTAGATGACGCTCTGCTCTCACAGGGAGGTGAGGTTAGCGTTTCTGTTTCTAGCGTTCATATCCTCTTCCGTTCGTTTCTCTTATCGCTCACCCTCCCTCCTGGCTGGTATGACGTGACGGCGAGTAGGGAAGGAGAATGGATGCACAAGGGAAGAGGGAGGGAGGAAAGTCGACGTACTTCTAAATGCCCATGATGATGCGCCCCCGTCTTCGCGTTGGCGTGGATATGCACCGTTCCCGCCCACAGCTTCTGGGCGCCTACGCGGGCAAAGTTGATTGCGGCTGCTCTGTCCATGCCTGGGAGGGAGCGTTAGCGAGGACTCAATTATAAGGGTTTTCCATCGTTTGGTGGATGGTGTTTGAGGAGGGCCGGGAGAAGGGGATGGAAGGGGACGTACCAGGCGTCTGGGCAGTATTGTGATCCAAGGAGTCGGAAGGGATGACACGGACGCCTTCGGACTTCCAGCCATCTTCTGGTTTGGGGGGGATGGTAGGGTGGTCATGGTCGTGGGAGTGGGAGGGCTCTGCCATGACTGAAGGCCAACCAGGAGGCAACGCGTCGCAGATATTGGATATGGCAGCTGGGGGCTGGCTTTGATTCTTTCTGCTTTGCTGTTGCTGTCTTTGAAGGAACTTTGTGCCTTCGATAGAAATGACATCTGTGCAACGAACTCACCTCGAATGTACTACCTACCTTCCATCGACATGCGGGCAACAACGACCCGCGACCTCGGCGACTGGACATGATGGTGGGGCAGCGGCAGTCCTCCAAGCAATACCTTACGAGGAGCAGCAGTAGGCAAATGCTTCCCCCTTTCATGAAGCTTACGATTCTGCTCGCCTCATCCTCAATGCACGCCCCGGCCCCGGAGAGCAAAGTAGGAGCTTTCGAACAAGCAGTCGCCGAACTCCCCAGGCCCCGAGGGCGGGATGTGGAAGGTGTAGGAGGTAGCAGGTCGACTGAATTTCCGAGGATGTCTAGATCCATTGAAACGCACGAGCGGATTGACACATACTCTGGCGTGTGCCCCACTGTGTGACGATGCGGGGTGTTGAGATGGGAGACGACGAGATATAAATACCTTGTCGTCGAGATCACCCTTGAATCCTAAACAAATCCATACCACTATTCTTAACTCCATCCTCTCCAATTCACAAACAGCAAACATGGCCCAATCCTTCCGCCAAATCCTCGGCGCGCCCCCCTCCACTGCCACCCCAACCGACAGCACCCTCATCATCATCGACGCGCAAAACGAGTACGCCGAAGGCAAACTCGCCGTCTCCAACGCCCCCGCCACGCGCAAAGCCATCTCCTCCCTCCTATCCAAATACCGCGAAGCCGGAGGGAAAATCGTTCATATAAAGCATTTAGTCCCTGAGGGAGCGCCGGTGTTCACGCCGGGAAGTCGACTGGCGGAGGAGTATGAGGAGCTGACGCCGCGGGAGGGGGAGAAGGTGGTGGAGAAGTTGCATCCGTCGAGTTTTGCGGATACCAATTTGCATGAGTATTTGAGGGGGGTGGGGGGGTTGAAGGTTGTGTTGACGGGGTATATGGTATTTACTATCCCTCCTTTAAACGACTTTGGTGGGGGTTTTGGTGAGAGCGGTGCTGATGAAAAGACAGGCTCACGTCTGTGTGTCGACGACTGCGAGGGACGGCGCGAGGCTGGGGTATGATGTGCTGGTTGCCGAGGACTGTGTGGGGGATAGGGATATTCCTGGTGCTTCCGGGGCGGAGGTGACGAAGATGGTGATGCATGAGTTGGGGGATGCTTTTGCTACGGTGGTGCAGAGTGGGGATATCAAGTAGATCGTTGTGTCCGTGGGTAGATTGGGTTGAATTGAAGGTGATGCTTTTGGACACTCCCATAGAAGTGAATGCAGAATGTTTTCGGACAAGCTCACTTTGCGTCGTCCTCTTCCTCCACAGGCTCCTTCCAGTAAACCTGCAGCCCCAGGAAAATATTCTCCTCTTCCTCGAACTTCGGGAAGTAATACGAAGCCCTCGCCGCAGTGAACTTCTCGGCCAAGGTCTCATCCTCGCCATGAAGAACCTTGAATTGGCTCGCAACATGCGTCTCGCCTGTCCTGACACCAATCAGCAGCGTCGGGTCGGCCTTGAAGAGTTGAACCAGGGCCTCCCTTGAGCGATCGATGAAGAGCTCCCACACCATCAAGTGTGCTCCGTCGTCGTGCGTCCACGCACTGGGCGTGAATGTCCGTGTTGAGGTGCTGAAATGGTCGTTGCGGACATCAATATTGAGGCCGGTCAAGAAGGCGACGTCCACGGGACTGTAAAAGGGGTCCTCGGCGTACACTTTGATGCGCGCGCCGCTCGCTTTCTGCATGTACTCGACCGTGTCCATAAAGGCCGCGAATTGCTGCATGCTGCGTCTCGCACACTCCACATTATCTCGACTGAATTCCCCGGACGCCAGACAGACGGCTGTGGTGATCTGCCAGCCTTCATCTGGCGCTTTCTTCTCTAGGATCTGTAGGAGTTCTTTGCGGCAGCTGCTCGCTCGCCAGATGTTGAGGTATTTGGTGTAGCTGGCTTGGAGGGCTTGCACCGTCATTGTGCGGTCGGTTGTCGGTCCTGGGGGTGGGAATGCGGGATGGCGAAAGCCTTTGCCGTGGGTGACATAAGTCCAGCCGTCGGTGTAATCTCGAGACATTCTGCGTGGAGTGCGGTCGTACGGGTTGCGTGGCAGCCGCACAGATGTCAAAGCAGCAGTAATGGAGATGTGCGCGGTTTGTTGTGCACTTGAGATGAGTTGCGATGAAGGTGCGTGTGGATAGGAAGAGGGAAGAAAAGCTGTGTGAATCTTACGCTGGCTTATATGCTCTGCTGAATGGGAGTACTCACCGTCTACGTGCGCGTTAAAGGTCTCTCGTGAATACCGTCGTCGTACGGGGCCTTGAATGAATGTGTGTCGTTGTGAGGTCAATCGACTGGCTCAGTTGCTGCCGTCAAGTCGGCGAGGGCCCGAATCGAAGTCCATCCATTTGCGGAGCACTCGGGTTCCCTTGGCGGTGATTTTGCGGCTCACTCTGCGCGCGAGAATAAGACCGTGCTACATCCTGATGACAGCAAGATCCTCTAATCCGTCCGACAGCATACAATATCGCCATCCGTCGAGGAAGAGGACACATCCTCAGGGAAGGGGGATTGAGTGAGCAGACGGCGAGTGTTCCGCGATACTTCCCGAAGCGGGTTGAGGATCCCGCCTTTGACTGCCTTTTCGCCACGGCATCGCACCATTCTTGACCTCTTGACACCCCGATCTCGCAATCCTCTCCACCGCCTGATGTCAACCTGAGAACGTTGCAAAAGAAGCACTCGTCGCCTCCTTTCTTTGTCTCTTGCTCACAATCAGATCGAACCACCACGACTTGGCATTTGATAATCTCGCCCCTGGCTTGTCAGATTAGATCGACTCAACAATCTCCGGCATCGCTGGTGAGTTTCCCACTTCTCTGCCGGGCTGCAAGGTCACTCAAAAAGGGACGTACCTTTCCAGCCGCTCACATCATCGTCCCTCAATTGTCCTGCATTTTACCGCGCATGCGAACACCATTGCCCGACCTCGCGCGCTTTTGTCAGCGACTACATTCAACTTACAATCCAACGACAGACTCAGTATTATCCCGCCTACGAACCATTCGACGCTCATCCACATCACGATACACTTACACACGTCCTACCAATCCACCCTGGATGGCCGCACAACACGATGAGGGCGTCTTTCAAAAGCGTTCCTCCTTCTCCACAATGGCTCACCACCGACACCAAAGCATTCCCAACTGCGACTCGAGTCACCCCAACAATCCTATCCCCACCGAACCAAAGAATCCCCACACACCTTTCTCGAGTATCACAGAGGACATGGCGGCACAATCGAGAAGACCGTCCAGTCCACGGAGTAGTGGCGAGAGTCTGAGCCTGACAGACGACACCACCGACTCGGAGACACCACCCTCAACGCCTCCCAATGGAACGCAAGATGACGTCGACGAGATCACAGAGAAGATGGGTGTGTTGGCACAGACACAGACACAGACAAGCCCGACGACAAGAAAGCGCCGAGCAAGCACAACGTACGCCTCCAGCTCCGAAGAGATTAAGCGTCTGCTCGGCGATGGCAGTGGTACGAAGTTCTTGCAGAAGTACTGCTGCGGCGAGGGATGCTGTATGCTCGAGAAGCTGCCTACACATCCTGAGGATACTGGCATTTCGATGCCTGATAATGCTGCTTTTCAATTCTTGAATTTGAACTTGAAGGGATTGACACTGGACACGGAGCTTACGAAGGTCGTTGATATGCCGGAGCAGAAGATCAAATTCGGGTCATTGAGAAGAAAGTCCATCAGCGAAAAATTCCCGAATGAAGACGAGCACGAGCATGATGCAGCACATGTACAGGACTACCCGCCTGAGTACATGAAGCCGCATCCACCGTACAGCATCTTCAATGCACCCGTCTATGGCGCACGGGAGTTGACCAAACCTGGTGCCGAGAAGAGGACATTCCACTTCGATCTTGACGTCACAGACTACCCAGAAGAAGGTGGTGTCGACTTCAAGGTCGGTGGAGCGGTCGGCGTCTGTCCGCCTAACGACCCGGCGATGGTGGAGGATGTTCTGGACCAACTCGGTGTACCACACTTCCAGCGAGACAAGCCTGTGCGACTCCACACCACCGGGGGTCGCTGGCCGACCATCTGGGGCGAAGAAGAGGCTCGCGAGCTCGTCACCACCCGTCGAGAAGTCCTCACCTGGACCGTCGACATCCAATCCACCCCACCCATCAAACCGCTCTTCCGCCTCTTCGCCGAACACGCCACCGACACCAACGAGAAGAAAATCCTCACCTACCTCTGCTCCGCCCAAGGCCAAGCCGCCTTCTGCGACCTCCGCACCGGTCCCCACCTCACCCTCCAACAACTCCTCCTCGCCTTCCCTTCCTCCCGCCCGCCCCTCGAAGCCCTCTGCGGCGTCCTCACCCAACTCATGCCCCGCTTCTACTCCCTCTCCAACGACCCGCACGTCTCCTCCGCCCGTGAAGGCCTCGCCGGCCGCCGCCTCATAGAAATGGCCGTCACCGTCCACGAGACCGCCGCTCACGCCGGCTCTACCCGCACAGGCGTCGGCTCTGGCTTCCTCGAACGCGTAGCGAAGAAGTTCATCTGCGCCGAGCAAGACGCGCAAGACGCCGCGGCCCGCCTCGGCTCCACCGTCGCCCCTGGTGTCGCGGGAAGGAAACTGCACCTCCAGATCCCCATGTTCCGCGGTCTCATGGCCAACCCTCTATCCAAAGAGTTCGCCTCCGACGGCCCGATGGTCCTGATCGGTGCGGGAGTGGGCATGGCGCCCTTCCGCGGCTTCATCCTGAATCGCCTGAAGAACGCCAACTGCGCGAACAAAATCTGGCTCATCCAGGGCATCCGCGACAGCATGCTCGACGAAATCTACCGCGGCGAACTCGGCGCTCACGAAAAGGACATCAAGAAAGTCGTACAATCCCGCGCCTCTGCCCCTCCCCCTGTAGCCGAAGGTGACGCCCCTGAGGACGCCGACACCGACTCCACCGGCCTCACGGGCACAGCGAAGCTGGACGCCGAATCCCGATCCCAGCGCAAAGTCGCCAAATACGTGCAAGACGAAGTCCGGCTGCAAGCCGATATCGTCTGGTTCGTCATCAACGCCGTCGATGGAAGGATTTTCGTCTGCGGCAGTACGAAGGGTATGGGCGAGGGTGTGGAGAGGGCGCTGGTGGATGTGGCGATGGATAAGGGCGGGTTGGATTACGAGACGGCGAGGCAGTTTTGGAGGGATAAGGAGGGGGGTGGGCAGTTTATTGCTGAGACTTGGTAGGGACGTGAGGGAGGGGAGAAGAGGGGTTGGGGTGGTTTTGGATTGAGCGTTCTTGCGGGCGAATTTGATCTTGGGTTTGGGAGGAAGGGTTTTTGAGTTGAGTATGTTCGGCGTTGGCGGCGAGCCGTAAGAGCTCTTGTACATATTGTCTTGTTTGAGCCGAAGGCTCGTCGAGAATGAATCAAAATCTCACCGCCCAATGTCCTTGTCCTGATATCGATGTCGTTTGCCCTGCCGTGTATCTATGCCTGCAGTCCTGCTGATTGAGCCTTCTGGAATCCCCTACGTGTGTGCGAGAGACCTGCGCACCACGCTTTCGTTGACCGGCTGGCTGTAGGGGCCGATAAGTTGTATACTCGTGTCTGGTCTTGTTGAGACTGTCTCTCGCCTTGCCCTCCTTTCCTTGAGGGAGCGTAGAACGACGTTCGGAGTCTGTATCCATTGTTTTGAGCTCGAGCGCGGTGGAGTGGATGGCTTGCCTTCTACAGCACGACACAATCGCCTTGTCCTTAGCTATGTCGTGGCAGCAACGGGATGTCATGTACTAAGGTCTTTGTTCTCGACGTCTTCAACACGAGTTATTGATGTCTTAGATCTTCGATCGCGGGTGAATCACTTCCTCGAGACAAAGGACAGAGCGTCGACACCTCTGCAGACACCTGCGACTACGATACCTCGATCATGGTTAAGCTACTTGAGGCACAATATGTCCTTCCTCTTCTCTTCTCAATCCATACTCCTCCATCGTACCATCAAACCGCACCTCGTCGAAGGACAAACAGCAGGCTTTGTTATCAATCACGAGAAACAACCGTCAATCACAACCAACCCCATAACCCCTGATCCAAAACCCCCACCCCCTTCCTCCTCTCAACTCCAACTCCGCGATTCACTCGCCGATGCCTCCCAACTGGGACGGCCACTCCCGCCCTCCCAATCACCGAATTCACCGGAGTGGCGAGGAGGCTGAGGAGTGTGATCTTCGGCCTGGCGATAAACATTTTTCTCTTCTTCCGCCGTATCCGGAACTGAGGAGGAAGAGCTCGGCTGTTTCGAAGACCAAGACCACCACTGCTGCTGAAGGGTCTGACGAAAGGGACGACGAAGACGACGTCAACTCCGGCCTGGTTGACAACGAGGCTGCCTCTCCGTCACCCTCACCAACTCCCGCTCCCCTTCTTGCGCCAACAGCCCCATCCAGCCGCGCGCAAACCCTAGCGCCCCAGCACAGCGCGACCCCCGACCCTCGCACCCACAGCGTGACCTACCCGACCCCTTTCACGCAACACCGCGCCCGCACCTCCGCAAACCCAGACCCCGAGACCTCACCAACCTCAGCCGGCAGCATGAATCGCCGTATGCAGCTGCGCCAGCGCGCCGCCGCCGCCTCCTCTTCCAAAACTAAGACCACAACCACCAGCGGGAGCACGCCAACGGTCCTCGTCCCCCAAACCCCCGCCGCCGAACTCCCAAACGACGTAGCCCGCACGATCGAACACGGCAGCCCCGTCATCCACGTCGTGCCGGCGACCAGCCCGTCGAGCTCCACCTCTTCCGCCCAAGAAGATCGCGAAGACACGCCCAAAACCCGCGTCATCCTGCGACTGGTAGAGGAAAGCAAGCAGCAGCTCGCGCGCGCCGACCGCCTGATCACGCGCACGCGCGTCGAGAAAGCCGGTCGCATCTTCGAAGAACGTAAACGCTGGGGTGTGGAGGCGGAACTGCAGTTAAGAAACGAGGAGATGGATGCGTTGGTGGCTGCGCAGAGGGATGTGGGTGAGGGGATGACCGCGAAGGGGGTCGTAAGCTTGTTGGCGCGCATCGGAGGGCTTGTGATGGTCCTGTGGGCGGTGTGGTTGTGGTGCAATCGGGTTGATTTTGAGTACCTTGACATGGTGCGGAGGCGGTATTATGGGCTTGAGGAGTAGGTAGGTCGTGTTGTTCGGAAAGTTGGGTTGGCGGTTGATGCTTGGATGTTGTCGGACAGCCGGAATTTGGATGCTAGGATTTCGGTGGAAGTGTACGATGGTTGGATGTCTTCTCGAGCGCGGTGTCTCGGATGCTGCTATTTCCTTTGGCGTTAGGTGTCAGCGAGACGTGCACGAATACCTGACTGGCTTGTAAGAAAAGAAAGGGGGCTGCAGTGATGGAGCTCTTGCATATCGCGACTCTAAACTCGCTTTCAGCACTGCATGTAGATAGTACACAGACACAAACGCTTTCCTCAAGAGCTCACCGCTTCCCACCTCCAGCCTTCAAATCCCTCTTCGGCTGGCTCGGCGCACTATACAACCACAGCGCCACAAACCCCAACCACCCAACTACCGTCACCCAAATCCCGCTAATCCACGGATAAGCCCCTGAGATCACGAATGACCTGGGCCACTCGTCGTGCGCGAAATGCCGCACCGTAACCGTTCGCTTCTCCTCCACGTTGGTGTAGAAAGGCCGTCGGTACTCGACGAAGAAGTTGAAGATGCCGTGTTGATCCGGTAGCTTGAAGTCCGCCGTGAACGTCGTGCTCGCTTCGTTCTTGCTAGAGGGCTTGAGATTCAAGCGGTGGAAGGGCGAGAGCATGCTGAATTCGAGCTGGAGGTCGTCGCCTGGGGGTGTGGTGAAGGGGATCCAGGCGTTGTTCGACCATTCGGAGACTTCAATCGAGTAGTGGACGTCGTTCTTGAAGCGGTAGATGCTTGGGTTCAGGTCCAGATGCCCGACATCCGTGCGGTTGGCGGCGTGCTTCTGCTCGCCTTCGTTGAGGTAGTGGCTGATCTCGCCTACTCGCAACACGCCTAGCTCTTTGAACGTCCAGGCGGAGAGTCTGCTGATGAAGTCTTTGTTGCCCGTCTTCTCGCTCTTCGTGTTCGCGCCGGGTACTTGGACGGAGGCGTCGAACCATTTGTCTTCCATGGCTTCTGCGCTGCCTAGGACGGTGAAGCGGGCACTGTTGCGGGCTTGGAAGGTGGAGACGAGGCTGATTTGGGAGCCGGTTGCGAAGACGTCTTCGAGGGCTTCACCTTCTTCTTTCGGGTTGTATGTGTAGGCTGTGCTGGGCGCATTGAGCACGGATGCCAGTAGAGGGGAGGCATTGCCCAGCACCTGGCCTACGGCGTGCGGGAGGGCGATCAGGTTGTCGACGGAGAAGAGATTCTTCGTCTCTGCTTTGCTGAACTTTGTGCTTGGGAGGAGCAATACATCGTGCTTCTCATCCGCGCTCTTGGTGTCGTAGTTGAAGTGGTCGACCACAATGCTGTTTCTGTCGGCTGAGAGGTTGATGTCGAGTTCGAGTAGGAGGCTGTTGATGGCGCTCGGGACGGAGTGTTCGGAGGAGAGGGCGAGGAGGATGTTGGAACCCTGGTTGACAAAGTCGACGAGGAGGTTGGGCGTCAATTGAGGTCCTAGACCTTTGGATCGTGGTGGGAGGATGAGAAGATGGGAGTATGCTGGGACGCCGTGGAGGAAGAGCGATAGCCCGGTGTCTTTCGGCGAGCGGTATGTTATTTGGAAGCCTCGGTCTTCTTCCCATATTAGTATATCCACTGGTGTATCGTTCACACACCCATACTCACCCTGCAAGTCACTCCAGAACTGCGAGTACTTGGCCTTCTCGGATTCTTCCTCGAGGATGACCAGCAGCTTGTTCCCTTGCGCTGAAAGTGCTGAGACAAAGCCCAGAAGGCCTATAAGAAGGCCCAGTATCCGCAATCGCATTTTGGTGTTATGACTGAGCAGCAATGCCTCTGCCACTGATCCAATGCTTCGTCGTTCAGAAGCTACGTTGTCTTCTGTCCGCCAAGACATATGTTCTGCCCCAGGCACACACGCATTCTGCGGAGTCGTTCGGGGGTGTCTCGAGAGCTCCAACACCTCACCTCTGCCATTCAAGCGACGGCGACGATCATACGATCTCTAGATTCACGACGAGCGGACCAAACGAGCAGGGCGAAACATAAGAGTGAGGGGATAAGATGGCGCCGGTCAGCTTCTGGAGCCAGCCCGGGCAGTACATGCACTGGGCAGCACGAGCTAAGCCTGCCATCTTCTGGAGCATTATCGTGGGAGGCATAGGGCCGATTTTGATGGTGAGCCACCGAGAGGATATCGGATTGACTGTGGTGAGGAGCAATGGCTGACATGGGGACTTCCAGGTGACGGTGCCAGGAATCAGACAGAGGATTGGGGATGGACCAAGACCACAGATACCGTTGACATATCCGAGTACGAGCATATCCCGAACCCTCCAGTGTCGAAGAACGAGCGCTTCAGAGCACCAAGTGTGCTGGTACAATATTTCGCCGAGTGCTGACAGCGTATGCAGTACCCAAAGGCCCACGGCAGATACCCTCGGGCTACGACGATTAAGCGGTACAATTCTGACATGAACGGAAGACAATGAGCGGCAGAGAATCGATACTTTAACAAAAGGAGCGCGGAGAATACCTTGACCATTAGATTCAGCGAGGCACCGAGCCCACGATACGCTCGACATGTATATACCAAGAATGCGTCACCTCCGAACATGGCGGAAGCATGGCATGGCAGCATCTCCTTTCTGTCTCTTTCCTTTTCAATCCCAGCTCGCTTCTTTTGTTCTCCTGTGGTTGGCGCTCACAACAGCTATAATTGATTTAGACAGACAGAATAACAAGCTTCGAGTTCGACGTTCGCGGAACGACACCACTAGTGCGACAAGACTCGCAAGCCCCAATGTTCTCTGTGGTCGTCACAAGTCGCTCGAGGTATTGGGTAAAGCGAAAGGTACACTGGAGCATCTGGACGCCCGAGCGTCGCAAAAATCTATCAAGGTCTTGGCACATCTACTTCTTGACCACAGTGCTCAGGACCTAGGCAGGGATTTCGCCTAGTCATCAGAATTGTGAGTGATTCCAATGCGTCGTGCAAGCGACCAGTGGCAGGACGATGAGAGTTCGACATGCTGAAACCCAGTGGACTGGTACGGTTACTCAGCAACTCATTAAGGTTCGACAACTATTTAAGTTCAAGAACACCATCAGCAACCAGCCAGTGGAAGGAGATGGTTATGGCTTCTTACCACCAATACGTTTTTCGGTATGCACTCTATTGCAACGGACTCTGGAAATCTATAAAACTTGAGGCCCCCTCGCACAGAATAGAGTGGTTTCTACTTCGACTACGAACAGCTTTTCGAACATATCATCACTCGCAACTATCATCAATCACAACAACCGTCAGCACCAACACGTACCAACTCTGTCAATCACGCTCACTGTAAGTCAACATTATCATTACTGATAAACACCATCACTAACAACTCATCTCTCACAGACCACAAACATGGCTGATATCACAAAGCCAGCTCATCCCTTCTGGAACGCTTACTGGCTTCTGATGATTGACCGCAACGCCCTCCCTGTGACGTGCCAAGTATCGAAACTCCGTGGATATGATCGATGCACCACCCTCATCACGGCGAACAAGACAATCAGAGCTACAGCCATCCTCGACAATGTGTCACAGGTCGCAACTAGCATCGACCTGTACACAGAGCTGGTCTAGGTGGCAGGGTTGCTTACCTGTGACGAACACCTTTGCCAGTTCAACATCGGCAAGCTGAGCGATCGGATCTACGGTGCTTGTGCGGCACAGATGAGTCGAGTGCGACTCGGTCAGGGGTACGAGTACATGCAATACCCTCCCGGCTACCGCATGGCGATGGACATCCAGTCAGGAATCCACGTCGCCGAAATCGAGGCCTTGAACGACTCCATCACGCGGCAATCAGAGCTCTTGGCATCGATGGGGGCCGACGGGGTCAGGATCCCTACCAGGCCGCTGAATGAGATCCAGCCCTTTGCTCCTGGATGCCCTGCTCATGCGTGGTCTGCTCGTGGGTCCGACAACCCGGCGCCGACCGTTGTGCCGGGTGAATATCTCTACAACCCGCCTACTGCTCCGACATCGAGAGCCACTCAAGTCGCTGGCCACCTGGCAACACTTCCTCGCGGTGGGCCCACGCCAGAAGAAAGCCGCTGGACGTTCGAACATATCGAAGCGGCTCTCGCTGACGTCAACCTGGCCGAGAACGACGATGCGGACTCAGAGACAGACGATGGAGAGGCCGAGGATTCAGAGTACTACTTCGCCGACGCCGAGGACTCTGTCACCAACGAGCCCGTCCCGACCACCACCTCAGCCAACACCCAGCCCCTCGCCGACGACGTTGATGACGACGACCACACCCCCAAAGACGACGAATGCGCCATCTGCCGCCTCCCCAAGTTGAAACCCTGCCGTACGCCCTGCGGCCACGAGTTCTGTCAAGAATGCACCGTCAAATGGCTCGAGGAGGAGCAGAGCAAGACGTGTCCGTGGGATCGCAAGCCGTTTGCGATGAAGGATTTGATGAGGATGGTGCCGTTGGTGGGGTTGGATGTGCTGTTTGAGTAGGTTATGGGAGAATTGGGTTGAGGGTCAGTTGCGGTTCGATGGTTGTGGGCTAGGGGTCCTGACTTGGACGGCGGGCGCTACGCACCATCATGAGGAGTTTATAACGGGTCAATCATTCTACTACACCACACCAACCACGCGAGCAGTCATACCATGCGTCATAGGGGCTCGTGGTATCTCGAGGCAAGAACAATGAGAACAATGGGACAACGCTCTCATCTTACCTGGTCTTATTAACACATTCGAGTGCTTTATCAACAACAAAGAGAAGGGACTCGACGAGATAGCCTCATTTCAACGAGTCTATATCATGTTATGACCACTTCTTGCACCGTTAACATCAGCATCAGACAGCAGGTCCCATAGACAACAATCAAAACACCAATCCGAAACATCAACATGCCTCCAATTGGGGATTTCCTAACCTACAGCCGCATCCTCGACCTCCAGACCCCCGTCACAGGCGACTTCACCTGCGCCGGCACAGCTGGCCGCAACGCACACGACCATGGCCGCCGCTGCCTGCGCCTCATCCGCATCGGCGACTGGGGCGCGATTCACACCGACGTGGCTAACCTCTGCCGCGCCGACACGCTCGCAGCGGTAGAATCACACCTAGGAAACCTCGCCTCGCATGCGCTCTGCCATCAACACCAGAATCAGCGTGAGGAGATCGTGTCGCGCTGGCACCCCCTCGTGGCTACGCAGCGTTTTCTTGACGGGCAGCAGGACGGCAACGTGGTTGCGCGGAGGCCGCGGGCGAACCCTCGCGGCCCGAAAGAGATTAAGGATGATGAGATGTGTGGGATTTGCACGGAGGTGTTGACGGAGCCGGTGCTGACGCCTTGTGGGCATTTGTTCTGCACGGCGTGTTTGAAGCAGTGGTTTAATGGGGTCCAGCGTAAGACTTGTCCGATGGATCGGAAGGCGTTGGCGTGGGGTCGTCTTGTGATGGCTTTGGAGGATGGGAGGGAGGAGGACGATATGTCTGAGTAGGTTGGTTTGTCTTTCGATGTTTCCTCTCCTCTACATCTCTTTCGCATGTCGGCCGAGTCTGCATGTCTACGTGAGAGTCATATAATGCCAACCTTCTCTGGAAGAGGACTTCTGTCGAGACTCGTTGTTGTTTCCAGTTTCCATCCTGAGATACCACTCATGTAGGGAGTATAAGACTCCTTTGCAGAGAAGATGAATCTCTCTGCCTTCACCATGGATAGTCCTGAATGGCCAGTGCCACAAAGACAAAGGAGCTCGGTATGATATGAATATTACCAGGAACGGCGATGGACTCACTTCTTTGTTCGAACCACCTTCAAAGTTGATGGACTTGTCTAGAGAACTCATCCAGCTAAGTCTCCTCCAAACCTACCGTTCAAGATGGCAGCCCAAACGACAGCGCATTTCCACGCAGTCCGAGACCTCCTGGACCTCTTTAACCCCGATGCCAATAGGCTATCCTGCTGTGGCCATGCAAAAATCTCGGGGCGTCGTTGTCAGCGTGCAGCAGGTGCTATGGGACAAGAAGACCGCCTGGAGAGGACACTCCGCCCACTTTGGCTCGCTTCAACCAGTGACGATCAGGTCAGGCGTACATTGGAGCACTTGGCCACTTATTACGTCTGCCATAACCATCAGGAAAGTCGAGAAACCATCACCAACGAATGGGTGAGGAACGTCGAGACTTATCGGACGACCAACCAGGCCACTTTGACGCAACCGACGAAGGCAGCACGTATGTCTGCGCCTACAGGGAGCTCAGGGAGTGTGAAGCCTCCGTTTGATCCGAAGGACCTCCATTGTCCTATTTGCCTTTCGCCGTGCAAAGACGGGGTCTGGACGCCCTGCACGCATTGTTTCTGCCGGGACTGTCTCAAGAAGTCGCTGAACGGCAATACTGCAGGACCGTGTCCGTTTTGTCGAACGCACTTTGAGATTGGTGATGTGGAAAGGATGTGAGAGAGACGAGGTAACGTTGCTCGTCGAGATCGGTTGTCGTCGTGTTTCCCATTGTCACTGCGGAAGTTTCGAGGTACATAATACCCCATCAATACATCTTCTTTGTCAAGAGTCTCAACTTTTCCGCAACAAGCTTGAAGAAGCAATAGAAGCAAACCGTCTTACTGCCTATGTGTCAGACTAATTCCGCATATATCCTTAGTGTATGAATACTGCCGGTCTGTGAGCGTACCTACATCTGCAGAATCTCACTACCGGGCAACTGCCAGCCCAAATATGCCTTCCAATCAAGACAGGTTCGACAACCTGCTCAAGCTGACCAATCCAGATCTAGTCCGGCGGAACCCAATAGTCAGCAGACAGTGGAGTTGTGTCGCCTTGAAAGACTCACGCAGCCGTCGCTGTCGGCAACCAGTGCTCCGGTTTGAGAGAGCTCTGATCATACTCATCAAACTGCCGACCGTTTCACACAAGAGGCCGGAAAAGCTGTGGACAGAGCTCTGGGAGCTCGCTGATATCTTCGTGTGTGAGCATCACCGTGAGCAGGCTCCAGGATTCGTTGCACGATGGTATGACATGGTGGGCCTTCAACAGACTCAACTCTCCAGCCGACTGAGACCATCTTTCCGAAAGACAACGCTTTGCCGCAGGATCCAGAGACATCAACCTGTAGCATCTGCAAAGACGACCTCGTTGATCCAGTACAGACGCCTTGCGGTCACATCTACTGCGAGCAGTGCATTGTTTCTTGGTTCCAGGGTGCCTCGCATACGACATGTCCGATGGATAGGAAGCCATTGGATCTCAAAGATGTTGCTTCATGTGGAATATGTACGGGCCAGCTGTCCACGCCAGTTCGAACGCCTTGCGGCCATATTTATTGCGTGGAGTGCATACTGCCGTGGTTCAAAGGCGGAGGGCGTACGACATGTCCGATGGATCGAAGAGGCTTGTAGCTGGGTGACCTGGAAGTGCTTTGGAGGTCTGATGTTCTGATCCAACGCCGGACGGTTTGCGGAGTCAACAAGCTCGGCCGTGGACTTTCCCTGTGCATGTCCTCCCCTCTCCAGCACAATATAATTCTGATCGCCTCCAGTATATGGCTCCGCAGCAGGGTTGGTCTTATTATGGAAGGCTTGTGCACGTGCCATGGTGCATGTGAAAATAGAGGCGGCGAAAGTACGTCATTTCATCTCCTGGCGAGCCAAGTCCACACAGCTAATTTCCGTGTTCAAGCCCTCCAGCAGCTCTCTTCTCTGCAGCTCCAGCAACCAGAATACCACGCATGTCTGTCATGGAAGACGATCATCTATCCGAAGTCGCCGAGCTGTTATGCATCAGCAAGCCTGGCCGAGGAAAGTACAGATGCCTGGCTAAGATGCAGACGAAGAAAACCCGCTGCACCAACCAGATCGCCGTCCAGTCGCAACAAGAAGCATGCACCATCCTTCCCAAGATCCGCCGGGCCATGTACCTCAAGCCCGAGGAGCTGCAAGGAGACCTAAGAAGACTTGCCAAAATCCTCATCTGCCATTGCCGCAGCCACCAGCAGCAAGCCTCTCAGATCACAGATCGCTGGTACAAAATCCTGGTGTGCCGTCCAAACCAAAAAAAGTGCTCGCGCTGTTCGCACAAGTTTATCGACAACTCCTACGACCTCTGGCAATGGCCACCGGAGCCGTGGAGGACGCTCATTGCGCTAGCGGTGTATGGAAGCATCTTTGCTGTCGCAAGCTGGGGGTTGATCATTGGGATTGTTGGAGGGTTTGCATTACTCTGGGCTTTGGTATGGGTTTTGCGCATCATAGGCTGGGAGGCGGAGGGTTGGCCCGAAGAAGCAGTTCCTTGGGCAGGACGATCTTGAATGCTGTGTGCGCGCCGACAGACCGCACGAATGGTCTCGACCGTGGAGCGCATAAGATACTCAAGGGCCGTCGATCATGTTGAAGATTCCATGAGCAGACCAGGAGTCTGCATTTTGTGGGCTTGGAGTCGTACGCTGCAGTTGGAGGATGCTGTCGGTGTCGGAGCTGTGGACTACTGAGTGGCGCGCTGGTCTATGGATAGAGAGGCGATAGTTTTGGTCCCTGGTGGTTCCAAACTTTCTTTCTCATTCACCTGTTGCCGTCTCCATCTGTTGCAAACGTGCCCTGAGGAACCCATTTGCCACCGTACCGCATTGGCAAACGCCCGTTTCGTGCATCCTGCAATCGTTGTGAATGCGCTTTCTAGATCATGCAAGATGAAGCCAGTAATTGGAGATAAGGTAGGTCTCGTAGATCGCTGGATTGGAAGCCCGAAGGGCTACGAGCGCTCCTGCCAGAAGGATGATTCGACTAACAAGGTACACCGCTGGCGGAAACACTTTCAGTAAGGTCCATGGATCGTGTCGCCGTACCACAATAGTCTCAAACTGCATGAATACGATCATGCTGACTACTGATGCGATGGAAGCACCTCTCCATAGCCACAACTCCAGCTCGGAGGGGAATGATCCGTTCCAAGATACGAGGTGCATGGCCGGAAAGGAGACTCCAAACAGACAAGTGATTGGCCAGAGCTTCGAATGGTATAGGTCTGGGTCCCAATTCGAGAGAACAGTGTCCTGCGAAGCGTTGGATGATAGCGGTTTTGCTCGACGTAACTTCGGTTGGCGGCTGTGCTCCAAATATTGAATATGTTGCTCTGCCGTTTCTAGAATCACCCTCCTCTCAAGATCTCTCGCTTCCTTCTCGAATACTCGAGGTGTGAGATACCAGATGGACCACAACGAAGTTTGTCGCTCTGTTCCTTCTTCATCGAAGTCTTCACTCACGGCCATCGACTCGAAAGCCTCTTGCTGTTCCTGCGTCATAGCTGGTAGTTCCATCTCCGTCGGTATTTCCACGTCCTTCGGTTTGAGCCACCAGAATGCGTACGATAGAGCAAACAACGGCACATAACCCAGTGTCATCGATTCGATTGGTGCAAGAGGCAGATCGTGCGCAGCTCTGATGATGCTTTGGACAACAAACCACCCAACTTGCACAAGAGCAAATAGCTTGGCTGTTCCGTCGGCATTGCCTCTATCCTTGATATGTGCCGATGTAAGAGCACAGTCTGTAATCGTTCCTGGCCTAATTAGGCCTTGCTCGAGGAGCCAGATGAATTGGTTTGGCCATACCACTTTGGCCCCACTCGCTGTCCGATATCGAAGGCCGAGCATGCCAATATAGAAGGCCTGGACTAAGTCCAAGTGGCCGTGAGTCGTTCTTTCAAAGCCTTTGATGGTTCTTCGCGCCTGAGTCCACTCCTGTGCACCCTCTGCAGCAATGAATTCGGGAGCAATCAAGGTCTTGACGAAGAGTGCCAGCTTGTGGAGTATTCGAAACTTCTTCCGTCTATCGACCCTTGGGTGAATCACCACCCAGGTACAAAGGAAGGTGGTAAGGACGCAACTCCAGAGTAGGGTCATGGTCCCGCGGCCAGGGGACTCAGGTATCCAGCCCACCAGCTTCCCAGAGCCAGATGGGACATGGGAGCTACAGTTCTGGGAATTAAGGCATGCTGCGTTTCCGTTGTAAGTCGTCTCCATCGCATAGCCTCAGGTGTGTAGACAAATGCGAGCACGAGGTAGAATCAGCCATCAGACCTTTGGATCTTCCTAGTTACAGAGCGTCGTCGGATCCGCAGAGGCGCCCATGCGGCACAGTAGCAACGGCGCTTACATGCTGATCCAATATTGGCACTTGGTCAGTAACATGGCGGACGTGCCATGATGGTGGTAGGACGAGTGTGAACGGTTCTCCTCGTGGCCGATTTCGAGGGACAGGTTCGCTTGCAGCATATTGAACACTTCAATTCTATGCATTCCAAGTATATCTATGTGGCCAGAAGCGTGCACGGAAGATGGATACTAGATCGATGGATGAGATGGCAGGGAAAGATGATGGTGAGACTGCAACCAAAAGCCACAATGTGCGGAGCGTCCCGAGCGGCCTGTGTCGACCCATGTCTTTTCCCGACTTCAATTGTTTCTTCTCCTTCGTGCTCAACCATATCTCTTACGATATTGTCGAGACGGTGATGTCTGTAACTTCTCTCAAATATGGCGCTACCGCTGTCTCGGTCCTTGCCGCCTCATATATCGGTCTGCTAGGCTTACTAACGACAACATGGTTCCAAACGCATGTGGTCTACTTGCACGCCATTCAGATGACATGGTTCAAAGATTTGGACTTCCCAGAAATGTTTGGATTCCTGCACAATCAAGTCACACCTTTCAACATTCAGTCGGGCAACTCTGAAAACCTATATGCCTGGCATGTCCTTCCTGTCGGGCTGTACCGCATGCACGAAGAAGAGCTTCTCGTTGAGCCGGCTGGATTAGTGAAAGACTTTACCTCTCGACCGGCCTTTCGTTTGCTACGAGACGATCCGGAGTCTCTTCTGGTGATCCACTTCCATGGCGCTGGCGGGACAGTGGGATCAGGTTACAGAACGCCAAATTACCGGGCCCTGTCTGCAGGAGATCCCGATAAGCTCCATATCTTAACCTTCGATTACCGGGGATTTGGTCGCACTGCTGGTATACCAACAGAAGATGGAATCATAACAGACGCTCTCGCCGTCGTTGACTGGGCGCTGAATGTCGCATGGATCCCTCCCTCACGAATCCTGATCTTCAGCCAATCCCTTGGAACAGCCGTAAACACAGCTGTGGCCGAGCACTATGCCAAACAAAGACCTGCCACCGTGTTTGCCGGCCACATACTGGTGGCGCCATTCGTCGATGTCCCAACCCTGGTGTCAACATACAGCGTTGCCGGTACCATCCCAATCCTCGGACCTCTGGCCAGGTTTCCCGTTGTCTTCGACTACCTTCGCTCGTTCATCCGCGATAAGTGGTCGACCAAAGATCGCATTGCAAGCTACGTGCGCGAAAATGAGGCCACCGAGAGCCCATACCGAATCACCATGATCCATGCCGAAGATGACTACGACATTCCATGGCATCATACTCCCACTGTGTTCTGGCATGCCGTCAGTGGTACTTTTCCGGATAAAGCACCTAGTTTGGAGGAGCTAGATGAGGTGAAGGCGTCTCGGAGGAAGGACCTCGGTGCTGCTGGCAGCGTCGTTGAGTGGAGGACCCAGCATGGTATCATACGAGAGGAGATCCTGAAACACGGCCTCCACGACGTGATCATGGGCAACCCTGTCATCACCCTGGCCGTGATGCGGATGTTTGACAGCAAAACGGACGCCGCCGATAGCGATGAGCCTGTGCCAACTTCACCCAACCATGAATGCAAGCTACGTTCGCGGAAAGGGGAGGATATCATGGGGCGCCGGCGCATGTGAATGGCACTGTGGACCATGTTGCGTCACCTCCTCCACGCCTGAGGCACCTGGCTCCTCACGCATTGTTGATGTCCTTTCGCCACGCTTGCAACCCTAATCTTCACCTAACATACCGATCTCTGACGTGGACGACACCTCCCACCTCCAGTTCTCCAGCCCAGCGATGGAAAGCACGGCGGACGTTCAGCCTTCCGAATCGCGCCTCTCCAATATCGTCCAGCTCCTGCAGATCGTCGGACCGAGCTCTGAATCCCATCGATGCGTGGCCCATGTGGACACCAGCAAAGTTCGCTGCATGAACATTGTCGACTCTTCTGAACTTACGGATGCATACGCCGCCTTACGGCAGCTCTGCGCTCCCGCACCTACACCCACCACGCCACTCAAAATCCGCAAGCAGCTGAAGACCATCGCTACCAACCTCATTTGCCATGATCCGAAGCACCAACGACAAGCCTGGCAGATCGCTCACCGCTGGAGGGAGGCCTTGACTAGTCACACAAATGGAGAGACCTGCTCACCCTGTCCGCACGTCTTCCTTGATACGAGACCGATCCAAGAAGAGTGGCCTCCGAGACTGTGGAAGAATTTGGCCATGCTGGTAATATTTGCTTGGCTTTACGGATTTTCAGGTTGGGAGATGGTTGCAGGGCTCATGGCGTTGATGGCTATCGGGGCCGGCGGGATATGGGTCATGGATGCTGTTGAGTTGGGCGAGTGGGAGGACTGGTTTGGCGAACCTGGGCCTTGTCTTGGCCTGTTCTAAGGTCCGAAAGGTTATTGCGGCAATAAAGGGCGCGAGGCTGTGTGTTGTCGAGAGGGAGGGGATACTGTGAACATGGCATAGCCGCTGGAGTGGATTGGATGGGCTCTGCAGGTTTCATGGGCTGGGTTTGGTGGTGTCTCGCTCGGATCTCGAAGAAGGGTCCCGGTCGGAGGAGGTTCGACATAGAAATTTGGATGCGACAAGATTAGAACCCTGAAAGCTTCCGAAAGTCTCGCTTGTCTAGAGACAAACAAAATATCCCGCATGTGATGTCCATATCAAGCTTCAAAGTGGCGACAAGAAGCTCTAGCTCCAGCAACCCAAGCTTCGCTCACTCCACGTCCATCCCCAACCTCATTTCTTGTTTGGTGCATCTCCGCTCTTACAATCTTCATCTCAGTGTTTGAGGCGGCTAAGGCCGTAAGACTTCTCTGAAGCAGTGGCCTGAGCGACACGATCAGCTCAGAAGCATGGCGTGACCTCGTGGCTGCAATGCCATGCCAAGATTGGCCAACGACAGACAGCTGAAGCGAACCTCTCCAGACCATGTGTTCTTGAAGTGGAAGTTCCAACAGCTTGAGACCTCTGAGTAGTCGTCAAAGATGCAGATAGGGCTTGCGGTCTCGCCAAATGGTGGTGGTGTGGCTGGCGTAGATGGTTCAGCTGCTGTGCCATTGCAGGTGAAGGTGTACCCGGCAAAAGGTATAAGTATGGCCAACAGAATCGGGTGACATCCTGCACCCGTCCACCAAATTCAGCAAGCTCATTCCAATCTCTTCAAGCCAGCTTCATCTCGCAGCAGCACCATGGCTTACCCAACCGTGCAAGCCTTCGTCCATTATGGCTCGTGGGACGACGAGACGCGCTCTCACCCAGCCATGAAGTACGTGCAATAGCAACTCCGCCCCAGGCTCGAGGTTTGGTGACAGTCTGTGCCTCCTTCAGATGGATGGAGGACTACACCAAATCCGTCGTCGATTCGAAAGCCTGGCAAACCGATACCTCGCCCTTGGAGCACCACGTCAGTCCAACCCGACACCTCATCCCACACCTCTTCTTGAACTGACAACACACCCAGACCCCAGACTTCCACCTCCAACGCTCCAACGGCACAATAACCCAAGGTGCCGAAGCCGCCTGGTCCGCCCTAGCCGAAATCTACGGCCCCTTCGCCGCCCACAAGCACGACCCCGAGTTCCTCCTCACCTTCGATGTCGAGGACGGATGGCGCATGATCGGCGTCGCGAACGTTTTCTTTAAATTCGCAGGTAGTGATGGTGGGGCAATCACGGACCCGCAAGGCGAGAAGTGGGATGGTGTTTCACCTGCGGCGTTTTCGTTTCGTTATGTGAAGGAGGGGGAGGGGATTAAGTTGAAGGAGACGAAGATTTTTAGTGATCCGAGTCCAGCGTTGAAGTTGATGTTGCAGGATGGGGCGTTGGATGGAGAGCACTTGGTTGGGATGCTTAAGGGTGCTTGAGCTGGCGTTGGTGGTATGCGGTGTCGTAGGTCGACTTTCAATGTGGTGTGATAGTCTCTGGTCGAATATGATGTGAGGTCTCTCAGTTTCTCGGCAGCAAAGGTGCTCTGGTGCTCTAGCATGGTGAGTTGAACACAGATCATCATCGTCATGATAAGAAAATGGCAGGCAAAAAAGCAGTAGACTTGCTACCAAAATATGGAGGCATTGCCATATTCATTCACTCACTAATGCTCGCTCCTCAATCCATCCCCGGATCCTCCGTCCCCTCAACTTCCTGGATCCTGTCTTGTCCAGGCATCTGCCTGGTCCTCTCAATCTCCTCCATAGTCTTCTTCCCCTCATCAGTTGTTGCATCAATCACACCTTCTTCCAAGCTCAACATCCCGCCGTTGCCGAGCTGCTCGACAACCTGTTCCGCTTCGTCTACTGACATCTTGCCTAGCACCTCGTTCACCCGGTCTAAGCTGCCGCTTTCGAGCGCTCGCTGAAGGCCGGGCGGGAACGTCTCGAAGATCTGTCTGCTGGTGCGCTCGTCGTCTGATTGGCATTGGTCGAGCGGGGGTGGAGTGACGATGTTGATGGTCGTGCCGGGATCGACGGCATGGAGTTGAATCTGCTCCTTGTCTCCGCCTTCTTCGTCGCGCTGTTTTGCAAGCTCAGCCGTTCGAGTGCGGATGCGGGCGTAGGTGTTATTGACATCGTCCAGGAAGAGCTTTCGTGCTTGATGGCCTTGCGTTTGGATGCGCTTGAAGAAGAGGCCTACACCGTCTTTGCCCAGCTGGCGGCAGTACTGCAGCAATAGTGCTTGGTGGACGCATTGTCGTGCGTACTCTTCCTCTTGCTTGGATGAGGCGTTGCTTTGAGCATTGAAGGCTTCTACCAGCAGACCATCCGTCTCCTTCTCCGCCAGGATGTCCGGGTGGGAGCCAATGAACTGCAGAGATTGGTTGTAGTCGCCATACTTGATCTTGCCGAACTGCTTTGCCAAAGCTGAGGCTTCCATATCCTCTTCATCCTCGCCAGGTGCTACGTTCAGCGCCCCATCCTCGATATCCGCCTCAGACCCAGGTGTCTGAGCTCCAGAATCAACAGCCGGTCTCGACGGATTCAGCAACTCCGGCTGTGACGACTTGCTCGTCTTCGCCGCCGCGGCCGCAGCAGCGGGCGCCGCCTTCGAAACATGCGAGCTGTCAAACCCAGTATGTATCGACTCCGAAGTAATCTTCAACCCCTCCTCCTTCTCCAGCTTGGTGAGCTCCGTCATCAAGTCCTTCTGCAAACCCTCTACCTTGGTCTGATGCCCACCTATACCCGTAATAAAAGCTCCATACCTCTCCATGCCCTCACCAGCCTTCGCCTTCTCCACGTCCGTCTTCACCTGATCCACCAACGCGCCCATCATCTTGCTGTAGCTCGGCTGCTCACCTTCCTGCGTATGTACGCCGTCCGGCGGCATAGGCGGCTGGTCTGCACCCAGACTTCCATCACTACTCACGTCCATCAAGGCATCGAACACCACCTCGTCCACCTCACTTGCTTCTTTCTTGCTCTCAACATCCTGCTTGTGCGATTCGAGAGCTTTAAGCAGGGCATCTATTCTCAGCAGTAGCCCATCATTCACCACCCGCTCGTATCTGAGCGTCGTAATGCGGTGCTTGCGCTGGAATCGCTCCTGGTGGATTTGGTTCTGCTTGGCGCGGATGAAGGAGCGTTTGTCGACGTTCGGGTGGACTTCGATGTCGCTGTCGTCGGAGAGCTCGAGGGCGTCCCATTTGCTGTAGTCGACGGGCATGTTGAGGGTGTGTAATGGCTGTGTGGTGTGGTATGGTGCACTGAAGGAGAGATGTATCCGATCGGCTTTCTGAGGAATTGAATCTTCTCGAAGCTCAATGCACCCCACACATATCCCGACCCACTCAGTACGGCAGACCAGATAAACAAGAGGGGTAAAATCACATGCATCAAAAACAGGAGATGGGACGACAGTCTATCTATTTGTACTCTATTTCACCAGATAAGAGTCCCAATCCTGTAAGCGCAAAATCATCGTCCAAGTTCCTTGGGTGTCAGATGTCTTCGTACCACTGCCGTCCGCACAAGTCTGCCAAAACATCTCCTTCACGGCAGTCCAGCGAACAGCTCAAGCATTTTAGGATAATCAGGCGTTCCGAGCCCAGTCTGTTCAAGTGATGTCAGCGCAAACTATGTCTTTGGTAGCAGAGTTTTTCCGAAACGTACCACAGGATCCCACCCAGGCGTAGCCCGAAAACCAGTCGTAGCATTGCACTTCCCATCGCAGCAGACAGCATTGTTACCAATAGCAATGTTTTTCAACACACCAGGATGTTGATACAACACCAGGTTAATGAAGCCCAGCGGGCCTTTGCTAGCTCGAAGGCGCTCCTCGACGATGCGGTTGAACATCGCCGCTACAATGGGTGTGGAAGCGCTGGTGCCGCCGCCTTCTCCTACGCCCGTGATCCAGGGGGCGGGCTGTGCGATGTCGACTGAGACTGCGAAACATCAGCACTCTCGTCCATGAGAAGGAAGCAATGCACTCACCAGCCGCAAGGTCAGGTATACCCCGTCCATTCCTGTTGTATAACCCCATACTCCCATTCCTCCACACCCCGTCAAAAGATGGCAGTCCCGTATCATTAACCGCAAAATACATCTCAAGCGCCTGCTTCTGATACTCCGGCGACCCAAATGTTTCCGAGAACCCTCCGCCGCCAACATACCCCTGGGAGTAATGCAGTGTACCATTCGTCCTCCATGTCTCGTACGTATTGGCGGCTTCCTCGGGGTCATTGACCCCTTTCCCTCGACCGATCTGCGTGCCGCCTACACTCGTGACCCAAGGACAGGAAGCTGAGAAAGCAGGGGCGAAGGTGCTATGGCCTGGTTTGGCTTGGCAGATGGCTTCACCGGTAGTGGAATTGATGGCGCCGGTGCCCCAGTCTTGGGAGCAGACGAAGACGGAGACGCCTTGCAGGCCGAGCTTGAGGAATCAGTCCCAGTCGAACGATCAGTGGCTATTGTAATGGGGAAGCGCTGTGTGCAAGGCTCGTTTCCTTACTCGTTACACTGCCGCTCCTGCCACATTGGCGGATAGTCGCGTTCGTACCATCCGTATGAGATGGAGAGGACGTTTGGGGGCTTGAAGATGCCACACTCGAGTTTACCTCCCGTCGGGCTGGTCTGATCTTTGTACTTGCAGTAAGAGCCGTCGATGGCGTCGAGGAAGGTGTTCATGCTGTCGGTGTCGTTACGGGTGATCTCGGCGAGGGTGGTGTTCCTTGTGGCGTGAGAAGAGTAGGGAGTCTGGAACATGGTGATGTTTTGAGGATAGACGATGGGTAAGGCGCAGGCTACATCGAGGTCGGCTTCTAACTGCTCAAAGACGTAAGGCTGATCGAAAGTGCTGTTGTTCCTGAGTGCCGGGAAGTCTTGGGTGCCGTTGATCTGCTTGTATCGCAGCTACGTGGAATTATCAGTATCATGCGGGCATGCTTTGAGGGTGAAGTGGACGTACAGAAGTCCCGACGGGTATATCGGTCATCTTTTTGATGAACCGGGTGATATCGTCTTGTATGCTCATCTTGCCTCGAGCGTACATACCCAGCGAGTTGTTGCAACTGACTGCCTCATATGGATCCGCAAGCGGAAGATCATACAGCGCCCTAATGCAAGCTGGAGTAACAAGGTCATGACAGTCCTCAAGGCTGGAGGAGTTCTTGGCCGTTGCTCCAACTGCAGGCCCAGTAGCTGTACGGCGGAGATGTTGCGAACGTTTGGTTGTCTCTTGGCGGGAAGACGACGTCGAGGAACGATCTCGCTTCCTTTGACTCCGGGGGTCACGTAGTCCACATATTGTCTGACATGTTCTGGTAGGTGGTACTCGTTGCAGGCAGCTTGCAGAGATCCATCAGCCAGAGTGTGGGCCTCGTACTGGGTTTGTAAAAGTGACTCTGCAAAGTCCGAAGAGGCTTCAAATGCAATCCAGAGCTTATTGTCGCTGTGAGTGAAGTCCAATACGCCTGCCGAATGTAGCCAGCCCGTAACGTTGCTAATAGCTTCGTCGGAAGGTGCGAAGGCTTCAACAATGTCGTCCTGAGACCAAGAGCTGCCGTAGTCCTTCGAGGCGGGATTGGAGATACTCATAAGCCATGCTTCGGCCTTTGCAAGTGCTTCTGGGTTCTGCTTCAGGCCTATCCTCATGGGCAGTACGGTACGCTCGTGGAGCCGCCTTCGAGCGACCACATCGTGCAAAGGTGTCATTCGTTTCTCGTGAGGCGTTCCAATGGCTTCGGTTGATGAGAAAGCTAACAAGAGAGTGGCCCAAAGGCCAAGCGAAGAGAGCGTCTTCATGCTCTGGCCTCCCAACGATGGAATACGAGGTGGTGGGAAAGGGTAGAACGTTTCTGATTTCCCAAAGCAACAGCGTACGTCAAGCAGGATTATATACTGAAGTCGTCCTTACCGGCCGCGTCGTAGTAGCATTGGCACAGGGGATGTTATACTGTTGCCTACCTAGAGATTCCATATCTCTGGACGACCACCGGGCATCTACAGCAGCATAACAAACGCTCTAGGGTTCAGATGGCAGTGATGTTTACCGCACTTGAGGTGTCGCTCGACCAGCTCATTTGGATGGCCGCTGCGATGTATTGTTGTACCTCGACCAACGTGCGGCTCTGACATAAGGCAAGCGGCCGCGACAGGCCGGATGGCGTTCTGGAACAGCGCTCGAGGCGCCACACGCATCTCTTGTGGTGTGCTTTGTACCGGCGACGCCATGGTTGGAGATCATCGTCGCCGCCGTCGTCGCTTGCACGATCAAGGCCCCTTCGGCAGAGGAGCATTCTGTCACGGTCAATGTGTGTTGTCCAGACAGGAAGAATGAAATGAGATGAAAAAGAAAGCACGAGCAGAGCGCCAATGATGCACAAGCCACACGGATGGCTGCTGCTGATCGACAGAGAGAGAGAGAGAGCCTTTGACCTCTTCCGCGGCGTCCAACCACACCTACGCCGCCGAAGCTTCTCCCACACAGGTTCCCGTCTCCTCTCCGACCTCATCCACTCCCTTCCGCTGCAGCCTTTGTCACTACTGCTTCACGTGCGCTGCTTCGTTGTCACTCCTTGCTCTCCTTGCCTCTTCGGAAGCCCTGCCCCATCCTTCTCCGATCCCTCCGACAGATTGTATCATTCGCGTTTCGCCAATAGAGTTTGAGCAGCATGATGATGTCGCAAACTTGTTTCCCATGAGTCGCTGGTGAACATACAATGCGCGCATTCCCCTTGAGCCTCGACAACACCATCTACCGAGTCTCAATTTGCATCTGAAGCTGCCTCGAGCGCCAGTGATGCCCAATATGTTCTCACGGCGGCGAGGTAGCTCCGCCAATCCGGTACAGAGCAACAACACCTCTCAGCTTACGTGTATGACACAGCACACTAACAGTCAGCAGCCGATCGATCGGAACACCTCTACGAACGCAACCACCGCAGCCGCCCAGGCCTTCCTCCAAAAGTCCACATCGACCGCCTCCCTTTCCTCGGCCGCCGCAGCGGCAGCACTTCGATCACAGACCGCATCGCCAGAGTCAGTTGCAGACCTACAAACGAAGCGCATGGTTCGGCGGAACTCAGCGTCTTCCACCGGCAGCGGCGCTGGCAGTCGCGGTGGTGTGACCCGGGGCGGCCTTCAGCGGACGAACAGCGGCGGGTCTATGACAGAGCGCACGTTCCGGAGTCCATCACCTGGACGCACAAATGGCACCATGTCACCGAGATCGCCATCTCCTACCGCGCCGCCTGTGCCCGCTTTACCCACCACTGTTCACAAAAGAGCTTCGAGTATGGAGCCGCCGCAGCGCGTAATGTCGCCTACACCGCAAAGTGGGAAAAGAGGTGGAAGCGTGGACCGGGCGAGGGCCCCAGTGTCTGTCAACACGCGGCCAACACAGCAGCTGACCAACGTGGCTGAAGCCGAGGGAGAGTCTCCGACAAGTCTGTCGCGTAACTTCTCCCGGCCAATGTCTCCCTCAGCTGGCTCTACAGCCACCAAGAAGTACACACACAAGGCAGGGCCATGGTTTACCGGAGGCGCGACTCCCTCGCGACCCACCACGTCAGAGGGGCTATCGAATCGTAGGTCTGCGCCATCACCAGTTGGTACCTACAATTCGGACGAGGCGGATTCGGTCATGGTGTACGACCCCAATACACGGTCGTTCGTTCAAAGATACAAGCCCAAGCCCCAAGACCCTTCACCGACTTCGCCTCCTACCTCGTCGAAGCCAGCGCAAGTGTGGGACCCAAACACGCGCTCGATGGTTTCAGCTTCTGCAGCTCCGCCAGTTCCCGAGCGAGAAGAACCATCGCATCCACCACCGGCACCGGTGGTCAAGAAGGCGCGTCCCGTGCCGGCTCCACTCAACACAGAGATCGAGCCACCACCTCGCAACCCAGCTCGACTTTCTCCCGACGCCTCGAGCCCGCGGTCACCTAGGGCAGCAGGCACTCTTCAGAAGCAGCCTTCTGTGGTCAGAGAAGACCCAGAGGCCGAGGCGCAGGCGGAAGATTTGATTGAGACAGCGAAGCGCGTCGGCGCTGCTCCTGTAGTATCGACGCCATCTTCTGCTCCCCCCAAGGTCTACCATCGAACCACTACACCGCACCAGCGAGCTACTAGCTTAGATGTACCGAGGACGACTGGCAGCAGTGGACGTGGTAGGAATACGTCGGCGAGTCCACAGCGATCGGCTCACTTCTCAGCCACACCAGTGTCAGAGTACGAAAGGCATGAGCCGCCACCAAGAGACATATCTCCGGCTAAGTCTGCATTGAAACACTCGCCATCCTCATCGGTCCGCACAGCCTCTCCAACCGCTGTCTTCTCTCCATCAACAGCAGCCGGCCCACCGAGCGAGACCTCTGAGGACACCCAGTCACACGATGGCTTGAGCAACTTCAAAAAGAAGAAGAGCGTTCGTGTGAGCTTTGACGAGCAGCCGAAGGAGATCGACTCGACCACTGTGACTCCAGCGCCTGTGCGTAACTTCGACGACGAGAACGACGACTTCAACAAGCCGAGGCCTGCTCTGCCGTCTTTTGGTAGCGTTCGGAAGAATCGTTCGCCTGAGGTAGCAGAGAAGGTTACCGAGATGCCTCCAGAACGCCACGAAGCGAGCAGTGATCTTGCGATTGGTGGCATACTGCGCAACAATCAGAATCAAGACCCACTGCCACCAGAAGTGACTTCCAAGGAGGCTTCTGGGTATGTCAGCGATGAGAGCAGTGATGGTGAGGTGCCTGCTGTGGCGAGCGCTGCAGCACCTGAGCCTGCAACTGCTGGCGCTGGGCAGGACGACGATGCAGGCGGGACGAAGGTCAAGGACTTCGCACAGACTGCAGAGGCCCAGCAGACACCGAGAGAGAGTTTGGATGTGCCGGAGATTGCACTGCAGCCGCCTACACCTGGCATCGACGACGAGACAAAGCGCCAACTTGGTGAGACGGAAGAAGACTTCACGCCTCGCCCTGAGCAGCGCAACTCCATGGAGAACATCAACATCCCTGGTGGCTGGGGTGATGAGTTTGAGAGCGATGATAAGAGCGTCGGCGACCAAGCTCCTGCTCAACCGGCTCCTGTGGCTGAGGGTCCTGCCACACCCGCACGAAGTGCATCTACCGAAGACTCAGCTGCCACCCAGACGGTGACGCCGATAGAAACACCAGCGATGCATGCTTCGCCACAGACTCTCAGCGACATCAACGAGGACAGCGATGATACCGACGAAGCTGAATTCAGCGACGCCGTGGAAGACCCGTCGGATCTCGAAGATAATGGCGGGTTTGCCAGTCTAGATGCCATTGTGGAGTCGCCGATGGTCACGTCTCCATCCATCGACACGAGAACGAGTGCATCCGCCGCCGACGACGTTCCGGAGAGCCCTTCTACCAAGCCGGCTGCCAGAGCGGCCGAGCGAGCCGAAGCCAAAGAGACTGCTCCCGGGAACTGGGACGAGGCTACGTCGTACTGGTCGCAGCTAACCAAGGAGAAGAGACAGCAGATTGAGCGCCAGCACATGTCCTCGGATGACGAGGCAACGCCGCCGCCAGCGCGCAAGAAGGCTGTTGCTGTGAAGACTGGACCTACTGGATCTGCCGCTGCTGCGCCAAGGCCGAAGCCCGTGGGTATCTTGAAGCAACCTTCTCAATCTCAGCCCGTGCCAAAGCAGGCTCCATCGCAACCAAGTCAGGCGCAGACCACAATGCGGAAATCTATGAGATCTCAGCAACCCCAGGCTGCGACTGACGACAGTGTACATCTGCGGAGCTCAATGCGTTCGACGACTGGAAGCATGACTTCTCGACCACGGCAGCAAGCTCTTGTGGCAAGACCACAGTCTGCTTACGTTGAGCCCCGTGGTACTCTGCAAAAGAAGAGCATGCGGCCAGTATCATCTACTGGCGTGCCAGACTCCTCCAGCACTCCCAACCAGGGCTCATCGTACCCTACGTTGCCAGCGAAGAGAAACACTGTGCAGGGCAAGCCGGAAGCGCCCCAGGTCAGTCAAAGATTGCAGCGGGAGTTGACGAACGACTCGGATTCCGAAAGCAGCTTCAAGAAGAAGAGGAAGGGTGCTGCAGGAGCAACCGGCGTCGATCCATCTGGGCGCTACGCAATGCGACGCAGTATGCGTTCCGGCTCCATCGACTCGCAGCCCAGCGTCATGAGCGCTGCGGAGCCCAGGAGGCCCACTTCACCGACCAATGGACCAGCGCGCAACAGGGCCTTCAGTCTACGGTCTCTGTCGCCCAATGGATCATTCTTCGGACGAAACAGGATGGAGCCTGCCAAAGGTGTGGACGCTGGACCGAGGACGACTTTGCGTGCTCAGCCAGCTTCGAAAGCGCCGCCAGCTAGGACGACTTTGCGATCTACGCCTGCACCGGCGCCTACGATGCGTGCTCAACCTGCTTCCAAGCCGGCTGCTAGCTCGGCTCCTAAATCGCGCTTCAAGTCTCGATTTGCGGACTCTGATGATTCGGATGATGCCAGACCAGCTCGGACCTTCAAGAGTCGCTTTGCGAATTCTGATGATTCGGATGATGAGCCTGCTCCTTTAAGACCTGTTCGTGGCATCCCGCGCAAGCAAAACCAGGATGACGGCGACTCCACGGATCTGGAAGAGGAGGACACAGTCCCGAAAATGGCGACGGAGAAGCGGCAGAAGATGGCTACGCCGATGGTGCCTGATCCTACCGATGTCGAAAAGGCGATGGCGGCTGCGCGGCGCAATCTTGGTGTCAGTGAGAAGACGGCTGAGCAGGACAACCGTGAGGGTGATGCACTACGGAAGGGCACGTTGCGGTCAACGGCGGCAGATGAGCCAGCTTCCACTCCTGCTACCCCATCAGAGCAGCCGGAGCTGAAGAAGCGTGGTTTCATGAACAGCATCCTACGCCGCAACCGCGCCAGCTCTTCGTCGGTGCAGCGATTCAGCCAAACCAGCGTGCCACCCTCGCCAGGTCCAGCCACTCCTCAAGCAGCGAACACCCCCACGGTGCAGCCTGCCACCCCGGCCAGTCCATCGCCCGGCAAGCTCGTCCGCCGCAGCTCCGCTCAACCTCAACAACCCCAGCTCAAACGCGGCGACTCCACCTTCTCCAACGCCACCGCACCCATCTCTTCCCGCGCAGAGGACTCCAACAGCGCCAACTGGCCCCTCCCCCCACCAATCCCGTCCAACGAAGACGACGGTGTCAACCGCGCCACCACCGACGCCGCACGCCCCAGCACTAGCGACGGCGTCTCACAGGAAGCCATCAAGCTCGCGCAAAGCATGCGTCCGGACCTCGCGCCTAGGAGCAAGAGCGGACAGCAGCTGAGCAGCAGCAGTTTCAGGGAAGAAAGGGCTGAGAGGAGGAGTGTGAGGATCCAGGCTGGAGAGGAAGGGAGCGAGCCCGGGGAAAGGCCGAAGGATCGGCAGCCAGGGGAGATTTATAGTCGACGGACTGGGAAAAAGAAGAAGTTTGGGATGCTGAGGAGGGCTTTTGGGATTAATGATTAGATTTGAGCAGGGGGAGGGAGGGTTGTAATGTTGGGGCTAGAGCGGAGGGGGTTGGAAGTGGTGTTTTGATTGAGTGTTGATACCCATTGTGGCGCAGACGCCGACTTCTTTTTGCTAGCTTGTTGTAGGATGAGAGGGCAAAGTAATATCAGTACACATGGTCGCAGTGCCGACGAGATCAGTTCTAGGATTCTCAATCAACCGTGGCTGCTGAGATATGTACCTGAGCTCGATGAGCAAGCGATACCGGATAGCCGACCCCTCGCAGCAAGCATAAAGTCAAATAACAACATCTTGCCTTGATCAACTCTCCTGCCGGTCATATGCGAACAGCGCATCAAAAGAGGAGCGGCCAACCCAATGCCTTCACCAAACGGCCTGCCGGACTTGCCATTACCCTCAGGCATCACAGAAAACTACATCGACTGCACCCCCTCCTGCGGCCTCAACTTCCACATCCTCAAAGCCGGACAACCAGGCAAACCTCTCATCCTCTTCTGCCATGGCTTTCCCGAACTCGCCTTCTCCTGGCGCAAAATCCTGCCTTCCGTAGCAGCAACGGGATACTTTTGCGTGGCGATGGACCAACGTGGCTACGGCCGCACGACGGGGTGGGAGAACAGACCGTTCCATGAAGTTGACCTGAACGAGTATACGATGACGAATCTGGTGCGGGATCTGATATGTCTGGTCTATCGGCTTGGATACACCGAAGTCAAGTGTATTGTTGGACATGATTTTGGTGCTGTCTCCTCCGCCATGACGGCGTTGATGAGACCGGATATTTTCAAATCGACGATTCAGATGAGCCATCCGCATCATCAACCTCCGCAGCCGGTTTTTGGTGACGAAGTGCCGAAGAAGAAAGTGGATATTCAAGCTGAGCTGGCGAAACTGGATCCGCCAAGGAAGCATTATAAGTGGTATAATTGCACGGCGACTGCTGCTGGGGATTGGGATAACCCGCCGCAGGGTTTGGAGGAGTATTTGAGAGGGTATTTTCATTTGAAGTCTGCGGAATGGGATAAAAATGCTCCGCATCCGTTGAAGGAGTGGAGTGCGGAGGAGTTGGCGGTGATGCCGGAGTATTATATCATGAAGAAGGACGACACGTTCCCGGAGAGCGTAGCGAAGACTATGCGTGGCGAAGATGCGAGCAAGACAGAGCGCTGGCTATTCCCCGAAGCACTGCAGGTCTACTGTAACGAATGGAGCCGCACAGGTTTCCAAAGCGCGCTGAACTGGTATCGCGCGCAGACGGAGTCGTCGGAGCAGGCGGCGAAGGATATGTTTATGTTTGCTGGCAAGAGGATCGAAGTGCCTTGTGCTTTTGTCAGCGGCAAGCAGGATTGGGGCAACTATCAGCAGCCGGGGGCTTTTGAGGCGTATGAGGATGAGCGGTGCGTGAGGCCGGGGTGTTTTCGCGGGGCGAGGTTGATTGAAGGGGCGGGACATTGGGTGCAGCAGGAGCAGCCGGAGGAGGTTGTGGAGGAGGTGCTTGGGTTTCTAGGGAGCTTGTGAGTTGGTATGGTGGTTTTGACACCAGTGAGCCAGAGAGGAAGAGGAGAAGGCTCTATTAGCAGAGCCGCCTGAGGCACGTGGTTCAGCCCTGGTCTCGTGATGTTCTTATGGCGCCGTGTCTCAGCAAAACCGAGCGGTGTTCTTATTGTAGCGCGCGCGAAGTCCTGGTAAGGCTGGCAAGGCGTCAAATTGGATGCCTCTTTTAGCATGAGTTTCGTTAGGCGCCGAATCTTCGGCCAAGACCAGTTGCGATTGGTATGCAATCATGAAACGTAAGAACTTCCATTTACAGCCAGGAGGTCACTCCTACGTTTCATTCAAGGGCCAACTGGTATGTATAGTGCGGTATTGTCTTCCAGTCTTGAGTAGAAGCTCAGAGTTGCCTTTCGAGGTCTTTTTTTGTCGACGGAGTCTTGCTACTGGGGAGGAAGTTGACGACGTGGTCTGGATGCATACTACAAGAGCACGTTCACCTCTTCGGATACCTTACTGGCAACATCGACCTCGATGACAACGTTTCTCGGTCCGGCCGATGCCTTGCACAGGCGTAGTGATGGCTTGCCTTGGGAGACATACAATCTATTGGACAGATTCTGGGACGCCATCAGTGTCCCGATGACAGAGCCAGTCAATAATAGAGACAGCCTGTGCAGTGTCGAGGACCTCAGCTTCCAACATGATCTTCTTCCGACGCCAGAGATCTTCGCCAAAAGCGGCAGTGCTCACATGATCAACATTCGTGCATTCCAGAGGCCTCCGCTCGATCAGCATAGCCAGTTCGACGGCAAGGTTCTGTCGTCGCCTCCCGCGACCTTACCACCCACATCTTTTCGGTACAATGCTCCAAGTATCCGCCTACAGCACCCCGAAGCTGCGCCTGCACTGCGGTCGACAATAAGAACTGCTTCACCCGCTGCTCCGCCACCGACATCTAACAGGACGACCACCAGGCCAACGGTAGCCATACCCAACCGCGACCATCGCCAAAAGTCAGCAGAATCCGGTCCAGCCAGTGCATTGCTCGCCCTCGCCTCGAATTTCCTGGGCAACATTGTCAAGATCGGACAACAACCTCGAACCTCATCTCCTCTCGTCAGCAGGCTCGGGAGGCAGAAAGAGGAGATCCGGATAGTCGACTCAGAAATCCTCATAAAGGTGATCGACGATGAGACCTTCCGTCAAAATCGGGTCAGCTACCCAAGTTCTGCTGGCACCGAAGCAAGTGAGAAGCCGGAATGTCTGACTGCGTTTGAAGGAGACGGTGTGTGGTCGGCTGGTACATCGCACGTCCCGTTGTCGGCCGGGTGTAAAGAAGGCAGTGCACAGGAGATTGATGCGTTGTCGAAGATGAGTTGGGAAAGGCAGTTGATGAGGGCGCAGGAAAGTAGTTTTTCGCAGTCAATGAATTGTACTCTTTAGGAAGCAGTCTGGTTATACAAGTGTTAGAATCTCAGCGTCATCATCTTCATGGTCGGCCATCTCTCCATACATTGCACCATCGTAGTAACACTGTCCAACGACGACGAAAGTCCCGTCCGAGCGTGCTCTGAGGACAACGGGCGTCCCCGAGCCACGAAGGATGGCAACATTGTCTCCCTTCTCCGCCAGGTCCGGCCCTAGCACGGGCCGTCCACTGGCGCAGTATGCTATGCGTCTTTGCTACTGTACTCCACTAAGCTCATGCAGCGTGTGGAGGGTTGCTCCGTTGGGCAGCGCATCAAAGTCTACCTTCTCCGAACTCGTCAACACAGATGCAACATCATCCATCTTCTCATGATGGGGTGGCCCCGAAGGCTTGGATCGCCGTTCGATAAAAGCTGTTCCCAGAATTGAAGGCATCAATAGCTGCCCATTGGACTCCGTCCATCAAGAGAGTACGCAATGTTGCCTTCATGGAGGTATGATCATTCTTCATCGCGCCTCGTTCCCTGAACTCCATCATGAACTTTTCCAAGGTTGACTTCTCCCTTGGCAAGTTCCCAGGATGGGATTGAAAGTCGACCCCGATGCTCTGGGGCATGGTATGCCGAAACAGCAGGCATTCTTGGATGCACAGCAAAGCCTGTGAATGATGCCGACACACTTCCAGCACACTTGCAGGCCCCCTTTCTGACTTCCCGCCCTCGAACATACTCAAGAACGATATGTGGGAGATCGTGCAGGCCGCGCGGCCAATGTCCGTTGAAGGTGCTCGACTGATCAGTCTAGATCTTGGGAAGGATTCCATGGTTTGAACCCGTCGCCGAGCTCTTGCAGGTCGATAGCTGGCATAAGGTTGGATAATGCAGAGATGACGGCTGAGATCCCGGCAAGACCTGAGATGTGGCTTCTGCGCCCGTCATCTGTACGGCTGTGATGCCCTTTCCATAGGGCGGCTTGTCCAGACCGGCCCCGAGGCTGTTCTCTTGGAGGACTGAGAGTTGATGATATCGTCGCCATTCAACTTGGGCCTTCGACGTTTTCTAGAAGACCGGCACAATGCGTCCGTTGAAGCCGACATGAAGTCGATGAGACGGCAGCACGGTCCACGTTGGCTTCAGACCTTATCCGGCCTTTTTGCTCCGATTCTCCTTCCCTCCACTCCATCTCAGCCTTCGCCGCGCCGTGGACAAGGAATTCCTCTCGCCATTATTGAACCTAAATCCAACCTTGGAGCCTGGTTCAGAAAGCAAACGGCCAGGCGCCCATCTATCGACTAGGATAGCCAACGAATAGCAGAGCCCCAACGCTGTACAGCCGGCGCCACCATGCCGGCAGAGTAGCTGGCGGCTAACCACCCGGACCAACGACAGCGGCGCTACGACACCTACTTCGCGTTCGCTCGTCATCCCGCAAAACATCAGCTACGAAGACCGTTGCGATGAACCTCCTCCAGCGAACTCTATGCCTACTTCTGATGCCGCGTCGTATACTCCATGTCATCTTCCAACCACACGCGGCAGCGGTGGCAAAGGACCGATTGGATCCCCCGGGATATGGATCCTTCCCCATGAACACCTGCCCTTAGCTCAACCCAACCAACGCGCGGAGAGCGCTATGCTTGCGCATGTAAGTGGACGCTCTAAATGAAGTGCATGTCTTGAAACGGCTACAAGCTCTCTGCTCGGGCGATCTTTGCTTGATTCCTATTATTGCATGGATAGCTTCGGCGCAGAATGTTACTACATGAATGACCGTGCCGCCAGGTCCAATATATACGGCATGAGAAACTGACATGAGCTCGTGACACCCACCTGAGGGTTACCTGATTGTGCGTCGTACTTCCAAGCGTTTCTTTGGCGGCTTTTTCTTTGCTCCTTTTCTCTTCGTCTCACTTCTAGGCTGTCGGTCGCCGGGCGACATTGACAGCGTACGACTTCTTCCGGTCTGTTGCACTACATCGTACGTGGAGCCCACGATCCTGCAGGATCGTACACCGGACTGGGACGAGGGTGGTTGCTTGTCCACATCACTGGAAGGGGCGGCCACTTTGTTTTCCACCGATACTCAACCATCCATCTTTTGTTATATGGATCAACTACGAGGAACGCAGACCTCGCCTGAACCGAGGACCTCAAACGGAGAAGCGACGGTGCCGCCGTGGGAGAAGCAAGACCTCGCACAAGTCCCACACCTGGTTTCGTCATCGCCCAAGTTGTCTTGTTCGGAGAGGGAAGCACTACCTATACTATGGGCGACACGATCGAATTCTGTTTGCGGCAGACGACTAAGCAGAACCGCACACCCTGCCGGCAGTGCACCATCATCACCACCATTAGGCCACGACCAGAGGATAGCATCAACACTGGTACCGCACTCGTCCGATCCACCTTCCACAATGGCTGCGCGGTCGCCACCGACTCCGAAAGATGACGAGTCATGGCCAAGCACATCGGCATCTCCGTCGGACTCTCCACCCACCAGGCATGCGATCAGTCCTATGGCTGGCACAATGTCGACTCGAGACACCCACGCCCAATCCCTGACACGCACTACTGGAAGTGAGAGCAACGGTGGACACCGCCGCAGCAATTCCACAAGACTTCAACGTTGGAAGTCGGTGATGAAGGACATCTTTGTGCATCATGAGGTCGAGGAGGAAGAATTGGAGAGGATTGAGAAAAGACATTGGACGGACGAGACTTAATGGAGACCTGCCGAAGCCTGGGGACCAGGAGGAAGATTAAGATGCCCGGTAATGACGGCAAAATATCGAGTTGCCGCTGAGTGAAAGAACGCCGATCTTGAGCTGTTACAGCTTACCGCGGACCCTGAGGTCATTTTACCACATCTGAAAGTCGGTCGAACTACAATCCGGCATGCTGTGCCCTGGGCTGAAATCGATTGCTTGGATCAACAATGCATACATTTGTAGAAGCTGTGGGACGCCTACTCGAAGGATGGGAGGATATGTTAGACTTGAATAGCTAACGCAGACACTTTGCACATTCGCCACGAGACACAGAGACAAACGGAATGAAAAACTTGCTGCTTAACGAGAGTTCCACTGTCCCCCGGCTCGCCAATGGCTAGTTCTCTGTCATGTACGTCGATACTCTTTAGCCTCTCGACAAGAGCCCGTACGAGCTCTGGTCCAGGATCATGCCATTTTACCGGTCGAGTCAGCCGCATGTTCCATTGTTACGATGTGGTACATTGGCGCGGTTGCTCACCCTATGCCACCGAGGCAACCCTCCCTGGAACAAGCAGCACACGCTCAGCCCCGAACACATGCTACACCATGGACAGGCGACGTAAAAGGGTGCAACGTCCTCTCGATATGTCCACACTAGAAACCTAGCATGCCCTCAAACGCCTTGCAACACCTACAGCAGCCTGTGAGTACATCTTGCTCGAAGTCTCAAGAGAATTGTCCATACCAGACACGAAAATCTACACCATGTCTCTATCCACCCTTCGCATGGCCGTGATAGCCCTTGCAAGCTCCCTCACTTTCACGGCAGCCCAGGACGACTGGGGCGACTTGGTACCAGAAGGCCAGATTGCCTTGTGTCAATCCCAACAGTGCCTTCTTGGAAGCCCAGTCCCCGGCGGCGCCAGTGCTCCAGATTGCCAGGCGTTGGTCCACAGCGTCCTCGGACCGGGCGGTGATTCGCTCACGGACACTCTCGGCGGGACCTGTGCGAGCGACTACACGACTGAATGGGTTGTCGGATGCGATTCCGCCGGAGAGGTCACGCTGGTCGTCCACGAGGACACGGAGTACTATACTTGCGAGGCTTCGGTGGCTGCGTGTCAGGTTTCGGCGTTAGGTCTGGCTACTGAGTATATTTCGAGGACTCATATATGCCATCCTGGAGCTTGAGGGATAGGTGGTGGCAGGAGTCCAAAACCGCGAGAGGAAGGAAGATGACGCCAGACTGACCACGGAAACATTCTTTAACCGAAGTTGAAGCACGAGAAGTATTTGCTGGGGTTTTGATTCCGACAGACTGTCAATATCATCACAGCGTAGCTCTGCGGTAGCCACAACACTGTTCGTTCGCTCCATTCCACTGTGGAATCTTGACTTCGTACCTCATTTGCTTTCGATGTTGGTATTGATCGGGCCTCTATACGTACCACATGTAAGCCATGGGATGCCCTACGTGAAGCACAGACAACGTGGGGATCTTGAGCTTTCTATATCAGTGCACTAAAGGGGGTATATTGCATTCTGGCACCCATTTTCGCCGCCCAAAACGTAGGAGATTCGTCAGTATTATCGTATCCAGGGATCGGCTGTGCGCCTTGTCGCGCCTCGCCCAGAGCTAGGGTCTGTTCCCAATGAGCGTGTTCATGCTCGATTCCACCATGCTCCGCCTTATCTCCCTGTACGTCTGCCGTGCCTCTGTGGCGGCAATGCCAGTGGTGTTGGTCTCCAGTCCATCCATTGTTGTCGCCAGTCCGACGAACTTGATCGTCTGAACGCAGAGACCTGTGCATTGAGCTCGAAAGCCTTCTCCACCGATTGATGCCCCTGCACACGGAATCCTCTGACGTCTCCTCTGTCCACGTCATAAGCTGTCTTTGGCTAGCATCTCAGTCCTCCTCGGCCCAATGTCGAGGCACGATCCGCTCCAACTCCGCACCATCGTCCTGTTGTGTTACGAACATGTCCTTCATGACGGACTTCCAGCGTTGCACCCTTGTGCTTGAACTTCGACGATGCTCGCTCTGCTGAGGATCTGTATAAGGACGTGCGTTGCGCTTGACACGGGAGTTGTTGCGGCTGGCCATCGTGCCCTCTATTGGCGCCACGGCATTGTTCGGCTGTGCTGAGTTGCAGTCAGGACTGGCAGTAGCGGACCGGGAGTCATTGAACGGCGGTGTTGGAGGGGAGTGGGCAGAGTTTGCTCCGAGTCTAGGTGACTTGTGTATCGCCTCGTCGTATGACGTTGGTGGTGACGGTGGTCCTCTAGCAGTGTCGCTTGGTGGCTGGACGTCACTGCTGGCTCGAAAGCCTGTGGGCGAGCATGTCCGGCTACTGAGCTGTTGTGTACTGGATGACGATTTGGAATGCGCGTTCGAGACAGCATTCGACTGCATGGCCCATAGTGTGGGAAGGGCTTCCCGCTCCGCGCAAGTCAAGCTCGGGGAAGTAGAACCCATGTAAGGCACTTGGGCAAGGCCTTCCTTCTGCCATGGTGGGTTAGGTACGGTCTCGGTGCGCGGCGGATGAGTTGCGTCCTCGCTGATCTTCTGTTGGTTCATCGAGAAGGCTGTGGTCATTCGATGATTACGGGCAAGTGAATGAGTGGAATACAGCTGCGTAGACTGTAGAAGTAGTTGGCCCGACCAGGTTCAACTGAGGCCTGCGAGATGGGGGATTTCTCGTTCGCTTCGTCGGACAATGACCAGAAGAGAGTATGACGCAGCGCCTTGTACTACAACCTTTCTTTCCGAAACACAATGCATACGAAAACAGCCAAGGAAACGGTGACAAGCCACAAAGGTCACACAACATGAGAAGGAAAGAAGGAGATAAGTACCAGACGAGAAGGAGAGAAGTACTGCTCTGCCGCAATCGCGGACAGCATACACATGAGCCGGCGGCACAGCATATGTTGGTAATTCGTACTACCTTTAGCACGCTGCTGCACGCCGGCGATCAAGACGGTAGTGGACCTTGCTCGCGTGCATCCCCCGATACCCCAGAGAGGCCCAAGGTTGTTTCAAGGAATGCAAGCTGTTGGAAAGGCGGATAGACAGGCATATCCAGAGCGACATGGCCTAAACGCTAAGGGCAGATGTTCATGATGTGGTCTTCTCATGCCAAACTAGCCAATCAACCCTCAGCCATGACTGCCGGCGTTGGGCAGATGTTGTTAAGAGCTCTGCGCTTAATCCTGGAGGAACGTTAGCACAATGCAAATGGTGCTTGGTGAGGAATCCAACGGCCTCGCTTGTGCGGGCTGATAGCTTGAGATGAGCGGGCGGTCTTTCCTGGGTCTTGTTTGGTCCGGTTGTGTAGCCGCCGACAGTGCTGTCCACTCTGCTAGGTTGGTAGCGCTGGAGATGCAGTCGTGCTGTCTCTACAATTGGCTCTACGGCAAGAGGATATAGTTCGGCGCTAAATCAGATAACGTGGCCCCCGATGGCGCAAGATGTGCTGTTCGAATACAAGTACAATCTGTCGATGGGGTCATTTCTCGTGTTGCTCTCGCGTCAGAAGCGGAAGCGGAGTTGTGAAGCTGATCACGTGCACAGGACCTGTCTATCAACGAAAACAAGCACGAATTCCCGTCACTTTCTCATTCAGAATAGATATATACCGGCAGCTCTCTTCCAAAAGACCACTACACCCAGGTTGTTGCACACATGGATTCAGCGAAGCTGGACCAGATGGTTGTTCAGGCTTCTCGAAGATGAAGAGCAGAGCTTCCAGCGTCCAACTACTAGCGCTCGAACTCCGGTGCTCCCTAACATAGAAGCTGCAATCGCCCCTCCTGGAATTTCAATCTGCGTATCCAAAATCTATCGGTTGTCGACAGACAGGCGCGTTCATGGTGCCTTAATACCGCAAGGTCGAAGGGCCGGATCGAAGTCGATGCCATGGCATTGAGAGACCACCTCGGAGCGAATCGAAGTTGCATAACGTCATCCCCCAGTCCAGCTCGTTCATATCCAGGAATCATACAGCTGGTCCCTCGCTGAGGCAGCACCCCCGGGCTTCGGCTTCTTCAAACAACTCCTGAGCTCATTAGCTTTCGGCTGCACCGTCGTCACTGGAATACATTTCGCCGCATCATCATGGGAGGCTTCCAAGCGGCGTGAATCTCGATGACCACTGAAGTTGCCCCGCCTGCTTCTGTCGGGCGTAAACGAGCTTTCGAAGTCAACAATGTTTGCTTCATCTGCTATGTCCGTGTCGATGGGCGTGATGGGTGTGGAAGGTTCCGACCATGCAGAATCGACTAGATCATCCAGCAGGCCGGAGGTCAGAGGCTGTTGGATGTCTGTGCCCTGTTGGCCCAAATTGTTCGTTACGGTGAGCGTGCCCCGATGAGAGGGTTGTAATGCGGTCGCAGCTCGTCTTCGCCATGATGGGACGGCCGGTGCGGATGAAAGTGAGGGTAGTACAGGTCGTGGCTTAGGTCCGAGGACAGACGGTGCTGGTCTAAAAAGGCCCATTTGACTGTATCTCGACGGTGGCCTGTACGTGTCCTGGTGACTCCTTGTATGTTTTCGAGGCAGTGCTGAAGCGGTATTTTGGATACCCATGACAGACTGTTCGGCATCGGACGCTGTAAGACGTTCCATCTCTCTGAGTGCCATTTGGAAGTAGTCGTCCGTTTCAAGCTCAGAGGATTGATGGAAAGCCGTTCTTGGTGTGGTGCTGTGGCTTTCGAGGCCCAATATCGGGAAGACCAACGGACTGGTAGCACTGATCTGCTGCATCTCGGGCACGAACGTCTCCTGTAACGTAGTCTCAGGATCTCGCTGACGGGCTCCGTCGTTGTCATCCGCGTTGTCAGGCTCTTCTAGCCGAAAAGCAGCCCAGAAGTCACCTTGGAGGTACTCTGAGCCTCGCTCTGCTCCATCCGTAGCTTTGACAGTCTCTGAAGTTCGGGACGAAGTTGACATGACTCTTCGCCCTGGTGAGAATCTCCCGCTGCCGCTGCCGCCGCCGCCGAATATAGGTGATATTGGACCAGAAATGTGTAGGCGTGTTTCAAGCTGCAAAAGACGCAAGAAGGAAGAACAAAGTAGAGAACTAAGACAACATCAAACACAAGGATGACAAGCCTCAAGCTCGACTTACACAGCAGACAGTTCGCGCATCGATACGCCTCTGAGCTCAATATGGCAGCAGGCCAATAGCGGATCAGACTCATAGCTCATTCGGCGCTTGCGGGCTACATCTCATGCGATACCCGGTCGTCCAAGCAGTCAGACAAGGCTGTTCTGCCAGACTGTGCCGCATACACGCAGCTCGGTGAACGTTTAGGCATCCTCGTTGTACTGGACGGCAGCGAGACGACGTGGCGTAAGACAGAGTGATGTCCTGCTCAGGCGATTGCCACCCACCCTGAGCCATAGAAGCTTTCGACAGGAGAGTGCCATCGTTAATCTGTACGGCGTGGCGACGACGTGGTTGATGTAGCAGCCTTCCATGGCGGATGGAAGAACAGGCGGAAGAGATGCCGTCAAAACTCTGGATCTCCTGATTGGTCGTCTCGTGTCCAGTCAAAGTTCAGAAATCCAGGCCGGAGCGCCTAGCAAGTTGATCTCCACACGACCTGGGCGCTTACAGTCGTGTCCCAACAGGGCAGCTGCTGATCCTCGTGGCCAGCCGGTCGCTCGAATCACGCCCTCTGCACGCAGAATGCACTCCCTGGGACGACCACGCCAATCGCTGCGCGGTATCGTGCCAAGGATGCACTCGGGATGGGACGTGACGGCTGAAAGAGGTCGTCTAACGGACCTATCCTTACCTCTTGTATACTCCCAGAGGACCTGAGTCGACTTCTGAACTCTTGAATCCTCTTCAGCACGACTTGGAAGACCCTAGGAAACCAACGTTGCCTTGAACGCCTCTTGAATCGACCGCTGCGACGTCCCCTCGACAACTGCCTCAGCCCCAACGATCACGAGTCTTCTCCTGAGGGCGCTCGTAGTTCGGGAGATTGCAAGACTGGTCGCATAGCATCGGCAGCTTGGACGGTGTAGTCGCAAGGGGACAGCATACCGAACGCAATAAAGATGTGGAGACTGGCAGCAGCAGTCGCGGTGTTGGCGACCTCGAGTCTGGTGGATGCGCATACTGTGCTTACATACCCGGGCTGGAGAGGGAACAACCTACACACAACCGGAGAGGCGCCCCAATTTGATCCAGATAACATCGGCATCAATTACAACTCGAACAATGACACCTACAACTTCCCGTACGGCATGCAGTGGATGTATCCATGTGAGAACAGCTGAAGCACGGACACATTGGGTCAGGAGAAGACTGACAAGCTCGCAGGCGGCGGCATGCCAATGAGCAAGAACCGAACGACGTGGCCAGTCAAGGGAGGAGCAATATCGATACAGCCAGGATGGTTCCAAGGCCACTCGAAGGCATTATTTTACATCAATATGGGCATCAATGGACCCGGTCAAGTAGCTCCCCCGAACATGTCCCATCCTCTGGTTCCACCATTCCAGCTACTAGGGCCGACGAACGAGGAGTACTCGGGGCAATTCTGCTTGCCACAAGTGCCCATGCCCATCAACGTCACGCTAGGCGTGGGCGACAACGTGACGCTGCAGGTGATTGAGGTCGCACAGCACGGCGCGTCTCTATACAACGTATGCATACCTCCTTTCAATTGTTGGACGCAGAAGCTAACGTTTTGTTGCAGTGCGTCGATGTCACACTGGCAGAGCCCGAAGACGTCAAAGAAGTGACTCCTCAAAACTGCTATAACAGTTCAGACCTTGGCTTTGAGCTGTTGTTCACGACCGCCGCACTCAGCAACAGTGCATCCAGCATGATCTCAAGCCCATCAACATGGCCGCTGTTAGTTGTAGCCTCTGCCACGGCAGTCACAATACTGTTATGAGGTTTCGGGGGGTTTTCTTGAACTGCATTTTCAGCGACATTTTGTTTGGCCAATGCTTTCATCTGGCCTGCCCGGAATCCTGCAAGGGCAAAGATTTCCACGGGCTTTATACCCATACTTGTACGATGGCTTCCAAAATGCTGCCAATGACTGCATTCTAATGCTCGTCCTTCATCTCTCTACTGCAAAAACCCATCCAAGCCGCATGGAATCTCATCCAGGGCTAGTGGCGCGGATCGCAATGCCGTAGAACTCAGCGGCAGCGCAGCGCTTGTCTACACGCCACGGATGTCTTAGCATTGGTGGTCTCGTTACACCGTATTACCTCACGAGTCCGGCGACAGCACTTGCATCTGCTTCTTGGCGTTCATACCAGGATCGATGCAACCTGTATCGCTTAGCCAGTCTGCAGCGGGCGAGTATTTAGTGGCGTTGCGGCACAGTTGCTCTCCGAGTACGTATCTTCAGATGTCAGCCCGAAAGCCAGTGTTTACACCCGTTTAAGCGCCGAATAAGCTACGTGACTGGGTTGTCCTCGCTTAGCGGCCCATCGACCGAAGGTGCTGAGAGTCGAGAATCAAAAGACGTCCCGATTTGGTACCACCATCAGACACGTCAGTCGTGTCACGGTCATGGCGCGCTTGAGGGGAGTGGTCTGGTATGTGAGGCCATCTTCCTCCTTCCTGCCTCCACTGGATCAAACGGAGCTCATTCTTCGCCCTGCCTCACATATTCCTGGTACGTTCATAGATTCTCCAGCTGAATACGCATCTCACTGGAGCCCGGACTAGTCACGCAGAGTTGGCTGGCTAACGATCTGGACATTCATCGATCTGCGATCTCAGAACGCCTACGAACGCCGTGTTCTTCTCTCAAGCACATCAACGTTAAGCACATCAATATTACGGCATAGCAGAGCGCGACTGGTACGCCTTCGAAGCTTCGTCGTCGACACCCAAAACCTGCAATGGCGAGCACTGCCGAACTGAACGCCATGCGTGACTCTAGTGACTGCCCCGCTCGACCAGAGTCTGTGAGATCCGATGGAAGCACTCGTACTGTGTTCAAGGTCTGCGCTGAGGATGAAAGCCCAGGAGCACAAGCCGCGATCCCGGAAATGGCGCATGGACAGGAGCAAACCCCTGTTGTGATTGAGCTCGAGAACGATCCGACAGTCGTTGTCGTACCGCCGAGGCCAAGCTCTCATGCTGTGTTTGATCCAAGAGAGAGCTTGTATCGTTGGCAGTACCCCGTGCAAAGCGCATACTCATCTTCACCAAGCTCTGCTGCTGCGATGCCTATGACCCGACTGGATACGTCCGTTGTGCCGGCGACTGTTAATGTCGTCGAATCTCCAAGTCAGAGACGGAGGAGAGAACGTCGTGGAATAGGCGTTGAGCATGCGGGAACCTGGGAAAGTCCCGTCGCCGAATCACTTGTGGTCATCGACGTTGTTGAAACACCGAGAGGCCGCAGAAGCAAACGTCGCCCTTCTCCGAACCGGCGAAAGACTGGCGAGGTTAGCGTTCTGGCGGAGTCTGACAGCGACGACGAGGACCAAGTCGAAAGTATAATCGACGTTCGAGGGCGTCAGAAGAAACGTCCATCCGAGCTGCGGTGCTTTGCGGTGTCTCAAGCAAAACCAAACGGGCCGAAGAGGGCATACCCTGGGCAGACTCCCATATCACCGGCAGCGGGCTCGACGTCATTTGACTTCAGACGTATGCCGGCATCGCCCCGGTTCTCGAAATCAGTCGGCCAGCAAGGCGAAGCTGCCTCTGAGGCTCGACGGGCTTACGATTTTATTTCGACGCCGATATCCCCGGTTCCAGAGGACTGGTATGGATAGCTTCTATGCCTTTGATCTTTGGCTCTTGGATTGCTGCTCATAGGCGGTGGAAGGGCCCCAAGATCAAGACGGTAGCACAAATTCCACTCCGAGGAACTGGATTTGAGCTCAAGATTGCCAACACGAGGGTGAGCGCAGGAACCTGCTTGGCCCACTGCCTCACACTGTGACTGGCCTTGCTAAGTCGATGGAGAGACAGTCCGGTGCGGCTGGAAACTGGTTCAGGAAGGCACTCAAGCAGCACAAGCTGTAGTATCGCTGCGATTCGTTTATGCAGAGCAACCAAGACCGTTAAGCGCCGTGGCTGCTGTCACGTGATTCTCTTCAATGCATAATCTTGCACTACCGTGAGCGCTTAGGCATTCCTTCAGCGCACAGGCACAGGGCACATGACTCGAAGTTCCCCTTCCCCAGACGGCGGGGATAGTATAACAGTTTGAAGGTCGTACTCAATGGAGCTCTGAGGTACTCCGTTGACCGCAACCTCCTGCCCTACCACCTTCCAACACTTGAGAGACTGCTGCGCAGATACTCCCTCATACTTCCCCATACTCGACATCCTCTACTTCTTCCTCAACCATGCATAAAAGTTCAGACCGGTGACAAGTGCAGCGTCCTTTCCTTGTCATACGGTGTTCCTCCATTTTTATCGGCGTTCAGCGACGTTCTTGGCCCAATCATCCATTCGAACACACATGCCCTCGATCTCATGGCACCCTTACCAGTCCTCGACAACGAATCTTTGGGAAGACAATTCGACAGCACCGCCATTGGGAACAATCTCCAGCATGCCACCGCTCTCATATCTTCTTCAATGCGCTTTGGCATCTTGATTCTCGCTGGCCTCACAACCACTGCTGCGGCTGTATACTATCTGCATCGATTGCGAAACGGCCCTGGAAGCCTGGTCTGTCCAGCAACTCCGTTGATGGTGTACGACTCCACGATATCCATTGACTTCGAAGAGACCGCGGACGACGATGACTGCACGTTCGGATCAGATGGAAGGAGATCCTTCGAGACCATCATATCGATGACGACTCCCACGAAACTCACCTTCGACATAGGCGGTATCATGCCGTTCCTATCACGACGTGCTGGCGGCATCCTCGATCGAAGAGGCCAGGCCACGCTCAAGTGCGACACAACCGCCTATTACGAGACAGATGTCCTTCTGATGGCAACGAGGCAAGCACACTCGCCCATCGACAGGAAAGCGTGCCGCGCGCAAGTGGACTTTGTCGAGGATGTCGGGAGTCCATTGACACCGTTCTGGGCTCGACAGGCTGCTGCGCTGAGTCCACGCGGTCGCTCCATGTTCGGGTTTGGCGCTGAGAAGAATGCACTGAGGAGTCCGACGTGGTCACGGAGAGCCGTGGTACGGTTGACGCCCAAGTCCTCGTGGGATGGGAGACCCTGTCAGACGCCGTGAGAGCACCGTCGACTGGCGATGTGGAGCCATCTTGTCGAGGGCAGTGTGGAAGATTGCTAGCAAACCGCATGTGTCTATGTTGTATATTAGCCCGGGGCCTGTGTTTGGGTTTCATGCTGCCGGAAAGGCTCTGAAATGTAAAAGTCATGACCACGAGCCAAACGATCCATACGTGCCTGACTGGGTGATTGTTGCTGCTTGTAGCCTCATCGGGTGTGAGGCTGAAATGCTGGTGCGCTTGGTGAACTGGTCATCCTCTGGCAGTTTCTGCCTGTCGAGAACGAATTGAAGGTGATGCCGTCGGCCCCAACAAGTTACCTCGAGCGTGCAGCGGCGTCTATCAGCCTGCATGGGTCAGACATCGAGGCCGCCGGGCTATAATGTCTTTGTCACTTGAGCGGTGTTGGTGACTACTCGAGTTCCACTACAATGAGAAGACGAACGCGAACATCCGTCGATGCGTCGTCTCAAAGGAGAAATTGCATTGAGAGAGACACGGGCCCAAGCTTTGGGCAGCTGACCTCGGTCGACCTTCATCAGCCTCGCAGCCCTCCTCTCCTTCAACCCCGCCGAATCACCGCTGCACAGCTGCCGGTTACGCTTGAGTGTCCGAGTCCGAGTCGACGACGGAGTTGCGATGGCTATATAAGGTACAAGCTACCATTGTCCTTTTGCTGAAAAAGTAGGTCTTGTTGTTCCATCAGTATCTCTCAATTATGGCTGCTCCTACGGGTACTTCATCCTTCAAGGTCGACGGCAAGACTGCTATCATCACGGGTGCTGGATCAGGTAGGTCAGATTGGGTAGACATATGAGCCTTCAGGATCTGGTACTGAACAGTCACAGGCATCAACTACTGCTTTGCTAAGCTACTCCTCTCCCGCAACTGCAATGTCCTTATTGCCGATCTGGCCCTTCGTCCTGAAGCTCAGAGGCTAGTGGACGAATACACAGGCAAGGACGGCAAGCCTCGAGCGGTCTTCGTCAAGACCAATGTCACGCTCTGGCCCGATCTCTCGAACATGTTCGATCAAGCGGACAAGGAATTTGGCGGAGCAGATATTGTAAGACATCCTTCTCAGCCTATGACGGCCTTCTAGCTCACAATCTCCCCCTACAGGTCTGCCCCGGCGCCGGTGTCTTCGAGCCGCCATTTTCGAACTTCTGGATCCCACCCGGTGATCCAAAGTCCAAAGATGATCCATCAGGAGAGAAGGGATCTGGGTTGGGACACTACGGCCTTCTCGACATCAACGTTACCCATCCCATCCGGACGTCTCAGCTTGCGATATCTCGCTGGCTGAATCCACCGAAAGACAGCAAAGTCGGCAAGGCCAGCCCTATGAACCCCAAAAGGTTGGTCCACATTAGCTCTATCGCCGGCCAGATGCCAGGGTTCCCAATACCTCTCTACATCGCGAGCAAGCACGCTGTATCCGGGTTCGTACGCAGTCTCGGTCCATTAGAGGAGTCCCTCGGAATCCGCGTCAATGGCGTCGCTCCCGGCATCATCAAGACTCCGCTGTTCACAGATAATCCGGAGAAGCTAAAATTGTTTGACGAAGCTTCGGACACTTGGGTAATGCCGGAGGAAGTAGCAGAGCAGATGCTTCGTTGTTGCGAAGCTAGCGACGTCACTGGTGGATGGATCCTCGAAGTGTTGAAGGATAAGTACCGGAATGTTGAGTGGCAGAATGCGCCTGGTCCCGAGGGCACTGGATCTACCGTCAGCAATACTGCGGAGATGGGCAGGGATGTCTTTGATTGGTTGGCAATGCCAGGCTGGGGCACTGTGCAGAAGTAGAGTGTGGTGATATCTATCGTTGTGGTAAGCCAAAGCTCGGGTCACGTGCGCTTAGCTGAAAGTGAATGTAGCCAGATGCTAAACAAAGCCTGATCACATGCTGACCGACTTCACCTCTACATCTACCCAAAGTACCAATACCCTTCCGTAACTACACAGTGCGTCAACGCTATACGATGACACAACCAAACTGCCCTCTTCTAAAGCTTCCACCGGAGATTCGCAATTACATCTGGACCTTGGCCGCATTGAAAGAGGCTCAGTCGCATTCCACGAAACCACAACATCTCACTGAGTCAGCTCTCACGCAGACTTGCTCTCAGATCCGAACCGAAGCACTCTCGATCTTCCTCTATGAAGTGGACCTTACGGTCACGCGCTTTCACAGCTCTGCCGACGTCAAAAAGGCTGTAAGCTGATTCACTACGATCAGTCAAAATGCGCAATGTGCTCAGAAACTCACCATCCACGGCAGCATTGGCCTCCCACGCGCCCTGCGCCATCGGTTGCCGCGCGCATACTGCATCGGCGACTTTGACACGGGACTCTCTATCGACATAACTGTGACAAATGGACATCCGAGGTTCACAGTCGTGTACTCCATCAAGGGCACCACCGAGGGAGCCTCGCCTTCAAGATTGGCGACGGAAGTGGCAAGAGCGACCGCCTTACCGCTGAGATTCGGCTGTTGCCTATCCACGGGGATGGATAAAGACATCGATCGTCCCAAAGGTCTAAATGTCGAGGAGTGGCTCATCATGTTGGAGAGGTTGTGGATCTACCTTCGAGATTCTGGTGCGCATTTCTGTGTCATGAAGGAGCTCGAGCGTACGACGCGATACCGAAAGATGAGGATCGACTTTTTCAATCAGTAGGAAAGCACAAGTTGCGCGTTGAAGTAGTGCGAAGATTAGATGAAACCAAATGGCCGGGGTTTGAGGTCAACTGGAGCGACCATGGGGTGAGTTGACATCGACTGGGAGCATGGCATAGCTGAAGTCAGTATGCAACATGGGTGTCTTCTCGTGTGGAGAGGGACAGAGACGGCAAGTCATTCTGAAAGTTAAGCTTCAAGGCCAACTGAGGGTCATCGCCGCTTGCGTCGGCAAAGCGTTTCATCTGATCATGAACCTGGTAGCCACAGTTAGTACGTTCGGGTCCCGCACGGTCTGCCGTAGTACATACCATCTTCCATGTTCCTTCCCAGATGCTTCCAAATCCTCACTTCGGCTCTTGCTGTTCGGGTCAAAGTAAGGAACCTCACCACACCCAACCGCTCGATTACCCGCACGGTCTCCCAAACCCATAAAGTCGAAAGTCGCACAGTGCTTCGTATGATCAGTATACGTCTCGGAGAACATCAAGGCGTGCCTATGAGATGGTTAAGACTTACGAATGTGCATCTGTTATCCCAGATCGCAATGTCGTTCGGGTCGTTCCAGTGGAACCTGACCTGTAAGTCGTGGTTGTCCTTGAGCAGCCTCTTAAACCAGGAAAGGAACATGTTGCTTTCTTCTTCGGTAACACCGTTGATGAACTGGCAGTGCTGTCCAACGGGGTAGAGACTCTTCCAGCCCGTGACTGGATTGGTGCGGACGACCGGGCTGATTGGAAAGTCAGCATTATCCCGACGAAAGAGACGGTCTCGGATTGCAGGGCTTACTGAATCGCTTGCAGCTCGCCGCCAATATTCTCCGCTGCTCCGCGAGGCTTCTCATAAAGCTTGAAACCTCCGCGTTGTGCTGCTGCAATGAAGTCTGGGCGACCAAAAGTGCAAGTAAGACCTTCCAAGAACTTCTGCACTGGAGCAGAGATCCGATCGTAAAGCTCATAGCCTGAAGCCCAAAGAGTATCACCACCGGTCTTCGGGCATTCCGTCAACCGAAGACTAGAGAAGTCTGCCGGAACAGGCTCAAATGCAATATCAGAGTGCCACTGATCCGCATTCTGCTTCTTCTGGCTGAGAGCGCTGTCCGGGTGGCGACCGTAGACTTTGGAAAACAGCTTGGAGCTGATAGTGCTGATTTCTTGATCTGGGTCGCGCTGCTCTCCGACTTCGCCCTCGCTGTTGAGAACGGGGTGGACGTGGAGGCCGGACGTCTTGGGCCTTCCTGACAGCTCGCCAATCTTGAGGATCAGCTTCTTTTGAAGGTCGTTGGTCAGATTGTCCTGCTTTCTGAACCAGACGACACCGCGGCTAGAGACTGTTTGATATTAGCGATAGGACGAATGCTGACAGTCGAAGGTTCTCCATACTGGTTAAAGCGAGTTCGGCAATTAGTTCATTGGAGTTAGGAGCATTCATCATATCGACCAGGTTCGCCGTAGGAAACTCCCTCCCGATGCAGGGTGTTAAATCGTTGTACTTGTAGTCATCGAGAGACCCGTTTGGTTTCATCGGCAGCTCAATGGTGGTCGCGTGGCCATTCTGTGGTTTAGTATAACCGTTGGAGTGGTCGGTGCCATTCTGAGCTACGGCGACGGGTGCCATCTTGTACAGAATTGATACGGATGTATTGAAATGATACAGCAAGAATGTAGGTAAGGTTGAATGGGAATGGAGAACGTAGGAGGTATTTTGAAGCAGCGTGGAACAAGAACTCTTACATGTATCTCGAGTGCTCCGTGGCATGACGTCCCGCTATCGGTTCGGCAATGCAACCTGGCCGCTGCGGCAGGGTGGAGGCCATACTCTGGGTGCTTGTTCGCTATGGCGTGCGAGCTGTCAATCTTACAATTCCTTGCGGGATTGGCGATGAATTACGACGACCTTTCAAAATGTCTGTGAGCTTTTGAATTTGCCTGGAGATCACAAGTAACGCCTTCATGCCGTGCAACAGATGATGCCGAAAGCGGAGTTGTCACATCGGGCGGTCGGCTGCTGAACCGGCTCATCGCCTGACGAAAGTATGGTTGAGAAACGCTGGTAAGAATAATGGTAGTAATGATACAACAATTTGGCAAAGATGGGCACGCTCGAATGAAGACCGCAAGCCTGCTGCAACCGACTGTGCTTCTTCTTCTGCCCGAGGGTAGAGGCGATGCCGGCATTCATGCCAGAAGGCTGTCCAGACTGTGGACAACGATATACAAACGCTGATCTGCACCATCTTGCTGATAGTCAGCCACCGGCCGACCGTGTCAAGCGGTGGGTGCTTCTCAAGACTGCTTCCTCAAAACAGACGCCCAGGTTTCCTGTCCTCTATTACTGCCATTGAATCGGCCGTGACAGCCGGGCTCTGATGTTCATTCCTCCACCTCGAGACGAGATCGCTTGTCGGCTGGCAGTAATTCCTCGTCTTCTTCGTTATCCCCAGACTCATCACGTTTCCGTTTCGACTCTGATTGTGACGGTGCGAGCGTCCTCTGATCCCTTTTCTCCTCGTCCTCCTCATTCTTCTCCCCCTCTTCCTCCTCAGGCCGCTCAACATTAGCCACAGGATCCTTGAGCGCATTGATGATCTTCTCCGTTCCCAGGTCATCTCCCTCCTCTGTCTCATTCAACTCAGGATCAACCCACCCTTCGGTGTAACTTCCTCCAAAATCGATGATCCAAAGCTTGTCTTGCGCGTCGACGAGGAAGTTGTCCGCTTTGGCGTCGCCCCAGATGATGTTGTGTTCGTGCAGGACGTCTCGAATACGGTCTGCTTCTGCGGCCCAAGCTTCTCTTCTCTCCTGCTCAACGGATTCGTCAAACATGAGTGTAAGAGGTGTCGGCTCCTTGATGTCGGTCAGAAGGAAACCCATGATCCGTTTCTGGCCGTTCTTTGTCGGCTCGGCATTATCGAAGGCGACGAGACCCAGAAGCTGTGGCACATGCATGGAATCACGCAGACCTAGCTTCTCGACCCGATGCAGAATATCGAGCTCTCGCTTGATCGGCTGCGGCTGGTCGTTGTCGACGATTTTGAGAAAGTATGTCTCTTTGGCCTTATGGCTCTGAACGCGGCAAGGGTGGTAGGGTGTTCCGACCGGCTTGTCGCTGCATTCCAGAACCTCCAACTCACTGCTGCGGAACCAAGGTGCGGTCAACGAGTTGGTGAGGTATTTTGGTAAGATCATGTTGGGCAAAAGACGTTCGGTCCTTTGCTCGAGCTCGGGCGTGGCTTCCAGCTCGACAGCTTCTACTTTTTGGCCTCCGTTGGATTGTTCCAGCTCGTAGAATCTTGTACGACAGTGATACCACTCTTCAACGGTTGAAAGGGCTTGTGCTTCGGATGCTGACAGCGCACTGTTGGGTGGGTTTGCAAGCGGCGCAACCATCCAAGCCTTGAGAGCGCCCTCTCCAGACAGAGGCGTTGGCTCTTCAGTCTGGTCAGAATCGTCCGAAGGCGTTCCGTCTTCGCCCTCTCTCACGTCGACGCCACTGTCGGAGCTGAAGGTGTCTGGGGACGCAGTCTTTATAGCATCAGAAGCCTCGTCGTCAATCGGAAGTCCTCGCGCAAGGCGATCATACTCCTTGCCAACCTTCGTATTGGTACCAAGCTTCTTCTTGCTGGCAATGATATGGTAACGGCAGGTTGCATTGAATATTGTCAGAGCAGAGTCGAGCTGGTCGTCCGTGAAGAACTCGATTGTGTGCCATTGTGGCTTACTGTCTTTGGTGGCTTTGGTGGCAGTCATGCTGAGACGGACGTCGACGGCCTGAGAGCGAAAACAAGTAGAGACGGGAGCAACTGCAGGACTGTACGAGCATAAGAAAGCGGCGTGGAGCAGTAGAGAAATATGAGAGGCACGATGCTGCTGAGGATAAGAGATGTCTTGATACTTATCCATGCACGCCCTCAACGCGCGACACGTCGGCCGCGTTCCTTACTCCTGTCGACTATCGAGTCAGCTCAGAACTCTTTATGTGTCGTCACGACTTCGAACTGTAATTAGAGCACAGGGATCGCCAGGCACAATCCGTTCGACCTGTCAATAGATCGACGCTAAGATCTGAGTTCTTGAGATATAGATCTGGTGGATCTCGTGATAGATCGAAATTCGTGTGCGTGCCGTTGTTTCGCAGCTGTGGTCGGGGCGAAGGTCGTGCTCTACTGGCTGCAACTAAGTGCGAAAGGTCCGGCGGGGTCGCAGCCATCATGAGAAGGTCTCGGGCGGAAGCATCAAATGCAGATGGCTGTGAACACTCGGGAATATCGATGTCATTGACGTCGGGATGCGGCTCAAAGGGGCTGCTGCATGGTCAGTGCGGAAAGAGTGACGATGGGCATTTCCTGTTTCCTTTCTTCTCACCTGAACATCCACACACGGACTACTTACGCCAATTGTCATATGTCTGAAGCGCCCATAGGCAAAGGTATCTTATTAGCGATATGAAATGAAGGTTACTACTTTCTCCGTTGCGCAATTGCGAAGTAGGTGACTTGACTTTCGTCTCGAGGCAGGGCAAGAGAAACTCGCTCAACCAGCAGCGCAGCTGAGAATCACCGAGAGATCTACGTGAAGAAATGAGGCAGTGGAACGGTAAGTTTGTGGACAGACGTGGGTTATTCAAGTGAACGTAATCACATCTATCTTCTCAATCATAAAAGCAAAAAACGCAAAACCAGCCAAGAAGCTCTCCCCAAACCCATGCAAAACCCGCAAATGCTCCAACCAACCCCAGCGCTATGATACCCAACAGTTACCCCGTACCCTCATCAACCCATCATTACAAGTCGTCAACGCTTACTGCGGCTTCGCAACGAAGCGCGGGTCGCAGATAATGTTGGACACGGCACTCTCCTTCTGGAACGCCCACGCACCCTTGTCGGCGTCGGAGAACGTGGTGTCGATGTTCTCACCGCGAGTAGCGACGATGGCGCGGTTGGCCTGGTTCTTGACCTTGCAGCGGAGCTCAGGGCTGACGAGCGGGCCGACGGCGATGTTGATGGAGTTGTAGGGGCCACCGGAGGCGGTCGGGGTTCGGATGTCGCGCTTCACGCCGCTGAGGGTGGTCTGGGTGGCAAGCTCAGAGGGTCCGGAAAGGGTAACAACGACGTCGTAGGAGCCAGGGGCGACGGCGACAAAGGCCGGGTCGCACACGACGGCGCTGACTTCGGAGGGCTGGAGGAAGGTCCATGCGCCCTTGTCGGCGTCGGAGAAGGTCGTGTCGGTGTTGTCGCCGCGGATGGCGATCAGAGGCGCGCCGCTCACGTCGAGCGCCTGGCAGCGGAGCGCAGTGTTGGCGACATCTGCTCCGAGGTTGATCTCGATGGTCGAGTAAGGACCGCTGGAGCCGACAGGAGGCTGGGTCTGGGCGGAGTTGACGTTCCCGAAGGTAGTTTGCGAGCCGAGCTCGATCGCCTGGTTCTGGAGGATGACAGTGACGGAGGTGTCGAGGTTGGTTCCCTGGGGAAGAGCAATCACGCTGGAGGCGGCGACGAGGAGGGAGGAGATTGCGATGGTGGAATGCATGTTGATGGTTGTCGGTGGGTTGGTATTAAGTTCTTGGCGAAGTGCTGATTGTTGTTGTTGTTGTTGTAGTAGCGATTGGAATAAGGGAAATCGAACCAAGGAAACAAGGAAAAGATGTTTCGGAGTTGATGAGTTGGTTGTTGTGGTGAGTCGTTGAGTTGATGAGGAAAGGAGAATTGCTGATCGACGGAGGACCTACCATCTTATAGACTCTCATTTCCACAGGCACGCCTGGAGGATGGCAAGCGACAAATCTGATTATTGATGCCGATGCCGAACATAGGCCTGGAACACAGCTGTGCAGAGGAGGCGGAGGGAGCGACTTGGCCGGACGTAAGCTGAGCGGCGGCGGGTGCGAAACCGCTCGGACAAATTCTGCCCAATCTGGTATGTAACTAGCACCTCGCTGGCAAGGAACGAGTGTTCTGCACGGCCACGTTTCGCAACGACAGCAAAGGCGTGGAGATAAGCTTCTGACAGCATGTGTTTCGACCTACCACTGTCTACAGAAACCAACAGCCAAGGCAACTCGCTGCCTTGGCGGTCGCCTTGGCCGCTTATACAGAAAGTCATTCTAAGCAGACCTATTTCTGGATTTGAAACTGCTGTGCCTTCCGGTGGTTGTTTATACACGTTTTCCCTGGAGAACAACTCTGGATGGATGGCGCAATCAAGCGAAATTAGCTGAAGGATTCATCTCGACCGTCGTTGCGATTTGCCAAATGGAAACGAACGGGCTGTCGTTTGGGCTCGCCGTCGTACATTGAGCTCTGACAGGCATTAACCGGCGGCCAACCTTGAACATCTAGCGACAACGGAGCTAGGATGTATCAGGAAGCCTGTACGCCGGCAGTCTTCCGAACCGTTGCAAGACCTTTTTGCAATTTCATGTCCTCGTTCCTTGCTCCTCACTCGAACGACGTCCGAGCCACCAGCTTGGAAGACGGCAGACATTCATTTGCACAACCCAGACTTCGCATCCAGCAATGCAAATCTTGTGCGTGGCATACGATAATTGTCAAACGGGATCCACAGCGTCGTGACCATTCGCTGTAGCCTACTCTTGCTCAGCTGCTTACACCGAGGCTTCCCTGAAGCAACTGAAGTACATGCGCAAGGCGTGATGGCGGCCGTATGCACGAGCGATGATTGTCCGACGCCGGTGGCCTATCGTACGACTGCGTGCATAGACGGAGCGATGTTTTGCAAATCACAATATCAAGTTTTCTGTTGTTGGCAAGGAGCAGACAGGCCATCCACCTTCTCATGTTCTGTCTTCTGTTGCTCACCTAGCACGACCAACACTGCTAAACCACTCCACCCTATCCAACCCTTCCAGTTTCCTATTTCCCTCCCTCGTCCTCCCCTTCAAACTCCACCAGCCCCGTCCCCGCCTTAACCATCTCCCCCGCCCGATGCACCACCCGCCTCACCCTCCCGTCCTGCGGACTCCGAATCACCGTCTCCATCTTCATACTCTCAATCACCACCAGCGGCTGGTTCCGCTTCACCTCTTGTCCCTCCTCCACCTCCACTCTCAGCACTTTACACGGCATAGGCGCCAATACAGAGTGCGCGAGATCCTTTAATCCGAGCGCCTTCTCCGCCCAAGCGGGGGTGGCGAGGTGGAGACGGTATTGTCGGCCGCGGGTGAAGAGGGTGAGGGCATTGTTGTTGGTGGGGTTGGGGATGAGGGTTGTTTCGAGGCGGGTGTGGGGGAAGAAGGAGGTTAGGGTGGAGGTGGAGGGGTTGAAGTGGGAGGTGGTGATGTAGGTTTGGGAGTTGATGGTGACGTGGTAGGTTTTTGGTGCGGTTTTGAGGATTTGGACGGTGGTGGGTTTGTTCTGGATTTGGGGGTCGGAGGACGTTTCGACGATGTGGAATTGGCGTGGCTGCGGTGCGTTGCCGAAGCCGATGGTCTGTAAGGGCGTGATGGGTGATTTGTGATCTCGTCGTGTCTGCTCAGATTCGTAGAGCCCGATTGCAGCCTGTGCGAGCACTTCCGGCTCTGCTGCTTCTTTTGCGAACAGCTCGTCGTGGTGCTTCGGGATATAGCCTGTCTCGACCTCGCCATCGACGAATTGCCGGCTTACGCACACCCGCTTGATGAACTCGATGTTCGTGACCGGGCCAGCAATCTCGTATTGCTCCAACGCCGCCACCAGCTTCTGCAAAGCCGACTTCCGATCTGGGCCGCTGACGATGAGTTTCGCAATCATGGGGTCGTAATGTGAGGATACCTCATCGCCTTCCACAAAGCCTGCATCAATCCGCACGCTCTCGCCTGCTGGAGGAGTCCGTAGATGCAGCAGCTTGCCTGTTGAAGGAATGAAGTTCATGCTCGGGTCTTCTGCATATATTCGTGCCTCTATAGCATGGCCCCGGTTCTTGATCTGCTCTTCCACTTGCGCTTGAGTGAGTGGAAGCTTGCCGCCTTCTGCAACAATGATCTGCCACCGGACCAGATCTTCGCCTGTCACCATTTCCGTGACTGGGTGCTCGACCTGCAGCCGCGTGTTCATCTCCATGAAGAAGAACTCGCCGCTGTCGTTGTCGAAGATGAACTCGACGGTCCCTGCACCTTCGTACCCAACCGCCAACGCCGCCTGCCGAGCCTTTTCCCACAAGTCCTGCCGAACATCCTCTGGCAGATTGGGTGCTGGAGACTCCTCCAGAATCTTCTGATGTCGTCTCTGAATACTGCAGTCTCTCTCGCCAAGCGCAACGCAGTTTCCATGCTTATCAGCAAAAACCTGAACTTCGATATGTCTAGGTGTAGTAATGTACTTCTCAACGAGCATGACATCGTCTCCAAAAGAACTCCTCGCTTCACTCTTCGCACTGTCGAGCTGCTGGTGAAACTCATCGGCCTGCATGACGATCCTCATGCCCTTGCCTCCGCCACCTTTGACCGCCTTCAGAAGCACAGGGTAGCCGATGCGCTCTGCCTCCTGCTCAAGATGCTTGGGATCCTGCTCTGCTCCATGGTAGCCGGGGATGCAAGGTACTCCGGCTTCAGTCATGATCTCCTTTGACCTGGACTTGTCGCCCATCGCCTCAATCGCCTTGTATGGAGGGCCGATGAACTTGACTCCAGCATCCGTACATGCTTTCGCGAAAGCTGCGTTCTCGCTCAAGAAGCCGTAACCTGGGTGGATAGCCTGGCATCCTCGCTCACGAGCCACCTGGATGATCCGTTCGCCATTGAGGTACTGATCTGTACTGCCTAGGTTGACCGCGAAAGGGGAGCTAAGGGCGTGTTGACTGAGCCTGTCTGGGTCCGTGTAGAGGGTTGTCGTCCTGATGCCATACTGAGATGCAGTCTTGCCGACCCGAAGAGCGATCTCACCACGATTGGCTATCAGGATGGATTTCAGTGGCTCTGTTGGCTCGCTGGCTGTGCTGGTCCATCTCCGGCTCCGATGGGGTAAGGAAGTGGCATTGGCGCGAAGGGCGCGAAAGCGGGAGACGGAGGACATTACAGGAGAAGCTGCTGGCTACAACATCTCTCCAGCTCCCCTTACATGCTCAAATGCGTATTGAAGTCAAACATTCCAAAGTGCAAATGAGGTTCAGGTGTTGTGTCTGTCGTCTTCTCTAAAGCCGAGGCTATCCGAGCAGCTGGGAATCTGGGGACGGGACGAGTCGGGCCGGACTCTAATGCGACCACGCGTAAGGTCACGCGTTTACAACGTGCTCTTCGTGAAGAACCAGTCCTTGCTGGATTGATATATAATAATCAGTACGTAGACAATACCGTACAGCGTCGATCAATGTTTTGAATCGATATAGATGCAATACCGGACACGGTCACACCAGTCAAGTTGTCGACACGTGCACTTGCCCCACATCTGCTTCGCGACCGGTTCAGAGCTGGCCCTGATTTAATGTTGTTCGAGAGTCGACTACCTACATTCTCTGCCGCCTCACTACATTCAACCATGGATGCTTCAGGGTACTCATAGACGTATTCATATGCTGCATCTTTGACTACTGGTTCCTACTCTTTCTCGCCTTCAAGGTCCAGCCTCATCAGCTCTGCGAACACCCAAGCAAGCGCCGCCTACGCACGTCTACCACGATACCCCGGCCCACCGCAGTGGCACACAAACCCACTGTGCTCATCAACCAGCGCACGTACCCACCTGTTCTCGCTGTGTCGCCGGACTGTACCCCTTGCCATAGTTTGTCGACATCAGACACTAAGCGCCTCCATTCCTCACGGCTGGTCCGTCAACAATGGCCGAGGATGGTTTTGTCGACATCGACGACGACAACGCCTTCGAATGGCTGTATGTCGAGGACGACTACCCGCTCGCGGTAAGCACTCCCACGTCATGTGTCCAGCACGCTGCAGCCTCCCGGCGAGTTGCCTTGAATATCCTTGGTCCAAGCTGCAGCTTAACAAAGAAGTGCTCTAAGCTAACCCATGGTGGTGTGCAGGACGAGCTAGCAGAGACACAGATCCCTTCTCCGGGTTTCATTAACGCTGAACACGAGCTTGCGGTCATCTCCGACTTCGATCCGTACGAGTACTTCATGGATACTGAATACGGCGACAACGAGTATTGGGATAATAGCCGCACTGGCGCCTCACCGACTGGAGAAAAACGCAAGCGTTCAGCGGCTGCACCGAAGACAGCCGAGAAGAGAAGGAAGTTGAGCAGCGAATATGACAACGTGGTCTTTGTGCCCATGGCTGAGAGGATACGGCCCCGCGATCGGGCGCCGACAGACCCCAAGACGTTGAGGCCTTTCGCACTGCTGCCGGACTGGCGTACACGGTTTTCCAAGACGAGCGGAGAAATTGAGGAGAAGCCCATGCCAGTGGACATGAAGAAGGCTGCTGAGAGCAAGGACAGTGACGTCTCTCCGCAAGCGCTTCGACGGAAAGATGCCACGGAAACGGCTGGCGAAAATGAAGACGAGTGGGAGGATGAGGAGGAAGAGCCAGCCGAAGGGGCGGCAACCGAGGATCTGCAAGCACAACTTGCGTCTCTAGACCCAGAGATGGTGAAAGCGATCTTGAAGCAACGCATGGGCGATGCAGGGCTTGAAGGTATGGACGAGGGAGCCTTCATGCAGACGATCTCGAAGATGCTTTCTGGGGAAGGAAACGCAGATGACGCGGCTGGTGATTTGGCGAACAGTCTGCTCGGACAGGCGACTGCCGGCAACGACTCTGCTCTGACGGGTTGGCTATCGCAACAAGGTGTGTCGCTCGATGAGGCGAAGGAGGGCGAAGAGGACGAGGGTGAGGAAATTGAGGTTGCGCAGCCGAGCGCGAGAGCGGGTAGGAGGGTAGTCAAGGCATCTCCGCATGATAGTGCCATTGGAGGTTCGAAGGGTGGGAGGAAGCAGATGGCGATGCATGGCTCGTCGCCGAGCTCCGCGCGGAAGAGAAGTGCGCCCGAGGAGGCGCAAGACGCCAGTGGGAGCAGCAAGAAGAGGAGAGTTGTGTCTGAGGTGACTGGAGGTGTGGCAGCCCCTCGTGTTGAGGAAAAGGAGAGCATTACTGTCGGCTCGGCTGCGCCCAGTGAGCTAGAGGATAGTATCGCTGTGGCTCCAGCCTCTTCTGGTAACGATGACAGCATCGCAGTAGCCCAGGCCAAGACCTCAGACACAGTTGCCGACGGAGCCGAAAGTGAGAACGAGGGCATCACAGTCGCCACCAGCAAGAAAGCAAATACCAAGGCTGCGAAGAACAACAAGGCTACCTCCAAAGCCTCCAAGCCCGACACTGCACCACAGGTAACCGATGCCGACGAACCTGACGACACAATTGAGGTTAGCTCGAAAAAGCCCGCACCAGCAGCAGCGAAGCAAACTCGTAAGCGCAAGGCGGACGCTGAGGTCGAAGCTGAGGACGGCGGCTCTGCGAGCACTGGGACGAGGCAGAAGAGGCAGGCGAGGAAAGTTGCAGCGCCTAAAGCAGCGGACGACGAGGCTGCTGGGAGGCGGACTAGGAGTACGAGGGCGAAGGTTGGGAAGTGAGGATACGGGTGAAGCTGTGGGATTTGGTATCACGGCTGCTCGTTGGACCATGGTCTAAAGAGCATCGGATGTGGAATCACGGTACACTTGAGAGCACCAATGGGGCCCATCTGTTTCGGAGCCATCACCGCTTCCTGCAAAACATTGACTTGATGGGCTCAACAGCTCTCGCTCAAGCATGCCGTCTTGTCGGGTCAATGCAGTTGGCATCCAGCTCCTTGTGGTTTGACAGAAGGGTCACCAGTCATCGGCGGCAGGCACCGATCGAGCTTGCTGGAACAGCTGCCGCGCAGTAGTCATTTCGGATTCTGCTCGAATGCCTGGGGGACGAGAGGTCATGGGAGACCTTTGGTCATTCAGGTCGGTCGTCGGATGCCTTGACAAACCTGTTGGAACTCCACCCGCTGTCAAAACGATTGCGCGGTTCCGGTGGTCAGTCTGACCACCGACGTCCTGCCTGTTTGTGTCTGACGTTGTTGTAGCCAGACAAGTAGCGGCGCCTGCACTTCACTCCTGTAGTCTGCTTACCTATCGTGTGCTTGCTTCATTCTCATCCTCTGTACCAGGATTTGGTTCAGATCACCTCGTTGAAGTACAATCTTGGATCCATGGCGTAGCGCAAGGTGTGGGGACGTGCATGTGAAAATAGCCATTGACCTCTCCAAAGCACCATCGCTGCTAAATTTACACGTCTACATGGGCATCAGCAGTGGCTTCAACTCACCGAGGGTGTACGTATGTAGGTGCCTTGCGACACACTATCCTCCAGCGATGGATCATCGGTGCGCTGCGCCTACGCGTCTCGGATCCACCGGCTCTTGGAAGCAACATAGCACAACAGCACAGCCGCGTGTCTAGAGTCGCAGTACTAGGCATCTCAATGACAGCCTTTGAAGACCATCTTCCATCTACTGACATCTACTATCAAACTAACGACGTCTCGAATAAGCTTCCAAAATGGTCTTATTCTTCGGCCTCCCAACACGCGGCAGAGGAGGGCCCAGAGGCGACTTCGCACCTAAACAATCAACGCTCCTCGACACATCATTCCGGCCATCAAGAGTCTTTATCGCAGGCTACCGCGACCTCACCCGGGAAGAATTCGCAGCGCACTACCACGACCGGATAAAGAAAGCCATCGAAAACGGGTCCAGCTTCATTCTCTCAGACGAACCAGGCACTTGCTCAATGGCCTTCGAATATCTGAAATCCAAAAAGGATGTCCCGAGAGATGACATTACCATCTACCGCAGCACTGCCGACGGCGACGAAGGTGTGAAGGGTCTGCCTTCGTCCAAGGCGGGTAAGTGTCGAGTTGTCACTGTTCCTGGGGGTGAGGCGGAAAGGCTTGTTGCGATGAGTGAGGCGAGTGATGCGGAGATTGTATGGTTGTATGGGGGCGATACGTTGGGGGATTATGGGTGTTCAAGCGCGGGAGATATTCTCGATATGTGGTTCAGAGGGCCAAAGGAGGTGGTGAGGTTGGGGTTGGCGAAGAGCGTTGGTGGGCAGGAGACGTTGAACTTGTAGGACAGCCGGTCTCGTTTCCAGGTATTCATCCACCTTTGAGCAAGCCTATCTAAAATTGAGTGTTGACCAAGTCTCAAACACCGGCAACGACAAGATCATACACCGCTACCCCGTTATCGAATGCGAAACACAGTCTCTTCGTTGCTGAGATCTACGTTCACGTTCAACAGCCAGCCTTTCGCAACAAACTGGTCATCGTCGAGATCTATGAGCTAACAAGGGCCGAGTAGTCTGTAGTCCTCCTCGCAAGGACGAAGCACGAACGGAGGCCTGCCGCCATACAGCACCACGATCAGGTCGCCCTCCTGGGAGAGCTGAGGCGCCAAGCCGATATTTCCAGCTTCGTCGCAACAGAACTTCATGTCTGGCCTCAAGACGTTGCGATTCATCGAGTCGTTGCTCAGCAGTGCTTCCGCAAACGGTTTCATCGCTCTCAGGGCTTCTTCGATCTGTTGTTCCGTAGACTGAGGGTCTCGAGACACGCTCGCCCAATGACGAAGATAAGCTATGAGCTCCACGCGCTCGACTCTTCGGCCTCCTTCCCACTTGTTTTGCCGTCCAAAGCCGAGTGCCTCGAGAAATGCTGTCCATCTCAAGTCGATCGTCGAACTTGTACCGAGAGTCTCAAGGATCCAGCATGCTAGCAAAGTTGCACTCTCGAGCACGTTGGCCTCCAGTGTCCGGCTTGCGCTCTTGATAGCCCTGGCCACGACACCTCTCAAGCTCATAAGATTGGGTCTATTATCCTGCCAGATTGAGGACGTAGGTATCTTAGCACCTTCATAAGAGCCCTCGAAGATGATAGCGCGCTGCGCATCCCATTGTCTCATATCGATGGCCCAGGATGGCAATCCTATTTGATCTATCTCCTCCAAGGATGAAGGATTGACCTGCTGGAGCCACCATAGGTTGCCATCTTCTATGATCGCGAATCTGACAGCATCGCGGAACACCTCTGTTACTGGCTTGCGATAGTCTGGTGTGAGTAAAGCGTCAAGACGTCTTTGCGCTGTCCAAGACTGATATATGCCCAGCAATGCAAAGATGAAATCTCGCGGCTCGGAGACGCGAAGACCTCCCGTTCGACACAGAAGAAAGCTGAAGGGCTGGTGTTCAGAGACATCTTCCGGCTTAGCGTGCCGCAGGAGTAGCAATCCCAATAACAACCCGCTATACCTACATCGGTGAAATTGGGGGTCATTGTTCGCTGCAATAACGTAGTTGGCACGCAGGAGATCCAACATATCGACCTCCTCCGTACCGATGAGACAACGGTTTCGAACTGAGAGACTCGCCTCTTGAAATACCCAAAGTCGTCTGAATCCGATCAGCGGATCTATGCTACAATGCATGGCGGCTTTCCCAAACAACTTACCCAAACCATGGCAATGAGAAAACCCGATTGCACGCTTCGACGTCTACATCAAAGCGACCAGGGGTTTCAGGGTCTTCAGTGGGCCGACCGGACGACCTGTGTCCTTCTTGGGGTCGTCTTACTTCGTCGTCCTCCCCCGGTTCTACCTGGGCTAACATCTCTATGGATCTCAGCGCGCTTGAGGTAGTCTCATCGCCCTCGCCGAGATAGATGACGTTGCAGTCGCCTTTGCTGTAGACATCACCCATCATAGCAACTTGCTGTGTCCGCTCCTCGGGGTCTTGTTGATTGATACACAGCGAATCGATCCATACTGCTCGCTCACGGTCAGGTAGCCTCACCCGGCGGAGTGCGTCGACCGAGCTGGCTGGGGCTTGTATCATGTGGCCATCCACTTCGATTTGCTCGCGACGGTCCGAAGAGCCCCAGCAGTAGGGTATCGTCTCGTACTGAGGTGTTTGCTCGGCTGCCACGGAGTCTATCCGTAGGTTGGCTCTGACAATATCGGGATGCTGGCCAGCTTGAAGGATAAGGATTCTGAACTCTTTCTTGCCTGAGTCCAGAGGTTTGTAGGTGGCTTTGATTTGTACCTCGGATGGCATCCTGAACTGCGGCAACCACGGGCGTCAGCGAACAACCATGAATGGGAGAAGAACGATGATGATTGTTCGCAAATCGGAGACGTCTCCCCTGCGGATAGACAGCTCTCCCTGTGTTGGTGGCGTTCTTGGCCAATACAACGGAAAGGTGCACTTCACGACTTCACCGTACGATAGCTCATGTACCACATATTCGATAGCCAATTCACTTGTCAGATGGCGCTGATACATCTCAAGTGCAAGAGTTTCATGATCGACGTCCGATGAGCAGGACTGGACAAGCCGCTTGGCACGAGTCTGACCTAAAGCACCGGAAGTTTTGTACAGAGCCATCAAAGCATCCTCAGCCTGTTTCTCTGGATACACTATCGACATCAAGCCTAAGAAAGACAACCAGACCGAAACACGACAAGCACGGAAAGCAGTTCTTCGCTGGATGTTGACCGGAAATTGACGGACCGCTTATGAGCATGTCTTGCGAGACACATGTGCTGGTTGTATACGATGCAAATATGCCTGGACTAGGTGTGATGGCTCCCTCGCTGGATTGACAGAGATTCTGAGGCCCTTCGTTGACACCTTCGCCATCTCGGCTGTTTATCCTCACGAGGACCGTAGCTGGACATGAGTCAAGATAATCCTAGCAGCTGCAATTACGGCCCCGAGAACAACTTCTTCTCCTCTTGCACGCTCCTACTCGGTCTGCACTTCATGAGTGCTCTCATGCGTTGGTGGATGCTGGCATGTGTTGAACCTTGAGACGAAACCGACAGCTCCTTCTTTCAGCGGCGTTGGGCGCATCACTCAGCATTCACGGAAACGGAAACGAGAACGAGTATGTCTTCTCTGCAAAAAGGAAACGGCGGGCAACATGATACCGTGATTCCGGAGCTACTGGCACCGCACGTCACGCTAATAGTCTCAGTCGACTCTGATTAGCAATGTTAATATCGGCAGGGCAGAGGAGCTCGACATATTGTATACCAGCCAGTCGTTTGATTAAGGTTATCGCTCCCTTGGCCCCCACGAATGATGAAACTCTATTGTGCTGTTATGAAGGATGCTCGCTAACCTTACATGGACGAGGATCTTCCGTGCGCCTTCGGGGCTGAACATTTGGTTCCCGTTCTGCAGCAATCGTGCATCCAGGGCATGCTGGCACTGGTGCGAGGACGGGGAGCTCAGCAAGTAGAAAGACGTGGTAGAACCCGCCGACTATGTCGCTCACTCGCTGTCGTCCGCGAGCGTGGGCATCACATATTTCATACCTTTACTTTGAAGACGCCATTAGTAGTGAGCCATGCCGTACTCGCCGGTTGCTGGAGACCGTGACAACGCCAAATGGACAGCCGATCATGAGGTTACGGAAGTGGGAAGCACGGAGTCCTCGCAACCATCCTTAACTTCTCAGGATGGCTATAACACAACAAGACCACGACGACGTCCCTCATGGCTGCCATCATGGATCCAATTCCGCCCGCTGCTTGGTCTGCTTTCTCTTGGAGTGGCTATCGGTTGCATGGTTGCTTCACTTGCAGTACTAGTTGCCTCCGACGGAGACACAGTTGAATCTTGGCCGGTACAACCGACGGTATATCTTGCCATTGCCTCAGCGTTAGGGGCGGCTTGCATTCGAGTCGCGCTCTCTCGAGCCGCTCCTATTGCCTGGTGGAGATACGCCTTGAATGGTAGCACAGTCAAGCAATTGGAAAAGGAGTGGGAAGCAAGTCAAGGGTAAATTTTATCGTCAGGCGCATGGAAAGCTTTGCTAACGATGCTGTAGGGTGCGTTATCGTGTTACAGCTGGCATTTGAGTACCTGTGGACTGACATCAAACAGGGTCTCAGCGCCGTCATGACCTTCTGGCATGCACCTTGGGTCTCAGCTGCGACTCTTCTGGTCGTGGTGATGATCGTCGACGGAGCGCTGCTCCAGCGAGCAAGCTCGGTCAAAGCGACTACACTGGCAGAAGATGTCCGCTTGAGTATTCTGCTCACACCGGAGCTCGCCCATGGCTTCTCTGGACAGGAGGTGGCCAACGGCATGGCTACCAGCGACGAGGCGACAAGAGTATTCAACGACTTCATGGACGAAGCGCCGATGATGACGAACTTCACGGGCTGTCATCAAGGATCAAAATGCACTGGAACGATTCGGGCCCCTGGTGTCACCGCTTCTCATTGCAACCACACGACCTGGCCTATTACACCCGAAATGCTACATAGCGCCAATGCTTCCTGGGGTACTGTACATAAGGTTCAAAACAATAATGGCTCCTTGGAACACATGGGAATATCCAAAAGCATCCAAAACCCCATCTTCACAATTGAAACTTTTGTCATGGTCACCACGGACGACGAGTCGTTACCAGAAGGCATGGGCGTGACAACCGGAATTGCAGGATGGACACACCTCAACGGGCACTTTGTCCTGCGCGACTGCGCTCTAACACCATCAATCTTGGAGTATGATGTTACATTCGACTCTGGGAGGATCGTCCCACCCTCCGATATGTCCGAAGCTCGTCTCGTCGCCTTTGCGAACAACACTGAGCGATTCTCGCTTGCGCGCACTGGTCCAACGGAAACTCATCCGGCGACCATGGACGCTTTCAGCATCTTCATGAGCACCATCGTGGAGGCCGAAGGTCTCGCGTCCTTCAGCTTGCCCTCACCGCCCGGGCAGACGTGGCAAACAAACTCAGACTCGATGAACTCCTACATGGACCAGTTCGTCAATTGGGATGCAGGAGCAAACAACCTGGCCTTTGACGATCCATTACCGGACATCATGTCCAAGATGAACAACATGATGATGCGAGCAGGTCTCATCTCCGCCCGCAAATACACGAACCTCGCCAGCCGAATGGACCCAGGCTTGTCAGCGAACCAGACGATTGCCGGGAAGCAACACACCCGAGCCAACGTCTTCCACACCGACCTCCGCTGGTTCGCAGGCGCAGCGGTGCTCGAGCTCCTCGCTATCGTCGTGGTGCTTCCGCTCTTCTACGGCTTCTGGCGCTTCCCGAACGACTTGTCACAATCGCCGTTTGAAATGGCTCTGGCGTTCAACAGTCCGCTGGTATCCGACGTGAATTCAAGAGAGGGCGTTAAAGGCGTGCTCGCGAGACATGGCGATGTACGTGTCAGCTATGGTCTTGTCAAGGGCGGCGACCGGGATGTAGAGCGTCTGGGTTTTGCAGAGAGCGGCCATGTTGTACGTCCGTGGTAGGCATCAGTGGTGTTCATGGGGCATGCAGATATCGGATGATAGCGTGAGCAATACGATTCATGTCCCGCATACATACATACATAACCATCCCAGCCTACCCCAATCCCCATTCCCCACGCCAAATTCCCAAATGCTATCGCTCAAACATCGTACTCTTCTCCATCTCCGCATCCACCTCCTCCTGCTTCGCCTTCCCCCTCTCCTGCCTCGGCTCCTCCACCATCGGCTGATCCAGCAGACTCTGCTCTCGACTCCTCGCACTCTCACCTTTCCTCTCGACCCCGGCATCCGCCTCCGCGCCTTCAAGCAGATCGCGTCCGCCTTCATCACCATCATCGTCATCGTCGTCTTCGATCCCGCGGGTGGAAGCGCCTTTATCCAGTTCCTTCTGTGCTTCGTCCATTCGTCTCCGGACTTCAGCCGCGACGCGCATCCCGTCCGTGACGATGTTATCGAGCATCCCCCTCAGCCCCTTGCCTGGCGGAACAACCCCCGCACCCGCTCCACCGACGACACCTGATGAAGTGCCGCCTGGACTTAAAGCAGGGATACTCGCCGGCGGAGCGGTAGCATGCTGCTGTTGTGCTGCGCTGAGGAAGGTAGGTGACGTAATGGTACTGCTCGGCAGCGGAGCGTCGGCGAGGTGGAAGGAGTTGGCGAAGCCGGAGTCGAAGAAGGATTCGAGGGTTTCGTCGGCGAGGACGAGCATGCGGAAGGTGGGGAGGGTGATGTGGACGGGCGAGGCGGGGTCGAGTGCTGCGTTGGCGGCGGCGTGCTTGGACTGGGGTTGGGTTTGGCCGAAGGAGTTGGTGGAGGGTCGTGAGAGGACTGAGTCGTCTTTTGCGTCGCTTCCTGATGGCGATGAACCGCTGAGGGGGTCTGAGGTGACTGGGCCGTCTTTCTCGTTCAGGTCCATGAGGTCGACTTGCTGCGCCGCACTATTCGCCTCCTTCTCAGCTTGCCGCGATGGGTGGTCTGGGTCCGCATACTCGAAGCACCGTCGAATGAATGCCGATACAGCAGACAAGAACTGCTCATCCTTCGTCTCCCTCCTCTTCCCATCCTCGTGCTCACTCAAGCCCGTCGAGGTAGGACTTGGACTGACAAACCCGCCGCCACCCACACCTCTTCTCGACAAGAAAAGCAATGCCTCAGAGATTCTCAGAATCCCTTCTCGATCCACCCTCCCATCATTGTCGTCATCATACAGTTCGAAGAAGTAAGAAATATTGCCCATGATGTCCCTGCCACCTTTGATCGGCGCCAGTCCAGCCACCACATCTTGCAATGTTAATGAGTTCTTGCCTTCCTTGTCCCACCGCTTGAACAGTCGTCTCAAGAACTCATGTTCAGCTGGCTCCGGTCCCCTGCCCCACGGTGATGAAGGATGCGATGGTCTCGCTCGAAGAGTGTGGAAGTATCCATTCTGTCCTCTATGCGCAGAAGGATCGTTAGGGTTCGTTGGTGAAGAAGGAGAGTCAGTGACAGCCCACTTCGCCACGCCGGCGAGGAATTCGCGGAAAGCATCGTAGTCCATTTCCGTCGTGCTGGGCCCAAGCCCTACTCTACCCATTTCAGGCGCAGAGTTGCCAGCCACACCAGTCACGATCTCGGTCGCGCGTAAGCGGGAAGCTTTGCGCTTTCTGTCCTCCTCGGCCTGCAGCACTTGTGCTCGTTGCTGCCGCTCGTAGAGGATGGTGTAGAATCTATCATACAAGAAGCCGAGGTCGTTGGTCGACAACTTCTTGCTCTCCGGACCAAGATTGCGGATCGATGTGCGTTTGGCGAAGGACTCGATGTTCTCGAGTACAGCCGCTTTGTGCCTGCTTCGCTGCTCCGAGATGGTTTGTTGAGTGATGCCGTCGAACTCCTTGAAGGCCACGACCATCAGTGCCTGGAAATTCGTGATGGCGCGATGCTTCGGGTTCTCTGATTTGGGATGCGCTGACTCGCCTAGACGAGCGAAGTAGGACTTCAGGACACTTATGAAAGCGCCATCGTCGGTTGCATCAAGCAGTTCTTCGCCGTTGACGCGGAGAATGGCCAGACCGACTTGGAAGAGCACTTTCGGTCCTTCCAAGAAGAAGACGTCGAGGACGCGGAAGGCGAAGATGAGCGGCATGCTGTTGATGTACAGGCTGAGGAACCAAGGAAGCGAGACGACGGAGAGCTGGACATCGTTGCCTGAGAGGTGTTCCCAGAGGACTGGCATCGTCTTCTCTACTAAGCTCTCAAACACTTTCTGGTCCAGTAGAGTGCCATACATGGTCGTTGAGTAGTAGCCGGGTAGTAGTCGGTCGCAGAGGATGGAAAGGAGGTAGAAAGCTTGGTTCTCCGAAAGATATCTGCAGTCGCACGGTCAGCCGATGCCCTTCTATCTCACAGTGTGGAGCAACGAACATTAGCAGCGCCGCCACGACGATGTTCATCGCCTGGCAATACCCAACCTCAGCATTGATCCAACTGTATGCCGTCAAGACCCTCCTTAACCTCCCAATGCCCTCTTCGCTCTGAAAGCCAGCATATTCAGGCAACGACCGGTTCAGATCTTTCTCAATCTCATCGATCGCCAACGATCCTTCGCCTTCATGCTTCTTAAGCGTCTCGGCGTACAGCTTCGGCTTCTGCAACCTCAGATACAGCGATCCAGATGTAAGCTCCCACATCTCGCCTCTCAGCAAGTTCGGCAGCCCAACTCGGATCAAACGATGAAAGTCTGGTTGTCGAACGAGCGTAGTGTTCCGTCCGTTCTCCCGCATGTACTCGTGCCAAAGCCGCATCTTGCTCCTATCCCGCAGTTTCCGCGAATTACCAGGGTACTTGAACAGACTGCCCAAGCCCGTGTCCGGCGGTGTCCTCGGCGTACCATCTGGTTTCGTCGACGGTGGAGTCGCATCAAAGTCCGAGTACATGAAATACTCCGAGTAGCAGTCTGCGGCAACTGCGCGCATGTTCTCCACCTCTCGTATACCCTGCCGCAATCCGCGCTTCAGCCCGTCACAGAACCTCTCGCACTGTTGTCTGCTTCCCTCGAGCTGGATTGTAAGTTTTGGCGGCGCTGGAGCTCCCGGCTTGGTGTCTGAGCCAGGGTCAAAGCCATTCCAGGTCGTTATTGACAGCGCAAACATATAGCTCTGGGTATGCAGCCTCTCCACTCTCCTCACCGCACACAGTGGAAGCGTGAACCCATTCCCCGCCGTCCCAGTACCATGCGTTCGTCCCGTGAACGCCGAGCTGGCGCTGGTACTCGCTGTGCTGACAAACGAGGTGTTGACAGTAGAAAAGCACATGAACTGCTCGCTCAGATGAAGCTGGCCGACATAGTGCGTTCCCTTGCCGTCTGCCCCTTTGTCCCAGTCATTCGGTCCCCATTGCTGCTGACGCTTCGCACTCGGAGACTTGCTGAGACCGGACTTGCGGGTCGGGAGGGTGAGCTCGGCGGTGATCTCGTACAGCGGGTTCTGGGTCGCGGGGAGGTGGAATTGTTGCTGAAAGAGTGTCGACTTCGAGGGCTTCGTTGCGTTCGCATTACTCAGTGCGCCGGGCAGGACGGCAGGATCAATGTACTGCTGCGCTTTCTGGACCAGATTGGAGAGGAACATTGCGGCGGTAGTTGGTGTTGGGGTAGTGTTGCTGGAGGTGTACGGTGGGGTTGGGCTGGACAAGCAGCCTCATTGCTGTCGGTATCGCATTCGAGGTGTCGTCGTATCTACTCCTTGAACGCCAATGGAGCCGTGAGGTGGTTGCTTACAGCCCGTGCAGCCTTACGGCATGTGATGTTTCACCTTGTGTTGGTACCTGGCCATGGCGCTAGCTCGGGAGTGCTCGGAGAATTTGATTGAAAATTGATTGATATTGACCACGAACTTCAGCTTCTCCCATACGGCGTCTTTTCAGTCTCAAGCGCTGCGCTGAGACGGCTACTACAATGGAGTCTACCCTGCGAGGCGCTGTGCCATGTTGAAGACAAACAACAGAGGTGAGAAAAATCAAGCACATGATTCCAATCTCCTCCTTCCTCCTTGGGCGCTTTCGCTCTGACGTGAAGCACCTGAAGAGTCCGCGGGGCAATTGCTAAGCATGACGATGAATGAATGCAACCATCTCACTCCCCTCCATTACCAACCCTTCAAAAAAGCTTGATGCGGTGGTTCTTTAAAGCTCTTCTCATTGCTCTCCTTGCCTACATGCTTCGTTCTCCTCTGCTACGAGTCCAGCAGACAGCTTCGCATCTTCTCAAGTCAGCACCAACTACAATCACCAGACAACAGTCAACACAAGCAGATATGTCGAGACCGAACGGTACAATTGCCTCGAGTGGCCTCGAGCTACTGACCTTCGGGACGCCGAATGGACACAAGGCGTCCATCATGTTGGAGGAGATCAAGGCGGCGTATGGGAAGCCGGACTACGTGTGAGTCTTGCCCTCTGCAGCTTTGCACAGCAGGAAACGTTACTGAACAATGATACAGCTTCCAGAGCATCAACATTGGCGAGAACATTCAGAAAGAGCCATGGTTTACTCAGTATGGACCAAATGGTCGGATACCGGTCCTGATCGACCATGACAATGGAGACCTTGGGATCATGGAGGGTGCGGCTATCCTGGCATATATGACACGCCACTTCGACCCGGACAACAAGTTCTCGTTTGCGAAGGACCCTGAGCTGTCACTCTGCGAGCAATGGGTGGCATGGCAGACCGGCGGGCTTGGGCCTGTAAGTCCCGGTTTTCGGAGAAGCTCTTCATCATGTAATTGACGCAAGACCAGATGCAAGGACAAGCCAACCACTTCTACCGCCTAGCCAAAGAGCGCATCCCCTACCCCACCCAGCGCTACGTCGGCGAGACCGAACGCCTCTACGGCATCCTCGACGCCCGTCTCAAGGACAACGAGTACCTCGTCGGCAACAAGTACAGCATCGCGGACATTGCCAACTACTCCTGGGTCAATGTCTCGTTCTTCGCCGGCGTGGATCTCGAGCAGTTCCCGAACCTGCACAAGTGGTGGCAGAGGATCAGCGAGCGGCCGGCGGTGAAGAAGGGCGTGGCTGTGCCGAGTGAGCCTGGGATTACCAATGGGCCGTTCAAGGAGAAGTTGAAGAATGATCAGGAGTTCCGCCAGAAGCATGAGGAGCTGCAGGAGATTTTGAAGAAGGCGAAGGAGCAGTATGGGTATAAGTACGCCAGTCCGTAGGCGGATACTGCGCAAATTGCTCTGAGATGATCCGGTCACGGTGGAGGTGTATGTACATGTAGGATAAAAGCAACAAGGTCGAAGCAGACCTAAATACAACGGTAACAGTGTCGTAATAACACGAGTTGCGTTTAATATTACCACCGCTGGCATGTGGCGGCGTGCGTCAAGACGTCTGCTCCTTGCCGCTTGCCATGTTGTGTGATCGTGTGATCGAAGTCTTTGGAGTGCCAGTCCTCCGCAAGGCGCCCAGCAGTGACGTTGTCGCTGCTGACCCATACCCTCCCCATCTTCGTAATCAATCCTAGATAGCGAAGCATTCGTGGCGCCCATCAGCACTGTATCGAAGAAGCTTATCTCTACCGCGTCACCAACAACTCATGTCCAGCACAAGCAAGCTTATCGATCAAGCCTCGGCCGCAGAGCTTCAGCTTCTCCGCAGCCCACCTCAAGATCATCCACGATACGCACAGGCCAGAGACCAGCCCGCCAATGCAGGACACCGTGGCGACGCGGCCAATCGATGGAGTCTCTGCGTGGACGCCGGCATGGGTACCCGCAACAACATCGCCTCTCCAGCAGCGCGCTTGTCCAAGCAAGGCAGCTCGCGGGCGCTGCGGATGTCCTCACGTCGCTCGTCATGGCAGGTGGATTGCGGGCGGTGCGTGGAGGGACGTCCTGTAAAGTGCGACTATTGTATGCGATGCGCATGCCTGCGTGCCGTGATGGCGCTTGACGTCGGTTCAATGGTGCTGGTTTAAGAAGGTAGGTGGTCTCGTGTGCGCGGTTTCTTTGCTCCCATCTTGACTTCTCACTGTCGAAGATGCATATCTTATTGTTTCTGGGTGCTCTCCTCGGCGCAGCCGGCGTGAGCGCGGTGGAGAGTCCACACAAGAGAGCGCTGCCGAAGCGAAAGGCTGCTATCCCCAACACTGAGCGAGCCAACAGTGCCCATGCGAAGAGAGCGCATTTGAATGACAAGACGAAGAGTGGGAACATTGCCATGAGTACAGACAGTGGATGTGGGCTGACAATACTGCAGAGTTTGCCGTCGATGGCAAAGGCCTTCCAGAGGTAAACTTCGACATCGGGGAGTCTTACGCTGGCACCCTCTCCATCGATGATGACCCCGACAACGAGAACCAGCTCTGGTTCTGGTTCTTCCCGTCGGAGAACCCGGCTGCTGGCAACGAGATCACGTTGTGGTTGAACGGTGGGCCTGGGTGTTCCAGCTTAGATGGACTGCTGCAGGAGAATGGACCCTTCTTGTGGCAGAGTGGCACTTTCAGGCCTATCGCAAATCCGTACTCATGGGTGAATCTTACGAATATGGTGTGGGTTGACCAGGTAAGTGTCCAGATCAGACTTCGGATTATACCATCGCTGACACAGAATCTTAGCCCATTGGGACTGGTTTCAGCCCCAATGCAAAGGGTGCCGTGAAAAAGCTGAAGACGGAGCACGACGTCTCGGTCGACTTTATGGGCTTCTGGAAGAACTTCGTACGTTGGACGCTGGGACACTGTAGGCGCTGCGACCGACTGACGTTGGGAACAGATGGAGACCTTCAATCTTACCGGAAGAGACGTATACCTGACGGGAGAGGTACGTTCCTGAAGCCTTCTCTAACAATCGCCGAGACGAATGCTTACCTCGAACAGAGCTACGCCGGCCAATACATCCCCTACATCTCCTACAACATGCTTCAAGCCAACGACACCGACTACTATAACGTCAAAGGCATCCAGATCAATGATCCAAGCATCAACGAAGGAGACACCATGACCGAAGCTCCCGCCATCAACTACGTGAACGAGTACTCCAACATCTTCAACCTCAACGAAACCACCATGGCCTGGTTGAATCAGCGAAACGAGGAGTGCGGTTACGCCGACTTCATGGAGAACGCGCTGTCGTACCCACCCAAGGGACCTATCCCTACGGCGCCGGATAGCTACAGGAAGCATTGCAACCTGTGGGAGTATGCTACTTCGGCTGCGATTTACATTAATCCGTGCTTTAACTTTTATCATATCATCGGTCAGTCTGGCAATCCTGCTGTGTGTGGATCACGCTGACGTGAGGTAGACTACTGCCCGTTCCTGTGGGATGAGCTTGGGTTCCCATCTTTAGGTCAGTGTTCACAAGCCTGTGTGTATCATGTGGAGCGGACAAGCTGACGGTTGCCAGGCTGGGGACCTAACAACTACTTCAACCGCAGCGATGTGCAGTCCGCCATCCACGCTCCTACTGTACGTTCCGCGCAAGAACTTCATCATTCGAGCTTCTGTTGACAATCACCAGACCAACTACCAGATCTGCGGCGAGCACTCCTATGACCTCTCCGCAAGCGTACCCAGCGCTCTCGGACCACTCCCTCATGTCATTGAGATGACGAACAACGTCCTCATCGGCGGAGGAGCGCTGGATTTCCTTTTGCTGAGCAATGGCTCGCTGGTCACTATCCAGAATATGGTACGTCCCATCATCAGCCCTGAAAGTAGTCGAGCTGTCGCTGACATAGATTGTAGACCTGGAACGGCATGCAAGGTTTCCAAGAGAAGCCGTCCTCCCCATTTTACGTGCCGTACCACCCCGGGCTTCTCGAAGGGCTGGAGGCTATTCTGACTCAGCCATTCCCTGTGTAAGCAATCGCCCCCTCCAGTCGTTTCGCTGAATGACCGCGCTAACCCCTCCCAGTCCCGTGGAAAAGAACACTGCCGGCTCTGGCTATCTGGGTACATGGCATACCGAGCGCGGTCTCACGTGGTGCGATGTCAACCACGCCGGGCACGAGATCCCGCAGTACGTGCCCGGAGCGGGATACAGACATCTTGAGTTTTTGCTGGGGAGGATTAGCAATTTGGGGGAGGTGTCGGATTTTACGACGCAGAAGGGGGATTTTACGGGCAATTCGAGTAGGCCGTATTGAATGGGAGTGTTATGCCCGGGGCTTGATGAGGCCACGGATGATCTGGACGACTATCAACAATGTATACAGTTGCAAAGCCGTTCATTGTTTTCATCGCCAGGTACATGTGGTATGGGACCAAACACGTGCGTAGTATAAGGCATGCCAGGCGAATCTTAGATCCCGATACCAGGCTTTGCCTCTAGATGACCTGAAGGATTCACACCCCTGCAACATCTAACCCGCTTCAGCTGCAGGTTGCCGTCGTCGACTTTGTTCCTGCCAGGTGGTTGACTCACAAAGATGCAATAGCGTGGCGAGGCTGTTATGACTCGTCATAAATGCCAATTTCAGCATGTCCGTAATGTCCATGCTGTCAATGATGGAGCAAAGACCAATCGCCATCGCACCAAAGAAGGACCAGGCCACCAACGACGACGACTCCTCAGCCAAGGAGCCTGCCAAGAATGGAGAGGAAGCTTGCATGCTATATACATGTCTCACTTGCGCCAGAAGGAAAGTCAAGTGTGACAAGGCCATTCCCATATGCTCGACTTGCCGCAAGGCGCGACTGGATTGCACATACCAGGAACCCGCACCGCGCAAACGCAAAAGAAAGCCAGTTGACGACGTCCACGAACGGCTGGAGCAGTATGAGAAAATCCTCAAAGCGAACGGTCTTTTGCCAGGGGCAGAAGGCCAGAAGAGTTCCGATGCTGGTGAACCGCAATGGCCCTTCCTGGTGACCAACGCAACATCGACGACGCTGCCCATTAACAGCAAGCCTGGCAAGCTTATCGGCAAGGAAGACAAAGCTCGCTACATCGGGAGCAGTGTGTTCAAGACCCTGGGTGACGACCTCGAGCCTTCTTCTGACGAGGACGACGAGGGCGATGAAGAACCGCAACCTAGTTCCTTCCAGCAAATACAAGCGCCGGACCCTCTCTCCCTGGCCTTTCTCTCTCCAGGGACTAGCGTCAGTCTGCTCAACTACCATCCCACCTACGAGACTGCCATGAGACTTTGGAAGACATACGTCGACAACGCGGATCCCGTCGTCAAGGCCGTGCATGTCCCGACCATGCAGAAGATCCTGCAACGGGCTGCTGCGCAGCCAAGTCGCATACCCAAGGCTACAGAGGCGTTGATGTTTGCGATATACCACTTCGCTGTTATCACGATGGAGGAGGATGATTGCAGGCAGGTCTTTGGTGAGAGCAGGGCGAGTCTCCTGGCCAGGTATGAGGCGGCGCTGCGGCAGGCGCTGGTGAATGCGCAGTTCTTGAAGTCGACCAATCTTGCGGTCATTCAAGCGTTTGAGTTGTTTTTGCTGGCTGTGAGGAGCTTTTACGATCCGCAGGCGTTTTGGATTCTGACGGGTATGCATGCGATTGTGCTGTTCAATGGCCGAATATATGCTGATGAGATTATCGAACAGGCGTCGCAGTCCGGATGGCTCAGCGGATAGGCCTACACCGCGATGGCAACGAGCTGGGTCTCGGACCTTTCGACACCCAAATGCGTCGCCGCATCTTCTGGCAACTGCTGCCTCTCGACGGTTTGGCCGGCCAGCTGTCCGGCACAGGCATCTGCATCACCCTCGACTCATGGACCACGGAGCCACCCCTGAACCTCAACGACACCGACATCTGGCCTGAGATGACGCACCAACCAGAGCCGCACACCGGAGCCACCGACATGATCTTCTGCCTCGCCCGCACCGAGATGGCGAAGATTGTTCGCACCGCTTTCACGGAGAAAGGCGCCACCGAAGACACCGCCAAAGGCATCGTCTTCGGCGGCGAACAGGGCGATTTCAAACTCAAAGACGACTCCCTCACCCGCCTCGAAGACGCCATGGAAACGAAATACCTCCGCTACTGCGACTTCGCCAACCCCATCCACCTGCTCACAATGGCCATGGCGCGCTCCGGCATCAACGGCGGACGCTTGCGTGTCCGCCTCCCGCGCGCAAAAGCCTCGCAAGACCTACCCGACTCCGAGAGACGAGAGATCTGGTCGATCGCGAACAAAATCCTCGACTATCACATCTCGGCCAACAGCAACCCGCACCTCAAGCGCTTCCACTGGCACATCAAAGCCTTCTTCCAGTCTGAAGCCCTCGCGTGGATCCTTAACGAACTGCGCAAAGACCCTGCAAGATACAAAGACGACGAAACCATCTGGACGAGAATCGAGACGACGTACGGCAATCACACGGATCTGGCGGAGCAGAAGCGAAGTCTGCATCTCGCGGTCGGGAGGCTGACGTTGAAGGCTTGGGATGCCACGCAAGCGTTTCGGCAGCAGACGGGGCGGGCACCGTTGCCAGAGCCGGCATACATCACAACTATTCGTCTTCGTCCACACCGGCGCGATACTCACGCGAGTAATTCCAGCAATCCGACGCCAGAAAGCCAATACCAATACCCCACCCAAACCCAAGCCCAAGGACACTACCAATACAACCCCTTCAACCCCGGCGACTCCTCTGAAGACCTTCCTCCACCTCCTGGCCCCCTCACCGCTGTGTCCAACTCCAACTCCAACTCCAGCATCACCGACCCCTTAAACCCATCCACGGGGTTCACGTTCGGCGACACGAACGCTCCAATGACGAATTCGTTTGACTTCGACTTCAACCAAGTCGTCGATCCGAACACGGGGAGTATCGACTGGACGTTCTGGGATACTTTGATGCGGGAGCCGAGTGCGGTGCCGCCGAGTATTGGGCTGGGGATGACGGGGAGGGGTGGGGGTGGTGGGGGGACGTGGTAGGGATGGCCTGGGCGGGGGGATGTGGAAGGGAGGAAGGGAAGGGATGGGTTGGGTTGGCTCGTTCTTACTTACATCATGCATGGTGGAGAAGGGAAGAAATGGGACGGCATGGATGACGGATATACCCTACTCAATTCAGCTGTTCTAGATTTGACTTCATTGGCTTTCACAGCGTGACTGAGACTGCTCGAGAGCTCTTCGCCGTTCGCATTCGTGTCCTGCAGCCATTGAAAAGGCTTCGCGACTTCAATACGGATGTCTTATATCTCGTTTCAGCAGGTGAGGTGTAGATTGAGTCGCTTTGCCGTCCTGGTCCGGTCCATCTGATACTCCTCGGCGTCGTCAGCGCGTACGTTGACACGACGTGAGCTGGGTTGCTTGTTGCGTTTTGGATCCCCTCCTGACATGTGGCAGCGTGGCGTCCGTGTTTCGCTCGCGTTTAAGGTTGGGGTTATTGTACGCATGTCCGTGTACGTATGTCTGTGTACGTATGGTCGTGTACGCATGGACCAAAATTTCTTGCGTGACTTGCGACGAGTCTCCGGTACACCGGTCGGCTTGTCGTCCCAGCATCGCCGGTAGTGCGCAAGCAGTCGCCATGCCCAGTTCACCCGCCGTCATTTGCGCCATACTTCCTTCACGCGTCTACCTCATCTACCCTCCCCAACCCTATCCACAGCCCCCAACACCTCGCCCAACCACCACCGATGAATCCGCCCATCCCCCGTGAGTTCCGGATGAAAAGCCGTCGCGAACACATTCCCCTGCCGCACCGCCACAATATCTCCTTCCTCCCCCAGCTCCTCCGCCGTCGTCACGCGATCCTTCAGCGCCTTCGCTCGGCCAGGCAGACGAGCGAGGATTTCCACGTCCGCTTTCGTCGCCTTCAGCGCTGGGGCTGTTACTGAGGCACCCTCGGCGGACTCGTCGATGGAAGAGTTGGCGGGCAGCACCTCCTCCACCACCGGCGCGCGGATGAAGACGGAATGAAAAGCCCTCCTCTCCCCATCCCCAGCCCCCTGATGCAAGAACGGCAACTCCAGCTCCGCCTCAAAACTCTCAACCTGCCTCCCGAAATAATTGCGCCTTACCCTCACATCCAGCCCCCCGATCAACTCCTGTCCCGTCGATTTCGTGCGGTCCGCTACTTCTGCCAGGAGGATGAGACCGGCGCAAGTGCCCCAGACGGGTTTCCGCTGGACTTTCACGAACTCGCGGAGCGGTTGGAGCAGGTTTGTGCGGGCGGCGATGAGGGCGATGGCGGTTGATTCACCGCCGGGGATGACTAGGGCGGAGCACCGGGAGAGGTCTAGGGGGGTGCGGACGGAGATGATGGTGAGGGGGGGTGGTGTATGGCCACTACTGCTGCTTCCATTTGGCACACCATTGCTTTGCTGGTGGTCCAGCCGTAGTTCCTCAGCCGCCTTCTGCAGCAAGGTAATGTGCTCGACAAAAGCGCCTTGCAGCGCCAGCACGCCGATCGTCACCGCGTTCCCGTCGTTCGCCTGCCGTGTTTCTGTCATCACCGCTTCATCGGTATCGCTCGCGTGCATGTGCATTTATTGGTGGGGCCGGGGCTGGAGGGAACCAAAGACACAGTGGGACCTCCCCCAAAAACGGCAGCAGAAACTTTCACTCGGGATCGTCGGAGTCAGAGGTTCACTCCACTTCGATTGGATTCCCCAGCCAAGATTGATTGACTTTTGCACTCGCCTGCCCGCCCGTCACTCTGGAGCTGATGAGAAGCTGGAGAAACGCTGCCGATCCCAGCTGTCAAACACCGTCTCCGGCAAGTGGAGGTGAAGATCTCGTCTTCGGCATCATCATCATCGAAAGCGGCACACACAGCACGTCGATGTAAGGATGATCCAGATTACTGTGCACACCCACAAATGCAGCCCGCTTATCGAGGCCTCGGACAATTCTGCGATAAGGTCGCCTGCATGTCAACGGGCAGCAGACAGACAGCAAGAACCTTGCTCTGGAGTCTGCGAACCGGATGTTTTCGTTGAAAAACCAGGCAGGTCCCCCAGTCTCCACTCCCACCCACCATGCAACGATCCGATCTACTCCAGCTTGTGAGTCCAACGTTGACGTGATGCTTGACTCATCCCATCGACTCGGAAGCCCAGCGAGCCGGTCGTTCACCACGTTTTCCGCGACGTCGAAAAGGAATCCATGGTTGAACAGCACGGTCCGGTCGTTCTACAGGCGGCGCTCACGCCGAACTTACCTCCTCCACGGAAACTGTGCCTGCTGCAATGGGTTCAGTGGTACAGAGGTACGAATAGCGTCATAGAGAGCTGGTGCATGACGCTCCCGGGCATGCAATGTATGCAGGCACGGCAGGCTTGCTGGACCTGCAGCGGGCTTGGTGAGTGCTGACTGCAAGCCCGAGAGTCTTGTTTTACGCCTTTGGGGGAAGTAACAGGTACTTGTGTACTGGAGTAGGCAAGAAAGGTTTTCACTGCCACTGGAGAAAGAGGGAACGTACCGGTACCGGTGTACGACTGATGATGGTTCTCTCGGGTACCCCTCTTGCTCATCAGCAGGCGCCAAGGGCAGGTGAACCAGTGGTTGAGACGGCAGACTTCTTATTTCCTGTTTATCTGCTGTCCACCACTCAAGACCAGACACGAGAGGGTGCTGAGACTGTTACGGTAGCATCGCCGCCGGGCCAAGCAAGTCAAACGAGTTGGCTTATCAATTCGTGATCAGGCAATCTACTCTGTACAGCCCTCTTATCGCGTCGTATAAATGACCGAGCGGGGTGGAGAGATAACACAGGGCGGTGTTCGGCGTTGTTGTTGTTGTTGTTGTATTACCACTGCTTGGCCCCCTCGTGTTTGCCTTGAGCAGCCTCGCAACCTCGCAGCCGCTCGGCGAAGCACAGGCGGTGCTTTGGGGTCCGGGAGTCAGACGGTGGAAATTGCAGCTGACGCTCCTTTTGGCGATTGCGGCTCTTGCGTCCTTCGCTTTGGGTCACAGCTTGACACGTGAAAGTGCCAACTCTGGTATGGGCTGCGCTGGATCCCTTTCTATTCCACGCCTTGTCCGTGGTTGAGATCTCGTCGGCGTTCAAGGCACGCGACGCAACCAAACTTGGAATGCCGTGGACACGCACCTGCGTGCCGACGAATACGTTGCACACACACACACCCACGGGTCGTCTACGTTGTCTACACTCGTATTCTTGCTGGCAAGATAGATTTGCTTCGCTGGCTTACGGCAAGACCAAGATACGAGTTCGTGAGAGAGAGAGGGATCCGCGCTGCACGAGCTATTGGACGGGCTCTGATGGTGATAGGCAGATTGTGACGCAAAGGCGGAGAAGCGGTGGCATCGGAGAACTCTTTTTACGAAACTCCAGTGGCATTTTGCATTCTTCCCGCCTACCTCGAAGAGGAGCCTTGCCTGGCACCTCCTCGGCAGGGCAGGGAGGGTCCCACTGCCTCGCATCTTGCTTGATTACCAGAAATAGTACGTGCATGTGCAAGATCTCCGCCGCACGATACTGTACAGATTGTGAGGAACGTGCTTGAGGTTGTTGGGAGCAGGGAGGTGGGTTGTTTGGGAGTCGCGGTCGAGACGTCGCGCCCGTATCCCACCGGTTGTGAATTGATTAGAAGGCATCGCGACATCAAACACCCTATCCCAAATGAGAGCCTCGGGAAGAGTCGAATGGTGTCGAGCAGGGGCCTTGCAGGCAGGAAACAAGCTCTTCGGAGAATGCATCGATTTAGCGTTCGCCTAGCTCGGGGCGGACTGGGCTTGGACGGGACGAAGATAGCATCACCTGCAATTCCAATAGTCACTGACTCCGGTCTTCACGCTACCAACCACCTATCCTGGCGCACGGGCGGGTGGGCGCTGCCGATACATATTGGCGCATCTGTCTCCTCCCTTTCCCGCTTGGCCACTGTCGTTACTGACTGACTGATTGACTGTGTCACCATCGCCGACCTACACATCTGGAAGTACGGATAACAGGCAGCGTGCGATGAGACGGACTTCACCATGGCGATCAAACCGCTGCTCTCGATGATCACGAATGTGACGGAAATCAACAATGGATACCCGACGCCCGCCCACTCTCCTACGCAGGGCGAGGTGACGTGCTGGATGCTGGACACGAGGAAGCTATGGCCGGGGGACAACATCTTGACGGCGAAAGGCGCGGCGGAGGCAATGTCGTTGATCACGATCCAGGAGCAGAATGCCATCCGGCAGAAGATGTTTGTGGCGGATGCGAGGATGAGCTTGGGGTCCGCGTTGATTAAGCGGGCGTTCATCAGCCAGACGCTGGGTATGAAGTGGAGGGATGTGCGGATAGCACGGAAGGGGCACGCGAAGCATGGCAAGCCGTGTGCGGTGGACGCTGTCGGACGACCGATCGCCGGCATCGACTTCAACGTCTCGCACCAGGGTGGTTTGGTGGTGCTGGTCGGCTACAACGGCCGCGAGAACCACGAGTTCACGCCTTCCGGCATGGTCTACGGCATGATCTCGCCTACGACCAACACGGACGACGTCACCTGCGCCGTCGACATCGTCTGCGTCAACGAGCGCGACGACTACCGTACCATCGACTCCGAGGGCCTGGACGGCTGGGTCGACATCTACGACTCCCTCTTCTCCGACGAGGAGCGCTGGACCATGAAGTACGACGTCGACTACATCACCCTCCTCGACGGCACCACTCTGCACCGCGAGGACATTGGGCGCCACGACCGCTGCATCTGCCGCAACAAGGAGATCGCGCTCACCACCCCGCAAGGCCACGAACACTGCTTCAACTCGGACATGATCCTGGACGCCAAGCTCCGCCGCTTCTACACTTACTTCTGCTACAAGGAAGCCTACATCAAGCTCTCCGGCGAAGCCCTCCTCGCACCCTGGCTCAAACAGCTCGAATTCTTCAACGTCCGCTCCCCGCGCCCCGGTACCCCCGCCCGCTGCTCCACGCACGGCAGCTGGGGCGAGGCGGTGGAAGACGTCAGCGTGCACCTGCACGGCAAGCCCGTGCATGACGTGAAGATGAAGATCCAGGGCTTTGAGGAGAACTTTATGATCTCCGTCGCGATGCAAGGGGATCTGCAAGGGCTGGCGTTCCCGGCTTTCAAGTCGCTGGATTTGGAGGCGGATATTTTGGCGAATACGCCGATCCGGCAGACGCTGGCGCCCGCGAAGGTGCTGCATCAGCGGGTTGTGTCGGAGCCGCCGCCGTATATGCGGACGGGGGAGCGGTTGTTGACGAGTCCGTTGGTGCATGTGAGGGATGTGCCAAATGTGAATGAGAATCCTTATTTGTATGCGCGGGAGGTGCCACTTTGCCTGATGTGAGGAGGATCAAGGAACAGGAGGAAGAGAATTATCAGTCAGAACTGCGGGTCAAAGACGACCAAGAGTTCGTCGCAGTAGGAGGCAATCTGCAACTACCGCGAGAACACAGCACAAGATGCCAGCCAGACTACCATGCTGCCTACGCAGCTATACAACAAGCAGCACCGACCTGCTTTCGGCCACCGAGCACTACCGCATATGCAGTGTGAGACCTCAATGCACATGCTGGGGTCAACAGAACTTGCTCCGCGACGTACCGGCACATATCTGGCCTACATCAAGCCGAGCCTTGAGCTCAGGCGAGGAAGGAAGGACGAAGGATGGAGGACTTTTGGGATAGAGGAATGGGATCTGAAGGAAGGGAATTGGATCTAATTGGGAGCTATTGGGATGTCACCTTGGGAAGGGACACGAACTGATGACTACTACCTTACCACAGCATCTCGCGCTGCTCTACTAGACTAATGTTTGGACCTCGTGCTCATTAGGAGCACGGTTGTGTATAGGCTGTACTGTAGATAGATACGCCAATTGGCGCAATTCTACCAAGAACAATATATCGCGCTCCCAACGGTTTTCGAGTCACGATGTTGCTGCCGGTATCGGGTCGCTTCTTCCGGCGAGCTCATCCGGTCGTTCACGAGAATGCGAAGGGCTGGCAATGGAGTCAATGGAGTCGCAATGGCAGCAGACCATAACTACCAAGCACCACTCGATGCTTTGAGCCCTTCACAGTCAGCTCTTCGTCAAACGTAAGGCCTTAGCTGAGCATTAGACAGCACCTCTTCCCCCACGGCGAAAGCGAAGAAGAGTGCTTGCACGTGCGTGGCGAAGGACGTATCAAAGGGTCGCAGCTTGCCCCGCCGTGTCCCGCCAAAAAAGCTGTTTCCATCACGTTCCAGCTTCGAGAGAGATTTTGCCTGAAGTCTTGAAGCGTCTCAACGATACGATAGCTTTCGATTGTGACTCTTGGTTTTGACGAAGAAGGACTATAACAACTACTTGAAGAAGCATTGAACTGGACACACCGTTGAAACAGCATAAACCGCAAACATGAGCTCCTCCCTCGACCAACTGAAGTCCACTGGCACCGTGAGTCCCTCACACCACCCCTTCACACCTCCCGCACATGCTAACACTACGGGGTACCACTAGGTCGTCGTCTGCGACTCCGGCGACTTCGCCACCATCGACAAGTACAAGCCGCAAGACGCCACGACCAACCCCTCGCTCATCCTGCTCGCGTCCAAGAAGCCCGAGTACAGCAAGCTCATCGACAACGCGTGCTCCTACGGCAAGCAGCATGGCAAGAACATCGACGAGCAGGTCGACGCTACCCTCGACAACTTGCTTGTGCAGTTTGGCAGTGAGATTTTGAAGATTGTGCCCGGGAAGGTGAGCACGGAGGTGGATGCCAGGTTTAGCTTTGATGAGAAGGCGAGTATTGAGAAGGCGTTGCATATTATTGATGTGAGTATGCCCCATCCATCATACAGGAAAAGCATGGATGTGCTGACGAGGTGAACCACAGCTCTACAAAGAAATGGGCATCGACAAGTCCCGCGTCCTGATCAAGCTCGCCTCGACCTGGGAGGGCATCAAGGCCGCGCACACGCTCCAATCCAAGCACGGCATCAACTGCAACCTCACGCTCATGTTCTCGCTGACGCAAGCCGTGGCGGCCGCCGAAGCCGGCGCCTTCCTCATCTCCCCCTTCGTCGGCCGCATCCTCGACTGGTACAAGGCCAACACGAAGAAGGACTACGCCAAGGAGGAGGACCCGGGCGTCAAGTCCGTACAGAGCATCTTCAACTACTACAAGAAGTTCGGGTACAAGACGATTGTCATGGGCGCCAGCTTCCGCAACGTCGGCGAAATCACCGAGTTGGCCGGGTGCGATTACTTGACCATTGCGCCGAATCTCTTGGAGCAGCTGTACAATTCGACCGAGGAGGTGCCGGCGAAGTTGAAGAGTGAGGGCGCGCAAAGCCTGGATGTGGAGCGGAAGAGCTATTTGAACGATGAGGCGTTGTTCCGGTTTGACTTCAACGAGGACACGATGGCGGTGCATAAGTTGAGCGAGGGGATTAGTAAGTTTGCTGCCGATGCGGTGACGCTGAAGGGGATTTTGCGGGAGAAGATTGAGAAGGCTTGAATGGATTGTGAATGAAGGATGGGGTGGTGATGTGGAAGAACGGGCATGTGATGAAGGCATATGAGGATACGATGGATGGGATGGACTCAGAATGCTAGATGGGTTGTCAGAGTAATGAGGTCTCCATGGCTATAACAACCAAAGTGCTTTCGTTCCACTCGTCTTCACCATCATTCCTCTCCACCCAACTACCGTCTGATACCGGATCTTCATGTTGCTATAGCTGAAGTCACGGCATGATATAACGTTGACGGAGCCCTGTCGTCGTCCTTGCGCATCCGCAGCTTCCCAGTGGAACTTCGTCATAGGCCCCCACTTGCCCCTCCTTCCCTCACAGCAACAGACGTCAACGTCTCGTCTTACAGCTTTCTTTGTGTTCAAACTCTTCATTCCAACACCTCACTTCCCAGCCATCAAGACAAAGGAAAGGAATTACATTTAAAGAACAAAAGAAGAAGAACAGAAATACCGCCACAATGGTCAAAGCAGGTACGTCTTTCCACATTTACGCTTTCACTCTTGTTGTTCGAGGAAGAAGTCAAAAGCCAATGAGAGGGTGGAGGTGGAGAGTTATGAGCACTTTTGAGCGAGTACGAGGGCCATTATGGTGGTCATCAAGGTCCTCAGCAGTGGCACTGGCGCCAGCAATGGCTTGAGGGACCACGTGCAGAGCAACCACTACCACCTTGAGTTCACTGCCGTCCGGTCCTGAGCTCACTGACTCGAGTCTCATCTCATCCATGGCTCTGGCGGCCACGCCGTGCCTGGTGGGTGGGGGCTCTGCACGTGGTCTTGAGCCGGAGAGGTACCACTGTCATGGCACTTGTGCTTCCATGGTCGTGGTAGAGCTTCTTCCATGGGCTCAGCTTCCTCCATATCCACGGGTCGCTTCGCTTGCGCTACCACAGCCTCTCTTACACTACCGAGAATACTGCCGAGGAAATCTTGCTGACTTGATATTCTTTTAGTTGCCGTCCTCCGCGGAGACTCCAACATCAAGGGCACCGTCACCTTCGAGCAGGCCTCCGAGGGCGCTGACACCACCGTCTCCTGGGACATCAGCGGCCACGATGCCAACGCCAAGCGCGGCATGCACGTCCACGCCTTTGGCGACAACACCAACGGCTGCACCAGCGCGGGGCCGCACTGTATGTTTTCATCCGTCCTTCTCCTCCCTTCGTTGTACTGATAGGGTGATGCCCAGTCAACCCCCACAGCAAAGAACACGGCGCCCCTTCGGACTCCAACCGCCACGTCGGTGACCTAGGCAACTTCGAGACGGACGGGCAGGGCAACGCCAAGAGCTCCGTCAGCGACAAGTTCATCAAGCTCATCGGGCCGGAGAGCGTGTTGGGCCGGACTATCGTCGTGCACGCCGGTACGGACGACTTGGGCCAGGGCGGGAATGAGGAGAGCAAGAAGACGGGGAATGCCGGGGCCAGGCCTGCGTGTGGGGTTATTGGGATTGCGCAGTAAGCGTTTCTCTCGTACCACGAACCTGAAGGAAGGGGAGGGGAGATAATGAAAGCAGTGCTGGTGGATGAAATGCGTAAAAGCAACATGTATAACGTAGAATGAGCAGAAGATGAATGGGATGACGTGTGGAAGGTACTTGACTGTCTCAAATCTCACGCTCTCGTCGGTTCTTCCCCTGCACAGTTGATCTCATAGGAGCACATGTGTCTTCTCAAACTTCGAGCAGAAGACATCTTATCCTCTTGCAGCCCTCGTGCCTCAAGCAGTCAAGCAGCCTTCTGAAGCTCTTGGAGCCTCAGCAATCTCCCTCATTCGCCAGTAACGCCTCGCTATGCTCTCCATGCCCACCACCGTCCATTGACAACCAATGTAGTCCTCACAACCCCTCGTTGAACTCCCCAGCATACCCTTCGTCCCCTCCTCTCCTGCCCCCGTACCCGCCTCGTCCTGGATCAAATTCTTCCCTATACTCATCCCTCACCTGCCCCCCGCTCTTCCCCCGTCCATACTGCCTCCCCTCCGTAAACCCCTCATCAATATCCGCCCTTATAATCCGCTCATCCAGCTTGGTCCCGGAGATATACGACAGTGCGTCTCTGGCTTCTTGCGGCGTGTAGTACTCGACGAAGCAGAAGCCGCAGGGGGTTTTGGTGAAGCGGTCGAGCCCCATTACGATTCGCCGCAAAGCGCCGGTTTTGGAGAAGAGTTCGTGGATTTGGTCTTCGGTTGTGTAGAAGGAGAGGTTGCCTATGTAGAGGGTGGAGGCTGCCGGAGGGTGGGTGTTAGTATGGCCTGTTTTGAAGGTTTGGTGGGCGAGATATGCTACGAACCATTTGCGAGGCGGTCTTCGGGGGTGGGGGAGGGTGGGCGCGCGGGGTCGGCGGGGGGTTCGTCGCGGCGGCGCTGTTTCTTGTACTATAGAGTCGTCAGTTGACTGCTGTGTTTGGTGGTAACAGGCAAACCGTACCTTGCTGAGCGCGTAGGAGGATGGCTTGTCGAGGCGCTCGACTGTGTGTTGGATCTGGACTTTAGGCATGTTGTCGACGCTGTGGAAGAGTTGTGTGAAGAGTGATTTGCGTGAGGGTATGAAGTTGAAGCTCAAGCATGTGGATGGTATAGAATTCAGCCGGGGATGAGCCGGTGGAGCTTGACGCGCTGCTAGGTTTGCTTCGCGCGTTTGACTTCACAATTTCTACTTCCCTGTGCTCCTGGACCAGAACGAAAGACGACTTTTGGAACTACCGACTATGCTCCGGTGACACCAAAGACTTCCCAAGAATGCCCAAGATCCTAGCGCGCGACCCAGCGTGGCTGTCCTCGAAATTGTTCAAGGCTGAGGAAGAATCAAGATCAAGGCAGATTCAGGACGTCGTATATGATGGACCGCTGCGGAAGATTGTGCATCGAGGCTCGGAGGTTATTGTTGCAGTGGGCAATGAGCTGCGCTGGAGCGGTTTGGGCGATTTGAAGGTCGCTGGTGAAGAGGCCGACAGGAGGTATCGCGGCGGGAACGAGCAAGAGGAGGGTGAGAAGACGTACAAAGTAGGCAGTATGGATATGGAAGGAGGTAGAGATATGCTAACAAGGCCTTCAGATCCTTAAAACACCCGTAGCCCGCCCAATCACCCAACTCTGCCTCTCCCCAGCTGGCGACTACCTGGCCGTTCTCACCTCGCACACGATACACATCTGCGTCTTGCCGACTTACTCGTCCCTACAATCTGAGGATAACTCACCGCTCCGCCTCCGAGCCTTCCAGCTCGGCCCTACAGCGCACGTTCTCGAGCAATCACCGCTTGTATGCGCGCTCTGGCACCCCCTGGCAGCCAACGGCGAATGTCTCGTCACTGTCACTCAAGATGCGTGCATTCGCCTCTGGGAGCTCGATACCTCCAGTCGCTCGACTTTCTTCGAGCCGACGGTTGCCATCGATCTCAAGAAGCTGGCCAATGCGACTTCGAACCAAGCAGATTTCAGCACGAGCAAGTATGGCACCAACAAGGGTTTCTCGCCGGATGATGTCGAGATGGTTGTTGCAGCGGCTTGCTTTGGTGGGCAGGGGTTGCCTGACGAGCATGGCTGGGCTAGCATGACACTCTGGGTTGCCATGACTGAGGGAGATGTGTATGCGCTGTGCCCGCTTTTGCCTGCTAGGTGGAGGGCTACGGAGACGATGCTGCCGAGTCTGAGCACGAGTGTGATGGAAAAGGTGCGGGCGACGACGAGGGATGCGGACATTTCAGAGGGCGAGAAAAGAGTTGTGGAGCAGCAGCGGAAGTGGCTGGCGGATGTCGATGCGCAGGATCCGCTGCTGATACCTTCTCACTTTGAAGGCTGGCGCGAGACTGCGGAGGTCTATAATCGACCTACTGGACTGAGTGCTGTGCCAAAGCTGCAAGGACCATTCCAGCTGGCGCCAGAGCCGGACTTCGGAGAGATCACGGACATTCATGTCATTGCGCCCAAGGTGGACAGCGACGCACTATATGCCGGCGATGGGGAGGACGATGTTGATGCAGACGAAGGGCTGAGCGTGGGAATTGTCTGTCTGGCAACGAGCACCAACGAGATCCATGTCTGTCTGGACCTTGAAGGTGTGGAGGCAGAATGGCTGCCCACAAAACGCTCAAGAGCCTATGCGCTGGACGAAGTCGAGGATGCCAGGGAGCTTCTGCTTTTCGAGACCATCGACCTCGCGCAACAGGGCGACGACCACGAAGACAACGGGTTCCCGACCTTCACTATCTCGCCCGTCGATCGATATCAGCTGTTCGTCACCCATCCCACTGGAGTCAGCGGCCTAGATTTCGGACCATGGGTCGGTATGCTCGAGGATGAATTGTCCAGCCCCTCGGACAGCGGCGCAGGCTTCCGACTTGACATCGTGCTGGACTCAACACACACCCTCGTCGACCAGCCAATCTACATCCCGACGTCTTCGGATTCTAACAACAGCAGCGCCATCAACACAGCCATCTCTCTTTCCTCTCCCGCCCTCAGCGGCCTCTTCCTCCTCACCCTCGCCAACCAAACCCCCTACTCCGCCATCCTCGACATCCTCCAACCCAACCAAAACCCCTTCGAACCGGACTCCCCCTCCGCTCCTCTCGCCGCCCCAAGCCCCCGCGCCCCCTACCGCCCACCCCAAGACTTCGACACCCTCTCCTCCTTACCCCAACTCATCAAATCCGCCACAGACTCCTCCCGCCTCGGCTCTGGAGGCCTAGCTGCGCCGCTGAAAGTGAGTCCAGCGACCGTCCAGCTCATGACAGACGCCCATCGCGTTCTGAGCAACGAGACCCACCGCCTCGGCATCGCAGCCGCCGACCTCTTCCGCCGCTGCGAGCGCATGCGCGCGGAGTTGCGCGAGCAAGTGCGGAAAGTTGCCGAAGTCGCTGCAAGGGTCGACGCTGTCACTGGAGCCGACGAAGTCGAGCCTCCCTCCGAGAACGATGAGCGAGACGCCGACGATGAAGAGCGCGATCCCCTCAACGGCGCCGAGCGCATCGAACTCCGCATCCTCACCGCCCAAGACAAAACCCGTCAACTCAACTCCCGCGCCGACGCTATACGCAAGAAGATGTCCCGTCTCGCCGGCCAAGGACTAAGCGAGCGCGAGCGAGCCTGGGAGAAGGAAGTCGCGAGGGTGGAAGGGAGTCTTTTCGCTCCTCACCCTACTTCTCGTGACGGAAGCGATGTCGTCGCTAACGGCGATCGCGACGAGGAGGGGAAAGGGAGCACGCTGGCGGGACGGGTTGAGGCTGTGACGCAGATGCAGGCCCGTCTTGTTCGAGAGGCTGACGAGGCTTCCTCGGCGACCGAGGCGAGAGGGCAGGGGGGGAGTGGGGACGCGAGGGGAGGTGATGGTGGTGGTGCGGGGACGGGGACAGGGGTGGGAGGGGAGTACAGACGGCAGAAATTACAGCAGGTTATGGCGTTGTTGGAGCGGGAGAGTGCGTTGGTTGAGGGGGTGCAGGAGAGGTTGAGGAGGTTGGAGAGGGGGTGAGATTCTCCCTCTCAACCTGATTTAAGACGAGTGCGGTTGAACTTGTAACGTTAAGGCAGTTGAAGCTGGGCCCGCGCTTTGAATATGTAGCACGTACAAACCGCCCGGCATCACGCTAGCGAACGCTTCTTCCTCTTTCTATTCTAACAACGCTAATCCACAATTCAAAATCACCACTCGCGACTGATCCCCTCACCTCTCCCTGCGCACCACACTCCCCGTCCCCTCCGGCGGCCTCTTCTCCCCAAAATTATGCAACCGCTCGCCCACAAGATACACCTCATCCCGAATCCTCGCCCTCCACCTCCGCGTCGCCTTTAGCACTTCCCCGCACGCGAGCACGAGCATCACCGCTGACGCGGCGAGCGGGTAGGCGTAGCGGTACATTTTCACCCGCTCCTCACTCCCTTCTTCTGCCAGTACGCCGCCGTCGAGACGAAGGGAAGTGATTATCGTAAACGCTACTTTCGCCCCCACCGCCGGAACCAGCAGGATAGTCAAAGAGAACAGCGTAGCAGGCAACACCACAAACCGCGTCGCGAGCCGGACGTCCGGGTCGAAGTACCCCGGCGCTGTGATGCGACGGAACGCTTCTGCGGCGCGGGAGGCCGGCGCCGTGAAGATGAGGCGCAGAGCGATGCGGGCGTAGACGAGGCCGAGGGCGTAGGATTGCAGGATGTGGAAGGTTGAGGGCGACAAAGATGGGTTGGTCTCGGTGGGCGAGGCGGTGAGGTTGGCGAAGTGGGCGAGCGACAAGGTTGCGTTGTTCGCGGTGGAGGCGTCGCCGGCTGCGCTGGGAGTGGAGGAGGAGGCGACGGAAGCGGCCCAGGTTTGCAGCGGCAGGATGAGGTAGAACTGCAGCACCAGCGCGAACACCGTCGGGATCACGATGCCGAGGAAGCCGTAGACGTAGCAACATCGCAGGATTCTCGCCGCCAGGCGCTGCGCGCGCGAGATCCACGCCCAGGCGTTCAGGGATCGCGCTTTCGTCTTGACGAAAGCCGCGCCGCGCCGGCCTTTCAAAGCTGTGAAGAGCAGGCAGGAGAGGAGGTAGGCGCCGATGGAGTAGGCGTAGAGATCGTTCGCTCGTGCAGCGTCCGGCAACATGGCGGAAAGGATCCTGCGTCCGATGACCAGCGGAAGAATGGTAGCGCACAGTCCCAGCCCGGCGGAGAAGAGCCACAGACACACCATAAACAGCGTCACGCGCACGCGAAAGAGCGGGGGCACGTAGATGCGGGCGAAATGGTCGTTTTTGTGGCCGTGGCGGTCGGAGATGAAGACGTCGTCGTCGTGGACGTGGAGGAAGGCTTCACCGGGTTTCGGGGGGCGGTACTGGTCGTTGCAGGGCGTGAGGACGAATTTGCCGTTGGGGGTGAAGCGAGGGTCTTGCCATTTCTTCGCTTCGGGTCGTGCATCGTCATCCGCCTTCCACCAGATTGATGAGAGAGTCTCGAACATCTCCTTCCAGCTCTCGTGCTGGGAGACGCCCTCTTCTTCCCGCCTCCGCTGCCCGAACAAAAAGTGGCTCAATCGTAGCCCTCTGGCACACCTGCGCAACCACCACCCATAAACCTCCCCCACCGCCTCCGTCGGCTTGATCACCCGCAGCACAAGCGGCGTGACGAAATTGTACACAAACAGATTGAACGGAAACTCCAACACCGGCTCCGTAGCCCCCCAGCGCACGGGGAACACTCCCTCCCCCAGCTGCGTAACCGTCCACACCACACCGCCCAAACACAAGATCACAAGAGCCCCGTAGACTAATGCGGAGAAGGCAATCTTCCTCAACTGCACGCCCACGTTCCGTTCCAGCACATCTCTTACAGGATGGAACGTCGGATCGTCCGGGTCGCGGACGAACCACAACACGCCCTTTCGCAGGATCTTGCGACACATGCCCACGAACAGCGCGAAGTGGAACATATAGCACGTCCCCACGAACCAATGCACAAAGCAGAACGTCCATGGTTTCGCTCCCGCAAAGGCCCAGCGCGTCGCGACGCTCGCTCCGGGGAACAAAGGGAGGAATGCCAGGTCCAGGAGTAATCCGCAGTACAAGGGGAAAACGAGCATCTCGATGCTGATGATGAGGATGACTTTCAGCACCCCCCCGGCCTGTCGGAGGCCGTCGCGGACGGCTTTCTCGGTGCGTTGACCGGCTTCGGTGAGGGTGAGGGGGGAGTCGAGGGCGACGTAGATTGCGGCGAGGGCGGCGAGGGTGGCATAGCCGGTTAGGATGGCGAGGAAGCGGTCGGTCGGGGTCCAGTGGATGAGGGTGGGGTCAGAGGGGATGCTGGGTGGGGAGAAGTTTAATGAGCCGTGGGAGAGGTCTTTGACAAAGGTTAGGAGGGGAGCAGTGGTGGTGTGGAGGTAGATGCTGGTGGTATGGAGGTGATGGGGGAAGTCGGGGATGTGGGCGAAGTTGCGGAGGGTGTGGGTGCAGACGGTGAGGACGGAGCCGGAGGAGATGGTTTCGACGGTCCAGGTGATGGCAGCGCTGATGTAGCTGAGGATAGCATCAACTTCGTCCCCAATCTGTCGGAGTGAAGCATGGGAATGCACGCTCCAGGCGAGGATGGCCCAGCTCCACATCACGTCCTCAGGGCCTTGCTCGATGGACAGCAAGCCCTGCAGTCTCGCTCCAGCATTCTTCGACGCACCAAGCCAGAACTCCGCAAGTCTTTCCACCACACCAGCACTGAACCCAGGCATCGTGACCCCCACCCCCAACGCCCTCACAACCCACTGCACCACCATCCCCAACCCACTCAACACCACAACGCCCACATCAACCACAAAATCCGCCCCCGCCCCCGCAGCCCTCAGCGGCACCTGCACCAAAAAGTACCCCGGACTGCCCACCAGACTCAACACCACTTTGCCGAAGATATACGGCGCCACGACCGCCCCTCCCACTGTCGCCGAAACCAGCAAAAGACAAAACGCCGAGGTCTGGAAGAGCCCGATGATCGGTCCCTGCAGGCCGAGCAGCTCGAAGATCCCTTCGAGGTCTTCGGCGTCTTCGATGGCTTCGGGGTCGAGACCGGCGGCTTGTGCGGCGGCGAGGACTTCCGGATCGTGGTCTGCGTGGGGTTGGGCTGGAGGTGGAGCAGCGTGTGCGTGAGGTTGTACGGGAGGTTGAGGAGCGTGCGCGTGAGGCGCGGGTTCGCCGTCGCGGACGGGGACAAAGGGCGCTTCTGCTTGATCACCATCTAGGTCTACTTCTCGTTGTCTTCGTTCTTCTTCCACGCGTGGAGCAAGTTGTGCGACGGCAGCTGCGGGCGCGCGGATATCGCCCCAGAACCAATCCCTGATCCTTCCTACCAAACCGACATTTCTCACTTCAACTCTTCGAGGCACTTCATCGGGCTCAGCGTCAACGCCCGGCTCGCCCTCGTCCCGCTCGGGAGGCAAGGGTTGATTGATCGCGACTCTGAGCTCGTCGAACTCGTGTCCTGCGTCTTCGAAGCCGAATTCTTCGCGGAAGACGCTGGCGACGCGGTTGCCGAAGCTCTCGCTGTTGCGGCGCTCGGGGGGCATGCGGCCGGCGGGGTGGAAGGGGTTGTTGTTTGTGTTGGCTTGGTCAGCAGCTGGATTGGCGTTTGCATCGCCTTCTGCGGCAGTAGCAGAATCAGCACCAGCAGCAGCAGAGTCCGCGTCGGTCCCAGCACCCTCCCAAGACCCAACAGCCCCATCCTCCTCCGCAATCTCCCTCTCAAGCTTCTCCAGCTCCTCCGTCTCCCGCTCGACGACCTCCTCATCTCTCGGTTCCGGCACAGCAGTCAACCTCCCCGTCCCGCTGATCTTAATATTGACCTTCGCATCCGGGCCAGCGTTTGTAATGGGAAGCGGATCAAAGGCGCGAGTGGGCTTCGACGAGGCATTCTCATTGCCATCACCGTCGTTCGTGCCGGTACGCTCCGGCGGCTGCTGGGCCGGAGCTGTAGATGGCGGTGCTGGCACCGCAGCTTCACCGTCGGGAAGGCGGAATGAGTCCGAGATGAACGCAGCGAGCATTTCCTGCCGGACCTCGTCACGCATACTGGTCACGTCCAGTAAGCGCGGCACGTTCGCGGGCGACGGTCCGATAGCAGGTCCCTGGTCTTCGGTTTCCTCGTCAGCCTCGACAAGACTCCGCTGCACCCTCGTCGCTCTCGCCATGAAGTCCCGTTCAGGCAGTCGCGGCCGCCTTCGAGGTGCAGTGCTCGCTTCGCTGTCGTCCTCGTCCATGTCCACCCACTCATCACTTTCGTCCACCGTCTGCGCTATGGCGTCAGCTCCTCCCGCGCTGCTAGACTCTTTCTTCCGTCGCGCAACGGCCTGTTTTGCAAACTCCTCCAGCAAAACACCTTCCCACCGTCTCCGCTCTTCGACGCCGTATGCGCTCAGCTTCTCAGCCAGCTTCCGCGTGATCTCTTCGGGAGTCACGCTCTGCGCCTTCGCAGCACGGACTTGCTCAACAAACTCCCTAGCAGCAGCGACGAACCGCGCGTACTCCACCTCGCCGCCCTCCCCCTCACCAATCCTCATATACTCCGTCCCCTCATCCATCACCTCTCCCAGCCTCTCCCACCCCACGAACCCCGTCCCCTCCCCCAACCTCTCCAACCTTCCCCTCGTCTCCTCAAGCGCCTCTCTCTGCGCCCTCACCCTCTCCTGCGTCTCCCTTAACCGCACCTGCCACTCCTCCATCATCCCTTCGTCCACCCCCGCGTCCTCGGCGCGCAGGTTCATGAGGATCGGTTGTTGCACGACCCACTCGCGGATCAGGAAGATGAGGATGAAGGCAGTGATGATGAGGCAGGTGATGAGTTGGCCTTCGAAGATGTCGAGGAGGAGGGCGTTGAGGCGGGGGGAGCTGGTGGGGTGGGCGAGGTGGGGGAAGGGGGTTAGGAGGGAGGGAGCTGTGGTTGGGAGGGTTTGGGTGAAGTTGGTCGTGGGGTTGGCGTAGAGGTCCGTGTGGGCGTTGGAAGTAGCGGCAGGGCTGGCGAGGGAGTAGATCGAACGCGCGATGCGGGCGGGAAAGGAGTCGGAGTCCTGCTCTGTAGTCTGCGTGACCATCCCCACCATCTGACCCATTCTATCCACATAGCTCGTGCCGTTGTACGCACCCTCCTCTTCCAACCTCTCCCCCATCCACCCCACAAACCCCTCCTTCGCCCACCCCGCATCCGCCAACCAGAACAACCACCGCCAAACCCACCTCACCACCCACGGCACGACCCCCAACCACATCCCCGCCACCACCACCCCTCTCCCCGTCCTCCCCGCTCCTTGCAGGACATGCCATCCCGCCCTCCGCACAAAAACTCCCCACGGTAAAGTGGCAGGCATATCGGCGTCATAGAGCTTCGTGAACCGGAACGCCGTTTTGCACAGTTCGCAGTGCGTTTTGCGCGAGTGCGAGAGCCATTCCATCAGGCATTCTTGGTGGACGTGGCGGATGCTGCCGTTGCATTTGCAGGGGTGGAAGAGCGGTTCGGTGGCGGTGGGCTCGGAGCGGCAGATGCGGCAGGTTTCGGGGGGTGGGGCGGAGGTAGTGGAGGAGAGGGTGGAGCGGCGGGTGAGGGGGTAGTCGTTGGTAGGGTCCATGGTGGGTGGATCGTCGGCCATGGTTCAGAAGGTGATAGGTAGATTGTTGGCCGCGATGGCGATGGAGGTGTTGTTAAGAAGGCATTGAGTGGATGATCAGCCAGCCGTGTGTCGGTGTTTGATCGAGTGGTGGATGGGCGGATTCTCGTAGGATCGTTGGAGTCGTAGTCGTTGTGGTGAATACTGTTTCCTTTGAAGGCATTCGTAGGTCGAACAAACGGACATGAATGTCGATCTTCAATCTGAGTAATCACGTCACGTGCTCTCAACGCCGAATCTGGAAGTTGTTACGATCCGTTCGCTTTCACATGATCGTCCGCAATCCAAGTATCGAGCTATCCAAGTCTAAATCTTCCCATCGAATTCTAATCAATTGTTCAGTACGAGTGGGTACCTAGAAGTGAAGTTGCACATGCTCGCAGCTGCCAGTGACCTCAACGCGCTTAAGCGAGCGCCACGCGACAGGCGAATCAAGGTTTGTTGGCCGACTCGCGATTTGGTGGAAGTCGAGGCCAATTTGCTCGCGTGCAACAACACGTCCCAGCGTTCAAGCGCCGGACGACACTTCCAACGACCTCACCTCCTCTTCTACCCCATATCACCCCCATCTTCCCCTTATCTCCTGCTAAACCAGGAAGTCGCGGCATTAGCGAGCAGTTGCATGTGAAAGGAGCGGCACCTCAGCAAGCTCAAGGTGTCCCCACCAGCTCTCCCTAGCTCGCACCTTACCCACATCTCACCCTTTCCCTCTCGATGGGAGCAGACACACGCAACGGCAAGCGAAAGGGCGCCGCCTCCTCCACCACCATGAACGGCCAGCCCAACGCCGCCAACAACCCGCGCCGACGGCGGAAGAGATCAGCAGCCGCCGCATCCACCACCTACACCGGATGGCTGCTCGATAAGGCCCTGAAGATCGCCGTGTGGTACAGCATCGTCACCCTCGCCTTCCGATGTCCCCAGACGAGCGACGGCCTGACCGACGAGAGCCCCAAGATCTGCCGACCGAGTTTGCAGGCCAAGGAGTTCGTGCAGCCGTATGTGCGGCCGTACTATGAGCAGTATCTCGATCCGTACGTGCAAAAGGCACAGCCGTACGTGGATCAGGTGAACGATCGCGTCTACAAGCCTGGGTTGGCGGCGTATGAGCAATATGGAGCCCCACGGGTGGCACAGGCACAGAAGATCTCGCAGGAGCAGTGGGTGAAGACGGTCAAGCCGCAGCTGGATAATGCACGACAACAGGCTGGGAAGCAGTATGAGGCCTCGCTTGGCCCACACGTGAAGAAGGTCACGGACGTTGTCTACCCATACTACGACCAAATCTCCACTTCTGCGAGTGATATCTGGGAGCTGGAGGTCCAGCCGGTCTACCGCAACACCGCACCCTACGCCCACAAGATCTACCTTCAGGGCCAGGACTTCGCTCTCAACCACGCTCTCCCATACGGTCAATACGCTGGCAACACCGCCTGGGCTGTCTGGACGCGCCAAGTCTGGCCTCGTCTGCGCATCCTGTACGGCGAGAACGTGGAGCCACAACTCAACCGCATCACCGAGCGTCTGGGCCGATACAAGGACGGCAAGCGCCTGTCTGCCGAGATCAAGAGCGTGGAGGCCGAGTCCGCCGCATCCTCATCCAGCTCCAAGCTCTCGTCAGTCGCCTCTTCCGTCTCGTCGACTGCTCGCTCTGCAGCCTCCAGCCCTGCCTCAGCAGCCAAGGAAGCCACTACGTCCTCCTCTTCCAGCACACCGACCCCGTCAGTCTCCCCCGTCGAGCAGTTCCGCCAAGATCTCAAGAACTGGGAATCCATCTGCTCCCGCGCCACCACAGAAGGCGCCGACGATCTCTCCGAGCGTATCGCCGAAATCTCCAACCACCAGTCCTCCTCCTCCGTCAACGGCGTCGGCTCCGCCCTCGTCGTCCAACTCGAAGAAACGGCCACCGGCGCCATCAACTCCGTCAAAGCCCGCATCCAAGCCGTCGTCGCCTCCATCCCCGAAGACGCCGACGAGGCCAGGATAGAAGAAGCAAACGAAGAACTCGTCACAGGCATCCGAGCCGCGGGCCAGAGCATCAAAACCCGCGCCCAGGCGGTGCGGGAATGGCACACCACTTTCAAGAGCGAGCTGGACGACTTGGTGAACAAGGCTTTGGAGAGCACGATCGAAACCGTCGCGGGCATTCGCGAACTCCGGCTCACGGAGATCGGACGACGCTACGCGGATCAGGAGCTCCCGCATAAGGAATGGAGCAAATACAACGACCTTAAGAAGGGCTCGCAAGGCTGGAGAGATGAAGTCGGCAAAGTCGCGCACGGGCACTCTGCTGTCAAGGACGCCAGAGAGGCTGCCGAGGAGGTGGAGGCGAAGGGTATGAGTGTTGCTGAGGAGGCGGCGAAAGAGCTTGGGAGGTTGAAGGGGGTGGCGAAGTGGAAGGTTGCGGCGAGGGATGAGACGGATGATTTTAATACTCGTGCTGTGCCTGCGGCGGCTGAGAGGGCGAGACAGCAGGTTGTTGGGAAGGCGGAGGATGTTAAGGAGGCTGTTGCGGGCAGCGGGTCTGGTGTTTCTGACTCGGCGACTGATACTGCGAGCAAGGCCTCCGAGGCTGTCGTGGGTAGCGAGACTGGTTCGGTGGAGAGCGCGGCGAGCGAGGCGAAGAAGTCTGCTTCCAGTGCTGCCAGCGCTGCGAGCCAGGCTGCTGCGGGTTCTGAGTCCGGTTTCTCTGACTCCGCTACGGATGCGGCATCGAGTGCGTCTGAAGCTGCCGCCGGCTCTGATGAACCCTCAGTCAAAAGTGCCTCCGGCGAAGCGAAGAAGTCTGCCACCAGCGCTGCTTCTGCCGCTTCAGAGGCTGTCGCTGGTTCAGAGTCTGGCGTCTCGGATTCCGCGACGGATGTGGCATCCAGTGCTTCTGAAGCTGTCGTTGGCTCCGAGACTCCCGCTGCAGAGAGCATCTCTTCCTCGCTTTCGCAGATGGTTGAAGATAACGCTGGCACTAAGTCTCTCGGTCCCAAGGCAGCCAGTATCCTCTCTGCTGGTCAAGCGAAGAAGGATGCCGCGAGCCAGAGCGTCGAGTCTGCTGCTAGTGAGGCATCTGGCGAAGCCGAAGATACTGCTTCTGGTGCTTCTGGCAGTGCATCCTCCTTGGCCGACGAAATCTCAAGCAGTGCCTCCAGTCTAGCTGACGAAGCCTCCTCGACCGCCTCGACGGCTACGAAGAAAGTCTGGGGAGGCGCCAACGCACAAGTCCTCGTTGAGGCTCGCGAACCTATCCTCGATGACATTGTCGACGACGAGCCTACCTACAGCGAGCGTATTCAAGCGATCATCGACGGTGCAGGCGACCAGGCGTCTTATTTGACGAAGATCGTCGAGGATGCGATGAAGAACGTGGGCGTCACGGCAACGCAGCAGGGTACCGTGGAGAGCGCGACGAGTGTTGCCTCTGCGCAGTACGAGAGCGCGATGGCCGCGGCGAGTAGTGCGTTATTCGGCCCAGAGAAGGGAACGGCCGAGAAAGGCAGCGATGCAGCAAAGGCCCAATACGAGAGCGCCGTCACCGCAGCCTCCTACGCCATCTACGGCACCCCAACGCCAGTCGGCGCAGCATCTTCCGCCAGCTCTGCCGCGGCGTCCATGGCCTCGCAGGTCAACGACGCTACCGCCAACATCGCTGCGGGCGCCAGTGAACAGTACAACAACGCCATCAGCCAAGCTTCCGTGCAGTACGAAGCAGCCAAATCGGCAGTCTCCGTCCAAGTCTCCGGCACGCCTAAACCAGCGCACGAACAGGCCTACGCTTCAGTGGAGTCCGCCTACTCCGACTCCCTCGCCGCCGCATCCGCCAAATACCAAGACGTCGTCTCCGCTTTCTCCTCCCAGACCGTAGGCCTGAAAGGCACCCAAGGCGCTTACGAAAGCATCTCCGCCATCGCTTCATCCCGCCTCTCCGACGGCTTGTCCGCGGCATCCGCACAGTACGAAAGCGCGAAAGTGGCCGTAGGCGTTGAGCCCACGCCTGCCCACCAGGCTTATCTTGCTTCTGCGCAGAGGAAGTACTATGAAGGTGTCGGCATGGCGCATGACCGCTACTCGTCCTTTCTGCAGGCTGCGAGCAGTGCCGTGGGTGCTACGCCGACGGCCGGGTTCGCGGGTTACGCTGCTGCGGCGCAGGCGACTTATAGCGCCGCTGTCGCGGCTGCGAGTGCCAGTATGCAGAATTTGATGGAGGAAGCGAGTTCGGCTGCTGGCGCGACTACGAAAGGGACAGTCGAGGGGGTGGTGGAAAGTATTTCCGTCCAGTATCAGGATGCGATTGCGGCTGCGGAACGCCAGCTCAGCGCTGCTTCGACTCAGGCTAGCGAGGCGGTTTATGGATCCCAGACTGGGTATGCCGAGTCCGTCGGCTCCGCTGCGAGTTCGGCGCTCTACGGCAGTTCGACCGGCTACGCTGAGTCCGTCGGCTCTGCTGCGTCTACTGCGATATATGGTTCCGAGACCCCGGCTTATGAGAGCATGGCCTCGCGCGCCGCGGAGAACTGGGACGCGCTGATCGCCCAAGCCAGCTCGCAAGTCTACGGCCAACCTGCCCCGTTTACTGACGAAGTCCTGTCCCAAGCAAGTTCCTACGCCTCCTCTGCCGGCTCCGCCGCCGCACAAGCAACAGAGTACGCTTCCCAGCAATTGGACGCCGTGCAAGCCCTCCTCTCCGAGCTCGTCGCAGGCAAAGAACCCGCCTTCACCGACTCCGTCTACGCCCGTCTGCACTCCGCGTACTCGACCGCTTTTACCGCCCCCGCCGTCGCGGCGAGTTCAGCGAGTAGCTACGCGAGCGAAGCTTACGCTTCTGCGTCTTCGGCCGTGCATGCGCTTTTCACCCCGCCGAGTCAGATGGACAGTTTTATGGATACGCTAAACGCGCAGCTGGACGCTGCTGTCAATGCCGCGAGCACGCAGGCTTATGGGTCGAGTAAGGGGGTCGTGGAGCAAGCTACTTCCGCCGCTGCGAGTGCCGCCAGCGAGGCTAGCTCTGCGATGAGCTCTGCCAGCATTGTGGCGAGCGAAGCTGTTTACGGACATGAGACGGCGTACGCGGAAGCTGCGTCCGCTTCTCTCGCCGGTATCGCCGAAGCGGCTTCCAAGAGTTTGAGTGAGGCTATCTACGGGCCCCCCACGGGGTCAGTGGAAGCCGCGGGCGCGAGCGCCGCGAGCGTTTACTCGAGTCTGACGGCCGCGGCGGCGGAGCAAGCCGCTTCCGCTAGCGCGTCGGTTAGTAAGGCTGTTTATGGCGAAGAGCTGGGTTATGTTGAAGGGGTGCAGGCGCAGATTCAGGCGGCTATGAGTAGTGCGCAGAGTAGGATTGCGGGGTTTGGAGGGGAGGCGAGCAAGGCGGCGAGTGAGGTCGTGAGTAGTGTGAGTGAGGCGGTGGAGGGGGCGGCGAGTGGAGTGAGCAGTGTTGCTGGGGACGCTGTGAGTCAGGCTAGCGAGGCGGTGGAGGGGTTGAGCAGTGGGGTGAGCAGTGTTGCTAGTGAGGCGGCGAGTAGTGCGAGCAGTGTTGCTAGCGAGGCGACGGGGTATGTGAAGGATGAACTCTGAGCTTCCAGCGCGAGCTGAGGAGATCAGGGGCGGCGGGGGGTGAGGAAGAGAAGGTCAGCACGAGGGAGGGAACGAGAGGAAGTGGAGGGAGAAGTGGAAGCGGAAGAAGAGCAAGGAGACGGGAACGCGATATGATGGGCCGGTGACGATGGGCTATTCAGGACGACTTGTGCAAGTGGATGATTATGCTGGTGGAAGGGGGAAGATGTACACACGACTGTTCTGCTGTGGTTGTTGGTGTGGCTTTTCCGAAGGGCTGTTTAATTTGCACTATATCCCCTGGTGTTGATAGCGTTCATAGTCCCGGTTACGTTGTAGTTAATGCGTGTAATGATACTACTCTACTTTGCAGATCTTGTTGCCTCTCTGCATTTGGCATGTCTTCACTTTGTGGTTCTTGTGCTTAAGGAGTCTTCTTGAGTGTATTCCGCTGCGTTGCGGGTCGTTGTCCAGAATCGTGAAGGTAGTCTTGCTGCGCAGAGATGAAGTCTAAGTCGCAATGCTCAACTTGGGTCATAGGCAGGAACGTGATGAAATGTAATTGATGATTCTGATGCTCGTTTGTCTACATTCTACAGACATGGACTCATCCCAAACAAGCGAATCAACATACACTATGAGCTCCACCTCGTTCTCAAACAAACCCCTTCCCACCATGCCTTCCACCCATCACTCCCCCACCACCATCTCCGTACTCGGCCCAACATAAAACTTATGCCCCCTCAGCACATAATACACCAACCCCAACACCACCACGCCCCCATACACGGCACAGCTATAATTCATCGTCTGCGCATCCACTGGCACGCTTGGCGGGAAAAACGTAAACACCACCGTCACCAGCGTATACACCGCCGCGACGCAATTCACCGGTAAGCCCCAGCGGCCGAGATTCCAGGGGCCGAAGCGGATGGGTTCGTGGCGGAGGCGTTTGCGGATCATGAGTGCGATGGGGATGAAGTAGGAGGATAAATAAGCGGAAACGACGAGCGAGACGATGGCGTTGAAGGCGACGGAGGAGCCGATGTTGATTAGCCCGAGTAGGGCGTTGATCAGGCCGGTGAGGAAGATTGTGTAGGTCGGTATGGCCCAGCGGGAGTCTACTCGTCTCCACAGACGTGACAGCGGCAGTCCGTTGTCCCGCGAAAAGGCCCAGGCTTGACGGGAGGCGGAGGCGACGAAGCCAAAGGTCGCGAAGATGTACATTGCGACGAGGAGGGAGATCATGGCGGTCGTGCCGGCTTTGGATTGCGTGGCGTTGTAGAAGATCTCGATGAAGGGGAGGCCGTAAGGGGAGGTGAGGGCGGCGACGGGGTTGCCGAAGCTGTAGAGCATGAAGATGTAGGTTGCAAAGCCCATGGCGCCATTTATGAAGATGGTGAAGAACATTGCTCGTGGGACCTGATAGAGAAACCGGTCAGCAACGTTCAGATGATCTTTGATTATGTTCTCTCTTACATTGACAGCAGCGTTCTGCACCTCCTCAGCCATATGACAAGCACCGTCGTACCCGATGAAGAGAATGGCAGAAGCTGACTGTCCGATGAACCACGAAAGGCCAGCACTGTGATAGCCGGAGAAGCTGTTGTTGAACTCAGTCCAGACGAACGCATTGTCGCTGATGGGAGCCAGGTAGACGACCGGGATCATGATGGCGAAGAAGCCGACGACGTGGAGAATTAAGATTAGTCCTTCAAGGCCGGGTAAGATGCGGACGAGGACGGTGTTGACGAAGAGTGTCACCAGAAGTACAGCATACAGGATCAACGTTCCTTGCCATCGTGTTGGAGTGTATGATGGGTTGTTGAGGGCCACCATCGACTGGATGATTAGGCCGCCGAGATATGTGCCTGTGGCGGCGGCTGCTTGCCATCCAAGCTGCTCATGTTGTTAGCGCAACCCAAGAGTACATGAGAGGTAAGGTCATACTGTGCTCAGCCACCCAGTCAGCCAGCTGAGGAACTTCGCACTCTTCCGTGGAGCAAGCAAGGCAGTCCAGTGATATTGACCGCCAGAGATTGGATACCTTTGGGACGATGTCAGCCATCGCTCTCGATTATGATTGATCAGGCGTACATGGAGGCCATCTCCGCCATCGATGCACATGTCGCCAGCGCGCCGAAAAAGGCCACGATATAGCCATAGATCATCGACACACCTCCCCCATTGACGAAGGCTGTTGTGAAGAAGCTATGCAATAGTCAGCGCGGCACAAGAAGTCCCATGCTCTTGGTAGGACCCACGGTATAGCCGACTCCCACGTGCACATCATGGTTGTCGTGAACCCAAGAATGGTCACCAGCCCGAACCGTCTCTGGCCGTTGAATCAGTACACCGCAATGAATTTGCCAGATACAACATTGCATACCTTGGTCTCTTGTCGCACACCCAGCTTCTGCATGTCGAGGGCATCTTGCTCGGTACTACGAGCGACCTCACCATTCCTGCTGATTTCGCTGCTCTCGACATTTGCCTCGTCGGTCTTCTCACCTCCCAGCGCACCGATAGCTTTCCGCGCTTCGAGGATTCTCATGCTGTGTGATGGTGTTTTGCAAGAAAGGATGAAACAGGAATCAATTCGCAGCCAGTAGAAAGATGTGAGGTTGCAAGAAAAGGTCGAAGAGGACCTGCTCCGCTTATGGGAAATGCGCAAGGGACTCGTGCACCGTTACACTGCATGCATGGAAGAGAACGCCGTGCAAGGGCGCTCGGAAATCGTTTGGTCGGCATTGCTGCTAGCCTGCTACTTGTCGCTTGCTGTACGCCGCATGGAAGCCTGTGTAATCTGGCTATCCGGCGGTTACGAGAGCAGCTACAATTCTCAAGAGCCGGCGTGTGAGTGCAATTATCTGAAATCAACCAACGGAAGATCTCCATGGCGTGCGCTACGAAGCAGCCACAGCTGGGCATAGTAATTATACCTTCCAGTACCAGCTGGAAGGAGTTCTGTGGCTGGATGATGGTCGGACTTGAACGGGAAGGCACTTTTTAGCGCCAGGTTGTTTTGCTTGGTCGAACGTTTATCTGGTTGCACATGGCATCGGAATCCGGGACCTCCCTTGCAGCCAGATGGGCTGTACTTCGCTCATGGCTGGACGGTCTTTCTCTCTAGGTTCGAACAACGCTCGATACTGAGCCCGTTGTTGCTTGTCGCGCCGATCCTTACTCTGGAGGCATCACCTCATTCGCACCTTAGACTTACTATCGTCTATGCGACGACGAGCAGATGCCGCAGGACACCTACATCGAGGGCATCCGATACGCGACCATCAGCCCGGACGATCATGGCGCAGTACTCCAGATCATCGCCTGGCTAATGATGGTTGTCATGATTCTTGCAACGACCCTGAGATTGATGATACGATTCACCACCAACCATATACCCGGGTTCGATGATGCATTCGTTTCGCTCGCAACGGTGGGTTTGCGCCGGTCTTCTTTTAGCCAAGACGGGTACTGACTGCGTCTGCCATCAGCTGTCCGGTATTGGCGAGGTCATAGCCATCTCCATCGCGGTGAACCAAGGTCTCGGTAGACGTTCGGAATTGCTGGATGAGAAGAATGTTCAAAGCATAGAGAAGGTCAGCAGGAATGGCCAGATGACGGGTCAGAATCTCTCAGCTGAATTGATGCAGAACATATACACCTCTACAATCCTCTACATACTCACCGTCGCTCTGGCCAAGGCATCAACTCTCCTCCTCATATCGCGCCTGGCAACGGCAAAGCTTCACCTCCGCACGGTACAAGCGTTGAGCGCGATTGTGATAGCATGGACGCTTGCAGCGTCATTCGGAAGCGCCTTCGCATGCCAGATGCCTCGACCTTGGAATTTCCAGAGCGGGAGGTGTTTCGATATCGTAAGCGAGACAAAGGCCAGCGACAGAGCGTTCGCTGATTGTCATGCAGGCAACTTTCTGGTACATCATGGGAGCAGTCGACATAGCCGGTGATCTCGCGCTCATCATGCTTCCAGGCTGGGTGGTTTGGGATTTGAGAATGCACTGGGGGCGTAAGATGGTAGTCATTTCAGCCTTCTTGTTTCGCACAATGTACCTTTCTCCCCAAGCTCCGACAGTGAGAAGGACAGCTCATATGTTCGCAGAGTGATGGCAGCCCAAATAGCTCGGCTTGTCTTCCTTCGACAATGGCAGATGTCCGATGATCTCACGTACCCGATCGCATACCACATGGCGACGACTTGCCAAACGACGCTAGCAGTCATCGTCGCATGCATACCTGCACTGAAGCCGTTCAGTAAGTGCGAGCACTAATCGCTCATCATTTGTTGGAAACATTGCTGACCCATCGTGACCAGTGGATCGTGCTGCATCCGGGCTGATGTCCGTATACGAAAGGACGTTCTTCTTCTCATACGTTAGCTGACAGTTCGTGTTATTCATGGGTGTATCGCTCTCGGATCGACACGGCACCTACACGTTGTCGGAGGACTATCGAATGCAGCCTCTTTCCAAACGAAGCGACGGTACTCCAAGAGGCAGCAACTTCCGATCTGATGGGTCAGATCACCAGACCTTCATCGTTTCTGCGGCCTCGAAAAAACCGGATGAGGGAGACGATGGGTCGGAGGAAGGGATCATCCAGAAGACGACTGATTGGAACGTCCGTTACAGCGACCCAGATTCAGCAAGGAGACACGCGGCAACAGAGGACGCGGACGAAGTCGCTTCGCCTGATGGCGCAAGAGGGCATACCGTGCTGTGATGCCATACTAGATCCATAGACGCGTAATAGCTGGAGTGAACTTTGCAAGGCCCGGCAGATCAGTTCTGACCGTATGGTGCTTGTGGAGTTCGCTACCCTCCAGTGTCCTGAAACGTCATCAGGTTTCTCTCATCCAAAAGCCAACTTCCGCTGCCCCTTCTCCACACCACCATTGCCGCTTACATTCAGCGGCGGCCTTCCACGTCCTCTCGGCTTTGCCTGACTCTGCGGAGCTTTGGCTGGAGGTGGAGGTCGTGGTGGAGGGTCTGGCTGAGATGAAGCCTGATTCTGCAGATCCTGTGCAAAGTGAAAGTCTTCGTGCTCCGGCTGCTGGTCCATTGGTATTGACTTCGAACACCGATCGCAGAAATACGTTTCTATGTGTGACTGATGAAGACCATTGATGTGGGGAGACCTTGGCCGGGATGAAGGCTGAGGCAATGAAGGCTGGTCTGCTCCTTGGTCGTCTGAGTATAGCTCTTCGAAAGGCTCTTCCGGTCCTTCTCCGTCGTCATCGTAATCCTCGTGCTCGGCTTCGTAGCTGTGGTGAGGCCACGGTTCAGACGGCTCAATACTGGCCGAGGCACTTCTTCTGATCTGGGCTTCCTCGTCCATCGACGTCTCCCTCGATTGAGCGCCAAAGAAGTTGGCGATGCCGTTTCCCGTCTTCTGCCGCTTGCTGGGCGGTCGGTTCTCCGTCCGACTTGACCTCGATTTGCTTTTCGACCAGCCTTGCATGGCCGGTGCGGCATTCACCGCTTTCGCCTCTTCTCCTCTGACCAAGAAGCCGCCAATGCCTTGGTTGCCTGTGACGCCATCCTCGAACCCACCAACGCTGAGACTCAAGTTCGCGCAAGGCCATGCTCTGCCGTCTACCACCACCTGCGCCAATAAGTTCTTCGCCAGATCGAAAAGTGCGTCTTCCGTGATGGTCCTGCCCATGAGAATCGGAGCCTGCTTCGACCTCGTCTGCGCACCCTGCCTGTGATGGAGGTTGATAGTCTTCGGCCTCCGCTTGTGCTCAAGCACGCCTTCCTCAACGAGCCTGGAGAAGATGTCTGCCACGAAAATACGAAGCCACTTACATGCCACCTCGAAGCTGTTGATGCTGGGACGGAAGCTCTTTGCGGAAAGCATAGACTTGATCGCGGTACGAGGATTGACCTCGCTGCTGTCCTCACCTCGTAAAACGTTGTAGAGCCACGACCCGGTGTCGTCGCCCAGCTGCCGCTTCAACTGCTCGATCGGGACAGGAAGTAGGTCAGAGACAGTGTCAGTGTTGAAGGCTGCCACAACCTGATCGCCAAGCTTGCCTCCCAGATTGCGGATCTTAGTGAACTTGAAGCCGGAGAGAAAGTGCTGTACTGCTCTGTTGCGGATAATCGTCTGGCTGTTGGGCTTCTTGTGGCCGGACCCGAGCTTGGCTAGCATTTTGTTGCGAGAGATGCCTGCGGAACATGTGTAGCGAAGCTCTTCTTTGATTGCGGCCCTGACATCGCGGACGATTTCAGAGGCGATCAGCATGGCAATGTCGTCCCAGTCTGGGTCATCTTCTTCGCTCTGGGTGGCGTCCAGATCAACTAATGCATCCGCTGCCCAGTCCAGAGCCGTGGTGGGTGGTCGTGGCAAGCACTCAGTTGGGTCGTCGTATGGTGGCGGGCCCTGTAGCTCCGGATATCGTTCCAGCATGATACTGTGCACCTGCGCCGACAAATCCACGAATACCTCGTCAATGCTTGCTTTCTCAACCTTCTGCAGGTCTTTCGGCAGGCATTCCTTGATCTGCGCCAATATCCTACGCGCCTGTATGCGATATGGATCCAAGCTGACCTTCCTCACGGCAATCTCTCGAAACGCTTCCGCGCTGTCATCGCTGTAACTCCACTTCGTGTCGCCCTCCTTCCAGGTCGCAACGTGCTGGCAGATCAACTCCGGACACTTCTCTTTTGCTTCTGAGATTGTTACGTGTCTGCTCAGACCGTATGCTCGTGCTGGGTAGTTGATCGCTATTAAACCCTGCCATTGCTGGACTGCCAAAGGCTTTGACGGGTCGATGCCCAGGCGGACAGTCTCGCATTGAGCGTAGAAGGCGTCGAGGTCGATGTGGGCGATGACTCGCAGTGGGCAGTTGGAAGCCGAGTGCGCTAATGTCGACAGGTTCTTATAGGTGAACTTGCTGCGTCGTTTCAGGCGAGTGTTGGGCGAGATCGGGGAGGATGCGAAGGGTTGGGAGGAGGTCATCGTTGTGTTATCGTCGTATCATGGTTGTTTTGTGTATGCCTTTTTCTCTCAAGTGCTGGCTAGAAGCTGTTTTGATCCCGTGATAGTATCTGCTGTCACATGCTACGATGAATGCATCGCGTCAGGGTGTACGCGCCGGGCGTAAAGTGGTCTTGGCGTGACCTCAGAGACGAGACCTGACGGAACGAAGTGTATGTACCTGCTCCGGTACCTACATGCACACAGCCTTCGAGTCCATCATTGCTCAACAACTGGGGACCTTGGTCCTGCTATTCAAGCGTTGTCAAGTACGGGATCAGCCCGAACAGCTATCGCCTTCCTATCCGACTGGGGCCACGTGGGGGATCATGGGCATCAACCGCCGGGACGCATGCTGAAATCCAATGCGAACCGTTCTCCAAGATGCAGCAGGCGTAAAATCAAGCTAAGGGCAAAGGTTGCCTTCGAAGCATTTTCTTTTATCTATTGCGAGCCCAGCCTCCTAATTTTCGAACTTCGATGATTACTGCACACGTTGAAGATGTTCCAGGCACATTCACAAACCCGTAGAACGACCGGATGGTTCCAAGGACCGGATCAACGAGGTTGGTGCTATTACGACTATGAGACAGATCGTATAGTTGCTCAAGACGGGAGCAGCTATCCACGGCCTACAACAGTCACTCCACAGTCACTGGAACTCGCTGCGCAGCAGCTACCATCTTCCTCCTCCATGCATGGCCGTAGCCCGTCCGAGCCGCGCCAGACACCAAATCAGCTCTCTCGTCCGATCTCACCGACTACCCAATCCCCCAACAACGATCAGTACACATTCCAACCGCGTCCGCAATCGAACTACTCGCCGCCCGCGGTTGCAGGTAGCTCAAGGACGAACTCACGGCAACCACCGTCACCGAACAATGTGGAAGGAGGATTCCAGAGTCTGTCGTTGCACGGCTCTCCCTCCAGCCCAACGACGCCCGGCAGGCCTCGCGCTGACTCGTTCTACCAAAGCATGGCCAACCCACAAAGTCCAACGAGTCCATCATATTCCCCAGGAGCACCTCAGACGTCCTTCCAGCACAACTCTTCCCATCCGCCGGCACGAACAGATCAACAGACTTCTCCAAATCATAACCGCATGCCAGGGTCTCGCCCGGATGACCTTTTGTACGAAGGTTGGTCCCTCAGTCATGGTGTCTTCGGCGACATTACTGGTGATTCTAACACGTTCCAGACTTCAGAAAAACGAAGACCCCGAGAAAGTTTTTCACGCTGGGAAAGGTAAGTGGCCTCACCAGTGCAGGCAATGTAGTCAAGCTGACAATGCGAAGGTCTTTCAGACCCTGTGGAGCGAAGCGGCCGACTCAGCGAATGATGTTAGGAGCCGGGCCTTCACCATCAACAGCTTTGGGGAGCCAGTGCACTCCAAGGTCCGACGGTTTGTTGTTGTGAAGGAAGGACAACTGTCATGCATTGCTGTTCCTGTCACCAGCTATGGCGGCAAAGGAGTGGCGAAGCGTGGTGTGAAGAAGTCAGACCATACCATCATCCATTGTGGCAAGAAGGCACCCTTGCCGGCAGCCGACGAGCTTCCCAATCCTGCACTTCGTGAGGCTGGTATGCAGCCTGATCCAATCAGGGTCGATCCTGATCTGTCTGACAAGAAGCTCGACGAGAAATCGCGAGTTGACTTCGCGAAGCCGTCGGTCATTCACCACAACGTCAAGGTTAAGAGCTTTGGAATGGTGAACAGAGCATCGCTGCGCCACCTTCATGCGCAGTACCGAAACGTCGCGCTCGAGGAGACGCCGAAACCCGCTCCTACATTTGGATCACGCAGCCCCAGCGGCGCTTTCGCGGCCACTACGCACTCGCAAAGCGAGTCCATGGATACCTACCGGCGGGCGTATCACTCGCTCATCACGAATTATTGGGCCGCCAGCGAAGCTTTGGCTGTATTGGCACCGTACAAAGCTCTTATCGATGAGGCTGCTGAACAGCGGAGGTCGTCGGTTTCTGCTCCTGCTACTGGGAGCATGCTAAATGGGGTGGATGAGGAAGATGAGGCTGACGATGCTGACGCTGGGGATGGTGCAGCGTATCGTGTGCAGTATAGGGGCCAGTACGAATAGTGCTGCTGATGGTCTTCTCATGAAAGCGTGGGGTCTGTTATCCTTTCGAAGCCTCATGTATTAGTTTGTGGTGATATGGTATTACAGGGCTACTGATGAATCATGTTCCTAGTATCACATTCACATGAAATGTCACAGAGCGACCGCGATGATTCTGGTGACTCTTGCTTGAGGCACCGGGTTTCTCTTTGATGCAGGCAGAATCCAGCAGTCTGTGAACAGAACGCTGGTACCCTGAAACAATCAGGGAGCGAGTTCGGTCCATACCTGCGCCTGCAGATTCTGTCCAGCATCGATAACGGCTGCACTGTGGTTCCCAAATTCGTGATTCATCGATTTGCCACCAAACCGGGTCGAAGACGCGTGCGAGTGCTTCTGAGTGGATCGCCTTCCCGTTGTACCTCCATGCAAGCGGTGCATGTCTAAGGGTTGCAGGATTTGGCCAACGTTAAATGCTGTAGCATGTGATGCGTTGCTTTGCGATGACTCGACTGGAGCCTCTGAAGTCGTGCTCGTAGCCTGTCGTAGGGATTTGGATGTGCTGGTTGTGATACTTCGAGGAAGCAAGTTACCGTCTGCCAGGGTGTTGACGGTGAGTGTGACACAACGAGACGTGTCCTTCACAGACTCTAGAGCTCAGTGAAAGAGTGATGCCTGCAATCACAGGCCTTGGAACAGCACCCGGAATTTTGAAGCCCTACCCGGTAGAATCGACGTTAGATGAGAGTGCAAGTTTTATGTGTCTCCGACGATAGGCGCCAGAAGTAAATTACAGGCTCGCATTAAATCCATGCCACAACACGTATCGTCCGATGCACAGCCTTGTCACCTGACGCGATGAGGCTTCCTAGCGAGGCCGGTGCATCCTGCAGCTCCCCCCAGCCGACAAGCCTCCGGCAGACAGCAGAATTCGACAAAGAAACCACGACACAGCTCAGTACTATTCGCGTGAGCAATCACACAGTCGTAAGGGACCATGGTAAGATGTTCACACCTCAACCTCGCCGCACCCGGAGTCGAAAAACGAGCCTTCGCCGTCGCTCCTCAATCGCCCAGACCGAGGAGGAAGTGCACCGCCCGTACAGTCCCGTCAATCTGGCCCGGAGACCAATCTCACACTCTGAGGGTTCAGGTATAGACGTCAGCCGGCTTGCTCAGGTGGGTGGATCGAAGCCGGATCTTCTGGGCGCTCGAGACCTAGCGTCACTCGATCGACAAGAGGTCGATGAAGATATAGCCAGCGAGCCCGCTTTTGTACCGCAGAAGTCGAGATCGCCTCAGCACACACGCACGGAATCTGGCTCGATACTCCAGGATCACAATGTTCCTCTCGAGCCGATGATCAAGCACCTAAACGTGGAACCCGACAATAAGCACATCTCGCTTCAACGTTTCTCGAGGCAGATTCGTACCATCCGTAGCATGATCAACGAAGTCTTGGTGAAACGTACCCAGCTACGCCATGATCATCAGATGCTGGAAAGCTACCGCCGACAGTATCACGAATCCCTGCGAACACTACTGAAGACCTTGGACGTTGGGCCTCTGTCTTTGCATAGGTCCCCCGATGTCGCGCAGATCGTCGGAGAGAAACTACACTTTGGCTCGAGCACAGATATCCCCAAAGTTGATTCGGCAATGATGGCAAGCACTGTGCATGGCCACCGCTCCAACAGCCAGCTCCAATCGAGCGAGTCCAGAAATGCGGCATTAGCTCAGGGAGCTGAGCAGCTGGAGAACGACGGCGCGCAAAACCAAGGAGAGCTCGATGCACTCCGCAATTACCCTCAAGAATCATCAGTCGAGCGCGCGGTGCCACCGAGCCTGACTCAGACGTTACAGGAAGGTAGAGATGGAGGTCTTGGGCTGTTCGAACGAGCAAGCTCCATCAAGGATTCTGATGCCTTTGGTGCAACTGAGTCGCCGCCGAAAGCCCAGTCGAAACCTTCAGACGCGTACTTCGAAAGCTACAGCAGTCTCTGCCAGCAAGAAGACCTGATGAAGGAGAGGACAGAGGATCTCAGCAACCTCGAGTTTCGACTTACCGATAGGTTCGGACTGGTCCTGAGTGCCATGCGAGCGAGTGGGTTTGCGGACTCCCTCAAAGCCGAAATGCTGGATGATGCTCTCAGCGTGTCGGACGTGGTCTCTTCTACAACGAGCCCCACTGGTGTTGATCCAATGCTCACAGAGTACTACTCGAAGCAAGGAGATGTCGGTATCTTATTGGAGAGACTCCAAGAGCTCGAGTATACCCATCAAGAAGGCATGGAAACAAGAGCATTTATGGCGGAACGTGGGGACAACCTAGAAGTTGTTGATGAAGAGTTTGAGCGTAATCACCAGGACCGGAAGCAGCAGCTCCAGCTGGAACTCGATCACGCACGTATAGCAGCCGCCGCTTTACGAAGTCAGTGTGAGTCGAGGGGTATCGATGTGAACGCCAAAAGAAGAACGACGGAGCCTTCCATGTACACTGGGAGCGTTGCCTTTGCGGGCGGCGATGAGCTTGACAGTGATGCCCAGTCACAGAAGATCCGACCAGTTCGGTATGAGCCCACGGGATTCAAACGAACTGTGCCGCAGCACCAATTAATCGGGGGCTGGCTGGACAGTATGCTGTCCCGTGGGTCGTTCGAGGACCTCCAGAGCCCGGGGCTCGAGCCCTACTTTGACACTCCTGGCACGCCGCAGTCCGAACATCCAGCACTTCCTTGAAGAATAGGTTGACAGATGATGTGCCACATCTTCATCATGTAAGGCAGAAAGGCATGGTACAGCTGGGAGGATCTTGCAATGCGCTCAAGACCACAAGTGCTTGCTGACTTCCGAGTGGCACGCAAGCGATTGGTCATGCAGCAGAGTCACACATAATGCTGTCGACTGTAACGCGCAGCACTACAGCTGCTTGGATATCCTGCTGAAGGGTCCGGTCGAGAATCAAGCAGACTTTCAAGGGCTGGGTCGTCTTCCGCACGTCAACCGTGGTCCAAACAACAAAATACTCCAGGCAATCAACTTTGCGCATGGGTGGACACAGTGCAGCTTCGATTCCGGAAGCATGACGAGCGAGATGGATGACTGTGAAGCAGAACTCAATACCCAATGCTAAACTACGTAAGCTACTGTCTCAAACTTGCTGTTTCGTGGACTGTTGTCGTAAATGCCGAGCGGCGGCTCTGTCGTTTGCAGGTCGTCGAGATTGTTAGCTGCCCTAATCTCATCTCGTTGCCTAGTATTCACATCTCTCAAACCAGAATCTCTCCTCTGTCGCATCGTCGCATCGTGGAAAGTAAAAAGCGAGAGGGACAAATGGAAACGTTTCTGCTATCCAGTCGTCGTAATACAAAGGTAGGATTGAAACATAGCAGATGATTCCTTGGCCGCCTCGTCGAATCGGAGAAGTCAAACCAGGCCAAGGCATATGTTTGTGTTGTCGTATCATCGAAAGTAAGGAAACTCCAGACGGAGCAAGATGTTTTGTATGCTGCGACAATTGGTCGGTGTTTGTAAAGCCGGCCGCGCAAGCGGCTGCCCGACAAGCATTCGTATAACAGGTGGGATGGTGTGGAATAGTTGAGGTCCCCTATCGAGTCCCTCGGTGCGAAGCACGGCGTACTGGTGGTTGAGCCACAGGCGTCTCGTCTTCTTCTTCTTCTTCTTCTTCTTCTTGTGCTTCTGCTTCCTCTTCTTGTTCTTCTTCTTCTTCATCGTCTTCGTCGTCTTCGACATTTTCGGCTGCTGCTGCTGCCGCCGCCGCCGCTCGTTCTCTTTCACCGTTCCACCGGTCCCTGATGATACCGAGATATTGGGCACGTCGCTCGGAGTCTCGGGCCATCCGGTGTATCTGGCGGTCGTCAGGTTCCGTCCCAATGGTCCATCCATTTTGTGCGGCTCTGATTCTGAGGTTGTCCATTAGACGGACCATTTGCGCATCCGAGATAGGTCCAGAGTCTGCACGCGTATGATCTGTGCTGGCTGTTGATGACTGAGGTGGGTTAGCTCTAACGACTGTCCGGGCGGAAGTGACACTCTCGGTCCCAGCACGGGGAGTCTCTGCTTCTGGAACGTCTTGAATCGTGGGTAGTAGTCGTGGACCTGTGATTGCGCCCTGGATTGTGGCCCAGACGCTTCGATATTGCAGCATGAATGATGGCCAAGAGTCAGTGTGCACCTTGCCAAACAGCTTGATGTTTGGGAAGTCGTAATCGAGCTCATAGATGTCAGTGTAGTCGATACGAGCTAAGGGATCCAACGCCTGCTCTTGGTCGTATTGCTGCACTCGTATGGCATGAGGTTGCATCCGATCTGCATCGCCAGGATCATTCGGTCGTTCGTCAGCCCTCATCCGCGGCTGACCAGTGTAGACGATTGAATGGTGTGCTTTGATCACTCCCGGGGCGGCAACACCCTGAGCATTGTATGTTTTGATAGCTCTTCGAGGATCAATCAGCATGGCTACATTTCGTCGACGATGATGAACTTACACGGCTCTGAACCTTTCTTGGTCAGGTGACTGTTCGAAGATGATGAAGCGGCGAAGCCTCACAAGGCCAGTGCTTCCATTGGGAGTGATCCGAGAATCGCCAGGATCACTGGTCTGCGGTGGCGGCACAAGGAGTACCTCGATAACCTAAGAAAGCATCAGCACTTGAGGAGCAGGACTCAGCTCGGACAACTTACCCGACTTGGTCTGTAATCATGGTTGGGATCCTCGCTAGTGATATAGCCACGTTGAAATCTTGTCTGCGAGGCTCCGTTGCCTTCTCGAATTCTTTTGAGGTTCACTGGTCGCATCGATGACCCTCCAGGGTTGGGGACGGAGCCCAAGGGGTCGAAACCCCAGCGAGTCTGTATTTGTGACGTTGGATCCGTACCACTGAGGGGGAATTGGGCAGTCGGGACTGGTGATTTGGAAGTGCTGGGTGGCGCCATCTGCTCCATCGAACGTGCCAAGGCATCGCTACCACCAGCAGTGGCGCTGTCTTTACGTGGTATGTTGGTCGGTCTACTATCACGAGTCAGTTGACAGGTACGCAGTATCCTGAGGCGAGTACCTACGTGGAACCACTGTCCGTTCGACGAGCGGAAGATGATGAAGCGCGCTCTGGCAAGGTCTTCGCCTTGCTCACAGTCTTGCCATTCTCGTTGACCCAGGCTTGCTTCGATTCGGACCATCTCACCTTCTGCCCAGTATTCGGATCAACTCGCCACTCTGGCTTGTCAGAACGCTTAGGCGCCATATCGTCGGCTGTCGGTTCGAGCTCGAGGTGCCCGCCGCAGCATCGCGCGGCACACCGCGAGCAATGAGTTCGAACCTGAGGTTCTCGAAGGTTGGAAGGTCGACAAGCTGAGTAGAATGTCACATGCAGCCTAAACGACTAGTAGGTCTGTCATGTGAGCACGACTCGAGACGGGATTCCACACCCCTACCAAAACAGTAGCTACGATCTGCGGGATGATGGATGCGTGCAGGTGCAGCACCAGGACAGATACACTGATAGGTATATAGCCACAGTTCCAGCCATGATCCACCGCGGCAAGTCGGTTAGAAGCACCCGCAATTATATAGTCGTATCTATTCTTCTGCCGGTCTCTGGGTGTGGAGAAGGGCCGACAGCTTTTAGCTTCCTGCCAGCGCACAACACTTGCATACATGTACGCATGACAAGGGTTGCATAGCCATGTGCGTGGGGTAGCCGATCGCAAGGCCGCGAGTCACAAGGACGACATCTCGGACATGAAATTCAACCTTCGAGGATCTTGGTGAACAGTTGGTTTCACGATAATCAGCAACTATCATGGTTCCGTTCCGATGGTTCCACGCGAGAGTCAATGCCCACGGGTGTTTCCGCCTCACAACAAAGGACGCCACGAAGTCCGACGTTAAAGGGATGGCTGGGCGATCGCATTCGTCCGCTGATGTTCCATTGACCTCCGTCGTTACCGTCCTCGTTGTTACCTTTCACTTACCACTTTCCATTGCGATTCAGGCGGCTCGCTGTCGATTCATTGGATAGCGTTGGCGTTTCTTCGTTCAATTTTATATTAATGTCTATTGTGGAGCGCAACGAAGCGGCGTTACAGCGGGCCCATCGATCAGCAGATGCAGCTAGGGCACGATCGACTGAAGACTGGGTTTACATACAGCAGACAGAGCCGGATGGACCGCTAGAGTCGTTCGAAATACCCGACGAAGGGCGGATCGAAGGCGCAGCCTTGTCCGACGTGCCGGCAACCTCTCTCGCTTCAGCACGCTGCGCTTGTCTGCAATGGGTCGATAGAGATGAAGCAGGCAAAGGGCATTGGTCCATATCTGCAAGTCAAGACTCCTCAGCCATCGAGGAAGACACCTCCGACGACAGCGACTCACCCCTCTCCGACTCCGCCTCAACGAATCGTTCCACCATCCATCGGTACTTCCACCTTGCCCGACAGGTCTCCATCCAAAGAGAGCGTCTTTCAGAGCTCCAAGCCGACATAGAGGAGATGGCAATGGCACACGGAGACATTGATTCCAGCATCTTGTCGAACCACGAGAAGCTCGCACAGGCTCTCGCCATTGCCCAGCACGATCTTTTCAAGCAGAAGATCGCATGTCGACTCGAGGGACTCGACCCGGAGATGTTCAGATACCGACGCATTTCCTCCCACCACAACTAGCGTTGCATGAAAGTGCCAGGAGCATTGGGGCAAGACGGGATGGTTGCGGAATGGGCATGGGGGAAGGCGGGTGTTTGCGGAATGCGTATCTGGAAAGGCTATGCGGTGGATGTTGGAGGTCCGCCACGGCTTGTCACAACAAGCAGCACTGCTCGGGGTCCAGTCTCGGGGACTGATGGGCTTCGACCAGCTTCGGATGATGGGATGGAAGCTGCCTGTCGCATGGCAAATGTGAGCATGTGACAGGCCGAGGCATGCGATTTAGCCATGGCCATGGATCCATAACAACACTGCAGATTGGGGCTTGCGCTGTGCGCCACCGGCTTTGAAGTACTCTTCCAGGTTGCATCTGCCTTCCAGCTAGTTACGGTACGCACACTTGTCGTGGACACGAGTAACTTCAGAACCGCCCGTTCCAATTCCAGTAAAGTCTCCTAATCCACGAACAAGTTGAAGGCATCCGCTGCCGATCTTTGGAGAGACGGCAACGCGTATGCAACGCCTCAATGCAACTACATTTCCGCACCGGTGAGCATTCCATTGGATGGCGTTGCGCCAGGGGAGTTAGGCGACTTGGGATGACCGAGAATACCCGAGCCTCGTCCATTTGCATTGCATCTACTCAGGTTCCAGAACGGCAGGTGAACGTGGTTGTAGACGCTTAGCGACCTCTTGCAAACTGGAACATAGCATCGGATCGATGATTTGAGTGAGGCTCCACCCGCTGGTTGTCCTTTCGGCCGAAATAACGGTTTGTACGAGCTGCCACACTCACTCGAGCGCGACTGGCGCACACATGGACTTTGCAGTCGTGATTTTGGCGGGAATATCTTCCCTTGGATGTCTAGGGGTGTCAAACCCCATGGATACATGTAGCTTCCATGTTGTCTCTTCGCTGTTTATACAGTCAATGCCAGACTGATGATGAAGAACACAGAAGTGCCTTGTTGACAAGGGCTAGACTTAACGGTACGATTCGTCGTCGCAATCTGTGAACACGGCCCCAAACCTGACCAACTCGAGTACCAGGACGTGATGATGGTCAGCACACTATACAACAGTGTGATATGATGCCTCACTGGACGACGTTCGCCCCATAATCTCGGTTGACGACTCTCGCGGAGCAGCCTCTGACTCAAGGTGAGACGGAGCCAGCAGCGGCTGAAAGAAGTTGCGTGGCTGGCTGTTATTTGGACAAGCCAGGAAGCACATCGAGAAAACAAGGCAATCGCCAAATGCGGTTGAACAAAGTCCAGAGGAACCTCTCTATGGTCGTATTCCTGGAGCAAATGAGCAGTCTGAGCAGACGGTCTCAGAGTCCACACAGGCCGGCATTATGCTTGGAAGAACCGAAGCAGCACAAGTCGCCTGCTGTTATGTCATGACGGACCATATGGACATCTCAAGCTCAGCAGGTCACTCCATTTATGAAGCCAATCTCCAGCATAGAGTCAATCGAGATCACTTCAGAGCAGAAGCTTGTGACTCTGGCTCCACAGCCCAGGCCACAGCCGCGTAAAGACTCGACCGGGCCGTGCCAAATTGGTGAGCTCTGCGACAGGGGAAGCTGTTGGTTGCGAGTGGTGAGACTCAAGGGAAGTAATTAGTTCGGTATGGAGCAGGATCCCCATTCAGCTGTGACTTCCTATTCGGGGCTCTCGGTCCTTCCCGGATGCAGCCAGCGTGCAAAGACCTTCCGCCTCACCTCCTCAGTCCTCTTGGTCCTCAACGTTTCAGAAATCAGGCGTCGAAAACAAGGCAACCAGTCACCAAACTACAGGTTTATAATTACCACGTGGGCCGGTGGGTCTCCCGCACACGTCCGGTCAGCTAATATTTAGGCCACTTTAGCTTGCTTCACAGACCATTGCTTAATTGAACCACTATTGAAGGGACACTGAACAAATCTGCGCCTGACAAAATATACATATGGACACTATTTGGGGGATAAAACGTGATGCGAAAGCGACTGAACGCTGTCCTCATACATCCTCCAAGCACAGACTGTCTCATAGCCGTTAATCATGATGTCGTATCGGCCCATCAATCAAGATGAGTCGATGACTGTGTCTCAAATGCAGGCTGAACATATGAAAGTGCCGCATGTGGCTCGCATGTGGTTGAGAGACCATCATGCGGCTTGTCGAAAACATATTGATGCTCAATGATTCTGATGAAGGGAATGCGAATGTGCTGTGGTGCCGTTGCTGCCGTGTGTCGTCCAAATGATCTGTCGAATGAACTCAGTAAAGGACATCGGGAGGATCCGCCAAGTAGGATTGCAAGAGATGTTGCGGAAACCAATCGAGGAGTGTTCCACCGACTGGTCCGAAGGAAAGCTGATGATATTTCAGGGACCTCGACCGCCAAATCTTCTTCCAACAATTTCTGCTGCATCTTCCTGAGTATAGCCCTGTTGCAGCAGATGAGCCATCATTGCCCGCGCCTGAGCCAAGCGGTGAGCCTGCTCTGAAGCTTGGTCGGTGTTTGGCGACGATGTGCGAACAGAGGCTGGCTGCGCTGTATTCCCCGGAGGTCTCTGAGACTGGCCTTGATTGGCTCGCTGCGATGTTGACTGCGACGACGTCGACTGTGCCGATGGAGCAGTACGGCTTGTGCTCTGATGCGCTCCGGCCGAGGCTTGGATACGAGCAGACGCCTGGGCCCGGGAGTTCTGGTCTGTTCGCTGTTGTGACTGACTGGGCTGCAAGGAGCGATCTTGGCCTTGTCGGCCTGTTTGTTGAGGCCCTTCACGACGGCTTTGACGATCGCCATTCGCGCTGCCAGCGTTGCGCTGTTGATCTGACCGCTTTCCAGCCGGGACGTCTTCATCGGAATCGTCAGAGTCCTCTTGATCACCTTTGCTTTGGCTCTTGGTGCTTCCTCCGATCCGCTGGCGGACTATCTCCACTGCTTCTTCCCGGGTCTTGCCTCGGCGCATCAATGCTGTGACCGCTTCCTGCGTGGCAGTAGAAGCATTGCCTGCCGGTCCCCCTCCCGTGGTGTTGCCTGCGCCGCCCGCATTGGCTCTTTCGCGTTCCGCGGCTGCATTGGAAGATTCTGGCTGCTCTGTGGGAGGGCCCATTGGAGCCAGAACTCTCTTGCTGTTCCAGACGTTGCTGAATTGATGTACTAGCGCATTCATGGACTTTGGATGCACCTTGCCAAATTTCTTTACTTTGATGTTATGCTGGATTGTGTGTACCTTTCCGTAGTCAAGTCGCGACATATCGTGTAGCTTGTCTGTTGGATCATCTGCGTCAACACGGATAGCTCGTGGCCGCATGCCCATCTCGCCCTGCAGCGGACGTTCTGCAGTCTTGATGGGAGGTACCTCCGCTGAAGTGTGAATGATGCTGTATTCAGACTTCGTGACACCTCTCTTCGCTACTCCAAGTCCACGATTGGTGACGATGGGGAGGCACGTGCAGTAGTTGTCCGCCTCGCGAACGACAACGAATCTGCGCACCTTCGAGAAGACGCGCTCTCCAAACGCCCCACGACTCGTTCCAGGTTCAGCCATAGTGACGAGAGTGGTTGATTCTCCAGCTGGCTCGACCCAAAGTACAAGAAAGACCTTTCCAATAGTAAAAAACTTCCTGGGCTGCTCTCGCCGGTGGTAATCAGCAAAGAGTCGCTCGGTGTCGGCTTCGCCGCCCGTGCCATAAAGACGTCGCTGGGCATGAGCTTGGGGGTTCTCTCTGAGCAGCGTAGGGTCCGTGATCTGATTCGCAGGAGCGTTGGCGAAGACAGTACGAACGAGCGTTGAAGGGTCATGGACATCCACGATGCGCTGGCCGTTTCTTGTGCTCACTTCTGGTATAATTGGCATCGGCCTGTATACCTGCGGTGGGCCTTCCTGGTCCCGCACGCCCATGGCGCCCATGTCTCGATTGACCGAGTCTACTGATCCGCTCGTTTCGCCCGACTGACGGCTTGATGGGGCATTATTCTGACCAGGACCCCGGGTGGCGGCTCGTGGAGTTTGAGCGTCAAGGGCTGCATTGGAGGGCGTCGCCACATAGTTACCGCTGGCGGCGGCGGAAGGACCGGAATAGTTTGAGGCAGATGGCGTTGCAGCAGCTCGTGCAGTTGCCTCAGTGAAACGGCTTCGGGGAATATGCTGGGGCCGTGCAACCACCCGACCATTCTGGAAGCGCAGAGTGTCGTTTTCAGCGTCGTAGACAAAGTATTGGTTTGAGTCCGGGTCCCAAGTCCAGCCTGCCATGGTTATGGACGCCGAAGGAAGGCTGTCCTCGGTGGGATTTCATGAGCATCAGCAAGCATCTCAAGACGTTGCAGGTGCATCTACAAGATCGCACTTATAGCGACATCGTGAGCACCAAATAGCCTAAAGATCTGTCGTTAATGCATCGTATCACGAAGATGGGAGCAGTCGAGCTTGTTTTAAACCGCGATGTCGCGCATTGCCGTCCGCGTGAGCGAGGTGCAGCATGCATCCACCCAAAGCTCTCCCGCCATATTGGTACTCATTTAGCATGGTCATTCGGCATCAACTAACCCTGGCTGGGTTGTGACCGGTGAGGGAAGGCAACCAGTCAGCTTCTGCTCCAGCCGCCACAACAACCACAGGCTTGACAGGGCTGCTAGGTGTATCAGTACTCGCTCAAACCATTCTGTGACACGTGCCGCATCCCGCTATCAAACTGGAGACATTCTCTGATGCTGTGCGCCCGCCCCCTTCACCACGAGCAACGGTGTCTCTTACATCATGTTGATGTTCTTCATTGCGGGAACGCTGCGAGATGTCCGCAACGCAGCCACCAGCAAGCGGTCGGACACCAGTTGATCAGCAAGACGAATCGAAAGTCCACACTCAGCCGTCGTCCCGTTCGGAGACTGTTTGGGGGTCTCTTGGAGATCGAAGCTCGTCCGGTGGTATTTTGAACGGGACGAAAGAGTCAGCAACGACGGCGGAAAGTCCAGGTTCGCCTCCGCCCCACGTCCCACGATCAAGTCAGGACGACGACGACTCCCTGATTCGCTCCGCCCTTCAACATGGACAAACGCTGGCCAGCCTCCGCGATGCGGCAGTCGTCTTCATGCGCCGCTCTCGCAAACTTGCTGGTCTTCGCGAAATCACGCTGCAGCGCCGATCACAGATTCTGCACGAATGGCAGCACTGTGCAGACCAGCGGCAGTTCGTGAACGACTCCCAGAAGGCATTCCTGCACGAGGCGACTGCGCTGTACGAGCTTGGTGATCTCCAATTCCCGACCGAACAGCTGCTGAAGCGTTACCAAGAGACCAATGCGGACCATGAGCGCCAGTCAGAGTATGCCATCAAGACGCAAGAGCTAGAAGCCGACCTCAGCAACCTCGAATTCAAGATGCAAGGGACAGAGACACGTCTCGAACAAGCGGTTCAAAGGCTACAGGATACACTGAACGAGATAGCGCTGCCCAAGGGGGATACCTATCCGCCCTCTTCAGCCCCAACAGAGGTATCTCGAGGAGAAGTTCCGGTGTTAGTCAAACATTACTTCGACAAAGCTGGGGATGTGAAGCTGCAAAGCGAGAACATGCACAATATGGAGGTTGATCACAGAGAAGAGCGGACGGTCCGGATACTGCAGGCCGATCAAGAGATGCCACTCTCTATGACAGACGAGGAGTTTGAGGCTTCATGGGAGCGCGCTTTTGCCAAAGCACAAGAGGAATTGGACAGCGCGGTCAGGAAGGCAGATTTGGCAAGACAGGTCTGTCTCGGCGAAGGACTAGATCCGGAGAGCTACCGTAAGTTGCCTGCAGAAGTCGATCTAGATGCTGAAATGGGACCTCAATCGGACGCAGACGCAGCTTCGAATGCTACGTCCACGCAAATCTATGGGTACCATGTTCAGGCGCCAGCTCAAGACCCGATATTCGAGATCCTGCGGACTTTACCACAAGACATGGCTAAAGAAGCTTTGCTTGCTCGACAGTTCGCTCCCCCGGCAGCAGGGACGCTGACACCGCTGGACGACAGGATCGATTCGTGGAGGCAGAATGTGTCTGCAGACGTAACGGAACCGCTATCAACGATGGAGGCAAAGTCTTCTCCAGACCATCCCTCATTTGCCGTGTCTTCCAAGGACAAAGCTTTGGAGACCTCGAAAGACCAGGATTCCACAAATCTGGCGTGAAGGTGCCATCTTCCAGGAACGTTCTTTGCCGACCGAGACATTCTCAGGCGATGTGGACATGAAGATTCTGCCTCGCGGTTGGGCTACTTGGTCGACGCAGGACGCAATGTTACCCTTGCATGGTTGTTGGTGGTACCGGGCCGAAGCAAGCGCTCTCAGGCACAACAGGCTGTTTGGGACTAGATGCTCATGCCGCTTTCCAGAACCTCAATTCAATTTTGTTCACGATGCTGCTGATGATTCAAGTAGATCGCTATCGCACTGCTGCAATGTTTCGAAGCCGTCGCATGCTGGGACGTTTCATTGGGCATTCGCTGGGCGAGGCTCATTTCTCGATCAGAAAGCTGACATTACGTTGCTACCGCACGATATATACTAGGATTCTTCGCGCTCTAGCAGCCATGACGTCTATGCGTTTTGAAGCACACCGTACACGGTAGCGGACTCAGGTAAGATAGTTGATCATCGTGCCTTGCTGGCGAACTGTCACCTAATTGGGAGTATGGACTTCTCAAAATTCTACACATCACTTCACGTCACTCAGCTTCCCTTCGCCCTCGAACAGCAACAAATTCGTCGATAAGCCGCCGAATGCGCAGAGGCTGCTTTTCTTTGAGCTAACATGCATGCGCGACAGCCATATCCAATTGGCGGCAACAAATCGAGGAATCAAGGACGCGAACCTTCTTTCAAGCCTTACGGCGACGTTGGCGTGTGCGACTTTATCCCAATATGTCGTGTATTAAGCGAGAACGCAGCTGTTCCAGAGGCCCTGATGCCGCCGCCTGAGGCTCGATTCAAACCCGACTGGACTCTGACTGGTGGCCGCTCCTGCTTTGCATCTGCATGTGAACATGCAAGCCACCTGCTTTACCCCTCCCACAAGGCTGCGGTCTGCAACATCGATATTGAAAACTTCGATCTCTGCCGCCTGGATCGTCGACTATCTGCAAATGATAGTACACTCACGCGGAGAATTTATACTGCGCCTTCCAAATCAGCCAAACTTCCACACTACACAGGATGAGAAAGCTCTGAATACCATCCTATGCATTGAAGCTGGCTCAAGCCCTCGTGCCGCAACAGCGATATCACTTGTATCCAGGCCTTAGCTCTGCCATGGCGTTTGGCAGTAACTGGCGGTATGATACCGCTGGTCGGCAGCGCGTGGTTGATCCAAGATCTGTTGACCCCAGGCCCACCGGTCAAGCGTTTGCTGCAACGGGTAGAGATTCCAAGACGGGTCTGGAGACAAGATGGGAATTCGGTGCTTCATCTTCATATACTGAGCCAGCCGGGACGACGCAGCGTCAGCTCAACGTCAAGCGAATCCGAGAAGGTCCAGGTCCAGGCCGAACGGAAACATCTATTGCTCCAAGTACGAAGATTGAACTTGTATCCTGTTGAAAAGTCAACATGCTGATAGTTCACAGACTGCAAGAAATACATGGTAAGCCTCATGTTGATGCTTCGAGAAGCATGTTGACAGATTTAGGTTATCGAGGCATTGCTCGTACCGCCGGCAGATACCTCGACCATGTCCAATCTGACCCTAGCCAATGATCCTGTCCCGGATTCGTCTATTAGACGGCGGCGCTTTGTAATTGTTCGCGATCAGATGGAGGATAGAAACAGCTTTGAGGCCATGTGAGTTTTACCTCACCTCGTCCTCACTGTTTTATCTGCATTAACCATCGACAGTGCAATAAAGACCTACAACGGAGAAGGGGTTGCTGCTGATGGTGTTGTCAAGTTTCACCATGCCATCATCTACACCGGCGACGAGCCGGAGCCGGAGCCGGATGAGCTTCCAAGACGACCAGGTAACGGCAAGATGGAGCAACCAATGCAAGCACAAGCCATACGAGTAGAGCAGTTCGACCGCACGAGAGCTTTGAATCCGATGTCCCGCCTTGACTACGGCTCACGCTACGTCTTCGACCACGGTGTACCAAACATCATAATACTTGGAAGAATCCACGTCTACTCCCGAGCATCACTGCATGCTCAATTCAATCATGTCTGGGCTCAAATTAGGGAAGCCCATCGGCCCAGTCATGCAGCGCAACAAGTGTCGAGCGCAGCATCGAACGCCGATTCGACGACCACTATAACTCCTGCTACACGCGCCGGACCCAGTCTGGCATCTCCGGACTCCGGACCTATCACTGATGAAGAATTGGTGTCGCTTCTGCGCAACTACCACAATCACGCGCACCAACATGGACTTTCAATGCCACCGCAGCAGTTGAACCCGCAACAGATTCAAGGATTGGCTGCAAACGCCCACGCTCGTGCTGCGTATCTTCAGTGCATTCGGCAGTCTTGGACGATGAAGGACGAAGAGGAAGATTCATCTAGCGACAGCGAGGCGGTCACCGACGGCCAAAGAAAGTTCGACCATGTCCGTCCCCGGGCAAGCGTATCGCCAAGCATACCGTCGGGACGCACAAGTGAAGCCAAGCGGCATTGGCAACATGGCCCCCTTCAAAACCATAAGAGCAAAGGCGTCACTGGAAATGGTGACGGTAGCGCAAGAAGCGCAAGCAGTCATCTGACAGAGAGGCGTAGTAACAAGCAAACCACAGCACTGGAGAAAGAGACTGGGGACTCTTTGTTCTCCGAACGCGCTCGCTCAAGCAGACATCCAGCATCGGAAGGCGTTGGTGACGAGCACGGAGGGAGCTTCCGGATGGACCAAGCAGCACGCGTGGTAGCAACGAACCAAAACAGACTCCAGAGCAACACCGACGAGCTTGTGAACGACTCAGTGTACACCAGTGAGCCCTCCGTATGGTCACGGCCTGATCATAATACTTCCTACGCTGTGACCAGTATTTCTTCCGGTTCTCAAATACGAGAAACAGATCCGAAAACGGCGGGCGGGAACGATTCTGGTGCGACCCGTCTTCGAACAGGCGTCACTCCGCCGGCGGCACAACATGAACATGCTCGGTCTTCCCAAGTGGTGACGTTCAAGGAACCTGATAAAGGCACAGTCGAGGCTGCGAGTGTAGGCTCCAATTTCAGTGCGACCACGAGTCAAAACTTTGCGGCGCAATTTGCTGGTATAGTCGCAGACGATCTCCGAGAATCCATGAGCAACGGTCCTGGCGCGAGTCTGTTTCCGCAACAGCCCCTAGCGGACATCACGAGACTACTACATGACTACGCTTGCTTAAAAGCGACGACCACAAGCTCAAGTGTGGAACGAAAAGCAGTGAAGTTTGTGAAGAGATTACGTGGGCATATATTGCGAATGATGGGCGGGTTTCTGCAAGGCACGAACCTCGAAATCCTGGTACCCGATGAGGACACAGCCCGGCCTTCGATTTTGCAACATTTGAATGGCAATGTCCAGACTGCTGATGAGAAGGCACGGGCGTGGCTGAACAATCCAGATGATGCAGAGATACCCTCTGAGGATCGGAACATTATGAAAGGTCTTGATGATTTAGATGCGCTGGAAGACGAGTCAGAGGTGGGACAAGCGAAGCGCTTCCTGTGTGAATGTCCAGAGTTCGACTGGCTCATTCGACGTATAAGATCGCTGGCATCTGTGGACGGCGAGCGCAAAAGCCTAATTTCCGTGGAGGCTGCATTCTTTGCACTCTGCGGAGAGTCCGCCGATTCTATGGGACTAATGTATCACCCAATGAAGTTGCGAATCGAATGGAACCCGAAGACTTATCTTGCTCAGCAGTACGGCACAGCCGCTGATCTGGGCAGTACGCTGGTCCTCGTCGGAGACGGAAAGGCTTGTTGCGTCATGCGATGCGGCGACTATCTGGATATGCTGTGGCCTTATGTTGGGCGGGCTGTCCTTGAATGGGTCCAACGTGCAGCAGAATCCGAAGACAGAGTATACGAAACGGTTCACGAGCATGCCATGATCAGGCTCGATTGCAACAGCGCCAATCTTCTTGTTTCTGTATCAGGGCCACGTGTTATACAATACGAGTCCCTCGATATTTTGGCATGGCTGGCTACCGCCTGCCGCGCATCGAAGCATACTGAGCAAATCGCAGGGTGTGTGCCTGACGTCTCTATTGGTGAGCACAAAAGCTTTGGGCTCATCATCGGGTTCAAGGAAGTATTCGAATTGGGCCAACCTGAAGAAGAAACGACAGAGGACCCAGCATCTGGTTGCTGGCGCAGATTCTTTCAAACTGCATCCATCGCAATGGGATATCCAATTCCCGTGCGGAATCAGGATGAGAAAGGACTCGAAGTGCCCTTCCATTTACTGCCTATCCTTTCCGGAGCGTACTGGCTGGCACAGTACAACGGCCGGACTCTGCTCAAAGGCTACAATTCCATGCTCGTTCCAATCAAGCGGGCAGGAAATTCGGTGCAATGGCACTTTTCAGTCAACACTGACCGCTCAAAGTTGTGCTACAGTGAGGTCGAGAAGTACACAGGGCTGTGTGGTGAAGATGAATCCTCCTTGTCCCCGTGCCGTCATTTCGTTGGATGGGCACCTACCGTTGTTGTGGCAGCTGGTAAGTCGAGCCTGCTCGTTGCCCTGGACTTGGCTTATGAACTGTGTAGGTTCTCAATCTGGACAGTACAGGAGCATTGGTATGAGCCTAGCCGAAGCTCCGAGCAGGGTGCTTGAGATTGACCCAGCGTTGACGATACAAGGGGGTAAATATGTGACTGGCGGGTTCCGTTGCGAGCTTGGCAGCAGAGCCAATCCAACATGCTATGACCCCAACCCATATTGGTTCTACGAGCAAGCAATGGATCAAGCCAGATGGTGGCTAGTACTGTTTTCTGACGTGGGTTCAAGGCAACATTGGCTACTTGATGGCGCGACTGCGATCCTCCAGATATGCCAGACCGTGTTGTGCTCAGATGAGATCAAATACACAAAACGCACGTGGGAGAGAAGTTGCTCAAATACACCGACAGCGATGGCTCACCACTCGACTCCTACGGCGTATTGACGGATAAGGGCAACCGCGCGCAACCAGTCAACGGTTCTGGAAATTCCCTCCATCGAGCTGGGGTGACGATGTCGGTACAGCAAGAGGCTGCAACATTTCAGAGCATTGCGGCAACCACATGGTTCCGACTTGACCATCTTCACGACCTTGCACAGCAAGCACTGAAGCCCGACAAGATAAGACTATCTCTAACTCAACGCGAGCTTGAGGGACACGAATTCAACGACCTGGTCGAAGTCGGAAGTTTCCAGCCAAAAGTGCTGCACTTGTACGAAGAAGCATCCGAGTGGTACCGTTTCACTAAAAGAATTGGGACGGTCAATCTTTTTGGCTCAAATTTCGGCGACCTCATTGTCCCGTCTCAGAATAGTGATGAAGGCCCGAAGCTTTGCGCACAGCGGGCTCGAATGCCTGCTGAATCTGACCATCTCGGCACTACGCTAGCCGTCCTCAACACTGCGATCCGCAGAATGGCTGGCCATAGCCAGCAGCTGATCAAGCTGGCTCACAATTGCTACTGGGATGATCCTAAGTGGTGCCTTCGACATTGTGGTTGCAGCGCCGGGCATAGGGTTCCATGCGCGCGGCTCGTTTCAAGACTTGTTCGTGCTGACCCACGACCGAAAAAGACAGCCCGCCTGAAGAAGCATCCAATTTACGAGCAGTATCCTCAAGCAGGCGTAGTATTTGGTCATCGTCGTGGTCGAAGGGGAAGAAGTCTTACGGAGGCTTCTCCTGGTTTGCCCGCCATATCCACTGACGCTTCATCTTCTGCCGTTTCGAACACTGCTGCCACCATATTAACTCCACAGTCTTCAAACCTTGTTGAACACTCGTCCCAGACATCGCTAGACCGCACTCATCTCGGACGTCAGCTTCCAGCCAACACGATGCGCTGGCGACGGGATCATTCGAAAGGAACACCACGCCAGTGGAACTGGCGAGCCTCTCCGATACTGATGTCGTCGCTTCTGGTGCTGATGTCAAGAACGGTGAGGGGGAAATTGATGCCGAACATGAAGACGATCGTGAAGGCTACAATGAAGACGATGTCTCTTCGAAGGCCGCGACCGCTTCTGAAGCTGGAGACATCTCAGCAGCCGCCTCTGGCACTGCGAGCCCAGCACTCGTGAGGGGCTCGCAGCGTTCCGACGCCGACTTTCTCGATGGGCGAAAGCCTCAGAATTTCTCGTCCTCCTCCATGCATGGAAATCCGCCAGTCCACAGTCTTTCGCCGAGAAGTTCTAGATGGGCTACACAGAGCATAGTAAAACCTGGTCAGACCGCGACGGGGTCCAGACCACAGGTTGCGGGAAAGTCTCGCACGGAACATTCTGAAGAACATCCACTTGGGCAATCGTCAGCAGCAATAGGATTAAGAAACGACAGGCACGCTGCCAATGCTGTCTTTACCACCTTTTCGAGGCCCACGGCATTGCGTGTGGAAGCGCAACAGCTACGCCACGATTCGATGGGGGCAACATCTGCACCCACCGATAAGAAGACCATTGGCAATAAGTTGAAGCACCTTTTTTCACGAGATCGTCTTTTTTCTGGAAGGTCAAAACGTTCGGAGCGTGTCGCAGATGAAGGAGACATGGAAGACCGATGAGCGCACTGCACAATGTTGCACGGGGACGGTGTGGCCGCAATCGCATGGCATCATCTATGTAATCTATGTAGAAGGTTGGTACGTAGCACATGTTCTCCGGAATCGAATGTTACGACAACTCTGGACTTCTTTGATCGGATCGCAATCAACATCTCAGTAGCGCGCCGGCCGCCACCTTCTCGAGAACGCTGGCATAGTCCTTCGACCGTTTTGGACACTTGCCGTCAGAGGAGAGAGAAGTCTGCAAACCAAGCAGACATTCGGCGGGAGCGCTGGGTAAGAGTTCAAGAAGGAGAAAGACACTTTGCATAGATCAAAACCTGTGATTCTCCGTATAAGACATATGCATTAATCCATTTTCCTTCCTTGCGCATGACGACTGAACAGAAGTCGGATCACTGAAGTCTGCTCAAGCATTCGCGAGCCATCCTGGCCATTCGGGAGCCGCCGGAAGCCTATGTCTAATTCGACTGCATCTCACCGCCCACCCTCCGCAGCGGCAGAATTCACCCAAAAAATCGATTATAGAATTTAGAAGCAGTCCTAACACTTGACCCAGCGCCAACGATGAAGCGCAAATTGAACGCCGACGACGTTCCCGAGGCCGTCGCCGATGGCACAACAGACGATGCAGCACCAGCAACACCCACCTTCGCCAGGTTCGACCTCGATGCGCGACTCCTCCAAGCCGTGAGTCGAGAGAAATTCTCCACGCCCACATTAGTGCAAGCAAAAGCTATACCAGTAATATTGAATGGCAAAGATGTACTCGCGCGCTCCAAGACCGGCTCCGGAAAGACTCTCGCCTACCTCCTCCCCATCCACCATGGCATCCTCCAGCGCAAAGCCATCTCGAAGGCTGTGAAAGCCACAACAGCTCTCATTCTCGTGCCCACAAAAGAGCTCGCAAAACAGGTCACTACGACTATCAAGACCCTCACCTCATTCTGCGCACACGAGATACGTTGCGAAAACATCACCCGCAAGGAAGACGCTGCAGTCACCCGCGCTCGCCTTGCCGAACAACCTGACATTGTCGTCTCTACACCCAGCCGAGCAGGACTGTGGCTCAAGAACGAAGTACTCAAATTGAACAGCCTAAAGCAGCTTGTCATTGACGAGGCAGACCTGGTCCTGAGCTACGGCTATTCCTCCGACCTCAACGATCTCTCCTCTTCACTTCCGCCAGGACTACAAACAATCCTCGCCTCTGCCACGCTCAACACTGAAATCAGCACCTTGACATCCCTCCTCTCGAAAACCAAGACCGGTCCGTCCTCTGAAACTCTGGCACCTGTCGTGCTCGACCTCAGCTCCGAAGAAGCCGCCGAAGAGTCGAAGCTCTCCCACTACGTCGTCCGCTCCGCCGAAGAGGACAAATTCCTCCTCATCTACGCTATCTTCAAGTTGAAGCTGATCAAGGGCAAGGTCATTGTGTTCGTGGCAGACATTGACCGATGTTACCGGGTAAAGCTGTTCCTGGAGCAGTTTGGCATCAGAAGCTGTGTGCTCAACTCGGAGCTGCCGGTCAACTCGCGGGTGCACGTGGTGGAAGAATTCAATAGAGGGGTGTATGATATCATTATTGCGGCCGACGAGGGCGAGGTTGTTGGGGACGGTGATGGACGAAGCAAGAAGAGGCGGAAGACTAAGCAGCAGAGGGAGGCTGCTGATGGTGACAACAAATCGGAAGACGATGACATTCTGGACGACGAGCAGGACATCGGCATCAGTAACACTGACGCCACACAAGAAAAGTCGAAAAAACAGCAGAAGAACGCCGAATACACTCTATCTCGCGGCATCGACTTCCGCCACGTCGCCTGCGTCCTCAACTTCGATCTACCACTGTCCGCCAAGTCGTACCTACACCGCGTTGGTCGAACCGCGAGAGCTGGGCAAACCGGCATGGCGTTGAGCTTTTATGTACCAAAAGAGCTGTACAGGAAACACAAGTCAACCACGATTGAGCAATGCAAGAACGACGAGCAGGTACTGGGGCAGGTCCGTGATATGTTTGAGGGCAAGGCAGAGAACGGAGAAGAGAACACCAAGCAGATCGGAAGCGCAACGAACAGCCTGCAAGAATGGAAATTCGACATGGCCAAGCTCGACGCCTTTCGGTATCGCTTCGCCGATGCCCTCCGCAGCGTCACCCGCATCGCCGTTCGCGAGGCACGGACTCGAGAGCTCCGCGACGAGCTGATGAAGTCTGAAAAGTTGAAGCGTCACTTCGAGGAGAACCCAGACGATCTCCGACATTTAAGACACGACAACGAGCTCACGCACAGTGTACGACAGCGACCGCATTTGAGGCATGTACCGGAATATCTTCTGCCGGAGGGCGGAAGGGCAGCGGTGGCGAAGGATGTGAGATATGTGGGGTTGAGGAAGGATAGTGAGAACAAGATCCGAAAGGCTAGGGCGAGGAATGCAGGGAGGGGAAGGAGTAAGCTAGGTGGTGGAAGGGGTGGAAGGGCGGCGGATCCGCTGAGGAGCTTGAATGTCAGGGGGAGGGGCAAGAAGTGAGTATGACCGTACAGTATTGCAGACACACGAGGACTCGACCCTCGAGGGTGGAGCTCCGGCCACTTTGGCTGCAGCATAGTCCCGTCTTGACTTGTTTGCTGTCATTGAAAGGTAATCGTCAGTTTCTCTTGTCCTTCACAGCCCCTACGAACCTGCCGCAGCCATCCTCCTGCAACACAGGCAAGGCTTGCCTATCATTCTTTTACGACGAAACCATCAACAGCGCGCAAGTCTTTCACACCGCTGTTCTGATTGCGCCTGGAGCCTTTCCGGACCTTTGTCTATTTCAGGCAGCCTAATTGAGTTTGTCAAGCTTCCTCTTACTACCAGCATTTGCTACAATCTGCCGCCTTCTCCTGTGTACGTCCTGGTGCTCTGCTGGAAGTTGGATCATCACACAGTTTTCAATCATATCTTCTGGGGGTTGAAGCATCACTTCGACTTTCAGAGTCAGCATACGAACGAACGAACCGACCGACCGAACGAATTGACCGAACGCACCGAACCGACGACTGAGCAGCAACGAACGAACCGACCGAACGAACGAACCGAACGAACCGGAATGGCGAATCACGACAATCCGATGACGGCGAGGATCAACTCCTCTACGAGGTCCGATGTCCCTTCACTCAACACTTCCGGACTTGGAAATATTCCCTCCACTCGATTCAAAGAGCAACGGCATCCAGCACGGTACAGCCTGGCGGTATCCACCACAATCACCTCAAAAGTCCGACTCTGTGGATGATGAAACTGAATCTCAAAGCTCTGCACGCACAGGACTTCTCGAATTCGAGGGCTTTTCTTGCTACGACATCAAAGTCTTCGGAGAAGAGGGTGACGTCCTCCCGCGGCAAGAGCGCGACGAGATCATACGTGCCTTCACACAAAAGATCGACAGTCTCGGGGGCTCAAAACCTTCCTGCAGGTCAGCAAGAGAACTTTCATTACTGCTGACTCCCATGATGCCTGGAAGAAGAGGTTTCTCGTCCATGTCCAGACGATTCAGTCTTCTGATGGCGTCCTTGACGCGATGCCCAGGGACGGTGAGTGGAGGAAGATTACAGTGTCCACCTCTTCGAGCCACGCGGTCAAAAAGTGGATGTCAGTTAGTGCGTTCGAGAAGGTTGAGGATAGTGAGTGTCCTCGAGGAAAGGAATTTGTGCAGGATTACGTCAAGTCAAGACGCAGTTCAGTGCCACCATCCACCACCCCCAACGCGAAGTCGAGACTGGCCATGGTTTACGCTGAACCGACCAAACTCAGTATCGCAGACCTGCAAACCCTGGACTGTTGGGCAAACCCAAAGGAACGCTCCGACATCCATGCGCTTGAGAACAGGTTGGTCACGTTCCTGATCTGCGACTACTGGCAGAAACGTGGCATTCAGGACCTGGTGGTTCTGGGCAATCGTGTCTTTGGACCCCCAAGGACTCTGACATGTGGCGTTGAACGCCGTGGAGGCTACAAGCTGAAGCTTCTATTCGCCTCTGGCAGCGACCCCAGCATCCACAGGACGCCCTGCAATCAGCTCTTCTTCAAGCCCATCCAAGTGTCTGACTTCATGGTCGAGCAAGCAGGAGCGACTTCTAATGGGAGCCACGACGCTCACATTACGAGGCTGAACAAACTGCTCAAAGGCGTTTTGGTTGATTGTTTCTTCAGCAAGAAAGCCAAATCACAGGCTATTCAGCAAGTCGTCAACCTCAACGCCAACGAGATCGACATCCCTTCACCCGGAGCGGTCCCGTCAAGTATCACCCTTGCGGAGCTGTTCTCTCGCGTTCATGGCCATCCTCTTCGCTTTCCCAAGTTGCCCTGCATCGACTTTGGGACTGGAGGTCGTCACTTCTATGTTCCAGCTGAAGCTTGCTTGATCAATCCCAACCAGCCTTTCGGCCATCCGCTGCCGCTCGTCGTCGACGATGCCGCATTCGTACCTCGTCAAGCGAACATCAAGCGCAGTACGAAATCCCCCATGCAAGTGAACCCGTTCGGCGAGCTTGGCACGAAGGATTTCTCGTTCTGCTTCGCGCAGGTGGTCATCCTGCCGGAAGGTGCGCATAAGGAAGACTTGGATGAGTTCAAGCACTTGTCTACCGCCAGATGGGAGCGATTCCAAGACGCCATTGGGAGTCGATTCCGCAACAAGCTTGACAATCTGGTGAGAGATGCCGACCATGTCGTTTTGCCGTACCGGCAAGGCGTCGACTCGTCGAGAGAATGGGCAGAGTTGCTGTCACGGTTGGCAGGTGAGCGGAGAGGAGTGAAGAAGGTCCTCATCGCTTGCATTCCTGCTGGACAGTTCAACAACGCCATCCACAAGGCCTTGCACAGGCTGTGCGATACTGAGCTTGGCATTCAGTGCAACATTGTCACGGCTAGAGAGGTCGGTAAGCGAGCTGCGCCAGGCAATGGGCCAACGTACGACACTCTGACCAAGTACACTGGTGCTGTCGTGCGAAAAGTCTTCGCTCGTGCTTCCTTGCCGGGCAAGACCAGCGAAGACGACAAGAAGGAAGCTTTGTTCCAGGAGCATTACGGTGCGGCGCTGACCAATTCGAGCCTTGCTGGCACTTCAACCCCGAGCAAGCTGCTTGTCGGCATCCATGTGCAGCTTCTCACTGAGGTTTTAGCTGCATCGAGTGCTGACATGAAGAGCGTGAATCATCTCTTGATCACTGTCTCCACGATCTCCGACCAGCATGCCGTTGCGGAAACAGTGCGCACCACTCAGCACGTTGTTTCGCTGGACGTCAAAAGCCTGCAAGAGAAGGTGCATCGATGTGTTCAGCTTCATCTCTCTCGTGCTGACGGAATGAGCAATTCTGTTCAGCAGCTGGCGTTCTTCCGCTCCGGCTTCGGTGCGCAAGATCGCATGCATATGCGCTCGGAGATGGAAAAGCTTGCGAGCCTCGCAGTCAGATCTCCTTCTTCCGACCAGTCCACATCAAATGTGACGGACTTCTACACGTTCTTGGAACCTCCGACGCTGCATCTGTCCGAAAACTCCAAAACGATCGTGCTGGATGACATCAACTGCGTGGCGAAGCTCAAAGGCCTTGCCGGGCCAGTACCAGGTCGTTCTCACTCCGAACTCTTCCACTTTGAGCCAGAGCAAGTGAGGTCTGAGCAAAGAACTGTCGGTGTCGCTGACGCACACATGGCTGACCTTTCCAAGTTCAACAGCACTTTGAAGAAGGTATTCGTCCGTGCACACACCGACCTCCAGCGCAGCCACAAGACGTATCTCATTACTCATGCTCAGACCGTGCAGGAGGTCGAAAAAGATGGGCGCGATTGCACGGACTTTGAGAAGCTGGTGCAGGCCAAAGGTCTCAGTAGGCCGTCAGTCCTGCTCACAGGCAAAGTCGAAGCATTCCGCAATGCGATTCTGCGCGACACGCCACTCGCCACGAGTGACCTGCAGCTTTACTTCTTCCATTCGTACCTGCAGAAGGCGGTCCTGCCGGACATCATGTTCCTGACGCAGAAGGCGGCCAACCGAGCACTGAAGTACGTCGAGCTTGGTCAGGGTCAGGACGTTGACGGTGAAGAGACCCCCTACACCATGCCAGAGATCCACGAAGCTCTTCAGCACAGCCTCTACTTCTTGTAGGGACAAGCCATCCATCCAACCTTTGATCCGTCTCTGGAGGCCATTGTCTCCGTCCACTCCTTTGCCGTGTTCTTCTCGCGCCGACATCGACAACTCCACTCTTTGCTCGCTTGCTTCAGCATTCGACTTTGCGACCATTCTTACTTGCTGTCTTGCCGCCGCCTTTCGGCGGCACTGCTCTCATCGAGCTCACAGTCTTTACCGATCATTCTGCTGCGTTCTGCTGGATCCTTCTTCACTGCTTCGATTGCTGGCCTCATCAGGCCTCCTCATCTGCTCACTTGGAGCTCACAGTCTTTACCGATCTTTGCTGCGTTCTGCTGAATTCTTGCTTGCTTTTGGACGTCGCTGGCCTCACTTGGCTTTCCTATGCGATGCCACCTGCTCACATCGAGCTCACTATCATCAACGACCACTTTGCTGCATTCTTGCTGCGTTCTTGCTGCGTTCTTACTGCGCTCTTGTTGCGTTCTGCTGGAGCATTGCTTATTCAACATCATCAGGAGTTGGGAGTTGCTTGATCTTGCTCGCTGAGCTCACAGTCCTTACCGGCTTGCTTGGGTGGTCTGGTGGGAAGACCGCATTGCTTTCAGCTGATCTGGGAGACATTATCGTGCACCAGCATGACCTGACCCCACTTCACCACTGTCCTTACCGATCTGGCTTGCACTCACAGTAGATAGCTTTGCAATCACATTGTCATTCACAAGAACTTCGCGGTGCTTCTTCCATCTCCTACTCGATCTTCCTGTTATGTCTTCCATCATCTCCGTTCTCGTATGGTCCACCTTCCTCCTTCACAATCCCCTTCTTCGTGTTGGCTTCTTTCGACTGCTGGCTCCAGTCTGGTGCCTCGTCCTTTCCATTGTCTTCCTCCTCATCTCCTTCTTCTTTCGTCTTGTGCACGGTCTGAGGGTCGTGCTCAGCAGGCGAGTAGACGGTCACCAGCTCGAGCGGTTGGGACTTTGATGTGTTGATGAATTGGTGCTCTGTTCCAGCAGGTACCACGACAACATCGGATGCCTTGACATTCTGCTGAGTGTCAGTAAAGCTATTCACGACCCAGACCATGCTTCTGTCTCTTACCTGGTCCTTTCCAGCCACTGTAGCCTTGCCCTCACCACTGGTAAAGATCAAGACCTGATCAACCATGTGCACCTCATTGCCAATGTCTCCGCCAACTGGGATCTCCATCGATACCAACTTCACCCCAAATCAGCTATGCTCCAGACACGAGAGGGTGCAAGACCGTACCTGAGAGAACAGCCCAGTATGCATGACCTTCCTGAACTGCCCGAACGCTCTGACTTCAGACGTCAAGCCCGGGAAGTACTTCATCTCATGCTTGGGCGGGCCTGTCGGCATCTTGGAGTCTTTACCCATGGTGATGGATGAAGCTGTGAATGCTCTGCTGTATGAAAGAGAGGGCACGCGTTTGGTTGCGGATGATGAGAGTCTTGAAGTGATGGCACGGCAAGAAAACATCGAAGACGACGGAAATGCTGAACTTATCTGGTACGGTGATGGAGAAGCACTTATGGTTAACTGCTTGGAGCTGTTTACTCCATCTGGTGATGACAATGTCGACGTCACGACTGAGGTGATGCTTTGAGGTGATCGGCGCGAGCTTTAATGTTCCTGCGTTCAGGCCGGCAGCGGCGCGAACTCTTGTCTGCTCGCTCAACGACGACAAACTGCGGACTGCGGACTGTCTCATGAACACTAATGGCGACAGAGGATGAAGAGGAAGAACGGTTGATGGGAACTATGCTGTTCATTCAATATATGCCATGCTATCTATACATTTTCAATGAAACGAGTAAGTGGGTATCAACTGCCTTCCCAAACACCAGCAATGCTTCCGCTTCCCTTCTTATGCTCGTCATGCACTCCTCTATGCCTTCTCAGCAGACTTCTTCTTCTCTTCAGCCGGTTTCGCTCCCTGCTTCCCCTTGACGCTTCGCCATTCCATCATCAACGCACCAATCAGTGCAAGAGCAGAAGTAGCCGTGGCCACAACGAACACCTGCCGCAGAGCTGAGTTGTACACCACCAAGACGTCGTGGAGCTCGTCTACAGGCAGAACGTCCCGCAGATCTGTGGCGCCGGTGTTGACGACCTCTCCTGGACTCAGGCCATTGGTAAGGCTCGTCAAGCCGCTGACCAGCTTAGAGGTGAAGACGTTCTGTCCAGCGGAGATCATGATGGCACCGCCGAGCATCTGGCAGAAGAACATGATCGATACGCCCATCGGAACGTCCTTTCTCTCCAGCACGGTCTGCGCTGCCACGGAAGCTTGCTGCATGCCAACACCAATGCCGAAGCCTGCGACGATCTGGAGTCCGATCCATACCCCTTCGCTGGTGTTCAGGTCGAGCGTCATCATCAGGCCCGTTCCGATGGGCATGATCACTGCTGAGGTATACATCCACGGGGTGTAGTAGCCGATGCGACTTGTGAGCTGGCCGGATGTAATCGCTCCCAGAACGAGGGCAAGAACGAGCGGGATGGTGTCGATGCCGGATTGCACTGCTGATGTTCCTTTAATCGCCTGAAACCAAATGGGAAGGTAGTAGATCAGCAGCATCATGGATGAGGCAATTGTTATAGTGAACCACATTCCGCCGATGATGCTCCGGTTTTTGATAATGCGGGCTGGAATTGTCGCCGTCTCTGGCTTGAGGATCTGAACAGCGACGAAGCAGATGGCGAGTACGCCGAAGAGGATGAAGAGGGCAATGATGCGGCCGTCAGTCCAGCTGTAAGTACTTCCTCCCCACTGCAGTCCCAGTAGCAGGCAAATGATGGACGGAAGTAGGAAGAATTCTCCGAGAAGATCCAGCTGCGCCAGCTGTTGGCGAATGGTCAAGCCAGTCTGTTTCGGGCTATTGGCTTTCAACAGGAACCAGACTGGCACAGAGACGACAGGAAAGAAGCAGAGATTGATGTAAAAGCACCAACGCCATGAGACTTTGGTGGTGAAGGCGCCGCCTGCTGAGAGTTAGCTGGATACCATTGGAATGCTTTGGATTGCTCTTACCGAGCAGTGGCCCAATCACAGAAGCGATACCAAAGACCGCGCCAAAGAAGCCTTGATATTTCGGCCGCTTCGCTAACGGAATGGTCTCGACCATCAAAACGATTGCCCCCGAAGTTATACCAGCAGCGCCAACCCCAGCAATGGCGCGCCCGACGATGAAGGCGACTGAAGTTGGTGCGGCACCGCACACTGCAGAACCAATTTCGAAGATCACGACGTTGATCAAGAAGACGTACTTGGGGGTGTGGAAGGTGTAGACGCGGCCGATGAACAGTTGAGCACAGCAGGATGTGAGCATGAATGCGCTGCCGTACCAGCCGATGTCGTCGAGTGAGTGGAACTCGTCTGTCATTTTGGGGATGGCGGTTGCGATGATCGTGCGGTCGAGGGCGACTAGAAACATTGCTAGCTAAACGATAGGAAGACAGGTCAGCGTGGGTTTCATAAACTGGACGGAAGGTTGGTGTCTTTCATACCATAAGAGAAACGACCACAGCGATCGTTTGTGCCTGTCCTGGGTAGATGGACTCTGTTGTGCTCTGGACTTGCTCAGCTTTGGGCATGTCCTCGTCGGGTTGTTGTTGTTTCTCCAGGTCATCGTCGTTGTGTTGTGAGTCTGCTGATGAAGAAGTCACCGGTCTTTCATGAGCTTCCTCCGGTGTGGCGACAGGGTTATTGAGATGGGTTGTTGCATCTTCCGGAGGTACAGCCGTCTCGGCCTCGATCTTTTGGTCGTACGAAGACATCCTGAAGAGACTGTATTGAAAAGTGGTGATGGAAAAGGTCGTTGTAGGTTGATAGTGATCGATCGAGTGGAAGAAGACTCATATTTGAAGTTTCACAAGTCCTTCCAATTCTTCAGAGCAATCACGGTGGTTGTCGTCCCGGATGCCTGTTGAGACTGTGTGGACGGCCGGAGGTGTTGTTAGGACCCGAGCAGGAACTCGGGCCTTGAACGTGACAAACGACCGAGCGGCGAACCAATGAGCGTCTCGCAAACAAGCCTTCGGAAGCAAATACAAGCCTTCAATGGCCGGGGAAAGAGAAATGTTGTCCTCCGTTTTTGCGTCCTCAAAACAACAAAGGATGGGTACCATTCAGCGAAGGGAGTCATTGAATCGCGATGGTAGGATGATCTCGTCCTGCGTTGTCCAGGACGTTACATTCTGAAGCCGTATCATGGCCAACGTCTTCTCGACTTCATCTCGTTGGGATGAAGCCCGATAATCCTTTAGCCCCGATACACCGCATTGCAAGGCCTTTGCTGGAGTATGAAATCGAGCCGACCACATATTATTAGATTGGTCTGATGTTGCTGAAGGATGATCGATGGACTTGGTCAGCAAGATGTACGAGCCTTGCCCTGGGCGTGGGAGCTTCTTATCTGAGAAGACGGAGGAAGACGACCAGAGCAGGAGGTCAAGACAACTCGTGTACGACACCTACCACTCCCAACAACACCACCAACACTTGGATCTGACCCCATCAACAGTCCACGTGGCTCCCCGGGATCTCGTTTTCTACGCCGCCCACCGGCCAGGCCACACTCTCTTCATTCGTTATCTTGCCCTATCTCCAGATCGTCAGGGGTGCTGGTATCGCCAAGTCTTGTCTATCTCTCGACACTGCCATGTCTTGTACCTGCCAGGGCTGCCTATCTCACGCCTCTATTGCCCGCGATGCATCATGTAGCGCGCACGTGGCGCGAATGCGATGCTTGGAAGTAGGTATGAGAGTACTCATCAGCAGTACTTGCATCGATGCATGGTATGTTAGCCAACCTCTACCATCCGTTCCTCAGTCTCCTACAACATATCAATGTCTCGATTCGGCACCAAGCTGCGCTCTGCAGTTCAAGCCCAACACACCCATCAGCACAATGCCAACGACGAAGGCGAGAAAGACTTTGGGAAATGGTCAAACGTGGACCTGCAGCCCTCACCACCAAGTGAGCGAAACTGGTCGCCTTGGTACTACTTTGCATTCCAGTTCAGCATCGCCTTCTCGCCTACCACATACAACATTGGCTCATCACTGTTCTCCATTGGTCTGACATGGTGGACCATCATCATCGCGAGCTTCTTGGGGACGGGACTATGCTGCTGCGTGCTGTTTGCCAATGCTCGAGGGCCGACGCTGTATCATGTTGGGTATGTCAACCATCCAAACAGTCTGATCACCTGCTGATGATGAGATAGCTTCCCAGTCTACACCCGCATCTCCGCCGGCATCTACGGCAGCCTCTTCTTCATCTTCATCCGCGCCGTCGTCGCCGTCTTCTACATGGGCACGCAAACCTATTACGCTTCCCGCCTCATGGACGTCTCGCTCCGCTGCATCTTCGGCAGCTCGTGGGAAAACATCCCTAATCACCTCCCAGAATCGGCTGGCATTACGACGGCGCAGATGGTGGCTTTCCTTTTGACATGGCTGTTCCAATTCCCGTTCGCCTGGCTCCATCCTAGCAAAGCTGGCCCGCTGTTCGTGGTGAAGTCGGTCCTCTCACCGACTGCATACATTGCGACTATGATCTGGGCGCTGGTCAAGTTCGGTGGCGTGGACCTGAATCTCGGCGAGAAGATATCCGGAACGGATCTTGGATGGGGCTTCATGAGGTCTATTAATACTGTGGTCTCTGGCGTCGTGCCTCCTATGGTGAACATCGGCGACCTGGCTCGGTATGGCAACAGGCCACGGGACGTCTTCCCGCTTACGCTTGGACTGTTCCTTTCGAAGCCTGCTGTGATCATGCTCGGACTTTTCACCACTGCGGCGGGAGCGAAGCATTACGGCGTAGCGAACTGGAATCTCTGGGACTTCTATGGCTTGGTCCTGGACGAATACTGGAACTCAGGGTCGAGAACGCTGGTCTGCCTGGGTGCGTTCATCCAATGCTTCGCAACCATCGTCACGAACGTATCAAGCAACGCTATCCCAGTCGGATGCGATCTATCTGGCCTGTTCCCAAAGTACTTCACCATCGTGCGAGGAATGATACTCTGCCATCTGCTGGTCTGGCCTGTGGTACCTTGGCTGCTGGTGAACTCCGCGGAGAACTTCTTGACCTTCCTAGGCAGCTACATCTGCTTCATCACGCCCGTGGTAGCCATTATGATCGTGGACTACTACTTCAGCCGCAAAGGCAACATTCACGTCCCGTCGCTGTACCAGCCGGAGACCAGCTCGCCGTACTACTTTACCAAAGGCTTCAATCTGCGAGCCTATGCGGCGTGGGTAGTCGGCGTAGTTCTTGTCATCAGCGGGATCGCCGGCGCCATCAACCCCGGCTCGATCAGCAATACTGCTGTCAACATCTACTATTGCGGTTTCATCTTGTCCTTTTCTGGAGCGGCTGTGACTTACTACCTCCTCTGCTTGATTTGGCCGGTGCAGGTGTATCCGACTGGGAGGCACGAAGGCGGACATGAGGAGAGGGAAGCAATGGTAAGTCGACCTAGACACGCCCTTCTCCGGGATCTTGTGCTAACACTAGGCAGGCGCCCACCGAAGGATTCTTCATGGACGACAGTCCTCTGCCTGGCTATATCCGGGAGAAAATGCTCTTTGGGGAGGAGCCGCTGTCTTCCTCACCAGAAGCAGAAACACCAGTTGTGGCGGGCAAAGAGTTCGATGGCTCGGAGAAGAAATGAAGGTTCGATCGCAAACTTTATGTCTTAGAGAATAGAGCTCCCCATCCCTTCACACCCGAAGGGTCCACGCCAGCTATCTTGAGCATATCCCATATCACCGTCGCCACAGTGTCTGCCACAATCAGCCCGGGATATGTCTTCTCCCAGTGCGCTAGTCTCTGCGCCGCCCGCAGATTGGTACAAAACGTTGATACCAGCATGACCGACTCCTGATCCATTTTGCTCACAACATCCTTCATCTGACTGTCCAACTGCTGCTCAGTAATCTCTGCGAACTCCACATTCACTTTCCTCCCCAGATGCGACTCCGCCACCACCTCAAACCCAGCACCGCCAAATGTCTCCACAATCTTCTGCTGCACGTCGTCCAAGTACGGCGTCACCAGACCAAACCGCACCGCCTCTGCCTCGCCTGGACTCAGTCCTCTCAGTATCTTGCACAACCCCAGCACACTCGTCGTCGCCCGAATCCCCGTCACCTCCTCAATTCTCGCACACAAGCGCTCATCCGCTCCCAGCCCCAACCATCCCGCGCTCGTGCCGCTCCAGCCGATCACATCGACGTTGGCGTGTTGGAGTAGTGTTGCAGCTTCGAGAATCTTGCTGTCGTCGAATTGTGAGAGTGCTTGTGCGGAGAGGGAGATTTCGGTGACTGGGAAGCGGGAGAAGTGGACGGTGACGTTGGGGAGGGCGGAGATGATAGCTGTCGTGAGGGGTTCTAGGGCGGTGTTGGAGGAGGGGACGAGGACGCCGAGGCGGGTGGGTTTGGGAGGGGACATGTTGGGTCGTGATGGGGTCTGTTGAAGGAGATGGAGAGACTATGTTGAGACAATGTGCCGACCTACCTGGCCTTGTAAACCTCCTCCATTTCGTGCTTGCCACGGAGCAAGTTGTGTTCATGCGAAAGAGTGCCCGTCCGCCGCTGGCTTCTTGGAAGGACGATAGGGCAGCTATCTCGGCCAGGCGCGACTTCGGCGAATGCGCGGGGTAGAGCTGATTGATGGTGCCACAGTGTGGGAGGTGGTTCTGATGTTGTTCAACTTGGATACCTAAAGTGACATGTTCCTTATGGGCTTCAATGATGTCGGCTCGTAGCAAAGCAAGCCAAACATGCAATAAAACTTCGGAGCCGTCGCTTCGAAGGAGGTCGGGCCATGGTGGTGAGCTGCCGACAGTGGTGTTGCAGCGTTGTAGGAAGTGATGCTCTTCTGCTTGCGCGACTGAGGCATGTTTGTGGATGTGGACGTTGGAAGCAGTAACTTCGTCGCGCCGGCCACGCTCAGGGAGTACATGCTCGTGTTTCGCTCATGCGTCTGTGGATCGTATAAGGTTCCCGAGATGATGACTTCGAGCTGTAAAGCCACTGTCAGTTGTGAGCACACTTGGTAGCCGTCGTCAGATGTAGTTGGCTCTTGTGAGGGGTGGAAGTCTCGCTGAACCCCCTTCAAGTGACTATAGCCGTTGAGTCTCTCCATCCACTGCTTCATTGTCGATACCATGTTGAGTCTCTGCAATTGCGCCGCCCTTGTGAACTTCAGATCGTACTTCGAGCCGTGGGATAGCCCATCGCCAGGGAATGTTGCCCATATGTCTGTTCTATGCACCATCGATCAACAGTGATGCCGCCTCGTAGCTCTGCGATGAGGGCAATGGTCAAAGATCGCTTCGTCTCCGTTCTTCGTGCTTCTCTAAGCGTGCTGGTGTCAGTCATCCAAGCGTACCTAGGGGGTTCAGTGAGCCTTCAATGACGGCGTCTCGGCAGATTGGAGCAGACTCCTCTGGTGTTCTTGCTCGATAAGTTTGCCATGACACCACATTGCTCCAGTGAAATCGAAAGGATGTCGAAGACTGTCCTATCGCATGTTCTTACAAACATCCAAGCGGCCTCGTGTCAATGAAAGGACCCATAAGGCGTGTGAAGCCATGAGCACGGCAGCACCGTCGACCTCCGGCGAGCTTGCTCCACCCTTCGAAGCAGCAAGCAGGCTGTTCATGACACCAACACCCTCACTCTGCATTCAAGACTCAGCGGAGACAGCATGGGATCAGGAGAGAAGCGCTCGAATATCATGCTTGTCGCTCGTGGAATCAGAAGGGGGAATTGACAGAGAGATGTAGCTCGCCCTTCGACGCAAACATGTTGGCCTGCGACTACCTCATCTTCGTCAGACTAGGGAACAGCACGAACAACAGCGCCCCACGATGGCAGCCGCGATGACCTCGTCGCTACTCGCGGAGCACCAACAGCTGGAGCATGGGAGGGCAATGGCAATGGCGGCCAGCGGTCGAAAGAGCAATAGTCATCGGCGAAGCCATCACGATCACAGACTTCCGAACAGCTTCTCAAGTCGACGCAGTCACTCCATACCGCGACGACAAGCCGGTGGAAAATACACACTCTCTGCAGCTTGAGGAGGAGAACGAGATGAAGTTCAATGGCAAAACAACCTCGCTGTCACCTGCCTCGTTAGGCAATGCCCATGACAAGAACTCGGCCGGTGATCTCGAGAAGCCCATTGGATGTCACCTGCAGAGCTCTCGAACTCGACCTCTCTCGACTGCAGCCCGTCGACAGCAGCGAGATTTGACTGACCTTTGAAGCGGTATACCTCGATGGCTGCCGGTAAGCGCTGCGATAACAGTGGCAAGGTGAATGCGATGAGGGTCGTGCTGGTCCGGACTGGCTGGATCTCGGAGTACAACGTACAGCTTCAGCGGCAGGACTTGGACTGCCGGCCGCTTGCCTGCTGCGGCAAGCATACCTGCCGCTGAGATGATCGCTAGCTTTCTACGCAAGAGGCCATGGCCCAGATGGGTTTCGCTCAGCGGTCGCCTTGACTGGTAGCCTCACCTCCAGATGGAGTCGCACAGCGGCTCAGAGCTGGAATAATTGCTCGATGAGCTGTGCGAACCAAGAGAAGGATGTGCTGGGCCAGGAGCCATCTCAGATACTTCTGACCAGGCCAGCCAGGTCGCGGAGGCAGGAATGCGGGATACCATGGATATCTGCTTCCTTCTGGTCACGGAACTCCACTCCACTTACCACAAATGCTGGAGAAGCGGTCGAAAGTCCGGATTGTACTTCGAACCGGCATGGGATGGGAAGAACGAAAGATCTGGCTGTAGCACGCTTGGCCAAGAGCCATGAGGTCTGCGGCTCATGCAGACGGCGTGCTCAGCAGGTTTTGGGGCTTGGTGAAAGTTTGAGGTCGCCGGAGAATACGAGACTTGAGCACACTTGCCAGAGAGCATGAGGTCTGCGGCTCATGCAGACAGTGTGCTCAGCCGGTCGATGGGAATGGTGACTGGTTCAGGACGATTCCAACGAAGGAATGCTGCACCGGGCAAAGCCAGACATCCTCTTAACGGCCAATATGCCTGGATTGTCGAAAGCGGATGCACGCTTGTCAGAGGGCGTAAAGGTCTGCTGCTGCAGCAGACGGCGTGTATGGCCGATCCTGATACCGTGAAGATACTGTTGGCGGCACATTCCTCTAGAGCGGCGAGATCTGCATTTCCTGCGGGCGGTGCCCATAACATTGCTTCTTCTTGCGGATGGCCTTGATGTTTAGCTGGCCCCCTCTTCCGGCTATCCATCTCGAGTGTTCCAGGCAAGACTCAGCTGTGCTTCTTGAGATGGCCATTGAGCATATGTCTTTTTCAAGTCCACCGCCATGTTGTCCAGCTCCATTCATGGCATGTCCTACCGGAAGGGCTTTGGTGTTCGACGCTGGACTGCTTGCGCCGTTGCACGCTGGCATCGGGGACCCGCGTGGTCCTCTGCAGTACATCTCGTCGAAGAGATTGAAGAAGATCATGCGCCCTCTCTTCAAGGAATATTACGATCCTTCTTCAACAGCAGTACCGGTCGTATGGCTTCGTTTTCCTCGGTGGTCGTTGCTGTCATGATGGAGTACTGGGACGTGGTGCTGTCTGCGGAGGCGCTCTCCACGAGTCCGCTCGCCTGTGATACCAGTCACGCCGTCGGTACTCCCTAACTGCATCTTGACCTTCACAAAGCCCGCGCTCCCTGCGAATCAATGTGCATTGCAAAGAGGCCGTGAAGAGTTGCCGCCGAGTCCTGAGGTAGCATGTCCATTCCTTACCGAAGCAAGGGGCCGCCGCCTGCGCAGAAATGTCCTTTGCTCGAATCAAGTCCTGCTTGACGAACCTACGACTTCGTATCTCCTCTCGATGCATCATACGGTTGTCGCTAATGTGCGCTGTGCCTGCTGCTCGCCGCTTGTTGTGCCTGCGGTCGGAGATCGTGGCCTGCTACAAAACCTATCTCGACGCGTTTTGTCGCGACGGTTGTGATCATGGTCTGATACGCTCCATCTTGCCATTCCTTCTTGCTGGAAGCGATCTCGTTGTGGACGCGTTGTGGACGTGGTCAAGAACTCTGGGCGCGGTGTTTGGTGGTGGAGGTGGAAGCCAGGTGCGACGCACGACAAAGACCCCCTTCCGCCGACTTGCCTCGAGCACACCCGAACTACGGCAGTGCCTGTCAATCTAAAAAGCAGGCGAAGCAAATAGTCAAATGCTGCTACGTTCGAGGCGTTTGGATACATTGGGCAGCTCATCCCATGAGAGCTCCTCGTCGTCGGGACACAGCAGGGAGGAGATGATTCGCGGTCTACATCCTCGCCGTCTTAGTATCTCACCACCACTGTGCTGGGACACATCGATATTGCTACCTTTTGTCAAGATGTGACGAACAGCATCGCTGGCGATATGGCGTGCAGTCCAACGCTCGTGTTGTTCCGAAGTCCGCTCGCCGTCAAGTCCCTAACCACCCCCCTCGGCTCCGACCCGCCGAGCTTCCGCCGCCGCAGTGAAAAGTTATATTGCACTTTCAAACTTTCAGCACTGCCCTTCGAGGCAATTACGGGTTTGGGAGACTCGGTGGCTTGTTGGCGACTCACGTCCCCTTCATTGGGTGTATATGAGTGGTTGGCATCATGTGGACTGTGGCGAGTCTCCAGGCGAGGTCCCTTACAACAAAACCACGGCACCACAGTCCCAATCTTTGGAGCCCGCACTGGCTTACGTGCACACTATTATCTTTTGCCCTTGATGGCGAAGGTCCGGGGTTCGAGCTTGCGGACGTCGAGTAACTTCCGCTTTGGGAAGGAGGGCTGCTTTTTTGCCCGCACACAACATCTCACGACGCCTGGGGGACTTGGGTGACAGGTAATGCATGAGGAGACGCGACTGAGATTTGTCTTCGTCCTCCAAACTCCATATTGCTACGATTGGAAGCTGTTTGGTGGTGGAAGGCATGGGTGGGGTGCGAGCAGCCTCCTTTTTGGGTCAACCGTCAACCAACCATGCTCTGGTGTCTTTCTGCGGTGATTTTGCAAGACGTGAAGCATTGCTCCGGTCTGCTCTTCCTCCCAGGGCTTCTTTTAGATGTATACCATGAAGAATGCCTGTGATGGGGACTGCGAGGGCAAATCCTCGATCACATGAAGACTTGGCGGACCAGCTTCCGTCCCACGGGCAAACCTCGGGAACCCCGAACTCCCCTTTGTATTGGACTTTGGAAATTTAGCTACCCTTGGCGGTTCTCTCTCTGGTTTCACACACTAGAGCGGGAAGCGCCATACCTTTTGCTCAAAATCGGGAGTTCGAGTCTCTGTTCCGCTCCCTCAAACAGCCTTCCATTGTTGTTTGCCACACCTCTTTTTTGCAACAACATAACACCTTCTCACAGAGGTGAACAGCACTACAACGACATTACAACCGCTATAGCACCACAAGCACCACCTCAACGGCAGAGAAGCAGAGCTATTTAGCCACCACCAAGTAAGTCATCACGATGGGCTCTCCGAGACGCGATCACGCACTATGCAGCGCCCTGAGACCTTTTCCAGCTGGTTCCGATACTCAAGACACTTGCTGACCCTTTTACCCTCGCTACAGGTCATTCAATTAAAATGGCTACCTACTGGAACGACGACGCCGTCTCGGAGGCGGACAGCACGAGAGTGGTGGACCTCCCCCGCTGCGCTGCCGCGAAGGCCCCCTCGCCGCCGGAGATGGCCGCACGCTCGGAGACTCCCCTGAAGTGGGAGGAGTTCAAGAAGACGTGCGGGCCGTATTCTCGCGGGCGGCATAAGAACAGGGGGGGGGGGGGGCAGAGCAGCCGCAGCGGTGGGGGCCGCCATGGCATGGAGACGGAGAAGGTGAAGGATGGGCAGTGTCTGGGGGGAGAGTTGTTGCGCGAGCAACACACTCTGAACGTTGTGGACGAGGTGTGCGGCATCCTCTCGGAGCCGATCTCTGAGCAAGAAGAGCTCATCCGGAAGTTGATGGCGAGATCGGGCGGCGGAGAAGAGAAGAAGTAACCTCGGAGAGGTAGGAGACCTGATTGTTGTTGACATTGCACACGCGGATTAAGGTAGGAGGAATGCTTGCACAGCGGACGGTTGGTCATCACTTCCGTTTGCTCGATCACGTGCAAAGCAAAGTCACTGCTGCTGGCGGAGATGCACGTTACCGCGGATGGAAAACAAGCTACATGATTCACGTTCACTGGCTCTGTCACCTTGAAACTTCACCTCCCCCATCTTCACGCACCTTTGCGGCGTTTTGAAATTTCCGCCATCACCTCCTCCCCTCACTGAACTGACCGCACCTCCTTTCACTAAATCGACCGCACTCACGACCACTAACAACAATTCGCCACCTTTATCACTCACATCATGGCGGAACCCGACAACGAGTTCCCGCAGTATCGCGATGGTGACGTCCACATCATCATCAACGGCTCACGCCAGTACATCTTGCACAGCCAGCTCCTCCGCACCCACAGCCCGGCGATGCGCAAGCTGCTCGGAGGCGACCACGGCCCACAATTGTCAAGCAAGGCGATCAAGAAGGGGATTACGGTCCGCTACCGCCTCGAGCTCGTCGACAAGGCGGAAGGTGAGGACGAAGATACCGATACAGCGACTGAGGGTGCCAATCTGAGCGTGAAGCTGGCGCCTGTACAAATGAACGGCGAAGGGAGACCTGCCGATGGCCGTGGCATTCGCCTTGATCTGGAGAACGGGCTTGAGGTCGATCCCATCCACGAGGTTAGCATATTTTTCGCCACTCACCGTGCGCATCGCTAACTTCGAGCAGGCCTACAGCACCGTGCTTGGTGCGCTCTACGGACGTGCGGTCAGCCTGGGTGCTTTCGGAAACGACACGCTAGACAACATGCTCAGCATGGCGATCAACGTCCACGCAGTCGCTGCAGAGCTAGGTGTTGTAAGCGAACACCAAAAAGATCTCATCTTCTTGGCCTCAGCTGATACATCTCCCAGGTCAACCTCATCACCAAGCCGATCGAAGCCGACCTCAATTCTCACGGTCAGCTCCTCTATCGCTCCATCTCCGACAAGCCAGGCCCATGGCTGGTCTTTGCCCTCCAAATCCGCTCCCGCCTCATCTTCCGCGAAGCCCTCATCCACGCCATCGGCCAGTACCACACGGACAACATGCAGTTCATGATCAACAAGGACTTCTTCTCCACACCCGTGCTCAACCTGATGACGAAGAAATACACCATCCTGCTGGAAGGGCTCAAGACGGCGCAGATGAAGATGCTCTCCTACTACCCGCAGATCCTGCACCGCCACCTCACCGTCGGCCTCGCGGACCGCGACAACATCGGCCGCGGCTCCTACAGCAACGACATCTTCGCCTGGATGGCGCTCAACGCCTTCCGCCACTACATTGCGCAGAACGTCGCTGCGGACTGCACGCATCATGACAAGGACATGGGGTACGAGTTCATCCAGATGATTGCGAAGGGTGGGGAGGAGTACATGCGGAAGCCGGATCTGCAGACGTTCTATGGGCTGTTCCCGATGACGGGGAAGGGGCAGGTGGTGTTTGAGAATCACATCGAGAATACGAAGGAGCATTGTCGTTCGTTTGCGCAGGTGAGTATCAGCGCTTCCCTCGCACGAAGACGTCTCGGACTTACTGACTCGGTTTCAGGACTTCATGGTCAACACCACCCACCTGGACATCAAGACGTACCCGTCGAAGCATTTCACGTGCACCAAGGTGGACTGGGAGGACTTGAAGGTGGTGGGCACTCAGTAATTATGCTCTCACGCTTGAGTACGGGACCGAAGTGGAGAGACTGCTGGGCGTAGGAGCATGTGCTGGAGAAAGATTCGAAGAGGAATTGGAAGGTCACTGAAGCTAGGAGTCTCAGAGCACCTTTCTCTTGCCATGACGAAGACTAGGTAGGTCACAGAACACCTTCAGAACAGTCCATCATCTTTTTCCTCGCTGGAGACGTCCGCACGCGGCTACGAGGTCTCGTGGACTCTTCATGACTTCCAGCAGGACTCTCGAACCATCGTGATCTTCCAGCACAAACAAAGCCGTCGTCTTCCACGGCCTTGCGGTCCAGACCGAGCAAACCTGCATGTGAAGAATATATCGGCCTGGAAAGGTATGTATCGGAGGTCACTCATCGGCTGCTGCTATATCTCCTTGGTGCCCTTTCTTTCCTTTATCTTATTCTCAGTCTCCCAGTCTTCACATACAGCTAAACTCCCTGCCTGTCTTTCCTCATCTGTACCAGACCCACCAGAACTGTACATACCACCACCTGCCCTTCCACAAGCTTTCGAGCCCAGCAGCATTCACCATGCCCCCCAACCCAACCGAAGAAGACATCACCGCCCTCTACCGCTCCATCGCCGACCTCTCAAACTACTGGCTCTCCCTGCGCCTGCAGTCCCCCGAAGCCGTCGAACACTTCCGCCCCCAATACCCAGCCCAGGACATGCTAGCCCAACTCCACCATCTCCTCGCCGAAATGACGTTGCTCCTGAACAAGCACCTGCAATGGCCAGCTCAAGACGTCTACCGCAAAGCTGAACCGCTTTGCAGAGAAGCTGAGCGATGTGCGAGGGGGCTTGAAGCGGCGGTGGAGGAGCATAAGACTGTTAAGGCTTTGGGGAGGCTTGATGAGCGGACACGCGCGCTGGCGGGGGCGCTGCATCGGTGCGAAGATGTGAGGGAGCGGTTGGGTGAGGTGTTTGAGTCGCTGGAGCTGGGGTTCACTCGGTATGCGCCATTCGTGAGTGCGGAGGCACGATCGAGGTGTAGGATGGAGTTTCAAGGGCCAGGGTATACGCTCACGCCTTTCGAGGTAAAGCAGGAGAGGTTGAGGGATATCGCTATGTGTGCATTCGGAGCTGTACAAGGACAAGACATGGGATTGGCCGCCCATGCGCTGGCTGAAGGCGAGAAGGCTGCTGACGAGCTCTGGGAGTACACTGATCGGCTGGCCACTGCGGTCCAGGAGCTTGTAGATGTCCAACGTCGTGCTGCTCGAGGGCCGTCAAAGGTGTCCGCCATCGCTTCAAACTTTGACGACGGATTATGTCTGCCAAAGCTTTATTCCCCTCCCCCGATCCTGGAGAGGCGATTCATAGCCGGCTGGCGGTCCCCCATCACACAGACGCCCACGCCCCTCGCGAAGATGTTCACCGCCGCCGCAAAAGACCACTGGATCACCAAGCCGCCACTTCTCCCCGGTCTAACCTCCCTGTCAACAACCAGCAAAGCCTCGAAGGTACCCTCGAAGCACTGGCCGACCATGAGAGAGCGCCCGCAACCTCGCCCTCGTTCCTCACCGCAGCGGTATTCGAACTTTCATCCTCAGGCTGAGGCGGCGGGAGCATACCCAACACCCTCCAAATCTCCAGCACTGCATCGTCCGCGCCCTTGGCCCTTTCCCCACAGCTTAAGACCACAAACCGGACTGTGGCGAGGCGAGCTGTGCCGAAGAACGCGCACCCCTACATCCCTGCCCGCTGGAGGGGAGCCTCCGGCGTCGGTGCGATCGGTGATGGGAGGCCTGGGGTAAGGGGGTGAGAAGGGGCCGGTGGTGGGATGTTTTGATGGTCTTCTTCATAAGAATGATGGTTCTGAGGTGGGTGTCAACCCTCTTCGCGGCAGTTTCTGTGGCGGAGATGGTCGAGGACAATGTGTGCTCAGTTGGAGATCCTGGGACGCGCCTGCAGCCCTTTTCCTTACGGCCCATGGGCTGGGAAATGCCAGCCACACCCTCCTCCTGAGGTATATGGAGTAGCTGCGGCAGAGACGCCCTAAGACAAGGCACGCTCACGGGGAGATCCCGGATCGGGTCTCCAGCCCTCCTCCGTCCCACCGATATCCGTGGAGCGAACAACGAGCTTCTCAGCAGATATTGCTGCGTTTGAGATGGTGAGAGACAAGCCCCACTCCGGAAAACTCCTAGATCGGGCATGCTGTTCTCCTTCGTCGAGCTGATGGTTGCCCGGTGGTTGAGGTGCCCCTCAAGGGTAAAGTAGTTGTTGCGGCGCAGAGGGAGCACCAAACACAGCAGTGCCCCTCAAGAAAACAAGGCCATAGTTCGATGCAGTCGGCGATGGCGATGGCAGGCTTGAATGACCGGAACTGAACTAATCGGGGCGGGTGTTGGTACCTTATATTCTCCAAGAGCTTGTCAAGTCACTGCAGGTGTCGGATCAGCAATGGGTTGTAGACCTCCGCATGTGCTGTATGGTCGGAGAGATGTATGAGATGAGGCAGATAAGTAGACAGCAAAGAAACCACCTTCCACCTACCAACCACATCATGATCCACCAGTAATCAGTGACCACAACACCAAAATCGGCATAACAGCAAAGCAAGGCAAGATATCCCAAGCAGGAAACAAAATTAGGACACCACAACCTCAATAACAACCACTACCACCGACTACCCTATCCACACCTTCCGTCCCCTCAGCATCCGCCATCACAATCATCCAAAGAGCGGAGTTCGACGTACACACTTGCCTTTCCATCTTCCACCTTCCACCAACACATATCCGTCCTCCATATCTACACCTCTCCCCTCACCTCTCCCTCCATCAACCAAGAAAAACCCCATACAACGCCATCCTTACTCCAAACACCCACACCATCCAAGCATCCCCAACTACCAAATCCCACATTCCCTCCCAGCACTCCTCCCAATCTCTTGAATCGTCCAAAACTACCCAGACGACCTCTGCTGCCTGCCTCCTCCTCCCCCTCCTGCCCCTCCACCACCGCTCCCAACTCCAGCAGCAGACACAGCAGGCGGCGGAGCAGGAGCAGGCGGATTCGCAGCAAAATATGCATCATCATCATACTCAATCTCCTCGCCCCCATCGCCTCTGCCTCCCCCATCGCCACCGCCGCCGATGGGATCGTACTCATCCCCTTCATACCCGTCTTCGTCATCGTAGTACTCCTCCTCTTCCCCCGGTTGCGGAGGCGGGAGGTTCGGGTCGTATGCCCCGTGATGTCCGGCGCCACCAGCACCATTGTTCGAGGGATGTTGTGCCGCGGCGGCGTTGTTGGCGTTCTGCTTCTTACTCCCCTTCTTTCCCCTGCGGTTCCGCGCCTTCGCTTTGTCGAGGAGACGACGCTTCTCGGCTTCTTTCTGCCGGGCTTTGCGGTCTTTGATTTCGTATTGCCGGATGAGGGCGTAGGGGGGCACGCCGAAGATGCTTTCGTATTCGCAGAACTCGCAGATCCACATGTTGTCTTTGGAGGGGCGGGAGTGGTAGTTGTCGTATTGCTGGTTGATGCGGCGGCGTTGGGCGGCCATGGCAAATTGCTTGGAGGGTCGGCGGCGGGGTTTGGGAGGTTGCGCGGAGGGTGAGTTGGGGTCGCGGTGGTTTTGGGGGAGAGGAGCTTGGCGAGGAGCTGTTGTTCGATCAGTGTGAACATTCGATGCAGTCAATGACGACGACATACCTTGACCTGGCACTGCTCTGCCACCGGCTCCAGGATTAGGAGGCTGACCGTTAACTACACGCTGTTGAGGAGTAGGCGTGGCCATTGCGGCGGCGGCGGCGGCTGCACTCTGCTGATCCACCATCTTGTTCCCGCTCTCCGACTCCATGGTGAAGGTGAACTGCGTTCGCGTGCCGGAAGTCGCTGATGAATTAGAAGCAGCTGATTGCAGAAGCGATCCGCTATCCTGCCCTTTCTGCGGAGTGAGAGGCCCTTGTTCGGCAGCGGTCTTGATTGCTTGCGAAATGATGCCGCCGGTGTTTTCGATCCCTGCATCTGTCAAACAAAGAATGTGTGCGTTAGTGGATGATTTAGTGAGGTTGAGGAAAATGAAGTGAGGTTACCGGCAGAAACATGTCTCGGAGGCAAACGAGAATTGTAGCCATTGACCGCGTTCATGTTCGAGCTTGCCAACGGCCGCCGCACGCCATGATCGGGCCTTCCGTTCTGTCTCCCGTACCTGCCACGCCCTGCGCCGCTGATACCCGTACCGGATTGTACTGATGCAGCCTGCTGCCGGGTCGCCGCGGCTCCACCTGGCCCACGCACATCATCCGCTCCTCCGTCCGTCGATGCACTGATGCCCATGTTCGCCATCTCCGCGCTCAGCTGGCTCTGATGCATGCTCGGTGTTCCGAGCTGCGGTATCTTGCGCTTCTTCTTGTTGCTCATGTTCTCGAAGCTCTCGTACCCATCTGCGCTGGATGCGGTTGAGCCTGGTGGAGGCGGCTTAATGGGCATACGCGCGGCCTCCATCAACCTTCGCTGCACGCCGTCCAGCACCTTGTCCTGTCCTGCCACTGCGCCGTTGGTTGCTGGCGGCGCATACCGATAGTCGGGGTGGTCAAACTCCACCTCCTCATCTCCGCTGTCAATCTCCTCACCGCACGTGCAGTGGTTGTGAACATGTCCATGCTCTGTCCGCGGATGATGAGGTTGATGCCGGCCCTGCCTGACCTCTCCGTTTGTCACACGTGCTGCAGCCCCATTGCCATTCGTACCATCTTGGCCATTAAGGTAGAGTGCAACGCTGTCCGGTGATGGTTCGGGAGGATAGGAGATGTGGGAGACCTGCTCGGGCGAGAGCTTCGACTTGAGCTTGCTTTTCGGTAGCGGTCGGATAGCGCGGTCGGGGTAGATGGGTGATGCTGTATCAGGTGATCGAGCGGCCGACATGGAGGAAGATCTTGAGAAGCCAGGCGGGCTTGCGTATTCTGAATCATTCATCGAGTCAGTGGCTGTCCGTCCAATCCCATACACACCCAATTGCAGCAGTCGTGGTGATCCTGAACAGCAGACACTGCTGTCTCCTTGCATCTTTCTGCGATTGATAAGCACATACCAGTCGCCGTGGCCATGCTGCCAAATCCTCCTATACTCCTATCCCTGGATGCTCCAAAATGCTATACCACCATCCAACAGTTGATCCACAGCCAAGACGTCCCCACGCTCGTAGTTCCTGCCGTCCTTTCGATGCTCAAGGAGTACCTGCCGGGGGGTAGAAGAAACACCTAGCCGATCTCCGTTAGCCCTTTCTTCGCCTTGCCAGACCGTTGTGCCGGATGGCAGGTATTGTGTGCTTACCCCTACGACTGCGAAGTTGAACTGCCCGGCGATGAATGCACGGCGTATTCTAGATGTAGCAAAGGAGGTGTGGTAGGAAGTGTTTCTTGAGGTGAAGTATGGCCGTGGTAGATGTGTAATTGAAGCCTTACTAATAGGGTTAGCGAGTTGGGCAAGTCCAATCGGCCCGTGCTCGGCAATTCCGGTGGCCTTGACTCGACTTCACTTCGACTTTGAGACCTCATCTCCTCCTCTCCTATCACAATGACGGGTGGGTGTCTTCCAGTTCTGGGTGGTCAGCAGGAGTATCATCCAAACATGATGATGGCTTCATCTCGTTCTACAGCATCTCCTATTACTACCAGATATCAGAACGATGATGATTGACAAGCTGGAGCTCAAGCGATGGGAGACATTGGCTTCAAAGGACGCTGAGAAGTGGTGCGCATTGATGGTCGCTAACGTCCGCCTCAGGAGCCGATACTTCTGAAAGGACTGCTGTCAGATCTCACCCAAAGCAGACACCAGGTAAAGACTCCTTCCATGCTCTCTCCCTGTTCATTCTCTGCTTCCTCGGCTTCTTGGCCTCCTTCACCTCCCCTCCATCTTCTCTCTTCGCCTTGATCTCCTTGTCCTTCAGCCAAGTGATCGCGACATTCACCTCGTCCATCCTCGCTGTCCCATCCCTAACCATGCTCTGCGCCAGCTCGATCTGGCAGTGCACCTCACTCAGGATGGTCGCAGCTGCCTGGTCTCCTGACTCTTTGCAGCGAGCGACGCTCAGCTGAATCCTCTCCATCTCCTTTTCAAGCTTGCGCAGAAGGACAATCATCTCCGGAATTGTCCCATCCATCGCCACAGCGAGCTCTTCCCGCAGAGGCCTCCTGAATTCATCCGGAGGCTCAGCATGCGTCTGGACTTTCAGCGGTAAGGAATGGTAGTAGTTGCCGAATTGTCGATGCCGGACGGCGAGCTGGACGATTGATTGTCGGAGGTTGTCCAGGTTGAGCTCGATGTTGCTCAGCTGACTGTCATCGGCGACAGAGTCTCCAGACAGGTCAACCGCTGCCACCCCGGGCACGATGGCTGAGCTGGCGCTACTCCTCTGTGCGGCCTGGAGAATAGGCGGCGCCGAGCGAGAACGAGCAGGTTCATGGTGTTGTCGCCAAGAGGGCAGAGATGCACGTGGAGCGCTCGCCGAGGAGGACAGAGATGCACGTGGGGCTCTCGGCTTGCCGTGAAATCGCGAATGCACCCTCTCCGGCACCACAGGCATCCACACAACCTCACCGTCGTACCCACGGTACCATGTCATCTCCTTCGTCCACCGAGACGACCCGACAATTACTGGCTCGGCTGGCTGCCCGGCCATCGCTATCTGCCGGCGGCTCCCTCCAGCCCTGAGGCCGGGCAGGCGCATGATCGGTAGCAGCGTGTGGTCGGATGCTGGGTCCACGGCCGGCAACAGCGTGTAGCGATAAGCTGCTGGCGGAGGAAGAGATGAAGCGTGTGGGGAGAGGACGGCCACGGAGGAGGTGAGGAGATCGGCTGGCTGGAAGAGGAAGGGAGATCTGCTGCACGCTGCTCTGCTGACGAGAGGATGTTGTCGGCCTCTATCCAGGAAAGTGTCCAGGTTCTCCAGGCGCAAGCGAGCGGTGGCGGCGAACTCTTATCGCCGGGCGGACGTGGATGTCGATGGTGATGGTGCGTGGGGTCGGAGGTGGAGAGCCGGCGGTGTGCGGTTGGTGTACTCGAGGTGCGTGGGGTCGGAGGGGGATCGCGAGCGGTCGTCTCTCCGTGGGCGAGGAGAAGTGGTAGCTCGTGGCAGCGGAGGCGTAGGCGGCTGAATGGGTGGTGACCGCCGTCCGCCGGGAAGTGTTTGCAATGTGGTGGAAGTTCCACGCACAGCGAGCAGTGTGGGCTGTTGTTGCCGGCCGAGGACGGGAGTGGATGCTGCTGCTGGAAGCCAGAAAGAATGTGGGGGTCTGCAGAGCCATCCGAAGGATGTTGATTGAGCTCGGTGGGATAGAATGAAGGAGGGAGGAGGACTGTGGATGATCTGGGTGGGGGGAGGTGAACTTCACGTCATCTTTCCATGTGACGGTGAATCTATAGTGGGGCTGACTTTGGATTATAGTGCTTGCGGATGAGAGAACTCTGGGATGCAGGAGGCTCTAGTACTTATATTTGCAGGAGGGCATACTCTTGCGAAAAGATTGCTGGAGCTTCTGGTTGAATCTTCTGGATCTTGTCCGCCTCTTTTGTTACGACAACCAAGCCCAAACGAACCAGATATGAACAATCTGCTATCTCACTATCTCTTGGAAGTACAAAGACGGCAAAGGCCACAGCAGCGCACACAGAAGCTTCCACACTTTGCGAACTCCTCGTGCTAGGAAAAAAACAGCAACGCGAACAATGGACAGCCTCCTCCTCTGGCATCTTCGAGGCTTTGAGAGGAGACCGAGGGCCGTAGAGACGATATCCACCGCAACGGACTTGAACCTATCGACGATGAGAGATGAAGACATCACTATGAGGAAATCGGGAATGAGTTGTTGGTTTTATTCGAGCACCACCGTCCATGACGCCAGGCCATGAGCGATGATGCTCTTTTTTTTTTGGTGTTTTCGAGGGTTTATCTACTCTCTTCCGCGACCTCGACTCCGATCTCCACCACCGCCCTCAACCTCCGAAGCACATCGCCGGCAGCGCTTCCAACCACGTCAAGCGCTGGCCTCTCCGACGGCTGGCATTTCCGATGCTCTCAGCCTGTCTGAACGGGTCCTCGGTCGCCGCTCTGACCTCCTCCATCGTCTCCACACAGCGATGAACCGTCTCTAGAGTCTGCCTGATCCCTTGCAGGCCGGCGGTCGCAGTGTCGAACTGCCTTTGGGCCTCTTCGACGAGGGTGGCGGCATCCGCGTCCGTCTGTGCACGGCTTGCATTGTCGACTGCGGCCTCTGCACGCTCCAACGGTTGAACGACCGAGTTCAGTCCTGCGATGGTCGGAAGCACCGGACGGCCTTGGCCGAGCACGAAGTGCTCTACCAAGGCCGGAGGGGCTGAGCCACGGACCTCCTGGCAGTACCGCAACCTCATTGAGAAGCTGTGGGAGCGCTCTCCGAGGCTACGGTAGCACTTCGCGGTGAAGTCGACCTGGTCGCGGAGCACCTCGCACCGGTCTCCTACGATTTGAATCTGGAGCCGGTTGTCGAAGGAGAGGAGCTGCTTGACTGGTGACGTGATGATCTCAACAGAGTCTTGGCTACTTGCGTCGGAGGCAGAGTCTTCGGCGGCGGAGTCTGTAGGAGAGTCAGGGATGGATGTGCCGAGTGGAACGCAGGAACTGCTGCGCGGTCTGCCCCGCGGGGCGACCGACGGTAGCAGTACTGCGACCACCCTCTCTGAAGACGAGTTCCGATCCAGCGGGACTGAGCCTTGGACCGGTGGCAGTGGTTGATTGGCGTCCGAGCACTCTTGCTCCTTCTCTTCGACTGCGGCGGTGGGCAGTAGTGGACAGGAGCTAGCGCGCGGCCTGCCCCTAGGGCCGACCGAAGGCATGAGCTCCTCCACCACCTACGCCGAGGTGGAGTCCCGATTGAGCGTTGCCGTGCCTTGGGCTGCTGGTGCTTGTTCGTTGAAGATGGGACGGAAGGGGCGTGGAGAGGTTGGCGGGTTGCGCGCCCATCCCAGCCGTTCGGTCGCGGGTGGGAGGGGCGTGCCTCTGCGTGCCTTGTGGTTGTTCGCTGTGCTTGCTGGTTGAAACATCTTTGCCGCTGCGTAGATGTTGTGGTTTGGTGTTTTGTTTTCTGTCTATACTTTTGGTCGAAGGGAGGCATTTCTGCCACATATATGCTGATTCCATCTCCAGTGTCGTCGGTATACAATGCGTTGTACTGCCAAAATGGCATTGGTGTCGTGGGGTGGTCGTGGTATAATGCGTTGTAGAGATTGAAGGGAGCGGTGTCGTGGAAGAACAAAGAAATTTGTGGTTGGTGGAGTCACAATGCATTGTGCGATGCACCCGATTGTGTCGTTAGAGGCGGTCGAAGATGTCACGCACCAGGTGAACACACGAGGGCAAGGCTTGTCTGCGGCCGTCGTCGCAAGCTTCGAGGTGACTTGGACGGCTTCGATCTCATCGGACTGATCGAAGTAGTGCTTAGCCAGCCTGGCAGGCCTCAGCTTCTCGTGGGTAGTAGCAGAAGATGTCGTAGAGGACACTTCCGTCTTCAGCAACCGCAGAGAAACGACCGCAGCCTGGCCGGGCTGATGTTGGACGGCAGGTGATGCGTGTAGGATCGGTGAGGCTGTTGCATATACATGTGTAGTGATTTGATATATGTTCGTAAGGAAAGAAGATGGAAGTATTCGAAGAGTAACAGAACAAGGGATAAGACGGGAACTGGAGGTGTTTTAAGGTGCACTCGCCCGTCATGCAGTCTCCGACCTGCCCGGGGCTTTCAGCGTTTGGACGCTTTCAGTGTTTCATTGAAAGAAGTGTGGTAGATCGAAGAGTCTCATCACTGTAAGACAAAATGCTAGATCTTACTCGACAGTGTTTATTTTGGAACTACGAAAGCAGGCATTGTGATGAGACAATAAGCTTGATGTCGCCGGAGAGGTGGGAAGCCATATTTCATGTCTCGCCGGTGCATGAACGCCCGTTTGCAAGAAGCGGAACTGTGCAGAAGTAAGAGAAAGATAGCTATGTTGGGTGAGATATGTTCATTAAGAATGCTAGATATTGCTGCGGATGCTGAACTCCTGAACCCCAACTAAACAAGAAAGAGGCTCGAACCTCGATTGAACGCAGCAGAACTCCGTACTCCCAAAAACTGCTCATCCCAATGCCACCGCTGTGAAACGCCGAAAGAACTGACCACTTACCTTCACCGGGCCTAATCACGGCATCCGCACTCGCACCATGGGTACAGGTGTGCGTCTCGCCTGTGGTCCTCTTCGATACCGGCCGCCACAGCGGCAATGTCGTCGTTGATCTCCTGTTCGGTATGCACGCGGTCTGCGGCGTCTGCGAAAGGGAAGGATGGTTCTTGATCGACCTCAATACCGTTTTCGAGAGCGTCTCCGGCGTCCGCGAAGGGAAAGTAACCCTCTTCCCAACCGTGAGCATCAACGAGAGGGTTCCAGTCGCCGGCGAGAGTGACAGAATCTTCGCTGCGCCTTTCATGGCGAGCGAGAGCTCGTGCGGTGTCCGAAGGAAAGGTCTGATCCGAGGCCGCCTCTCCAGCGTCGTCGGGTAGCCGCCAACTCTCCTCGAGGGGCGTACCGGGGATGAGAGTCTCCTGATCGTCACCTTCGTACGAGACGACTGGATCGCTGATGTTCATCGCGTTGTAGAGAATCTGGTCAATCGTCAGAGCACCGCTGTCGATTGCGCTCCAATGTCCGGGCACGCACGACAGCCAGCGTTCGAAGTGCTGGAAGACGGTGCCCTGGAGATCGCACAGGTCTCGGATGACTGGGTTGGTTTCGAGATCACGGTCCACGCCATGGTCCCGGAAGTAGATATCTTTGATCTCCGCAAGGACCCTTTCAACCTCTGAAGCTAGACGTTCGCCCTCGTTGTCCAGGATCTCCAGCTTCGCATCTGCAGACTTGGTGTCTCCCGCTTCCAGTTCGTATCCGATCTCGTCCCGTAGGTCGAGGAGGTAGGACAAGAAGCGGGCGACTCCTGGACGGTCTACGCCGTTCGCGTAGAAAGCTTTGGCGAGGAGGCTGTCGGAGGTACCGTGAGTCCAAGAATAGATGATGGCCTCAACAGTATTGGTTGGAAGTGCGAAGAAAGCCTTACCGGCTCTGGCGTAGTCGCCTTCCAGCTGGCACATGCCACTATTCAGCCTACTCAACTGCTGGTCGAGGCACGCTCCCAAAGGGGCGCGCGGGCGAGTTGTCTCTGACTGCATCTCGGTGGGTTGGTAGGGTAGCTGTGGGATGATCGGTTGTAAGCTTGCTTGTTCTGGTTGGGTTTGTGTTCCGGCTGGTTCGGTTGGTGCTTTCGTCGGTGGTGGTGGTTGTGTTCTTGCTGTAATGGAGTTCTCGAGATCTTGTTGTGCCATATATGCAGTTCTATGAGCGTAATGTGTCGTATATCGCGGCCGTATAATGCGATAGTTGAGGCTATTAGCTTCGAACACGAAAGGGGAGCAATACCTTTGTGACTAACGCTCATTGCTCATCGCCTCGACACATGAGCTCGCGAGAATGCAATTGTTGCGCAAACATAGATGCCATGTGTCGTTCAGCACTCAAACATGATGCGAGTGTCGCCGCTGTCAACTCTAAGTCAAAAGTAGACAACCAAGAGACCATGCCATTGCAGCCGGCACCCTTTGTCGCGGCGTCTCGAGACCCGAGTGGTGAAGAGGCTCCTCATCGTTGTCAGCCCCGTGTGCAAAAAGTGAGCAATGCCGTTGTCGCCTGAAACCTCCGCTGAATACAGCGGCTGGTAGGAATGACCTCTTGTTTGTTATCTGCGTCGGTGAAGATCACATTGTATGGCTGACGCACCAAGCGTCTCTCAGGAACAATACACTTCTCTCGAAAGTCAGTGAGCCTGCACCATTGAACTCAGAGATTCACTTACAACAACTGCCTGATACTCATCACCCAGTACAGTCGCCGTGGTGACAAGTGTCCATCTACGAGCCGCAGTGTAGAGATGTGAGATGTGAGATGTGAGATTCTTTTGGTCCATAATATCAGTAGTACAGAACAGAATAGAGAAAAACTGCGCGGCTTACCTTCCAAAGAGTTCCGAGTTGTCTGTTGGTGCGTGCGATCCGGAGCGCTCCTCGACCGGGGTAGGAGGGTACAGTGTCTCTTCATCGTCGCCTCCGAAGACTACACTATCCTCCACCTTGTGCCTAGCATCGAAGACGAGCTCATCGAAGGTCGCGATACCGAGCTCCACGGACTTCTTGATCTCTGGTACGGCGGACAACCACTGCTTGAAGAAATCAAGTTCATCCCCTTCAAGAAGTGCCAGTTGCAGAGTGACAGGGTAGTTCGATGGCCGCTCCTCCCCAACCTTCTCGAGGTAGAGCCGATCGATGTCAGAGATCGCGCGTTGAACTTCGAGGTCTTGGATTTCCCCTTTCTCCTCCAAGACGTCTAGCTTGGTCTCTGCGGATGACAGATCGTCATGCTTCAGAGCTTGTGAGATTTCGTCCCGAAGTGTAAGGAGCCTGGTGAGGTTGAGGCAGAACTCTGGACCTTCCGCGCCTTCGGCCGTCCAGAACAGTTTGACAAATCGAGCAAATCTGGAGTCGTCGGTCGTCCAGAAGTGATCGAATGCGTCCGACGATAGGGCGGGAAGTGCGAAGAAGCTCTTGCCAGTTGCGAGGTAGTTAGCCTCGAGCTGGCAGACTCCGCTGTTGAGCCGTCTAAACCGCTGCTGCAGGCATGCTGACAGCGGGGCGTAGGCGACGGATGTGTTGGGCAACATCTTGTTGCGTGATTTGGAGTGATGATTGTTTGGGTTAGTGCTGTCCTTGTCTTGGTGTAGCTTTGTCAGGGTTGCCGAGAGCGGTGTCCTTGCAAGAGGAAAGTGAGTTTCGGTCGTGTGTGTTGATGGACTTCTCGAGGTCTCATGGTGCCATATATACAGTCCCAACAGTGTCCTGTGCTGTGCATTGCCCGGTACAATGTCATTGTTGCTGCCATCGGCTCCACAGGTGAAAGGAAAGCAGTGTCTTTGTACGTCCAACATCTCTTTTTGTATTGCCTTGTTACTTCAGAATCCCATTGTGCTCCGTATCTTCAAGCCGACACAGGCATGATGTACTGTTTCCAGATGTTAGCAAGGATGGATCATCTGTGCCGAATTTCCGACCACTCATCACAATGGTCACAGCATTCGGTCGTGAAAGTCAGGCATTTCTCATTAGATATCTTTTCAAGTCAGCAAATGTGTCCAAAGGAGAATTTTTTGGGTTGTATGTTGAGACTGTTTGGTGGGCGTACATGTATCGACATGAATAATACGGAACGAAATAGCAAAGAATCGTACATTACCTTCCGGGACTATCGTTCCATGACTACCGCGTCTTCTCAATCGGCTTAGGCCTCCTCAACCACCCGCAAGAGCGTTTCGACGGCACTCTCGTGATCTGGGATAGTGTCTGCAGCCGCAACGGAGTGGTCCGGCTCAGACCCTTCTACAGCCTCAGTGAGCGGAAGACTCTGCTTCGTAGCCTCTGCGTCTGCAAAAGAAGCCACTGCCGCATCCCAGTCCATCTCGTTCTCTGCAGTGAACTGCAGGAACTCCTGAATGGCATCTCCGGCTGCGGTGATAGTCTCTTCGGACGTCGTAACCTGTTCACCTGCTGTGCCAAAGAGGACCGCGAAAGAATCATCCGGCAAGGCAGGAAGCCCAGCTTGCGTGTTTAAAAGCGGCGAGTATTCTTCGATCGGTGTCGGCGGCCCAAGCGTCTCCTCGCCGGCTCCGCATGGCATTGTGAAGCAGCTGGGGGGAAGTGATTTCGCCTTTCTCGATCGCCTCCCGATATGGCGGAAACACGGCCAGCCGGGCCTCGAATAGATCAGCCGCTTTCCCCCAAAGTTGTGCTAGTTCGTTCTCGATCGGTTGATCTAGCTGGTGGCCACGGTAGGTGCAATGGGCTCGTACAATCGCATCGTCAACATAGCTGAATTCCATGGCAAGGATCGATTCTCCATAGTCCAGGATGTCGAGTTTCGCTTCAGCAGATTCGAGGTCACCATTGACTAAAGCCTCGCGTGTCTCGTGACGGAGCTTTCGCAGGTATTCAAGAGTTCGACAGTATTCTGGACCTTCCACAGGCTCCATCTTTGGGCCGAAGGCGTGGACTATGTAGTCGTCGGTGGCCTCGACAGGCCATTTTTCGTATAAGTCTCGAATGATGCTATTCCCGAGTGTGAAGAAGGCCCTGCCTGCTCTAAGATAGTCAGCTTCCAGTATGTTCAATGCGTTCTCGAAACGCCCCAACCGCTGCGCCAAGCAGTTAACAAGGGGTGCGTACCGCATTGCTGGGAATGTGTGTTGAATGTGAGGTTGGTGTGATGTTTTCTTTGCAGTGCGGGAATGGGAGATATTTTGGGGTATGCCGTCCGTTTGAGTGCCTCACAAGGTGTGGACTGGACTCTCATGGCCGGGAGAGACGGGAGATATAGGTGTCGTTGATCATGTCGATATGATGCCCATTGTCGTGGAGTGGCGCTGAAGATGAAAGGAAAGCCTTTGTTGTATACGCTTTTGCCGTTGCACAGGACACAAAGGATGTGAGAATGCCATTGTGACATTAACCTCGACACATCTGTTTCGCAGTGGCTGGCGACACAGTGCAGGTGACACAGTCCATAGAGGTCGGGAAAACTCACTCAATCTTCGTCAACTCGCAAATATCCACCCAGACCAGAAATACCTCAGCCATCTCGCAAGTCAAAAATGGCAGACTTCAACTCACAAAACGGGGTGACTCAAAACCAAGTCAAGAAGCTGACAAGCCAAATGGCGAACACCACTCTTCAGGACAAGCCGATTCAAACAAACGCTGCAACCCAACAGCCCACTGACCCAGGCCAAGCCGAGCAGGACGCCGAGATCGCACGCCGAAAGCAACCATACCGCGCCAGAATTGCCAGAGCCGCAGCAGCTCTCGAAGAGATGTCCGGGATCTACTGCGCTTTCAAACCAAGCATCCGCGGCCACGAGGACATCAAGAAGTCCTATCGAGTCGCTTGCGACGATGCCTTTCTTCGAAGCTTCTGGTGGGAGGAAGTAGCGGCGCCGAAGTATCTGGCGGAGTCGCCGAGCAGTTGGGGCGTCGACCTCGTGTTTGAGAATGCAAAGCGTGGCCTTTACGATTGGAGTGAGGAGAATTTCGTAGCTGAAGATCTTGCCGAGGAGATGGTGAGGTGTGACGAGCGCAAAGTTGAGGAGTTAAAGGAGGCGATGATGGCGCATTTGGAGGTTCAGAGTCGTGTGCAGTTTGATGAGTTGAAGATTGATCGATGAAACGGTCTCGGAAGGTGAACTTGCGAAAGACGAACCGGGACTTCTTCACTGCGGTGGTGTGACATGGGAAAGTAATATCTGTTGCAGCGCAGAGTCAGCCTCAGAAGGTAGCGCAATGTAACGAAGTTACCAACTTCCATAAGATTATACGAGCATGATTGTTTAATATCGAACCATGATTATCCATATAGTCTGACCCGCTCCTGCAGTGGAGCGTACGTTCTTTCCGACTTCCGTACAAGGCCATTTGCTGGCTTGCCAAACACGAGCTGCGACTTCAGCTTCCACGAAGTTGGCAGGTCCCAGCGCTTCGCCACCTCATCGGAGAACTCGTCCATGAAGTTGAAGTGCTGCAGGTTGGCACCCTGGTAGGAAGACAGATGTCAGTAGGGTATGGGGAAGCCGTACAGTGGTTCTGGAAGCAATGCTTACAAGACCTTCGAGCTCAAGCGCCGTCCATACTAGGTACTGGCCCCGCGTCAGCACCGTAGCATTGTTGCCTGCCAGACGAGCAGGAGAAGACTTACTTGGTGCATGCCATCAGAAACGTCTCCCCTGCAGTCAAAGTCAGTCAAAGACCAAAGGAGAGTCTGGCAACAGCGTACCAGCTCGGCACTAGATCCCCGCGAACAACGGGTTCTTAGCAGCCAAAGCGTAAAGCGGCACCTGATCCTCGAAGAACATAACCGTCCCGTAAGCGGCCTTGAAACCAGACACCGTCTTGCCAAGTCCCTTGTAGGCATCCGGGTGAACCTTTGCGGCCATGGCATCAGCGATGTCCCAGAGAGCATCGTGTTCGGCCTTCAAGAGCAGTACAGCTCTAGTTCACTGGACGTTGAAGGATGACGGAGCGTGCTTGACCGCCAAGTTCACGATCTCGTGAATGCGAGCGTCTGGGATCGTAAATTCTTTGGTGAGCGTGTAGCAGCTGATCCTGTGCTCTGCGGCAGCGAAAAGGCTATCTGCTGTCGGGAGCTCGTCTGCCATGATGAGTAGTGTACTATAGAAGGCAGATATACCGAATGAAAGATGGAAGAAGATGGCGATTCTTCTGTGCGAGTCGAAGGATTCGGGATGAGGTCAAAGAAAAGAGGAGGACGCCTTGATCACCACCATAGATAGGTAGCATCTCCAGTCTCAGCAATTCCCAGACCTACATCTATCGTCTGTCCGAGACCGCTGAGCCTGACGGCATTACGTGCTCGTGGGTGTGATGCAAGGTGATGAGACCGAGACTGTCTCGGAGGAGAAATCGGAAGTGAGGTCCCGGTGATCAGGAAAGCCGACACATTGCGGTGGACGACACCTCCTTGGCTCTGTTGTTTCACACCACACTTAAAGATGGTTCAAGCCTTCATGCCATACTGTGAAATACGATAGCTTTGAAATACCTGATCCGCTGCGACTGCTCTGCTACATTACAGTATCTGGGCGACGGCCTTCGACACGCCCACCGGATCCTCAAGCACATGCCAATGCCCTACGTCCGGTAGCACTTCCACGCCCACAACCCCAGGCATCTTCTCCTTGTACCCCTCACAGACTTGCATGGGACTGATCTTGTCCTCACTGCCCGTCACAATCATCGTCTTCGCCTGCATCTTGCTCACTTCCAGCTCGCTTGTCGCCTCTGCCAGCGCGGTGCAGGCTTTGGCGTAACCCTCTGCATTCTGACCCAGAAGCGACAGGCGCACCGCGCTCAACGCCACCGTGTTCGACGACTTGGTCTTCTCCGACGTTCCTGCCGTGCTGACAGCATCCACAACGGCGCCCATGCCTTTTGCCCGGACGAGCGCGGCTCTGGCGTGCGAGGCTTTGCTGCCGGCTTCAGGTAGCGGCGACGGCGGAGGTCCTACGAGGATCAGCTTAGACACCATGCCTGGGTTGTCCAGCGTGAATCTCATAGCCACTAAGCATCCCATCGAATGCGCGAGGATGGTGAGGTCGGTGGTGATGCTCGCTTCTGTGCACAATGCCTTCACGTCGGCAGCGAAAGAGGCAATGCTGAGCTTGCTTTGAGGGACTGTTGGGGAAAGGCCGTGTCCTTCAAGGTCGAGCAGGTAGCATTTGTAAGCGCTGTTGAGGTTCGTAGAGTGCAGCAGAGGGGTCCAATAGTCCATTGTGCCCCCAAGACCATGGACGAAGATCGCGGGTGGCCCGCTGTCTATACCCGCTTCTTTGACATGAAGGGCTTTGTCGCCCACTTTGCGAAGGCCTTGCTGGTCACGGGTGCTCGGCACGTCTTGCGATGTAAGACGCTCAATCCGGGCAGGAGTGGGGTTTTGCGAGCCCACAGAGGCAATGCGGTTGGTCAGTTTGCCCAGGCCAGTGATGGAAACGGAGACCTCGTCGCCAGACTTCAAGTATACTGGAGGGGTACGGCCGATGCCAACCCCGGCCGGCTACACAGTGTCAGCGGCTACAATACACTCTAACGATTGGACATTTCAAAGACTCACAGTACCAGTTGCCAGCACATCACCCGGCATCAGTGTTTGACCTTCAGACATGGTCATGATCAGAACAGGAATGCTGAATATCAACTGTTCCGTTGTTGCGCTCTGCCGTAGCTCGCCATTGACATGAGTCTGGACCCTCAAGACCTTGTCCAATTTATGAGCAGGTACAGCAACTGGTCCCTACATCAGAGGTCAGCATCAACCGGCAAACTCAACATGCCAGGAAGAGAGCGGTTACCATGGGACAAAACGTGTCCGGCGACTTGCCAATATAGAACTGCTTGTGATCACGCTGGCGTTCCCTCGCTGTCATGTCATTGACTATCGTGTAGCCCCATACATGATCCATTGCTTCGGCCTCGCCAATACGGAAGCCCGCCTTCCCAATGACAACCCCAAGCTCACCCTCATAGTCGACTGTTTGGCTGAACTTCGGGTGAGGGTAGATCTCTTCGCCGTCTGCTATGATCGAGGAGAAGCGCTTGGAGAAGATCACAGGATGGGTCGGCTGGTCGACCTTGTCGGAACTGTCAAACCCGGAAGCGTGGAACTCTTTGGCATGGTCAGAGTAGTTCTTTCCCACGCACAGTATGTCCCTGTCATTAATGGGCGGCAGAAGTTGGACTTCAGATCGGGATATAGGCTCTTCGCATGCGATTATGCCATCTTCACCGGCCTGGATGACCTGGTAGAGATTGGAGAGATAGGTGCCAGATGCGAAGGCCAGCGGTTGTATGGTCTGCGTCCCCCGATCGAGATGGCCAATCCGCTTATCCCCTGTCTTTGAGTCGATGTAAGCGCAGTAGTTGGTCAACGTGTGGCTGCCGTTTGTGAGATTGGACGCCATGGTCGTGTCGCAGTCGTCTGAAACGGAAAGATTCGAATGTGATGAGCCCAGCTTGAGGTCTAGGATTTCAAGTTCTTCGCGACGTGACGAGGTCGCGTCATAATTAGATTAAGACATCAAGCGGTGCGGGTCTCTTGGTTCCGAACATGAATCGTTGCTCAGCTGGCGCGATGCGTTGGGGCGAAGGACTTCGGGCAAGGCGGAGAAGGCGGAGAAGACGGGGATGGCGGGGATGGCAACGAGGGGGCGTTGATCAGACTTCAGGACTTCCAGCAGCTCGGACTGGCGCTTGACCCACGGTCTTCCCTTTGACAAACGGCATGCGCCGAGATACGCTCATCGGGTCGGTTCGAGGGAGCCATTGCCATGTACTTGCAGTACGTGCGGGACGAGTACCCAGATGAGAGCCGAGAGGAACACAACCCCTAAGGGCGCAGGCATGGCATAAGACGCCAGTCGCCCCCTTCAAATGAAGGCTGGCGGCTTTCCCATCCTCCTCTCCCCCGACGAAAGAAGCGAATATCCGAATTCAGCATGTCTACCGAAGCCTACGATCATGCCAGCAAAGTCGAGCAGAATGCTGGCGCTTACCAACTGGAGCAGGTTAGGACCGCAGGAGGCCATGTCGCGGATCGAGGCCAGCCAGCAATGCCAGTCGTTCATCGCAACTTCGCCAACCCAGCACCCTTGGGCCTCCTCTCCTTCGCCACTGGCATCTTTCTAATCTCTATCCTGGGCGTCCACGCGCGCGGCATCCAGACGCCAAACATCCTCGTCGGTGTCATCATGTTTTTCGGCGGCATTTGCCAGTTCATAGCGGGAATCATGGAATTCATCGCAGGCAACTCCTTCGGCGCCACCGTCTTCCCCTCCTACGCCGCTTTCAACTTTAGCTATGCCATGATATTCATACCAGGCACCGGGATCATGGCTGCTTACACCGACCCCAACACCGGCGAACTTACTCCGGACTTTAATAATGCCTTGGGCATGTTTGCCTGGGCTTGGTTCATCCTGACGGTCATCTTCACCATCGCGGCAATGCGGAGCTCGTGGATCTTATTTCTCACCCTTTTCTTCCTCGACATCGAATTGCTCCTATTGGCTGTCGGATACATGCTGTCTAGCAGCTCAATCTTGATTGCAGGGAACTCAGTGGGCTTTCTCGTTGCCCTCTGCAGCTGTAGGTCTTCCATCACTATCATATGCCAGAATTCATATTGACGCTTCCGCGGAAGATTGGGCCGGTTGCGCCGGATTATACAGTGGCGGCCTCACCCCCTTCGAAATCCCAACTTTTGCGATGCACAAGGCAGACTAGAGTGGCACTCAAGGAATGAAGGCATGACGTGCTTGACGAGATGGAAGGGCGCTGATTCCGAAGAGGCCGGTGGTGAGCGGGATGCATGCAGGTGGGATCCAAAGTCTATGGTCGCCATTTCTTGTTCAGCAATACTATGAAATGTGAGCTCGAGATATCCTAGCTGATTGTACTGATCCTCGAACATCATCCCTACGCGCCCTTCCGGGTCCCAAAGACACAACGCTGGTCCATGCGTGTGCCCCCCAACATCCGACTTCAAGGCCACGCACCAATCTTTCGCAAGCCAACGAAGCGTGGTCTCTCAGCAAACTTATTCTGCACGCCCAAAGTCCTCCCAACTCGTAACGGCGTGCCAAAGTCCTGCATATGACGCTTGCCATGAAACCGCCAGAACTGCCACGAGCAATCTTCCCCAACAAAGCTTTCGATGACCGTGGTCCCGCCCGGATGCTCGTGAATGAAGTCGGTGCAGTCGTACACTATGTTGTCGACCACGATCCAGACTCGATCGGAGTGTTGCTTCGCGTCTTTCACGGTTGTGCTTGGGATGAAGGGTAGCTCGTCGTTTCTGAGGTTGGTCGGCTGTAGAGGGTAACGATCTTGATCCGCAATATCATCTATCCTTTCCAGATGCTGAGCTGTGACTGTAGACGTCTCCTTGAGATTGCCTTCTTCACTTGAGAGCCTATGGGATGGCCAAGAGGAGGCTTCTCGAGGTTTGAGCCAGCCCATTGCGGTGATATATCAAGTTGTGTTTCCTTGGAATTTTTCTATCTGCGAAGTCGCCCGGAAGGGGAGTAGTGAAGGTGGCGTATCCGGCAATACAGAGACCTCGAAGACTCCGCCTCGGGAGCTGTGGTCGAGCACAGACACCTACATCTCTTCTGTACGTCTGAGTGGGGACGGATTGTGTGGTCGAAAAGCGCCATGGCGGAGAAGGCGGAGGCGAGCGCGGAGTAGGCGGCCTTTACTCCTCTCTCCACGATCAGATGGTCATGCATCTCTGGCTACTACGAATGGCCGAGACCAGCCGCTATGGAATCGCTACGATGATGGAAAGCTGTTAGAAAACGGGTACGTGTCACCCCCTTGGTCATTCCACTTCCACAGCACCACTCCCGCCCCTTTTGCGCTCTAGCCAACAGCCAACATTCAATCTGATTCACACAACTCTTTACACCATCGTGTCGAATCGACGGATAGATCACCTATGTCTCCACACAAAGAAGAGCCGCCTGTTCCATGGTCGACAGACACCGATGTCCAACCAACCAAGTACAATGGAAGACCTCGCAACGTCGACGCCATCGACGCGATTAGATACGCAGAAAACCTCCAGCCTCCGCAGTACGACATTTACGGTACCCACGAAGATTCGAAGATTTTGTTCCTTGACGTGAACATTCTGGACTCTACCGGGGCGGAGCCTTATCCAGGTGACGTTCTGGTTGAAGGTAAGAAAATCTACTCACGCGGACAGCAATAGACTAATGTCAGTCTAGGGGAGAAGTTTGTAGCAGTCGGCAACGTACCCAACGTCGATGCTTTGTGCAGCGATCCAAAAGTTCGTGTAGTTCACGGCAGAGGCCGAACATTGATGTCTGGCTTGGGTGATGCCCATACACACTTCACTTGGAATGGAGGCGACCTCGACCGGCTCGGCGACCTCGGGGTGGAAGAGCACACCTTACTCACTATGAGGAGCGCACAGTGCTTCCTGGATTCCGGCTATACCATGTACGTTTATGCGGCATTCGCTGCTCGCAACGAACTAACATTGTCAGGTGCTTCGGGGCTGCCTCAGCGAAGAAACGCCTGGATGTCGTTATACGGGATGCGATCAACGCAGGGGACATCCCGGGGCCAAGGTATTTGGCTAACGGACAGGAGATGGCAAGAACGGATGGCGAACTCGTTGGCGGCATCACCGCGTTTGCTGACGGGCCTGACGAGATGCGTCAAGTGATCCGTGAACACGTTGAGCTAGGCGTTGACAACATCAAGCTGAGCATGTCAGGCGAAGAAGTAGGTCGATGATTCGTCGGAATCGCGACAACGGCAGCTGCTGAGTACTAATCGATGGCAGATCACCGAAATCCGCTCGGCGCAAGACTGCTATTTCACGGACGAGGAGACCGCTGCATGTGTTGACGAGGCCCACAAGCTAGGAAAGCGCCTGTGCGCGCACGCGCGTGCGAGAGACTCGGTCATCATGTGTAAGACCAGAAGAGATGATCCAGTGGCGGGCGATATCGTGCTGACAAGGGCCAGGTATCAAACACGGTGTCGATGTCATCTACCATGCGTCTTACATTGATGAGAAAGGTAGAGCATGGCCGTTGCCTTCTTGTCATCCGTCGTCTCTAACGGTCGCGCAGGCATGGACATGCTCGAAGAGAACAAATCGACCCACGTTGTGGCTCCTGGACTAAATTGGTTGATCGCAACACTTTATGATGCAGAGGCGTTTGGGTACCCCAACACCAAAGCCGAGGAAGTTGGCTATAAGACGGAGCTTGATGCAGCCATTGCTGGTCTGCGAGAAATGTCAGTGAGCTCCCTATTCTGGCAGGCCCTGGCAACGTCGTCAGCGATGCTGGTTTACAAGATACCTCGCCACTGCCGCCATCCAATGTGCTAAGCTGACTGTGATCATCAACAGGCATCGCCGAGGGATCGTAGTGTTGCCCGGCGGCGACTATGGGTTCGCGTGGACGCCCCATGGCACCTATGCCCGAGATCTGGAGCATTTTGTCAAGCTTCTCGGCTTTACGCCCCATGAAGCACTGATTGCTGCGACGAGGGGTGTGGCAAAGCTAATGATGAGATCCCACGAGCTTGGTCAGGTGCAGCCAGGGTACTTTGCCGACTGTATCCTGATCAATGGCAACCCTCTCGAGGACATCACAGTGCTGCAGGACCATGACAAGCTCGACGTGATCTGCATCAATGGTCGAGTACACAAGGCTGGAAGGAAGGAATACATGCCGCCGCCTGTCTCTGGGCAAGACGTAAACCGACATGTGATTGTGCCAGACTTGCCGCATGAGCTGCCGGAGGTCAAGCGGCCAATGCAGAAGCAGTACTGAAGGCGTGGTCTTGGGTTGTGTTACTTTCTTCGAGGATTAGCCGCCAGTATATTCTTGTCTGATGATCAAAGAACTACGTCTGATCTCCGTGCAGCATGTCAAAAGGCATGCATGCATAGACGTCCTTCAATTGCGTGTGACACTAGAGCGAGAAATTGCAGCATTTAGCCGAACTCGGGATGACGCTTTTAGCAAGTCCGCTTTCTCCGTCTGTCCGCCCGTCTTGCTAGACGACCAGCACGTCAGGATCGAAAGTCTAGAGCTGGCTGCAATCACTCCAACGCTCCAAACGCCTTTTGACCATCTCGAGGGATGCAATGGCAACCGCACGTTCCCGCAGATCGCCCATCTCGTGCGAGCCGTGCAGGATACGCAAAATCCGCTGTCCCCGCGATGCTACGCCGTGCGGGACGTGTCGACGACGAGGGATAGCGGCGACCGCATGCTATTACGCCAGCAAAAAGACGTCTCAAACGCGGTCATTGAGGAATGAAGTCTCCCACTCTCCGCACTCGGCTTCGAGCACACAGCCAGGCACTGTATCAAGCAGCAGCGATTTGGCTGAACGTGTGCAGCACCTGGAACAGCTACTGCTGAGTCGATCAGAGGGGGACAGACATGGTCACCTTAGTTACGGACCCACGGAAGACACTCACCATTCAGAAAGTCAGGACTTCAATGTGGAGGACGGCGTGTCTGGCTCCGATGCTGACATCCACGGCTTCCTGCGGACGACGAGAGCTGGTTACACGCGCTTCGTTCCTGACTCTCTGAGCTGGAATGCTGAATCGTCGGGTGATGAAGCACAGCCGTGTACCACAGCCCACCCTCTGGGACGTGGATCTTGTGCAAGCATGCAGGAATTGCTGGCCTGCTTGCCTCCTCAGAAAGCATGTCGAGAGTTGGTGTCCACGTATTTCTCCTCTTTCGCCTCTCTATTCCACATTCTTCACGACCCGACTTTCCAGAGACAATACAGCTACTTTCTCGAGGATCCACATTCGATGCCGTTGGCCTGGATAGCGCTCCTGTACTCTCTCCTGGCCACGGCGATCCTTGCTCTCCCGCCTGACAGTGAGCTCCTCTCCGACCTCAGCAGGAAGAAGACACCTTTGGAGATGTCTGCAGAGCTGACGCAGCGCTACCGAGATATGGCTGTGAGATGCCTCGAGGCAGACCACTACCTGTGGAACCACAGTGTCACAACATTGCAAGCCCTGGTCATACTGATTTACGGTATCAACCATAGCCATGGCCAAACATGGACTTTGATAGGTCTCGCTCACCACCTTGCTTTGGGCATAGGCTGTCATGTTGATCCGAAGACGCTTGGCCTGGGCGCGGTTGAGAGCGAGGAACGGCGAAGGTGTTGGGCTGGCTTAATGATGCTGTACACCAACCAAAACACTGCGCTCGGTCACATTGCCATGCCACACACGGCCTTGTACGCAACGTCGAGACCACCGGCAGATGCCAACGATGAGGATATCGGCGCGAACGGTCCGCGGCCCACGCAAATGCGGAGGAAGGCAACCCAGATGACATACCTCTTACTCAAGTTCAGGTTATACGACCTGTGCGCCGAAATCTGCGATGGAGTCTTGCGTAAGAAGACGCCCAACGTAGACGTGGTCAGAGAAATCGACAAAGTCCTACAGGAAGAGCGGCGCTCATGGGAAGCACGACTGCTGGAGGCTGCGGACACTGGCCCGATGCCAGTCCATCACTCCGCGCACCTGAACATCCTGTACAGCTACTCTAATCACTTGACACTACTGCTACATCAACGTCAGGCGCTCGACCCAAGCTTCGATCCTGCTACAGCGCAGTGGGCTCGCAACCGCTGCTTAGAAGGCGCAAAGCATCTGCTCGAAGTGCACGCAGCCCTGAATGAAGCACCTGAGCTGTCACCGTTCAGATGGTATGGACGGGGTTTGGGGAGTTTTCATGCTTTCCACGCCGCGACACTTCTCACGCATCTGCTTCGAATTCAGTTTGCCCAAGAGGAAACGAGTGATTGCGTCAATCTACTGAAAAGATGTCTGCGTAGGTTCGAGAGCCTGGCGGAGTACAGCGCGGTGTGCACCAAGGCTTTGCCCGTCCTTCAAGCATTAGTGTAAGGCCCTTCCTCTCAGAAACTGGCTGCTGCTCGCCGCTGACTATGCTGCAGACATTCTCTTCCAGCACAAGCTGAGGAGACAAGGCTCAGTGGTCCCAAGGAGACTTCGCAACAGCCTCATAGCCTTTCTGCAATGCTACCTCGTCAGGGACAGCCGTATCAGGCTCTCCCCACCTACCACGGCCAAGCGCACAATGCAATGCACGATACCACATGCTATGACCTAAACGCTCTACTGTGGCGATCTCCGCCTCAGCAGTGGTTGACGCCCGCGAACCTGCCGTGGGCCGACTGGACTGATGCCGCGCATAATCACATGATGCCCATTCTCGGCTGAACGTGCTTCAGTGGCTGTTCTCCGAAAAAGCCGGGCTGCTGATAGCGAGGATCCTGCCCGATGTTCAGCGAAGAACTGCCTAGGACCGGTAGAAAAGTGTGCCGTCTCAGACAACTGGACCCGATCGATTGCGCCAACATTCGAACAAGCCTCACTGACTTATGGATTAGTCGAATTGGTGCCGCACGCCCGGGAACGAACAGCGACGGCTATCAACGTGGACAGTATCGCAGGTGGGAATGGACAATGAAGCGTACAGCACTGCTTTGTCTCGCAACGTCCACTTTCGGCCTTTGTCCCCCGATCAAAGCCCGAGTACATAACCTCACCATCCCCCGACATCTCATTGTTCTCGAACTTTTGCAACCCAGACTCGACTTCTCGTACACCGGCTGGACCGCAACAACCCCATTCCACCACAGCGTAACCATCACAGCCAACATGTCCGACAAGCCCAGCACCCTAAAAACAGTGTCCGAACACCGCCACCCCTCGTCCTCCACCAAACCCCACCGCACCTTCATCCGCCACCCCGCGTCCTCCTCAGCCCACGCCTCTCCCACCCACCACGTAGTGCCCAAGCCCCACACCTCCTCCCACCCCAAACCCAAACCCACCGGCGCAGCAACACAACCCCACCAGTCCCTCACTCCAGCCGCAGCCCCCTCTTCCAGCACAACCGACGTCTACCCCACCCCCTCCACCCCTCCCTCGCACTCCTCAGGCGCGATCATCGGCCTCTCCATAACTCTAGCTCTCGTCCTGGTCGGCCTGCTCGTCGCCGGCGCGCTGTTCTACATGAGACGTCGAGCGGCGAAGAAGCGAGCAGAGGTGAGGCAGTCTGTGATGGGCGGGTTTGTCGAGATGGCTGAGCATGAGCAGGCGCCGCCGGTGATTTCGGCGCCGGAGCCGGTGAGGCCGGGGAGGGAGAGTGAGGCGTCCTTGGGCAGGAGGGTGACAAGGTTCTTTCAGGGGAGGAGGGTGCCTAGTGGGTGGATTTGAAGGTGGGATATAGAGGTTGATATATAATTAAGCCTGCGCTTTTGAGAAGCGAAGTAAGATTATACTACCTTTGACTTCTTCTCGGCCCTCTCAGCTCTCGAAGAATGCTGTAAAGTTTGCCACTCACCCGTGTTTGACAGCGGAGAATGCGAGTCTGATGGCTGCGTGAGAGTGATCATGGTCAACATGGCTTCACCTGCTTTTTTAGATAGCGAGCGTAGCTTCACCGCTTCAGCAATGAACTTACCTTCCCTGCTTCGAGCACAACGTAGTCTTTAAAACCAGCTCGCTCTTTCTGGGTAAGCTCACGACACCTGTACCGCCTCACTTTTCACATGACACCTGTCACCCGGTTTCCTTTAATGACGCATCCGCCGGCTTCTTGCAACAATCCACGGCCGCTTGCCAAACTTGATCAACCATCCATCGTCTCAAGACCTTCACGGTCCGTCCCCATAGAGCAGAATGCCACGTTCGAAGCTGCTCCTGACGGCGACAGCACCAACACCATTCCCGACAACAACCTCAGCAATGACCTCTCACGCCACCGTGTCGCCTCCGTCACCCATACCAACTTCTCCTCGAATGACAACGAGCGTACCGGGAGAGACGCTGGTCAAGATTACAATCACCCCATACGTTCCGACGACGTCTCCCACTCCACCACCGCCGCCTGCAGTACCCCAAACCGTAACCGTAGCGCCGGCGGCAATCTCTGGGGATCTGCAGGCGACAACGCTGACCACGATTTACCGCTCGCTGCCCACCGCACTGTACCCTACGAACAGTGATGCTCCATCCAGGACCGCCGTCGGTATTTCCTCTCCATCTGCATCTCCTAAGTTATCGTCGGAAGGGCATTGGGATGAGCTCTACGCTGTCCCGTGGCTGATATTGGCGATTGCGATCTTGTGTCTTGCTGGTCCAGCGGCTTATCTTGTCGGGAGGTGGGTGAAAGAGGCAGCTCAAGTACGGAAGAGGAGGAACACGAGAAGGACAGAGTTGACCGGCGACAGAAGGGAGATGCAAGAACGGAGAGAAGGGGCAGTGAGCGAGGTTGACGACTGGGCGGGGATGGCACAGTTGAGAGGTTTGGGGTACGAGACGAAGATTGAAGGAGGAAGAGGGAGGAAAAAGAAGGAGAAAGAAAGGCCTTGTGGGCTCGGCATATGCTTTGAGTAGGAGGCCAGCTTACTTACTGGAGTTCACTGCACTTGGGGTAAGGCAATATGTTGTCCTGCGCCTTTGGAGCATGGCGATAAACTCTTGGTCTTGGTCGTCACGTCATCGTGGTCGTCGCAGGCGTATCAGTGGCCACATGAACAATCTCTGCAAGCATACTCTGACGGTGTAGTACCATTTGCGAAGTTGTGGTCTTGTCGTTCTCACTATGGTGAAGTGAACAAAAGGCGCGCTCGCAAGAGGTGAAGTCGAGGTCTTGGCAGGCGTTGTCAGGGAGCACGTCATAGCGTAAACAGTGGAAATGTCGATGGCTGGAACGTCTGTCTGCCACTGAATTATCCAGCCACACTTCAACGACCACACCCAACATTCCTCCGAAGCAGACATCTCCACAGACACAATCACCATTATACCGACTCCTTGGATACCGGCCATACCACGCTCATTGCGACCGCTACTCCCACACCTCAGCGACTGGCAGCATCCAACACAACCTGCTAAGGCTCCGGCCAGCAGGTCACCGCACCCAACACCGACCACACTCCCCCTCCCATAGCACGTAGCACACCTCCACCATGGCGCCCACCACCCATCTCGTCCCCCGGGACAGCCCGACCACCAATTTCTCCCACGGCGACGGCGCCGTCAACCCAGCCAAACTCAACAACCAAATCTTCCTCGGCCTCTTCGCCTCCCTCGGCGGGCTGATGGTCCTCGCCTCCCTCTGGTTCTTCTTCTGGGCCAAGAACGGTGGCTTCCACTGGCAAGAAGACGACTGGGACGACTACAAATCCACCGTCCTGCGCCGCAAAGGCCCGGACGGCAAGACCCTCTCCAACGCAACCAAGAGCACCAAGCTCGGTGGTAGCACCATCGCAGGAACCCAACGCTACCCCTGGGAAGTCAAGATGCAGGCGAAGAGCGTGGTGAGCTACGACGAGAAAGGTCGCAAAGGCATCCTCGCCAAACGCGGCTGGGGCAAAACGCACAGCGTCTACTACTCCGACAACTTCACCGAGTCGAGAAGCGGCGGCACCGAGACCATCAGCGACATGACTGAGGTCCGCGACAACACCACCTGGAACCAAGAACAGCCCTCGCACCATTCAAAACGCTACCGCGACCGCGACGTCCGCGAGTACAAGAAAGAGCGGCCCGCACGTGTGGGCGGCTTAAATCGCGTGGCCGACGGCAGCGGCGTGAACATGGGCGCCTCCACCGTAGCAGGCTCGGATGTCTACTCCCAAGCCTCCTCCGACGTGCCCATCCTGCCTCACCACCAGCACAAACCCCCGAAATCCTCCACGCCCAAAAATAACGACCGCGCCGCCGCCCGCGCCCGCGACGAAGCGGCGAAAATGGAACGCCGCTGGAAGAAAGAGGCCGAAGAAGCCGCCGCCTCGCTCGCGCGCGAGTCCATCCCCGCGCCTAAGAAATCCGTCGCTCCCTCTTCCTCCAAACCCCCGTCCCCTCCCAAGCACCGCCAGGCTTCCCGGAGTTCATCGCCGAAGAAGCGCGATTTCAGCTATGGGAATGCGGGGCCGGGGAGCGAGGTGTTGAGTACGGCGTACACCGGGTCCAGCGGGCAGCGGTCGGGGAGTTATTATGATGCTTACCGGCCGAAGGCGGAGGCGAGTCAGTCTGGGGGCAACGAGAGGGAGAGGAGGAGGGAGAGTTCGCCGAGGAAGAAGGCCGGGCCGCGGTCGGGGGGTTATAGGAGGGGGGCGGATAGTGATTTGGAATGAGTGTGAAGAGTCTGGCTGAGCAAATGGGAAGAAGAGGGACTTTGACGGCTATGGTCGTGGAGAAACTGAGATGAAGGGGCTACGTGTTCAAGGGGTGCGAGAGTAAGCATAGACGACGTCGGCGTTTGCTCACTACATGGCCACCGCGGTGATCACGGCTGGATGTTGGGCACGAACTCTGTACTGGACTGCTGATTCAGGCGTTGAAGCGAAGCATAAAGCATGGGAAAGGAAGATAGCGTGGAACGGCATGGCACGAACGATCATGAGCTGTAGATAGTGTATCCAATCGAATCAAACTGAAGACTTCATGTTGCGCAGCATATTCCTCTCATTCATCTCATCTATGTCTCCACTCGATTAGCTACCACTCACAATGAATCAATGAGAAGGTCAATGGTATGAGAAGAGCAGGTTGGTAGTATGCATTGGATGGAGCAAAGGTCTCTCGTTTACAGCGCTACACATGCTATTGATGCAAGTCCTGGATGCCCTTCGCCGCGAGCACTTGCTCATATCTGGCATGCAGTCCAGCCATGCCATGGTTCATAAAAGTCGTAATATCATACACCTCGTCAATCGTCAATCGTGTTCATCCTCAGTCGCATGTCCAAGCAGGCTGCGTCAGCTGAGACAGATGCAGTGTCCTCCCATCAAGCAATCTGCCCCGTCACCTCAGTCCTGAAGATTACCACCCCACAACAGCAACAATGACTTTCTCGAAGTTAGATAGAATCCGAAATGGTACAAACAGATGCATGCAGGCAGGAATCCGCTCAGCGCTCATCAAGCAAGCAACTCAACCCTTGCGAACGCTCGCTCGCTCACTCCAAAAATAGGCAAAGGAGAAATCCGCGGCCGTAACTTTCCTTTGTGTAAGCGGGACTTTTCTCGGCCAGCTTTTGGGTTCTGCTCAATGGAACAGGGTTTCGATGAGCGTAGGATGTTTTTTGGTGGAAGCAAATACGACATGCCCGCCCAGATGGCTGTGCTTTTGCTTCCGCCGCAATGGTGTTCGCAGGCTGTGAGGATGATGATGATGGTGTAACGGAAGGCCAGAGAAGCGGAAGGTCGTATCTGAGTCGTTGATCCAGAAAAGCCTCCCAGGTACAGGTATGTGTCGAAGTAGAAGTAGCGCTGCGGTTCGCTTGAACGCCAAAACTCCCACAAGTCTTTCAGATGTGAGACATCGCCATTTCGATCGCGCCGGCAGGATGGGTGGTGCATGGCTCGCCGTGGTCCAGTCACTGGGAGTAAGAGGCAACCTCAAGAAGCCTTCCTCTCCCCCTTAACACTCATACTCCCCCTCCTCCCCCTCCCCCCCTCACTCGGCGCCCTACTCCTGCCCACCCGACTGCTCGAGCTCTTGCTCCCATAGTACGCGCTATCCCTCTCCCTCTCCTTGCCATTCCCCCCGGCCCCGTTGACGATCAACCGGGCCCGCCCGTCATCACCAGCTTGCACCTCGATCGTGCCTTCGCCGTGGAGGTGCAGCACCGTGCCGTTGCTCTCGACGGTGATACCTTCGCCGCGTCTGGACTTCGATGCGCCGGAGTGGCTGGTGTGGTGGCTGCGGCCGGAGACGCTTTCGCGGCGTCGGCTCGATGGTGGGTGCTGAGCCGCGCGGAGTTTCTCTGCGGTCAGTACTTGAGCCGGTCCGCCGCGGATGTCGTCCTGGTAGTCTTCAACCGCCTGTTCGCGACGACGTTGGTGGTCTGACTCGCGCCGTGTGCGCGAGGAGGTCACCGGCGGCGGAAGGTCTTCTTGCCAGCGTTTGGATCTCTCATGCGCCAAGATGGTTTCACGGTCGCGAAGGGACATGTATTCGACTCGGCGACCGCGGCTGTCTTCGACAGTGATGCCCGCTAGGCCTGAGTTGAGCGAAGACAAGTTGGTGGACTTAGTCCGGCTAGACGTTGTTGTTGATTGCGATGGGCGTCTGCTGGAGCGGGTGGAAGTCGAGTAGTTGGTGCGGGCACGCTCGATGGCAGGACGTACCGTGCGGTCCGAGTCGACGGCATCGGAAGAGTAAATGTAGTCGCCCATAGTGCCAGACCTGGAGCTGCGATGCAACCTCTCACGTGACGACTGTGTTGGGACAGCTGGTGCCGAAACGTAAGTTTTGCCCATTGATGGGCGCCGACGAGATGATGACGATGTAGTTCGGCCGTCTCGGGTATAACGCGGACGAGAGCTTGTGTACTCTTCTTCCGATACATCGTATTCGGAGTCGGTGTCGGACTCCGAGGTCTCCCGGTCGCTTGTTGGAAACGCTCCAGGTACACCGGAAGTACGAGCTGGATTGTGTCTGGCAGAAGTCGTCCGAGCGGAAGTGGTGCGAGCCAGAGGAGCAGTGTACCGAACATGCGAGGTATCGTAATTAGGAGTCACTGCTGCTGTCCGAGCTGAGAACGTGCGGGCTGCGGTCGGTGACGGAGGATAATTGGGGGAGGTTGGCGACGCCTGCACTGGTGCCGCTGCCGGGTACTGAGCGGACGCGCCATAACCGGACTGGTAAACCGCCTGCTGTTGTTGCTGCTGGGCTTGCAATGCCACTTGACGTTGATACTCCGCGTGTTGAGCTTGGAGTACCTGCTGCTGATACATCGCAGCCTGGGCAGGGTCGTATGCCGGGTAGCCATGAATGCTGGCTGGCCTTCCCTGCCGAGATGTCGATCGCGATGGCAGAGGCGCTTGTGCATTAAGCTGTGGCACGGGTTGCCCAGTCGCGACCTGCTGCACTTGCGCATATTGGTACTGCGGCAATTGCTGGTACTGCACCGGCGAGGAGGCGTACTGTTGGGCGTATTGAGCAGGATACTGGTACGATGCGCTCCGACGACGCGCAGCAATGGCGGCTGGACAGTTGGGGTCAGTGCAGTTGACATCGCTGCACTGCACAGGTGCTGTGGATAACGAGGCTGTCCTCGTTGGCGCTTGTGGCCGATTCTGCTGGCTGGAAGGCGGATGGACAACAGGTCGGCTTTTTGCTTGCACAGGCGCTGGTCGTGGTGGTGGTGGCATGGCCGCCGAGTCTGACACCGCTTGTGTGCTGGACGACTCACTCCTCCGGTGTGTCCCGCTCCCGTGCGAAGAGTATCCTGAGTCACTCGCTCCATCCCGGGTGTTGTGACGAAATCGCTCCATTGATGACGGCGGCGGCCCGGACGTCGTCTTCCGCCTGGCCTCTCGGCGTGTGCCCTCCTTTACGTCGCCTAGCTCACTGTCACAGTCCTCCACACACGCCACCTTCGCCTTGGCCGAAGGCATTGTGCCCGACTCAGCACCGTGATGTCCAGTGGACTTGTCGACTGTCTCGGGTCCTGGTGCAGATCAGACAAAGCGACGGCAGTGATGGTGGGGCGCATGCAGCGGCGCGCTCTGTATCCGCGAGCCTAATGGTATGCTGTCTCAGCAGGCGAGTCGGCAGGCGGAGGAGAACTTCTCGAAAAAAGTCGTCAGTGGGCGTGGTCTCATTGTTCCATGTCTCGGTAACATCGTCAAAGCAAACGAGCTCAGGAAAAAAGATGACTGTTTGTGGCAGCCACTAGGACTGTGCGACTTCACCGGTTCATGCACGACGCTGGAGGTGGGGGTCGAGCAGAGGTCCGGCAAGCTGCCATCTCAAGACGCCGGCTGCCGACGTTTGGAGGTAGGGGGAGCGGAGTCTTGCAGGAGAAGAGGAGAGAAAGTGATTGTTGAAAAAAGGGCGAGAATAGATGGTGCTGAGACGTTGCCAAAACACAATAGAAACGACGCCCGAAACGTGGGGAGGGTGGATATACTTGTTGGATCTGCTCTCGTCCCGTCTGCCGAACCGGCTGGCGAAAGGTGTCGCTAGCACAGGCAATAAGCGTCGCGCTCATGCAGTAGCAGGGACGCGATGATGGAGGTCTGCCGACGAGCTGCAGCTCTTCGTGAACGGGCAAAGCTTGCAATCCGTCGCTGGACGGCCAATCGTGATCCTCTCTCCCTGTTCGCTGGTGTGGTGGTATCGAGCTGCTATAGGTCGTCTTCCTGCACACGAGTGTGGTGGAGAGTGGTTGTTGTGGAATCGCTGAGGCGTTGTTGAACAAGAGGAAGAAGTCGGACGAGGTGAAGTGTGGTCTGCCAAGCCTCCGACAATGCCCGACAACGACGTCTCCGTCGCTGCCCAACCTATATTCCCCCATCAACTTCTGCCAGCCACTCGCCACCAGGGCCGACGAGCCCGCCTGGACGTGTGCTGCTTGCTGTCCTAAGCGAATCGCGGGGAACAACCAGGTTGGTACACATGCACGACATCGAGCCTGTCTCCTGCGCATAAGCAAACGCCTCCTGGCCACTCGTCGTCCCGATCAAAGCAACGAAGCACACTTCATAGTCTCAACCACTTCCCGCGGTCTGGTCGAGAAAGGCCTATCGCAAGGCTCACGACTCACCGCTTGTTGCACATGAGTGAATCGCACTGGTGTTGTAGGATGGCCAGCACATCGACGTGGCCATACATATGCTGTGTAACCTTGGGTACTTCGGTCATCGTACCTCGCGAGCACGTGCTAGCGGTTGCACATGACGGGGTGGGAGAACGACATGCCAGATCGAGATGTCGTGGCACGAGAGAAGGTATGGCTCGCGAGTGGTTCTACAGTACGCAAATCAGCAACACTGGGCTGGAAACTATCTCTTGCCACGCCAACTATGGCTCTGTAAAAGCGTGCTGGCTATTCGACACGGGTCATGGCAAAGCATGACGTACAGCCTAGCTGATGAGCTGTGGTGCACCGTCCGGCTCAGAAATGCTACACCTGACGAGTAGTCCTACAGCACGCCGGTCAGTAAGAATGGATGATGACCATTGTTCGTAACACGGCATCACTGCGAAGTAAGTCGTGCAACGAGATAGAACCACGTGCTTGTGCCCCCACTAAGAGAAGTGCCGGTGTGGCTCTGGAGAATGGTTGTGAGTGACGCTCGGTATCATGGTTGATCTCTCCCGACGGTAGGGCGCTCGCTCTGTACACGGAAGTAGTGTGGTGGTCATCGTGCATGATGGCATGGCAGAGCGAGGTGGGCGACACAAGGAGAACGTGCTGACGGGTTCGAGGAATGGTATGGCTTATATGGCTCTACAGTAAGCGTGTCAGTGATACTCGGGATGAAGATCGTCACTTGCCACGAGTCGGCAGCTGGTCTTGTAGACACAAGCAGTGTAAACAAACCGCCACGTGTTTGGGGCTTTGTCATGCAGCGATCCCGGCAGGTGGAAAGGGGAGATGTTGCCTCGGAAGGTTCGCTCAGCCTTTAGATTCGCGGGTTATCGTACATCCACTCTACCTCGCCATGCCACAAAGCAAGCTCATCTCCCTCGAACTCACATCTCACCAACGACGACTTCCCTCCATACCACTTGTGCACCTCACATCCTCTCCACCGGCGACAACCCCAGCAACTTCATCCCATTACTCAACACCTGCCTCGCGCTCGCATACAACGCCATCAACGCCGCCTTCTTCTCCGCCGTCTCCGCATACATCACACTCATCGTCTTGGCATTCCTATTACTCGTGTCCTTCGCGTCATAGCAACTGCTCAGCTGATGCGTCATCTTGAACAGATATGTCAGCACCGTCACCGGCTCGCGGGTCTTGTACGTGTTCAAAAAGACGTCCGGCCATTGCGCCAGCAAGCGCACGAGCTCGATGCCTTCTTTCGCCGTGATGAGACTGAGGTCCGCGGTGAGGAGTTGGTCGGCGGGGATGGCGGTTTTACGCTCCATAGAGCAGACGCGGGCGTGGGAGTATTGAAGATACGGGCCCGTGTCACCTTCGAAGGACGTCATCTTCTCCATGTCGAAGTTGTAGCCGTTGATGCGCTTGCCGCTGTAGTCCTGCACCATGATGGCGGAGATGGCGAGGATGTCGGCCGTCGCTTCGGGTTTCTCAACTTGCTCGTATTTGTCTTGGTTCTTGCGCATGACGTCGTGCATGAACTCTTTCGCGTGGTCGAGGCTGTCGGCCAGGGATACCACGGTGCCTTTGCGAGTACTCATGGTCTGGCCTTTGGGGTCTTTGACCATGCCGAAGGTAATGTGCTCGCATTTTGCTACGATGTCGCTGTAGGGAGGTCCCATCAGTTCCAGGATCTTGAAAAACTGCGCAACGTGAACGTCCTGCTGAGAGGCGATGACGTAAATCATCTTGTCGAAATGGTACTTCTCGAAACGCTCAGTGTTAGCTGCGATATCCCTGGTGAGGTAGAGCGAAGTGCCGTCCCTCTTCTTCACCAGCGTCTTGCCGAGTTTTGGTGCACCGTGTTTCGAGAGGTCGACGATGACCGCACCTTTGCTGTCTTCGCTGATATTCTTCTTCTGCAGGACTTGTGCCGCCCGCTCCATGTTCTCCTCCTTGACGGTCGACTCGCCACCGTACTCGTCGAAGTGGATGTTGAGTCGAGCATACATCTGAATGTAAGCTTCAATCGATAGATCTCGAAACCTCTGCCAGTCCTTCAGCGCTGCTGGGTCACCCTTGTACATTCGAGCGAAGAACTGCCTGGCCTTCTCGTCTATGCTCGGTATTGCTGCAAGATCCTCTTTGGTCTTCTCAATGTCGGCCTCAATCTGCTGGAGCTCCTGTTCTTGCTCTGCGGTCAATTCTGGAGGTGGCGGGGGCTTCTCGCCCTTTGCTGGTTTGGCCTGCTTGGTTGGAAGCTTTAGCTTCTCCAGTTCCTCTTTCCTTTTCAGTAATGGCTTCAAGGGCTCCTGCTCTTTGGAGTTGTCCTGGTTGATCTTGACGTAGACTTCGTTGAGATGCTTAACGGGATCCTTCTGCAGTTCGTCCTCACTCCCGTACTTCTCGAATCCCTGCGTAAGCACACCATACTGCTTGCCCCAGTCACCCAGGTAGTTCAGAGAGTACGCATCCCAACCAGCTCGCGAGTACAGCTTGACGAGGAAGCCGCCGATGATCGTGCTCCTGAGGTGGCCAGTGTGGAACTCCTTGGCGATGTTCGGGCTCGAGTACTCCACGACCATTTTCTGCTTCTTGCTTGATGAATTTGATGGATCCTCACGGCCAAGGCTACCATTGAACCCGTAGTCTTCCTTGTTCTTCAGCACGCTCGGCAAGACCAGTTTGGCATACGGTTCCGGCTTGAAGAAGAATCTGACGAAGGTCTTGTCGGCGCTCGGCTTCTCGATCAGTGGGCTCTCAAACTTCTCCGCGATCTGCTTTGCCAGCTCGTCCGGCTTGGGGCTCTTGATGCGCAAAGCAGGTACCGGGAGCATGAGGTCGCCATGTTTTAGATCCTGTGTCCATTGCACGGCATTGTTGATGATTTGCGGCTCGGCTCCGGTGATGGATTGCAACTGCTCGATGATGACCGCTCGGTAGACATCCACAGGGTTGAGGTCAGGATAAAGTTGAACGCCAGGAAATTGTGGCATTGTTTGTATGCCCAGGTTCTGGAGCTCGGTGGTGATGTGGTCCATGACTGAGGTCGAGTACGCCTGGCGGCTGCTTGCTCTATATGTGTTTCGGCTTTGGAAGGCGCCTGTATGGTGTTCTTTGTTTTGACGATGCCAGGGTGAATTTGTGACTCTTGCCTGACTCAACAGTGGCCAGGTAGAAAATTTTGGTTGCGCCGGATGGTGGAATACGAGTCTCGTGCTGCTGAGCTTGCATATGTTTCGAGTGGCAAACATCAACCGATGGTATCCTGGGCCAACGCACTATGCCGTCATGTAATGCATGTGATTGAGGTGAATAATCTATGTGTTGATGTGTATAGAGCCCTGGAATCGAGGAGGTCGATTTTGCGCCACAACCTGCGCCACCGAAGCCAAATTCTGCTTCCATTCGCGAACTTGGAACGCTTCTTGAACTTCGACACCTTCTCCGAAACACGATCAAGCGACAAGGACATCTCCGTAAGTACATCTATCTCATTTTCTTCTTCGAGAAGGCAGGAAGGCGGGCAGGCAAGCAGAGAGGATGCAGGCAGAATGGATGGAGCACCTCCGCTCAACGCGGGAGTTCTCGCACACAGCAGCAACTCGCACAGCAGCTCAGCACGACTCACAACAGTCGATTGCTCCGGGCGAGAACTCACCCTCGGCCTCCCAAGACGAGAGCTCGCTCCTCAGGCGGCAGGCTTCTCGAAGGCAGAGACAGCGCGTAAATATGTTCAGCAAGACACTTAGCATTCGATCGTGCGCTCGAGAAGCTGCTCTTCTGTTAGCGGCTGCGAGCTTCTCCTAGACAGCAACAGACTGATAGCAGCTCATCACCATCCTCAAGGGTGGATCCTGCGTACGAGAACTAATCCCCTGCGTTGCAGGTGTTCCCCCTTCTGACTGACGCGTTCAGCTGCAACCTCTCAGAGTGAGTCATTTTGCATTTTCGTTCAAACTGTAGTTGGCTTGGATGACTGTTCTCGAGAAATGTACATAAGAGTCTGACCTAATAGCACCGCCGACAACCTTTCTGGAGCACCTCCGGGATGGAGAAGGCGCCCGGGCCCATCGACCTCGACGGCCGCACCCACGAGGGGGGCGGCCAGCTTCTCCGCAACGCAGTTTGCCTGGCTGCACTTACCGGCCGCCCCATAATGGTCCATCACATCCGGGGGAACAGGTCGGGTGGCGGCGGGCTCAAAGCCCAGCACCTGGCCTGCGTGAACTGGCTCGCCGAGGCTTGCGGCGCCGCGATCGAGGGTGCAGAGAAGGGCAGCAAGACGCTCATTTTCGAGCCTCAAGACCCCTCTGGAGCCCCTAACGCGGTTTCAAAAGCCTTCAAACTGGTTACGCGAGACGGAGAAGCCGTCTACGAGACCCGCCTGGACATCGGCACCTCTGGCGCTACCGGACTGGCTCTGCAAGCTATCTTGCCGTACATTCTCTTCTCACCCAGCCGCCCGACAGATCACCCAGTACGGCTGACTCTCACTGGCGGCACCAATGTCTCCGGCTCTCCATCGTTCGAGTACATCGACAACGTCCTTGTCCCCACGCTGTATGCCATCGGCCTCCCAGACATCCGCGCAACCTTGAAGAAGAGAGGATGGAGCCAAGGCGGCAGTACAATCGGTGAGATCACCTTCGACATCCCAGCGCGGCCATATTCCTCCCTCCCAGCATTCAAAAAGGCACCTAAAGACCCCAACACCAAGACATACGGCCCTCTCCATCTCGAAGCCACGTTCGTAGGCCCGGCATCAGTCCACGATTATGTTCGCCAAGTCTTGCCGCCAGCAATCTCCCACCACTTCAGCGAGCACATCGACGAGACACAAGGAACCCTACATATCAAATGCGAAGGCAGCCTCCATGAGAAGCGTATTTATCTCATCATCTTGGCCATGATGCCAGATGAGGGCTATAACCCTGGGAACACCTACCAGCTCGCCTGCGACTGGCTGTACGATCGCAAAATCACCTCGATTGAGCGCGCGGCCACTGAGATGGTCGAACGTGTTGCCAATTCGCTTGCTCAGCTGGTTGATGGTGGAGCTTCTGCGGACGAGCATCTCTGCGATCAACTGGTCATCTTCCAAGCTCTCGCGAAAGGCACCAGTCGAGTCTACCCTGGCGTTGACGAAGCCGACGATCCAAGGGAGCCGAGTCTACACCAAAGAACCGCCGAATGGGTGGCGAAGAAGATACTGGGCGCAAAGTTCGACGGGGACAATGCTTGCGAAGGTATTGGGTTTGGTGCCGAAGCAGACGATAAGAAGCTCAAGGAGGCCCAAAGCAAGGAGAGGCACGAGGACGTGAAGACTGAAGCAGACGAAGAGGAGCGTGAGGATAACGCGCTCGCGCTCAGATTGAAAGCTTTCGGTATCAACGGCCCTGACCGGACCGGGCATGGCGGGTCCACGATGCCATGTTCAAGCTGCAACACCGACGACACCACCTCGCGCACGTGAATAGCATAACCGACCATCCATCCCTGAACACCTCGCTGCGCTAAAACCCAGTATCAAATATTACCACACCCACATCTCCCATCAACATTAAGCCGGTCCATCAAACATCCTCGCCTCCAAATCGAGGCTACTCTTTCCACTCCTCGCTGGACCTCCACCGCCAGCATCGTTCTTCAGATTCAACCTCGCGAATCCAGCAGCCATCGGCGAATACGACCTCACCCTCTCTGTCTCTGGTGAAAGCGGACTGCGTGCCGCAGAAGGACAGTCTATCGACGTTCGTTTCGGCAATACAGGTGAATTGCACGGTGTCGGCGTCACCGCTGTTGTGCGTGGCCTTGAAGCTGACCTCGATGGTTCGCGATAGATTGCTGCTGGGAAGAAGACCGGTTGTGTTTCGCTCGACGCAAAGGCGGTGTCTAGTGCTGCGCTTACGGATGGCGTCCGGGGTTGTCTTGCCGCGCGCATGGCTGGTCTGCTTGTTGGTCGGAGTTCTTGGTCTTCTGAGCGTGCGTGACAGTGGCTGCAGAGTTTTGTGGTTGTGGTGCTGCTTGCGCAGGCTGGGCAGATGTCGTTGCGGCTGCCGTCGAGTGCTGGTGTGTACATGCTGGCGATGCTGTTCGTGTAACTTCAATCGACGTTCGTTTCCTCAATTCTCCGGACCAAGGTAACTTCAGCCCAGAGTGATTGTCGGAATGAATGCTATCCCAGGAAGTTGTCCAGTCAAGTGCGACAGTGAGGGTAAAGTAATTTGTGGCAATGTTCTCACAGATGTATCAGAATGGAAAGGTCTTTCGGCGCTTAAAGATACATATATATTGTCACCCACGTATCCAGCTTTAAGCAGGGTCTGCGGCCTATATATCAAGGCACCGCAAATTGCGGCTGTCTCGGAGCCCGCGTCGTCACCTCCCCCGAATCGCTTCCCTAACATCCACCACGTCGCATATCCTAACGAAATTCTCCTCCTCGGACCACGCGATGCCACGCGATCTTTACACGAGTAGCCCAAAGTCTCTGCGCCGTTGAGCATCCGCAAGGTCCCGCCTGCTCGGAAACTTTCATCCGACTCGGGGAAGGGACGACAAGCTTTGTGCGTTTGGCTTTTGGGTTCGAGGCTGGACGCCATCGTGCTGGCGTCCACGTGGATTTCCCAACGTGTTTGTAAGGAGAGTGGAGGTTTGAGTTGTTCTACGGATGCTTGTGGAAGCCGAGGTTGTGGTTGGAGGGAGGGAGTGGTGGTGGTGGGCTGGAGATGTGATGAAGATGCGGTTGCTGTTTTGGGCATTGGGCAGCGAGTCGACGAAGGAGTTTCTTCAGGGATGGTGATGCTTGGCTGATCTACCCGTGCTGCGTTTCGGGTCGGGGTGATCGATCGAGGAGTGGAGACCTTCGAGAGCCTTTAGGACGAAGGCTTGTAGTCGACCATGACAGCTGCGTTGCACTGCTCCACCGACCAAATTGTATAGAACAGTAGGAATACCACAAGGCGAGGAGAAGTCATATCGACATCTTTAATCTGGAATCTATGCCACGAATACAGTGGACTTATGTATGCTCCCTGAACCCCAATGCCAGCTAAAGTACATTGAAACCTACCCGCTCAAAAATACACAGACCAACGCTATGCACAGCATCATCGTACTGGCTCAGTCGCCTGCACCTCTTGGTATGGTGGTGTTTCTTCGTAGGCGGGAGCCTCTTTGTACGCTAGCGCATCTTCATACCGCGGGAGCGGCTCGATGTCCTTCTCATGGTCCGTCCTGCCCCTGGTCACACTCCAACATGCTTCTTCGTCCAAGCTGATGCCGCCCTCCAGTTCCCACATAGCCCGTGCGATCTTGATCCAAGCGTACCCAATGAGCCTTCCGACCAGCAAGCCGACGAAGCTGACAAGGAGTCCGGCTACGATGCCCGCCAGAACCGGTATGAGTATGGCCGTGACTCCGCGAGCGAGGGAGGGCAGAATGTGCGGCTGTCGATGACCGTGTTCGTGTAAGCGGGATGGACGCCAATGCCCGGAGGGGCCGTGCTGGCTTTGCTGAGGGATTTCGACCTTGAACTCGGAGAACTTGCTACTCTTCGCTGGGATGTGGGCTTTTCTCGAGCAGGGTGGACGAGGAAAGCCGAAATTAGTGTTGCGGAGGGAGGACAAGGCGGAGGTGATCCAAGACTCGGCTTTACAGAGCGCGCTGGGAAGGTTGACGCACTTTGAGCCCGGGTGCGGTTGTTGCGGTGGTGGTTGGAAAGGAGCCAGACTTGGATGGGGTAGGCGTTCCACTCCCAAGATCAGATGCTCGCCAGCGCTCGTCCGCAGCAAGTCGATGGCGACTTCGCCGAGATCCACGAACTGCCTCTCCAGGCCCGTGATCTGCAGCTGAAGCCTGATGAGACGGTCAACATCACCGTGGCTATCGCCTGAGTCTGAAAGCACCGGAGCCGAAGAGACGACAAGACTCCAGGACGTGACTTCCAACGACCGCCGCTGTGCCTCTCTCGAGAAAGATGCAAGATCGGATGCGTGTGCCGGCGTCTGAGTAACATAGATGGGTAGTCCTCCCACCGCAGCTGCTAGATAGGTGTTTGATGGGTAGATGGCCTCATCGTCGAGCTGTAGTCGTTGTCCATCGTTCGATGTGCTTAGGTCGAGGATGATGCTGCTGGCGCCGCCTTGGATCCAGAACAAGTCGCCTTCATCGTCCACGAATTTCTCCTGGGCGGTGTTGTCAGGTTTGATGAATGAACATGAAGGACAAGGTATCTCGATCCGTTGCCTTTTCGAGCCGACAATGGCGGGTCTGATCTCGTCGTCCGCGGAGGGTGATGATGAGGGAGGAAGCACGAGGGCGCTGGCCCCTACGCAGAGCGCTGTCGCTAAGCCAAGTCCTCGAGTCAACATAGTCCCAATTCCTGCTTCCTTGTTCTCTGCCGATCAAAGAATGTAGATAAACAGCGACAGGTATAACAACTCCTTCCAATTCAGAGTTTCACTTCGTGATCAATAAGGCAGAGCAAGAAAGAGAAGGCCGCGCAAGGTCTCGTATTCCACGTTCTCCCTTGACACAGCACGTGACGGCGTCGTCCCGATGATGTGATTCTGGTGCGCGATTGAACCATTCGACGGGTGTGGATCCTGCTTGCGAATCTTGCGGCTTCGTGCGACAAACGCCTCTTTCCTCCTGCAGGCGCCAATCACCTTCTTGAGACGAGCTGTAAGGGACCGGGAAGATCAAGGACGACTGCGAAGTGCGGGAAGCGACGATTTACTTGAATCGAGTTTTGAGCGCTTTGTCTGGGAGCGTTTGCTGCAAGCGGCTATCATGCTCATCCTGATGCCGTCCCCCTTGCATGCAGATGCTGTCAACCGCCCAGCGCTGCCGTACGAGGCCTTGACGGTTTGACCGCAGCATCACGCTGGCGGATAATAATTCCCTCAGAACCTAGCTCCCTGCTTACGTGTACGAGAAGCAATGGCTGCGGCTCAAACGGCAGTGAGGGGGACATGAATGATGAACGAATGGCCGCGCCGCGTGTTGCTCGTGTTGCTTGTGGAAGAACGACACCGTTTGTTTAACCATCACCCTCGCCAGCGCAACTGAGGAGTCTTGGTGCGATCAAGCATTCCGTCCTGCCTCAACCGCCCTCCTACAGCGACCGCTTCGATGGCTTAAGCAGCTAGCAACGTATTCCAGCCGCCCGACATCCCGTCTAGACAACAATAGCTGCGTATGAAGCAGTCCTTGTCATTGGCTCTACCAGCACCAAAGTAGGTACATTCACACGGTATTTGACCGCCGCACCGTATTCGGAGGTGCCATGAAACGCAGACCACGCGGCCTCTATGGTTCGAACGGCACAGCTCTTGTAAAGCTACCGAGATCTATTCGCAGAGAAGCGTCTGCCAATCTCCTCCTACAAACTTCGGTGCATGCAAGCAACAACCAGAAAAGGCACATGCCAGTATGATACTGGAAGTAGAATCATCGTCTTCTCGACTGTTCTATGACTGGCAAGGGCTGCTGTTTCTTCCAAGTGATACGCAATCGAAATTGCAACGCCGTCTTGACCGTCTATACGTCTTCCCCCGTACCAAAGCAACGCTCAACAAACGATGCCACATCCATCAGCCGTCCATCCCGCCCCATCCCACTCACCAAGCTGATGCCAAAGGGCATCGTACCTTCGTCTCCTTGATAGAATGCTGCGTTGACATTGACGGTGCAAAGGTCCAGCACGTTCGCGAAGTGGGTATTTTCGCCCATCTTGGCATTCAGACTGATGGGATCTCTGTCCATCGCTTCGATCGTAGGATGGCAAGGGACAGCTGGTAGGACCATGACATCGATCCTTTCGAGGAGCATTTGAGCTCTACGCGTGCATTCTGCTTGCGTCATTTGATCTGAAAATACTTCGTACGGTTTGGCTTCTCGAGCGAGGACAGCTCCGAACAGCTTGCTGATTGTGGGATGGAGGTGATCGAGATTCTTCGTGAGGAAGTCTGCGCCGATGCAGGCGATGCGTTCGTTGACCAGCGTACCGCTGTAGAGGAGACTATTTGCGATGCGGAAGGGCTCAAAATCGGCGTCTGAAATGGACAGAAAACGTCCACCAGACGCCTCCAGCTTCTGCACCGACCGCCAGAATTGAGTTTGAAACTCCGGGGTGCACGCCTCTAGCGCAGAGGGCGGCGGAACAGTGAAGGTGAATCCTGCGTTCTCCACGCCGCGATAGTCCATTGCGCTGAGAGGGAGCGTACCAGGGAGTTTCGCATAAGCGTCCTCCGGGTCGTAAACATCCAGGACCTGCCATACACTCCGCGCATCCGCAACGCACGTCGCAAAGACCGACACCGTATCGAGGCTTCTGCATGCCGGGACCACGCCGCGTGCGGAGATCGTGCCCTTCGTTGGCTTGTAGCCGACGATCCCGTTTAGTGCAGCAGGAACGCGGCCAGAGCCAGCTGTGTCCGTCCCGAGAGCGAACGTCACCATCCCAGAAGCGACGCATACTGCAGAACCTGAACTGGAGCCCCCTGAGATGAATTTGGAGTTGCCGTAGACGCTCGTCGTTGAGCCAAACGGAGAGCGACAGCCACTGAGGCCGGTGGCCAGTTGGTCCATATTTGTCTTGCCAATCAGCAGTCCACCCGCCTCCAGGATTGCGGTCACTGAGGGCGCAGACTGTGAAGGAGTATAGGAGTATGCCGGACAAGCTGCTGTCGTAGGGAGGTTTGCAACATCAAAGTTGTCTTTGACGGCGAAGGGGATGCCGTAAAGGGGAGGCAGAGGTCTTGCTGCGAAGGCTTGTTTAAGACGGAGTGCCTCTTCAATGACGATTTCGCGTGGTCGAAGGTGGATCCAAACGTTTGGGTGCGTGGCGGAGGTTTCCTCTATTCGATCGTAAACCATGTTGACAAGACGCACAGGTTCATTTGATCCCTTCGAATACTGGTTACGTAGGCTTTCCAGACCTAGATCACCAGGTAATTTGGAAGTTGCGGTCGGTGGCGTTCGTGACACAGAACTGGGTAACGATAGCAGCTCGGTGCTCGAACCGATGTATCCGAAAAGACCATCGTATGAGCAAACCATGTCCATGGACGTTTGCACGAAGCTGACGTTGAAGCCAGAGGTGCAGTCGGAAAGGATGCAGCATTCGAAGCCGCGGTCGTTTGCCTCGCGCAGAGTTGTCGTGACGCAGCATCTACGGGTGTCAGCGGGATTGCACCAAAATGTGCTGAACACTCAATGACGACATACTCGGTTGTAACGCCGGCGAAAAGCAAATGCGTGATCCCTCTGGCCATGAGCTTTCTATGTAAATCCGTCGCCCAGAAGCTCCCTTTGCCGGGCTTGTCAATCACACACTCGCCAGGAAGTGGCGCCAGCTCATTGACAATATCGTGCCCTTCCTCGCCTCTTACCAGCAGCCTACCCATCGGCCCTTGGTCCCCGATGCCGAGTGTGTGATGTCCGGAAGGGCTGTTCACCTGGCGATAGCGTTTGCTTGCTGGCAAGTCCGAGAGATCTGGAACATGTCCTTCACGTGTATGGACGACATGGAGGCCTAGCGATCTGGAGGCACCGAGTGCAGTCTTGATTCGACTGACCACCGATCTCACGGTTGCGAAGATTTCGGCGGAACCGCATTGAATAGAACCAAAGCCAGCAGGGTCGACAAAGTCCTTTTGCACGTCGATGATGACCAGAGCTGTCCTCTTGGGGTCGAAGCGGAAAGCGTACGGCTTTGCAGTCTCGAGAGCGTACGTTGGTGCCATGATGGGCTTGAGAGGCGGACGTGCAGGAAAGGACTGTCGAGGAGCCCTTCCGACGGCGTCTGTTGTTGTCCCGTTTTCTGTTGACTTGTCGCCAAACCGTCGTCTGTCCATAACTCTGGTAAAGGATCCATCGCGGCCCGGGCATGGAAAGATAAGCAACTGGGCGAGGTTCTACTGACTAAAGATGGAGAGCCAGGACGAGGTCTCGACCGAGTCAGCCATGTATCCTCTGCCAGAAGAGTAGTCGGTATAGATCGGAGTGAATGAGGTCCACGTGTCGTGCCTTGCGTTATCAAAAGCGGAGAATGAGGATACAGATCACGACCTTCACATGCACAACATTGATTACATGACTCAAGACATTCACGTGATAGTTTAGGCGTCTTGGCGGCATCTCCACCCCACTTCACTTCTATCGCCCCCGTCTCGAGGCCATCCTCAAACACAACGTAACAACCTCGCAGTCAATATTGTCATCTGCTGCCCTGCTTGCCGACCGCCTATCTTCCACTGCCTATCTTGTGGACCCGTATGCGCTCCGCTTCAGTCGAGTGAACCTCGCGCATTGTCCGATCACGCAGCTTGTTAAGTCCACTCGCCGTCGCCTTCCGAAGACGGATGCAAAGCGATATGTCGGCAGCGAAAGACTCGTCCGACGGTAGATACGAAAATGCATGAGCGCGCAACGGCAACCTTGATACGACTGGCGAAGGACGTTTCCCGGAACTATTCGAGGCTACCCATACCCACAACCTATGCTTTGCCCTGGATCTCCTGCTTCTTCTCCATACGACTAGCTGCCAGCCTGCGGTACACGTAGTCGCCAGCCAGCACGGGCTCATATTTCGTCTGACCTTCTGTCAAGCACGAGTCCAGCGTTGTGATGACCGAATCGTAATTGGCACCGAAGAAGAAGGGAATCGAGTACCGCTCTTGTCCCGTCACGTTCCACACACGGTGCACGGTGGAGATGAAACGGTCGTTGGTCCACCGTGCGAGCATGTCGCCGATGTTCACGACAAAGGTTCCCGGCACGGGCGGAGCCTGGATCCATTCGCCATTGGCGTTGAGGATCTGGAGTGCCGGAACGTTTCCCTGGCAGAGGATGGTGAAGCACTCAATGTCTGTGTGTGCGCCGATGCCAAGCGCTTCCGCGTCGTTGGCCGCTTGAGGAGGGTAGTGAAGAAGTCTGCCCATGGCTCCCGGGGTTGAGACGAATTGGTCGAAGAAGTCCTCCGGAAGCTGCAAGACACACGCAAACAGCTTGATCAGTCGCCGCGCAAGGCTCAGGATCTCGCCGTAGTAATCCGCGATGGCCTCTTTGAATCCCGGAAACTCTGGCCACACATTTGGGCCTGACATGGGATTCGCCTTCCATTCTGCCTCTCGTCAGATCTACTCCCACAATTCTGGTGGGCGGGCGTGTCTACGTACCTGGCTGCTCTTTGGCCTTGGGCAATGGGTCGAGGCTTTTCTCGTATCCCCAGTTGAACGCTTCGTTCAAATCTGGCTTCCTCGTCTCATCCGTTCGCACCTCTGCTGGCGGCTCGTAACCCCGGAGAATGCTGGACTTCTTGTAGTTGATTTGGTTCTTTGTCGTGCCATCTTGCGCGAAGAAGTTCTTGGCAACGTTAAATACTGCGTCAATCTTCTCCTGCGGGACGCCGTGATCTTGGATGTACAAGAAGCCGACTCTGGTGCAGGCATCGCGGAGCTGCTCCAGTAGTACCTCTTTCGGCGCTTCCAAGGAGATCAATGGGATCTCATTGAAGTCTGCGCGTCGCGCGACGTCCGAAGTGACGGTGCGCTTGTTGCCGGCGAACGAAGTGAATTCCATAGCGAGTAAGATGGCCAGACGACTTGAGTGGGAATTGCGAGCAGAAGTCGACCTTTCAATCAGTGCCTCCTGCTGTATGCCGAAGCCGGCAACCAAGTGGATATGAACGCACTAGTCAGGCACGATCAGATCCATCAATCCCAGGATCCACGTGGTGGTGGGACCCTTCACGTGGTAGTGGGACTGCGGGACTCTTCTGGACTATGGCTATCTCCAGTGGGTCGTTATCAGAAGCGGTACCGGGTCAAGGTTCTGGCTCTGATCGGGACCCTTCCGACATATCCGGAGTATCTGCGGCAAGGTGCTTCTCGCCAGGATGGTCTGGTTGGCTTATCGTTGCCTATCGTGTCTCAACAGACGTGTATCTCATGCTGCCAAGAACAAGATATGTATATGAAGGCTCAGCACCCGGTGCTTGCTCTGGAAGACAGCCGGTGTGACCAGCTCCCTAACACCGTGGAACTTCTCCCACCATGGAACAGCTTCGAGCTCGCACCGAGCGAGTCAATCGCAACATCAGTTCCAAACGGAGCAAAGATGGCTGGATCATGGAGAAGCAGCCCATGACGTTCACGGACGGGACGACTTGGAGCAACGTCGACTCCGATGTCACGCCCCTTGAGCGTCGCACCTGGTCGTCTTGGACGATCTTGGGATACTGGTTCAGCGATGTCCTGTCAGCACAGAGTTGGGCTGGTGCCTCGGCAATCATCGCGGTCGGACTCACATGGTATGTCGCAACGCCTCATCATTCCTTGCAGCGTCGATGCTGATGTCGACAGGCGGGAGTCTGTCTACTGTCTGATCCTGGGTACCTTCGTCGTCACGATCCCGCTCTGTATGAACGGTGCCATGGGAGCGCAACTCCACGTACCCTTCCCAATCTGCGCGAGATCGAGCTTTGGGTATTACTTCAGTCGTTTTGCCATCATCATTCGCATGGTCACGGCTCTCTTCTGGCACGGTGAGGCTGTCTTCCTGTCCAAACTCCCTTTTGATTGTACTGATCCGGTCCCAGCGATTCAAACATACTCTGGATCGACGGCGATGACCCAAATGATCCGTGCAATCTGGCCTTCGTACCTGGACATCCCGAATCATCTCCCCGCGTCCGCGGGCATCACCACACAACAGATGGTGTCGCACTTTCTCTTCTGGTCCGTCCAATTCCCCATCCTGCTGATTCCACCCCACAAGCTCCGATGGTTCTTCGTCTTCAAGACCGTGGTGGTAGTCGCAGCCGCCGTCGGCACGGTCATCGGGATGTCGGTACTGGCGAACGGCGCGGGAGACATCTGGGACCAGCAACCCACCGTCTCTGGCTCCACGAAATCCTGGCTGATCCTGTCTTCCATGTCTTCGATGACCGGCGGCTGGGCGACCATGGCCACCAACGTCGCCGACTTCACGAGATACCTCAAGAAGCCAAAGGGTGTCTATTGGCAGTCGTTGTTCGTCCCCGGCATCTGCACCATGCTCGGCGTCTTCGGCATCATCGGCACCTCGTGCGCAAAGGTGGTGTACGGAGAATACATCTGGGATCCCCTCGCCCTCGCCTCCATGTGGGAGGGCCCAAAAGGCCGCGCCGCCGCCTTCTTCGTCGGCTTCGCCTGGTGCGTCGCGCAGATCGGAGTCAACCTGTCCGCCAACGTCATCTCCTGCTCCAACGACATGGTGAATCTGTTCCCGAAATACATCAGCATCCGCCGCGGCGTCGTCATCACCACCGTCATCGGCGGCTGGGTCATGGTGCCCTGGAAGATCGTCTCGTCCGCCGCGAGCTTGCTCAACTTCATGGGTGCGCTGGGCGTGTTCCTCGCGCCCGTCGCTGCCATTACGGCGTGCGACTTTTGGGTGGTCAAGCGGCGCGCGGTAGATGTGCCGGCGCTGTACCGTCGGCATTCGAGATATCGCTACAACACGATCGGAACGAACTGGCGTGCCGTCGTGGCGCTGCTGGTGAGCGCGGTGCCGAATCTGCCCGGCATGGCTGCTGCGGTGAACGCCAATGTCGATATTGGTGGCGCCGCTTACATCTACGACATCTTCTACCTGTATGGCTTCACCTCGGCGTTTGTCGTGTACGCAGGACTGAGCTGGGCGTTCCCAGCGCAGGAGACGCTGATCGAGGAGAGCATTTACGAGGATGTCGTTCTCATGAACGGAGTGGAGATGATCAACGATGGAGTGCATCGGCCGTTTGCAGATGGAAAGGCTGTTGCTGAGGACCGGGCTACTGAAGTCAGCGCGAGCTAGATAGGTACATGTACTTCCCCGTGCTGTGTAGCTGCCATCGTCAACCACGCCATCAGAGATCCTATCTCCACCTCAACCCATCATCTATTCCGACTCCGTACATCAAGTAAACCTCCACCGCGCATCAACACCCTTCCGCATCACCAACGGCGCCACCCCGACCGTTGCCGCCGCCAACCCCACCACCGTCGCCAACATCTGGAACTTGTTGAAATCCCTCCCCAACACATCGAAACTCCCGCTCGGCCCTACTCGCGTTCCGAAAATGTCGTGGCCGTACGCGAACACCAGACTCGTGGACTCGATGAACGCAGGGCTGGTCAGGACTTCGTTGATACCGATGACTGAACGAGCGTGGTTGAGGTACCAGCGCGGATCGAACTCGATGACGGGGGCGTAGCGGACGAGACCTTCGGCCAGTTCGTCTTTCGTCGGGTCGCGGTTGACGGGGCGTCGAGGGTCGAGGATCGAGTAGGGGATGCTGACGATGCCGTCGGACGCGGGAGTGTAGGCGAGGAGGTGGCGGGATGTGATGCCCTGTTTCGTTCGGGTGACGGCGAGTTTAGAGACGGATTCGGGGATTTGGTAGGTTGCGGTGAGAGCGAAGGGTTCTGGTGAGGTTTCCAAGGTGGAGAAGTTGGCGGCCGATTGGAGGCTGCCGCGGTCGTTGGGGATGAGGGATTCGAAGAGCTCGCCGACGATCAGAAGGTGGCCCCGCGGGTCGGCCGAGGTGGTGAGGGTGTAGGCGAACCAGTTCTCGGACATGATTGAAGAGATGGGATCGGCGAGGTCGACGGAGGTGTGTGTGGTGGAGTGCAGGATGGCGCCGGAGAGGGTGTCAAGAACATACACGGATGCGGTTTTAGAGGCATCATTTGTGGTCGCCAAGAGGGCCACATTGGGGTTGAGGTACTTGTAGAGGACACGTCGGTCACCCAGCACTTTACCAATGTTGGCGACCGGGTCATTTACGGGTCGTGGAACAAGGCTGTGAATCCTGTCTTGAGAGCTGGGGGTGAAGTGCCAGAGCGAGCCAGCGTTTTCAACGTCAAGACGCTTGGCTTCAAGGCCATCGTCCGTCATCGTGTACTGGACGTTCGGTCCAGTCGTCGCTGCTTCGCGAGGTGGAGGAGCAAGTAGCAAGTGTCCATTCGTAGCGTTGAAGGCAAGCTGCTGTCCACCTTGCCCTTGGTGCAAGATTAATACATCTGCTTGCGACGTGAGCTGTGGTCTCCACGTCTTCCCAGCTTGCAATGTAGTGGCTTGTCGGTTCCAGAGCACTCGGTCAGGACTTCCAGCATCCAGGGCAATCAATCGCCCGCTAGCAGTCGCACAAGCGAGTATCTGGTGAAAGCCAAAGGCGTCTTTGGCCATTCCACCTTCGCTGCTCGTCCCAAGGAAGCCACGCATGAACCGCTGAGGAAGAGACATGAGCATGCGAGGCAGGTATTTCAGTTCCTCAATGTGGCGCTTCATGCGGTGCACGTATGCAGCCACGGCATTGCTGTGCGCTTCCACTTCCAGTTCTTGCTCGAGCTCTTCGATAGCAGAAGAGGTAGCGAAGGTCGCAGAGGAGATGTCAGCGAGTGCTTCCGGACGGTTCCAGACAGGGCTGCCATCCCTAAGTAGCATCCAGTCGCCCGTCGAGAGTGAGACGGCTGTCCGGATGGCCGAGACTGCATCATTCTTGATGGAGAGCTCAGATACGGCGTGTGTCGGTGTGATGACTTCGCTGGTCCCAGAATCGATGCCCAAGCCTTGAGCTTTCCACCTGCCTAGTATGCCATGAGAGGAAGAAGATGTGGTCGTGATCTCGTCTTCGGTGATTCGTGTGAAGTAGACATTGGCGTCCGATACGCTTGTCGAGAAGGCTCCTTTGCCTGCGACCTTCGGCAGACTGTATGCTTTTTCGATCTTGTTCTTGCTGAGATTGATATGGAAAACATCCGCCCAGTGCGAGTTGGCGGTCTCGTAGTGAACTAGAAAGTGGGCCAGCGAGTTGGTGTGGTATGGCGCCTGGATGCTGATCTTCTCCACTGCTCTATCGTCATGCTTCTCAATGTTGAAGGAGGAAGTGCTCTTCGTTCCAATGATGTTGACCTTGAGGGTGGTGTAGGCGGCATCTGTCCAAGCAATGATCGGTGAAGCGGAGTTGGCGCCAACAGAGAGGATAGTTTCCGCGGTGGCTAGCTCACTGTCAGAGCTGAGGGTGTACTCATCGGTCTTGTGACCATCGACAGAGTCTAAGGACACCACCCGGATCTTATAGTATCCCAACATCGTCTTGTGAAGCAAGATCACGAAGACCTCCGTGGAGGAGGCAGATACTTGGTAAGGCAGATCACCGCCCTCCACCTTGAACTGCCACCTCTTCGTACCTGAAGCTCCATCTATGCGCTGCACAGCAGGACTGTCGCCGCTTGAAAGGACCAGTACGTCTTTGTTCCCAGCACTCGCCAGCTTATCGCTCAGCTCCAGTATCTCCACGTCTTCCACCGGTCCATCTGTATTCATATCCCATGCTAACCGTCCATCCGCCGCAGTCCATGCCGCGACCCGACTTCCACTGCCGCTGACAACCACATCCTGTCCATCTGCTGCTCGGAGAAAGCCATTGCTCCGCTCAGTCACATTCTGCGCGAGTGCATGCCGCCATACTATTTCACCATCCCGTGGATTTACTGCCCCCACTACACCCTTCTCTGAGAGAGTGTACAGCAGCGAGGCCTTGGAGTTGGTGCTTGGCCGGTGGAAGAATGTGGTGTCCTGTTGGGGCTGACCCAGTAAAGCGTAGTGGTAGTCTACGTTGTAAGCCTCATCGGCGAAGACTGCAGATGTGGTTTTGAGCAGGAGACATGCCGCTGCGATCAAGGGGATCCGCATCATGTTGTCGCTACTTCATCGCTGTCGCTTTCATGTGATTGAAGTGAATTAGGCAATGCCAAAAGCACGTGCAGATTGAGCCGCAAGAACGTTTCGCCGATGCTGAGTCAGGAACCGTCACTCTTCATTCAGCCTTATTTGTTTCGTTTCTTCTTGCACGCCTTCAACGTCAACCTGCTTGCGATGCTCCTTTTCGGGCAATGCAACAGCGACAGGTACCGCCTGTGGAGACGAGAGCGGTATGGCAAGTTCCGTCAGGGCCAGGAACATATCGCAGCGCACTGCAGCCGAGACGTCACTAGCCGGTGCCGCAAAGACGCTGCAGGCACGAGCCGAGGAACATCCACTGAATCTGCTGAAACTAGGTGATGAAGCTGCCCCTCCAAGCTCGACCGTCTGCCGTTCGGAGCATCTACCGATAACCCCAAGTGGATGCGATGCGACCGACGCAGGTCCTGACTTGGGTACCTGAATTTCACGTGAAAGCGCAGCCCCATGTCGTACAATGGTCGGCAATGCCATTGAGTTTATCTCCATCTCCACCGACAACTTACCTGGCAATCGCCGTCACAATTTATCCTAGCAGTCCCAAGGGAGTGGCTCCGGTGGTGGTCAGCCTTTGAGATCCGGCGGCGGCGGGGGAGCGCTCCCATCCGCAGACTGCTAAATTAGCTGCTCAACACCCCCCAGTAGGCTGCCGTCACTGGCGGCGGCGTGCTGCATGACTGAGCTCGATCGTCGACCACCCTCCTCCCCCGGCACACTTCCGGCGACAGCGGCCAAATCAGCGTAGCCTCTGCGCGAGCATTACGGCCATTGGGCCCGGCAGAGCTTCTACTGCACTTCTACTGCAGATCCATCGCGTGCGGACAGGCATGCTGCAGCAGTAGTCCCGCTCGGCTAACTCGAGACGTGCATGGCCAAAGCAAAATTCCCTGGCGCCCTGACATCAGACTTTCAGCAGCCATTGCCGGGAGCTCGACACACTACGGTACTCTGCGCGACATGACGGACCGGCAATGAGGAAGCTAGTATTTCCACTCCCTTCCCACGGCCACGGCGCCGGAGGCGGATCGTCTGTCGTATTTCCCTCCAGTCAACTCAACTTCTTGAGATCTGTCAAGGTTGGCTAGCCATTGTTCCTCAAACTTTCCATCCTATCTATCCTACTCCTACACCTCCTTCGCGACTGAAAGCTACTCTTCTCGCCTCCCTCAAACCTACTCCTCCACTGACCCAAACTTCAAAAAGAGCTTGTGTGACCTATTTCGCGAAATCATCTCATCCCTACCTCTGCCGAATATCACCAACCCACCGGCGCTGGACCGTTATAGCTGAAGACCTCCCAGCTCAGAGGCACGAGGGTCTTCAGCATATCCAAGCCACAGCATCGCCTTCTGCACCGGTCCCAACTTAACCCACTCAGTCAATGTGCGGCCGCTATCGGCCACGCCAGGCTCCCGTGTCATGTCGCGCGCCGGATACCAGAGGTGTGGACATGCCATTGGCTTCTAATATGAGGATGAAGATCTGATTTGAAACGCAGAGAATATCACATAGCGGTCATTGGATCCGGAGGCGTGGGAAAGAGCTGTCTTACTGGTATGAGGAGAGATTCGAGCTATCTACCAGCAGACGACGCAGAAATGCTGATGCTGTGAAGCACAATTCGTGCAGGGGGTGTTTATCGAGAGCTACGATCCTACCATTGAGGACTCGTATCGGAAGCCTATGAGTGTGGATGTGCGTGAAATCTTTGAGTACAATGGCTCGCGAGCAATTCAGCACCACTGACAATAGCAGGGCCGCCATGTCATGCTCGAGATCATGGACACAGCCGGGACAGAGCAGTTCAGTGGGTTATCCAATCCCATCTAGCCCAAACTCCATGCTAACACTCCACAGTCTCCATGAGGTAGTGCCCAATCCACCATTACCCTTCAATCACCCGGCCTCTAATTCGAATCACCAGAGAACTCTACATGCGTGAAGCCCAAGGCTTCCTCCTCGTCTTCTCCATCACCTCCCTCTCCTCCCTCCAAGAACTCGCCGAGCTGCGGGAGCAAATCGTGCACGTCAAAAACGACCCCAACGTGCCCATCGTGCTGGTCGGCAATAAATCGGACCTCGAAGACGACCGCCGCGTCTCCCGCAGCAGGGCTTTCGCGGTCAGCCAGGCGTGGGGGAATGTGCCGTACTACGAAACCAGCGCCAGGAGGAGACAGAATGTGACCGAGGTGTTTGTGGATGTGTGTCGGCAGATTATCCGTCGGGATGTTGCGCGCGCGAGAGTGGAAGGCGGTGGTGGTGGGGGGAGAGACCATAGAGGTGGGGGCAGGAGACGGAGGAGGGAGAGGGAGAGGCAGAGGAGTAGGAGTCGTAGGCGGTATGAGGAGGATGACGAGGAGGATTATAGAGGTGGTGGTGGTCATGGGGGGAGGAGGAGTCGGTGTGTGATTTTATGACGTTGGCGTTGGGGTGTAGGTGTTTGGTATGGTGCGGTTAAAAACTTGGGTATAGATGGGAGAAATGGAAGAAGGCTTCTAGCCATTGCGAGCAGAGTTGACGACTCGGGACGAAACTCGGAACACTATCGTGTACATATGGTAATCACAATGCATATACCATGTCCACTAACATACCCTACCATGAGCTCCGGACTTTGTGGTGATCACGGCGTGTTTGCTACAGATGAACATTGAGCACACCAGGCATTTGGCACAGTTCTCTTGAATCTCTATTGTTACATTCTGGTCGATATCAACCGACTGGCGGGCATCTATCTCTTGAGACACGATCTTCCTCTTAGGTCGTTCGATCTTCCGCCTTCCTTCACTGCTTGTCTCCTTTGCTCTTGCGGTTTACTCCGCGACTCCGCTTTTACTTAAAGCTCTTAAGTCACAGTGTATCCACCGTCCACCCGCAGGTCGGCGCCCGTCACGTAGCCGCTCGCGTCACTGCACAAGAACGTGACCGCGCCCATCAGATCCTCTGGCCTTCCCATCTTGCCCTGCGGGATGAGCGATGTCCACTTCTGCGCGAGCGCCGGGTTGTCGTCGAGGATCTTCTTCGTCCTGTTCGTTTCGTCAGCAAACGCCCTCACACCGCCCAGATCTGAAAAGCAAGTACTCACAAAGCCGTCAACATATACCCAGGCGAGATGCAGTTGACCCTAATCCCCGCATGCGCCCACTCCACCGCCAACGAGCTCGCCAAGTGCCTCACCGCCGCTTTGGCCGCATTGTACGGCGCCTGCGGCTGCGGCACGTTGACAATCGCACCGCTCATGCTGCCAATCATCACCACGCTTCCCGGCGCATTGCGCGACATGAGATGCTTCGCCACGCCTGTAGCAAAAAGATAAGTGCCGTCAACATTCACACCCCAAAGCTTCTGCATGCGGTCGTGCGGGTACTCGATGGCGTCGAAGTTCTCCGTGAAGCCGGCGGAGGTGACGAGGTTGTCGATTTTGCCGTGGGCGCCGAGGATCTCTTCGAGGGCGCTGTTGACGGAGGTCGGGGAGGAGACGTCGGCGTAGTGGGCGGTGACTTTGGGGATGCGGTCGGCGCCTGGGTTTTCTTTTTTGAACGTCGACATGAGGATGTCGGCTTGGTGTTCGGCTTCCTCCTCTGCAGTATCATACATTAGTTTCTGTTCTTGGAACTCCAGAGAGTGGGGTAGAAGATGGAGGATAGCATACTGTTCAAATCAACAATCGCAACATCCGCACCGCTCACCACCAACGCCTGGCTCATCACCAATCCCAACCCTCTCGCACCTCCCGTCACCACACCCACGCGGTCTTCCAAGCTGAAGCTCGCGAGTGTCCGCTTGAAGTGAAATCCTCCCCGTCCCTGCACGGGATGCTGACGCGGCAGATCGGCTTCTTCGGGGTACTCGACGCGGATGCGCTTGTCGGTACGTGAGTGCTGGCCCTCGTGTTCGAAGGCGCCGAGCTCGCCGGAGGTGGTGTAGTGCTCGTAGTCGCCATTGTCGTTCGGATCGGAGGAGGACTTGTCGAGGGTGAAAGGGGAGGTGGTGAAGGCGCGGGTTGCGGTGGTTGGGGAGACGCGCTGGATGGTAGGCGGGCGGGCGGCGGTGGTGGAGGCTCTCGAGAGTTGGCGGAGGAGGTTGTGCTTGAACATGGTCGCTGTTGGTGTCAGCTTAAGCTTGCGTTACACGTGAGAGCACGGCGTCGAGGGAGAGCCAATGGGCAAGGGATGTGGTGGAAGTGAGAGACTTACCGGTTGAAGGGATGGTATAGACAACTGGATGGTGTGGTATAGAGACAGGAAGAGAGAGGGATGGTTGGAGGTACGAGAAGAGTGTATCTTTCTGCAAAAGGATCAACGTGTTTCTTCCAATCGCTTCTGTTTCTGGCTCTTCACACGAGCTCTCAACACTTTCTTGGATGTGACGTTGCTAGCTCAGGGTCCAGCAGAACTTGAAGGCGACTCATGTCAGCTTCTTCTCATCATCTTCTTATCTTCTCCATTGTCAAGTCTCACCGAACTGCTTCACAGGATGGCTGCCATTCTCGTATGGGCATATGTGCCAGACATGACATGAGGCAAGAGCAGCAGGAGTGCCGTCAAGGCACGCACGGTAAGACTCGGAGGTATAAACATGAACAAGCCCCTTTTCTGAGAACATCTATCACTTCCTATCACCGCCTGCACCCCCTACTTCTTCCTATTAAACCCATCAATCGCCGGCCCCAACGCAAGAATATTCGCCGGTGCATCCAAGTACCCCAGCTTCAATTCCAACACCCTACACATTTCCCCCTCATTGAACTCCTTGTCCGCGAACACCTCCTCCAGTCCCTCGCATGTATCGATCTGGCCCCAGTACTTGGATGGGAAGGCAGGACCGAAGGTCTTCGCCAGAAGCGAGTAGTCCCACTCCCCGACTTTGTTGTATGGGGCGTCTTTGCCATGGATGGCGTTCCACGGTGTAGCCGCGCTGTTGAGGATGATTCTGGAAATACAGTCAGAAAGCTGTCTTTCGGTTAGATGATGGAAGGGCCACTTACACGATAAGGATTCAGCTCCAGCTTCAGCATATCCGCGAACGCTTGCGCCGTGAGCTGGAGACTGCCCTCACCAGTGACGAGGATGCAGCGCCTGTACGCTTTGTTCTCCTTGATGGCTTTGGCAGCCCCAACAATCGCACCCGTGGCGTATCCGATCGACCCGAAGACCGTCTGGTTGAACATTGATGCCGTGGTGGGTAGCTTGCTGGCTGAGATGCCGTATGGCGGAGGTACCGGTCTCGCCGATGATGAAGTCGCCTGGTCTGATGAACCTGCCGACCGCCTGTTCGATACATTAGCATCACGACGGCAATTGTGAGGAAGGGATGTTGATGCTTACCGCCCAAAGGTAGTCCTGGGTCAACTTTGGGCTCTTCTCAATGTTGGCCAATGGGTAAGGATCCCAATCGACCTTGGCGGTGGACGTCCTGGCTAATGGTTTGTCTTCTAGGCTCTTGATCAGTGCTCGCAGCAGGTACTTCATCTTCAGCAAGAACTTTTTGGCGCCGATCTTGACAAAGAAACGTTGGAAGTCGACAGCCACATCCACCCCGACCTTCTCCGTGAACTCACCGGTGTTGAAGTCGCTCTGCTCGATGTCAGCATACAACTACTTCGTCTTAACCAATAAAGATTGGAGTACCGGGAAGTTTCCAATCCAGAACACCGCATCCGAACCCTCAACAGCCTCGCGAACCTCCTTGTACGATCCAAGCCCTGAACACACACCACCGAAGTTCGGCAACTCCTCATCAATACCTCCCCTGCCCATACTGGTCGTGAAGGTCAGCAATCCGGTCAGCTTCGCCAGCATCCCGCACTCCTCCGTCACGTAATTGCGACACGCATTGCCATCGACAATGAAGATGGGCGACTTCTTCTGCTCCAGCAGCATGCGCAAGTCACCTACCACCCCCTTCTCGAGCTCCGGCTCATTGGGTGGCAGCTCACCATGGATCGGCTTGTCCAGTCCCGAGCTATCGCAGGTAAGATGCGACATATCGACCGGCACACCGATATACACCGGTCGGCTCTCCTGCAGCATGGTTGTGAGGCAGCGATCGATCTCTGCAGCTGTGGTCTTGGGATTCAGCAGCACGGTGGTGGTCGCGGAGATTTGACTGGCCATCTTCTCGAACATGTCGAACTCGCTCGTGCCGAGGGTATGATGCATGACCATGTGGCCGCGCATTGCATCCCCTATTACCAACGTATCAGCACGCCACCCATCACCATCTCGCCTGTCGAGGAAAGTGGTACTCACGCCCTGGGTACCCAACCACATGCGCCACCGGCACAAGCTCCGTATACTGGCCCGCCTGCCCACAATACGAGCTCAGCTCACCGGGGCCATAGGTGTCGACCCAAGCGCCAACGCCCTTGAGACGCGAGTAGCCGTCCGCGGCATAGGCGGCGATCAGCTCGTTCGGGTTGCCGGCGAACTCGACGCCCGAGTCGCCTATCAGGTCGAGAAGGGCGAGCTCGTAGTCTGCGAGTGGTCAGTGGATGGGGGAGGCATGGGGGAGGGGATGGGGGCTGACCTCCTGGGACGCTGAAGACGGTTGAGACGCCGAGTTGTTTGAGGCGGGTGAAGAGGTAGTTTCCGATTTTGATCTCGGGCATGGTGGAGTTGTGGATGAGGTTTTCGTGGAGTGAAGGGGTGAAAGTGGTCTATTACTGACTTCCTGTCTGCTCCAGCAACAATGAGGTGGGATTGAAATCCGGATACTGCTGCGTTCAAGGAGAGGCTTCTCTTGACACTTTTCATACACCGGAAGGCCGAAGTGGGATTGATGCACGCTGTGCATTCCATGGCCGTCCGAAGCCTCTTATTATACTCAGCAGTCTCTCTCCCTCACCCTTCCCATCGTACGCAAGCCATGCCGCCATCGCTCAATGCCACCGCCCACAATGTTTCCATTGATCTTTCCCATCGGCGTTGGATACATCAGAGCCGCGGGTGGCCGACCCATGTCTCTGGTATAGCCGTCTCCACCCAACCAGCTGTAGTACGTGTTGTAGCTGCTGCTTTCAGCTCAAGCACCGCTTTGTCATGCAGCTTGAACCCAAGGATCAGACGTCACTGGTTGGAGAGATGCAGGCTGACTATGCATTAGTGCTACCTTTGACCGAAAAATTGGACCGCTGTCGCCGCTTCTTCCTGCTGGTGAGCGTGCTGGACTGCTGAGTTGTTGCTGCGGTTCTACTACGATCTAGGAAAATTGCATGAGCCGAGTTGAGGGATCACGGCCGTACCTTGCGGAAGCCGTCGAAAAACGCCGCCAGAGCCGCGTTTACCGGGTTAGAGGTGAGGGCTTCAGCCGATACGGCTTCGTCTTTTCTCGGGAAGAAGATGATCTAGTGGTGAGAGTGAGGTCGAAACGAAGGAGGCGGATGCTACAGCGCGGTCCAATGAAAGCCGAAAGAGTGGTCGTGGGCTACATACATACAAGTAGTATACATAAGTACCAGTACATCCCCAACCACCAACGCTTGACGGTCCTTAACTGTCATACCCAAGTGTACCTCCGCTTCACCAGGTTCATGTCGTCTCGAAGTCGATTGCACTGTCTACACGCTCGAAGAATGGTCCAGAATCGATCGCGGCCTTTGCAAGCCCCGAATCCGAAAGCACCCCTATGAAAACATTCCTTTCCCCATCCTTCAGGACTGCTGAATATCTGACAGTGCCACAGACAGACGCTGAAGCTCCGCCAGCGTCATCCCGCCCCCTCTCACCCTGGCCACGCTGCGCCGTAGAAAAGTCACGGTCTCATCGTGGTCCGGGTCTCCGTTCGCAAGCTCGACCACTTCTTGTTGGAAGTACTCCAGAAGATCGTTCAGGGGTGGCAGTGGCCCGTCGGGGCGACGATCGGATGGGAAGCCGAGCGGTGCGAGGTGGGTGAGCAGGATCCCGAATTGATCGCGCAGTAAGGCAGAGGCTTGCTGGGCGCGTTTTAGAACGACCTTGGCGATATCCCTGGATTCCAGTGCGGATTTGAATGTCAACCCGCCTGAACTCGAAGTGGCGTCGATGAGTGCGGCGGGACCCAAGGCTGACAGATCGATCGTGCAGCGTTGTTTGCGAGGCAGAACGTAAACATCCAACGATTTGATGGCGTTTCGCTCACTCGACTCGTCGGTGTCGCTGTCTTGGTTTGGTTCCCTGGCCTGCATCGCGAGCTTGATGAACATCCATGGCATCGAGCCTGTGGCGGTTCTAGCGTCGATGTCGGTTTGAAGGACGGTCAGGAATCGCCTGAGTCCTGGCACAGTGGCGATGTGTGTTGGTGGTCTCGTCTGCATGTTGGACTGCGATCTCGGCTTGGCCCACCGGTGTCAAGAATAAAGATGAGACTGGTGACGATTCTTCAGAGAAGAAATGAGAACACAGTGGTCGGAGAGTGAATGGCAGGGGGAGGGGTCCAAAGTGGGAGCTTTGGTATGCAGAAAGCGAGGTCTCATAAGGTGGATACTTATAGAGACAATCCAACGATCGTTGATAGCCTACCATGCACCGACAGGGGTGAACACCCGCAAGACGTCGGCTGGACGCATGAAGCTCGTCTTGGAGGACAAGCCATGTTGCCACACTCTGCTTTCGACGGCAACCTTCCGATGGTCCAGCAGCTCGGGACTGACGTGGTATACCCAGTGGTGCTAGAACAGACTTTCAAGTTTGGCTCGAGAGCGACTGCAGTCCACCTCTACCCTGTGCTATGTGATGGTAGAATGGAGAAGCCGTGGCGATGGTGAAGAGACCTCGAGCCTCGCCTCCAGAGTGGGTAGTCACAGGTTGATGAGTTCAAGTCAGAGGAATGCCGTCCACTCATAGGAATTCCTCTTCTCGCATGAAGGAGTCTCGTGATCGTGCTGAATGCCCAGTATGCTTCGTTCCGAGGCGCTGCCGTGCGTCCACAAACATTCGTGTTTCCGCTGTGCGACAGGAGACGTATTTTGGAGCACAAAGTGTCTCAGCAGTACCGTGAGGCTGGAGTGGTGGTGTGGTGCCGGCATGCTGTCGCTGCGGGATCCCACCACGAAAGACCTGTACAAGACATCCACTCTGCGGTCTTCTTGCCCATATACTTGCTTCCAAGCCAAAGCCAGTCATAGCTTCGATAAGCTTTCCAGGTTGCCACCGCGAATACGCTGAACATCTGCAGCCTTGTGCGGAGCAGAGACGAGGCTTCGCTACTCATCACAATCTGCACGTTGAACCGTGGAGGTTGACGCGCACCCAAGCCTGGCGACCCGACACCGTGGATGGCCATTCACCACGACGCTGGGACTGGTCATGGCGCCATCATCAACCCGGGGCCATGGCTCTGGAGAGTCTGCGTACTCTGAATGCTCGAATGGTCGTTGTGCTGCTGAGCATTCGGCCGTCCTGTCTTCCAGTGTCACGATGAGGGCCGGGCTCGGACAAAGCACACCAGAAGGAGCAGACCGTCAGACGAAGTGAGCGAATGCCTTGTCTCACCCGTCCTCGGAGCAGGCCTGCGGTACGTATGCCGTGTCGACGAGGTGTGGAAGAAGACGACGTTGTCTTGCTCAGCTGCGATGCCAAAGATAGATCAACGTGATCCGCGGCACATCCTCCCATCAGTCAGCATCGGCACAACGAGCTTCGTATTCGCTGCTCAGTGACTGTTCCAGGCCCCCATCACCAAGGGACTCCCACCCCGGCCAGCTGCGTGTTTCTACATGCGACCACCAATCAGTTGCACCCACGCTTTGATCCTGGAGCAAAGAACATAGCAAGCGAGCGAGCAGCAACGCGAGAAGTCGTACGTTGCGCAACCGGGCGCCGGGGCCAGCATGACTTTCAAGGGCGCAACGAGAAAGAACTCAATTCCATTTGCCTGAACGCAAGCTTCGTGGATTCGTTGCTGATTCCAGGTCGTGCCGGTAATAAAGACGTCTGTTTCGCTCCTTACGACACGCTGTAGAATCTATTACTATCCGACCTCCCGTTGTCCTCCAAAGCCATCTCAAGAGAACACCATCGCGAATGGCGGTCTACCTCGCTGCAGGCGCAGCTGGCGTCTTGAGCCATGTGTTGTATTTCCACAGAGGAGAACACCACATGTGGGCTCCTACCTACATCCAACTGTTCTCTGTCTCCCTTGTTGGCAGCATCGTTGCCCTGACAAAGCTCTCAAACTGGCCACTCTCCGCCGCCATCACAACGACATCAGCTACCTTCGGCAGCTTCTTTTTTGGAGCCTTTGCAAGTCTCCTGGTCTATCGCATCTTCCTCAACCCTCTCAACAAGTTCCCCGGACCATGGCAGGGACGGATTACGCAGATGTGGATGGCGATGCACACCAAAAACATGGATCTGTACCTCAAGAACGAGGCTCTGCACAAGAAGTACGGCAAGTACGTCAGGGTCGGGCCCAATGTCCTCTCCATCTCGGATCCGGATGTGTACGATGCGGCGTTTGGGAAGCATGTCTGGGCGAAGGCAGAATGGTATGACGGCAGCAAACCTTTCGACAGCATGCACACCGTTCGCGACAAGGCCATTCATGACCGTAGACGGCGGATCTGGGCTCCTGCGTTTAGCGACAAGGCACTGAGGGAGTACGAGACCAAAGTAAAGTCGTACAATGATAAGCTCGTCGAGCGACTGCGGCAGTTTGGTGGCGGTACTGTCAATGCGAGCAAATGGTATCTTCAGCTTTCAAAACGCCGCCATCTCCAGCTCTTCGCTAATGTAGCTAAGGTTCAACCTATACTCCTTCGATGTCATGGGCCAGCTGGCCTTCGGAAAGGATTACAAGATGATGGACACCGGAGAGTTGCACTGGGCGCTCATTCTCCTCAATGAAGGCATGGAGGCGGTCCCTGAGCGTATGCCGGTTTGGTTGTTCCGGGTCCTGCTCGCCATTCCCTTTGCCGCTGGAGGGCTGTTCAAGTTCTTGAAATTCTGCCGTGACGAGCTGGAGTGGCGTGTTAACAACAAGGTTGAGGGTGGTGAGTGATCTTTTCACGCTAGTGGATAATCAAGACGAGCCTTGCTAACAGTGATCAATCCGCAGGCGACATCACAGGCTGGCTCCTCAAAGGCTACGGCAGCCTCAACACTGGCTACAACAACCCAGCCGACGACCCGATGTTCCAAGGCGACAGCCGCCTGATCATCGTTGCTGGAAGCGACACCACCGCTGCCACAATGACCTTCCTATTCTACCATCTTGCGAACAAGCCGGAGGAGATCAAGAAGCTTCGCGATGAGTTGAAGCCACTAACCTCGAGTAAGGACTGGTCTGACGTGGACATTAAGAATGCTCCACGACTGAACGGCGCCCTCAATGAGTCGCTGCGACTGCATCCCCCAGTTCCTTCGGGTGTTGAGAGGCTGGTTCCGAAAGGCGGAGCGACGGTGGGAGAAGTGGTTCTGCCTGAAGGGACACAGTTCTGGATGCCGCAGTATGTCATTGGTAGAGGTACGTACTCCTGTTGCTGTCATGGCAAATGTCATCAGACTGACGCTCCATTCAGACGAGGACAACTATGAGCGCGCATTGGACTTTGTTCCCGAACGATGGTTCTCAAAGCCCGAGATGATCAAGCACAAGAACGCTTTCGCTCCTTTTTCTCTCGGTTCCGAGGGCTGCATTGGCAAGAACTGTAAGCGATATCGCTATGCTCAGGGGCGGCCGCCATTTCACTAACAGTTATCAGTGGCTTACATGGAGATGCGCACGCTCACGGCTCAGCTCCTGCTCAACTTTGACGTATCCTTGGCTCCGGGCGAGGATGGACATCGGTTGCTGTACAAGTCTCGAGACCACTTCACCACTGGGTTGGGACAAGTCGATCTCATTTTCACGCCTCTGTCGGGCTGAAGCATTGTTGCGAGGGGTTGGGCGAGCTGCGATTTGTAATCCATTGGCGAGTTGGATATCGGCTTGCGGGTGGATTTTGCGCTCCGCTCCTTGCTTCTGGGGTCTGAGCCCGCGTACAGAGAGCAACTCCCCAGGATCACTAATTCGTATCAGTTGCTGACGTAGTTCTGGAGCCGCAATGCCATGTTCGATGCGCGGATAGCGGTATGCTGAGCCTTGTGAGGCTACAGAGGCCACTGCCCACTGGACCTGTCAGGTTCTTTCAGGTTTAGTGTTGTTCTTTCTCTTCGTCTCACGCACCAGTATCGCCGAGGACTTTTCCTTTTTGGTTCAATGAGGTTAGTAGATTGCCTTGTGTCGTATTCTTTTGAGTGCACCCGTGTAAGCATGCTGGACAATGGTAAAGTTGAAGTATGCTGGTTCTGAGCGACGGCAGATGCAAAGCCTGTCGTCATCGTTACAATCTCCGGGCAAAGTCCGTTGAGAAGTGTAAGTATCATCTTCTGTACCCAAAGAGAAGAAGTATAAAGAAACGTTCACGAACAATACCTGTATCTCGAGCAATACAAACAGCAACCCTCAATACGGAAAGCCGAGCGGACACAAAAGAGCCACACCATGGCCGATCAAGTCAAGTACACTCAGAAGCTTAAGGACGCCAAAGTCTTGGTGATCGGAGGTTCATCGGGTCAGTAACATACCTTTGATATGTCTAGCTTGTCTCGATGCTGATGTTCCGCAGGCATTGGATACGCGGTAGCAGAAGCCCTCATTGAGAACGGCTGCCATGTCACCATCTCTGCCTCCAACCCCAAGAAGGCCGAATCCACGGTCGACAGGCTGACCAAGTCTTACCCATCGGCCAAATCACGCATTGCTGGTCAGTCTTGCAACTTGGGTGACGAAGCAACCCTCGAATCCAACATCACCTCTCTCCTCGAGAAGGTTGGCAAGGTCGACCACATCGTCCACACGGCCGGCGATGCTCTCGCTTCTATGGAGCTGGCGAACGTTGACATGGAGAAGATCAAGCAGGCCGGCATGGTGCGGTTCTTCTCGCCGCTGATGCTCGCCAAGCACGCTCCCAAGTACCTTTCTGGTGGCCCGAACAGCAGCATCACGCTTACCACTGGCGCCGTCTCTGAGAGGCCGATCCCGAACTGGAGCGTCATCGGCTCTTATGCCACCGGTCTACAGGGCATGACGAGGCAGCTGGCGCTGGATCTGAAGCCGATCCGCGTCAACCTCGTCTCGCCCGGTGCCGTCAACACAGAGTTGTGGCTGAACTCGGGCTTCTCGGACGACCAGAAGGAAGCTTTCCTCAAGAGCCATGGGGAGAAGATGCCGACTGGGAAGGTGCCCGGGCCGGAGGATATTGCTGAGAGTTATTTGTATGTGTTGAAGGATAGGAATATCACGGGCGCAATGATTAGTACTTCAGGAGGGTCATTGCTTGTCTAGAGGCGGGAGTAGCTCTAGAACTACATTCGTCTCTTTGAAACTCCATCCTCCATACCGAAGCAAGCCAGCGAACACTGTATACTTTGCGAGTCGATGTAGTAAGTGAATGTAAAGGATCACGTTTAAGGAGAGAGCGCATGTGCCTAAGGTATTTCAGGGTCCTTCCTGCTTGAGCTGTGCAACCCCACAGTCGTGTTGATTTTCTGGAAAGTCTCGACGAGCACACGAGCTTTCGGACAACTTCAAAGCACAATTCCACTCGGCATAGCACTTCTACGAACACGTGTCCATACCTCCGACAGCATCCACGAGCGAGCATACCAACTCCCACTTCTCCCCAACTCGCACACAACTCACGACCAACATGGCATCCCCACAAGCTCAAGAGGGCAAGGTGAAGTCCGTCCTGTCCGGCGACACGCTCATCCTGCAGAACAAGGCCAAGCAAGAACGTACGCTCAGCCTCGCCTTCATCAACGCTCCCCGACTCCAGCAAGACGAGCCCTGCTCCTTCGAGTCACGAGACTTCATCCGCAAGCTGTGCGTGGGCAAGGTCATACACTTCAAAGTCCTATACTCAATCCCACAGAAGGTCGGTGGCTCTTCACGCGAATATGGCACTGTCATGCTGCAAGGCGGACAGACTCTGCCAGACCTCATTGTGCAGGAAGGCTGGGCAAAGCTAAGAGACGATGCTGAGCGCAAGGCCGAGTCACCTGCGGCCGCCGAGCTGCTGGAGCGACTGCAGGCTTTGGAGGCGCATGCGAAAGCCGATGAGAAGGGCGTGTGGAGCTCGAAGCCGAAGTCTATAGACAACTTGCGCGAGCTGCCGGATCCCAAGGCATTCGTGGAGGAGCACAAGAGCCAAGCAGTCGACGCCATTGTGGAACGTGTGCTCAGCGGTGACCGCCTGATATGCCGACTCTTGGTTTCGCCAACACAGCATGTACAGACCACAGTCCTGGTTGCAGGTCTGAAAGCGCCTTCGACGGCAAGAACAAACCCAAGCGACGGCTCCTCTCAAGCAGCCGAACCCTACGGAAACGAAGCGCAGGCATTTGTGGAAGAGAGATTATTACAACGAGGCGTGCAGGTGCGGGTACTCGGCGTCTCACCAAACAATCTGCTTGTTGGTGAAGTGAGACACCCTGTTGGCAACATTGCCGAGTTCCTGCTCAAGGAAGGCTATGCGCGGTGCGTCGACCATCATTCCACCTGGCTGGGTGGTGAGATGGGCAAGCTACGGCAAGCAGAACGTCAAGCAAAGGAGCAGCAGAAAGGCGTATTCAAGAGCCATGTGACGCCACGTGCAGGTGGCGGTAGCGAGAGTGAAGCAACCGTCAGCCGAGTCTTCTCCGCTGACACGCTATTCATTCGTAACAAGGCTGGCACAGAGAGGCGGATAAACCTCAGCAGCGTACGGCAACCCAAGCCAAGCGACCCGAAACAATCACCATTCAGCGCCGAAGCAAAAGAGTTCCTGCGGAAGCGACTGATCGGCAAGCATGTCAAAGTCACCATCGATGGCAAGCGGCCAGCTACCGAGGGCTACGATGAGCGCGAGATGGCTACGGTATCCCAGAACAACAAGAATGTCGCTCTCATGCTTGTTGAGAACGGCTACGCATCGGTAATCCGGCACCGAATGGACGACCAAGACCGCAGCCCACTCTATGACGAGTTGCTCGCGGCCGAAGAAGCTGCTCAGAAGGACGGAAAGGGCATGTGGAACCAGAAAGCACCCAAGCCACTGAATTACGTCGACTACAGCGAGTCACTCGAGAAAGCGAAGCGACAACTGACACTCCTGCGGAACCAGAAGCGGGTGCCTGCAATTGTGGACTTCGTCAAATCTGGCTCCCGTTTCACTGTGCTGGTACCCAGGGAAAATGCCAAACTCACATTCGTCCTCGGTGGGATCCGTGCTCCTCGTTCAGCTCGTGGTCCGAATGATGCTGCAGAACCTTTTGGCCAGGAAGCGCACGACTTTGCAGTGCGCAGGTGCATGCAACGGGATGTGGAGATTGACGTAGAGGATACCGACAAGACTGGTGGATTCATTGGGACGCTCTACGTCAACCGCGAGAGCTTTGCCAAAGTGTTGGTTGAAGAAGGCCTCGCAAGTGTGCACGCATACTCGGCGGAGAAGAGCGGCAATGCCAATGAGCTGTTCCAGGCAGAGCAGAAGGCCAAAGAGGGGAGGAAGAATATGTGGCAAGACTGGGACCCATCACAAGATGCAGAAGAAGATGGCGAGGAGCTAGCTGACACTGCAACAAATGGTGCCGATGGTGTTAACGGGGATGCTGAGGCGAAGCCGCGCGAGAGGAACTACAAGGACGTTACTGTCACTTTTGTTGACCCGACAAACGCTCGCCTGAAGCTGCAGATGCTTGGAGGTGGCACTTCCAACCTGGGCTCACTGATGAAGGACTTTGCTTCCTTCCACATCTCGCCCTCGAACAACCAGCCCCTCCCTTCACCACCCAAAGCCGGCGACATCGTCTCCGCAAAGTTCTCTGAAGACGGCGTCTGGTACCGCGCTCGCGTCCGCCGCAACGACCGGGAGAACAAGAAGGCGGAGCTCGTGTACATTGACTACGGCAACTCGGAGACTCAACCTTGGAGCTCCCTTCGTCCACTGGATCAGAGCCGCTTCGGCACGCAGAAACTGAAGCCACAAGCTGTCGATGCGGTGCTTTCATTCCTCCAATTCCCGACATCAACCGAATACCTCGCCGACGCTGTCGCCTTCATCAACGAAGTCGTCCTCGATCGGTCGCTAGTCGCCAACATCGATTTCACCGACTCGAAGGATAACGGGTTGCTGTACGTCACGTTGATGGACCCGCAGCAAGCGGCCAGTCTGGACCAGAGCCTGAACGCGGAGGTCGTGAGCGAGGGTCTGGCGATGGTGCCGCGGAAGTTGAAGGCGTGGGAGAGAGGGGCGACGGATGTGCTGAAAGGGCTGCGGGAGAAGGAGGGGGCGGCGAAGGAGGCGAGGAGGGGGATGTGGGAGTATGGGGATCTGACGGAGGATTAGGGGGTTCAATCATGCCCAAACGTTGTTCCTTGCATCATTATCGGCGGAGGCTACATGCATGGGTATTGAAAAGGAACATGGCGGGCCAAGAGTCGTTCTCGGCCCAGCTCATTATGCATCAATGTTAGCTTGGGTACAAGGTTATACCACGAGCTTGGGTCTACCGAAGTCATCTGGCTCACCCATGTCAATCTCTCGAGTCATGTTGTGCCCAAGCACTTCCTCTGACCAGGTGTCTCGTTAACATCAGAATGTTGGGACTTTGTCTCTGATCTGACCTATCTCATCGTTTTGGCAAATCGAAGACGAGGCTCTCATCTCGTCCCGGAGTAAGACCGTACCCAGCACTTGGCCTGCGGGGACTCCACAAACATCAACGCCAAACGCCAACGTCCCACCCCTTCCTCCTACATCCCAAGCTGATCAAGCCAGTACGTATCCCCCATAGCGGCGTTCCAAGGTCTTTGCGGGCGGAGAGAAATCCACAGTATGTCTTCGCGGTGGTGGCTATGCTGCGTGCTTCAGCATCATTCCCTCCTCCTCCTTCCACCTGGCGGAGCTTGGCGAAAACTCCATCGTGAAAATCCGCTGGGTGTGTACTTGGCGGCGCTCAGTTGCTTGCTCACGATGATGTCGTGGGCTTGATCGTGAATAGCTCGCTGTGATGTTGCTCCGTGATGAGACCCACGGCCGAGGGTGGTATAAGTGAGTGGCTTCCAGCTCATGGGCCTGGAACGGTAGGTAGCTTGACCCTTCCATCGCCTTGCTTTTCGCTCTTTCTTGCTACTTCTCCCCCTTCTCTCAGGACGAAAAGATCTAGAAGATAGCCTTCGGCTACCATGACTTCAGCTCGAGCAGCCCAGGTGGACATTGTCCCTGCCGAGAAGGAAGATGTACTGCAGAACGAGTATGCATTCGACGCGAAGGAGCAGGGCGCCAGGATCGACTACTCTGGCGCCCATGAGAAGACAGATCCTGTTGAGATAGCCTTGGTGAAGAAGCTTGATCTCTGGATCATGCCCATGTACGCTCCAATTACCGTGCCAAAAGGAAGTCCGACCGCTGACACAGGCTCTTAATAGGCTTTGGGGTATGTATTGGCTAAATTATTTGGACCGAAATGCGATAGCCACAGCACGTCTGGACGACCTTGAATCCGACCTCAATCTCTCCTCGTCAGAGTACCAGACATGCGTGTCAATCCTCTTCGTCGGCTACATCCTCGGCCAGATCCCTTCAAACATGCTCATCACCCGCCTCCGTCCTTCGTACTACATGGCCGGCTGTATGTGCCTGTGGGCCATCATCAGCTGTTTGACCGCCCTGGCCAAAGACTTCACTGGCCTGTTGCTGACGAGGTTCTTCCTGGGCGTCGTCGAGGCGCCATACTATCCTGGAGCACTATACCTGCTGTCGATCTTTTATACCAGGAAGGAGGTTGCTACTCGTATCAGTATCCTGTACACCGGCAACATCCTCGCCACGGCTTTCGCTGGGCTCATTGCTGCTGGCATTTTCCATGGACTTTCAGATGTCGGAGGACTTTCGGGGTGGCAATGGTTGGTAAGTGCAGTCTTCTCGAAGAAACACACAAAGAAAGAATCCTCAGACGAACACCACATGCTCCGGTTGCGAGGCGGAGAATGACTGATATTGTGCTGCGTAATTCATCTTGCAAGGCGTAGTCACATTCGTGGTCGCCGTCGCATCCGCTTTCATCCTTCCAGACGATCCACTGAAGACTCGCTGGCTCAGTCCTGAAGAGCGAGAACTCGCCAACAGCCGCATTGTAGCGGATACCGTGGGCGCCAAACACCAGACGAGCAGCTGGAATGGCCTCAAGGAAGCCGGCAAGGACCCCAAGATTTGGCTCTTCGCCTTCATGCAGCATATGCACCTTGCTGCCAATGGCTTCAAGAACTTCTTCCCGACTGCCGTGGAGACGCTTGGTTTCTCGCAGACTATCACCCTTGTGCTCACCTGCCCTCCGTACCTTATCGCAGGCGCCATTTCGATTTACTGGTCGTGGCAATCTGGCAGGTTCAACGAGCGGACTTGGTACGAAGAGCTGTTTCCCATAGTTGTGCCTTGCTGACCGTCTGATGCAGGCATATAACCGCCGCCAAAGCCGTTGCTGTGTTTGGCTTCGTGCTGGCAGCAGCGACTTTGAATACCGGTGCAAGGTACTTCGCAATGTGTGTGTTTGCGGTTGGAACGTACGCCGTAAACTCGATCATCCTGGGATGGGTATGTCACCCTCGCCAAAGCGGACAGCTCCGAATGGAATAAGACACTGACAGAGGTTTTGCAGGTATCAAGCACGTGCGGCCAGACCAAGGAGAAGAAGGCCTCCAGCCTTGCTATTGTGAACACCATCGCCAATGCTTCGTTCATCTGGACTCCGGTATGCCGCCTTGGATCCTTGTCATTGCTATAATACGCTGATTAGCTGATCTTGTTCGCAGTACCTCTGGCCCGACACGGATGAGCCGCGATATGCGATTGCCATGTCCAGCTCCGCCGCCTTCTCCATTGCAACAGCGACAAGCGCCTGGATTATGAAGCTCTGGCTCAAAAAGTTGAACAAGAAGATAAGGCAGACAGAGGATGAGTCGGTCTTGAGGTTTGCATACTAGTGGGTTGAATAGTGGCTGTCCCAGACGAATTCTCCAAGGAACAGATGGTGCGATGCAGTTGCAAACAAGAGCAATCGGAGCATCCGTCCAGCGCCAGCGCCCTCGAGATGACTTTATCCGTAGAACGCAGAGTTCCGAGATATCTTGTAATTTTCCCCAGGGTGGTTCAGTCAATGATTAGGCCAAGCTATTTGGCTAATACTGTTGCAATATTGCAAAAGGGACATACTCGAGTACGGCCGCTGAGATACGACACAAAGGAGTGGTATTCCGTTCCATGCCGACGGCAGTTCGGGACGTCATACGAAACGTGTTTCCGGGGTACGTGAAGTATTCGGTAGCGAGCGCCACACGAGGTCATTCTAGGGGATGGTGGCGTTCGGCAATCGACAGCGTTGACAGCCTCCCGCCGCGGGAGGCGTGATGGTGTACGGGCGAAGGGTGCGAGTTTCGTGATCTCCGAGCTGTCCAGAACAAAGTAGAATCAGCTGCAGTGGAGAGGCAGTGGGCCGAGTGTGTAGAGCACGTTTCGCCACGACAAATGTTGTTGTGCAACCTTCGTGACCACCTTCTTCCTCCCATCAAGATGCTACACACGTTGGAGAGCGAAAGGCCCAGGCAGTGCATCTAGTTCGATGGCCGCGGAGGCGGTCATCTCGTTCGCTCGAACAACGGCGTCCCAAGTTGCATGGTTCATCATCCAGCCAGCCCACTCGATAAAGATCAACGTCTCCAGCGAGAACGACCTCCCGAGCCGTGTCCAAGGAACCATGAGGTAGCCACTGGCAGTCGACTTTCCTCCAAGGCGGTAAAATGGTCGCTCGGCTCTCTCCAAGACGGCTGAAAGTGGGCTTGGCTGTTCTGCTTTGGTCTGCCGCGTTGCCTTGATGCGGTGGTACTTGAGTGTAGTGCTACCGACCTTGGCAAGGCGACATGAGTATGAGTTGTGCTGACTACCACAAGTCGTCCCACGCTTTGCAAGATTGAGAGGTTGCTGGTTTGGCTTCTTCGCCCGGCAACGAAGCGTGAGTGCGAGTATCTAAACTCGTCAAAGCAAAGTTGAAGCAGTCCTCAAGTGGAGAACCATCCGCAGTCCCGCATGGCCCCACGGGGATGCAGCGAGCTGATCAACAGGGAAAAATGGACCCTTTGTCGACCACCAGGTTGACCGGCCTTGCGGCCACGAGGTGTTTTGCAGGTCGACAGTGCTTGAAATCTGCTTCCGGCTAAATTGTGCCAGATCTGCCTCAGACCATTGATATATATACATTGGAGAGCCACAATGCATCTCGTCGACTTGTTTCCTTGGTTTGCCTGCTTCTTTCCCGTGAACCGAACGTCCTCTCTTTTCTCAATCCAACCCAATCCAACGCAACAATGGCTGCAGTAGGCAGGCAAGGGAGTGTGCAGGAAGCCCAGGAGCAGGCACCTGTCCTGCCAAGAGTATCATGGACGAAGTCGCCTTCACTGAGGAAGCTCTACTTCTACACAGCAATTCTTTGCGTTGCCTCGGCCACAACTGGCTACGATGGGTGAGCGAGAGAGCAAACATTGTCGGGCACTGAAGTATACTGACGACGACAAGGTCCATGTTCAACGCCATGCAGTTCCTTCCCGCTTGGGAGGACCGCATGGACAACCCAAGCGGCAACACCCTTGGCCGCATCAGCGCCATGTACTCGATCGGGTCTATCGCTTCGCTCCCATTTGTGCCCTTGATCAGCGATCCGTTCGGGCGTAGAGCGGCCATCATCACTGGATGCTTCATCATGGTCGCAGCCGCTTCCATCCAAGCTGCCTCCATCAATCAGTCCATGTTCGAAGGGGCTCGCTTCTTCATGGGGTTTGGCAACTCATTGGCGCAGCTCTCAGCTCCTTTGCTGGTGACGGAGATCTGCCATCCTCAGCACCGTGCTCGGGTGACTGCCATCTACAACTGCCTGTGGAATGCCGGTGCTCTCATCTGTTCGTGGATTTCTTTCGGCACTTCGACAGTCGACGGCGATTGGTCTTGGAGGGCGCCGACTTTGATCCAGGCCCTGCCATCCGTTATTCAGCTTACTTTCATATGGTTTATCCCGGAGTCTCCACGATGGCTGATATCAAAGGACCGTAACAACGACGCTCTCGACATGCTTGGCAAATATCACGCGGACGGGAACACCAACGATCCGACCGTCCAGTTCGAGTATGCCGAGATCAGGGAGACAATCCGCCTTGAGTTCCTCGCAAAGAAGTCTTCGAGCTACCTTGATTTCTTCAAGAGCAAAGGGAGTGAGTATACTGAAATATCCTCGAAGTCGTCATCGAACGATACGCTGACGGAGATGGTTATTAGACAGGTACCGATTGGTACTGGTGATCTCCCTCGGTCTCTTCTCGCAATGGTCTGGCAACGCATTGTTCTCTTACTATTCCGCAAAAGTCTATGCCGCTGCCGGTGTCGACGGCACTCGTGCTGGCCTTGGTCTTGACGGAGGTAATAAGGTGCTGGCGCTAATCGTCTCAATCACCTGCGCATTGCTCATCGACAAGGTCGGAAGACGGTATGTCAATGAATCGTCGCTGGTAGCCTCTGCTAACGTATCGTAGCCCGCTCTTCTTGGCTGCCACTGGTGGTATGCTTCTGTTCTTCATGGCAGCTACCATCGCTGGCTCGCAGTACTCCAAGACTGGAAATCAGGGCACCGGCATTGCTGTCATTGTCTTCTTCTGGCTCCACGGTGTCGCTTATGCCTTCGCCTGGTCCGGTCTGCTGGTTGCATATACCGTGGAGATAATGCCCTTCAAGCTTCGAGCCAAGGGATTGGTATGCAAAACTCCGAGCACAGCCCTCCCATGTCGGAGACATGTACTAACAAAACCAGGTCATCATGAATGTCGCCATTCAAGTAGCACTGGTTATCAACAGTAGGATTCTCCGTGCAATCGGTCTTCTCGGATGTTGCTGACGTGTAGCAGACTATGTCAATCCCATCCCTCTCGATGGTGCATGGAGTGGCGAAGAGTGGAAGTTGTACTGCGTGTATACCGCTTGGATTGCCCTTGAGCTTGTCTTCGTCTGGTTCCTCTATGTTGAGACGAAAGGCCCGACCCTTGAAGAGATTGCTCGCATTTTTGACGGCGACCAGGCCGAGGTTGGCGTTACCGATGTTAAAGCTGTTCCGCGCTTCTCGAGTGACAAGTTTGAGGACTCGAAGGCGGAGGAGATGGATGTTGACCGAAAGGAGATGGTTCGTAATTGAAGATCTCAAGAGCTGGCGTTTGAGGAATAGCTTGAGCTCTCCGGTTGTAACCACAGACTGATGCTTACATACTTGTGGAAGAGGCATGTATGTATCTCGGAGAAAGCAAATGAGCTGTGCTCATAGTTCGCACTTCCAAGTACCCTCTGAATTCAGTGGCTTGTCGTGACGGAGGTTAGTTCAGCATGAACGCCGTAGTGAGTTGAAAGCGGCCTCGTGGAAGGTGGACGGCCTACTTCTCCTGCTGCTCCTTGGCCCCGCTTTGAAACTCAATGGACATCTCCTTTCCGGAGGCTTTGTAGCCACATTTCTCGTAGAAGTGCTCGTTCTCCGGGCTGCAATTAAGGATCACCTTTGAGCACCCAACGTTCTTGGCAACCGCAGTGAGCGCTTCTATGATGCGCCTGCCGAAGCCCTTGCCTTGGTAGGCTTTGAGGACTGATATCTCCTCGAGGTGGCCGACCATGCCTAGACCCCAGATGCTGCAGGTGCCACCACAATTAGTCCACGAGGCCTGGGAGAGTGACATGGGATACTCACAACTTGCGCTCGGCAATCAAAACTCCATTGCCAACGATTCTTCCTTCGTGCTCTATGACTACGTTGTAGAACCAACCGTCCCCTTTCGATGCCATCCAGTCGAACTGTTTGCGAAACTGCGCTTCTGTCACGTCTCCAGTCCAGGTAAGGGCGTTCAAGCACTCGAAATAGCCTTTCTGGTAATCATTGCGTGCCATCGGACGGATAATGTACGAGTCAGGGACGTTGCTCCTGATTGAGTCCGGGAGCAGGGAAGGCGAGAAGATTGGGGCTTCGTCTGCCATTGCGCGATACCACCCTGAGTTGGCGTCGATGCTTGCAGTTCAGAGTGCGTTGAAGGCCAATGCCTGGCCTGCTGGAGAGTTGAAGCTGAAGTCGGGGTTTCTTCGGCTACTTCTCCTTTGAGATAGCGCGAAATGAAGACGACATGTCTACTTGGCTGACCAACATCTTTCCAATCTTCCCCCTCGACATCACCCTTCAACCGGCAGTCGGAAACAGTCTTGTGCGGCAGCCCATTGCAGATACTGCGCCCCAGCAACCGAAGTGACGCAGTCGACACGACATAGCGGCATTGCTGTCCACCGACTGGAACTGTGAGACCGCTCCAGCGATCACGAGCCCGAGAGACACGACAGCGGGACCATGTGGACGGCCTGTGGCTTACTCCATATACTATCTCGTGTCTGGGTACTGGCTCTCACGGCTGTCGAATGGCCGCTGCAAGGGCCGTCTAACTCCTACAAGACGCTTGGCCAGCAAGATTACTTTGAAGAGAAGAGAAGAGAAAGAGGGGTCGCACGACAATGCACACCTCAATGCACAGCGAGGTCTTATCGACGGCCCTCCGGTAGGTAGGTACACGTTCACGATTAGAGATCCTTCTGTCGGACTGCGGGCAAGACCTGACACGCCTTCCCTTCACCTTGAATCCCTTACCTATCGCGTGATTCTGATGTCTTCAACGCTTTACTCCTCTCGTCTGCCATTGAGTAAGTGGGAATTAACGTAGCATGGTATTCTTTCTTCTCGGAAACTCTTTGCAGTGGCAGTACTTCCTGTGGAGGGGTCAAAGTATTCTTGGCCTTTGGGCCCGAGGAGAATAGCTTCCAGAGGAAAATCTCAAGTTGAGTCACATCATGTCAGACTCCAGACACTTTCGAGCCGGTTTCGACTGTGGCCACTCTGCTGCGTCAGAGTTGAGGCGTCCAGCAATGACAAGCGTCCTCCCCACGAGGACGTATTGTTGCGTCACTGCACCAAACGCTCGGTCGGCCTCGAGCGACGATCGCAAGACGTCACACCATGCCGCGAGCATATCAGGTTTCGAAAAGCCGGTGCTCGATCTGAACGACCAACAACCTCAAACGCCCATCGACACTGTCATCAGATCGAAGGCATCCACTCGGACACCCTGCCAGCAGCATGCTTCAGCCCCATCGCCTGCCGTCTGATCCGAAGCCACAAGCGCTACAGACTGTCTCCTTTGCTGCAGCACCCTGGATAGGCTCGGCGAAACTGCGGCAAAGCACACGGTTCGATCAGACCTATTCTATAGCGAACACTTGCCGCACAAAGCTCGGCATGGAGGCAGACCGGGTCGACCGTCAGCTCATACGCCTCGTATGCCATGCGAACATGCTCGACGTGCTCATGGCTGAGTTGATGAAGGCAAAGCGAACTTACCAATACGATGCCATGCAATCCTCGATTGCGGTCCCAGGGCGGTCGGGCAACGGAGATTAGATCGACGAAGCTGCCGAAGGATTGCAAGATGAGGAAAGCGACTCCGAAGAAGCATCGGACAGCGACTCCGGGGACGATCAATGCTACGGAGTCGCGCCTCGAATTCATCGTCAAGCCAAGAGCCCAGTGCCGAAACCATTCGCGGGATGTTTCGAGGACGGCGACGAGTTGTCAAGCGATAATAGTGACTCCGAAGACGACTATGCATGGTTCGACGGACGAGACGATTGCGGAGAGCTTGACTTGAGACGTTGGCCTTCCAATCATTTACCTCACTTGATTCACGAGGACGAGTCGGAAGCCGACAGTGAAGAGGGCCCGTTTGCGCGAGGAGAGGGCTGGATGGGGATGGACGTCTTGTCCGCAAGCGAGTCGGTCCACGGCACGAAGTACATTCCGAAGATACGGGCTGGCAGAGACCCAGTGACCGTGACAGATCTTTAAGCTTTCGACGCAACTCAAAGTGAGATCGGTCGTCTGCTAGAGATCTGCCTTGCTCCACGTGGAGTAATGGTTCTGCTCAAGCAGGATGTGGATACTTCTTCCCCAATATTAACAAATTAAGGCAGGCAGGTCGCAACTGTATGTTACTAAAGCGTCTGTAAGCGTTGGACGCCTTGCGCCTTTTCAGACCCCGCAGCCAGCCACCAGCTCTCTCTCAGATCTTGCTTGCGCTCCATGTCACCGCTATCCGGAATATGCTTCCCGGTCAAGGCGGAACGAATGCACTGAGAAACTGAGAATCCAGAAAGCTGGACACTGACTTCGAGACTCTGCTTTTGAGAATCTACGGAGACAACGAATAATGCGTCTAATTGTATGCTGTGAGACGGGTCATTCGCCAGCAGAACTACCCTTCCATTGATGCAGACTTCATCCTGGAGCACTTCGCCTCTGCTCTGAACCATGCGGATCGCCGTTCGACACCAGCTTTCGCTACTCCTCATCGTATCCACCTCCATCGGCCTGGTCACTCTTGCTGTTGCCGTATGGATCTCCAACCACAGCTTTGTGTTGAAGGTCGCAAGAGATGGCCTGGAAGCGGCGGCGTCGATCAAAGCCGTGGGGATTGCCATCAGCCTTGATCTGATGTACTCATCATGCCTCTATTTAAAGACCAGTCCTCCTGTTCAGCAAGCTCTCATGCGATACAACAATGGCACCGACCTCAGTCGAGACAACTGGGATGAGGCCACAGCAGACCTGGTTGCAGCCTTGAGTAGCGTTGGGTCGTTGAAGTATACGTTCGGAGTACAGTCTCAACTTGTCTCCCGCTGGGCTGCTGGGCCGCTGGGATCGAGAAGCGTCCTCAACGTGACAGGCCTGCAGAACAAGGTATCTGTACCGTCGGTTTTGTATCCCAACTTGTCCATCTCGAAGGGCGACGGCGATGCATCGTCTGCTTCATACCTAGCAACCTACAATGGCGTCACATTGGACCTCGCCAGCAACCTCGTTCTCGGCCCGGTGGCTATCAACGAAAACTTCTCACTGATGTCGATGACGTTACCAGTGATTGAGAACACCTCAGAAACGAACGTACTTGGCTGGCTCACTGTTGTAAGTTTTCTGGAGCAAGGGAGGATACTGAATGCTCGACTGACCTCTTGTAAGGTGCAAGATGCGAGGATTCTGCATGAGATAATCTCAGACAACACTGCTCTTGGACCGGTTCGTATGCCAGCCCCAAACAAACACATGTATGTGATCGTTCTCGCAGACAGGCCGCACTCTCCTATTTGGCCCCTCAAACACCACGAATCATTTCTCGCCAGGCGTCGTGGGATCTCAGCAGGGTGAAAGTACCGATGTCCGCTATCTTTTGCCCGTGAAGCCAAGTGGCACCCGGACACATGCTATCAGTACCGCTGGCGTCCCGTTCCCTGCCAATGCCTACCCGGCCCTCGTTGCGGCCATCGGGGATGGCTTTCATGGAAAGCGAGAGTTGGGCAGCATGCTGAACACCCATGATGAAGACGGGAACTCTGTGGCTGTCGCTTACTCAACCCCCCCAACCGATATCATGCAGTCGTCCCATTCGGAACGCAAAATTGGCTTTGTCCATTTGCTGTTCCGCTGGCGTAGCGGAAGAAGCAGTCCACGCCGAGCCGAAAGTCAGCATGGGCATGCAAGGCGGTTTCGCATCCCGAGCAAGGTTGACGCTCCCAAACATTGGGTCAAAGACGGTATCGTGTGCAATCTTCCTGCTCGCCGTGCTCTCACTGACATCTCCTTCCAGACATCTCAGATCTGATAGACACCTTTAACGACATGGCTGATGAGCTCTACACCCAACACTCGAAGCTTGAAGGCCGCGTGCAGCAGCGGACAATCGAGCTTCATCAAGCGAAAAAGGCCGCGGAGTCCGCTAATGAGAGCAAGACATTGTTTGTCGCCAACGTAAGCCATGAACTGAAAACACCGCTGAACGGCATCCTTGGTCTTTGTGCTACAAGCATCGAGGAGGATGACGTGGGAGCGATCCATACCACTTTTCAGATCATTTATAAGAGCGGCGATCTTCTCTTGCGCACCTTGAACGACCTTTTGACCTTCAGCACCAACCAGATTGGCAGCCGAGAACTCACGCTCGAGGAGAAGGAGTTCAGCTTTTGCGACCTCGAGACCCAGACATTCGCCATCTTTGAACAGCAAGCGAAAGACAGGGGAATAAAATTATATGTGGAGTGCGAATCAGCAGACAGCAGCGCCTTCGGTGGCACTGCAAGCCTGAGAGACAACACACTCTGGGGCGACGTCCACCGGATACTGCAAGTCATCATCAACCTCATCAGCAACAGCCTGAAATACACACCGAATGGTGGATCCGTCAAGTTCAGCATGGTTCGGTCCAAGGAAGCCGCATCGCGCCGTCTTCTCCTGGGAGCCGACCAAACATCGATAGAATCCCAGCGAAGCCGCATCTCTGCCATCTGGCGGTGTGAGCAGGGAGCCACCTCCAACTTCATCAACGCTGGTGAGGTGCCGAGCTGCGCCAGAAGTCCGTGGCGCCCGCCGGCGACGACCTGTACGTCGAATTCGTTGTGACGGATACTGACCAAGGCATACCAGAGGAGATGCAGAGTCGTATCTTCGAGCCATTCGTCCAAGGAGAGGTCGGCCTGAATCGAAGACACAGTGGCACTGGGCTCGGGCTCAGCATTTGCTCTAAATTGGCCAGCTTGATGAAAGGCAATATCAGCCTGCAGAGCACTGTCGGTGTGGGGTCTACGTTTACCGTGAGGATACCTTTGAGACAGGTCCTGGCTACGCTGACGACGAGAGCTTCTCATGAGGCTGGCCAGTCGACATCTCGCACACTCTCGTTGACCAAGTCGTCGGAGCAAGCCAAGACCGACTCTGAGAAAGGCGCAGATAGCACATCTGCCCCGACGGAGAACAATTTTGCAAAGTGTGATATGGCATTTGTACCTGCCTCGAACTCTGAGAAAGGCACACAGAGCACATTTGCGCCCGCGGAGAACAGCATTGCAGAGCGTGATATGGCGCTGGCTCCTGCCTCGAACGAACAGCCGGAGGAGAAAACGAGAGATGCTTTGCCTGTAACACAGCCTGCGGTTGCCGCCCCAGTCGAACAGCCTGCGCCAGCTCCACGGGCACCCAGCAAACCACGCAAGAAGCCTAAAAAAGAGGCAGCCGACGATCAACGAGACTTCAGCAAGCTCCGCGTACTGATCGCAGAAGACAACAAGATTAACCAGCAGGTCATCCTGCGGATGTTGAAGATGGAGAAGGTTGTTGACACCACGGTTGCGGAGGACGGGCAAGAAGCGCTGGAGCTGGTGAAGACGTTGACGGATCATGAATTGCCGGATCCGTATCCTTATGATCTGACCTTTATGGATGTCCAGATGGTAAGTTCTAACCGCTGGAGTTTGAGTGGTAGTCGTTGATCTTGTGACAGCCCAACATGGACGGTCTCGAACCGACTCGGAAGCTGCGAGAGTTCAAGTACCCGAAACCTATCATTGCCCTTACAGCTTTCGCGGAGAAGACGTATATGGACGACTGTTATTCTGCTGGTGCGTAAGATATCGCCTCGCGGTATCGACAGCGTTGCTGACAGTGTTCGCAGGGATGAACCACTTCATACCGAAGCCGCTCAAACGACCAGCCCTGCATGAGGTCTTGGCCAAGCTGTGCCCTACCAACGCCAAGCCGACATCAGGAGATGGCAGCCCTGAGTGAGCACGCTGCAGAGCAGGTCAGGTGTAAGGTGTACGTTCTCCGGCATCTGGGATGTCCTGACCATCGGTATAGGCGGTCGGTGGTGAATAGCGAAGCGGAGAAGCGTTTGTCGTGTAACGTACTTGCTCCTCGTCGTACCGACAGACAGTGCGGCGGGGCAACCAGCTGACGTCTTTTTGTTCTCTCGGTGGTTGGGCGCTCATGTTGATACTCGCGAGGGTTCGGGTGGGATGCTGTAGGTATTAACGTCTTGGATTGATGACCAAGGATATAGCTTTTATCTACACAGAACCAAATCATCCGCTGCTTATAGCCAACAGTACACACGGTGGCATCCTACGCCTTCATCGTCCGCTTCTTTTGCCCCTTCTTCTGCTCATCCTTCTTCTCGCGGTCCAAGAATTTGCGCTGCTCCTCGGCCGTCATGTTCTTCAGCCGGCGTTCGCGCTCGTCCTTCTTCGCCTTGTCCGAAGCCGTCCGTCGCTCTTCCGCCTTCTCGTCCTCGTCGGCTTTGCGGATCTTGCGCGCCTCTTCCTCGCGCGTGGCACGGATGCGGCGCATGGCTTCGGGACGGAAGTGAGCGTTGGAGACGAGGAAGTCGGGGAGGCGGAGGAAGTAGGAGAAGAGGGCGGTGGAGGAGGGGCGGGTGTTGAGTTTCGTAGAGAGGGAGACGCGTTTGACTGGCACAGTATCGTTGAGTCTGGGTTTGAGGTTAGTGAACGTAGTCATGGCTTGAAAGGGGGTGCGAGCGGAACGTACTTCTTGGGCGAATCGATGGGCTGGTCGCTAATGATCAATGCCTCCAGATCCTCACCAGTCTCTTCGACGGCCTTCAGCAGCTCAGGCGTCAGAAGTGCCTCGGTGATCTCAGCGCTCTCACTCATGATGGTAGCCCACTCTGGCAGCTTAGCATGATCTCGCGTTGCGGTCAAGCTCAGATCGTATCGATCGTCGCGCAATTGCTGCATCTTGTCCTTGTGGACGACTGCAAAGACGAAGCCATCGTAGGAGCTGTCCTTGAGTCCACCTTCAGCCCCTGCGACCAGAGCCTTCTCCTTGCCGTCAAAAGCGTAGGCTGTGGCCTCCACCCTCTCAACAGGCGCTGGCATGGAGTCGAAGAAGAAGCTGACGATAGTCTCGCCGATCCAGGTGATGGGGTTGTAGCGCTTGTGTAGACTCAGCTGGACATGAAGCTGCGCAATGTTCTGCCGGCCAGTAGCATAGGTGTAGTACTCGTTCTTCTGCCTCTGCCTCAACAGGTTGTCCGGAACGTCGATGCTCCCTGCCTTCAAGTCTCCCTTCGCTGAGCCCGACTTGCCGCCGGAGAAGCCAACGCTGGCGAACTCGTTTTCCAGTATTGGCAGATGTGTGGCCGCCCACTGCTTGGCGCGCTGCTTGTTCGTATAGCTGCCCCACAGGTTGACCAGGACGACGAGGAGTAGGATTGGAATGATGATGAATTCCTGGTAAAAGTCCTGCAGGCTCGTACGCTCCCACACGCGGTACCACTTGGTGTACGGCCGGTCCTTCATGGTGACGGCCGGGTTGCCGAACAGGTTGGTGAGCATGCTGCCGGCAGTGGGAGTGTGTGTGGCGGCGCCAAAGGAGGACGAGGCGGCGTGCGACGGCGCGACGGGGGAGGCAGCGGTCGCGAAGTCGGCAAAGTCTAGCAGTATCGTCAGTTGGGTCTTCTTCGTAGTGTGCATTGGCGGGACCGACCATCGGCATCGGATGAGGCAGACGAGACGACCGACTTTGCGCCTCCGAGGAGGTTCTTGAGAAAGTCCGCCATGATGCCTTCTCCTCCTTGCGTGGCAGAAGAGTGAGGGGGTAGGGGGTGGTGGTAGAAGAGGTGGAGGTGGAGATGAGGGCAGAAGTATTTGGTCTAGAAGCAAGCTCTCGTCGGCTGCTCGGCTCCACTGCCGGCTAAAGTTGTACCTCTTCCAATGGCTTCAACGTCACTCGCTCGTCTGTATACACCTCAGCATCCTCAGCATACCTATTCCTACTCGATAAGCGACATCTCGATCCGTGCCTACGCCGTGTGCTTTGGTCCCATCTCCTGCAGTGGAACACTCAGTCGTCTCTGGTACAGTACCCAGCCGAGCTGCACGTCGAGGCACACCCTGGAGAAAGTGACAGATCCAAAGGCAGGCAGGCGAATCGAATCTGGCATTATTGGGGCGACTACCCTTGCAGCCAGACTCCCTCTTCTCATTCCGAGGACGCATTTCGCTTTCCGTTCTCTCAATCTTCACTTCGTCTTGTTATCGTTCACACTGTCTTATTGCAATACTCTCGAATAAACAAGACGGACGCCCATTGAGTGCACACGCAGTCGACGAAGCATTACGATGGCGGAGAATGCTGCATCACAATCGCGAAGGGCGCCGGCCTCTCTACCTACGGAGCAGTCAACCGAATCATTCTGGCACTCGGAGCCTTCCTCGCTCCTGAAAGGCCATCGAACCACCAGAGACTTGCCGACGACTGCCGATGTTGTCGTTATCGGAAGCGGCATGACAGGTGCAAGTGTCGCCTACCACATGCTCAGCAAGGATTTCACGCCCAAGCAGCACGAATGCTTCGACCCGGAGAAGGACAACTTGGATGTGGTAATGCTTGAAGCTCGCGAGGCTTGCTGGGGAGCTACGGGAAGGGTATGTCGTCCCGCAGCCTTCATTGCATAATCTGATGTACTGATATCCTACGCTGCAGAATGGAGGCCACTGTCTGCCGCTCCTCTTTGAACATCCGCACGACCTCAGTATCGGCCACTTCGAGCTCGACAACCTCCGAGCCATCCGCCACGTCATCCAACACAAGAACATCGACTGCGAGTTCAAGCTCCAGCAACAAGGTATCCGAGCCATCTACGACTCTCAACATCTCGAGAACGTCGAAGCGTCGCTTGCCCATCTGAAGCATCATGCCCCGGACATTGCAAGCCACGTTCATCTCGGGACGAGCAAGTCTGAACTGGCCAGCCACCACATACCCTCTGCTCTGGGTGCAGTGATCACTGACCCTGCAGCGAAATTCTGGCCGTACAAATACGTTGCTGCGATACTGACCGATTTGCTGAATCACCCGAATTTGTTCGGAAAGTTCAATCTCCAGACTCTCACGCCTGCCACATCCATCACGCCGCCTTCTATCGACTCGAGCCGAGACATGTGGAGAGTCTCCACGCGCCGCGGAAATATCCAGACTAAGAAAGTTGTCCTGGCCACCAACGGGTACATCTCAAATCTGCTCCCCTCCTTCTCCGATCTCGTCGTACCAGTGCGCGGGCAAATGAGCGCATTGAAACCACTGCCATCGGTCGCTGGAAACGCAATCTTGAACTCCAGCTACGGCTTCCTCGGTGCTGGCATCGACGACTACCTGATCCAGCGGGTAGACAGAACGAATCCATCACGAGGTGCCCACCTGATGTTTGGAGGTGGACGACAGCACGACTATTTGAGCGTGGGAGCGACTGATGATAGCGTCATTGATGAAGATACAGCGAGATATCTACGTACTCGTCTGCTCGACGCCTTTGATCTACCCGAGAAGTCGGGCTCGCGGACAGTGCAGTTCAAAGCGACGCACGAATGGACAGGCATCATGGGTTTCTCGCGCGACGAGCTACCTTGGGTCGGCGCTGTGCCCTCACGACCTGGCCTGTACATTTCCGCGGGCTACACCGGCCATGGTATGCCCAACGCATGGCTCTGCGGCAAGCACATCGGCTTGCTGGTCAATCGCGACATGCAGCATCCACACCTTTCCGGCCAATTACCGAGAGGTATCAACTCAATGGACAGCGAGTGGAGCTGGTATGATCCAGAGACAAACGAACCGAAGATGGATGTGGAGCGGGAGCTGGCGTTGGTCGGGCTGCCAGAGGCGTACGTGGTGACGGAGGAGCGGATCCGAAAAGCCATGGGAATGCTGGAGGTCGAGGCTGCTGACAGGGCGGATAGAGAGCGAGGCAGAGAGGCGGCCGGTGGAACTGGTGAGAATGCGAGCCTGTGAAAGGTGATCCTGATCTCGTCTGCTTTGGTGGACTCGCGATCGGCTGGCGATCTGATACTGCGTTCGAGCCCTGCCGAAGCTTTGGGTAGACGTTTTGGGCTCCTTTGAAGAGGGCACAGCCCGCAGACCATATCCTGCACAGCATTGCTTATAGTGTGCCGCAGCGGACTCCGTCTGACACTTATACTCTGTCTTGCAGACCTGTTTCTCGTGCCTCTTCTCAAGGAGCTTCTGTCTGGAACACCAAAGCCACCCCATCATCGCCCGCCGTCACAACTCTTCTACCCCCTCCACCCTGCACGAAGCCCAAGATGCCACCTCCATCACCGCCGCCTCTGTGACCTCTCCATTCGCTCAACAGACCCTTGCCAGCCGCGGCCGTACCACCTCGTACATCCCATCGCCTCACCACCCCGTCATTCCCACAACTCGTCAGTACGTGACCTATAGGATTCGCAGTCCCCAGCGCCGTCTTGACGAATGAAACCTGGATGACCGCCTCCTCGTCATGTGCGGCAGGTATCTGCCTTCGTACGGCGAAGTTGTGCGCAGCGTCGAAGATGGCGATGCTGCCGTCCACGCTCCCGGCTGCAAGGAGCGTAAGTGGTGGTTGTGAGAAGTCGAGTGTTTCGACACCGTCGCTCTGGGCTTGAAGTGAGGCCAAGATGGCACCGGCTTGACCTGCGGAAGCGGCTGATGCGGCTGATGCGCCCTTCGGTCCAGGAGCTTGTTTTCCGCCTCCGGCTTTGGTCTTCGCGCCTGCACCTTTGGCGCCAGCGGTGGAGTTGGCGGGTTGAGATAGTCGAGGCAGACCAACGACTCGAATCTGGCCTTCTGCACCCCCAACAGCTACGATGCCGCCACCGGGTGAGATGGCTGCGCTGTACAGTCCGCCGTCCACTCTGAAGCGCTCATCTTCAGCTGTGAGACCAACGACTGCTTGCCCACCATTAGGGTCGGCAATGCCTGCGGCCGCTGCATCACCGAAGACATCCCAGACGAAAAGGCTGCCGTCTTCGCTGACAGTGGCGAGAAGCTTGCCGTCTGGGCTCCAGCATCCGGCTGTGCATGGTGCTTGATGCAAGAAGAATGTCTGTACGATGGTGAGGGGTGCGGCGGGATCGGCAGCATTCAATGTATAGACCCAGACGGAGCCGTCGTTGGCGCCAAAGGCGATGGTGTTGGGATGTGCAGCGTTGGGTGACGGGAGGATCCAGTTGATTTCCTCGACTTCTTTCGCCGAGCCAACGAGCTTGGAGGGAGTCGTGGAGGTGGGTGTGGTATAGACATTCATCTTGCCGGCGAGTGTCCCTGTCACAACATACTCGCCCTGAGGAAGGGTGAATGTTATGGCGTTGACGCTCTCGTCCTGCTCTTTCAGTCTCGCCAGCACTTCCAGACTCTTCCGCTCCACAGGCTGAGGATTGCTCTCGTAGCTGCGTGGAAGTAATGGGCCGTCCGGAGGTGTGCTGTCCCACAGATATGCGATATCGTCTCCTGCTCCTGTCGCTACCATCTCAGGCTGGGTGGGGTGTTGGGCGATGCAGAAGATGCTGTCCTTGTGGTGATCAAAGTGCGCCGCGCTGTCGTTTTGTAGTTGTATCTCTTCCAGCGTGCCGTCGCCGTCCTCCTCGTCGCCGGAGTCCATGGCTGCATCGTCGCCTTGCTCGACCACTTCTTCCGCATCCGAGACATTGAGCATCTCTTCATCTTCTTCCGGCGGTGCATCGCTGGGTCGCGTAGGGTCTGCCATGTTGCTGGGGAAGCGTATTTTACCGTAGACGCAGTTCAAGAGGCACGGAGGAGTGAGTGGACAAGATATATGTGCTCTAGGTGTTTCTCGAACTTTTCACATGCTTGGAAATCGACTTGTTGGAGCTCGGGCGATGACGTACCGCAACAACACCTTCGACACGTGCTACATGTACTCTTCTTCACTTGACCTCGACTCCTGCATTATAGACGTCGCCTCATCATGCCTTGAGCAAGTCTATGACTCGTCAATGCTGACATAAGGACTTGATGGAAGTGTGGTGAATGATCCCGCAAGCGCTGAAGGAGTAATTCTTCGTTGGAGCAATACGGCAAAATGGCCGCTCCTAAGGCCACCAAGATTCCGTCTCTCGTTTACGGGACAGCATGGAAGAAAGAGAACACTCGACGCCTGGTCAAGCAGGCCGTCTCCTCCGGCTTTCGTGGCATTGACACCGCAGCCCAGCCCAAGCACTACCAGGAAGATCTGGTTGGTGATGGGATCAAAGATGCTCTTCAAGATGGAGACTTGGGACGCAACGATCTCTACGTATGTCCGTCAATCGTGCCGTTACACTGCTGTGCGTCTGACAACGCAAGCAGATCCAGACCAAGTTCACTGCCACCCATGGTCAAGATTTAAAGCGACTCCCATACGATCCTGCCACGAGCATCGCAGACCAAGTGTCCACATCCGTAACATCTTCATTGCACAATCTCCGTCACGAGGAAGAGTCTCCATCCTACATTGACTGTCTGGTCCTGCACTCACCCTACCCCTCAATGGCCGAGACTCAACAAGCATGGCGGGCAATGGAGTCGTGTGTACCCACCAAAGTCCACACTCTAGGCCTCAGCAACGTCTATCAGCCGGGGGTGCTGCAAGCGCTGTATGACTTTGCCACCGTCAAGCCGTCCGTCCTTCAAAACCGATTCTACGCTGCTACGGGCTACGACCGCGCCATCAGAGCCTTCTGCGCAGAGAAAGGCATGGTGTATCAATCTTTCTGGACATTGACTGCAAATCCTGAGCTCCTGAAGTCGACTGCTGTTGGAAAGTTGTCAGAGGCGGTTGGAGTGAGCCGAGCCGTGGCGCTGTACAGCTTGGTCATGGGGTTGGGAGACGTGAGTGTCCTTGGCCTCGAACGTACTGTTTATCTCTGCTCCGCCGATTCATCACGGCCTTTAAACACCAATATGGAGCCTGAACCCTTCAAAATACCAACGTTCGACAGCCTACCGCTGGACAAGTCGGGCCCAGACGGAAACGCATGGGGTCTGTTCGGACAGAACGATCAGCTTGGTAGATTGAATCTACTTACCAAGGCAGTGGTGGCAGCGGCGGCCAGCGAGATCCGAGAAGGATTGCGCATCTCATTGGATTGGCCACTAAACAAACCTCTGCAAATCAACAATTTCCGGCAACGATTCGAGCACGAGTTCCTGCCGCAGCCTCCAATGGCCTTGAACGATGATGCAGTGTCATTTAATACGCAGTGTAGCACCCAGTGGGACGGTTTCCGTCATTACGGTATGCTCTTATTCCACGTGTATGCGCCAATGCAATGATAACGGTCTGCGAAAGGATATCAGAAGCCAAAGAAGTTCTATCAGGGTCATACTCAAGAAGAGTTCTCTACGGGACAACCGGGACCTTTGGGGATTGACGGTATGCACAGGGTCTTGAGCCAGGAGATTGCGACTGATGATGTTGCGATAGTTTACTCTGAGAATGGTGGCATCATTGGCCGAGGCGTTCTCCTGGATTGGTATGCCTGGGCGCAGGCAAATGGAGAGGTGCTGTCTCCAATTCAGACTGGCGCTGTCCGTTTACAACACCTCAAAACCATTGTAGAGGAGCATGGCATCAGCATCAGACAAGGTGACATACTCTTCATCCGTTGCGGCTTCACAGCAGCATATGAACAGCTCTCAGTTTCGGAGTGTAAAGACTTCCCGAACCGGCAGCCAGGTGGATATCTTGGGTTTGAAGCTACAAGGGAGTCGCTGAGGTGGCTCTGGGACTGTGGGTTCGCGGCGATTGCTTCGGACTCTGCAAGTTTTGAGAGGGGACCAGCGACTGGATCTTACAATGACCCAGAGGTGACCATACATCAATGGGCATTGGCTGGTTGGGGTATGCCGATAGGGGAGATGTTCGACCTTGAGGCGTTGGCAGGAGCCTGTCGAGAGAGAGGTCGCTGGACGTTCTTTCTCTGCAGTGTGCCGTTGAAGGTAAGTCACCCGATTCCCCGCCGTCGCCAAGACGACGTTCTGACAACATCGTTGAAGATCCCTGGTGGAGTTGCGAGCCCCGGCAACGCTGTAGCGATTTTGTAAACGTCTGGGTGAGAAAGAGAAGAACCTTTCGGGGAGTGATGCGGGCCGCATTTGCCGGGCTGGTGGTGGCACCGCAGGAGGAGTCTTTATCGGACAAGACATGGCCACGGAGCTGCCTCACACATCGTCGGATCAACTATCATTCCTACCACGTTACTGGACAGATCAAGCATGGGGGACACTTGGCGATGCGGAAACGGATGTGAGCATGGTTCAGCAGTACAAGCGAAGGGTTAACAAATGTTATCCACCGCCCCTTCTCCATTCGCAACCGACGCCTCATGACCCTCTTCCACCCCTCAGAGTCATCTGATCTGCGCTCATCCTCATGGGATCGTACCACGTCCCTCCACTCAGACTCGCTTAGGGTGAGTCCCAAAGCCCTGCTCAAGTGTGGTAGACACCCCAGCGAATGTTCTGGCTGTGTCCGCCGCCTTGGGCACTGTCGCACTTCATCTGTCCGAGAGAGCCGACCTTGCCTCCAGACGCAAACTTGTCGATAGACGTATCAATGGTGTTGTAGATGTCCGCGTTGCCAATCCTGGCACCGTTCAAGCCCTGCGGTTTGCATCTCGCACCCCAAGCACAGGTGCCTGCAAAAGGACTAAGCTGACAGGCTCTGCAACGATAAGAGAGGATTTTACTTACGGCACTTGGCCTTGACGAGCTGGCCCTCTCCGCAGCCGACCTCGAAGGTTCCGCCTCCTCCGATGTTGGCGCCAATGCAGTAGCAATCATCGACGAATGGCGATGCAGCCGAGCCCTGATCGATGAATGTAGAAGGGCCGCAGTCGTTGACGGCTTTGCGCTTCTCCAGGACATCGGTCTCCGTAGTGTTGTTGAAGTCTGGATAGTCTAGCAGGGCGGCCAGTGTTGGGTCATCTTCCGCGTTGATGAACTCGAGCTGGACCACAGGATCTGCCTCTTTCGCCGGCGCGGCATTGCAGATCGCTACAAGAGCGAGGAGAGTTAGCTGAGAGAACAACATGTTGGTCGTGGATTGTTTCTTGAAGATTTGGATATGTGTGATGTTTCAGGTCCGGAGTGTGAGATGGACAAGACCTCCAGAAGATTTCGAGCGTCCCTTATATGCTTTTTACTTTGCTCATCGTCACAACTCCGGCTCACAACGGGAACTGAGACTGTCCTGACCACTGTTTCAATGCTACCATGGCCCGCATCTATTGTCACACAGCGGCACGGAGAAGTATGTCCTTGGATGTCGGCAACGCCGGCGCAACCGGAAGTTTGTATGCAGGATTGCGGTCGTAGTCACGATGTACGACGGTCTCATGACGTTGGTGATGCTTGCTTGGCTTCACCGGCGCAAGATGGAAGTCTTCTGTGCCGTTCCGAATGGGATTTCCAAAGTACCCGCGGGAGTATGCAGTGATGATCGGCTCCAGCATCGCATGCTATTTTGGCTATGCTGTCCCGCGTAGTCCGGACAAGGTCAAGCAGTCTCCAGTGGCCCAGTCGAAGAGCCTTCCAAGATGCAACAGGGTTGTGTAGTCATCTCCAGATGCCTCGCTGGCCTGAACTGAGTTCTCGTTGGTCCGAACTCGCGATGATACTGCAGGTTGCCGTCACGGACATCTGCGAGTGCTCCAGGTTCTGGAGATGAGATTATGGCAGTCGTACCTCATGTAGCCACTCCCAACGGCTGAAGCGGGTATATGCAAGCGTGTCGAAGACTACATGCCGCAGTCTTGGACATAGTAGAGATCAAAGTCCGCCTTGTCCCGATATCGAGTATCCAAGGCAATAGAGATATACGGTACACTGATTGCACGCTATGCCTATTCTCTGAATGGCTGCTGCAGGGACTGCCACCAAGTTCCGTGGAGGTAGGCTGATGCTGTCTTGAAAGTTGAAAGCCATCGCTTGCAAAAGATCAGCAAAGAGGCCTTTGGAGTCCAATGTGATATGCCGTGCGTGTGAGGCTCCAGTCGATGGCTGTCTTGGCCGCCTCGGAGGCTGCTACCATGCAGGGGCTCATCATGGAGACAGAAACCTATGTTGGCATAGGTGGTGAGACGTGGCAGCTCTGCAGAAACCATCACTACAGCCTTTACCGGAACATCCGAGGTGGCGGCAGTGGTTGCAATCGTGTGGAGGAGAATGTGTAATGTTCGCAGATCTCGTTGACGTCTCTGCATGACGAAAAGTCAAGTACCGTTCGAAGGATGTCTTGTGGAAAGACTTGTATTCAAGCTATAATCCTTCCACGCCGGTTGCAGGCCTTAGCTTCAATATGAAGATGCGGAGCACCGAGGGGATCAACCAACTTGTCTAGAAGTAGAAGCATTCTGCGCCGGCTAAACCTGACGAATGCTTTATACAGATTAGAGCACCGGACCTCCACATGGCATGAGTGAGGGTGACTCTTCGTTTTGGTTCGTGCATGTCCTTGTCTAGGCAGGGCGAGGCGGTCCAAGGTGCCGAGACGGACCGACACGGCTTGTTGGAGCTTACTCTTTCCCTGGCCATGTTTGTCCGCCGGCAACAGAGGGTCAGGCCCACGATCCGCAGTGCTGCAACTTCAATCCTGCCATGCTTGATGTCGTCAAGCGACAGGGGAAGGCCCGACGGGAGGAGCGGGCGGGCGGGAATCGACGGCAAGATGCTTGCTTTTGGAGCGGCGACGACGGCCGCCCGTTCTTCACGGTTGCAGCACCTTTCTGGAGACGGCATACCTGGTATAGTCCAATGTCTGAGCAGTCCTTGGCGCGAACTCCATGTTCTCGTCGATCAACAGCGAGCGGCTTCGTAAGGACCGGAAACGCCGGGACAGCATGATCCCGTGCCGTGTCCGATGAAACGCGCATGATTAGTACTCTTTCTCCAAGACCAGCACAGTCCGCGCGCTCCCAAGCGACCTCAAGGTATGCTGTGCTTCCCGTGCTCTACTGGAACTTGACCGAGATGGTGGAGCAAACGAAGATCAAAGTTGAACAGCCTCGGGAAAGGGAAGAGGAAAGAAGGCATAAAAGGGAAGGACTCACGCATCAAACTGGCTGCCGTGTATTCACTTACCTTCCAATACTCTCTGTACCTACCTTTTACCAAGATGTTCTTCCAAAAGTTGGCCGCAATCACTCTTCTTGCGCTGGCAGGCCATGTCCAGGCCCGAAGCGGTGGTTACGCTGACACCTGCCACGACTGCATCATTGATGGTGCCACACCCGCAAACGTCCTGGCCTGCATCTGCGGCAACGGGGCTGGCGGAGAGTCCACACCATCCATCCAACTCGACAAGTGCATGGGCAACAACAATGGGCATCTCATCTACCAGGCGAAGTGAGGCTTGAAGTTTGGCAAGGTCCAGTCGCTTGTTCTCTGCTGATACTGCCACAGTGGAAACTTCGGGAACTCATGCAAGAACGTCGGCCTTGGTGGGAGTGTCATGCACGCCAAGTGCCATAACGATCATGGGGGCTGGAACAATGCCGCCCATTACGACCTGAGTGAGTAGCTGCCGGAGCCTTTGCGAGGAGAGTTGTCCTGACCATCTCGATATAGACACTGTCGTTGGCAATTTTGGTGGGAACTTGGTGTGCTAGGGCTGAGGAGTGGTTAGAGGAGCCAGGGGGGAGAGGAAGGGGAGGAGTTTGTCTTTGCAGGCTGTTGTAGATAACAACGGTGTCATCTGGCACTACAGTGTCGATAGCTGGCCATGAGAGTCAGTTTCGAGTGTAGTCTTCCGCCTGCTTAGAACTTCCGAAGATACTCAATTGCCGTTTCACCTTTGACGCTTGTTGGTGTCACTGTGTACTGTTTGGTATGCTGCAGAGACCGGGGCTAGCATGTGCGCAAGAAACCGTAGGCGTAGCGTTCTTGTGATTTTGTATAGTGTAAGAAGAGGAATGGAGGATAACGTCAACGACCCGGTGACAATGCTGTCGCGCTGGGATGCTGTCGCGCTAGGTTGCTATCGCGTCGGGATGCTGTCGCGTTGGGATGCTGTCGCGCTGGGATGCTGCTATCGCGCCGGGATGCTAGATGCTATCGCAGTAGGATGCTAACACTAGATGCTATCGTAGTAGGATGCTAGACGAGGGCGACTTTGCGACGAGTACGACCTTACGACGAGGGCGAATTTTAATACTCGCCCCTTCTACGGAAGCGCCTCCCCGCTAGTAGCTTAGCGCCCCCTTAAAACTTCATACGCCCTTAAACGCTTAAGTAGTTCTTAATATTTTACTAACCTATTAACCTTTTAATAGTAAATAATTAATCCTAAAATAATATTATAAGAGACTAAAACTATAGAATAATAAGTAGTTATATAAAGCTATCTAGAAATTACTATAAAGCGCTAATATTATTATATAATAAATATTATTATAGAGCTTAAATAGTAATATAACTACTTAGGGTTAGGGTTAGGAGTTCTATCTATATTCTAACGAACGACCGTATACAAGGTCGTTTACTTTCCTATATAAATATATAGCGCCTTAGTAGAATCGAGAGTATAGTCGTTTATATATAGTCGTTCGTTAGAATATAGATAGAACTCCTAACCCTAAACCTAAGTAGTTATATTACTATTTAAGCTCAATA